TCGATTGCGGTCGAATGATTTCGACGTGCTCGATGGATTTCGACGTGGTGGAACAGGGTGGCCGTCTACTTGTCGCTCTTTCACCCTGTTTCACCTGCGACTCGTGATCCTTTTCTATCTTGCCCCACATTGGATCGAGGCCTGTCGGACGTTGGCAATGTATTCGACAGGCCCTCTCGACAACCCCCAGAGTCGTCGCCCGTATTCGACGAAAGACGAAAGTGAGCTATTAGGGCAGATTGTGGTGGTGATAGTGGTGGCTGTAGGCTGGTGCTTCCGTATCAGTGCATTACCAACAGCTACATCGAGGGCTATCGAGCTGCTAGGAATTGATCTAGACAAAAGTTCGATTGATGTACTTAAACAGCGATGGAGCGTGTGGTGCTGGAACTGGGTGAGAGTCGACGTAGGGCTGAACATAGGAGAATCACTGGGTTTGGTTGCAACTCGCTCTCTACCAGAGTTTCAATGCCACACTTTGTCGAATGCAGTCGAGTTCCGTCAAATCTGGTGATAAAACTCGAACTATATGGATGATTCATTTAGTAGAGTTTTATATCCACTGCTAGGATGTGGTGGGTTCGTGAGTGTTGGAATGGCGGGCTACTACGTCGTGAGTGGCGGTCCAAAGGCGAACAGAATTCACACCCGTTATACCAGGCCCCTACAACGTCGAACATGATCAAAGCTCGCCAGTAGTATCGACCAACCCGATCGATCATTCCATGAGAGTTCGATGAACGTCGATTGTATGGCGACGAAATTCTCGAGGTGGTGAGGTTTGATACATGGGCTTGGCAGCCGGCGGTGATTGTGTTCCGAGATGAGCTCATGTGTCAACACCACTATGGAACGCCCAACATCCCGCCACCACAAGGAGCACCCTGCTTCCCTTCGAACCGGTAGCTGCAGTTTCTGCAGAGGCTGCATTCATCACAAAGTTAGCCTCCCTCCGTCGAGCGCATGCCTACTGCAACCTCGGGCTTCCCTGCCGTCCTCCGCGACACAACCGTCCGCATGCAACCAACATCGTGGTAGTTGGATACATGCTTATTTCAGGAGCACATAAATATCGCTGGGTCACAAGAATCATCTTACGCGGTCGATGGTAAATATAGAGAGTGTCGTCTGTTCTCAGCAGAGAGCGTCCAGGAGAAGAGGAGATACGTGGAATGTGGACAGGGGTCAAGTGACAGAGAGAGGAAGAGACGTAGGAAGTTAGGTCATATTCAGCTCAACGGATAACGAGATATCATCTAGGACCAGTAACCTTCTAAGCATCCTTCAGCATCGATACGACACCGGCCCAGGTCTCTCGCACAGTGGGTTGAATCTGGTTTGCCGGCAGCGTGAAGCCGTACGTTCCCTTATCGCGGAGCTCATACGTGTACGAGTATGTCGAGTTTCCAGTGACATCCGTGTAGTCAGTCGAGCTGCCAGTCGTGGCGTAGAGAGTAGAGCAGCTAGGTCCAATGGTATACGCGGTTCCAGACACAGCTCGGATGGCAGTCTGGGCACGGGTTGCGATCGAACGGTGCTGCGCATCGTTCTCAGCGCGGAGATTGCAGTCGTAACCGTAAGGCCACAGAATGTATTGTCCGTATGAACTTTTTTCGTAAGCAAGAAGAGCAGGGACGACGTGAGTAGTGAGGACTTACTGGACATCGAGATACAGGCGGATACCGCGAGATGCTCGTAGCGAGTCAACCTGTGTCCTGAGGCCGCGGTTCTCAGGAGCATCACCAGCAGCCTGGCCCTTGTACGTCTCAGAGCAAGGATCCGTAGATGCACCCCCAGGCGCCTCCCACTTATAGGGCCAGTTCCGGTTGATGTCCCGACCGACACAGCTGTTTCCGCTCACTGTCTGTCGATTCTTGCGCCACAGACGATCAGTCGTTTGAGTGTAAACGAAACCATCGGGGTTGACAATGGGCGTGATGTAGAAATCGAACTTGTCCACCAGCGCCTTTACAGAAGCGTCCGAGGCGTACTTGGTGAGGAGTTGCCATGCGAAGTACTCTGGACAAAGTTAGCGTGTGCCTCACGTCCAATTCGTCGTAGGCATACCCGTAGTCACCGACGTAATCCACTCCCTCGCGTGAACGTTGCCGTGGATAATCACCGCAGGCTTCGATCCTTTCCCTCCGCTACCCCAGATGTGGATTCCCGTCAGGACTCGTCCCTGAACCGATGTTCCAACAGTAACAATTTCAGACTGGGTAGTGTAACCAGCTTGTAGATCCCTCAAGAACTGAAGATGGTCGGCATACGGGTGGTACGCAGTGAACCAGCTCTCGCTCGGGACTAGAATCGATCAAAATAAGTTCTCTGAGGATGAGGTCTCAACCCACCGGCATAAGCCGTAACCTCGCCTTCTTCTGCCAGGGCAGCGCCAACATCCTCGTTCAAGACCTGGCTTTCCGACACCAGTGCGGTCAGGGCATCGATGTTATCTGGTGACACGACGACATCGAGTTGCGCGGACCTGCCCGGGTTGAGGACATGAGCGGCCAAGTTTTCAATCTGAGCCTTGACATCATCGGTGGAAGCGACGCGGAGCACCTTGAAGCCGTTGTAATCGACCTTCTTGCCGGCCCTTGGGACGACCGTGCCAAGGGCGGTGGAGAGGAGGAGGGCGGAGGTAAGAATAGATTTCATGATGGTGGAGGTTGCAACGACCAGATGCCAGAGCGGTGTTGTACTTCTGCGACTGGTGCGGAAGGCACTCTTTATGCTTCGCGGTACTCAGGTACCTAAGTAGTCGTAATGTGCCATCTCCCACCTGCCCATCATGTCGACGTCCGGAGCTTCCGGTCTTCATCATCACATGAAATAGGCAGGTACATACCCGTGCTCCCGGTAGATCTGCTGCAAGCACGGGAGATGAACGCTCCAGAGCACTTCCGTAGGCGACCGGAAGGAGATGCTGGGATGTGGATGGTCGTGCAATATATGAAAAGACTTGGCGCGCGGGTTTCAGTATAGGTGCGCGGGATAGGTGGTTGGTCCGGAGAAGGACCGCTAACCGTAGTTAGGCAGGTGGGGTGAAAGCCTGTGGCGGCGGCGGCTTGGCCACGCGATAGGGCCGGATCGAGGCTGGCAAGATGAGGTACGTGATCTCGTGCTCCGACGAGAGTTGACGTGATGTAGAATGGTGATTACCTTTGGCGAAGCGAGGGCATCGTTCAGGAAGGACGATACGTTGAAACAAGCCACGAAATGGCGTTCTTTCGTTGAGAATTGGATAGCAGGTTGGTAGGTTGATGAATAATATTCTGCTCTTTGACATTTCTCATTACACTTCGTTACAGGACGCCACTCATCAGAGCTCCCTCATCGACCGCCTCCTCAGCCCGGTGGGGTTTGCGGTTTCCCAGTTCGTGAGGTTCATAACTTGGACACCTTTTCACTGTTAGACACTGGACTAATAGGTGCGGGCGGAACTTACCCCAACCCTCCAATTCGTCAATAGTAGCACTCTTGATATCATCTGACAAGGTCTCAGTAGCATCCTCAATAAGGACGACCTCATATCCAAGCTTAATCCCGTCAATGCATGTCCCTCGAACACAAGCATTGGTGATAAGACCAGTCACTATGATGGTCTCAATGCTGTGAAGGGTCAATTCGGAGTTCAGCGTAGTGAACTGATGATACTGGTTATCCGCAAATGCCGAGTAAGAGTCCACGGAGTGGTTCTGCGCCTTCTTGATATAGTTTACGGGCGTTCGGTAGCCCTCAAGGTATTGCAATCGTGTCTTTACTCCATCTTCAATCTCCGCGCCCCAGGTTCCAGGGACACAATGATCCGCGAAGACGTTTTGCGTCTCGGTCTTAGTAGGAGTGTCGACGAAGGTGACATTGACACTATCTCCAGGCTTTGCTCCAGAATGTGCAGAAGCGAAGGAGACGTGACCCTTGGGATGCCAGTCTTGAGAAGCGACGATGAAGGGCCACTCATGGTCGTCAAGCAGCTGGTAGACCTTGGGGAGAATGGCGGGGGCTCGAGGGTTTGCAAGCGAACCGTTGATGAAGTCGTTCTGGACATCGATTACGACTAGTGCCGTCCGCTTGTGTAGTTTGCTAGAGAACTGCGCATGCAGTATTAGAAATGGAGGTTGGAGGTGTTATAGTGGGGTAGTTACTGGTACAGCGTGAGCGCTGAGGAGAGCAGCGGCTATGGTGAGGAAAGATGTCAACATGATTGCAGTAGACAACTGGATGACGACAATTACCGAGCGAGTAGTTTAGTGCATGTATAGGCACTTCTCTGCTCTTATACCATTCTAAGAGATCCACTTCTGCGTGCGAAAGCTGGCTGGTAGTACAGTTAGTTATCAACGGTTATCGCAGCGAGGTGTATATTACGATAAGGCTATCTTTTCAAAGTTAGCAATACGGATATTCGCTCCTCGATGGACATTCTAGGTCGTAGTCAGAATCTATGAAAAATTGCGTAAGACTAATATTCATTGGCCAGGTATCGCGCCGCGGGGAATTTATGATATATTCCCGGCCGATTAGCCCCAGAATCCTTTCGAGCCACCATGCGAGTCAGTCGTTGGTCTCCACTCTACAATGATGCATTCTTCCGTATCTGGGATAGAGCCGACTTCGGCTCCCGCTCGACGGGTACAACATGCGTTTTCTCTATGATGCTCGATCGCGCTCTCCTTCGTATCACAGACAATAACATCATCTGCTCATGCGACGTGTGAACGTGCTTGAATTTTCTCCGATACAGTTTCAAATTGTCGTGAGATTAACATAACAGAACGGGCAGCTAACAGCGGAGGAGAGAAGCAACGATTCGTACAGTGACAACTTTTCTTCGATGAAACCACCCAGCCAGTCATTCTCCCGTCTATGCCTCAATACTCTCTCCTTGGTAGACTCATCGCCTGTCTTCCCCATCCCGCCGTCTTACCTCTTTCCTCATCCTCCATATCCGCATCCCACGCATCATCCCCGTCACTCCCATCACTATCATCAACAATAATCTCCACCCTACTCTCCAGCACCATATTCTCCTTGCTCTCACTACTCTCACTCCCAACGCTTTTGCCCATCCGAATGCCTCCTCGCTCGACCTCCTCAACCGCCCGTCGGAGCGCCCTCTCTCGACGCTTCCGGCGAAGGTATCCGAGTTCCAAGAGCACGAGGAAGACGCCGAGGAAGAAGAGGGAGATGCCGACGATGATGCCTGCTTTGGCGCCAGTGCTGAGTATTGCAAACGAGTTGTTGTGACTATCGTGCGACGAGTGCGTTGCTATAGGTACAGGAGGGAAGGTCGTGACTTTACTTGAAGGCCGTGGGGCCCTGGTGGAAGACAAGGTATGCCATGATGCGGAGAGCGGCGTCTGGAATGGCGATGCTTGCGGTGCGAGCGTGAAGGCACGCGTCGTGGTTGATTGAACGATGCAGCTCTGTTGGATTCGGTGAGTGTTGGATCCTATGAGCTACTCCTGATATCACTCACTGTACAATTGGACTCGTGAGCGGCTCGACCAGCGAGACCGACGCCATATACTGCCCAGAATCCGCTTGAGAATAGCATGGCAAGATAGAGCGTAAACGAGTGTGACCTCATGATGTGATAGAAGGTTGTGATGACGGTGCTCGAGCAATCACAAAAGAGCGGAACAGTCTCAGTCTATGTAGCATCGCGCTGGAAAAACAACAACTCTTTAGTGTTGTTATGCATACGGTAGTGCCCCTGCAGTGTCCCTATTACGCGTTGGTTTCTCAAACCCGGTCGTTTTCGCCCTCTGAGTCGTACATGTAGTTTTGCAAGGAGATGCAAGGAACTAGCACCTCATAAAAAATCGGAAAAAGACAATAATATGGACCGAAGTCAAGTGTAAACGTCCTTCAAGAAGACCCAAGCAAGGATTCAAACCATAAAGCACTACAGCTCAATTATTATTGTTGTGGGTGCACTGGAGTGTCGACATGAGACATGCCCCTCCCGTCCCGCTATTAAACACGCACAGCATCTGCAGTGTAACACACGCCGTCGAAACCGCTGCCGAGCAACAAAACGATATCGGCCAAGACACACGTACACACTGAAATAAGAAAAGCTCTACACTCTAATCGACACTCGGAGCGACCTGGGCAGCCCAGCCCACGTCTCCAGTACATTGATTATGCAGAACCCGTCTCCCGTGGTAGAGTGCTAGTAGCCTTGATGATAAGCTCGTTATCCACACTCAAATAGCTCTTAATCGCACAGCGCAGGCCATCGTAAGGCGGGCCAAGGAGGCAGGTGAGATAAGAAGAAGGCTCGTACGGGTCATTTGCCGTGATGGGGATGCTACCGCTGAGATGGTAGATGCTGGGAAAATAATCAGCATAAATCCTATTTCCTTAAAAGACAGGTAGTAATGAACAAGGCACGACACGAGATTAACATACCGATTCTCGTCCTCCATCCGCACGCGAACCATATCCAGGACAAAACTCAACTCCGGCCGTCGATCACCCAGATCCGTATATTCACCCATCCGAAATGCGACCATTTCGTCCGCCGGGCTGCCCGTGCACCCCTCATACATGTCTGGAAGTGTGCCGTTTCTCCACGAGGCCTGGCAAGTCAGTGCTAAAGGGGCGGGGGCGGATCCGTCTTCATTGACTGTATAGTTGAGCATGAGGACGTCAAAGTCGATGGTCGAGTTGAAGCGCATGCCGTCGGGCCAGGGGGGGTTGCCGGGGATGCCGGTACCATCGCTCATTATGTGCCTGCGAGGGAAGGTGCGGAGTCAGTGTGTGTACATGTCGCGTAGGCGGTTCGTACTGGATTACCTACATGTGTAGACGGGGAATGAGCCATTGTTCGGCTAGGACGCTGCCATTGGATGCGGAGGCCGAATGGGTTGTCGTGGGTAGGGCAGATACGAGGGCGACGAGGGAAAAGACAAGAGTGATAACATAGGACATAGTAGGTAGGATCGGCGAGCTGTTGAAGTTTGCACAGGTGCTAGCGTCCGACGGCCGACGAGTGGAAAGATACTGGGCTCAGGACGTGTACGAAGCCCGCCAACGTCGAAGTTATATGGTCCAACAGTTACATCGCATAGTATGTCTTCTGCAAGAACAGTGATGTAATGCCAGCAGATTTTGCTGCTTTCTATTGATTTCGGGCTCAAAATTGTGTTCAGCACGTTCTTTCATTTATTCACCTCGTACGGTGCCGTTCAGAAAGTTTGGAGGTTTCGTCATTCCCGGCCGGGCACTATCATGGCGTCCGCTACACCCGTTCATTGTACTTGTGCTTCTGTGCCACGCTCTAGAAGCAAACACGTTAGCTATGCAGCGCAGAACTATCTGTTAGAGATAACATACCCGCGACGGATAGGTCCTTTCCTGGCCAAGCCATGACGACCATATTGACTGCCAGGCAACAATAGAGTGATGCTACACAGTTTACGGGCCTAGCGTTGGACCTTGAATGTCAGCGTCAGGATTGGAGCTCAACCGCACCGTCACTTTGTACAAAATTAGCAAGCGAGCGGGTACCTCCTTGACCTGCCGATAGTAGGCTGCTAAGCCCAATAAATTGGATTCGATGTCGCAATGAAGATATCGAATGCGGCATACTCCACTTTTCCCTGAATGCCATCTGGTATGTGGTCGTGTGTGGAGCCCTATCGGAGCCCATGAATGCATGGCCATGATCAGCTCATCGTCCGATGTAGTGGCAATCAAATCAACCCAAACGCCAACGATCCGAGTCCGGTGTCCTCGCGTGTCACTTCCCTCATGTCACCTCAATCCCCTTCCGACTCCTCAACGCCATCTTCGCCATCTCTTTCAGATCCCAACCGCCTTTCACCGTCTTCACGTCCGGTATGTGCTCACCCGAGTTGATAACATGCACTTTCATCTTGGGATGGAACTTGAGTCCACTCAGCAGCTTCGGCGTAACAAGAAAGTATTGGCTTGTGCGCTCCTGGCACGCAATGTCCACCATACGTTCGTGCACCATGCGCTCGTTACGCGGATCCATGCCTTGGTTGATTTCATCGACAACGCGGAACGGCGATTGTGCGAGGTCTTGTAGCGCCATGAGGTAGAATATTGTTGAGACGGCACGCTCACCACCAGACTGACGGTGAGAGTTTAGGACGGAGAGGGTTTCCCCTTCGCTGTCGGATCTGTTAGCGGGTGCTCATGTGAAAGAGTGCATGACTTACCGGAAGCGGACTGAAATCTGGATCGACCAGTTGTCAAAGTCCTCTTCGTCCTTGTACACCGCGACCTCACCGGCGCACCCAATCTGCTGAAAGTTGTGCGCAAAGGCATCACTGATCTTGCGAATGAGAGCATCGAGTTCGGGCTCCCACTGCTCACGAATCTCCGAGATTTGCTGTTTTGCGTTCTCAAGCTCCGTGGAATGTTGCTCTAGCTTCTCTTTGGTTTTGTTCATCTCTTCTTCGCGCTTCTCATAAGCCTTGATCGCTCCAGGATTGCCTTCGGCCATCATTTCAAGCCGAGCACTGACAGCCTCAACCTCTTGTTCGAGAGCCTCAAGAGAGGGCAGCTCGCGGTATTCTCGAATGATACCCTTTTCTTCCTCCGTCAGGCTCTCGATGTCTTGCTGCGTACTCTTGACCATTCGCTCGTATTCGAGTCGAAGGTTCCGATTGCGTCGATCAAGGTCTTGGATCTCGGTTTGCTTCCTTTGAAGCTTTTGCAGGATATCACTGTTCTCACGCTTGAGTGCGTTCAACTCCGACTTGGCTTCGATCAAGCGTATCTCGGCTTCTACAAGCGACTCATGCAATATGCGTAGTTGCGTTACCGCTTTCTGGTCTTGACTTAGCATGAAGATAAGTACCATATAGTCGAGCCACTTACCGCATAACCGAGCGTCGACGTGGCGAGCTTCAGCGAAAGGCCTCGAGACCTAGCCTTGATGGCCCGTATACGCTCGTTCGTCTCTGCATTCTGTTTCATCAAGGAGTCCAACTGAGCCTGCTTTTGAGCTGTATACTGTTAGGAATAATAATTGCCTCAAAGACTACAACACGCACCAATCTTGCCAGGCAGAGCGTCCCACTCAGCAACGGCCTTCTGCATACGAGCTTGTTCTGCTTGAACCTCGTCCTAGCATACTATCAGCAATGAATCTCAGTCTAGAATGGTAGGTAGCTCACTCTTTCTGTTTTGCGGTCCTGGATCTCCTGCTGAAGATCTGCTATCTCTTTCTTAGAGATATCGTGGTTCTCCCGCAATTCTACACCCTCTTGTTGCAGCTCCTTGAGCTTCTCGTCCAGTTGCCGCTTCTCTTCTGTGTTGACCGGCTGATCAATGAACCATTGGGCTTTTCTGAGCTGGGTAACAGAGGTTGAAGACGCATTGTTGTACTCCCTACGTACAGTGATCTTATAAATGTCCCTGCCACTGACCCACTTCCTGATCCTACTGCTCGTGACGGAGGTATGCTGCTCTTCAGAGATGGGCTTGGACGCGAAGGCTATCTGGTGCAGCTGCACGTTATCGCAAAGCATAGCTAGGACAGCATCGGGTCCTTTAATGTAGTCGAGCATATAGCCCTCAAAACCGTACCTTGGCAAGTCTTCCGTTGCAATGGGCGACTGGTAATCGGATAGTGGCTTTGGTGAGGTCCGCAAATGAATGTCGTGGAGGCCAAGCCCGCCGCTCTCAAGCTTGCCGAGAAGACGGTTTGACAAAAGCTTTTGATCATCTCCGTTGGTGCAAGTAATGGCAATGAAATCGCCCTTTCTCAGCTGGCTTTCAACGGCGTCTGCGTACCGGGGATTTGTAAGGGAGCACTCCAGGATAGGCGGCCCAAGGACATCCCCTTTCAGAGAAAGAGAATCTCTGTTCGACTTAATCCAGTTCCAGGCCTTTACCGTATCGCGAGACATTTTTGCCAGCGCACTGGCTTGCTGTCCACTCTGCGTATCAAGTTGCTGTCGCTGGGCTAGAACGCCTTGTTTCTCTTCATTCATTCCATGAGCCCGGGAACGTATGCGCTCGTGTGCATCTCGCTTCTCTACGAGCCGGGTCGATGCAGCGGAGATCTGGGTACGTAAATCTGTCTTGCGTTGCTCGTAGGTTTCCGCGTCATAATCCACGGGTTGCTCCTGTCTTTGTCGCTCGAGTCTTGCAATGTCCCCGTTAATACGGAGGACATCTTTTTCGCGTGCTTTTTTGGAATGCACTTCTCCCTTGACCTGATCTGCACCGTCCGAGACTGCCTCCTTGTCTTTTTCAATCTTCGCCAGGAGCTTGTCAGCTTGCGTCTTGATCATATCGACACGGTTCTTGCGGAGCTTCACGACCTGCTCGATCTGATTTCGGTAAGTCTCCACCTCGGCCTCGGCCTGACGCACTGGCTCTACGTCGGCATTGATTTGATCGAGCTCCCGTCTCGCTGTTCGCAAGTCCTCTTTCGCGCGGCTGAGATCGTCCTTGCGCAAGCGGATTTCGATGATGGGTTTGACCTTCTTCAAGCACTTTGACTTCTGTAACAAGCCCTCACGCTGGTGGAAGCGTTCGACATCATCCCTAGTCGAGTTCTGCTGTTTCTCTAGCCTCTCTAGATGAGTTCTCTCGTTCTGTTGCTTCGTCTCGAGCCCCTTCTCCTCTGTACGGAGTAGCTTCAGCTGATCGTGCCATTGCACCATGTGAGGAGGTGCTGCAGCGCGCTGGGTTTCCCTCAAGCGATCGACGTCGGACATTTTGGCAAACTCCACAACTCGGTCTTGAGGCAGAAACTGACATAGATTATCAATCTGAATTGAGAAGCCCCTGGCCATTGATGTGACGGCATTCTGGGCGACGCGCTTCCCGTTGAGGAGGAAGAATGACTTGTTATCTTCTTTGCGGATGGTACGTTGGACGATCGGGTTCTTGCCATTGCCTGGGCCGGCGGCGAGTTCAATTTCGATTTCTGCTTCCGAGGCGCCATGCTTGACGAAAGCGCCGAGCTCTTTGGCTCTACCGAGATGCTCACTCCCCCATCCCAAGCCCAAGCAGATGGCACACACAAGCGTACTCTTGCCCGTGCCATTAGGCCCAATCACCATGTTCAAGCTGGGGCCCAGATGGAATTCCGCAGCCGTGTACGTGACAAAATTCTTGAGCTTGACCCTTACGAGTGAACCTGGCTGAAACACGTCTTCAGCATATGCACCGTTCGTCGAGACGGGGCTATCGGACGCGTCGCGGGCATGGCGAGCGCGCTTGCTGCCTACGGATGCGGAGGAGGGTTGGTCGGATTGTTCGTCTTCGTCGTCGCTAGTGGCGAGAGCAGGCCGCTTTCGCCTGTTCTGTAGGATGCCGGGCATCGTCGCGGTGGGTGTCGCTGTCTCAAGCGTAGACCTCCAGTTCGAGGGGGGATGTGGCGCGAAGGGCACGGACGAGATAGCGCAGTCAGGTGAGACCGTGATAACGTGGAGAAGTTGACTCAGCACCCTGGTAGTAATAAACCACAGCTCGTCCACTATAAAGCAATCGCATTTCATTTCCTACTAATACACGCTATGTTTAGCAACGCAAGGTAACGCGCTCCTTCACCCGGACTGACGTATGCTTAGCCCCAACGCCAAATCTATCAAACCAGCGCAAAACGATAACATCGTGCCCTATTCCAGTAACCGTCGCTTCAGTTGTCCGCCTCATTACTCGTTTCAAACCAAAAAATTCAAGTGTTTCAAATGATCCCTGCATGGTATGTGAAGGGTAGGGAAGGGTAAGGAAAAGCCAACGCAACCAGTGCTGTGGCGCAGAACGGATCAAAGTACTCTAGAAGATGGTACCGAAACTCTCATCGACGGTGGGCAGTGGCTTTCTTGGACTTGAAGGCTTGCCATTCTCGTCGGCCGTCTTCTTGTGACGGAAGGTGACTGCAATGCGATTAGCGATGGACTGCAATCTCAAGGGGCATTGCACTTACAGCCAACAAATAGACCCTTGCCCATCTGATCATTGCGGTCCTGCATGGCCTCCAAGGCAGCCTGCTTTTCATGCACTTCCTTGTACTTGGCCATATCAGCCTCGCTGCCAAAGTCGTCAAAGTACCCGGCGTCAGTCTCGCTATCTAGCTCTGGGACGAATGGGGCCTTGTTGTCTCTCAATTTGGTCCAGTCGACCTCAGCAAAATACTGGTGTGCGTGAATCTCAGAGATGCCGCGGAAGCGCGATGTTTTCGATGCTACAAGTCGTGTGATAAGATCCCAAGTCCGCTTCGATAGGAAGTAGGACGGATCTTCGTAGACGGGCTTGCGTAGCACCTTCTTCCACTGCTTCAGATTCTGCCAGGTCTCATCCACTGTGGCACCAGCGAACGGTGGGTAGCCGGCCAGGGCTTCAAATAGCATGCATCCCAGGCTCCAATAGTCAACGGTGAAGTCGTACTCGTCGCCCTTTAGCACCTCGGGAGCCATGTAGTCTGGGCTTCCGACGATGCTCTTTGCGTAGTTCACGTCTCGTTCGCGAAGGGAACGGTAGTTATCTCGACGCTGGGCTGCCGATCGCTCTTCGATAGGACGTCCAAATGGCGCGATTACGTCGCTGACCGACGCTAGCTTGACGCGCATTGATTCAATCTTTGCGGGTGCAAGTATACCTGCTGCCAGACCAAAGTCGGTCAACTTGACGTGTCCTGTGCTGTCGATCAAGAAGTTCTCCGGCTTCAAATCACGATGAATATATCCAAGCTGGTGTAGAGAGTCGACGCAGGAGAACATTTCGGCAATGTAGAAGCGCGCATGTCGGTTGTGCAGTACGCCAGTGTTGTTGAGCAACGTGCGGAAGTCGCCTCCGGGGACGTATTCCTAGCTTTGTTAGACTTGTTGGTCGCCAAGGTGTATGAGAGGGGAAATACCATGGCAAGGTAAATGCTCTTGTCATCCTGAAAAGCATACAACAGGCGGGTGAGCCATTCGCTCTTAGCGGAGGTCAAAATGTCGCGCTCAGTCAAGACGTGGCGAACCTCGTCCAGCTTGAATAACAACTTCTTGCTCATGACCTTCAACGCGCACACTTCGCGCGTATCCTTCTTCTGGGCCAAGTAAACCTGTCCATAGCCTCCCTGGCCAACCTGCGTCAGAATCTGGAAATCACCCTGCCTTAGTCGAGTACGTCGCTTGCGCAGGTTGGCTCGCTCGCGACCCAGGTACTGTGTGAGGGCGTCATTGTACTCTGCTGCTTGTGTTGCAGGGGGAAGAGGATTCTGAGCCTTGAATTGAGAAAGACGGTTCTGACGCGTGTGCACGTAGGTGAGGAGATCGTAGTAGTAGTCGAGGAAGTCTGCACATTTGTTAGTCATGTCGAGCAATGGCTATGGACCAACTACTCACACAGCTGAGTCACGTTGGCAAGACGCTTGACTGCTGGCTTCCTGGCCTTCTCCAGCTCCTCGGCCGAGAGACGCTGCGGGCCGTGTAGATACCGCGTCGATTGCTCTGCCTCGCGCGTCCGGTATGGGTCTTGGCGCGATTGTGCGGCTTGGGTAAGATGGCCAGGTTCCTTCTGCAGGCCTAGACGGCTACTTGGTGGCGTGTTCTCCTTGTTCGACCTGCGTGGAGGGCCTCCTGAAGTTAGCGTGGTGAGGTCGTGGGAAGAGTAGTCGACGTCATCTCCGGTCTGCAACTTTGCTTTGTTGGGCGAGGTGGGTGTCCCGGGTTTCGACTTGGAGGGAGAGCCGATGGTCGGCAACAGTCTCATGGCATTCTCGAAAACATGAGGTAGATCGAAGGCGCCCGGCGGCTGGTGGGATTTGCTTGGGCTGCCTTGGGGCGTCTGCTGTGGGCTGGTGAAGCCCTCTTGAGGCGTGCCTGGTCGATCCATGTCGCTGCCGCGAGTATGGAGTGGTGGAGGAGGAACGGGCAGCTGAAAGCCATCTCCATTCGACTCTGTCATGTTGTTCATGTTGGGCGCGACTGGGAATGAACGACTGCGGGGCAGCAGCTGGCGCTGCGAGGAGAGTGGGAAGAGCGAGGCAGTAGAGCGACCAGAACAAGCACAAGCAATTGCCTAGAAAGCGACTGGAATATTTTTTTTTCAGGGTCGAGCGACTGCAGGTGTCAAGTAGCATGCAAGATGCAGCCGTTGTCCAGTTTGTTGATCTGCGGGGTGGTTGTGTTTTGGGCTAGGGCTGCTCCGGGCAACGAATCATTCCAAGCTTGCGTCAAGAGTGGGTCCATTCTCAGCTTCAACAGGATGGTTATTTGACAACAACATGTCTTTGTACATATCTCCGTATCCTCGTTATAAATATCTACAGATCCAACTTCAGCTAGCCAATGCACCCAATATTACGCACTATGTGCACCCACGCCTTAACGCCCACGCCCGCAGAAACGCCCATGACGGGCCGTGACAAGGCCAAACAATGATATCATAGCTCGTGACTGCCGCTTCGCCCATGCAGAACCGTGGCAAAAGTATGCTAAGAGGTCGTTATTTCATATCTCGTCAGAAACAGTCGCTTGTGTGATGCAGTCCCGTTCTCTCTCTACCCAAAATCTACATGTGAGAAAAGTCGCCTCGAAGTTCGTTGGCAAGCAGCTCCTGGAACGCCTGCCCACCACGCGAGATGGCATTGAGCAACGCTGGATGGTATCGCGACGGCTCAATTAGCAGCTTCCGGCACATCGGACAGGTGACCTTATTCTTGTGCGTTTTGCAAGTGTCAAACTAGCGTCTGGTTAGGAAATATCCAATCATGTCGAGTTTCCGCACATACCCATTGAAAGATGCAGAACTCCCCAAAAACATGGCCACAAGGCAGCTCTACAGCCACTTCTTCTTCCTCGGACAGCTGCACTTGTGTCCTCGAATAGTCCTTCTGGCAAATGTCACAGGATTTGGATGTCTCTTCTGGAAGGTTGCCCGGCAGGCGGCGGGGAAGCTTGTCCTTCAAGTCCTGGATCTGTCGGGGAGTGGCAATGTTAGGATCAAAATGTTGGTGGTGGCCCATGAATCGTGGCCGCACCTCTCTCGGCCGATGCCTCATACGGTTTGATGGTGGCGCACGAGCAGCGGCTTCCTCGGCATCAGACGACGTGCTCGATTGTGGCATGTCAAAAGAATATCTGTCGAAACTGCGGCGGTTCGATGTTCTTGGAGAGATGCTTCGATCTGAGCGGCGGCCCTGCGCGGTAAGGAACAATGACGAGCGCCGTTCTGTCGTATTGTATGGTCGACTATTGGGCTGGTATGGCTCTTGTTGTGGTGCTCTCCGGTTAGGCGACTGGACATGGCGAGGCAGATCTGGGGGCCCACCGTTGGGCCCTCGTACGGGTTCCTGGCCAAAGTAATGTGGAGGTGGACCTGGTCCCATTGTCGAGTAATGCTGCCGTCGAGGAAATGGAGTCTGACCTGTTGGGGGCGACAAGGGCGCTTCGTAGCCAGTAGGATATGAAGGAAAGAAAGGCTGAGGCCCGCGGAGCAAGGGATGTTCAGGCCTGGAGTAGAGGTCGCCAGCATCAGGAGGCCCACCCAAGTCGACACGCGGGTAATTCGATCCGTTTCGGAAAGCTGGAGGTGGTCTTGGATGTGCCGGAAGGAACGGATACATGCGAGGAGGATAGTACATTTGCTGGCTACCGTCGAGCGGATAAGGTGAACGTCCTTGTGCGGCCTGATTACTGAATGGCACGGTCGAGGCATCGGGGAACTGAGACATGGCTGGGTTGCTGCTGGAGCCGTACGGAGCCTCGTATGGCAGAGGTGTGAATGATTGTGGAAATGGGAGTGCATGTGCTGAGAGAAGCGGGGCAGACAACTCTGGACCTTGGGCTCCGGGACCTGTCGAAATTGAACCCCATAAAGGCGTGCTGTAATTTGACTCGGCCATGTGCGCTTTGTTGGAGTCGATGTTTGAATCTCCCTCTGCCACGCACGGTTTGCTGACGTCTACTCCGTGCGTAGTAGAACGTCAGTCTAGACTTGGTGGGGGTCAAGCTCGCTGAAGTATCGAGGCTGAAGTGCTCTAAAGGAGCCGTGGTCTTTGGGTTCTGGTAGTCGTTACTCGAGCTTTGTACAGCAGTAGAAGAAGGCTCTATGGGTCATTCGTAGAGCGGTCGGGGCCTTGGGTGTAGGGTAGCAAGTGCGGGCGGTGAAAGGGTTGGTTCTGGTGATTCACAGGCTCAGCAACGAGCCGCAGAGGCAAGACAGTGGCTAGAGAGCAAAGACGACGAGCAGAGGAAGGGGTCTGTTGGTCGGTGAGGAAGTGGGAGACGGGCGGCATAAAGGTGAGGGGTTAAACAGTGTTAGCTCGAGGATCGGGATGTTACGTTGGCACCGTGGATGGATGGTGGAGGGCGGCCACGCAGTGATGGGAAAGAAGAGTGGAGGCGGGCTGGTAAAGCGAGCGAGCGAGCAAAGTCAGCTGCTGTCCGCTTGACTCGCAGCGATTAATCTAATCATGGCCTGTGGTTCGGGAGCGGGCTCCCTCTGGTCAAGGACGGCTGCGCGCAAGGAGCGGACGCACTGGCGGCAACCTGATGCCGCAGCGTCATGCTCCAGGGCGTCACGCTGAGCGAGGAGCGAGCGGGCGAGTGCAGCAACTTAGTAGACCGTCGTCTCTTGTACGCCCTCTCGACTCCGGAGCGTCCAAAACGACGAGGGCTATACTTACTGGCCAATGCCTTGGGCTCAGCGCCCTACCGATGACGGCGACCCGGACGGAAGTGCTGAGCCAAGGACGACAGTCTAGGTACGAGGTATGTTTCACTCAACAGGGTGGGCGTCCTGTGCCAAGCGCGGATGTGTGATCAACCACCATCTAACAGGCATTCATTCTATGAGCACCATGTCCTGAAGACAGTCGGTTCAGGACGCAGTCGGAGATGTCCAGTAGCCGCGGGAGCCATGCAGCCTGCCGTCAGTCAAGGGAGGATACAGATACATCCATTCCCATACATCCATGGGGGCAGCGAGAAGTAGAGAGACAGTGTGGCTAGCCAGAGCGGTGCAACTAACTCTGAGCAACGGGAGTCGCGGATTCTAGAGGGCCGACACAAGAGGAGAGCGGGATACAAGAGCAGCCGAGCAGCGGTTTCGAAAGGGTGGAGTGGTCATGGAGACGCGTTCTCGTCTTGGACTATTTTGAACTGCTGGGCGTGGGCGTGGGCGGAAAAGGACCGGGACAAGCTCGGAAGCACGGCCCCGGCTTTTTTTCGTGGAGACACTGGCAGTCTCCAAACTTTTGACCCGTCGCCCCTACGACTTGTGCTTTTTTGTTCAATTGAGTGCCTCACCGCCAATTGCGCGTCCCCATTCCCTCCCTCCATAACCCACTGCACCACCTTTCTCTCCCAAGGCCACCATGTTCCGCGCGCGGAGCTTCGTTCGGGCTGCCGAGGCCGGGGCAGTACCGTCACTGGCACATGCGAAGGCGAACCCCTCCCTCACCTGCGCCCGCAGTACACGCTCGCTCTCCACCTTCAACCGCCAGCCGAGCAGATACACGCCATTGAAGACACAGACTCTCTTCCAAACCCGCCAGTTCAGCTTCACCAGCAGCATGGCCAACACGCGAACCGAGAGCGATGCCTTTGGCGACATCACGGTGCCCGCAGACAAGTACTGGGGAGCCCAGACGGAGCGCTCGCTGGAGAACTTCAAGATAAACCAGCCCCAGGACCGCATGCCGCCGCCAATCGTGCGCGCGTTTGGCATCCTCAAGGGCGCGGCGGCCACGGTCAACATCAAGTATGGGCTGGGTACGGCATCTCTGGGACGCTCCACGCTATCTTACTAACCACCACCAGACCCGAAGCTGGGAAAGGCTATTCAGCAGGCCGCTGAGGAGGTTGCCTCCCTCAAGCTTATCGACCACTTTCCCCTCGTCGTCTGGCAGACGGGCTCTGGCACGCAGTCCAACATGAACGCCAACGAAGTCATCTCCAATCGCGCCATTGAGATCCTCGGCGGGACAATGGGCTCCAAGAAGCCTGTCCACCCCAACGATCACGTCAACATGTCCGCCTCGTCAAACGATACCTTCCCGACCGTCATGCACATTGCCGCCGTTCTCGACTTCGAGGAGTCCCTCCTCCCCGCCCTGGCCAGCCTGCGAGACGCCCTGAAGAAGAAGAGCGAGCAGTGGGAGAGCCTCATCAAGATTGGCAGGACACATTTGCAGGATGCTACACCCCTGACACTGGGCCAGGAGTTTTCAGGCTACGTGCAGCAGCTAGACTTTGGCATCGAGCGGATAAAGACGTCTCTCCCGCGCTTGAAGATGCTGGCTCAGGGTGGAACGGCTGTCGGAACTGGAATCAACACCTTCAAGGGCTTTGCAGAGGACATTGCTTCGGAAGTCAGCAAGATGACCGGCCACGAATTCATCACCGCACCGAACAAGTTTGAGGCCCTGGCTGCTCACGATGCCGTCGTCGAAGCGCATGGCCAGCTCAACACCCTCGCCACATCCCTCTTCAAGATCGCCCAGGATATTCGCTTCCTCGGATCTGGCCCACGATGCGGTCTCGGCGAGCTCAAGCTCCCCGAAAACGAGCCCGGCTCCTCCATCATGCCCGGCAAGGTCAACCCCACCCAGTGCGAGTCTTTGACCATGGTCTGCGCGCAGGTCTTTGGTAACCACGTCGCTACTACTTTTGCAGGCTCCCAGGGTAACTTCGAGCTGAACGTCTTCAAGCCCGTCATGATCCGCAACCTGCTCCACAGCTCCCGTCTGCTCGCGGACGCCATGACGAGTTTCGAGAAGAACCTTGTAGCAGGTCTCGAGGCCGACGAGAAGCGCATTAGCTCGATAATGAGCGAAAGGTAAGTCGTGCTCAGCAATCTTCTACCAGGACTTTCTCTAATTAAATACAGTCTAATGTTAGTCACCTGCCTCAACCCCGTCATCGGCTACGATGCCGCCAGCAAGACCGCGAAGCACGCACATAAGAAAGGCCTTACCCTAAAGGAAGCCGCGCTGGAGCTCAAGGTCATCAGCGAAGAGGACTTCGACAAGCACGTCAAGCCCGAGCTGATGATTGCCCCAAAGGCATACCAGCCCAAGTCGTAAACGGATCTAAAAAGTAAAACATGAAAATGTAAATTTTTGTATATAAACAGAGCAAGCCCTTCTTGATTCCGAAAAAAAACGACATGGTCTTTTTGAAGACGATTTGCAGTCATCCCCACGATCTCTACGATTTTTGTGAATCATAGTCGAAGGGTGTACTACATGATGCAGTGCAATATTCAAAGCCGTGGCGCGCTCCACTGCATGCAACTTGTTCAGACACAACATGAAAAGCATGCAACAGTTAAGCTAACCAAATAACTCAGTACTCTTTAGCCAATCCTAAGTACTGCATCTGCGTATTCGCCTTATTCCAAGAAACAAGGTTGGGGGTATCACTAGCAGCTAAAACAACACCATGACACTCCCTCGGTACCCACGAAAAGATCCCAGAACCCCTAATTCCTTGTCCAACCAGAAAACCAAGAACTCCTCGCTTTTTCGCCAACTATGTGCAAGACTGTAAGATGCAAACCGTGTCGGTGACAAAACAATAACATCGCTTCTGCGTATTTACTTCCCTTCGTCTCATTGAGCACCGCACACTTTTACTAATGTACAAGGCCATTCCTAGACCTCCGCTTCACCGTGCTTCAACTCCACACATCACACAGTTCCCAGAATGCGACTACGGGTTATGGAGGTTCGGGCCCATGTACCTAGCAGTCGCTTGAATTTGCGCAGCCGTCAAGTCTTGCGTTGTGGGGGCGTGGAGCTGCGGCGCCGACAGGGACTGGCTTGACGACAGGGTGAATCTCCCAGGAACGGAGAACGTGTCAAGGGGCGGGTCGGAAAAGGAGCTTCTGGGGAACGTATGTTGGGATGTGGTAGGGGATTGCAGCTGGGCTGTTTGTTGTGCGCTCTGCTGAGGGCTTTGTTGCTGGGACCGCCGAGAGCTTTGCTGGAACTGTTGGAACTGGAGTTGCTGCTGGTACTCCTGGTGGTTTTGCTGTTGGACGTGCTGAACGTTTTGCTGCTGGAACTGCTGACTAAGTCGCGGATTGCTCCGCTGGAGGGTTGGTTGCTGGTACTCCTGGAGGATTTGTTCTTGGGCCTGCTGGGGACTCTGTTGCTGGAAACGCGGGTCATTTTGTTGTTGCAACTGCTGCGGGTATTGTTGTTGAATTTGTGGTGAGCTCTGTTGCGGGGATTGCTTTAAATTTGAAGGTGCCTTGGCCTTTCTTGCAGGGACACTATTAGACGCGGCAAGGGCAGACTGCTGCTGTGGGTTAGATGCCATCAGTGGGCTCAAGCTTGTTCGTGGCGAGGGATAAGCAGCCGTTGTTGCTGGGTTTGCAAGTTGTGGAAATTTGTTGACAAGCTGTTCGACTATTAGCTGAGTATCGTCGCATGGCACCGAGAAACCTTACCGTAGTGTAAGCAGAGGCGTCATTATCAACCTGGTGCTTGACCTGCTCAACCTCCTGCTTGGTCTGCTCGACCTCCTTCTTCACCCGCTCGACATCCTGCTCTATTGAGTGAACCCTCTGCTTCATGTCCTTCTTTAGGTCGGCCTTGGTGCCACTGAATTGGGTTCGACACCAGCTCTGTAGTCCATTGAACTGTGCACTCGTCACATATTCACCAAGCACTGGCTGAGGATTCGCTTCTATTCTCTCCAGGCGTCGCCGAATGTTACGGAGATCGGTGTCGTTTGTTTCGCGGTTTGAGGTTAAGGTATCGACCTCGTTCTGGAGACTCTTGAATTGTTCTGTTTTTGCCAATTTGGCCGCGAATGCTGACGGCGCTGCCTTGGTTGCAGATTCGAGATCAGCTACAAGTCCATTTAGAAGGTCGAATGCTGCCGACAAGGCCTCAATCGCTGCCTTGGATGCTTCACTTGCAGATTCGAGATCAGTCATGCGCTCCTTGACCGCTGCGAGTGTTGCCGATGAGGCTTCAGCCACCATTTCTGCTGCCTTTGTCGCGCCCTCAAGGTCAGTGACACGTTGTCCCAATACATCGAGCACACCAGTTGTCTTCTCCTCGATTGCATCCGCTCTCTTCTCTATGCGTGATTCTAAAGACGCCTCAGCCAAGCTTGATCGGCTCGTTACCTCGTCAATCTGCCCCTTCACCTCAGTCCGGAGATCCTCAAGAGCTTGCTTCCCGGTGTCGATATTGTGCTGTGAATCCTGTTGAGTAGTAGTTAAGACTGTTTGGACTCGATCCTCCAGCTCTTGTCGAAGCTCAGGGAACAGAACATCCCGGATTGCTAGAGCCACGCCCGAGACTTCGTCGACACGGCTGTCGAGCAATTCGGTCTTATGTTGTCGCACCTCGACTTCCTGCTCGATTTGGCGACGAAGATCGGTAACCATGGCGGGCATGGGTTGTTGGTCGTCTTTCAACGCTCTGATATCGGACGCCATGGACTGCATAGTCGCAAGTGCTCCGTCAAGGCGGGCACTCATAGCTGCTTTCTCTACATCATGTTGCTCTTTCATTTCTTTGATGCGCTCATCATATTTCTTTTCCAAGTCCGCCTGCACCTTCATGATGCGCTCGTCCCAACCATCGATTATTTCGCGTTGAACTTCGGTCTTTGCTTTTATTTTTTGGATTTTCTTTTGGTGACACTTAAGATGTTCTACATTTCGTTTACCCGCCTCATACGACCAATAGATCTTTTGCTCCCTAGTGTGGTTACACGAAGATTGAGTAGACGATGTTTGGGTAGGCGAAGAATGCGCAGGACTCTTAGCGGTTTCACTCGGTGGATCAACCTTCTTGAGAATGGCTTCCTCGAGTCTCTCCAACTGGTTATGGTGTGAGGATACTTGCAGGGCATGCTTGTCGAAAGACTCCTGGAGAGCAGTAACCTTGCCATCGACTTGTAGGACGTCTGCTTTGACTTTGGCGACATTGTCGGACAACCCGTTGTGCGATACTTGAAGTTCATTCACACTCTCCAAGGTTGGTGTTTCTGCTGCGCGGCGAAGGCGGTCTTTTGAAAGTTCGAGGATTTTCTCATCGTGCAATTTAGTAGTAGACTGCAGTTTGGTAATGTCGGTCCGGAGTGGCACAATGTTCTTTCCCTCGAACTCGTCGAAGCGTTTAGTGATCTTGCTATCCGTTTCGATCCGATGCGTTCCCATCTTCAAAGTGAGGTCACACCTGAGATTTTCCCTATTCTGACCTTCAGCGTTCAGTCTCTCATCGAATTCCGTCTGAGTCGCTCTCATAGTCTCTTTAGCATCTTCAACAGCGTTCAGCCTGTGATCGAATTCCGTCTGAGTCGCTTTCACAGTCTCTTTAGCATCTTCGACGGCTTTCAGCCTGAGATCGAATACCACCCGGGTTGTTCTCATAGTGTCTTTGGTGTTTTTAATATCTTCTCTCACAGGGTCGAGAAGCATGTGCGCGTCGTCTCGCGTGATTGTTCTTCGTAGCAGCTTCGCATTATCTTGACCGAGGATGTCTACTGTCGTTTGCCGCGTAGTGATGTCGGTTATGCGTTCGTCGATATTTTTAATCCGCCTTATCACGTCTTGCGGTGATGCTTCTATGTTGAGGCCCTGCTCAGCCTTTTCAACACGGGTCTCTAGGGCTTCGAGCTTTTGAGATTGCCGCTTGTGCTTCTCTGTGCACTCCTCGCCTGCCTTCAAAAGCTCATTATTGAACCCTGATAAGGAACCAGTCATTCTTTCTTCCAATTTCTCCACTGTCTCATCCAGTGTCTCATGTAATGGCTCGAGTGCCGAGGCCATGGAATCAGCAATCCGTCTTCGTCTAGACTGCCTTGCAAGATTAACGTCTTCGTCATCGCTGCCATTGTGGCTGTCCGATCTCTTCCGCTTGGTATAGTTGCAATCAGACTTCTCCCAAAGGAAAGATTTGAGATCAGTGACGGACGTGGGCGTAGGAGGAAACGCTGTATCCCTAGCCAGGCTTGAGGTTGCTGAGCGAGGAGGGGTTTTGCTGGGTGTGCCGGAGACATCTTGGTTCTCTACTTGTTGTCAGCCATGCCATACGTGTTACTACCTTGGGATCTTGGGACGGGAATTTAACTCACCTGAACAGAGCGACAGTGGTAGCCTGTCTGCTAATCGTGAAGCAGGTGAGAGCTCTTCCGCCTCTCTCGACTGCATGGTTCCTTGGAATGTTGATGAGAAGAATAAAAGCTTTGATCTGCGTGATATCACGCAGACGGTTGCTGCGTCAGAATGCAGATGCTCTACCAGGAGAGGTCGATGGGTAAGTCAAGGTGTTCGAGGTCGAAAAGGACGGTATGTGCTCGAGCATCGCGAAGTGGCCCGGGGTTATGCAAGCGCATACACATACACCGCCAATGTAGCACGGTATGCAGATGCCCCGCAGAGGTGTGTATGGTAGAGCTCTCGTCAGGCACCCTTCAAACTGCAAGCAATTAGGATCTTGTTCACACGATTAGTATGTCGCTGAAAAGCGGCAGTCTTCCCCCTAGCTGGCCAATGCACACAGGGGCTGCCGTCATCGAAAGAGCACCGGCCCATTTCTCATTTCATCAATGTGGCGGCGTCGGCGTGTGTCAAGTGCATAACGGGCAAATCCCCACCAGGAAGATCCCTCGAGACAGGAAACCGGGAGTGAATGCAATTGGCCGAAGAAGATCCTTGCATTCTGAAATGTGGATGCACATAGCGATGGGGTGACAGGTCGTTTGCTGACTGGCGGTCTCACCACGCCTCTAGCCCGGACGAATGAAAGGTCAAGATATGCAAGGACAAGGTAACAGGAACTGCCTTCTCAGTTGTTTTCGTGGAGTAAGGGGAGGCGGAGTTCGAGGGCACAACGATGCATACAGCACAGCGGAAGTGAGCCTTGTCCACAATAAGCCTAGCTAAAACGCGTATTTACTTCGCTAGTTCCAACAAGGCTAAGCGCCTTTGGCGCTTTGGCCTCTCAGACGACTCCTGAGGTCGTAGGTAGCTTTCTCAAAACCACTGCCGCTTCGTATCACTTTGGCGTTTTCCAGCCCAGCGAATGTCCACCTATTTCGTGCCATTTCGTGCCCAGAATATCCAGCCGGTATCTGCACATTGTCGCAGGCATCAGTAGTGTCCAATCCCACGGCGTTTTTGAGTGCATAGTTGTATACATGTACATCGCAGTCTAGCCTATCACGACATCCGGATGGCTTTCCTGCTCCTGTGTCGCGCGGCGACCCCATTTCCTAGCAACCGTCACGCGGACTGAGTGACGTCGAACGCGCCAATCGTGAGAAGCTGCATGGACGAAATCGAGATGGATCGCGGTTGTTGGCGGCGTTAGAGCATCACGACATTCGTGTATGCGTATGCGGCAGTGGCCTATCCGAAGCTATGTATTTACGTCGATCTGCAGGTGCTTGATGTGTGACTCTTCAACAGCAACAGAATGCAGCTTGGGTCTTTGCGAACTTCGGCCCGATATATCACTTAGCAGAGCTCAGATATGAGCGAAGAGAATTGATGACAATAATCTTTACCGTGGCTAGTTAGGCTCCACACCAACTACTTACTGACGAGACGCTGTAGGTCGCGGACAGCTACGCCCCTTATGTACCAGCCTCTTTGGCACCTGAAGGAGCCATTTAATGGCCTTGGGGTTCTACTTCAACGCAGGGCAGCAACCGCAAGACGACGTGTACGCCGGTGTACTTTCATTCGTTCGAGAGAGATACAAAATTACAACGGAATCAACCACGGCTAGCACAAGCTTAGTAAAAGATAGCTAGATCGCATTCATCCACAGAGGAAATCGAGTCCCACATAGGTATACCTCTCCCGCTGTCAACCCACTATAAAATTCTAGCGCCCCTCTCGACGCATCTGGATCAGTTCCAACAAACCACCTCGGAGTTCACATTCGCAACCCACCCGTCCACATCCTCCTCCCACTCCCTCCACGCCCTAACCATCTCATCAACCTCCTCCTTAGTCGCCCCAAGATCTAGGAACTTTTCCCTATGCCCCGCCTGCTCAATCCTACCCACCATGACACCAGCCAGGAATTTTCTCTCCTCTGGTGTAGCTAACGTATGCACACCAGCACCCTTCTTGATCTTTGCCGGGTCGAAGCCGGCCTGTCGCGCCCACACGTGGACGTATGAGCCAGAGCGGTGGTTGGACGGATAGGGACCACTGCCTAAAATCGTGTCTGACCATGCCGCTGGGGCAGATGATGAAGATGGCGATGAGTTGGTAGGTGGCCCATGGATGAACAGCCAGAAGAACTTTAGGAAAACTGCGAACCCAGGTAGCTCTGGATAGTAGCGAAACGGCCAGATCCCCTCGCGACATGCTACAAGGCCACCTTTCTTACACACGCGCCTCATTTCTTTCAATGCCTTGACCGGCTCGGGAATGTGAAGTAGCGTTTGGTTGCAGAAGACTACGTCGAACGTTCCGTCTTGGAACTGCTGCAAGCCTTCCACCACGTTTCCCACCTCGAACTTGACGTTACTTGGCCTGGGATCATGGCTGTTCAAATGCTCCTTGGCCTGATCAATAATCTCGTCCGAGAGGTCGACGCCTATGACTGAGCCCTCTAGCACATATTTTGCGAAACTCGTGGTGATACTGCCGGGCCCACAGCCTACGTCGAGGATATGAAAGTGTGGCTTAAGGTAAGGAAGGAGGAAAGCGCCATCAAGCTCGGCGGTGCGGATCTTGTGGTTCGCAGTGACAGCGTGGTGGTAGCCTTGCTTGTATGAAGAGGGCTGCGACGAAGTCATAGTCACGAAGCTCCCTGGGGGATGTCAGAATATGGCTTTCAACGGATGACACTCTTTAAAGATGCCAATCTTCGTGTTCTCGAGCTATGCAAAAGATAACCGGATGGCTGCCCCAGGTCAGCATTGATGTCATAGGTGATAGTTTCTGCGTTCAGAGTAGCTCTACCCCGCATCTCAACAGCGATAAGTCACTCAGCCGAGCCATATTAAATCATCAAATGTAATGTCGAGCCTGTCTAGAGTCCGATGATCAACCGTAACTACGTCCGAAAGGTGAAGCACAGAGAATAAATTTGGTCTTTCAAAAGGGTAATCATTATTCACCATATCCTACAAGACATGAAGCAGAAAGAGCACGCCATTAGACCTCGATAACGATCATCCCCACAGTGTAAGAAGGTTCGAACCCGTCGTAAAGAAAGCAATGTGACGCAACAGCCTACGTGTAGCGAGAGGTCCAGGAAATTCTAGCTGGTGTCGAGTTGAGAAGCTTCTACTTACTGGGGTTCTCTCTCGTGTAGCTTTCGATGTGACGCATGACAGACACCTCAGACAGCTAAGCTATCAGTCAGTAACTCTCAAATAATCTGTACAAGCTGGCACGTACCTTCTTTGCCTCATCAGCTTCGGCTTTAGCTTCTGCCTCTTCCTTATCAGCCGCCATCGCCGCATTGACCTGAGCATAATAAGAGTTTGGGTTCTTCAAACCCCTCCTGATGGCATCGATATGCGTCATTTGCGAGGAGAAAGGATCATAGAAGTCGTAATCCTCATCAATCCCATCGTCCCCAGAAGCAGAATCCGAATTGATGACACTGATTGCAGACGCGACTTCAGCAGGTTGAGCGGTGTCAGCAAGCTCGGCAGCCTTGCCAGTCTCGTTAGGTTCGACAGGCGTATCAGCAGGCTTCTTTGTTTTCTTTTTGTTCTTTTTCTTCTTTTTCTTGGGGGCCTGCTCTTGAGGGGTGTCGAGTTGAACTGCGTCGGTTTGAACAGCCTCAGCTTGAACAGCCTCAGCTTGAACAGCCTCAGCTTGAGCAGCCTCAGCTTTATCAATTTCGGCTCGACGTTTAGCGAGGAGGGAAAGAATATCAGATTTGATTTCGGAAATGGTTGCAGTCCTGGGATATTTCATGCTTGTAGAGTCATTACCATGTTCTATTGTTACAGAGCTGGCGCTTGAAGAAGTGCCACGTGGTTTCTTGATTTGGGATGTATCTGTATCATTGATCAGCGAATGAAATGGTGAAATATATGCATACCATTTACCTTGCTCGGAAGCTGTGGGCGCATTGTCCGCTGTGGTCAAAGACGAGGGATTTGAGACCCCGGTCGCGCTGACGAGAGAACCTTTACCGTGAGTTGAGGGCCTGTTAGGAGGGAGAAGGAGGTGCGGTACAGCGGGAATGGGCGCTTTCTTCTTCGAAGGGGCCTGTGTGTCGATTGGTTTCACTGGAGAACCGGGAGAGACCATATCCGGCGGATCAACTTGGCGGCCCTCCACGCCCACACCAATAGCCCTAGGAGGCAGTGCATCTGGGGCTCCCAACAAATGATGTGATGGTGAGGGAGCCCGCGTCAATAGCTCCTGCTTCACGATCTGCGATTCTTCGTTCTTATGAGTTACTGATGCGATCTCCTTGGGGATGTTGGTGGCATTACCTCCAGTCAGCTTACCATTTGCTTTGCCTTTACCCTCGCCTTCGCCCTTTGCCTTCTTTTCTTGATCCGCAACAGCCATCATCGGTGCTTTCCCCTTACCCTTCGCGGCTTTAGGAGCTTTAGCCGCCTTACCAATAGTAGCTTGATCAAGTTCCGTTGTCGTAACCTGAGAATCGGGCTGAGACGATGCACTGCTAGAGGATTGAGGCTGCTCGGTTTTGGCTTCAGCAGTCATCGGTTCGTTAAGCTTGATAGATGACGTGACTTTCTCAGCTTTAGTCTTTACTTCCTTCTCTGCCTGCTCCTTCTTTTGTTGCTTTTTCCTCGACTCCCTCTCTTTCTTCTGTTGAGTCTTGCTTGGCTTTGCGAACGGAGAGAGAGACTGTATCTGTTGAGCGCCACTCTTTCTAAGGGCCTCGACGGCCGGAGGTGCTGAAGGTGCAGCCATCGGTGCAAAGTCCTGCACAGGAATCGCTACAACGTTTTGTGTAGGTGTAGCAGCGGTGTTTTGCCTAAGTGGCCTGGAAGTCTCGGTATCCTGGGGTGAAGTCACTGCCTCCGACAGCATATTTGCTTCTTGTCCAGGCTGCGCAGACGGTGACTGAGGAGCCTGTGGTAGCATGTTCTCCGTTGCGGCTTGTGGCGGAGAAATAGGCTCAGGCTGCGGCGAATCTTTGGTCGTGGAGAATTCTATGGTCGTGGTTCCTTGGTTCATACTTATCGATTCGTCTCGATGCTCTGGCTCTGGCTCCACACGTAGAGGATCGGTTTGCAACTCCTGAGCAGAGTGAAAGCTGATGTCGTTCTTCAAGTCATCATCCGAGCCTGCATCTTCGACTTGTGCTGGTAGCAGGCTCGCTATAGGTTGCTTCGGCTTTTCCGTTTCGACTTCCTTAACTTCGGCAACAGGTTGTTCAACTGCTTGAACGTCCGCAAGCTTGACTGGAAGTTTCACCACGGGGCCTGTTACCTCGAAAGATGATTGCTCCACAATTGGTTGGGTTTGCGGCACTTCTCTGGCGTTCTGAGATTCCGTGGCTTCTCCGTGTTCGAGAGGCTGTGATGACGCTTCGTGTGCAGCTTCTGCTTTTTCGCCAACGAGTTGGGACGTATCTGTCAGCATGGTCAACGGCTCTCCAAGAGTGGATGCATCCGCTCCCATTGGGTCTAGGGCCTTAGTAGGAATGTCGACTGGTTGTCCTGCGACTTGCACCTCACTCTTAGTCACTGCGGCCTTGACTGGGCTCGGGCGATCAGTGTCCACACCCTGGATGCTCTCTACTGGAGCCGCTTCTACAGTAGCCTCCGCGTCGACAGAAATTTCGCCCTTCATCGCCACTTTCTTAGTGGGAGAGCTCTGGCGGGGCTTCGACTTGCGGGCCTCAGGGCTTCCACTCAATGCAAGGTCATTGCCGTCCAACTGCCGAACAGGCTTCTGCAGGTCGCTTCTAGCGTCCTGAGGAGAGTACAGAGGCCTATCGATTACTGCGTGCGGATTCGTGACCACGCTCTCTTCATCATGCGCAGTCAGCCGGGTTACACCGCGAGCGTCTCGCTCATCTACTGGACCAGGGTGCGGTGGGCCGGTATAGGAGCCTGAAGTAAACGAACCCCTTCGAACCGAGTTGGGTGTTTTCTGGAAGAAGCGTCTAGGTACTGATACTACGATTGCAACTGAACCGTCTCGGAGATGTGGTTTTCGATCACGTATCTGAAGCGCCTTCTTGGCATCAGAAGCTGAGCTAAATCTACAACTGTGAGCGAGAATAATAGTGTTGGACACGAAAACTTACGAAATGAATGCGTGCAAGCGATGGTGATGGTGTTGTTCGTGCGCATGCTTGATATCGACCTGGCTGGGGCTGATGCCTGCCAATTGCTCGAACAGTTGCTTCAGCTCGTGAACTTGCACATCATCTGGTAGGTCGCCAACGAAGAGCTCTGTGACCGTCTCATTCTTCGGGCCAATCCAGGTGTCATGACAACCAGACGAGCGATTCTGTGTAATAACGGGATCATCCTCTGAGCGGCCTTTCTTAAAGCCGTGCTCTGAGTATCGTCCTCCACTGGTAGTAATATTTCCTGGCCGGTCCATACCGTACTGGCCGTACCCTGGACGATTACCAGGGTTTGAGGTCTTGCGTGGCCGTCCGGCCTGATTCGCAAAGCCGCTCTGACCAGACTTCTTGCCTCCATTGTAGCCCGGTGCATCGTTGAACTTGGGGTTCGCGCCGTTGTACGGGTCGTAAAGCATACCACCATTGTTGAAGTTGCTAGCTTGACGTGGCATCGGTGCGCGGGCATCCCACTGCTGACCGGGCATGTTGTTTGAGTAGTATATGGTGTTAGTCATGTCGCCCATCGATGCTCCTCGCGCACCGGCAGCAGGATGAGGTTGGTGCACGTAAGCTTGTCCCATGGGTGGAACCTGCATCTGCATAGGCTGACCAGGCATTATTCCTTGCTGAACCATTGCAGGATCAAAGTGTTGATTCGGGGCCATGGGTGCCGACATCATCAAAGGACCCTGCGCATAAGGCGGGATGGCATTGGGTGGCGGCATCATCGGCTGACCCATTCCCATCGTGACAGGAGTGAACTGCGGAGACTGCATGTTGGACATTGTACTCGAGGCATGGCGAGAGTAAGGGCCGGTAGGTACGCGGTAGACGTTCTCAGGCCATCCTTGTGTTAGTGGCTGATACTCCCCCCATCCCATGCTACGAGGCGTGGCTTGTGAACCTCTCATATTTTGGGGTGGCACGTAGGGCGGGGGCATAGTAGGCAGAGGCACACCTCCCATGTTACTACCCATTGGCTCGGTGTGATAGCTAGGCTGTGAAGGGCCGTGTGAGGGCATGCGCTTCGGAGCAGCTCGCGGGGCAGATTGGCTCGGTGCTGTTGGTGGTGCTGTAGGCGGTGCTGCAGGTAGTTCTGTAGGCGGCGCTTGAGGAGTTGCTGCAGGCGGTATAGCTGGCGTGAGAGAAGAGGTTTCGACGGTAGGCGACTCTGCCGATGCTGTCAGGTTGCGAGGCCGCGATCGTGATTTCTTGCGGTTTTTCTTACTAGGAACACTCTTGACAAGCACTTTGGTTTCCGTTGATGGGCTCTTTACCGCGCTAGCCGCTTCAGCATCCGTTGCCGTTGCATCGAGGGCTGCCTTTATAAGTTTCTCCATAGGAACCGGCTGCTGACCACGGTTCGCCTCCGTTGCCGCCTCTTTGGCCCCATTTATTTCTGCGATATTCGTACGCATCATGTGAGCGACGTGCCAGAGAAATGTTCGAGGGAAGCCGATCGTCTCGCCGTAGGTGAAGACCTTGTCGACAATAGCGAACGGGTCAGAGGGATCAGTGGCGCTCTCACTTCCGACGAAGTCCAAGCGGTCGGAGTGCACTCGCGCCCAGTCTTCGGCAAACTGCTTCGCGGCGTAATAAGTGTCGCGCTCAATGAATGTCAACATCTTCTGGCAGAAGGAAGCCGATTCAATGTGAATATCGGTAGCGTCCCACAGATCGTTGATGTGCCAGTTCTGGCCTGGGAAGATACAAAGGCACTGCCATTTGAACTTGGCTTGCCAGTAATGCGCAGCGTCAACTACAGCCTTGATCTCATCACCACCGCCGCGCACAATGACAGGCGGATACGGTGGACCTGCGGCCGGGCGCAGAGGTTGAGTGCATAGCTCAGTTGAGAAGATAGCAGCACCAGTAGACGGCGCGAACTCTTGGTGTACAGTTGCAGATTGCATCGATGCAGCGGTGGGCTTGTCGGACTCAGTAGGCGAGGCGGACGCTTTGCCTGCACTCATCGTCGCTGGTTCGTCCGGCGTAGGCGTTGTCGCCAGTGGTGGAGGAGAGTCCGGCATGATTCGAGCAGTACCGTAAACAATACTTCTTCAACACAGAAAGTGCAAGAGTATGCGGCAGCTTGTGCGATGAAAGAGGGCGTGAACAAGCCTGAGAAGGAAAGAGCAATCCGTGTGACGCCGTAACGCCGGTTGGGAAAGAGTAAGGAAAGAAGTGTTTAGTTGAGGCAATCGGAAGAAGGTGAGAGCAAAAACATGGAGGCCATGAGCCCTCAGAGGGAAGGAGCGTTTCTTGGCAGCCCGACGACGGCGGAGGTGAGGAGGTGAAGGCGTGAACAGCTGTTTTGGCACCCAGCGCGCACACTGACCGCCCACCGCCTGTGCGTGTACGCTCTCAACTGTCGCTGGCTACCCCAGAGTCACATGCTCTACAGATTATGAGGTAGTATTGAAGTGACAGGGGACTACGTTCACTGAACAATTTGAATAGGTCAAGGGAGCATATGATGGAGGAAAATACGAGAGGAGACAAGAAAACATCTACCATACACCAGAAAAGTGAAGATCTTCATGAGAGACATGTTTTCCATATGTAAATGAAACTAGTCTCCTACCGGGCTTGCAGCTACCCTCGCTTAGTGGCAGATGTGCGTTGGTAGGCCGTTTGGTGGTGAAGCCATATCTACTTTTTGAACCGATAGTTGCTCCCGCAAGTCAAAGTATGCATATTGAGCTGAGCTGAGTGGTGAGGAATGCTGTATTCTGGTCATTGAGTCTATGCCTTAGTCTCCTTCGGAGCAGAGCGCAAGAGGCTCAGGATCTCAGACTCATTCTCCCCAGTAACTGCACGTATTAGTCACATGTAAAATATTCATAGCGACGAGTGCAACATACCTGCCTTGCCTTGATTCCAGTCCACGACCTACAGACATCAGTGATTGTTCCTAATGTCAGGGCAGAGTAGACTCACCAACGGCCTCTGAAACGCCCCGCCGTCTGCCTTCAGCCTCCTCAACGCATCACTCTCATCGCTTGCCCCGCTAATCACCTTCCCAGCCGCACTCGAGCCTCCCAAATACTCCAGGATATTCTTAAGCTGGTCGCTGGTCGGCGGGGCTTCAGTCACATCGAGCTCGAAGTCAGTCCTCTCAGCCTTGTCCTGCGCATTGTGCGAGGATGCCTGGTCTTCAGTGGCATGGGCGACAGATTGGGCGTGCGTTTGCTTGAGGAGGGTGAGGACGCGTGTGGAAGCCTGGCTAGAGGGCTTGTGGAAGAGGGTTACGACATTCTTTGCGCCGTTCTAGACAAAGTCAGTAAAAAAACAAGTGGTAATTGCACAATTACCATACCTCTCCGAATAGTCGCTTGAACATGGTTGCTGTAGGTTGTTGTGATGAGATATGGGTAGCTTGTTGAATGAAGTTCGGATGGAGCTCTAGGAGCTTGGGAGTGAGGTTCGGCTGTGACGTCGATCTAGCTCGCTTGTGCCTGCTTGGCTGGAGCTCACACCTGAGGCGAAAACTGGCCAACCAGACCTGCAGCCTTATGAAAGCACCAATTAACATATATTGCGGGGAAGTCATGTCAAAAGTACGCGAGAACATGCACGGGAGCATGGCAGTAAAATTACGAGCATGGATGGATGGTGGTGGGTAAGACAGGGCACAGAAAGACGAACAGCACTCAAGCAACAAAGATGGAAACCAGAATGGAGACACAAGCAGCTAGATTCCGTGATGTAGCCGTGCAAAAGCCGAATGTACATTTACGCCATGAATATGCCCCATCATCCCAAAGTGTGGGATCCTGCTGCTGCACAAAGACGTGCCGTGGCAACGTCCACCTCATGTCGTGATTCCCACGTCCTCTGATCCAGAGTCACATCATCCCGAGGAAACCGAATTCATGATCGTATTCTCTAGCTCATCGTGCTCGTTCCAACGCCCTCCTTTTGTGGTTTGCTTATGCGGTAGGGTTCGGGTTCATCTGCATCAATATCAATATGTGTAGATCATCACAGAGAACAGCCTCTACTGACCTTCCTCTTGCCACCGGTCATGGTGACGTTGACGAAGCGGCGGGTGTAAGTGAGCCTCTTCTTCGCGCGGCCCTTGGGGGTCTTCTTCTTCTCCTGAGGCTCGACCTGTTGTCCAGTGCGTCAGCTTATATTCTCGATATCCAGACCATTCATTGCGGGTCAGACGTGGTAGTTTCGGAAGGGCGGAGAGATGTCGCGCGATCGAGAATCCAGGTGTTTAAAGGGTGTGAGTGCTTACCTTAGCTGCGAATTGTTAGCTCCTATATCTACAGTCGGAGGAGGGCATGGCACTTACGAGTCTGAGACTTGACCTTTCCGGCACGTGCGAGGGAGCCGTGAACCTTACCCATGATTGCGGTTGATGGGTTCGATGAGTTTGATGAGTTGTCGACGGAGAGATCTGTGTGGCAAAGTCCGGTCAGCGATTCTGTTGTGCAGATCGGATGCGATAGCGGAAATTTCGTGTCGTTGCAGGAGTTCGGTTGGCCGCGAGTGTGAATGTGGAGGTTCTTGGGATACGTACAGGCTGCGAGTGCGGTCGTAGGTGTCGATGACTCTGGCGGCGGCAAGGTGGTCGAAATCGCTGTGTTCCAAAGGGTTAACCGAGATCACGTGTGAGGCTAGCTTGGCGCTACTGGATCGAACATGAACCAACCTGGGGTGCAAGAACGCGCCGAATGTAGATGCACAGAGAATTCAGGGTGTAGGCTCTATGGTATTATCTTATCTGAGAGCTATACATTCTTCATATTTATGACAATACTATCGAAGTGAAATGTAGAGTGGTGGTATTACATCCAAGAACACACAGCCCCGCCCTGCTGAGGAGATCATCAGATAAGATAGAATAGCAAACCGCCGAAGGGGCGGCATCATCTCGGCTCGCTGACTACCTTTGCATCTATAGTCCTCAGAACATCGAAAAGATACTCATGCATGTGTCCACCAGAATCTTTGAAGAAAATTTGTCGCAATCATACGAGTTTTCACGCCATCCTCCAGAATGGGCCTAATGGTACCTTGGCTGCCCACCCGAGGTCGCGACTTGATTCCAGGATTCCTCACTTGATATCTCCTCCATCCCCCGCTCCATCACCACAAGCCGATGGTGATATAAAACCTCTACCACTTAATCTATACCTCCTTCTCAGAAATCTGCTCTTGACTTCAGCATGATGTACCTCAAGGCTACGCTGCTAAGCGTCATCTCCTTGACCTCGGCATCAAGCGTCATCTCCCCCAAGACACATCACGATGTTACCTACTCGATCCCGACGGTTCACGAGTCTGCCGTCCAAGCGCGTCGCATCCTCCGCCTCGAAAGCATCGGCACGCTCGCGACCGTCTTCCCCTCTACCCATGCGACCGAGGACCGCCCAGACGTTGGGGGCGTACCCATCGGCCTGATGGACTACTACGGCGACTGTGAGCCGGAAACTGGCAACCCCACCATCCTCGCCATCAACATCGCGACGTCTTTCAAGAATGTGGACGCTGGCTCGAACATCACCATGTCCCTGCGCTGGCACCCTCAGGACGACAAGTGGCGTAGCCCAGCATCGCTGCCTCGCTTCTCCCTTGTCGGTCGCCTTGAGGAGATCGATGCTGATGCTGTAGAGAAAGCGGGACTCACGGCTTGCTACGTCGGGTATCACAAGGACGCTGCATGGTGGCTACCTGGCAACCCTGTCCACTCGAGCAAGTGGGTGAGGTTGGTAGTCGAGGAAATCTATTGGATCGGTGGATTTGGAAACGTGGCTTACATTGGCTGGATCCCACTTAAGGAGTGGCAGAGTGTTACGCCCGAGGAGATTGAGAGTGTTAGACTGCCTGGTGAGAAGAAAGGGCGCTGGGGTAGCTTGAAGTCGTGGGTCGGGCTAGAAAAAGAGCAGGACGTTCTCGAGCTATGAGACCTTCACTGTGGTAATGGGCCTTGAGGAGCTTTCATCGCCCTCGTAGTCGGATCTCGCTATTGTACATACGTAGCTTTGACATACTCCCCTCCTCGTACTCAACACCAGAAGTCGGGTCAGCCCTGATAATATCTACTGGCGATCAGTTTGTGGATGCATGAATACATGATGATAAGAGATAGATTGACATGGAGAAAATAAAATTTAGTGATTAATCAATGTGAATACATCCATAATCATCATCAATGCAAAGTCAATGCAAAGGTTTAGTCTGACATGCTACTCCATGCTTTTGATTACGTCATCGTCACCTAGGGCAAGAATCAGAAGCGAGCAGTTCAGGCGTCCGAACCATCACTGTTCTCCAGCAGTAGTACACACACTACTGTGAGCTCAGCGCTGCATGTAGTGGGCACCAAATTTCCGGTCGAAAAGGTATGCGGCACTTACGTGTACGCGAACCTCACATCCTGTTCCCCTCGTGCAGCGTTCTTCCCGCATGCAAGCCTCATCACTAATCACCTACTGCCTACGAGCATCATCCCCGTAGTCGTACATACGCAAGCCTGTCCAATGCGCGCGATACGCGCCACTTAGCTCCCGCTAGCGACCCAGATTTTGCTCCGATGAGGGACGCAAAGGTGAAACCGCACGAGGATCATTTGGGCATCATTTGCGCGATTCAGCAACGTCGATGGTGTCGGAGCGCAATGACTTCGGCCGTATACAGACGGAAAAATTCACCTGACTCAAGCCCTTGGGAAATGCAAAGAGCGGCGGTGAACTTTGGCGCAAAGGTTGGCGCAAACTCGCAGGGCGGAACCCTGATATTTACCGGATTCCGGGATCACCGTAGATGCGAAGGGAATTTAGGGCCGGAGCCCATACCTTGAGACACTAGCATCTTCGTAAAGTGATAGAAGGTCATCTTTTTGTCTGGGTTTTAGTGACAGAGGGAGCGGGGCAGTCACATGTTAGTGAGTCGTGAATCATGCTTCTTGAAGCGGATGGTGCGGATGTCCAGACAATATTGTATGGGTCTCGAGTCGCAACCATACATCGATGAAGGCGGGTCGAGCAGTGGTGTTTGAAGTTCCCGCTCCGTCTGCACAGAATGTGAATCCATATTTCCCCGAATAGGTGTACCTACTCGTCGATCATCGCTCCCAAGACCCGTAGAATGCGCCTGTAGCAGGGTACCTTCATCTGCGACATGCAACCCACATCCTCTCCAGGCATGCTGCACCGAGCCTCGGGATAATAATTCGATCATTGTAAGAAGGCACCCCGGGCGATAAAGACGGTGAGCAAAGTGGGTGCTCCAAAGCCCACGTTCCCTGCTATGCCTGTGCTCCTAGAGTATTAGAGGGGACAACGGTCCCTCGACGGATGGGTCATTCCGTCAAAGCCTTCTAGAAGCTCATAGTCCTAGGGTAGAGCCTGCAATATGGTGCTGCTTCGTGTAAAGCAGTCATGCTAGGTTATAAATCCGGGTCGTGTACGATGCCTCGGTAATGAGGTTCGAGCTTCGATAAGAGGGCATATGGACCAGACCGGAAATCAGCCGCGCAGGCTGCTAAAATTGGTAATCGGGTCGTATAGAAGGTTTCAGACCATAAGATGCACGTTATTACAGGTTATTTCGAGCAGCGACCCCGTTGATGCGCGCCTCCCGCTGCTTTCGAGACTAAAGATCGTATTGACCGCTGACGGTGATGGTTCAAAGACGCGCTAACTGGAAGTACCTACCTCCAGGACCGCTTTCTTGACGTGGCAAGTCGTGACGGAAATGGAACCGAATATCTCATCCTTTACCTGAGTTGTATCTTGGTAGCGGGGGATGAACGATGGACATTGCTAGTATCACGGCCCAAGGCTAGGCAAAGATGGCGAAATTGAGGAAGCCAACTTGAAACACAAGCGACGAACATATCACTACAATGCTAATCAGTCTATTCTCCACGATGCGCCGATCATGCCCCCAAAGACCAGCGGGTACTGGCAATCCACCGTCATTTGCAATTATGATTGGATTCCTGCATGCGGATTCGAGGGAGGGTTTGGGAACAAGGTCGGAGCTCGTCATCTTCAACCCGCAGTTGCTTTTTCGTTCCCGTGGCTGACCTCGCCTAAAGTTAATCACATACCGAGCGGGCAGCGCATACGAACGTGTGGTCAGGCGTAACTTAAAAGAGAGCTAGCAGTTGCTTTTCCATGTGGATAGGAGTTCGAAATTGTTTGCCTTTTCTGGTGTCAATTAGGACGTGTGGGGCTGGTTTCTCCGCCTCGTGCCGTCTCCTGCTTGCTTTTTAACGGGATGCGCCTTCTCAACTGTACCCGAACTCAGACTGATATGGACGTCCGACTTTCCCTTGAAAGTCATGGTTGGGACCACTTCGAGTGCAAGCGCGATCCCATGTTGTTCTGTATGATACGCAATTCGAACCCAGTCATATGGTAAACACATGGTGGTTCGCCCTGGAGAGTTTCGAGTACAAGCTCAGGCCTAGGCCTCCATCTGGTAGGATGAGCGACGCAGGCTCTCGAATAGCAGTACACGTTAATGTCGCTTTGAGGTATGATGTGCTGTCCTGAATGACGCCCCAGGAGACATTAAGGTTCAATATGCCCTGTGCGGAAGCCACATGCGGCTCTATCACGTCGCTTCCTGGTGTATGAGACACGGTATTCCGTATCTGAACAAACTAGTGACCCCAGGAGAGCGTAGGCGAGCAATTGTCTTGCTTCTCCATACCATGATGGTATCATGCAGTATTATAGTCGGCAAGCGAGGCACGAACACGGAATATGCGCAGGGTATTGTTTGGGGGTGGTACCAGGGTCCATGCGTTGTTATTGTTCCGTCATATATACTCCGAGGACAGGGGAGCGACCTAGGAGGCAAATCCGCTGACGTGGAGTGGTCGATGCGCGGGCAAGTAGGTCTCGAGATACTCGAAGTGTCCGTCGATAACGCCTTCAGACTCGAGGTGAGTGTCTAATCTAAACCTGCAATGATCAGTTTCCAGCATGGCCAGCGGCAGATTTACTGTTAATGCAAACCTTGGAACAATCATAGCCCTTAGCTTCACACCTCCACATCAATACAGTCGACGTAGGAGAAGCACTTTGATGTCTGCGGGAAAATATTGATTTGGTCTGATTCGACACATTGAAGCATATAGCGCTTGAAGCAGACTCCCTACTATGATACAGACAGGTAAAAATCCAATAATGCACCCTGATACTCCTAATCAAGGGATATGAGGCCTCTTCCAGGTTCCTCGCTAGTAAGAGAGCTCCTTCTGGTCAAGATAAACGTACAGTATCGCGAGTTGATAGCGACGTAGGATATTGATGGTGAAAGGAAGAAAACACCAGGGAAATGCAAGAGGGTGAGAAGACGCCGTTCCAAACGCCGTGAAATGGTGTCATTGGGCGATGTGTGCCAAAATGACTGAGATGACGCCTCGCTTGGTCCGACAAGGGAAGACTAGTACTGAGACTGAACCGTTCCGGACGATTGATGAGAGACAATTGAAACTGGCTTTTTGGATCGTCAGGTCGTAAGGGTGGTGCTCGTTGCTGCATGGCAGCCTCGCTCGTGTCGTTTCATGTTGCTTCGTACGCTAAAGGCCTTGCCACACCCTGCCTGTGGGCACTTGTAGGGCTTCTCGCCAGTATGACTGTGACTGTGGATGCGTAGGCTGCTCGGCCGCGAGAAGGCCTTGTTGCATGTCGAGCAGATGTAGCGATCCTGCGATTGTGGAAACTGGGACTGGCTGGCGGTACTGATGTAGTGGTGATGTTGCCATGGGTTCGAGCTGTTCGCCGCCGGGCTCGGTACTGGAACGGGCAGTGGCATGGCTTGCGGCTGGAAGTTTGATGGCAGGGGTCGCTGGGCGTACATGTTTGCGGCGTTGTACGAGTGCTGCTCTGGCGAGTAATATGACGTCGCTGACGCAGCGCCGGGTGAAGATGCATAAGGCGATTGGCCATAGACTGAAGCAGCACTGTACGGAGACACATTGTGGGAGGGTATCGAGTCTCGCTTTACCGAGGGCATGGACGAGATAGATTGCCGCTGGTGGTGCGGCTCCATGTTGTTGAGCGATGAGCCGACGAAGTAGGGTACCGAAGCAGCAGAGTGATTCGAAGCGGCCGAGGGGGACTGGTTGCCATCATGCGCTACGTCTGGGTGCATTGGCGGCGTGGGAGGGAGTGTCATCCTGGGGTTGGAGCCTGAGGGAACAGATGCATAGGTGCTACATTGCTCTGGGCGGCTCGACTGCATTTGTGATGGTGGTGGTGGTTGCTGCATGCTGGCTGCCCCTCTATGTTGTGCCTGCCTTGGTTGTGGCGATGACGACTGGCGCTGCTGTGACTGAGGACTTTGAGCAACTACAAGTCGTGTATGTTAGCAAGGAAGCCGAGTACGATGCAATAGGACAGTGAGTATTCACCTGTTTCCGCTGCAGCTTTTTCACTCCCGGCAAACTCGAGCAGGTGTGAAATGGATGGCAGCGAGGGCTTTTGCTCCTCTGCAGGCGGCGAAGGCGGTGATTGCGGCCGTTGGCGCTGATACTGGTGGTACTCGGCCTGCTGTGCTGGTGCAGGATAGGACTGGGGAGCCACATTCACATTGACGCCAGGATATGCCCGAGGCGGCGGTGCTGGATAGTAGGGCGAGTGTTGTGCGTGTTGGAAAGCGTCACGCTCCCTCACGTTACCGTGTACCATACTGGCCAGATGCATTGCCATGGAGAAGGGAAAGGAAGGGTCACGGGTCACAGCAGAGGCTGCGTAACGGGCGAGGTGGGAAATGGGGAGAGGATATGCGGCAGTGATGACGAGATGGAGAGGAGGGTAGTCAGAGGGACGGGTACAGGCAGGTGTACAGGGCCAGGACTTCGGGCCTGCAGCGTTCAAGTAAGTAGAGAGGGTCGACTAGGTGGGCGAGATTCAGCACGAAGCCCGTTCACACCGTAGCGTCGCCAGTGGGGGGAGTCGTTCCCTGTCCAAATTGCGTTTGAGCGGGCGATGAGGCGGCGGACCGTTGTGAAGGAGCCCACCTCCAGGTGCGGTTAGCTGGACGCTCAGAGCCCTTGCAACGGCAATGCAGATGACGGACAAAGACAGTTTAGTTTCGAGCAGAAGATGCGTACGCCAGCAATGCCTTGGCTGAGCGATGCGCTCGCGCAAATCCCAGCCCGCCCAATCTACGCTGCACCGGCGAAAGAGCGCTTTTGGGACCAGAGGCTCGCAGGGGTCCTGGTCGGGATCCTAGGACAGGCCGCGATGCACTGCAGATCGACCGTTCCAGGAGAATCCTGAGGAGAATCCTCGAGGGCCATCGGAAGCAAGCTGCCTGCTGGGTACCGTCCGTCGTTGGCGGGAGAGAGTGAATGGACGCCGACCAGAGACGGCCTTACCAGCGGATCGGAACAACCTTGGCCGGACATCTTCACCCTCTGCTGCTGCTCCCAGACCACCGGCACACCCTCGTCGAGACCATGTATGCTTGTTGTATCGCCGACTACTTAGTTGCTGCTGCTGCTGCCACCACCTGCAGATGCAAATGCAATGCCTGGGGCACTCGACGAGGCCAGGGGGTCGCCTGCACGGTCGCTCGGGTGAGCGATTGATGGGCTTGTTTCTCCCAAGAGGCGTGCGTCGGGCGCGGTCCCAGAATGTGAACAGAGCGGCTGCTGTCACGGCCAGAGATCCGCCGACGGGAGGCACCTTTCGACGCCTCGTGCAGCGAAAGCAACGCCGGGGCGCTGAGACGAGTGCGGAATAGGCTGACAAAGGATTACGCAGGGGGCCGAACGCTTGGGAACGGCAAGACGCTGCTGGGATGCAGAAAGGGACAACATGAGACGACCCAGAAACAATTCTGCACGCTTTACACGCTTTGAACCACCCCAGTTCTGCGTAGCATCGGCCGACATGAGGTGCCGCTGCGTATCCAACAACAAACTACACCACTACACCAAATCGCTGCCATCCCACGTATGACATTTGGCGGGTTGAATGAAGGGCACAGTTGGCAAGCGAGCAAAGAGCGAAAGCTGTGTAATGCCGTTCCTTAGTGGGGACATGGCCGGCCACCAGTGAGCGCCAGCGATTAGTCGACGGGCCATTCACAGGACTGCAATTCCAAAAGTCCACGGCAGCGAGTAGACAGGATTACGCTCATGGCTGCAGCCGCTGGCGAAGCGGAGCATAGCATCGAGTATACAGGATGAAGGCGGACGAGGGCTGTGTCACACGTCTGCCATGACGGGCGGCATGGCAAGGCATACACACCCTCAACCCACGACCTCTCACCGCACCTTTGCTTGACGGTAAGGTCCTTACTCCCACTAATCATTAGGCTGCGTCGCCTGCATCAGATTCAGCACGATGGCAAGCGCGGGAGAGCGAGGAGCGAGGGATGCCTTTTTCAGCAACCGTCTCCGTCCCCCGTACGCGAGGTCTTTTCGGCGCCGCCAGGGCGGATAGCGGCGTTATTCCTAGCCTTGGCTCGGTTCGTCTGTGGAGGATCTCTGAGAAGAGGCGGGTCGATCAGCACAAGTGCATGCAGCTAACCCTGAAGCCACGTTGGCTGTCACCATCCGCTCAAATGCAGCCTACCTCCCGCTACCACACCCATAATTCGGCCATTTCTTGGTGCGCCTTCTCGAAGCACAACGAGCGAGTGTCATGACACCGCAGCGTACCCTCTTTGAGATCGGCAGTGATGAGTTGCTTACAATGCAAACAGGGGAGACGCACATCTACCGAAGGCCCGCCTGGGATCTTCAAGACAGACTCGAGATCATGGTTCCACAGCGTCTTTCGACTTTGTATCACCCAATACCACGTGTCTCCCCGCGCTCCAGAAGAACATGTCAATTTACCGTGTGCAGAATTGCACGCTTCATTGCGTGCAGCGAACAACTGTGTCACCCATGTTGCCTTTCCAGCTGTCAGAGGCGCACGGACGGTGCGCGAGATGAACATTCCACGGCTTGTATCGATGGAAAATCTTCCTACTTGGGAATGGCTGAGGGGCGCGCGATTCGCGCAGTGCAATACTGCTCCCCGGGATCTGGCACCGCTCTTGGTTATTAAAGTCGTCTGAGATTTGGAGTATGCTGCAATGCTGTCGAAAGCATATCGCAGAGCACTAAACAAGGTTTAACAACATAGGTTATAACCCGTTGAGCAACTTGAACATCATTGATACTGTATTTGCTGGCAATGAACCCGCCTAAGCGAGTCGTGTGCTGTGCCGGGAAATGTGCATGATCTTCCGGGAAGAGCATCAGCCAGGGGCGCTTTGTCTGGTCTTAGTGTGCGTGGGATTAGCAGGGATATGTAGACTTGGACCATACCATGACCTGTCATCTGCGGGACATGCTTGCTTCCACCGGAGACTCCATTTCTGCTACCGAGCGATCATCTCGGCGTGGCAAAGTCACGAGTCGGCAAGGCAGCGGCATCCCCACTGCTATCGCTTCCGAAGTTGCTCCTGGTCCACACGTGGTGAGGCTCTCGAGGCTGTCTGATTCCTGGCCTTGCTGGCTGTCGAATGAAGCGTCAGGGAGACAGCCTCCTTGCGAGGAGCCAGCAATGTTATTTCCCAAGCTTGGTAGCGAAACCGTTCTTCTGCCCGATTCTCGGGTCCGTCCCCAGTGTCATGAGGGTTTTACGCACTTCTCTGCGCCAATCCCAATAGCGTAAGCCCATCCCTTCTCATTGGCCCTAGAACCCAACCGCATCCTTATGATCTGCCGCTACCGGCCAAAGTCATATGATATCGAAATGAAAGCCTCCAAAAAAACTGAGACTTGATGCCGCCTGGCTCCTCTCTTAGACGAGTACGACGTCGATCACCCTGTGTGAAATGAATTGTGCCCACAGTTATCCTCCGGGGACACGCTCCGCGCCGACACTACGAATGGACCCGCGTCGAATGCTATGGTCTCGCAGAAGGGAAATGACTTGTAAGGCTTTGGTCTTTAGTCAGGTGCGAAATCTTCTCTCGGTAGTTTCGGCATCAACATCCGAGCAACTTGCGAACGCAAACCCTTCCCCTTCAATGGGAGAAGCGCGTATCTTGGTATGTTTTTTTTATCGTTTCAGCATTTGCATCTGCCGATTCGTAGACCGAGAAGTACAAGCATTGGGCTCGAAGAGGATTCGGTTTGCCACGACCAAAAAAGAATCGTAGCGCTTATGCAATTTCATCTCTCGACTCTTGAAATGAACCCAAGAAGAGAGTGAGGCGGCAGAAGCTAGATGAGATTACACCAAGAGCAAGCGAGAGGAGCAGAACCTGGCATACACAAGACCCGAAATACTTCGCTCAGAACACATGGTCTGCTACGCGGACGATGGCGATCGGGATGGCCCTGCAATTACCTTGCTGCTCCACTATGTCGTACAGCATCATCCCGACTCACTTACATCCTACAGTCAAGCTCGGTGTGCTCGACTACTCGCGGTTAGCTGAAACCTGCCCGCCCGAAATGATTTCGCAATATCCAGATACGGGACGCGGCAGGTTCGAGGTTCCTTCGATCACGGTGCGACCATCTCATCGGTACGCCAACGCTGGGCTCTTGAGGTGAGCAGCATCAACACATTGTGCGCGACTAATCTTCGACGGCAATCTGCCCAAGCCTCGAGCCGCGTCAGCTGTACAATTCAAGGCTCGCCACAGCTAAAGTCAACACTAAATCAACATACGACAAAGGTATCTTGAGCGCACACGTATCCGAAATACGCCTTCGCTGTGACTTGAACTCCTGTCATTACTGACGTACATCGGAGGTTGCTTGAATCGCTGCTTATCAAGACACAGGGATTTGCGTGCCCGGAGAGGAACCATCGCCAGGAGCGATCCAGCATGCGGCCCGAATAGGTGGATAGAGAACAAAATGCCATACTGCGGAAATTATTCAAAAACGGTGTTCGGGCGGCCCTGGTCCTTGTTCACCGTTATGAGAAGCTCCTCCGGATCAGTTACGCCACGACATGGGCGTTAGAACCGCTGGCGCAGATCCTTTGAATCCGGACCACCGACACCTCTTGATGCGCTCGGCTGACCAGAGACACCCCTTGCCCTGAAATGCAATGCGGCAAAGTCTCAGATCAGCCGGAACAGAGGCTTCGTCGTGTTTGTCGGGTAAAGGCAAATCAGCCTTCCATTGTCCAGTACTGGATAGCAATCGCCAAAGGCTGTGCCGTGCGTACAAGCATAATGTTCGGTACAACTTCCGTGTTTGGTATTGGGGACATGATGAATTGCTTTGGAGGCTATCGAGTTTCTGCATAGGGCACACGATACGAGAGCGGCTCGTCGAGTCCCCCCTGTTTCAGCTTACTTCACACCTCCAGATCCACTCCTGCAAGACATGCAAGACATGCAAGCCGTTCACCCGCTAGATCTTGGGCGTTGCAAAAGCAGCTGCACAGTTATATCTCAAACGAAGTCTTGGATGATCGTGATTTCGATCCATGGGGTGAGGGTTCCTTGCAATCTTCGAACCGGACCAACTAGTATCATCTCGCGCCCACGTCGACTGGAAAGGTGCAATGGCTGTCCCGGCAGAAGATAACTGGACACAGACCTCTGCCTCTAGCCTTGTCAATATTTCGGGCCCACCCACCAACGTCCGCGTCCGCTTGCCTTGATCCCCCTGTCACTGCAGGAATCTTCCAGCATGGTCTCCACCGCATGGCTGAATACATGCAAGCTCATTCGTGACCGTTGAGTGACAGGGCCTTGCGGCAGCAACCAAACGCTATCGGGGACAACTCCATCGTGCTCAGAGCCCTAGGTCATCTGACACCGTGCTTTGAATCGGGCTCGGTCGCCACTCAGAGGGCAGAGGTAGAAGTCCGAAAACAAGACTGGTGAAGACGATGATCGGATGATTATAGGATCCGGCTCGTTGGTCCCGTCATCCTTTTAAGCTCTTGATACTTTTATAAGACCCATGTCATGCTAGGCTGCTGATGGCGCTCTACGCGGCAGCCCACGCTCGCACGGTGTGAGTCGTACGACGGCTGCAGATGGCTTGGTTTCGCCGGGACATTCCCACCACTGGCTTTGCCTGAGGGACCCGATGCTTTTCAAGAATCAAGGAGTTGTGATCGACGCCGATCACTGCCAGAAGAAGATCTATAGTGAAAGGGTACTACCACGGGCTTCATGACTGTCTCTTTCATGTTGCGATTGGTCCAGAGTTGCATATCCAATGCAGGACCACGCTGAAGCGCCGCTGTACATAACCACGGACCTTGCCCGTATTGTTTACGGGGAAGATTTGCCTTCGCCGACTGGAACATTCACCTACTTCTGAATTTCCACGTCTGTCTGACACTTGCCGCGGGACACCCAGAACTCCAGCATCGGCGATGTGAACGAGGCGCAGGATTGCAATCCCGTTTTTAATGCGTCGATCTTATACCAGTTCCTCATTCGCGGGGAGGACCCGGAACTGTGGGCAGCTCATCTGCTGTGAGGAAATGATATGAGCAACTTAGTCATGCTTGGGCTCAGGTCGGGAACGCAACCCGCACTCGAATCTCTTTCCGCTCTTATCTGCACAGTCGTCACATTGTGGTTGAGATTCAGTGGAGCGTTTTGGAGCGAGTTTCGGCTGCGACGAAGACGCAGTGCTCTGAGCGAGGACTTCCTATTCGAGAACTAGAGTCTAGCTCTCATGCAGCAGCCACAGTGCCCTCCGAAGCTACTGCTGCAGTATTTATTGTTAGTAGACGAGTTAACTGAACTGACAAACAGGATAGGGCAGTAAGCGATGAGCGTGGGCAAGACCAACATCGCCCGCCTTCTATTGAATGTCAGACAGCCCACGCGGCAACCAGGCTGTCGGAAGTGCCTGTCCATACGTGTGTCAAGTTATGCAGCACTTGAATATTGAAAACCTAATCTTTAGCAAACTACTACATAGTACGGATTGTATCGCGTGGACAATGCAGCTCATACAGGCAGTAGAGTCCTCGTGTTGGTAAGCTGAGCGCATTCCTTGACTGTGCAATGTTCAAACTTGATAGATGTCACCGCTTGGTTTGGGTAACAGACCCGACGAGGGCAGCCATGACGCATGCCAAAGGGTGGGTAATTTCCATCAAGACGTTGGTATCAATCTCGATTGCTGCCGACGATACCCCGATCCTCTGCGACCGCCTGAGGGACACCTAAGACGTGGTGACGACATGAACGGCACACGTTGTATCGACAAGAGTACCCGGCGATCAGGACCACCACAGGGCTGCAAGTTTTACAATGCTATCGACAGAAGCCTATCACTGCAGGATTCAGCTTAGCAATTACAACGGTGCAGCGTAATAGGCGGAAAATCCTAAAATAAGCCCCGCACGGTACCAATTTCCCGACCCCCATCCCCACCCGGGGATCCATCGCAATAAACGGTCAATCTTATCGTCAGCGTCTCTCAAAGCTTACCCAATAATCTACTCTGCATACGCGAGGGCGATCTCACTCCACGCCTGTGACGTCCTCGACGTCCTTTTCGTCTACACAGGAACCTTGATCCTAGCACCGCATACTTATACTGCGGCAACGGCGCGCTGTCAATAAAGGGCCTATAATTGTTATATTAATGCGCAGCCAATGTATCCCCGAGTATTTGTGCGGCGGGTGATCGCTGCTTGTGATCGTATCCTAGCGTTGATCGCGTGGGTGGGCTGTCTCACTCACGAGGAGGGCTTCGAGAAGGCTGAGCTTTCTCTAAGCGATGGATGCATACCAAAGCGGACTGCGGCCCGGCAGATGGCAGCGGTCGAAGCGTATGGGTGGCACGTCAGACTTGTGCCCAGTAGGAAGCGCAAGGTTGAACGGGATAACTTTGGTATCTTCAGTAGACGAGATGATGATCGTCCATCGTCAGACAACCGCTCCTCGGTACCAGCGATTGACTGGCTGTGCTACGGATATACCAGCAAGCCGTACTTGGACCCAAGGAACTAACGACCACGTGTGCCACACTGAAGCATTTACCGGACAGATAGCCAGAGAGTAGCCTACTAAGATGCTAGTGCGACATTCAGACGACGTCTAAACCATCATCGAATACGCGTCCAACCAAGCAAAGCAATGGCTCAAGTCGCACACGGCACTTTCTTGAAGCACCGGCTCCATGGATGCGATGCTGACCACACCATCATTTTCACACTACCTTGTTCCTGCGGGTCGCGTAAGGGTAGTGCTTTTGTCGGGAAAATCGGCTTGATTGACTGATAAGAGCCTATCCTGCTACACCTTGTACTCCTTGGAGTGCTGACCAAGCCTCTTGGATGTTTATCAACTTGACGCATCTGATGTGAGCCAAGTGGCTAGTGTAGCTTCATTTAATGATTGCGAGCAGTAAACTGTTTTCACGCGATCAAGCCGGATGATTGCCCCAACCATCGCCGGTTAAGGAAAGTCAGCATCTATCTACTCAATCGACATGTGCGAGTCTAAACAGCAGTATCAACCTCTACCTCATCTTCGCTCAAGAGCATTGACATTGGCTCTAACCCGTTCTCTTCGGCCAAATTCACGCACTCCATGCAGGCATTCGCATCCAGTACGCCGCCACCTCGCTCTACTAGAAGTCGAAATAGCTTCATGTTCATGCAGAACTGCTTGCTTTAGCAAAGGTAGCAAGCCATTGGTGAAGTTTACGCCGTGTTTGAGCAGTGCCTCAACAACATCCATATAGCTTTTCGCCGCAGCTGCTGCCAGCCCCTCTCCAGGTTCTGCTCTATGGTTAAGTAGCAGTTGAACGATGGCAAGATGTCCATGTTGTGCTTCGACTTCCAGAATGGCGTAGAAGTATCTGCGCCGCGTGCTAGCAGTAACCTGACAACATGCTAATGCCCGTATATGCTGCGCCAACAAGTGGACGTGTTTCCACATCATCGAACACCCAATCTAGGCCGTTCACCCACGCTCCAAGATCCAGGTAACAAGCTGCCATATCTACCCAGCCTCTACAGGCGCAGCGACACAGCAATTACGTATATTGCTTCGCTCCGAACTCCCTGTCTACGCAATGAATCCTCCGTTTCTCTATGACAAAGTCAAAAACCTCTCTGCTTGGGGTGTATAGCTGTGCTAACATGGGACTTGTTTTGGTGGGCATAATCGGGCTTCCCATTCCTGACAAACGCCCATGGTCGTTCATCAACTTGAAAGTGATAGACGAACCGTGTGGCCTCTACGCGTCCCGTCAGAGCAACGCATGAGAGCATATTCGAGCGTCGAGACTGAGCCCAGCCCGTTTTACGGCTAGTCATCATGGCCGTCAGGGTTGTGTGGTTGCCATATCTAGATGCGTGGTGTCACGCTGACCCAAAGAGCCAACTACGGTCTGGTGCAGGCTTCCCGCTTGTGATCCATTTTTCTATCACTGGCATCGTCTGCGTATATACCGCAGCTACGTAGACGTCATTCTCAATGTCACTCTCCTCAGAAAATCTCTTCGGTCTCCGGATATCCATCACCAAAGGACACGGCTGTTGATGTAGTCTTGTACATCTCGTCCGTCGATACATTCTTGACGCAGCCGTTCAGCGACGTTACGAATCCGAAGCAGACCTGGGCTCCCGTTGTTGGGTTCGTTTAGCACCCGACTTTCGAGGTAGGCTATTTAGAAAGGGGACAAGGTAAAGTTTGGCTGTGTGAGGAGGGCTCGAAGTAGGGATCGAGAAGCCTGAATATCAACAACGCTTGTAGAACCTCTTCGGCGAAGATTCCTATAGTAGGTTCAGGTAACAGATTACGTCTCGGGAACAGTAGGCTACCTCTACAAATTACTATATATTCTAACGCCACGCTTTAACCCTCGCACTTGGATGCTTGACCACGGATTTCATGGAGTAGCTCTAAGGGTAGATTGAAGATGTGCATATTGAAGGGTGTAGTTGAGATATGCCCAAGAAGTCAAGAGTTTAAGAATTGAAGCTTAGGAAGATTATGAAGGAATGGCTGGGTAGGCAGCAGTTTCAATGGGGTCGTCAATGTGGGGCTACACTGATCTCCGTGATTGCGGGTATCGTCTCCCGCATGGCACCCATCATTGTGCTCAACCTGGGCATACTAGGACGTTATATCCAGGATTCGATGCTACTCGATTCATACTACCCCATGGGGTTGCCACTTCCCCGGACCACACATGTCTTGACTCGACCCAGCTACAAGGTAGCCCAAGAGGCTATAAAGCCACGCCTGTCCTGTCGATCTCCAGACACAGGCTAGTTGTCCTTTATCATAAGATTTGACTGTGCAGTCTCAATATGACAAGATGACGAAGACCAGTGGCTACAATATCGTTGTCGGGCTCATAGTAGCCGTTGGGGCTTCACTTATGGATTTGGTACTTCGTTCTCCCCTTCTCGAATTCTCGACCAGCAGTTCACTAGGGTTTGCTTCATTCGCAACTCGTTTCGGCCAGCCAGGCTTCTACCAGTACTTCAGCCTGGGTAGACAACATCCTTGGTGCTGTAAACGCCCTCTGTAAGTGACGTGGCATGGGAACTGCTTGTGACACACGACTAAGTTCGTATCTCAACTTGTAGTCTTCCTAGGGGCGTGCATAGGTGCCCTCAGCGGCGGTCCGATGGCTGACAAGATTGGTTGGAGCTTAATTTTTCTACCCGGAGACGAAAGGCAAATCGCTGGAGGAGCTGGCGGAGCTGTTCGGTGATCCACTTGTCGTGCATCTGACAGACGCCACAGACGAGCAGAGACAGCAGATGGACATGGATATCAAGCAGGAGATGGTTGCTGAGCATCAAGAGGAGGTCGCTGTTTGACGTGAGTGCTGCAATAGCGCGCGTGTGATTGGACGGCGTGGCAGCTCACCGCCTTGTGAACCGGAGGCTCAACCGCGATAGTACTTTGAATAAACATGGTACTTCTATGCTGGCCCACCAGATACGTTGAAATCCTGGTGTTTTTGCATGTTCGCTTATCTGTGGCGCGGTGCTGAGTCTTCACCGTCAGTTAGAGTGACAGCGCCTACGGGCAATGACGGATTTAGTCAACTTTCCCGATAAGGTAGGTTCCACAGAAGGTGGAAATGCCCTCAGCTGGAGAACAGTCTTGTCTATCACGGCCGGAAAAGGAAACTTGTGAAGGATGTTCCAAGGTGAACCAAAGTACCGTACTGCGTTTGCCACCATTTCCTGCTACAATTGCAACGTTCGTCTTTGGCTGGTTCAACTGTACGGGCTTGGAGCGGCCTAGTGCGGGCAAAGAAAAACGTGCAACAAGGCGGCGCTTTGACCCGCGGTCAGAATAATTTCGAGCCCAACTACTAAGCCCACCGCCCCTCAACGCATTCTCTGTGCACTCTTCTCCCTTCTTCTGTTCATTTTTGTATTGTATAGACTCTCCACTCTTGTGCTGGGCGTCTCTACACGTTTTATACCCTTTATCCAACGATTTTCGCTGTGGGCGCCGCTTACGCTTCAGCCCTCGATTAATCCCCTTCATATCGATAAGGACCCCTCCAAAAAGAAATCCCTCTCGCGCAAAGAAGAAGACGCCTTTCGTCTGCAGATGCCACACTCGGAGAGTCCTCCCATGGCTCCCGCTATCGTCGTCGACAAGGCCGGCGCGGCTCCGGCGCCCTCACAAGAGGATGTCACGGCCTTCGTTACCAGCATCATCACGGCGAAAACGTCGCACTCTTCAGTAGACGCTGCTTACGCCCTCACCACGGTCCTACAGAACTCGGTGGGCTTCCGTGGGCTCAAGGGCTATGGCGTACTCGACGAGCTTAAGAAGGCGGCGACCAACAAGAAGGATGCGGTACGGAGAGAGGGCGCCATGAATGCCCTCGGCGCTTTCTTTGAGCGCCTTACTCGGGCACAAAGGCTGACAGAGGCCATTTTCCTCGTACAAGAGGAGACTCTGGTACCACTGGTGCTCGATGCGCTCGCAGACAAGACAGGCTCGGTCAAGGAGTCGGCCAAGTATGCCCTCGATTCGCTCTTTGAAAATCTGAGCGCCGAGGCAAAGATCTTCGGTCTGCTGCCCGTGCTCGCAAAGTATCTGGGCAAGAAATCTGGAAAGTGGCAAGGCGCTGTCGGCGCATATGAGCTTATCGGCCGTATGGCAGACAAGGCCAAGATGGGCATGGAGAGCTTGGAGGTAGAGCAGGAGAAGGATGTCCTGCGCGAGGCCATGGGCAAGAAGCTCGAGGGACTGATTCCCATTGTCGAGGCCGGCATGCACGACCTCAAGTCTGAGGTACAATCACCAAACCTTTGGTCAGGGCTCAAAGCTAATTTTACCTAGGTCACAAAACAGGCGCTGAAGACGATGAACAGCCTCACTACCCTCCTCCAGAACGACGATATCGCACCCCGGGTACCGCTCCTTGTCAAGTCCATCGAGGATCCGTCCACACAGAGTCTGCAGAAGGCCATCCATGCCCTGTCGCAGACTACCTTTGTCGCTATTGTCACGTCTCCCGTACTTGCCATGGTTACACCGCTACTTGAGCGATCCCTGAACTCTCCTTCCACTTCCCAAGAAGTCACACGTCAGACTGTCGTTGTCGTCGAGAATCTGACCAAGCTCGTCCACGATCCTATCGAGGCCCGCGCCTTCCTGCCAAAGCTGAGGCCGGGTGTCAAGTCTGTTGTAGATCGCGCCTCGTTGCCAGAAGTCCGAGAAATTGGACAACGTGCGTTGGATGTCATTGACAAGGCTTTGTCGGACAGAGATGGCAACGTCGACAGCGGCGCTATTGCCCGAACTGAGCCGTCAGACGTCGCGAAGACCATAGAGAAGCAGATCAGTACCGCTGGTACCCTGCTCAATTTCCCTGGGGACGCAGAGGTCTTGGCACTCACTAAGAAATACATCTCAGAGATGATTGCTGAAGACATTGATGAGCGACAGCTCAAGCGCATTCCGCAACTCATTACTCCTTATTTGGAGCCGTTGCTCAACACCGGAGACGCCGAGAAGGTGGCAGAGGCCGTGCACAAGTTCTACGTGGACGAAGATCACCGCAAGTTTGGCCAACCTGTTCAGGAAGATGATGGCGAGACCGAGATCGTCAACGCTGTCTTCTCCTTGGGCTACGGTGGCATGTTGCTCCTTTCCCACACCAACCTCCGCCTCCTCAAGGGTCATCGTTACGGTCTTTGTGGCCGCAACGGTGCCGGCAAGTCCACACTCATGCGCAGTATTGCAGGTGGCAAGTTGGAAGGCTTCCCTCCCCAGGACGAGGTCAAGACATGCTTTGTCGAGCACAACCAGGGTGAAGATGCCGAAATCACGATTCTCGAGTACATTGTCCAGGACCCAAGGTTCAAGGACGAGAGCAGAGAGCGCATCATTGACGTCTTGGAAGAAGTTGGCTTTACTTCCGGACCTGAGGGCAGACAGTCCGAGAAGGTCGGCTCCTTGTCTGGAGGTTGGAAGATGAAGCTGGCTTTGGCTCGTGCCATGCTGATGCGAGCCGATGTTCTGCTTCTCGACGAACCTACCAATCATTTGGATGTCGCCAACGTTGCCTGGCTGGAGCAGTACTTGCGGAGTCACACCGATATCACCAGTTTGATCGTTTCCCACGACTCTGGTTTCCTCGATGCTGTCTGCACAGATATCTACCACTACGAGCAGAAGAAGCTGGTCTGTTACAAGGGTAACCTAGCTGAATTCGTCAGACAGAAGCCAGAAGCCAAGAGCTACTACACTCTGTCTGATTCGATGATCCAGTTCAAGTTCCCCCCTCCCGGCATTCTTACTGGAGTCAAGTCGAACACTCGCTCAATTCTCCGTATGACCAACTGCACATACACCTACCCTGGCTCATCCAAGCCGTCGCTCACTGATGCTTCTTGCAATCTGTCTTTGTCGTCCCGTGTCGCGATTATTGGTGCCAACGGTGCTGGTAAATCTACGCTCATCAAGATGCTGACTGGCGAGACTGTTCCTCAGGAGGGCAAGGTTGAGAAGCACCCCAACTTGCGTATCGGATATATCAAGCAGCACGCTCTCGAGCACGTTGAGATGCACATGGAAAAGACACCCAACCAGTACCTTCAGTGGCGATATGCCAATGGAGACGATCGCGAAGTGCTGATGAAGCAAAGTCGTGTCCTGACTGCTTCAGACAAGGCGCAGATGGAGACACCCATTGACCTAGGTGACGGCAGGGGAGGACGCAAGATTGAAGCACTCATTGGTCGCCAGAAGTACAAGAAGAGTTTCCAGTATGAGGTCAAGTGGATGCACATGCTGCCCAAGGAGAACACGATGATTTCTCGTGAGACCCTGCTTGATAGGGGTTTCCAGAAGCTGATCCAGGAGTTTGACGATCACGAGTCGTCTCGTGAGGGTCTCGGATACCGTGTGCTGGAACCAAAGGTCATCTCCAAGCACTTTGAAGACTTGGGTATGGACCCTGAGATCGCGAATCACAACGAGATCTCTGGTCTCTCTGGAGGTCAGAAGGTTAAGGTTGTCTTGGGTAAGTGAACTGTTTTTTATCAACTTCTGTTCGAAAGAGCTAACAATGTGTAGCTGGTGCGATGTGGAACAACCCCCATCTTCTCGTCCTTGACGAACCCACCAATTTCCTTGACCGCGACTCCCTAGGCGGTCTCGCCGTCGCAATCCGCGAGTACAAGGGTGGTGTCATTATGATCTCCCATAACGAAGAATTCGTCGGTGCCCTGTGCCCGGAGCAATGGCATGTCGCCGATGGCCGCGTTACGCACAAGGGCCATCTTGCCGTCAACATGGACCGTTTCGAGGATTCCCGACCCGGAAGCAGCAACGTGAGCAGCAACGTGAGCAGCGCGGCACCAAGCACGACCGGCACACCCGTTATGAGTGATGCCGAGGGACCGCAGGACGACATGAAGTTCAAGGCGAAGAAGAAGAAGAAGATGACTAAGAAGGAGGTCAAGGAGAGGGAGGTTCGGAGAAGAATGAGGTATATTGATTGGTTGAACAGCCCGAAGGTATGTTTCTGTCATTCTCCTTGGATGTAACAGTATGCTAATCTGATCAACAGGGCACCCCTCAGCCTCCCAACACTGATGATGAAGCCGAATAGATGTTTTCCTTGGTTGGAGTTGACGCATGATGTTTTGATTGCATGGTACGGCGTTTGATAGAGGGCTGTTTGCACCGCGCCCGGGTGCCTCGATAGACCATGAGTAGCCATCTGGCATATGTTTGCAGATCAAAAGTATTTCCCTGTTATTTCAAGCCGTCTCCCAGTGCTTGATTGATTTATGTTGGCTTGAATACTAATACTAGTTATGAAATCTGAGTGTAACACACTGGTGTAGAGGTGCTGTAGTACTATGCTTGTGCTTATAGGAGCATAGACTGGTAGTACTGTTACCGTGTGTGGTAAGTCAACGCACTTGTCCCCGGTATAATTTTGCTGAGCTGAACTTGCAAGTGATACACAGATATCGAGTTTGGACCACGCGCGGTTTGCTCGAGATGCCTGAGCAGCACCCGCACACTGCTCCACCCATCACCGTGGGAAATAGTCGAAAGACAGCGCGTTCTTCCGTGCAACCTGTTCGTTGTCCCCCTTAAAATATATATTGTCAAATTTAGCACGCTTTCAACAACCTCTGGCCGACCCGAGCTCTTGAGCGCAGCGCTCCTTCCACTTTCACCTTCCCCCCTTCACTGTTATTGCCTCAACTGCCCTGACCCCGCCATGCTCGTGCGTGATAGCAGACAAACGCTCTTATCTTCACTATAAATACTGCCTTTACTTCGAAGGCGGCTTCTACCTCCTTTCCTTCTAGCCAGTACTCTCTTCTCTCATACACCTCATACAGTCATAAACCTCTTGCTCAACTCTAGTACAACAAAATACACTACCTGCACTTCTAGTCGAGTCACTGAGATGAAGCTCCCCCCCTTCGCCCTCACGGGTCTGGCTGCGCTTGCCGTGGCTACACCCAGTGCATCCAAGTCTCCAGGTGACGGTGTGGCTATTGGCTACAACAACGACAGCAAATTCACGTGCATAATCACTCACCCAAGCTGACGTTGGCAAGTCGCTGACTTCATACGCTTAGGTATCACTGCGAACGCGATGTCACCGTCGCGCGCTGCGCCGTTGATGGTGGTTGCTCCACCATCGAGAAGTGCACCACCAAATGCGTCGAAGGTGTAGCTGGTGCCGAATGCGTCTCTGGTGAGATGAAGGAGAAGCGTGAGATTACTCGTGCTGCCATGAAGCCGGGTGACTACCTGGATCTTCCTCCTAGCAGGTATGCATGGCCAGCTTGACCTTGTTTGAGACCTGCGCTAATATTCGGGCTCAGATACGACTGCAAAGGCAACGACATTTACCACTATAACGATGATCAGCCTGACTACGCTGGCGATCTCGTAGAGCATTGCCCCCAGGGGTGCTTCGAACTCCCCCATGGCGCGGCTTGCGTCGACCGAGCTCCTCCTTCTATTAGGCAAACAGATGAGGGCACGGCTAACGCCGTCAACACCAACGCGAAAGGCAAATACAAGGAGTGTACCTCTGATCGTCGAGGTGTCCGCACATGCGAGTTCGGCTTCTGCTACGTTGAACCTGGCGCTTGGTGCCGGCTGAATGCTTCATGCCGCGACGACTGCAGGTGCTGTAAGAAAGATAAGCTTCTTTCCCGACGTAGGGATGCTGTCGAGGCGTCTAGGAACATTATCGAGGTAAGTTTAATTGCTCGAGCCGAGGCCACCAGGATCTCGTGTTCCCTCCCAGCATGTGATCCTGGCGACTTTCCCCTCGATGCAGGCTTACTCAGAGCACGAGGATAAGAATACAAAGCCTGATTTGATTACTCATTCCACGTTACCTCCTTCTTAGGGATGCTCTTACTAACTTTCAATCCTATCCAGCCTGATCAAAAGCTAAAAGATTGTTTAGATTGACCAGCAACATGAGCTCGAATCCTCCCCGCGCGTCCGTGATGCTCCTGCCCCTTCACCCGACGTCGCGCCCGATATGACCAATCCACCAGATGGAGGTGCACAATGTTCGCCCGGCACTTATATGTGTTGGGGTTTGCAGACCTCTGCCATCTATGTTTGCAATGGCTTGGGTTACTGGCAGTTTTCAGCTCGTTGCGGTGGTGGTTGTATTCAGGGTCCTGACGGTACTGCTCACTGCACTTAGTCCCTCCCAGCACCATGTCTCAATCGCCCTGATCACCCTGAGTACAGAAGCAAAACCCATGGCGCATGCTTGAGGAGGGTACAAGAGCGGATTTTAGTAGAGGCCGGTTCAAGAGGGAAACCTATGTGCGGGACTACCCTTAACAGAGAGCCTGAAGGCCGCAGATGAGGATTTTACGACTAGAGGGTCATCTGGGCGGCATTGTGATTCACTATACATCATAATCACTACCGAGGTACCTCTCAACAAGAGGAGAATAGAATATTTACTTCACTACCTATCTCTACATTCGCTCTAGATCCGTGCTAGTTCATGCAGTACCACACCGCGCGAAGCGCCGACCTTTGTCCTTTCGAGACACGGCATTTCGACAAGCTATAGCGCTTTAGTTACGATGGTCGCAACAACGACGAGTCACGATCAGAGAAAGGTGAAAAGGGAGTCTTCAGTCGTGAGCAGCATTCTGAGAAGACTTGCATTGCACAGACTTGCGGTGAACTAGTGGGGGCTCCCTCATGTACCCTAGTCTCAGATCAGCAACGCGTCAAGCACCACCCATGCATCACTATGTCATACACTATAAACATCCCGCAGGTACCCACCAAGTAACCAAGAATCTGGACAGTAGATTCTACCAACAACGGCGATCCCCTGCGCGCCGAATTGTAGCTTGACATTCCTCGTTACATTTTCTTCTCTATTCCTTCTCCCTAACTAGCTGCCCTGTTTCTAAGGTCTGTTAAACACAATGTCGGTAATCGCCAAACATGTCCGCCAGGCAATTGGCGACAAGCAGACGAACGTGGTGATATTCTCCGCCACGGCTATTGCGCTGTATGGGTACGATCAGGGCATGATGTCCCTCATCAACACAAACCATGACTACCTACGCACAATGGGCATCGACGAGGAATCTCCCATTGTCGGCGTCATTGTCGCGGTATACTATCTCGGCTGCGCAGTCGGCGCCGTCCTCTTTTCCAAACTTGCCGACGCATTTGGACGCAAGAAGAGCATCTTCTTCAGCTTGGCGAGCGCGAGTTTGGGGAATTTGATCATGTTTGTTGCGGGCATGAAGTTTCCGCAAGCCGCGTTGCCCCTAATGCTGATTGGAAGAGTGATCATGGGCTTGGGCGTTGGCGGCATCGACGCGGTCATTCCAACATACTCATCTGAATTGAGCGCAGACGAAGCAAGAGGCAAAGCGCTAGCCCAAGAATTTCAATCCAACATCTTCGGTCTGCTCATGGCGTTCGGCATCAATCTAGGCGTTACCATTGCACTTGGAAAACAGAACCAGTGGGCATGGCGAACGCCTATAATTGTCATGCAGATCTATCCTGTTCTGTTGATGGCGGTCGTGGAGAGGTTGCCGGAATCTCCACGGTGGTTTATTTTCAACGATCGCCAGGATGATGCGAGGAATGCGCTGGATGATATCTACGGCGATGAAGGCAAGGAGCACTTCGATGCCTTGCTCGCACAGCACGAGAGAGAAAAGGCGGATCATGTGGGGTACTTGGACATGGTGAATCCTTATCACGCGCAGTTTCATCCGACGATGGTTACAATCATGTGCCAGATCAACCAGGCGCTTACGGGCTATGGTGCGGTTTCCGTGTATGGGCCTCAGATCTTCGGTGTAAGTAGTTCCGTGCCCATCGTGTTTTGGATTTGACGAGATGCTGACGATAAATATGACAGCTACTGGGCTTTGATGTCCGCACATCCGAGTACCTAACCCTAGGCAACTACACATCGTACTTCTTCCTAATGACGCTCGCATGGGTGCTTATCGACGCGCTCGGCCGCCGACACCTCCTGGTCCAAGGCTCCATTATCCTTTCTTCGTGTTTCCTCTTACTGGGTTTGTTTGGCGGACTGGCTGCCAACGCGCCGAACCTTCACATTCCAGTCTTCGTCCCTGGAATTATCGGCACTGTCGTTTTATTTGTAGCAACAGGCGCCTTCGGCATCGGTTGGCTCTCGACCGTCTGGCTCATCCCCACGGAAATCTTCCCCACCACTGCCCGAGCCCAAGGCACCGCCATCTCCGTCATAATCTGGGGCCTCGCAAACTTCGCCATAACCTTCCTCACCCCCGTCCTCTTCAACAACTTGGACTACTTTATTTTCGTCGTCTTCGCGGCCACCAACGCTGTCGCTGGCCTATGGACGTATTTCTACCTGCCGGAGACAGGCGGGCGCAGCTTCGAGGAAAACCAAGAGTTCTTCAAGGAAGCCGGCGAGCACGGCACTTGGCGAGTAAGCAAGATTGGCAAAGGCGAGTATGCGAAGATGCGGTATCCTAACCCCAAGGATGTGGATGGAGAGAATATTGATGCGGAGAGGGTGCCGCTGCTCAGGAGACTGGAGGATCAGCTACCCAGTGTGGAGTAGACGGTGATATAGCACAGCGGCTATTGAAACAGCCTGGATAGATTCGATGGTCTTTACAGGTGTCGAGGAAGAATTGAAAAGGACCTAAAGATAGTCACGCGAGTGTATCGGTTAGGGGTCCTCCAGAAGTAGTATGGTATGGTTGATGTTGCTTTTGACGATGTTCTAGTTGTGCGAGCCACCGCTTGCATTGTAGAAGGAGTTCGGTGTCGTGCCCCACCGTTCAATATGCAAGAATTAACGTCCCTTGTCCCGCATACTATCCGGCACATGATTTACCCCAGTACCGACGATTAGTCCAAATTTAAATTGGCTTTCTCTCAAATTCTCAGTTGTGGCGTCGTATGTGAATATGGAAGCGGATGCTCGGTCGGTCTATAACTAGCTGCCCGCGTCTTTGTCGCCTGGCAAAGCGTATCATCTCCTTCTGCGGGTGTCTGACTTCAAGATGCGCAATCTAGGACACTTTGTCCCACTCTGCGTCGTTTTCTTGACCTTTGTTATCCTCGCCAAAGCAGTAGCACCATCAGACTCTCCCCGCGATGCAGATACAGGGCAGTCGTCTTACGTCGGTGGCAACCACACTCTCGATCCCGAATCTGTCTCGCAGTTCAAACAGCTATGGAATGCTACCTTTAATCCAGATGAAAAGGTATTTTTTTCATGATGTTCTGCAAGCTTCATCAGCTTAACTTGCTGAATAGCACTGGGCTCGTCCGCTAGTCCACACGCTCTCCTCATCTGGTCGCCAGATCGTCTTCACTGCGTCGACGGAAAATCGCGTCCGCACGTTCGATGCAACAACAGGTGAGCTGCTCGTTGAGCGTCAGATTCTGCCCCCTTGGCCCATGGAGCAGGCGAACTGCACACAGCTGGCGAAGACAATGGGTATCATGGGGACGCCTGTGATATACATAGAGTATGAAATTGCCTTTTTCTACGTCAAGTCGTATATTGAGTAAGCAAACCTATAATTGAAAACGTGACCAACGCTGAAGGCCTGGCAGGGACTATCGAGTGCCTGGTGGTGCGAAGCCACCGCTGAATGCCGTATATTATTTGTACGCCGTGTATTTAGAGACACTTCAGGATTTGTACAAGTTTCCGCTTATAATAGATGATATGCCGGCCGACAATGATCCACGAAAGATGTTCCTGGGAGGCCTTGTGCTACAACGACCTTCGTTGCTACTGCTCGGCGATATGCTGTATGCTGGCTTTGGAGGGCTGTGTGATGCGTTCAATTATACCGGCTCTGTAGTCGCAGTCAACCTAGCCTCACGGAACATTTATCGCTGGACTACGCAAGCTGGTCCCCAGTCGCAATACACTGATGATTGGACCCTGTGGCATGGTGGTGGTGCTGGTGGTATCTGGCAGGCTGGGATGGGCCTTGCATCCGACGGGAAGGATGTTTACTTCACAATCGACAATGGTGCAGAAATCAGGGGCTCGAACATCTCTACCGCACCTGTGCCCGGCAGGACACATCTCGATATCTTGTCTGAATCTGTCACCCGAGTTACCCTCGACGAGGAAAGCGGAAAAGGCATACAGCTCGTGGATTGGTTCCGCCCTTTCGACTATCAAGCACACAATGGCCAGGACATTGGAAGTGGCGGTTTCGCGGTCCTCGACGAGGCGTTCTTGACACCACAGAAGAAGCGCATAGGAATAGCAACAAGCAAGAACTCGAAACTGTACGTCCACGATCTCGACAACCTCGGCGGCTATCGACAAGGTCGTAATGCCTCAGATGGCGTTCTCCAGACCATACATCTTGACGGTGAGGTATTTGGCGGAATAGGCTTCTACCCCCTCGAAGGAGGCTACATCTACGTGAACCCTGGTAACGCGCCTCTCGCCGCATACAAATTCACTCCCTCAAGCAATTCCTCTCAGCTCTTCACCCTCGCTGGCAAATCTTCTGCGTCCGGTCCACACCGGGGCAGCGTCGGTATACCTACCATAACCAGTAACCAAGGGAAACCAGGAAGCGGCATCGTGTGGGTCACGGAGCCTGAAAAAGGCTTACTGGCGTTCAAGGCTGTCCCGGAAAATGGTACGCTGGTTGAGCTGAAGTTGCCGAAGGTTCAAGGGGCAAATGAGTATGGGAGGCCGGTGTTTGGAGATGGGAGGGTGTACATTGTCGATGGCCAGGGGAGATTGATCGCTTTGGGCGTGAAGTAGAGATAAAAGTAGGAAGCTCTCGATAATATTCCAAAGCGGCAGAGCATCCATTCTCCTGGCATGGTTCAACCGTCCTTCTAGAGCTGATGCGTAATCGTTTGAATGAAGACCCACAGCCCAAGCTCATTAAACTTACAAATGTCGTTGCCTTCGCGTTGGTCAGGAGCATCGCTGAATTCAGTCTCGGACCTCCACATCGGCGGTAAGCGGGTCGCACTCGGTCGAACGCACATCTCCGAGACCAAAACACGTCAGCCATTCCATCACCCCCTCTGCCACCTTTAGGCAACAACAACAACATCAGACGTCCAGAGGTCTTACGATCGGAGCCGACAACGCAGGACCCAATATTCCAGCGGGTAACGCGCGGAGAAGGGCTGCACGGACAAGCATTGGCAGTATCGAAGACCCGCCCCCAAACGAGTTTATGCACAGCGCCCGCTGAAACTAGGCTTGTCTGAGGGTAGTGCTGTGATGGAGTGGGGTGCAACGCATGTGCCTGGGCTTGCGGCGGCTGCGAGGGGTATAAAGTTGAAGGAGTGTCGCTGCGCGTATTCTGTGTTTCCGTTGCTTATTACTATGTAGTTTGCTGACTTCGAGGCCGTTGCCTGCTTCTTCGACAATTTGTGTGTAACCTGGCCTGGACCAATTACAGCGCTGGTATTTGTGAGCAAACAACCCCGGGCGTACGCGACAAAGACGTTTATAAAAGACTTGAGAATCTCGAATCTGGGGCAGTAAGCAACTTTCTTGAACAGAAGAAAAGACGGAATCGCATCATGTCGACTACCTGTTTGACCATTCACGACCTCTTGCGCATTACCTATACATACGAAACCCAAGCTCTGGAGGCAGAAGCAAGGAGTCGGTCGAGCTCGTTATGTTCGGTAAGTTGTCCTTGTGTTTCTCCAGCATTCACGGCTCACAGCTGACACTCATAGACTCCTGATACATGCTCGCATCTATCAGGACCCGCGTCTCCATCTGCGACCTTTGCGAATCTCGAAACCGACTTTACACATAAATACTGCCGGAAGGGCAGACGATAGTCATCCGGCGACAGCTCGTCATTCCTTGTGTGATGCAATAATCTTGAAAAGAAGCTTTCTCTAGGTCGTGTCGAGGATATCGGCATACCGCAGCCCCCACTCATTCGGCTGAACGCATCATGAGTTCAGCATGTTATGCATATGGGGCCCTGATCGGACCGATTCGAGATGATACGTTATTGGTCCTCCGGATAGCGAACATGGAATATTTAGTCACATGAAAAGGATGGAGAGGGTGCCAGGATGCATGTTTCGGAACAGGCATTGTTGAGTTGTCATTGTCAATCGGCGCAAATTGGGCGTACTTGACCGGATGTGCCAAGATCGTTGGACGATATGGTTGCGCGTGTAGTATACCCCTGTATCTTCCAGATTTGTATGCTTTTTGTCCATGTATCTGCGGTTCGCATTTGCATGTTGCGCAGCTGTTGTTTGGATTACATTGAATCAATTAGCTGTATTGCGACCTCGTCAGTAGGTGTGTTTCGCGGGGCTTCTCCACCGTGGCAAATGTTTTGCATGGAGCGCCAATTTGTTCTTCAGTGTACTTCATACTGTCTGCGTCTATCGGTCGACTTCGCATGTTATAGTGTTTCGTCCTTCGTTTGTAACGGCCTGCAATCACCGCGACCCTTGTCACTGGCATACGACGCGCTGTGCGATGGAGTTTGGTCATCTTGCAAGGTGGATGTAGTTGCTGAAGTGGAGTAACATAGCAAGTCTGGCATTGCGATTCGGTATCTGTACTGTTCGCTCTTTGGAGGTATTTAGTCGTTCGGATAGGAGGCGACTGGGCGTTCGCAAAGGTTCGCAATGGGCAGTGGCGCAGGTGGGAGGTAGGTGTGCCGATGGGTACGAGACAAGAGGTGGCAACAAAGGATGTGGCGTCTGCTGTCTGCGCTGTATGACGCCTTGCACAATTGGAGGTATATGCTACTTGAACAGAGCATTACGGTAGCCGCTTGCACATAGTCGCACGGTGCTCCACGATCTGCTATAAGCTTGTTTCTGGGTTAGGGAGGAGGGAAAGAGGATGTCGTCTCGCGCTGGCTTCACTTGGTTTTCTCGTTGCTTGGTCAATATCCCATAAAGCGGCTGACCCAACCCCCCTCTTCAACTGCCCCCACACCACCATCACCCCATACTACTCAATTCCACACCAGAGACCACATTGTATACTCACCAATATTTTCTGGTACAGCAACTGCAGTTCTGTCTCTTTTTAGCTCGCTGGAGATGGCATCGTACGAATCTTTCTGCAGCAAAGAGCCCGCGCCCTGCACGAACACCCCCGGTCATAGCTACTACGACATAAGAGCACGAGCTCTCACGGGTGAGAGGCCTGAAGGTAGCCTCTCTCGAGCTCGCCGTGACTTCGGGCGCGTCGAGGTTGGGCTGTTGATACTCGAAATGCGATGACAAAGGCGCTTGGGTAAACTTCCACATAAGGCGTAACCACCGTGAGCGGCGCGGCTGACTCTTGGAACACATCAGAGACCCCTCTGGCGAGAAGCAACGGATAATTGGCACGCGAATGTCGTTCATGCGAGCTCCTCGATGGCGCAGGCGCTACAGCGACCTCTTCGACTCGTCCAACCGAGCGGTACTGGGAACGAACAACACAAAGCTGACCAATGTAGAAGTGGGGAATGAGACGATCATAAGCAGAAACACTCGTCACGAGACTCGATAGAACGTTAGGGCTTCCGCTCACAAAACTTTGTCGTCCCCTCTGGATGACCAGCCCCGCCGGCTCCGACGGCAGAGAGAGGTCCAACTTAAGTGTACAACAATAGAACATAGAGGCTGATTGTATGCAGAGACCGAAGCTTGTGCTATCGGGCACCTCTCAGCTCCCAAATTTACGTCGACCCCGCTCAATGCAGATCTGCTTCGCACCAACCAGAAGGGGAAATCCCGGCTCCCACAGAATTTTCAATGTCGCATAAAGAGTCGCCGACAGCCTTCAAAGACGCACTTTCTAGTCCGGTCGAGCATCTGTGCTTTGGTGCAGCTGAAGAAAGAGATGGGAAAGAGTGGCCTCGGTGATTTGGTGTTACTCGCTGAGAGGTCCCAGGTCGCCGGGAGGATTGTCTTCCAGCTCGGCGCTCTCGCGTCGTCAACCGTGATTCAAGGGGCAATATCGCGGACTGAGGCGATCAGCAGAGCGCTGCTGCTGAGCGTCAAACAGAGCCAGCATAGCTTTGCCAGGCCACAAGTTGGTGCGGGTGCGGATCTTGCTGTCGTACGATCGGTCGTGATGACCAAGTGTACGCAAAAGCTCGTGGTATCATCAACGGTATTCAATGAGCCGCACGAGTAAGCACACCGTCGTTATGCGGATACCTCTCGTTGCTTTATCGTACCCGAGTAGTAAGTCTCCTAGCTCTTTCTTTCCTCGAAGGTAACTTCGAGTCTCTATATACCGAAGGCGTGGCATCGGTCGTACGAGTCAAGACTGCCTAAGGCTATCATCCCCACCGACCTATACATTATCAAGACTTCTCAGTGTCTTGACGATAAAGGTCTCGTGGTAGATTAATTTTCCATCTTTCCAAGAGTCATACACGTTCCGGCATTCAATGCCCGATTTGTGAGCCGAAAGATAGAACACGTCTCTTCGAGAGAGGGACTCATCAACTCATCCAAAGTTTTGGATCTGCTGTTGTTGTTGATTTGAGACTGGATGTTCGTTGCAGCTGGTCTGCTTGATTGGCCGACAGATATAAAGATTGTTGTCGTACTCCAGCTAACCATGCTTCGCACAGATCGAGACTATAGGATTGATTAACTTGGAACAGGTGGTATAGGCCAAGACTATCTTCGCTGCCACCCATTTCCCTCTGAGATGGCTCCTCGTCGCAGGCATTGATATGTGCGCCATCTCAATCTTCAAGGACGCCCTCTGGACTTGAACAGGTGGCATGACGGTGATACAGTATCTGCAGTACACTGTTGTCGTGGCGGCTCTTCCATGCCATGGCGACGCTCTTCTGGCGAGAAATCACATGTCCATCTCCTCTCATTCCGGAGCGCCTTGTTCAATATATGGGTACCTTATGAAGCCTCTGCGTTGATAGAGAGTGGAAGAATGCGTTGCCGAAGAATAGAGTATGTGTGCTCGTGGCTTGCTGACTGTTTACTCGTAGGGCGTCTGGGAACAATCGAAGGCGCACAACTGCAGTGCCCCAAGTGTCAATCAGTGTTCAGCAGTTGGCTCGATAGTGACAAATAACGCAAGTGAAGTGGTGAAACGGCATCATAGACGGTTCGACATGGAGTCTGTCGATTTTATTCCCTGGGCACGTTCGGTTCTCGCGATGCCGGACCAGGCCCCATGAGATGTAGGGCGACGATTATCAGAGAGTCCTGCTCGGCCTCTCGCCCACGTCGGGTGGATATCTGTTCGCTCAGCCAAGTGCTGTTGGCTGTGCCGCGGGGCTCGCCGACTGTATGAGTATGAAAACGACCGTGTGCTCAATCAGCGTTTGGTGTCGGGTAGTGTACGAGCACTTGTCGATGATACAAGCAGCTCTGTGGTCGTTGCTATTCAGCTCGGCCCTGAGAATCTGTTGCGGTCGTGGCGTCCGCGGTATGCGGAAGGAATGCCCGGCGGACTAAGCTCTCCTCAAAGGAGCAAATGCATGGCTGCAGCCGCTCGTAGATCTACGCGATTAGCACGGGAGTGCGTCCAAAGGTCTCGTTGCTGTCCAGGTGTGCAGTACTATCTTTGGCAAGGCGCGGGCGGTGCCGAGCCGATAGAGCACAGTGCCTGTGGCACGTTTAGCCTCATCTACGGACACGACGTATAAGCTAGACGTATCTTGTGCGAGCTGTTGCTGTAGTGGGGACGATGGTGGCGGTGGTATCGTCGAGCAAACTGTACCCAGTGCTGCGGAGAGCATTAGCGGTGCCCCACGAACAGCACCTTCCGAAGTGCGAAATCACAGGCATACAGAAACCACAATGCAGAATTCGAGGAGACGACTGTGTCAACTAAATACACGCCTCCTACCTCCTTTATGGAGCCACAGGTCCCGCTCTTTCGCTCAGACGCCGTGTAACACATACTGACACTTGAACACACATTGGACACACTCATGGACAACTGGGGGCACAAACGTCAAATAGGAATGCCCTGAGATTTGAGGTCATCAATCATTTTAATTCATCATGCTGGCCAGGATCCTAGATGGGGTACCAAATCGCAGCCGCCGCCTGCCAGGGTATATCGCCGTCATGCTACCAGATCGTCCGACCAACGCCAGGCCTTCCAGTACAGCAAATGGCCAGGTCTATACAAGGGGAAAAATGAAGTCCAATTCACCGTATCCATGTTGATGCTACAGTCATAGGCTCGCCAAAGATGAGAAACTGCCGAAGCGGGGGCCATCACAGTGTATGGGGGTCCGACTTCAAGGCTTCGCATACTGCTGAGTCCACTCCTGAGCCGTCTTGATGGCTTGCGCCTGGTTTTCCTTCCACGCCTGCGCCACGTCGTTGGCAAGAGGGTCGTCTGGGTTCGGGGCGCCGAGGAGGGCCTGAATGGAGAGGAGGATCGTACGGATCTGCAGCGCTGGCGACCAGTTGCCTAAGTTTGTCAGCAAACCCACGCGCATGTGTATGAGATCAGACGCGGAGACTCACTCTTCAGAACGTCGAGGCAAATACGGCCTAGCCTGTCGATGTTTGGGTGGTAGATCTTGGTAAGGAAGCGGACCTTGGGCGGGGTCATGGGGTAGTCGTCGGGAAGGAAAAGCTCGAGCTTAAAGACGCCGCCTGTGTTTTGTCAGCCAAGTCAGAGGGGCTGCCTCGGTCGACGGACGCACCCTCGTACGGAGATTGTGAAGGGCCATCGATGGTCACGTCAAAGTAGCGCAGATTGTCGTCGTGGGGCGTAGCTGATATTCCTTGGACCCTACACAACAAAGCAAGACGCCGTCAGCTGGGCCGCAAAAGGTACCGTGGAAAGATTCAGACTCACGGCTCGTTGACTAGCCTCTCGGTCTCCTTGATGATTCGCTTAGGCAGAGACATCGTAGGCCAGGGACTGCTGAGATAGCAGAAACTCAGTCACGCCTGGATAGACTCGGTGTATGTTGAGGCGGTCGATGCGGTCGTCCTTGCGGGCGTCTGGGGGGACTCGATGGTGTTTACGTTGGTGGATGTAGAGGGACAGGCGAGGATGTCGTATCCAGGCCCACAGATTCGGCATGAGGTAAGCGGGGCTTGGTGGGATGGGCAGGAAGGCGCCAAGGGGGGCAAGTCGGCAGGGGGCAAAGGGCTGGAGGCAGCTGGCCAAACACCAAGCGGCCCAAGCTCCAGCTCTCCATCCAACCATCCAAACCACCAACCACCACCATACACACACGTCAAGCAGACTCCCAGCGATGGCAGCCGCGGGTGGTGGGCCATCGTCGGCCTTTGAGAGCTCGACGTTTGGCCGCAACTTCTCCATTGCCGTCGACGACGACATTGGCGCTGCCAGCATCAGCCCAGCTGGGCGTGACATTGTGCTCGCGAGCAGGAATGGGCTGCGTATCATTGATCTAGACAATCCTTGGTCGCTGCCGCTCTTCATTCCCAACCAGTCTTCCTGGGATGTCGCCGACGTCCAGTGGTCGCCTTTTGCTGCGAGGGCAGAGTGGATCGCCTCGACGCGCAACCAGCTGGCGCTCGTCTACAACCTGTCCATGCCTTACAACAACAAGAAGGCACCGATTGAGTACACGCTGCGCGCCCATGACAGGGCAATCACAGACATCAACTTCTCTGCCCACCATCCTGACCTCCTCGCCACGTGCGGCGTGGACAGCTTCGTTTTCGTGCACGATTTGCGAAGTAGCCAGGCTCCGCTCAAGCTTGCGGACTTCACCGCGGGAGCAACCCAGGTCAAGTGGAACCGCCAAAATGACAAGATCATTGCAAGTGCCCACGACAAGTACCTTCATATCTGGGACACCCGCCGTGGCGCTACTCCCCTCTCCACCATCGCTGCCCATAGCACCAAAATTTACGGCATAGACTGGAACCGTAATGACCCCAAGAAAATCATGACTTGCTCGCTAGACGCTACCATCAAGCTTTGGAACAACGTGGGCTTCACGGATGGCATCACCACGCCGCGACGTGTCATCCGCACTCATTACCCTGTGTGGAGGGCGCGCCACACACCCTTTCCTCACGGCATTCTAGCCATGCCCCAACGCGGCAACTCAAGTTTGTGGCTCTACAAGCACGTCAATGACAGCAGTGAGGCGACGTTTACCAATAGCCCCGCGCATGACTTCCAAGGCCACGAGCCTGATGCCCAAGTCCGCGAGTTCTTGTGGCGCTCACGAGGTTCTACTGACAACGGCATCGACGATCGCGACTTCCAACTCATCTCTTGGGGCACTGACAAGCATCTGCAATTCCATCGCCTCTCTCCGGAGCTGCTCGAGAGCAGCGTGGGTTTTCGCAAAGGAGAGCCTCTGATTGAAAAGCCAAGTGCCACTCGCAAGGGCGCCAGCTATGTCACCTTCCGCGACGGCCCTGCAGCTGCAGCGACTCCGACCACCCGAGACGAGTTTGGTCCTCCTCGCAATCAGCGCAAAGGCAACCTTTCTACCCTTCTGCAGAACTACACGCTCAACGATGACGTCTTCACTTCACGCACCAGGGGCCAAACTAAACCACGAGTCCACGTCGAGACGCTTCCGCGAGAGACGATGACAGCGCAGCCTATCCGTCGCAACGACCCACGCGTTGTCACACACATTACTTGGATGGACGGCGTCAAGTTCGGCGATCGACACAACAATGTCAACGATTTTCGAGCTCGACCTAACCAGTATGACCGCGAAGAGAAGTACCCGTACCAGGAACAGAATGACCTAGGTGCTGAGATTTCTTACGTTGGGAACAAGTACAAGAAACTCACCTTTGAACATATCAATGTTCCAGGACGTTGCATAACCGTCTCCTTCAACGGCCCCTGGGGTGACTATGACATGAATACTGAGGACCTCAAACTCGTCTTCCTCCGATTCACAATCAACTTTCCGGCGGGCTACCCGAAGAACATTGAGCGCTCACTACCAGGTGCCCTCCCCACCAGGATTTTGACCCCCTTGGAAATTGAATTCGAGAGGACCACGGCTTCAATCAGCAGGGAGAACCAGGATGAATTGACCGACAAGATGAATCTCATCGCCGAAGCTTGCGCGGAACAGGAGCGGGAAGCACTGGAGGCCGTCCTTTCATACGCCCTTGGAGAACGCGGACTGGACGACAGCCTACACCTTGCCGAGGAGAACCAGCCGTTGGAGGATCTCGGGCCACTGCCAGGAGGAGAGAGTTCCAGTGAGGATGATGAACACGAGGGCGAGTTTGCAAATGATGTTATGCAATCTTCTCATATGAATGCTAACGTTCCTCTTGCCATCCAGTGTTCAGTCCGATTCTCGGTCAATGGATCCCTCGTAGTCGCCAGGATACCATCCACAAAATCTGCGCCCGGCCTGGATACGATTCAGTTCCGAATCACTAGGAATCTTCGCCCCGGTCCCTCCAAAGACGACATCTTCGAATCATTCGGTCGATTTGCAACTCAGCGCCCCGACGACTCGGATGGTGCATCGTCTCCATCATCTTCTGTCGGCTCCTGGGAAACATCAAGCTCGCCTTCGTCTTCGTCCGGTTCGGATCAGGCGGGAAATGCACACATTGGGAATTTTCAGCCTCCTCTGGCATGGCAGAAAGCGGCGTCTAGGTTCCAATCGCGGAACTCACTTCCCTCTTCATCCGGTGCTGTGAAACCCCCAGCAAAAACTAGGTCCATAGTGTCCATTCTTCGTTCGGCAGTTGATGATCTGGTCCCTAGTAAGCGAGTTCTTGCGGAGGAATACCGGATTTTTGGCCCTGGACCAGAGATATGTGAACATAATTCCAAGGTAGCGAGGATACACGGACTGGAGGACCTGGCGGACATCTGGATGCTTTGCAAACTGATTTTGAGTAATGAGGTACCTTTGGAAATACTACCCCAGACACACCGGAGGGACCAGGTTCTTGTGCTTGCCCGGAGAGCCCTCGTGAGAATCAAACGTAAAGATAGTGGCCTGGACCTCCAGTTTGATGAGGCAGACACCGTGACTAACCCCAGGCTGAAAGGAAGGATCAAATGGGGAAACCATACCGTCGTGACCTGGTTGATACCCGCTTTGTTTGACCACTTCGAAAGACTTGCCGATACCCAGATGCTTGCCATGTTGTCGTGTATCTTTGCGGAACCTGCCGCACGTGAAGGAGTGACGTCTGCTATGGCCAGGATGCGACAGTCCCAGCTACCTATGTCAATGGAGGCGCCTGCCTTCTCGCTGGACTATTTCTCCTCAGCCGATGCTGCGTGGAGTTTATTCAGACCTACAATCTCTGTCCCGTCGATAACATCAAATTCACGATTTGCGACTCCCATGAACGAATTTGGGTGGCAGAAACTAGCAAAGAACTTTGACACGTATGGAAGTCACGGTAGTTCCAATGGGCCGTGGGGAAGCGACACAGTCAATTCGGAGCCCCTTACACCCTACTCGACCGGCAACACGCCGCCGATCAGGACGTCAACAACGAGAAATACGCCAACAGCCACCCAAACGCCGTATTCCACATCGCCCGAGCAAAGCCATACGGCTCTCAAGAGGAGCTCGACGGCGAACTTCGCGAGCGCAGTAGCTGCGCTATCACGACCGTTTGCAAACGCCCTCTCCTCTTCGCCGCCAGTCAAGTCCCGCACCGATGATCTTTCTACTTCTGCACCGAGCGGGGTTACTTGGGGGACAACAACATTCTATGGCAATGAAACCCAAGATAGACGCAGCCTAGCACCTTCACGTTCGAAGCACGGCAAAAGAGCGAGCTTTGGGCAAGCGGAAAATATCATTGACGTGGACAACATCTACGACTCGGATTCCGACTATGATGGACTCAACGATGATGGCGGTACCCCTTATGATGGTGCATCGGAGTATGGCCTACCTGCAACGCCTAGGGACAATGACGACCAGGATGGCGTGAAGCCGATCAAAGTCACGCTTAAAAATCAGGATCAATTTGACGATGAGGCATGTGTGAGCAGGCCGCTATTGGACATGAGCAAAGGTTGGCTGCATCGCGCGTGGAGAGAGCAGTATGCCGAGATGCTGAGCTGCTGGGACTTGGTCAGTCAGAGAGCTGAGGTACTAAAGTTCAACGGCTTGGTATCTTACTTTCCGCCCGAGGGCCCTCGGGCCAGCTCTAGAGCGGGCTCAACGTACCTGGCGCTGAAGAGGGATAGGGACGATGACAAGGATGACGCAATGCCCAGACACCTTTCGCGAGCTTCAACGACTCTAGTACCGCTGTCAAACACAACAGGACAATTGAAGCGCTCGCCCGCGTCATCGCTGAGGCGATTTTCCTTCAATCCAGAAGCCCAAGAGTTCCAGCCAAGCACTACGGCTGTGATGGAGATGGAGGAGTTTGCGCCACCACCAGACGTGTTCATCTCTCCCGAGCAATATCTGCAACTCTCAATCCCAGCACAAACCCCGTCGAAAGAGCTTGATGAGGGCCTCGCTGGGCTCGGCACTTCGCCAGGTCAAAACAAGCTACATCCTCAACAGGGTAAAAATGGCAGGCCTAGCCTATCGCGAGCCACTTCAATCGTCTCTCGCACGTCATCCTGGGGCGTCGACCACCTACCTGTCACTATTTCCAACTCTGCTGCTCCAAAGCCCTCTCTCTCTGAGCCCATATACAGCTGCAGCATCTGCTGGATCCGTGTTTCTGGGCGCTTCTATCTCTGTCCTGCCTGCGGCCACGTCGCCCACTTTGACTGCATGGATGACGAGCTAGGCATGGAAGACGGCGAATGCGTAGTCGGCTGCGGCTGTGGCTGTGGCCTCGAAGATAATGACGAGAGAAGTAGAATGGAGGCCTACATCGAAGAGGTCAGAGCTGCCAATGCTGCTGGTGTTGCCTGGGAAGAAGGTGGCGAATGGCTGCAGATGGCTTCGCATAGCCAGCCGGCAACGCCAGGCTTGTATGCGGAGAGTATCTACAGCGACTTTATGACGGGAGCGGCGAGTAAGATGGTAGGAGGCAATGAAGACGAGAAGAGGAGGGAGAGACTAGCGGGAAGGGATAAGGCCAATAGTCCGACGCCGACTGCGAAAAAGAAAGATAAGGGGAAGAAGAAGAAGACGACTAGGGCTTCAGGATTGAGCTATTACTGAAGTTCGATACTCGAGACGCTTTTCAAACGTCGACAAAACGACATTGTTGTACGAATACCGAACGACGACTGTTGTATCACCACGGCTCGGCGCGGCCTTCAACGCGAAGCGAATATCGTTGTCGACATAGACATTGTTGTAAATCACCACGATCTGTAGCCACGACTATTTTGCGATATATTATCGATCTATTCCACCATGTACATCACCACGACTTATTTCACATATTGTATAATCTCGTTAGGACAGGGAGATATCAGTATGATCTACCATGCCTGTACCAGAACCCGAGAATCCGTTACTATCAACGATACCCTGTACTATTATCGACTCTGATTTAGTGGCTATGTTACTACAAGCTCTAATACACTTATATCATTTGCTACATCCTCATCTCAACAAGAAGCATATTCTACAAGACCAACTTGTCGTATTCTACGCATTATGCTGTCATTACGGGCCTCCCGGCCTACGAACCCTATTGCGAAGGAGTTCGCCCCTTCCATTAAACCTAATTTATCTGTTGACGCTGTCTCGTAGCGCTCCGCGTGCTAAGCTAACGCCTCAAAGCTTTGCTCCGCGTTAAGGAGAAGATGCAGGGATCAGGCCGTGATTGGCCCCTGTCCAGCGCTTGGCGCTTGCTTATTTTAGTCGTTGGGAGAACACGACGACAACCCCTTACGACCAAGTTTAACTGCAAGGCAGGGAGTCTCCTATGCGAATGTCAGGGCGTGCCGATCGTCCCCTAGCTAATGCTGAAATACGAGGTTCCAGCCAAATGGCATCGATTTCGGGGACTTGTCATCCCTGTCCCCAGGAACGAGCTCTCCAGACAGGCATCGCATCGTCTGTCTCCCGTAGCGCCGGCCCAATGTTCAGCCTCAGATGCGAGCTATGCGCGTTATAGGCATGATTGGACCAGGAATGTAACCGTAGCAGTGGCATTAAAGGGATCTCTATTAATATATCGATACAAAGAGCTGCTTCGGCTCCTCGCTGAAATTTGTCCTCACGACTTCTTCGTTTTCAAATTCCAACTTTTATCTTGTTTTAAGTGCTCTTCATTCGTTTGGTATCCTTCGTCACTCGCTTTTCGAATAATATCTCTAGTCATAATGCGTGTTTCAGCTTTCGCTATCCTATCGTTGGTTTCCGGTGCTCTCGCTGGAAACTGCGGACCCCAGAATGGAAACCAGCTCTGCGCTAATAATGAATGCTGTATGTATGCCATGCGTTGGTTAAATTCACAAACTGATTCCCCTCCCAGGTAGCCAATATGGCTGGGTACGTCAACCCTCTCCTCGTGCAAACAGGGATCACCAAGCTGCTTCGACGACGACCCATTGGCACCAGCTAATTGTCTCTTCAGTGCGGTACCACACCCGACCACTGCGATGCCCCAACCTGCCTGCACCCCTTCTCCGGCTCGGCCTCCAGCTGCAAACCCATCGCCACCGCTACCACCCTCAAAACAAGCGCGACCAAGCAGGCGACCTCCCCAGCTACTTCCTTCCCTACCAGCGTCCCGGTAATCGATGTCTGCGGCCACGCCCAAGGCGGCGTAACCTGTCCCGGCGCTGGCACAAACGGCTACTGTACGTAATGCCATCTACAACATACATGAGATATACTGACATTGTATCTTCACTTTCAGTCTACCGCTGCTGTTCTTCCGCCGGCCACTGTGGCCCCAAGAACGATATCCAGGACCAGGCTATCTACTGCGGTGATGGGTGTCAGGCAGGGTTCGGAAAGTGCAATTCAATGAGCAAGCCGGCAGAGCCTACTGCTCAGAAGGCAGAGGCTGGTGAAGGAGAGACGTGCGGCCCAATTGTGAATCGGCAGTGCAAGAGCGGACTGTGCTGTTCTGGAAGCAACTTCTGTGGAAGTGGAGCGGACTTCTGTGGTGCGGCGAACTGGTGCCAGGCGAAGTGGGGGAAGTGCACTTGAACGCTACAGTGGAAGTGTCATTAAAAAATTGGAAAAGCATGAGTTGGAGAAGATGGGTAGATTAATGCGGGTGATAAAAACTTGGCCTACAAAAGGTCTAAAAAGGACTTAGAGATGGACCAGAGGAAGGACATGCGAATAATATAATGCCAGCAGTCGTACCTCAAAAATGTGGATCACAGTGGGTTCACTACCGTTATCTTCACTATATCATGATAGTTATTGCTTTCATGACTCACTCTTCACAGATTAAACGTCCTCGTAGCCTGATAAAACTTTTCTCTCCTCAGGTACCTGAATCAGAAGCAACATATATTGCCTGTCTAGCCATGGCGAAAGAAGCAAATCATAGCCCAACGAGAGCCCAATCCCAAGATCCAGACCTATTTTTCCGCGGCGGTGGCTCCGTGTTAAAACCAAACCATATAACACGTTATGTATACCCATCGTTATGCGGCTACCCAAAGGGATGTCTCCGTCTCCAAGCCCCTGCAAATCCCGAGAAGCGCTCTCGTCCACAGGGCGCCAACTCCTGGGGCGAAGACGGTCATATCTTTTTAACCGTTACAAAGGCTCTCAAGCCTGCACCAACGGAGGCGCAGTTCACACAGTGGTCTACTACCGAGTCTAAAAATGATATGCAGAGTAGGAACCCCCTGGGTAGGGCTATGGTAAGAGTCACGAAGTATGTGGGCAATACGCTGCTTGAAAGCGGCAAGTTTGCGCTGAAGAGGGGAGAGCCACTGCTGTACGTGATCAAGCGGACGACTATGATACCGCTCGGTGGAAGTGATACGGGGAAATTTGGCAGGGAAGAAGAGGAGTATAAGATTGAGTGCGGGCAGTGGCGTAGTATGCGTCCGCCGATGGTCAAGGGTCATGAGCATGATTCCTGGTGGACTCGGTTGCATGTAAGTGATTAGATATGCAGCTAGCAAAACCGCCTCAGGCTGATGTATGAAATATGCAGAGTCTATACCAAGCCAGCTACGACCGAGCCTTCTTCCACGCTCGTGAGAACATTGACAACTCGTTGCAGATACCTCCGCAGCTGATAAAATGGTCAGTACCAACGAGCTTCCTTGGGGCAAACTTACTGACGCTCATCTTGCGAAAGGTATCCTCGACCAGACATTGAAACACAGGTAACTGTCTACCGCAAGCCGCCGCCTTCAAACCAATCAGAGTTTATGGGCGATGGCTGTTTCATTTGTAGTCGAGATTGGTTTACCGAGAGCGAACACGCGTGCCAGTTGAAATGCAAGCACTTCGTGTGCTTGGAATGTCTTACATGGTATATAGATGGGAGCGGCGGTACGTCCATCTGCACACCAACATGTTACCGTCGTTAGCTGATAAGCACAGGACGGGGAGCGATCCATCCACACGAAACAGACCCTGATACGAAGTTCTTTCGCTGCCCTCTATGCAAGGACATCAACCCCATCACGACCGACCGCGCCGACATCACTCAGCCCGACGAGCTGTCCTGGTGGCGCTGGAAGATCATGATGCGGCGGCTGGAGTGTGAAATGAAGGACAACTGGCTAACACGCCTGCAGACGCTGCCCCACGACAACCCACCGTGGTTTCGCGAGATTCCCATGCAATGGGACCAAGACCGCCAGGCCAACGATATCAAAGTGTATGTGCGCTACGACCATGCTGTGCGCTTCATGGATGTGCCCAAGAAGGTCTGGAGTACGCTTCCCTACGGGTTCAGCCTCGACAACCCCGTCGGCTCGCAAGAGGCGCTAGCGTTGGAGGAGCACTTGAAGAAAGAGCTGATGCGCCTGTCGCAAGATCGAAGTCGAGTCTTCAATACAAAGGAGCTGGTGGAACATATAGTAGCGGTGGGGAAAGATGCAGTCAAGCCAGTGGTAGTGCAAGACGAGAGCGCACGCTTGGGCAACCCAAGCTTCCCGCCTGGATACCATGCGTATAGAGCCTTCTTGTGCGAGTGGACGGCAAGGGGTTGCTTCATGTGTCCGATGGGTAGAACAGACCTCTTAGGCTTCATGAAGCGGATGGAGGAGCGCAAAGATAAAGCGTGGTGGAAGGACGAGAGAGACGTGTTCTTTGACCCGTAGTCTACTAAGCATGTACCTATGATAGTTTAGTGCTGTAGAGTGTAAGAAAGGAATGTGTGGTCGGCTGTTGGGTAGCTCACCGCCACAACGAAATGCAAAAAGATGCAACAACACCACTTTCGAACACCCAAACGACGCAAAAAGAACGCTGAACGTAGTTTCCGACACCGGGAATCGAACCCGGGCCTTGCCGGCACTGTGAGTGAACAACTCTCGATGAGAGCGGCAAATCCTAGCCACTAGACCATATCGGATTGTGATTGGATATGAGAAAAATGGAAGATGCAATGTATCTATACTAGATTCGACGGCAACGATGCTGAATAGCACTGGCGTAAGGTTTATTCCATATATTGAAGTAATTGGGGGTGTATGTGATGATGTTGGATGTAGTGTGGGTCCACTGTGGCTAAGCCGAACGAAAATTTCGACGAAAATTTTCAACCGAGAAAATAAAACCAAAAGGTAGAAGAGGCGAAGCGGAAATGCAGTGCATAGTTATGATTGATTTCTTGAGGGACTTAGGAAGTGGAAAAAAGTCTAGGCCTGAGGGTAGGCTGGAGGTGGTCAATAAGTCTGCAAACTCGGGCTCCAAGACTGACAGAAAAGCAAAGAGATACAGGATAGCTGGCTCACCGGCTAATAATCATTGCAGTCTACAATTTGGCAGCCCTGGGTGCGGACTCCAAAACTATGTATTCCAATCTAGGTATAGAGCGCTCCTGGAGGCCTTCGGTCACTCTGAATCTGCTCGAACCTGCTGTGCCACATCGTCACGCTTCTTGTACCATACTATCCAAGCAACCACCAAAGTGAGGAGTGAAACCAGCACTGTCGTCACTTCTGTCGTTGCGAAGGAAGAGACAGAGCGCGGGAGTCAGAGGGATGTCTCGGACTTGACGTCGCCAAGAGGGGGTATCTGCTGGTTTAGGTATGCTTCGAGGTGATCGATCTCCTCAGGGTCGGCTGAGTGCGCCAGGTTCCTGTGTCTGTTAGAGAATAATTTCCTGTGATTCGAATCGTCGTACTTATAGGTTCTGAAGTCGACCTTGTATCCATGCTTCAGGAGCTCATCAGCGCTCATCTTTCCCCACTTGTGCGCAACCACATTGTCTGCATCGCCATGACCCATAAATATAGGGGTGTTCTGGTTCGGGCTTTCTGTTGGTATCATGTCCTTGAGCTTCTTCTGCAGGAGCAGGTAGCAGCTGAGCCCGAAGATTCCTCCTAGCTGGTTCTTGTATGTAACGCCGGATAGTAACGATATCGCGCCTCCTTGTGAGAAGCCGCCGATTATGATACGGTTCGTAGGTATGCCCTTAGCAACTTCTTGGTCGATCAGGGAATGGAAGTAGTCGCGGGATGCGATGATGCCGCTCTCGTCTTCTTCGCGGGCGTCGAGCGAGCTAAGGGACTTGATATCGTACCAGCCTGGCATGCGCATGCCCATGTTCTAGTGTCTTATTAGCAACCGTGTTGGTTACAGTCTCGTCGAGTGTTCACGCACTAAGGTGATGGGGATGTTGGGGGCGTTAGGGAAGATGAAGGCCACTTCTTCGAATTTGCTACGACGTCGCCAGTTCTCTGCTAGAAATATCCTACACCTCTATCAGCATCTCTCCTCTGTGATAACCATATGCGCCATACCAACCAGCCCCGCTATCCCCAAGCCCATGAGCAACTATGACAGTAGCCGTGTGCCGCTTCAGGGCAGGAACAACCAAGGGTGCCTTTGCAGCCATATCTAAGGTAAGAGAACTATGATTTGTATAGTAAAGTATTGATGAATGCTGGGAAGGCGGGGTAGATCTGGCGCGGTGAAGGTGGTGAACGTACGCGACGCCTCGGCGCATCTTCGCGCTAATATGTCCCTGCATAAGCCAGGGTCCAAGCTCCAATCACCGTCGACGACGTCATGACCCTTAGCCAGACATTCACGATCAGCTACTTTTACTCTCACTTCATCGGAAGTGTGATCTAGTTGATTAAGACTCAGCTTTCATCGAACCATTCACTTACCTCGGCTCCTAACTCTTCACTCAAGCTTCACAATCATCTCACTCAGAGTTCATGCCAAACTGTCTCTAGCATCACGCCTCATCAGAACTTTAGCTCGTCCACCCCTTTATCGACTTAATACCTCCAGTTTACCTATCATGGCGAGAACTACAAGAAGCTCTGCTGTGAAGGCTGAAGCTACGGCACCTCCCGTCATTCAGAAGCCGCTTCAACTCTCAAGCCCTCCTGCGACTCCAGTCCCTCGTAATGCACGAAAACGTAAGGCAGCCATGGTTGAGGACTCCCCCAAAACCACATCATCAAAAGCCCCAATTACTCCAAAGAGCACTAAGAGAGCCAAGAAGGTTGCAGTGAAAGAGGAGGATGTCAACGAACTACCACATAACTTAGGAGCTATTCCTCATATAGCACCCAAGGAGGAAGTGGATGATGCTATACCGCCGAAGAAAACGCCTAATAATGCGAAGAAAGCTACGAAACCCAGCAAAGTGAAGAAAGAAGACGCGGATGATCTTGTTGCGAAAGCTACCATGATTACCGACGAGTCGCCGAAGAAGAAAGGAAAGGCAAAGAACAGCAATTACGGCCTCACCCCTGGACAGACACCGTATCCCAACTATCCCCATCCAACAGCTGAAGAATGCGAGGAAGTGACTCGCCTCTTATCCAAGGTGCATGGGAAGGTTCAAGCCCCAAAGACAATCCCTGCACCATCTCTCAATGTTTCCGGGTGCGGAGAGGTGCCTTCAGTTCTCGATGCCTTGATTCGAACTCGACTATCAGCAGCAACGTCTGGCACCAACTCTTCCCGCGCATTTGCTGGCCTTGTAGCCAAATTCGGTATATTGAAGGAAGGCATCGGTAAAGGCAGCGTAGATTGGAATAAGGTGCGCCAAGCAGAGCAGAAAGAAATCTTTGAAGCGATCAAGAGCGGCGGTCTAGCAGACGTCAAGAGCAAAGACATTAAGAAGATCCTGCAAATGGTGTGGGAGGAAAACCAAACACGGCGCGATGCCCATCTCTCGGTATCGGACCAGGCCCCGGGCTCTATCAACGAAGCTGCGGAGGAGAAGAACGCCGAGGTGGAGAAGGCAGAGCAAAACATAGTCTCGCTAGATCACCTACATCTCCTCTCCAACGACGACGCTTTCAACGCCCTGACAAAATACCCTGGCATCGGCCCCAAGACCGCGTCCTGCGTGCTTCTATTCTGTCTCCAGCGCCCTTCTTTCGCAGTCGATACGCACGTCTTCCGTCTTTGCAAATGGCTTGGCTGGGTCCCTGCACCTGGTGACCCGGCAGGTCTTGCCCCAGGCGCGAAAGGCACGTTTGCAGGCCCGACGCGCAACTCGACGTATGCGCACTGCGAGGTCAGAGTCCCTGACGATCTAAAGTACCCGCTACATCAACTGTTAATCAAACATGGCAAGTCATGTCCACGGTGTCGAGCCATCACGGGGGAGAGCAGTGAGGGTTGGGAGAAGGGATGTGCACTTGATCATCTTGTGAAGCGATCTGGTGGGAGGAAAGAAGGTCTTGCTAGCCCGGCCAAAGCGGCAAGCGGCAAGAAGCCAAAGGCAAAGGGGAAGAAGAAAGCCGTCGAGGAATATGAGAGTGACGCCAAAAGCAGTGGAGAAAGCGAGGCTGAAAGTAGTGACTTGAGCGATCTAGTGAGCGATGCCGAAGTGGAGCACTCTGAAGACGAGCAGTCCGCCTCTGACTGAGGTGGAATGGCGTGGATCCCTTGAAACAATTAATACATCGATACAGCAGCTAGGGGCACTCGATGGCTATCGGTTGCCCCCAAACCAAAATCTAATATTCCTATCAATGAAACTACACAGTCGATTTACACACTCACTTACTCTGTCTGTAGTCCGATTGCACCCCACCGAGTCATGCACGCAATGCAGGCAATGAGCCCATGAACCAACATAAGTGTATCTATACCCAATCCAGTCCGCCTCAACCGTCCCTCCGTTCCACTACCCACTACATGCTCACATTGTTCCTTACACAGCCCATCTCATATATTAAAGGGCAATACTATCACAGTTACACCCGTATATTTAGTACTCGTACAAGCCTAATGTAATGTAGGCGAGCGGCAGGCCAACCGACGCGTAGGGCGAGAAAACGCCACCAATATTTCAGGTTGCTGCTTGTGTAGATGTCAAGGCTGAACTGAGCGCTCGCTGTGTGGCGTATACGTAGCGTAGCGTAATGCCAGTCGGGTGTTTTCTTTCTCTGTAGAGACGATGTTATGAGTGTCTAATTGATCAATGCATTAGGTTGGCTATCTCGTGTCCTGAGATAAGGAAGATTGAGTATGTACTGGTAGGGGTAAGCGCATGCCCTTTGATTGCTGCTTGAGCTAGGCTAGAGCAGAAGAGTACAAAGCCTAAGCTTCTGTGACCTTTCTGTAGTCCTTCTCTACCGGGGAGGGAAGGGGGTTGTGTGCAGCGGTACCTGCTACCGAGTCGTTCTTGGGTGAACAGGATGTAGCTACCATTGCCAGACCATGGATCACCGTTGAGCGATGGGGGATCGAAAGCTAATACCGTAAAATACAATGGTCTGCGTCTAACTTCTAGAACGTCGTTTAGCGATGCACAAGAGCTTTTGTGTTCATTTCCTGTGGCGAGGCGATACACGGAACGATGTAATGGCCCAAATCTTGCACTCTTCCACAGTATCTTCCATCGCACAGCTTTACGCAATTTCCCCAGTGACCATAGCTCGTACCAGCAGCCTATGTGAACATTAGAGGCGACGCAAATCAATTGGGCAACGCATGCGGATTCGGAAGGGTACAAGCCAGGCCCCCAAGCGAAAGGTATCTCAATGCAACAAGGCGCAAGACTCGAGGCTCGTCGCATGCCAATTCGTTCTCGACCGTCACGAGACGACATACAACGCCGATATCCGTTGCATTGCGGGTATCTGCATGCTGGTGTTGCCTTTTGCGCACCGACCCATTGATCAGGCGATACAAGCTTCATTGGGTACTTCGACCACTGACAGCACTGTGATGGCTTGAATGCGTGACATGAAGAGAGAACTGTGGCTGGCTTTGCAATCTCTTCTCTTGCAGATGGAAGAGCGTTGATGTTGTGGTGCTTGATACTGTCTCCGACACGGGGGTAGTCAGGTCTGACAGATGCCCAGTCTCGGATGGCTGCTGTTGACAGCCTGCGTTGCAACCAGTGGCTTCACTTGACACTTGACGGACACCTGTCTGAGATAGCCACAGCAGCAAGCACCAACGTGTCTCTAGTAGATTAGCGTCGTAAGTGTACAACCCATCTAACACAGTGTAAGTCGTGCGGGCAAGTCAGTGACTGGACGACCAGGTTACGCTTGGGTTGCCCGACCGAGCCGATCTTGATAATTCTTCATGTCGAGAGGCCAAGGTTCTTGAGCGATCGAGTGTAGATCAACGATATGTTGCTAGTAATAACTTGCTGATCGAAAGAGATGTAGCCTTGGCGAAAAGCCTTGCATCAGCTCATATGCAAACCCGAAATTTGACAAGCGTGAACTTCTAGGACACTAGTAGTAACAGAACTACCCCAAAGTCGCAAATACATAAGGCTAAAATGCTGACTCCTGTACCGTAGGTTGACCAAGGCTTGATCCCCGGTGAACTCCATATTCCCGTGACGCTTGGTCATTTCCGTACCTCCCGCTTCCTTTCCCTGTGCCCCATAACGCCAGAAAATGAAATTAAGAAAAAGTTCGTGGCTGTGCTATGTTGTAACGCATTAATAATTTCAAATCAAAATGTCTGATGCGGATAGCGCATTAGTACATGTCGTAATGGTATGTTGCTCGTTGAATTGTACACTGCGTGAATGCGGCTCGGTGGTCATATGTAGTCGTAGTCGTGAGAATAAGGAAAAAGGTAACGTAACCCCTTATCCAAGGAGCACTGTTTCTGTTAGCGAGGTGTAGACAAGGTACAAGTACGCCCAACTTACCTTCCCAGTTCCAATCCTTCATCACGCCCAGCCAGTGCAACCGGCCTTTGACTGTAAGGTCATAGTCCAAGTTTTCCATGCTCGAATTCGAGGTTTGCGTCTTTCTAGCTGATTCCTCTGGAACCGGAATAGACAGTGGAATTGTATGGGCTGACTTGGCATCAAGCGCCCTACGCTTAGACCCTCCATCAGGCCAGCAGAATTCGCTATCAGGTTCGAAGTCTTCGAAGAATGCTTCGAAATCACGTTTGAGCGGTGGATCGGGCGAGAAGCTATCGTCCCGCATACTGTCCATGACCGTTCGCTCGGCTGCGTTGGCATCGCGGCGTGCCCAAACCTCCTTGGTAACTTCTAAGCATTTTTCTAGGATGCCGAGTTTCATCCGCGATGACATGAGGCCCCAGCGTTCTTTGACCCAGTTGCGGTCTTCCTGATCCATTACTTCGCAGCCTGCAGCCATGAGAGGGTAAATGTGCACAATGACGGAGCGAGAGCGTGGCTCAACAGTAGCCAATTCGCAAAGTGCCCTCTTGGCAAGGACGCTTGCTGACTGCGATGGTATTTCGGGAACGGCCTGATGCAAGTAGAGCAGTGTTGCATACTGATATGCAACGGCAGTCTTGACAGAATCATGCGGGCTGGTTGTCTCATCTTCGGGATCTACAATGAATGAGGGTGGCGTCCATTCCTCAATTTGCGACTTGAGCTGCATTGCCTGTGATATTATGCTTGGTCCGTTACTTTTCGATCTTCGAACTTTCCTGACCAGGTTTGCCACGCGGCCTATGATGGGGAACAGTGTGTTTGCACATCCCATTAGAGGATCAAGAGTCGTCTCCGTTTCGCCTGTCGCGTAGATGCTTTCATGAACAGCATCAACGTCGTTTGATTCATCATCATCGGCAGAAGTCAGACGAGCGATCACGTCCATATAAATCCAGGTGTTGCAGAGAAACTTCAGACGAGTCCAGTCCTCGCCCAGCTTTGGCGTTTGACGATGTTGCACAAGGGCCTGGTTGATCAATATTTTGGCGCCCTTGATATGGTCGATCCCTGTGCTGATATGCTGGTCCCAGGATTCGGAGAAGGCGAGCACAAGTGTTGTCGAGATGGCTGCATCGAATCGCATGTTTTGCAGCCCCGCCGCTAATGCATGAACGGCATTCCGCATGTGGTCAATCCCTTGGATGCGCAGAGCGGGCATTACCGTCGACTGGTGGAACGACGTCATGGAGGCGATTGCATGATAAAGCGCCGGGCAGTCGCGCGTGAGGGGCCACACTAGGGTTCGCCATGGATTCTCTGTGGGACCATCTTTTACGGAGAGTATGCCACACGTATCTCTATCGTACCGCCGGGTGAGGGATTCTGGCGAAGTAAGGGAGAACTGCGGTTGGCTCAGAATCTTGAAATCTGGCGAGTCGGGGGACGAGCCTGAGGAACTTGAGGGTGCTGGCGAGGGTAAGCGCATGACCCAAGCTTCTGGATCGATGTTGACGCTGCGGGGTATCTCCTCGATGTCTTCGTCCATGGGTGCCGGCGGGGTCAGGCCAGTGGGCTGGTAGAATGCTTCATGTCGGGAGAGAAACGACGAGTATTCCTCTGGTGGTACATTGAGATTTGTGCCTGGTAACAGAAGGTCTACAAGGCGTGGCGACTGTCCAGAGGATACGCTTGAAGCCGTAGTAGTCTTGGTATGCATTGTGTTGATGCTGTCCTCTCTGAACAAACTTTGTGGTCCTCCGAGCGAGCTCGGCGGATAGGAATCGACTGGTGAAGTCGAGTGAGGGGCCATGTTGAAAGCTGACGACTGCTGGCCGGGATATATGGGCCCTGGCGGGAACGATGTCGACGGAAACGATGTTTGTAGTGGGAGGCCATGTAGGGCGGGGTATGAGATGGGCGTCGGCGGATAGTAGGCGGTCTGGGCTTGATTGGAGAAGGCATATTGAGGCTCGTGAAAACTGGCAGGGTGAGGGAAGTCGAAAGGTGCGGAAGTCGGGGTAGTTCCACCGTCTATGTTGTCAGAGAATTGCCAAAGATCATTCTGAGAGCGTGAGGCTTTGCGTGACTTTGCAGGTGGCTTCCCGGGGATATTGGGTTCCTCGAATGGGCGCCATTTGAAGTCCTTCTTGTAGCCTCCGCACGCCACTGCCCGTTTTGCACACTGCTGGCAGGTGGGTTTCGTCTCGTCGCATTTCAAACGCTTTGCTTTGCAGGTAATGCATCCTAAAGGCAAACATCAATACAGCGCTTTGGCCGCAAGCGACTAGGGAAGTACAAAGAAGATGGTAGCCTACCATTACGGCTCTTAGACTGCTTCCTCTTGGCCACGCCATTGGTTTGCGACGCTTTCGGGGCCTCTTTGCTCGCAGAGAGTGGTGCTTGTGGTGCTTGTGGTGGTGGAGGTGGTGGAGGCACGATCTTGGACCCGGTCGCGATGATTTGTGGAGTAGGGCCCGGCGATCGCAGCAAGAGCGAAGGCGATGGAACAGTGACAGTCGCGGCCATGTGCCAGGATTCGAGGGCAGACAGCGTGTGTCGCTGAGCCGCCTGTCGCGACCTAGACGGTCAATGTCTGTAGTATCGTCAGGAGCCAGCGTTGCAAAGACACAGCTGGACCATTTGGGGGTCGACGACAGGCCGATGGAGGGATAACGGTATCTAAAGTGGAGTTGAGGCCGGGGATGCGCCGCTAGCGCAATCAGCATCTCCAGCTAATAAACCATGTACTCACCAACAACTAGGGCAGCGTGGGGTTTCGGCAGGATCGTGCACCGGCGTGTGCAACTGAGCCCCCAATGCCTCGTATACAACCATCACCGCCTTGTACTCGTACTCGGCCCTGTACCATTCTGCACTGGCTCGAGTCCAGCTCCGCGTGACCGTATGCTCTGGAACTAGCCGTCGCCTTTCCCTTGTGCAGCCTGATCGCCGCCATCCTGCCCTATCACCCGTGGCATGGGCTTGCTCCACAAACGGCGCCGTCTTGTTTCGGGCGTCTCATGCCGAGGGAATGTTCGGGTGCGCAGAGGCAGAAGATCGGGATGGCATCTCTGACAGCTCGAGTTGGTCGGCATGGCTACGCTGGCGCAAGGGACAGCTCATGTGCGTAGGCGGCCTACTAGAGAGCAATCTCCACGGTCCACTTTGCATACTATCAGAACTCACCTGCACCTATCGACAGCCCTCTACCTCTGAAACAGCTTGTCAAGGGCGAACCTCAACCTCCAGACATCGCCATACCACAGGAGCGAGACCTCAGACATGAGACTCGTCCAGCCTGGATCCTCCTCTTTGCCTCTGCTCTGCAACGCTCTCCACTTTGGTCATGGTGTGCCTCGTTACATAAGCAGACGACAAGAACCTCTGCAACGCGTCGCTCAACGAATCAAGGCTGACCCGTTGGCAATAGCCTCGTCGACTACGTCAACATGCACCGAATCGCCCACATGCATGAAAGGGTTACCAGAGAACAAGTGGAAGACTTTGAATTCATCTGAACATGCACACGCTTGCCTTGAACGCATGAAAAGGAACCACTCCTTGTGGTGACAAGATGAGTGCTAACAACGCACTTAGTTTCCGACCTGAATAGCATAGCCGCCATCGACAGTAACAGTCTGACCATTCAGATACTGGCAGGCGACAACAAACAGAATCGCTGCGGCCATGTCCTGATCCTTCCCTGGTCGCTGAGAAGGAAGATGCTCCTTGTGCTCTTTCGGCATCTCGCTCTTCTGGTTGTCATCTCTGCTCTCCTTCGTAGTCATCTCGCTCGGGAAGACGCCCGGTGCAATGCTGTTGACACGAACCTTGATCTTGTTCTTTGCAATCTCCGAGGCGAGCAACTTGTTCAGATGGATCGTAGCGCCCTTGCTGGTGTTGTATGCGAAGTGACCCTGCGAGATCTTGATGTGGCCCGATATACTGCTGATATTGACAATGGTTCCCGAGTAGCCCTTGTGCACCTCTGTGGCTTTCTGAAGGAGAGGGAGGAATGCGGTGCTCATGAGGAAGGGGCCCACGACATTGGTCTGGTAGACGTCGAGCCACTCCTTCTCTGTGGCCGGCTCAAACACGTTCTCCTTGAACTCCTCTGCACTGTCGACACTGGTCTCGACCTTGCCAGGGGCGATGCCCGCGTTGTTCACGAGGATGCACAGGCACTTTTCGCGAGACTCGATCTCCTTCACAAGCTTCCTGTTGCATTCTCAGCAATTTGAACCCACCTCTGGGTAGTTGGTCGACTTACTCTACGCCATCTTTCTTTGATACATCGCCGACAATGGGGATGATCTCGCCAGCAATGTCCTTACCATGTACTTCGACCACCTTCTCAAGCTTCTCCTCAGTCCGTCCGACAATGTACCTATAGTGGGAGCAGTCAGCAAATGTCTCACGTGCACTTCATACATACATCTAGTCTCACGTACACCTTGGCTCCATTGACAGCGAGCGTCTGCGTGATCATCAAGCCGATGCCTGATCCTCCACCTGTGACGAGTGCGACCTTGCCCTTGACATCGAACACCGTGCTGAGCTGAAGTTCTGAGTTGTTCGTTGACATGTTGCTGTATGGTCGGTGAAGTTGATTCGTGATATAATTTGTGCCTTGTCGTGTTTGCATACGAGTTGTTGTAGAAGATGAGCGGTTTGATTGCAGTGTCAAAGTCGAATTATAGTGAGTAGCCGCTGAGAGCGCGCTGACGTCACGGGAAAAACATCGCGTTGCAGCGCGCGTCAAGGTGACGTTCGATGGTCTGAGGAACATTGCTATTTTCATAAACACAACGAATAATAGGAAAGGATTGAGCAAACAAGAAAATCCTCCAAGCTACGAAGTAAACGCAACTTGCATATGATGGGTGCATTTTAGAGACAGTAAACGGTGCCGCCAGGGCCTAACCAGCGTTCATCATTACATCATGCTCGGAAAACCATCACACGCGCTATCACGTTTTGATCATCGACCAAGGCAGCTTCATAGATATAACTTTCAAGCGTGTGCTTGAACGACGACAAATGCCGAAGAGCTCGCATCGCGTACATGCTAGTCGAAAGTCTCCTTTTGAATCATTATACGATCTAGGATCAAAGGTATGTCATAGTGCGTAAGCTCGGCCATGAGATATAGGTTGAAGCTAGATGTTCGAGACGAAGCGTCGGGAGGGAAACAATGGAGCAAAAGTCTAAATGCGTTGATACTGTGGCTTTAACATCCTAGTGTATATGTTCTGATCAAGTGTAAACTTAGCTCCGAAGTCGTGCGTGATACTAGTTGACTTGGAGTCGGTGTGAGATTCGTTATGCCTGTTACATGTTGGTGCCTCTGTTCCAGGTTCCTCCTAGCTACCAATGTACTGGCAGGCCATCGTAAATCTACTCTCAAACTTAATATAATCAGTGGAACTTCGCTTGCACCGCCCCATACCTCACTCCATCCACCTTGAGTTCAAACACCAACCCAGCACTCTCAATCCGCATGTCGAGAGTAAAGTCTAGATTATCAAACTCCACACCCTTTGTCGTCGTCAATCGCGTAAACAAGCTCTTTGGCACAGTATTCAAATCAGTCGTTAGGGTACACACGTTGATGAGGCCTTTGCGGAACGAGTCAGGTGAGGTGTCGGCATCGCAGGCAATGAGGTCGTCTTCAACGATGAGGGATTGCCCGGGCCGGAAGTTGCGCGTGTAATGGAAGGATATGGGTGTCGATTCGGAGACTTGTGCGCCCTAGCAGGGAATTAGTATCGGTGACGGGGGCGGGATGGATGAGTGTGAAGTTACCTTTGCGATGTGCCATTGCATCCTGTCGCTTACCATCCATCGTTCCCAGAGTGGACTCCAGTACCGATCAGAAATCGGATGCTTCGCTTCGTCGAACACAGTCGCATAGCTCGTCCCGTAGTGCCATCGCGATCTCCTGCTAATCACCATGTTGCCTTCTAACCCTCTCAGCACTGCGCCCCTAACTACTGCTGTCCAAGCGTGTATGGGATGGTAGATTTCGACTGACTGCGGCGCGCTTAGTGCAATTGCGTGCGTTGGTCTTTCAGTATACGGCGGCGGAGGCGCACTATTGAAGTGTGACTTCATCCGACCATACAGATAGTTGCTCTGTCCGAAGCCACCGACTAGAACGATACCACACACTAGGCCGCCTTTTGCACGTATGCTATTGACTTGGCCTTCTACTAAGTGTATAACCTCCTGTACAACGGGGTCAAATATCTCTTTCACTTGTTCAGCACTCATGATCAAGAAGCCCGAATCCAGCCCTGCCTCCTCGTCATCAGGCAGGCCAGGGAAGGGAACGTTCACCTCGGCATGTTCTTCCTCGTTGAAATTCCGCTTCACGAATTCTTCAAAGTACTTCAAGCCCATGTTCCAAGTCTTCGCTTTTTTCTCGCGCATCCAGTTATACCGTTCGGTTCCTATTCGCTGCTTGACGTGGTCTTCGAAACGGTAGTTGAGGAATGCTGAGCCACACCTACATTCACAGTACGAATTAGTATGTGTCGTGATTGCATTACGTATCGTCAAAGTTCACTTACAACCCACCAGTGCCAACAGCGCTCTCTTCGACGCGGAGAGGATTAAGCTGAGTGATCTTGTATGCTATCAAGTCGACAGTACCGCCACCTACATTTGTCAGTCAAATCCTTAATTGGCGTTCAGTTTCAATGCGACCTACCAGCATCGCATACGACGAAGTTATCCCCAATTTGCAGATGATTTGGCTGTATGGCTTTCAGTGTATACACCGCCGCAGCTTCAGGCTCCGATATGAGCTTCAAGTCATGACGGTTCCCCATCCCTGCTTTCTCTGCTGCCTTCAACGTGGCATGCTTCGCCGAATCCGACCATACCGCAGGCACAGTAAGTACGAATTGAACCTTGGTCATGCCCATGAAGGTCTCGCCATATCTTCTTGTCAATGTCTCCATTGTATGTTTGTATATCTGCGAAAGATAATCCGAGGCAGCTTCCATGACGGTCTTCTCGTACTTGCGGAGCTGCGCAGCCGTTTCGAGCGGCGATACGAAATGGGGTAGCTTTTGGTTTCGGTCGAGGAACAGTTTTATGCAACGAAGACGCGTGTCTTCCGGCTTGAACTGAAATCCCCATTTGATAGTCTGTGCTGGCTTTGCGGATGCATCGAGCGAGGAGCTGGAGCCATTATGGGCGGGAGTTCCTGTGTAGCCGATTTCGGTGGGGACTTTGTCGGAAGTGATTCCTAAGTATAATCGTGAGCTTGCAGCGCGCCATGGTTCAGTTGTTGGACAGCGTACCGTTCCCGCCCGGCCATGTCTTTATGATGTCTATATCGTCTGGAGTCGCGCTGTAAACAGCGGCCACACCTAGTGGAGATCAGCACCCTAGCTTTCCAACCATGGACCACCAAATGCCTGTTACCTACCGCTGTATGTTGTACCAAAGTCTACGCCTACAATCAGCCTATCCTGGGCTGCGCTAGGTTTTAGGGCGCTGCCTGCGCCTGTCGCGATGCTGGCATTGGTGCCTGGATCGAACGCATAGGGGATATTGCTCCCCCGGGTCGGAAACGTGCCTTCCATCCTCTAGCGATATCGAGTCTTGCACACAGTAGGCTGTTGTTGCCGATTCGCTCGTCGCGTGTCGTCTGGAGGCGGGGCTGAATGTGCAAATGAGCGGGAGACAGTCATGGAGACGCGATTGCGAGTGGGAAGGTCGTCGAGGTCATCGATGTGTCTGCCTGAAAGGCATTGAACAATTCAGGCACCGGCGAAGTGCGCCGTGTATGGTTGAAGCCTGGCGTCCAGCGGTGCGATGCATGGCAGGCTTCCAGCTGTAGCTCGGATGATCATCAGCCACGCGAGGCTGCAGTATCGTATCAGCCCCGCAGTCGTTTCGCGCTGTCATAATCCTCGAAGCCCCCAGCGAGAGTTGTACACTCTCGCGAACTAGGGAAGCTTATTCGAGGTGTGAAGTTCATGCGATGGTTATCTTTCCGAGATGAGACCCTGGAATCGGAACGCTCGGTCACAGCTATAACAGGTATGACTGGCGAAAGAAAGAGCTCTGGTAGGCGTCACCCGTCTAGGACATTGACTTGGCTGCTATCATCCCTCGACGGTTGTTGACAAGCGTAGATCTTTCCAGTCGCCTCGGCGTGAAGCGCGGTGCAAAGCTTATTGCGAAGACATCGAAGCCCATTTCCGATACTATTAGCACCCCACCGAAAGCTGCGATAGCTGCTCCCAATGCAAAAAAGGACGAGTTGCCCCGTCGGAGGAACCCCTTCAATGACATGCTCCGGCAACGGAGTGGAGAAGCAGCAGACGATGGCAGAGATACGATGACCTCGCCCTCGGAACGAGAGCCTGATCATGAAGCTCGTCCTCCCCAAGCAGCCAAAGACACGGGAGGAAAAGTAGCAGAGCTAGAGAGGGCTTTGGCAGGAGCAAGGCAAGAGCAGGATTTGTTGAGAGAAGAGCTAGAGAAGACCAGACAGCAAGGGCAGACATGTCAAGATACAATTGAACAGCTAAGGCACCAGCTCGCTGAGACACAACGAAAGGCGGACATCGCTCCCTCCCGTATATCAGCCGAGCATGAACAAGACAACCAAGTCCGCCGGTCCTCTGATCGTTCAGGAGATGACGTGTTTCGACAAAATTACGAACTGCGCTACAGACTCGTGCAAGTGCAAGAACAGCTAGTGGCCCAAGACGCCATGTACCGCGACCAGCTCGAGCGAGGAGCATCACAACATGACGAGGCAGAATGGAACGAGCTACGCTCCCGTCTTCACGCCACCGAGAAAGAATCGCAAGAGAGGCTCCAGCAGCTCCTGTCTCTCAAATCTAGTATCTCTTCCCTCACACGCGTGGACTCGCAGACCACGGACAACGAACTTGCGGAGTCATTCTCGCAGCTCGCACATCGTGTTCGAGAATGGGTGATTACGAACTTCAGACGGTCCAAATTGAATCTTGATAATATCCCAGCGGAGACTGTGAATGTCCTCAAGGCTGTAACCCCTGACTATGCGCTTGTTGGCGGTACGGATAGACTCGCGTTGTATCAAGCAGTCGTAACGAACAAGCTCATGGAGATTTTTCAAGAACCCTTCGTCGTTGGACTGCCGGAGACGGGTCCCCTGGCAGCATTTCGACAATGTGCTCAATTTATCCACGGTGCTGGACCTGAGTATAGCGAGTGGAGACGAGTAACGATTCGTGTAATGGGGAAGAACAGCAACGTGAATCACGCACGCAATGAAGGAAGAGCGGGTGTGTTGCACCGACTGGCTGGGGACGTTGGACATCTACTGTTCACTTTGACGTCTGTCAGCATCACATCGGGTGCGCAAGCAGGGCTGATGGGTATCTTCAATGCTGCTGCGGATCTGCAACATACCCTCGCGCTCCAGAAGGCGCAATATCAGTTGCTCTTTTTTCATAACGAGGAAGGGCAACCTACCCACTTTGACAGTCGAAGGATGGAGCCTGTCAACGACCTGGACACTGTGTTGGACGAGGACGGCGACACGCTCATAGAGCGAAGGGTCCTCTTCTGCGTGTTCCCGTGCCTAGAGAAGTTCGGCGATGAATGGGGTGAGCATCCAGACACGAGCAATGTTCTTCTGAAGGCCAGAGTATGTTGTGGCGTCGAATAATATTGGCGAGGCCTATGGTAACTAATGTAGACTATGTGTGGGTTGTGCCAAAGGCTCGTGCTCAGTCAGGTCTTGTACAGGTGCTTCGAGGAGCAGACGAGACCAAAGAAAAGGAGCCAAAGGCGATAGCGCCACGGTCCAAAGGACGGCCGCACAAGACGTGCAATGCCGATATGGAGGTCGCGGGCAGTTCAATCTTCGCACGTAGACTAATCGACACAGTATTGAGGAATAACTCGTGGCAATTTAAGAATGTGCGGTCTTCAGGGAGAAGTCGGGATATTGGAACGCGACGAAAGAAAGGGTCATTGATGTTTACTCAGCCACACCCAATCATGAACTATTCGTCTGCGTCATCGTCATCACCTTGAACGTCCATAACTCGTTCGCCAGCTTTTTCGAGCGCTCGGCGACTCCAGACACGTACACCTTTATAAACCGCCTATTAAGCTTTAGTAACTGCCTAATCAATTTGCAGACAACTTCAATACGTACCGCGAGGAATGTGCCTACGCCGATCAGGATGATGATCCAACTGACCTGCTCATACCGATCGCGACCGGTCGTACGACCACGACCGCCTCCAATCCTGAAGTAGGAAAGCGGACTGGCTATTAGAACTTTTACAAAACCAAGCACACCCATACTGGCGAAGCCTTTCGCAAAGTGCTCATACCAGGTACTTGGCTCATCATCTTCATAGTGAGAGGAGTAACTAGATCTTGACCAGCTAGACCATGGCGTGAGGTAACTCCATGGGTCCAAATACAAGTTGATGATAGGATCAGCGAAGAATCCGAGGAAGAAGACTATCAAAATTAGAATCAATGCTGTCAAGGTTATCTGAGCAGCTGCAATGTCATTAGCATCTTCTATTTTTTGTGAACAGAGCAGTACGCATCGACTTACCAACACTGCCAATGAATCGTCCAGCGCCCAAGCGCGCAAGTCGGTACTTGAAGCCACAGGTAGGACACTGCCAGTAGTTTCTCCGTCCATAATCGGGATCGGCATGGCGCCACGCCTGCAGACAAGCTTCGTGAACATATTTCGAGGAGCCTTTGCACAAACACGGCCGGATCAGGCGCCCGCTATCGTCTTCGTAGACAACGTTGGATGACTGCAGGAAGCTGGGGAGATTCTGCGAAGGGACATTGAAGGTAGGCTGAACAGTCTCAAGACAAATCCTGCACTGCCTGGGTGGCCAATGTGTACGCCTGGATCGTGTGCTTTGTCCTGCCGAAGGAGTTTCGCCAGTGGCTGAGGTGCTTGATGGCTGAGGCTGAGATTGCGATGAAGATGACCCGGACGAAGGCGTTGCATGTGAAGGTTCGTTCTTGGGCATATCGTCGGGCCAGTACCAGCCTGGCATAGCCTGGAACCCAGAGGAAGCAGACATGTTGTGTTGAAGGTTGATGTTCGCGCGGAAGCTTGACGGAGGTTAATGCGAATCTTACCGGGAAGGAAGCATGGGACAAATATAGTGATGTGATTATTCAGGAAGCCGCGGAGAAGACATTCGCCAACTTAAGAGTCTCGGTAGCGCGGAGCATGTTCCAGCACAGCCTCCTAATTCTTTGAGTGGCACAAAAGACACGGTGGCAGACACGGCAGAGGCGTGGACAAAAAGCGGTTGTAGAAAGTCAAAGAATCGAAGGTCAAAGGTTCCAAGTTGGAAGGCGCCCGGAGGCAGAGTATGGCCGATTGCCGATATGGCTTGGCACCTTGCGACGAAGCTCCGTAGCCTGGAGCTCCAGCTCAGATCGCCTTTAGTATTCGCGCTTATCCACCACCCCGCTACATCTCTGTCTACTTCGTCGAGTTGACCTTCTCCTATCCATTCGATCGATCACTCACACTCGACCATGGCGGACAGATATTCGTTCTCGCTCACCACATTCTCGCCCAGGTAAGCGTTGCTCCACAGCAGTGGTACATGCGAGGTGTTTGCTAACTTGTTTGCGTAGCGGCAAGCTGGTACAGATAGGTATGCACATTCTATGATCCGAAAGGTCGCCCAGTCTGTATTTGAACGGGTTCTGATTGATACATAGAGTATGCCTTAAACGCCGTCAACCAAGGTGTTACCTCTCTGGGCATTAAGGGTATGTTGCGTCCTACACTGGGCATAAAACCTAGATCATTGCTCATCGCTTGTACTAGCTACCAATGGAATTGTCCTCGCAACCGAGAAGAAGTCGTCATCACCGCTCATCGACTCGCAATCCTCGTCGAAGATCAGCCTCATAACCCCAAACATCGGCATGGTTTACTCTGGAATGGGCCCCGACTACCGTGTTCTCGTCGACAAGGCTCGCAAGGTCTCACACACCGGCTACAAGCGCGTATACAACGAGTATCCACCCACGAGGATATTAGTCCAGGATGTGGCGCGCGTGATGCAGGAGGCTACACAGTCGGGTGGTGTTCGGCCGTATGGTGTTAGTCTGCTCATCGCAGGCTGGGATGATGGCATTGAGCCAGAGGCGGAGGAGGGCAAGAGCGAGGAGCAGATAAGTGAAGAGAAGAAGAAAGTGAGCGGCAAGACCGGTGGCATCCTGAAAGGTGGCCCCAGCCTGTACCAAGTCGACCCTAGCGGTAGCTACTTTCCGTGGAAAGCGACAGCGATCGGCAAGAGCGCGACGAGTGCGAAGACGTTCCTGGAGAAGCGGTACACCGAGGGTTTAGAGCTGGAGGACGCGATCCACATCGCTCTTCTTACTTTGAAGGAGACAATAGAGGGAGAAATGAATGGCGAGACGGTCGAGATCGGCATTGTGGGCCCGCCAGAGGACCGTCTGCTTGGTTTCGAGGGAGTTGAGGGAGCAGTCGGCCCGCGGTTCCGGAAGCTGAGCCCTTCGGAGGTCGAGGACTACCTGACCAATCTGTAGAGAACAAGTCTATTCGTGTGGTCAAACTACAGTACCGGCGTGTAGTCAGGGTAGCATGTCAGAGTGAGTTGCGGCGCTATGCGGGTTCGCCATCGGGAAGTAGAAGACATGGACGACTTATGTAGCAATTATGAAAATAACGCCTTCAAACGCACAATACTCCTAGCTTCTTCACTTTGTCTCGTGTGTAAACAATTCTCATTTTTATTACTTACCAGGCTGATACGCTTAGGTGCACTTGCTGTCAGGCTGTAATATCACTCAACTCGGCTAGCGCGGTCTTCCCTTACCTTTGGAACCCAGCCTCTTCTACCTCGATCAAGCTCGCAGCCATACACATGTTGCCATCACTTGCTGCGATGAATCCGCCTGAAGAGAACACTGACGATGGAGGCACCCTCACAGCTGGATCGACCGATGAGCCGTTCCGTTTACGGCCATACCAGGCTGAAATGGTCGAAGAGAGCCTAAAGTCGAACATCATCGTCGTCATGGATACTGGCAGCGGGAAGACGCACATGTACTTGTTCCAGACTATTCTTTCACCTCAGAGTGCTGATATGATGCCAGTGCTATCGACCGCACAAGAGCGGAACTGGAGACTTGCCAGCCTGACCAGGTGCGGATATCTACACATTCCATCCTAAGCTAGTACTTGTCTAATGGAACCAAGCTGGTATGGTTTCTTGCACCTACAGTCACTCTATGCGAACAGCAGTATGAAGTCTTCCGATCCAACTTGCCTGCTTATGGCATTCAGCTACTTTGTGGAAAGGACGGCATCGATCATTGGACCGAGCAGAGTATTTGGGACGCAGTGCTGCACGGCGTTCGCATCGTTTTATCAACGCATCAGGTGCTACTGGATGCTCTCACCCATGGTTTCGTCAAAATGGGAAAGCTAGCTCTACTCATATTCGATGAGGGTACGACTACTATTGAACTCACGGTATTCTCATAGCTCATATGTACATAGCGCATCACTGTACTCTGAAGCATCCTGCTCGCCTCATCATGTCCGAATGTAAGTAACCCTAGTTTACGAATTGCATGCAAGACATATACTGACTTTGTACCTTAATTTCTAGTCTACACTAATCGAGTAGAAGGCGGTTGCAGTTCGCTACCCAAAGTTCTAGGCTTGAGTGCAAGCCCGGTAAAGACGGCAAGAGCAACTGTGCAAGATCTTCAGTAAATTATTCTTCCATCATTGCAGAATTCTCCTGATGAGAGTAGGCAAATTGAGCAAAATCTGCACGCCACTGCTAAAACACCAAAGGTCCATCGATCAGACCTTATTCGATACGTTCACAAACCCGAACTTGTTCAGGTTAGCTACCGCGCCGAACCACTGAACGAAACACGCTCCCATTTACTCCTTGCACTCGAGAGCGCATTTGCTAACTATGATCTCATGACCGACCCATATGTTGTGGACCTGTTAGCAAAACAACATGACGGGTACGACACCTCTAAACAACTGCAGAAGACTCTTATAAGTCGAAAGACGTATTGTAGTGATCAACTGAGAACCCTTATTTCCAAAGCGAAAAATATGGCACAAGAACTAGGGATATCGGCTATGGAATGGTATCTGCATCAGTGCATGACACAATTTGAGGCAATGGTCCACGCCTCCGATCAGCAACTGTTCGACTCGTCTGTGGATGAAAAGCGACACCTCCTAAATATCCTCGAACGGCTTCCATTCTCTAGCTTTACGCTTGCTCCACCGATGTCTTTAGACAATATCTCACAGAAAGTGTCGAGACTTGTTGACATATTGGCTGCCGAAGCCCATAATAATTCAGGATTCACGGGTCTTGTTTTCGTCGAGCAGCGCGTGTGGGTAGCTGCCCTTGCCGAGATTCTTTGTGTTCACCCACGGACGAGAGAACTGTTCCAGGTTGGTTCTTTCATCGGAACTTCACAATCCGGCAAACGCAAAGCAAGCATTGCCAGTTTTCCTGAGCCCAAAAATCAACAAACCACTCTCGAGGACTTCCGCGCGGGCAGAACGAACTTGATCCTTACAACGAGTGTACTCGAGGAAGGCATTGATGTGTCCAGTTGCCATCTAGTCATCTGCTTCGAGCCGCCCAAGAACCTGAAAAGTTTTGTACAGCGACGCGGTAGAGCGAGAAAACAGGAATCAAAGTATTTCATTTTCACCTCTGATACTGGGAGTGTACCATCATCCGGGTCGTGGCAGTCGCTGGAAGCAGAAATGAAAGCGACATACGAGAACGACATGCGAAATTTCGAGCAGGCAGAAAAGGACAAGCGACAATACGAAGATGGGGAACGCTTTTTCGAGGTCCCTAGTACTGGGTAAGTCTGCTTAGGCTAGCCTTCGGGCTAACCGGATTTGTTTGCTTGCGTGCTACTTGGAGCAAACTAACGCGACCATGCACTAACTTTTGTCCCAGTGCACTGCTGACGCTCGACAACGCTTTTCAGCATCTCAACCATTTCTGCGCTTCACTGGGGTCGGGGGCGTTCGTTAATACAGCTCCGCAATTTGAATTTCTGGACGAGCAACTTGGTCAAACCACCGCAAGAGTCATACTTCCCACCTCGATCGATTCTACAGTTAGGTCTGCCCAGAGCTTAAAGAGCTGGAGAACAGAACGAATGGCCATTAGGGATGCAGCATTTGAGGCATACAAAGCCTTGTATCTTGCTGGCCTAGTGAATGACAATCTGCTTCCTGCGCGACATCAAGCGAATGAACAGGCTGCACAATCTGGCCTTTCAGATCCCAGGCCGTCCGTGGTAGCGGTGTCGCCAACCTTCGATCCTTGGCCATCAATTGCTCGATGCCAGCAGAATAATCCTCACGTGTGGCATCGTACCCTGCTTGAGGTGCGCCCATCCGAAGAAGAGCCAATGCGTATGATACTACTGACGCCAGGTCTTATACCCTCAATCCCAGAGATCCTGCTATATTGGAACGAGACAAAGCGGTATATGGTGAAGAGCTCATCGCTGCCTGACATAACTTTAACTGACTCTGAAATCCGATTACTGCGCTCGATCACCTGGAAGGTCCTTCAGTCCGTACTCTATATGGAGAACGACACATACGATTTCTTGTGGTTACTTGCACCATGCAACCCAACAGGCCGCACCTTGAGTAGCAATGCACTTTCTAACTGGCATAATTCAACCGAAGGTGAACAGTCAGCCCTAGAGCTTACGATAGGAGGCTGTAATGTTCCAGCAGACTGGGGCCTCGTGACACATCAAGGTCGGAAATACATATTGAAAACTCTCAATGTATCTCGGCCTCAATACACGTCAGCTGTAGAAGAAACTCAACTCCAGGCAATCCGGTTACCCAAACGACGAGACTTCCTTCATCCAGTGCCAGACAACGAGCGCGAGAACGAGGCATACACGAGAAGCGAGAACCTTTCAGCTTCTGAATGCATCGTGGGGAAGCTTCCTGCTTCTTACTCTATCTTTGCGCTTCTGTTTCCCTCAATATTGCACAGATTCGAGGTACACATGATCGCAGAGGCAGCCAGAACAACACTGCTAAAGCCTATATCGTTCAGATCGGCAGACTTGCCAATCATTGTCACTGCACTTACTTCGTCTGCAACCGGCGAAGAAGACAACTATGAAAGACTCGAGTTCCTTGGAGATACCATTTTGAAGTTCATTGCCTCAGTGCACCTAATGGCAGACAACCTTACTTGGCCAGAAAGCTTCCTTACCGGAAAGAAAAGCAAAATCGTTAGCAATGCGTTCCTGGCCCGAGCAGCGTTGGCTTCTGGTCTTGACCAATTCATCATCACTAAACGCTTTACCGGGGCAAAGTGGAGGGCCAAATGTATTAACCAGGTTCTAACTGACAGCAGGTCTCCGTCAAAGGAAGAAAAGTCCTCAAAACTGGTTGCCGATGTAGTTGAATCGCTCATCGGTGCTTCGTATGTGGTCGGTGGCCTTCCCAAGGCATTCGCTTGCATCCAAACATTGTTACCGCTGGAAGATTGGATACCCATTCCGGAAGCCGATCAAGCACTCTACGAAGCGGCCCCTACCCAAGACACGATAAATAGCTTAGCCATCGTAGAGAGTCTGGTAGGATACAAATTTACGAAGAAGGCATTACTCTTCGATGCCCTTACCCATGCATCGTACACTGGGCCCGCTGCACATTGCTCCTACGAACGATTAGAATTCCTGGGCGATGCTGTCCTCGACTACATCGTCACGAAGAGGCTCTTCGAGTCGAAACTCTCGCATCACACAATGCATCTTATAAGATCGGCGATAGTCACTGGCTCTTTCCTTACCTACAGTATGTTCGAAACGACAGTACAAGACGAGACCACCAACAAGTCGACTATGCAACCAGAGGTACACCATCGAGCTCTATGGCAGTTCCTTAGATCCGGAAATCAACAACTCGTTGCCGCGAGAGACATCGCTCTGAATCACCACATGAATGCCAGAGAGCAGATAGTTGCAGCACTAGAGCATGATGCAACATTTCCATGGCATCTCCTCGCTCTCATCGATGCGCCAAAGTTCCTCTCTGATATCGTAGAGAGCGTCATAGGCGCCATATACGTGGATTCTCATGGCAGTATTCCTGCCTGCGAAGTGTTTGTCCGCCGGCTGGGTATTGTCGACTGCGTCGACCGTATCGTGCGTGATCAAGTTGACGTCACACACCCAAAGGTGCGCTTGGGCATTCTTGCCGTGGAGAAGAACGTTAAATACGTTCAGGTCAAGCACGATCAAGGTGACGATGTGAGCATGAACAAGATGTATCGGTGCCAAATCATAGTAGGGGGGGAGAGCGTCGGGGGTATAGTCGAGGGACTGAAGAGGTGGAGCGCTGAGACAATCGCTGCCTGGAAGGCGGTCGGGATACTCGAGAGGGGGGTAGATGCCGTGATGGAGGATAGTGAAGAGGATGACGTGTTTTTCGATTCCGAAGAAGGCGGCGGTGTCATGGTGGAAGACTAGTCTTGAGTCAGTCGACGACAACGCATGCGGCGTAGCTGAAACGCAGTCTATGGATGTCGATCGTGGATCTGATACTGCAGGTCCGCGTATACCATCAGTAGCCTTTTCATTATGTTTCCACTTCCTCTATGGGGTATCTTCTTGGGTTGGGTCGTGATCTATGACAGACGGAGCAAGGCATTGGCAAGTTGAGACTGAAACAGCACGACATCGACCAGCAACATTGACGGCGGGCGGAGACTTCAATAACGAACTTTCACTATTTCTCAAATCGATTCGAACATGGTAATGGTGAGATCATGAAGGGTCCTCAACTTGATTCACGGAAAATTTCTGTGTGCGGCGGTCAGCGAAGGTATTAGCTCAGAACACGCGACCAAACCTTTGAACAACGACGTCGCGATACAGTTCCTCCACGGTAAGACATTTTGATGGCAACCTAGTCGGCAGCTGTGTGGCGGAGGCACAGTTGAGAGAAGTGTCCGTCGGACGAGTCATTGTGGGAATGAGGCGTTCGTGCCGTGTGGCGCTCGCCGTTTTTACAAGACAGCCTAACGGCCTCTCGCCGAGCCCGAATCTGATGCAATGTGACTGCTCTCGGAAGGGGCCAGTTTTCCTGGCAAGCGTTGCTCGTCTAACGTTTCTTGATTGAGGCGCGGAAACCAATTTGGCATGAGAGCTTCGAAAGCGGAAGATATCTTGTGCGACTATAAAGCAAGTCGAGCCTTCAGTAGGAGGAACATCATCGCAACTTGGCAAAGATTCTTCAGCAAGTCTTCTACTTCATCTTGTAACCTTCAGACCTTCCACTACCATCCTCTCCGATTACTCCTCGGTTCAACTTTGACTAGTATCCACTATGTCTTCGGAAGGCTCGAAAAACTCACAGCAACCTTCCGGTGGAAGAAGCACCGGGGCCGAGGGAGGTCCCTCTGGATACTTCCAATGCGCAAACTATCGTGAGGGGCATCCTCTACAATATCGCTGGGTTCCCGTCAACGGCTCGCTGTGCGCCCACTGTCAAGTCAGTTATCGCCCGTTCTTTGGTTCCGCAACCCACTAACGTAGCACTAGTGCGCACCCCGACGCTGAAAGTCTGGTAGATGAACCCCATCGAGTAGTCTGTATATTTTCGTTCGCTCTGTGGTGATGGAAGGGGTCCTAAAGACCGAACGCTCTCTTACCGGTCACTTCTGGGTGGGACTTTGAAGATTATGTCAGGCGCTGGCGGAGCTGAACGTCTAGTTCAAGCAACTGCTTTACTACTTATAGCAGTAACGGAATGTTACCTATAATTAAATGCATTCTTTTAACAACGTGCTGCACGTGGGATATGATATCTATTGACCTGACTTGGTGACAATCTGCATTGTAGAGCCTCCGCTTAGTGCTAGCAAGAGAATTTGGAGTGGCGAGGGGCAATTCGTTTGACGTTCAATAAGATGGAGCCGTCCAAGAGCAGTAAGGCGTGACGTTCAAAGTTTTACACACTTCTATCAATCTTCTTCAGCATTCACATCCTGTCCACCTGAATTGCCTGATTTCCTCAATAAACTTGACTATGGTAACATGGGCCGGTCTATCCTATCGCAGATATCAGGAGCAGGGGAAGGTGGCAGAAGCAGCTTCGGTAGCGGCCATGTGGGAGCGTTTCCACATTTCACCCCCGTCAACAAGCTCCTTGGCCTGGACGGCTCATGATCAGCTGCCTGTAGAAGTGCGATAACCTGGAGCCGAAGCCGCACGCTTCCTAGGAGTCCGCGCCCCTATCGTGCCTCCGCGTGGAGACCACATGCGCCATACGCGTAGTCACCAACCCACAAACGGCACGGGAGAATTTCCCCTTGCAAATACCAACCCAAATTACAGACATGATCAGGGTGGCCTTTGCCCCGAACTATCTCCCTATATGCTTTCACAAACCTGGCTCAATTCAATGTCTCACTTCGACTCAACAAAATTCAACCATGCACACACAGTCTTACGTGCTAGCTGTTCGGATGACACGCACACCGAAACTCCACCTCGGGCCGGTATTCAGGGGATGGAAGGGCCGTCTACTCCTACGAAAGCGGTCTCCATTCGCCTTGTGCTCGCCAAATCGACATGCAGACAGTCCTCATTCTCGCGTGTTTGCTGAGTTCAAGCATCGCGAGACTTCAATGCTGCGTGAATTAAAGGTCTTACCATATTTCTAGGTTGCGGATGTCAGGAGGGCGCTATATGGAAGGGATTACCACATTCCGCAATCACTGAGCTAGTACGCCTCCGCATTCCAACACCCGATTGACCGGGCATCAAAGCATCGCTACTTGTTGGAATGCAGCGCACACTTCTCGAACAACAATGGGCACCGCGTATGCCAAGTTTGGTGATAAGCAACTACCATTATTCTCAAGGAATCTCCCAGATCTGAAGTACGTATCCTCAACATGGACAAAACTTACCAAAGAATAGCCCCGAGATTATTACAGTCATCAGACTCGAAGGCCAGTGGAGGAGCGAATTATGAGCTGCACCAGTAGCTAGCAGGTCACAGACCCCTATTGGGTGTGATTGACTGCACCGCAGACGTTCAGCCCTCGTCAAAGCGGCCAGATGCACATGGCCTCTCAAGCCTGTTCCCAGTATGCGATCAGACGATCAGCAACCACTACAAGCTTATCTTTCAGAGGGAATTAGCTTGGGGGAACTACTAGACAAGAACTTACGTCTAACTAAGACACTGCTATCTAAGGAAGAAGATATCCTATACTTGCAACAGGAAGCTATGCACTGCTACATCATCATCAAAGCAAAACCTGAGCAGTAAATTATGGAACCGGAAGAGCTTTCCGCTTCAACCTAACCACACGCGATGACCAAACAGACTCAAGCAAGTCAACGAGCGCATGACTCCAGGTATCACGGTGCCCTGAAAACAAGAACCATTGTATCACACCCGGTCGACCGTCATCCCGCAGGCATAGTAAAGAACGTCCGGGCTCCGCGAAGGCGTCGACCGGTGCTGCGACCCCAACAAATCGCATGCACATCAACGCCTGCCGCTCTGCATCAGGTCATCCTTCGCGCCTCGCGCCTCAGGCCAAAAGGCGGCAAATGGGCGGATTCCTTCACGTCACACCCGACGCAAGCCTCTCCCTGACTGCGCCGCCGGCAACTATCCAGACCCGCTCCTGACAGCAGGAGGAACTATCCTCATTGCTTACGGATACGACTACGTATAGCTGAGTTAAAATAGTGGATTAAGGGTTTCCGGAAGTAGGAAGGCAAATTGCTTCCCCAAGAGTTGGAGTAAAGATGAAACATACTGACCAGCTTCAGGCTGCTGGAGCAACTCTCAATCTGTACCAAGGACAGCAATACCGGTCGTGAAGGCACCATTTTTTGGTCAACCTATCAAGTGTCGTCAAAACATGTGACCGCGATTCCATGCATGCAAGCCCGATGCGAACGGTGTACACGCTTGGTGCAACTAAGGCTGCATATGCACCTCAACCGAAAGGCCCGAGCAAAAGCAAATGATTACATATCCAACACCTCCAACACATCCGAGGCATGTCGGGCTCTGCCAAAATCCTTGAAGGCAAGCGATCGTGTCACACAGCTTTTGGTTCGACTCCTTGCTTCCTGACTATCCTGGCAACAACTGCAGCACATCGCTCCTCAATCACATGCACGGCTGCTCTCCATATTCGCATCCACCCTGTCGGAATCTGAAGCATCATGTGGGAACATTTCCACTTTGCGAGAGCAGAGCGCTTATGCGGTCTGGTCTCTTTGCTGCGGGCATATCACGTCCTGTCCGTCAGGCCATTTCTCGACAGCCCCCAAGTCCACTATCAAACAACGGCATTGTCGCCCCGATTTGCAACAACTCTCCACATAGTGTATGGAATTATCCGTTCCATCTCCGAGTGAGATCATCGAAAGTAAAACTGTCTCACCTATCCGTCGAGGCGCTCACCAATCCGGCAACTGTACAAGGCGCTTCGGTCGCCATGCTTGCTAGCGCGCGGCACAGCTCTCAGCCCTCCAAATCACAAATCTAACCTGGTCGAATCGTGGCTTGTTAGCGAACCGGGTCGCACAGGAAATGGCGAGTTTCGTGCCGCATTTAGCGCCGGACTGCATAGCTTGAGGTTGGCGAAGCGAGGAAGCTGCCTTGGTGACCGGAGTGTCGGAACGAGGGCGGAAACCAGTGGTCATAAATCTCCAAGGCGAAGGAAAACCTGATAAGGAAAAAATGATTCAACTTAGCTAGCTGTCAGCAGAGATGCACAAGGCAGTGCGATTTTCGGGGCAAGGTGCTGAGTCTGATGATGTTGTCTCGACTAGAGGCGGCAACCCTCTTCTGGTTCGGGATCGGAGAAGTGCGCAAAGACCCTCGCGGCAGCGAGTGCCCAGGCTCTGCGGCTGTTGGTATTTCTAGGATCTGGTTCGCAGAATGGCATGGCTCAATCCTGGACTGTGACCGGGTCTGCAGCTAAGCTTGTTTTTAAGCGCCGTCGTGTGTGTTCGGATCAACAGAGTTCGAAGAGCAGTACAAGTCCAATCTCGTCACCACGGGAGCCGACCATCCCAATTTCCTAGTACCAGAGGATAAGCGTATGCGAGTCGGCGTAATCACGCTGGAGCACCCGCAGGAAGAATGAATTCCGTAATACGAGCACTTGACCGCAACAAACGCCCATCCATGCCTCACCCCTCACGTCCACGGCACGCTGCTTGCCCACGTCGACAATCTTTACGAACCTCCGGGTCTTTGCTTCTATCCTCTTTCTGCCCAATGCCCCTCAAAAAGTCAATCCTCGCCTTTGATGCGGTGTCGCACCAATACCGTCGAACTCAGATAAAGTAATGGTGAGGATATCAAGGCCGTATGACGAGTGATCCCATGAGTGGGCCAACAATAACAGAGGAAGGGGAGAAGCTTGTACAAAAAATTCCATTAGGTAGTTATACATTCCTTATTTCATTACCCCGGATGTTTGCCCAAGCATGCAGTTGCCGTCGTGAAAAGTTTAGGAGAAAGGTTCATTAACCGTTTTTGCTGGCGAGTCCGCCCCTATCCATGTCCCTGAAGTGATGTCAAGGACTAGTTCCAATGTCTCACATATTCCTCCCGCCTACTGAAGCCCAAGGTTAGGGTGTTGAATTAGGTCCCAGTTTCTGTGAATCAAGTCAGTCAAACATTCCCACCCTAAAGTATAGAATAAGCACTCACCAGTCTCAACACCAGGTTGCCTTCCCTCCAGACCTCCGGTAACCTTCTTCTTAAGCTTGGCCATACCGATCGACGCCTGGTTCTTCGCAAACCTCGCATTCCGCGCTGGCTTCCACTGCATCAGTCCACGGTGCTTCCTCTCCTCCGTCCGCTTGTTTTGCTTGTCGATAGACTTGCTTGATGCAGTAGATCCGTTCGTTGTGGCAGTGGTATCGGTACGCGCTGTGGACTCAGAAGCACGAGGATTGCCACTGGGTGATAAGTCTGTGGACTGGTGCTTGATACCGGCACTGCTTGCATCTTCAATACCGAGGTCAGAGGAGGAATCAGAGTTATCGTCGTCGTCGTCGTTCTCCTCGTTGTCAGAGGGGTGGAAACGGTCGTGTAGCGGCTCCTCAACGCCTGGTTCTCTCCTCTTCTGTCCCTTGGTGTTCATGTATGCCTTGGGATTCTCTCCGAACGCACCAGACCAGTCTTGGCCGTCCTTTGTGAGCCACTTTCGCTTCTCTTCGTCGTCAGCGTTCTTCAGAATGTCGCGTCCTGCGGTCAATGATTGCTCATGTAGCTGTTGGACACGCTCCGGCAGCTCCTTCTCGACCTTGCGGTTGCGCACACCTTCTGTAAGGCAGGCTTCCCAGGTCTCGTAGGTCTCGCGAGTGTCGTTATCAGTAACGAACGCCGCGTGCGACTCGTCAGTGCCGGCCTTGAAACGTGCACGGAACTGGAGACGGCCAACCTCCTTGAGGTCTTCTAGTCCAGGTTCTTTATCGCAATTGTGTTCCGTGATATAGTTCTGAGTAAGGCGAGCGGGGTGAGCCGTAGTCCAGATCGGGATGTTGATGTCGGCGTCCTCGTTATCGATGAAGTGTTGTAGCCAAATTACAGCGTATGCATCCGGTTTGCGGTGATTGGCGACATGGAACTCGAACACGATTGGTGACCTATAACGATGCTTTACCGGTAGACGAATATTGTCCCTTCCGTTTTGTTCCTCAAGGTCAAAGTAGTAGCCGTCTCCTTCGTCTAGCTTGTGAGCATGGGCACGACCGAGCTTACCAGTACTGCCGCCAGTGCGCAAGCGTAGTTTGGGACTGTGTGCATAGTTGAGCGCAAGGATGCGCTGAGAACGGAACTCAAAGGTGCCGACATCCCAGCCAAGCATCTGAGGAGGCAGGCGCGTCTCGATGCTACGGAAGAGAAGAGAGATTCGTATACGGCCGAATCCAATGCCGCCATCCAAAGGATACCAGCGCGTGACTTGCGACGAAGTCTCGAGAATGTCAGATAGCTTGAGGGGCACAACACCCAGAATGGGGTCATGCTCCCGGTTTCGCTGATCGCGTACGGTGACAGTGATGATAGCCGAGCGCCAGTCGCGTACAAACCGTTCCGTTCCTGCATTGAAGATTGGCTGCGATGACACCGCTTTTGCACGTGTCCGATAGACCAGCTCGTCATTGTATAGGATGGTGCAGTAGCTGGTGGGAAGGTCTCCGCCGACCTCTTCCTTGGCCTCACCGTAGGGCTTTGCAGGTTCGTACTCGCGTCCCTTATGGTTTCCGGTGGTGCCCTTGATGTTCTCCAGCTCAAGGTTGACGATCTGGTGGACGACAACACTGCAGACGCCACTGGGCCAAAGGGGATCAGGAGGGGTATGCATGACAGCGTCATCTTCCTCGGAGTTGATAACACCCTTATCATCTTGCAGCTTAGGGTCATTCTTCAGCTCATCTGGTAGTGCTCTGTTCTTGCCATCCGTCCTCAACTCCTTCCTGAATTTCGGCTTGCTAAAGTAGCCAATTTCCCAATGCAACTCTCCGGGCATTTCGCTCTCAGCTGACGCACCTGCGAGCTTCGAAACCTGCGGGTACATCTTTCCAGGGTGCTGGATCATTTTCTGCATTGAGAGCTCAACTTTGCCGACGATATCATCAGATGTGTGCCGATCAGAGTCCCACAGTTCCACGCTGAGGTTCTCATCCGCTTTGATGAGTTCGGGGCCGACGAGTAGAGCAGCAGTTTCCTCCCAAATAGGGTTGAGGTCATCAGTGATAACGCGGGTGCAGTACATTGGTTTGCCGTATTTAGAGAAGGCAAGTGTGATGTACGGATCGCTGCCACCATGCTTCGATCCTCGTCGATCTTGCTTGCTCAAGCCAACAGCGCGGTGAATACGGATCCATAGTACTCCGAGAGCTTCTGTGTCCTTCTGGACCGAGTCGCCTTGAAGGATGGCTCTCATGTCAATGGACATGGACTTAGGCGCGACATACACTGAAGCTGTTAGCGCACTATAGTTAGTCGCTGAAGAAAATGTTACGTACTGCTTGCTGCTGCCTTGATGGCGTAGTTGACAAAGTTGCTGATCAATGGGAGGTTCAAAATATTGGGACCTTTCTCCATCATCGGTGTGCACCCAGCCGTTACTTGTGGGGCACCCATCAATGTGAATGTCAAAGTCTTCAAGAATGGCGGTTCAGGTGTCATATTCATCCGGAGGCGGACAGTTCCTACGAGGCCTTGTAGCTCGACGAAGATGGGCAGGGGTACTCCAAAGAGACCTTTAATCCCTAGGTAGAACACGAGCTGCATGTGCATGTTACGTGCCTTCTCCGATGCTCGCTTGCCGCTAGGTTTGGCGTGGTATGCGAACGATACTTCCAGGTTGTAGAAGTCACCGCCTTCCTCGTCCGCGGCTGCCTCTTGCGGGTCTTTCGTCTTCTTGTTCTCTTCATGGATAGCCTTCTTCATATCCCCCATGTGAGCATCAGGAAGTGCTCGCAAGCTGAGGATGCGCAGAGGATTGCTGCCCTGGTTGATCTCGGCGACACGGACATTCTCGATGATGCCTGGTACTGAGGCCTGCATCACATCCTCAAGCATATCGGCTACGCCTTGAAACATGTCGGGGTTGATTAAGCCCCATACAATGGCGAGTAGCGTGTTCATCCATTCCACCGATTCAGGTAAAAGGTTAAGAGCAGCCTGCAAGCACATTAGTAGTTTTCAACGATGGATCTTTTCGAAGTTATCCACCCACCATTTGACCTCGGGTATGTTCGCTGTCCCACTCGACCTCCCTGCCGCTGCGAACAACCTCCTTCATCCACAGGAAAACTCCAGACGACAAGCACATGGCTAGTGGTATCAGGCCCTTGAGCGCACCGCCAAACAGCTTGCCGACGACGATGGTCCCAACAAGTATTGCGGCACATAATATCGTAGCACGCTGCTCCAGCCTCTTGAATGTTGGCTCATAACTCACGGACGGAGTAGGGTGGAAGAGAACATTCGTCTTTTCCCCGTGAATGGGTACGTCCGTGGTAGTGCCTTCGGCGACTGGATCTGGTGGGGCTGTTACATCTTGGTTGTATTTGTAGTCTTCGAGCGACTGGGTAGGATCTGTTTTGATGGGCTGATATTGTCAGTCGCAATACATGCAATTGTCGTCAGTGTACGTACCGTGTCTTTGCTCAAGTTGGCGTTGGGCACAACTAGATGCGGATCATCGACTTCCTTCATCATCTCTTTGCTAACATCCGCGATAACGACCTCGTTGCCAGTAGTCGGATCCGTAACCGTCTGCTCGGTTCCTTTGACCTGCTTCTGCGGTGCGTGGTGTGGTTGCGCATCAACCTTTGCAGCCGTCGGCTGTTTCTGTTGCTGCTTGTTCAGTGCCGCCTGTTCATCCAGTTTCTTGTCTCTGCTCTTCTTGTCCCTGTCCAAATTCTCGACAAACTGCTTCACGGTGGGGATGGGGTTGTGGCCAGAGTAATGGCCCCCGGGCTTGGTTTGCTGTTGGTCCGCCATAACGTGCTGCTCTCCTCTGCGAGGGACCTAGGTCAGGGCTGAAGACGTTGGAGCAGGCCTCACCCAAGCGCAATTGGGGATATTGAGGAAGGATTGCGAAACCCTGTGGGTGAGGGGAAGGGAAATAGTCGACAGAGGTGGGGATGTTGGGCAATCAGGGAATATGATTGAAAGAAGCCGCGCGGGGACACAATGACGTATGCACATCCGCGTCTGTGTAAAAGGAGTAACCGCGATGCCTTTTGCGCAAGACACACCTCCTGCTGCAGGACAAAACTAGCAATTCTCCACTGTGGCTGTTTTCCCACAGCTAGACAATCCTGGCATGAGAACGGAATCGTTGAGTGACGTAGGGATTCACTGATCGTCCCATGGAGCTTTGGCCAACCGCAGCCCCCTGCAGCCGCGGGGCAGATCGTTTAATCCCTCTTGGGACGACCCACGATCACATCTGGCCCTCTCCTGTCCAGGAGGATTCCCGCTACCGTGACCAAGGACTCGGCACTGTTATTGTGCCGGCCTGGAATTATGTCGGGCTGGTTCACTCTCTTCACGAATTGCCGCTACGTCCTCAATGGCGAGCTTGTTGAGGATCACCTCGTCATCTCAGACGAGACGGGCCTGATCTTGAAAAGAGAAGGGTACATTGGCGGCGAAGCCGTAGATTTGGATGACAATATCATCGCTCCTGGATTCTTGGAGCTTCACACGAATGGTGCCAATGGTTTCCATTTCACCCATTTTGACGATGAAAAGAGCTACTCGAGTAAGATCGACGACATAGCAGGATACTATGCGAGTCAGGGTGTGACGGGCTTCTGGGCGACGATACCTACAGTGAAGGGTGAAGACTTCCAGAAGGTCAGAACATATTTGCATGTTTCAAACATAGTCTACTACGAAGCTATGATACCTATGTACAGAAAAGACTGCTCAAGGTCCTCAACACCTGTTTCACTGAGAAGAGAATGAAATGGATCAACCAAAGCAAGTTTACTGTTGTTATAGACCCCAACTAACATACCACAGATACTCCCCTCTCTCAAGCCGCGCTCAATATACAAGTCCGCCTCCCTCCTCGGAGCTCATGTGGAAGGGCCTTATCTACATCCATCCAAGAAGGGTGCACACACTTCTTCGCTCTTTCAAGCATGCACTACTTCACCAAATTCCATCTACGGCACGAGTAACCTTGAAGACTGCGTCAAGCTCGTGACTCTCGCTCCTGAACTTCCACACTCGGCGGAACTCATCAAGACATTAACGTCACAGGGCATCAAGGTCTCCATGGGCCACTCCACCGCCTCGTATGAGGAAGGACTACTCGGAATGCGGGCTGGCGCCACCGGCTTAACGCATACACTGAACGCCATGCCAGCTCTTGCATCCCGAGCACCAGGACTCGCTGGCCTAATATCCCTCCCTAGAACGCACAACCCGACACCACCTTACTACTCCATCATCGCAGATGGCGAGCACCTTCACCCATCCACTGTCTCCATCCTCCACCGCTCCAATGCCAGACGCTCAATCCTTATAACCGATAGTATAGAGCTCGCATCCCTCCCGGACGGCACACACCCCGGCCACTCTCAGATTCCCTTTGAACAAGTCAAAAGCGGTACACGAGTGACAATCGCAGGCACGGATACATTGATTGGAGGGTGCATACCACTCCAACAGAGTGTGAGGAACTTGATGAAATGGTCTGGGTGCGGGATTGCCGAGGCGGTGGGCACGGTAACGGAGAATGTGGCAGCTTTCATGGGGATTAATGAGAAAGGTGGGAGAGGTGTGTTGAAGGAAGGGAGGAAGGCAGATTTGACGGTGCTCAGTGAGCAAGGGGAGGTGTTGCAGACATGGATTAACGGAAGCAAGGTGTGGGACAAGGAGGAAGAAATACGAGCACGAGAGGATGACGGAGAGACGAGGGGCTAGTCGGTCTTCTCATACGGACATGGAGCAGATCCTCGTGTGTTTATATCATACAGTTACTGTCCTCCCTAATCCGTCTGTGATTCATCTCGAAGAGTTTGTTGTTCAATACCGCGGAAAGGGTTTAAGACCGTAGTAGTTCAGCGAGCCCAGTGTCAAATTGCGTCCTTCAGAATCGTGCGTACAGGGGTTGGAAACAACAGACGATGGTGATTCGTATGATACTTCGAGTTGATAGCAATCGAAATCCTTGTGCTTATCCTCACATGCATGAGAATACCGTTTCTCAAGCTGTTACATAGCTTGGCGCCACGGCATCTGAGGTGGCGATGTTCATCAATTGTGGCCAAGGCTGTTTGACGAGGTCTGGCACAATCATCAGTACTTGAATCACTCGAACACTGAAGCTGCATCGGTTACCTTGATTCTTCGACTGAATGTACTGTTGGAGCTTGGTCCTTTTAACGCTTCGGGCTTCATTCGACGGCGCCGGACATCCTGGCAGCTAACAGTCGCAAATAGCCCATAAAGCGTCGTCTTGGGTAGCCGACGTAACTATCGTTTCAAGCTCGCTCAAGTGATAGTATGGTTGCAAATCGAGGGTTCTCATCGCCCTGGTGAAGCGAAGTCTCTGATCTTCCGTGAGGTTGAATCGCGCCGGATCAAGGACTTGGTGGAACGCAAGGTGGTTGCCAGGTTTGAGAAAGAGGTTGTTTTTGTGCGTAGATGTGCGGCCATGTGATTTAGACTCAGTCTCCATATCCTGAGTGAGAGCCAGGAAGCAGGAGGTATAATATATGCAGTCGCCTTGAAATGTGTCTTCGGGTAAAAATGACTGCACGTTGCCCGATAGCACTTCGTGTAGAACAATCGCCTCCACACCGAAATGAGTTCTCAGAATCTAAAAAGTTGTTAGCATCACATCTGAAGCAGTTTATAAAGACCTTACGTTATTGAGCTGCGCGAAATTCGCCTCGTTTCCATTAGGGACAGCGGATTTGCAAGGGCAGAGCATGTCCAACCACCTATCCTGCTCGTCGCTATGAAGATCCGCTGCCCACTCTACAAAGATTTCGGTATTACCATCAAGATAATCTTCAAGCATGGATACCTTATCTTCCTCTGATGGGTCATCCTTATAAGTCCAACTATCTTCACTGCCCATGTCGTCCATGATCAAGTTCCATGCTTCGTCGAGTGCCTTGGAGTACGGAGGAAAATGATGTCCTCGAGTACAAGTATTGTTGAAACAAGCAAAGCTCCTCTCCCACTTAGGCTTGGTCGCTGCTTTCTGCATGTTGTGTAGAGAACTGATGATGTGGTCGAGAACTTCCTGGGGCAGCTCAGACAATGGTCCTGTTCGGAACCGATGGCATAGGCGTAAAGTGTTAATTTGACGCAACTGTGTGGAATATGCTTCTATGCTCGCTCCAAATTCCAGGATGTCGACGGGTGCAGCCCAGGCCAAACGAGGAGAGGGCCTAGGATAGGGCGATGAAGGTGAATAGCTCCAATCATTCGGTCTCCAGTTGATGTAGCACATAGCTGCCTGAAGGCATATATGCGTGGGGCGTAAAGTGACAGTTCGACGAGAAGAAAGGTTACGTTGAGATGTAAGGTGGGTTAAAAACAAGGCAGGAGTTCGCGAGCCTGCATGTGAGAACTTTGGAAAGGAAAGAGCATCGCAAACACGCACTAACTGAAACGGGAAAGCGCGTCAACACGATGCGAGTGCACGGCGGCTTGATTGCAATAATGCCGCTTAACTGTGTGAAAGAAGGTCCTACTGCTATCCATGGCAGCGTGCTTGTTGTAGCGAGGCAAGGCTCGGCTGCCTACGTCGAGTGGTTATCACTATCGTTACCTCACCCCAACTTCGCATTCGACGTGAAGGAGCGCATATTCCTGCACAACAGATCATGTAAACCATGAGACATGACTAATTCGAAAGCGAACGGTATGCCTCCTACCGCGGTAGAACTATAAAGTAACAATTGAACACTTCACCGCATATATAACAATTCCAGTGCCCACCTCTTCCTAATCGTACCTCCCCACTTCAAGAACGCAAATGGAACTGGAGTCACCAGCAACGCTAGAATGTCCAACAACAATTTACCCCACCCCAGACCGAAACGGTCATATATCTAGGGGCTAATCAGCGGCACAAAAGCACAGAAGATGGAGCGCATGAAATCGAATGCTGCAGCTGCGGTAATCAGGAACGCGTCGATAGCATAAGTCTGGCAGGGCATAAATATGCTGAGAAGCCCGAAGCCAAAGGGCATAAAGGGTATAGATGGCACGATCTAGTGTATGGAGACTCTCGTTGACCATGCATACATGGACAGTGCGACTGGGTATGATCAGTGCAAACTGTCGTCCGTCTTCTCTCGAAGGCGGATGACAGCGTGGTCTCCGGAAGCTTGAGCGACTACTTCAGGTTTATATGGCGCTATTTTATCTAGATCCTCAACAGGAAGAGCAGCGATACCCTTTTTGATATCATCGAGAACAAAATTCCCTGTGTGCTTGTCGTGATAGGTGTGAATGTCAGACATACCTTCGAAAGGTAGGAGGGCAATCCAAGGCGAGCGAAGTACGAATGGAATTAAAAGGGATATGACTGAACGAGGAAGGATGTGCACTATTCCTGCACTGCAGAGTGCGGAGTTAGCAGGTCTACCAGAGTCGGTGTCAATTTCAACAAAGTATAAAAAACTGACTTGTGGCGTATGCTTCGTGTGGCGGAAAGGGTGTTCCGGATGCCTTCGTTGGGCTTAGCAGCAGGTGTAGGAGCGACCAGAGGTACATATGTGACATCTCATCGATCATATCGTTTGCTAATTCTACCGTTTAAATATGTCGACGACTTGTTTGTTGTCGCCTATCGCTGGTAGGACAGCCTGGGTACAATTGAACGCCCAGAAAGGGTGCAAAGGCGTTAATTTGCAAGCGCCCATGTATTAACGGCTTCACTATGGTTGTAGGAGATGCTTGAAGGCAAGTCTTCTTCGTTTTTGACCGTTCACGCTGCAAGTGATGAGTAAAGACGAAGCCTGGGTAGGAGGACAAAGGTTGGGGTTCCTGAGCGAAGTTCAGCCCTACCAAAAAGTTATTTGCCCCACCAGAATTTCATCCCACTTCAACACACGACACGCTCGAACACGACGCGCACACGATGGAGGACGACAGAGCAGCGAGTAATCTGGGGCCCGAGGTAGAGGAGGGGATATCAGAAGAGCCTGTTGCCATCCCGAGACAACCCAAAAGGCGGTTTGTAGGAAGAAAGACAGCAGAGAAGCCGGGCGAGCAGCAGGTCGATGCCAACGCGAACATCGAGGACTCAAGCGCGATACAAGGTGTGAGGAGCCAGTGTCGATTCAAGGGTGCATCACGAAGCTAACATGCATCAGTTGCACAGCCTCGCCGTACAGCACGCGCCTTGAACGCAATACCTGAGTCGATACTCCACGACCGGGAGATCAACGATGCGATCGCCCTCCTGCCTCCAAACTATAACTTCGAAGTTCACAAATGCATTCACCGCATACGAACATCGGGCGCGAAGTCAATAGCGCTGCAGTTCCCGGAGGGCCTGCTCCTGTTCGCGACTACGATATCCGACATCTTGACGCGTTTCTGTCCTGGGACTTCGACGTTGATAATGGGCGATGTCACATACGGTGCATGTTGTATAGATGACTACACAGCACGAGCCCTAGGCTGTGACCTTCTTATACACTACGCGCATAGCTGTCTGATACCGGTTGCTGTGACCAAGATTGCAACCCTGTACATCTTCGTTTCCATTAGCATTGACACAACGCACCTCATCAACACGATCACAGAGAATTTTCCCACGGGAAGAACTATCGCGCTCGTGGGGACTATTCAGTTCAACGCTACAATACATGGCATTGTGCCGATACTGCGAAGGGAGGGCTATAACCCAATCGTCCCGCAAATATCACCGCTGTCGAAGGGTGAGATCCTGGGCTGTACGTCGCCGTCTATGACTATCAAGCCAGGGCAGCTCAACGCAAGAGGCAAAGAAGAGGAGGTTGCCGATCTGATTCTGTACCTCGGTGACGGGCGCTTCCATCTCGAAAGCGCCATGATCGCAAATCCAACACTCCCCGCCTACCGCTATGATCCCTACTCACGGCGTCTCACCCACGAGACATACGAGCATGATTCACTGTACGACCTTCGTCGGACCGCTATTTTAACAGCTCGGAAGGCACGCACATGGGGCATTATCCTCGGTTCTCTAGGCCGACAAGGCAACCCACACACACTGACGCTCATTGAGAACGAGCTTGCGCGGCAGGGCATCAAGTGTGTGAATTTACTCATGTCAGAGATCTTCCCCGGAAAGCTAGCAATGATGTCGGACGTTGAAGCATGGGTACAGATTGCATGCCCTAGATTAAGCATCGATTGGGGCTACGCATTCCCTAGGCCATTGCTGAGTCCTTATGAGGCTCTTGTCACGCTTGGGGTGAAAGACGCACCCTGGTTGGATGAAGACGGTGTACAGAGGAAGGTTGCAGAGAGGGAAAAAGGGAGCCTATATCCTATGGATTTCTACGCGAAAGAAGGGCTAGGCCGGACGACGGTGGATCATGTTAGGGCCGTAGAGATTAGAGGATAGAGTTGACCAAACCGTGGTCGCTTTCCTTTCGCGCTCTTTCACCGAAATCCTCCACGGCGAGACAATCTGTCAAGTGAAACAACAAACGGCCACCTGACCTCCTTGTGGGTATATCAATACCGATGTTTCACTTCGAGTGTAAGGACGTCGGCTGCAAATTTAACGACCAGCAACTTCACCAGCACGTTACGCTCAGCCCCAATTCCCCGACACTAAAAACACCATCAGCTACACGTCAAAAGAGAAAGCACCCGATAACGGCCATCAGCAGTATTAAGACTCTGCCATGGCCCAACACTACGTTCGACAGCCCGCACCCCAACTAGACCTAGGCGAGACCAGACAATATGGTGTATACCTTCACGCCTACCCCAGCAGTTCTACTGACAAGGAGCCCCAACTCGTCAACATTGCAGCGGACTGGAACACTACCTACAACGCAATGCTCACACACGCGACCGCTCAAATTGACCAAAATCCCCACTGGGGAGCTACGCGAGAGATAGTCACAGACAGCGTCTTCAAGATCATTGACAGCTTTCACATTGTCCGATTACACTACGATATCGACACTATTTTCTCGGATGGCATAGACGCACAGGGTGCTACCATCTGGATACGCGAAAAAGACTGGCTAGAACGGAACTATGCTTACGGGCCGCTGGTACACTACGGAATGTATGTGGCCCGGAATTGCAATGACGAGTCCAAAACCGAGCAGTTCTTCGTCGGGGGGTTCAAGAGCTTGGGCGAAGCTAACCACGCGATGAAGACGTCAGCACAGGCCCACTTGCAGACGCATAGTGGAGCGGCACTCCTGGAGAGGTGTGTCGAGTTGGTGAATGTGGAGGGCGAGGTTAGACAGAGGTATGTTATCGAGAAGGGAAGGTGGCAAGCAGGGGGCTTCGTTAAGGAAGAGGATTGGCTTAGGGGAAAGATGCCTTCACTATTTCCCAAGCCAGATCCCAACATCGAGGCAACAGCAACCACGAAGCCTATCCTCCGCCTTACACCTCTTGCCTCCATCTCACCTCTCACACAGGCTGCATCGCAACTAGCATCCCAGCCTCAACAAACCGAAAATCTTGTCCACGATCATACCCCATGGTGTACATGCCGCCAACCTGATAACGGCCGCCTGATGGTCTTATGTGAGAATGAGGACTGCCCGGTCCAGTGGTACCACGGTGATTGTGTGGGTATCCATGATGAATTGAGTGAGGAAGAAGAGTGGTATTGTCCGCAGTGCGTGCCCGCACAGGAGCCTGGAGAGAAGGCAGGAGCAAAGACAATAGGTAAGGGTCAGAAAAAACGTTGGGCGAACTGAAAGGGCGAGCGCATGAACCCAGCAAGCGTGATTAAAGAGAGAAGCGGGCATTTCGCGCGAATAGATAGCTTCAGAGACATAGCCCCAAATGGCAGATGGCTGCGTCATCAAAGCTATTAGCTCCGCGTAAACAAGTACTATTGAGGCAACCTAGCCGTTAAACTGTTTAATTGTATTATTAAACTCTTACATCGCTGACAGATAACATATCCTTGTCCGTTCAGCCAAGCGCTGGTTGTAACACAGATATCCACTTATGAGAGATTACGCTACAAAGGGGGCAATACTGTACGTCAATAACGACCCTGCTCTGTCTTCCAATCGACTCCAGCTCCAGGCTGCAGATTTGGCTTAATAGCTTGCAACACTTTGCCGACTATGATTGCGTTCGCCCACTCGCCAATATCAAATTCATACTCATGCTCATTATACTGATGGATATTTGCGCTCAACGTGCCAAATAAGTTCCGCCCAGCATCCCGGACCTGGGCCCATATCAGCTGAGGATCGTTCCTCAATGTTGCTAAAGGGGAACTACGCGTTCCGCTTCTAGAGGCATTGTCCCAGAATTGTTGCCAGCGTTCCGTCGTATTGGGCCGCCCCGGGTTTTTAGGATAAGGAACATGGGTATTGGCGCAAAGCTGTTCCAAAGCGTGTCGATATATAATTGATGTGATGATCTGGCTGTGTTGCGTCTTCTGGCTCTTGAGCCTAGTGTTCTCTTGCGTAAGCTGCTCCACACGGCTCAGAAGGTACGCCTCTTGATGAGAACGCCGTGAGCGCGCAAGCTGTTGGAGATTATCGACATTGGCGTAGATGGCTGATGAATTATGGCATCCAAAGTAATTGCAGAATTGACTGACGCGTTGGCAGGTTATTTGGCCATCTGAGCTGCTCCAGAAGTTGCCTGCCTCGTCAAGCGCCACCAGTACCGTACTGGGATCTTGGGATACACCGTCGTACTCGTCGGTTAGATGCCTTTCAACGAGAATACGACATGTCTTCCGGCGGACGTATTCTTTCAATATCGTAGTCATCTGGTTTGGGTCTTGATTGAACATTGCGATACTGTTCGCAAGGCTGGGATTGCTGGTGTCATAAAACTCAGCCAACCAGGCAAACTGGTCGACGAGATAAGAGCAATTCGAATTCTTATCCGTAACTCCGCTCAGGAAGGCTGCGAAGAACTGAGAGTGGTCTCTGAGCGGTTCAGCCAAGAATCGGGCTATCAGATCATGTGGATCAGGAGCGATACACCACTCTGTCCAGGTAAAATCTGTTTGCATTGTGGATTTCGGGTTCGAACGCTCTGAAGGTCAAAGTGATAGGCGAAGTTTAAGATTAATGGCGAGGGAGATCGGACGGAATACTTATTACTCTCCCAGCCTTGGGAACACTGCATTTAGATGACGTGGTGACGCATTATTGGAGTACAATCGAGGAGCCCTCCGCCACATTGCCTTGCTCTGAGCAGCCTCGTCCGAAACTTGGGCAAAGGCACGTGATTTGAAAGCGACGAAAGCGAAATGGGAGCGCAGGCTTAGTTTCTTTGTGTAGCATATGAGTTGATGAGAGAGGAGCTCATCATTCTCATAGTCCACAGGAAACACTCTTGTTCGATCATAAAGTGGTTTCTTCACTGTGTCAAGTCGTCGAGGGTGGCGTAAACTTTTGTTCATTCAAGGTATCTTTCTACTCTTTGATGTACTTCTTCAAACCCCTCAGCCGCTCCATGGCGGTGTCGAGTACATCATCGTTCTTACACACGGCAAACCTCAGCCAGTCCTCGACAATATGCGCATTGCCTGGGGTGAAGAACTCGGTTGGTGGAATTGCGGCAACACCGACTTCTTTGATCAAGAACCACGACAATTTGAAATCACGTGGGCGTTCCGCCACATGTGGTGGGAAGTCGTAGTCCTCTGGTAGTTTGACCTTGGACATGTTCACCAAGACGAAGTACCCACCTTCAGGATCAGAGTATGGCAGGTTCAGCTCGTCGAAGATGGCAGTGAATTTGTCCATCTTGGCCTTCATCTCTCTCTTGGACTCGTCCCAGAAGTTGTGTGCCTCGGCTTGCTCGAAACCAATGGCGGTTGCTTCTTGCAGAGGCGAGACACTGCTATAGCAAATGCGGGTATGCGCTGCGCTGACGTATTTGATCAGATGCTCGGGGCCGATCAGCCAGCCGACTCTCCACCCTGTGGCGTAGAAGTTCTTGCCTCCTGAGCCTACTGTTAGAGTGAGTTTGGCGATTTCCGGGGAAAGAGTGGCAATGCGTGTGAATGGGACGTAGTATAAGCGGTCGTAGACTTCGTCAGAGAGAATGATGATGTTGTGCTTTACGCAAATGTCACCGATGGCTTGGAGCTCTTCTTTGGAGAAGACCTTGCCAATGGGATTGTGTGGTGAGTTCAGTACAATCATGCGCGTCTTTGGCGTGATTGCTGCCTCGAGCTCTTTTACGTCGAGGCGCCACTCTGCTGCCGAGGTCGTCTTTGTAGCACCTTCCTTCGGGGGGTGCATGGGCACGTAGACGACTTTCCCACCCGGCATCTCGATGTTGCTGATGTACTGATCGAAGAAGGGCTCAAAGACAATGACTTCGTCGCCTTGTTCGAGGAAGCCCATGAAGGCTGATAGCATGCCCTCATTTGCGCCCGTCGTAATGGTCACCTCCTTGTCCGGATCTATGGTGCGGCCGAAGAAGGGCGAGTAGGCGTCTGCGATGGCCTTCTTTAACCGCGGGCGGCCTTTTGTGGGCGAGTACTGGTTGCAGTCGACGGTATCGAGGGCAGCCTTTGCGGCATCGAGGACGAATTTGGGCGGGTTGTAGCCAAAGAAGCCCTGGCCCATGTTCACGATGGGCTGGACAGGCGACGCTGCTGCTGCTTCGTTGACGATGGACCTGAATAATCAGCCATCGTCTCTGGCATGCTGAGAGATCAATGTAAATACCAAACATCCTGCTTCTGCCCTGCGACTCTCGCCGCGGGCTTGAAGGGGTCTGCTCGTCGCGTGGTCGCAGACATGGCGCGCAGAGGGGTGAGGTTGGCGGGGCTCGCGAGGGGGGTTGTAGGTTTCAATGTCGAAGCGCGTACAGATTTGAGAGACCGAGTCACAATGCTCCGCATGGCAAGTCTACAGCGCGGGTGAGTTTGCGAGGCATGCAGCAAAATGCGAGCGAATACCCCGGTCATCAATTGCGTGCTTCACCATCGAAGCCCGCCGTCTGCCGTCATCAAGCGGGACCCAGCCCCGAGCTTGCGCCGATGACGGCCAGAGATCGCGTTACCCCAGAAAATAATCGCGTCGCGTAAATTAACCTGTCCATTCCACGACGACATGGTTGCTTGTCCCGTGTGCAATAAGGAAGTCAAGGACGAGAGAATCAATGAGCACCTCGACAGCGGCTGTGCCGAACATGTCATCGATCAACATGGCACCCCCAACCCGGCAAAGACGCTCACGCACAGCTTCTTCACGCCAGGAGCGCGCAGCTTAAAGCCGCCAACTACCACGCAAAGAAACCGCAACCCGACATCGTCACCCCCAGTGGCGCCGTCAGCGACCCAGCGCGTGGAGCGACCAAAGACGCCACTAGGCACGAAACGATCCTTCGAAGAGGCTGCGGATGGCCCGGCAATTGGGGAACAGTCGCCCTCCGCCCCTAAGAGGGCACGGCGGCTGAAGGCAGTCGAGGATGCTATGCCTCTCGCAGAGCGCATGCGCCCGACGAGCCTAGACCACGTATGCGGACAAGAGCTCGTAGGGCCCGGTGGCATTTTACGCGGAATGGTGGATGAGGGCAAACTGCCGTCCATGGTGCTCTGGGGCCGCCCAGGAACAGGCAAGACGACCATTGCTCGACTCATCGCAAATACCTCGGGCGCGCGCTTCGTCGAAATCAACAGCACCAGTACAAAGCTGGAGGAAGTGAGGAGGATATTTGCAGAGGCAGCCAAGGACCTGCAGCTCGCTGGTCGGAAAACAATCGTCTTCTGCGACGAGCTACACCGCTTCTCCAAGACACAACAGGATGCCTTTCTCGGGCCAGTCGAGTCCGGCACCATTACTTTAATTGCAGCGACTACAGAGAACCCGTCCTTCAAAGTCATCTCCGCACTCCTATCGCGATGTCGAACCTTCACCCTGGACGACCTGAAAGAGCAGGACCTCGTCCGGATACTCGAACGCGCCATGGCAGCCGAAAACTGCACATCACCGATCCTCGATCAGTCCATGCTAGAGTACTTCGCCCGCTTCTCAGACGGCGATGCCCGTACTGCCCTCAACCTCCTCGAGCTCGCCATGAGCCTCTCCAAAAACCCCGACATGACCAAGGAGAAGATACAACAAAGCCTTACCAAGACCCTCGTCTACGACCGCGCCGGCGATCAGCACTACGACAGCATATCCGCACTACACAAATCAATACGAGGATCCGACGCAGATGCTGCCCTCTACTACTTGGCACGAATGTTGGAGTCTGGCGAGGACCCACGGTACATCGCCCGTCGCCTTATCGTCGTTGCATCCGAGGACGTTGGGCTGGCAGACAACACTATGTTGTCGCTTGCGACAGCCACCTACTCCGCATGCGAGAAAATTGGAATGCCAGAGTGCCGTATCAACCTCGCCCACGCCGTTACTGCGCTCTCCCTCGCCCCAAAGTCGACACGTGCATACAGAGGATTGAATAGTGCCATGGACGCACTTCATGAGCCAGGCATTGCTGCCTTGCCAATACCCCACCACCTACGGAATGCACCGACGAAGCTCATGAAAGATATGGGCTATGGAGAAGGTTACAAATATAACCCGCATTATCTTGATGGAAAGGTGAAGCAGGACTACCTGCCCGAGGGGCTGAAGGGTAGATCGTTCCTCGAAGGCGGAGACCTTGGGAGTAAGATTGACCCCGACTTAATTGAAGACGATGAGTTGGTGCCAGAACTAGACGACTGAGATCGTGTACCGAAGGCTTCCAAACGTGAATCAGGATTGGAAGATTTTGATTTGAATACGGCAGATCTGATGCGATGCGTTATATTAGCGAAATACGATACCCACCACGCGTGACTTGTTCGAGTCTTCACAAACAGAAGGTCCCAAGCAGTGCCTCAATGTCTCGCACCTTTATCCTTTTTCAACAACGCTAACACCATGGACAGCGGTCATGACATTTCGACCCGTAAGCACCTATCGCGTAGCGAATGGTGAGCCTGTGCTTGTGCTTGTTCGTACAAGCTTACGCCCAGCAGTAATAAGGCCCCCTCTCATCTCATCCCATCCCATCTACAACCCCATATACCTGTCTGCGCATCTCACGCATCATGATGGAAGCACGCCTCGCTCTCAAAATCACTCAAAGCTCACATTCTACAACAACAACCGTTCAATCAAATCAAACCACTACTTCTTTCTTCCATTTATTCCGTATACCCTAAGCCTTTCCTCCTCAAGCAACCACCACCATCTTCTCAAATCCAACATAAAAAACAACTTGAAAAAACATTGTAAAAAGGGCCGAGAACAAGAAGAGTTGGAAATGCTCGAGTCCACAACCATCTACATCGTACTTTTCTTCATCGTAAGCTCAGTTTTGGGACACCAGCTGCTCCGCAGAGTCATTCGCACGCCTGCGCAATACGAACGACTAGACTGACAGCCTATTCGATTCGTCGAAGCGGATACAGATGCGCATGTACGGTGAATAATTGCATCAACTTAGGGGGTTATAATGGATTTGCTTGGTGGGGAATGAATATCTGTGCGGTGGAGTGCGCCGAGGGATGAATGGACTGATAGGAAGGGAAACGAAGAAAGGGGTCACAGGATATACGGGTAGTAGTGGCGATGTTCGCTCCAGTGAGGCGGGACTTGAGGAGCACTATTACTATCAGAGCAAATGACATAGCCTGATGTGTACAAAACGGCCATGGAGAATCTTGGAAAGCCACTTCAAAGAATGAGGGGTGAGGGCGAGCATGTAAGTGAAGAAGCCACTACAGTATTCATTGTACAAAGGCATTATAATCATGGATTGTCATTATATTGGACTGATTACTCGTCATCATACGCTTCCCTGTCCTGGAATATCAGAAATTGCCCTCCGTCATCACCTGCGATCTTCTGCCATAGTCCCTGGACGTTCTCCAACACGGAGTCATCGAAGGCAAGATCCATTGATGGAGGGGGAAAGCGGAGGACCTGATCTCCGGCACCCGTGGGAAGTGACTCGGATCCGGACGATGGTTGTTGCTGGTATCTGACCGACCAGAGTATGTTGGGCTGTGGCGTAACATCTACCGAAGACAAGAACTCATCGACAGCTTGTTGAAGGAGCTCAAACCCCTTCTCGCCACTCAGCGAGGTAGACGCATAGAGTAAACCTGAGCAATCTGTCAGTGACTTGAAATGCCAAAAGTATGTTGTAACAGAAGTTGGTTGTAAAGCCGATATCAGGTTGTCAGAGTTTTTGTCTTCAATAGAATTCAGACAATGTAGATAAGTATTCGTAAGGTTTGATCATCATAATAGCAAAGCAAGCAAAAAGGAATAGACTTACTTTGACCCGAGGGGCATTCACCCGTGTCGCTCGAGTGCACAAAGAGTTGCACTGGTGGGAGCTCTTCAGTATGCCCGTCCAGCGACAGTGAGCTAGACGGGAAGATAACAACAGCACAAGCTGGTGCTGGTGCTTCTTCGGCGATAGGCGGGAACAAGGGCGTAAGGGGAGATGAGACAACGGTCATTGAGCGGCAGCAAGAGTCCTCCTGTGCGGTCGCGGTGTTTCCACCTACGACCCATCTCGTGGTGACAGCTTCGCCGTCTTTCAGGCGAAGCTTGATACCGTTCTCTGTTGTCTCCACAGCGCTGTCACTTGCGGGTGATAGGCCTTTTCCAAGCACATACACACCACCACCGACAGCACAAGCTCGACATGAAACCTGACTGATCTCCGATATTCCGCCCCATTTAGGGATGACTGCTCCGAAGCCAGCACCAAAGACGCCAATCGAGCGTAGGTGCCTGGCAATCCGCGGTAGCGCATACTCAGTGGTCGTCTGATCCGAGCCCGACGGCGAGAGTGTGAGTGCGAGCAACGGATCCTGTAGGGAATCCGGGACCTTGAATTGCTCTGAGAGGAAGGTGGGGAAAGGTTTCTGTCGGTACCCTTCCCAGACCTCAGTCTGCTCTTCGTACTCGCTGATGAAACGCAAGAACTTCATGAGAGCGCGCTTCGCCTTGAAGTCGAGGTCATGATTCTGGAAGACGTCTTCTCGTCCGTTTGGTACCTTCAGCAACCTCCCATGTCGTGAAGCATTTGGAGATGCAACCGAGCTCTCGCTGCCCTCATCTGCAGAGTATACCCACCAACTACCGACAGCTAGAAATTCAAGCTGACGGTAGACCCTTGAAGAGACAAGGTATTGGAGGAGCGACGAGCGTGCATATATCAGCTGCGGGCTAAGTGCCAAGCTGTATGCTCTCGGGAACGACAATACGGGTGCTGATGAGTCTGACCTGGTGGCCTCGGGCTTGATGATGGTAATATGGGAGAAGGCAGCATTCGATGCATCTTCGAGGTATTAGTAGCTGCAAGGTGTTCCAGTGACATGTGTTTCTTACCATCATTCACCCGCTGCACCCACTCCTCAGCTTCCTGTAAGCTGAAAGCCGCTTCGGCACCGCCGTAGTAGTCATTCTCGTCGATGTGGAGGATTTTCTTCCCCGAGCGCGACAAGGCTCTTCAAGTGCTGCGTCAGTCAGATCGCGTCCACGCCGTCTCACAGCAGGTGAAAACGTACAAAGCGAGCAAAGACTGCTGTAGTCCAGTGCCGACTATAAGCACATCCCATTCAGTGTTGTCGAGAGTTTCCATGGTGGAGCTGCAGGAAAAGTGAGGTGTCGGAAGAACTTGGTAGCGTCCAGTTAGCGCGGACGTGACTAAGCAAGCTGATGAACAAAATCTGCGGATTGCGCCTGACGAGCTTTCCTTCAACATCGCGCACGCGGAGGACATGGCTGATATATGTGGCATGTCTGAACGCAACCAGGCCTTCACTGATCTGGCATGTGCGTGTGAGAAGAAACCCATCGTCCGGTATCTACTGCTTCGGATTTTACCTGAATTAGCGGCTCGAATGTGGCGATACAAACTGAAGATTGAAAGTGCAGCAGATGTCACTTGCCGAAGTGGAACGGGTCACGTTTGCAGAAGAAATGAAAGGTGGGATGAATACCCTTAGCACTCTGGATCCGTTCCTAAGCAGATCTGCCGATTGTGAAGTTGACGGACGGACGGACGGACGGACGAGCGTTTTGAGGATCTGGATCATTTGAACTGGGTCACAGTCATTTTATTCATGTGAACGCAAGCAAAGCATGAAATGACGGTTGAAGGAAATACTCAATTGCTTCTCTTCGCAATTAGCTCCCCAGTCTCATAAGAATCATCATCAGTCCAGTTCATCGCTTCGCACTTGAATCCATGGTGACTACCCAGCCCGCAGACACAACGTGCAGGACCAGGCTCAATGTACCTACCAGGCTACGGTGGAGCGCCAGTCGCAATTCACACCAGTGCCATCTTCTGAATCAACGCCCCTTCCAACAGACATCGTACCGGCCTGAACAATCTGCTGAGCCATTACCTTCTCCATGTACACCGGATCGCGATAGCAGTAGAACCCCTAGTTGTGTTCTCTTGGTCACGGGTTGTACCCCCATGTCGGAGTCACACGATAAAATTCGTCGTCGATGGTCGCGACATCACCCTGATCTACAATGCTCCATCCCATTAGGCGATCTTGGTCCCAGAAGAGGAGTCCAACGGTTGTTAACAATCGGCTAGGGTCGTATTCTATCGTGCCATCTGCAATGCCTGACATGTAAATTATCCAACCGTGGTTCCTCAGCTGCGTCACTATTTGTGAGCTCTTGGGAGGATGACCCACGTCGCTGAGGCTTCCCATCGACTGAGGATGAAGCAGAAGAGGATGAGGGAGCCGACTTGCAGCACTTGAGAATTTATCTATGAAGGAGGGTAAACCAGCATGACTAGCAATGCTATCTTGAACTTCCAAGTATTTTTGAAAGTACGAAGACTTCTCGGATAAGCTTTGAAAACACATGTGCTTTTTCTCGATTACCCTGTAGATTGCAAAGTCGAAAGAGTGTATGCAAGCTTGCAGAAACTGTTCCACAGACATGGCTTGTTGGACCTGCCAGGGTTTCAAGCTTGTCATGAACGCGGCAGGGAACTCGGTTCGGCCGCGGCAATGGTGTATGAACTTTGTCTGTAGTTGACAGTAGATCTTAACAATGAAGAGACTGCATGCAATCCGGGTGTATTCGGTCGTGGAGAGGACTACCGGCGCAACCACCGCGCGGGGGTTAACAAGTGCCTCCATGGTGGCGTTCAAGCCTTGCGCGACGAGTTCGACTGCTACGTCGACCTCCACATAGAGATCAATGAAGTCATGAATGGTGCCCAACTGGACGTCACTGTCGCCGAAGATACGTTGGCTCGTAGGTGCCCAACATAGCAGATCCGTGCTGCGAAGAAGATTCAGGGTTTCTTTCGAATCGAAGTCTTGAAGCCTAGTCTTGTGCAGGGCCCATGACATGCGTACAAGACCTGCGAGAGGGGGTGGTATCTGCGCCAGTATATCTCGCAGGGTATTTTCCGGGTAACGGACGAACAGAGCGCTAAGATGCGGGCTCAATCGTAACAGGCGGCCGACGGAGACGAAGTCGCACTTACAGAGTACCTGGCAGCTGAGGTCAGCACGCACCATATGGCTACAGTAGGTATTGGTCAAGTCGCACCAGCAATTGCAGCTCCGCTGGCAACTGTGTGAACGGAAAAGTACTAGGCTTGGTCTGCTCTCTCAAGCGACGATTGGCTTTCTGTGTAGCACGGTTAGCTTTCTGTGCAGCACTTCGCGGCATTGTCAAGAGGAAAGCAAGCTGCAGTTTGTTTGTTTGGGAGAGGCGCGACCATGGAACAACAACCTGCCATCGGCGATTCTTCGGGCCGCTGCTGATAGTCAGGGACGAGAGAGCTTCGGCTTTCCCCAGAAACGGAACACACGTATCCAATCCTACTCCAGTCCCAGTCGTTTTTCCGCCCTCGAAATGCTCGTCTCCCTCACAGTTGGCAAGGTCGATGCCGGCGTTGCTGTCCTCTTGACCGAAGATAAACGCCTCGTACGCGCGCCCAAGCCTCTCATGCCTCCCAGCAGCAGCTCACACTGCGCTGACGCATCCCTGCAATTCACCAATAGCTAACCCCCGCTGCAGATCGAATTCCCCAGTATCCTCCTGCCACCCGACATCTCTTCGGGGAGCATAGTCGACATCGACGTTGGGCGAAACTACAAAGCCGAATCCGACGCCGCCAAAGCCTTCCACGAGCTCCAGTCTGAGATCTTCCGCACCTTTGGCCAGCGCACGCCCTCGGCCCCCGGCATCCGCTGTCGCAATGCCACGCAAACCTCAGTAGTCCTCGAGTGGGATCCCATCGATGTTGCCATGGCCGAACTCCGCAGCCTCACCTTGTACCGCAATGGCAGCAAGGCAGGCACGATCCCCAAGCCCGGCGAGGTACACAGCACCAAGCTGAGCGGTCTGGCGGTGGATACCGAATACACCTTCCATCTAGTGCTCAAGACCAGCGCGGGCACATTTAGCAGCGAGAAGCTAAAGGTGCAGACACACAAGATGACGGATCTATCTGGCATCACCATAACACCGGGCCACATGCCCGCTTCTCTCCGCGAGTCGCTGCAGCGATCTGTCGAGCGAATTGGCGCCAAGATTGCGGACAACGTTCGTATCGACACGACACATTTCGTATGCACCGAAGGCAGAGGGCCGGCGTGGGAAAAAGCCGTCGAGAACAACATCCCTGTTGTGGTGCCAGATTGGGTCATCGGGTGTGAAAGAGAAGGCAGAATTGTCGGCGTGAGAGGCTATTACTTGAACGCAGACCCGAGATTACGAAACGTCGGGCCAGGATCGTCGCAACAACAGCCCCAGCATGCGCAACCACAACAACAGCAACAACAGCAACCGCAACCCAAGAGTCCAATACAGAGTCCTCGAACGGAGATTACGCCGCCAACCCCTGAAAGACCGACGCCCGGTCGCGACACAGATGGTGCGGCGCCCCCTCCTCCACCGCCCAAGGACAGCATCAGCGAGAAGAGCGAACCGACGACACCAGAGCCGAAGAGTCAGGCAGAAGAACAGAAAGTTAGGACCGAGGACCTGAAACCGCAGCATGAGAAGGAGAAAGAGCAGGATGACGATAGCGAAGAAGAGTCAGAACCCGAGTCAAGTGATGGCAAGGCGCAAGAAGCTGGCCTGCCAAATAGGTCAAAATCGGGACAGGCGTCTGTTGAGGACGATGACGATGGAGCTAGTTTCCAAGAGGTGCAGCTTTGATAGCGCCGTGGATTGGGAGACTGGATTGTGAAGCAGGCATTTGTTTGAGGCATCGCATGGAGTTGGAGACATTTAGACTTTCAGTCCAACTAAGCGATGAGTTTTCATCTGACTACCTGTGTGGTTTGGCTCTGTGCTAAGCATACATTTGAGAAAGTTCATTTCACAGATATAGGCTCAAAAGTCGGATGGGCCCAACAGGAAGGGAAGGTCTTGAAGCCCACGAGGTGTGAATGTCGGCCCCCTTTTCCCAGGAAACTCAGATTATACAACGATCTGCTTACCCTGTCAGCAAGACTGGCTCTAGCGCCGGCAAGACACAGTGTTAAACAGCAACAATAATATATCAGTGTATGCAGCTGTATAACCCGTTTTACAGCTAAGTTTATACGTATGGATAATTATATTATTTACCCTAACCATGCGTTTAGCATAGAATTTAGGTGTAGGAGGCATGTCCTAAGGTCCGGGGGTTTTGCCCGGCGTTAAAAATCAAATCACATCGTCGAAACCTTTCACGCTAACGTGCACAATCTACTACTACTGGCCCACGTCAGGCTTATCCTCCGAGTGGGCCCAGGGCGTAAACCCCCAGCATGGGAGGCCTAATATCTAGCCGAAAGACTGTTATAAAGCTAGCTAGCATACCTAAACTCGAGATGCATCTCCCCACATACTCGATTTCGCGAAGATGGCCGTGTCCCTGGAATTGCCGCCGATATTTGCTCTACTTCAGGTTCCGCTGATATATCTGGTCAACATCGTTGCCCTCGCTATCGGGCCGAGACATCAATTCCTCCGCGTCTTGATCAGTCTGCCAGCAGTTGTTCTCCTCCTCTGTCAGGGTCTTTACCGGGAAGGGGATAGTCCCTGGGCCATACAGTATGGCATGAACTGCGCGGCGTTGAGTGCCACGCTCACGTATGTAGATTGGACCCTGTTGTGTAGCCCAGACAAGGAGGGGTGGTATAAGATTCAGTACAACAAGCCAGTAGTCACTGGAAAAGAGAAAGAGAACAGCAAGACGAATGGGTTGGGGAAGAAGAGTAACGAGGCCGTCGTACCCGTTGGGTTTCGGAGCAGATTGTGGTGGGGTGTTCGACTGGCGACGACAAATCGATATGTTGGGTGGTCGTGCCAAGTCAAAAATGTGCCCGTACAAGTCGATGCGGATTATCCACGATTGTAGGTCCCCCCTTTTCCCTTGATCTCTTGTTTTCCTTCCTGCTCACACAACTCAAGGCGCTTCGTAGCTCGCAAATCCCTTAAAGCCATCTTCTTATATTTGGTAAAAGATGCTCTCTTCTCATACACCGCATCCACCCCGCACGGCTCCTGGACGGACATACTTTCCGTCAAACCCGCTATTAGCTACAGTTCGTACCCCTTTTGGCATCGCTTTTGGTACGCTTGGGTAAACCTCGCCATGACATGTGTGAGTATGGAGATGCTCAACTCCGCGTACGGCGCTGTGAGTGTGGCGACGGGGTTGGCGAATCCGAGGGACTGTCCTAGTACCTTTGGAGATGTGAGGAAGATGACAAGCGTGAGAAACACATTTTCGTGAGTTGAAAGTCTCCAAGCGGACATTAATTGCTGGCTGATCCTAATTCGCAGAACTGTATGGCACCAACAATGCCGCCGCATATGCTCTGCACCAGGGATCTTCATCGTGCGCGACGTACTTCATCTCCCAAAAGGATCTCTCGCTTCAGGATACATTCAGCTGTTCATAGCATTCAGCCTTTCAGGGCTTGTGCACGGGGGAGCTTCGATGCTTATTCATCGCTCGTTTAACGATGATAGAGCATATGCATTCTTCATCAGCCAAGCGATGATCATTATTATTGAGGGTCATTTTATCGTCCTAGGAAAGCATCTAGGGCTGAAAGACTCGCTATTTTGGCGGTGCATAGGATTCTTTTGGACCGTGTTCGTAATTGGGGCGAGCTTTGATTTAGTGTCCAGTAGGACCAATGCGCATGGGATGTGGATCCATGATCGTGAGCGCGACTGGTTTGGTATTGGGCCCAAAGTCGTTCCGTAGGACATCATTCGTTTAAAAGACTCCAGTCCTCTTCAAGTGAGCTAGCGATACTGATGTTGGAGCCGTACCGGGCTTCACACATAACTTGTACGCAGAGGTACAAGGATATATGGCCCAGTGCCATGATTTACATGGCTTTCAAACTAGTCGAAATCGATGCGTACTCTTTTTACCTCTCTTAATCAAGCTTGCAACCTCTCCGTTCAGGTACCCATGCGCATATCCCTCACCAATGACTTGCCACGCTTCTCGCTCCCCTCGTTTCCTAAGAACAAGTGGAATGCTGCATCCGAATAGAATTGCAACAACATCGCCCTCTCGAGCGCGGCAAGGCGCCATGCCGACGAGTCCCTCGCTGGTGACAATCAGTCTCCGCGCCTTTTTGCGCACCGTGTCATGGAATCGTGACAAGAAAGTGTCAAGTTTATCGGAGTCGGGCCCGTCCTGTTGATGTATTGGGTACGACGGCGGGCGATGCAGTGGTGGTGGGGAGGACGATGTTTCTGCTGGCACCGCGTAAATCAATTCTTCCAATGTCTGGTTGCCGAATCGTAGGTTCTTGTTGTGATCGAACCAAGTCGCGAAGCTCCAGTCAACCGGTTCATCGGCTATACAGGCATAACATACGTGCAAAAACTCGTTGATGTAGTGTGTTGGCGCGTGGAAGCAAAGGTACTTATCCTGGCGGTCGAGGACGAGAGATCGGGCGATAGCCTCCAGCCAGTCTTTAGGTAACATCTTGGATCTTGGGCCTCTTTCTTGGTCTTTTGTAGATTGTAGCATTGCATGGCCCTCTTCTGCGCAGATGAAACTTTTGCACCTTAGCTCGCGGTCGTCTAGTCCGCCTAGTCCGTGAATGGTGTCAAGTACGACACCATCACACCACAACTCCTTCAGGCTGTCAGAGAAGTGCACGTTTGCCTTCTTGTTCAGCTGAGATCCAGGAGCGTTGTACTTTGCTTTCCAGGTAGTAGAGCGCAAGGGCCTGAAATTGTCAATGTGCACGCTTGCACTTTGGCTCGCCATCAATGGAACAGGCGACGCAAAATCGGCCATGGCTCGCCAGTCCGGGGCCCACCAGGGTACTGCATTATCTGCGCCGGGATCTTCGGGACCCGAATATCGGCTGAAGAGATGTACAAAACAAACGATATCGAGATTTTTATATTCATTCCAGAAGGATCGCACGAGCCTTGCAAATTGGAGCTCGGTGCTCGAAGTGTATTCAGGTGCACCTATAAGCTCACGATCTCGCGAGGTGATCAGACCCATAACGGAGAAGATGCGATCTCTGCTGTCGGTTGCTGAGTGATTGCCTAAGTAGGCCATGATGGAGACAAGGCCTATGCCTCTCGATTTTGGGTTCGCGTATCTTTGATGAATCCTTCTACGATTGAAGGCCCCGTCAAAGGCTTTACGTGGCACGAGTCGATGCTCAAAATCCTGACTGATTGTGCTGCACAGAAACATGCTGTATATCGCACTCTTGAACTTCCTGCGGGTAATGCTGGTTTTGCCACAGTACAGTTTCGCTTCTTTCGGAAGGACAAATTCTTGCAGCGTCCAAACTCGTGTGAACCAAGGTCTGAACAGCAGACTGCTTACCGCCTCGCATTTTGATGTGAAATCTGGGTCGTCAAGGTTTCTGCGCATGGCCAACTCGTCTCCACTGAACGCAACTTGTAAGCTAGAAAGGTAATGCAGAAACTCGATCGCACCGGTACAATTGCTGCCTTCTTCGACTTCCTCGCCTAACCAAATGATAGCTCTCCGTGCTCTTTTATATATATCTGCCATGATCCGTACCTGTTGCTCCCGCTCGTGTCCATTCGTGAGGTTTATGCACAGACTGTCTATCCACCACCAATCCTTGTCGTCGAAGTCGTCATGGTTCGTGACCATGTGCAGGAAAGGTACAAGACTATTCAATACTTGTAACGGTCCGGTTTCTAGATGGATAATAGTTTCTGAGGTTGCCCTCGTGCCCCATACATAACTCGCCGTAAAGAAATGAGGGGCGTTAGCCAATCGGAAAGTTTGGAGCTCACCCACAAAAGTGCCATCTTCAGACTGCGAGAAGCGAAGTAGACGGACGGAGATACCATTCAATGTGTCAGAATATACAGAACCGGCTCTGCTTCTTCCTGGTAGAGCATCCATGAGGTTGGAGGTAACTGTGTGCTTTGCAAAGAGATGACGGTCCGTGACCGGATGTTCACGCACTAGCTCGCATCGAGACGATCAGGAAGTCGCGAGCTTCCCGGGTGGAGACCTTACGTCTCTTCACACCGCACACTACGTGTGCTTCAACCTCACATCTTGCCGTTATCATCATGCCTGCGCTTAAAAAAAGTTGATACCGACGTCTAATCTCTGTGAGAATTTTCTGACAGCTCTTTGGTGATCATGGATTGCATGAGTCGCTATTCCTGCTGCTGTAGGAACTCTATCGCCGCTGTGTCGTTATTACCACTTTGCGCGCTGACCGAATTTTCTACTCTATACGAAGTCAGACTGAGACAATATTGTCATTCATTGTTTTCTTCGTGAAGTCGTAGCCTGCGCAAACGTCCGGTGGCGGTTCAGAATCGCTGCGACACGAGAACTGGGCATCCACCATCTATTCTTTCCACACCAAGATCAGCTGTTTACCAAGATCATCACCAGGCGAAAACAATCTGAAATACCATCCGCATAAGGTTCGCAAACTGTTGGCAGTCTTCAGCTCAGTAAGCTTTACGGTTGACTGAGGCGCAGTCATCAGCACCAGCAGGATGCACCCCCGAGTATTCGGGAATAGTAAGCGAGTGATACGAGAACAGGCATTCATCGGTGCTGCAACCGTTGCAATGAGCTATTCACGCGATCAAAAGTTATTCTGGATCACGAGATCAATGGAGTGCCACCTACAGCTGGACAAGGACCTGGAGCTGGAGCTGGAGCTGACGCTGATGGAGCAGAAATAGCAGTGGCAATATAGAAGCACCAGTCTGAAGGTATAAAGGAACATGTGTATCTTCGAGGACTGGTTATTATCAGCTTCATTCCACAATTGAAACTTCCAGTTCGAACATACTCTACTAGTCAATTTCTTTTAAACCAAAATCTCTCCACACCCCAACACCATCGATATGTATTTCACCCTGGCCACCGCTCTCCTGAGCACCTCCATCCTCGTCAGCGCCGCACCAACGACCTCATCTGCGCCCCTTGAGCGCCGCGCCTGTTCCGTTGCGTACCCGCGAAGCATAGGATTCCCCATCAACTTTGACATTCACCAAGACGCAGGGGGAGTCAACTCAGTCCCCAACGCCCTAACATTCAACAATGTGCCCGCAGGATCTTACGGCTGCCAACTTGAAGTCAACTTCCCTGCCGGCTACCCGATCACCTCATCTGGCGCCAGCGCCGTCAACATCTTCGCTACCTCCGGCGACAGTGAGACGCTTTTTGGTACTGTTACCCTGCAGAGCAGCCCTGTTGCGCCTACCAAGTTCATTATCAACTCGGCAACGTGCAGTACGTTGATGACGTATAAGATTAAGATTGCTAGCGAGACTGAGGCTGGACGTGTGGCTTTCGCTGACACGAAGGATGCTGGCTTCACTATGACCTACAACTGCTGAGCTATGTTGGGCTGAGATAGTGTCGGGATAGATTAGGCGATGTACAATTTAAGTGGGCTTTCATTTGGTGGCGTCCGGATGTGGTGATGCGTAGAGGAAATTGAAAGTTAGACAATGCTCATTTCGTATGATTTTCAAGTATAAGTTGTTAAGGTTGAGATGAATCAATGCAGCACCATCTAATGCAATAAAAGCGGCAGATCTACTGTGCAACTTATAGCCAACGAAACTATCTACACCCGCTCACTACTCACAATGGTCGGACCCTCCTCGCTCCTCGCAACCCTGTCCTCATTCCCCATCCTCCTAAAGTTCCGCTCTTGGCCTCTGCCTCTTCCTCGCCAGGAACCTCCTCCCCCACCTCCTCGTTTTGACTTTCCATCACCATGGCCGCCTCGTGCCCGGCCCACCGAGAACTGGATCTTAGTGAGTGGTTGCTCTACCCACTCAAGACCCTTCAGACCAAGATTGGTTTTCTCCCAGTCACTCAGTTTCCAAACCTGATACAGGTACATCAACCGCTGTTGGTCCACCTCTTCTCGCCCAGGCCCGATAGTGCGTGTCAACTTGATACCCCTTAGCTCTGGAACCCATGCTTTTATATAATCGCCTTGTGGATCGTAATCGAGTGCCTGTTTGACCGGATTGAATATCCGCCCTTGTCTTGGGTCGTTGCCAACGCCTGCCACGTACTGCCAGTTGCCCCAGTTGCTGGCTGTATCATAGTCTGTGAGGAAACACTCGTACCACTCGGCTCCAACACGCCAGTCAATATTCAGGTGCGAGGATAGAAACGAGGCGACATTCTGTCTCGCTCGGTTCGACGTGTAGCCAGTAACAAACAGTTCTCGATTCGAGGCGTCGATCAGACCAACTCCCGTGCGACCAGATCGAAAGCGCATGAATATTTCCAAGGCCTTCTCCGGGTCTTCACCTGCACGTTTGGTTTTATGTAGCGTTCTCCATGGCTTGCGGCAGTTTTGTTGATCGTCTTTTCCTCTCTTGTCCTGGATGCCGTAGAGAGAAAACATCCGATGGCCAAACTTTTGCATGCAAAGGCGCATGTAGTCTCTCCATAGGAGTTCGAATCTGACAGCTGCTGTTCCCTCGTTTTCACCTTTTCCATAACCTGCCAGGTCTTTTCCGTCTCCTCTTCCCTCTTCGAAGTCAACCATTGCCCAGTGGACTTGTCGTGCGGTAATATGGCCTTGCGCAAGGAATGCAGAGAGTTTTGTGCTGAAGTCCAACCCTAACATGCCATTTCTTGTAGCCTTGTAAGAGCTCATTGCACCACTGCGGATGAGATGCGCGATGCGGTCTCGGCCAACTGTTTCTCCTCCATCAAATGGATGTGCTGACTTGACGTCCGTCGGCCACTGCGGCGGATGTGTTAATGTGAATGTGGGGTCCTTCTCCAGCGGAGCTAAGAGCCTTTTCTTCAGTTCATTGAAATTCGTGGGAACTGTGAATGGTCCTGTTTGTGGAGGTACAACTGGCGGTAGTGGCGGTAGTTGTGTCGGGGTGGGCAAAGGGTTTCGAGGGCGGTCGCGAAGCGGTTCAAGTGATTTGCGATATGTCGTATACACATTTGGAAGCTCGGAGATATTCTCGTACGGTAAATCGCGGCTATGACCAGTTAGCAAGGTTTAACTATTACCAACCATTTACAGATGAAGCAGATGTGGGTCTACGCACTCGTCTACGTAGAACTTCTCATCCTCCCATACCTCGAAGTCCACGTTGTGCTTTTCCGCAATGTCCTTAACTATGTTTTCGTCATCCTTTTCTTCGGTACCATCATCGCCGGTCATGCAGATCCCAGTGATTTCAGCCTTGTTGTCGCCGTTGTCACAATTCTTGGAATACCAGTCGAGTATATCCGAAACCACATCCCCAACTCTTCCAACCCTTATTTCTAGACCAGATCCGCATTCGAGACTTTCAAGTCTTCGCTTCAGATCCCAAACTCCCTCAGCTATGAACTTTGCGCGGTGTGGTCCGGTGCGCCATACTCCCGCTACCGCACTGCGCGCTTCGGCGTAGGGACATTGGTCTGATGGCGAAGAAAGAAAGCCAGATACTTCGATCTGGTTTGCTGAGAATATGTATATCGGCAGAACGTGTGTAAAATTGGCGTCCCCATGTTCTGAGGTCAGCGAGTCATCGCGGTTTCGTTTGTCGGAATTTGAGGGTGACCTCGAGGATTTCGTTTGTTTGGTTCGGTGTGAGGCAAAGTGGAAGATTGGATTATCGGAGAGGCGGATGTCGCGGCGAAGTATGTAGAGCAGGATGCGCGGGTGGTCCTTTGACATAATCGAGGACCTTTCGCTCGAGGTGCTGGGTCTGTGTAGTGAACAACAGGAACAAAGAGGCAAGTCGCAAGTATTGCACGGGGGCCAGGAAAAACTACGTCGGAACATAAGGAAAAACGCTTCAAATAATGCCCAGTGTTTGAGAAAGCAAAAGCATTGCAGTACTACAGACAAAACAGAAACTCACGACGTGTTGGACGTCATGACCCCATGGCGAACAATGGAGCTATGTCCTCCCGAACTTTCCAAGGGCACAACGCGACTGTGCACTAGCAGGTGTCCTAGCATGTCATATGTCAGCTATATCAGGCTGTCTCCACCGGACAGATGCAGGTTCCTGGGATAGAGGAGATCCGGCTCGAGGTGGCTAATGCCTCCTGCAGCATCTTTCGCTCAGAATTATGACGTGCGAGTCGGCTTAGTGCAGAACTGCTATTGGCTGCTGCCAGCTGCAGGGGCGCCGCAAAGAGCGAATTTGGGACGGGCCGAGAGTTGGTGGGAAGGTTTACTACTGGCGATGATCGTGTCATGGAGTAATGGAGAGATCGCGATCTAAGTACCGAGACGCCTTGCCTATTCGGGTTAGTGTTTGGAGAAGGATTTGAGATCTCTGGGCGCCAAGTGTGTTATAGTACAGGGCCACAGATCGACAATCTGGTAGCAGCTTTGATCTCGATTTTCATCGACTAAGAACAAAGATCGTGTGCAACACCTGCAGGTGCTCGTACGTTGATTTAGTCCAAATAGGCTACGGCCTCGCTGAATGCATGACACGTGGCACACCTTTCGTAAGCAGCATGAGTTCAGTGTCCCACAACGTCTCTAGCTGTGCCTCTTCTCATTGCGGTGCTCTCTGATCCTGTAGAAGCTCTAGACCAGTCTTTCGCGCCTGAGCTGTGACGCGCGATTACCGCCAACTCTATGTAATGTACGTGGATGGCAGATCTTCGGGTGAATTCTTTGTTGTCGCGAAGAGAACAAAACAAAGAAGAAACAGCAGCAACACAGCCTGTAGACCATCTCTATTGAGTGATTGGAATGATGCGGAGTCTCTTGGCAAATTCACTGCATTCTCAATAAGTTTGAGAGACCATATTGGGAAGCAGCGGAAACATCAGATTTGCACGCTGAACTATTGTTGTGAGTTTCAAAAGTACTGTGAGAAGGGGGGGCTTGAATACCACTTAGGTTTTCAGAGATGGACGAACGAGGTGAACGGAAAACTGACATCATGAGATTTGCTGTGCTGGAAACAATGACAAGCCAAAGAGAATGGATGCAAAGTTGTTTTCAGAACGCTCGTGCGATCGCGATCGCCAAATACTTCTGATCGAACATCAAGGCACAAAGAGACTTATATCTCTTAGGCTGTCAATATGCTCTCATGCCTCTTTGTTTGAACCTGAAGGCGATTGATGTGAGATCAAATCAAGAACAACGACGCTGTCTCGACGTATGATAGCTCTTGGAGGCTCGAACAGTCATGTGTCGTTATCTAGGACTCTTTGTTCCTTTGACGTTCACCAGATGTCGTATTATAATCATCTCTTTTGTCTTCGGGCTTTGAGCCCTCATCCCAATTCTTACAAAAGGTCACACAATCCCCTTATCTCCCATCAACACAACCTGTATCCTAAACACACAATCTCTTCATCACAATTAACAACATAATGCCGCCCAAAGCCGCCCGCGTCGTCACAGCTGCAAGAAACCGACCCCGTCGCGGTGCCGCCACATATAATGTGGACTATTACGAAGGTCCGCCTACTAGGCCTAGGAGACGGAGAGCCAACACCAACGCTCCTGCAACGAGGACTACCGCCAAAAGGGCAGGTAATAAACCACGTAAAGCGCCCGCCCCGGCAAAGAAGCCTGCCGCCAAAAGGGCAGGCAAGAAAACCCGCAAAACCGGCGCCCCTGCAAAGAAGCCTGCGGTAAAGAAGACTGCAGTCCCAGAGCCAGCACATGGCAGAAGGTGCATTTCTTGCGGACAGGTGGGACATGTCAAGTCAAACCCGATCTGTCCAAACCACATCCCTTGACTGGGAATGAATCTAAATTATTGAGATGGATAATATGGAAACTTTTGGTGAAATAAGTATTTTGTCACGAACCTTGAGAACTGGTATAATTCGATAAGGACAGAGGAGGGAGGAAATTTGTTGGAAGTGAAAGAATAGAATACGTTGGGACGGGTAATTGAGGGGTTGAGTTAATAATGTTACTTTTTAGTGTACGTTTGCCTAACAATGATGCTGATGCTTGTGAAACCGAGCTGTAGTGTTCAAGCTGAACCGCTACAGGCTGGGATAGGATTTGTTCCAGCTTTGCTAACCTAGCTAGTATGCTACACCACCGGCAAGTATACTAGACGGCTTTCAGCATACCGCTCTATGCACGCCCTTGGACATCGGGTGCTTGGCCTTGTCTTTCTGTTGACTGGCTTTCTGGCCCTTGTTCACATGATCTTTCTCTACACTCGGCGTTGAAGGCTGGAACGCTGCAAGGTCGACTGCATCCGTCTTCATCAGCAACTCGGTGACTGCGCAAATGTCGGTGACGAGGCGATCAATCATGTCCAAAGACAAGGTTTCGCGTACGACTATTCTCAGGATCTCCGTCTTGTCCTCGTTAGGTGGCAATGGGTAGTCTACACGCATTAGTTATGGTACTCTACTATGTTATATATTACTTACTTGGAATGATATACTACAGTTGAGGTATGAAGTCAGTATATGTCTCACTGCAGTTTCGTACGCCAAAGTTACTTACTTGCTTCGCTCGCAAGAGGTTGCTGACAGACTCCTGTTTCACGTGGGGAAACTCCTTCTTGAAGTCATCCGTAAGCGAGAATGCTACAACAGGAAGGCCAGCATTATAGTCTGCGCTTGTGTCGCCCTCATCATACTGCTTCTTTCCATCCACGAACTTGAGGTCGCCTTTCTTTCGGTGGATGTCGCTAACCTATGCGGTGATTAGCCTCATGCATTACGCTACATCGCTATAATCGGCTTGACTTACACAACGGTACCAGCCAGTGTACTCGAGCGCCCTGCTCAACAACCGCGCATTGGCCAAAGTATTCTCCATGATGCTGCGATAGCCGGCGAAGCCCAGATGAATTAGATTGTAATATTGTGCAATGACTTGCGCTCCCGGACGGGAAAAGTTGAGAGTATAAGACTCTTCTGTACCACCTAGGTAGTGGAGCTCGAAGATGAGGTGCTTAGGAAGATAGCTCTCATCGCGCCAGATGATCCAGCCAACACCTGCATACACCAGACCGAACTTATGCCCGCTAGTGTTGATCGACTTTACTCGCGGAAGCTGGAAGTCCCATTTCTTACCAGCCTTGGCGTGAGTAAACGGAGCAATAAAGCCTCCAGAAGCCGCATCGACGTGTATTGGGATGTCGTTGCCTGTCTCCTTCTCGAAGTCATCCAGGATGTTGGAGATTTCCTCAACGGGCTCGTAATGTCCTGTATATGTTGAACCGAGGATGACGAAGATGCCAATGGTGTTTTCATCAATGTTTTTCTTGACCAGCTCTGGATCCAGACGGTAAGACGAGTCCTCGCTTACGGGCAGAATGCGAGCCTCGACCTCGAAGTAGCGGGCAAACTTTTCGAGAGCCACCTGGGCATTCGCCCCCATGATAATGTTCGGCTTCGATGTATCCTTGCCCGCTGCTGTGCGCTTCTCTTGCCATCTTCTCTTCATCGCCAGTCCGCCGAGGTGGATGGCTTCGCTAGAGCCAGTGGTTGCTGATCCAATGGCTTTCTCACCACTCTGGACACCCCAGAGATTAGCAATGATAGATACACAGCGCGTGTGCATATCCATCATTGCGGGATACTCGTCGGCGTCTGACATGTTCTTTGAGAGATTCTCAATCATCAGCTGCTCAGCCTCTTTCTCCATGTAAGTTCCCACAAAGGATGCCAGATTCAGACTGGGCCTTCCATCGAGATCGAGCTCATCTTTGAGTAGCTGGTGCACGACATCTGCTGGAGCGCCATCCTGTGGGATCCTGAATTTGGAGAGCTCGGTGCTGGCGGCATAGCGACTCGAGTAGGGAGTAGTGTGCGAGACTTCGCGGTTACTACCGTGACCTCTAGCCTTATGGGCCGGATGGTCGCGGAGAGTCTTCATGAGCTCGTCTGGATTCACTTGTCTGGCGAGAGGCATGGCGATTGATGGCGGATGTTTTTGGATTGGGTCAATTCAGGTAGTCAACGTGAAGGCTTCAGCAGCAAGCAGAGGACCAGCAGAGTTATACTGTGTGTAAAACAACGAAGTATGACGGCACATTACGTCCAGGGCTGCGCATCTCCACAGAAATGGCCTGGAATGCTGCGCAGAGTTGCAAAGCTTGACAAATGCTTGGAAAAGCTTGTTTTCGTCACTAAGTGGTCCCTACGAGAGCCGTCCACAGCCAATGAAGACGTAGATGTCAACATTTCCAGCAAGGTCTGCTCCACGACAATTGCCGCAAAAGCCGCTACGTGTCGTCCGAGAGGGTTTCCACGTCGCGGAAGCAAACACTGAATGGCGTGGCATGACGAGGCAACTAGCCGCAAACCGCTCGTGTTGCAGCAGACGGCGGTTTGATGACGCAATGCAATGTGAAAGTGGGAAAGCATGGACCAGCGCTCGGCGAACTCGTTTCCGGCTCCCGCGATAGCACGTGACGGACTGGGTGCGCCTCCAAGTTCCTTCAACCAGGTGCAGAAGCATTCGCATCGTGTAGCATCAATCTAAAAACGAATCCAGACCATGCTGTGTCCCTACATGTTGCCAGTGGCTTGTGCCGCGTCGGGCTCGTGCTGGACGAAACAAATGGCGTCATCCAATGCGTGCTCACCAAGGTAGCTCCAGCTTGCCCCGCGTCTCAGGAGACTCAGGGCTACGCGTCCACCTTGGAGCCTGGAGGTTACGCGGCCTTGGTGGAAGATATGGGTGGCATCGTGGTTTCCCTCAGAATCTCCGAAACTACCCCAGACACATCTGTCTGAATATTGTACATATTGCATACGGCTTGTGTTGTCTTGTTACCTCGTCCGTCTACTTGTCCGCATTCACCAAGCTGACGTTACCGAGTCCGCGCCAATAATCTTGCCACTCAGTGGTGCTGTAATCGACTCGTATTGCTCTTTGTCGCTGAGACCTACTTCTTCCTATCCTTCCTGCACCTAACATCCTTCATTGCAATTGAGTGCTAGGCATCATGCGCTTCACACGCATCGTACCACTCCTTCCCTTGGCCTCTGCATTCGTTATCACGGACGCAGAGGTCTTTCAGAACCTCGAGAAGTCGGGAAAGTCACTCGTCGATAATGCTCAAACTGTTCTTGACAACACCCAAAACGTTCTTGATGACGCCTTTGGTAGAGTGAAAGACGGTGCAAAGGACTTGTACAGCAAGATTCACAAGGCTGGCTACGACGTCGAGTCTTGGCTCGAGGACTCGTCATTCGATCATAGCGTCGTTGACTTTGAGGAAGACCCCCATCATCCGAAACACCCTCCGCATCATGGACCACCACATGATGGACCACCACACCATGGCAAGCCTCGCCACCCACCACACGAAGATAAGCCAAACAGAACGGTGTACGAGCTCATCAACGAGAGCAAGTACACGACCAAGCTCGCCAAGCTGATCAACGAGTACGATGACCTGGTCGAAATCCTGAACGGCACCAAAGCCAACTATACCATCTTTGCTCCGACGGATGAGGCTTTTGCGAAGATACCCAATTACGGAAAGAAGCCGTCAAAGGAGGTTCTCAAGGACATCTTGCTGTACCACATCAGTGGTGACTTCTACCCAGGACCCCGCATCTTCCACAGCTACACCATCCCGACCCTTGATGAGCCAGAGAAGCTCGGACACAAGCAGCGCCTTACTGTCCGAGTAGGTTTCAAGGGCTTTGTGCTCAATTTCTACTCCAGGGTAGTTGCTGCCAACATCTTCGGTACCAACGGGGTGATACACGGCATCGACTCGATTCTTGTTCCACCCCCTAATGTTGCTTCCATTATCGAATTGCTTCCTGGCGAGTTCAGCACTCTCGCACTCGGCCTCACCAAAACTGGTCTGTTCGATAAACTGAACAGCACCGACAGTCCGCATAAGGGGGGCACGGTATTTGCCCCTTCAAACTACGCTTTCCAGAAACTTGGTCACAGGGCCAACGCCTTTCTCTTCAGCAAGTACGGCGAGAAGTACCTCCGTGCTCTCCTGGAGTACCACATTGTCGTCAACCAGACACTCTACTCTGATGCCTTCTACGACTCGAACAAGGACGATAGTGAGGAGGTTGCTACTCACCCACCACATTTGCACTACGATCTGCCAACGGTGCTCCACGACAAGTACCTTTCTGTTGACGTTATCCGTTACGGGCCGTGGGTGTCAATCGAGGTCAATCGCTTTGCGAAAGTCAGTTCCAACGATGGGGTAGCCAGCGATGGTGTTATTCAGGTCGTGTCAGATGTCTTGATCCCTCCCAGGAATACCAATGGCGAGCAGGCGTTCTGGCAAGGAGAGGAGCTGAGCGTCGACGAGATCAAGGAGCGCCTTCAACCCTTCGTTGACGAGAACATTGAGTTGTAGAAATCTTTTCATGGTTCATGGTTATCACAACGATGCCATAAACATCTGAATAGGATTGAGCAACGTGGTCGCTGACACGAGATGAAAACTTCCATACAGCCATCATGGCTACTTACGATCGTTATGAGTAATTTTACATACAATTTTCTGCTTCCAGTAGCGTAATAGCGGCCCACGGTAGTAGCACGTATATGATTTCTTGTAGCGAATGAAATCTTCTATTGTAACTCTTTCCGATCTGGAAGCGTACCATCGACATGTTGAGTGATGTAAATTTTGTAAGCAGCTATGCCTCGGGGTCCCTGGGAGCATTGTCTCTGGGAGCATTGACCCCCAGTTCAAGTATTCATGGCTTCTAACGAGATATCTAGAGATACTGCGACCATACTTGCCATGCCGTGAATGCATGTTACCCATCCACACGGATTCTCACTCCTAAATGTTGATGTACTGTTGTTCATCTCAAGGTTAACGATGGACGAATACGGCTGCAATACTAGTTTAACCCTCCTAGAACGGAAGTATTAGCACATCACCATACTTGTTCACGTGGGAGATATCGGTCAGGGGAGGTCCTCCATCATCTATGTTATATAAACCCTTCGGTAATGCATCCAGTCCACCTGAATCCTCACCAAGGATATCAAACCAGTGTTGTATCTTGCCTAGTCTGGTTCGCTTGAATAGTGTCTCACCGCAGAAAAACTGGCTCCCATTGTCGTAGAGGAAGATCAAGCCAAGCAGACACTGGTATGGATGCCAGACCGACCCGTTCCGCGCATCCTTCTCCATCGTATTTGAGCATCATTCCAACAAGGTGATCCTTTCTTATGCGGGCGTCCTCCTTCGCTATAATCGCAAATTTTGCCCTCGTGATATCACTTCCTGTGCTTCGCTCCGAGAAATGTACTGAAATTCGTATTTGGAGCTTTTGCACTGTGATGGTATGTACCCTCTCCGTGTGTTTCCCATGCTGACTGCATATAACTTCTAGGGTAGCCGTGCTTGTCCAGAAACACAGCAAGGCGTCTGCTACTGGATTTGTTGTTGGGTCTATGGGAAGGTCAGCGACCTGAATATCAGTCCTTGTGTTGCCCATGCGAAGATGATCCAACAGGGTTGACCGTGTCTCGGAATCTTCAGCTTTGTCTGTACGGTAATCCTGGTGAAGGAAGTCTGGGCACTGTTGGTCTATGCTGTAAAAGTCCAAGCCCAAGGTTGTGTCATACAGAGACCCGAAACACTCGGCGAAATATATTATGCCTTTCCAGCCAACCCAAGACCAGCTGGGGTATTGGACCTTTACGCCAGTTTTGGAAACAAGATGGGCTTCTCCTCTCGTGGCATCAAATACTGGCCATGTAAGGGCTTTTTCCATGAATCCCATCGGCATTGCCCATAAGAAGGACTCTCCAGTCACTCTGTGCATTGCCTTCAATATCCCTCTAATCGCGTCGAGGATATCGTCTCCATTCGTCAGACTGCGTTGTGTGTACTCTCGTACAAACAACTGATATTGGGTATCAAAATCCGTAATTTCTGGATTCCAAAGCTGAGGTCTGGATACATCGCGAGTCGAAAGGTTGAAGTAGTGCTTCTGGATTTTGATCGGAGCCGAGTATTCCCAATTAGAGTCTTCGCACCAGGTCGCATCTTGACATTGCCAGTAGACCTGCTCCGGGGTAAAGATAAGAGCTCTCTGGGAAAGCAAGCCTTCTTGCAAGGTCCATCCTCTAGTTGTCCATACACAGTCGCCCAACCAGTTGCCACTGCTCAATGAATCAATTGGGTCTAGTCGTCGTACAAGAGTGGTTCCTTTAAAATCGAAAGCCCTTTGGGTTTCTCGGACATTTTTTCCACGGACGCCTGGGAGAGGATCCTGCGCATCGGCTCCAGCGGCATTGATGATCGTCAAACATGCTTGTGCGTAAATATCATCCATGCGACCAATGAATGTGCGCTTGTCTTCATCATCATCTTGTAGGATACAGAGCGCGTCGACCCAGAGAAATCGTTCCTGCATGGCTTGAGTCACAAGCATAGCATCATATATGGTAGCTGGCAGGTACGCTTCATTGAGGGCACCAGTTTGGTATAGGCGGTCTTTGTTCGAACGGGTGAGAACATGGCCCCGAGCCTGACCCCAAACGTAGCTCAGAGCAATCCAACGAGAATCTTCTGTAACTTCCATGTCAATTACACATTGCTGAACCACATCTATGACCCGAAGCATAGTGAGCCTATCCCCCTGAAAACGTATACGGCATGTATCCTCATGGAGTTGGGTACATGAGTCCGACCATTTCTTGAACAGGCGCCCATCTATGACTTCAGGTCGAATCCTGGCGCAAACAGTACCAGCTTCGGGCCAGCTGACTCCCGGGCATTCATCAAGTAGCTTTTCGACTGACATAGAGTCTGGACGTAATCTATGAAAGGAGAACTTTGGGCCCCAAATAAGTCCGTCTTTCTTCGGCTGCACTATATGAAAGCTAAATGTAGCTGCATCGTAAAGTGCTAGTTTTCCGTCGTAGGGGTTGCCTTCGGATTGGAACGTCAGACCATACTCGATTCGGATATCTTGGGACTGATCGTCCTGTAAGCACGCTTCCTTCGATTCCCATTCTCTAAACAGGTGAAGTAGTCCGCAACAGAAGTTACAATAACCCGAATCGCGGCGAAGGGCAGCAAGCGTACGCCTTCCTTCTGAATCAAAGTCGCCGACAATAGGATCATCACCAATACCACTCGATGCGAACTCGGATTCGTCATATTCTGCTTCTTCCCCATCATCGGCAATTCCTGCTCCAAATTCAACATATTCTGATTCACCTTCTTCCTTGCTAGGCTCTTCATCTTGGTGCTCACCGGACTCTTCAATTTCTCGCTTATTGGATTCTCCATCTTCCCGCCCATCAGACTCTTCTGAAGCGAAACGTGCCCATTTCCCGATCAGGTCAAATTTTAGATGCTGTTCACAGTAGCTGCAGAGTTCCATCATGTGTCTCGACAGCGTAGGGAACGTTCTTCAAGCACAACAGATTGTGGTACCTCTCAGGAGTTTACGGCAAGACGTAGGTGAGGTGCAACTGAATATACGATTTCGGAAAGTCCAATTATTTTGACGACCACATTATGTTGACTATGATCTCCTGGTGTAGTTTTGTTCAAGAAAAAATCAAGAGCAGGTTGCAAACATGCACGGGCCACCGGGCCTATTCTGGACCATGTGACATGTGCCCACGTGCCAGAATTATGTCTGGTCTGAGGCAGGTGAACGCCTCATACCGCTATCTAGGGAAGGAACGTTCAGTCTCTCGTTGACTTCAACTTCTCTTGTAATCAAAGCCTAGGAGAACAAGTCCCCTTGATTAACATATTATCCTCTAGATATTGGATAACAACACATACGAAATTGCGTAGTTAGACCGGGGGTACACCTAAGGCAAACCATTACCGTAAATAGAATCCTTAACAATATTTAAAGTATACTATCTTTTATCAGTACGAACTTCATTCCATATACAGAATTAGCTAAATAGCATTAAGTGCTTTTAGAAAGTTATACAATCGCGTAAGTATAATAAGGTATTTACAAAGAAAATAGTGTTCTACTATGACTGGTGTCTTGCTACGAGTAGATGTAAGTTAGACGTTTGGGGGGTTGGTGTGATCCGAAAAGCCTTGGGAAGTGATAGTGCACTAGCGACGGTGATGTCGAAGACCAAGTCTCTCCAAAGTAGGATGCATCGAAGATAGTCAACCTTCTGGATCATCTTCTCGTTGCATGAACGCCCCTACATGGCCGTACGGGCTCAGTAGTGACTTCGTTTAGGGGCCGCCCATGCTTCAGCCCGGAGGCGTGCCAAGGTGCATTGGAACCGTACTCCTCGTGCAAAACCATGTCTTTCGGGTAAACTTCGAACTCTAGGCCCTGGTGGTGGACGCTGAATTCGAATGCGACGGAAGAATAGAGTCTCCGAGGGGTATGGTGGTCTGGGCAGGAGCCCGATACGTGGGGGAGGGTGTGGGCTTGGCGGGCTGACCTTGCACTGATATATACCTCGCACTGCCCCCCCTCCCGCACCATCATACCTTCTCCCCACTGACTCCACCACACACTCATCACACAACACCACTTTGTCATCTTCGATCCAACCTTACGTCGTTTGCAAAGCCTTGAGTAACGTTTTTTAGTCTTGCTTGATATCCCAGGTTCGTCGTCGAGGTTGCTGGTCCAGGCTTTTCACCATGCCGTCGTCACCTTCGACGGCGTCTACCCAACAGGCAGCAAGGCCCCCGACTCAGCTGCGCGACCTTGAGAAGTATCGCCAGACCATTTACCACAATGATGCGGGCCATCATATTGCCGAGTCTCGTCGTCGCTCTCGAGTGGTCCGTCGCGTCGAACCTGCCCCAACCGCATACTGTGACTGGATTCTATACCCAACAACCAATGCAACCTCGTCTTCACGTATTCACCTAGTCGATGCTTCGCCGCACCCCACCTCTTCAGCATCCTCTTCAAGAAACACTAGCTTGGCGACTCACGTGACCACCGCCAAGCCTTCATCCAATGTCAGACCGAAAGCAGTCATTGTTATTGAGGAGCAACAGTCCGTCGAAACAGGGAGGAACAGAAAGCAGCCACCTCTTCAAACGTCCGTGGTTCTGACACCACCTCCGACTCCGAGAATGGACCGACTGCCGACGCCAGACTTCTTAGATCTCGATGAAGCGCCGTTTTGCGATTGTGGCGTTGAAGCACACATCGTCAAGTTCTGTACGTCGTGCAATATGGCTTCATCCTTCTCTCAACGTAGGCTTGGCTAGGGTCGCTCGTTGTTTTGATTTCTCGTCTTCGCGTTCGAAGGGGCGTTTCGGAGTATGCGAACTTGGGAACTTCGGTTGTTGCTTTCCTGAGTATAGCTTATGATTATTGAGGATCGTTTGACGAGTTTTCCTTGTGTTGAGCGATCTTTCTCTGTTCTCAAAGGCTTGATTACGGGGGCCACGGCCTATACTTTATCTTTGGCGTTGGCGTAAGAGTTTGTTTTTGAACAAGCGGCCAGCTTCATTCGTATTCTATGCAATAGTATGATGCAAAAATCTTCTACTCACATTGCTTGATCCAAAACCTCCAATGTACGGTTTGCTCGACGTGCAATGGGCCTGCGTTGGGCGCTCATTCCTGCGGCCGCTCGCTCTCTACAACGAAGTACTTCCCTGCCTTTCGCTCTGCCGCGCCCAAGACATTCCAATCTTCAGCATCTTTCGCGTCCACTGGCGTAGGGTCCCTTTGTATACGCTTATAGTGGTGCCCGATGACCTTCTCTTTGCTCAGCGCCTGCTTGAGGGTCCCCAATGTAATCGTCTGCTCCTCTTCCGCTGCTACTGTCTCATCGCGTATTGCTCGTAGTGGTTTTACGCCTGTTGTGTCGACCTGCTGTATGTTGCCTACGAAATGCAACTGTGCTGCCAATGTGTTCAGCATTTTCTGCTCTTGTTGGGAAGTCTCAGGCGGGGGGAGAGCGGATAGTCGAAGTAGGTGATGTAGTTGCTGAGACGCAATTCGTGGAGCATCGGGAGCGTGGGTTTTCGGTGGTAGGAGGGATTCGACGGACCATGTCGGTTCTGCGAGAAGCTGTTCAAGCTCGTCCGGATGAATCCCCTTGTTTTCACGTACAGGCGAAGCTGTAGTACTGGGTGTCCCGCGTGCTAGCAAAGGCGTACTCGTAAAGGATCGAATCTGTGAGCCTCGTGTTGGTCTGACAAGTGACTTCGAGCAGAGGAACGCGCGACGCGAGGCCATGGTGGAATTTGGTAGGTAAGGTCGTGGTGCGCTACTTCTGTAGTAGGACTGGCCTTTATGCTCTATCTCCTCCGTGTTCTAAGCTTCTGAAAGCTCTAGATGTCCTGGCTACCCATGTAATATGAAGAGTCATGCTGTCGCTCATGCAATGTCGTCGAGTTGCCTTTAGCTGACCAAATATCACTAGCACAGATTCGGTGGAGCCGCCGAAGTCAGCTTCAGTCGCACGGGCCACGACGGGTCGTCATCACCATTGAAACAGCGACTGCAGCCACCTGTCTCGACTATCCTTCGGAATCTGCGTTTGCCTACACGTTATCTTCTTCTTCCTTTACTCTCTTACCTATACGCCCCGAAAGACACTTCAAATCCAGCAAATATGGCCGGCGATCCGCGAGCTTTGCTGCGTCAGGTGGGGCTTGCCTTTGAAACTCAGCCACAAAGCAGATAACTGATATCGAGGTGCTGCGACAGGCAGAAGCGTCGCTACAGAAGGCCTCTGGAGGGTTCAGCTTCTTTGGAGGGCGACAAGACAAGTGTATGCAGAGAAGGAGAAGTCCAAGCATGTATCAACTGACGCACGTGACAGATGAGGCAGCTGCGGACCAGTTTATTGCTGCAGCAAATGCGTTCCGGATGCAGAAGATGGGTGCGTGAAAGAAATCCCAGGAACGAACTTGAAGAAGGCGCAAAGAACAATTCACAAGGCTCTTTTCATCTAATAAATGCGCAGGCAAGGAAGCTGGCGAGGCTTTTGAGAAAGCAGCAACAGTACAACGCCAACAGCTGAACGAGCCCGACGACGAGGCAAATACACTCACAGAAGCCTTTAGTACGTTTGATTTCCGACATCCGAACCCTTATATCACTAACATGGACTCAGAGGCCTACCGAAAGGACGATCCGGAGGCAGCAGCGCGGTGTTTAGACAAAGCTATCGCCCACTACTGCAGCAAAGGCAATTTTCGCCGCGCAGCCACCCACAAGCAGAACCTCGCCGAGCTTTACGAAGTCGAATTGGGTGATAACACACGCGCAGCAGCAGCATATGAAGAGGCTGCTGGCTGGTTTGAAAGCGTAAGTCTTAACATCTTAATCTGGCATTCGCTTTTAAACTCCAGAGGATAGCAATGCTAACATGTGTGCAGGATAATGCCGAAGTAAACAAAACCCAGATCCCGTAGTCGATTTTGGACAAAACTAACTCACGAAAACAGGCTCTCGCCAACAAGTTGTGGCTAAAGACAGCGGATCTCGTAGCACTAGATGGCAAAGACTACTACAAGGCCATCGAGCTGTATGAGAAGGTCGCCAAGACATCCATTCAAAACAACCTCATGCGCTGGTCCGTCAAAGAATACCTGCTCAAGGCGGGTATCTGCCAGCTTTGCACAGGCGATCAAGTTGGCGTGAACAGCGCGCTTGATAGGTACAGGGAGCTAGATCCAAGTTTTGTTCAGCAGCGAGAGCATCAGTTACTCACCGATTTGGCGGCTGCTGTACAGGATGGTGATCAAGAGGCTTTTGCCGATAAGGTATGCGTGATCCTTGCGGTTCTATACAATGTTATATCTGACGCGTGGTAGTTGTTCCAATTCGACCAGTTGAGTAAGCTAGACAAGTGGAAGACGACTTTGCTTTTACGAATCAAGAACGCCATCGAGGAGGGAGGCGAGGATTTCTCTTAGAGGGAGTATAGAGGGCTTTTGCAATGCGTAAATGATATATGCGACCTAGAATGTCTGAACATAAGTGGGATGACTATAAGTGTTCATGGACTGCTTGTTCTGTGCGGGGTCTTTATGTCTGTATAATGCTATAAAGATTATGATTTAAGATTGACCTTAGATACTATCTAATTCATCCGGACGAATTACTGTACCCGAAAGTCGTTCCAAGGTTGACTGGGCTTCATGTGTGACTAGGCCAAAACGAGGAAGGCACCTCCGCGGCAACTCTTGCCTCGGTCCAGCCAGCCATCCCGAGCACTTTCACGCTCGACATCACACCAGCAATCACTTTCCCAGCCTACATATTACAAAGACGCTACAACAGCTACACATCAACATGTCAAAGCCAAGGATACCTGATTGGCAAAGTGCCTCGAGCGACAGCGCACCCCTAGAATCTCCGTCCGACCAACAGGAGCCGAAGCCCGAACAGCAAGCAGAAGCTCCAGGACGTACCGAAGATGACACCGCGAGCGCCGAGAGCGATGATCGGGAATCGGAAAGTACAGAACTACTAGAACAGGCGTCGCGGTTTCTGGAGGACTCCACGATTCGCGATGCGCCACGAGAGAAGAAGGCCGCGTTTCTAGAATCGAAAGGTGTCAGACCGGAAGATATAGAGACGCTTTTAGGAGAAGCCACACCAGAGGGCGATTACCCAGCACTTGAGGAAGTTGCCGAACGGGCGTGGTCAACGGTGAGTGACAAATTCCTATGCCCGCTCGCAGCAACTGGCCAAGGACTTGTGCCCTGCTGGAACGCTGCCACAATTTAGTACTAATCTGCCCAGGCACCACCAGAGCCCGTATCCGTCCCCGAATTCAAACCTCAGCAGCGCGACATACCGCCAATTGTGACCTATCCGGAATTTCTCGCAAATACCGAAAAGCCGCCACCTCTCATAACTACCAAGCGCTTGCTCACCACGGCATATGTATCTGGAGGGCTCATCGCAAGCATATACGGGCTATCCAAATATATCATTGCGCCAATGACGGAGAATCTCGTTGAGTCACGACACGACTTTGCGAAGCACACGCAAGAGCAACTGAAGGAGTTTAATGAGAAGCTAGGGAAAGCTGTGTCAGTTGACCCTGCTAGCAAGACGAAGAACATCACGGATATCGTAGATGACATATCAGAGGCGGACTCAGATCCTACCGAACTCTACCACCGCGACTACGGCACTCAAACCACGCCCACACTCTCACGCCGTCCCTCTGTTTCCTCTACCACAGACGCCGAACCCATCGTAACAGCACACGAAAACCGCCTCAAGATTATAAAATCACATCTGCAAGAGCTCGAGGCTAACCGCTCCAATGATAGCACGTCTAGAGATTCGCTGCAGACGAAGGTGTCAGACTTGACCACATACTTGAGCGAAATGAGCTATCAAAATCAGTACTACAGTACGAGCGGTTACTATGGGAGCGGAAGCAGTTTTGGCCTGCCGGGGGGGAAGGATGGAAAGAATGATCAGATTGAGATTCTGAAGAGTGATATTAGGGCCGTCAAAGGTGTATTTTTAAGTGCGAGGAATTTCCCGGCAGGCGGGAGGACTGGGTCGCCTATGCCTACAGGGAGAGTTGGTGCTTAAACATAGAGCGACACTTTTATAATGAGATTCAGCGACAGTGTTGACATTGGAGTTACTAGGATGGATTACCAAAAGGACATTAAACTCCGTAGCCAACACCATTGCCGTGAAACTATCACATGCAACCTGCTCCAGGCATGATCTCTCTGTCGCACTGGAATGACGGTCGACTCACTACCCAGGTGGTGCAGATGCACCGGACCCCACTATTAGGTTGACGTCATTCCCTAAACATCACACTCTTACATCAGGTAGCTTCGACCTCAACCACACAGGACTTTCTACAACCACGCCCTTCTGTTCTCCAGTCTGATTGAGATCGATCAAGATGGCAAGCTGGGCTCCCAAACTACCGTCCTTCGGGCATGCAAAGTCCTCAGAGAAGGACGACACGTCACTCACTACCCTTCTCACAGCAGAACAATGTGCGGATCTCACATTTCTGATTGCGACAATCACCGCTACGATGCGTCAATCACTCCTTGATACTTTCACAGCCGAGGAATTGCCACCAGATTCGAAAACTGCGAAGTCGGAAGAGGACGTGCTAAAGAATGCACCGTCTGATCTCGACACAGTTGATGTTGCCAAAGATGACAAGGTCAAGAAAGAGAGGCAGTCGCGGGAGGAGAATGCGCGAAAAGAATTAGCACAGGCTGAAGTACAAGAGCTAAAGAAAGAGATGCTGAAGTACTTTGATGGCTGGAGAGGCAAAGTCATCGGCCGGGTGGGCGAGATTGTGAATTCAAGGGAAGAAGCCAAAGAGCAAACAAAACAAGTTGAAGACAAACAAGTCGAGAAGATTGTCAAGAAGTCTGAAGCCGTAACGACAAGTATCCATAGCCTGGATGCGAAAGCCGAGGATGAAGAGAAGGCGTTTAGAGACGTCCACCCACCTGTCCCCAACGCCTTGACCCACCTAGATGAAGCCAAAAGAACACTCATTCTGCACTCCTTGGTTCTCATTCTGCTTAGCCTGGAGCACTACTCCGCTCACTCACGTGTCCTGATCCTCCACCTTACTAGTTCGCTTAACCTCAATCTTTCAATCCTCAAGAAAGACGAAGAAACAGTCGCACAGGGCCTCCTCGAAGCAGCATCCCAGCAGCTCAATGCCGACGCTGAGACGAAGAAAGCAGCCGAAGCATCGCAGACGGCTCGGAAATGGAAAGTTGGATTGGCGAGCGTGGCGGGGGCGGCATTGATCGGTGTAACAGGCGGCCTCGCTGCTCCGCTTCTCGCCGCTGGAGTAGGAAGTGTGATGGGAGGAATAGGTCTAGGAGCTACGGCTGCAGCAGGATACTTGGGCACCTTGGCTGGATCGACGGTCCTCGTAGGCGGTCTCTTCGGCGCATACGGCGCCAAAATGACTGGGAAAGCAATGGATAACTATGCCCGCGAAGTCGAGGACTTCGCTTTCATACCAATTCACCACTCGCAAGACCCCAAACACCAAGACAACGAATCCCGCCGCCTGCGCGTCGCTATCGCTGCATCGGGCTGGCTGCGAGACCCCGACGAAGTCAGTAAGCCGTGGAGGTATATCGGGAAGGGCACGGAGGGTTTCGCGCTGCGGTGGGAGCTTGAGGCATTGCTGAAGCTTGGACATAGTCTCGAGACGTTTGTGACGAGTGCGGCGTGGGGATATGCGAAGAAGAAGATCCTCGAGCGAACTGTTTTCGCCACGCTCACGGCGGCACTCTGGCCTCTAGGGTTGCTGAAGGTCGCCTCCATCCTCGACAATCCATTCAGCGTGGCCAAGTATCGTGCTGATAAGGCAGGCGAGGTCCTGGCTGACGCGCTTATCAACAAGGTGCAAGGCGAGCGACCTGTCACGCTTGTAGGCTACTCCCTCGGCGCGCGCCTCATCTTCTCGTGCCTGCAGAAACTCGCGGATCGCAAAGCGTTTGGACTGATTGAAAATGTTGTCTTACTCGGGGCTCCGTGTCCGTCTGATGCAGCTGATTGGCGCCGTATCCGTGCTGTCGTCTCTGGGCGCGTGGTCAATGTATTCTCGAAGCAGGACTACATTCTGGGATTCTTGTACCGCACGTCTTCGGTTCAGCTGGGCGTTGCAGGTCTTCAGCCCGTTGCTGGTGTGCACGGTGTGCAGAATGTTGACGTCACTGATCTAGTCGACGGGCATCTCCAGTACCGGTTCATCACAGGCAGTGTTCTGAGGAAGATTGGGTTTGAGGATGTCGATATCGCGGAAGTCGAACACGCAGAGGCAGAGCTGAAGAAGCAGAAAGAGGAAGAGGAGAAGGAAAGGCGAAAGAACGAGGGACAGACGGATGGCGAAGGCGAAGATAAGGAGAAGCTAGAGGGTGAAGTGCAGAAGAAGAGTGAGCAGAGCATATTCCAGCTGATGCAGCAGAAGACGCAGAACCTGGATATTGCTGGCTTCCTGGCTGGTGGGAAGAAAGACGACCAGAAGAAGCAAGAGGAGGCGCCACAAAAGGCTGAGACGAAGTAAACTCGGAAATGTCTATTGATATACACGCTATGCTTAAAAACCTGTAATATAATTAGTATACATTCTTATATCATTTTCAAGTTGTTACTGGGATCGTGATGAATCTAGAACGTACCAGTTTCTGTATTTCCCTCTCCCATACTCTTGCTGCCCGAGCTACCGCTCTGTATCGCACCCAGGATGCCATCAATGTAGCCTGCACCACTCCACTTCTGATGTGTCAAGACATCGCAGCCGAGCTCCTTCTCACGAGCCTGAACCAGCTTGACGTATGCCAGCATGCCCTCATCCTTGAAGGCACGCGAGAGCTCACAGGTGATGGTCGCAGTAGAGTGGATACCAGCCAAGGAAATGAGCTGGAAGACGAAGCCGTGCTTGGCCAGATCCCAGACAAAGCTCTTTAATTTCTCCTCGGAGAAGCCTTGGCCCATCCAGTTGAAGCTGGGGGAGAGGTTGTATACGAATTTCTTGCCAGGATGGAGCGCTCTGATTTCGCCGGCGAATTTGGCTGCCGCTTCGACATTTGGATCGCCGGTTTCGACCCAGAGGAGATCGGCGTAGGGAGCGTACTCCTTCCCGCGCTTTGTGGCGGCAGCGACGCCGGCTTTGTAGTGGTAGAAACCTTCGCGTGTGCGGGGGATATCCCAGTTGAAGTAGACGGGCTGTTTTGTGTAGTTTGCGGCGAGTGCGCGGCGTTTGAGGAGGGACAAGTCTGGGTTCTCCCGTGCTTTGCTGAGGTATTCGTCGATAGTCGATTGTGGTGCACTCTCCTTCTCAAGATGCTGCACAACCGCCTCGTCAAAAGTAACAAGCTTGTTTTTCTTTACCCACGCTGCCTCATACTGATCAATCTCCTTGCCAGGCGCACCCGCTGCTTCCATATTCTGTAGTGTCTCCGCCAGGGGCTCCGTCTCCTCTGTCACGCCCTTGATGAACTCATGATCCCGCACATCGACAGCACTGGACAGTAGCTTGCCGCTTTCAGAATCGGTGCGCGCGATGACAAGGTTCTCGCAGCCCATGGTATCCCATTGGAACCGTGCGGCTACGAGGCGGTTGATGTGGTCGCCGACGGGGACGAGGACCTTCCCTGCGAGATGTCCGCATTTTTTGCCGCCGTGGAGTTGGTCTTCGAAGTGGACGGCTGCGGCGCCGTTTTCAGCAAAGAGTTTGGCGAGTTTGATTACGGCTGAAAGACCGCCGTGGCTGTGTGCCATGTTAGCTCCTTTACACGTCCCTAGGTCACAGCTACGCACCCAGTGTCGCCATCAGCAATGATAGGTCGCATGTAGTCCACGTATGGTGTTTTTGCCCGCTCCTCTGAAGACAGCTTCCTCCTGTTATCCCAGTTTTTGCGGTCGTGAAGCTGCTGTGCCTTGAACAGTCGCTGCACTTGATTCGGTACAGTGTTGTAGGGATAGTCACCAAAGTCGGCCGAGACCTCGTTCGTGGTGGTCAAGACAGACGAGCATGCCCATCCCGAGATGTAGAGCACTTCTTGGTTCGGGGCTTGTTGGGTCATTTGTATGGGATCAATGGCACCCACTGAAGTTTGGGAAATGGTGATCAGCTATTAATCTATCTAGAGGGAGTTGTGTAGACGCACTGGTATGTACTGGCTCGCCCTTGGCCGCCCGCTCTTCAAGCAGGTTGAACAGCTTCCTTGCCATTAGAGAGCTGGGGTATGATTGCTGTAGCGCTCCCCGCTTGCTCACAACATCCTCCGCTGAGTATGGCCGCTTAATGCCCTGGTACCGTGGCGACGCCCACCAGTCCTTCACGGCCTGAACTTGTTCGTCGAAGAGGGCATCTTCTGCCTGGCCTGCCTTTGAGGCTTCTGGGAGAAGCTGGAATGAGTCACCGGGTAGCGCTGCCGACACTGGAGGATCTACAGCCTGGAGCTTCGAGCTCGACATGCGACATGCGGTGGTGGAGAGTGGGCGGAGGAGCTGTGGTGTCCGGTTCGATATCCTTAGAGGTCGGCTCTGGCGCGCAACGGAGCGTGGTATTGTCCGCAGCATTGCGATTATGTGTAGGAGAGTAAGGCGCTATCCAGCAGAACCTCGCTCTATACTGTTACGAAATTGTTGCTAGAGAGTGTGTTGGTAAGTAGCAGCAATGGTTGACCAGAAGTTGCCGCGACTCGGAGGAGTTTCGGCGCGGAGATGTTTGCCAAAGGCACCTTTCTCTTGTCGCAGGTACTATACCTAGTTTCTTCTCGCACGCGGATCGAGAGCTGGTCGTCTTCTGCGTCTTTCGCGTCATTGTTCCTGCGGTAAAGCTTCTCCTCACCGCCGAGGGGGCCGAGGGTAGCCTGGGGCGGCTAACCGCGTTCAAGCGTGCCCTCGGCAGCTTGACGTTGCCCTCGCATCAACGGACCACGCGTGTGCCTTGTGAGAGTAAGACACCGAGAGTTGCCGTCGGCTTTCTTCCTCGCTTCTTGTTTCGAGATTTATAGCCGCCATTGCTCTCTGAAAGACAGTTGTTTTCGCCATTTGTGTATTGTCAATAAGAGTGAAGAGGTGCTGCTCTTCCCCGCAATCTCCGTACCCCACCAAACCCCTCCTTCAGCCATGGCCCTGAGCGCACGAACAGCTTCAAGAGCTCTACGAGCCGCCAAGGTGAGCCACATCAAGGCCAATTGAGCAATACAAAATTAACAGAAGCCTCACAGGCACGTCCTTTTGTCTCTGGTATGCAATTGAGTCCCCTCGATTCATCGTCGTAGCACTAACGCGTTGTTTGTCTCAGTGCAAACATGCAGCTACTCGGCCTCCGCAGAGCCAGATCTCAAGGAAACCTTCAAGAGAGTCCTGCCGGCTAAGCGCGAGCTGCTGAAGAAGGTCAAAGCCCACGCCGACAAGAAGCTCGGCGATGTCAAGGTGGAAAATGCCCTGGGCGGAATGAGGTACGCACCCCGATCACAACTTAGACTATAGAACGCACCCTGACAATTGTGAAGAGGCCTAAAAGCCATGGTATGGGAAGGCTCGGTTCTCGACGCAAACGAGGGCATTCGATTCCACGGCAAGACCATCAAGGATTGCCAGAAGGAGCTTCCCAAGGGCACATCGGGCACTGAGATGCTTCCCGAGGCCATGTTCTGGCTTCTGCTCACAGGCGAAGTCCCTTCAGTATCACAGACTCGTGCCTTGTCGCGAGAGCTCGCTGAAAAGGCAGGCATTCCCAAGTTCATCGAGAAGATGCTGGACGACTTCCCAAAGGACCTCCATCCTATGACCCAGCTCGCAATAGCCGTGTCAGCGCTGAACTACGAGTCCAAGTTTGCGAAAGCGTACGAAAAGGGCATCAACAAGGCCGACTACTGGGAGCCGACCTTTGATGACAGCATCAGCCTGCTCGCGAAGCTGCCAACCATTGCCGCCAAGATCTACCAGAATGCCTACCGCGGCGGCGGCGCCCTCCCCAGCGAGGTCGATCTCAACCAAGACTGGGCTTACAACTTTGCTTCCATGTTGGGCAAGTCTGGAAAGAAGAATGAGGGTTTCCAGGATCTTCTCCGTCTGTACCTTGCTCTGCATGGTGACCACGAGGGCGGCAACGTCTCTGCACACGCAACCCATTTGGTCGGCTCCGCGCTCAGCGACCCCTTCCTGAGTTACAGTGCTGGTCTCCAGGGTCTTGCCGGTCCCTTGCACGGTCTGGCTGCCCAGGAGGTGCTCCGCTTCATCCTCGACATGCAGAAGTCTGTCGGTGACAAGTTCACGGAGAAGGATGTCAATGACTTCCTGTGGAGCGTCCTCAAGTCTGGACGAGTCATCCCTGGTTACGGCCACGCTGTGCTCAGGAAGCCCGACCCGCGTTTCGAGGCTCTTATGGATTTTGCCGACGCCCGACCTGAGATCGCAGCCGACCCCGTCTACCAACTCGTCAAGAAGAACTCTGAGGTCGCTCCCGGTGTGCTCACCGAGCATGGAAAGGCAAGAAACTCTCGTCGCACACATATGTAATCATGGCTAACGTAGTGAACAGACCAAGAACCCCTACCCCAACGTCGATTCGTCCTCCGGTGTCCTATTCCACCACTACGGCTTCACCGAGACACTCTACTACACTGTTACGTTTGGTGTCAGCCGCGGTCTCGGCCCGCTCGCACAGCTCATCTGGGACAGGGCATTGGGTCTGCCCATCGAGCGCCCCAAGTCCATCAACCTTCAAGGCATCCTGAACCAGGTTGGTGCTTAAACGCGGGGTGACCAAAGAAGGGATTGGGGCGGTCGATGAAAAGAATACCACGAACTGATGTAAATACCAATATGCAGCGTTGATAGCTCAACCAGAATAGATCTCTCTCACGATTCTCGAAGTTATTAAGAGTTGAAAAGTGAGCTGTTTGCAGCGCGTGTAACAAGCGACTGATATCCGCGTGGCGGCCAAGGCGGGAGTGGCGCCCCGACCTCCGCGTCCATGATCGACAGGAACGAGGGCATGGCATCCCTGAGGCCCTTTCGGTGCACTTCTCGAACCACGACAACTACTGTGCTCCCTCGTCCTACTTCAGCTCAAATCTTCTTCCGTGCCGTCGTATCCTGTTCGCCAGTTGCCGGCTGATTGCTGCGAACGCGGCTGACGAACTAGACTCATGATTCGGTCTTAGCACCCGTACAAGTAGAGCTCTAAGCTCGCGCCGTTGCGGGACGTCTATTGTTTACAAGCTTACCACAGTACATTTCTTCCTTTTAGCATCATTATCGCGCGTCTAGCAAACTAAGAGGCCACGATGCCACGCTATGAATCCCACGAGCTGCGCCGCGGCAAGTACGCCCGCCTTGATGCGCCCGTCGAAGATGACCTCGATACACCGACACGCTTCTCCTCGGACTCGAATTTCACGCTGGAGGACCTTGAAGAGGATGATCCCCTAGCTTTCGACAGCAAACTAAAGCGCAAGAAGAGCGCAGGTGACCTCAAAGTTCGAAAAGCGTCGTACAAAGACCCAGAATCTACAGCCCCAGGGCTACTTTCGCGGCGAAAGAGCAGATGCGCGCCAGGACGGTGGTGCTGCTGGTTGCTCACCTTCATTGCCGCCGTCGTACTCCTGCTCGCTTCAGGTGGCATATGGGCCTGGAGAGCGACCGTGCCAAAAGATGGATTAAGTCCGCCATGGTACCCTACGCCGAAGGGTGGGACTGATAAGACATGGGAAACAAGCTATAAGAAGGCGGCCGAGCTGGTGAAACAGATGACGCTGCCGGAGAAGGTCAATGTCACAACAGGGACGGGGTGGAGCATGGACATGTGTGTTGGCAACAACGGCGCGGTGCCCAGGTTGAAGTTCCCGAGTCTGTGTCTGCAGGACGGACCACTGGGGATTCGGTTCGCGGACAACATCACCGCGTTTCCTGCTGGCATTACTGTAGGAGCGACATGGAGCAAGGAGTTGATGTATCTGCGCGGCAAAGCACACGGCAGAGAGGCACGCCTAAAGGGCGTCAATGTGCTCCTCGGTCCTGCAATGGGCCCTCTTGGGCGAATGCCAGCTGGTGGTCGCAATTGGGAGGGATTTGGCTCGGACCCGGTACTCCAGGGCATCGCCGCTGCTCAGACTATCAAGGGCATTCAAGATGAGGGTATCATGGCCACGGCGAAGCATTACCTGCTAAACGAACAAGAACACTTCAGGCAGGCATGGGAATGGGGTATCCCGAACGCCATCTCGAGCAACGTAGATGATCGCACGCTGCATGAGATTTATGCGTGGCCGTTTGCGGATTCTATCAGGGCTGGTGTCGCGAGCATCATGTGCTCGTACAATCAGGTCAATAGTTCGTACGCTTGTCAAAACAGTAAGTTGCTTAACGGCATTTTGAAAGATGAACTCGGCTTCCAGGGCTTCGTGCAGAGCGATTGGTTGGCGCAACGGGCCGGTGTTGCGAGTGCTCTTGCCGGGCTCGACATGACCATGCCTGGCGATGGCCTTCGGTGGGCCAAGGGAGACAGTCTCTGGGGTGCCGAGCTGACCAGGGCTATTCTGAATGGCAGCGTCCCTATCGACCGCCTCGACGATATGGTGACCCGCGTTGTGGCTTCGTGGTATCAAGTCGGACAAGATAAATGGGATGGATTAGGCCCGAATTTCTCCTCTTGGACCAACGACCGAATCGGCAAGCTGCATGAAGGGAGCCCATCGGATCATTCCATGGGAGTGGTGAATAAATTCGTCGACGTTCAAGGCAAAGGAAAAGACGCACATGGACACCTGGTCCGTCGCATCGCTGCTGAAGGCACAGTTTTGGTAAAGAATGAGGGCAAGCTCTTACCACTAGACCGCAAGGGTTGGAAAACGGGGCAAAACAACACGCAACGAACCAAATATCGTGTCGGCGTCTTCGGTGAAGACGCACGCCTGCCTCACGAGGGCCTCAACCACTGCTCCGATCAGAGTTGTAACGATGGAACACTGGCCTCGGGCTGGGGCTCGGGTGCCGTGAATTTTACATATCTGGTCGAACCAGTGTCTGCCATACGGGATGCTTTCGACAACAAGACCGTCTACGTTACTGACTGGCTGGAGAACGACCTTCCGAGCGAGAAGGAGATCTTGGAGGATCAGGATCTTTGCATTGTCTTTGCCAATTCTGATGCCGGCGAAGGATACGAGCACTATGGAAGTAAGTGACTTGACAACGCCCGCCGTGAACTAGACTAACCAGCTTCCAGGTATTCGCGGCGACAGGAATGATCTCAACCTCCAAAAGGGGGGAGACAAACTCATCCGGGAGGTCTCTAAGGGCTGTGGAGACGGCAAGGGCGATGTCGTTGTTGTCATTCACACTGTTGGGCCAGTCATCCTAGAAAATTTCATCAACATCACGAACATCAAAGCCGTCATCATCGCCAACCTGCCCGGAACAGAGTCCGGCAATGCAATCGTCGACATCCTTTTCGGAGACGTAAACCCCTCCGGGCGCCTACCATATACGATCGCGAAGAAGGAGGATGACTACGGTCCCGGCAGTAAAATAAAGTACCTTCCAAGCCCGTCAGAGGGCCTCTCTCCACAGCAGAACTTCTCGGAAGGGCTGTACATTGATTACCGCCACTTCGACAAGCAAGACATCACTCCACGCTACGAATTCGGGTATGGGCTGTCGTACACGCAGTTCAAGCTCTCGTCTCTCGTTATCAGTGGAAAAGGGAACAGAAATCCGCTGCCCGCTCCACGACCCGCCGGCCTCACGCCGCCTTCCTTCTCAACCGAAATCCCAGACGCGAAATCCGCCCTGTTCCCAGAGGGCTGGCATAAAGTGGAGAGGTACATCTACCCTTGGCTCGACTCAACCGACGACATCGAGAAACCAGACGTCATAACTTCGCAAGTACAAAGTCCGCTCAGCGACGCAGGAGGCGGCCCAGGAGGCAACCCAGACCTCTACACCACACTCGTCACCGTGTCTGCATCGGTATCCAACATAGGCCTCGTAGATGGATCGACCGTTGTGCAGCTATACATTGCCTTCCCTCCAAACTACAAAGACCACGAGACTGGTGAGCCTGTCGACTTCCCTGTTAGAGTGTTGAGGGGCTTTGAAAAGGTGCATGTAGACGCGGCGCAGGAACAGGAGAATAGCATTGGCGGTGGTGGGCACCTAGTGACGTTTGAGGTAACGAGGAGGGATTTGAGTTATTGGGATGTCAGGAGGCAGAATTGGGTGTTGCCGCAGGGCGAGTTTGATATTCGAGTTGGTTTTTCGAGTAGAAACTTGCCGTTGCAGGGGACGTGGTAGCGGGATGAAGACTGAATAGTTGGTGGTTGGAAGAGAATGAAGGGTGGTGTTGGGCGTTTTAAGGAGGATACCTTGGATATAAATTCTCTGTACTGTGCATATGTTTCCTCTTTCTTATGAAGCTCTACTGTCGGTTGTACATGTTTGGATTTCTCTCCTCTCGATCTGTGATTTCTTCTATAGACGGCGAGTGAGATGTACATGCATAAAATAACGGGCGGGTGAATTGTACTGCCCATCCTTTTAAATGGCTCATGTCCCTTATTCTTCTCAGATACCTTGGTGCTTAATGTTTTTAGGCCTACAATGTGATGTTATTCCCCCACGACAAATAAAGGGAAAAAGACGAAAGAAGTAAAACACACGACAACCAAACTATACTATACGGTAACATGTTAAGCCTTTGATCACGAGGGTACTGGAACTGGGTACTTGCCACATTAGCAAGTGTCTGTAGTGTGTAGTGCTGTACAGTGCAGTGTAAATGCTAAGGGAGATAATATAATAATATTTTCGACCTATTAACATATTCGAAACATCAATCTCCTTCCTGTTAGCACATATTGAAGGGTACTGGCGTGTTATGTACTATATTAATAGGCTGGGCTGGGCTGGGCTGGGCTGGGCTGCAATAGGTATCTAATCTTTTCACTGTCGTGTAAAGGTGCAGTCAGTAGTGACTATGGGTGCTATCTAGTCAGTGTTGATTAACTCAGTTGTAGAAGCATCCTTCAGCGCTCTCTCTTTGCCCTTGTTACAGAGATCGGTATAATCATGCCGTCCTAGCTAGACGTGATGGTCGTCATCGTTTGCAGACCTGTTCTTCACTGACTCATTCTCCCAATAGGGGGCTCGTACTCAAGTGAACAACCCTCCCATTAAAAGTGCTGAGAAGCTAGCATCCAATCTCTTGACTTCATCGGTGTATCTCCCACCATCAGCGATGAATACTCCGATGCGGAAAACTCCTCCTGCCCTGTCAAGGTGAGAAATCAAGCCACTCCACTCCCATTCCCTCGACTCAGTGGCCTCGCTGCTTTTACCAAGCAACGCACACTTCCGTTTTACCCACCCGACCACCTTCCTCCCCGACCCGTTCTGACCTTCGCCGACCTCTCCATTCGCTCTTCCAACTCGCGTGCACTTCAAGTCCTCATCCCTGTCTTAGCTCTCCTTCGCTCTGTCGCCCATCCACCACTCACGAGGCGAAAACGGCATCCTCCTCTGCCGGGCTGACTGGGTACTAGGTACCTTCCATTACCTAGCCTGGCCTGCCTGCCTTGCCTTGCTCGTACCGCTAGCTCCCCTCTGTGCGAGCGAACATCGGCACAGATACACACTAATCAAGGGCGCGCCCGCTGACAGATAGACAGACAGACAGACAAACAGACAGACTTGCCATGACTTGCCGTGACATGACAGTCTGACAGCGCACGCACACACATACCCACCTCACCAGCGCACCCGCAACCCAAAGAAAAAAGCCTGGTACACTAAAAAGGCCCACGACCCCCCGCCGTCCTGCGTCCGTGAGGCATGCATACAAACAACGGTACACTAAGGCCTTAGCCTGCAACAAGGAACGGAACAAGTGCCCCCTATTAGATTCGCAGGGTTTAAAATTGCCCCAACTTAGCTGATGAGAATTGAAACTAACACTGACACAGCACAGAACGGACACGCGTTCGTTCACGAGTAAGTTCCTAGGTTGGTCAGGGCCCTTTTACTACTGTACTGTGTCTACCGGGACAGTTAGTCACGCGGCACGCCCGAATTTTCGGCTCACTGGAAAGTGCGGAGTCGGCGGTTTTGTCACTATCCACTGACTGACGCTGCAGATGGGAATGTACAGTACAGGGCAGGGCAGACCGGTCCGACCGAGTGAGGGACTGACTGACCCAAGGTAACGTACCGAAAAAGGGAGCGGCTCACTTGGCTTGCTTGACATGCTTGATTTGACACAATGGTGCCAGTGGCTAGGTACGAGGGGAAGACAGATCAGCTCAAACTGCCCAGGCACAGGGAGGGGGCAATCTGGGACCTGGGACCTGCCGTCAGCGAGAGTCCGCTTCGACCGTGTCCCCTCTTAATACCATGTGGTGAGTGGATGGGTGGGTGGGTGCGCACCGTCTTGCCTGGCTGCCGGGCGCACGCCGGCACGCACGCAAGGGGGGGAACTATTGGCATTTGCCGAGAAAGCGAACCATGGCCATCTTCAACTGAGAAAGAAGAGTGAGTGGAAGGTCAACACGGCCTAGAATGGTGTCCTCAGCAGACTTCTCTCAGACGTGTCGAGAAACACTGGTCTTTCACACTGCATCTCATCTCCCCTCCAACTCCTCACCTACCTACTTACCTACCTACACCGCTCCCCTCCAAATTCCAGACGCGTCCAAATTGTAATCACCACTCCCTGACCCTTCATCCGGTACGTACCTCGCCCATCCATGATACAAACAGTGGTACCCTAAAAATGCACCAGGGGTACCGACTCGGCGGCGGGCCCGCTCCTCCCCTACCCTTCCCCTTCCCATCCCATCCCATCTCCTCGGCCATGGCCCTTTCCCCGAAAGGCAGCCGGCGGGCCCTAGCCAGGACCGGAGCGAAAGAAAGGGAACGAGAGAAAAAAAAATTTCCTTTGTTCTCTGACCCTCGCATCGGTCCGTAGCGGCGCCGTAGAACAGGGAAAAACAGGGTACTGAACCATGGTTGAGAGGGAGAAATTCAATAGTGCGGATTCTCAGAGAGAGAGAGAGAGAGACGAAAGACGAAGAAGACGGAAGCAGCTTTTGACAGTCCTGTCGAGTGCCGTTGGCGTCGTGGCCCCTCCCGTGTGTGTGTGCCATTTTTTTCCTGTGCCCTGCGTGATGATGCTGTTGTGCATGAACGGTTTCTTCTTGGCCTTTGTTGGCCGGACTCTCAAGTCCAACGCCCACCCGATTAGGAAGAGATGGCGGAGCGGTGATGAGGACGCGCTCGGTGAGCATGCTCAATTCGTACCTTATACCGGGCTGAGCTGGTGGGAAGAGAGAAACTAATTGTGAAACGACGGGATGAGACATTCTACACCATCAACAGCTCTTCAATTTAACTAGTTATCCAAAATAGACCCCATGGTCCGCAGCGTGCGTTTGCGTTACAAAAAAGTTTAATCAGATTGCCGCCCAAAAATCCAGTGATTCCCCAAGTAGATTGACCAAGTACGGATCGCGGTAGGGACAGGGAGAGGGAGATATTGCGCCGTACTTCTGTAAAAGACAAGAAAATGGACGAGGGAAAACGGGATAAAAAGCACAAACAACCACTACCCAGCCAAATGCAGTGAAGCACCGTGCTGGGCCCTAAACCCGCGCGTGCAATGGTATACAAAGCACCTCCGTTATGCAACCCCAGTTCTAGTATTGCTGGAAAAGACAGGACACCACCCAGTTTACTGTAGAAAAAGAAAACGTAGATTGAGCGCTTGCCACCGACGGTAGATATGAGACATTCTCGCAAGGAAAATCGTGGCTTTTGTTTTGCGTCGAGCTTCCGCGAAACCGCAAAACCAAAGGTATCCAGACTGGTTTGGTGTGTTTTGGATTTCGACAGCGTCGACGCCACACGAGATGGAAAAAACGGGCCCGGGAGAGACAGCGTGTGCGAATATTAAAAAAAGGAAAATCGACCCATGCTCTTTGTCCCTATAAAGTTCACAATTCCACCCCAGAAAGACGCTGTTGCCAGCCATAACTCCTCGCAAGAAGCAGGGCATTGCGATTGTGATGAAAGAAACAGTTGTACAGAGAAATGAAAAGGTGACCGAGAAGCACAAGGGGACGAATTTGTTGCTTTGCTTCGCCGGACTTGTAAATCGCTCCTGAAAAGGCCAGCTTCGGAGCATATCCCGTCGTTTCATTAGGGGGAGGAGTTTACATGGGTCGGCGGTTGAGCATGTTCAGCATGGACGAGTCGGTGGAGCTGCGTCCGTTTCCGTTATCGGTGACGAGGTCATTAATGCGCATGCTCGGTCTGCTCGGGGCAGAGGTAGAAGGCGGCGGAGTCCTGCCGTCACTTCGAGGGGGAGGTGGCTGCAGCGCACCGGGCTGTTGTGGAGGAGCGCTGTAATAAGGGGTGGGCGGGGCACCCGGGGTGGTGGGTGCTTGCGATTGCGGCGACGAAGAGGTGCGGCTTGGGTCATAGCGATATGCGCTCTGGGGAGAGCCTTGACGCGGAGGTTGTGTGGCATAGTAGGGTTGGGGTGGTGGCGGGCCCGAGGCGTAGGGCGCGGGAGGGGCAGCTGTAGCAGCACCAGGAGTTAGAGGAATTGGCTCTGGATAGGCATAGTCTGGACCCGTGCCTCCTCGAAAAGGGAGTGACGCTGTGCCAGGCATTGGCGGTGGCAGGGTAGGAGTATGAGGCTCTGGATGGGGCCTCTTCCTACCACTCAGCGAGTCACGGATTCCCTCATCTTGGGGAGCAGCACTGGGCGGACCATAGTCAGGATGAACTGGGTACGGACCTGCAGTGGGGCTAGGCAGATACTGCTGCTGTTGCTGCTGTTGCTGTTGTTGTTGCTGCTGCTGCTGCTGCTGCAGCGATGGCGGGGGGCGACCTGGCTGGCCATATGGCTCTGCCTGGTTCGCGGGTGGAAGGGGCTGCCCGTAGGCGCCATACATGGGGGGAGGCTGTCCGACGCCACGCCAGACGGTATGCGCAGGAACAAAGGCCTGCGTCTGGGCCGAGACGGGGGTGAAGATGCAGTCTTGGTTGAACCGCATGCAGTTTGAGCAGCGGCCGTCCTCGGTGGCCTCGAAGCCAGAGCATCGGATCTAGGAGTGAATGAATGAGTGAGTGAGCGCGGGAGGGAGTGGTCGGTTTCAACCTACCTTGCGTCGACGGCAGTAACGGCAGGCAATGGCAGTGCGCTGGCGGGGCGCTGGCGGCTGGTGGTGCTGCTGCTGGACATAGTGGGGCGGTGGAGGGCCTTGCTGGCGATATGGGTCTGGAGGAGGAGGACCGCGAGTCCACTCGTTGGGGCCGGGCAGGCGATATGGCTGCTGCTGTTGCTGCTGCTGCTGTTGGTACTGGGCGTGTTGCATGTCTGGTCGTGGCTCTTGGGGGGGAGGAGGAGGGAGCGTCGTGTTCATCTAATGGGATTGACGTCAAGTGTCAGCGGCGAGTGTGGTCTGGCTGTCAGGGCGGTGACGAGTGGCGGGCAGGCGACTTACATGCTGGGGCGGGACGACATAGGCACCGTTGGGGGGGTGCTGTGAGGTTGGCGGCTGCCAATGGGTGGGCATCTGGCCTTGGGCGCCCTGCTGGTGAGGGAACATGGTCGCAGAGGAGGAGGAGGAGGAGGACGTGACAAGTTGGTTGGCGGCGCAGTAGTGTAATGATTGATTATTGAATCCCGGGCGCAACGTGGTGCTGTCACGCCGTCATGAACCAGTCCAACGCCGTGGACAGCCGCTTTGGACAAAGATTGGACAAAGATTGGCCGTGTGGGTGGCGGGAGAGCTTCTGGGGCGGGTGAGGTGTCACAAATACTGGCGGGCCGCAACGACGGCTGCGGCAGTGAATTGAGGCAAGTGTGCAGGGCGCGGGTGGTTTGGCGCGAGGGGAGGGGGGGTGGACGGGGAGGAGGAGGTGAGGCCGGTGAGGGAGGGAGGGAGGGTGTGGGTGTGTAGAGTCGAGACAGACAAGAACAGAGCTGTGGAAGAATGGGCTGTGGAGTGAAAGGCTTCTCGAAGCGCGTGGAGGAGGACCCAAGAGCGTGGAAGCGAAAAGGAGATTCAGGTTGGAGCGGGATGGTGGCCGCTATTACTATACTACTACTACCCAGTGCCCACCCACCGCAGCGCCCCCCATGAGAGTCAAACCTTCTCGCCGCGCTGGCCAGCATGGCGGCTTGATCCCTGCAAGCCCTTCACCCTACACACAACCCCCCCATGCAAGAGAAGGACGGCGACGGATCGAGCCTCGAATTAGCGCGTTGGGCGGTACAAAGGAAGGGCACAGTGCATGCTCTGCCGCCTTAACCCCCCTCCGCTCTCTTGGATGGACTAGGGGCACACGACGAATCCAGCAGGACAAAGAGTTCGCTGACAGAAGCTAGTAGTCTAGTGAGTCCAGTCGGTCGAGCATACGCGGTCAAGAGGGTGGAGAGTGGAGAGTGAATGGACAGTCCCATTACCGCGTGCGTCTGTCTGTCTGTCTGTCTGTCTGTCTACAAGCGGCGCAACCGTCGGACAGGCACACACACGCAGGCGCGGGCTCTGTACCACCCGGTGGGCAGCCCCTTACGGCCCTGGGCTGGGGGGCGGCGGCGGATGACTTGTGTGCTGGGGTCGCGCTGGTCTCTGCATGGCGTTTGCTGCGGGCCGGTTCTCAGCTTTCAAGCCCTCCAGTCCACGAATGAGTCGCCAAGAAGCTCGGGTACTGCCGCTCGCGTGTGATCTGCGAGCCTTTAATTAATTTGTCTTGCTCTATACTACTATACCACCAGGCTCTTCCATGTCGTCTTCAAGTCTTCCTAACCTCCAAGTCTCCAAGTCTCCAAGTCTCCAAGTCTTCAACTCTCAACTCTCCCTCAAAGCCATTCCCATGCAAGGAAGCACTCTATACCTGTAGTGCCACGGTCGACGTCGCTGCCCATGCCCGCCATGCCTCGCATGCATCCTTTGCACTACCCTGCGCCCACCCTTCTTCCATCATCATAATCATCATGGCCCACGGCACGAGCAAGCCAAGCTCTCCGTCCGGTGAGCCTCCTCTGTCCGCGCACACACGACCTGGACAGAAACCCGCACGTCCCGACTGACTCGACATTTTCCCTCCCACGACAGGGACAGCCTGTCCCGTCGTCGGCCTTCCTCTGCTGCACTGTATGATAGGCCAGTTGGCCCCCTCTTGCATCCGTCATTCCTGCTCCAAGAGCCCACCTCACGAACCTTGTCCTGGTTGTTGGTGTGTAACCGTTCCCAACCAGTAACGTGCCGCCCCTTCGCTAGTCCATGGCTGGTACCATCTGCCACCAGTGCGAATCGGCGATATCAGCCAGGCAAATCCTCCGTCAGCGGGGCACTGTCATCACAGGAAAGCGGGAGCGCCGATGTCTTGCGGCGGGAGAACCGTTCCGTCGCAGCAAGCAGCAGCATCAGCAGTAGTAGTAGTCGCAGCAGCAGCACACTGCATTGCGCGCGCCCTCCGCCCAACAAGTCCTGAGTAATAGAGCCGACGCTGACCCGCCGTGCGTTTGTCGCGTCCAAGTTTGCAACCGTCTCATCAGCTGCTATGTGCTTCGTGTAAAACGGGTAGCATGCGACGCAACCCACTTTCGTCCTCAAATCACAGCCCGCAATCTCACATCGTTCATCAATCCCTCCCTTGCGCCGGCTCAGCCTGGCGAACTGCTCTACCCATGGTAACAAGCGTGATTCGCACCATGATTCGCCCGCGCTTCCTGGACCGACAGAAAGCGACCCAAGACACCATCATGCATCGTATATACCCTGTGGCGGTGCCGGCTGGCCCGCTGCGTGACGACTCTCGGACATGTGCGGATGTGCGCACCGCCAGCAATGGAGAATAGCGACACGCTCATCATGCCGCATCCAGCCTCGGTACTTGTATTTTTTGGCAACAATCTTACTAGCCCTCATTTCCCCCCCCCCTGGGACGTCCATTGCTACAAACCGCAAAACGTCCGCTCTTCGTTCTGCCCTCAGATTGGGGCGGGCGGGCCGTAGACTCATCACTCACACCTGGGCGTTCCACCGCCCAGGTTCAAACAAATTAAATTCACCCAATCATAGCCCGCCCCCCTTCTGCTTTATTCGACAATCCATTCACCAGCTTCCCAGCTCGGCGTTGTGCCTTGCAGCCGCTGGAACGACGGGTAAATCTTCAATCAACGTGTGTCCCATGGCATGCGTGAACGAAAAAGCTTTTTCGCGAGCTCAGCAGGTCACAGGACGTGCTGTGCTGGCTGCTACCGGTCAGAGCCGTGCTTCCCGGCCATACTTCCCACTTCATTATTGGAAAATGCACGAAGCGGGCTGACTACTGCAGCCAATCGCACATGGCTGCTATGGTAATTTAATTGTCTGCCACACCGCATTTCGACATCCGAGGCAGTCACGAGCACACACGATAGATGAGCGCAGATGCTGTGAGCGGTCTGGAAAGGAGTCAGCCTAAACGCCTCGCGCCCTGCCAAAGCGTTGGCTGCCCACGCTTGGCTATATAGCTCAATGGCAAGTAGTAGCCCTGCCTGGTATTGTACCCCTCCAAAGTGCCGTCCCCATGCCCGTTGATGTGATGCGACCACTGTTACACCGACTGAGTGGTGCATTTGTGGGGTAGCGATCTTCAGCCGCCGCCCTCTGTTTATCCGTCCAAGCGGATAAGACTTTCATCGGCACATGGACGACAATATGGCACCAAAAAGGGCGGCTTGTATGGCTTGTACGTGGCATGCGGCGTAGCTGTGAACCAAGTGCGGAGCAGCGCGTAACGACTGCCCGGAGATCACCTAAAATGGGTACCAGGTGAAACAGCGGGCCGGGACGCATGGTGGAAAAGCGGCATCTGTCCGTTGTATTAGATTGACGAGCCTGGTGGTTAGCAAGGGCTTCTAACGCCGTTTATGCATGGCATAGATGAAGAATGCGGAGACGCGTGCTGCGGTAAGACGGTAGGTAAGTAGGCAGCGAGTCACCCATCGTCGCTTGAGCGCATTCCGTGTCGTCCCTCGAACCTTCTGCACATGGAATCAAAAGAGGGAATTTCAGGCGGGAAGATATCGTCCAACTTCCGAGCCAAGCCTGGTGCTGTGCCACATTGCCAGTGTGGGATAGATGAAGAGCTGGCGGGCAGTCACAGCGAGTGCGCGGCTATAGCCAAAGCAAACATGCACTCCCTCACCGATGTTGCCTGTGTTGCTTCTCGCAATCAAGGCGTAGTCAGTCTTGTGATGTCTGTGCATTGCAGCACGCGTCGTGTTGCGCCCTGCTACACACTGGTCGCGCCGCAAAACCGCAGGTCAGCCATACTTGAATGTCGAGGCATTCCGTCCTTGCAGTAGCATGGTAGGAGGGACTGCATGAGGCCGGTCGGGCAAATGGTTGCTTTCCTTCTCCACAATTGACTGCCGTGGCCAGCTATATCACGTTTGCCTATAGTCGTCGTAGGCGACCGAACAAGTCGTCGTCAAGCGCGGATTTCGAAACGACCGGAGCGTAGCATTTCCGCGTGGTTATAGTTGGAAGTGGAAGTGGAACTGGCAACGGCCCGACGTTTATCACGAAGACCGGTAAATTCTCCAGAGTCGACAGCGGTGATTATGCGGGCTGCAAGCCAGAGTGGAGCCCAAAGTCAGCCTGTGCGGTCTTCATTCGCCAAAGGTAAGGCGATCAAGGCCGTCATCGGTGTGATTGCGAAGTTGAGAAACGACAGAAGGGGATGCGCATCCTCACAGACACACCGCTGTCTGAGCATGGCTGGCTACAATTACCACCAACGCCGCTGCGATGCATGACGCTGGCCATTGGACCCATTTTTCTTTCATGTTCGCGTGAGTCTGACTGTCGCAGACGCAGAATCGCTCATGGCCACCAAAGCATTGTCTGCCCACTTTGCGCTCCCCTGCTTGCACACGAAGTGGACCGACGCAGCAAACTGCCGCCGTCAACTCAACGGGCTCGGGCAAAAAGTCGATGAAGCCGTCGTGTTTTGATTGCACACGGCCGTGGATTGGGACGCATTAGGCGGGAGGCAGCGAGCGCACCCATGCAACCCAAACAACAGACGAATGCGCCCCGGCCCGTAACCCTAACGCGAGCTGTACAGCATGTCACAATGAGGACATGGGGCTGTGTGGAGGGCAGCTGATGGTTGCCAATGTGCGAAACCAGCCGCCGAACACCCCCGTACCGCGCTTCTGCAATGTCATCGACTAGAGTGTTGGATCGATGCAGTCATGCATTGCATACAAACCTGGCCGGTGGTCATGATGGAGCGTCGTGTTCGTTCGCTGCGCTGCGCTGAGCTGAGCTGCCTCGGCCATGCCAAAGCCATGGCTGTTCCGTGCGCAAACCACAGGAAAGGTCTGCTAAGAAAGGCGCCGGGCCGAAGTGCGTTGGGCTGGGAGCTTGGGGGACTGGGGCCAGGGGGTGTCGGAAGGTCTTTACTTGTTCCGTCAGCCTGCATCGACTAAGGCTGGGCACTGCATGGGGCGCCGACGCTAGGCTCACGTGATGCGTAGCTCATGCGGCCAAGACGGGCACGCCGCGCTACTGCACAACTTGTTTGGTCTATCGCATGCCTCCTCGCTTGGAGCAACCACTCAGCGCCACTGCCGCCGCTCTCGCGCGTCGTGCAATCCTCCAATGGCCGCCTTCGCGCGTCTGGCCAACACCTCGTCAGGCCACCCCCAACTGCCCTCGCCCTTCGTCCACCAATCCCCACATCCATTGATAGCCTGGCGACAATCATCTCAATCCTCGTCGTCCTCTGCAGCGGCGCCGTCGTCGTCGCTCTCCGCGTCGCCTTCTTCGCTGCTCGAGCCTGACGTGTCCTCATCGGGCATACAAACACTGTTCAGATAGGTAATCTGCGGCACGGCTGGTTAGCCCTGTGGCGTACACGTGTGCCTTCGTCAACCCAACTGACAATCTCCTCTGCCGCCACCAGCTGCCGCCAGTTGCTGTAGTGTCAAGACCCAAAGTCAAAGTGGCCAGCAGAGCATTCGCTCCACCGCTTTCTCAGACAGGGATATCCCAATCCCCTTCGCCCCTCGTCCACCACCACCCAATGAAACCCAGAACCTCTGTGGGGTAACGACAAGATATCAACTTACAAAGGGTACCATACTGAGAATGACTTCAGCTACTCGGTCTAGGCCCTCGGGCCCGACAACTTCGTCATCCAAAAGCTTTCTACCAATGGTGAAATTTCGGAGTCGGAGGAGTTTAATGTCCTTGTGATCGTGGTCGTATCCCTGGAGGTAGCATCTGTCAGCATTATAATGTCTTCTAAACACTGTAGTCCAACAGTGTCACACAACCGCCTGGAGCGCCACTCCCTGCAACTGCAATCGCTGCAGCAGATCATGCGCCTCAAGAGAATATACTGTAAGGAAACTGCTCGCCGCGCCAGGAACTCTTCCAAGTGGAAGAGTGTTCAGCTCCACACAACCCAAGCGGGGCAACGGCGTCGATGCCGAATACCCTCCATGACGCAGAACATTCGCCGCTTCATCCTGAAGGTTTAGTGGCTGTCGCTGATTGCCACGCAGGGGGCGCAGCAATGTCGTGAGGGTCCTAATCCAGGATCTTCCTGTGTCAAATCGGTTGAACCGTGCCGCTCTTCTTCGTATCCACTGGTGACGAATGTCCGCAAGATTTTAGACTTTCTTGAACACGCTCTGATGCTCTAAACTGTCATGACGCACATATACACTACACGAGAACTCGATACTGGCGGTGGTATGGCGTGCCGTAAAGCCCGAAAGAGAGGCGCGACTGAACTGACCTTAGGGTTTCGCTTCAAAGCAGATGCTTGATTGGTCGCCAGACTTGTAAAAGCATCCACGGCCTTCTTCTCGTCGTCTGGGATGCCTCCCAAGAATTCTCTTCGAATGCCAGCATTGGTCAAGACGGCTTTGATCTTGTGTGGCTTGCGATCAACGTCCTGCCGTAGCTTGGAGAGCGAAGGGGCGTCGGGTTGAAAATACCCACCACCTTCTCTATGGTTAGCAATCCCTTGCATGAGAGGAGGATATAAACAGGAAACGCCGAGCTCGTGTTGCATGCGATCGGGTTAGTGTGGACGTGTGGGCCAAGGACATAGCGACAAAGCGGGATTACCCATTGCTGCAGTGTCGCGGGCTAGCAGACGTAGGAATGACCTTCGTCAAAGTACCACGAGCTCGTACAATCCGGCAACGGGTGGGGCGCTGGTTTGTCATACAACAACCGTTGCGCATCACGACGACGTCGCAACCGAGAAGTGCTACACCGAGCCCAGCATACCCCCCGCCATTGGCAGCCGTGACGCAGTAAAGGGCGTCTTGCCTCTGTATCGCCTTGATATTCTATCGCTGCTGCTGAGCGGGAGCTCGGATACCCGACCGTGTTCAGAGACGAAGTAAGCGCTTGATGTTGTGCAACTCTGTTGCACAACCGCTGACAAGACACTCGTTGATCTCGTACGCTTGGCAGAATAGACATTCGGTGCCCGCGACGCAATAATGTTGTGCATTAGCCTTGCGCGTTGACTGATGCATCGCTGGCCCAATGACACCAGCTTAGGGTTCGGTTCTGTTACTGGCGTGGCAGTTGTGTCACCGCGTCGTGCATTGACGAACACGAGACTCCGCTATCCGTAGAGGTCATGTGTCTTCCTGGTCTGTCGTTGAACACATGTCGGCGATCGTTGGGTACGTATGCGTCCTCCATGCGTCCTCCTGCAGAGAAAACCTCTTTCAAAGGCTAGAGGTAACACGGCCACCATGTAAGAGCTATCCGAGCATGACCCATACTCGCTCATGTAGAGGCAAAGGCGCGTCCGGAACAGTAAGGGGACATTGCACTTACCAACAAAGCTTCCACCATTTGGTTGAATCTGCACATAATAATGTGCGTATGGACCCTTGCGCCCAGTTCTGGACCAGGCTGCGGAGAAATACGTCTGATCAGCTGTTAGGACGTAGTATGAGGATGCAATCAATAGTAGATAGAAGGGGGGCATGATTTAGCGGTTTGTGTTCCTTAAGCAAGTGCTTACCTTGTATGGTGTTGGGTCTTTCGAGAATCGGATGTCTTATCCTGTCAGCTTTGACTCTGGCCCTAATCCTAGTCCCCGTCCTCACCTCGATAGATTCGATAAATCTATCTTGGTTAGTACTAAATCTGGCGGGGATTGGATTGCAGTACTCACCACATCTTTGACCGGAAGTTCAGGTATGGTCTCGTCGGCCTCGATAACCTTTTCGGAAACCTTCTCCGTAAACGTGGTAAAGTCCTGCAGAGCGACTCTGTAATCTGGATCATGCACTGTAACCGTGTTATTATGCAGCTCATATACGCCACTGCTACCGTTTGCGGTTGCACGTCTTCAAGCTCATCTTCGAAAAGATACTTTAGGCTGATTGGGGAAAGTCTCTTACGCTTCAGCCATTGGCGCTCATTGTTGGTAGCAAGATCTTTCAGAAACAACATTGTATTCGGATGGATCGTGTTATCCGCGTAAGGCGTGTCGCCTGGGTCTCTCGCCTTCGGCTTTTTGATAATGAGCTGCGTGCCAGGTGCAAGCTTCGCCCCTGGCTTCCACAAGTCCTTCTCGTCGGCATGCTTCTTGTGTAAGGGAAGGACATGCTGCTTTGCTGGGCGTCCCCGCGGCGCGGACTTCTTGGCTTTGGTATCTGCCTCGCTGGCAGTTTCGTCGTGGTCTGATTCCGACGATGGCTCCTTGTCGCTTTGATCCTCGTAGACAGAGGCTACCGCTTCATCCTCGCCCTCTGTGGGTGGCGAGACTTCCTTAGCCTTGTCTTCAGTCGTGTCGTCTGTGTCGGTGTCTGGCTCGAGATACGACTTCCTCACTGTCGCTCCTCTTGCTCTTTTAGATTGCCGATTAGGCGTGTCCGGGGCCGGGCGCTTAGAAGAGCTCCTGGATGCCGATCTGGAAGTTGGCCTTGTCTTTTTTCGAGGCATATTTTCGATGCGCTGGCCGTCTTAGTTCTGTAGAGCTTTCGCGATCCTTATCGAGACTCAGAGGGGGATGGTCGTTTGCTTTGTGAGTGAGAGGCTGGCGCACTGAGCACCTTGGGACCAACGCGAAAGTTGATGACGCAGGTCGCAGGGGTGGAAGTCGCGGCGGGACGCGAAAATCCATCGCGCTGTCACGCGCCTCAACGCAGCACACGTACAAAGAATCTAACACACTGCAAAAATGGCGAATCGCTTCGAGGCACGTAAGCAAAAGATCCTGGAACAGCTTGATGCTCCCGTGGGCGAGTATCACGATCTGTCGCCAAAAGGCTCAATCGACGAGCCAATTCGTACTCTGATTGGCGAGATCAACGACCTCGAAGGCCTCGTCACCACCAGCAGCTGCTCCGGAAGAATCAGTGTGTTTCTAGAAGGACGAAAGGGGGAAATCGAGGGTGATGTCTCTGCCGCGGAAGGTGAAGACTCTCGCGCCGGGCCAGGAGGGAAGGGCGGTGGAGGCACCTGGCTGTTTATTTCTCACGCAGCGGTCGATATCTCTAATTCATCCTCACCCCCAAATTATATGTCAATGTTTGGGTTGGAAAATATCACAGTTGAGGAGGAGAGAGCACCTGGTGTATCATGCAGGTACATTCACCTAAAATTCGAGCCGATGGTAAGCTCACGACAACATCAAATATAATCAATCTAACGTGATATAGATTCTCCATATATTGAGCGCATCTATGGCGCATGCCCAGCGCATAGTCACTGCAGCCTTGACCGCCGGCTTCCGTGAGAGCGGCGCTGTGGCGTTAGGGTCGACTAAGAGCGGAGAGTCCAATCCCATGATAGCAGTACGTTCAACCGGATATTCGTTCGATTCCATCATCGGCTATTATGATGAAGAGGGCCATAACGTTCCCCTTGTTGATGTGAAATACCTCTCCACATTGGTCCGCATTGCGAATGAACGATTTAAAATCAACGCCGAACGGATAGCACGATTCCGCATGGCCTTGCTGGAGTCGTACTATCCTCAAACCGCCTCTGGTGTATCCAGACCAGGTTGGGAAGATGCAGATGCCCGAAAAATACGTAAAAAAGAGGAAGGCTTAGCGCGACAACGAGCACTGAAGAATCGAAATTCTCAAGAGGACACTGTTGCCGAGTGCGGATCAACCAATACCGACAATGTCGATGGCATGTTCCAGCAATAATAAACACCTCGAAATAGTAGGAAGACATCCCTCAAATGCCCATGGTGCTCATGAGTACAGAAATCGAGCATACTGCCGTCTCCTTGCGGGTGAATTTGGACAATTATTGGCCCACGTAGATCAACGATTGCGATGCAGCCTGTGGCTTCAATTTGACGTTGTCCATGCATCGCCTTCGCAAACAAATCATCTACGTGAACTCTCCGAAACGGCAACATCTCTCCAGCCTAGCCGTGGAATGATGCTAGCGCGGGGCGAAGCAAGACGGGTGGTTTTGGCTTACTCTACTAGCACATCTTCACACCACATGCTTACAGCACTCTCCGAAGCGGGTCAATTCTCGGTACAAGAACATTTGCATTCTATTTGACTCATATCATATACCATCCGCACAAGTTAGGTCACTGCTTTGTTCGGTGTGTACCACTTCCAGCCAATAGGAGCCTTAGCGTGGAAATGTCTCCGATGCATACCGGCGACTTTGCATATTCTCGACTTCTACTCACTTATAAAAGGAAGAGCCACCAATATTGAAAAAATTATTATCCACTCAAGCAAATACCTCACTTACTACACCAAACCTCGATTCCTACCCACGTATGCGATTAAGCACCCGAGCGAACAGAATTACGTCTCATCTCCAGTCAAAGATGGCCAACGCAGAAGCTAACCGTCTGTATTTTGACTCAGTCTCGGACTCATATGACAGCAAACCCTGGTTCGCAAAAGTGAACCAACAAGTCGCAGACTCCCTTCGATCAGACCTCAGCTGGGTGGGCATCCCGTTTGCCAATACAGGCTCTCCCTCCGACGCGACTGAAGTACGCTTGCTCGACTATGCGTGTGGAACGGGCTTAATGACGCGGGTATGTTATTTGACAGACAATTGCATACGATGTAGCAGTCGACTAACAAATGTAGGTATTTGGACCCTACGTCACCAAGACTCAGGGCATCGACGTCTCCCCCAACATGGTCTCATCATACAACAACCGTGCCCGCGAAGCCAATCTCTCCGAAGCTACCGTCAATGCCGTTGTCGGCAATCTATTCGACAAGTCAGACCCCTCCCCGTCGGCATTCTCAGGCCCAGAGTGGCAGAACTTCGATCTAGCGACTGTCGGTTTCGGATTCCACCATTTCGAGGACGTTGTGCACTCGGCTCGGCAATTGAAAGAACGACTCAGGCCAGGCGGGGTGCTCGTCATCAACGATTTCCTTGAGGGAGGCGATCTGCTGGCAGATGAGAACGGTGATCCACTTCCGGACTCGCAAGGCACCCACGCCATTCATAATCACAACCATGGGCACGGCCATGATCATGATCGTAAGGAGGAGCACAAACATGAGCACAAGCATGAGCACGAGCATGGGCACCGTTGCGAACATCACCATCACCACAAGCATGAGGAGAAGAAGCACGACATCGACGATACATCTCTCGAGTTCCACAACAAGATGAACGCCTCCATTGTAGTCCCGCACTTCAGCATCGAAGGTGTAAAGCGCTTTCTCACTGAAGCAGGCTTTATTGATATTGATGTGACGACCATGAAGGAGAGGGTGTACATGATGTTTGAAGGAAAGAAGATTTGGCGTACAATCTTGTTTGCGAAGGGTAGGAAACCAGTGGAAGGAAAGAGTGAGCTGTAGAGTGCGTACGACACTCCCAAAATAGGCCGTCAAGGCATATACATCACATAGTATGAACCACCTGTTAGAACCCAGGTGCCTACGAGGAAGATCCTGTGTGAAGTGATTCCTACAGTTCTATTGCCTGCCATTTACAACAGTAAAACCTTCCTATCGGTTGCTCACCACTTGAACCTATGACGCAGCGACCGCTTACACCTACTGGAAAATCCCGCAGTCCCGTTCCAAACCCGACGAACTCTTCGCAAACCCACGTTTCCACTAGAAGGTGGTTGTTCTGTAGTTGCTTTGAATGACAGTTAGCGCATGTACGCCTCAATAACACGTGCCTGAACGCGTGTACGCACGGTGCACAGCGACTGTCCCTGTGCTTCCTGCTGTTGGCTGATCCACTGAACTTGTAGAGTTCTCAGACGACGAATAAAACCCCGACACCATGCGCTCACGTACAATGGGCGATACGGAACCGAGAGTACGCATGCGCGGGACCTGTTCCTGTGCCAAAATTTGCGGTTCAAGCTGGTTTCGTGAGTCCGGTCTACGAATGGATCCGATTTCCATACCGTAGTACGGGTACTCAGTAACATCAGTTCTTCCCGGAAAAATGGGTTCCCTGAGCATGGTGCTATCTACGAGGGTTGTACTGGTTTGAGGCTCGTGGAGATCAGGTATCGTTGTGCTTGTTGAGTACGTCCAAGGATCTTGATGAGTTCCTTCATCAACTGTTGGAGACATGGCCTCAATATTCGCAACTGAAGTACCCGATTGATGGGTTTGGTCTGAAGACTCAGGTGTGCTGGTGGTTCGTCTGCCCGACTCAGCCGCAGTAGCCCCTTCATTCGATATATCAGCCGATAAAGTTCTCCTCGTGTCCTGTTCGGTCTCGCCCGCGGATCCTGTAGATAACCTAGATAGACCGTTGTTCCCAGTATCAAAAAAGATACCAGCGCCTTCGAACTGAGAAAGTGATGCTTCTGCCACCGTGTCATGTTTGTTGCTGATGTTGAACTGGGTTGGAGGCATTCCAAACGGTTCATCCTACATGCAGTTAAGAAAGTGTGTAGTTCAGTTGAGATTCGTATCTACCATACCAGTACGCTCTCCTTTCGATTTGTTCGAGTTTGACTGTGTGATAAGCTACACGCCATCATATCAGGTAAGCCCTGATATAGCGTAGATCCGTTCTCTCCTTCATCGGTTCGTACGACATCGTCCTGTGGTGACTCTGAGCTTTCGCTGAATGCACTAATGCGAAGAACAGAACGAGGTGCAGGCGAACTTGATATTGCTGGTGATGATGTTGGACTCGTACTTTCAGGTTCGGCATTTTCGCTGCTGCCGCCTTGTGGAGAGATCAAAGATTCTTCTTGGATGTCCTCTAGATAAGGCTCAATGTTGGCAATTTTACACCGCCCTGCCTTCTTCAGCTCATATGTAGCTGTGCTGGTTATAGAAGATTGATTGTGTTCAGGCAACCATTCACTCCCCCCCGGAGCTATAATCTTGCTAGGCCGATGCGAATCAATTTCGGGGTTTCGATGATTAGAGGAGAGACTTTCTGAAACTTCCGAGTGGTCCGGACCTGGGCCAGGAGGAGGAGACGAGGCGCGTGGCTCACCCGGGGCCGAAGATATAGGCCGAGAGTGACGTCGGATGCATCGAGGACAGCACTCGCAGACCAGAAGCGCATATCGGCGTAATCTTTTAAGTTGTTTCGACTCGATGCCTTTAAGCTTGCCAAGTACTCGCTGTTTCTTTGGTGCTAGAAAGCAAGGCTCCCTCCGGATAGTCCACACTTTCTAAGTTGGTTTCGTCCATCTCATTGGCTTTCTAACTCTACAGTCTTGTAGTTCGAACAGGGACTTTTTCAGCGTCCATTTCGCATACTCCCAAAGCGAAGGTGGAAATGCTTGGTCATTTGTGTAGATACTTTGATAAATGTGAGAATGCATCGTAGCAGGAGCAGATCTGCTGCAGTTGAGGGGTCTCCAGACTGGCTCCCGGACCCACTGCCGGTAGGACTCGCATGTTCGCGTATTGTTCAAGCCGGGATACCAGAATGCTGCACGGCCAGGGAGGACGATGAAGGCGTGTTCATCAGCAAATAGTTTGGCGCATCTATGGTCGGTGAGCGCTTTATTAAATGGGTATTTGTGCCGGCGGATATGCAGCCGTCTCGTGGTATCTTCTATGGTGAAGAATTAGCTAACAAGGAAGCTTCACGATACATGACGAAATCATCTCCGCTTTACGAGGTGCGCTATCTAGGAACCGTAGCAACGTACCTTGTCGGGGGCCATTGCGTTTGTTGTTTGGATATGGAATTTCAACTTCCTTGCTTAAGAGCCAGGGCGGTCGTCCAGAATGAATACCATGCGAAGCGTACGCGGACTCTGATCCAGATGCGACGTCAGACTCGCTATTGTACCAAGAAAAGTCTTCCTCGGGTAAAAGGCGATGTTGCGGATCCCTCAACCCCAAGTATGACACTGGGGAATACGAGGACTCGGTATCGAGCGCGAAATCTCTGTCTGCGGATGCAGGCTCAGGCGTGCGGAAACTTGCACGACCATCGGAGTTGGTGTAGACTTCGATTTGTTTATTGGGCTTAGCTCTAGGCTCTTCGGCCTGTGCTGGTTCTGTCTCCGTCTCAGAAGACTTCTAGTCTATCTTCGAATTTCTGGCATCTTCTTCAGCTGGTAGCGTTGAGGCTGTCGTATCGGAGAAGGGAAGCGATGAGTGTTCTGATTGTGGTTGTGTTTCCCGTGCCCGCCCTATTGTATACTCTTCTAGGGTAGTAGCGCGCTGAAATGATCGAGGTAGTACTGAGGTCTGTACTGAAGACTGCCGTGAGCCATTCGCTGATCGAGTAGGCTGTAAGGCTTCAACATCTGAGCCATTAAGGTGAGGAGAATCCTGGGACATATAGATTGACGAGCGCGGCTGCCAAACAGGGTGTAGGAAGTGTGGATCGGGCGGTGAAGATCGAACCGGTACTGCAGAGTTAGTTGTAAGTGCTATGCCGATGTACTGATCATAGGGCTCTGAATCCCAAGACAGAAGCTCTTCTGCTTCCTGTGTTTCCGATGCTAGCAGTGTAGGTTCAGACGACTGTTCCTGATCTGCCATTGTTTTGAAGGGTAAGTGGTGATCGTGTAGCGATAGTCAGAAAAGCATAGCTGCCGACGCATAAACTAACGATAACGAAGACGTTCACCTGGTGAGTGGAGCAAACGGCTGTTGACAGTTACGCGTTGGAATGGGTTGTGACGGCCAGTTTCTCCTGCACGTCTTCGCTGTAATCAAGGTGGTACTTCCTTCCCATCCCAATCCCAGCATTTGCCACGCCCTTCCACCCCCACTTGCTTAACTACGTCGCAGAGTCTCTCAGCTACCCAATCTCTTTCGAATAGCTTCTCTTTCTTCACATTGCTCCAGAAGTCTTGGCTTAGACTCGTCTTCACTGTGCCTGGATGCAGTGCGACTGCCATAGCATTCTCACCAGACGCTGATCGTAAATGGTTGTCGAATGTCTTTACAAGCTGATTAACCCCGGCTTTGGACGCGCGGTAACTGTACCAGCCTCCCAGGCGGTTGTCGCCGATGCTTCCCACTCGCGCTGACATCACAGCTGTGGTCGCGACGGATGGTAGACCTTCCATGTAATCTACGTCCTTGCTGATGGATGCGCTCTTCTTGGGTATGAAGGGCGAGAAGTGTTTTAGCATCAGCATCGGGCCCAACGTGTTGGTGCGGAACGTCAACAGCGCATCGTCGGCTTTGATTTGTGCCGGCGACTTCTCCGGAAAAAGTATGCCTGGTACGATGAATGCGAGCTGCAACTGATGAGAGCTAGTGGCAAAGTGCCTTTTGCATGAAGTCGCCGCGTCCTCGATGGTCCTTTCGTCTGTTGGGAGAGTCAGCGATATGGCTTTGCGGATGTCTATCACATGGCCGACGTTCTACGCACCGAGGACGTCCAAGTGCAACACTGTCAGCCGTTTCTCATCAACGTCTAACCCTTCGAGGAGCTCTTCCTTCGTCTTGTCTAGATTCTTTCGCGCAGTCGCGACGACTGGCGCATTCGTAGTCTGGAGAACCCGTCTTGCGAGTGCGAAGCCAATGCCTCGAGAGGCAGGCGAAATCAACGACCAGGGGGGCATGTTGTAAGGGTCAACCCATTAATAGCTAATGAAGAAGGCATGGCCACAAAGCACCCAAATGTTTGTCAAGCTATGGGAAATGTGGTCGAGACGCGATCTATGATGACATACTTGCCCTGTCGATCGACTGGTATTAGGCTAGCGTTACCTACTAGCGCGTTCTCCCTGAGGCTCTCATTCTGAACGAAAATCTGGACATCATCGGCGTGGTTATGTGTTGTAACACGAAAGGGCTTGTCTGCAGTAATCCTGAAGCAAGTCTTCCAGCGACTCCTTGATGTTCTCCTACGCCATATCCTATCCTTCGTTCCCAATCTCGCGATTCCGGTTCGGCAGCCGGCTACGCTTCCAACCACACCTATGCCCTAGCGAGGCAGAAGCAGAGAGAGAACGCTAAGCAAACTTCCTGACCTTCCCGTACTTCCTCCTCGTCTCCTCATCTCCGTAAATGTCAATATCAAAGTCGTCATCGTCATCAACCGCCTCCTCGTCCTTTCCTGAGCCCTGGCTTGTCGTGGCATCACCACTTGTGCTCGTTTGTTCTCCTGAACTAATGCCCTGTTTCTCAAGTATGGCATTCCCCTGCCGCTTCGCCGCTCGTCTTTCGTTATTTTTTTGATGCTTCCTGTACCGCTTCTCATCCATAACCTTCTTCTCTCGCCCTGTGGCTTCGCGCTCAGACTCATTCTTCCGCCGACCGTGGTCTTCTATGCCTTCGGGAGTAGCAATATCGAGGGGCTTCTTCCTGGCGATCGTATTTTCTGCGGCGCCCGAATCTGAATCCTGCTTTGTACTCTCTGCTTTGGGTCTACGTCGGGGATTACCGCCTCTCTTTCTTTTCCCCTTTGAGATCTCGCCCAAGTCTATGCCTTGTATCTTGTCTAGCTCTCCTTCTTTCTGGTAGCCCGGCTTTTCGCCCCTCATGGTAGATTTGGAACCCATTGTTCAGTTGGCAGGGTGTATTGGCGAATTTAAGGTCGTTTATAAAAAGTCGTAGGGATGACGCTTGATTTATACCATGGAGGAAACTGAATTCCCAGGTGACGGCGACGGTGGCGGTGAAGCTCAAATTGCCGCGAGATTTGTTAGGCATCCGCGGTGACTGCGAGTTCCCGTGGTTCCAAATATTGTACCCGGCCTGTGCACTCATACACTTCAGATAGACCCAGCATCCTTTACATCGATGACGAATGCACTGATGCTATAATAGTGTGTCACTTGTCCCAGATGCACGAGGCTTTGCTTTCCTCTCGTCAAGTACCTGAGGTTGGTCATCACATCTCGTAATAGCCACGTAGAATATCTGTGACAATGTTGTAGAAAACCTAGTTTCCAAAGTCCAAATATGCATCAAACATCAGCCGTGCACCTCCATTCAACGTTGTCCGTATGCATACGAACGCCTGCCTGCTTACCTAGGTACCTGGGTCCACGGGTAGTGTCTAAAGCGGGGATCGACTAGGCTGTATTGGTGACACGAGCATTAGGCAGACGCGTTTCGCACTCTAGAGGGTTGCGAGATTTCTGCGGCACTCGGACTAGGCGCATTGGGAAGTTCCAACAGATGTGACGAATCAAACAGAGTAGACTGCAGCCAGAGCGCGAAAAGGAAATTATAGGGCTGATGGAATGACGGGGAGGCTGGAAGGCATATAAGGCGAGGGATTGCCACACCGGAAACTTATCAATTTGGAATATTGACATGCCTCGTATTATCCATCAGCCATTATGTGTCCTCCGAAAATTCAACTGGGCTGTGGAGCTCGCGACTGTGGAAGCCCCTCCCACGTGCCACCCCAATTAAGCAATTTGACCCAGAGTCAGAATAAGAAAACCCTCACAAGGAGATAATAACGCCATTAGTTTTTGTTCCAAACGCCAGGTATGTCACGACCGTACCCTAACGTATACCAGGGCAGCTAAAACCGTACTAAAAGTCGAGGTTGAGATTGGCCGAAAGAAGTGTGAACGACAAGAGCAGGAGGGGACGATTGAAGAGCGATCAAGCCAAACGCAAGACAGGCCGGGACCTCGCCAGCCAGCTAGCCGGGGCCAGAGCGTTCAACTGGTTAACAATCAATCGTGTCCGACAGGCTGTCGTCGCACAGGCTCAAGCATGCGGTGGCCTAGACGGTCGAGCCGCTGAGACATGTTGCGACCTATGCCGTCTTCCGTCTCGATGTCGTCTCCCCCCAGTTTCGACGAAATTCCCAGGGGGTTGCGTCAAGTTGTGATTTCCACCTTTCAGTTCCTTCAGGTCCTGATCGTCAATCAATCGCTTCTGCCATAGATGGTGGAACAGCATGAAGTCTGGGCGACTCGTCCTCAGCGTATGCCCCACCATGGTATGCTCATAGGCCAGGTGCTGCATCCTCGCATTCCAACTTGCCCGGCCATCGTTGGAGTGTACTTCCCACTCGCATAGCGGGCATTGTACGGATCGCGGTGGTTCTTCGCCGCGGAAGTGACTCTCGCAGTGAGTTTCCCACTCCTCCTTGTCGGTGAAGATGTGGCCGCAGGACAGGAACCAGAACGCGCATTCGTAGACTGGTGTTCTGATCTGCGTCTGCGGCAGTTCCAAGACGCCGTTGTTGTCTTCCAGCAGCGGCACACCAGAGAAGTGGCTCGCAAGTCCCGTGCTTATCGACGTCTCGGTCGGCGTCGCGTCGGTGTTTGTATAGTAGCACAACGATGGCGGGTGCGTGGATTCGTTGGACTGGTGGATGAGGGCGGGCGCCATGGACGATCCTCCGCTCTTCACCGTCGCCGAGCGAGGGTAATCGACCGCGGGACTCGAGGTATTTGGCTCCAGGCCGTCAAGAACCGCTTGGTCAAAATGTACCAAGCGCGCGTGGATATCCGAGGATCGCACCCAGTTGTCGAGTTGCGGCGTTACGGCACTGTCTAGCCTTGCTGCGAAGGACATGCTGGCACTGGCGGGGTCTGCGGCACATGCACCATCAGCCTGGGTCCTCACATCATTGGAGCTGCCTCAGCCCTGCGAACGGTAGGCTACCAATAGTAGGCGCATAGAGACTCACTGTTGCGACTTCGCGATGTTGCTCGATGTTCGCGCGTCATGTCCATGCTAAGAGAAGGGTAGGGCTTAGCGTCCGTTGAGGGGCAAGTACTGTAACCGGGCGTTCGATCCGTTTTGTTTCAAGTTATCACCGTCGAGTTACTGAGACAACGCGTCCTTATATATCAGGCAAACAGGTACCCGAGAAATATATACACGGCGACGAGCAGAATGGCTACTTTGCGGCTCTGCGACGATCGCGACATTTCATACGACATCTCAACCATCTGACACTTATCCATGCATCCATTGCACATCCACCGACCACACCAACTACTCGCCAACACCTCGTTCTCCATTTTGCCAACAATCCGATCCTCCACAACCCGCTTTACCGTTCACGGCTGGCTCCCATTGGTTCCGCTGGATGGCATATGACGGGCTTCCACAGGAGCGGGGTGGTGGAACCCGGCAAGCGAACCCATGCTCGACCTTCATCGCGGTGTCGCCGACCGCTCTTCTGGTACGGGGAACAAGTTGGGAGTATGGTGATGTGTCGGTGTGGCTTTTTAATTAACCCGGATCGTCGACGTCTTCGTGCTCTGGTTCGACTGGCTACTGCACGCTAATCTGAGTTGCTGGGGTTGCGCGTCACCATCACAGAGGATTGTATCGCCCATGTGATAATCGCGATTGCGTGGAAGGTACGAATGCAGACGCATTCGATAGATGAAACTCCCTTGCCAGAAGACGAAAAGTATCGCTGGCTTGAAGGCGCCCACGTTGACCTATACCCTTGGCAATACGGGTCATGTCCCGGATTTGAGTGGCTGATATTAGTGTTCACGAACACCATGAACAGATCCCAAATCAGGATTCGCAGAAGATAATACTTGGGTCAACCTACGCTTAACTAGGTAATCTTCACAGCGATCTTCCCTACGGCCTGCTGCTTCTGCAACGCTTCAAAAGCCTCCACTAAATGCTCAAACCCAAACTCATGCGCAATTACCGGCTTGATACTGTTCGCTTCGACGAAGCTTGCCAGCTCGGCGACGAGGTCGCGACTAAAGGCCACACATCCTTTCACTGTGTCTTCGATTAGTACGCTAGTTTCTTGGTACCGGAGTGAAGTGAAAAAGGAACTTACCAAATTTACCACCAAACAGCACGCTTGGTACAAAAGCTGTATCGATTGGCGCATCAGGCGTTAGAGCACCAAGAAGGCTGATCAAGCCCCCTGTTCGTGTGCTGTTGATGGACTTCATCAACGTGCCAGCACCGCCAGTCTCGATGACGTGATCAACGCCCCTTCCGGCCGTAATTCGTAGTACTTCTTGATCCCAATCTGGTGTCTTTGAGTAGTTGACAACATGTGTTGCACCAAGGGACATGGCAAAGTCCAATTTACTGTCTGAAGACGAAGTGGCAATGACAGTAGCCCCGAGCGCGGCTGCAATCTACCACTTATTAGACCTAGTCAGATGGCCAAATTCACGGGCAGAGACAGAACGTACCTGTATCCCAAAACAACTAACCCCGCCTGTTCCCATAGTAAGCACCGTCCTCCCCTTCAATCTCTTCTCCGTCCAAGTCCCCTTCCACTCTCCCAACTGGCCATCTAACGTCATATCCAAGCTTTCTCTAATCGCCGCCCACGCCGTAGCTCCGGCAGTGACAAGACTCGCGCTCTCAGTAGCAGAAAGGCTCTTCGGCGCCTCAACAATACACTCATCATCCACAGCCAGATAGTGCTGCAATGTACCGTCTTTACTCGTGCCGCCTAAAATGGTCTCGAAAGACAGCGCTTGTACGTCGCCAGATATCCAGTTGTTGGGATGCAACAGCACCGCTAGGCCCTCGCTGCCTCCCCATTTACTTTCTTCTCCCACAGAGCAGATTATACCTGCGCCGTCGGCACCAGGCACGAGGTCCGCTTTGTGGTTGCCGGGATACTGAGGAGATCGAATACTGATTAAGAGGTCTCTGTAGTTGAGGGCAGCAGCTGTTAGTTGGACTAGAACTTGCTTTGGTCCAGGTGTGGGCACGGGTTTGGATTGTTTGATAAGATCAGTGACGGCGGAGGCGGTGGCAGGAACTGTCCATGCTATGTTTGTAGTTTGGGAAGTCATTCTTGGAAAGTGTACAAGGTTGTGGGAGTGGATGGAGATGAGCAGTGTCCATATGGAGAAGGATTAGGACGTGTCTCTCGTGCCGTCTTTATACCCACCGCTTTCTCCAAGCTTCGTTTCTCTACGTGTTGTTCGGCGTGCAACGTGCTCGAGTTCGATTTCTAAGCGTCCTGCAGCCTTGCTCCACTATCACGCGAGTCAATGGTTATTTGGACTGATCTCCTAGGTTCTGTTCTCCGTCGTTTGAATGCCATCTGCATTCTTGTACCTCGTTGTAAGTATCTTGCCAAAGTCGTCATGTTCGCATTGTTTCGAGCGGGCAGGAAGATTAGGTCCATCTAGCAGTGAGGGCATTCGTTATTGCACGAGCTCTCTCTTCGCACAGGAATCCATGGGTGCATCAGATTCGACGGGTTGTTCCAGGATCGTTGATGGTGATTAGTATACGTCGAGGTAAGATTTGTAATTCGGGTTGGCGCTAGTCCTATGATGGTATGCTGTATTGACAACATGCACTTCGCAACGATGTCGCAATCTGGATATGTGATGTAATGTGATGTTTTTCTTATTCCTTGCTAGGATATCTCTTTAATTTGATTCAATTGCACGCTCATTTCCCTTATAGCGTATCCTTCTTTCTCTGTCCAACAAAGAATCCCAGACCATAATCATCCGTCTTGAACAGGATCTTAGCACCGGCGGGGAAGAAGAAGACATCGCCCTTCTCGCCCTTGACCTCCTTGCCCGTCTCGTCTAAAAGGGGCGCGTTAGTATCATCTCTGTTGTCTAAAGAGCGTTGAACATTGCTGGAGTAGCAATGCCGTGTGGCAGGTGTCACATACCAGTAATGTAGAAGTGGCCTTCGACAATGATCTTCAGCTCATCGTACGAGTATGTGTACTCGAGCGGGGTACCCTTCTCAAGACGGTAAAAGCCACCGGAAATGGGCTTGTCGGGGTTTGTGGGCTCACTAGATTCGCCTCGTTAGGTATTTACCAAAGAAAAGCTGGATTTGGAGGAGATATGTGGAAGGTTGTTTGGCGGGCAAAAGAGATGGGAGATGATAGGGGCACATACGACGAAACGACGTCGCCGAGGAATGCGTTCTCGTTGGCAATTAGCGGGGGCTTGAACTCTGACTGAGCCTTTGCGAAGTATTGCATGGGCGGCATGTTGGCGTTGTGTGAGGTGTTGAAATGCTGGATTGGGTTTAATAAGATGCTGTGTCTGAGTTAGTGGATTCAGGCGACTCTTTGGAGTAGTGCATTTCATCAGGTAAGACCAGGCCTCGGAATGGATTTGGCGATGGAGCTTGGTACGTACCTTTGATGACGGGATGGCTAATGGCTCGATAGTGGATGATGTTGGAAGATGAATATGAAAGAAAAAGGAGGGCTCGCTGTGCCTTATACATGTCGTGGAAGGCTGAGTCCCGCTTTACCTCCATTACAGCCTATCTCACATTTACTCCCAAGCATCGTCACCGGCCCGACTCCATTGGTATCCCGACTCTAAACCTAAGCGCGGTTCCGCTCAGTTCGACGGACTTCGATACCCAAAGCAGGGCCGGGTTATGCAACAGGTGCCTAGTACTTGCTCTATTTGGTCCTCCACTACTCCACTATTGCTCCGCAGTTTGTAAGAACGCCTTCTACTGATAAAGGACACTGCAAGAGATGATCCGGCCGTCGACGTGATGTTAGTCACGGAGCGATAGGCGTAATCGCAACTGCGGGGCAGGTTGAAGAAGCGTGTGGTTGGCTATCTCTTATCGCTTGGTTTTATTGCCTACCTTTGGCATAGCGGAGGCCTGCATCTTCGTTACGACATAAGTAGCAAGTGGTGAACATGTTGCAATGTAGGAACGTACGTGGTAGTAGAGATAGTGAACATGATACTCGGAGAAATGTCGCATGTTAGACACTTTGCCATGACTTACCTATCTTGGGTCAGGAGCTGCAATGCAGGCTGAAACTGGACAATGGGTCTATCATTGATTCATATTGATGCAAATGGCAATGTAAGTGGATATCATGCTCCGCATTACTCGTCGACGTCGACGTCGCCCTCCCTCCACCTCTTCCGCCACCACTTGAGTTTGAGCCAATCACCTCGCCCCTCGTCACCCCTTTCACGGCCGCCAAACCCCCAACTTCCACTTCGTTGTATTGTAGCAGTATCAGCAACATCTGCGTCCGACTGATCGCCATCAACTGGATCTGGATGATTGAGAAGCGATGAGGAGCTGTTGACTGGCCTATTGCCTTGCGATGCGCTTCTGCTCCGGTGACTGCCCGGAGCTATGCTATCGAACCAAGACCGTCGTCGCATCTGGCTCAACCAGGCCGACTCCGTGTTCTTTCTCCGCTGAGTTAGGGTGCCAGATCTCGGCCGCTCTCCTAGGTCCACAGATCGTCTTGCAGGAGAAGGTAGAGCCTCACGATCGTTCAGCTCATTCCAAATCTCATGGGTTTCTTCTGACATGGTCATCCGGCGTCTTCTCGGCAGTCTGCGTGGAGAGGGACTCGCTCGTGGACTGCTCTGCTGCTCCGTGTCCAAGGTCGGGCGCTTCTTAGGCCCGGTGTTCAGGTTGTAGGCTGGCCCAGTTGGGGATCTTGCAAGCAGAGGTGTCCTCTCGTCGATTGCTTGACGATGTGCCCGCTCTGTTGCGAGGCCGTGTTCACCTGGAGCGGCTTCCTCAATGTCCATTGGTGACTCGGGTTCGTCTATAACGTGGCCGTGAACTAGGCCTATGCCTGGTTGCAACACAGTTTGTGGCATCTGCACCCTACCCATATGCTTACTTGCCACGGGGGAAGTAGGCTCTTCCTCGCTATCTTCTAGTCGCCAACTCAAGCATATGACCCCTGCGAGGAGGACAACCGTCCCAAGAGCGATGAGTCCTGCGTGAAGATTCGACAATCGGTCGCTTTGATGGAAGTAAATCAGACCATCTATGATCGCAATGATGTTGTAAACGCAGAACACGAGAGGGTACAAGACACTCGTGCTGCACAGCTTCAGCCCGCGATGCATGTAGTACAGCTGGGTGAGGGCAAAGACAACTAGTCCAATCAGGATCATCCACGACTGCCAGCGATTGAACTGGTTATGGCGGTCGACGATGGTGCGCACCAAGAGCTCGACGGCGCTCTTGGCGATAAGGAGGGAATGTGCAGACAGTATGCCGCTTATGCAACCGAAGACCATTCCTCGAAGCAGCCGGAGTCGGGGGGTCGAGCGGGGGTATAGGCGTTTGAGCAACCAGTTGGCAACGATGAGGAAGATGACTACGACGGCGGTCGAGATCATCCACACAAGAAAGTGCTTCCGTACAAGGAGTGCCAACAGCTGGTCCAGATTGTGTGAGGGCTCAGAGATGGCGCCGAAGAGGGCGATCAGGAGCGCCCCGCATGCAACCAGCATTGTACCGATGAGCGAATATCTTGTAAAGGGCTCGTTGAGTATGATGGAGGCGCAAATCGAGTTGAAGACGAGACCGGAGGCTTGAAGGGTGGACAGGACCGGGAGCGGCAGGGTGGTGATCTGGATGGTGCTGCCGACGATGTTTGCCACGATGAACATGAGCATGCCCAGCTACTTTGGTCAGTGAACAATTCCCTAGCTATATGCCATGACTATGCCCTCACCTGCCATCTCCGGCGCTTGTAGGGCGGCCGTCTTTCATCGTCTTCATCCTTCTCTTCCTCGAGTAGGTGGGATTTGCGCTGCAGCGTCAGACCGATGCTCTGGATGCTGGTGGAGGCGAGGCCAACGATGACTCCAAGCTGCAAATAGAGTATTAGCTTTCTTTTGGCCTAGGTATGTGCATTCTCAAGAGCGAAAGAACATACAGCAACGCTGGCTCCCGCCGATAGTTCCACCATGTTACCCTGCCGGCTTTTGTCGCTGCACCGAGCTGATGCTACCTAGATGTATGGCGCATACTGTGTATATGTATAGGGGTATTATGGATATGTATAGCTATGACCGTATATGTGCAAAGGGCGTATGGCGGTGACGACCAGCGCTGGCGTGAGTGTCGCGAACCGTCACGGGACGATTGGGCAGGGACCTAGTGACGGGCGATGACGTTGGTTGGCAGATGAAGAAGCGCAGCCGAATGCTCAGGAGCCGTATGCGAGGTACTTGCTTGCTGGGTATTTGTATTTACCAGTGAGGGATGCTCGCAGAGCCACGGTTGGACTTCGCTGCCGCATGCATCCCGCGACCTAGCGTGAGCTGAGGCCGGGGGACCAGCTACAGACTAGCCCGACGTAATCGCCATCTGGGGCTATCGCCAATCGGTGCTCCGAGCTGCGTCAACTTCCACTTCCACTTCCCAGCTCCATCGACCTACGTACAGCCCACGGTACCTGCAACCACGCCCGACTTGTCCCCTGAATACGACAGGCAGCACACACCACCGCCGTCATGTCGCAAGTACACGCCCTCTCCGACGACCAGGTAGGCAGCGTCCCCGCGGTTCGAGGCAGCCCGCAAGCTCGCTCCCCGCCAAACTACGTCAACAGCACCAGCTAATATGCGTCCCCGTGGCAGGTCGCCGGCGAGCTGAAGAAGATGACGGCCTTTATCCGCCAGGAAGCCATGGAGAAGGCCAACGAAATCCGCCTCAAGGCCGACGAGGAGTTCGCAATCGAAAAGTCCAAGCTCGTGCGCCAAGAGCAGTCATCAATCGACTCGTCCTACGAGAAGAAGTTCAAGCAGGCCAGCATGTCCCAGCAGATCACACGCTCTACCCTCTCCAACAAGAGCCGGTTACGCATCCTGTCCGCCCGCCAGGAGCTACTCGACAGGCTGTTTGAGGACTCGAGCAAGAAGCTCGGCGATGTATCAAAGGACAAGAAGAAATACCAGACTGTGCTGAAGAACTTCATTCTAGAGGGCGCATATGCACTTAACGAGGCCAAGCTCCAGGTCAAGGTGCGGAAGGCGGATAATGACGTGACCAAGAAGGCCATCGAGGAGGCACAGTCAGAGTATAAGAGCAAGGTCAACAAGGACGTCTCTATCTCGATTGACGAGAGTGATCCGCTCCCCGAGGGATCGTAAGCTGTTCAGTCCCCAGATCAAGGTCACGAGCTAACACAGGACAGAGCTGGCGGTGCGATGATTGTAGGCACGGGCGGCAGGATCGACATCAACAACACCTTCGAAGAACGACTGAGGCTGCTCGAGAGCCAGGCTCTACCATCCATCAGAGTTACATTGTTCGGAGAGAATGAGAACAGGAAGTTCCGCGACTGAAGGATTGAAGTAGGAAACAAGATATACAACCTGCAAATAATTGTGTGGACGGCATTGTCAGCACCTGGATCTTCTTCAGCAGCACCCCGTCGAGGCTTCATGCACTTGCAGAGAAGGTCCTACCTAGAGGGAGACCTTGTAGATTACTTGGAAGATTTAGCGAGCTTTTCTCTATAAATCATCATACACTTATCGCCAGCAGCGAGCCCATCCTAGCAACCTAATACAGAGTACTTGTGGTTTAAGGAGTATTTAGCCCTAGGCTGCACTCGATGAGCACATGCATTGAAGAGTACCTGCTCTGCGGGGATTCGGAAAGTGTCGAGGAAGTTGCACCCAAGCTAACCATGAAAACTCCCATCACTTCTATAATCAACCACTCAACCTGACCCAACAGGACGACGATGCTTATTCCCTTCCAAAAGCTGTGAAAATAACAAATCGTGGCACTGCACCTGTGCTACGCTAGCCAATGGCTTCCCTGTCGCTGTTTAGCGAGTGGAGATGGCTGACCGCTCATGTACCTCCACTCGACAACGGGACTCGTTACAGTGATCATCCGAAGCCACAGAGCCTACATTCTTCGTACATCGCCTCATAATCGCCACAGAGCAGAATCTGCCAAGAAAACCCGGTTTACCTGGCTCATGCCTCAGCATGGTGAGCTTGACGAGTGGCATGGTGCGGGGCGTCAGCCTTACGTCTATTCTGATGGCCACTATCTGACTGGAACGGAGCCTCAAGAAAGGAGCAGTCGAAATACGCCAAAACATATAGAGCGCAGACAGCCTTCTTTACACCGTGGATATCATTCCGATATTGAGAACAAGCAACAAGACACGGGGGAATCTGACTCGGAAGATGATATGGGTATTTCTCTCACTGGTCAGCATGAGAAGTCGCGAACCAGGACAAGAAAGAAACCGGGCTTTGGTGCTCCTCAACCGCCTAACAAACAATCTGCGATTGTTCTCACGCTTGATGATGACTCAGACTACAACGAAGACGAATGGTATCCTGTTTCACAGCCACACAAACTCGACGCGAAGGATTTTAGCAATAGACAGATACCATCGCGGCACAATTCTGGCCGTCGTTTCTACCAACCTTACTCCCCATCAGATAGTGAGGACGAAAACAATACTACCTTTGAAGCGAGTCCAGCACAGGCCAGTGAACATGAGCCTTCCGCTTCGTCAGGATACATCGCAACCAACGCTCTCGCACGTCAATCACGTAGAAAGGCTGAAACGTCGGTGCAATCTCAACCTGGCGAACAGCCTTTCTACCATAGGAAAGTGCCAGCACGACCCAAAGCTAGTAATCGCTCGAAATCCGAGGCTGGCCCCTTCTCTAGCGACGATCAGTACGGCACGAAGAAAGCTAACCAATCTCATGGCCGGTACCAAACGAGTGAAGATGAAATTCATCTTTATCACTCCCAAGAACGTTCTTTCCGCAAACCAACCGCGGTGCCACAAAGGCCAGAGGACCACACGTTTCGTCATGAAGAAGCAGAACAGTTTCCTCAGCTCACTCGACATGTACCGACCTGGAAGGCGTATGGAGACTACCCAGAACGATCGTCTTCAGCTTCTAGGCCAGCGTTTTCCGGCGCGGAAGACGGAAATAACATACAGCTATCAGAGTATGATGGTCCAACGCCCTCACAAGATCCATATGTCTTCTCTACCAATCTGCGAAAGGGCAACCATCTAGCAAATTCTATGGGGCGCGGGCGCGGCCAAGGGCGGCATCCTCGGCCTCTAGCGTCTCGATCTATATCAGAAATCCTTCCTAAACGATCGAACACCGTCTTTCCTGGGGATTCTAGATCTGAGACAGGAAAGGCAGGTACTGAGCAGCAGCCTTGGGAGCCGACCTCCTCATTGGACTCTACAGCTCATGTGATCCAGACTCGAGCAAGCGTTTCTTCGGCATCTGGAGTGCTTGGCCCAAAGAACTATGCCTACCAGCGACTCGTACAGGAAACGGACTTTAGACTAGTCAGAGTTCTGCCCCAGAGAACTTCCAAGCTAAAATGCGAGATTCTACATGCATCTCTTGAGCATCCACCGGAATATGTTGCCATCTCTTATGCGTGGGGAGATGGTGTGGATACGAAGCGTCTGGTGCTCGGTGGAGTAACCATTCCAGTCGCCGCTAGCCTTCATGGCGCTCTAAACGCCGTTCGCGACAAGGACAACGAGATCCTAGTTTGGGTCGATGGGTTGTGCATTGATCAGCGTAACAAAGATGAACGGGCATTACAAGTTCAATTGATGGGCTATATCTATAGTCGAGCCAAGTATGTTGCCATTTGGCTAGGACCTGACGCCGATGACAGTCAATTAGCTACGCAGCTTCTAGTGGAAGTGAACAAGAGGAGGGTGTCTAAGCAACGAATCAGAGCTGTTGAGAACCCAGACTCGGCAGCTTTGCTTTCGTTATTCAAGAGGGACTATTGGAATCGTCTGTGGGTAGTTCAAGAAGTGTTCCTCGCGCGGAAGAAGTGGGTGTATTGTGGCTCCTCCAAGCTTCCGTGGGAGGCATACGAGACTGTATCAAATGCCTTTTGGGGGCATGTAAGTGACCCTCAGCTTCGTCAAGGACCGAGTAGCTTCCCAAATATTGCTTCACTTGTTCAACTTGGAGCAAATTCACTATTGGAGGTCTTGCGTGCCTGTAGGAATAAGTTTAGCGAAAATCCTCGGGATAAAGTCTTTGGTGTTCTCGGCATGTTACCAGAAGAAACTCGCAAGGAACTACCTATCGATTACGATCAGCCGGTCAAAGCCCTGTATATTGATGTCGCAGCCCACATTATATCCTCGACTGGACGTCTCGATGTGATCCGCGAGTCAATCCATTTCCCCGTCCACGTCAGTTCTGCGGGTCTACCCTCTTGGTGTCCCGACTGGTCCCATTTCGTCGACATACCAGCCCTTCGCGAGCGAACCTTTTCCGCGGCGGGTGATACCGACGCCGATTACGAGTTCCATGACAACGAGCGTAGACTTCAGGTTTCTGCTATCGAGCTTGGCACTATAGAGGCTACAGGTGTTGCCGTCGGGACGCTTTGCGCATTAGAAGACTACCTCATGGCCTTTCTTCACTGGCGTGCGTTGCTTCTGGATGTCACTAATATAAATGAAGACGACGAAAATAATCTGCTATTCGAGTCATTCTGCAGAACCTTGTCTCTTGGCCAAGTGCCACCAAAGTGGGAGCAGCAGGGATGGATGACACCCTCCTATCACGTCTTCTCATCCTTGATTCAAAAGCGACTGCCACGACTTTTGATCGACCGTGGACTCAAGCGATATGCCAACATGAGTGTTGTGAATCCAGAGGGGCAGCGAATGTTTGTCCAGAAGCACTTTGGCGATCGAATGGTAAGCCTTTTCGAAACGTCTCTTTCCATAGTGTCAAGTTTCTATATGTTCAAAAGCAAAATGAACCTCCGCCTTGTTGTGCCGTGCTGATGTCTTTATGCAGATGGGACGCACATTCTGCATTACCGAGAACGGATTGATGGGCATGGGATCAGGCTTCATGGGCAAAGGCGATGTCGTCGTAGTACCATTCGGCTGCTCTACACCGATTCTTCTCCGTGCAGAAGGTCGTCGCAATGAGTTCCGTTACGTTGGCGACGTCTACATCCATGGTTTCATGCATGGTGAAGCTTTGGCCAGCGGCAGACCGGTGAAAAAGTATACGCTACATTAAAAGGCCAACAATTGGGATTTATCCACGCATGACTGGAGGTCAGGTACTCACTAAGACGTTCGCGCTCTGTCAAAGCAACACGATGTTCGTTACATTGTCCAAAGACAGCTGAAATCCCGCTTGGCCTTATGTTACCGCAGAAAGCCCGAGGTGCGGTCTTGGTATGGCCATGGCAAAACTACTCTGCGGATACATTATTCATCAAATAATTCACGATCACATATTTCTACAGCTACTCCTGCAAACTTTGATAAGTCTTTATTTCATTTCTCCATGAGATTTCTTTTCAATCAATTTTCGTTTCAAGCCCTAAACTTTCTTCGCCCTGCACTCACTGCCAGAATACAGATAAGTTGCGATCAACACGAGCACGCGAGGATGCCCGTGATCAACGTGCTGTCTTCCAGGGTCCTACGTGGAGTTACTGGGGAAATCTGGAAATTGTTTGGGTTCTCCTGATGGCCAAGACGATGGAGATTCGACGATTCGACTTGGCAGTCTCATGATTGGTTACTTCTCTTAGAAAAAACACGTCGATCCTGAATCCATTTACTTCAAAATGGACTCCCCACAACCCACGTACCTACAAACAGGGCTTCTCCCCGCAATACTATACGATTCAAGAGCTTGGGATGTCTCGGCCTCCTTGGTTTAGCGCCGACTGTAACGTTCACCAAGCTTACATGCGCGCTCAAGACCTTGGAACTTGCACTACCCCAAGATTTTGAGGCCTGCCAATTTTCTTGGGACAAGACTACGAAGCCATTAGATCGTTTTGTCCCTTGTCACCCGACCACTCACGAGTAATCTTTTGGTGGCGACGGGAAACATTGACGGCATACGCCTCATCGGTGAGACCCTTGGTATTCACGGATTGCCTCATCAGTGGTGTACCGGCAACTTAACGTACCACCGACAGCAAGGCTACTATGTATCACCCCTGACAGAATCATTGGACGAGGAAGGCATACTAGCGATGCTTAGCCTCTTGTGTGCAGCTTCCTAGGTTCCCTTGCGCCATTGTTACATGTCAGCCATAGATCGGTGATTCTACACACAGATTGAGACTGAACAAGGGCACGATCATCTTCGGAGACGCCGCCTCCCCCGGTGCCTAGCATTTAAAATGCCTCAGGTTTGTCCAAGACGGCCGGGAGAAGCGCACACAAGTGTCTTGGTACACATACATGCGCGGAGCTCATGGCCAGGTAGAGATTTATTCGGGATGTAACAGCCTTGGAGTCTAAAGTGCGGGGATTGCTAGTCCAGGATACACTGTGTGAAACGTCATCCAACTCGTTGTGTATAAGACCAGGGCAACATCCCCGGATTGTTATTTCCCCAGATCATTCAGATTGGGTTCTGAAGATCGACTAGTTCTCTCCACACTTCCCTACCCCAGACTTTCTACCTCTCGAATTCTAGTACACATCTCTTCGAATCATTTTATCTCTCAGCACCCACCATGGTTACCGAGAAGAATGAGGTCCTCATGCTCGAGCAGCAGCCGACAAGAGATGAGGAGTTGCAAAAGCCTGTGCCTAGGGTGGACAAGATCGACTACTCCGGTGCTTACGAGAAAACGGACCCGCGAGAAATCGCTTTGGTCAAGAAGCTTGACAGGTGGATAATGCCAATGCTGTGGTCAATGTACTGGCGTAAGTGCACTCCATATTGGTTTCAGCTAGCAAGATTCCTGACCGTTGTAGTGAATTACCTCGACCGTAACGCGATCGCCCTGGCACGTCTCGATGACTTGGAAGAGGATCTCAACCTCAGCAGCACACAATATCAGACATGCGTGTCAATTCTCTTTGTAGGCTATCTGCTCGGTCAAATCCCTTCCAACATGTTCCTCAACCGCACGCGTCCTTCCCGGTATATGGGTATATGCATGATGCTCTGGGCGGTAGTCTCTGCTCTCACAGCGTTGTCTAAAGACTTTACTGGCTTACTACTCACCCGATTCTTCCTCGGTTTGACAGAAGCTCCCTATTATCCCGGAGCTGTCTATCTTCTGTCCATGTTCTACACTCGCAAGGAGGTCGCTACGCGGATTGCTATCCTGTACACGGGCAACATCCTCGCAACGGCATTTGCTGGTCTCATTGCCGCAGGAATATTCCATGGCTTAGGCGATGTTGGTGGTATCACCGGCTGGCGCTGGCTCTTCATCCTTCAGGGAGCTGTCACCTTCGTCATCGCCATCGTCGGCTTCTTCATTCTTCCTGACTTCCCACACAACACCAAGTGGCTCACCGAAGAGGAACGTGCTCTTGCAACTAACCGCATGGCAATGGACACTGTTGGCAACAAGGGCGAAACCTCCGTCTGGGCGGGATTCAGACAGGCTGCCAATGATCCCATGGTGTGGATCTTCGCTGCGATGGCACATTTCCATTTAGCGGCCAACGGATTTAAGAACTTCTTTCCTACCGTGGTTCAGACTCTCGGATTTGGTCAAACTATCACCCTCGTTCTGACTTGTCCGCCTTATCTCATCGCTGGCGCTGTCACTATCGCCGTTTCGTGGTCTTCCGGCAAGTTCAACGAGCGCACTTGGCATATTACTATTTCCAAATGCGTTGCTACGTTTGGTTTCGGTCTTGCTTGCGCAGAAATCGGCGTTGCTGGTCGCTACGTCGCCATGGTCATCTTCACCATCGGGACATATGGTGTGAACTCGCTTATCCTAGGTTGGTGCGGGTCAACATGCGGTCAGACTCCTGAGAAGAAGGCCGTCGCTATCGGCATTGTTACTACGGTCATGAACGCTTCATTTATCTGGTAAGCCTCTCTAAGTCTCTTTTCGAAGATGCTAGAGGAAAGTTGCTGACACGACGTTCGATAGGACACCATATCTCTGGCCAAAGTCAGACGGTCCGAGATACATCATTGCACTCAGCTCTTCGGCTGCATTCTCAGTTGCTACGTTCCTTACGGCGTGGCTTGCGAAAATTCTCTTCATGCGCAAGAACAAGCAGCTCCGTGAAACGGACGGCGAGGTCCAGACATTCTATGTCTACTAGGCTGTCCGGTCGTCTCCGCAATGCCTTATTCTCTGTCGTTTTGGGCCATCGACAGGACGCACCGCAAATTCATGAGAGCCTCAAGAACAATAGCTTATGAGAAGGCTGTCACCCTGGTCCTTGACCGTATTCTTGGTCTTCTAATATATTCTCTGGAATACGTTCACATGGTTGTGCGGGGAAAATCGAATGTTGGCCAAGACCTGCTGCTGCAGCTATGCCATCGGGGCAGATAGCGAGCCAGGTTCTCTAAAAGCATCTTCTGTTAAAACTCTGATGATATAGATGAAGTAAGGATGGAGATGTTGGGGCAGGTTACGCTAAGATAGTCGTTGTATTTATGTGCAGTGTTAGTGATCGGCGCCGTTTGGCCGTCGTGGGCTGGCAAACTTCAAGCAATGACGAATAATATGACTATTCTTCACCCTCACCCACCCTCTTACTCCAGATTCAGGTACCACAACTTTCTCGCACTCTTAAAAATCAATCGCGCACCTGATCCGGCACACAGGCAGCGTTTTTCGGGGTTATGGGGTTACGGGGTCGCGACATCTGAAGAGCCTTGTTGGCGCCCATCTCGCGAGGGGCTAACAATCTACACGAGTACGAGCTGTGTTTTAATTTTTGTTCAACAAAGAGTGAATTCCAGAATCATTACCAGCCAGTGTGACTCCAATTTACACAGTACATCGCTTCTAACATGTCCACTATCAGCGGCAACGGCCTACGTAACCCAGACGGCGCCCAAGATGTCAGCACCCACAACATTTATACCGCCATCTCAAATCTCAATACATCTGAAACATCCATGTTCTATATTTATAGCCACCTCCGCATGTAAACAAGCAACTTGTTCAAGGTAAGCCTTCTTTGAGACACTTTGCCCATCTCTTGTAATCTTTTCTGATGGCTACTTTAGCATTCTCCATGCCCTTAGTGCCAGCTTTCGTTCCTTGTCCCTTTGCTGCAATCTGGAATAGCCGATCTGGAGTCTTCAGGAGACTGGCGAGCCGTGGCGAGTTTGCTGCAACAGCGGCCGTTGGGCGAGCGACGGCTTGCACTGCTAGTCTCCCACCAAATTGGGCAAGAACACTAAACAATAACGCAAAAGGATTCCTTTTCTCAAGCTCTTCAGTGTTGCGGGAAGTCACTTCCGGATGAAACATGGGCCCAGCGTCTGTTTCGCCCAAAGAAGAAGTATTGTCGGAACGAGTGTCCAGATTGATGTCGCCATACCAATCTTCCGAGGACCTCTTTTGCGAACATCGGCGGTCAAGTGACCGTTTGCCGATAAAATTGCATGGATGACCGGTCCTTTTATGATCATCGATGTATTCGTCCCACTGCTTCAAGAATGCCTTTGTATCAACTTCGGCTGAGATCTGATTGATATCAACTTCTTCGGGCCATTCTTTGAGACGATCGTCCGAACCAACAAATTCCTCGTCGAAATAATCAGTCGTCCAATCATACGGGTGCTCTTCCCCATCACGCCTCCCCTTTCTTGCTTCGCTGAAGGCTGCACCTAACAGAAGTGCAATGCATGTGTCACACTCGACTTGACGTCCCTTTTTCTTGTCATTCTCTTCCTTCAGCTTACTATCCCTTTCTTTCATATCTTTATCTCTCTGCTCTTGGAGTTCTTTCAATCTCTTGAGCGAGTCCTTTCTCGCTTGATCCTTCTTGTCATACTCAGGCTTGAGCTTGTTGAATTGTTCCTTGATCTTGGCCCTGATATCACTATTCGTGGGCTTACCCTTCTTCCGATCCTGGTACTTCTTCGTCTGCTTGCAACTTTCTACAGCTTTGCCCTCCGAATCCACGAATACGTATACATAATGTGACTTCGCGTCACATTTGGGTCTCTTGCTCTCGTCCTTATCCGGCTCTCCGCACTCCACTTTATAAGAGGCATCACTCTCCTTACCTTCTGGGCGGGTTGCCGGGATCTTGGGCTTCGGGCAATTCTTCTCGTCGTCGATTTGGCATTTAGGACTCCCAGTTTTGGGGTCCCATCCTTCTTTGGGATCGAGGACTGTGTCACCTGGACATTGGCCCTTCTTGTCATTGCCGTCCTGTTTAGCCTCGCACCCATCGCCCTTCGCCTTGGGCTTCTGTCCAGCAGGACAACATCCCCCTTTGCCGTTCTTTTCTTGACCTAGGTGAAGGTGTTAATAAATCCCAATAATATCTAGGAATGCCACTGTACCTTGTGGACAGTTTTCTTCACACGCCTTCCCGTCGAGAGCAGGGACGCCGGTGGGGCACTTCTGGCATTTGCAGTCCTTGATGATCTCTCCAAGTGTAGGCAAGCAGATGGGCTTCTCTCTACACTCTCTGGAGCATGCAGCTTCTTCTCTCTCCACAATGTAACGCTTCTTGCGGCCGCCATATACACCTCGGATCTCAAATGGTACCGATCTCGGATTCAAGACACTACCAATTGGCAAAAGAGAGCCATGGTCAAATGAAGGCATGGAAAAGGTTGTTCTAGTGAGTAAGAAGAGACAAGTCAGTGCTTTGAGTACTGTTCTAGAGGCCATATTGTGGAAGGATGAGGATAAAGTTTGCTGCGTCTACTTGGAGCGCAGATGAATGTTCTCGTACTCCCGAGCTTTCAGGGTCATATATAGCATTATATCTTGGGAGGCTAAGCAAAGGACATGCCTCGCAGCACGTTTCCTTCATACAGTGACCTTTCGGTTCCCGGGCTCCATCCAACTCAGGATCTGTGCCGTATGTGGCCTCACAAATGATGGCTGAAACTTGCAAAAACTACCCCTCGGGGGCTAAAAGAGGCGCACTCAGGTGATTAAGAAAACGTTGCCCCGAAAGATGCCACTCGGGTCATTTTGAATACTTCGCCGCAATAAAATGGAGCTGGGGCCATTTTGAAAAGATTGCCGCAAAAGATGCCGTTTGTGTGATTCTGAAACCTTCGCCGCGAGGATGAAGGCAAGGCATCTGTCATCTAGCGTGCAAACCGAAATCGAAAACCAATAATCATTATTGAAAAACCCCTACGAGGAGTGATAAGCGCCACTAACACTTTCCTTGTAGGAACTGAAACTATAATCCATGCGACACGAACTTCTGTGCGGAGGAGTTGAGGTGGCAAAGCGGCGTAGCCTTGAAGACGGCGTCATGCAAGTCTCAGGGTCCGTAGAACATCAATACCCAGTCAGCATCGTACGCCGCATGTTGGTATGCACATCTCGTACGCCGCATGCCAAATAACACTAGCAACATGCGTCCCTTGAGACGAAAATCAGCCTTGCCATGCCCTAGAATCCAACAACAGATTTAGTGAGGTGATTGTTTTGTACACTTAGGCTTTCTACCTTCTCGGAGCTGTTGTGCTCTTACTTCATCTTAAGCACCTATAGCACATCCAACGACGAACAACTAAATACAGCTTCCGAGCCGTTGAACCTGGTTCAAACACTAACTACCTCACACACCTCAGGAATTGTACGTCCAATTCGACATAGAATCACTCTCACCTACACAGAAACAGTATGTATAACCCTGCTTCATCTTCTAGTACTTACTGCTAATATGATGCTCATCAGCGAACATGTTAACATCACATATTCTCCCCATTGCGCTCATACTCTCTCGGGTGTCTTGCATTGACGTTGGGATTTGGGACAACAAGGACTGTCACGGCGGCACTAATTGTAAGCGAACCACTCAGTTCTATCATGTCAATCCACTCCACCGGTACATACTGTGTCTTCGATCTCTATGAAGTCGCTAATCGAACTCTCATTTCAGTGCTGCGAAGCCTCTACGCTTTGCCAATGGACTGCTACAAACGAGGCGACTTTGAGGTGGAGCTTCAATTGGACAATAGAGGTGGTATGAAAGAGCAGGCCGTCGGCGCTGTGGCCAAGGACGCAGCCAGTGCGTCTCAATATGTCGTGTTTTTCACGACCGATGACTGCAACCCAGAAAATGTCATTGACAATGCATGGTTGGATTACGGGTGCTCTTCGGGGTTGCCAAACAACCCTCATGGATATAAAAGTTGGTCGGTTTGGGACATGTGCGTGGGAGAGCCAGGATGCTCACTGGAGTGAGATCGCTGCGATCTTCCTTCTACACAACGTCATGAGAATTTCTCCCTTTATCTTTCTCAAACAATAAATCTGCGAACAAGTTTGCAATTTATCATTACTTGAGTTTCGCATTTCGCAGATATAGGTGTTATAAAAAGTAAGCTAGTTATAAACTGGTAAACTCCACCACCAGTTTCTGTCTAAAGTATCAAATCTAGAGAAGTAAGTTGCACGCAGTATGCGCAATTTGTCTTCGTCTCTTCTAGGGGTAAAGTTCCGGCAGCTCTTGTTTGCGTACGAGTTGTGGAGGCTGGGTCACTGCGGCGTGGTTAGTAACAATGCCTCGATCGTGTTGTTGGAACATGTTGGAACATCATCATCAAAAACATCCTTACTATCGCCGTTGCGCCACTTCACCTGCATTGGAGAAACACTCTTCCACTAACAGGGTGAATGAAACTTAGCCAAGCTTCCTAGTTCGTCTCAGAGTTTTGATTTCGACCCCACCCACCAACCCGTCCGTGCCGCGCGCAGAGACTCCGCCCCAAACTTGGACAAAAGAGAACCGCGGGATGCTTCCCGATATTCGCTCCACTCCACAACCAACACCAACCCCTCCCCTAGAATCATGGCTTATACGAATGGTCTCGGAATTCGGTGAGTTTTGGTATGCTTTGGGGGCGGCGCGGTTATGCCCTTCGCCTCAGCGGTTAGCACGGTGGGCTTGGGGGAAGACCATCTAATTTCTACGACAACCGCTTCTTGAAGAAGAGTTTATAAGATCAATCAAACAACACAGTGAACTGGGTATAAACTCATTTCATACTTGAGCACGATGCATGCGATCCACTTTCTGTTGTCGATATACACCTACACATTGTGCGGCCACTTCCATAGAGCCGCCGCCGAAGCTATTTCCAGCGCTCAGCTCTCACCAGATGGTTTCTTCGCTCTCAACAATTATGAAGTTTTGAGTGCCCGAGAGGAAGGTGACGAAGACATTGTGCACATCCGAAAACGTGCAGGGCAGGAGGATTGCGGAACTGATTGCCTTGACTACTCCGGCTGGACTAGAAGCGGACTGATGGATTGTGCAGGTGAGGATCAGGATGCTGAAGATACAGCAGGCGAAGATGTGCCCGAGAAGCGGACTCTTTTAGAAAAAAGAGGAAGAAAACCACCCACATTGTGCGTACGAGCCTGAATTCTGAGCTCGTAATCATAGCATGACTAAATTTGTCCAGTGTGTGCAAAGACGTCCTGTTTCAGGGTAAAGCTGGAGACGGGTTTGAACTGATCTCGCCTACCTGGCCCAAACTTGGAACCCTGGAAAAGGTTATTACGCTTATACTATCGTTTCGAAACGAAAAGACTCACATGATACAGAATTATGGGATGGTGTACGACACGGGGGATCCTACAGAACCACTCAAAAAGGAATGGTTTGAGCTGCAACAGCGTAAGAAGAGATGGACTAAAGATCTCGTAGGAAGGAAGCCGACCAAGGGCAATAAACCGAGGCGCTGTTACGCTGCAGAACACGTACTCGAGTGGCAATTACTACAAGAATTCATCGAAGCGGACAGTATGAAGGGTCAGGAAAGTCGCTGCATGCTCTTATTCAAATACTTCGGGGAAAAAATGCCAAAGGCTACTTACAAGGTCAAAGTGGCCAGGAACAACGGGAAGCTAGGGACAAACAACCATTTCGAATACGAGGATAGAGACCATACGTTGGATAGATGGAAGGAAGATGAACCGAAAGAGCGCAGAGTAATTGACTGGATAAGTACGTGAGCTTGGGCCTGAATGCTAAGATATGTTTTGGCGCTAAAGAGTCATCTGGAGTACTATTCAGGTGGCACGTTGAAGTCACTTCAACGGCGCCGGAGCCGGTCTAAGTATTCGTGTCTGTACTTTCCATCCTTCCACCCTGTTACAGAGAGGATCTAGGCTAACCCTGCCCTTGTGATCAGCTTTCCAGTGGCCGGGAACTGCCAACGGATTCCCCCGCAATCCATGGGAGTACGAGCTAGTTCTCATGAACCAGGACGCCAACGGCAGGAAGGCAAACGTATGTTTCTGAAACGATAGTGAAGCCTCGACTTACAATCGCAGGTATGGGCCGAGCAGAATATTCTTCCGAAACCAAGCGTCCACGAAAATACTAACAAGATGAGAGAGAACCAGGAAAATTCTAAAACGCTCGAGTGGCTATTCGAAAACAAATACTACGAGGACAGCATTAAGTCATGGCCCGATAACAAGGGAAAATGCAAGGCTATCTATCAGTTTACGACCCTGATGAATATAGCGCAGTACCACAACCAACCGTAAGTAGGATTGCGCAAGAATATAGCCTTCCAGCTTTGGGAAGTGACGAGAATTGCTACACAAGTGGTATATAGACGTCGCTCAGGTTTGGAGAAGGTCAAGACGTCCATACCCAGTCATCTCTCTTCGGAAATATCACCCGCTAACCATAGTTTCACCTTTAGATACATCCAAGAAGTTATGCGGGCTCAAGTGAGGCGTGTGGGCGAGGCGTGGGAGCTCGTTGAGAAGAAAGTCCTCGCTGGTACAAGTTATAATGGAGAGGTCTACAAGGAGCGAGGCTTGAAGAAAGAGTGGCTCGACTGGATGAAAGAGAAACACAAAGCGCGGATGGATGCGCTAACAAAAGCGATGGATGACAAGCTGGGGGTCTTTAGCAATAACCCTGGTGTCATTACAAAATTGAGGAGGTGGGACTACAGTGGGATTTTCAGGCGAGAGGTGAAGGAGCCAAACTGCGGGTATGAGACAGATCAGAAGATAATAGATCAGAGGGTGGCCCTGTTGAAAGACGCATATAAGAACATGAAGCGGGTGGAGTCAGAGCTGAAGCTAGACTAGATCCCGGCCGTTTCCAAAGGCCAAGGATTGGTAGGAAGAGGGCTTCCATTCGAGTTGGTCGTTCGATTCGACATAGTTGTATGTCTCTGATATTCAGCAGGCGTTAGGGTTGTTTTAGTTCTGAGGCTTGTGATGTAGGAGCATCAAAGTTATCTTCGCGCCGCCTTAAATCTCTATAGCCCCACTGTCAAGATATCATACTTGTTTGAAATGGCTCTCACTTGTAGTTCTCTACGTCTATATACTGAATAGACAGGTAACTGCGATGCTGATAGATGTGTTAGACACGCGTATGGCTTGAGACGATGACGGGCGTACTTCGTGTGTGTTATCACCAGGGAGAGTTAGTGAATCTGATCGCCCAGCGCCGCAAGAATTTCTAACGATGACTGATGAAAAACATCACATTCCAACTGTCGAAACACGTTGTGCATATACAGCATTTGACACGATGATGCTTATAAATGACAACCAAACAACTGCAATACCAAGACATAGACCCAAAGCATTACCTGATTGTTCTTTGGCTGTTGAAAAAAGTGGCCTACCACCATTCATCAAGATGAGAATGTATACAGACAGCAATGTGGCTATGAATGCTTTTTGCATAAAAGAGAAAACAAACACACGACGGATTTTCCAGCTTCAAAATTCTCCCTTGTAAATATAAACGTAGGAATTGTTTACATGCTTTGTCCACTGGTCTTCCTCAAGAAACACGATCTTCGCGTCCGGTCCAGCAATAGCGCCCCATGCAGCTTGTACATCGTCCCAAGGCTTGGTACCATCGATACGCCAATAAATTCTGTTCTGATTCAGATAAGCTGCGTCCCTAGGAACGTACGGGTTGGGCATAGGCGTGTTCAGCGGCGTTCGATGCATTCCAGCTTTGAGATACCAGAGCTCAAACACGCGGGACACAACAGGGAAGTAATTCAAATCTCCGCGCCTTGTGGAGTCTTCACCCAGCTTCAAGATGAACTTTTGTAGCGTGGGGATGCGCGAGGCAGCTTTCGAAGAATCCATCAAGAACGGCAAGAAAGTGATCGTGCTAGGCAGCGATCGGAACCGATTCCGAGAAATAAGTTTTCTGCAGAAAGGACCGTCTTCAAAGACGCTCACATATTCGTCAGAGTTATATTCCTCGTTAGAGTATATGCTCCATGCGTCGCCTTCTACGTCCTCTTCGTTCTCATCTTCTTCTTCCCAAAACTCGTCGTACTTGGGGTCGTTCCGAGATCTTTCTAGGGCATCGTCGTCACGTTCGTAGAACCATTTCCCATCAGCTGTCTCAGGTGCAAATTGCAGTTCAAACTCAACGAGTGAAGGAAATGGCGTGCCAGGATAATCAACAATGCCCCGGAAAAACTCAGGACATATCACGAGTCCACCTAGCAGTTCGAGAACAACCAGATTCGGGAGAGAGGCAAGGTGGTTGAGCATGCAGAACCACGACTCCTGGCTCCATTTGCCGTTGTCGACAAGCTTATGGGCTGGCAAATTCTCGTTCCTCATCGAACTGCTTTGGATGTTCAATCGGATTTCGCGTAGATGGTTCCCTGGGAGATTACGTATTGATTCCAACAAGCCTAGTGTCATCAGAACTAGAATCAGAGAAAGTGCACGGATCACATACATTGTCTTTGCGCAATTCGTCTACGCCGGCCAAAAGAATATTCGTCGTCCGTTCTATGAAGAAATCTTTCTAGATCAGGAAGTTTCGCAACGATACTTGGAATCCATGTAGGCTTCAGATAGATTAGATCATAGCCTCCAATGCACTGCAAGGTGGTGATGCCATGCAGGATTGGAACGAGGTTTTCGTGTATCAACTCAAATTGCCCAGATACCGCCTGGGCTTCCTCGATTTTCCGTTTCCAGTGCGCACCATCTGGATTCTTGCATGTCTCAAAAATTGTCGGCTTCGGCCCATCGAACTTAGAAAGACGGTGGCCATTTTCAATGCAAAGGGACAATGGTCGCTTTTCGGTTGCACGAGCTGCTAGGTCCGCCAGAATAGTAAATAGCTTCACCATAGAGGCGGAGAATGCGACGCTATCAGCCTCTCGGTCCGGGGGCTGTTCTACGGGACAGCACCCAGTTGCGTTTGGTGGAATCGGTAGGATGAATGTGACGGTTAGCGAGGTCAAATCTGCCCAACGCGAGATATTTTCGCCACTGAAGAGTGCTACAAAAGCGTCCAACTCATCGGTTGTTATTATAAGGTCATGAAAAGTAATTCGCTCGATAGAGGCTTTCCATGCTCGCGATATCGGGCTGTATTGGGCGAGTTTCGCATCCCTGCTAAACCAACCCCACACTCCTGGGAGACTATTGACGATATGTGCCAATATTTCAGGCGGGATTGTGTCCATTGCGTTAATTATACCAAAAAGTGTGAAAGAGAACGAGCTTGAGGTGGCGGAAAGAAGATGACAAGAACCGTCGAGCAGACGATGTGGCACAGCGGCGGGGTTTCTACGGAAAAGCCCGTGCAGCGGCACAGCTGAAACGCTTGCTATATTTAGATTAATTGCTCCCGTTCACAGGAACCTCATATCTTCTTGAGGCTGAAGACATTGGATGAAGAGGGGACGATAATAATGCTGATCACGTGACTAACAACCAATTCCTGTTGTCAGATGGCGCCGCTCGTGCGCGTTTCCTCATCTTCATCTTGTCAAAGGGACTTGTTAACATATATTCAAAGCAAGCGCACTACGTAATATTATCTTATCACGTTCAAAACAATGAAATCCTTTTAATGCTGGAATAAATTATGGTAACCTGCAGCTCTTTATCAAGTATTCCAAAGGCGCTGAGTCAGAAAGCGCCTAACCTGTGCTATCTAAAGGTACAGTAAAATCCATTAATTATCTAGAAAACAAATTACTCGAAGATAAAAGAATCGATTGTTTATTTTAATATAGAGGGTGTATCGGTACATAGGGAGGGACATTATTCTTGGAAAAAGACTTGTGGGTATATCATAAGACTGTGACTTGCATTTTGAAAGCGCCACGGACTAGCCAAGATATTTGGAATTTGCTTGGGAAAAGGACCTGATGCGCATATTTTGAAATGCTTGTGGGACATGTGTCTACCACTTTGAACTTGACTGAATATATACATGGAACGTATGTAGTCTGTACGACCTAAATGTGTTTAAACAACAATGTTTACGCAATGCTGAGGTCTTGCAATGGGCAAGACGCCGGTATAGGCGGGAACATCAACAGAAAGGCTTGGTGGATGCAGCCCGCTCTCGCTTCAATAGGCGGAAAATGAAGGATAGCTTAGTATAAACCAGAGTCCACACCACCTTACGCCAACACAGTGACAGTAGCTGTTTGAGTAACGGTTTGATAAATCGTACCGGAACCACAGGACGTAGCGCTCAAGCCCGCAGTAACGTACACTGTGGGAGTCACAGTGATGTAGACGGGAGCCTTGCACTTTTCCTTGTCATATACAGGAGGAGAACTGGTAAATGGAGGGCCGGTACGGTCTGCTGGCGTGGGTGTGGATGCCAGCGACAAAGATGGAAGGTTAATTTTCGTTGGAACTTTGTGTGTAGAGGTGGCAGACGAAGTTGGTTGGGCGTCGTCCTTAGGGGTAGCAGTAGTTGAGGTTGGGTTGACTCCGTTCTTGCTTGCCGTCGGTGTATGCTCGTATTGCTTGTTGAGCAGGCTCAGGGTAAGTGGTGGCTTGGCATCGGTATCATCTTTCACAACCCCACTAGAGATGGAGTTGACCGTGGGCGTCCGAGATACTTTCTTAGACATCTTCACGGAGGGAGTGACAGCCGGGAATGAGGTAACATCAGCAGGAGTCTTGCTAGCTTCAGGAGCAGAGGCGGAAGTCTTGTCACCTCCCGGGGCAGGAGCAGTGGTTGCGGCACAACTGGGACCAGTGACGACAGTAGCATCGGCAGGCCCAGATTGAAGAGGATTGCAACCAGGGAGGGCCTTGAGCACTGGTGCTGCGTCCTCATCACCGAAAGAGCTTTTGGCGGAGCAGCTCTGAAAGGCCGCGTCGCGGTCATTGTTCACGTTCTCAGCACCGAAGCATTCCTCCATCTCCTTTTGACCGCAGCCACAACCGCAGTTGCAGCCTCCTGTTTTGGCAATGGCTTTTTCGAGGACACCCTTCTCCCACCCGTTGAGCTACATAGTACGTTAGTGAACTATCAGACAAGTGTGTTGGCTGTAACATACGAAGTCAGCGTGGAAGCCATAACCGGTCGGGTCGCCATTGGAGATTGCCCAGGGAGACTTGTCGGCGCTATATTTGCCATCAAAGGGCGAGATGTCGTACCAGAACTCAATGAAGATAGTCGGGAAGCGTGCAGCTCGGTGGGTGGTAGGGCAGTTCTCGATACCAATACCAATGTGTCCACTTGGGTACGCCATATGACCACTAGGGTTCTTAGGGTCAAGCTTCTCGCCATTCCAACAGCTAGGGAACGTCACCTCGGAGGCGAAGCCGTACTTGCAGGAAGTGAAGCCAGTAGGGAAGCCGTTGCTAAAGACAGGAGCACTGCGACCGTCAGGTTGGTGACAGGCCCATCGTACACCACCAGGGTTAGGACCATCAGACCGCCTCAGTGGGTTCCCAGCTATCATGTTAAAGCCCTCGGGGAAGCCTGTGGCGTTTGCCCACTTATCCCCATCACCGAATTTGTAGTAAATCTTCGTCGGTTTCTCAGGCACTCGGTAGAACCCGGTGTTATTGCCATTCCAAAACAAACTTGGGCGCCAGTACAAGCTCTTGTCAGGCTTGATGCGAGCAGTTGTACATGTGGAGGTCTGAGTCTGCTCAAAATCGGTGGATGCAGCCAGTGCGTTTCCCCCGTCGAAAGAGTGGAGATGTGCGCTCTGTGTTCCCGGGAATAGAGCAGGATCGAGACGTTGGTAACTCAAAGCATCTCCACGGTTGAAGAAGCTGAAATAGTCACCATGGCAATCGAACGCGGAAGCAGTAGCGGCCAAGCTAGCCGTGAGAGCAAATATAGTGGATAGCATGGTATTTCAAGTTGATGTTTTTTTCCGTTCGGATCTCAGTTCTAGACCGTAAGCTAGCAAAAGAACGGATTGTAGATAAGGAAGGGAATCGAGTCTCAGACTCAAGATACGTGTGTTGAAAATGAGTGTGTGAAAAGTAGAAAGACTGGAAGGTATTCCTGTACCGGAAGCCGAATTGCAAGTTGAGCCAGCAAGAGCCGTTAGCTGTAGGGGCAGAAGTCGGACATATATGCCAACACTCCTGCATGGAGAATTGCGTGCAACCTTGGGGCTGACGAGGCTGCCTTGGAGGCGCACCATTGTGACATGAGGTAGCCCATGATTCAAGGCTCCCTACTGGATGTAACTAGATGCGCAGCTGCCGGGTAAGGATCAAAGCCAGGGCGAGCCGCACGCGGTCAAAGACGGGTCAGAAATCTTGTCAGGGGCAGCCAAAACTCCGCGACTCGCTAAAATCCTCCAGAACAGGATTCGGAAACACGACAATGGCGGATTGGCTTGCAGTGAGTCGTTGCCGACTAAATAACTGATATGGACGTCGCACGGCTGTAGCTATTTGTTTCTGTAATTGTACAGGAATGGTTGACGTTTCGATGGGGAAGGACACAGGGTTTGTTTTTAGTTCCTAGCGCTGCCTCGGGGCGCTTAGTGGCACGACCGTTCGCACGCGAGAAACAGAGGGCTGATCTTCAAACAGTGCTGACCCCCTGCCTGAAATTACTGCGCTTAGCATGGAAAGGCTCTTTCAGACGCGAAACACCCACTTGCCGGACGCCTTGAGTGAGATTAGTTGAGACGCTCATTCCCCAACATCCAGGGAGCGTGGAGGGGATGCCCACGGCTGACGATTCCCAATCGAAGGGTACCCCGGCCACGACGATCTTCGCCTTGCTGCCAGAATTGATATCATCAGTCTCTTGTCTCTGGATCTCAGACTGCCGAAAACTCGTGGCGTCTTGCTCTATAGCGGAGAGCCGTCAGCACTCCCTGTAATCTGGATACGAGTTCCTATTTGGCAAACTCTATCAATGGTGGTGAATAGTAGCTTCGCAGAGACCGAACAGCGGCTCGGGCCTGTCTGAAAGCTAATTTCTCTTTGTTGAGGGAGTAATGTCGCTTTGCAACCCCCCATAAACGCGTGTTCGCAAATCCGTCCGGGGTGTAAGTTCGTCCGCAGAAGCTCGGGAAGCCGTGTGATCCTATTGCATTCCATCAAGCAGTCAGCCTAGCAAGGAGTCGAGTAGGATGCTCATCACTTGAGACTAGGCCGCCACTTGATCACAGTGTAACACACTATGCCTCACCACCTACATTTGATCTTTTGTCCCAACATACGATTGGAGTCAGAACAGGTGATATTAGTTCATGTCGTCGAGTGGCGAGCGAAGCCGAGAGTCAGGAGTGGAGATATTTTCGAGATTAGAACGTGGTTTTAGTTCTCTTCGATCCTTTCGTGCGATTCTCTTGAATGATACACATGAGCAGACGCGCATGAACATTCTAGTTGAGTAAGTAGCCACTGCACGTGTACCATGGCGCCTATTACTAGAGCGTATCGGTAGCAGGATCTACCTAGGTGGTCCATGAGCCATCAATCGTAGTCTGAATAAGTTGGGTCACACATGTGATTCCGAGAGGAGCCTGATATACGCCCTCTTAAGGGTGTGCAAAGGGTCCGCCGAATCAATTACATATCAGCAGTCATAGGGACTGTGACGAATGAAAGCAGCAAGCTGATGCACGACATGACTAGTACCGAGATAGAGGCTTCACTCGAAGGCCGCCGCCAAAACCGCAGGGGCCGAAGAACGATTACGATGGGTTCCACTTGAGGATCTTAAGAAGTATGCAATTCCGTTGTCCTGGTATCATGTTATATCGGTGCGTTACGCAAGTACCTGTCTTCCTGCGTGCCAACCAACACAGATCGATCTATAAAGTCACAGAACATCGGACAGAGTATTCGACAAAACTTCGGTCTTTCTCCCACATCCTAAATGCTTCAAAGATTCAGTTATGGGTATTTGATATTGGCGGCAGTTACTGTTATGGCCTCGGCGTAGACCCATCGTGCGACAACGTAACTTGGCAGATTCAGACGAATCTACGTGGAAATTAATCAAAATGGTCAGACGTTACTTCATCACCGCGGAATTTAATGCCCTGATGATCGAGATAGTACACAGACGGATGGGAACACCGAGAAGGCTTTAGCGGTCGTGTTCACTCTTTCATGCATTCCCTCAACCGCGCCTTCACCGTGATGTGCGCTAGAAGGCGCTAATGAAGCTCGTTCAAGCCGCCCGTTGTCACCTAATGGCTTTGCATACCCAAGCGCACTATGATACACCTCAGTGCTTGAAGCAGTGAATCCTCCATTGAATCATACTGCTTTAAAGCAAGCTTCATCTTGGCCCTTGCCATATTCGACCTATGAACGTGCCTGTACTAACTGTTGCTACGGCGGGCGTTGGCTACCGCCCTATAGGTGGGCCGTACCTTCCCCAGGTTGGGTCGCTTCTGCTTGTCTATACCTTCTAGCACCTACAAATCATAAGCTGGAATTTCCATGTTACGTCACCTGCGACCTTCACTCCTTCACCTGCTCGTTTGCTGTCCCTCAGTGTCATCTCCTCTCACAACCCCGGATTCTGCTGCACGATGTTGCATTCATTCATTCTCTTACACCGTTGATCTTCACCTCGACCGGTATATCCGGTTGTCAATCGCACTTTCAAATCAGGGCGCAATAAAGCGATTAGCGCAATTTTGACCGCCAACGAGCTCAGGTATAGCCGTAAAAGCTCATCATATCAGCAGTATTCAGCATCGCGGCTCTGACAACACTCTTTGAAAGCACCACCAAGTCTTACTGGCACTCAGTTCAGTAGCTCAATCCAAGAATACCAATCCTTACGATAAGAACTACGCATAATAGCGAACTCTCACCGTAGCGTTTGTGCGAAATACGGTGCTTGGATACCTGGTCAGCATGTTCTCCACGGTGTCATTCAAATCTTCGTTCGTGTTCTTGCTTATTCTCCTCTCGCTGGTCCACACTGGACTTGCAGACGAACCCCAGTATGTGGTAGCGATCATAGACGGACAGCGAATGCGAGTCCGAGACGACAGGAAGCCAGCTCTGTATACTGCAGATTATGGAGACTGCTTAGGCGAAAGCGCCATCAATGTCACGCGATTCGATGCCGCATACTACAAGGACAACATGACCATCATCTTCCACTTGGCCGGAGAGACGGCTCTCACGAATGAGACTATCATGATGTACATTGGAGTGTACGCATATGGCGAGAACCGGTTCGATCTAACCTTCAACCCTTGCAGTGCCAACATTGAGAGGTGTGTGTCACTCCGATCCTGTTGATTATGATTCTAATAGCTCAGCGCTTGCCCTGTCAAAGCCGGTACTCCGATTGAGGCGGCAGGAATCATTCCTATCAGCCAACACGACGTCGCTGGGATTCCTAAGCTTGCGTTGAGTATCCCCGATTTCGAGGGCGAAGCCATCCTCAGGCTATTCTCGAACTCAACGCAAACGGAGATTGGTTGTTTTACCGCTCAGATTACTAATGGCAACACGTTTCAGCAGAAGGTCGCCGTAGGTTCTGTCTTGGGCGCATTTACATTTGTTGCCGCTCTTTCGTCTTTTGCTACCGCAATCTACGGGGAAGATATTGCCGTTATACGCAAACACTACGCCCACTCGCTTTCGTTTCAAGTTGTCTTCGCTGTGTGGCACCACATCTTCTATAGTGGAGCCCTGTCCATGAATTGGCCGAGTGTCTTGGTTGCGTTCTGGAACAATTACGCCTGGGCCGGTGGCATGATATACTCCGAAAGCATGCAGAACTCGATCAATGACTTCGTCGGGGTAAACAAAGGCAACATTTCTCACGTTGGCGCTGCAGGAACTGGTGTGAGCAATCCAAGTCTCGGAGGTGGATATGACATCCATCAGATTTACAAACGAGGCATTCTTTCGAAAGACCTGAGTATCCAAAATAGGGTATCGAAACGACACCTCGTCGACACCACCAGCGGCTTCAAATATGATGGGCAGCCTGTTAAGCCTGGGCTTCCTCTACCAGGGAACTATTCTGGGTTTGCTGGAACGCTTTCTCAGGAGCGCATCCCCGCGAGCAACGCATTCATGACCGGTTTGCTCTGGTTTCTAGCCTTGTTAGCTGGCATTGCCGTCGCCATAGTCGTACTCAGGGTTTCTCTGGAAGGGTTGAGCAGGACACAACTCATCAAGCAGAATCACCTCGCTCTCTTCAAGGCTTATTATCTTGGCTATACGGCGGCCGCTCTTCTCCGTACGCTCTTTATTGGATTCTTCATGATGACGTTCCTCGCCATGTTCCACATCTCATATCTCGCCACCCTTGGGCCAGTCGCCGTTGCTTGTGTGGTCCTCATCGGCATGGTCTTTGGTCTAGGGGCTGTTGGTGGTATGGCCTGCTACTATAGGATGACGGGAACGAAATCGATGCATGGCGATGAAGGGTATATCAGACATTTCGGCTGGCTTACCTCACGATACCGTAGGACGCGCTGGTGGTTCTTCGTCTTATGGATTGTCTACGACTTTGTCCGGGCTTGCCTACTTGCGGGGCTTTCCAGTCGGCCCACCATCCAGGTCTTCGGTCTCCTTGCAGTGGAGTTCATTGCATTCGTGAGCGTGATCTTCTTACGCCCATTCGAGAGCCAGCGTTTGAATGTCGTCGTCATTTACTTCCTCGGGTTCAGCAAGTTGGCCACTGTTGCTCTATCTGCGACATTCAACACGCGATTCAACCTTCCTCGTATTCCCGCTACTGTGATTGGACTCATCATCATTGTTATCCAAGGGCTCTTGACGATCGTGGTGATGATAGCCATCGTCATAGGGGCGATTACAAGCTACATGTCCGTCATGCGGAATCGGGAAGAGATCAAACCGGCGCAATGGAACTCAATTCGCGAGAAGTATTTCGAGAATATGGACTTCAGGGCACAAGATATTCCACGACCACGACCAGCTCCTGTGGAGTCGATACCTGAGGTGACTAATGGTCCGTACTTCAACGTCAGGCATGTGAAGCGGATGGCCAAAGTTGAGGATGAGGATGCCGAGTTCATGGAGGAGATATACAACAATCCTTCCGTTTCCCAGCTTTCTTTATGGGGCCATAACCGCCCTGGATTTGCTGACTTGCCATCTCCGCGTGGCAGGGCAGCGAGCATTCAGTCAACGACGTCGCATTCAAGTCTGCCGAAGGCTGCTCGCCTCCATCGCGCGAGCTGGAGCTCACAGAGCTATGGCGGCTCGCAGCGTCCGGGACGCGTCAGGACCGTAAGCAACACCATGTCTACACCTAGCAGGCCGAATCGCCCTTCCACTCGAAGCCGGCCTCGCCAATATACTCAACTTGGGAGCCTCGAAGATCTTGACAGAGAACCTAGTCCTCGTCACGCCGCCGCGAGCCAGTCCAGCACTCCGACAATTTCTCCCGCTTCGCGATCTTCTCGTGATACTGCAATGGCGAGTTCAGGGGCACGGGCCGTAAGCAGATTGGCCTCTAGGTCACGGTCGAGCTCGAGGCCGAATCTAGTGACGAGAATCAGCGAGGAGATACCTCCGTTGCCAGAAAACAGTGGTGAGAGAGAGACAACAAAGCGACAGCGTGCTAGTGGTATAACGAAAGCCATGCGACAGTAGCAGCAACCTGGTACTAGAGAACATCCTCACCTAACAGCTTTCGATCAGCTTAACAAAGTAACGATACAACGACGGATGAACAATCAGGGCAACCCCCTCGCCCGCGCATTGCACTTCCATAGCACACACATTGGCGTATTGGGCATCTCTTCGATGCAATTCATGATCAGCAACTCTGGGCAGTATCCATCTCTCATTGCTCGAGGGGTCCCTTCTTTTACTACAGCAGCAACAGATGCAGTGTCATACTGCAACGAGATGATTGAGGCGCTTGGTTTATGCTGTTAGTATAGGCTATTACAAATGTGCATAGATAGCGGATATCGCATAATGAAGGCAATGATAGTGAAACAATAAACGACATGTAAACAATGATACTGTGCCAGGACTGGAAATTGGATAATTCCCATTGTTGAAATGCCATACTTGCTGGTGCGGAAATAAATTACGGCCCACTGCGCTAATCACGCATGCTGCCGGATCCTCGTTGAAATCGGCCCGTTGTTGTAGGCATTCCAAGGTTCGTTCAGGGCACTAACGAAGTTCTCAACACCAGCGCTAACTCAACGGTGCGCAAAGACAAGGGACATGAAACTCTTCAATAGCCCCAAGCTCTAAAAAGCCCCAAACTCCGAGATTTCACCCCAGTATGTTGTCCTAGAACCTTTGTTATGACAGCATAGGCTATATGCATCAACAAAGCAGTGAGACATTGACGAAAAGGCTGCCTTGTTTCTCTTCTTCCAGGGTTCTGGTTTTGCATCCCTGCGATGCTGTCTGTGGCGTCACCTCAACAACGAAGCGAAATGCTGGATTGCAGGATGTGCTGACTGAGCCACCACTACGTCACCGGCGAAAACTGTTTCAGGATATTTACGAGGTCGGCTTTGATAGCCGCTGCAAGCTTTGAGCCAAGCGGAGGCGAGAGGAGACATGATGGTGAGAAAGAGGAGAAGGAGGGGCGCGGTGCGCCATGGTTGGTACGATAACACTGAAGATTTGCAGCAGATGCGTAACGTCCAGTAGCTGCCGCATGTGCAATGAAGACTAATATGCGGTTATCACTCTGGAAAATCTACTTTGGTCTCGACATCACGATCGTGAGCCACAGCTCGTGTCCATCTTTGCTGCATGGGGATGGTCGATGACGTTGGCAGGGTGAAAAGCTGTCGGGAGCTGTGGCGCATGACCCACCTTTGACGCCAGGCCAGGATGCCGCCTGCAATGCATTGCCTCTTTGGGCCATGCGTGGACAATCGCTGCCGTTTCAGGCCGCCTTGTAACGTCAGAGAAAAAGAGCAGGTTTGTTTGCGGTCATGGGGAAGGATCGAGTTTGTGGAAATTTGCATGCAGGGCGTGTGCTTTGCCCGCGAGATGAGGTGAGGGAGCATGGCACGGGCCTGACGTCATGTGTAATATCAACCAAGGACGCCGTTGGCTTATAAGTGACGGATAGCCGCCCTGTGGTACATTCCTCACAATAACAAACCACCTTCAATACACCACCAGCTTCCCTCGAGCCACACACCCTACCTCCTTCAACACACACACAAACATCACCACCACCGAAACCTACCACTTCACAACACCGCAAACATGGGCGCCGTAGTATCATGCATTCAGGGAATAGTATGTCTCCTCCCTTCGCGACCACTACCTGCTCCAAACGCATACTAACTGTTGTCTTAGTTCCGAACGATCGGCAACTGCATCATGGCCATTATTAATGCCATCGCCGCCGGTCTCAAGGCCATCATCAACGCCATTGTCTCGCTCTTCGGCATCATCATCAGCTGCCTGACCTGCGGACGCGGTGGCGGCCGTCGGCGCCACACGACGACGCACACGAGTAGAGTCTAGTAGCTCCCGTCTCTGACCTACCACACTGACGCGAGGCGTCAGCGCGGAAACTGAGACGGGACCTCGGCATCTAGTTCTTGGAGCGCAAGCAACTGAGGATAGAGCGACGTAAAGACGATACCCCGAGTGGACTGCATTTGCAGATACGATGAGCATGGCGGAGTTTGTTTTCCTTTGTACGATACGCATGCGCGCGGTGGTTCATGGTAGCCGATTATGATGGGTTTTCCTGGATACCGCGAGGGTGGAAGATGCATTCTTGATCACGACCCGCGCATAGATACCCCAACTTTTGAATGGATCAACCTTAATACGCAACATTTTGCCTTCCCCTTGTGACAGTTGAGCACGACAAACTTGCGTTCAATATTCCCTGCTTTCGCCGTCAGCGGGAGTTCCTGAAGTGATAATATTGGCTGAAAATTTACATTCCAGGATATCTCAGTATCCCAAGCTAATCGTACAGCGCTCCTCTTACGCTTTTTATTCCCTCGAGCTCACACCGCTCTCGAGTCATATTGACGCTCCACGCAAACCGAATGTACCCTTTGCCTTTACACATAGATCCCCTCTCATGCTTTCCAAGGTCCCCACGATCTCGTTAACCGTTTCCATCCCCGGCTCCTCCCGCTTCGTCATGTCCTTCCTCGGCGACAGCCAACTCAACCAACTCGTCGTGGGTTCTGCCTCTGGCTCCGGTGGAGGTTCGGTTTGTGGCAAATCGGGTTTCGAGAACTTTGCGCGAAGAACATAGAAGTCGAGGCTGTAGGTCGGCTTCGCGTACGTTACGCTGAGGGAGGTTGGGCGGTGCATGGCCTCTGCAGTGGTACGGTTAGCATAGCTTCGTCGAGGTCGTCGCAGCGAAGATCCGGTCTGCAGTTGGATCCAGGAAGAGAATTAACTTCATTATTGAGGGATATGTACATACCCAGAGCGCCCTCAGGTCCTCTAACCATCCTCGACATGACCTCCTCGAAGACGGTCGCTATAGCCCCTCCATGCGCAACACCCGGCCACCCACTCAGTCCAGCTCCAAGCCACACCACAGCAACCATTTCCTTCGTCTCTGCATTCCAGAACGCTCGTTGTACACCCAAACCCCTCGTGCCGCTCATAGCTTCCAGAACACCCCCCTTACCATCTCCATCCTTGCCCAAATCTATGTCGAGTTCAAGCCAGTCTTTGTACGCTGATATCTTCCTCCCTCCCCCTCCCCCTCCGCCTTTCGCCAAACCAGGCCCTGATCTGAGAGCAGTGTCAGACTGAAGGTTGTATGACTGGCTTCGGAGGGATTTCACGACTTCGAGGTCATCGATATCTTGGTTCAGCGAGTCGAGTATCAATTTGTCTTCGCGCGATCCTGGGATAGGGAGGCCCAGAGGCGCGGCAAAGTGGCGCGCGCCAAGACCAGTGGTAATTCCAAGGGCGAGGATGCTGGCGTACCATAGGTAAGACCACCGGATGCCTGATTGGAGAATGGGGTTTGGCGGGGAGGTATGCGCGCTGCGCGATCGGATGCATTGGTGGTTGGCCCGTGGCAATATTCTGAAAGGGGCCCGGTGGAGGAGGAGACGTGTGTGTGACATGGCCGCGATGAATCGCTCGCTCAGAGGTAGCGGTTATGCGAAGGCATGGAAGAAACGAGGGTATGCGATAGCTGTGAAGCTTGGAGCTCTTCCCCGAGGCACGATACTAGCGGCTTGGCAATGGGCGGTATCTTAGATTGGATCATTTACAATCATTGCTGGTACAAGATCTTGGTGCATACGACTGATGACACTTCACAGTCATGACGTCCTGCTTCCCAAATATTCACGATTGCTCCACATCCCCTAATCTATTCGGATGCGGATCTTCAACATGCAGAACGTCCAACTCTCCAACCTTGACATCTTGAAACATTCGAACCTGTCCCAATCATATCATTAGCTCGAGTGCTTTTCATTCTCCCGAGATGATTCATTGCTTACATTCACACCTAGCAGATCCGGTGGTGCTTCCCCAAACTGCTCCATCCGCGGATCAAAGAAGACAGAACTTCCACACCGTCCGCAGAACTTGTGCAGACTCCTCTTGATGCCGAAAGAGTAGCTTTTCAGCTGTTCCTCCCCACTTGTCATGTGTAGCTGGGACCTTTCGGGATAGACAAGCAGGTAGCCATTGCGACTACAGATACTACAGTTGCAGGATACGACCTTCCATTGGGGGAGAGGCGGGGACAGGAGCACGGAGTATTGCACAGTACCACAGTGACAGCTTGCGGGATAAGTTTGGCAGTTGTTTGGGTCGAAGGCTGGCAAAGAGGGTTTCGTTCTCTCCGGAGCGTCGCTCATGGTTGGGATGATGTGGTTGTAAGTGGTGCGAAGGCGGGGTCGTGAGGTTTGAGGTAAGTTACTCGACCACATCACTTGCTACATATAATTACTCTGCTATGGCTGATGTCAGAGCTAACTGGTTCAACAACGGAAGTTACAATTCTGCCATTCCAGCAGAAAATGGTAGCGTTCTCGGCGACATTACAGAAGTCTCCGTTTACATCCGATGACTGAGTGTATCAATGTCTCCGTCTATTTGCGTAAGATCGATGAAGAGTATCTAACCCCGGCCTAACAAATCGACGGTAACTCATGCTACTTATCATCGTCACGAAGGATACAAGATCGACTCACTTCGATTCACCAAAAATATCCACCGAGAAACTGCACCACCTCTTACCGTACGCTTCTCCAGCAAAACATGAGATCCTGTGTCCTACTCCCAATCAGTTCCACTCTACATCCATCCTCGGCATCGATCCGGATCTCGTTTCACATAGCAATATATCTCGTGCTCTCCTAGACATGGACCACCAAGCCGCTGCACGACAAGCCCCCATCAGCAGCATAACATAACATAATCGCACACAAACACCCACCTACGCATGTTCCACCACTTTGGCCAACGCCAGCTGACGCCAAACGGGCGCCAGCCCTCGAGAGCACAGTCGGTCCCAGCGATCCTGCGCCCTGGCTACACAAACGATCCCGTGTCACTTGCAACGCACGCCTTGGGAATCAGTCGTACCAGGCTTTGGGATCAGTGACACCAGACTGGAACCGCTGTCTCACCATGCTGAACGGGCTTCTGGTATCACGCCTGGACCGGGTCCGCCGATTGGTGTCTCAGTTCGGAGACGCCAAGGGGGGTGGTTGGGCTTGAGGAAGCTTTGGTGGTGGTGTGATCCGGGAGCCTGGGTACGTGTGGTGGTACTGAGGGTCATGTTGGCGTGCGATGGCAATGCGCTTCTAACCGCTCGGTAGTTATCTGTAGCCAAGTCTGGGCCAAAGGGGGCTCGTGTGGATTGCTGGATACGGGGCCTTTCAGGGTAGAGGGAGTACAAGCCGGCAAAAGGGGCTATCAGGTTGTTTAGATCTCAGTGCTGCACGGTTGTAGGAATGGAATAGCAGGGTGAAAGGAAGCCTGATCACTCCCTTTCTTAATCTCAGGGGTCATTGCTCAAACGCATGCCAGATCATCGAATCGTGAAGCATTGAGAAAGTCCATATTGCTCTTGACGTTACGAGTCGCTCGTCTATGGAAGTAAAGCGCCGTCAATAACTTCTACCATATTATTACAAGCCGCAATTAGATGCTTCCTCTTGTGTCATGTTCCCAAAAGACCGCTGGTCCTATTCCATGTCCTTTTAATGCCCACGAGTTGCTGATCCTGAATAGCCCATGATGGATGCACTTAGAGCTGCCATGTCACTGCTTTCGTCCTTTCCTTGTCTTAAATATCTGAAAAGACCTCAAAATCAGACTTCCTTGAGTAGTGTTGAGACCTCGTCACAAATGATAGTTACCAAGAGCTCTAGATGAGCTTTACAACTTCTTCTCTCTCATTCCAATTGAACACGCACTTGAGCTCACTCATCTATATATATTTCTGCACATCTCTATGATGCTATGTCATATGGTATGCATAGGAGAGAGTGCATCGTCTTGTTCTTCCCATTTCAAGCTACTAGCATTCGAGCAGTTGTTGCACGAAGTTAGAAACACATCTCATAAACATTTCGAATTAGATTCAAGGATAAGGATGATATTTCTCATGCCTGAGGGTAGCCTAGACATCTCGCCATTGCGATAAAGGAGTGTATATCTTACGATGTGAAGGGAAGTAATATTTCGGATTTACTTTTGATGGCTGCGTAGAATCTATGAGACAAGTGAACAAGGATCTCTGAAAGTTAGACCTGACTGAGCCTGTGAGAGGGATCAAGGGCAACAATGATTATCATATGTGAACTATGATAAAGAGGTTCGATGATATGATGGGCATTCAACATGTATTATCTCTAGAAGATTGGGATGTGTACAAGCCAGCCAGCCGCTCCGCCGAGCGAACGAGCTACTTGCACCTTATGGCAAAGTGAAGGCCTAGGACGCTGCATTGATTTACTAATGTATATTCTACTAGTTACCCACTGTGCGAAGGGTAACACGTGGATATTTAATGATAAAAGAAGCAGCTGTGAAGAGCTGACCAGCGTTCCGGACACGCATGTTGTAAGCCTATGAAGCCACCGCGACTGGCTATGATCACCCAAGTGTCCCGAATCCTGCGCTAAGCTCACCCACACGCGATGCGCTCTGAGATGTACAATTCAAAGGTCGGGCGACAATCACAGCCTGCGAGGACCATGTAGACATGCGGTCAGAAGACGCAAATAGTGGGAAGGTGCTTCGACATCGGCATGCGCGTGTCAACGACGAATGGGTATCGCTCTGTGATGATGTCAAGCAATCTCATCCTATTTCCCTATTCCCTCAAAAGCAAAACTCGTCCAGATGCGACGTGATGCGTTGTTATACTGACGTTGTCTCGCTCAGATGCAACTGTAACATGGCGCCAGCCAGTATAGGAAGCTCACTCGGTTCCCCAATATTGTCCAGAAAGCATGTACAGGGACGAATTCCTGCTGGTCATTGCAAGACATGTAAGAGCTTATTGAAGCAGTCAATGTTGGCAGGAATATCTTGGCCGACAGGTCATTTTCACCTGGAGAGGAAAGAGCAAGTTGTCGGGGGTGTGTTGCTCGTATATGGTACTAAGATGTAAGCTGAGTGCACACCGGTTCGGTCGGGCGTAAAAGCAGGAAGGAGTATGTTGGTGTAGGGCGTAAGGCTATTAGGATTCATCAGATACGAAGCTGCTCAGTGCTCAGTGCTCGGTACTCGGGGCAAACGCGCAAAGTAGATCTGATAGTGAGCTGAGCAGGAGCGAGAGTGAGCTGCATCGCTGCTCCTGTGAGTCTGAGCGACGAGTCAGCGAGAGGAAAGAAGATTACCTACCACGGCGGCTACGTTTTGTTACTCACTTGCGGCACAGTCAATGCTAGCTCATGATAGTAACGGACCTCAACAATGAAGGATGGACTCCAAAAATGGCATATCCAACGATGAAGTCCATTCGTGAGCTAGCGACTGACGAATATTGGAACCTCTCTAGTGTGCGCGTCAGAACGCCCTGCAGCACTCCACAAGTCTTTGCCGCCCTTGGCAGCCTCTGAACGATGCCCGACGATCGATGTGAAGCTGCCTTAATCCAACAGCCACCTTCATGACAAGCACACCAAGAGCACACCAAGGGCACACCAAGGTAGCTAGAGCAAAAGGGCCCTACTGGTATAGCGCTAGAAAAATCTACATCACGGCTTATGTCAGACGGCTATGCTGGTGATAGCGAAGGTGCTTATAGCGCGAGACTGATGCACGTGGAAAGTAAGCTGCAGTAAGCACCCAGCTGCGGCATTGGAAGCCGTAGTTGGAACTTCTCGCTGGCCAACGGTAGAAATACATGCTCGCGTGATAGTGAAGGGATTAATTCCGTGAGATCTAATTCGAGTAGAAAAATAGACAGTGTCTAATAATCAATTACTTGATCGGTAACGGTCAGCGCGTTGTGTGCTCCTGTAGGCTGAAAGGTACTGGCGAATGCGAGCTGAGGGTTTGAAGAGATGCCCCGAACTCCGAAACGACCGGAAAGGAGTCTAGAAGGCTGTAGGCGGAGGGAGCGAATTGGAGAAGAAGTAAAAAGTAAATATAGCTGATTGGATTATTTCGATTACTGCAGGAGGGTTGGGTGTGCTGTAGTGCTAAGGCCCCCCATGACCTGATTTCTCGCAGTGCAGCACCGTGTAAGCAACAGCTACTTGGTGTGTGATCGAGAGCACCCGCTGTTGGGGAGTGGTGTAATGGTTTGAGGACCTTTACCTGTAGTCGATAGTTGCCTAGAATATTTCTCCGGATCTTGAAGTGACAACAGCAATGGAAAGCGAGAAGGTCGACTGTGGTGATGCCCAGCTAGAGACAGTGCAAATAAGTGTGTGAGTGGAGGCAACAAGTTGGTGCATCTGAAGGACTTTGTGACCTCGATATGTTCTCTTCTATTGGCGGAGTTTTGCATGATGGAGCGCATCCAACACGTATAGGATCAAGACAGCCGAGAAGGATCAAGTAGTCATGCCCTCAGCGAGCGGCAAAGAGGCGAATGGCACACCTAGGGGCGAATAGCATTCGCTACCCGTACATCCATCGTTCACAGAAACGGTGAGCGCCTGCACATCCAGATGCCTTTCTGAGTGCAGCTTATCTTGTGCCCTCGGGGATCGGGGAGGAAGCGCGCGCACAGTGGAGAGTCATGAATGGATGCCGGGTGGATTTGCTCTTCCAGACTTCGCACTGACTAGGGACTCCCCTCCTGAGTGCAGCAGCTGAGGTCGAAAGCGGTCTCTCTGTGAGAGAGAAACATCTAACGACAGGCCTTCCCTGCGGTACATTGTCGATCCACGGCGCGCGCGATCCAGACGGGGTGGCTTTTGCTGGCGTCTAGCCTAGCGGGCACGATAACTGGCGTATCCTCGTTTGGGCAATGAACGACACAGCCGGAGAAGATGATCGAAGTGGAGTTCAGATGCTGGCGTCCGCCACGGAGATTGTGCTCGACGGTCTGCCTCTGACGCAGGTACAGCTGTCGCAGGCTGAAGACGTTCTCCGTTGACACACTTGGGCACAATGCAGCGATGGCGCCCCCACTTTTAGTAATATTGACTTCCTGTGGCACTTTCCTCGGAGAGACATGTCGGGACGCTAACAGAAGTATTGCCTGGACTGATGAAGGAGAAATAAGGCAGCGTGAGCGAGGCGCTCTGCGCGGCTGAGAAGGAGGGTGCGAAAATTGGGAGAGCAACTCCAATCAGCAGACGCGGGGGGGCATATGGCCAAATCATGATTTGGCCGGATTCAACTCCAGAGCGGTTAGAAGCGACCAAAGGAGCCGATGGGGAGACAGCCCGAACGTGCTTTGACGCAAGTCGCGTTCAGGAGCGCGCAGTAGCTGTGACAGGGTTTGGCGAGACTGAAGACCGGTCACACTGGGATTCGAGGGGCTATCTTTTAGTGATAGGGTGCATCAATCACGCAGGAGAAGGAGCTGCCAAGGCCAGGACTGTAGACGACCTAGCTAGTAGTACCGTGGGGTGTTTTGCAATGTCATTTCACTTGCAGTTGAACTTGGTCATGCTGCCGACGGAGAGAGTGTTTCCATTGGCAGCACGACGAGTCGCAAGATGGCCCTGGTGTCGTTTGGCTTTGAGCTGTGGAGCGCTTTGAGCGCGAGTGTACAGAGCAGTGCAGACACACACACACATATACACACATACACACAAACACACAAAACAGGTGGTCAAGGATCGACGCCGCCAGCTTCCCAGCGTCCCAGGGCGCCGTGGTGAGGCTCAAAACGTGGAACCCAGCTGCACGGTCGGGCGTCGCGGGCGTCGTCGGTTAGAGCAACAAGACTTTGGAAGCCAGGATTGCTGGGCTGGGCTGGGCTGGGCTGGGCCGTGACGGGGAAGGGCGTGAGGGCTTCCCAAACGCTAAATAAGAACGAGTCCGTGTCAAAATCAACTTGTGCAGCCCGCGTGTCACAGCGCCGAGACTGTGGGGACGCGGCCACTCCGAAACGCTTGGGGACGACGCTGGTGCAAAAGATCTGGCAGAAAGGTTTGAACGGGTGAGATGCTAGTGCAGCCTGGGCCTGGGACATGACGGCTAGGGCATCACGAGGAGCGTACGGTGAACCGTGGGAGGCGAACAGACGGGATCCATATGGCTGATGAAGTGTGCAAAGACCATCGATGATGAACAGCAAGCATGGGCAAGGCTGTCCATCCTTCTGGCTTCTCCATGACATGGGTCGCAATGACGGAATGGCGGGGTACGTATACAACTAATTAAGTGGTGCCTCGTACGGATAAGGCCACAACCGGGTAGTTGAAGTCAGCTAGGGGGGGAGGGAGGAGGGAGGAGGGCTCGTTAATCAAACACGCGTGCAGGGACCGGCAGACGGGTTAAATTAATTAAAAGAAGCAATGGGACGGACATGCTGCAGCACGAAGATTAGAGTTTCGTAGACATGAAGTGCGTAATGGGTAATACTGCACAAGGGGGAAGACTGCCCGTCCAGGTTGACCATGTGGGTGACTTCGCTTAGCCATGTCCCTTATTGGGCAGGAGCACCTAGGATTACACAAAGGCCTCGCATAGGGCCTGTTGCGTGACAGACAAAACAACGCTGAGATGAAAGGGAGTCGGGCATCGTGCCGTGTCTACTGTGTAGTAGTAGTGAGTCCTCTCTGTCCAAATGCTGCAACACCATGGAATCCTCCAGGGCAGCTAGCCGCCCGACGCATCGGCAAGCGCGCGCGCTCCTCCTCCTCCTCCCCCACATGTTGCAAACGCCTACCGCGCCGCGAGAACGGGCACAGGCAGCAAGCCGTAAAAAGCCTCTTCCAACGACGCTGAGAGAGAGCCTACTAGCCAAAGAGCCGGCCATCGGCTGCGGGTACGAGATCTCTGCACCCTGCACGACACCCTAGCCCAGGCATGGCGCCAGCGAAGGCTGCCCCAACTCTGCGGTCGGTGGCAGCCGCCTTCAAGCACGGCCTGGGATGCAGCCGACCTGGGGCCTCGATCGACGCGCACACTTTGTCCCCAGTTCCATGTCGCTCTGGCTTGAACCACCCAGGCCGCCGGGAAAGCAATGGACGACACAGCATGCACCAGATGATGCCAGAGGGCTGCAACAGATGCGCCAGCCGTCGTTCCCAAGCTGTTGCTTTCTGTGCCGCAGCTGTCACTTGAAAGCCAGTAGCCGCCTTGTGCTCCTGTCAGGCGTCAAAGACGGCCCTCGTTGGCTGCCACTCTCTCTGCAGCCATGTGACGGCCAAAGTCCCAAGAACTGGCATCAAGACGCGCGCAAAACCGACATGTAGTGCATCTTCCACGTGGCCATGCACCCATCTAGGTAAGCTGTACGACGGCGATGCGCCGGGACAGGCTGCAAAGAAATGAGGGTGAGCAGGGAATCAAAGACTCTGCTTATGCCACCAAGCCGCTTCAGTTCTACACGTGCCTCAGGCAATATAACAGAGCAGCTAATTATAGACGTCACAAAGCACCTCGCGAAGACAAATGATTACATCTGCTACTATTGGGGCCAAAAAGCAGGCTCCCGCTTGAGCATGCATGCTGGGCATGGACATTGCTCTACGAATGCACTCCAACCACCCATGGCAATCTACAAAGAACGGGCAACCGTGTCGATCAATCACAAAGACTTGGTACAGTAGCCTTTCCTTTGTTTCCCGCCGTCGAAACTAGGCATGCTTAAGCGCAGTATATAGCCAGGACTCCATCATGTGCAGCTCGCAGACATGGCTCCATCTTGGTTAGCGCCCAGCCTGAGTGCCATGTCGTCAGCTAAGCTGCGAAGCGACGCGGTAGAAGCACGGTCGCAGTATTGGTCGCCGAACAGCACTGGCGGCAGCGCAGGGATACGCCGTTCCAGCTGCATTCAGACTCTCGGGAGGACTTGGGTTTAACGCTGAGGGTCGCGACGATGCAGCGTGATGAAGGACTACCAGAAGCGCTCAACTCCTCCCTCATAGTAGCGCTTCGCTGCGCCGCCAGCACGATTTTCAACAGCGATCAGCGCTGCTAGTAACGGGCGGATTGGCCTCTGTAAACGGGAGGTTTATCGAGCTTGAGCAAAGGGGGAAATGGTGTCTTTGAACGCTGCCTTTGTCTCTGCTACTGGCGACTTCTTTCGGCCAGACCGCGTCCGTGCACCACCATCTTCCAGGTCAATGTTGACGCCAGTCCCGACGCACCCTAGAGCGCCTCTGGCCTCCTCACCCTTGGTACTTGGGAAAACAAAAAGCATTTTCTTCTTGTCTGTCTCTTGTCGTGCCGCAAACCTGGGTCAGGAGCCGCATGGCCCCGTAGCCTCGACACGCGTGCCCTTACAGCAGCGTCATGCTGAACAACATCAAAGGGGAACGACGGCGAGGTTAGGCCCTCCGCAGCCGTCATAGCAGCGTAAAGCACAATGGACGAGCTTCTTTCACTCCTCGGGCCGGCGCAAGCGACACACACCTCCACGCTGCTGGTCCAAGCCGTCCCGCACGCCAACAGACTCCGATGGCCAGCGGACAGGGTCTGGCTGCGGTGGGTGCTTTCACCCCCCCGGTAACTAACGCATTGTTGTCCGCGGCCCCATGCTGGCTGGCTCTCCAAACCGAACCTGAACGGTGTGGTTTATTATTCATTCGTCGCTTTGCTTCTGCCGTGCCTCGTCTGCGTTGCCTTATTGTGACAAAGTGCGTCTGTGAATAGCGCTCCCGTCTGCTCACCTGAGGCTTGCTCTCGTCCCATCCTCATCTCCCATCCCGATCCAGATCCCCAAAAACGCTCGGACGAACCCTATCGCCTGGTTGAACCTTTGAGATTCCTTGAAGCCCCAGCCCGCCAGTCAGCCACGCGAATCCCCCATCCCTAACACCCTTAGCCCGCCATACATATACGTGAGGGCCACCGCTCTCCACTCGCTCGCGGTACCCAAAGCCTTTTAGCCCATCCAGGTTCCAGCCTTCTCCGCCTTCGCTCCTCTAGGGCGCCCAGGTACTGAGCTTAACAAGCAGAGATCGCCGCTCCGCACGCCTCCAACTCCACCATCAAACACCTCACAAGGCTCACCTTCCACCCCCGCCTAAATCAGTGGATCGCATCGTCAACGTGCAACACCAGATCTTGCAACGCCGCTGTGGTGGACTCAGTAGTAACAACGACCTCAATCTGTCCCTGTTTCCTAGTCTGGAAGTCGACGCCGCTCCCAGCGCTGTGGAATAGCACCCAGTCGTCTGGAATCAGCCAATACGCAGCATCTTTCTGTGTTCGTCGGGACGACAAGACTAGCACGGTCATAGCAGAGAAACTACTGTCTTGACCCAAAACTATCCATCTCACAGCTTGTGTTACTGCCCTAGTAGCACTACGTCTGCGCAACCAGGAAACCGGGCCCTACCGAACGCTGTGTGTTGGAGGTCACCACAGTGCCACCAGTATCTGCTTTTGCTTTCTTGTACGCCCTCCCTCCTCGACCTGCGACGACGAGCACCACTGATTATGCGCAGTGACTGAGACTTTCTAGAAGATTTACGGCCAGGCGTGCGTCTGTCGGTATCACTGTCCGCCTGAATCAGCGCAGGTACCATTTGCAGGGCCGTTCGTCCATTGCAGCATCTTCAGGACTCGGAGTCGCCATTCGCCGTCTCGAGCGACGAGAGACTAGACCGGGAGCACCATCGTAAAGCCTGTAGACCGAGCGGGTGTCTGTGTTCGGAGAACCTTTTTACAAGATCTCTTCCCCTCCACTACCTGCATACTCATCAGCAACTTTGTCCCCCTCGACTAAGAGCCTCTACCTTTCACATTACGCCTTTGAGCTACGAGCCGCCCGTTGCCCTCCGTGGATACCTCTCAGCCTTCACGTGGACTGTACTGGTCTGGTGGTCAGCTAACGACTCCGCCATTTACAGCGTCACAGCTGTATTCTCTCCCAACTCCTCCTTCATCCGAAGCAGGTAGGTCATCAGGACCTACCCGGGACACAACCGCCAACGTGGCTGCTGCAGTGGCCCCTCTGACCTCCATGCATCCTGGGTCTGACCCGATGGGTGCACCTCCCAGCTTTGCAGCGCGGAGGCCTCATGCCCAACAATTGGGTAGTTTTGAGCTTCCTCCACCGCCGATGCACAAATATCCCTTCACCAACACCGTTACCGCATCACAGTCGACACAAGCGCCAACCACCAATGCCAGCGTTGGCAACCTGCTCACCCCACCAAATACCAATCACAGTGATGTGATAAGCTCGACTGGAGTATCAACAAGCAACGCTCAGTATCCGACAACAATGGCCTACTCGAACGGGCAATACATATACTCGCCGCCCACGCAGGGATCAGCGACACACTATGGCTATCCGCCCGCACATCACCAGCAAAACCAATATGGACAAGCCCGAGTAGGTATGTTCGTCGCTCCACTACGCAGTGATCGTCAGCTCGGACAACAAGACTCACTCGGTAAAGGAGGGCTGAATCCGCCACCATATGAGATGAACCAACAATTGCCACCTTTTACGCCATCGTCGAACGGATCGACTATGCCTTCGATATCGGCACAGCAACATCAGCAGCATCAACATCATCAACAGCAACAGCAGCAACAGCAACAGCAGCAACAACAGCAACAACAACAACAACAGCAGCAGCAGCAGCAGCAGCAGCAGCAACAGCAGCAACATCACCACCATCAGCAGATGATAGGCGCACAGACACCAATATCGTCGTCGGCACCTCAACAGTCGCCTGCTCTCGCACAGGACGGCTTTAGACCTCCACAGCCGCCGACACCAACCTACAACTACCATCCTCAAGGAACACCACAGCACTCAAACTTTCCATATTCGACAGGACCTTCACCGACGTTAAGTCAGCAGCAGAGTCCGATCAGCGCTGGAGGCTCGATGACGAGGATGTCGCCAAGTGTATCGCAAGGCCCGATGCCATCGAACAACCCAGCGCAGGCGCCATACCCTTATGGACGACCATCTGCGCAATATGCTCCGGGGCCTGCACCAGTCTTCTCGAATGTCCAAAACCCGAACAGTCAACTTTCGCTCGTTGGAGTGCACCAGGGGTTGATGCCTGGCTTCAACAGTGGACACGCAGCATCCATGCCTCATTTCTTGGGCCACCCACAACACCAGCAACAGAATGCGAACGATCGGCCGTTCAAGTGCGACCAATGCCCGCAGAGTTTCAACAGGAATCATGACCTAAAGCGACATAAGAGGATTCATCTGGCAGTCAAGCCCTTCCCTTGCAACCACTGCGACAAGAGCTTTTCGCGGAAAGATGCGCTCAAGGTACGTCGATGAAAAGGAAACTGCTTGTCTTACTTGATGCTAACATGTAATGCAGCGTCACATACTCGTCAAAGGCTGCGGCAAAGCGGTTGCTTCCAACGACGACCCAAAGCGAGAGAGCCACTCACCAAAGTCAGAAGCAGTTGACTCAAAGGCTGCTGTTGCGGGTCACGCATAATGGCGCGACACGTTTTTCTAGCGTCTTCAGCCTTCACTTCTCTTCTCCCTGTATTATCTATGTCTTTTTGTGCTTGGTTTCGGCGCACATATTTACGAGACCACCACCTTCGCTGTGCAATCTTCGGCTACGAGTTTCATGTTTTCATGTTCATTGGACTACCCCCCGGGACGCTGGATATATCCTTGTTGGTGTTCCGGGCGCTCTTGTATGTTATTTTCTTATTTCGTTATACACCAGATACCTTAGTCGGGCATTTGGCCGGGGTTGTACCAGGTATATGTGCAGGGGGGAGCATCGCTTTTGTTGTTTACGGGTTTGGCTTTGCGCATCGATAGCGGGATGGGCAGGGTTTCAGCTGGGATCCAGGGCTTGAGGGTAAGCGGATTTTGAGCTTTCCTCGGCAGTAGTAATGCTTAGAGACGAACGCGCAGTTTGCGTTAGCCCTGGGAGATATCTGTACGGTACATCAATGTGGATAAGTGACGAAAGGGGCAAAAAGGTGCTACGATGTGCAGAATACCAGGATGCAATGATTGACTTCCAACCACTTGACTCGTTCGTCATCTTTGTCGTACTTCGCAGTGTGTCGATGTGCAGGTAGTGATGTCGATGCACATGCAGTGTGTTCCTGAAGGAGTGGAGGCTGCGTTAAGGTTCTTGTGCTCGGACGGTTTGCGTGCAGTCGGCGTCGTCTGGGCGAACCCATGTACCCGGGCAGAGTCCGGCATCTTCCGTCGTGGTCGTGCGGCGATCGATCGACGCCTTTTGCCCTCGCACTCCACCTCTTCACTCTTCACTTGCATCTCGACATACTTGGGACGGTGGCGCGCCTGCAACCCTTCCAGAACAAGGTTAAAGTGCTTTGATGTGGCGTGCACTAACTCACAGGCTTCTTTCGAGCAGAATCGGCTCATCTCGACGTCTCGTCTTGGGCTGGTCACATCTCCTTGATGACTGCACGTGTTTCTCTCGTCATCGTGCTATGCCGCTCGCATTCCAGATCATTGCCCGTTCCTTTTTTTCTTCCCATGTGCATCTTTCATATTCGAGATGCGGCGGCTCGACACGCCGTGTAGATGTAACTCACGCGAAGACGTCTTTTACGCAAGGCGAGAAGACCGCGCCAGAAGCCTAGTAGCAGTACAGAAGGCAAGGAAGAAACTATTTCCATTTTCCCCATTCCAATACCATCCTCATGTCCACATTTTCCACGGTCCTCTGGCCAACCCATTCCTCTCGTGCTGTTTGGGACAATGCCCAACACAAGTTTCTCTCCCACGCGGCTTGGCACATTCCACGTCTGCTGAGCCTCCAAACCCCCTCCTTCGTAGCAGCCTGGATAGAGGACCGCGCCTCCTTTCTCACGACGAAATTGTTTCTGTATCTGGTTGTGTTGAAATCGCTCCTGTCGCGTCAGTATTTGCATCCGGTCGCGCGCTTTCCTTTCCAGAAGGGCTCCCGTCCGTGCTCAACTTTTCCTCCCCCAGCATCGCCATCCACAACATGGACACTGCATAGCCCGGCATTGTATGCATCCAACACTTGTTAGCTTTTTGGACCGCGAGCAGACTCAATTGCAATTGTAAAAGCACAGCCAAGCCGCCCCTCCTTTACCGGCACGGCCAACAACCTGCAGTCACCGCTTTGGGCCCATGCCCTCCGTGACAACAGCAGCTTAACAACACATCCAGCGGTCTAGCCATGACACCCGCCTGACACCACCACTACAGCGATCACGACTACCACGGCAACAATACCCACTTCTTGGTGCCTGAGCATCCGGTGCATTAATTACACTGTACATTTTGGTCCATCACCTTACTTATTGTAATATCTGCGCCAGTCGAGGGCATTTGCCTTCACTACAGCCACCCGCGCGCATAACATGGACTCCGCCTACCATGGCCGTCCACCGACCCGTCGACGCGCCCTCGGCGATGCCTCCAGCCGTGCCAACGAGAGCAACAACACGCAGCGCCGGGGAGACAAGTATAGCAGTGACTACATTCCGTCCTCATCACCCAACCAGCTACCCCACAACGAGTCGATTGTGCCCAATGGCACCCTCGCGGTAAGCCAAGAGCAGCCATCCCCTGAAAACAAACGCCTTTCTGCCGTGCTTGCCCACGAAGCACGCCCGCACAATCCCAAGCGCGACTCAAACATCTCCAACGCGAGCACCAATGCCTCAAACACAACCCGTCGCCGCAAGACACACATCGGCCCATGGCAGCTCGGCCGGACCATCGGTCGCGGTGGCTGCTCGCGTGTGCGGCTCGTCAGGCACAGCGGGACGGGGCAGTATGGCGCTGCGAAAATCATCTCAAAGGCTACGGCAGAGAAGGTGCGCGCGCTGAGCTTGGCGAACCTAATCCAGAGTGCTGAGCAGGATCCGACACTGTACCCTGACGGCAAGGTGATTCCGTTTGGCTTGGAGCGTGAGATTTGCATAATGAAGCTGTTGGATCATCCGAACATTGTCCGCCTGTATGATATCTGGGAGAATCACAATGAGCTGTAAGTGCCTCCTTGCTTTTGAACGACTAAAACGCGTTTTCTGACTGAATGGCGCAGCTACCTAATCATGGAGTTCATCGAAGGCGGCGAGTTGTTCAGCTACATTCACGAGCAGGGCGGTCTGATTGAGATCCACACTGTACATATATTCCGGCAAATCATTGCGGCCCTGATTTACTGCCACCGCATCAATATCCATCATCGCGATCTCAAGCCTGAGAACATCCTGCTGGATCGGGAGACTATGACAGTTAAGCTGGTCGACTTTGGCATGGCTGCATTACAACCGACTGGCAAGAAGCTCACTACACCCTGCGGCAGCCCTCATTACGCGGCACCCGAAGTTATCAAGACTATTTCTTATGATGGAGCAAAGGCCGATGTCTGGAGCTGTGGTGTCATCCTCTATGTCTTGCTCACAGGAACACCACCCTTCAACTATTCGGGCGAGGATCGACACCTCAAGAATCTATTTCAGGACATTGCAGCCGCCAAGTATGTCATGCCGGATGGCCTTTCAAGGGAGGCGCAAGATCTCATCAAGCGGATTCTAGTCGTAGATCCTAAGCGCCGGATAGGCCTAGACGAAATCTGGAATCACCCATTCCTGCGCAAATACCAACACGAACTCAACTTTGTGGGCGAGAACACCAGCCAAGACCATTGGACAGGACCTCTTCCAGCAATCGCGGAGTGGACGACGTTAGAGCGAACGACGATTGACCGGGAGATACTGCGGTACTTGCGGACCCTGTGGCATAGTGAGCGGGAGGAGGTTCTCATCCAGCGTCTCATGAGTACAGAAGCCAACCAAGAGAAGTACTTTTACTCCGCGCTTCGAAAGTACCATACCGACCAGCTGGAGAACTATCAACCTAGCGCTCATCACCCTGTGGTGCATTCCAAGAGCGATCATCACCATAATACGCGCCATTCTCCCACCCCGCAGGACCTGGAGAAGCTGCCATCAAAGAAGCACAAGCGCACCCAGTCAGGCTACTCGATCCTCAATAACGAGCATCTGTATTCAAAGCATAGCTTCTACGAGTCGCCTGTTTCTGAAGCCAGCTACGATCCATTCCGAGCTTCGAGGCAGCCTATGATTCCTGAACAAGCCATCGTCCACCAGAATGTCACAGTACACCGTGGACCCAGCAGCCCTAGTCGTAGACCACGACCAGCTGCATCCATGGGTCATCGCACCGGGAGTTCATTACGTATTCAAGCTTTGCGAAACTCTAAGCGCAGCTCTGCCATGTCGCGTGGCTCTTCGAACCGAAGCACTCCTTCTCGCCGTTCCATTTCTATCAAGCAACGATCCGTGTCGCGCTCATCTCTCGCGAGCTCACACTGGCCCAGTAGTCCTCCCGTCGTTGCTCGCTCTGGCGGCCTAGGACGTCGAGGTGTGAGTTTTTCACACCTGCGCGATCGCCGTTCTTCGGTAGCAACAGCTAGTACCTTTGAGACCGACACCGTAGCCTACGCAGACTACACGTCTTCTCATCGGCCCCACACTTCCATAGGATCGTACGGCTCGTCTCTTCGATCAAGCACAGCTCGCCAATCTCCTGCTTTCAGATCCAAGTCCAGGGGCCCCGCAAGCATAGAGGCGCCTCGTCTGAAGATTCGAAAGCCAGAGAGCCCGACCAAGTATATTCAGGGTGAGGCTAGAAAGGTCAGCATGGAACTCGGAAAAGTTATGGAAGAGGCCTTCAACCGCTCGTCGATCAGCTCCAGCATCCGTACCACGGGCACAGGTACCGAGCTCCACCGGGATATTTCGCAGTATGATACCCCTCCCACTTCTTTCTCCAATACCAGGGACTCAGGAGGAAGCACATTGGCTACTCCGAATACAAAGGCAATGCTGGCACAGCGACCTCTTCCACCGATCCCGGCCGAGACGCCCAATACGTTCTTGCAGCGCAAGTTGGCCGAGACGCGCGCAGAGATTGCCCGCCGGCTCGATGAGGATGGTGATAACACGGAACATTTCAATGAAGTTCTCGAGCACCTCGATCGTTTGATAGTACCTGGCGCCCATGGCAAGCGTACGGTTTCTGCTCCCCCAAAGTCTCCTGAGCACCCTGCGCCGCTGCATGTGATTCCCGAGGAAGCCGACTTCATGAAGTCTGATGGCGGAGATGGGTTTGAGACCTACAGTCCCCATTATCGTGCTGTCACTGATCCTATCAGTCTACAAAGTCGTCGTGCAGTAACCGAGCAGCAGACTATTCGTCTCGTCAATGATTCGCCCACTCGTGTTGCTCCTCTCAACATCCGCAAGCGAAGTGGTGCGAGCATTGCATCCAAGGCTGCGAAAGAAGCGTCTGCTGTGCCTTGGCCTGGGCCAATCGGGAACACTCCAGTTCGCTCGTATCAGGACGTGCAGAATGACCTGCTTGCTGCACGTACGAACGAGGTCGCTCCTACATTGGAGAAGCAAAACACAGTCATCAAGAAGAAGAAGTCGCTATGGTTCCGTCGCAACACGGAAGAGAAGGATCAAGAGCAGGAGAAATTCGAGAACCAGGTCAAGAAGAAGCAATCGACTATACTCCTCCAAATCCCAGTGGCGTGGCAAGGCCTCGACGACCGCATCAAGAACGATGCGCCACAAATTGAAAACACTGGCGTCGATATTAATAAGCACACCCAAAAGTACTCAGAAGCCAGCAACGGAAGCGAGTTTCCCATGCGTAATAGTAATATAGCCGCTGCTAAGAGTGATGGCGCGCTACGCAAGGGCTTCTTTGGTCTCTTTGGCAAGAAGACGAAGGAGGAGAAGGGCAAGAAACCTATGGAATTGGGCGGTAAGCATAGTCTGGTTTCCGACGTTATTTCTATCCAGCATGCTAACACTTCTACAGCAGTCAACTTCAGCTCCTCTTCTATTCTCTCCGCTTTCGACCTTGGTCCTGAACACAACAACACCAATGACAACACAGTCCGCACCGGCCCTCCAGAGATGCAAATGAACTGGCTTAGTCGCTTCCTGCACATCAAACCTGCTTGCCATACGCTCTGCTTCCACATTGGCCGCGGCAAGGTCCGTCAAGATCTTGTTCGCCTGCTGCGGGATTGGCAGCGCTTTGGCGTTCGCGATGTCTCGCTCGACCGCGAGACGAATGTCATCAATGCACGTGTTGACAAGAACAACCGTAAGTATATCTCCTCGTTCTCTACGCGATTCATTTTCAGCGAGTGGCGTTTGCAAGACTGGCGGTTTGAAGTCGAGATGATGGATGCGCAGGGTGGTGTGCGATGTAATTCTTCTTCGTTTTCTTTTTCACCTTCTACTTGCCAAATTAACATGCTAACACGCTTGATTTTGCAGACCTCAAGATCAAACCAGTCTCGTTTGTCATTGAACTCTTCGTTGTTCTGGAGCATGGGCGACGCGCCAGTCTTTGCCTGGCGCGCTTCACGCAGACGCGTGGTGCGGCTTCAAGTTTCCGCAAAGTCGTCGATATTGTCGAGGACGTCTGCCGGGCTCGGGCCATGCTGGTTGAAGATGAGGAGAAGAAGGCGGCTATGATGGAGGTCTTGGATTAGGATACCTTGATTAAGAGGAGGGATAATGGGGAGAGCAGTTGTATGAGTACCAGGTGGCATGTACCCTATGACTCAGGGTAACCGTCCATTTGGTACGCCTAGAGGATGATCTGGATACCCACACAGTTGGGATGTTGAAGACTTTGGATATGGAAGGAGAATGTTGGCTACTTGGACACGATACCCCACCGAGCAGCCTTTACCGCCACATCATCTCGCCAGTATCCTCATCCAACCACGTACCCCCCCCAACGGTATTCGACAGCCAAGTCTCGGATTTCATACCGCCCTTCAACTTCCGTACCCCTCACACTTTTCGAGAAAGAAAGAAAAAAAACTTGTTTGTTTGAGCACCAGCCGCTATACGACGCGCTACTAGCCAGCGAGTAATTCACTAATACTGTCTTTGCTACATTGTGCTTCTTAGATGGCGTTGTCTTTCATGGAGCATTGGCATTGGGTTCGGTATCTGCGATGGAGTTTAGAAGTGTCTCAGTGTGAGCATCAGCATGAGCATGAACATGAGCATTTCATGGCCCATCAGCCATCTTTCGACTTTGGGAGCCACCACTAGGCGTAGAGCTTTAGGAGCTGTAGAAGTATAATTATAGGAATTGCATTATTCGAAGTCAGTTCTGCCATCTGTATCCTTGGGTGATACCTATTGTGTTTGTCTGGTTGCTGTTCGATGACTTCAAATTGATCAAGAGCGGTGATGGCATGCCCTCCCAAGGAGGTGTGATGTAGCGTCTGAGAAATGATGGCTTGTGAGAGTTCAGATATTGGGTACGAGGAGTGAGACATAACAAAGCCAACATGTCAGTCATTAGTGCCTATGTAGAGAGGGATGAAGTGTAAGGGTAAAGTTTATGTTAGCTGTGTCGAGCATTCGCATCAGTGCTAACGCGTGCTTAAGTCTCGAGCCCCGCAGCATGTTGCTTTAGAGAGCACTCACAACCCATGTCAGGAGAGCTCTTTACATTCGTAAGGACATGGTATTGCATTTGCCCTATGGCGCCAGACCCTAAGCTTGAAAAGATCCGGCACACCGGTCCAGAAAGATGTAAGCCATCATCCGATTCGTTCCATTTTCCCGTAGTTATCAGAGAAGCCAGAGATAGTAAAGGAACACCGAGTCACCCCGAAAAACCGACCATGCACATTGCTCCATCTGCTTAGCGAGTCCTTGCCTGCACCTTAGGTGCTGCGCCCTTGGCACCCTGCTTGCTCTGGATCTTCTGGGCCTGTCCTCGTGCGGCGCTGGAAGCGGACTTCGCCTTCTCGGCCTTCTTCTTGGACTCAGCAGCGGCCTTGGCCTCCTTGCCCTCCTTGATAGCGGCGCTGCGGGCGGCGGCGCGGGCCTCGGGGCGCTGAGTACGGCGCTCCTTGATCACGTCGAGTGAGGCACCGACGATGGCACGCTGGTGCTTGACTGTGCGGCGGGTTCGCTTCTTGGCAATTTCCTGTTGGAGTAATGGTGGTTAGCGCGCGTTTCTGTTTGTGCGATGGAGATGGGGAGGGAAGACGAGAGGGAGAGCGGCTAGGCATTGCGCTCCTGCTCCATCTATGCCGTCTCGCAAGGTGACCTGATGTCATAGTTCGCTGCAACACCTAACGCGACTCTCCCTCCAAATGACGTGTATGTGTAATTGGAGCAACTAACCTCAGAGATACCCTTCTTGTGCATCCTTCGGTAGAGGGTCGTCCACGAGATCTTGCGAGGGTTCTTGCGCTGGAGGAAAAGGGACTCGGTCTTGCCATTCTGGAAACGGAAGATCTTGCTGTCACCACGGATGTAAAGCTTGCCCTGTATAATCCATTAGCGATATTCCTCCACATGCACAGCTCCTCTATTCTCCGTCGTGCGTCTCTATCGTTGTAGTAGGGAGGCGAATTTCGACGTCTGGCGGAGGATGGCTGGGGCTAGAGGGACGGCGGAACGCACCTTGCCCGGGTAGATCTTCTGACCGCTGAAGCTATCGTCGTAGGTACGCATGTTGACGGTGTTGGCGCAATACCTGTGGTGTTAGTCGTGGGGTGTGGTTTGGAGGTTCTCGTCGAGAGAAGCTCAAAAATGACCCGTGCAGCGTGGGCAACTGCCAACCTCGCTTAGGCAGCGGCCCTGACTAGCGCGGCCCCGCCTCGCCGCAACCACCGGCGTTCGTTATGAGAAGGCTTGGGAATGCGACATATGGGCAGACCGATGACTACAGGCTTCTGGTGCACTGGGTAGAGTATACTGCCGGATGACGTGGGATACCGTTCCTCCTCCTCACTGAGCGCACAAAGCAGCGAAAAGAAATGCGAGCCATCTCGGGGCACCTTCAATCTAAGCGAATGGGAGTCACCAACACCCTCTGGCCTCGAGCAGTTCTCCTTCTCCTCTCTGCCAACAATTGCGCAAATCTTAAATAACCTACACCTAGGTATTAGAGGGCAGAATTCATTTCGAGTGCCCGTTATAAGGCTCACTAGAGCTGTTATGCAATGTTTTACAGCATTGCAGCACGGTATCACCATCATCCAAGCCCAGATAGACTCTCGTGATCTCCTCTCCGGTCTATATTAGTATTCTATAATAGTATTTTCTAACGAGACGTCGACGTCTATTGGCCTGCTCTTGCGCTTTCATGCCCCACAGCCAGTTAACGGCATTCCAAAGGTCCATATCAAACTCAATGCATGAACTTCAACGCTGTCGCGTAAGGGAGCGCGTATCGCCTCATCTCGTTAGGTACAAGTCCGAATTTGCCTGTCATATCCACTAGATTCTGGTTAGATGTTCAAGCACTTCAAGGCTGGCCAAAGCCGTACTCAACACCTGTCAGAAGTAGATGAAGAGCACGCAAGACATCCCCGCAGGGAACGGCACGAAACACGGCATCCCTTTAAGACCATCAACGGCAAGCTCGTTTAGCTGTGTGCAGTTATCGAGGATCGTCTGTACGCATTGTGCATGTCATATCTAGGGGTGGGGCTATCGTAGTGGGCACTAGATTTGGCATTTCGTGGCTTTGTGCTATGCTACTATAGGCAACTATAGCAATAAAGTTCAACACCTAAGGTAGTGCCTATCCTAGGTAAGGTAACATGGACACAACCCGTAGCTCTTCTGTAGTCAACTCTAGTTGCCAACGTCGCAGGCTTTACCCCGCATCAATCATGAGCTTCCTGCACCCTCGTTTGCGCAGCACTCGTTACAGCTCGAATCCGGCTGTAGGAGGGACAATCGTTGAACATGGTGCGCTACTTGCTATGCTCAGGGGCCAAGGTTTGCGCAATACATCAGCGTACTTTCTCCGTCCTTCCCTCCTTAAACTAGTGTCGAGACAAGGGTAAGTCACAAGGTACGCAAGTTAGCTGAGGGAGCATCCCCTGCCATCCGCCTCACAATTCAGAACATATGTAGTCCAGCCTGCAAGTGTAACAGCGGAGTCCTGGCCTCATTGGCTACACGCTCGATGATCGACTCGGAGGAATTACCTTTGGTACTACGTAAAGACCCTTTCGCGACTAATCGTATAGAGCAGAAAAGATACCCCGAACGTTTGAAATCGAGAGTCGCTTCCTTGTTAACGACGACATGTTCTGCGCCTGTGCAAGATTGTCGGCATTGAGGTTCGGTGACAAGACCTGGATCAGGAAGGTGTTTCGCAGGACAGCTCCAGTTGGTGGTGTTCTACACGCACGTGGGGACGGGATCGGCCGCCCAGGTATATGCCATGACATCACCCCAACTACACACCGTGTCTCATTTCGAGTTCTACACAACCTCGAGTCCCGGATTCTCAAGACAGACATAAGCACCATGGCGCGTGTTGAGGTATGTAATTGTTGGACTTTTTAATGTGTTCACGACTGACGGCATGACGTAGAAACAAAACCGCGAGATCAGAGAGGTTATCAAAAGCTCGCAAGACCCAGGGGTTTCAATCGACCAGATAGCGAGAATACGCGGATGGTTTCGCCCACAGGATGACAGCGTCTACTACCCCGTCGTTCAAGACTACGTGAACGAAAAGATCGATATTAAAGAAGCATCATCGAAAATCTTCAACCCTATAGAGGAGAAAATCCTAGCAAAGAAACTGGACGATGTCAACTTCATGGATCTTTGGTACAGCATCATTCACTCCGCAAGGCGCATCTCTTTTCGCCAGTCGCAGAAGCACGACAGAGTCGTCGACCTAGTAGCCGCGTTCAAGAATCACGAGATGACCACGAACACAAAATACAACTACCTCTTCAGCTCGTTAACCGATTTCTCCATGGCATGCCGCGAAGCGTACAATGATGTCCCAGAAGCACATGACGGCTTCTTCAAAGAAGAAGTTGATGCCTGGACCAGCCTAAACTTCTTCTTCGCCCGCATCACCGCTAAGGGCCTGGGAGACTTTGCCATCTTCTCCATCTGGGCTATGCGTGAAGCTCTCGAGACAGACTACAAAGACAACGCCGAGGCTACCGCAGTGCAACAATACGACGCGTACGTACCGGCTGCTGCCACATGGGTCCTTGGCATGGGAAGGGATTTGCCACAGCAAGAGAAGGATCTTACGCCTACGGATCCGAACCAAGGTGATCCTGCACGAGGCGGAGAGTTGTGGAAGGGAAAATCCGAGTTCAGTAAGGAGAGGTGGATGTTCTGGAAAAAACGATTTACCGTGGTGGGGGAAATGAAGGAAGTCGCAGAGGAGACGAGGGACGTCGCGAGGGACGTCGTTCAGTACATGGAGCGGGCGGAGACATTTGAACATGTATGATTGTATTGCCAATGATCTATGAATGGCCGTATACTGAATGTCTCTAGGTTCGTTCGTCGGATCCGCTTTTTTAGGAAATCCTAGATCTCACTGATAGCTGTTACGCTGCTAATATGATCATAGCAAGTTTATAAGTTTGCTATGTCGCTCAAAGGTGTAGAGCATGAATATATACAGGTGCAGTTACTTCAAACTCAATCGAACCTTCCCCTACTCCTATAGATTTATCACCATGTCAACCCCCCCTCAGTCCTTTCCGCTTCGCCCATTTCACGATGGCGGGCTCGTACTCGCACCCAGCCCTTCAACTCCTGCGGTTGCGACCTTGACATCTTGAGCCACACTTCCGCCACTGACTCCTACTCCACCGATCAATTTCCCATCATAGTAGACGGGAAATCCTCCTCCAAAGACGACGAGGCCTCCATTGGTTTCTTGAACCCCATACAGGGGCTGTCCTGGCTGACTTGATTCATACAGCTGCCCAGAACTCAAGCCATTGAACAAGACGGCTGTCTTCGCCTTTTTGATCGATATGTCGATGGAGCCGGGGAATGCGTTGTCCATGCGGAGGAAAGCGACGATAAGACCGGATGGGTCGACTACGGCGATGTTCTGGGGGATGTTTTGGGCTGTCGCATTTTTGATGGCGGCGGTTATGATTGTTTGGGCTTGGGTGGAGGAGATGTAGGAGCGTTGCGAGGGGGTACTGCCGATGCCGTTGGTGCCATTGGTTTGTGCGAAGGCCAACGGGAGGAGGGCGAGGAGAGATGCGAAGCCCTTCATGTTGTCGAGGTGTTAATGTGCTTTGATTGAGATTTGGAGAGCAACTTCACAATGGTAGTACGATCAACTCTAGGTATCCCTAGGGGGTTTTATACGCCCGGGTAGCTTAGGGGAAATATAGACTAAGTGCTAGCCTTTCAACATTTCCATGGACTAGTTGTAGGACACTTCCACGGCAATTCGTGCTCGTATTCCATCATCGACTTGTTCCGGACAATAGGACTCCCGTGGAGTAGCGCGCGGGGCTATCCTAGTTCGAGGCTCCGCAAGGGTGGGCCCGTTCACCAAACTTTATCGAGGCCGGCACCTTTAATCGTCCCCGGAGCTCGCTCCGTCTTCGGCATCATGTACCTGCATGGGTTATGACGAGTAAGCTGAAATTGACAATGTCGACAATCTTATGCAGAAGCGGTGAGGTCTATGAGGCAATCGTTGCGAGTTTGAACTATTTTTAAACTATACAAGTATTGTATGTGTTGCAGTGAGTTCCAGTGGGAAAGACTGCAACATCGCCCTCTACGATTAAGTAAGAGTTCTGGCCAGCTATAAACATCTTCTTTTCTTCACTATTCTGGAGGATAAGCTTGCCTCATCGCCCTTGATCAACGAAAATAACTGAACACGCGGCTCGGGTTTATTTTTCTCGCAGGGGACAATCCGTAAGGACAAGGGTAGACGACAACAATTTCCACAAATCTAGAGCTTCGCCCCCTGCTCCCTCTTTGCCAAGGTTCGTAGATCTTTCCTTAAAATCTTCCCAGCTGGAGACTTGGGGATCGCGTCTAGAAATACCACACCACCTCGCAACTGCTTGTGGCTCGCTACGTTCTTCTGAACATAATCGATAATCTGTTGGCCTGATATCTTCTTTGCATCAGCAACCACGTACGCTCGAGGAACTTCGTTGGTACCGTCGTCTGCGTCCACCCCAATGACGGCCGCGTCAAGAATATCCTCATGGCTCACTAGCAATGCTTCCAATTCCGCAGGTGCAACCTGCAGGCCCTTATACTTGATCAGCTCCTTCTTCCGGTCTACAATATAGAATAAACCGTCTCTGAACTCGGCGATATCACCTGTGCGGAACCAGTCTCCTGTGAAACTCTCTTCATCCGCTGCTTCGTTATTGTAGTAGCCCTTGCACACCACAGGTCCTTTGACGAGGACCTCGCCCCGATCACCTGGCTCGACGTCCCGGTCGCCATCGTCGACAATCCGGGCGAGCATATTGGGCAAGAGAGGGGAAACTGAGCCCGTGTCGTCGTGCATGCCCAAAGGCATGACGGTTGCGCTCCCCGTTGTCTCACTCAATCCCCAGGTCTGGCTAATAAAGCACTCCGGCCCACCCAATTTCTGACTCGCAGCATGCTGTAGGTCCTTCCCCAGCGGTGCCGCTCCAGAAATCGCAATCTCAAGCGCGGAGAACTGATCTGTGACAGCGGGAGATTTTGCGATGAGGAGATAGATGGGCGGCACAGTGAAGAAGATTGTGATTTTGTACTTTGCATTGTACTCGAGAAATTGGGAAAAGTCGAAGCGTGGCATCCAGTATACGCGACCGCCCATATAGAATGGATTAATAAGGTAGCCTTGGATGCCAGCAATATGAGCTGTGGGAAGGTGAGCGAGAGTGGAATACTTGAAGCTGGGGCGGAATGTGGTTGTCCAAGCTTTCAACATGTCGCCGGGTATGACTGCCTCTGCAACAAGGTTGCGATGGGAGAGCTTGACGCCTAGGGGTTTCGATCAGTAACGCGTTTCGGGTGCATATGAGGTTCGATAATCCTACCCTTTGGCAGCCCAGTTGTTCCAGAGCTGTAGATCAAAATCACGAGACTATTCTCCAACTCATGCGGGTCCGTAATCCTTTTCCAAGGCAATCTTTCGCTTTGATCAACCAAGTTCGGACCAAGTTGCCCATTCTCTTGGATAACATTTAACGACCACTCTCTGCCCTCGCTCATAAGCAGTACTCTACCGCCGCCATTTGCTCCCCATCCTGCCTTGACAGCTGCCTTGACAGCTGTCTCTTTTGTTGCTTCAACAGTAACTAATATCTTAGATTGCGCGCTCTGGATTTGCTTGCTAAGCTCACTGGCTGTACTGGCCGCGGAGGCAGCGGAGAAGACACCGCCAGCACCAATAACGCCGTAAGATAGGATAGGTAGCAAATAGTGGCCAGTTGATATCACAGAACAAATGTCCTTTCCTGCTCCTTGGACGCCAATGCCGAAATGCTTGCGGAGAGCTGCTGAAGTTACTTGGGTAAGGTCGCGCGCCCGGGAGATGGTCAGGACAAGGCTTGGGTCAGATGCCGAGATGTGGATGGGCGAGTCGGGCTTTACTAGAGCATGTTCTGAGTCTGCTCATGGTCAGTGTTATGGCATTGGACGCGAGCAGGTCACGTTATCACGTGGATACCTCGTGGGGGGTTGGAGGAACCAATGACCTAGTCGCAGGAGTTTCGCGAAGGGAGCCTTACCAAATAGCAGAGTTAGGAGGTCGACATCTGGTACAGGATACGTCTTCGCGGCGCGGTAGATAATGCCGTTAGACGTCTTCTCGACGATCGTAGCCATCTGAGCTTCCAATATCGTACAAGATGCTGAAACTGTTATGTGACGAAAACGGAAGAAACAAGATACACTGAAGGGAGATGATGATAGTAACTATACGGTTGACAATTCCATTCAATTATCGATTACTATGACCGAAAGCCTATAATAGGATGATGAGGCCAACGCCGCGGCAATCCCCCCTCGTAAGTTCAGGATGCCTCGGCTCGCATGAATTGGCCAAAGATCCAGACCGATAATCCTCTTCGGTGGCTTAGAAGTCAGTACTGGCCAGTAAGCGGGGTAATAAGCTGGGGAGATCAACAAAAACGCAGCTAGCAGTACGCCAATTTGAATTTCACTATTCCAAGACGCGCTGAGCAAGTGCTGTACGAAGCATATCTAGTAAGCCTTGCATTGCTCGACTGTGGTAGTATGGCGGAAATTCACCTTTCGTCAGGTAACTCGTTGCACAAAGGAACGAATACTCAAGCTCGGCGCTTTCTACTTGGCTCATCGTCTTCTGCTTCTTGAACTGGCAGATTAGTCTCAGTATTGTTAGTAGGAAGACTGGACTTAGCGCCCTTTCGCTTTCTGCGTTTCCTCTTGTCTTTTGGCGCTGCTAAATACTCAGTGGGGACGATTTCAACGTCGATAGGAAACACCGCTGGGCGTGCAATCGCTGGAAGTTTGCTATCGTCGAGTTGGGACTTGCGCATGCCTTTGATATTCTGCTTCTCGAGCAATGCGACGTATTCGGCGGTGCGCTTTGAATGTTCGACCTTGGTCATGATCTTCCAGTTCTCTGGCTTTTCGGCTGCTCTCCATTTTGACCAGATATCGTCATGTATGACACTTCCACTAAGAACGACAAACGCGCAACTGTTCCACAGCATATGCACTGCTTGGAGTGGGAGCCACTTGGGACGCAATTGGCCATGTGCTTGTAGCCAATGAGCTACTTTGGCAGGAGTCTGGCAGAGGTTGCGCAGATGAGGTTCGATGTAGATAGTACGCTGATCCCAAAACCTCAGGCCATCATCATCAACTACCTCGAACGAATTCTCGGGGAGAAAAGTCGGAGGATACGAGGACGGTATGCGGCGGACATAGTAGCCGTTCTGCGAAATCTCAATGATGGTAGAGGGGTGGTTGTGGAGTGCTTGCTGGAGGAGGACTTGAGAGGCTTCGGGCTTCATCGATGAGATGTTCGGATGCTCGAGGATTGCAGTGAGATGAACGACTGCTAAAGATTAGCTACAACCCAAGATCGAAACGGAACAAACTCACACTTGTCTCCTTCGTCCGTTGTTCTAAAGTGTTTCTGGAGCCACTTTGCTCGCATCTCCTCCTGATGCGCATAGTCGGTGAAAATCAGCTCGATGCCAGCAGCAAGCTGAGCAAGATATTCGGGCGTGACGGGCTTGCTCGTGAACCTAGGACCACGATTCATGGCTTTGGAGTCAATGTGTTCAAGTCGAGGGGCAGGAGATGCCGTACTTGTCCTTTGCATAGCCTCGACGAGTGTATCTTCGTTGCTGACATCCATTCTATCTGCTGCTGGTTCCGCAGGAGCTTTTGCGACCTTTGGCCGCTGGGGCTCGCGGACGCCCTTGAGCCTAAGGGCTCGTGGGACGAACATGGCGAGGGGCGTTGAACCTGAGTGCGCTAACTTTCAGGCCACAGTAGGCTGTGCATCGGGAATGTCTCAGTGAGCAAGTGTAGTGTGTACATGGAACATTGAGCGAGGCCGTCGCGTAATTGTTGAGCGCGTCGAAAGCTTCAGCACGGGCCTACGTCAGTTGTCAGTCCCCGAATTTCGAAATCGGCCTACGAAGAGAGTCCTATTCACCCACCAACCCAAGCACAAAGTTCAATCCCTCCGCACCCAAGCGCAAAGCACAATCGCCCACCATGCCAAAGGAAAAGAATTACAACCCCGTCCAAGAAACCAAAAAGGCCGAGAAACAGAAGCAGATCAAGAAGCAGAAGGCGAACCTCCAAGCGCAGCGCAATGAGAAACTTGCACGCAGAAATCCAAATCGCATACAGCGCGATATCGACAGCCTCAAGGAACTCGATCAGAATGGCTCAATACGGCCACATGAGAGGCAGCGGTTACAAGAATTAGAGAAAGATCTTGCAGCGGTGAACAAGGCGAGAGCAGCATTGGGTGACAAGGCGCCAGTATTCAAGCCGGAGAGACGATTCGACAACGACGATGGTAGGGAGGAGAGGGGCGGTAGAGGAGGCTTTGGAGGAGCAAGAGGAGGGAGGGGTGGTGTGCTCGGCAAGCGGACTCGCGACGGGCAGAGGAAAGAGGATGATAGTAGCGACACGGACGCTGATGTTGGAAAGATTCCTATGCCGCGCGATACACCTCCACCAATTCCACGACGATATCAACAACAACAATCACATGGCGATGATGAGGCCCCCACGGAACCAAAGAAACCTACCATCGTCTACGAGGCCGCACCACAAGTCCGCGACTTCTTGAAGGAAGCTACCAAGTTCATGCCCGCATCTGTGGCGCAGAAGATGAAGCTTGCGAAGGGCGAGGGCAGGTTGTTAGAGCCAGAGGAGTTTGATAAGCTGAAGGAGGAAGGGTATATGGATATAAGCTTGAAGAAGCAAGAACCGGGTACAACAGTGGAGCCAGGTGCCGAGACAAATGAAGAGCTTGAGCAATTCCTGAAGGAGCAGGGTGCGACAGCTCACGATGCTGCTGAGCTGGCAGTCGAAGCAGCGATACAGGAGGCAGAGCACACCATGATGGCTGCTGAAGAGAGAGGCAAGATAGCGACTGTGGGCGAAGAAGCAGAGGTTGCGGAGAAGAAGTTGAGGCAGGTTGAGATTGAGGACGTTGTGGATGAGGACCTTTGAGGAAACAGTAAAACGCTCCTAGGTCGATGGGGAATACATCTTCGTGTGAAATGCGAACGTGGAGAGACTAGATCAGGAGCAGTGAAATTTGTGCTGGCAACATGAGCGGAAGGAACCTTGGAATGTCATGGTGTGCGCAACCTGGAATCAACATGAAGGCACGAGCATGCACACAACACAGGCAAAGGAGCAGTTTGCGTTCAGAATCTCATTTCATTCGTTCATAGGGTATAGTGATACAGGCAAAGGTAAGTTTGTATCCGCTAATTGTCAGATTCCACCTAACACATGAAGCTGTGGTTCATCCTCAGTGTTGTCAAAGACCCGTCCTCTGTCGAAAGTAGTCGCCTACTTCTTGTTGCCAGTAGCCGAGTTGAAGGTATCGGTGACGGCCTGGCCAGCGTTGCCGAGACCCTCCTGGACGGAGCCGAGAACGCCTTGGCCTTGCTCAGATGCCTCATCGCCGCCGGAGCGGGCCTTGTCGCCGACCTTCTGTCCGGTTGACTTGTTGCCCTCTATGAAAAAGTTAGTGTAAAGGAACGAGAGAGGTGGGATGAGAGTACATACCAGGCTGAACGGCACCAGCGATACGGTCACCGGCTCCAGTGACAGACTCGCCGGCCTTGTCGAGAGTAGACTTCTGGCTGTCGGGAGTGACTCCAAGGTGTTAGCATGTGGAAAGAGGCAGTGGGGGCTGAGTGGTGCTCACTCTTCTCCGAGGCTTGCTCGCCGAGACCCTTGCGAAGGTTGTCAGACATGTTGATTGCGGTTGGTTGGAGGGTTGGGTTGGGTTGGTTTGGAAGTGCTTTGTCAAAGTTGGATTGAGTTTAGAGTGTGATGAAGGTTGGAAGAAGTTGTTGCGAGAGCGGTATTATATACCCAGGTGAGGGCAGTGACGGCTGCCTTCGGTGACGAGCTACGAAATCTGTACGTCATGTCTCGCAAGCAGCAGCAGCAATGGTGTAAAGCTTGTAACCGGCTCGTTCACATGTGTCCTTGCTAGGGTGTCAGCGGTTGGTGCTGGGGTGGATGACCATTTTAGCAGCCACATCTAGCCCACGATTGGTAGATGGGTGCATGCAGTATGGGAAAGTAGGCATGATTGATGGACTTTGCGCCTTTTCCATGGCAATCGCGTCATGGCAAACGGCTGGAGGGCCACCTGTTCCAGATGGCTCTAGCTAGGCGGAAGGATGCTGCCCCGCTATGGTGAGATGCGATACTGAAGGAAGGTGGTTGTACCCCGCTCACGTAACGCGCAGCACGAAATAGTAGCGTAGCACGTGATCGACGTCATAGCGACTGTGCTATGCTATACTATCTACTCTATAATACTATACTATGCAGCGACGGACCGCGGTACGGATCATCGGCTCAACAACTCAACGTGGCAGGAGAGCACAAGAACACAACATGCAGCATATGCACGAGCAACTGTTGTGTATCACTTGCCTACGTTTCGTTGCACAATGCTTAGCGAGACTCTTCTTGCCCCACTAAATGCAGGTTTGAGAGACGTCGCAGCCCATGCCACTTTTCATATCATCTTACCGACCACGGTGGCGGCATAGTTTGTCGATCGAAATAGGGCAGCAGGGCCTGAAGGGTCTCGATTCTCGAATTCTCGGATTCTCCCCCTAGTCCCCCCATCCTTTTTTTGGAGCGCATGGTGGTTGAGATCTGCTTCGCCCAAGCCGGGCCTGCCCAAGCACCGCCATTGCCCGAATTCCACAGCAGGTCTGACTGTCACCAAAGCTGCAAGGAAACGTCATTTTCAAGTCTTCTCAGAGGGAGAGAATGTGTGGTAAGGTAACACTACTTTTCTTGTTGCGCAGCTGGCCTTGACCTTCTGCTTGCTGCGGTCTCGGTAGACCAGGCAGGCACAGTCAGATGCCTCTGCCAGCAACCAGCCAGTGCCCATGAGGTTGACATCATCGCTCAGTTGTTGAGGCATGTGAGCACGATCTGCGAAAAAAATTGTCATCAACAATGGGGATATGTGGATGGATCTTCAGCTGGCAAATCTTCGAAAGAGCTTGGGCGCTTCCCTGTTCCTGGTGCATTTGTGCAACCCAAGATGCTGCCAGAGAGTGATAAGTGATTGTTTAGTAGCACTCTGATGCTCTTAATTTCGCCTTGGCCTCCATCTCATTGCACTTTCGACGTGCTCTTGCTGTCTCGCTTATAGGATCGTCGTATCCAGGTTACCCGCCCTGAGGCTGTGCACAATGTCCTAGTCTATACTTCTGCTCGCCTAGACCTCAACTGGGATCAACTGATCTTCCGGGCCTTTAAAAAATATGACCAATCAGGGCTCCCCACAACGTATATCCGTACCAATGGTAGTCTTCGACATCCATCCCCTGTGTTTCAGAACATACTCCACCAAGGAGGTCTTTCTCGACAACGACCGTATCGTCGCATGCGATAGGGTCCACGTCGCTCAGGCACCAACAGCGCTCATTTCGCTCCCCGGCTGCACGGCGCCAAAAGTATCATCATATGTCGGGGAAGACCGCCAACGACTACCAGCGAGTCGCCCAGTACAACCGCTCGCCATGATTCACCGTGTCTCACTAGCCGCGAGGACTCCTTGCTGGCAGTGTACGAAGGCTTAATACTATCGGTAGTAATCCAGAAACTAGAACCTGTCAGGGTCGTGATAGGCAGCTTGATCGACTTTTGACAGGTTTGTTTGTATCGACAGTGGATCAGGTTCTAGCCCGCCAACGTTGCACTCCATCTTTCACACGTCAATCTGGGTTTGGCACTGAGTCGTCACCCCTTGGCCGACCCCCTGGATGTGTTTCGTTGTGTTGCGATCATGGTATTCTGTGGAGACATAAAACCAAGAGTGTCCCTTCTGTCTCGCAAATTCGTCTTTGACTATATATCTACGCTTGAACCACATCTCGGGCTCCAATCAAAGAAGGTCTACCACACTTTTACACACTTGCTCTCAAAATGAAACTCTTAATATCATTGTTGCTTCCTCTGTTATACTCCAGTCCTGTCTTCGCCGACTACGCAGATGATGCAAATGCAGCCATCAAAACGCTACAAGACAAGTGGTATGATGCTAATACCGGCCTTTGGTAAGTGCCTACTTCCCCCAACACTATTACTCTTTCTGACATCACAAGGGACAAGCTCTGGTGGCAATCAGGAAACATGGTCGAAACTCTCGCCCGCTTCGGCCTCCAAGACGCTTCCTTCAAGCAGACCGCCGTAGACATCGTTTCAAACACATACGCGAAATCTGGAAATCAGCTAAATGCAAAAGCCTGGAAGAACGATTTTTACGACGACATGGGTTGGTGGGCTATGGGTTGGATTGCTTCGTATGATTTGACTGGCGATGCCAAGTACCTTAATACAGCGAAAGACCTTTTCGAAGATATGACGGGCGGATGGAACACACCTTGCAATGGTGGCATATGGTGGGACAAAGACCACAAATCCATCGCCGCTATATCCAACGAGCTTTTCCTCGCAGTGGGCGCAAGTCTAGCGAACCGCGTTAGTGGCCAAGAGAAAGAATATTACAAGAACTGGGCGCAGATGGAGTGGGATTGGTTCTTCGAGTCTGGCGTTATCAGCCCAAATGGACTCATTAATGATGGTATTGACATCAAGAGTTGCAAGAACGACGGCAAGACGACATACACATACAACCAGGGCGTTATCCTCTCTGGCCTATCTGAACTCGCGCGCGCAAAGTCCGACGGCGGATTCATCCAGCACGCGTATAACATTGCCAATGCAGCGATGTCGCGGCTCAGCGAGAACGGCATCCTGACCGAGCCCGTCAGTGGGCCTTTGGACAAGCAAGGCGCGCAGTTCAAGGGAGCTTTCGTCAGAGGCCTATCGCTTTTGAACGAAAACGAGCCGCAGCAGTCGTTCACGGCGTTTCTGAAGAAGAATGCTGAATCGGCTTGGTCACAACCCAAAGTCGACAACGGTGTCATTGCCGATCGATGGCAAGGCGGAAGCAGTAATGCTAATACAGCTAGTCATGCGGCGGGGATTGATATTCTTGTTGCTGCTGCACAAGCTGCTTAGAAGCACGTCGGAGACAAATTGCGATCTACGACGAGGTTTGCTTCATTATTAGAGTCCTTTGGCATGAGCGGACTAATGTTTTGTTTTTCACAGCTCTCACTTTGTGGTACGGTCCCCTTTTGGCTGCGGACGTCCACGACTTATACCCTCTATTGTGAGCTTTTTTTAGTACCCCCTTCCGGCAGCATGTTGTGCAGCTAGGATTTTCGGGTTTATTATGATGTTATGAAAACCAACCGATCGTTACATCCTGTTTTAGGATCGAAAGACTTAGTTAGACACCCCTTCTTTAATCTAGTGTCTTGTACTCTTGATAGTGTTCGCTCCATCTCATCTCGTTCTCGGTGGTGGTTAAGCTTTCCCTGCATGTTGTTACGGAGCCGGGATCTGCCTGCATAAGGAGTCTTATGCATTGTGGTACGAGGTTACCGAGACCACAAAGTTTTATGCTTTCGAAGCGAAAGACTCTCGGCTCTCGGCATGCGTGAGTGTTACTCAAGAACTGCATCAATATTGATTTAGTCCCGTTTTCGATTTTGGGGAGTGCTCTTCCGCGGAGTTTTTATTCTCTTATCGCATGGATGACGGCTTTCGGGTCGGATATGTTGTTGTGTGGGTTGGGTTGATGTATCCTCCTTTTTCTGGCGAATCGCTGTTACCGCCCTCCTTTAATCATGCTAATTATACGTGTTATGGCGGGAATCTGATGCACAAACGGGTGCATTTCGATACGATTTGACACCTCTTCTGGTATGTGTGGCCAATCAGCACCCTTGGGTATATTTCCAGAATCTCTTCTTCCCTTCGCTTGCAGAAGACTCTATCGTGATTTGCGTAATCTATCCTCTCTTGCTATCGAGACCGTAGATAAGGGTTAGAAGATTCGCCTTTAGTGCTGGAATCCGACATGGTCTTGATATAAAGAGAAGCGTTAGCGCCAGCGGGACGGCGCACTTGCTATGACACCCGCGAACAAGCGTCTGCATCATGCATCCCACCTCCCAGTAATATTTAGAAAAAGTCACATGTTCTATTCACCGAGTCTACCGCATGTAGGTATTGAAAATGATGGGAACGTGGTCGGTCGATCCAGCACTTGCCTAGCTAGGCTCACACGGGTTCGGTATCAACGCTACCAAAGTAGATTAGCTAATAAACTATTTCAGCCGATAAACCACCCTAATATTAAAACAAACTTAATACATTATTTTTAAACTATAATATATTTACTACTAATAATCTAATTTTAGATGCAATTGCAGCAATTAATTTATAAAATTTTAAAAAATAATTTTTATACTACATAGCTATAAAAATATTTAATATTAATTAAATTACTTTAGCGCGCTAATACTAAAAAAAAATGCAATTAAATATAAAAAAAGTTTAACAATAAATATATTTTAATTTATAATAAAAATTAAAACTTATATAATATATATAAAGTTTATTTAAACACAGGCTTATACTTATAAAAGCTATAATAAAAAATTTTGCCTTTAAAGTATTAAAATAAAAAATTTTTAATATATAAATTACGCAATTTTTAAAAAAATATTATAATATTTTTATTTTTAAATATACTACTAAAATTAATTGCAAATAGCACTTAGCTAATACTAAGCATAGCTATAAATTATATTTTAACTTTTTTTATTTAAAAATTTAAAAGTATAAAGTTAACGCGCGCTATATTTATAATATAAATAAAAAAAAATTTTTTATTAGCATTACTTTATATTTTAAATAAGTTTTTTTAAAATAATTTTAAAAGTAAAAATAAATTATAACAGCTTTGCAAAATAGTAATTAAAAATAAATAATAATTTTAGTATATATTTATGTAGATAAAAGCGCAGTAAATCTAAATATAATTTTTAAAAAAAAAAAAAAATTTTATAATATTTAGTTACGCAATATAAAAGCAAAAAAATATTAAATTTTTTTTATAATAAGTTTTTTTAAATAGTCTAATAATAATATTAGTTTAGCCTAGCTTAAATAAATTTTTAATTAGTATATAAAAAGCAAAGCATAAGCAAATTATAAAATTTTTATTTTTAATAGTTATAGCAGCTACTTTATTACTAATTTTATAAATTTTTGCAACGCTAATAAAATCTTTTTAATAATATTTTTTTTTTATTTAATTTATAGTTTATAACTTTTAAATATAGTACTTTTTTTACTTTTTTTAATTATTTATTTAACTAAGCTTGCGTACTACTTTTATTATAGCTAAAGCTTTATTTTTATAAATAAAAGCAATTTTTTCTTATTATTTTAAGCTATTTATAATATTATATTTATTTTTATAAATATACAAAAAGCGTTTAAAGCTATAAGCATTAAGCTACTTAATATTAATATTATACTATAATAATTTAAAATACAACTATAACAGGAAGATTAAAAGTTAATAAATAGAAAAAATAATAATAAAAATACTTAGAACTAGCTTTGCAATTTATTTAAAATTATTATAAAAAATAAAGTAAAAATTAAAGCTAAATAATTAGGCTTTATACTATATTTTTTTTAAATATAAAATAAGTTTTTTTATTATAAAAATAAAAGTTTCTACAATACGCTTTTAACTAAAAAAAAGTATAAAAGTAAAAGTAAATTTTTAAATTTTTAATAGTATAAAAAATTTTATAGCGCTATAGTATTTTAAAATTTAAAAACTATTTAAAAAGCTTATATACGCAATATAATTGTTATATAGACTTTGTATAGCTTGCTGCATAAAAAACAATTGCATAAAAAAAAGGCGTCCTTTTATGTACATATTATACATTTGGAACTGCTGCCTGTAGCTCCCTACTTTCAACTATTACAAGCTATTAATAACTATATAAAATACTATAGTTTTTAATTTTTTACAAGCTAATTTGCTAAACTAGAATTTTAATTAATACTTTGCATGCTGTTACTAATTAAGTTGCTTACTTTTTTTATTTAGGAGAATGTTAGTTAAGGTGCAAGCTTATTACTAAATTAAGCTCCTAATAGCAGGCTAAGTATTTATCTGTAGTTTAATAAATAATAATTTTTATATAAAGCTTAAGAACTTAACTAAATGCCCTGCTTATAATAAATATTAATTAACTTGCCTAGCATTGCCTAAACAAGTTAGTTACTATTAAGAGTTAATAATTATATTGCTATAATTTTTAAATAATAACGCATTAGGTCTGCTAATGGCAATTATTAGTTTTAATAATTTATTTAGCTAGCCTAATATTGTGTAAACTTTACTGCTTTAATACTATATTAAGGTACTAGGTATAGCACCTAAACTATAGTTTTATACTAAATTTTCTTACTGCGTTGTATAATCCGCTCTAGCGTTGACTTTACTTTTATTTATAAAAATATGCAATATAATAAAATAACGCAAAAATAAAGCTAAATAATTTTAAAAAAAAAATAAAAAAATTAAAAGCAATAGTAATGTTATACAAAAAGAAAATTATAAAAAAAATAAAAATAATATAATTATTTACTAAAAAGCGCGCTGCAAAAAAGCGCGCAGTAATAGTTTAAAAATAAGCTACTATATATACGCAAAAGTAATAAAAAAAAAAAGCTATAATTTTATAAAAATTTTATAATAAAGTAAATAAATATAAATAAATAATTTTATATTTTGCAAATTTAAATATAGTAAAGCATTATTATATTATAAATACTAAAAATAGTAGTTTAAATATATTGCAGCTATTACTGTTTTTATTTAAAACTATTACGCGCAGCTGCTAAATTAACTTTTTATAAAAATTTAAATAGTATAAATTAATTGCAAGCGTTTATTTACTAATATTTTAAAAAATTTTATAATAATAATTTTTATTAGTAGTTTTATAGCCTTATTTTTATAGATGGGTGACTTTTGTTAAGGTGGTTTATTGGCTGAAACAGTTCATTAGCTGATCTACCTTAGTAGTGCCTGCCCTGCTGATTGGACCCATCCGATCTTCGCGGACTTACTGGACGACCTTAGTCAACGAAGCAGATGCACGTCGATAAGACTGCAGCAGAACTAGCATCCACTCACAGATACGCTTCATCTCCATCTCTCCATCGGGCCTACAGCCTACATGCATACTGCTTCACCCGTGCCGCCTGCATGTATTCCGCTCTTCATGGTAGGTCGATTGCTCCGCGATTACACCGCTTGCAAGCCGTCTTATGTGTATCGTCATGCGTACTGTCATCCCACTCTATCAGGATATCCACTTTTTTTGCAATTTGAATGCTCTCATAATCCCATGTACAGCATGTTGCGTAATTGCCTTTCGCATCTCATGGCTTTCGGTACATATTGGGACTGTCAAGCCCAGAGGTAGCCCATCTATCATTCTTTGCCTCAATTCTTGATCATTCAAGCCTCATCATGGACTACGAAACGAGCAAATCATGGTCATGGCTACCGAAATTTCTCGGGAAGTCAAAGGCGGAGGAAGCAGATATAACACCCACCGAGCAAACATCACTACTACCGTCCTCCCCGCATGAGGAATGGTCTATCGGCGAGACCCATGAATTTGAGGACGAATCCGCATCGAATTTTCAACTGATCTTACAAGAGTTCTGGATCCTTCTGAAGGGTTCGTTACCTGTAGTTGTAGCATATGCGCTTCAGAACTCTTTGCAAACAATATCGGTGTTGATTGTAGGGCGTCTATCTCCAGAAGCTCTTGCCACAGCTGCTTTCTCCTACATGTTCGCAATGGCGACTGGGTGGCTCATCGCACTCGGAGGAACGACGGCGATCGATACTCTGGCATCTGCAAGTTTTACTGGAAGCAAGAATCCCCACGACCTTGGTATCATTCTGCAGCGTTCATTTATCGTTCTCCTGTTGTTCTACATACCAATTGCCATCATGTGGATCTGCTCGGAACCGCTATTCAAAGCACTTGGTCAGGAAGAATATATTGCACGCGACTCGGCTAGGTTCCTCTCTGTTCTCGCTCCTGGCGGGATCGGCTACATATACTTTGAGGCGGTGAAGAAATACCTACAAGCTCAAGGTACTTTTGACTTCCGATGGTAGATTTCCGCCTGCTAATACACACAGAAATTATGAGACCTGGAACCTACGTCCTTCTGATCACCTCCCCTTTGAGCGCGGGTTTGAACTACCTCTTCGTATATACTCTCAACATGGGTCTTCTGGGCGCACCGCTCGCTACCGGCATTGCCTACTGGGCGTCCTTCCTTTTACTTCTCGCCTATGCACGCTTCGTAGATGGCTGGCAGTGCTGGGGAGGTTGGGACCGCAAATGCCTACAGAATATGTGGGTATTTGCACGCCTAGCCTTCCTTGGAGTTATACACGTTGGAACAGAGTGGTGGGCATTCGAAATTGTCGCACTTGTTGCTGGCAAACTTGGCACTATACCGCTGGCTGCGCAAAGTGTAATTATGACTACGGATCAAGTTATGAACACTATACCTTTCGGAGTAGGAGTTGCCACCTCCTCGCGTGTTGGCAATCTCCTAGGAGCGCGCAATGCTAAAGGCGCTGCGCGAGCCGCCAACACTGCGGCTGTGTTGAGCATGATACTAGGAGCCCTGGTACTGGCGGTGCTCATGGGAGTCAAGGACTTCTACGCTAGGATTTTTAACGACGATATTGAAGTTATCAGGCTCACCGCAAAGGTAATGCCCTACGTCGCGCTGTTTCAGATTGCGGACGGCCTCAATGGCAGCTGTGGTGGAGCGCTTCGAGGAATGGGTAGACAACATATAGGGGCAACGGTGAACATTGTTAGTTATTACTGCGGAGCGCTACCACTAGGGATCTGGCTTGCCTTCCATGGTTGGGGTTTGGCAGGCTTGTGGGTTGGCCAATGCATTGCGTTGTACATTGTAGGTTTCGCAGAATGGGCGATCGTAGCATGGAGTAACTGGGACTACGAAGTCAAGAAGGCTTTCGAGAGGATGGATTCAGACGACAGGGCTGAGTTGGGTATGCCGGAAGAGATCACACCGAACGCTGTGTACCGGTAGCGCAGTTTGCAGGCATTATGGTGTGATTGAGGCAATTATGGGCGTACTAGCAAAAGTGCTTATTAGACAACAGTAAAATAGAGGTAAATAGCATCCCGAGTAATTCTGCGTAAAGTGTTAGAAATTGCTCGAAGTGGGCAAGCAGCGGGGCTAGTGCGATCATTATCTGGACCCCTGCACCGATTTGACCTTACCTCACACGCACAGGTACCATAGCTACTTCCAAGGTTTCCCCACGCTCCACACTCTGAAGTGCCGTTGATGACGCTCACGGTAGGTGAACTCATGAGCAGCGAACAGTGTGTCTTATCGTGAGCATGCATAGCCCCCTGCTTCACTTTTGACCGCCTATTGCGCGAGAAGAAGCAATATCGAACCAATGTGCATGGAAGCCAGCAGAACTAGCTCTTGCTATCAACAACTCAGCCTATGACAAGCCCTTCTACCGTTGGAAACGGCGTTACGTAGTCTACTAATCGGTGGTTTATACGTAAACGCTGCATCGGAAGCTCGCTACCCGCATAAGTCTATAGCTCCCCAGGATCTTGTGCCGCTTTAGATAAGACTGATACTGAAGAAGATTTGAAATGCTGAATATAACGTTTACGGCATGCTCCATGTGCCCTCTTACTGGTCAACTCCTCTGGTTCCATGCCCGTGGCGCCGTCATCGCACATGGCGGGGGCGAGCTCCACATCCACCCGCAACGCCCGTTGCATGCTCTGAACGTGACCTCTGATCAAATGGCTGCGAGCTGGGGAAGCTATCAAGATATTATCGTGGTGCAGACGAGGAGCATAAGTTGTTGCACATCTCTTGCTCAATCATCCGCACGCGGTACACTATGATTCTTCTTAAGGACCCAGAAAGCGCCATCTCCGAATGCTCACTATACCGATGGTGACCAAAATCCAAAGCTCACATCGATATTCTAACCGATCGGAGGAAAAATGGAGCTAGATTTGCATACGACATAATGGACAAGGGTAGCTCAAGCTGTTTACCTAACAGGAGCTGGTCAAGAGGTAGGCAGATACAGAGGGGTATGAGCTTCCCACAGCTATTTATTTCACGTTCCCGCGATCCTGTTGTTTCGTTCCGTCTGTAATATCCTCCGTTGCTTGCTTTTCAGCTTCAGAACCTGCAACAATGAAGCTTTCTTCAACTCTTCTTGGCTTCGCAGCTGCTGTCGCTGCCCATGGCGACCATGACCACGACCAAGAGCCATTGGCTGGCCCGCACGAGGGATTGTGGTACAATACGCTTCCTGGCGATGGTGGAAAACAAGTTAGGATTCCCAATCTCGAATTAGAGCTCTAGAACATCCATTGACCTCAGCACAGGCAGATTCCATCTTCTCCGGCATCTCCACGTTCGGCCGTCTCAAGTACCACCCATGTCTTTCTAGCGATGTGAAATACGACATTGCGTTCATCGGTACTATATCCTGTACTTGTGGATCTTTCGCCAGTTGACAACTTGTAGGCGCTCCATTTGACACTGGCACGTCGTACCGTCCAGGGGCCCGCTTTGGGCCCAGCGGCATTAGACAAGGTTCTCGCCGGCTCAATCTCTAGTATGTTTCATTAAGCAGTCGAGTGCTTACTTTTGGGCTCCCAAGGCTCACGCAAATTGGGATTTAGTGGCGGCTACAATGTTCCGCTCAAGGCAAACCCTTTCAGCTCTTGGGCAAAGGTCATCGACTGTGGAGACATTCCGGTGACATCGTAAGGAACCCGCTTTCTTATGGAAGCATGTTTGGAAGTCAAGGGTAGCACAATTAACTTTACCATAGGTACGACAACGCCTATGCGCTGCAGCAAATTGAAGAAGGCCACAACCTCCTCTTGAGCCGCGCTCCATATACGCATGCTGATAAGCCGGGCCCATCCAAGAAGGGCACGACACTTCCACGACTGATCACACTTGGTGGTGACCATACCATTACACTTCCCTTGCTGCGCTCCATCAACCGGTGAGTGTGCGCACCACAACTAGATCCGCAACAGCGAACTGACCACGAATGAAAGGGAATACGGCCCTATCAGTGTCATCCACTTCGATAGTCATCTGTAAGCTCCATAAAGTCCAACACCCGATCAATAACTAATCGTGCAACCAGTGACACATGGAAGCCCAAAGTTTTCGGTGGCGCTCCCAGCGAGCAAGCCAGTATCAACCATGGAACATACTTCTACCATGCAGCGCAAGAAGGCCTCCTCGCCAACGACTCTAACATCCACGCCGGCATCCGCACGACGCTGTCTGGACCCTCCGACTACGAGAACGATGGATATTGTGGCTTCCAAATTGTCGAGGCCAGGGAGATTGATAAGATTGGTACTGATGGTATCATCAAGAAGATCAAGGAGAGAGTCGGTACTACGAAACCTGTCTACCTGAGTATTGATATTGATACCCTTGACCCTGCTTGTGAGTTGCCGTGCCGTCTATAACAACCAGCGAGGCTGACCCAGATGTATAGTTGCGCCTGCAACTGGCACGCCTGAGACTGGAGGCTGGACCACGCGCGAGCTTCGCACCATCATCCGCGGTTTAGAGGGTATCAACCTCATTGGAACCGACATTGTCGAGGTCGCTCCCGCTTACGACACCAATGCTGAATTGACGACCATGGCCGCTGCTGTAAGTAGCAGGCCCAATATCTGTTGCTTAGGTACTGACAGTGGGTAGGATGTTCTGTACGAGGTTATGACTTTGATGGTCAAGAAGGGACCCCTCAGCGAACTAGGCAAGCAAGAGACAATTGAGCTATAAGATGGAAAGATGCTGGATGTAGTTAATAGACGTTAAACAAACAAAGCATGGTGTGTTCTGGAGCGGAGCTTGGGGAAACAGGGTCCTGTTGACTGTAGAGCGGACTGCGCAGGCAGTATTTGCGGGACGAGCAGGGTATAGGTGACGACAAAATACAACTGCATTCGAGAAAAGGTGTCAAGACTAGTCATTCGATTTGTTATTTTGTGTCTGGTATGAGTCGGGATGACAGGTCACGCTGCGAAGTACAGAGGGGCGAAGGAAATGATCTTCGCGATCGCCAGCCAACCACACGCTTTGGCTTGGTAATGGCACCTTGTGCCGGGATTTGCCGCAGATGACATAGGCTTCACGAATTCAGCAACAATCACCCGTCGTCCCTCACCATTCCTCTTCACAATACACGTGCTTGTTTGTTTTAGTAGCAGTATATCTCAGAAGACAACCCTTCGCCATGTCTGTATCACGCACAGCTGGAGCGCTCGCCCGTTCCTCAAACTCCACATACTTACGATTCGCCGCTCCATCATCAACTCCCCGCCGATGTTCGCAATGTCTCCGCAGCTTCTCCTCATCGATACAGTACCGCCAGTCGTCGAAGCGACAGATGCAGACTGCGACGGCGTATCATCCTGCGTCGTTATTCCCCGAGCCGCCACCACGTAACGCCCGTGTGCCAGATACTTCAATAGCCGGAGGCGTACCCGAGGCAAATCAGTCAATTCCCTCACGATTGTCTCATCAGGACCGCAGTGCTGCTACCCATCAAGAGCAGCCATTAGTCAGCATACCAGAAGGCGAGGCGCAAAAGCCACAGCCAGCAGCTGCTCCCAACAAGTCTCTCCGACCGCGACGCTACAATTTCGGGCCCCGAAAAGCGACGATCAAGCTCTCACCATCCGCCGTAGCACATCTACGAGAGCTCCTCGAACTCCCCGAACCAAAGCTTATACGGATAGGCACAAGGGCGAAGGGCTGTTCGGGGTTGGCATACCATTTAGAATACGTGGATAAGCCGTCCATGCTCGATGAGCAGGTTGAGCAGGATGGTGTCAAGGTTTTGATTGACAACAAGGCGCTGCTGAATATCATTGGGAGTGAGATGGATTGGCTTGAAGACAAGCTGAACCAGAGGTTTATTTTCAAGAACCCGAATATCAGTAAGTCCTTTCGTTCGTTTGAGATCTATGAATGGAGAAGCTAACAAACGACAGCGGAACAATGCGGCTGTGGAGAATCTTTCAGCGTATCATGATCCCCTTACGACTTCATAAAGGAGATTCAGCATCATTTGGAGCAGCATTACCGGCGTTATACCCCGGCATATCATTTTCAGCATGCATCAATCGTTTTAGAATGCTCTCATCATTACCATAAAACCTCAGAACGTCCCTGGCTCATAATCTACGACCTTCACCCCCTGCGCAACTTCTAGAACGAACTTGCCAAACTCTTGGTGGGCAGGGTCTTCGTTCACATAGTAGTCTCGGTCCTCTGCGCTCGCAAACTCGACGACGAAGCCGTGTGTAAAAGCGCCCTAGATCGGGATCAGGATTCTCATCTCCAAGAGGGTTTAGGGGGTATAATTCACGGCATGGCCTTCGGGGCTGTTGTTCTTGCCGCCCGAGAACGACTTGATGTAGGGTTGCCTGGAAGTTGGGTGGAGGCACTTTTCGTGAAGTGCTAGCATGCGCTTGCATGCCTGTATATTGTTAGTGTGGATATCATGTATGATAGGACCGACTGTATGACATACTTCATCGACCTGTTCATAAGTAGCTGTGGGTTTCCACTCGAATAATACGATGTGAACAACTGTCATTGTGTATATATGAAAATCTTCGTTGAGTACAACTGTCCTCTGGGAATGGATGAGTACGGTTCGAGATGGGGTTAGGTATGGGGCTTCGGATGTATGACCTCAGAACGCTAGCTAGCTCCGGACTTCCGTGTACCCTCAATCGCGACAGCCCGCACGACCATACATTACTATTCCTCCATGATATTCTGACGGCAGAACTACTACCTTGCTTACAACACGTCATGCCGAGTCGCAACTTCTGCGCCTTCGTCAAGCGGCCGAGCAACCAAGCTGCACTACCTGCCCTTGGCTTCCACCACAAGTCACCATCTCGAAGATGAGCAACGCGATGGCTCTCCCCGAGCAACTCATATACCTAATTATCCGCTTCACAGCGTCTGTGCCTGACTTGCCACTGTCCATAAACACGCCAAGAACAACGACTACGCTGTCCCTCAAGCAGCTCATCCGACAAACCCTACCGCCTAACCACGCCTCCGCGCGACTACGGTTGATATACGCAGGCAAAGTCCTCGCTGACACTTCTCCGCTGTCTACATCTTTGAGGCTAGCGCCACCCCCGCGTCCTCCGCCGCGCGATGGATCGTATGATGAGAATGGGACGGGACGCAAGAGTAAAGGGAAACAGCCGTTGCGGGAGACTCCATCGGTGGAGTATGGTACAACTGCAGACATACCATCTGAGGCGAAGAAGTACTACATACACTGCTCTCTAGGCGATGCGCTGTCCCCGTCCGAACTCGCCAGCGAAGCCACCCTTGCGCAAAACACCGAGATAGCGCTGAAGTCACAGTACGAAACGTCGCCAACGCGGCGCCGTACCAGCAGCATCAGCGCAACTGAGAGCGACGATGCCCGACGAAGACGGAGCTCAACAACCACGGCACCCCAACCGCAAGCCCAAGGCTTCGACCGCCTCTTGTCCTCTGGCTTCACATCCGCCGAAGTAGCGTCCCTCCGCTCACACTTCCAAACCAACCTCTCCTTTACCCACACGCCCGACACCATGCCGTCTCCTGCACAAATGCGCGTGCTCGAAGACCAGTGGCTGGACAGCTCTGCCAACGACCCGTCTGCCTCTCTCGCTGGCTCGGATGGAACTGGCACTGGGGACGCTGGGTGGGGCGCGGGCTTTGCTGTGGAAGAGGGTGGATTAGATGACATGTTGTGGGGGTATATGACAGGCTTCTTTTGGCCCCTGGGGAGCTTGGTGTGGGGATTTAGAGAAGAAGGGGTATGGACTAGAAGGAGACAGGTGGCTGTTGTTATGGGGGTGTTGATCAACGCAGTCTTCGGGTTTATGAGGTGGAGTGCTTAGGAGGCAACGAGTCGGACTGAACTATAAGAGGTTGGTTGCACCAGAACGTGTTATGATTCAGGAGTGATACTGTATTGCTCTTATTTTTAAGAACTAGACATGGTCTTCGTCTGAATATGACTATCACTTTTTTTTGTTAATAAAGGGACTTCACAGATGATGACATGGAATCTCTCGGCACATCTTAGGGCTAGAATAACTTTGGTAAGTTCGCAAGTAACATTCGAAAGCGTAGAGCCTACTAATACTAATTAGGTTATCCCATGCTATCACTAACTGTGCATTCACCAAGGCGTCATCGAAAACATATTTCAAGGAATGATCATTACATTAACTACTGGGCATTATATCCATCGTATCAATCGTGGTATACACACGAGATTCCCGGATCCAAAAAACGCCTTATGCCCTGTACCGCCAAAACAAATGGTATATAGCGGAATGCTTCAAAAAACTTTTGCTTTCTCTCGAGTCACCGCCTGTGGTCGTGGCTCTCCCTGTCATTTACCCCCTTCATTCAATGCTTAAAACCCGTACATGGTCTCGTAGGCCGAGTTGACGCTCCGGTGGTGCTCAATGGCCTTGGTCTTCAGCGCCTTCCAGATTTTCTGGTAGTTCTTGGGCGCAAGGGCTTCCTCCTCGTGCCTTTCCTGCTCTACGCTTTCGCGTGGCGAATGCGCGGCAGAGTTGGAGCGAGATGAGGCTGTTGATACGCCGGGCGAGTAGAAGACGGTGTAGGCCTCGTTCATTTCTTGGTGGTGCTTTTTGATGGCTTGCCATGCCTTTGCTGCGTTGGTGGGGTTCTTCTTCTGCGCTGGCGAGGTGATGGAGTTGTTGCGCGATGTCTCAGTGGATGGGTGAGAGTAGTAGATCTCGCATGCGGCGTTCATGCTCTCGTGGTGGGCCTTTGCGTGAGCCGCAACGGAGGAGAGGATTGATGGCATTGTGAAGTTGTGTTGGTTTGGTGGTTTGGATTGTCGAAGTTGATTGTAGTGGTATTGATCGACTGAATGCTTTGCTGTTTGATGCCCATTGCACTGCGCTACCTACCCGTCTCTTTATACCACCTACCCACCCTACCCCAGATGTCCTATGACCCCGCCAAGCATCACCAGTCCCATCGTCAAACTGCTCAAGTCATCAGAATTTTACTCACCACGCCTTGCACATGTCGTCCTGGATCGATCGCAACATGGAATAGAATGCAATCCGAGAGTCTCATTGGTCAAAGAGCTTACAAACCCACAGATTTTGTCAGCAAACACCTCAACGAGGTCTGTGCGACAGGACTTATGACACCTGGGACTGGACGGTAAGCCTGCATGCGTTTTCCGAAGGCGTCACAGGTGCCTTTCCCGACGGCGGCTAATTTTGGTTCAGGGTAGGCGTTGTGTCATGTTGAAGGGAAGAGATTTTGGACATGTCCTTTGGAGGCAGTCGGCTAACACTTAACGGCATGGCGGTGGAAAACTCTGTTATTGGCTGTCGCGGCGGCCAGCCAGCTGCCCCGTAATTAGCCGAGGGTTGGCCAGCGCAGTGTCGCAAGACTATTCTAGATTCCGGCGTAGCATGACAAGTGGATGCTTGTACGTAAATCTCAAGTGATATTTTTCACGATGTCCGTTAAGTGTTAGAGGACTGCCTTTGGAGGTATAGATGGGAAAATTTGCCTTTGATGAGTGTTTGATCTCACGATCGGGAGTTGATGTCGTGGTGTAAGGAGAGGATGGTGACATGGATGCAACATCAGTCTAGACCCCGAAGGATTCCTGGAGCTCGTGAGGATCGTGTTCTCGCGAAATGAAGGTGTCGCATACTTGTGATGATTTCTCCTACGTGGTCTGCGATGCGCTCACACACAAAGATCTCGATCACTCACGTGTTCAACCCCTTTCCACCAACCCCTCTCCCTCGACTGTTATGACGCATGTATTTGGAGTACCAGCGCATTTCCATTTTCTGTTTCTATTGAAAAGTGACAAAATTCCGATGGGTATATTGTGATCCAAGTTCCTTAACGCATTTCCCCGTCATACCAGCTTTCGAAGTTCAACCGCCAAATAACCCCCACCACAGCAATATCAGTAGCCCTTCCAGCCAGCCATTTACTACAGTACATCTATACTGCAATTCTGCACCGCCAGGCACCGGCTTGTCAGTTGGATACGCCAGTCCGGTAGCAGTCGTTTGCCCTGCAATACCAGCTCCGGCGCCTCCACCACTCGGTCTCCTAGTCAACGTCACAACCGTCGTAACCGGCTGCAGTACGCTCGTGGTACCCTGCACAACAACCGCAGTTCCAGCGTGCTCGAGGCTCAACGTTGTACCGTCTACCGTGATGGGGTTCCCACCAGGAATGAGTGTTGTACCGTGGCCAATGACTATGTAGCCTGCGCGGTTAGCCGTGTATACGTGGCTGTGGAAGGTGAGTGCTGCAGGCATCTCGGTGGTGTACACAACACCGAGAGGTGGAGTGAGTGTTGAAGTCTTGCCATTGATGACGAGGGCTGTTGCGGAGGGGGTGAGGGATATAGTGGTTCCAGAGACAGTGATCGCGGAGCCGCCAGGTGCTAAGGTTTGTTCTGAAACTATGTAGTTAGTCTGCGCATTTGGGGTTATAGTTGCAGTGCCGATGGTGAGTACTGGTGGAAGCGGAACAGGTGCATTAGTGATTTGCGGGTTGGCTACCTCTGGTCTCATTGGGATGGTTGTAGTGCCCACGACGACCTCGGTCCTGCCCTCTGAGGTCTGGATTGCGACTGGTGTGTCATCTACAGTGATAGTTTGACCAGGAGTAAGAGTGGTGGAATCTCCTATCACAAAGTTGCCTCCCGTCGGAGCTTGTCCGACGACAACATTTGAATTGCGAACGGGTATAGTTGCTTTAGCCGGGCCCTCTGTGGTTCCCTGCTGTTCCTCAGCGGGACTGTCCAACCAGCCGGTCGCAGTGATTTCGACAACCGGCTGACATCCTCTGCATATTTTTGTAGCAGTGAAGTTTGGTTCGGTGATTTCATGGTGACCGTTGGGGTCTCCGACTTGTGTCGCTGCTGGGGGTATTGGTTTTAGCCCTTCATCAGTCGAGTGCATCACCGGTGTCCGCGATGCATTCACCGGAGATGGGCTGATAACAAGAGTGGCGTCCGTTGGAAGAGGCGCGGAAGGAATAAGACCCGGTCTTGAAGGAGCTTTAGATGTAGAAAGATCTATATTCGATGATGGTGGCGCTGAAGGTATCAAACCCGAAGGCGGTGGTTGCGACGGTATCAAACTCGTGGGAAGATGTGCTGATGGTATTATATCTATGGGCTCTGTCTGGGGTTGTGTAGGTGTGGAAGGTATAATGTCGGATCCTATACATCAGGACGAGCCACGGTCAGTCTTTGAATTTCAGATGCAGATTCCCAACTCACTTGGAGCTGAAGGTATAATCTCAAAACCTCCAGAGGGGCGGGTGGAAGCATAGCTGCTCGTCGCTACATTCTCAGGTTAGCGCAAAGAATCGAGGGAAGATGTGAAACATGAATCTCGAATGCGTACACGCTTGAGGTTGTGCAGATGCAACATATATCCATGTTGCGCATAAGCATAGAATGTGACATAAGGATAATGGGTAAGCCCGCCCGTCGGCTTCAGAACGGACGGTAAACATGATAGATGCGGGAGTTTGCTGTCAACAGCTCATTCTGCAGTAGGTACGACAACTAGAAGAAAGGAAATGTGCAACCTTACCACAAGTTAAAGTGGCAACTCAGCCTAGAGTATCAGGCGCCAAGCCATGAACCAGCAATCAAGGAGATTGAAATGAAATTCTCCGTATTTCCCCCATACGCCGGCGGCGACTGATGATCGAGGAAATAGTCGAGAAGGGTGAATAGCATCTACTTAGATTGCCCTTGATTAGGTCGCCGTAAACCCTAGTATGACCATTATGCCGATTGGAATAGTCCGAGTGTGGAGGTGGCTCAATGCTGCATTGGATAAATTGTACCCGGGGCTGTGATACGCCAACGGGGTGTATACCAGAGACCAGCCTCTTCCAGCCGGCTTAGCGAGCTTCGAACCTTGTCACATACCAGGTCCGCTGCAAAGACAGCAGATCTAATGCATTTGAGCAGAACCCGATTGCGCGGGTCTGTCGTGGAAACAACTGAGGATAGGTCAGAAAAGCATGTCTGCTAGGTTCGAAGAAATGGAAGCGCTACGTTCAAGTGGAGTTATTGGGTACAGGGGAAGTTTGCCTGACGTTGGACGTTGAGTCGCCATCTTGCGAGCCTATAGTAGGCGTTGCAAGTTAGACCAACGTTTACTGCCAGAGCATCACGGGCACTCGATGTATCGTGCTACAAGGCAAACATCTTGTCTCTCTACAATATAGAAGCACAAACGCTTGCTTGACCACATTTGATCGTTGTTGATAAAGATGACCATGGACTTACGCCGTCTCGATAAAATCACCTGGTAAGAGGCGCGCTACTGGTGGCCGCTGCTCCGGTCCGCGTGAGGATGGTAACATTCAACCGGTACTACTTAGCCAATGATCCTTCTATGCAGGATTGAAAGCCGGGTACAGGTATGTGGGGTCATCTCCGCGTACTTCCTAACGTTTCATTAGGGTTCCTTTGTAATCCTCTTTCTTGGCCGTAGTCCCTTAGCTAGCTTCATCAACCATACTGAAAGTCGATCTCCAGAGTCCTGTCGTTTGGCTGGCAATAAGGTACACCTTGCAACGGAAATAAGCGTCGCACTAAGCGTCATTGACCTTCGGTCGGCGATGCGGATGGGGCGGGAGACTCATGCATGCTGCCGGCAAACTGTCTGTTGAACCGGCTGGCCTAGTCGTGTAGCAATGGATCTCGGTATTACAAGCAGCGATTCGGATGGAGTGAAGCCTGCCAATCAATACTTCTCAGATACATTTTTTACTATTAAAGAACCTGAAGCTGCCATTAGTACATAGTTTCGGACTCGAGAAGCAAACTCTGTTAGGATTGGGTGCTCGATTCATATCTTGCTCGGCGAAGTCCAGTTCACCCACGAGCGCAAGTCGAGTCCAACAGCATGTCGACGACGTTGTGCTTTTCGTTTTTGCCGTAAGCGGGGCGTCGCCGAGCTGGGGAGCGGTGGGGAGACAGACAGGCCTGCCACTATTGGGATGACAGTGCAACGCTGAAGTAGCACAGTTGGGAGCGGAAGCCGTCTGCTTCCACCTATTTCTCACCTGATCAAGTTGACATGAATTGAATCTAACTTTTGTGTAAGCCAGTCACTGTATCGATTAGTCTTCCCAGATTCTGCCCCCCGTTGATGAATCGTCCGCAGCCGGGGTGCTCGTTCGCATTGTAATTATACCTCTGGGCTCGGGATGCAGGGCTGCATGATGCTCAGGATACTAAAGCATTTCCACACTATGGACTGGTAGTAAGTGTACAGCACTGGGTCCAAAAATACAATCGCACTGACGATGAATGGGCAGCGCACCTGCCTAGGGCGGAAGCGTCGTGGGGCTCGCTTACCTATCTAGCGTGCCAAGCCAACACACTTCGAAATCAGCTTTTGCAGCCCGCAGAACTTCGACTCTCAGCTCTACTAACCCCACGACAACACAGATTGCTCCAGAAGACACGACACAGGTACGCTATACAACAATCGCATCACGACGCTTTCAGGCCCAGCTTTGCGATATCGAGACCACGGTACCACCGACGCACCCCCATCTGCGCACACACCCAGAACGTATCGACGCACGCGAGTGCGAGAGACGGCCACACCATTACGTTCTACCGTGGGCGGCAGAGAGTGAGGCTTTGCTTGTACTGGTGGTCTCGATACTGCTGCGGCTTTGGAAAGCAACATTTGGAAGAGCACTGGCTAATTTGATTGTGGACAGCAGTCTTCTGACTTACTGCAATCATGGGGTATCTACCTTGACCCTCCCCTGTTCTTGACAACCATGACTGACCTCTACCAGTATCTCTCGCGACTCTCGCCACAAGCGCTCCGCTTCCGGTGCGAAGAGGGCATACTACCGCAAGAAGAGGTATGCATAACCCGATCGCTTCCAAAGTCATGTCTAACATGGCTTTAGGGCTTTCGAGAAGGGCCGCCAGCCTGCCAATACCCGTATTGGCGCTAAGCGTGTCCATCTTGTCCGCACCCGTGGCGGCAACCGCAAGTTCCGCGCTCTGCGTCTCGAAGCCGGCAACTTTTCATGGGGCTCTGAGGGCATCGCCAAGAAGACCCGTGTCATCGGTGTCGTCTACCACCCCTCCAACAACGAGCTCGTCCGCACGAACACCCTCACCCGCTCCGCCGTCGTCCAGATTGATGCGGCTCCTTTCCGACAATGGTACGAGGCCCACTACGGTGTCTCCCTCGGCCGCAGGAGGCAGGCCAAGGCTGGTGAGAAGGAGGAGGACAAGAAGAAGTCCAACGCCATCGTCAAGAAGCAGGCTGAGCGCCTGAAGGCGGACGGAAAGGTTGAGAACACCATCGAGAAGCAGTTCGAGGCCGGTCGTCTTTACGCCGTCGTTTCGTCCCGCCCCGGCCAGAGCGGTCGCTGCGATGGTTACGTTCTGGAGGGTGAGGAGCTTGCCTTCTACCAGCGTGCTCTCAGGAAGTAAGGTTGATATTTACGGCTTCTTCGGTGCATTGGTCAGGTCAAAATGGGTGTTTAGTCATGTATCTGGTCTGCATACGAGCAGGGCACTGAATGCATTCGGCGTGATATCGCCACTTCTCTAGATACCACGAGGCTATGAATCACGGGTTATCAAACGTTAAGTGATGTGCATATTCGATTCACACCATGCCCTGTACCCAACAAACTTGCTGCTTCCTGTCAATGGTGTCGCGGTCGATGAGATGTACTTCGTGCGATGGACGAAAGGAATGACACCTGGCTTTCTACCACAATATCCAATGCTGCAGTTGATCGTGCCCTAAGTTTAGGTGGCTGTTGCGTAGTGTAGTACTTGAACGTATTTCGTTGCCATCGAAGTAAAGCACACGAGCCAGCGTGTGACTACGTGTGATTACACGAATACGATTACGCTAAAGTATAAACAGCTCAACCTTGTTACAATTATTTTAAACCCTTCCAGGTTGCGAGCAGCCCAGTCGCGCATTGCGGCGGCACCTCGATGTTCAAAGCATTTTCGCTCCCGGTCGTCTCAAATTCACCGTTTCGCACGTGCTCAGAGCCATTGTGAGGCACTTGTTACACCACGAATCACCATCACAAGACATTGAAGCCGCGGACTTCACATGGAGATTTTATACATTAGATTGAAATTAGAAAGAATGTACAAGAACTAAAAACGCCAACTATGCATGCAGTCCCCAAGTTTGTGTGGTTCCGTTCGTCATTCTTCGTTCCCTCGTCCCGTTCTTGTTCGTCACATGTAAAGCTACTTCTCCGCATTGATCGACCGTCCACTCGGGATCCCCTCGAGTGAACCTCGGCACACAGCGTGCTATAGCTTCGCGGCCGCAACAGGTGAACCGACCTGTGAGGGCACAAGTTAGCTTTGTATTCACATGCTAGCATAAAGCTTGACGTGCAACAACAGGCAGTAGGTAGGATCATGACGCTTTTGCATTTTCGCTTACAGGCGTACCAAGATGCCTGGACATGGTATGATAAAGTTACAAGACAAGGATATCAAGCTAATAGGAAACGGTGCGACGAGTTTACAACTTCGACGCTCCCTTGGGCGGACCTACATTGGTAATCTCGTTGTAGAGCAACCTATTTCAAGTTAGCAAATTGTCTTCAAAACATACAAGACTGCAGACTTACGATGTCAAAAACTCAGCATAGTCCTCGCCTGTAACTTGGCCCTCGAAGTACTTCGCTGCGAGCGGGAATTTGTTTCCCTTGGGTGCCTTCGCGCCTAACTGCTGCGCCTGCTCATGTAGCAACTTGAGCGCATAGTCCTTTGTAACCTTCTTGCCCTCAGCGGTCTCAACATTGTGTCTTGTCCACTGCCAAAGCTGACTCCTCGACACCTCTGCAGTAGCGGCGTCCTCCATGAGGTAGTTGATAGGCACGCAACCAACACCACGGACCCAAGCCTCCATATAACTGAGGCCGATGTCAAGATTCTTGCGGATGCCAGCTTCGGTGATCTTGCCAGGTACATTCATGTTCAAAAGGTCGTTGGCGGTGATGTGGACATCCTCACGACGCACATGCATCTGATTAGGCGTAGGCATATGCTCATTGAAAATGTCACTTGCAATAGCCGCAAGCGCCGGGTGGGCAACCCATGTACCATCGTGGCCAGCGCGCACCTCACGGAGCTTGTCGGCACGGACCTTGGCCATGGCGGCGTCGTTGGCTTGCTGATCGTTCTTGATAGGGATTTGGGCTGCCATGCCTCCCATGGCGTGGACGCCGCGTCTGTGGCATGTCTTGATGAGGAGCTTAACGTACGAGTCCATGAAGGGTACCGTCATTGTGACAGAGTCGCGGTCAGGGAGCACGAAGTTGGGGTTTTGGCGGAAGCGCTTAATGGTGCTGAAAATGTAGTCCCAGCGGCCGCAGTTAAGACCGGAGGAGTGGTCGCGAAGCTCGTAGATGATCTATCAGGAGTCAGTATAATTCCAAATGGTTTGAGTGCAAGGGTGAAATACCTCGTCCATCTCGAAAGCAGCGGTAATCGTCTCGATCAAGACGGTACCACGGATAGTGCCACGCCTCATACCAATGTAGTCTTGCGCCAAGTTGAAGACATCGTTCCACAGCCTGGCCTCAAGATGTGACTCCATCTTAGCCAAGTAGAAGTATGGTCCGGTTCCGCGCTTGACGAGCTCGTGGGCATTGTTGAAGAAGTACAGGCCGAAATCGAACAGGCCACCGGAGATAGCCTCGCCATCAACTGTGAAGTGCTTCTCCTCAAGGTGCCAGCCTCGAGCACGAGCGATGAGGGTGGGTAGTGTTCGGTCGGTGCGAAGCTTGTACTCCTTCTCACCCTGCTTGAAGTCGACTTGCCTGCGGATAGCATCATGGAGGTTGAGCTGGCCATTGATCATGTTGTCCCATGTTGGGGCGCTCGAGTCTAGAGACCATTAGCTTCCGTCCTGCTCAAGCTTTCGTGAGACTACTCACCCTCAAAGTCGGCCATATATGTCCAGACATTCGAGTTTAGCGCATTGACGACCATCTTGCGGTCTGTTGGACCTGTGATCTCCACTCGCCTGTCAACGAGCCCAGGAGCTGGTGGTGCGCCCTTCCAAGCATCATTTTCGCGGATGTGCTTGGTCTCTGGGAGGAAGTCGAGGAGGTTGCCCTTGTCGAGCTCCGCTTGCCGAATCACTCGTCTTTGGAGCAGAGCCTTCCGGCGCTCATTGAATGTGCGGTGGAGAAGAGCGAGGAAGACAGCAGCATCTTTGCTAAGAATGTGACGGTTACTATCGTTCAGCTCACCGAGAATGTTCACCTCGCGGAGGATAGTGTTGGGATTCGCTGCCATGGTGAATACTACAAAGGACCTTGTTCAATTGCTTGTATGTTCAAGGTACACAAAGTGAGGAGGACAATGATGTATGCGTGCGGAGCAGAGGGTTGGGCGGCCGGTAGATAATATTTATGATACAGGCGTCACCCATCTTGAAAGCTGGGCCGAGGATCTGCTTTGTCCACTGACTGGTGCAGGCTAGGCCGGCTGTTGTGAATGGTGAGCTACGGGCCCAGGGTTCGGCGGAGGGGAGCTCCAAGCTTGTGACGATGCCAAGCCTAGCGCTCACTGCGGGGATGTTTCCGTTCGAACAGTACAAACCCCGTAAAGATAGTAAATTTTCGACATTACCGGGGCTTGAGCGACATCGCTGTGGCAAGCTAACATGCTATCTTTGGGCGAAGCCCAGGATGCTCATGGCTGGTGGCGGCCGTACGCGGCAATCAACGGATGTCGCGATGCTGAGGTTTTGATAGCGGGAGCTCATCCGAGGCCTCGCCGGGTATTTCCGACGGTCATTTACGACTCAAACGTAATGCCTAGATCCCCAACATTTCTCCCAGCCTGCACGGCATTTCATCTCTTCTTAATCATGGCAGTTGAGAGCCGCCGGCGGTATCTTGCAGAGCCCACTATTACTGCTAGCGTCGAATTGACCTTGGAAGCACCAAGAAGTGCTTGTTTCGAGACCAATATCACCAGAACATCCATATGTTGAATATCTCACTAATCTTCACGATAGCGCGGGTTATTCTCTTCAGGAACATATTGTGTCTAGAAAGAGTCTTGGAAATGCGCCGGGGTTCTTTGAGTCATAATGATGATTTTCTGAGATAGCCACGAGGTTATCAGAGGATATTGCACCTACTCCGAATTCTTCAAACAGAAAACTCTCAGCAGAAGCCTCGATACTCAATCTCTTTCGAGGCGTTACTTGTAGTTGATATCCAAATTTTGCATTAATGGGGCCTTACTATCTACTAACTCCCCATTTCCCGTCCACTAGAATGATCGTATGTTGTCCATGAAACCCGCCATCCAATTTCTTTCAATAAGAGATGACAATTTACTGCTTTGTAGGTTTTATGAGCACTGGGTTTTTCCCAGCAGCTAATCCCCACACACAAACTCCGCTTCCGCCACACGTACCTGACAAATTATCCCCAACCTTGAAGCTACCCACCGCCTTGAAAGAACCTGTGTACTCCGCACCCTGATACAGCACATCAGCCACGTGAGTGAATCTCAGCTTGAAATCGGTAGGCGAGAAGCCCTGGCTACCAGCCAGCACAGTCAGAGTCCAGTAGCCATTGCTAACAGCGTCACACGGCCATGTGCGGCCGAGCGGTGACTCGCCCTTGGTGAACCATTTGGCTTCGCAGTTCTGTGGTTGATATCAGTGAATTTACGCTAGCAAAGTCAAATGCTAAAAGAATAGTAAACATACGATGCCTTGACTACCTCCGGGAACAATTACATTGCTGCCATCAGATTTTGCTGGTCCAAGGTTGATCTCGTTGGGATCGGTAACGTTGGCTCTGATGGTTGCCCAAGGGTAGCTACCAGGACGGCCTGAGGGCGTGACTGGATACGATGTCAGTGTATATCTTACACAGTTTGTGTGTGTACGCACAGACGCCTACAGCAGTAACCTGCCAGTCCTGCAGCTGTTTCTGACTAGCCTGAGGGGCTGCAGAGGCAGAGGATGTGAGTGCCAGGATGGTAGCGAGGGATAAAGTAGTGAAGCGCATTTTAGCAATGGTCAGAGATAGTTGGCTGATAAGGGAAGGGATGTAGGCGTTGCAATGAAGCACAAGGGCGTTCGATGCTCCTTGCTTTAAACATTCAAGAACTCAATGCGAGGCTTAGTACAGTAGGGCCTGTACTATAACGATTTGCTCGGTTGCAGAAAAAATATTGTTATACTGCAGGCATCGTTGTATACTAGAACGCCTTAGCAGCGCAGTTAGGAATATTTTAGCTTAAAAACTGCTAAAAATAGTTAAGAGGCGAAATAAAGTATATAATTATTATATAGACGTTATATAATTTATTATATAATATCTAAAACAGGTATAAATCTATCTAAAACAAGTATAATTTAATAAAATATAATAATTTTCTACCAAATTTCTATATTATTATTGTTAGCAGTTATTTATTATTATACTACTAAAATAATGTGTGTCGGAGAATAAATATCGCTACGTTACAGGATATCGTTATATGCCAGGGATCGTTATAGTACAGGCCCTACTGTATCGAGCATACCACTTCCTTAACGGGTAACAGTCATCATCATCGCTGATCAGCTTCTTGGGCTGGCTGATTCGGCTCCTCAACCACAGACTCAGGAACCGAGCGCTATATTTAGAAATACCAGCGTCAGCACTAAGTGTACCTGACAGCAATCTCTTCCATACAGCCTCCCTGCATGATGATTCATTGAAGTCGATTCAACAAGCGGCGGTAATTCAAACTCGTAAAATCGTCTTGAAATTCTCAATTTCTTCCGGGCAGTTTATATCTCTCTGATTATGGAAGCACAGGAGTCAGTACCGCGATCACGCTTCGAACCTCAGGTGATCCATTTTAGGCAAGGCTGAGATTCCACGGAATGTTTCCAAATCCTCGTGTATATAACATCCGACGTGAATTCAGGATCTGTGGGACACCATGTCAAATAACGCGCATTGATTCGTCAATGCCAATAGGATACGACTACTAGAGGCTGTTGGTGTTACCTTAGATTCAGCTCCTACTTCCGTGTTTCCCGAAGTATGGAAGGAAGGCCAGTAGTATGCCTGCTAGACTCGTATATTTATAATGGGGCCAATATATACACGAAGACGTGGAGAGAAAAGGTGCGGCACGCACCGCAGGTAGCTTGAGGGAATTTGTCCGCGTCAGCATGGACACGGGGAGTTTGCAGCAAGACTTATTGGAGGCGTGTAGGATGCTATGACTAATGCAACGTAGGAAGCAAACTTTCCGTCATAATTGCCTCAAGCAGCTGAAATGCTTCAACAGTTGAACGCCACAATATTGCCTAGTCAGCTGAAACGCCATGACAGTTGGTCGCCAGAAACTCCTCTATATCTCTTTCTTCCCAGGCAGCCTTGTAGGCTAACCTCCCTTGCGACTGTAATTGCGGTAGAGGTTTTATAATAACGTCGAGGCAGTGGATTTGAAGTAGATGATACGCGGAATGGCTATCATGATAGAGGGCAAGTATCTACTTGCGGGCAGCTTTGGCAGAGTGTTCTTGGAGAGTCCGCAGGAGCATCGCGACAATTCTGTGTTACCTAGTGCTCAGCAATAAGCTAGCCTTTTCTATTTACGAAGAGGCGCAGGGATAGAAACGCTGTCCCCCAACTAGTACTATGGTTGCGACACAAAATACGCTTGTGGACAATGCCCACGCTCGTAAGCGGGTGGAATTGCCATAGTCGAGTAGTCAAGGAGTCTGGCCTACGAGTGACGGGTCAGATGGTATGTGTCGCAGTACCGTTTGGTGTCTCGAATGCTCTTAAAACGATGTCCTGCAAGCTTCAACGTACTCTGATCTACCATGAAATATCTAACATTCTTCCACGGACTTGATTTGGCTTCCGAGAAAGTGTACATTGAGTATGCAAGAAGCAGTTCCCTATTCCCTCTTCTCAATTATAACCTTTCGAATAGGGGTTTGCTTGCCGCTGGCTTAGGCTTTGCTTTGCCGTCCACAATTGGGATAACATCATTGTCTGGGGTATAGTCCATAAACTCCGCGCTGACACTGTCCCTAACATCCACAAGGTTTCTGCTCCGTGACTTCCATCTCGGCTTCTCTCCATTTTGTGCCCTTCCTACACCCATATCCCTCCATCGCTTCGGCGGTTTGACGCCCATCTCCACCAAATTGGACCAGATCCTCTCGCCTCTCTTGTCCCATCTCTGCATCCTGGCTTCGTGCTCTTCGTCCGATGGCCGCCACTTGCTCTTTAGTATGCGCCGGATAGCTTCGGGCGAGATTTTGAAATGATCGGCGAGAACGGGCGTGCTGAATCTTTCGGGCTGTGTTTCATGTAGGTGCCGTATGCCTTCCATTGTGTCGGGTGAGAGCTTCTTGCGCGGATTCCAAGCTTCTCCCCCTAGTTTTTCTTTCAGGGCTGCCTTTTGCGCTTGCCATGATGGTCGCTCCTTCCACTCTTCCGGTGTGTCCTCATCAACACTGTGATTCACGACTGTTCGGGTTGGTTTCCACGGCCCTCGCTCTGCTGTCTGTAGTTGGCTTGCGGCAGAGAAGACTCGTGAAGGTTGCGCGGCTCTGATCGTCGTTTGGCGGAGAGGGAAGACTGGCTCAACATTTGCCAACGAGCGGATGAACACACTAAGCGTCCTCCGTGCACAATTGTGGCAATTCATGGTTGATGTTCGACTTCGAATAGGAGTTGTTCTCATCTCAAAGTTCAGAGCCTGCGCACAGACCATAAGCCGACTTTTGGCGCCACAAACGACTGAGCCACAGCTACCCAAAATGATGACATCAACGACCAAGTGTTAAACGGCATTTTGCACCAACGTTAAATCTGCGCCTCGGTGATATGCTCTTTCAGTCTCCCGATCTTCGTCCGCATCGCCGGAATCTATCATGTTCCCAGATCTCGTGTCGAGGGGGGCAAAATGTATGTGGGTCCCCTCACGTCTAGCGCCTCGGTATCATATGATGGTATATTCTCTGCCTCACTTCTACTAAACCTCACTGTCTTGTTTTTGTTGTCGCCTCGCGGATCTGATAGTATCATCCGGTTGCTTTGTTGCATTTTGCCCTAGAAGCCATGGCTTGGCCCAACCCGTTCCGCAGGCGCACAGAGAATACCAGAGTGTACGTCCGAAAGCGGAAGACTATTGCTGATATTAATGCTTACTGCTTCTAGCTGCTGGGGCTATGAGTTTGAATGGACGGAGGGCCATCTCACTCCAGAACAATCCAAGCCTCTCAAACATACCTACGATGTCCTAGGAGAAGAATGCCTTGATCGACTGAACACTATCTCGCCACCACAAAAGGGCCCTTTGCCAAAAGCCCAAGACTCCCAGCCAGTGCCATCTTCTGTCACTGGAACGGAGGAAGAGAAGAGCGAGCCTCTTCCCATACCTCGCCGAGATTTGTATGCCTTGCTCGAGGAGCACCAAGCATCCGACCCCAAGCTTGCTGAGCTGTGGGAAGAAGTCAACACCGTTCCTGTCTGGGTAGACTGGGAGCAGATCGAGAGGGGACAAAATGTGTTCTATCGGTATGCAGGACCAGCTTTGACTGGACTTACGTTCCAATCACTACTTGGAGGCATGGGAGCTGCCCGCGTTGTAGAGACACTAGCTCGAACTGGAGGGTTCAGCACCAAGGTAGCAAGAGGAAGACTATTTGAGACTACTCAGCATATCCTTCAATGTACACGTTCCCTAGAGGGTATAAAGCCAGGCGGAGAAGGCTTTGCTTCCTCAATACGCGTCCGACTCCTACACGCCGCTGTACGTCAACGGATCACCAAGCTAGCAGAACAACGACCCAGCTACTTCAAAATAGACGAATGGGGTATACCTATCAACGATCTCGATCAAATTGCGACTATCGGGACTTTCTCGTCGACACTGATATGGCTCAGCCTCCCACGTCAAGGCATTTATCTCCGCGAACAAGAGATCGACGACTACATTGCTCTGTGGCGATATATTGCGTATCTTATGGGCACTCCTGACGGTTGGTTCTCTTCTCAAGAAAAGGCTAAGATTATAATGGAGTCACTTCTGTACTACGAGGTCGATCCATCCGATATGTCAAAGACCATGGCCAACAATATCATTTTCGCCCTCAAAGAGGAGCCGCCAACATTTGTCTCCGCAGACATGCTCACCGCCAGTGCCCGCTGGCTCAATGGGAATGATCTTGGTGACCGACTTGGGCTCAAACGTGTGTCGGCTTATTATTGGTCGCTTATGGCAGGCCAATGTCTATTCTTCATTTTCTACTGTAATTTCTACCGTCTCTTTCCGTCGCTTGACGCTCACCGTATTTCTCGGGCAAAAGAGATTCTCTGGAACATAGTTGTTAAGGCGAAGTGGGGTCTTGGGGGTACACAGACGACTTTTGACTTCAAGTATGTGCCGCAGTACGATACGTTGACTAATCTGGGAGATATTGGTGAAAGGAAGTTGAAAACCTCGAGTACTGAGTTGAGGAACTTGAGGACATTAGGAATCTTTTTCAGTGTACTGGGGTTGGGTACGTGGGCATCTTTGAAGGTTGCTTCGAATATCATTGGGAGGATGTGGTAGTATCGTCATATAATCCATCTCAACATTTGCTTTCATACAAAGTAGACGAGTCTTGTGCTCGCTCATCATACCTTAACTTGGCAATCAGTGAAAGTTGATAGCCTTACCCTACATGGGTCCCGACAGCTTATATGGAATTCCTGTGCCCCGGTATCACTCACTTGAAGTACCTCTTCCAAAAATCACCTTTACTATCACCACGTGCCGCAAGATTGCTAACTGACATCTTAGGAGATACATGCTCTTGATGGACAATATATATAGACTTGTCAAAATCACCTTATATAATCGCACGTGAACAACCGCACGGATATAGCCAGGTTTCTCGAGAGTAATCCTCTTGGTGCGACTAGTAGTCTAGCTGAATGCTTGTACCTCCATCCACGGCCGCAACTCGGAATCAACAAGTATCGTGGACAATATCCACACCTTCATAATGATGAGTCGGATCTGCCTTCGCCAGAGCTCACAAGATGGTGTCTGTGGATGCCTAGAGTTTTGGAAGCCTACAGCTCCGAAACTACAAGATACTACTAGTATCGGCTCGCCATCCGCCACCGAAGCATCTGATACACTCGGCCTGCGTACTACTTCCAACCTAAACGACCTACTATCAGTGTCACCCACGCCCTCTGGCCCACCAAAGGAGACATGCTTCTTCTGGTATCATGGTACCTGCCGCCGTGGTGAGCAGTGTCATGTAGCCCACGAAACCCACGTCACCTGGCCCATTCCTCCTCCACCTGGATTTGTGCATTACAAAGCATGCAGATTACCGCTTTGCCCGCTACGAGAGGACCTTTTGGCTCTGAGTGAGGCGCGTAAAGCACACAGGTGTACGTCTCAGCTCAGCGGACAAGTTGACGGTACTACGTTTAGTAAAACGACAGCTTTGGAGCCGGCGTTGAGCGAAGATGGCGATGCGGACACTGTCAGTTCGTCAGTTGAGGATGTACCCAAAGAACCTGGTGTCAGTCTTTTGGTAAGCGACATTGCGCCTTCCGAATCTGGTACCGACCTTTTTACTCTCGAGGGCGATGATGTCAACAAGGTAGTCACGATGAGTGAAACTGCAGACCCAACAAGTGTCAAGATCTACGCCCCCACCTGTAACTTTCCAACGCTTGCCTCTACACCACCCACTTCCGACAGCATGGACTACATTGAAGTGTCAAATACGGCTTCCCCACCGCCATCCTCTGAGAATGGAGATCAAGCCATTCTCTCACTTAGTCACTCAGGAACACGGGATAAGCGCAAGCGCCAGCAAACGCTTTCACCCGGTGAGCAAACTCCCGATAGTAAGCTTACAAAACGAGAGCCTGCACCCGAACTCAGCGATTTCGCGTCCATCCTGGAGCCGAAACGCCGCATAACGCACTGGGATCTCGAGCCGTTCACCCCCGACGTTGTCGCCATTCGTCCAAAGCCTAAAGCTCTGCAAGCCGACCCATCATATGGGCTCTTACAACATCCAATTTCAGCTCTGAGTGGCTTGTCCGTTCCTGACCATCGCTCGACATCGCCCAAGCCTCGCTCGTTCGATCCTCCAAAAGGTCCTCGAGCTTTAAGTGATACAAGTCCGATTTGCTTTCATTGGTACCATAAGGGCCACTGTAGACCTAAACAAAGGAACGGCCAGGCCACCAAGTGCAACTATACACACTCTTTGGACGTACCTCATCGGCAAGTCAGCCTGCCACCTCATATCACGAACCACGGCCCGTGCCAATTAGAGTTCTGTCCTTTGCGTTCACAGGGTCAAGGGGCTCCGCACTGCGGTGAGCAAGGATCGAGGGATATGCTGAAGACCACTATGAAGATTGAGCCATACAGGTCTTCGAGTAGTGGGGTGCCTTTCGAGGACAGGTATAAATCATCGTCTCGAGACGTTAGTCCGATGGGGCGGTATTCTACTAACATGCAATTGCCTCGACCTGACGAGTTCAGCCGAAAGTCAGATGCCAAACAACCATCCAGGGCGAATTATGGGCGCAATAAGAAAAAGATGAGTTTTTACAATCGTGCGTTGGAAAGAGATCCAGAGCCGAGCAACGCGGAGGCCTGGGCTCCTTCAGAATATGAACCTGCCTACTTTGAAGAGAACTACAGCTCTTCCCCACGAGATACCATCTCATCAGCGCGCTATGAAGCGGGTGTGAAGGGTCCCAAGTTCGACAAGCTCGATAGACGACCCAAGGCGAAACAATTACCAAAGCTGACTGGCGTCGCAAGAGAGCGATTCAAGGAGCAAAAACAGCGCATTGAACAGTGGCAGGCGGAGCGTGGAATTCGACCCGACGATCCAAATACGAGGCGAGAAAAACAGATGGCTGTTAACAAGCGGAGAAGAGTAAATAAGAGGCAGAAAAGGTTGGACAAGGGATTGGTCACAGCTTCGATGCTCAAGGCCGAGAACGACTCACTCCTTGCAATGTCAGCCAATGTTCCCGGTACCTACAGCAGGCCAGACGCGATTGCGACACCAGCAAAAGGAAGTCATAAACTACCGCGGGGTCGACGCGCGGAGAGCGTGTTTGAGGACGAACAGGCCATGGGTGAGGAGCTAGCGACGAACGACCCAGAGGCGGGATTCTACCGCAAGAGTGCTCGTCACATCTCCGGTTTTCCAAAGTCTGCAACCCCGCTTGATGTTCAGCACGTTGCCAGCGGCGAGGAGGGTAGCGTGCAAGAACATAAGCAAGTGCAAGGGGTGATCCAGAAAGATTATGCGCAAGTCGCAAGGAAGACTAGCGTTCTGGTCGATTATGAGCTTCCTGAAGGTGAGGCACGGCTTGAATGGGACACGGATCTCGTACGCCGACTGTTCGGTGAAATTGCATGACGATCTCTGCTTGCGAAGCAGAGTGTAGCCGGAGTGGCATACTATTCCTGGACTTGAGCCTATGCTATCAGGTGTCTCAAAAGTCCCTAGGTTAGTGTGGCAAAAATCATACAACCAATCTCAGCTTTTGAGGAGAACATGCATATGCAATCTAGTATGGGTATATCCAAGTGGAGAGGTACCGCAAGTATGCAAAAAATCGAAATACTAGAAAGGAACTGTCACCACACGTATGGCTATCAAGTCAGCGAGTGCTCGAATTGCATCGTAAGTGTGACCGACCTTGTTTTCATATGTCCAGAACGTCCCACTATGCTGTATGCCTTTGCTTTGTATTACGTCAATCATCTTCAGAACTGACTCCTCCGGCGTAATGATGCCGTGTACTTCCCAGGGTAGCTGGATGTTCGCCATATCCCTGGACGTATATCAGTAAGCGTGTTGCTGAGAAATCACTAACTACTCACGTTGCGACCTCTCCAGGATGCATGCATAAGATGATTGTGTCGTCATCTTTCCTTTTCAGCTCTGCTGCCATGTGGCGGACGGCCATATTGAGAGCTGCCTTTGAAGCAGCATAAGCGGCGAAACCATCTTCCATCTCCCGAAAATTGCCTTGAGAGCCAGAGTCACTGGACATGAAGACGATGGTGCCGATGGGGATGTTGGTTTGCAGCAGCTTTTGGGCTGTGATGATGGGCCCGATGGTGTTGGTGTGTAGGTGGAAGGCAAACTCGTCAAAAGACCTGTGAGCAAGATTAGTCTGAATAGTCCCAAAGTACAGCCAAGGTACATCCATCCAAGATGCACGCTCTAGCCGGACTTGGGAAGGTTCGGCGAAAGGGAACTGGAGACGTACAGCTCAGTGGCTCTCTGGAAGGGTTAGTGCGATTCAGGCCAAACTTTATAAAACGTAAACTTACGTTTGGATATCTTAGAACTCCAGCATTCAGCACTACGTAGTCGATCTTCAAATTTGGGATCATGGCGAGCTGGGCGACAAATTTCTGCCACGAGTTAACCCATCACCCAAGCGTCCAACCACGACCATGATACAGGGTATATGAGACGTACCTCTATACTCTGCTCCGACAGTATGTCACAAGTGTACATTTGACAGCGCCCATGGTCGCTACCAGCCTGGCCCCACAGCCCAGAAGCATGAGCTGCCCAAGGCTCGCGCACCGTGGCAATGATGCGTTCGTCCCTAGCAAGCAGTTGCCGTACAAACTCCAATCCGATGCCCCTGCTGGCGCCGAGTATCAGCCATGTGGTAGAGTCCTGATCGGCATACAAAACGTCGGGGATTAGGTTCATCCGTGCTGTTCACACCGGTGTGGCGGGGCACCCAAAGTCGATGATGTCAACCAAGCTGAAATTCAAATATTTCAGCAGTACCCCGGGGGATGACGCTCGAAAACGCTCGAAATAGCGAGTATGAACTTGGTTGGTATAGGCGAGGATATGTGCTGTCAAGATGATGAGAAATAGTGTTCATGACCCCTCTCGTAATAGACAGGGGACCAGCTGGTAGCTTCAAGATGCGGGTAGTAGTGACACATGTCACGATTTGCAGATCCTATCCTACACAGATCGTTCTGGACAGAAGCAGGGTCAGATAGAGTTGCAGAGTCAGCCTAGATCATTGGACAAGGACAGTTGTAATGATTTTCAACTCGAGACACCACAACAGAGAGCGCAGAACAGGCGCACAGTGTAACTGAAGCGTTTTGACAGTCGCATGACGTAGACTAATAAATCATTTCAACGTGTTGTGACCAACAACTAATAAATTGCCACAAAGCTTCTCACGAATCCAGGCCTGGAGCCGTCCACGGTTACACATCGAAGCGAACCCTCCGACAGGTGATCCCAGGTTGTCGCGAAAGGGCCTCCCGGACCGGTTCTGCCCGAAGCCCTTCCAATGACTGACTTATAATTGCATCTTGATTGGCTGTTCACGTCAGCCGTGCGTCGGCAGGGCCGTCATTTCCTGAGGACTAGCGCCAAGCGCATGGCCGGCCTTTTTCTTCCTACTTTGCCAGCTTTCTTCTCTCCAACAGCTTGCCATCACGTACAACAGCAGCCCAATCTTCATTCCTACGACCCCATTTCTACTCCTCTACCACCAAACGAATCCTCACATTCCCACCAGCCAAAATGGGTTTCGAGAACGGTATGTGTTCCCAGCAAGCCGCGGACGTCATCGAGGAAATCCGGTTGCCACGGCCTCCCAACGCCCCATTGATCTCGCGCATCTCGAGAGGCAGCATGCCTGAGAAGCGGATGTTCTTTGGTAAATGAGCTAGCGTGTTTTGACGAGCTCAAAGGGCGGTTTGCGCAAGGTGGCAGCTTGCGACAAAGCGAGGGCGCCGCCGGATTTCTCGGCTTCGCCTTGAATTTATTGTAATGCTCGTTGCTGACGTTTCTTTACAGGCGATGCTAAGAAGGGTGCCAACCTTTTTAAGGTACGATTTTTCCAAAACGAAGACCGCTTCCCTGGTCATCATCTCATAGGCTCCGCGGACCTCATCTAACAATGTCTAGACACGATGCGCGCAGTGCCATACCCTGAAGGAAGGTGAGGGCAACAAGATTGGCCCCATGCTACACGGTCTTTTCGGTCGCAAGACTGGTCAGGTCGACGGCTACTCATATACCGATGCCAACAAGCAGAAGGGCATCACCTGGGACGAGAACACATTGGTACGGCGACGCCACTAAAATTGTGCATATGCACTATGGCAAGCTGCTAACCACTCACAGTTCGAGTACCTCGAGAACCCCAAGAAGTACATTCCCGGCACCAAGATGGCCTTTGGTGGTCTCAAGAAGCCGAAGGACCGCAACGACTTGATCACTTTCCTCAAGGAAGAGACCAAATAAGCGTTTTACTGAAACGCTTACCTCTTCTCCCCGACATGTCATGACCTTTCTCTGATTCCATTTGGGACAAAACTTCTTCCGATTGTACCAATACCAATAATAGACGTACGGCGGAGGCGATGGAGCACTCTTGGTGTGCGGCGTCGCCTTGTGTAGATTATGTTTGGTATGATATCATACTAGGGCGCTTTTCGATTTCTGGTGTAGCATAGAGCCGGTCTGGAACTTAGCGACACGTTCGAAATAACAATTCTCCTCCTCCATCTATACTCGGATCCTATTCTTACGCGACGTGACTGCGCATCTGCTTGCGCTCTACAGCGGTGCTTTGCCATGCAATCCGCAGCCCCGTTGGTTGGTCTCTAAACTTGACAACCTACCGTCGTCGGCGTAGTAGGATGATGGACACGGTGAAGGCAGTCTTTAGTCGCTCAGGAGACCGATCTTCAAACCAACAACCAATGGTACACTTGTGAATTTTCTGACATGCACGTCGAGTCTCCATAATAAACAGGCTACTGAGCCAATGGCCTTGGACGAGGCGCAAAGGCACGACTCACGCGAGCACCTCGGGCTTGAGGAAGAATGTGGACAGGAACACGCGCTTTGCCGGCAAAATCAAAGGAGCTCGGAGAAGTAACCGAGGATCATGTGGCTGAAAGCTCTCTATGCTTGCGGAAGGCTATTAGCATCTAGCTTGACCAGCGTTTACATAGTGAAGACGTGGGTATGCAAAGGAAAGGCCATTGCCTTGATATTACACAATCTCATCGTGTGAGCGGCGGGATTTGCTGGCTTTGACCTGCGAGGCTCTGTGGCGCTTCTTCCGCATCTCCACGTGAAAGAGGTTCGAGTGTGGGGGAAGCATTGGTGTCATCCATCCACTGGCGGAACACTCCGTCTCCATGCTCCAGTTGCCTACAATTCACCGCACCATCACATATACACAGACGTCTTGTGCACCGTCCTTCACCTTCACCATTTCACCATTTCCATCCCGAATTGGTCCAGCACACACGCGTCGGGTTACCTCGGTCAACATTCCCATTGAATTAGCGTCATAGCGGGGCGGAACATTGCAGGTGGTAGCTTGACGTGAAACACCATCACTGCAACTCTTTGGCGACGACGCAACGACAAAAGGCCGCCCGGCCTGAACAATTGGCACCATGTCGTGGAAGCGCAGTGAGAGGCTGATGGACACCATCAAGGTATGTCAAACGGTGTGCAGGACGCATTTGAAGCTCACACCTTAGTAGCACTATAGCAACTTCCCAGCAACCGGTTTGTACTGTCAATTGCATATGAAAAGGATGCGTCTGATGCATGTTTAGGTGTCTCCCTACGCCAAATGGTACAGTTCGGAGAGAAACCATCGACTGGAACCCTCTTCCGCGCATCACAGTTCCTTTCCGAAGAGCTTCCCATACGGCTAGCACACCGCGTGCAAGAGCTCAACGACCTTCCAGATGGCCTCAATGAGATGCCATCGATCTGCAGAGTGCGCGATTGGTACGCACAGTCATTTGAAGTAGGTACCGATGAGCGTCTACCCGGGGCACTTTGACTCACCATAGTAGGAACTTGTCGAACTCCCACGACCGAACCTTTCATCCGACATCAAGGAACGTCTGCTACGACCGGCAAAGCGGAACGGCAAGGACCATAGTTTGATAGTCAAGGCGACACCGAATCCAAGCATTAAGCAGGGACAATACCGATCTGCGCCGGGACAAAATGGCAACGGCAATGGTAATGGCAATTCAGTAAGCAAGGAGGTCAAAGGAGCAGCATCGAACAGGAGATACTATGCCGCAGCAGACGATGGAGGAGATTGGCCACCAGAGCTAGGCGCCTACAACACAAAGTTCGCAGACACACTCGAGAAGATCAAAAGGCGGCACGACAGCGTCGTAACAACCGTAGCGCAAGGCATTCTGGAATGGAAACGCAAAAGACAACGGATGCAAATTGATCACAATATCCAAGCCTTCCTCGACCGTTTTTACATGTCGCGCATCGGCATCCGTATGCTCATCGGACAACATATCGCCCTCACAGACCAGCGGTCGCGCTCCGATCCGAACTACGTCGGTATAATATGCACAAAGACCAACGTGCGGGAACTCGCTCAAGAAGCCATCGAGAATGCGCGATTCGTATGCGAGGACCACTATGGCCTCTTCGATGCGCCAAAAGTCCAACTCGTATGTAACTCGGACATTAGCTTCATGTACGTGCCAGGCCACTTGTCGCACATGCTGTTCGAGACGCTCAAAAACTCCCTCCGCGCTGTGGTAGAAGCACACGGACAAGACAAGGACGAATTTCCTGTCACAAAGGTTATTGTTGCAGAAGGAAAGGAGGATATCACTATCAAGGTCTCGGATGAAGGAGGAGGCATTCCGAGATCATCGATCCCACTTGTCTGGACGTACATGTATACGACGGTCGACCAGACACCGAGCTTGGATCCGGATTTCAACAAAAGCGACTTCAAGGCACCGATGGCGGGTTTTGGCTATGGGTTGCCGATTTCGAGACTGTATGCGAGGTATTTTGGGGGGGATTTGAAGTTGATTAGTATGGAAGGGTAAGCCATATCACTCCATGCGCCGCCTGGATACATCAGCTAATGTACTACTGTAGATACGGCACAGATGTCTACCTACATCTCAATCGCCTATCCTCCTCTTCTGAACCCCTGCAATAGCAATTACCTGTCACGAGGGACGGATGGGCCTCGAGTGAGCTCATCCGCTCAGGTTCATCATCCCGAGGACTGGCAGGGGGCAATAAGAATAACAAGTTCCTCGCGAGCAAAGCAATGCGGCTAAAGCTGTCGGGACAAGTGAGTAGGGAGGTTAGCGAGAGGAGGCAAGTGGGCGATCTCGAAGATATGTTTGCCGATAAGAGCAGCGAGAAGCCATGGTGGAGGAATGTAGGCATGGAAGAGGGAATGTAGGAGATGTGTATTTTAGAAATGACAAAGGAAGAAGCTGGCTTGTTGGCGCATTTTTGTAAGTATTGAGACTCTTGGCTGTTGAGAGAGGATGCATCTGTTGGCCTGAACAAGGCCTTTCACTTGGCGTATGGCGACGCGTTTCTCGGGTCAAAGAAACAATTAGGTGGATATATTCTCGCAAATGTATTATATACGCCTAACACTGAAATACTGATACCGTTGAAACCTAATGTATACGATGCGTCCGGGGGTATAATGCTGTCCATGCTAATCCACTAATACAATCAATGATGCCCTTGCTGTCCCAAATACACACCGCTGAACGCCATCATGCTCGAAAAATCATATAATACCATCCACCCGCGTCCCCCAAACCTACTTACTCAACCCCAGATCACCCAAGTCCGCTAGAAACCCTCTTCTTCGCCTTCTCTTTCCCCTTCGCACTCCTCGCCGGACTAGGCATATGCTCTCTTTCCCTCTCTTCAGCAGAAACATCCCACTCCTCCCGCCAAGCGATATCCTCGTAGTCTGTCACGCCAAGCACGATGTTCTGGTAGTAATGGCGCGTCTGCGGTATACTCTAATATAATATCTCGTTAGCCATAACCCAACTCAATTAACACCTCTTGCAACAAGCAAGCAATTCAAAAGGACAAACAAGCAAGCAATTCAAAAGGACAACGACGAACCTCGTTCCTCGCAGCAGCATACCAGATCAACATCTCGCTGCTCTCGAGTATACACGCTGCTTCGTCTCTGCGCTGCCTTTGCTCATAGCTCTCTGCCCGTTGGCTGGTGGGCGAGACGTTGTATTTCTTGCTGCGTGCCTGGAGGGAGCGTCGTTGCGCTGACCAGCTTGGTTGAGGGTCGGGTTTGCCGGGGCGCGGAGGTGTTGTATGCGCTGAGGGTTGTTGTGCGCCGGCGGAGGCGGAGGAGGGGCTGTTTAGCACCGTGTTGAAGAAGGTATTGGATTGCTGGTTGGGGCTTGGTACGTTTGGCGGCGGTGGCATTTTGCAGTAGTGGTATGTAGCCTTTGGGAGGGTGGACGGTTGTTCAATGGATTGGAGGCCGGGAGGAGCGTGTCCGCGGGGAATGCTCAAATGGGAAGGTGGAGCCGAAGTGAGATGGATGATGTAGTATCGATCAAGAATGGATTCTCGCAATTGCACGCAGGATCTTCATCGTAAGGTAGAAATGATTTAAGAAGTAACAAAGAAGTTGTTGACAGGTACGTATGTGCTTGTGCAAGTCATGGGCCCACAGATAATGTGCCATCTAAGGAGTTTGCAAGCGTAAGGAGAGTAAACTATAGAATTGGAATATGTAGCTATCCGATTACGCTAAATTGCGCTGCAAAGGAGATGAGGTGTTCAAGATATCCAGATGTTTGTCGTTAAGTGAAATATATCATTCTGCAAATGCTGCCTACTTCATAATCCATATGTGACACGAAGAGATAGTCCTCTGCCAACCGTGTAGACTCTGCCGTTGAAGGATAAGTGGTAGTTCCTTAACATATGCGAGGAGAATTGTAGCCAGACAAAACGTACGACCACTTCCTCGACGTAGTGCTGCGGAGTGGTGGTAGCAAAAGCAGCCGCATAATAAGAACCAGGGGTAACACGATACTCGAATATGTCGTAGGACAAGGAAGAATAGTCTTGCGCTCAGTGGAACAGTCTAGAGAAGACACCGGCGATGCGCTGTATAGGCATGGGCCACTAACGACCGTTTATCAGGATGTACGTCCGTCGAAGGTCGATAGGACAGAGGCATCCAGTTACTTCCCGCCCTTTTTGAACAGTTCCCAAGCTTCGACTAAAGCGCGCTTGAGTTCATCACGCTTGGTATGTTCAACGAGCTCGCTGTCAGGGGCATTGGCGATGTTTGGCGGGGTATAGAACTTCTCGTCGTAGCTTTCTCCGCCGAAGAGCACACGGAGGTTGATCCACGTCGGAATCAGCTTGGCCTTCACTAGCTTCGTGTCACCGAAGAGGTCTTTACGTAGGTTGCCCTGAAGACGTTGAACGTAGACTCTCCAGTTCTCTTGTTCCTTCCTCGACCACTCCTTGCCAAAGCCCTTGCTCGCTACGTCCATCTCAAGGATCAGCGTGAGTGTGTCAAGGCCGCGGTAGTGATTTTTTATGACGTTGTATCCGCCGCTAAGAAGCCAGTGGAGATCGTAGAAGGATCGAAGGCGGATGTTTAGCTTAGTGACAAGTCGCTGGCAACCAGATGGGAAGAGGCGAACACTGAAGTCTGGAGGCGGCGACATCTCGTTTGTAGGTTTGACAATCTCGAAAGCATTCTTGCCGTAGAGGACGGTTTTGGCTTCGGCATAGATCTCCTTGCTCGCGCGAAGAATGTTGATGTTGGTAGCTGCAAAGCAAGCGAAGCGGATTTTGTACCCGTCAACAGTGAGCTGAGCAAGCGCATAAGCGATACCGGGAAGGTATTCGCGATGTTCAGCATACAAAAAGGCCCTCCTCTCGTCGTGAAACGAAGTGTGCTTCTGGCGGACGCAGATAATGCCAGGAACAACGAGGAGGTATTCGTAGACTTTGTTGCGGACGGATAGGGGAAGCATCATGAACGGGAAGGGGCAAGTATTTGTAGCGGGAGAATCGATGGCGAGGGCGAGGGACGCAAATGGATCATGTTTCTCCAGAACACTGCGCTTGAACGTTAATGAAGTAGTTGGGGATGGTGATGTACTTGGAGTATTCTTGGTAAAGATAGTCTCTGTTTCGCTGTCGTCGCTGAGCTCGGCTTCGGAGCCTTCTTGGGGGTCTTCGAAGAACGTAGTCAAAGACTCGCCTTCCATACACTTTGTCGAGCGTCTCGAGGTGGTATTGGCGGCGTCCACGCTGGCGAACCGAACATGTTTGCCGAAGCTGCCCGTTGGGGGTGGTGTAAGAAGGTAGGATAGAGGAGGTGTCTGCGGTCTCTCAATTGAAATCCTCATCTCGAAGATGGTTCTTTCGTAGATTGAGGGGGGTTAGCTGTTTTTGGTGGCTTAATTGAAGAGCTAGAGGAGTGGCTGGTAGACAGAGAAGAAGTGAGGGAGTTGAGATTTGGCTTATATGAGCCATCATGTGAAGGTGAAGTCCGATTGCTGGTATACGCTAATAAGCGTCGTTAGACTCGAGGTGACGCGTGGTATGCTGAGGCTATGATAAGGTGAGGGACGGTTGATAGCTGCGGAGTTGGAGAGGGCCAGGACTTTCTAGGAAACGTTTGAGACATTGTGATTGAGCGAGGACCGAATAGCGCATACATGACCTTGTGAAAATCACCTGGTCTGATTAAACGCTTAATGGTGGCCGCGGATGAAGATATGAGTAGATGTATCAGCAAGTCATACTTAGCCATAGACTGGGCTCACCAATCCAGTAGCTATAGTCGTCTAAAACGCATGGCAAGCGCTCTCACTCGGCAAGCCATCATGAGAAAAGGGAAGCCGTGAGCAAACGGGCCCATCGGCTCGAACCGAGTCTAGTATTTCCTACAATCTTGCAACGATGGGAAGAAGGCTCGCTTGGAGAATGAAAACTTTGTCCTAGACCACATCACGTGGGTTGTCAATCCGTGCTACCCAAGGCAAGGTAATACAGCACAATTCGGGATACAGTGGAAATGACCTCATACTAGAGATGTCAAAGAATAGAATCGAGGTTGAAGCTGTGTTGGAAGCTTCAGTTGGAGAAGAGCTTGTATCCCAATCCGCACTAGCGGGTGCCGAGCCCGGGAGAATCCTCATCGCAACATCCTCAATCACAGTACCCGCTCCGAACGCTCCCCCATCCCGCAATCCATCTCCTCTCTACCCATAATGTCCGCCGCCCGCGCCTTTAGCACCGCTCTCCGGGCAGGTGCCCCCCGCGCACCCATTGCTGCTCGCTACGCCGTCACTCGAAGCTACGCGGCCGCCGCCGCTGCACCCACGGGTGCTGCGAACAAGCCCCCCGTGGCCCTCTTCGGCGTTGATGGAACATACGCGAGTGCTCTGGTACGATTCCCATAGGCTCAATTGGGGCTACAGCGATGACTAGAGGATGGAAAGAATGTCAATGGTTGGAAAGGTGCTGGGCTAACAATTTATCCTAGTACACCGCTGCGGCCAAGACCAACGCCCTCGACCCCACCGCAAAGTCGCTCGAGTCGCTCTCTAGTGTTTTCAAGAAGGACCCCAAGCTCAGCGAGGTCCTCCGCGCTCCTACTCTCTCCGTCTCGGACAAGAAGCAGATCGTTCAGGAACTCCAGAAGCACCTTGGCAACGCAGACAAGGAGGGCATCGTGAAGAACTTCCTCGCAACTCTCGCGGACAACAACCGATTGGGTGTGCTAGAGGGTGTTGTGGAGAAGTTTGGTGTGCTTATTAGTGCGCATCGTGGTGAGATTGAGCTTGTCGTCACTAGCGCTGCGGTACGTAACATCTTTGGAAGATGAGGAAACTCCATGAAGGAACATACCTGACACGCAACAGCCACTCGACAACAGGACCCTCAGCCGTCTCGAGGCCGCCATCACCAAGTCACAGTACGTCGCAAATGGCCAAACGCTCAAGGTCGTCTCCAAGGTCAACCCCGACATCCGTGGTGGAATTGTTGTTGAGATTGGTGACCGCACCATCGACCTGTCTGTCTCCTCCAAGATGGCCAAGTTGAACAAGCTGCTCAAGGATACTTTGTAAATATAGACCGGGGGGCACTTGGATGGATGTAGGGGACAGGATGTGTATTCTAGATGAAGCGTGAAAGACCAATTTACTGTATACAGCATGCGCCAACAACAGCTTTGAAGCTGGCTATGTTTGGGACTCGATGCGACTATTTTTAACAGCCTAGCACGTCTTAGGATAATCATTGGACCAAGACAAGGAAAGAACTGGAATTCACATGACAGTCCACGCGGCAGCAACATCTGAACTTGAATCCGAATCACATCCTCCGTAAAGAACGTCAACTCTCAACGTAATAGTATATCTAGACCACAAAACAGTCTATCTCATCTAGTAGTCTATCCCAACTAACAATACATCTCAACCAACAGTCAGTCTCCTCTCTTCACAACCGCACTCACATGTTTCAGACTCTTGTGCCCCATCCGCAATTCTCTTGAGCTCTCCAAACTCGTGGAACCGCTGCATCAAATACTTGACACCACAGTCGACGCAGCAATCAACATTGATCTGACCCCTCTCCTCGTCGAGGTGCCTCAGGTACTCGTGGTACCACGCGAGCATTTCGTCAACGTCCCGGATATTGTCGAGTTGGGTGGTGGTCGCGAGTGTGGTCGGGACGTCCTGGGGAAGGGAAGAGAAGGTCGTTAGAGAGCGGAACTTGTTGAAGAAATAGATATGGAGAAGGAGATCAGTCCTTACGACGACAAGGGGAAACGTGAGCAATGCTTTCGGCGTCTTGTCTAGTTCGCCGAGTGTCCAGGTCGTGGGCTGCGTTGGTGGTGGACTCCAGGGGCGTAGCCGCGCGGTGGGGGCTGTAGTAGCCTGGTTTTGGTCCATGGAGGAAGGGAGTGACTGGTTAGTCTGGATAGGTGGCTTCGGGGAGGTTTCGGGGTGTTCTGAGGGGTTGAGGACCAACAGGGAGGATTTTGTGGGTTCGAAAGAGTATGCGTAGTGTTATGGAAGGCCACCCATGAGGACTCTGAGGGGCCGTCTTGAGCAGAGTTGCTTGTGCAAGGGCCCTTCAAGTGGCGTGGTAGCGAGGGATACACTCTGGGTGATGGTGAGGAAGATCGTAAAAAAGATTGGTACATGTCTAATATCGGCGAGAGGATAGGTTGTATTTCGAATGCTTATTGCATTTTGCAATAATTCCTCCCATGGTCGACCTGCCACTTGCACAAGCTAACTTCCACAGCCATGCTCAGAAACCCCGCCACGCAAATGCCTCCTGAATCACTCACACTCGTTGCGCCAAGACTGAACTCTCGGTCTTCTTTGGGTACGTTGTCCGTAATCTCTGCGAAGGTACTGACATATACCAGCCCTCCCAGCAGACCTTCCCAGAATATAACCACACAGATGATGTAATAGGAGGGGATAAAGTCGAACATTGCATGGAGTGTGAGCAGAATAAGGTTGACGACTTGCAGGAAAGAGGGGAAGTAGAGGTGGTGGATACGAATAAAGGGTGTCGAAGAGCGCGATATGAAGACGCCGACTTGGTAGATTGCGTTATAGGTGCTGTAAAATGAGCGGAACTCGCTAAAGGGTGAGGAAGAGAGGGGGAATAGAAGCGTTGGAGCAACACCTTGGTTGATTGTGTACTCGGCAATGTAAACTAGCAATAGCGGGAGCATGCTGCGACCTGTTAGTCTTGAGTAGGCGGTTTTCTTGGGTGACTTTGCTTACTATGGGAAGAAAAGCCCACGGGCGCGGTGCAGGTTGGCGCTGAAATTGTTCACTGCTCCGGTGACACTTTTGCTGTTTGTCGAGGCAGTACTGGAAGATGCGAGTCCCTCGTGCTCTCTTTCGTGGCTAGCTTCATCATCCACGTGCTCATCTTCCTCGCTTCCTATAGCCTCGTATTCACCATGCTTTGCTGCTCCAGCGCGCAATGGCCCAAGCGGTAGAATCATGAAGAAGCTGAGCACCATGATGAGCGGGAGGAAGGAAAAGGCGAGCAAGCTTGTTCGAGGGCTTATCTGGAGCGTATTCGTTGCAATCGCATACGCTCCAGCTCCGATCAAGCCAGCCCCGCCTGTCCCAGATCCCCAAGCAGCAAGCGCAAAGTGTCCATAGTAGTGCGTGAGGCCCAGAAAGCTTAGTTCACCACCTCCACTGCTCAAGCTCGCCAGCATGACACCGCACATCTTTATCGCTATGGTCTTCGAGTCCTGCAACGGCGGGGTGAGGGCGATGATGAGCATGCCGCACGCCGACAGGGTGACGAAGAGGAGAATTCGGACATGGTATGGGATCTTGTGTATGAAGTAGGGCGCACACAGCTTGGTCAGGAAAGAGGGTATGACATCGGCAAGCAGCACGACGCCTTTGGGCACGTTGGGACCTACGAGGTCGAGGGCAGAGGAGAGAATAATGACGTAGAGGACATTGTTGATGAGTCCTGGGGTGCGTTAGCCAAAGCTTGGGGTCAACAATGCGTGTAGTCACAAAACTCTACCGAGAGAGTTGCTGGCACGATCGATGGCGTTACTATTGAGGCTGTTCACTAGATAACGTGTGAAGGATGCAGAAGAAGTGTCACTGTTGCAATCGTACCAAATAACCAGAAGGCGGCGCACACTCGCGGATCTGCGCCATGGAAGACAGCTTTCAGGCGGGCGCGATAGACGGCCCAGGACGAGGCTGGAGAGCCCGGCATGGGGAGGAGCGGCATATGAGGGGCAGAGCGGGGAGGTTGCTTCACATGGCCAAGTTTTGAACTTGAGCAGACTTGGTGGTGTTGAGTAGTAGTACTGTAGTAGGCGGCCCTCGAACGCGTCCGAGCATGCAGGTGGATGATCAGCGCGCAGTGGCCTTGGCAAGAGGCGGTCAGGAACCGCGGCCAGGCATGCATGAGTGGCTCAGCGCAGGCGTCAGGTGTTCCGAGTGCCCATGGGCTTTTCTTTGATGGACTATACGACCAGGATGCTCTGCTAATCTGCGCATCATTATCCGAGCCGTCGCCTTTGTGACGAGAGAGAAAGCTGGAGGGGGGGGGGGCTCCCCAAGCAGCCCTGTCACACCAGGGGAGGGTGGGCTGCCCTCAGGCCTGTCCATGCGGGGCTGCAGGGATGCTCAAGTGCCTCTTCTGTTGCGGCAGGTAAGCCAAAGATTCCGCGCGCTTGGTCCATCCACATGCAGCTTTCTCGTCTCCTCGCATTTCGACTCTTTCCTTCTTCTGCCCTGCCTCATCAGTCGATGCCTTTGGGGAGCGTGGTACCCTGTTCACCTCGACCCTCAATCTGCTCAATGTCCACGACACCATACTAAAGTGGCCCTTCGTCGTCTGCTTCCACCGCTTGACCGCCTTCTAGATGAGCCAAAATCGCCTGCAACACCATGGACCGCCAACCTGCGCCGCCGCCCTTCCAGCGACCGCCAGACCGCCCCATGATGCATAACGCAAACTACCAGCCTCCCACCACGCAAGCCTACAATGGCTATCCTCCCTCGACTTCGCAGCCGCAACCACAGCAGCCGCTCTACGCTCCCTTCGCAGGAGACCCATACTCGATGCCTCGACGCGATCCCTTCTTCCCTGCCGCTTCGCAACACGTCCGACGGACTAGTCAAGGAGTGCCTGGGGGCAACAACACGCCGCAACGGCAGGCTGAGGGACAGGGACAAGGACAAGGACAAGGTGGCTGGGCATCTACAGGTACGGCAGCTTTTCTTTTTGGGACACATACAGGCGCAACACCAGACGATAGCTCGCTTGCTCGCCGCAAGACACGACCTGCGACCAGGAAAATGTCTTGGATACGAGTGGTACGGCTCGCGTGGCTATTCGAGCTGTCCAAGACCAGACGACAGAAACAATGTGGGCACTCGTCGCTTGTCTGTCGCTGCTGCATGCTGCCCTGCACGCCACGTCAACTGCAAGAAGCCCCAGCATCTTGACCGTGTGGCTGGACTGTGGACTTCTCCACACTTCACCGCCTGTTGCGATGCTGAGCTGGTGCGGTGTAGGCAGTGCGACCTGGCAGGCGATGCCTTCCATTCGCGTTCCATTTGTCGTCTTTTGACTTCCTTCTGACGCAGGCCTTGCAAGGATGCGCAGAGTGCTGCAACGCATTGTTTGTGTGCTGGCGAGGGTGCTGGGTTTGGCGAATTCTAATGGCGTTCTCCGCACATGTGGCTCGCCTGGCTAATGCAAGATCCGCTTGCGCGTTAAACCGTTTTTGAAAAGATGGGACGGCTGATCGATTCTTAGCGCGACCCAGTAACGGAAACTATGGTCCTCATCATCACTCCCAGCTCGGTCCTCCACCACAGCCATCCATGAGCACCTCAAACAACCCCCCAGGGCCGTCGCCCTATGGCTACGATGCTGCGCGCAGACGCTCACTCAACGGCGGAAGCCCCTCGAACCCATACGGAGGTAAGACCCCCGCAGACACAAGACAGCTCCCCAGCTTCATCTCCAGCTAACTCTCCTATAGCGTCACCTCACGATCCTCCTCCGCCGCCGTCCTTTGCACGACCGCAGATGCCCCCGCCATCGTCGCCGCCGCAGCAGCAGCAACTCCACGCGTCGCAAGCACAACGCCCGTCGTACACCTCCAACTTTGGCGCAAACAGAGAGCTCCCTGCGCTAGGACAGGCGCTGCGACCGGGGAGCAGCATGTCCATCTCATCCCTTATCGGTGCTGGTGACACAGATGCTCCCATACAGACAACACAATCACAGCCGTCACCTCCCACAAACGCGCCGTCGTTGAACAGTCACAGCATGCAACCGCCCTCGCCCCGACGTGGCTTACCAGCTGCACCGCGATCAGAGTTCGCTCCCTTCCGACGCCAATCGTCGCCCGACCGCAACATATACGGAGTCAACACATCAAGGCCACCTGAAGGGCACGGCTTCTCTGTGGGGTCGCCTACACAATCCTACAGCAATCGCGGTTCTCCCCAACTAGGTCGGCAATCTCTGCCTCCAACTACCCAGCCCTATAAGCCTATGGGCTTTCCGGGCCAACGTCTTTATACACCAACCGATTCGGGCCGGCCGCCTTCTGGAAGCGTCCCACCCCGCCCGAACAGCCAGCCAACTGGACCCCTTGGACCTCTAGAACAAGAAGGGGGGTCATTCTACAACGCTCTAGGGGGGCGGCGTAGCGCATATGGGGTACCTGAGGAACGAAGGCGAACTTTAGGGGAGTTGGCTAGGCCCAACGCTGTGGAGCTTCTGGGAGGCACCAGTCAGAGTGCATTGGAAAGAGATCGCCCTGTTACGGTGCACCCCGTGTCGCAGTCCATTTTCAGTCCGCCTCGTGAGCAACACAGCATCGCTGGCCCAACAGAGCCTCCACGTAACCTTTGGCGGCATTCAGCGCCCATCGAAGCTCCCAACGAACCTACCGAAAGCCGACGTGAAGAGCATACAACACTGCCTCGAACCTATGGTTCGTACCCTTCACCCTCGCTTGGTGCTCCACGGTACGGTGGCCTAGGCGCTGAAGACCTGATTCGAGGACGTGGTGTAGATCAGTTGAGTAACCGCGTGGTAGAGCAGTACCATGCCCCCCCTACGTCAGATCCCAACTCTCTCGAGCGACATAGGCCTGAGCCACTTGCTCGCTCTTTATCCTCTGGGGGTCGATCTCTGTACGACCAGTCACAAAGAATGGGAGAGGCCATGCAGCATTCGAAATCACACATTGGCTTTGGGTTGGATGCCAATAGAAGGACAGGACGTGCATCTCCACTGCCACAGGCTGTCCAAGGAGCTCAAGGACAGCCGTTGTCGATTGGCAAAGACCCTGGCATCAAGAGTGAGTTTGGGCGCATGTTTTCCGGTCTTGGAAGCGGGTTGGGTTCGTCAACACCCTCGCGTGGCAGTCCGTTGCCACAAAACGGAACAGGTTCCTTCTCCCACGACTCTGAAGTCGGCGACATGATGAGACTTCAGCGGGTCAACTCCCAACAAGGAAGAAAGCCTAAACGTGTCAAGGACGAGGAAGGCATCTTCGACGTTGAAAGCGTCGACGGGAGAGGGACACCCTCTGGCATCCGCGGTGCTAAACGAAATAAGCACCATCACCACCATGCTGCTGCACCACACCATCAGTTAGTCTATTCATCCTCTGATTACCTGCTGTCTTGCTAACCGACCATACAGTCACCATCACCATCACCATCATCACCATAAACCAGACGAAGAGATTCCACTTTCCACCACATCTACTCCACTGAATGGGAGGCAGCCGCCGCTCGCGCAACCTAGCGCAGTCCCGCCAGTACACCATCATCACCACATTCAAGGGACACCACACCACCATCACCACATTCACACACCCCGAGTTAACCAGCAGCAACCGCTCCCTGCGGTAAAAGTTCAGGTTCAGGTCCACGACATCGAGCCTATCCTCGAAGAAGCTGCCAAACACCCTCGGCGGCACCTTGGGTCACATTTGTACGAAGCCACGGCAGAATTGCCTAAGCCTAATTCGTCCTTGGATGATCAATTTGGATACGCCTCCAAACCGAAATGTTTACCTCGATTTGAAGCCAACCCAATCAACTGCACCTTTACCATTAGGGTACCAAGATTCTATTTGAAGCCACGCCAACGGCAACACATTGTCTTGGAGCGGCATCTCTGGGGTGCGCGTGTATACCGCGATGACTCGGACCCTATCGCTGCTGCCATACATTCTGGGTGGATTCGAGGAGAGTGGGATGATACCGTCGATGTCACCATGCTCGATCCACGCATCACGGTGCCCAACGAAGCCACAGATGCGGAAGAAACGCTCACAAAGGCGCCAGCCGCGCCCGTGACACCGCCTGTCGATATGGATTTGCAGATCGAGATCCTCATTCTGCCCCAACTGCAGGAATACAGCAGCTCGGTCGAATACGGAATTGCGAGTAGGAAGGGCAAAGCACACGAAGGTCTAAGCTTTATGATCAACAAGATTCGGTGGGTTGACGAAGGAATCGGCAGTCGGGGCCAGGAACGCACAGCAGCAGCGTTGAAGCGCAGGCTTGACGCCGGTGCCACGCTCCTTGCTCTCCAGAGTGGAGTCGAAGACACTCTCCGAATCAACGGGATGGCGAAATTGCACGCTTGATGCTGGACAGGATTTTCTTGACATGTCACGGCCGCCTCTGGTTATCTGAGCGTACAGCTCGGTTTTGTAGCATTAGGATGATTTGTTCAGCATTGCTAGATACCCGTATTTTTTTTTTACAGCTTGACATTGGCGCAGGATTGCATTTAGCGACTGGGGAGGTTTATGTATTGGGTAGCCCGTAGCGTAGGAGAGCGATGAGAAAGTAAAGACGGTTGGCTCGATGCTAAGTGTGTCGGTCTTCCCTGACCTATGGAGATGTGCACGAACGTGATGGACAAATTGCATAAACGCCAACTGCACGTGGTAAGATAAGAGCGACAGACAGACAGCAGTGCCGAACGGTGTGTCGTTGTTGAGCTTTGCCACGGGCCGACAGGCAAGCGAGAGTCTTTCCAACAGGCGGCAAGAGCTTGCACGTCTTGGGCAAGAGCACTTTGATTGTAAATATTACTCTCGTCTTGCTCGCCAGCGCTTCCTTGTGAGGGCAGACACTTGACCGCCACACTGACTGACTGACTGACTGCCCCGCCGCTGGCTACTACTGCACCAAACGACTCGACGTCTCATCAGAACGCGCACACTACAGGCAATAATTATTTTATAGTCATCATGGGCCACTCTAGGACCTACTCTATATCAACGGTACGTAAACCTTCTCGTATTCTCTGCAAGCATTGGTCATGGCACTCGGTTCATTCGCCGAGTTGGCGTGAGCGCTCAGTGCCAACCCAAAGAGCTGGCGGCATTCGGCGGCTTTAGGAAGCATTCTTCTCCACTACGTGGGCCCTGGTGCTCTTGTCGTCATACTGAGATGCACGGCGTGTCATGGCACACGACCAGAGAATCTTCAACAATACCACGGCCGGCTAGAGCTCCCCGATTGCGCCAACGTCGGACAGGTGGAACAATTCAGCGCACCCAAACCCTGGTGCATCGAATGAGAGCTGCCAGCTACGATTGCTCCACTAGGCCCATTGCCGAGAGCTGGTGAAGAGAAGAACCAACGCCCTTCTAAATGCGGGGAATCGTCTATCCTCACCAAGCCTCATCTCCTCGCTTCTCGAATGCCGAGCCGATCTCACGACTCTGCAATCCGACCTCCCGTGCCCATATACCAGCTGATTCAACATTTTTTTGAACCGTGTCAGGCCTTGGAATCGGATTTTTCCCCCTGACCGCTTAGCTTCTGTCTCTGCAGCGTCTTGAATAAAAAGCCGCATAATATCGCTGCACCTCGGGACACCTCCGCCCAGATTCCGAGCCCTACCACTTTCTCTCGATTCTTGCCGTGTACATTGCACAACGCCGTTTTCCTTTTTCTGCATCTTACAGGGGGCTGGACTCGCCGTCGCACACAATGGAAGCTGCCAATGGCTTCTATGCGCCGAATATGCGCAAAGTGCCTACGGGCGAGTTTGTGAAGCCGAGCAGAAGGACTAACGGTGCCGGTGTGCAGGCCGAAGACACGCGGATATGCGTCGTCATGGTGGGCTTGCCCGCTCGAGGAAAGAGCCTGATCGCACAGAAAGGTAAAGACTCTCTACTCCATTGTGTCTCGCTATCGCTAATCTTGTGCCATCGCAGTGGTCCGCTACCTGCATTGGCTATCGATCAAATCGAAGACCTTCAACGTGGGCCAATATCGACGTTCTGCGACCCCGAATCCTTCCGCCGCCTTCTTCGACACCACAAATCCCGAGGGAGAGCGCCTGCGCAAAGCAGCCGCCGAAGCAGCTGTTAATGACATGTGCAAGTGGTTCGCAGAGGGCAAGGGCCTGATTGCCATCCTGGATGCGACAAATTCGACCAAGACGCGGCGAAGGTGGATACAAGAACGCTGCACAGCGGAGAACATTGAGACGCTGTTTGTCGAATCAAAATGCGACGATGAGGAGCTCATCATGAGCAATATCCTTGAAGTCAAGACGACGTCACCCGACTACGTCGGACAGGATCCAGAAGAAGCTGCGGCCGACTTTCGCAATCGCATTCGAAATTACGAGAAAGTGTACCAGACCATTGACGAGGACGAGCGCGACCTAACGTACGTCAAGTTGATCGATGTGGGAAAACAGGTCATCATCAACCAAATACAAGACTATCTCCAGAGCAGAGTCGTGTACTACCTAATGAATCTCCACATCAAGCCTCGCTCCATCTGGTTATCACGGGTAAGACAGTGTTTGAGCTTTAAAAGACGTTGCAAACTAACAGTGACAGCACGGTGAATCGCAATACAACCTCTCGGGCCAAATCGGCGGAGACGCCGATCTCTCAGAGCGAGGAGATGCCTACGCCCACGCCCTCCCCGGCCTCGTAGCAAAATCCGTCCGAGACGGTCGTAGACTTACTGTCTGGACGTCTACGCTAAAGCGAACAATTCAGACCGCCAGATTCCTTACCTTTGAGAAGCTAGAATGGAAAGCTCTTGACGAGCTCGACTCGGGCGTCTGCGACGGGTTAACCTACGCCCAAATCGAGCAAAAGCACCCCGAAGACTTTGCGCAGCGCGACGAAGACAAGTACAACTATCGCTACCTGGGCGGAGAATCATACCGCGACGTGGTCATCCGCCTCGAGCCCATCATTATGGAGCTAGAGCGCAGCGAAAACATCTTGATTGTCACCCATCAGGCCATCCTACGATGCATATACGCATATTTCATGAACGTGCCGCAGGAACAAAGCCCGTGGATGGAAGTGCCGTTACATACGTTGATCAAGTTGACACCAAAGGCCTACTCAACGCAGGAAGAAAGACTGAAGGCCGATATACCGGCAGTCAGCACGTGGAGAGGTAAGGGCAGCAAGGCTGAACATCAGCAGACGAACGGCAGCGCATAGCCTGACGACGTCACCAGCTCCAGGGGAAACTGAACACGCACGATGACGAGCCGCCGGGAGCGGATGCGGGGTGCTGAACGGGCACGCCAACGATTCGTCAGTCAGGCGGGACTTGACTTTGGGACTTGGAGCATGGAATAGAACATGATGAAGGAAGGCGAAGAGGGGAAAAGGGATGTATTGATTGAACAGCGTTCGGCATTCTTCCGACCTGGGTTATGGTGGGTGGTGCATGTTGTATGGGAAAGGCGCATGGTATGGGCACATGGGCATAGATTGGCATTCATCCTCCGCTTCATTGTCTCTATAGCACTGGGCCTCACACCCCTCGAATGGTCACCATGGGACAAGGCTCAAATACCCTGAAGAAAATATACCTGAAATCATTCTCCACAGCCGGCTAACTCTTTATGATTGTGCTCATGTCGAATCTATTCGATATATGGTAAAAGATTCAGCACACCGATGTGACAAAAGAAGAGTGTGTTCTGGCAACAGAGCGGTTAGCTCCGTCGCAGTAGATTGAATTTATTAGCTAGCTAATCATTACCAAGATTCCATCTCATTAGAATGATGCATTCATAACCCAAGGCCAGGCCAGGCCAGGCCAAGCTGATAACCGACTGAGCCCCCCTAACTAAATCCATATATCCCAGGTTCGTATATTTCCCGGAACCGCCCCATCCATATATTTTCATATTCCCCCCAAAAAAACGCCGCGCTGAACAAAATGCAAATGGGAAAAAAACAAGACCTAATAAATCTCTCTCGTTTGCTGCTGTTGAATGGATGGGGAGATCACAGCAGGAAGACCAACCACCCTGCTGCGCCAATCATGAGGCTTTCAACCCACATGTCCAGTCCTCCTGCGTTGTGGAGCGAGATACCCGCTCCTGAACTCTTGCCCCCGCCAATGCCGCTTGCAATTAGATCTCCCGCACCGCGTCCACTAGTCGTCGTCGTGGACTCGCTGGAACGACTCGCGACCGAGCCCGACGGCGTGGCGCTCGCGCTATTGCTCGCGGGGACTTTCTTGATACTGCTCGTCTGGCCGTTGACGACGAGCGCAGTGCCCTTGGGATCAAGACTATACGTTGTCCCAGCTACCGTGACTACCGCGCCGGGTTTGAGCGTCGTGCCCTGGCCGAGAACATACTGCGTTGTGCCGTCCTGGAGGGTAGGAGCGTACGTTTTGCCGTCGATGGTGACGAGCGCTGGCGCATTGGTGATATGAGCCGGTGCAGCAGCATTAGCGAGGGTAGACGACACGCCGTTGACAACGAGTGCAGTTGCGCTTGGGCCGGCGGCGAGACTGTATGTTTTCCCCTCGACGGTCAGGGCAGGGCCGCCGGGTTTCAGCGTTTCGGTGCCGACGACGTATTCTCCCTGTGGGTTGGCGGTTACGGTGTTGCTTCCGATTGCGAGGATGGGGGCGCCGGTTGGGCCGCTGGCTGGGTGGACGGTGAGCGTGTTGCCGTCGACGACTAGTCTGGTGTAGCCGCCGTCTGTGGGTGCGATGACTAGGACGCCGTTGATGGTTTTCGTTTCGCCGGGGTAAAATGTCTCGGTCCCAATCACGATAACCGGCGGCGGTGCTTGGTTGTGCTCATTTGGTTGATCCGGGTTGCCCTGCTGTGTTGGTTTTGGAGTGAAAACAGGATACACGTTATCGCCAATTGTAATCCTCTCGCCTGTAGTGGTGACTGGTGGTTGTTGCGTCCAAACATCAGGATTATTGTGTACAATCGAAACGATGGTATCTGGGATACTAGGTCGATGCGGGTTGTTGTTGTCTTCCGGCTTATTCGGGTCCTGCTGATTTGGCTTGGGCTTGTCATCTGGCTTGCTAGGGTCATTTGGTATGTATGGGGTTGGAGTTGGGTCATCGATCTTGTTCGTGGCTGCATCATTGCCTGGCTTTGTGAGCGCGCACCTAAGACATCCTTGCCTCGTTAGGTGAGTGGACGTTGACTCGTAAGTCGTCGAAATGAAGGTCCCTGTTGTCACAGACGGGGATGGTAATTCGGGTGCCTCCGTCTCTGAAGGTGCCTCCGTCTCTGAAGGTGCCTCTGTCTCTGACGCTACGGAAGTGGCAGCAGGAACTGTCGGCAAGCCGGCAGGCTTAGATAGTGTTATATGTGGGACCTCAGGATGAGGGACGACTTTAGACTGGTAGGGAAAGCGGACGGTACAGGTAGCAATATCGGAGCCACGGTATTGCGATACAATGTCCGGATCTTGCTTCAAGAAATTGATCAGTTTCGACGGGAGCGCAGCAGGCCTATCTTTGGGTGACTTCTTTGGTGGGTTTCCTGTATACGTCTGGACGAAATGATGCCAATCCTCGGTGGCAGTCGGTTCCCAGTTTTTGAGTTTGGTAGTAGAGGGAGCGCAGGCGCGCAGCGTCTGCGTCGAAGCAGGGTACGCCATGAGCTCGTCGAGCCCGCCGACAAGGCTGCTATAAAAGACGTAGGTAGGCCCCGCAGTCAGAGTCAAGTATACCCCTGACGCTGCTGTCAAATAAAAGAGCGGGGTGGTGTGCGTGATAGTTGCGTTCGTATCCCCCATAACAACAGTCTTGGTTTGATTTACGGTCTGTTTCTCTGTGACTATCGTATCGATTGTACTGCCATCAAAATAAGTAACAAACTGGGTTAGAATGGTCTCAGTTACAACGACGCTTGTCCACGGGTTGGTATTATCTTCCTTGTCGTAGAAGGTGGTTACTGGGTTGTAGGCTTCAATAACGCAGCCGGTACATGTTCCAGGCACTGTGGAGAAGTTTGCACCTGAAGGTGCAAAGGTAAACCGAGGAGGCCCTGAGTGCGTGGACGACGATTCATTGGCGTAATATGGTGAGGGGATGAGGATTGGCGATGGAGTGGTAAATGCTGCCGCTGGGTTGACTGGGTGTATTAATAACGCTGAAGACATGCACGTGCAAATCAAGTCACATACGATCTGAGAATTGTTAGTTTATGAATCGCCATCAAGCAACCAAAAAAAGCGTACCTCTTCTGCTGTATGGATTGGCATCTGCGCCAACTGCGAGCAGCGCATGGCCCCCTAAAAGAGCGTGCCTCCACATAGTGCTATCTTTCCTTCTACATGAACGAGTGACAGTGCCAAAGTCGAGACAGACGTCGCAACGACAACGAACGAACGAAGGACAGAACAAACGACTCGCAACGCAACGAAAGCAAGAGTAGACGGAAATTCAGCCCTAGGAGGTTGAGAATCAATGGGGATTATTTGAGAAGCCCACAGTATCGGGCGGACATGGCGCTATGAATAGACGCACATGCGCCCCATGCGCATCTTCGCAGTGGAGCCGGTCGGACAAACCAAGGTGCAGATCCAATCGACGCGTGGGCTGAGAAGCCTCCTGGCCTAACTAGAACCACACTTGGCGTGGCAACTGGGGCTCATCGAGTTTTCTCTGTTCAGTGCTTGTTATCCTGCTTACGCCGTCAAGGAGGAGTCACGGCGCCCTTCGAGTGTGCAGCGTGGTAGCACTTCCTGGACGAGACGTGGTTCCACAGGGCTGAGGGGGCAAAGGATCGTTAAGGTGGCACTCCTCGACGGCCTCTAGCCATTTGTTGAGATTACGTGTTTTAGTTTCGCACCAACTAATCGCGATAGGAGAGGCTGCCATGTCAGCAGAGACGATGACATGTTGCGAACCATGCATGGCTGACAGGATCTACGCCAAGCGCAATGCAGGCTCGTCCCATCAATTGGCTCCTTGGTCAAGGCCCCCTGCGTCGCTTTCAGCCCCTACCGTGGTACTGTATCTCGTATCCACTCAGCTCGACATGGCCTCGGAAACCCCCAGCCACGTCCTCGCCTCTCCCGAATCATGCCGACGGTCCCACGGGGCAGCTAGACCTCATCCATGCCATGCCATGCCATCGAATCGAAACCCCTCCAGATTTTCCCTCCACCCTTTCCAGCGCCCAGCCATGGACCCGTAACGTGACGTGACGAGACGAGACGAGCAATTGATTCTCCTAGCCCGCTAATTCTTACCGCCTTGACGCCATGTGGTGCTGCCCTCTATAGCCGTTAAGCACTCCCAAACCTCGCTCGTTCACCCCTACCTACGCTCGCTTCCTCATGGGACTCGCCGCGCGAGCCACCGCGGCTCCGGAGCCATACGTCGTACCCCCTTCGAAACAATTCGACGGCAATGATGGGAGCTGGAGTACCTTCAAAATCAGCGTGGGCACACCCGGCCAGGACTTTCGCGTTCTGCCATCCACAAAGGGCGGCGTCACCTATTTAGTCACACCAGATGGATGTATAGCAGGAGTCGACCCTGCCAATTGCCCAAATCTACGCGGGGCCGAAGTCTTCAAAAGCACTCAGAACAGCGGGTACCAAGTCAACGCTTCATCGTCGTGGTCATCAATTGGGCTGTACGATGTGGATCTAGAGGATGCGCTCAATTACACTGCAGGGGGTCTCTTTGGATTTGACAAGGTGTCGCTAGGACCAGCAGCCGACACGGCGTCGTTGTCGCTGGACCGTCAGGTTGTTGCTGGAGTTCCCGACCCAGCCTACTTCATGGGCATCCTTCCTCTAGGACAGGCCGAATCCAGCTTCTCGAGTCTTAGCCAGCCCATCGACTCTCTTCTCTACCAGCTGCGCAATGCCACCAAGATCCCCAGCCTGTCCTATGCATACACAGCTGGCGCAAAGTATCGCTTGAAGTCAGTCTTGGGCAGTCTAATTCTAGGCGGATACGACCAAACTCGGTTCAAAGCAGACAATAGCGGCTTTTCTTTTACGTTCTCTACGGATTCGTCAAAGCTGCTCACCGTGGGTGTCGAGTCTATCATGGCGACCAACACGCTGCAAGGAACCGTGTCCATGACATCAGGTGCTCACTTTTCTGTCATCGACTCCACCGTGCCGCACCTGTGGTTACCGAAGGATGCATGCGCCCAGTTTGAAACAGCCTTTGGGCTTACCTACGACTCTCAAACCGACCTTTACCGCGTCAACGATACTATCCACCGCGAGCTTCTTTCGAAAAACCCCATGATAACAATAAAACTCGTCAATTCACTACAAGACACGTCGACCAAGTACACAAATATACAACTACCGTATGCCGCATTTGATCTCCAAGCTTCATACCCGTTCTACACAAACGCAACCAACTACTTTCCGATCCGCCGCGCTGCGAACGATTCACAATACGTTTTGGGGCGGACATTACTGCAAGAGGCCTACCTGATAGTAGACTATGAGCGCGCAAATTTCACTGTAGCGCAAGCCGTCTTTCCCGACCCTCTCCCAGCCGCCAAGGTCATCACCATCACATCATCCAACTCCAAGTCGAACAACAGCAAATCTTCGGGCATCGGCACAGGCGCAATAGTTGGTATTGCAGTCGGCGCGGCTGTGCTCCTTATCCTAGGCATCATCGCTTTCCTTTTCTACCGAAGACGTCGAACTCAAAAGAAGCAACCATACGAGCTAGCCGGCAACCAAGTCTTGGAATCTGGCTCACGACAAAACCTCGCTGCTGGCGGTGTACCTCTCAAGTCACCGGCTCCACAAGAGCTCAGCGGCACGCCGTTGACGGAGCTCGATTCTCCACATGTCGAGCAGCACAATGCATACCCACAGGACGTGAAACTGCCCGTTAGTATCAACGACACACCACAAGAGCTACATGCCGAGTCAATGACACCAGTCACGCCACGATGGCAGGAGGTTACTCTCCCACTACCACTACGAACTCAGCATGAGATGGATGGTGCAAGTAGTGGGAGTCGGACTGTGAGCCACGTGCCGAGTGACGATGGGTACGCGACTGGAGAACTTGGCCCACGGTCTGGGGTTTCGCCTTTGACACCGCAATTCCACCAACATCACTGAGCACCCATGGAAGAATCTTGGATAGCTACAAGGCTAATAGTTGGCGTTTTATTTTTCGCGGCTTGTACATTTTTTCTTGAGATACCACCTTGTACATAAGGCCCTCTACGGCATTTTCTTTATACTGTCCATGGATATACGACACGAAATCGTGTTTTAATACGAGAAGATACGAATATTCCTTCCATGTTCTTTTCCCAAAGCGGTAAACGCGTCAGCTTTTCAATATTCCTCATGCGTGTCACCACAGGGCCCTTGTCGCACCAATACGATATTGGATTCCTCATTCCAATACTTTCATGCTTTGGAAATCGCAATGATCGGGTGGTCGTATGACTTTGAGTTGGTTGGTTGGTTGGTTGTACATGCAATGCAATGCAATGGCTGGGATGAGAAGCTTGCTCACCCTTCATGACAGCGGATACTCGTGATCAATAGCAGACACTGGCAATACGAGACCCGAGTTTGCTGGTCGTTGGATACTGTATGTCCAAATCATATGGTTGACCGTTAGCAGCGCGTGGATCTTTCCTGGAGTAACTGATATGCTGCTTGCGTGGAAGGCTTACTTAATATGAGGAGTATAGAAATGTACTTTTGCATTTTACGACACTTGATTAAGCTAGCTGGGGGTATATATGTAATGTGAGCATGTCGTTGAATCTGAACCCGATTTGACAGGATAGTCTGTAAACTCCACCGTGATCAATCATGTACAATGGATTTCAAACGTGCGTTAAGCGGAATAGGAGAAGATAGAGCTACGCAGAAGCTCAAGTATGTCTCCACCCTCCACCAATTTTTCGCTTGGTACTGATATTACTGATATTACAGTACTAATAGGAGGAAGAGACTCATTGGGAGGGTGGATGGCGGTTTGAACTGCCCCTTGGGGGGTTTCACTGGATTCCCATATCCTCCTTCGTCCTGGTGGATATGGCCACCATCTTCAGACAGCCTTAGACAATGCGTCTAGGTGATCTAGCAATCGAATTCATCTTGAGATAAGTTGCCTATCATGAGGACGTACGACGCTCGTGTATTATTCATGCTATTCAGTAACTCACACGAGGAGAAGTCTTAAGAACCCAGCTTGTACAGATGTCATTGTCGCTATGATGTCGAGATGTATACATGTCGCAGTCTCATCGCCCAAAAGCTGCTTTGCACATATCATTATGCCAACCACTTCCTCCCTCAAACTCGAACAAACTCGAACGGTTCATGCGACAGCTCACATCACCTAATTCGTCACGTCCTTCTTCTTACTATGCCCCATCTATAGTCCTCCTGCTCCGGTAGCGCTGTGCGTGCTTGCTCCGACGCCCGGTCCAACTTGGGCATGCGTCGCATCGCGATGGGCCGCCTCTCTCTCTCTTGCCTCACGCTCAATCTGCTCCTCGGTCTTCCTGTTACCCCTGGCGATGAGCTTCTCAATCAAGCCGCCCTTCTTCGGCTCGCCGTGTTTGTCTGAGTCCTCGAATTCCTTGAGGTAGGCGACACGCTCGTTAGGAGGCATCGCGGCGAGCTCGGAGTCGATGCTGTCGCGGTTATCTAGGGAGGTGTTAGTGAGTTGTTAATATAGGGGAAACGGGACGGAAAGAGGGTGAGGTAGTGGTGAGGTTTGACGAGGCTGACGATGGGGGAGGTTGGGAATGGGTCTAGAGGTTCAAGGAAACGAAGTGTCAAGCTTTGTAAGACATGCAAAGGGTAACATACCCTCAATGGTGCCAACACCGTGACCAGCATCGTTCTCGGGCTGTGACTTGCGGCTGCTGCTGCCGATGTGAAGCTTCTCCTTGATCTTGTCCATTGTTGATCGGTCTAGTTCGATGTATTCAGGTGTGTGGTGGATTTCGAGAGAGACTGAAGTCTGAATTCGGGGTGTTGATGTTAGTGTAGGTTATTTGGATGATGCGCGGGGAGTGAAGAGGGGTGATAGCTACCCTGCGTGTCAACTACGTCATTGGCTTTTGTAGTTGATTTGCTAGCCACTTGGATGTGGAGCTCTCAGGCGGGGTTACGTATGCATATTCCTTGTTGGAAGGGGATTCGCGTATTCTTGATACAAATATTGGAAGCGAATTGTTTCCATTGATTCGTGCTGCAGGTGGTCAATTTCACTCGAATTGTCGTATCTAAGCATTCGGGCTCATTCGAGGTGACCTAACAAGCCTGAGCCTGTAAACGAGCTATTATCGCTAGGCTGTATAGTGTACCTTCAGGAGGTTTCTGATGTTGCTTTGCTGTCTCGGATTGGTTGGCTTCGTCATTCGATACCAGTCAACTAGGAAATATCTAGTTTGTTTAGATACAAACCTCTTGAAAGATGGACTCTCGTTTCATCTTGTGTGGAAATGTACAGCAATGTTCGCCAAATTCAACAGAAGTCAAGAATAGCAAGTCTCTTCGCGACGTGCTGTATATAGCCGGGGCATGCGAGTTGTCTCTGTTGCAAATGACTGAATAGAGTATCGCTCTTGTGGCATCCTTTTCATGATAGTGGTATCCATGTTGCCATCCGCGAATTTACTGTAGTAGGGAGAAATAGAATATTGAGATTTGTACCTCGTCCTTCTGTAGCTCAACCTGTAAAGTATCAGCCACATCTAATCAACTCACAAAAACGACGAGTTTGTTCACAACAGATGAAATTACTGGACATGTTATGCCCTTGCTCCAATCCGAGCTGGTATACTACAAATCTCTCTTCCACGGCTTCCAAAGCTTCATCACCTATCCTCAGCATCCTATCATATACATTGAATAATAACCGCTACCCGCTGAAAGAAAGAGTGTTACTGAAATCGACGCTCGCTCTGAAACTCTTATGATAATGTGATTGAACGCTGCACTTGGCGTAGTAATCATGGAGACTGGTGGGGTTTGGTAGTGAAGCGTGGCGAATAATGCCATTGACTTTCTTCTCATACTGGCAACCCTTCTTCGTCTGGAGCTTCGGGGGCGCCACTCACGGCTCCATACACCCGGATCGGGACCTGTACTTCGAAACTCTCGGCTGGTAGCCTTTGCGCCGCTGCTAGAATCACGCCTCTGTCATCACTAGATATCTCTTCCAGCAGCTCGTCCCACAACGCTTCTTCCCCGTCCTCGTGTGCCAAGCGCGGTGTGATAAATTCGACCCTCAACTTCCACTCCAGACTTACACCGCTTGTGATGAACTCTGGGGTCGCGTTTGGAGGTATTGTAGGCGAAAATGCAAGCTTTTGTGCAAACAGCGCGTTTTCAGAAAAGGATGCGTGTACCTTCTTTGTGACGCGATAAATGGATGCGTTCGACCGCAGCGCTATCGCAGGGTCCACTTTCTCCGACGTCTCTAGCGAGACATGAACGGAATAGCAGGGGATGTGTGAGTCGGTGAAGTCGATCACAGCGGACATGGTCTCACCAAGCCGGTACGCAGGCCGAGCCAACGTAATGACCGCTACGCGCCGACCGCTACGAGCGATCTCGAAGCGGTTGGCGCTCTGATTCGCTGCACCTGTCAGGTTGCTACGGAGGATAGCCATGTCGATGGCTTCTTTGATAGTTTGAGGTTCCTCGGCCATTGAGAAACGGCCAGGCAATGTCTCAGTTGGTGAGAGCAGTCCCATGCTTGAGTTTTGCCGTGGTCGATCTAGGAGGTTGTCGACATATTCGAGGAAGTCGCCGAACGCGTGGTGGTTGGAGGTTTCTGATGGAGAGACCTTCGTAATCAAAAGAGAAGACTTTGCAGTCGCTGCAGCGCCTACGCTTGCAGTTCGGGCTTGATCGCGCAATATGATATATGGAGACATCAAGTCATGCCCAAGGATCTCACCACGGCCTGTTCTCAAATTAACATCTTGCATCTCACTAGGAATAATAATAAATAACATACCATTCACACTGCCAAAGACCCGGAAAGGGACATCTACCTGCCTCACTTGTTGGTCTTTGGTGGAACCAGCGCGCTGTGTACCAATGGTTATGTTGTATGCGACCTTCATCGACCGGCCCTTATGCGAAGGCGGTAAACCTCGAGGTATTGTAAAACTGTACGTATAGCTGCGACTTTCCCCTGGAGCAAGTTTGAGATCCACAAACAAGATGGACTGCGGTGTGGATATGAGCGGGACAGTTTTCGAGCTGGCGATGCCTCTCATCTCTCGGATACTAGAAGGCTCCGATGCGCCCAGTAAACCGCCTAGGGACTCCCCGATATTGCCCCAGCCGAGTGCGCCGAACAAACCACTTTCGCGCTTCGTTCTTTCCACCCCAACGACACCGCCTCCACCCTGACCGCCGACTACTCCTTTCCTCTTGACTTCCTCAAAAGGCGCTTGGTTGATCAGTGACCCATCCAGAGTGAAAGATCCCATTATCTGAGCATATCCCATCATGAGAGACTCAGGGCGGCTTTGTCGGTTGGGTGGAGCCAATTGAGATGTTCGCCGTTGATGCATTGGCCGTTGTAGTAGACGCATAGAGGGATTGGCTGTGTATTCGGAGGCTAGAGTCTCATTCGAGTTGTTGCTCACAGAGTAGAACTCCCCGCTGCTGCGCGGAGTGCCGTCCATGCTTGACCCAGATAGTACTCGAGCTACGGGCGAGAGCGTTTCGGAGTGGGAGTTCGGTTGCATCCGTCGATTTTCATTCTGCAGTCGAGGGGATTGCCGCCGGGCTTGGGTAACTTGTGTGGGTGGATTACTAGTAATTTGTTCTGTTGAGGCATCTTCTGGTGAAGGTGCGGCGGGAAACTTGAAGCTTTGGGAGAAAGAATTCGAGGGCTTTCGTGTTGTAATCGGAAGAGCGGGAGTGCTCGGAGTAGTCGATATGCCCGGTCGCCTCCTCGCAGGTCGTATAGGGAATGTGAACTCGCCCGGGGGCTCCTGAACTATTGGGGGAGATGAGGCTCCACCTGAAAGCGGAGAAGGATGAGTTGCTGAGCGATGGCCTGGCGAGGCGACTGAAGTCATGTCAGTGAGATAGCTACGTCAATTGCGCCGTCCGTACCTGGATAGGAGTTTGGTCTCCCTGGCACGACCTGTAGACTCGCTGATCTGCCGTGCCCTCGAGTCGGTCGTCTGATTTGTATGCCCCTTTCATGACTGACTTCTGTTCCAACATCTGTGCCTAGTGATATAATTGATAGTGATCTCCCATGGTTCTTCCCACTGGTGTTATTGCCTGATGCTGCGCCCAGTGGAATAGGCGAACGGCGCTCTCCAGCGGTGGAATGAGCGTGTAGCGATAGCGCTGGACGGTGTCCGCGAAGGTGCGGGGGCGGCAACTGAGAAGTGAATGAGGAAGTGTGGGATACAGAGGGCCTCGTTGAGGAGTGAACTGGAAGCAGTTTGCGCTGTCGCTCCCCGCCAGTCGCGAATCCGTTCTGCTTCCGGACTGGAGAGCGATCGTGTCCTTCGGGGGACGCTACGTTCTTGAATGTAATTGTGCATTCTATGTCTTCGCCAGCGAACACGGTCGAGTCCTTCCATTGTACGAATACCCGGACATTCGAGGAGGACATGGTAGGGTGGGTGGGCGAGACAGGCTGCAGGGTGGTGAGCAGCTCATCGGGTGCGTCGGTCAAGCGACATGACGGCTACCACTCATAAACCATGGAGAGATGGCAGCGATCGCAATTGAGGGCTCGAGAGAGTAGCAGATGCGGGCCTTTGACGTGAACGTGCTCCGTCATGCACCATCCATCCATGTCAAGGGTCTGGGTCCGTGCATCTCACCCTGCTAGCCAACTCCATCCAACTCTCAACCGTCACGATGTAATGCAACAGATGATTGTATCAATTTACGTACTTGGCTATGCGATAGGGTTATCTGGGCGTAACTTTTGACGTTCTCTCAACCTAAACACCACGCCGTAGTTGTGTCCAACTTCTCTACACTGATGCACAAGACTGAATCATCTTCTGAAATATTCACCACATCGTCCACGTGGGTACTGTTGATGTCCACATCTCCAATGTCGGCGTCTTCAATTCTTTCTATAGTAACTTGACAAAGTGTCTGAACCTAGAAGCGTTTATCACGGTAGCTTTCGAATTGGACGAGAATACTGCCAGCCTTCATACTGACATAGTTGCAAGCGTCGCTAAATATGAGCATCAGTCGGAAGCCACTAGGTTGCAGGCTCAAGTCGTCATTGAGATGGGCGAGATTGCTAGCTCCGCTTGTCGTCCTCTCGCATTGGATCCACAAGCCGGTATCAACTTCTGACATGGCAACCACCTCGTGAACCAGGCGCTTAGGTCCGTGACTATAATACCGTCCGTGATGTTGTACAACACAAACTCCGGAACTAAACCTGCAACCGAGTTGTTTCCGAAGATATAACGGCAAGAAGGGGAAAGTACTCAAAAGGCGAGTACACAAGTCGGCCTAAGGTCTTGCGGATCGCGTCTGCGCCAAGCAGTATAACAATGCCGAAAGCGTCAATCTTAAAGGGACTCCACGCCTAAAGACTCGCGAGGAAGGCCATAGAGGTGCCAAGAAAGATAGCCGGGAGAATGACGAGAAGAACAAAGAAAAATCTTTACTAATCAATATACAAGCGGTAGAAAGAGTACTAATATCTATAGGTGGAATCCATATTATTTGCTAAAGTAAGACTTTCAATTAAAGGCTGGAAGAAGCAGCAAGCTTCTAGAACTTATAGATGTAGAGAAATGATTAGTATGTTCACAGGAGAACGCAGATAAAAGTTTATATGCTGTTCTAAGGCGCATAGGTGACGAGGGCGCTTCAGAGTGAAGGAAGCTAAAATGGCGAAAAGAAACCCGCCAAACGCACCAGAAACGGATTATGCCTTGAGAAATGCCAGAAATATATAAAGATAGGTTTAGCTATTGTTAAACGTGAACATATGGAATGCAACATGAAGACCCGTCTTCCGAGCTACATCTTTTCTCGATGCATATTCGCGACCACCTTTGATTGTTCACTAAGCGCACCATTCTGACACTTGATTCAATAACTTAATTCTAGATCACTGCCATAAACCATGCATATCTTTGATCTACTTACCTATTTGCTTACTGATTGATTCAAACCCCTCTTAACACCGAAATTGTCGAGGAGCCGTATAGGAAATGCAATGGCGCCTAAGCCGTTACTGTGCAGCGGTTTGATATACTGACAGTAACAGGAAGCCCCACTCGACCGATCGATGCATTGCACCGCTGGCAGTCTTCAAGGTTATTGCTAGTGAAGCCTAAAGCTGTAATGAAGCGAGGTGAAGCAATGCTTCGTCCCTAGGAAAGGGTACTTGAACAGATTAAGAGACATAAAAAGAGAGTTAAGGAGCCTGCGCCTTAGGGACTACCTAGGGAGCTACTGCGAGTTGGCAGGTCATGTGCGTCGAGCGATGAATCCCGTTGAAACTGAAGATAAAGGACCGACATCCTCGGTATCCTCGGTAGTCAGTGTTAGGCCGTAGATATGCTAGGGCATAGTCTTAGGAAAGGATAGTATAGCGAGCGAAAGAAAGCCAACATAGAGAGTAGAGTAATCGCGGTTCGACTGATGTTGTAAAACGTCGCTAAAAGTGGTAAAGTTATGTTATGTGTCAGGCACAAGGGTACGCAGGGCCCCATGACCGATTGTGCGCTAGTCATTTGCCCCCACAACATGTCGCACAAAGCGAAAAGAGCTCTTTTTCACTATGGATATCTATTATTTAATTTCCAAAGATGCTATAAAACACAGCCCGGCTGGCACAGTGAGTTTCACCTTGATCTGAAATCCTTATTCAGCATCTAACAGTATCCAGATTGGCTAGCGCGTGAGACTTTTAATCTCAAGGTTCAGGGTTCGGTTCGTGGTCCGTCCCATATATATCATCTTGCATTCCTAACATCCTTTCAGAGTCCCTGGTCGGGCGATACAGCAAATGTCTTTTTTTTTTGGCTCTTTCATACAGGCAGTCTCGCGTTTTTGCGTTGGCATCTCCAGAACCCACCTTCTTTTTGCTGTGGATAGCATTTCGCGCGAGTGCAGTGTTGAATTTGCAAATATAGGAGAGGACCGGGAAGAACGTAAACCGCGCAGAATATATATTTTATTTTATTTTGGAAATGCTAGCTTCAACTGCATATGCAAAACATCCCATTTAGGAGATTCCTGTCTCATATGTTTTCTCACTCTCCGCCCACTCTCCATGAGAGCAGTACATCACTCCTCTGGCGCCGCTACCTTTCCAGCGACAAGCGCAATCAGTGCGGCTCCTACACCAGACCCGTCCTTCGCGATACCAATCCTGACCCTCTTCTCTCCATGATCCCCAATCTCTGGCACCTCCCGCAGCGCCTGACGGATATGTTCTTCGAAATTGGGGTAAAACTCGACCAGACTTCCATCAACACCAATGTCAATGACATCCTCTTCTTTGACTTCGACGTTTCCGCGCGGGGGATTGACACCTGCTTTGCTTTCCGTGGTGGCAGTGCCGGTGGAGGAAGTGGAGAGACGGCCCGTATTGATGATGACGCCAGCGATGGCGACGGCGGCAAGCCGCGCTGCGCGGCGGCCGATGGCTGCGGCAATGTCGCGGACGGCTTCTGCATCTTCAGCGCTGACGGCTGAGATGTCGTAGTCTTTATCCAATGTCTGTCGTAGCATACGGAGGCCTGGGCTGCTGTCGCCAGCGCACACGCTGAGGAAGCTGGTGTCGATGCCCCATTGCTGCCATATGGGGCTGCTATTTTGGATCTGGGTTGTGCTGTGCACGTCGTTTGACGAGGAGTTCTCGTCCTTGAACAGGGGGATAGAGGGGTCTTTGACGAGCTTAACGAGGGCGAGGCGGAGGAGCTCTCCCAAGAACATTCCTGACACTCGCTTCTCGAACATCTGGATGCCGGGGTTTACCGACTTCTCGTCGAGCTCGACATCGTAAGGGGTGTTTGGCAGTGTACGGAGAGAGTTGTCGAACGAGCCCCATTCAGTGTTGACAATCATTTCGCCAGTCGAATGGTCGTACTCGCCGGCATCTTTGTTCTTTGTGAGCTTTGTGACCTTCTCTAGCTTCTCTACATAGGCGCCGTTGGTACCAGTTCCGAAAATGCCGCCGAGCAAGGTACCAGTCTTGCCAGGGGAAGTGTATGAGCGCGCCATGAGCGTTCCTACCGTGTCGTTGACCAAGGCAGCGACCTTCACAGGAAGATGTAGTTCGTCAATCTCAGCCTGAAGCAGAGCACAAACGTCTTTGCCAACAGCGTCCTGAATATCGAAGCCCTTGGTCCAGCGCATCAGCATGCCCTTGTTGATGCCAATTTGGTGTACAGGGAATGAGAAGGTGAAGCCCAGGTTGAAGATTTCTTCTTGCTCCGGGCTGGCCCCTCCATGCTTTCGGCGCTGCAGTGTGCTAGCATAGTGCTCCTCGTGGTGCTCCTTGAGGAAGTTTTCGATCTGCTTTGCGAGGAAGGAGAAGAGCTCTTTCGAGGTCTTCGCTACCATGAGCTCGCGCGGGATGGCAACTTTGCTCTGGGTGAGAGAGAAGGTGGTGTTTCCATGCAGCTGGATGGAGCAGACGCGGAAGTTGGTGCCACCCAAGTCGACGGCCATGTAGAGGCCCTAGAGTCTAATTAGATAGCCTTCTCATACAGTGGTATTGGGAATGTACCTTTTCAGTGCCATTCGGAACTGCAGTGACGTAGGTAGGGATCTGGCTCAGCTCAGTGCCCTCCTTCTGTAGGCCCTCATCTGCATGCTGTCAGCATCCAATGGCTCTGTATATAGCTCCGTGCATGTTTCCGTGCATACCCATCTCGCGCCTAAACTCCTGGACGGCCTTGTTGACAGCATCTTTGCTGAAGTCGAACTCCGCGGCGACGCGCTTTGCTTGCTCGGCGAGGACCATGCTGCGCTCAGGTCTGGTGTTGAAGGTTCCGACGAACTCGACGTGTTGTTGAGGCTTCGGACAGGTTGGAGGATCTTGTTGGAAGAGGACGGGATTGCGGAACGTGATGCCTGGGGAAGGGACACGCCAAAGGTGGTGCTGGGTGAAGAATTGTGGGATCGCGTGAGGGAAGTGGGGTGCAAAGAACTGGACAAGCAGCGCTAGCAATACGACGACACTGGCTATCGTATGGATCGCAAGAGGAGGTCGAATAGGGTCACGCCGGCGACGACTCGAATCGGGTGAATGAGTGGCGTGAATTGGGCTCCTGGGGCTTGCAGACGAACTGCTGTTCTGCGCCGTGTCTTCGTTGACCATGGCCCTGCCCCGCTTTGCTCGTGAGAGGAGCTTAGCCTATGACGGTGGAGGGGCCCTGCAGGTGGGCAGCCTTCAGTTGCTATGCTTCGACTGCGTAACGACATGCAAAGTCAAACGCGTTGGGGACAGCAGGCGAGGAGAACTGTACCATCAATTGGACATGTCACCTTCCTCTTGAGGTAGTGCTCCCACCTAGGCACTGTCTACACGCTAGCGGAACGAAACATCGTGAATCCATCGCCCATCTGGGCGCACTAGGCAGGCGGCTTCCCCGGAATTGGGCTGAGCACATGACTTGACTTGGATTGGCTTTGGAGAACATGCCATCACCTGATGGGAACATTAATACTGGAAAGCGTGATTTGGGAGAGAAAGGATCATATCGCTTTTGTTGCTCGCCCAACTATATATGCTCTGTTACCACTCCCTCGCACCAGATTCCCGCCACATCTCGCCAACAGCCGCTCATCATGTCTAAAGGATGCACAATAGTATACACTAGGTCAGTCAAATGCAGCACTGAGAATAGATGCCTCAGCGGCAGAAAAATGGATGCCCAAAAGCCACAAACCTGTGCATGTATCGAAAAACTCCTAATCGGAACAAAGACCAACCACCCTGCTGAGCAGCCCATGCAAGAAACCATGATTAGCGGGTGCCAGTGGAAAAAAAAAGAGAAGCGGCGCCACAACGACGTCTACACTATGTACGATAGAAACAAAAAGAAACCTGAAGCAACGACCTCGCGTAGAGGTTGGTATGTGTACGTGCAAGCTCCCGAGCCAAATTCTAATATTCGTCATTAAGTTCCGCCACGAGGCCCCAACAAGCCCCTGGCTGTTCATGAAGCCTCCCAGCCCCAGTGTCGCGGGTCGGTAGAGATAAATCCAATGCGTATGCGTGTTATAGAAGAGAAGTCGAGTTGGGTGGAGGCTGGAGGTACTCAGCCAGCTGTCATGGAACAGCACAGCAAAATAATGTGTCGATCGAGAGATCGGTAGCTTCCCAACCGAGAGGTGATTTCGTAATGTATCGCCGAGTAAAACACAGTGTCCATGCAGAATGCCAACATATTACACGTCGATTGCCGCAAATGTGATTGTGATACAACTTCGCCACTACCGGACGCCGAGCGGAGGACGCGGTCCTAGGCTACTCTGGCTGCTGTGCGCAGAGTTTTCTGAATCTAATGGAGCCACGCTACTACCACTGCGACTTGCACTACCAGTCAGACTGCGAACTTGAGGACGAGACTTGGGCGGGTAAAGATTGCTCACCCCAGCTTGTTGTTCAACTTGTTGTGGTGCCACTGCGTTACCTATGCCAGGAGGGTGTCGTGGTACTGGCTGTCTCATACCGGGAGGCGAAGGCCGTCCATTTGGGGGCATGCCATTTGGGGGCATGCCGTTGGGAGCATAGCCGTTTGGTGGAGACGGCCGACCGTTAGGTCTCGGACCAGGGCTGAGAGGGTTGCCAGGCGACTGGCTTGTTCGGCGGGGATTTGGGGGGTAAGCACCGTAACTGCCACCACCGACCTGGAGCTCATCTAAACGAGATGCGGTTAGTGAGTTGGTTCGCGATTGCGCACCCATAGCACCACGGTCCACATCTCCGTAGCGGTTAGATGAGTACCCCATGAGAGGGTTATTCATTATGCTTTCGTGTAACCCAGGGGCATCAGCCATTAAACGAGCGCTGGTCCGATTCTTGTTCATCCCAGGACGCGCAAATGGGTTCCTCGACCGTCCATTTTGTCCACCTGGTCCACCAAAATTTGCGCCATCGGGGTTCTTGCGGATTTGACTAGCACTGGGCATTTTGCGAGTGCGACGCGATGTGACGCTCATCATGTCAAAATTGTCAGGGTCAATCGCGGGTCCACGACCTCCCATTGGGTCAAAGTAGTCATCACCATCGTCGTCGTCATCATCGAAGCCACCCATCGAGGGAGGTGGCGGAGGTCGACCACGACCAGGACCGCCTGGACCACCTGGACCACGGCGCATAGTCATCTCTTGCTCCCTAAGCTGCAGCTCCCTCTGCCTGAGCATCAGTTCTCTTTCTCGAAGGGAGAGATTGTTGCTAGACGAGTTTCCAGCGCTTTCATAGGGACCGGCACCGGGAGCTCCACTGTCGACCATATCATCGTATAGCATCAGGTGCGAAAATTCTTCCAAGGTGTTATCCTCCAAAGACGCGCGCCGCTGACCATTAGGGCCTCCGTTCATTCTTGGTGGATATCCGTTCATGGGACCTGGAGGGGGACCCCGACGCATCATAGGAGGGGCACCATTGATGGAAGGGGCACGGCTCCCTGAACGGGGGCCGCCCTTCATCGGACCGTTGCCATTCATCATGGGGCCTGGTCCTCCTTGAGAAGGAGGTCCTCGCGGCAAAGGAGCCGAAGAGAGTCTAGGAGGGGGTGGTGGCTGCATGCCATTCTGAGGAGAAGGCGTAGGTGCGGCGACTGGGCGAGTGCGGTTGACAATGTTGAGATGATGGAGGGTGGCGTACAGTGTCTCGATTCGGGGAATAGACATGCCAACTTCCTGTGCAAGCTTCAACGGAGATCCGAGATACGTCTCAATCTCCATGGGTCGCTTGGCTTCAAAATCCATCCACATGGTGCTGTTGGTCTCTTGAGGTCGGGTCATTTCCTGGAATGTTGTTTCCCGGAAGTCGGCGGGAAATGTGCAGCCTTGGGCATTGGCAAGAGCGAGTAGCTCGTCGAAGACGCCCGCAATAAGAGCACGTACGCCAACCTTTTCTATCAATTCGGCATGGTTGGGCGTTTCAAAGATAATACTAGCTGGATGGAAAGCAATCGGACTGCCGAATGTTAGTTGGATGACAATGTGTGACGCGTGAACGGTTGACGTACCCTATCATGCGCTGGTACTGCTGCTGTCGTATGTTTGGTGAGACTTTGCAGTCAACCTGGCCTGAGCTCAATGTCATGGCTAGAGCCTCAGCCATATCTGACTGAATTTGTGGCGGGATGGCGGCATTCTTATTAGCAGGGCCGACCCAGATGTCAGTTGCGCCCTTGTGCTCGAACTCGCTGGCCCCAAGCTGTGAAATCTCTGCTCCCGATACCAATGAGAGGACGACGTTTGTGGGGAAGCGTTGCTCCAGATATGATTCGACCCCCAGACTATGCGTGGTGTTCATAAGGATGCAGGTATGCTGAGGAGAGACGACCGACTCGATGATGTTGGCGATATCGTATACATCGGGAAGGGCTTTTACGCAGAGTAGGACGTAGTCAAAAGGTTGCTTGGAAGAATGGGCGGCGTCTTCAGGAGTTCGGACGACTATTGGCATGGTTAGTGGTAAAATTCAAAGTGAGATATGATGCCATAGACGTACCAGCATGTGGCTTGAACCGCTCATTGCCGTAGAGTGTAGATCTGCATCGTTTGTTAGTTATTGCATTGGTTGAGCTATTGACACCTGGGGACGGCGTACTTGAAGGAGATGCCATATTGGGCAACGCTCTCGTATCCTGACTTCCATACGAGCGTGACGTCGCAGGCGTTGGTGGCCTGGAGCCGCCACGATAGGAACGCGGAGACTGCGTTTCCTCCCACTGTATTGCTGTCAGCATTCTATCTTTGTTGCAGACGAAGTGGATGAGCGCAGAGGCTTCTTGAGTGCATTCTCGGACACAAGCGGAGTGCTTATACGAGGAACACGACCCTCGATTGCTGTGCAACTGCTCAAGGCGGAGTGACGGACCTGACAAGATGCGTAATCTGGGCACGGCCGGAGCCATATTGGAGGAGATGTGGTGGTGGGTGGGTGTTTGGTGAGGAGAAGGCGGCGGCGGAGGATGACGGGCCAAAAAGTTGGCGATCCGGGGGCCGCGTTGTGCGAACGCGATTGCCGTGCAACGAGACGGGCAGCAACAGGAGAATTATCGATTAAGATGGTAGCGGAAAACGAGCGTGCAGCGGCCGGGAGATGGTTCAGCAGGGCGACATGGAGCAAATTGGGGACAAGAGAGAGGCGTGGGCTGGGAGCAAAAGACAAGACAAGGGTTGTGGAGGGTCGCGACGGCGGCAGAGGGCGGGAAGGGCCCAGGACGAATGGGAGAGCGTGGGAAGGAGCGCACAGGTGGGCGCAGGTTCCACGACAGAGTCTCTGGCAAAAGCGAGCGGACGCTGGTAACGAGCGAGAGAGGCAGAGCAGAGCAGAGCAGAGCAAGAGGAGGGACAAAGAAAGGATGGGACTTGGGCGGAGCAGCAGAGGCGGAGAAGAGGAGCGCACAGCGTGGTCGATGATTGATGCGCTGCCAGCCCAGAGCTTGCCTGATATCGCATTTCACTGCCTACTGGGTCGCCGCTAGAATGTATTAGGCGCAGGCCCTGCACTTATCGCTGCCAGCCAGACACCAAACGACGCATCGCTGCACTGATGCTTAGGATGGCGCGGCCGTGCTTCTTCTTGTGAAGTCATTGGCTTTATTTTTGGGGGGGAGGGGGGTAGGGGAGGAGGGATGCTTCACAGCACCCCGTGTCTACTACGTGTGTGTGTGTGTGTGTGTACATGTAGAGCAACACCACCATGGGCAAGGCGGCTGTCAGTTGCTTCACGCGTCCAACAACACCACCCGGGCCAAGCTCAAAAGTGAGAAAGATTGAACCATGGCAAGCCCGGCGGCGCCCCCGGCCTGTATGGAGATCCGCATCGACTTTTGGGCCGGCCCACATGCAGTGACGACGATCCGAGTTGTTGGCCTGGCCGCCTGTGCGTGCTGTCTCCTCCCCCCGAGTATGAATATCACGAATATGACGAAAACTGCTGCTGCACCAGGACGCGCCTCACGCTTTGTGCTGTGCTGTGCTGTGCTGTGCACATCTTCTCCTCGAATCCTCCCTCCTCCTCTCCCCGTCCGCCTGCTCCTGACGCCTGCTCCTTGCCCATCAGCGCGAACCCAACAGGTGGCTAGCCGCCAATTACAACAATCCACTCTGCAGCTCCACGCGTCTGACGTCGACGTTCGCGTAACCACGCCCAAGCCTGAAAATCCCCAAAAGGGGCTTGCTCTGCCCAGCTGCGAGCCCGGACAAGGCCCTGGTAATTTCGCGGCCTTCGCCACTTTTTCTCTTGGACTCTGGCAACGGTTGCGACCACCGCTATACCTAGGTCGTCCTCTGGTGCGAGCAGAGCCTTGAGTGGGCCCCTATTCAATTTTGCAAGTAAGCTTGTCCGCAAGCCCGCCGCCAGCGCGGGAGAATCGCCCGCTACCACGCACGCAGTAAAGGGTCGACCGTCTGGAACTGCACCCGACCCGCTGTTCCCAGGCGTACCATACCAGAAAATGGCGGCGGCGGACATATCGGCTTCATAGAAAGCACGACAGAAGCCAAGACATGCATGTGGTCCAGGTCTGAGATTGAGAGGCCCATCAATCCACATAGTAATAGCTGCTGCTGCTATTGTTGCCACTTGCCTCTTCCGCCGCCGCCAGCAGAAACTTATCATGCAATTCAGTGATTACGGCCATCCCACCTGTTCTACTTTGCTTTGCTTTTTGGTAATGAAGACACCCAACAGCACTTCAATTCCGACAGCATGTCTTGCCAAGACCTACTACACCTTTCGTGCTTAGCAATTCACAGAGCACAGATTGTGTTTCATATACCAAGTACACCGGTGTACGTACTGCGGTCAGCTCGTGCTGTCCCCTAGGCCCAAAGTGATCGAGATCGAACCACGGTCCATCCCATCAAACAACTTAGACTCTCACGTCACCTGTAGCCTGACGCCCTCATATACAGTACCATCTTTTGAATGTCTGCTTCACTGTCTTGCATAGTCTAACCTAAACTCTAAACTGTTGTGCAGTTCGCCCGATGTTGCACAAAGTATGCCAAGGTGACACTGCCGTTCCCTAAATCAGAGTGAAACTCACCCTCCCGAGACTTATCTTTTCTGTAAGGCAGCAACCCAATCGACTTGACAGCGGGAGCCCACGAGCCGAGCACGTTGACTATAAGCTTCATTTCGCTACACCCAGGCAACAATCGCCTAATTATCGTTGCACGACTGTACGTTCCCAACAGGGGCAAGGCCACCTCTAGCTCGCCTATGATTCGTTAGACCGCAGCCAACCCCGTGCCATGTAAGCAATACTCCTCTTGTGAAAACCTTAAAACGTTTGATATCGGTTCATGTTATATCCAAGGTACATGTTTCAATCGCCTCCACCGGGCTCGTACGCGCCATCATAAAGATCGATGTTCTTAAAACTGGATGAAGAGCAGCATGGGAAATGATAATGCGCATTTCCCAGGTCTGATCTCCAATCTTCCACCCTTACCCCAGCCAGTTTTGAGTCGCATGGCGACAGAGACGCCCGCTTTTGCATTTGCCCCAGACCAAAATAGAAACGCCCAGCAAGCACTGCACATCTCTCCTTAACCCTACGCGAGAGAGGCAATGAAGCCTGCCACGTCGACAAATCGTCTAAGCGCCTTCACCGACTCTGACATTAGTTAGAATCGCCACTGCAGCAGATACTTTGTGGCTTTTTCAGGCCATCCGATAGTCGCTACCCATCCATGGATGTCTCGTTATTCTCGAACTTCGCTAACCGCATCGGCTTGACCACCCTCGTGCTCCTGAGCGCCCGCACCCAAGCGAGAGACCTTTCTCGTGCGGTTCCTGGCATGTGGCGCTGCCTGGCGCTCGGCAATTTAAATGGGCTGCCGAGCAAAGAGTGACGGTACGGGCGACGATCTCACATCATCGTCGCCCTATATTCCCCAAAGGGAATGATCGATATTGACAACAGCGATTGCCCTCGACTCACGACTTGCGGCCACCGTTTCCGGACCATGCGTGCGCACAGAAAGTTTGGATTTACGATCGCGATACTGCACGACCGTCTGATTTACGATGTCGGTTCTTCTGCGCTGAAAAGTGACCGCTGACCGGGCCCGCCAACACCCAGGCCAGCTTCCTGCTCACCGGGTAAACCCAACCTGATATTTTGCCTCCTATTGACAAGGACCTGATCGATTGTAATACATTGATATAGTAGGATCCTTCTAGTATCTCAGACTACAACAAGCAAAACAGAGATATGAAACTACCAAGTGCGGCTTTGATGAAAAGGGGAGAGGTAGCACTAACAAGGGTATAAGATGAGGTGGCGTAGACTAACAACTACCCTCGCCGACAGCACCTCATTGTTTCAATGAATGAAACACCGTCTCTATCTGTACCATGGTATAATCTGTCTATCAAATAAAGCCTAAATGTAGTCAAAAGGAGCTCCAATGCGCTTTACCGAACAGCCCCGTGGTCCAATACTTATTATCACCAGTACCTGCATCTTATCCTGTCAGTAATTTCATCCTAGCCTTACCAATCGTCTTCATCCGAAGTCATCCGCGGAAACCTCATCGCTTATTCGGTACCACACGCAGCCGGGTCGCGAGCGCGAAGACTCTTCTTTTTTTTGTCTCCCTACAGGCCCTAGAATCCTGGACACTGCCCCAACATCTCTCACGCTCTCATCTTATTAGCTGCGAGGCTAACATATGCAGGTACCAGCGAATATTGCCGCAGCGCCGCAGCCCCGAAATTGAGCTGTGGAGAAGGCTTTGTCCTCGTTGAGGCTGCAGTGTCTCCGCCATGTCACATCGAATATAGCAATGAGCAGGCATGCTGCCAACTTTTGTTTTTGCTGACTCCACTATGCGGGGTTTTTGCTTCTTTGTTTCTCTGTTGGGTCTACAATGCATGTGGCGCTGCGTCTAACCAATTTATCTCATGTCACCGTACGTGACAGCTTGGTTTGTATTCCCGTGGTTAGATGCTATGGCTACATCTGGCAGATAGGTATAAGGAGCGGCACCGAAGGAAGCTTGATCCGTAATCCAGGTCGAGCACATAAATACCATCTGCGTATACTGTTCCTGCGGCTCAGGCACAAGCCGGTGTCACCGAGCCAGAGCCAATCTGATTTGCAATGCAACGCAATGATAACACCGATTATCGTACCACATGCCAGTTATTAGGTTTAGTACGCGAGCACGCGCCGCAGTGACTGATTGCTTGGAAATCTCATCATCCTCACCATGCTCGGCATTGCTTGGCGTCTCGCGTTGATGAACGACTTCACAACTTCGATATCATGTGCATTGTGTGTAGAGTAGATTCAGACACAGCAGACAGTCTTTCAAAAGCTAAACAGCAGTAGCTATTTGAACTTCTGTTTTTCCTGATACTGCTTTACACTAGAAGCTGGTTGTGTTTTCAGAAGTTGTCCTCGATACCTGCTCGATCGTGTTATCTCTCAGTAAGACCGCAAAATCTCCGTTTGATTGTCAAAGAATTATTTAAAGAAAAAGAGGAGATTATTATTTTCAGCTTACGCTTTATATGTTGAATCTTCTAGACGAGATCACACATACACACTTGACAAAGACTGTCGCGCCACCTTTCCCATAGGTCCTCGCGTCATGTGCGTCTTATACCAGTGGTTTACGAGTTCCCTGTCAGATCAAAACTCAGAACTTAGCAATCGTTAGGACACGCATCGTTAATACACGAGTGCAACGATGTATACTACGGGAAGTGGTCAAAGGAACTGTGCCAATTTGTTTTGTTCCATCCTGGTAAGCTGCCAACGGAACTAAAATACAGAAACTATGAGAAGCCAAACCACCTACGCCGTGCTCATATTTTTCCGTTGCAAAGCGGGACTACCGCTAGAGAGTAGATTTCGTACACGTTGGCGACTTTTGTGCGCAAGAATTTCCTTCAACTATCGTAACCGAACCAGCCACGAATCCTCCTCCGAGGGCGCTTAGTTGTCCATGTAGGTGGCGGAGTCGATGCCGTCCTCGGGGAACTCAGGAAGCGAGACCTGGAAGCGCTCCTCGATCGACTTGAGCACCGCCTCGTCGTCTGGGCTGCTGACGAAGGAGATACTGAGACCCTTCGTTCCGAAACGACCGGCACGACCGACACGATGGAGGTACGCATCCGCCTTGTCGGGCATGTCGTAGTTGATAGCGACGTTGATGCGCTCGACGTCAATACCGCGGCCGAAGATGTCGGTGGAGACACAGATACGGGTCTGGAAATCCTTGAACTCCTTGTAGCGCTTGATACTGGAATGAATTAGCATGAAAATGACATGTTGAGGATAGGTTGAGGAACATACCGCTCTTCTTGGCCAATACCAGAGTGCACTGCCGTGCTAGGGAAGTTGCATTCGCGAAGAAGCTTGTCGAGCTCGGTGCAGCGAAGGGTTGAGCGGACGAAGATGATGACCTGGTTAAACTCCAGGCTGTCGAGCAAATCGTTGAGCTTGCGGTTCTTCTCACGCTCGTCCAGCTTCATGTAGTACTGCTGCAGACCGTGCAGCGTCAGCTTCTTCTCGTCATCGACATAGATTTCCAACGGATTCTGCATGAACTTCTTGCAGACGGTTCGGATCTCCTTGGCTAGGGTGGCCGAAAACATCATCACCTGCTTGTGCGATGGTGTAGCTCGGAAGATGGACTGCACGTCGTTGCGCATATCTTGACAGAGGTTAGACTATATGCAAATATTATCGAGAGTTATACTGACCAGGCTGGTCCAACATCTTGTCACATTCGTCCAAAACAAAGTGCTTCAGGTTAGCAAGGCGGAGATGCCTGTCGCGGACGAGAGCGTTGATACGACCGGGTGTTCCGACAATGATGTGAGGGTGCGTCTCCTTGTTGCCCAGAAGCTCGATGTCCTTCTGGACGGGTGTACCGCCGTAGAAAACGCCGACTTTGACATCGGGCAAGAACTTGGCGAAACGATTGTACTCGTTGCGGATCTGGTAGGCCAATTCTCGTGTGTGGCACATGACAAGGATAGTCGCGACACCGGGCTCGGGCTTCTCATCCATTTGCTGAAGGGTCGCAAGAACGAAGACGGCTGTCTTTCCAAGACCGGACTTGGCCTGGCAGAGGACATCGTTACCGAGGATGGCCTGAGGGATGGTAACTTGCTGGACTGTAGGGCACAAAGTATGTCAGAAAGAGTCTTTAAAGCGATCGAAACGAAGCGTAAAAGGCGAAGCGTCCGTCCATCTTGCGTTGGCAAGGTCCTTTTGAGCGAGCCGATCTGTCTATCCTTTGTCTGTCCTCCGAACTTTCTAAAACAAAGCCACCTCTTGTATGCGCACAAAGGCGCGCATCCGTTGAAGCCAGTCTTCTAGGATCGCCAAAATGAACTGATCAAGAACAGACTTCTTTCTATATGAAATCGGTGCGACCGCCTTCATATACAGCATTCGGTAAAAGCTGGTACGTAGCGGAAGGCACTGGGTCCCTCGCCACTTTGCTCCTGTATAGATAGACCATGGTCGCAAGACAGATACCGCTTGTTTCGCAGATGGATGGACAGACGCTTTGTAGGTGGAGAAGGCTGAGGGGAATGATTAGACTAACCCTCGGAAGGATGTTCGAAGCCACAGTCCGTAATCGCTCGCACAAGCTCGTCCTTTAGCAAGAAGTCGCGGAAACCGGTCGAGTGGATGCCGACATAACTGCCCTTCTTGTCGCCTGCAGCGTCGCCAGCAGTGAGGCCGCCCTTTGTCGCAGCTGCGCTGCCGTTCGCGGGCGCCTCCGTTGGCTGGATCTCCTCATCGGAGTAGTCGATAAGGTCTTCCTCGTGAGACATGATGAATTAGATGACGAAGGTAGTGGTGGAGGTGTTGTTGAGTCGGTGTTTGCGCGTGTCGCAAAGCAAGGCTGCCAAACAAGGCGAGGTCGTAGTTGTGCCGGAGGGCGGTGATTTGGGAGCTAGGGCTACGAAGAGAAGAAGATCAGCAGGGAATTCGCAAAGAACAGTAACACGACAGGGTGATTGTGCTGCTGCTGCGGTTGGTGGTCGTGTTAATGGAGGGGAGGACGCGGGCGGTGATCGATGTCGAGGCCAAAAAAGCGCGGGCCTCTGCGTTAACGCTAAACGCAAACGGGTCGACAAGACAAACGGCTGTCTGAGTGCAGCAACTCGAGCCTGACACCAGTCTGAGACCATCTACCAGCGATCTCTATTTTGCAACAAACAGTATCCGAAGCAGTTGTGACAGATTCTATTGCAGCGTCCAGAAAGTGCAGTGGCTGGTGCCGAACAGGATCGTGCTCTTTTTTCACATCCTTTCCAACATTGCATACTCGCCGATGTGTTTGTCCAGCTCGACAGGATGAGCAAAGTCAAAACTCCAAAGCCCAAGGGTGTTCCAAACAAACACCTGCATGCCCGGACTACATTCCTGTATCAGGCCGCCACATACCTCACCTTACAAAACGCCGCTGAAGAGTCCAAGGCCTGTCTCAACCTCGGCGACCAGACAGCTCAACCAGGGGAGCATCAGAATGAAAGGCCTTCCCCTCTCGCTCTCCAGCTTGGCTCTGATCTCCAGCAAGTGTCACGAAAGGGGCAGTTGCGGCTCTCTGTTGACCTGAAGCGCTCCATGTGCAAGAGCTGCAACGCCATTCTCGTTCCAGGGCGCACTGCCAACCAGCTTGTTGAAAACAAGAGTCTAGGCGGCAAGAAACCATGTGCAGACGTCCTTGTCGTCGAGTGCAAAATCTGCGGAGGCAAGAAGCGGTTTCCTATCGGGGCAAAGAAACAGCTGAAGCGATCCAAGCGGAAGGCTGTTCTGGAGGAGACCATGTCGGTCCTTGGCTCCGAGGACGGTCCACAATCGGACTCAGCCCCTCTCACTGGCACTGAACAAAGTTCTATCACCGGCTGAGAGAAAACAGATTTCATATCCTCCTCTCTCATGCCCACTATCATGGGTCGTTGTCAAGAGCCCGTATCTGGAAGCACTAACAACCTGCAAAGAGTTTTCTTGAGAACAATCAACCCAAATAGGAAGAGCTCAAGTACATCCTTGATTTGACCTCTGCTTTTCGGAACTCCACAACCAACACTCGGTATCCATCTCATACAGGAATCTCCATCTGCGGGGACATGAAGTCGGAGGATCGAGTCATGCATTAAGGATCGCCAGGAGTGACCCACAAATATCTGTACCACCGCGACAATACCATTCAAGGCCCACTTCGAATATCCCACCGACATTTGCGCCAGAGCCTCGCAAAACGAATGAATTGAGCTGAGCTCGGCACGCATACTTCAATTACCATCTCTACGGCCACAGTAACTTGCAGCATTGTACAGACCTGGCTGTTCAGTTGCCCCTGTGCGTCCTCTCCATCCGCGTTTCTCATATCACAATTCCCACCAAGACTTCGGGTCAACCACTCTTACCCATATATTTGGCTCCACCGTAGGAGCCGTGCAGAGCGACTTGCCGATGCCCGTCCTTCTTCAATACTGTCAGCGCTGGTGCTCGAAATCAAGAAGCTATCATGGCAGTGCATTGCTCCACCTCCATTCACCTTCTCTCGCCTGATTATCTATGACGGAGACGACAACGAAGTCTAATGACTAATTGGACCGCAACGCCAAAACTGAGGTTGCTATGACTCCTTAATCCTCCCCATCGAGGTCTTCTACTCTGGCCGATGCAGACTATCCGTTTGCAAAGCAGTTTGAGGTCTTCAATACCTCAGTTGTACTGATGGTGGCCGAGAAATATCTACGTCTATACGCTGCGCTCTGTGAGCACCAAGCCATCTTGCGTAGCCAAAGAACAGTTCCTTAGAATCAAAGGATTTCTTTTGCACAACAGTTTACTCGAGCAAGGAGTATACCACTTCCATATCGAAGTAAAGATAGAAGCATGAAACGACACCAACGAAAGTGCTGACTCCTCCTAACTAGTGAATTGAAGGCGATGCTTGCTTATGATTATCATATAGACAACAAGAATAGTTGAAAGTTATTTAACTAGGGGTGACCTCTACTACCAAACTAGAAGTCAGGTCTGGAGGATTATATGACTGTAGCATGGAGCAGAACATGGTTATCCAAGACGACAAGATCGTGTAGCAAGAGCATCAAATCTTCGCGTCACAAATATATGAACTGCAGCCCCTTCATAAGACTCGAATATCTCAAAAGTTGTGACATCACTGCGGGCCAAGCTTCACTGACCCGGTTAGCCACTAGCCTGATCCTTCGGCCTGGGGTTATCGGCTGTGAACACCAACTTCGACGCAACACGAGGTGCTCCGCTTATCTCACATGTCCCACCCACTGCTTGACAGCCTGTCATCAGTACGCTACCATGCTTTCTCTTTTTCTTCTACTATCCCTTTACATGCTGCTTGTGACCTCAGAGTGGACAAACCCCAAAGACGCTCTCATCAACCCACGTGGTCAGAAAGTATGCTTACAGCAATGCGGAACCTCGGAGTTGAAGTGTCCAGAAGCATTTGTATGTCATCTTTACTCTCACGATCCTGTATTAAAACTAATGTTCCAGTAGTGGCCTGAACAGAGCAACTTCTGCTACCGCTGCTGTTCAACATGGGGCGAAACGGTCATCAAGATCGCGTGCCATGATGAAGGAGTGAGAAAAACGAACAGTAGCAATAAGAGTCACCATTAGGAGAGTGCGGGTAATGGAGATGGTTTAGGGCAAGAAAACCTCGGTCGACACAGCCCTTGCGAGTTGTGTGTTAGCAGGCCACTATCATGCTGCCGTTGGACTTCCACTTGGACATCAGCACAAACCTCGCCAAATACTACACGACTTTTTCAAGCATCCTCCAAGAAACCGCCTGTGGCACGCCAAACCTTCATGTGCGTCGGCCAAAGGGTAGAATACCGCAATGTCAGCCCTTTCCTTCCTCGCTAACTTCATACTAGCCAGCACCGTCACCGCATATATAAACCCCGACGCCCCGTTCATCCACAAAGGTCACTAATGTAGAATTCTGGATACGAGTTGTGTGAATACCGAATTCTGAGGAGGGTTCGAAAGTTGCCCATTCGTTTGAACCATTTCAGGTAGATATCTGATGCTGGTTCATTAAGCACCAATGCATTTCTAGCTTTAAGCCATAGTATCGGGATTTCTTTTGTTATGAACTCTCTGAGAGAGGTAAGGAGTACCGGCAGGCATATCACGGACAGTGTTTGGAGTTTGGACTTGGTCGCAAAGGGTCACGGCGAGGGGGCGTTCGCATTTTGACCATCGAGTACGTTTTAATATGTATTCCAGTCGATGCTCAAATGTTGAGAGCATATATGTACACTTAATTATTATGATACTCGATTCTACCATAGCAGTTTTGAACTGCCACTTCTCTTTCCTCTGTCTCGACGCCTACCTTGTATCAGACGAACTTCCCTAACGACATGAAGGTCTATGGAGACATCCTGGGACGAAAGCCACGAAGGATACTGCGAAAAGTAACATAAGAATTCAGGTACCACAAGACGTTCCAACGGCTTCTGCTTGCATCCGGTACTTGCAAATTATACCCATTGCCTTTACATCAACGGGCTCCGAATCATCAGACGTGAAGGATGTTACGATAGAAGACGCCTCATATAGCCGTCAACACTTGCAATGTGACGACACACAAGGTGGTGTAATTATTACTCATGTCTGCATCATGAACCATGAACTCACATGGCATAGAGCTGTGAGCTCTCTGAATGGTCCCGGACGACTTTCCCCTACAATCGACACTTTTTTGAGAAGTTGCCAGAATAAGTACTTTGACCTGATGGCTTCCGATTCATTTGATTTGTTCGGTCATGTTATTCCGCTCCCGGAAGCCCAAGTAATTCGCACGGCTGACGCCACAATAATTGGAGTTTCATATGACCACCCGTGGACGCGCTTACACGCTATACCCGATCCGAAAGTGCCAGGGTCCAGCGACTTTTCGACACGAGTTCTGGCTTGCCATTGCGCAAGATGGAGCGTATCACGGCACGAGCTGATAACGACTTTAGCGTTGTGTTGTACAGCTTACTTTGGGCGGTAGCACTTTCAATCATTTGGTTCTTCTGTCGAGCAGACCCAGAGGCGCCTGTCAAGTATGTCGTCGAGCTACCAGAGCAAGCAGAGGCTGGATGGAAGGGTGAGGTGCTTGAGAAGCCATCCTTAAAGGTACCAATATATTGAAACATATCGCACTCCATCCATTGACGTTTTATAGGTCTCAGGCTCCTCCCTAATTCAATGTTACGCTCCCGCAACAGGTGAAGCTCTCGGCCGCATCAACCCCTCTACACCCGCCTCCATCGACCGCGCCATCTCCAAAGCCCAATCCGCCCAGATAAAATGGGCGCTTACAACCTTCCGCCAGCGCCGCAAAGTGCTGCGCACAATGCTCAAATTCGTTCTCGAGAACCAGGAGGCGATTGCACGCGTCGCGTGCCTGGACTCGGGCAAGACGATGGTGGACGCGAGTTTGGGGGAGATCTTGGTGACAGTAGAGAAGCTGAGGTGGACAATTAGACATGGAGAGGAAAGCTTGAGGAGTGAGAGGCGGGCGGGCAACTTGTTGATGATGTATAAGTGGAATGAGGTCGTTTGGGAGCCGTTAGGAGTAGTAGCGGCTTGTGTGAGCTGGAAGTGAGTACTGAGAACCGCTGTATGAATATGGACGACTCGAACTAACGTGCTTCTAGCTATCCCGTAAGCTTCACGAAGTTCTTGTGCGGTGTGTAATATCTGACTCAGTGTAGTTCCACAACCTTATATCTCCCATCATCGCCAGTATCTTCGCTGGCAATGCGATCATCGTCAAAGGCTCCGAAGCCACGGCTTGGTCCTCATCGTACTTCACCTCAATCGCAACCCGCGCCCTCGAGGCCTGCGGCCACTCTCCCGACATCATCCAATCCGTCGTCTGCTGGCCCAACGTCGCCGACCACCTGACTTCCCACCCTTCGGTCTCGCATATCACATTCATCGGATCAAGACCGGTAGCGCACTATGTCTGCACCTCAGCCGCGAAAGCTTTGACACCAGTATGCGTGGAGCTGGGCGGCAAGGATCCTGCGATACTACTCGATGATCTATCGAATAGCGACTTCAAGCGCGTAGCAAGCATCCTCATGCGTGGCACCTTCCAGTCTGCAGGCCAGAACTGCATAGGCATCGAGCGTGTAATCGTACTGCCAAAAGTTTATGATCGTCTCGTTGAATACCTAACACCCAAGATCCGAGCCCTCCGACCAGGCTCCATCCTAAACACCTCCTCAGATACACCCATCGACGTCGGCGCCTCGATCTCCGACGCCAACTTCTCGCAGCTGGAGGATTTGATCCAAGATGCTGTGCAACATGGCGCCCGCCTTCTCGCCGGTGGAAAACGCTACGTGCACCCTGACCATCCCAAAGGCCACTATTTCACACCCACATTCATAGTCGACGTCACGCCCACCATGCGTATCGCACAAACGGAGCTATTCGCCCCTGTATTCCTCCTTATGCGTGCGTCCTCTGTTTCAGACGCCATCTCAATTGCAAACAGCACCTCCTACGCGCTCGGCGCCTCTGTCTACGGCACATCCACCCGCGATCTCGAGCGTGTGGTTCGCGAAGTGCACGCTGGAATGATTGCCGTCAATGATTTTGCTGTTACGTACATGGTGCAACTGCCGTTTGGAGGGACGAAGGGAAGTGGGTATGGTCGGTTTGCAGGCAAGGAAGGATTGAGAGGTGTATGCAATCAGAAAAGCATTACGCGAGATAGATGGGCATGGGCTGGTATCAAAACTGGTATACCGCCGCCCATGGACATTCCTCTGCAGGGTGAGGGTGCAGGTAAGAAGGCTTGGAACATGGCGCAGGGCATCGTGTGGCTGGGTTATGGGGACTTGAAAGGGAAGATTAGAGGTCTGAAGGGCGTGCTGGGACGCTGAGATGTTTGATGGTCTTTAGATATATATTAAAGATCGTTGTCATGGCATCTATAAGTTTATATAGCAGTACATAACCATCATGAGACGAAAGAAGCCTCTTGCACAAATTCGTAATCCAGACCCATGGTCTATCGCCGATCTAGATTCGTGTACTCCAAAAACATCCTTGTAGTCCTGGTAGCAAAGCAAACCGATTCCGCTCCATCCCATATACCCTAGCAGAGAGCCGTGATCCCATCTATTCTAGTAATGAGCCGTGGAAGGTGCGTTGTTCTTGGGCGGCTCCGTAGGTGGTCCATCAGGCGTAGTATAGCACCTCGTCATGCCACCATCAACCACAAAGTCGGTTCCGTTAACAAAGCTGCTCTCATCAGAAGCCAAGAAAAGCACTGCTTGAGCTTGCTCAATGGCTTCGCCGAAGCGGCCGGTGGGGAAGTGGACTTCGCGCCTGTGACGCTTCGCAGCGTCGTCGCCGAGCCAATCTTGCAGGAGAGGAGTGTTCAACGGCGCGGGGCAGAGTGCATTGAACCTGAAGCCCTCACGTGCGTGGACCATGGCGAGTTCTCGAGTCAAGGCTAGGACGGCGCCTTTGCTTGCTGTGTAGGCGAGCTGGGGCGTGGCGCTGCCGACAATGGCCACGACGCTGGCGGTGTTGATGATGGATGTCTTCTTCTTGCCGTGCTTGCGGAAGCTCAGGACGGCGTGTTTGCTGCCAAACCATACACCCTTGACATTGATGGCTTGCGTCAGGTCCCAGATCTTTTCAGGCGTGTCGACGGCGTCGGCGTCATCGGCGTGCATGATACCTGCGTTGTTGAAGAGGACGTCGACGCCGCCCCATGAGTCCACGTGCTCAATCATGGCCTGGACATCGGGTTCCTTTGACACATCGGTGATCTTGGTCTCGATCTTTTTGGCCTCTGGGACAAGTTCCTTGAGCTTGGTGACGGCTTTCTCTAGCGCTGGGCCGGAGATGTCGGAAAGCAGAACGTTGGCACCTTCTCGGAGGAAGAGGATGGCTGTCTCGAGTCCAATTCCACTGAAACATCGTTAGCGAGATGTATTTCTCCCTGTGTAACGAGCTATGTGTGTATGTTGGTTCATCCTTCAGGTAAAGAAGTAGACATTGGGAAACTTTTGAAAGAAATATAAAAGAAAGAAATCCGACGTCTCGTTATCATGACGCTTCCACACTGTAGGCACGAAACCTGAGACATTGATGATTTACGAAGAAAGAAGAGACATTTGAGAAAGGGTCGTGATTCGTGGTGTGGATAATATTTTTGCTTACCCAGCGCCGCCTGTGATGATGCAGTTCTTGCCTTCAAGTCGACCCATATTGAATGTATGCCTCGCGATAGATATTGTTTAGGTGAAGGTAGTAGTGTTAAGAGTCTGCAAGGAAATCAATATAAACGTCGAGTGAGTGGGCGGCGAAATCTTGAACCAAATTGCAAAATATGACTAATATATACTGAACGAGGGGTCATGGACACAGCATGTGGCTGTGAATGAGGAAAGATTGCCCAAAAGCGAATGCAAGCATAACAGCAAACTTACTCTGGAATCGGACTCTGGAAGGCGATGTAATTGAGGGCAATCGGCGTCGAGAGTGCGCGTGAGGGAGTATGGAATGAACGGACAGTATCGGTCGGTCACGTCAAGCTGAGGGTCCCGAAGTCGGCCCATTGCATTGATATGCTTCGATAAGAAATCATGTTGGCGGCGGTCATTTCGGATCGTGGCCAAAGGGCGGTGGACAAGTTGACGATAGTCACAGGCTCGCTTGGACAGGCCTCGTGTACATTTGCATGCCTTGAGAGCCGCCCGTCAATGTGTGAAGGAGGTTAAATGTCTGCCCCGCCACCGATGACGTGGGTATCTCAGCCGTCGGTGCTGTTGCTTCATCACGATGTCGCGTTGGGATAGCAGCCGCTCTGGAACACAGAGTCAGCAGAGATAAGGAGCGCACGAGAGTAACGCAATATATAGCCTGTAACACATGAATTGCAAGGCTGAGGTAGGATGATGTCGCGCCCGCATACCATATGCATATTCCGAACACCCCTCATTGGCCCAAGCTCAACAACTATCGCGTCTGAGCCGTGTCGTCTAGCTCACCTCCAGCCGTTTGCCCGCTTGAAACCTGCTTGGCCTCCTCATCCTTATCCTTTTAACACGCTCTATATCCTCTGTATATCACTCAGCGGCTAACAAATAAAAGGACTTCGCCCGAGTCTCCACCGCCATGGCGTCCGAACCCAACTCCACGATAACCGTCGAACAGCTACCCGAGCTCCTCAAAGATGATTTGGCAGTCAAGGTCGCTGGTGTAGACGTGGACGGCCTGTTGCGCGGCAAACTCATGGCCAAGAAGAAATTCCTTAGCATAGCGAAAGAAGGCTTTGGCTTCTGCAGCGTCATCTTTGGCTGGGACATGCACGATCAGACATACTTCCGCGAACTGGGCATTTCAAATAAGGAGAACGGATACCGCGACTTGATTGCCGTGCCAGATCTATCGTCGTACCGGAGGATACCGTGGGAGGACAATGTGCCCTTCTTTCTCATCAGCTTCCATGACCCTGATACGAACGAGACACTGAGCGCGTGTCCGCGCAGCCTGTTGAAGCGCGCGGTAGATAAGCTGAAGGAGAATGGATATGGCGCAATGGCAGGAGGTCAGTTCATCGCTACTAGTAGAGCGGCTGCTGTGCGTCGTGTGTGAAGCTGATTGTCTCCATGCAGCCGAATATGAGTTCTACCAGTTCCGCGCCCCGCAAGGCCACGATGGATCAGAGAGGAATTCCTCCAGTACCGCAGCATTCCTACGCGAAAACCCTGTCAATGCGCTCCCGAGTCTGACGGAGGGCATGTTCGGATACAGCATAACGCGGCCAGTACATAATCAAGAGTACTACTACGGCATCTTCGATAGTTGCGCCAAGTTCAATTGCGGAATTGAGGGGTGGCATACAGAGTCTGGGCCGGGAGTTTTCGAAGCTGTAGGACACCACACCTAGAAGGTTCTGCGTAGGATGGATGACTGACATATGACAGGCCCTCGAATTCGGCGAGATCCAACAAATGGCAGACAAAGCTTCCCTCTTCAAACTTGTCGTCAAATCCCTCGGCTCCAAATTCGGCATAACGCCTTGCTTCATGGCGAAACCGCGCGAAGGCCTCCCTGGAAACAGCGGCCACATGCACGTTTCGATCGTTGATAAAGAGGGCAAGAACCTGTTCTACCGCGGCGAAGAAGACAAAGATGCGCCATACTCCGACATCCGCTACCTATCCGACCTAGGTAGGCATTTCCTAGCGGGCTTGATCGAGGGACTGCCAGATATTATGCCCATCTTAGCTCCGAATGTGAACAGCTACAAGCGTTTAGTAGAGAACTTCTGGGCTCCCGTAACCGTTTCGTGGGGTCTCGAGCACCGCGCCGCATCAATCCGCCTCATATCCCCACCTACTGCCTCCGCAAAAGCCACACGTTTCGAAGTCCGCGTCCCTGGCGCAGACACCAATCCACACTTCGTCCTCGCTGCCATCTTAGCACTCGGCTGGCGCGGCATCGAGAAGAAGCTCGAGATCTCGATACCACCTTTGGGCAAGGGCGAGGATGTGGGTGGGGCAGCGGATAAGGGAGAGAGACTGTCGAAGAGTCTCAAGGAGGCGACAGAGAGGTTCATGCGCAAAGAGAGTATAGCGAGAGAGGTATTTGGAGATGAGTTTGTGGACCATTTTGGAGGGACGAGGCAGCATGAAATTAGGCTTTGGGATGAGGCAGTTACGGACTGGGAGGTTAGGAGGTATATCGAGACGGTTTAGTGGAAGACCAGCAGCTGGAAAGGTGCACGCAATATATGTTGGATTATGTACTTTACAACGCGTATATCGATACCATTGCCATTCTTGCTGTCTCCGAGCGCGTCAATGGGGGAGGGATTTGCATCGGGTGACATGTGGTAAACTTGCTGTATCGAACGTCTTTCAGAAACGTATGATCATGCTGTCTGGGCGCAGGGAACTGGTTGAAGCTCGTCGCATTACACAATAAGGAGCTGATTGTGGCAAAAGCATCGCATATCCATATCTAGAAGGAGCGGTAGTGGACAAAGCAGCGGAGAGAGACGAGAAAGTGACAGAAAGAAACAGCTTGGTGGCCATCAACAACTGAGGAAATGTCGAATCAACACAGAACTCATGGCAGAACAGTATCTACACTCGCGCTTAAGGTTGAAAGAAGCATGCTATAGTAGTTCATAAGACACAGAATGTTCTGGGTACCCTGAAGGAGAATGAACTGAGCATCCCTACCATGACAAGGTTTGTTGTAACCTTGGTAGTGTCGGCGGGATTTAGTCTAAGAGTACGAAATTTCGTAAACAAAGTTTAGTGCGGAATGTAAATGGTCGAAGTCTTTCGTGTTGTCAAATGTCTGGCCAATTATCCAGCCAATTATCGAGACGAGGGACTCAACCTCGCGGGTTATACAGTCCATCCAGAGCGAGCGGGCACGGCGAGATATATCAAACGATCAGACGAGAGCAGTACGCAGTACGCAGCATGTAAATTCCGTTGGTTCATAGGAATGCCTGTCATTGCTTGCTTCATCACGCTGCAAGTCGGGAGAAACATGACTGGTCATGAAGTTGCCATTGTTTTGTGAGAAATCCTGATAAACCCATGATCGTTACAGGACCGGCATCCGAATGCTGCTGTGAGCCATCTTAATCGGATAATGGCTGCCGATGCAGAGAAACACGCTCGAAGAACTCCACCATCCCAGTGCCCAATGTTCCCTTAAACCTCAGCAATCTCGCGGAGACGACGGATCGTTGACCTTGTGGCGGCGGCAGCAGGAGTACTGTAGTGGGGTCTGTTAGCGTTGTCCTCATTTTCGCGCAAACATCGTTTGCAAGTCCTTCGCTAGTGGGGTAATATGCGACGCTGTGTGGGAGGCTTACGAGACGGTGTAGGCTCCTCCAGCGGTGGTCTTGCGGCAGGATCGGCAGTTCCAGATACCGACGGCGGTGCGCTTGACTGCGTTCTTTCCGCAGAACTGGCACACGTAGCGGGCGTGCTGTGTGATCTGTATGGAACCATGAGCATTGCATCCTTTGAGCGACAGAGAATCTCCGACGTGTACGCACCTCCATCTTCTTGACCTGCTTACGGAGCGAGGCACCGTAACGGGTACCGTACTTTCCGGTGATGCCGACCTTCTTTGTGCCTACATCGCAATCAATAATCGTTTCCCACAAGGAGCAGGGGAGCCGTACGCTTGGTCATTTTGGCGGTTGTTGTGTGTTTGACGGGGAGGTGGAAGGTATCTTCTCCATGGTCGCAGTTTCGAGGTGGAATTTCGTGGGCTCCACTTCCGCCAAGATTCGCTTAGCCGGAACAACCACGCTCCGTCTGTGCGAGGTCTCATTGCAGCTAGTCGTAGCCGCATCATCTTCATCTTGTCAAGTAGAGATCACCTGCAGGCAAGCTGCATGGATCTACGAATTATAATTTTGTGGCATGAGTTTCTGAGACGCTCGAAAATACCTCATGAGCTATACCAGACACATATTCGCCTTCATCGCAACGACTTAGCTGCGTCATTGTTCATTCTCAAATCAATACCTCTCTCTTGCATTCCTAACAGCATTCAATATTCTTTCTGCAAAATCATCTCCTAGTACAGATGATATCTAATGCTCCTGCAGGATCACCTTTGATCGTGGGCAAGAAAAACTTGATGCCCAACCTACCAAACGAACTACTTCTACGGATCTTCACAGTGGTTAGATGTGACGCACGGCAGTGAATACCTCCTGACACGGCTTCACGCGCACATCGACGAAAACACTTCAGACCCGCGAAGTCATTCGAACAAGTACACACTCTAATTATCACTATTGACCCGGTTCGAAGTTTCGAAGTGCGCAGTATCTCGCTACTATTCAATATACCATCTCTACGAACACTCTCAATCAAGAAGGCATCACTAAACGCCCAAGAGGAGCAAGTGTTTGCTGATGGCTTGATCTATTATTAGTCATTGTAAATGGGGGGGAGGCATGGTACACGACCATGTCAAGGCTGACATTTTTGAAAAATGCTGAAACTGAACAGAAAACGAGTCCAATGCTAAACGTCGATGTTGAGCGATCTCCCGCAGAACATAATGGGCAATAAATCAAATACTACGAGGCGTGAGCGTTTCGCATAAAAAGTACTGCGGCATTGTGGTCTTTCAGTTCCTGCGAATATAGAGCAAGTGAGCCTAGAGGCCCTCGACAACTTGTAAAGCTTACACTAAGTTCACACCCGCTCCAAATCTACACAACGAGGTACTAGATCTTTTGGCGAGCCAGGTCTTTTTGAAGTTGTGGTGCAGTAACACTATTGCTCGAGGGTTAAGGTTGCGTTCAATGCGCTCGGCTCAACCACTTCCGAAACGACTATGAAACCGGCTGAGCTGACGAGTTCACCAAGTACCACTGACGCTCGACTCTCTGAAATCCTGCGCGCTTGACGTCTGGAGACGGATTGACCTTCGAATACACGGCTTGTTTTGGCGGACGTTTAGGTCGAACGGGTTTGTGTCCTGTTTAGGCGTGATGTACAGTTTGGGGCCAAGCTGGCTGTGACATGTGTGGCACAGCCATTACGCATGAAGTCTAGGCATGCGACAATGACTGAGGATGTATAAAGCCTGGGGTTGTAAGGTGTATTAAGCTTGAGCACAAGTTTACTTTATTTTGTTTTGTGCCTGATTTCGACGCATTCACCTTATTGTTCGACTACCACACAGCGCATATTTTTTAATCAGTATTCACACGCTACGCTATAATGGCCTCGAGATATTTCCGACAGGCAGCGGTAATCACGGCACTGCTAGTCGTCACTAGAGCACAGCAATCAGACGTCGTACCTGAGGATTTACGAGCCGGCTTCAAATCTACCGGCAAGGAAGTTCAAGTCTCTTACACCAACGAAGCTGTAAATGGCTTCGAAGATGGAACGTCATTCGAAAAAGATGGTCAGTCTCTCCCAACTCTTGAATGGCCATAACTGACATGACTCTTAGCTGTCGCAAAAGAACCTACATTTGCTCTCGGCGACAGCAGCGGTATCTCCCCCACAACACTCTACACCATCCTCATGATCGACACCACATGCCCAAATGCGCGCAAATTGCACTATGCCCGTGCCAATTTTAAGAACAACTTCCAGATCACGAACATTGATACCCAATCCGCTGCACTGCTGGACTACAAGGCGCCTGGTGCACTGGGGGAGACAGGTGACAATCGACAATACACCTTCCTAATGTATACGAATCCCGGACGCAAGCAAATAGATCAGCTGCAGTTGCCAGCTGAGGGGGAGAACTTTGATGTTCAAAAGTTCCAGAGTGATAATGGGTTGAGTGACGCTGCGGCGGGAGTAGGCATGGTAGTGAAGTTGGGCGGAACAGCAAACTGTGGAGGTGATCAGCCAAATAAGGTTCCTGATAATTCGCCGTCTGCACAGCCTGCGCCGAGCTCTGCTGCGAGGGCGTCGAGTGCTGCTCCTGCACCGTCATCGAGTGCGGCTGCTATACCGACGTCGAGTGCGATTGCGGTACCAACATCAACTGCGACTTCGGCGGTTCGTCAACCACCCTCGAGCGCGGCAAATGCAAGGCCAACGGGGGATACAAATCGACCAGGGAATTCAACTTTGCCTTCATCGAGACTAGAAGAATCTAGGGGAGGCAACGATAGTCGCCCATCAGTAACCTCTCTTAGGCGGACCACTGCCACTGATCTCGCTGGTGCCTCCAGCGTCCTCCAGACGGGCGCGCCCGGCGCTTCCACGATAGCTCCAGCGATCAGCCCATCGAACCGTCCTGGGGGAGCTGGACCTACTGGAGGAGCGGGAGCTTCTGGAAGTCCGACAGCAAGCACTAGTCTAGCACAACAGACGGCTAATGCTGCTCCTGGGATGTTGACTTCCCATGGTTTGGCGGTAGCTCCATTGTTGGCTATCGCCGGTGTACTATTGTGGTGATGAAGTGCAAGATTTGTAACGATACTGGCGCAGATGGAATTTTGGCGTTTGGACGTGGCATTTAGATCCCAATTGGTTGTTTAATTCCCTCGAATTTGAACCCTTCATCGTGAAGGTATCAGGTCCATCCAACATCGGGCCAAGGACGCAAATATATATGAACGGGCGTGCAAGCAGCGATAATGTTACCTGAACGGTACAGAAGCAAAACCCACTCGGCCTGTGTACGGCGTCATAACCTACCTTTCCGTCAAGTGCTGCGTACTTGCTGAATTCAATCACACATAGCGCTATGCGCGTCCTTGGTCTAATATCCAACTAAGGTCTCCACGTTGAACGGCCTCAAAAGCACGTCTCAAACATCTGGTTTCTCTTTCTCTAGCTTAGACAACACTTCACTCCCTTTACACTCATCACTCCACCTCCTCCTCGGCAACTCAAACGTCGAACCAATACGCCCATATGCCATGCCCCCAAGCTGAGCGAGCGGCCTCAAAACATCTAGATCAACATGGCTCACCTCCTCATTCGCAGCATCTTCACGGACCCAAAACCGCGTCGCCTTAACCAGCACCATACCCGCTACACTCATCCCGTCTTTCTGATGGTCGTTGAACTCCTTGATATCCACAACCTTAGCCTCGACAGAGAAAACAGATTCGTGCACACGAGCTGGGCGCACGGTCGAGGAGGGCGCTTCGTGCAAACCGGAAATAGCCCATTCCGATACACCGTAGGGAGCGTCGATGGACGTTGCGTTTACGGCTTCAATCATGTTTTCTGAGACGGTGTTGATGACGCATTCCCTTGTCTCTGTTAAGTGGCGATAGGTATCTTTCACTCTTCCAGGCCTGGATGAGAAGCCGATGACGAACATGGGTGGGTCGTGGTCGATGACTTGGAAGTAACTCATAGGCGCGAGATTTTTTGTTTTCCCGTCTGCCGATATAGTGCTGATGAAGCCAATTGGCCGGGGTGCGATGTCTGAGATCAGGAGCCGGTAGTTGTTGACCATTGGTCGATGAGATGCATATGGATCTACTTCTAGGTGCTTTTTGGAGGGATCAAAATTCGGCGAGCCGTGGCCGTATTGCCATGCTGGGTTGGGATGTCTTGTCACTTCGATAGGTTTATTGGAGTTATCGAAGTCGGGGCGTGCTGCTTGAATCTTTTCGAAGTTCTTGGTTTTCTCAATGATCTTGTATTGCTGTTCTGCGGAAGACGTAGCTTCAGGGTGTATTAAATTCTCTGTTGCCGGCTTAGTCGAAGAGTTCCTGGCCGGCGATAACATCAATACAAGTGGTCTATTATACTGTGAACAACTTTCATATACACCGCCATGCTTGTAGACACTTACCTGCGCAACGCAGTTATGCCCGTGGTTCTTTTCACAGATCTAAACATGGGATCTTGATACCCAACAAAGTGAAGGGCGAATTTGGGAAGGGAAATGATGGTTTACTGCTCGGTGTATCGAAGTGTTAAGAAGGTGCCGATATATTCCTACACAACAGTGTACCAGGTAGATGTTTACAAGTGCGGAGATAAGCATTCTAGATTTCCGGCCTGCGTCGGTTGCATGCGGCTCCACGAAGCTATGCTGACCGCGACATCGGAAGCTCGGAAAAGGGCAAAGATAGTCAACCTCTATATTATCGAGTTGAATAGAGACACTTCAGCGAAATCATCCTCTGGCGTTTCTTTGAGGTTAATGAAAACGACACTTTTCTCGTTATCTCTCTGATGGTTTACGAACACTCTTCGAAACTGTTATATCAGCTTCATGCAGTAGACATCACACAGGCCTTGATGTCTACTTGCACGCGATAGCGTGGTCTGGCGCGTGATCTCCGTGGTGTATGACTTGCCTCATAAGTTCCCCGCTACGATGATGAACACGGTACATCGTGACGTCTAAATTGACTATTATGAGAAGTAGTGACATATAAGAAGCTGATAAACGAGAAGCAGAGCCTTCGACTGCATCTGATGGCATTGGCAAGAACATGGTTTCGTGATGTACCAAAACACTTAGGGCACGGAAGTGACCAGTCTCTAATCTACCTAGGACTCCGGAACCAAGGTTTAGTTCTAGTTCTTTACATACAGGTCGACGTATTCGTCGATGTCCATGTTGTCGAGCGTCTTTGCGTCCTGTGCCAGCGAGACGAGCTTGTCAACGTGTTCTGCCGGATAATGGGGGCCGAGATGCCTCTTGTACTTCGCGAGGATCTCAGGTTTCGCCTCTTCACGTCGCAATCGATGGCCCAGAGGAGCCTCAACGACCTCTTCTTCTAGGACGGTGCCGTCCTTGAGCGTGACAGTGAGCGCGTTGGAGATGGTTCGCTTCTCTGGGTCATGGTAGTCCTTCGTGAATTGTGGGTCTTCAACGCAGCTAATGCGTTGGCGGAGAGACTCAACGAGCGCCGAGTTTGCAGCTTCGCTGTCATCGGGATAATCAGTAGCCTCGAGGCGGTTGAACACGAGCATGGTTGAGACCATGTACTACGATTTAGGGTCAACACTGCCTTGCGAGCATCTGAACAGTAAGACTTACCTGAACACAGTGATCGCGATCAGCAAAGTTCTCCATAGGCTTGAACTGCTTATCGATAATTCGGATGCAGGCCTCGTGCGTCCTGTTAACAATACCCTCGATGTCCTCGGCGCTCTTGCCCAGGGCCTTCAGCTTTTTGTTTATGCGTTGGGCAGCTTCGACAGCTGTCTGCGAGTGGAACTCGGCTGTACGGAGATCAGTATTAATACTATAAGAGAGGAATGATCCGTGGGGGCCTTACCAGGGTAGGAGACCTTGAAGAGAACGTTCTCCATTACATAGCTGCCATATCCTCTCTGGAACTGGAAGGGCTTGCCGCCAAAGTTGACGTCGTAAAAGCCCCAGGTGGGGGCAGAGAGAACAGTGGGCAAGCCTTGCTCGCCCTTCAACACCTTCAAGACGAGGTTGACAGCAGTTTGGCAAGCATCACCAGCAGCCCAGGACTTGCGCGACATGGTGTTGGGCGTGTGCCTGTAGGTCCTCATTGATTGGCCGTCGACGAAAGCTTGTGAGATGGCATCACGAGTCTGAGATTCGTTGAGACCCATCATCTTAGACACGACTGCCGTTGAGGCGAGCTTGACCAGAATAACGTGGTCCAGGCCGACCTTGTTGAACGAGTTCTCCAGAGCCATGCAGCCCTGGATTTCGTGTGCCCTGATCATAGCCTCCAAGACATCTCTGACCTTGAAGATCTTGCCATTGCCAAGATTGCCCCCGGCTTTGTTTGTTCGTGTAATCCAGTCGGCGGTCGCGAGAATAGCACCCAGGTTGTCTGAGGGGTGACCCCACTCAGCAGCCAACCAACAGTCGTTGAAGTCCAGCCATCGGATCATAGCACCAATGTTAAAGGCACCGTTCACAGGATCGAGCTGGTAGTTTGTACCAGGCACCTTTGTACCATTCGGGACGATGGTGCCCTCTACGACGGGGCCGAGAATGTTCCTGCATTGTTCGAAGCGAAGGCCTTCGAGACCGCAACCAAGGGTGTCAACGAAGACCCATCGAGCAGTGTCGTACTACATGAATTCACATTAGCTAGGGTTTGAACAACCAGATTTATTGACCTACCGCGAGCTCTGAATCGATGGCTGTGTTGTGGATGTAGCTTGCAATGTCCTTGATCTCGGGATCGTACTCGCGCTTGCCTTTGACGGGCGGTGCGGCGCTCTTGAGGGATGACATGGTGGAGAACGAAGCTGCGGCTGCTGTTCGGGTAGTGATTGGGTTCGAGGGAGCAGTTCGGAGAGCAATTGGCCTTATAGCTCTGCTTATGACGCCAGACCGCTGACGGAGGTTTCGTGAGGCGGTGCTGCACAGGTTGCGACTGAAGGCCGACATAGTTAGATTAGCTTCTGTCGTGCCGGACGACGTCAATGCAGCTCTAGAGAAAAGGGAGTGTCGTACTACGCGCTTTAGAGGACTGTAGGCTTTTTGCAGGAAGAATTCAGAGCCGAAGCAGGAACATTGCTCGGCTTGCAGAGTTCGGGAGGATGGATGGGCCGTGGTCAACCGAGGCATCAGCTTGCAGGTTGAACATATCCGCGGGGCTCAACCTGTGCTCAAGGCCATAGCTACCTCAAGATCTGGTCACTTGATGATTATATATTTCCTTGTGTTCAATTACGGCCGGCTCCAGATATTCAAAGCTATTTTTCATGCAGTGGGGAGCTTCTTCTACGTTCAAAGGCTTTTTACTACCCCGCATCGTCCCCAGGTACCTCTCGGCTACTACCGCCAACGCCCCAGGATCCAAGTTACCGAATCTCCCCGCCTAATACACCTTTTTCAATTCAAAGTATCTACTACGGCATGATTTTGTGTTCTTCTGCTCACGCTGGAAAACGATCACAAATATCTATTTGAAGGCTACAAATGTCCAGTCCATCACCAGCTGTTGAAGTCACTGAAGTGACATCTCGCCTCCTTCGTCCACGTCCACTCGCCATACACAGATCAAGGGTGAACGGACTATCTTGATTACCAAATATCCAAGAGCATGCATGTACCTGGAAAACACATCAACGACACGTGGAGTATGTTTAGACTAGCTCATTGTTGCGTTAGAATGCTTTGAAACTTGAGAAATTCTGCTGCCTGATCGTATACCACCGCTAATATGTGGACGCACTTGGGTACCGGGCAGTGTAATTTACAACGCATGTATGAACTCCATATCAAAACACAAGTCTCCAAAAATCGGTATTTCACCTACTCTTCTTGTCTGGACCCACGGTACCCCTCAACTTGTTCAACCTGAACTTTGAAGTGAAGTATCTGTCCAAGACGCTGACCGGAAGATACGTCCAGGCAAACCATACGATCCAGCTCATCTTCCCTTCCCATATCCACCTCTGCTTGGTGAACCAGCCATCACCACCAAGAACCTGCCTCACGCAGCTCCTGGCATACTGTTGGGTATCCATTCCCAGCTGCTGGCTATGGGTCAACCTCCTCTCGTAGTCATCCGCAAGAGGCTGCATGTACGAGTCTGGCGGCAAAACACGGTGTGTCCTTGCGATGTTAGACATGACACCCCCCGTTACGATGTTTATGACGCGGACGCCGAGCGGTGCGAGTTCGACACGCAGTGTGTCTGAATACGCGTGAAGTGCTGCTTTGGACGCGTTATATGGCCCGCCCCAAACATACGGCATTAAGCCTGCTAGCGATCCAGTTTGTACGATTGTGCCTCTTGCTTCGATCAACAACGGCGCGAACTCTTTGCACATCCTCATGACGGCGAAGACATTCGCTTGGAACAGCTCGCGCAGCTCGTCCTCTTCGTAGTCGAGCGCTGGAACAACATAGTTGCGCCCAGCATTATTGTATAGAATATCAAGCTTCCCGTTTGTGATCTCGGTGACACGCTTGCGGAGTTCGCGTATGGAGTCGTTACTCGTGAGCTCGAGAGGGAGGTATGTAATGTTTGCGTGGGGCGAATCGTACTTCGAAGGGTTGCGGACGGTTCCGAGTACTTGAAAGCCTATATATATCAGCCGATGCGAATGCTGTGTGCCTGTGACGGGTCGTACCTTTTGCAGCGAATTCGAGAGCCAGGAAATGGCCAATGCCACCGGGCGTACAGCTACCGACGTAAGCTCAAGCTTCCTGGAAGCCCCCAAACATTGATATGATGAACATACCCAGTGATCAGCGCGTATCTTGTCCTTTCGGTATTAGCCATTATAACCCTTGTTGTACAGAGACACTAACATATTCAACCTTGTAGGCTTCACGATGATGTTAAAGGCCTGTGCATGGACCATGCCTCGGCTGAACTTGCCCCACTCTCACCCACATCCCATCCTTCACCTCTGTACCACTTCCAGACTACCGCTATTTCGCCAAGAGTCGGATCTAACAATAAGCCTAGCAATGTCTAGCTAGAAAGCATAAAGACCTTCTCCGTTTCTTTCCTAACAATCTCAACCCTCACACTTCCCAGTCCTTAGGACCCTCCAAAAAACATGACTGCCTATCAATGGCTGGGAGAGCGGGCCCCAACGCTCCTACGCCCTGCAATTCTTCTCTTGTTATCAGCATACCGTCGGTTCATCTTCCCAATAACGCTATCAATACGTCGTTAACGAGAAACTAGATTTCATCATGACCATCCTGGAAGTAGTGTTCGTTGAACGCCGCCCATTCGCCCTATTCAATCTCACTCAACTTCGCTACAAATCCTTCGCTCGCGTCTGGAACAACAACGGTGAAATGATGTCAGCAGAAATGCCCGGCCCGCTCTTTCAACTTCTCTCTACATGCAAAGGTGTAGTTCTAGATATCGGTCCCGGTTCTGGAGAGATCCTTCCACGTTTCAACCCCAACCTGATCAGTGCCATGTACGGTGCGGAACCGGCGGTAGATTTGCACTCTGGATTGCGTCGACGGGCGCAGGAGACAGGTTTCGGTGCAAAATACCACGCGCTTCTCTGCGGTGCAGAGCCTGAGAGTCTCATCCCAGCTCTCCACAAGAGCGGCATCCTGGACGTAAGCGGGAAAGGCGGTCTAGCTTCAGAAGGCATCTTCGACGAGATATGCTGCGTCCGCGTCCTCTGCGGCGTTCCCCACCCCCAACAGACCATCACAGGGCTGTACAATCTTTTGAAGCCTGGAGGTCGAATGGTGGTTTGCGAGCATGTTGCCAATCCCTGGAGGACCGAAGGCAGAGTCGTAGCGCGATTCATGCAGTTGGTGTACACACTTTTGGGCTGGCCATTTTTTATGGGGGGATGCGAGTTGCAAAGACATACGTGGGATTATCTGAGAGATGCAGGCAAGTGGGACAAATTTGATCTGAAGTACTATGGTCCACAAGACTGTATTCCGTTCGTGGTGGGAGAATTGATCAAGAAATCGGTATCTCTGGATAAGTCCTACGCGGAGGCTGTACAGAAGTAAACTGAGGCTTAGGTGTTGATACTTCAAAAAATACCCGAACATACTTACCTCACCATCTTAGACCTTTCCCAGTGCTCTGATATATTCCGCATTCTTCAAATTGAAGCGGAAGACAGCCACACAGGGCATGACGGCTGACAAAGTAGGGTGGAGGACTACAGTGCACTCCCCTCCTTCCAGCCTCGACACGCCATCTCACAGTTATACAGGAAGTTGGACCCAAAGATCAAGCCTTCTTCGCCCTTAGGAAATCCTTCCATTCTTCCTGGTCCGTATACTGCTCCATCAACGCCATATACCCACAGCATCTCCCCACCCACGCACACATACGCTGAAGCGTCCACGGAACCCACCACCGAATCGGACCTAGCCACCACGCTGTTGGGAACATGACAAGTGCTGAAGCAGTTGCATGTCTGAGGAGTGTTAGCGCTGAATGTCTTCATGCCAACCTTGTAGATGGGTCATCATGAATAAAAAGAAGGGCAGAGGACGGGGATGGCTTACTGCATAACCATGACCTGAAGCAGACTCAAGCTCGCCTTCTTCTCAGTCACATCGCTAAGATAGCGCAGTAGATTGTCGAAGAACATTCTATCCATGGGTTCGGGCGTCCCAGTTGGGTGCGCCCAGAGGTACAGCACGCTGTCTTCCTCTGCATCTGGACATGGCCAGAACCTATACACATGGATCAAATCAGCCCTCATTATCAACTCACTGATGACGGTTCTGGCCTTTCTCGACTTTTTCTCCGCCTATCTTTTTACTTTCTCCCTTGTGTCGGATCTAGATTTCTCCTTCTTCCAATTACAACGTAGAACGGAATAAGACAAGGCTGGTACGCACCGATGCGGTTCCCACGGCTTTATATCCAGCGGCGCGTCTTCCCTCGTCCACACACGATCTTCCGCGGCCCACCCATCCGTCGTACCCACCTTCCCAGCCCCAACATAAAAGCTCTCGAACTGATCGAAATGGAGATGCAGAGGCGGCGACTGCGGATGTGATTTGCCTAGTTTCTGCGATGCGCCTGTGTAGGTAGCTCGCATAAGAACACTGGCGGAAACAATGATGAGCTTGGCTGATAAGAAGAGACGTAAGAGAGGTTGGAAGGCAGAGCGGCTTACGTAGCATCCAAAGATTCAGGGGGGTCAAGAAACTCTAGTATAAACCCTTGGTTGAACAGAGTAAACGGTCCTGAGACTCGTTTGGCGTTCTCAATTTCCTTAGTGTTATACTTCGCCATGTTTCAAAAAGCACTCTTTGGTGAGTTTGCGCAGAGAGTTGAAATCCCGGGAACGACAAAGAGACAGCTTTTGAGACTGTTGCAGTTATTTCAAGTTCAATGCGTTTATGAGAAGGCTGCTTGACGCACATAAGGTACTTTTATAAGCGCCCGCTAACACTACCCCGCTAATTCCCTTCTGTGTCTGGCAGTAAGCGCTTTTCGATGCGTTGTTCGGGCTTACCCGACGCCATGGATCCGTTAGGTAGTAATCTTACATCTCACGCAAGGTAACGGGAAATATGTCGCCTCCCCTCGACGCTTAATAGCAACTTAGGTAATGGCCTGGCCAATGTCTGTCTCTGCTCTTAGCCTCTCCACGCCATTCGTCACCGCATCAAGGACTAGAAATGGACCTCTCCAGAGATAGCAGATCCCAGAATGCTTAAGATGACGGCGCTTCCGCTGCGTCGCATCGCCATGGTCTCTCTCAATCTTTACCCCGTAACCCCTCTTCTTCTTTAGCTTCTCCAATGCTCTTCCCGACCCAGTGACAACATCTTGAGACGTACGACCATCACGTCGAATCACACCCTCACCATGACTGACTGCGGCGACTTTGTAAACTCTGACGACGAGGAAGATGTCGACGATCTCGAGGAGAATGCTGAACCTCTTTTACTATACTTTCAGCAACCATTCTACTATCCAATCTGTATTGGAAACGTCCTGGCTCAGAGATATCGCATAGAGCATAAACTCGGCCACGGCGGCTTCTCTACCGTCTGGATGGCCCATGACATCGTCACAAAGAAGGACGTCGCACTCAAGATCACCATTCTTGCCAGAGGCACGGCAGACCCTGAAAGCACTATGCATAACGAAATTCGCCAGCGCGTCCGGGACACGTCTAAACTTCTCCTTTCTCGCGAAACCTTCTCGCTTCCTAGCCCCAAAGGTCGCCATAGAGTCCTGGTGTTTCCCCTACGAGGCCCCAGTCTCCACTCCTGCTTCGCCAGTATGTCTATGGCCGATCGAATGTCCGCGGCGAAGCAGGTGCTACAAGCTTTGGATTGCCTGCATGACGCCAACATCGTCCATCGAGGTCCGTTCATAACCCCCCTTTGGTTTGTATCCTTTATGCTTATACTATATAGATCTGAACGACAAAAACACCATGTGCGGCATTGTACCCCTAGACGCCTACGACATCAAGATGAAATACCAGTACCTCGGCCGGCCTAAAAAGATCCCCCTGCAAACTCCGGATGGGATGCAGGGAGAGCTTGTTAGGCCAGTGATGGTCCCTCCCAGCTTACTCACTAAATCATTCTATCTCGGCGATTTTGGTCTAGCAATGAACGCAGGCACTTCAGCAAACTACAAGCCACAGTCACCTAGTGCTTGGTGTGCCCCGGAACGGCTTCATAACACAGACCCAAGTTCTGCTAGCGACATGTGGAGCTACATGTGTCTTTTCACAGAGCTCTATCTCGGCACTCTCCCCTGGTCCATCTACGGTGATGTGCTGCCTGGTATGGTCAAAGTCCTCGGCCCACTACCGCAAACTTGGTCCGGCTCTTATCACCAACCCACTAGAATTGACGCTTCATGGTATGATCCGAAGAAGCAGCCTGAACACACCCTTGAAGCAATGATTGCACGCGCCCGCCCGAATATCAGTCCGACCGAGCGTGCTCACGTACTGTCCTTTATGCGAAAGGGGTTCTCTTATAATCCTCAGCATCGGATGACCGCTGCGCAACTTTTGTGCAATGTTTCATTTCAAGCCGTCATGAGAGTCTACAGTGCCTAATACTCTTTTCTTCGGCTTTTCCGTATCTACGTTATTCTTACTTAGCATAGCGAGTATCCAAGAACACACTCTTTGATGTGTATGAATTCGATCAGTCTTCAACCCCGTTTCGTTTACTTCGCCATATTTGAATTGTTTACTTGGTAGCATGAAATTATTAATTAGTCGTTCTCAACTACTATTTGCGGCCTGAGAAGTGACCACACATGGGCAAGGTATGTATTTCGTATATTGTAGTTAACTTCCTGCAATAGTAGTAACGATTGGTTCAGAAGATATCATGGGTGGAGTTGGTAAGGAAATGCCGAGCCTAGTCTTTATCAACTCGACAGGATATGGCGCCAGGTTTCGCTTTGGTTATGCAGTATCAATCTCATGGCCTTTGCCCAGCTAATGAGCACACAGGAGTATATCGGATCCAACAGTGGAGGGTCGCGATCAGCGGAGGAACGAATTGGTGTAGCTCGAAAGAGCTCGGTTCTTGTAAATGAAGGTATAATGCTATAAGCTAACCTCAGCAGCGTGAATATGACATGGAATGTATCTGTACAAGTGTCCATTCCAGATCCGCTATGTTATCGCTACCTTGCATGCTGTTCTATACTTCATGCCATCTGTGACTTCCTCTGCTTTTGCTGCTGTTTGAACCCTAGCTTTGCTCATCTAGTTCCAAATGGCCATCCGCTCTAGGTGATATTGGCCTGAGTGGCTGTCGCAGAGCTGTTGGAATATGCCCAGGGTAGGCCGCGCGATTGGCCTCATTTGGGCAAGCATGAGTCTGAAAGATCCCATAGTTTGCCGTCGTGGTTCTCTCCTTTTACCTACCAGTCGTCCTTGTCGGACTCATCGTCTGATATGTATTAGTATATTGGCCATCCGCTGCAATAGAACATACACTTACCGCTGTGACTAACTTTGGCCTTCCTTGCTGCAAGAGCACTGGCTAGCGCGCCAGCCAGACCAGCATCCGCCCCCGGAGTCGCTGGACCACTGGCACCGCCAGAAGCAGCTCCAGCTGGGTCCCCGCCAGGCACTGCCGCGGCACTGCGATCTTTCTTCTCTGTATCTGACACCTTTTTCAACCTCGCACCTCCACGAATGTCTGCCAAGAGACCGTCTCGCCCAGGCGCGGGTTTTGGAAGGGGTGCGCTGCCTGGTGGGGGAGGCGGTGCGGCGGCATCTCTCGAAGGCATGGGCGGAGGCGGAGGGGGCCCAGAGCCTGGAGGCATTGGAGGTGGAGGCGGTGCGCCGCTGTTTGGCATTGGAGGAGGGGGAGGCGGTGCGCCACTGTTTGGCATCGGAGGAGGGGGAGGCGGCCCAGAGCCTGGAGGCATTGGAGGAGCCTGGGGAGGCGCGCCGCTGTGTGGTATGGGCGGAGGTGGAGGCACTGCACTATGTGGCATTGGTGTGGGCGGCGGAATCGATCTCCCTGGCATGGGCGGTGGAGGAGGCGCCACGTTGGACGGGGGAGGTAGTGGTGGTGGTGTTGGGGCGGCGCTCGTAGGAGCAGACGGTACGGGCCGTGACGATGAGGGTGGTAATGGAGGCGGTGGTGGAATATGAACATGGTTTGTCGGCGGTGGGTGAGGTGGTAAAGGCGCTGCAGCAGCTTTTGGCGGTAATGGTGGAGGTGCCGAAGGTGTGTCTCGCGCTGGAGGTGGGGGTGGAACTGGTCCTCGACTTGGTGGTGGTGGTGGTGGTGCACCAGAAGGCACACGGTTCCCTGCGAATGGAGGTGGCACGCCAAATCTGCCTCCAACTGGTCGTTCGTCGTCAGGTATAGGTGTCTTTGGCGGCCGCGGTGGAGGTGGAGGGCCTGGATTTGCAGCATTTGATGAGGCTCGCGCTCTGTTCGGTGGCGCAGGGGGTTGGCTGGCAAACTTGCCTGCTTCTGCAATTGGAGGGGGGGCTCTGAAAACCGGCTTCGGGGGACCTGGAGGCGGAGAAGATTCTCGAGGAGGGGACGGCGGCGCTGGGCTTGCAGAAGATTGGCGATTGATGCTCGGTGCGTCGGTCTTCGTCCTGCGAGCTGGCGGAGGTGCAGGTGGAGGCCCTCGTTTAGATGCTGTTGTACTACCCGTATTCTGAGGGCTGAGAGGCGCTCGTACTGAGGCAGCACTTGGCGGAGGAGGCGGAGGGGCCCTGACCTTGCGTTCGCTGTTCTCTTCCTTGAGCTTCTCTTCTGTCTTCCTCTGCTCAATGTACAGCTTGATAAAGTCTGCGTTTTCCTCGATTTGGTCTTCTGTGATGCCCATAGCCAGCAGTTCCTTCAACAGTGGTTGCCATGAGGGGTCGGTTGTATCGATTGCGGAACTTCTCGCACTTGTCGCATTAGAGTGACTACTTTGCGAGGGCGAGGTAATGTTCGCTGGTGGGATGATGGACTGCGGCGGCTGAGTAGATGCAGAAGAATGCCGATGTCCAAAGAGACCTCCCAAAAGGCCGTGGCCTCCACTTTTACCATTTGTGGCGGGCCCACTGTTGCCTGCTGTTGCTCCAAATGGCTTGTTCTTCGTGCTCTTGTGAGCATTCTTCTCACGATCATCCAGCTTCTTCTTGAACGTCTTTGCCTCCTTCTCGTCGGCAAATGACAGAGCTGCTAGACAATCCTCGAGCTCGAACGTGTGGAAGAAGACGCGGTCCTGGTTGTAGGAGAAGGTATCGTATATCTCCTGGTCCCATAGGACGCCGCGGTTGGCCGACTGCGTCGTCAGTCTCTCATACCACATCGGCTGTTCTTGGACCTACCGAGATGTCTACCAGCTTGAGCCAGAATGTATGCCCTACCAAATCGTTTGCCAGCACCGCAGCGCCCTGGAGCCCGGTGTAGGTCCATCGGTGCCTGTCGGGGTAGGCGATGTACAGCTTGGCGACGGCGACGGCGTGGATCTTGTTGGCAGACTTGGGGACGGTGCGCTTCACCGTCTGCTTGTCCTCGTCGGAGAGGATCGATGGCATGGCGGCGTGCTTCGCGGACTCGAGCTAGCAATAGTGAGGTTTGGGTGTGGCCGTCTAGGTAGCGTAGCGGTCGGGCTTGGGCGTCTCCAGCTCAGCGGGGGTTTGCTCTGCGATCGGAGATTAGGCAGCACATGAAGGAATTGCAGTCACACTTCAACGCCAGATGAGGCCGAAGTGCACGATGGGTGATGACTATCGGGCCGCGTCGAGTTGTCGCCACGGTCAGAGAATAATGGCAGTGCTGTGAATGGGAGACGTCAGTGAGCGCTGCTGCGGCTGAGTTTCCGACTGGGCGGGAACCTAGCGAAACGCCAAGAAGTCGTTCAACGGCCCTTGAAATGCAGGACAGTCCACTTTTGCTGGGCATCAATGTGATATGTCACAGGTGGATTCTATTGAATCTTCTTTTGCATTAATGTGGCGCTGACTGCCGTCCCTGGCCACTAGGACCCGTGGCATAGGTCAGGTCTTAACATGCACACGTGACACCGCGCGGCCCTCGGCCAGCTCCCACTATCCTACTTATGCTCTTAACTGCACTCTACACGTCTCATCCTACTACAACTTTAGACGACGAGGGTAGAACATATGAACGGGATCTGATATGTGACCAACAAACTGCTGCGTACTGCTCGTATCGGCTGCCGATTCTCCGACAATGCACCACCAATGACCTCACGGCTAGACCAAGGCACCTGAATAGTCTGACTCATGTCGACTGTGTACGTAGAGTCAAAGCTAAAGATTCCATCTTCGCTCACTCTCGAGCCAAACCATACAATGCTGGTAGAGGATATGTTCGACGGCTGGCTGGCCATACCTTCCATTACAGACTTTCTCACAGAGGAGGCTCCTCCAGATTGTCACGTACCACCAGAACAAGCAACCGTCACGGAAACACCCAAACACACTACGAATGAGCCCGCGCGACTCTGGGGTTTGAATGTAGATGACAGCCCGAACCAATTGTATGCGCCTACCTCAACCGTACTTAGGTAGCTTGGCTAATGACCGCCATCATAGACTTTCTACACCGGGCGAGAGTACATCTACTACAAGTCGTGTGGCACGCCAAAGACGGGGTCACACCAAAAGTCGCCTTGGCTGCGTCACATGCAGGAAGCGCAAGGTCAAGGTAATTTCCTTTCAGAGAATTCACTCTTGAGGTGCTAAGATGCGTCAGTGTCAAGAGACATGGCCTTCTTGCGCCAATTGTATGAAGCGTGGGGGTAGGTACCGTGCTCCCTGCCAAATTGTCTTACAACTTATACAGCATTACAGTGGTTTGCAGATACCCTGCCATCTTCAAGTACGCGCAGCGTGATCGCATCGTTTCCGAGGCGCTGAGCCCTCGTCAATTCGTCCAACTTTCCGATACACCCACCATGTTTAGTTCAGACGATATGCGCCTCTTTCATCATTACTTGATTTCGGCGTACCCTGGAATACCGCACGACTATGAAGACATATGGACAATAGATGTTCCTAAATATAGCCATCAGGTACGTGGTATTAGAAGAGACACGCTGCAAGCGTGTCTCTTCTAAATGGAAAGCGCTTACTCGCGCCTTTAGAATACATATCTCATGCATGCTATTCTGGCCCTAGCTGGTTCACATCTGGCCCTCCAAGTTGAAAACCCCCCGGTCAAGCTGGCGCTCACCCATCGCCAAAAGGCTATCGTTGGACTTGAAGATGCTTTCACGAAGTGGCCTCCCTCCGCCGAAGATGCCCATATCATGTTAGCTACGTCCTACCTTCTATCTTTCCAGTCCTGCTGTATTGAAGACGGCTTCATGGATAACGTCCTATCTCTGCGCGGATGCGCCTTTCTCTCGCAACTCATTTGTGGGCATGGCCTCAAAGGCCCTTTTGCTTTGCGGGCGAACATGCACTCGGCGACCATGGACTTGACCTTTAAAAACTTTCCACATTTGGACCAAGAGCTTGCGTGTGAAGCTTTGCAGTCGATGAGAAAGTTTTCACACCTGCTGGCTGAGCCAACAACACATGCCATCGAAAAGGCGGTCATTGCACAACTTGTGGAGACGATCCGTCCACTCCTTGAACGTGATCCAGTAGCAACACCGGACACGACTACTACACCGGGTCTTTCCGATACAAGCACCGAAGTGACTACGAGCTGTACGAGCTCTGAAGCGCATACGACATACACAGTGCCGAACGACAGAGTGTACTTCATGAACCCTCTCTTTCCTACTGATCTAACTACCTCTTTTGATGACATTGACTGGGACACTGTTACTATTCCGCCATCATCCAATAGAGACCCTCTACGATCATTCAACGCATTAATGTCGACACTTGTTGTATTCTCCACATGGCCATATGATGCGCTTGTGCATCTCTTCTCCCCAACCAACCAGCTCGGAAATGTGGTTTTGGCGCACTGCTGCACGGTGCGCGTCATCATATCACCGCTCTCGGCACCCAAAAACGCAATGAGGACTCCAATCAGGGCGATGATAGAGTGGGCTGTCAAGATTGTAGCTGCCGTCGAGGATGATGAGAATGTCAAGTGGACAGAGTATGTGGCATGGCCGAAGAAAATATTGCAGTGTATGCAGGCATGCGTGGAGAAGAAGAAAGGCTCGACGTTTGAAGACCTCTACGAGATGCTGCTGAATGATCCAGGGGCCTTCAAAGAAGGTAGAGCGAGGCGGGCGTGAGGCTGTGGTCTGTGGCACGTGCACTGGTTAGACACCGAGTTGTAGACCGAATTAGACACCGAATTCGAGACCGAGATCCTCCGTACACGGACGGACCAAATCGCGCCGTCTGTAAATTGATTAAATTTGTAAGCCACTCCAGCCTCGCGTTCATAAAGTCCGTTATTTTACTCAGCATCAACTGTTTAGGTACCTTGCGTCGCGTTAGCGTACCTGACGATCCTGCACACTTTGGAGCGCACTAGCAGTGGTTTCCGCATACAGCAAGCGCTGATCTAAAACTCCAATCTTAGCTATCATGTACTTGCAAATTCAGTGATATAGCGTCTTGACATGAATTGTTAAGCGGACGATTTACAACGTTAGGCGTTCAGCGTGAGGTAATGGGGATGTCGTTAGATGTCGTTATGCACCACTTAGTGGAGGTTTGAAAAGTACAAAGAGAGGCTCTTGGGACATGGAAAGACCACCATCACATCGCATCAGACAGCGAATTCCTCTATTGAGTCCTATAACATCAACGACACTACCTCACACACCACCAATCGACATTATCTCAATATGAGGGTACTATCAACTTTCTTCTCCCTCTTCGTCGCCTCGACCTTGGCAGTAGACGTCCGGACAGTCTACCAATTCCCCAACCAAACATGGCTCGAAAACATCATCACTATGCGCAATGGCTCTCTTTTGGTCACCTTCATCGGGCGCGCTGAGGTGCACATTGTCAACCCATCTCCCGGAAACGCCACCTCATCTCTCGTTGCTTCTCTGCCAAACGCAAACGCCGTCCTCGGCATCACCGAAATCTCCGACGACGTTTTCGCCGTTGGTGCTGGTCAAGTTACACCTAGGAACACACCAATAAACGGGACATTTGCTGTGTGGAAAATCGACCTCAGCCACAAGAAGGAAACCAAGATTAGCAAGATTGCCGATGTACCAAAGGTCGGCCTGATCAACGGCATTCAGGCACTCAACCCGCACACCATCCTCCTTGCTGATTCCTGGGCTGGCAACATCGCCAAGGTCAACACCAAGACGGGCGCATACGAAGTAGCCCTTTCCCACCCCAGCCTCGCATCTAATTTCTCCGAGCCAGCATTGCCACTTGGTGCAAATGGCATCAAATTTCACGACGGATATGTGTACTATACGAACACGGTCCAAGCAATCCTTGGCCGCGTTCGCGTTTCCCCCTCAGGCCACCCAATCGGACCGTTCACGATTCTCGCATCTGGGCCCAATATTTCCGTGCCGGATGACCTCGCAGTCGCAAAGGATGGCTCTGTATATCTGGCTAGAATCCGGGCCGGTACTCTCCAACATGTTACGCTTGATGGAAAGGTCGTGACGATCGCCGAAGGGGGCCCAGTTGCTGGCGTAACTTCAGCGCGCTTTGGGCGGACAAAGAAGGATCGGAACGTGCTTTACCTCAGTACCATGGGTGGGTTTGGAGCAGACGGATTGCCAGCAGCTGGTGGCAGGGTCGCAGCTGTGACGTTGGAGAAAGGAGGAAAGGGATATTCATACTAAAGACGCGGTATGTGGTCGGACGGTGGTGATTGTGGGGAGAAAGGGGTTGCACGGTATGCTGTACTAGAATAGTGAAAGGGCTAGTAATTCTGAATAAAAACTTGAATTATTCCATCATTCATACAAGGTTGTTCTCGTCTATTGAAGGCTCATGTTTTTACACAGATCGACTAATCGAGAACCAGTATCCCCTGACGATACCAACCGATCTAGTCAGATCTCTCAGCCTCCCTATCTTTAGACACCTTATCTAACCATTAACGACCTACTACAGCCCTACCTCCTGCTCTTTATGCGCGGCGATCAAGTCGAATCTTGAATAAATAGGCGAGGGTGGGATCAGAGCGATGGGGGATATTATGGCTGTGTGACGGGAGAAGGCAGGTAGACCGGCTAGTGGGCTTCGAAAGCGGCAACACGGCCTCCCAGCGGAGTAGTGACTCGGGAGGACACTTAGGTAATCTGAATTTGCGTGTTTGGCGTGTGCTGGAATGAGTAGGAGGATGTGATGCAGTGGTCGCAAAGGCGTTTAGGAAACACTTTAAGGGTCTATTTTTGACATGCAATAATGACTGGATAGTTCATGTCACCGTGACTGACTGCGTCTAATCTCCAGCCATTCGTTGAATTCTAGCCATTCTAGGTATTGTTCCTGTAGTTGTCGTCTCGGGTCGTCTGAACCACGCATTGTCGCTCTCGAGCGTTTCGCTGGTGTGAAGCGGGAGAAAAAGGTGATGGTAGCTAGTAGAGGAAAGAGTTAATCTTTACGTTCATGCAAGGAGAAAATTAAGGAGTGAAGCTTACAGGTAAATTGATGGCACAGCCACACACGTAAGTGGGGCCATGTCAGCCCAATGATGAAGCAGGCAATAGCGGTACATACCCCAACTAGGGTAAGAACAGCTTCTCTCGACCAGCCATCTGACTTGGACTCGTTGTCACGAGGTGTATTCGGAGGTATCGCTGGGTGTGCCGCCGGTAATGCGATGGTGCGATGGACAAGCAGAAGGGGCGACAGAACTCTAACAATGGCCATTGACACAATCTCGGAACCCTCGCGAGAACAGGTCTGACCTCAATTTTTGCAAGGTGGTAGTATGTCGTGATGGCGTTGGAATAATAAGTGCAGTCTTGCTCGAGTTAAAAAAAAAACGTATCGAGGCGGCGACGTTATATGCATGCTGAAATAACTGTCGGTAAGAGGATTTTCGGTAATACGAAGAGGCACTGTCCGGCGTGTCAAATCGGGCTGTGAGTGCAGCTAGTCTGTACAATGGACCACTCTAAGGTCCACCGAGCGCGAAGACCGAGCGCGAAGACGATTAAGACCCGCCAGTAAGCCTGGAGGGTTGCTGACCGCCCGAAACCTCATCTTGAAACCTAGAAGCAGTTCCCATTCTGGTTGCGCTGGCCCAAATTCCTACCAAAAGCAACTATTATGTGCCTCTTTATACCAGAAGATATTGGCCAGAAGCCATATATATCGTACACGGGTTCCGGTCAGTTCCCCCCCAACACACACACACACATTTATGGGCTTATTTATTTTGGCATAAGGCACTTTGCTCAATGTTATATTTGGGTTATACAAGAAGATTTTCATTTGGTTTTCAAGGTTAAGAGTTAAACTATTCAGTTGCGCTCGTAGATGCCAATGAGCATGCTGCACTGCTTTGGCTTATTGGTCATAGACGAGATAGGAAAAATAAGCTAACACTCTAGCAACGTCACAACCACCAACTATCACCTAAACTACTTGAATCCGCACTACGGACTTCCTTGTCTACTCTCCCGCCACGCATTAAACTCAAGCCACTCACTGTATCTTCTCGCCTCTTCGTCAATGGTCCTTGAACGTCGACGCGCATGTTGGGACGTACTAGCCCGGAAGCCTACAAGAAGATGTGTCAGTGAATTATCTCCAACTCAGAGGACCCTGGAATACTACATTTAATAGTGGTCCGGAGTGACTCTCGTATCCTAGGCCAAGCGAGTCCAACAATGAAGCATATGATTGCTGTGCATACACCGAGCAAAGTGAGAATAGCCTCTTTCGACCAAGCTTTTGTGGGCGCGTTGCTGGTTTCTTGGTCTTGAGCTATGGTTGGGTTTGCGATTGGAAGTGCGAAAACAAGACGGATAGATGCAATGAGCGATATAAGGCTGAAAAAGGCGGACACCATTATTCGGGACGGCTCGGCGGGGCGCAAATGGGTGACCAGGCTGGGTCTCGAAAAGACGCTGTGAACTTCGATAGGCTATTCAGCGTCGATGAATCATGAGCGATATATGGAAAGGTCAAGTATGCAAAGCCTGAAAAGTGACTTCGATGGAGGGAAATTGATTGTAGTAAGTAATCTGATTATCGCGAGTACAAAGTTGGCGTGTAAGACTTGTCCAGGTGCTTCGTTATAATAATGCTCCTCTCCTCCCCATAACGCACGGGCCACTCCATCGATGCATGGATAGTAGTAATTGAAGCTCTTATCCAACCATGATGTTGCCCAAATCTAACGAAGAGTTTTGGGTTAGCACTAACATCCGCACTAGGCCCAAAACCTATTAGATACGACCTCGGGAGCTCCTTCCCATCATAACTGTTCTTATAATGCACGGACCGACCGACCTCGATGGTATCCTTTTTTTATCCTTGCCAATGCGTCACACAGTGTCCTTCTCCTTGCGACGGCACGTGCATTTTAGCGGCCTACCAATTCTTTATCAAATCCAAGGCGTTTCGGGTCTCATTTCGGGCAGCTCATTTTACAAGAGATATTCTAGGGAGATCATGTCCTAGTCTGTCACGTAAGGATAGCAGAATTGTATAGAGAAACATATTGCGAGCCTGGGTAGTCAACTAAGCTTCACCGGTACCAGCATCAGCCGGCTGCTCTGGCTCGTTGACATGGCAGTTGCTGAAACAGGCAGTGTGGCTGTGTAGGGCATTGGGTCACTACGACCAATCAATTGTGAGTTAGAACGATAATTCAAGATACCTACCGACTCCCTCTGCTCAACACGGCCACCACCCTGCCGTTCCTTACCTTTACTTACCTATCCCGACACGGGAGACTTCTCCTTCTTACTTCTTCTGGAAGGCAGAAAAGCGTAAACCCAACTTTCTCGCAGCCTTCTTGACCTTCTCCCTCGCCCGCTGGGCCTTGGCCTTGTCATCCTCATCCTCCCACGTCGACAATTGCTTACAGTGAACAAAGTCGTCGAATTCAGTGGGAAGGCGGCGAGACATCCTAGGACGGGCGCAGGGATGCGAGTCCGAGTCCGAGGTCTTGGTAGTGGGAGTTTGAGTTTGAGTCTGGGTCGACATAATTTGTTCTGTCTTGGATATTGGGGCAGTGGGTTAGTTTGTGTTTTGATTGAGATTGGGATGTTTTGTGCTCTGGACGACGGCAAAGGGGATTTATAGAAATTTAATGGGTTTCTCGATGAAGGTCTTGTCAGTCAACATCACTTACGAGCTCATGTGCATACAATGAGTAGCTGACATGACTCTTACACGAAGTGTATGTCTTGACGGTAGGCAGTGGTTGGGTATACATTGTATTGGAGTGTAGCCTATATTGCACACTACCCTGGACATTGTGTTGAGTGCGCTGAACTTCAGTCTTCCTTCAGCTGCCCTACTCAAACTACAATGCCACATGCTTGATTAGTTCGGTATTCCGTTGTCCTCAAAACACCGAAATCAAGCATGAATGCTTTAACATCAGATGTTGTGCAGAGGTCTGGCTGGGACCGTTCATTTCAAGCCCGAGCCCATTCGTTCTCGACCGTAGGCTGCTGATCCCGGTCGAGAGGTCCGGGCAAAGCATTGGTGAGCCGGCGGTTGCCTTCCTCGATGGCACGTCTGGAGTTCAGATCGTCGTCCTGTTCATCCTCCTCTTGGACGCGATCGGAATAGCGGTTGTACCCCGGCACGTAATCAATGGCGCGTCGAGGCTCCTCACTGCCGCCGTGTCTCTCGTCAGCGATCATGCGAGAGATTCGATCGGGGGCAACGCGGTGAAGCCAGGACTCGCGCTGGGTGGGTATAGCGATGATGGCAAACTGAGATCTGCGTTAGCACTCTACTGCCAGATGGATTCGGGGTAACGAACCTGCCAGATAAAGACCATGCCAACCACTCCTATGAGCAAGCCTGCAATCTGCTGCTCCTCGGCTTTCCACGCTCCTAGACATCCACTCGTCCTGCCAAACGCGCTCTCACAGGCGTGCTGGTCATGGCTTCTATCCGGGAATGGCCAGGCCATGTCTCGTGAATTGGCAAAGCCACAGCACTTGAAGGCATCCTGGATCTTCCTGATGGCATCTGCGTCTTTTTGCTTGAACAGCGTCTGCCAGCGTCCTCGCAGGCCGCAGTCTAGCCCAGATGGCGGGGCGGCATGTGTGCCGAGAAGAGTGATGACGACGCTCGAGTATATGAAGATGATGGTGTTTGCGATGATGACTAGCGGTGGTCGCTGGATCTCGCCACGGCTCAGATGTTGCCGACGCTCCTGACGGCGAGTGAGGTCGTAGCCGCACTCGAGGAATAGGCCAGCGATGAATGGTAGGGCAGTGACGAAGCCCGTGAGCGTGTCAGAGATGGGCACGGAGCGAGCGTTTGCGCGAGACGAGGCATATCTATGAGGGTCAGCGGCAAGGTTCGAGTAATTCCTGGACGACTCACCCCGCCAGCCCGGTCGCGATGATGAGATACTAGAGACTTATCAGTAGTGGAAAGATTGTAGGATAGCACTACGACGCACTAGAACGCTGAGGCAAGTGACAACCTGCTTTCTAGTGTAGGTCATGTTGACCTCTTGGTTGGTTATTTGAGGGGCACACAATCGCAGCGAATTAGTAGGCTGAGAAGTCAAGGACAGGGCAAAGGTGAAGCTGAGAAAGGGAATGTAGACGGCGGTCGAAGAGGGAGCACAGGCAGTGTTAGCAGTCTCATGTACAGTGAGCAGATGTACGTTCTTGACCAGCTTCTCCGCATCCCGATGGCATGGTTGGTAGCACCCCAGGCGCAGATTTGGGCTACTTTCCCATGTACCTCAGCGCGTAGACGATAATACACACTTATCGCCCATGCTGTTCATGTGTGTGCGCCGCCTTGAGAGTCCAGGTATTTCGACTACGGTAGCGATTGGACGCAGAGCAAGCAAGGGAGGGAAGGGCTTGAGCCTGCTTGCCAGGTGCAGCAAGCTGAGCAGGCTGAGCAAGCTGAGGAACCGCAGGCGTCTGGTGATGGTTAAAGGGCTGCGCGCTCTATGGTGGGCGTATCAAGCCGAGCCATGTGGTAATCGGTGGTGTGAAGCCTGGGGTCGGCAGCAACACATGCTATTTCTATTGGCCCGTGCGATTAGCGTACCGGTCGCCACTTCCTCTAGCCCGCCCGCTTCCTGCCCTGTATGTGTCGACGATTTCTCGATTGCTTTCCATCTTTTCTTTTCCGGCTGCGACATGATGCGAATTAACAATTGCATTACACAAAGCCCTCGCTGGGCAACTCCCCACCACTGGCCCAACTTCTCGAGTCCAGCTCACCTTGCTGCTTTGCTCACCTCCTGACCTTCAGCTCGTATTGTTCCACGCGCGTGATTGACGCGGCGGCTTACATACCCGTCGTCTTGTCGCTCTGAAGGCAAACGCGTCTGTCCACACGATCACATAGCTGGAGTCATCAGTATGCTAAGAGAAGCTTGTCTGGCTCCAACTACCGTCTGCAAACGCGGGGTCGTCGCCAGCTACTACTACTACTACTAGTCGTCTTCGTCAAATCCAGCTATTACACGTTCCCAAGCCTCGGCCTCTCTCGCTTCCCTCTACTTTCATTCTGCTACAAGGTTACGAGTTACGAGTCTCGCCCTCGCCACGCAACAGCCTCCACGCGTTACACGTGTCAACATGCTGCTTTTTTCACCACCCCGATGTGATTTTCTCATAGGGACCGGACTAGCAAAGCAAAAGGCTCTCACTTCAAGGCGCTTCTCCATGCCCGTCTGGCCTGAGCGCTCCATTCCTAACCCACCCTCACCTCCTTCGCTCCAACACCGCGGCGCTCGGCCGCCTCTGCGCAAACAACAACAACACCAAATGGCTTCAACCCCATCCTGCGACATGTCTTTGCACCCCAGCAGCCCATGGTCACCTCCCTTCTCGCCAACGCTTGGCAGTATTCCCGAGGTCTTCGAGTACGAGTCACTCCGGGCCACAGAGAAGCCTGTGACGCCCAACGAGAACCCAGAGACGCCAGAAGCTTTTGCCCCGGAGCCGTCCACCGTCGCTGCACCCAAGCTTTCCAGGGCTTTGGTCAAGAAAGCCATCATACAGTCTCCGCTTCGAAAGACTCTCTCCGCCCTTTCCCTTTCCGATGTGCTCCGCAAAGTTCTCGACGCCGATCGCAACCGGCGGCGGCGGATCATGCGCGTTTACTTGAAGGCCATTGTATTCCTCAAGTATCTGTGGCGCGCAAACGAGCGGTATGGGTCGGTCATGTTGACGTCGGGCATGTACTTGCAGCGATGATCAGAGCACGCAAGAGCCGAGAAGTTTTGATTCATTTCCAGGGAGTTTCATGATGAGTTTCAGGACTGCGAGCGGCGTCTTGCATCGGATGGCGTCTGAATTCTGGGTGAGCATTGCCAACTTTGTGCGCAAAGCATGTTAGTTCTAATACCCCCTTACAGATACCATGGGCTAGCACTGTACGGCGTTTATCACAGGCTGTCTCTTCCTTATCCAAGCTACATTGTGCAGGCTGGAGTGATTTAGCACTGCCAACGGCCTACACATAGTGGACATGACCGACAATTATTATTCGAGCATTGTTTCCCCACGAAGACACCGTCTCATCTTACATGAACTTATATGAAAATGTTCCTCTCGATTCAATCGCACCCAAGGAGTTCACTCATTGTTGGCCAATCCATAACGGTTGCCAGGTGGAAAGCTAGTGAAAGGGCAGCCCCATCCCAGCCAACAGAAGTGTTGCTCGAGTGAAGCGGTCTCTCGTTTGATACCTTTCGCCCTGGAGGATTAAGACCCTTGAGAAAGTTTCCTAGCCTACTTAGACATCCACACAAACGCACTCAACAACCCAAACTCGGTCAGTACGGGAAAGAATCAACCACCATGCCTAGCGCTAGACCTTCCACCTCGCCATCGAGCGACCCAGCTTCGAGCTGTCCTCCGTTGAGATCAATGTCTACCCGCACACTGTCTACCATGCACAGCCGTGCAGGCTCTTCCAACGGTACGCCAACTTCGGGGTCTTCTCCCAACACGCCATTGTCGATGCGCAGCCGAGCTACCTCCATGTCAAGCAGTGGACCTGCAACGTCCCAGTCAAGCCGTCGGCGGGGCAGCTCTGTATCCAATGGCGGTATTTCGACAGATTCCATGTCCCGCATCGTTAGGCCTTCCACCCCCGTATGTAGCAATGCGTCTGTTCCTGTGCTGCACATACCTGGTCGCCTCTCAACGCCATCGCCACATTCCCGTAGGCATAAGACCATAGCCTCGTCCGTGTCCCCAGCCCAGAAGGCACTTCGTAGGGTTCAGCGATGCGATCGTCTCGACAAGTTAAATATGACTGTCCAGGAGGAAGTTGCGCCTCGTAGAAAAGCTAGGATCGCGCAGTTCGCCGAGTCTGCAGATGACAGCTTCGACGACCAAGAGAACCGTCCTGGGAGTGCAGACTCGCAGATATTGTTCCAGAAGCCGTATGTGCGACCGAAGAAGGCGGAAGAACAGCACCTGCCAGAGCGGACGAAGGTGCGGAAGCTGAGCAACGACAATAAGAAGCCTGTTGATGACTTCCGCATGTCGCTTTGGGATGAGGCGCTGATGCTGGGGATGAAAGAGGAGGACGCAAAGTCCACCGACCCAAAGGCGGATTTGCAGCGCATGAAGGCGGAGCAAGCGAGGCGGAAGGCAAAGGATGCTGCAGCGAAAGTGGACGCGAATAAGAAGGCGAGGCGAGCCATGAATAGTGAATGGTTCCTGGGTTGATCTGATGCCTCGAGAGCTCGTCGGCGACACTTTCTAGACAGAATCGTCAATGTTGATATAGAATAGCCCCCAAAGGGCTTCTTCATGAGTGGAGAAGTGCCTCATAGTAGCTAATACCTCATGAATTGTCACGTCGTTTTGGTATGACTCGGTTCTGTGAGTTTCTCCCGTTTACTAGCAGCCAGCGTGGCAAGAATGTCGTAGTTTGTTTCTCTTAATTGCATGATCTCAATTGACCTGTGCCATCAAGTAGCCGAAGAGCGATGTTCGGTTACTCGAGTCTTCAAATGTGTTATCCCCGATTGGTCAAGTTGGGCATTCCCGTGAATTCGGAAGCATGCGAGTCAGGGGCAATTGCATCTCTCCAGCTTTCCAACCCCGCAAACAATGTGTCTCCAAATATCTCTACCTACCCATCTAAAACTGACCAACGTCCTCAAGTGCGAGATGCTCTTACGTTAGCAGTCACAACGTGCATCAATACCACCTCAGGCTTCTATGACGAAGGTCAATATCGAATCTCAGGAGCGACTCTACTTTCCCACCTCGAATCGATACAACCGAGGACCATGTCGAAGCTGGGGAGGGGCATGCCGAACAGCTAAGCTAGCGGCGCTGGCGGTACTTCTTGCATCTGCTTGTAGGATTTTCTGTCATCTTTTGCTATTTATCGATTGTCTATCCCTCATGTTGCGTGTTCGCCTTCTACCGCCTCCATGATGCGTGCTTTCGCGCCAGCTGCTCGGCGCCGGCAATTCAATCCTCGTAGCTGCTCCTTCCTACGGCAAACAAGCCAACAGCAACGCGGCTTTGCCTCAGTAGACAGCTCGGATGTCAAAGGCTTAACCGTCATTGATCACTACTATGAGTACGCTTTGAATCTCATTCTCCACTCAGGGTTCTTACCGTAGAACAAACCTAACACCACACAGCGCTATCGTCGTCGGCGCAGGCGGCGCAGGGCTTCGAGCTGCCGTCGGCCTTACAGAAGCCGGATTAAAGACCGCGTGCATATCCAAACTCTTCCCAACACGCTCGCACACCGTAGCGGCACAAGGCGGCATCAATGCCGCGCTGGGCAACATGACAGAAGACGACTGGCGCTGGCACATGTACGACACGATCAAAGGCTCCGACTGGCTCGGCGACCAGGACGCTATCCACTACATGACGCGCGAAGCTGTTCCTGCTGTCGTCGAACTGGAAAACTACGGCATGCCGTTTAGCAGGACGAGCGAGGGCACGATATATCAACGTGCCTTGGGTGGGCAAAGTTTAAAGTATGGGAAAGGAGGACAGGCGTATCGGACGGCGTGTGCGGCGGATCGCACGGGGCATGCTATGCTACATACGCTCTATGGGCAGAGTTTGAAAGAGGGGGTGCAGTTCTTCATTGAGTGGTTTGCGTTGGATTTGATGATGAGTGAGGGGAAGTGTGTGGGGATCACAGCGCTAAATATGGAGGATGGGACGTGTCATAGGATGTTTGCGAGGAACACTGTTTTGGCTACTGGAGGTGAGTGGACTGAGAAAATGGTTGAACCGAGATAATGAAGGAAGTGATAGAACAGACGTACTAACGGAGGATGACAGGTTACGGACGAGCATACTTTAGCGCAACGAGCGCTCACACGAGCACTGGAGATGGCAGTGCAATGGTATCAAGAGCGGGATTGCCCCTTCAGGATATGGAGTTTGTGCAGTTCCATCCGTCTGGGATCTACGGCGCAGGCGTACGTCCGCCCAACCTCACCGCCCAACCCCCACTGACGGCTTCCACAGGTCCTGATCACAGAAGGCGCCCGTGGAGAAGGCGGCTACCTCCTCAACGCCCAAGGCGAACGCTTCATGGAACGTTACGCTCCCACTGCAAAGGACCTCGCATCCAGAGACGTTGTCAGCCGCTCCATGAATCTCGAGATCCTCGAAGGCCGGGGTTGTGGACCTAATAAAGACCACATCCATTTGCAACTATCGCATTTGCCCAAGGAGATCATCATGGAGAGATTGCCGGGCATAGCGGAAACGGCGGGCATCTTTGCGGGCATTGATATCACGAAGGAGCCGATTCCTGTGCTGCCCACGGTGCATTATTGTATGGGTGGTGTTCCGACGAATTATCACGGGCAGGTTTTAGATGTTAAAGAAGGGAAAGAGTGTGTTGTGGATGGACTGTATGCGGCGGGCGAAGCGGCGTGTGTCAGTGTGCATGGAGCAAACCGACTAGGCGCAAACTCACTGCTCGACATTGTTGTATTTGTGCGTGTCCAAGTCCACTTTCGAAACTCCTTCATAATTCGATCGAGCCTGCAGCGATGCTACGTACTAACGAGTGAGCATAGGGCCGAGCATCCGCACTACACATCTCCACGAACCACGCTCCATCCGCATCACACCACCCATCACCGAGAGACATCGGCCTCGACTCCATCCGCGAAGTCAGCACATTCCTAACCGCCTCCGGTACCACGCCAACGGCTGCCTTGCGCAACACCATGCAAACCACTATGCAACAAACCACCGCTGTATTCCGCACGCACGACTCCTTATCGAATGGGAACAAGCAGCTCCAAGCTGTCGAGAACAGCTTCGCAACCGACTTGCGCGTCACAGATAAAAGTCTCATCTGGAATAGCGATTTGATAGAAACACTCGAGCTGCGTAATCTACTGACGAATGCGTCGCAGACAAGTAAAGCGGCGCTTACGCGCACAGAGAGTAGGGGTGCGCACGCGCGAGATGATTTCAAAGAGAGGGACGACAAGGCGTGGATGAAGCATAGTCTAACGTGGCAAAGAAATGTGGGCGATGATGTGAAATATGGGATGAGAGACGTGCAGATGGGCACACTAGATGAAGAAGAGGCAGCGAGTGTACCGCCTGTTAAGCGGTCGTACTGACCGACCTACTGACTCCCGAAAAGAAAACGTTGATTGTCCGATTTTAAGATACAGTGAGAGGAAAACGTTTGTAGATAAGACGCCCCCGCTGGGAAATGAAAGTATGTAAATGCCGTATGTGCCATCTTTTACTATGTCCATCATCCCTTCATATAGCTATTTCCACATCTTTTTAACACTTGGAAATCGACCACGTCCACCTAATCGTCCCAAACCACCTTAAGCGCTACAAAGCACAGTTAGCACGGCACTCGATTGAATAACAGGGGGAAGGGAGTAGACTTACCACAAGGAAACGGAAAATACATATCCCAATTCTCCGTTAAATACGCATGATACGGATACTTTTCGTCCGCAACCATCGCCTTGGCAACCTTATGCACTTTCCCCTGCGGTCCCAGCGCCGGCCGCAAGTTCTTCAGCTTAGCAACTTCCTTCAGCATCGTAGTGAGGCTGATGCGCGTCATCGGCAGCCCCAGACACTGGTGCGGACCATGGCCCAGATGCACATACACGTCAAGCGGGCGCGTGATATCGACTTGGTCTGGATCAGGGAAGATGGCAGGATCATGCGACGCAGCGCGCAGATTGACAAAGACGGCGTCGCCGGCGGACAGATGCGTTGTTTTGCCTGCTTCAGTGATGGAAGTTTCCTTCGCTACGGCGCGGACGACGCCTGTTTCGCCGTTCAGACGCCCGCCTTCCATGGTGTAGTGCATTAGCTTCTCGAATGCGGCATCGCTGTCGTCGTGCGCGAGGGCTTGGATCGCTGACCAGTGCTGTTTTCCGTCGCCGAGGAGGAAGTATTCGAGCGTTTGGCTGAAGAGCTGGCCTTGGTTGGATACCATGCCGCCGGCTGTGCCGAGCAGGTGGCCCCAGACGAGTTGCTTGGGGTCCATGCCGCTCTGCAGGAGGCGCTGGATCATGTGTTTGCCGTACGACTTGAGGACCGAGTCGTGCGGCCAGATGGCTTGCATGACGGACGAGAGGAAGCCAGAGGAGGCGATGGCCTGGACGTTTGTCTCGATGATGGAGCCGAGGATGTGCGTGGCTTTGTGCGCTTTTACGTGCAGTGGGAAGGAGCCGGCCGGGTCGACGTCGAAGAAGATCAATGCGAAGACACCGGACATGATGAGGTATAGTTCCGACTCTGTGAAGATTCCATGTGGCGACGCGTCGGTCTTGAGCGGAAGCATGAACAGCTCGGCGCAAAAGTGGACGTGTGCGAGGTTCCCTACATCTCGGATGATGTCGACTTGGTTGAAGTCTGCAATCTTGGCTGACTTTTCTTGCAATAGCTCTCGAGTCTTTGCCGTGTAGTACGAGCGCACTTCTTTGTCCCAGTCGGAGATGTACAGCGCCTTTGACACCATCTGGCGGGACGCAGTATTCTTCGGCCCATCACCGGCGAGCATGAAGTCTTTTGCCGCATCGCCCATGATGTATTCCATCGCCTTGCCCCAGACGACTTTGAAAGTACCCTGGTCTTGCATAATCTCCGTAGCAAGTTTGTACTCGCTGACCAGATGTGGATGAACAGTCGCTTTCGGCTTCGCGAAGTCGTAGAGGTGGTCTTTCTTCAGGTCTTTGAGCGCCACCTCCATAGCCGATGGGACAGTGAGGGGATAGTGTACATACACACTGTTGTACTTGAAGTGCTGTGGAAACGCGCGGAGGAAAAGCTTGTAGAACACACAGCCATTGTCGACATCGTTGTCCGAGTCGACGAGGCGGTACCCCCAGTTTGTCAGTGTTCGCGGGTTATAATCGTGCGTGTAGAACCTGTCGCCGCGCACCAGAGCTACGGCGTCGGAGAGGACGGCGCGAGACACGGTGTATGAGGGACACAGGCCCGATCCAGGGGCCAAGGGCTTCTTTCCATCTTCGACGACGATACCGGGGTAGATTTCGACCTTATCCGGGTGGTCGTAGAGGTGCTTCAGCTGCTCCTGGACATACTTGTCGCTCGTAATGTCTGCGAAGGTATTGTGCGGTTCCAGGTGGAAGTACTTCCTGAACTCGTTCAGACTCCCCAAATTCCATGCTCGCGCCTGTTCAATACCGAGAACTTCAATGGCGCGAAAGATGGAAGGCACCCTATTTGGGCCAAAAGAGTTGGCGCAATCTTCGATACTGGAGGTCAGGATGTCGACAAGCTCTTGATCCGGCAAGGTACCGTCTTTTTTTCGTTCGAGGCCAGCGAACTTTCGCTTCGATGGATCAGCATCAGTTTTCTTGTACACCTCATTTAGGCCGGCGAGGAACTCGTATTTGCCGACTGTCTTGGGGTCGCGACCTTCTCCGAAAAGGCCCTCCCACATCTCTTTTGTCCACTTCTCGTCTCGGTCGGAGACTGAGGAGTGCCACCTGTACACTAAGTTAAACTCGGCGGAGACTTGGTTTCCGACTCCCATCGGTACACCATCGATGTCAAGACGTGGGTCCAACTGCCAGTTACTGTCGGTGCGATTGAGATCGAGGATCGTCCGGACGTAGTCGATGAGGATGATGTTGACGTAGAGTCCGCAGGTAATAAGCCGACCAGTCTGGAAGAGGTCGTTGTCGTACTTCTTCCACGCCGCTTCATACTTCTCCTTTGCCTTTTGGTCCGCCGTTTCGTCGCCGGTTGCCTTTGGTGCTTCAGCTGGAGGCTTCGTGAAGCGGCCTTGCTCGTTGATAGTGGCCAAGTTTTCCACGGTATAGTTGTGAAACCGGTTGAACATGATCAACAACGCTCCCACGCCAGGCGGGAAGAACAGCAGCCGCGCTTCGGAAAAGCAGTCTGGCTTGATCTTTCCATCAACGTGCGTCCGCATCTGATCCTGCTCGGCTTGATTGCTGCCGTACAGAGGCGAGAGGTCCAGGTACGACGAAGTCATAGACACCGAGAAGTCTTCGTGACTGGTCCGGAAGCAGTCGTGAATGATGATAGAAGCCACGTAAAACAGCATGCTTGAGATCTTGTTCGGGTGGTGCTCAGCATGCTTCCTCGTCATGATGCTGTCAAACACGACTCCTGGATCTGGTCGCGCAGGGGTTTGCATCGAAGACGGCTTGACCGTCCTAGCATAAGGGGTTCCTGCTGCACCGACCTGCGGGTTGACAAGGCTGTTATTAGACCCATCCGCTGACCGGTATTGATACTTTGCTCCAAGATAGGATTGCGGTGGGTGCGGCAGGTCATTCCATAGCTGTTCCAGAAACTTGTGCGTGACTGCATCCCTTGTCTTCGAGCCATCAGGCAACGCAGCAGCAGTCCGGATCAGCCCCTCCATGAGATACGTCTTATCGTCGGTATACGCGCCCATCAACTTCTCTCTCTGCGTCTCGAGCAAAGTCTGGATATTCTCAATTCTAAGATAGGACATGTCTTTTAGACCGTCTTCGATCTTTTTGTACAGGCTTGCCTTCTCCTCTGGCGTAATCTTGCTGCCATCCCCGGTCTGGTCGGGTACGGGGCTTGCAGCCGCACCTACCAGACCTGCAAGTGACTTGAAGGGACCTCCAAGTGTGTTCCGTAGTTTGGACAACTCAGATGGTTCAGCTGGCTTTGGTGGTGTGGCACCTGTGCGTGTGTCGACGTGGGTATCCCACGCGGCTTTTGCGTCTGCTGCCATGATGTGTTCAATGCTAAACATAATCAGTAGATGCTGGTAGAGAAAGTCCAATGTGTATCTCAACATAGTTTTAGATGTGTAGAGTAGGAGCGCGGAGCTTTTTCAGCACGATTGGTGCAGTGGTTAAGTAGGGGCAAGTGAACTTGGTCAACTTACATCTTCCTAACACTCTCAAGTCACGATTCTCTTTAACTATCGAACGCGCAATCGCACAATGATCTGGCCCCAGATAGCGTACGATATGCAAGTAGTCTTGTCAAACTACTCTTATCTACGCTGGAGGAATGAAGAGAAGAAGCACCGTAGCAGAGTAAGACAGGATATAAATGCACCTAAAAAAGCAACAAGGATAACGACGCCTCAAGTGCAACAGTCAAAAGTAGTACGAAGCGTTCATGCAGGCTGAGAAGCCGTTTGACAGCCTCCACACGAAACAACGCAGCTCCTTTATAAGTTTGCTGATTGCCGAACATGCTGTGCTGCCGGCCTCTGCGGCTGAAGGACCGACCCCCAATATTTCCCTTTTCAATGCGCAGTGAGGCCCTAGAGAGTGTAAGCCCTCGAGCTCAGCCCTCTCTCTGAAGGCCGAGAAGCTGAAATGCACACCTACCTGCCAAACCCATGCAAGGCCGTGGGCCCGCCAATACGCAATGCATGACCAATGACAGCGTACGCATTATCAGAGCAGCGTCCGGCAAAAGCGTTAGAGACTGCATGCTCAGCTCGGAATGGCCAGAGGGAGGTGGTAGTGGGGTCTAGGGGGGGCTCCAACGGCTGCGAGTCGAGTCCTTTACTTCCGTGCTTATTCCCTCCACATGTCAGCTCGGAACGGGAGTTTGCCTTGTGTGAGAAGGCCACCGCAGGCAGCAAAAGCTATGATGTCAATGTCGAGATCGTGTGATGCATGAGCATCCGCCTTCGTATTGGTGAGTTCGAGGGCGCGAGGGTGGCCTCCTCGTAGTTTGCTTGCGCTTATGCAGGGGCCATTAAAGACTCTCGGCGCTGCCCGAGGGCGGGCGCGGGACGGGCGATGAACCATTTTCGGCTTTGAGCAGCTTCCCCGGGAACAAGAATAATCTATATCGGCTCGACTGATTGCACAGCATGAATTTTGTGGGCGGAGTTCTGTACACCTTCTAGTGCGTCTTCTGCGGTATTACAGGTCATCAATGTGCCCGTAAATAGCGTATATAGTAGGGGCCTCGGCATCTTGGTCTTGGACTTGGAATAACTTATGCTGTGCGCCCCCTTCCGGTCTGCCTCATGACAGCCTGACCGAACTGCAGCAATGCAATATACATGGTGTGGTTCGCCATTGGCTCGTCATTGCTGGCCTCCAGCTGCAAACCTCATGTGCTGTGCCACTGCAACCCACCACTACATGTGCCCATATCCTAATTAGGGTCACCTAATATGGCGACTAGGCAAACGAACTTCTAGTCCTCCGACCCCACACATATTCGCGCCTTCCTAATCACGGTCTGTCTACCAGATACCTGGCAAGATGGCATACCTCTTGCGCTTGTACTTGTCGCCGAACTCCTTGCGATATCTCCTCTCCTTCTTCCACGCCCAGACACCCATCTGGCCGACTGCCATAATGATGAAGATAACCGTAGCTAAGCTCCAGTTGACCAATGCAACGCCAATCCACGCAATAGCCTCAAACATGTAATTCGGACACGTCACAATATCGAAGCCGAGGCCTTGCGGGATGCCGCGCTCCGTAGTCCCAGGCTTGCGCAGGTTCTTCAAGGTGAGATGTGTGCTATAATTGCAGACCTCGCCAATCGTAAAGAGCGCCACTCCCAGATACGTAAGGAGCGGGTTTGACGGCTTCGCAGCGGGGCTGTTGGGGCCGTATGTCCAGTACGCCAGATTCAAGCCAGAAAACAGCCAATAGTATCCACTGTTCTTGAATATGTTCCTTGCAGGCATTGTCGCCGAGGAGAAGCGGTGCACGAACAGCGTTTCGAACTCGCGCTTTGCAAAGTGTATGACGCACAGGAGAAGCGTGAGTTTCTGGAGCGGAGAAGCGGGCGCTGATGTGCCATAGATGATGGGGCGGGCGAGGTACACGAGTGGATGAATGAGGAGGGGACCGAGGTATTCGACGATGAAGACGGTGCGCCAGGATATCTGCGGACCTGAAGTTTGTTAGCTACAGTTTATCCGTAGGAAGAGGGTAGTACGTACCCAGATCCTTGACATCTATAGCACTCTTGTTCCTCAAACCCGTCTCGTGGACTGTCACATCACCCACGTTGGAGACTGGCGCACCATCGCTGCCCTTGGTGACCCTCAATCGATGAATCGAGAATTTAGATACATCTGCAATTCTCTCAAAGATCTCTGCCGTCGACGCGTCCGAGCTGACGGTGATGGTTTCGGGGAGGTTCTTGATCGGCTTGCCTGGCGGGGCATTAGCAATTGTGCAATTCAACAGAGACACCGCAAACGCAGATGTGATTCAGAGCTAGGACTTACCACGCGGGCGCACAACGAGAGTGACACTAGGCGCAGACATGGTGCTGTGTTGCGGCAATGTCACTGTCAGCGTTGTGGGTGAGACATGCGAAGATGTATTTCGGAGCTGTCGGCATCCTTGGGCCGAGCCTCGGGACCCCAGGTTAGACTGGGGTTCCTAGAAAGGAGATTTGATGAATGAATAGCAAGCACATGAGCACAAAGTATCACGTTGCGAGAATCTCTAGGGTGTTCTTGGCTGTTGGCTGTTTGGCATCAGGGTTGAATTATGCTCCCCGCAGCAGTTCTGCTGCCTGTCTCCTCTATACGATCCTTAATCGAACTTTACCACCACATGGCATGCAGCTTCAGGACCCAGACAAGCAACTAGTTCACCTATGATTCCTTTGATCGACTGAGGACTTCGTAGGTCACCGCTGTCCCATGATACCAAATCCTGCATCTTATTAGCTGAGAGTTTTGACATCTCACGACTATAAACCTACCTGAGCTTCAGCCATCTTATTCCCTACTCGAATTGGCATGGTACCAAGGTCCAGTTGCTCTTCTATCTCCTCTACTGTCATAAGGCCGGGAATCTTCAGGTCGAACAATGACATTCCATTCGAAACCGCTTCGCCTCCTTCAGCGGCCGTTGGTAGCGGGTAATCGGAAAGCTCGGCTGGCGTTGATTGAGCATTTTCCTTTGCATCTCTGTCGTCGATGGTTACGGAGACCTCTTTTTCGGCCTTTTTTCGACGCTCCCTTGACAATGACACGTACGCCTGGCGGTCGAGCAAGCCGCGCAGCTCGTCATCCAGTGGATTCCACTCATGCGTCTCCGGGTCTAGCACATGCTGTGTCTTGTAGTCCCCCTTGTACTTCATCTTGGTGCATGAGTGTATGTAGTAGCCCATGTAGTAGTATTCGTAGCTGCCCTCGAGTGCAAGAGCAATCTCACGGAGCGCGCTCAGCTTCCCAAATTGCCAGTGTTCAAAGTCCGAGTGGTATAGCATGTAGACGCCACTAACACAGTGAGGTAGCAAGTCTAGTATGCTCATGGCAATGAGTCGTCCATCAAGTCGGTAGCATTGATGGTACGAGCCGAGAAGCTGCGTCTTACCATTGACTTCCCTAGAGGTTTGTGGTAGCGGAGATTCGCACAGAAAGCCCTTGAAGCCGGATTGCGAGATGTTATTTGGCTTCTCCTTGTGCACGTTTTGCTGGTAGTTGTGGAATAGCTCATACTTCTCGCGGGTGAAGCCTGCTGGCTCGAGTGTTACTTCGAATCGATGGGCGGGCTCAGGCGGTTGTTTAACATGCTCAAGCTCCGCCTTGTGTACCTCGTGAGTCAGGTCGAAAGTGTTCTTGAGTCGAGCCTTCGCTCTGGGTTATGATCAGCACATGACTTGTTAGCTTAGGCTGTAGTACATACTCTTTCGTTATGGGGTAACGCTTAGAAGCTTCTTTCATATAGGCGTCGCCCAAGACATGGTCGTTCCACTTATTGATCGCTCGTCGCTGATCTTTCGAGGGTTTGAAGGCGTCGACTGGGAGACTGGACTTTTGAGTGAGTCAAACGCAGCATCACTTCCCAGAAGAGTTCTTACCGAATCGTGTAATGCGGACAGCAATGCCGTAATACATCGGGCTTGTAGAAGATTGTGCCAGATCGCCTCCAACCGCGATCCACCAGAATCTGGTAAACCTCCACCGTCAAGCTTTTTGACGAGAAGTAGTAGCTTGCTCCTGATTATGTAAGGCTAGTCAGTATGCGAACAGGATACGCTCCTTCCGAATCCTCCCGCTGGGCGTCGGAAACGCATAGGAAGAAAGTGTGGCGTGACGTGGCAAGGGAATAGTCGACGAGATTCATCCGAGTAACTCCAACGTAAACAACGATGCTTTGCGATGAAATTCAAGCGATTGGAGGTGAAGAGATGTCATGCATCGCGGGGACATGCACGTGAAGGCGAGCAACCTTAACAGCACTTCAATCGAAGGCGGAGGAAGCACCGTGACCTCACGTCGACTGCTTGGCAGCTCGAACAGCGGCATGCAGCGTGATCATGTGGGTCTGAAATCAAGAAGACGGAGAGAAGAAGGGGATCCTACGAGAATTGGGCGTTCGGCGGCCATTCGATGCCTCTTTGCAGTATCCGCAGGACTCACTACTGTAGCCTGGAGAGCAGCATCAGCACCTAGTCACGTCCAGGGTCTGGTAATGCCCATGTCTGTCGCGGTAAAACCGTCCAAGGATGCTTGATATCCAGCCAGACAGGCACGAGCTGGATCCCAGCGAGGTGGTTGGAGCAAAACATACCGTAGGGCGTCACACTGGACTGCATGAGGGCAGCATAAGCGTGGGAGCAAGCGTAGCTGGTGGGGGTGGTCCAAGACGGAGACGGAGGGATGTCGCGACGAGAAGACAGTGATGGAGCGGCGGGAGGGTAATTGACAGGAGTCGAGCAGGTGAATAATAGCCTCCTTTTGCGCGCCCGCCTGTTAGAGACCCGCGCTTTGGGGCAGTTGGTTGGTCGCTGGGCGGTGAAGTGAGATGCTGCTGGTAGCGGAGAAGCGCGGTGGTGGGCTCGCAGGGTCAGGCACAGAAGATGGAGAGAAGTCGTGTATCACGGCGTGGTGGCAGCGCTCCAGAAAGTCCTGTCAGCGTCTACACGGGGGCAATTGCACGTCTTCTAGTGGGCCAATTCATCCTCTACAGGCTGCTATACGTCATTCGAGGAGGTTTGCCAGGCTGCTCATCAGAGAGACGCTGCAGGCGGGCGCCGCTGGCCTCGCGTGCCCCCGCCAGCCCTGCTGCTGCTACTGCTGCTGCTACTGCGAGCATCGGGTGCACGCTGGAGCCGTAGCTGGCCTGTCTTTGGCGCCGCCAGGGTCGATGAATGCTTTGTTTGGCATCTTTTAGCCATGTACGAGTCGTCCTTATTGCCGTCCTCTGCACACTCCGGCAGGCCCCCCGGACAATGATCCTCTTGCGGGCGGGGCCTTGGCGGCAGGAGTGACCTTTTAGTTTCCCACGCAAAAAGTCCCTGACCCGAACCACCTACTAAAACATCCATCCACCATGCCGAATTTCTTTGCTGCTCGCAGGCTCCTCCAACATCCTCAGCCCCGTCACCCGCGGGACTGAGCCTTGCTCAGCCCATTCCTCTGCCACGTTCCCCCCTTCACATTTGCTCAGTCACTACCACTAGCACTGTGAAGCCACCTCGCTGTTTGCTCGGCCTCCTTTCACCGCCTGGCTCGCCTCTGCTCACCGACCAAAGCCCCTCCTTGACTTACCCCAGCGTCGTGTTGAGCGAGTCGCACACAAGTGGTGCCCCTTGCTCTCTTTCTCGAGTCGCTCGTCGAGGTACCTCAGCGGCGCGACATGGCCGCCACACAACAGCTACCCATGCAGTCACGTACTGGTCGCGTAAACCAACGTAAGTCTGCTCACGAGACCGCTCCAATTTCCCCCCAAGGCTTCAATTACCCTTGTTCATCAATCTCCCACCGCCTTTTCTTTGACAACCCGCTGATTGCGTGCAGGCTACGGCGCTCAGGGCGAACGACTGGTCGCAGGCGTTGTTCCGCTGTCCGCGGACAAGTTCTATGTGCTTCTTATACAGTCTACCCGTCGGGGCGGCTGGGTGCTCCCCAAAGGCGGATGGGAGACGGACGAAGCGACCGCGCAAGACGCTGCCAAGCGCGAGGCCTGGGAAGAGGCCGGCATAATATGCAAAATTAACTACGACCTTGGTCTCATTTCCGAGAGGCGGAAACCCGACCAGCTCACATCCCAGGCCCCGAAGGCCTCGTATCAATTCTTCGAAGCGACCGTTGAGAAGCAGGAAGCCCAGTGGCCTGAGATGCACAAGCGGTCAAGAAACTGGTTCACATACCCACAGGCACGACAGGCGTTAGCAGACCGTCCAGAGTTGCTAGAGGCGCTGGACCGATGTACCATGCAACGGTAGGCTGCGCTTCGTGCTTTCCGGTGCACACAAAAAGACGCACCCAAGCACAGCGGAGGAATTTTCTACACACGGACCTCAACCTCTGACGGTTTCACTTGTCCTTTACCTAATATTGCATACGACGGCATCTCAAAAACTTCGGGAGGATCATAGACTCGGGCTCTGTTTTGTTTTAATTATTATCTGGGCGTTGTGGTCGCTCGTCCAGCTGGTAGCATGATGCATATGCGGCTCTCCTGCACGCAAGAGCCCTGGGCCACTCAGGCTCGCAACAATGCAATTTGGCCTCGCCAAGCACCCTCTTCTTCTGGCAATTGGTGTGAACGATCCCCGCTCACCTTTCGCCCGGGGTTTTAACCAACAGAAACCTTGAGTTCCACTTCTCTGCTTCGTGTGGTCTGTGCCCTATCTTTTTTGCCTAGAAACAGCCACAACACATGCTTCCTCTATCCAATGCTCTTGCTACTATCCTTTGAAGAGGACACCTGCTTTTTCATGAACCCTAATGCAACAGGCATAGATATACCAAATGCGAGACGAGATACCTCGACAAGGTCGCGAGACCAGCGAGTGAGGATAATCATGATCGAAAGGTTAAAGTATTGCACCAACACGCTACAGTTCCAGCAAAAGTAGGTGCTACGGTAATTCGAGTCTGGGATAACCTCACCTTTACTTAGTGCAAAAACCGACTCAAAGACTTGAATTGCATAGCCAGCCTTGCACATTCGTAGCTGAAGCCGAGGCCAGCTCTTTGATGAGCTACGACGTAGTTTCAATCCTCTTCGACGTCTTCCATTCTCATTTATGATATATGCACTCTTTTTATCAGTTGGACACTAGCGAAAAGTTCCTCCTACTCCCTAATTCGAATTCCGCGCCCACGAAGTCAAGATCCTAGATCATATATCCGTCCGCTCAATGTATTCCAGCCAGCTACATTCTCATTCAGTGAGACAAGGGTCTGTACACTATGTGTCATTACATACAAAGCCTGTACCAGATTGCCCTTGTACATAATCCTACATTGTGGAACACTCACGCACCATGTCCGTTATACAATGTCATTGGCTCGTAGAACATATAAGCTCTTCCCACAAGCCTTCCTGTCTATCTCTACTAACACTCATACACCAAAACACTAACTCACCATTTCATTCAAAATGATCTCAGCAATCCCAACATCACCCGCCCCTACTTCCCAGGCCCACGTCCACTTCGGCGCCACACCCCACCGCACGTCAAAGTCCCAGTCCTCCTGCCAGTCTAGTCTGTCCCCCGCAAATGAGTCTGATGATGTTTTGCTGAAGAAGCAGAAATCCTTGTCTGATCTTGACAAAGAGGTAGAGGCTCGCTTGGCGGAGGCGCATCGCGAGAAGGCGAAGAAGATGGGTCATGGACTACGCGCTTGGGTGGAGAAGTTTGCGGTGAAGAAGCGTGGTGCTGATGGTGCTAAGTAGGAGAGAGTTAGGAGGGCAGGTAGGTATGAGATCAGAGTAGACGGTAAGTGGGTGGCTTTTTTTTTGTTTGGTTGATTGCGCCTAGTTCGTTGGATACTGATATTACGTTGTGGAAACCGAGATTTTGTTTTCATTGATACTTATTCTGAATGTGTTGTTTGAGATATACACTTTGATTTATTCCACCAGTGATTCAGTCATCTGATAGCATATGCGTGCTTATATTCTCACTCTGAGAGCCTCGTAGCTTCAGCTTCCTTATTTGTCTTAGACATCCAGACCAACACACCTGGAGAGACATTGTAAACGCATTATGCATATAATAGCCGCGAAGTCATTGCACAGAGTAGGCTCCACTGTAAACGTATGTAATCAACTCCAGTCTCAATGACCCGGTATATATTCGATTTTCAATCTTTCCAGTATAGTCATTCAAACTTCACTATCACACACTCAGATTCCAATTCGTCACAAACCAAATTCATCTCTAGAATGTCACCAACATTTCAAGAGTTCATGACTGCCTTCCCACGGAGGCACCGTGGCAGGTCCGTCGCCTTTGTCGAGGCGGCACCGGAGACCTATATCATCCCATGGGAACTTTCGTCCTGGCAAGATGGTGAATTTTCCGAGAGCCCTTCAGAATACGAGGTTGCTAATGCAGAATTGCTGGCTAAGAAGGCGCTCGCTGCTGCAGTAGCAGAGGATGAGCAGGAAGCATATCAGCATTCGATCCAGTCAAAGACACTTCAGCCTACAGCGAAGCCCAGTCCTCCTAGATACAAGCCATTTCCAGGCGCTCAAATGGAGATAAAGCGGAAGCCAGTTGCACATCGGCTTCCAACTCCTCCTCCAGTCTACGAAGTCCCTCTGGTAGCCCCAACCCAGATAAAGCGTAAGCCTGTTCCAGCACCCCTTCTTGAGCTGCCTTCGGTTGAGGGTATCAAGTCAGCTGCCCCAGAGGTACACGACTACACGCGTCGACCAGCCTTGACTCGAGCTGAGACCACCTTTGACGACTTCTTGCCACGCCACAAGACTAATACATGGCAAGAAGTCGACAACGCGGACTGGCAACGCCGTCGTGCTCGCTCGGTTGCCGGATTTGCAACTGATACTTTGCAAAAGGCGAAGTATCAAGTCAAGAAGGCTGTTGGGCGCTCATAGAAATAGATTGGTTGTAGGAAGCTTTGGTTGTTTGAGGGTGGTGGTTTGTGTTGAAATATAATTAACTTCTTCAATAATATATGAATGCTTTCTCGTGTCTATACTCTCGTGTTAGTGCTCTGAATTTGATTGGTCGAGATTTTCTCTTATGGAATATACATCTGTTTGTGTCATATGACGCATTGAGCTAAGATTATCTATATTGGTCATTAGAGGTTACCTTTAGCCACTCGAGAACAAAAAGCTGATAATTACCTTCGGGCTTCGTGAAATATCAACAGGGATCTTCACTTCTGACAGTGAGTATTAGTCATGAGATACTTCTTAAAATCAATAAACAACACTTTGTACGAACACCTTGTCATTGATGATACTTTCATCTATAGAGTTTAGATACCAAGCGCCGTGTCCAGCAATACAATATCGCTTTTCAAGGCACCAACGCAGAAATGCTAGTGAGAAGCAAACTCCAAACAATGAGCGACATCTATTTACAAATTGATCGGCCCCCATAACTAACCCATTTTCATTATACATAATCATGAACCATGCTTGACAAACCCTAGTATTATAGCCCAGCTTGGCTAAACGATTACTTGTTGGAAGGATAGAGGTACTCGGAGACAGGGAAGAACTCTTCCTTGATGAGACGCGGGCTGGTGAAGCGGAACATGGGGTTGGAGGAACCGGCCTTGTCGTTGGTACCACTTGCTCGGCTTCCACCGAAGCTTTGCTGGCCGATGAGGGCGGCGGTGGTCTTGCTGTCTGTAAAAGGGTTAGCGAGTTGATCAAGTGAGGAGGGAAGATGGGCTTACTGATGTAGAAGTTGCCAGCGGAGTAGCGAAGGGCATCCTCAGCCTCGCGAATAGCGGTACGCGAGTTGGCGAACACAGCGCCGGTAAGGGCGAAGTTGCCACCGGCTTGGTCAACCTTCTCAAGGATCTGGCTCCATTCTGCGTCAGGGTAGACGTGGATGGCGAGCACAGGGCCGAAGATCTCATAGTTGAAGAGCTTGTGGTCGGGCGAGTCGGCTTGGTAGATAGTCGGCTTGATGTAGAAGCCCTCGGAGTCATCGTATGTGCCTCCAACGAGGAGCTTGAGCGAAGAGTCCTTGTTGCTCTCATCAATGACGGCCTTGATCTTGTCGAACGAACGACGGTGAATGACCGGGCCCATGAAGGCAGCGAGGTCCTCGTGGGGGTTACCCTGGGTGATGCCCTTGACATCCTTCACGATGGCATCAATGAACTCCTTGGAGCGAGACTCTGGGAGGTAGAGGCGGGATGTGGCTGAGCATTTCTGACCCTGGTACTCGAACGAGCCGCGGATCGTGTGCTTGACTGCAGAGGGGATATCCGCCGTGGGGTGGATGAGAGTGAAGTTCTTGCCACTGGTCTCGCCGACCATGCGAGGGAATTCGCGGTACGTGCTCTTGCCAACGCCCTCACCAATGCGAGCGGCGAGCGAGCGGAAAACATCTGAAGAGCCGACGAAGTTGAGACCAGCGAAGTCGCGGTGGTTGAAGACAACATCGTTGATCTCTTCGGGCTCACCAGGTACAAACTGGATGACATCCGGAGGAAGACCAGCCTCGAGCAGAATCTTGTACACAATGGTGCTGGCGTAGATGTTGGACGGCGATGGCTTCCAGATGACAACATTACCCATGATGGCAGGTCCTGAAACCAGGTTGCCGCCAATAGCAGTGAAGTTGAAGGGCGAGACGGCATAGACGAAGCCTTCTACCGGGCGGTAGTCAAGACGGGACCACATGCCATCGCTGCCTCGCTCCGGCTGCTTCGAGATGATCTCAGCGGCGTAGTTGCAGTTGAGACGGAAGAAGTCGGCCAACTCAGCAGCAGCATCTACCTCGCCCTGCCAGATGTTCTTGCCCTGACCAAGCATGGTTGCGGCAATAAGCTCATATCGGTACTTGGTCGCAACGAGCTCAGCAGCCTTGAGGAAGATGGCTGCTCGGTCGACGAAAGGTGTGTTTTCCCATGACTTCTTCGCCTTCAGGGCCGCCTCAATGGCTTCAGAGACCTGCTCCTTGGTTGCGAGAGGGTAGCTGGTGAAGGTGGTCTTGTGGTCGGCTGGCAATGGCTGGTCCCATGCGCTGGAGACTTGCTGTGACTTGCCGCTGAAATGAATCTCGCTCTGAAGAGGGATCTGGGTCTTCATGCGCTTTAGAGTCTCCTCGAGCTTGGTACGCTCGATCGAACCCTTTTCGTATGTGGGGTTGGGCTCGTTACGTGCATCAGGTAGCCTGAAGGGCACTGTGGCCTTTGTGCGAAGCTGAGGCTGGAGGAAGGCACATCGCTGTGCGCTTGCCAATGGCCGCCGTGCTCCTCGGTTCAGCTGTGCGAGAGTACGAATGCTCGACATGTTGAGGAATAGAGGGATGGGGGGTATGAGGGGTAAGACAGTGATGCAGACGAGACTCAATTACTGGGCAACGCCTTCTAAGTACTCACGACCTCATGTCCGATCTACAACGGTAACGGTCATCCACCCGTAGCTGGGACCCCAGAGCCGTGAACAGCCGCAATAACTTTTTTTTGGATAGGTTACGTACGTTGACGAAGTTGTGCAGAAGAGCGACATCGCTTTCAATTCGGATCCACAGATACTACTCGGGAAACATCCCGAGACGTTGGGTCACGTGAAACATGAGGCAATAGATAGACATGAATAAGTAGTACCAGCAGGCCCAGTAGCAAAAGTATCAAAGTGTGCCATTTGCTTTTATTCTACTTCTTCATCTCAAACCATGTCTCAAGTTCCCCCACGCGGCGTTTGGTGCCCGGCTGTCACCTTCTTCAATCCCGAATCAGACACTATTGATCTCGAGGCGCAGGCGCGCTACTTCTCCTACCTTTCCACCACGGGACTTGCTGGTCTCGTGATCCTAGGCACGAATGCAGAAACAATGCTGCTGACGCGAGAGGAGCGTCGAACGTTGGTCCAAACTGCGCGGCGAGCAGTAGGGCCGACGTTCCCCCTTATGGCTGGCGTTGGCGGCCACTCCACAGCACAGGTAATTGTTATCTTTATCCGATTCAACAGGAATGTCTGGTTGACCAACTTGGCTAGGTCCTGGAATTCATCAGCGACGCTGCGGAGGCGGGCGCTAATTCGGTTCTGGTCCTTCCACCCGCATACTTTGGGCCAGCCACGACGCCCCAAGTTCTAGAAAACTTCTACGGATCCATTGCCGATCGCAGTGCACTGCCTGTTATCATCTACAACTTTCCTGGCGTCTGCAATGGCGTCGATCTCGACTCAGACTTTATCGCGGCCATGGCCAACCGACACAAGAACATCGTAGGCGTAAAGCTGACATGCGGCTCAGTCGCAAAAATTGCGCGCTTGGCAGCCGTGCTCCCCAAGGAGCGCTTCGCTGTCTTCGGTGGACAGTCGGACTTCATCATTGGGGGCCTAGCCTCAGGCTCGTCCGGATGCATCGCAGCGTTCGCCAATGTTTTCCCCAAGACAATCGCCCGCATATACGCTCTGTATCAGGACGGCAAGACAGACGAGGCGCTTGCCCTGCACCAGAAAGCCGCGCTCGCCGAGCAGCCTATCAAGGCAGGCATTGCCGCAACCAAATATGCCGCAGCCCTTCACAGCGCCACTGATGCTGGCATCCGGGACGCTGCGTCGAAGCTGAAGCCACGCCAGCCCTACGTCGAGCCACCAGCTCCTATCAAGGAACGAGTAAAGTCGAGGATGGCGGAGGTCGCTAAGCTGGAGCGAAGCTTTCCCGCGGTGAACAAGCCCATTACAGCGAAGATTTGAATTTCTCCCTTATCGCCAATTCTAATGACCGGAGTAGAGCCGTAGAGGTGACTTATAGCATATAGATTACATCAATCATATCGTTTCTTATCACAAATTGAACCCGATCGATACACTTAAAAATGTCGAGATGGCGGAGATACAAGATTCACGCGGCCTGTAATACCAGCCAAACGATTGCCGGTGACATGCGATCAAGATGGATCTAGCAGTGGGGCGGCTGATAACATGGGACGAGATTCAACAGCCAAGGTACTAGTCTATGTCGGAAATACATCAGAGGCTTTGCCAACGCTGGGCCAGATCGCAATGGACGTATCGCATCCTGTCCGAGTGACGGCGGGCACTCCGACTCGCCCAGATATGCTTAGTGCTGCATGATTGGGAACGCGGGGAAAAGCAACCCCGGGATGAAGCCAAGAGGAAAGGCGAACACTCTCGTTCGCGTTAGCGTTATCAGTCCAGGCCCAAGGTGTTTATTACTGCGGTGCTACCCCGAACCATGGACTTGGGATCATCGAGTACCGACTCATTGTCTGTTGCTCCATCTACTTCCTTTCTTCATTGAGGCTTGGCAAGATCCATTTCACGATGGACGCCAACAAGTACGACGAGAAGGCTATCAATGCCCACGAGAAGTCGGGGGACGCCTCCTCAGGTGAGCCCGACGGCATCTACCGCAATGAGACAAACGAGATTGGCCATGTCGACAACGTCGACCAACTTCGACGACACTTGGGCAACCGACAAGTGCAACTTATTGCCATCGGTGGTTCAATCGGTACTGCTACTTTCGTCTCCATCGCCAACGGGCTCGTCAAAGGTGGCCCGGGAAGCTTGCTCCTAGCCTATACTCTGTACACCTGTATGCTCGGCCTGGTCAACAACTCGATGGCCGAGATGGCCTCGTATATGCCTGTTTCGGGTGGCTTTATTCGCATGGCGGGAAAATGGGTTGACGAGTCTCTTGGATTCTGGGTCGGCTGGAACTTCTTCCTCTACGAAGCGTTCCTGATCCCCTTTGAGATCTCGGCACTGAACTTGGTTTTGACGTACTGGAGTGACAAGATCCCCGTGGCAGCTGTTGTTGCAGTGTGTATCGTTCTATACTTGTACGTCCTAGGATTCCAACGCGCCACTGTATATTTACTAACATTTACTCCAGCTGCATCAACGCATTCGTCGTCAAGTGGTACGGAGAAGCCGAATTCTGGCTTGCTCTCGGCAAAGTCTTCCTCATCTTGATCGTGTTTTCCTTCACCTTCATCACGATGGTTGGCGGAAATCCCAAGAAAGACGCATACGGTTTCAGGTACTGGAACAACCCTGGAGCCTTTGCTGAGCACATCACTACTGGAAGCCTCGGTCGCTTCGAAGGCTTCTTAGGTTGCCTCTGGAGCGCTGCGTTCACCGTTGTGGGCCCCGAATATTTGTCTATGCTTTCCGGAGAAGTCAAGCTTCCCAGGCGCTACCTGACGTCTGCTTTCAAGGTCACCTACGTTCGATTCGCCTTCTTCTTCATCGGCTCCGCTCTCTGCGTCGGCATCGTCATCCCCTACAACGAGTCTACTCTTCTTGAGATCATGAGCGGCAAGTCCCAGGGTGCCGGAACCGCAGCAGCTTCGCCATACGTCATTGCGATGAGGAACTTGAATGTCAACGGTCTGCCTCACTTGACCAACGCGCTGCTGTGCACTTCCATCTTCTCCGCCGGTAACGCATACACCTACTACGGAACCCGTTCGCTCTACAGTTTGGCGCTCGACGGCCATGCGCCCAAGTTCCTGAGGAAGTGCACAAAGGCCGGTGTACCCATCTTCTGTCTCTGTGTTACGACACTCTTCCCGTTCTTGGGATTCCTCAACGTCTCCAGCGGTAGCGCAAAGGTGCTTACTTGGTTCACCAATATCATCACAGCCGCTCAGATCATCGACTACATCGTCATTTGCATCACGTATCTGTTCTGGTACCGCGCCTGCAAGGTCCAAGGCCTCGACCGACGCACAATGCCTTACTATGCTCGCTTCCAGCCCTACTCCACATGGATTGCCCTCATCTTCCTCACTTGTGTCGTCACTTGTTACGGATACCCCGTCTTTCTCCCTGGAAAGTTCACGCTCGACACTTTCTTCACATTTTACATGATGGTGCTTCTTGCGCCAGTACTGTTCTTTGGGTGGAAGTTCCTCAAGCGCACCAAATTTGTCCCAGCTGCTGAGTGCGATCTGGTGTGGCAGAAGCCTGTCATTGACGCGTATGAGGAGTCGTACAATGAGCCGGCGGTTGGATTCTGGACAGAGATCGGCCAGATGTTCGGTTTCCGCAGGAACAAGAAGGCTGAGAAGGCTTGAATGAAGACTTGGAGTGGAAGTTGCTATTCTTGGCCTCTATCTCTTGTTAGAACCCGATTAGACGGATTGCTGCACCGCAATCCTTTCTCCTTGTTGTAGCTACTGTCACTTTGGAATACCCACCGCGTTATCTTTGCATCACATTCGTCCTTGAAGATTCGTGACTGTGAACATGTAACCTACCAATTTTTCTTGTTACGGAATCTCTATTGAACGCAACTTGCCAGCGGTAATCACCAGACTAGTCTACGCCCACATGCATACTACATACAGCATAGCGTACCGTGGGATCCATAATCCCACCCGGCCCCAGTTTGTACCGCGTGGGCCCGGAAACTGACGGGATTAAGTGTCTGGGGGACCTCTCCACAATTGAGAATCGGCAGCGCTCCCGCCCGCTAGACTACCCACAGCACGTGCAAAAGAGTACGGAGCGATCTTCGCGGTCGATGCGTATTTGATCTAGAAATAACTGGAACCAAGAATCAAGAAACTTCCACCCTCTGTTTGTTACTTTTGACACTACCAGCTAAGAACGCATCCGAGTATAAAAACATGTTTTTCCAAGACGTTCCTCAAGGCCCCCCCGATCCCGTCTACATTCTGAAGAACGCGGTAGATGCAGACAAGAGTCCCGAGAAGGTAGATCTCGGCGTCGGCGTCTATAGGAACGAGAAAGCACTTTACAACGAGCTGAGTGCTATCAAAGAAGCGAAGAAGGTCCTCACGCAAAAAGAGCTTGGACATGACTATGAGGTTACGACGGGAGACGCACAATTCGTGAAGCATGCCGCGGCAGTGCTATTCGGCAAAGATAACAAGGCTATCCAGTCATCAAGGACCACTTCCGTCCAGGCAATCTCAGGAACCGGATCCATACATCTTGCTGCGCTTTTCTTGAGCCGTTGCGCCGCGTTCAAGGGAAAGAAAGTCTACATTGGAGCGCCGGCATGGGGAAATTACGAACCGCTATTCAACCTCGTGGGCCTTGAAGTCGTCAAGTACAAGTACTACGACGCGGCCGCAGGCGTCGTTGACTTCAAATCGGTTCTAGATGCTGTTGCCAAAGCACCAGAAGGAAGCATATTCGTTCTGCAAGGCTGCTGCCACAACCCCTCCGGCGCGGATCTGAAGGCAGATCAATGGCGCGAACTCGCGAAGGCCATGAAGCCGAAGAAGCTCTTCCCATTCTTCGATATGGCGTACCAAGGACTGGGTGGAAGTCTGGAAGACGACGCGTATGGACTGCGACACTTTGAGGAACTGGGCTTCGAGCTGTTGGCGTGTCAATCTTTCTCCAAGAACTTCGGTCTGTATGGCGAGCGATGTGGAGTTCTCCACGTGGTCAGCGAGAGCGAGAAGGTTGCAGCGAATGTGTATGATCAGTTGAGGTGTTTGATCCGCTGGGAGTTCTCCTCATCTCCAGCGTACGGGTCACGGCTGGTGAACACGATCCTCGAAAGCGAGGAGCTTACAACCAAGTGGTACGTTGTGCAACCTTGGAGTTGAGCTAAGCTGACTTTTTATCAGGACTGATGAGTTGATCACGATGCGACGACGTTTAGTTGGTTTACGGAAAGCACTCTACGACGAGCTGGTAGAAAAGCGCAAAGTAAGTACCGACTGTTTTTGATTGATCACATGCTGATGACTCGAAGACACCAGGAAACTGGGAGGCAATTCTGTCATCGACAGGCCTCTTCTGCTTTTTGCCGTTGAACCCGCAGCAAGTGTCGAGTCTCGCGACGAAATACCACATCTACATGCTGCAAAGCGGGCGTATCAACGTTTCGGGCATGAATCAGTCGAACATTGAACGGATAGCTTCGTCAATCGACCAGGTAGTGAGAAGCAGTGCGACAGTCTCGGCGCACTTGTGAGGGCATGAATCGCAATTAGGTTTGGTAGGGTCGCCACTGTGCCTCTTATCCGATAATGAATTCGTAAAGTGGCGCATAAGTGGGGCGATTTGATAACGTGGACGATGTGACGGCAAGCCTTCCGATCGTACTGCTATCAAAGATTTTGGATAACGCACCTGTATGTTACCTTTATATTACTTGATACGAACTTAGGAAGACGAAACAGAATGAAGCCTGACCCCCAGAAGCTAAACTTCCCTTATCACTGAGATAGTCGATTGCGGCCCAACTACGAGGCCTGTAGGCAGAATTGATCAATCGCTCCAGGATTAGGAGATGAGAAAATACAATCCGAGTTTGATATTCTCTCTCAACACCTCCACGGGAAAGGAACTAGACGAAGACCTTCCGCTGTCTTCAGAAAAACCTAGGTATTCCCTCTCCGATGCCTGACTAAGCAATCCGTCCACGCAAAACATATAGTAAGTGGCCAAATCAAGCAATAAAACTATGCAACTACGGCCCAGCAGAAGTAAAACAAAAAGAAAAAACATACAACAGCGGGGATTCGCTAGTGGTCACCCACCTAACTACTAATCCGCCGGTATCCTGCTTAAGTACCGCTGAGCGAACGGGAAGCGCTGTTGTCAAGATCCTATGGTTGTATGTATTAATCATCTCCAGCCAATTCGGATATATAGACGTGCATAAGAGGTAAAATTCATCCCCAAGGATAAGTCTTTGGTCGATACACAGTAATCACTCCAGCTTGGCGATTCGGCTTCCTTTCCGACATCATCTTGCCGCTTAACCGTTATAGGAATAACGATCCATCATTGCCACGGGCGTACACGACAACGCGCGAATAGTCCAGGCCAACAATAGTTTATGCTGATGGATTGGGAACGCGAAGACCCGGATGCAGGTGGAGGCAGGGGGTACGTGTTGCGTCAAGATTGAGAAGCCAATCAGAAACAAACGCAAACGCCGCTGGTATTGACAAGAAAGACAAAGGGAATAGATGCTTTGCTGAATCCTAGCTCTTCATAGCAACATGTGTTGAATTAGAAGAAAGACGTGTTGGGAGGCGACAAGTAATATTCCGTACAAAGAAAGATTACAATGCCATTACGTAATGATCTCCGGGCTCCACAGCTCCCCGCATGCACCGACGTCGCAAGGTCTCTCTTCGCATTCGGGTTTTGGGACTGAACTGGGCCATAGTTAGAGTCCAAGTCATCGCGCGCAAAATGGCTTCAGCTTTTCTTCCTCTCATACTGACGACTTCGTGATTGCTGCTACACTACCTTGACCGACAGCGGTCCCTACCTTTCCTACGACACGCGAAAAGCCGCGCCCGGCGATGGCGACTTCCAACGACCACCGAAAAGTGACTAAGCGATCTTCAAATGCGTATGCCACGCTAGTTCCATTTTGAGAACATTCAATTGACATCAGGGAACAGCTGCTTGCGCTGCCGCAGACAGAAAATCAAATGCTCAGGCCAACAGCCGTGTTCGAATTGCGGCAGACGAAACTTGACATGCATCTTCGACGACAGAGACAACAAGATCTTAGTAACTCAAGGGTAAGAGCCAAGCAGCCTCACAATGAACGATAAGCCCTGACTGTGCTCAGATACCTTTCCGACCTACAAGCAAAACTTGCTAGATTAGAGCGAACCCCAGAGAACGTGCCAGGTGCGCCCGAAGCACGGCCGACAGAGAAAGAAGCGCCCAATCGTGCTGAAAGACGCGGCTCACCAGATGAGGAGGAACAAAGACAACCGGCGACGCGATCTAGTCCTAGTGGCACAAGAGAGAGTTCGCCGAGGAGTAGACAGGCGGATCCTGATGGAGGGAATCTGATGAACCCGATGCTCGAGGAGCCCTCCAAGTTCATGTTATCCTCGTCAGGAAGAACTTGTAAGTCTTGATCTCAGCTTTCTCATGAACAGCGACTGACGGACCTAGTTTACCTTGGCACCTCTTCGAATTGGTCATTTCATGGCCAAATCCTCAACCTGGTCCACGAGCATATTCATAAATCACCGCTGCCTGGCGCAGAACTGCTGTTTGATGGCTCAGCGTATGAGCTTCCGTGGGACGGAACTCGAAGTCTGCCGGATTCCAGCGCTCCCATCATTCCCAGCATCGACTATGCTATTTTCTTGATCAATGCTGTCAAGTTCCATTGCGCTCAGCTTGTGCATTTATTTGACGAAGACGAGTTCAACGCCAATTTGCATGCATTCTACTCCAATTCCGAAAGCGGTGCATGGAAAGGGAGTTTGTGGTATATCCATTTCCTACTAATCATTGCGTTCGGCAAATCATTTGTCCAACACAAGCATCAGCCACCGAGGCCACCTGGGGCCGACTTCTTCGTCCGAGCGCTTCAACTTCTTCCGGATACCAGTCGACTTTGTAGCGAACCAGTAACAGCCGTAGAAATCCTCTGCTGTATAGCGCTGTATTTTCAGTCACTCGATTCTCGCAACGCGGCATATGTTACCATTGGTCAGGCTATGCGTGTAGCATTGGCCCAGGGCATGCACACAGACATGCCAGTCGAAAATCTAGGACAACCACTTGTCCAGCGATGCCGGAAGATATGGTGGACAGTCTACATTCTCGATCGCCAAATGACAGCCTTGATGGGTCTGCCGCAGTCGATTCGAGACGATGACATTTCCTGCCAGCTTCCCAACTTCAACGGGTCGGCTCAGCGGGCGGCGGCACTCAATATGCAGATCAAACTAGCTCGCATATACGCGGATATTGCTAGAAGTACGTTGACACTGCATCTCTCTCTGCATCTCTTTGCTAATATGAATTTAATAATAGCCGTGTACGGCAACAAAGGCCGCCTTCGCAAGAAGTTTGTCGTCAGCATAAAGGTTGTTTTAGATGACCTGGTGTCGTTAGCAGAAGAGCTTCGGCAATCTTTTCCTTTGCATGCAGATGAGCGCTTTGGTGGCATCTCCAGAATGCCAGCGCATCTGCACTTGATGTATTACCAGGTAAGAATCATGGAGCCGGTTCTATGCGATCTGATAGCTTATCAAAACCTGTAGACAATCGTTGTTGTAACCAGGCCGCTGCTATTCTGCTGCTTGAGGAAAATCTTCGAATCTCCGCGAGAGGTACAGCCTCTAATTTCATCGAAGAAGATCCGATCATTACTCCACATGTCCTTGGAGGCTTCACAAAAGATCTTGAATATTCTTGAGGGCTTGCAGGACCAAGGACTCCTCGGTAAGTCGCTCGTTAGCGTCTTTGCGGGCTTTAAGCTGACATCGGCGTAGAGACATTTCTCCCATGGGACCTCGACTCACTCTTCGTATCAACGATGGTCCTCATACTTACCCGATTCGTTGACTTCAGTCTAATGGACAACCAGACCATTTGGTTAGATAAAGCATACACCTTTCTGGAAACCATGATAGCGAGCGGCAACCGTATCGCTGCGTTCCGCAACATCGAGCTCCGCAAGCTAGATGAGATGCTGACAGAGTACACCCTAAATCAAAATCGACCATCGACCGCGTCTCCATCCATGACTGGGCTGGGCCCAACAATGCGGCGTACACTATCATTCCCAGAAGGTTACCACTCCACAGCCGACCTGCTTCACGGAGAAGACGCGATGGCCCCGCCCTATAATGGGATAAGCGACGAAGGTAGTGGCTTTGGGGATGACTTGACGGCCGAGCAGATTCTTGCCGTTGCTGAGTCCATGGACATTGAAGGGTCAGATTGGCTTTCTTTTGCGACATTAGACAACTACCAAATGGTGGATCCGCAGATGTAGTGAAATTTGTTAAAACGACGGAAGGAACATTTAATTATTCGAGAAACGATCTAATCGAGGCGCTATGACTACTATGTAACTCTATGTAATCGATTATATCTTTGCCTTCACTGGCTCCTCAGCTTGTATGTCGCGAAGCTCCCGTACATCGCCTATCCGCCAGCTAACATCATCATCGAAGCTCTCACCCTTTGGCTTGGGCTTCGGCACCCTCCAGCGCCATCTCGAGATGCTTTGCTTGCCGTCAGCCTCGTTGAGTAGATTGTCCACCCATCGCCCAACAATCGGGAACATTTTGAAGCCATGGCCAGAGTCTCCAGAGAGTACCAGCACTGAAGAAGACGTCTCTGGCACATAGTCGACTACGAAGTCTGAATCAGCGGTATCCGCAAACCAGCAGATGAACTTGTCTACTAGCGGTCGGTCGGCGAGGTATGGCAGAGTTTGGCGGAGAAGCTCGCGCATCTTCCTCTCGTCTTCCTTCGGCACGAAGCGGAGCACGTTCTCAGGCGCCTCCGAGACCCCGGTTGCAGGGTTGGTGTTGATGTAGCCGCCACCCATAGGGCAGATCTTCAGCAGGTTTGTCTTCGGATCCGGCTCGAAGAAGAATCCAAGGTCGCGAGCGTACGTGACAGGGATGCCCCGAAGTGCCGCCGTCTCCTCATCGGTAAGACGGACGTGTGCGACCGACCAGGACTTTGCAGATACCTCCGTTCCCAGCTCAGGCACGATCTTGTGGGCTGCTGCACCAACGGCAACTACCACGAGCTTCGCGGCGTGAAATCGCCCGGCTTTGGTCCTGACACCAATGCTCTTCTTGCTCTGGCCCGTGCCCTCGTACACGATCTTCTCAATCGCACCAACCTTCTCTCCAAGGAAGAACCTAACACCGTTCTTCCTCGCCTCTCTGTGCACGCCCCGCAGCGCATTTGCTGAATGTACGTAGCCATCATACTTGCATACGTAGCCCTTCCAGCCGGGCAGCTCACCAGTGAACTGCCAAGCGCCCGCGATGTTGCGAATGTCGTCAGGGCCAGAAATGGTATGCAGGAAGGGGGCGATTTCTGGGTGTTTAGCTGCGGCGGCTTGGAAACGGTGCATTGTATCAGCGGCCTTTTGGGGAGCAGCGCCAGATACGCAGTTTAGAAAGCCCACGCGGTGGAAGTAAGGTGCAAAGCGTGGACTTTTCCAGGCGTTTGTTGCTTCCTGTGGAATTCTAGGTTAGCCATGAAGCCTCTCAGAGCTCATGGAATGAAGATTACTCACAACTGCCAGGTCTGTGTAGAAGCCATCCTCGTACTCAGCTCGCATGATCTTGTTCAGATCGTTTGCGGCCGACCATCGCGATGGAATCTCCTCATCTCGCTCGAATACTGTGATGTTGGTGTAACCCTTGTTCGAGAGCTCCAGAGCAGTGGAAAGGCCAAAGGCTCCACCGCCAATGATGGCAATTGGATCGCTTTTCGAGATACCCATGGTGGCAGATGTGGCACAGGCTATGGTGGTGGTGGTAGGGGCTCGGTGAGACAGAATGCTGTACCTCGCTAGACGGCGCCGGGGAGTATTTACGGTTTGAGTTCAAACAACCCCACAGCAGCTCTCCGCGTCGATATCGTCAAGGTCCAAATGCGCATCATGCCATCCATCCAACGGGACACTGCCCGGTGGCCTTGATCGTAGTCCCAATTCCGAAGCGTTATCGGAACATCGGAATACCCCACTGCAGGCGTCACGAGGAAGATCTTCTAGAGCTTCTATCGATAAGCTAGCCAAGTGCCGCATTCGACGCCGATTGGGTCGTTGTTCTCGATATCCAACGCCGGCAGACGAACCGACTGTCAATTCGGAGTGCTGGCGAACCATTCGTTCAGGCTTGCCTGTTCTGGCATGGCGGACCACTACATTGTGCTCTATCCGTCGACTACCGCGGTGGCCGAAGCAAAGCGTGCTTCAACTTCCCTGGCTTCGACGCCCCAACGGATGCACTGCGAGAGAACGATGACTCAATGGGCCGAATGGTGCAGTTCAGACGACTTCGGAGGATATGAGACTGCCTAGATCGTCGCGCAGTCGTCTCGAGTACCAGGCATGCCGGCGCTAGCACTTGGACGCCAAACACTCGCGTCGCGTCTTCCAGTCCTCGAATACGTGCGACATGACGCAGCAGCAACTTCAATCGAACATTGTCAATGGAGACTGGAGAGGTAGCAAGCTACCAGGCATACTGGCAGGAGACGTTGCTGCTGCCGCCATCTCCGCAACAGCTATCAGTCCCCTGATCACAGCTATTGATAGGTTAGTGCGGCAGATATAAGGAATATAGACGTGAAGACTGACAAGTTCAATCCAGAGCTGTGGTCGAAAATGCTGCCTCGAGCTCTCGCCCTCTCCTATCGACACTGAAGTCTCACGTCATCTGTTCTTTCCGCCATCCGCGCCAATTCTTTGCAGCGAAGCCCTTCTTCTATGTCTGGACACTGTACGCGGCGACTTACACCACTGCCAATGGAGTCGAAAGTGTGGCTAAAGAAATCACAACGAAAGCAGACCAAGTCCTGGTCAGCACCGTCACATTTCTTGCAACGTGTGCTGTGAATGTGCCTTTGGGAGTGTGGAAGGACGTTCGCTTCGTGCAGCTCTATGGACGGCCTACAACCCCCAAAGCCGCGCTCAATACACCTCTACAGAAAGGAGCAACAGCGTCTGCAACAGCGCCCTCTCCCGTTCCAACGGCGAGATTTCCACGAATAGTTGGCGCTACCTTCCTCTTCCGCGACGCCATTACCATCTTCGGCTCCATCAATCTACCACCAATGTTGACATCCTCGATACCGGATTCTATATTCTCAAGTCCAGCGATCAAGATGGCTGCAATGCAGATATTCACCCCAGTGCTCTCGCAGGTCTTTGCTACGCCGATACATTTACTCGGTCTGGATCTCTACAGCAACCCACACAGCTCCAGTGCGGAGCGCATGTCGAGGATGAGGAGGAGTTTGGGGCCTACAACCGCGATGAGATGTTCTAGAATTATTCCAGCTTTTGGAGTCGGATTGGTCTTGAACACTGGTTTGCGAGACTACTTCCATGGAAAAGTGGGGGCAGCAGCCACGAACTGAAGGGAGCATTTGGTGGCGTCTTGATGCATATCATAATTGGATGGGGCGCAAACTGCGACAAAAAGATATCATTGCATTTCACGGCGTTTTGAGTAGAAGTGCATACAACTTCGAAATTTGATATTTCCGTCACACAACGGCTACATGCGTGCCTCCTGACCAACACCCGAACACGTAGCTCCTTACGATAGGTTTTCAGATATTCAATATACCAAGCTTATATCCGACTGGATGCAAGCAAAGTCCGATATCGTAGCTCGCGTAGCCCGATCTAAAGCGCCACTGCATGTGTTCACCGCGCATTAGCGACCTTCTAGAAGGAGGCCTAGATAGGTCGTTATTGGGTAATTGATTCGGTTCTTAGGCTCGGTTTTGCTTATCGTTTGACCTCATGATGTGGTAACGGCCATGGCTAGGCGTCTCAGACCCGAAGTAGCTCTGTTATGCGACTCGGTAAGCCACCCGTCGTACGGAAGATGGATGCGAACGTCACGAGGAAATGATGCCCCACGTTATCAATCGAAAGCGGGGTCATGGACTACTGGATAGAGGCGAGAGAAAGATAAAGATATTTATTTGGGGGGTAGAGTGTGAGCCTGGGACAAATACACTTGAACTGATCATTCCTTCACTTCCGGTATACTACTACACTACCACTTTGTATTGCCATCCAGCAGTTCTCACATTTGATTATCACAATATTCAGAGCAAACATGCTTCAACCACGGTTTGGAGGACCGACTCTACGATGCGTGGCAAATGGAAAGGGGGTCGTTGGTCTCAAGACATTTGAAGCCCGATGGAGTTCAACATTCGCAGAGCCACGAGGAAAATCTGGAGTTGCACATTCACCAGCACCATCGCAATCACTCGCACACGCCCCTCTTTCTGCTATGCCCACTAGCATGCTACTTCGCTCCCTCTTCGTGGCAACAATATCCTCCAACAAATTCCTTCTTATCCCTTCACTTCACCTCCTTGACTTCCTCTCAAAGCCAGACCGGACCTACCTGTTCAACATCGATCGAAACCCCGTGTTGAAAGCACTTCTGAAGCGAACACTGTACAACCAGTTCTGCGCAGGAGAGACAGAGACCGAAACAAAAGCATGTGTCAAAGAGCTGAAGGATCTCGGATTCAAGGGTGTGATCCTGACCTACGCAAAAGAAATGGTCTTCGATCACAAGTCCAAGTCATCGAACCACCACACTTCGGATAAATTCTTCGAAAAGGAGTGTGCAGTAACAAAGGATTGCGATATTGAGGCGTGGCGAGTAGGGACTCTGGGAACCGCCGATTTGATCTGTGAAGGCGATATCCTTGCTTTGAAGTAAGTCAAATTTGACGCTCATCCCCCTGATCATCTTACTAACCTTGCTATAGGACAACCGGAGGTGGCCCAGCTGTTTCAGAGGCTTTCAGTAGAGGCGAACTTCCACCCCAACAGATGCTCGATGCCTTGGACGAAATCGCCGTGAAGTGCAAAAAGAATGGCATTCAAATCATCGTTGATGCCGAATCTCAGCACTGGCAAAAGGGCATCGGCCGCACCACCCTCGAGCTCATGCGCAAGTTTAACACGGACGGAAAAGCCGTCATCTACAACACCTACCAAGCATACCTGAAGAGCACCCCCTCAGTCCTCGCCCAGCACATGGCCGAGGCAGAGAAAGACGGCTTCACACTTGGTCTGAAGCTCGTTCGTGGCGCATACATCCTCTCAGACGACCGGTCCCTGATCCACGACACAAAAGAAGACACAGACAACGCCTACAACGGCATTGCACAAGGCGCCCTCCGCCAGCAGATTGGCGAATTTGGCGGCTCAGAACCCAATGCCCGCCCCTTCCCATCTGTCAATCTCTTCCTCGCCAGCCACAACCGCGATTCAGTTCTTTCAGCAAACAAACTGCACCGACAGCGTGTGCAGGCAGGCCTTCCCACCGTCCCCATTGCTTTTGGCCAGCTGCACGGTATGTCGGATGAGGTTAGCTTTTCGTTGCTAGCAGAGAAGACTGAGAATGACTCTCCGCCTGAGGTGTTCAAGTGCTCGACGTGGGGTAGCATGGGTGAGTGCGTGGGCTATTTGCTGCGACGCGCGGTGGAGAACCGCGATGCAGTATTGAGGACGAAAGATGAATTTGCGGCGCTGAGAGCTGAGGCAAGGAGACGATTCTTCTCCGTGTAGTGGTTCTTTCTTCTTCTTCACTTCTTCATCAGATTTCAACGCATGGGTGCGAGTTATGGGGTACGAATTATGCATTTGCATGAGCACATGAACTTTAAGGTTCTTGATGGGTAGCATTGTAATCGAGAGTTCATCTTCAGAAGAGTCGATTAAAATTAATGCAATCTGATAAAGATGCTTTATCATCGCTATCATTCAATAGATATGATCCGCAGACCATGTTCAAAAGAGTCGTGAATACACATATTGAGCAAAGATTGTCCATCAGTGATAAGACTTGAAGGTGCGTTTGTAACCGCATCTCGCATGAGAGTCGACGGCTAGAATCGGTGCCAATGGTCGCCATGTTGGTTGACGTTGAGATGGCTGGTGGATGGTTGCAGGCGGATCTGCAGGCGGATCTAGGCTCCGTAGTCGGGGTTACCGGTAGTACGCTCCAATCAGAAGGAAGCTGAACCGGACGTTCTCCCGAGACCACCACAGCTAGCGACGCAATGTGACGCACGCCCAACACAGGACGATAACAGAAGAATCCCATACGCGTCTTTTGGGATATTCCGACAACGTCGTACTACTCGATTCTAAACGCAACAATGTCTGGCCAAACTCTATGCATCCTGGGTTGCGGTACGTCACTTCCATCTTGATATAAAGGAATTTTGGCTCTAACAGCTGAACCAGGTAACCTTGGGACCCCCATTCTGAAGAGCCTGATCAACGCGTCTGGCGACTCTCAAGCAGCGAACTTCAACAAGTACATCGCCTGCGTGCACAGCGAGAAGTCAGAGAAAAGACTGAGCGAGCTCTTTTCCGACCACACATCGTCTGGAAAGCTGTCCATTTCAAGAGGCAACAATGTCAAAGCCGCACAAGAGTCCGACATCATAATCCTCGGCGTGGACCCCTCAGATGTCGAAGCCACACTAAAGCAAGACGGCCTTGCGCAAGCCCTCAAGGGAAAGCTACTCATCAGCGTCGCGGCCGGCTGGTCACGTGAGAATATTGAGAAGCTCGTCTCCGCTGGCGGTGCATCAAACGAGTCGGAAAGAACATGGGTCCTACGCACCCTTCCCAACGTCGCAGCGCAAGTCTCCCAGTCCCTCACTGCGATTGAAGACCCCGCCGACGGCTTTCCCGCCAAGTACATGGAAATCGCAGACGCCATCTTCAGCCAAGTAGGCAAAGCAGTGCACATTGCCCCGCGTTTGATGAACGCGACGACAGCAGTTGGCGGCTCAACGCCTGCTTTCTGGGCCATCATCTGCGACGCGTTCATTGATGCGGCGGTTGCTGTGGGTCTGCCCCGAGATATCGCACAAGCCCAGATTTACCAGAGCATGCGGGGTACTGCGGAGATGCTACAGAGTGGTATTCACCCGGGTATCTTGAGAGATCAGGGAACTAGCCCTGAGGGGTGCACGATTGGCGGTATCATGGTACTCGAGGAGGAAGGTGTGCGGGGTGGGCTTGGGAAGGCGCTCAGGGAGGCTGTGACGATTGCGCGGGCGATGGGGAGTGGGAAGGAGGATTTGCATGTCAATGATACGAGGCAGTTGTAGAGAGGTTGTTTGCTTGAACATGGATTAGGTGTCCAGGAAGAAACTAGGCTCACAATCATATGCCCGGTTCTTGAATGCCTGTGGAGGGTGCTGGTGAACCATATCGTGAAGAAACCTTGGCCACAACGGGAGGGCTGAGAGGAGAAGAATTCGGAAAGCTCACCCAGAGAGCACTCAGTAAATGGTGTGGTGTATGCAATAATAACTACTAGTACTGATACTCAACTTTGGAGAAGAAGAAGTTTCAAAGCTCACCCTGAGCTCCCAGTCAGTCGTAGAGGTGATGTGCAAACTGAATGACTAGAACTGGACCATCTTTACTCAACTAATAGCAGTTTCCGGGCGCTTGCATATACGTATAGCCGATTCGTGGCTTTCGTACCATGAACCACGGTTCGCATCTACGCTCCAACAACATGAAACTTTACTGACCACACAACTTCAATTCCTATGATACCTTTCAAACCAGATCACGCATACCACGCAAATATGAACCCGCCGCCTCCGTTATATACCGAGTACGAAGCAAACTTGCGAGATAGGGAGCCGAAAGCTGTTTTGCTGCACCGCTTCTTGATCGACAATTTGGCCTTTTCCCACAATGTTGATCCAAAAGCGCTTCGCACCACAATATCCACCACACCAATCGCCTCAACAAATGCAGCTGCGGCCACAGTCTCGTCCATTCTTTCTCAACACGAACAAGCCAGCATCCTACGGCTTGCTACAATCGTCGCCCAAACCTACCGCCAAATTGAGCGACAGCAGATCAGCTGCATTCGTAACGAAGACCTTCTATACATCTACAAAAGTGTACATGTTCCAGCGACGAATATCGAAATTAACCCTAACTTTATGCTCTCCATCCTGAGAGATTACCTAAAACGTCGCAACGACCCCTCAAAGCAGTCTCGAACAAGACACGGAGAAAAGCATATCCGATTGCGCCGTCCGATCTCGTGGCCTTCTTGGTGGGATCAACACAACATGGAGAAGTCTTTCATTTCGGATGACGTACTGATCGGTCGGATTGCGCCCAACGAAGAAATCCGGCTCTTGATCGGATCAGCGATAGCGCGCGGGGGAAATGATTACTTGTGGTCTTGGTCAAATGTCTCGAGAATCAAAAGGGATTTGTACTGGAGTCAAAGCATTCAGTTCTCAATCAAATCGATGATCATGTCTACGGGGGATGGATTGTTTTCACTTTGGTTGAACGACTCGACAGTTCTAAGGAGGTTCTGGCACAATGGACAAGATTATCACTAGTAACCGAGAACTCTAGATCAAGGGACAGAAGAATTAGATTTTCGATGTTCTCTAGCGAGTATCCCGCTGAACACGTTTTGAGGAGCACTACGTGCAAACAGAGGCAGTGCTCTCTGGGAAGCGACTACACCACGAGCGGTATAACCGTGGAGCTCGTGGAGAGTGCATACATATAGAAGCTGTGATCGACTGCAACAGCCTATGAAGATGTTATGAAGGGGTCAGCTTCAGAGAAACTTGGATGCCGTATCTGTTAAACCTCATCTGTCTAACTATGGGATGAGAAATTTTGGGAGTGATTGCAAATGACTAACACATCCTCATACTTGACTATGTAAAGAGCATGCAAATTATTGATGTGCGTGCGTCTTAAGGCACCGGCTATTCAGTACAGTAAGTGTACGTGTGAGTATCTGCGAAACAAAGCGCCTAGTGTCTAAACAACTGCGATGGAAATTATGAGTGATTAACTGGTAATGGTCATCCGCGCTGCTGAGGTGTTCCTGCCATCATTATTGCATAGTTCCTTTTCCTTCGGAGTAGGTGCTTGTGATTCGTGGCAACTTAGCTATGTACATCATCATGTCCCGTTTGTCGTGCCTCTTCCTTTCCTTGGCACCCATGGCAAACTTCACACCTCTCGGACCATCCTGTAGGTTTCCATGGGTTGCAGAATTGGTTCTGGCGGGGGTGATTCTGTGCATTCTGATATGGGCATGCTCGGCATCTTGACTGGCCCCCGTGTGCCTTCAATATACTGTGCTGAAGCCATGCTCTCTGTGCTGTCTGGCTGTACTATGGTGACTGCCTGTTTGCCTAAAATAGCTCTTTCTTGACACTTCAAAAGGCCACATGCAAACGCATGCTGAAGTACCTATTGATTCCGTGAAAGCCCTCTAGGCTTTCCCCAAATTGAGCCCGTGGAAACTTCCAGTACTCACGTGGTAGAGCGGCCGTGCTCCTGTCGCGGCTTCCCTCACAACGTGAGAGCATCCAAACAACGCTTAGCGATCTACTCACCCCACCTCACTCAACTGCCACCTCTTACCTTCAGACTCGTTGCCCGCTCGTTCGCCAACTCTTCTTCGCTACAAGTCGCATCCGCAGTGTGACCATGGCTCGCCCGAAGCGCTCCAAGGCTCCGGCGCCCATGCCATATCACTGCGGTATGTGCAATCAGTCTTTCAACACGCGAGGCGAGCTTGACCAGCATGCAGCCGATCATGCTGACAACACTCCTGCAACTTTGACCTGCCCATGGTGCCCGTGGTCTTTCCCCGACTCTCTGGCTCTAGAACAGCATCAGATCGTCTCTGGGCATCAGTCTGCGCAGTTTGCGTGCGACACATGTGGCGATACCATGGTTTCGCAGCAAGGCCTCAACAAACATCTGAATCAATCTACAGGGTGCCAGAAGGCCTCCAGTATACTTCCAGCAGCCCAGGCATCGAATGGGGCATCCCACGAACCGACCTTGACGTCGACCACGGCCATCACCTGCGATAGGTGCCCGAGAACCTTCAGGACCCAGCGAGAGTACAACGCTCATCGTAAATTCCCGGATGGCGACTGTGCCGACCACAAGAAGCGAACGCCGCCTAGGAACAAGAAGCGATCGGGGCCAGCAGGCTGCGTTGACCTGGTTCAACCTCACCAAACGGTGAACGGCGCCTTGGGGTATCATGATGCTTCAGACACGCCGGATGACCTGAGCGAAGACAATGAATATTGCCATGAATGCAAAACCGCCTTTAAAAGCAAAGCTGGCTACAACGCGCATGCCTTGCGATGTACCTCTCAGACGATGTCGAACGGAAGGCCCTCGAGTAGCCCGAAGATATCCCAGGTAGCCGCACAGTACGATGATGGCCTACAGCCTACCCTAACACCGGTACGAAAGCAAAGTCTGGATGCGAAATTACCGGCAGCGCCCGCTATTCCCTCCTTCCGCTGCATCGTTCAAGAGTGCGGGAAGGCTTTCAGATCGGAGCCCGGGCTCAAAGCTCATCAGGCTGACGTCCACGGCTTGGGAGGCAAAGCACTGGATCTTCAAGGCAGCCAGTCTTTCATGATGAATCAGCGCGTACGCGAGCAGCTGAAAGTGAAAGGCCTACTTCGAGATTCTCCTCGCGGTCGCAGTCGAGGTCGTGGACAGGGTGGCCGAATAGCTCCTATCCCGCCTCCTAGACCATTCCCTGCGCCAACCCCCGCACAAATTCCAATTCCAATGCCGACCGGTATGAGTATGGGTGGTGAAGATGATATAAAGCAGGCCAAGTACATCCAGGGTAAGATTGGGCGACTCCGTATTCAGTCCGACATCTTCATCCACAACAACGGAAAGATGACCGTCTGTGGTATCGACTGGACTCGTATCGCTGTCTCCAACCAGAACAATGCTATTACCTCGTTGGACGGCATGTGCAGCCTCCCTAAGAGCGTGCAGGGCGAAGAATATCTCCTTCCACCGACAGCCTTCAAGGACGAATACAAAGTGGCTTACCCGGTTACCGACTTCAAACATTCCCCCGACCGCGATTCTTCGAAGCCCGGTCTCGGTGTCATCGCCCTGTCATGCGGCAAGATCCTGCTCGCTGATGGCCGTCAGGAAGTCGTCAAAATCGCGGCAGTCGATCTAGTCACCAGCCGCATTCTCATGAACCACCTGGTCTGCACTGATCCGTACGCAAAAGTCGCGAACTGGCGCTCTTCGGTGACTGGGCTATCCGGCTGGGATGATATGGAGGGAGCGCGAAAGGCCGGTTACAAGATCTTCAAGGGTTGGTCTAGCGCTCGTTCCGCACTGTGGAAGTTCGTGGACAAAGAGACTATCGTTGTCGGGCACAACTTGCGGTCCGACCTTGATGTGCTGCGCATGATTCATGGTCGCGCTGTCGATATCGCCATTGTGGTTGAGAAGGCTGCTAAAGGTCCGCTGTCGAAGCCGCAGTTGAGTCTGGATAGTATCTGTCGCACTTACCTGAGCCGGCAACTGGTTATCGACCCACAGTACGGCCGCGACTTTCTTATGAACGCATTCGCCGCGCGCGAATTCGGCCTGTGGGCTATCAAGAATCCGGAGATCCTCGCGAAGGATGCGAAACAGAAAAGCTTGGACTACCAGCGGGTTATCCAAAAGCCAGTTACTACTGCTTGAAAACTGTTTGAAGGCTTGAAGGCTTGAAGAGAGATGGATATGGTGGATGTGATGGACTTGGACTAGGACGAAAATGGGTGAATATGGAGAAAGACTGCGATGTGCATGTACACGATACTTGAAGGAGATGATCTAGGCTTACGACGAAGGGAGGTAACGATGTCGAAAGCCCTACAGCTTTGTCTCAGCATTTTCAAGCTGTTGGGTGTTGCACAGACTCTTCAAGCTAACTGTCTTAGAATGAGAGGGTCCATCACGTGTACTCCGCTTAGTAATTAATTATCCCCCTTCTTTTTGCTCTCCTCCTGCTCCTTCTCCACAACATCAACGACAAATGCGCCTCCTAGTAAAATCGCCGGCTCCTCAACTCGATGATGTTCATAACTGAGCGTGCCCACACCTCCTGCCTCCAGAATCAAACTAGGATTGTCCTCGAGATTCTTGCCCACCCACCTCGCCGCAAAGGCGCGAAGAATATGCCCATGTGCAACAATAAGCACATCATTCGGCACCCCCTGCTTCCCCCTCCAGCCCGCGTCCTTCCCAAACTTCCCCTCGTGATATTTCGCGCGTATCTCAGCGATCAGCGCATCGAGGCGCGCGGATACATCTTCAGGCGATTCGCCGCCTTCACATCCGTCGCGCCATATGTCCCAGTCTGCACTAAGACCGCGCGCTGCTCGCTCTCTGCGGATATCAGGCGTGATTTTGCCCTCGTAGTTGCCGTAGTCCCATTCGCGTATTGCTTCTGTGACTTCAATCTTCGCGTTGGTGCGTATGTCTAGGGCGTTGGAGCTGGCGTCCGAATCGGAGGAGTTGGATTGGTGGTGCCATGGATATCTATCGCGACAGCCTAGGTGGAGGAGTTCGAGCGTCTTTTGTGCGCGTTTACGAGGACTGACGTATCTACGTGGGCCCCAGGTTTGTGATTAGCCCTCTTTTCTTATATCAATTTGCCCCTACTCCCTTCTCCTTCTTCACACTTCATGGTTTACGTATGGAACTGTGGTGTGGACGTACATATGCGCCAGATTCCCCGGGACAATCAATCGATCATCACCCACGAGCGCCTTGCCCGTCGCCCTTATGCGCTTCTCGCCATTCGCTGTGAGTGGTATGTCGGTCGTTCCCGTATGTCGGCCATCAAGCGACCATTCTGTTTCGCCGTGGCGGACGATGAAGACACGGGGATCGGGCATGTTTGTTATAAGTTATCACAGCTACGCGCTATGCCACGAACAGTCGGCTTGGAATGTGGTGTAATTGCGCGGGTAAGACGAAATGTGATTTCGCGAATAACAAGGTGCAATTATTGCGAAGCGGGAAGAGAGAAGTTGGAGGAAAAGACGCGAATTGGAAAGTTGCGGAGTTTTCAGAAATATATTGTTATGATGACGTTGGTTAGTAGACGAGACGGTTAAGTAAACGATCGATGGTGGGGCAGTCGAGACCTATGGAGGGGTAGCTCCATGTAAGTTCCGCGCCATCTTAGGACTTTATGTATGTTAGTCAGCGCAGTCAGCGTTGGTCATCATGTACAACAATATAATTACAGTTGTTGATAGTTGATGGCCAAGTTACTGCTTCGTAGAAGGAAAGAGGAGCAATACAGGTGTAGGTGTTCATCAATCTACAAACCTTTACTCCTGATTCCAAAAATAGAGCGTGATAACTTTCGACAATTTGCGAGAGGTATTATGCTTCTGCCAAACAGCAGCCTGGAGGGTTTTATCATACCGATGCGAAGGAGGTATTGGAACGAAAGACATAGCAGAAGACATGCAGGAGAAGGTATGTCACAAACTAAAGTCTTTTCTGGTCAACGAGCTGTGGAACACCGTGCACCATCGACCGATACTTATGTCTTAGAATGGATTGATTTATGCAAGAGCATGGCTGTTGGTAGGACTCAAAACATAGTAAACTACGCTTGAATAGCCCGAGGCCAGAGAGGAAAAACGCTCTTAGAGGCACTTATCAATCCTCGTCCGCAACGCACTGCTTGTACAACTCTGTTGAATATTAGCACTGTCCGTCCTTTCCAAAACTTTGAAACATAGACTTGCCGTTCTGTACCACACACTTCGCTCCCTTTACGCACTTCTTGCACCCCGTCCATGGCTTGCCGTCATAGTAGCCTCCACACTGATAATACAGCGGCACAGGGCATGCGGTGCTGCTTGGTCCTGTCTCCCCGCCGCTAGTCTTCGTCGGGCTGACCGTGGATTTCGGGGTGGAATGGGTGGTAGTCTAGCAGCAGAGTAAGTGTTATGTTGGTATGGCGGTAGAAAGGGCGCCAGGCAAAGCTCAAGTACAACGAGCTGGCTATAGGAAAGGACTGACCCTGATCGATTTCGTCGTAGTGGGCTTTGGGGTAATTGAAGGGACTGGCGTTGAGCCATCGTTGCAACTCCCTCCGATGCAAGTTATGGTATACGTCTGGCGCTTCTCTAACTGATTGTTTGCTGGAGCCTGGCGCGTATCAGTAACGATACGTAAGACCACGGATGATGCACGTACCGCCAAGCAGACTGGCGAGAGTGACGCAAAGAGTATGGCAAGAGTGGTGAGCTGCATGATGAGTTGCTGAGTGAAAATTATACTTCGTCAATGCACAGCAATGAAAGATCAATCGCCGTGAGATATACACTCCATATCTTATTATCGATATTTATACCGTACTTTAACTATCGCTTCGAACTGCGGGATGCTCGTAATCTCAGTCGTATGATTGATGTTGATATCGTTGGTACGAGCTTGTGCATGCGCAAGACTTCTATGGATAGTAACATGGCTGTGGCCAGGCCTCAATACGGGCCTCCCATAAGTGTAGCGTCGATATAGATTGAGATAGGCAATCTTTGGGTTACCTTACCTTGCTTAGTATAGTGGCTGCTGAACAAAATCATCGAAAACAGAACGAACGACAGGCTGAACGGCGGGTACAAGCCGTGGGAGTAACGGCCCAGATTACTGGGTACCTCGGTGCTGGTTCCCGGTTTTCGTGATCCTTGGTGGGAAGAAGTTACTAACAAGCATATAGACAATGCTGTCGGGTTGTGCAGTATCCCGCCTACGGACCGATATCCCCAAGATCGTGGTGGATGCTATTCTCGTTGCTTTCTTGCACGCTGGGTGGGGACGTCGTCTTTACCCGCATATTGATCCTTATTTCACCCTAGTCGAGCCATATATCTTTCCCAATGACTAAATCTACCAGCTACCAGTCTTCGTCGCGTTGCAGGTGAGTATATTGTTCGACATAGTTCGTCGTGACTAGACCCGTGAACCCGAACATTGGTGAAAAGCGTCATCAGCGAGGTGGTCGAGACCGGGTAAACGGGAAGGACGAAGGGGAACGGCAAGAGGGGACTAGAGCCTCGGGTGGCAAGGACTCGAAAGCGGTATTACGCGGGTAGGAGTCGAGAGTACCGTTGAAATGTAGTGGAAGCCATCGTTGGTAGTGTCTCATCAGTGCTCAGATGGCATGGCCGTTTCTTTCCTTCTCTTCTAAAGCACCGTTGCCTAGTAGATCTCCAACGCCAATCCACTTTCGAACCAGGAATGCGCCCTGTGGCCTTAGCTTTCTATAATAACCCTCCTCTTTGCCTAGCGTCTCGAAGTTGCGCTTTTTGTACCATTCCAACCCCTCTTCGTTCGTCTCCCATACATGCGCCGTCACGCATCTCACGCTATGCAGTTCCACCGCCTGCTTGACAACGGCTTGTAGGAGGTGCATAGCAATGCCGTGCGAGCGGTATGGCGCAAGGATACCGATTGTGGATATGTATAGCTGGGAGGTGGGTAGCAGACGGCAGCGGACGGCCCCGACGAGGTGTGGCTTTTCGGGCGAAGGGTTGACGGAGTCGTTCGAGGTAGGAGAGGAGTGCCATAGTGCCACGAGGGTGATGCTATGGTGTGGCTCGGTCATGGTCTCCTTGAAGAAGCTCTCGGGGTAGGGTATGGGCAGCGTGAGAGCAATCAGGCGCTTGAAGGCGGGCATCAGCTCTTCGGTGAGGGGTACGAGTTGGACGTTCGCAGGCAGGGGGTGAAGGGCGAACAGCTGTGGCAGGGACGGCTGCTGGACTGGGAGGGCGACGGGCGAGGGCACTCTTGAGGTGCCAGAAGAAGGCGTGACAGCCCGTGAAGAACGGGGGCTCTTCTTCGATCTGGGTCTCGATGGGGCTTGTAGGAAGTTGTCTGGGATGTCATTCCAGTTGTCCATGGCTGCAGGCACAGCGGTAGGAGCAGAGGCAACGCGAGTAGGGGCGGAGGCGGACTTTGGAGGAGGCGGCGGTCGATTGGGGACAGCTTTGGCTATGGGAGGTGGCTTTGTAGGCTGCTCATTCTGTCCGGTAGTCGTAGGCTTTTTTAGCCAGCTGCTCAGCGAAGACTGCAGCATTGCGAAGATGTTTAATGTGGTGGTTGCAGTTCGATGTGATTCGAGAGTTGGAGAGGAGGTTTGACGTTCAAATGACAAGACGAGCAGTGTGCAAGTATTAGGTGTCTTCTTCTCTTACAGCTAGACACTAATTATGTTGGGAATTGGTTGCGTCTACATTCCAGGCCAGCCCAACGTCGACCAACTTTCTGGTCGCAGCGTGCCTGCCGATCGCAGCCCCGTCCGCCGCTAGCGCGCTTTCCTCGGCCAAGCCGTCAACTCCGACTCTTTCCAGTTGCAACATCATCGCGCACGCATCCCGCACCTCCGCCAACACAGCAATGGGGGCAGAGAACTCGAAACCCTCCTCGGAGGTCAGCCAGCATGTCTTCTCGCCGTATGTATCCCCTAATCGAGCCAATGGCTTTGGCCTTGCATTGTATGCTATCCTACGTCTTGGAACATTGCTGATAAGTTTGCGCGCAGCGATCATCCCGTTCGGTTCTCGAATGAACTCGTCGGTTCGATCCAAAAGAACACTTTTGTGAGTCGCCTACGGCATGGAACCAGACACTGGTGGTGGAATGGGACTGATGGCTAGATCAGACGGACTCAACACGCTCCAAGCAGCAAGAACTCCAATACCAGGAACGTCTAACCGCCGAGCTCGAGAAGCTGCGCGAGCAAGAAACACAGAACTTCTCCAAGTTCAGCGAAGCCCTCTCCGGCGAACCTGAGCAGCCCAGCGAACCCTCCCTCGTCGAGAAGATATCAGACGCAACTTCGTCCAAGTCGACACTCGCGGAGAAGCAACGACAGAAGGACATGAGCAACCAGAGTGTGACCAAAGAGATCGAGCAGTTGAAGGCGAAGCTCGAGAAGAGGCGGAAGCTGGAGCAGGTCGATGCGGATGTGAGCAAGGCGAAGGAGGCTGTCGTTGCTTGTTTGAGGACGAATGACCGACGGCCACTCGATTGCTGGCAAGAGGTCGAGGCATTCAAGAAGGAGGTGGGGCGGTTGGAGAAGGATTTTGTGGAGAGGACAATTAGATGAGGGACCAGATGAAGGCATTCTCGTGAAGTTTCAGCTAGGGCTTTTGTATAGATAGGCTGGGTGAGGTATAGTACCCGGGTGGGCTGTTCCCTGTTCAAGTCTCATGAGACTCGTTCATCTCCTCCTTCTCTTTTCACATCGTCCTCTGCCCTCACATTATTTCTCGTGCCTACGCCTGGCTCTACGGCGCGTGACCAAGCACTCACATGTTCGCATCCAGTGGTTCGACTTTCTCTTATGGGAGCTACACCATCTTATTTCTTTCCACACACATGAAGCCCAGGTTTATAAGCTTCCTATTTCATTCACATCAAGCCTAAATCTACAAGTACTTCCCCTCACCCCACATTCACCGTTGTTTATACGCTTCACCCCCGTTTGTTGCATCACATGACGTGCACGAATCCTCATTCACCATGTATACGCAACTCCCGGCAGATTGGTAGCCGTTACCATAGCTTTAAGCGTGTACAGTTTACTGCCGCCGTCGCCTCGTCTCTCACCTCTACCTCCACCTGTAACCTTGCCTACACGATCCACTGCGAACTACGACATTACTTTGGGAAACGCGAGAACCCCGACGTATCACCACCATGTCGGGTTGTAGTCTCGAGGACGCCATCTCCTTCAGCGACGACGAAGATGGAACTGTAGCCTACTCTGAAGACGAGGTAGATGTTCAGCGATACGATTCAGAGGATTCTGTCGATGAAGATGAGCCAATCGCAAATGAGAGCGACGAAGACGACGACCTCTCTTTCTATGAGACTGCGCCACCGAGTTCCGATCCTTTACCGGAATCTTTCGAGCTGCCGAAACTATCGCTCGAATGTGGCGATATTCGCCCCGACAGTGTTGTCGAGCTTAAGGATCATTCTGGACGAACCTCCAAACACCTTCTTTCCGGTGATTTCTTCTTAGTCCGGAGCATCGTTGAAAATGTTCACACTGAGGAAGTAGTCATCCGAGGGTACCGCATGAGGCGCGTCGAGTATCTACAACCACTCTTTGACCGTATGTAAACCCAGGGCACTTTCGGGGTGTTTTTATTGACGGCAATGTAGGCAAGTTGAATGACCTATTCATCCTGATTGAGGTACAAGAAGGCGATCAGCGACCGCGCTTTGTTCAAGGCCTACAGGAAATATCTTGCGAGGAGGTCACTCGCATCCGCCGATGTGTCTTCACGAACCTCAACTATGAGTTACTCGGCCAATCGCAAGTTAACTCTCGCGTACCGCTTCGATTGAAGACCAAGGACGAAATAAGGGAATGGGTTTTCCAGAAGGGCAGACTCATCTGCCGCTGGGTGCATGTGGTGGAACAACACTACAATGCGAAGTCATACGGCGGTGAAGCTCGACGAGTGCTTAAACGAGAAGTTGCAGAATTCTCTCAGCACGAGATTGTGGTAGAGTCCTCTTCAACTTCAACACCGATACCAATGGCACGCGCAAGTTCAAGTACCACGCAGCCTCCATTAGCACAGAGCCATAAGCGCAATGGCTCTGTACAAGAGGCGCCCAACCCCTCGAAACGATTGCAACATTGTCCCCGTAAATGTCCAGCTTACACTTTTGGCGACGGTTACTGTGGATGTGGAGGTTGTTCCGCGGGTGCTCAGCAAGCTGGCTATCAGATTCTATGGGGATTAGAAAAAGATGCTAAAGCCATGCAAGCGTACAAGAAGAATTTTCCCGGCGCGGTGCACCTCGAAATGGATGCACACGACTTCCCTAACATGGCTAGACGGTGTATACACGGTTGCGACCATTTGCACATGAGTTGCCCATGTTGCTTCTGGAGTGTGGCGCAGTAAGTATTCTACCCATACTTGTCTCCGATCGTTTCGCTCATTGAACAGTACCGTAGATGGCAAGAATGACGAAGCTAATATGATGACGCTGTTCACCGTTGAAGCCTGGCTCCACAAGGTTAAGCCTAGGACTTTTAGCCTGGAACAGGCGCCCGGTCTACTGACACAGGAAAAGCATAGAAAGTTTTTCCGAATTCTTGTGAATGGTATCCTAAATCGAGGGTACAACGTTAGATGGAAGATCCAAGATCAAGCTTGGTTTGGCATCGCCCAACACCGAAGGAGGCTTGTCTTCGTAGGTGCTAAGTAGGTCTGGGAGTTCTTATTGTCATGATCCTGTTATACTAACTTGGACAGAATTGGTATTCCTTTACCACCATTCCCAAGCCCCATACACGGTCCAACCAATAGCGGACTCAAGCGATATGTCACTATCAAAGATGCCCTACAACCGCTTGAGCAACAAGCTTTCAGCTTTCAGCGAGATACATACCACCAACCACACCTCGAAAAGCCTATATTAGACAGGGAGGCTTTCGATCCTCACGTCAACCTGGCAAAATGCATCACTACTTCAGGTGGCGAGAACGTGCACCACTCTGGGAAGAGAGCAAATACCTGCCGAGAGTTGGCGCAATTTCAAGGATTCCCCGCGAATTTCCGCTTCACAGGTTCCGCCACGGAGGCCAAAAAGCAGTGCGGTAATGCCTGGCCAGTTAAAGCAAACAAGATCTACTTCCTTACCTGGGCTGCGCATATGGAAGCCTTTGACCACGGGTTCATCGACGCCGAAGACGAAGTGCTTGACATTTACGAGTTCCTCGAGAACAAGGGCATCACCATCCCCAAGCCAGCGCCTATCGAACTTGACTTCTTCGCAACCCCTCCACGTCATTCTACCCGTGAGCCAGAGCCAGAATATCGGTATCTCTCACGCATCGAAAAGACCGTCCAGCCTCGCGGCCCGCTACAAATCTGGGCGAAACGGAAGGAGCTAGACCCGCTGCCGCAGCGTAGGAGAAGGAACAATACACGCCAGCCCGTCGTCTTCTCCAGCGGTCTGTCCCATGACACTGAAGCCTCCTCCTCCCGCACAGAACCGTCCACCGTTCGCCGCCGCAAGCAGCATCGTCAAGTCCTTTTGGACGGAGAAATTATCACCATCCCTGATTCAGACTCGGAATAAACAACCGCGTATTCTTGTGCGATGCGAACATGTATGCATCCAGACACAATATGTGGTGTCCAGAGTTTGCAACGCAGCATATGCCGGCTTTTTCCCTGTTGTTGCGCCGCCGAGGGAGAAAATCGTCGGCCTTCGCCTTCATTACTGCTTTTTTGTTTTTACTCATGCGACAAACATGTTAACACGTTGCTACATGGATGACAGTTGCCGTTGTCAACCCTTTGTGAGCTGAGGAGGATTTTCGTTTGCTTTGCGAACCATATCGGCGCGACACTACGAGATGTATCACGCCCTTTTCCAGATGTTTGAAGAGCATCCTACGATAGCCTCACGATATTCTGGCTATCACTTAATGAGTTGATCTGCGTCCATACGATAGCCTAATGACAGCCTGGCTACCAGTTAGTGTGACTAGGATCGGAAGTATTAGGATTTGCAGAGTGTCTTTTAGAAAACTGAACGTCTTGCACAGCCCTGTACGTCTTACGTCTAAGGGCGATAATAATAGGAAAATACTTACATCCTATATTTCGCTTACACTCGTGTATCAGCCTGTATTAGGTAGAAGATAAGTATGCTTTTACTTTCTTACTATTCTACGCGTGTGAGATAATACTCTGAGAACTGTGTTTGTTTTCCTTGGGCTAAGAAATATCTTCTAGCACATAACCCTCGCCCCCACACCCTCTTTCCCTAACACAACTCTCCCAGACCATGTAATGGCAATAATCCCCGCTAAATCGATACTTTGAACATGCTCTTTTTCCTCTCTACCATCCCCACTGTCTTCACTAACAACTCCATCCTCGCCATCATGGCTAATATCCTCCATCAACGCTCTAAGTCTCACCTCGCTCCTAGCAAACAACACCTGCCCGACGAGAAACACCAAACTACTCTGCAGCAAAACCGCCCTATCGACCACAAAGTCAAAATACGATTCAGGGAAAGAGAAATGTAACGGGATAGTTTCGAGCGGGAGATTTGCCAGTGCAGATTTGAAGCGTAGGTGTGTGTCTGCGGCGTGGAAGCCGGTGAGGAGGGTTTGGATGGAGAGCGGCGAGTCATCTTCTTCGTCTGCGTCTGATTCTTGAGGCTCAAGGTCCGAGTCGGAGTCAGAGTCGGAATCTGAATCTACTACCAGTCCATCATCCAACCCATTCAATTTGTTATCAGTAAAACATGTAGACGTAGCAGCAGCATAACGCCTTGTATCCGCGCACAGCTTCAGCGTCAACAGCGTTCCCGTCACCGCTCGCAGCATATGCGATAAGCTGGTTACATAGCGCTCTGCGCCCACGCATGCGAGTACCTTGACTGACTTCTCCATAGCAGCAGCAGTAGCACAGCTCATGGGCGGTCTCTTTATCATCGTCCTCGGTGGTGATGCTGGTAGTGGACAGTACAACAAATCCACCTCCAGATGCCTCACGAGCGGTAAATCTTTCAGCTGAAGTGGTGGTTCGAAGGCGCCTGAACCATCTTCTTTTCCGCATCTAGCTCCTCTTTCGCTTCCTCCACTTCTGGTCATCTGGGTGTGGAGCGGTACTACGGAGGTGATGTAGAAAGTGTTCTTCCCGAGAAAAATGGAGTGGGCTTCGGTGTAGATTTGCTTGTTTACGCGCAAGATGGCCGTGTGCAGATTGTATTTTTTGTCGAGACGCGCGGTTGGGCCTTTGAGTGGCGTGCAGGCGACGAGAAGGTGTTCGTAGATTTGTAGCCGGAGTTCTGGCGGGAGGATATCTAGGAGGGGAGAGCGAGGTGTTGGTGTTGTTGTCGGAGCCATGACTGCTACAGTGGTGGTGGTCTGGGGACAGGAACGTTGCTGAAGTATAATGAAGCCCAGAATATTTTCGTCCTCTTGACTTGAATGTAATTCAGTATCCGTGCTTTTCTTTGAAAAAGCTCGATTCTCCAAAGAATGCCAAAAAGATGGCCAAATCTCAAGATGTCGATCGAAACTTATAGTAAGGCGCAAGTACTCTACCTTTGTACCTTTTCCTGTCCACTATCCCACCATATCTGCGTCATAAGGTGGAGTGATCAGACATCTTCTCGTCCCTCCTTCCAAGTGCCGTGCATGCGCTTCACCCTTACTCGCGATACCTAGCTAAACCGGAATATCCCAGCTGCACATATTTCAGATTTTTCCCTCCGCAAACTTTCGGTCGCGACGACCATCTTCGCTGCCGACTATTCATAGCCACGCGATTCACAAACCGTTTGTTTGGCGCGCATTTTTGTACTTGTCTCGGGGACGCTTCGGAGGACTCTCCGGTGAGTTCCAGCAGAGAGAGAAACACAGGAGATCGTACAAAGGAAATTCGATGTGCGTTGCTTGCTAGCTGCCTAGGACGTACCATTCGGACATGCGCGGGGAGCAGTAAAGCTACTACAGTTACGGAGTAAAGTCCTCTTAGTGCATCTCGGCATGGTGTAGTGTATGAGTTGCGGTGGTGTGAGTGAGGCTTTGTTCCGTTGTCATGCATGGCATTCACACAGGGCAAACTGACTCTAGCCCGCGGAGGGAAAAGACGTCTAGGCATGCGTCTGCAACTAGGAAATCCCCCCGCCCCTTATTATTGACAGCATGTACTAAGCGATCAGATAACGGGTGGCGAATAGCGGGTAGGAGAAGAGAAGAGAAGCAGTATAGTGAAGTGTAGTATAGCGCCCGAAACAGCACTACAGTTGTTGACCTAGCAATCAGTTTTTCCACAAATCTCATCAATGCACTACGCAAGTAAGTTTACCAGTAGAGAGCTCCCAACAAACCTCCGCCACGCCGGTACGCACGTGTATCGGACTCTCCGCGATGAGGGATCAGTATCATCGTTTATCCTCGCGGAAGGACCCGCTTCCCGCCGAGCAAAAGCTTGAGCAATGCTTGAGTAACAAAGGGCTATCCTTGCATACCATGCGAGCGTTCTAGATTGCTGCGTAGCCAAGCTTAGCTCAGCTCAACTCATTGGTTTGATAGAGATCGACACAGCTACAGACAAAGAGAGAAACATTCACAACGCAATGTACCATGTAAGCGTGCCAGACAAACCTGACTCGCTTTACCTAACCTTCCCTTGACCCGACAAACAAACAAAACACTATCATTACACAAAAGCGGAGAGCAACACCGAAACAACCCCAGCCCATCTCAAAAGCGCACTATACAGTGAAAAAGTTTGAGGCTACGTCATCCGGACACAGCACTCCGTCAAAAGGGCCGAAAGGAAACACAACGCATTCACCTCGCTCCAAAGAAATTGTTGGGGAAGGCAGCCCGATCCCAGGTGTTGGGATGTCATGCATGCACGCGTTCATGCAACATATAGGTGGGGGGGAACACAGCATAAAATTACCATAACCTAAGAGATTCTGGGCTGGGCTGGGCTGGACTGGAAAGACAGCCGATGGAAGAATGGGGGGAAAAAACTAAACAAGGCAAGAGATGTAGAGCTGTGCCCCATTTGGGAATAGACTACGAGATTCGAGTTTCGAATTTGCTACCTTGCATCGCCATTCCCGCAGATGCGTCTCTCCATTCGCCATGTGGTCGTTAAGTCGTGAGTTCGTTTGTCCATGTACGTACAATAGCGGTCTCGAACCGAGGACTAAATAGGAAAAGGAAAGCACCAAAACACAATATAGGAAGGAATTATCATACATTAACCTCGTTGAATGCGTTCACCAGGCTAGAATACCGAGGTGGTAAGACCTGCGTAGGAAATCTAGTAATCCCTTCGTCGCCTCCTGTGCGTCTTAGCAGGCGACCCATCGCCCTCGGAATCACTACTAAAGTAGTCGTGATCCACGCGACCATTATCATAACCATGATCAGGGCGTTGATCGCGGTCGTATCTGTCTCTGCGAGCGTCCCTGTCCTCTGGGCCACGAGACTTTGAACGGAAGCGGTCGACGATGCTCTTGCTTCTAGCACGGATGCCACGAGGTGGACTTCGGTCACGGCTGCGCGCTCGATCGCTGGCTCTGGGCCTCGAGCGAGACCGGGAACGAGATCGCGACGGTGATCGACGGCCACCTCTACTCCTGTAGCCTGTTAGGAACCCGCAACTCCAGAAACACATGAATGAAGTGACTTACTTGGATCGCTTATCAACAATGGCTCTGCCCCCTAAGGCACCTGCTGCAACACCTGCAAGCGTAGTTAGCCTACTTTTGCCCATCTGCCTACCAGCAAGTCCCCCCGCCAACGCACCTCCCACCGTAGCCGCCAGACCCCTTTCACGCAGATCCATGCCATCGAATCTGTCACGCACTTTAGCCATGCGCGAACTCTCTCGATGCTGGTCATCTCTGCGGGAATGGGAGGAATGGGTGTCTGCAGACCTCGCCCTGTGCCGGTGTTCTCGGCGGGGTTTGGTGCTGCCACGACGGCTGGGTGGTTGGTCGACGTAGGGGGTGATTTGCTGGTTGGAAGCAGCAGACGTGTAGGGCTGTGAGTTTGATCTTTGTCGGGTGAAGGGTGGCGCTGTGGGGTAGGCATTGCTGGCAGGGTAGTCGGCTGGGTTGTAGGGAACATAGGGGGAGTTCGCGGCGCCTGTTTGGGGAGGAATAACTACGTTCACAGGAGGAGATGGTGCGTAACCAGGACCAGGAGTGTAACGCGCCGCGGTAGAAGAAGCTCGATGCCCATCGTGCGGCCCAACAGATGGCTGCGTAGGGTATGGCTGGGCGGCTGCTGGCTTGGGTGTGTTAGTAAGTGCCCGTTGGAGCAAGGCCGCAAGAGGCGGCTCATAGGTAGGCGAAAAAGCAGCAGAAACAGGAGTACCGCGAGAAAGAGTCTCAAGTAAAGGGGGCGGGAAAGAGAAGGGAGACAAGGGGGTCGAAGCTGTCCGGCTTGGCAACATCGGTGGACAAGAGTTCACCGGCGTTGGATGCTCGGGCGTCATCGGAAGTGTTGTGGTTGCGCGTCGAAAAGGAGAGAATCTATTTACCTGAGGGGAATATCCGTACGCGGGCGCGGTTGGTGACGGTTGGTAGTCGTCATGCGCTGGCCTTGAACTGTACTCTTGAGGATTGTACGGTTTGTACTCTCCAGAGGAAGGTGGAGGAGGGAAGTAGGGCTCTCCTCGCTCTGCTTGCGCCATATCTCTATAGTCGCCGTGCTCTGGCTCAAAGTCCCTGCTATTGCGCCTGTTGTGTCTTCCACGACTCATACTCCTGCTAGGATTTCTGCCCGCGCTCTTTGCCCGGCGTCTATCTCTCTTCCTTCGCTCTCGCTCTCGTTCGTAGTCGGTATCGTCGTATGCGCTGTAGTCTGAGTAGTCGGTTGGCGGGGTGCGGTCTCGTCGTGAGCCTCGTCTGCTGGACCTCTGCTCGCTCGCGGGTCGTGACTTGTCCTTGCGGTCTTTTCGGCCTTTGTCGATGTCTTTCTTCTCCTGCGGGGTGAAGAAGCCACCTGGGATTTTCTCGAAGAACTTGTCGGGAATCTGCTCTGCGCCGTAGCCCAGCGCCTTGAATGCGAGGACCGACATGTTTAATGCGGGCGCGAATCCGGATGTTTTGACCGGAACGGTGACGTAGGACTCGGCGAGCGATGCTCTGATTGGGCGCGATCAGTCCCAGCAGCAGCGCCAGCAAGGCTCGACAAGGGATAGCGTACAGTAGGGTGTGGTGAGGGAGTGGCGGGTTTCGCTTCGATGTTTTGATAGTGTGTAAACAATGTAAATGGTGTTGTAGATGGAGTTGCGCGCACAGGGAGGGAGGTCTTCGAGAGCTGGCGTGCTGGGGAGAAGCGAGGTATAAAGGCGGAAGTAGCAAGTGCGTTTTAGCTGGGCAGTAGGAAGGAAGCAATTACAGGCGTCGTATTGATGCGCCTAACTCGACGATACCGCAGATATTCGACATGGTACAATTTACTTTTACCGCGGCGTGTTGCAGAGTGGCTACAATGACATCATACGTCATACGGGCACCGCGGACCTCGCATATGGAGCCGCATCGCGAGGCACGATGCATTTGCCGCAATCTGAATCTTCCTTGTGCAGGACTAATCAGCCATAACACGCACGTTTACTGGGTAGATCTTGAGATGTTATTAAACATATTCTTCGCGATCTAGTATCGCTATGATGCGCAGCTCTTCAACGTCGTCCAAGATGGTCTCGTGGCCTAATAGCCGTCTCTCTTCCACAGCCGGTCTTCCACAGCCGGAGTTGCATCTGATTCAAAGCCGTGATCATCCTAGTCGTAGCCCGGTAGCAAGTCTCAGACTATACTGGGCACGTAGGGGTCACATTCCAGGCCGCAACCTATCGTGAGATGCCCCACATGGTGCCCGGGTGGTGTGTTGGCAGCATCGTCAGCTTCAAACCCAAGCCACGCGCGCGCTTGGATCCATGTGCGATGACGCCATGTTCGAGCACCCTTCACCGCCAAAGACCAATTATTCACAGTAGTGCTCAATGTCGTCAGGCATGTTTCAGTGCACGGCTAAGCTGTTCACGTAGCTTGCGACATGTCTGTTCTACGCGGCGATGAAGCATTACAGTATATGGGTATCTTATATCCTCAAAGGCAAAAAACTCCATCGCTAAATGACAAATGACAATCTCAACCTAGCATAGAAAGCGCTCGACCTCTTATCGTGGTTACTCTTCACCCCAGGTGGGGTGGCGGACTCCGCAGCTCGCCTGAAGGTCGTCCTGCGCTATCCGGGACTTCGACCATGTCCTCGACCATACCGAGGAACCTCTGCCTATACTCCTCGCTGGTCGTAGTAATGCTCATCGGGCCATGGTCCTTACCCCATTTCACAAAGTTGAAGAACTTCACCAGGCCCGTAAGAGTCTGTGCTTGCAGTGCGTCTTTCGCCCAGAAAAAGTCCAGGATGATGGCTCGATAAACCCACTTGCCATCGCGCGATACCACGCCATTGCGCCAGGAGGAACCGCGGCCTGGTGGGGTGGGAATCTTGTCGCTGTCGGACGAATTCAGGTCGGCTGGATAGCGTACCAGGAACAGAGAGTAATCGACTGCGTTGTTCTCTTGTAGAATCTTGGAGTCTTGAGACAGCTGCGATACTAGCTCCTCTTTTTGGTCGATTGTCACCCGGACCTTGTCGTCGAACTCATCGATGAGGCGCTCCTTCACACTCTCCGGAGCTAGCCTGCCACCTGCCACATCTCGCTCAGGGTAGAAGTAGTCGTTTGGCTTGAGGTCGTATGTTTCCCATTGCTTCTGTTGGTTCTTGCTGCAGCTGGATTTTCCATATAAAATGTTTTCCATAATCATGTGATGGCTAGGTGCAGTACCGATTGCCGTTCCCATGGTGTAGGTTTGGCAGTATAGGAGGTCGGTTATCCGGACGAGAAGGGAGTTTTGGTTCAGCTCCATGTGCTCGACATAAGGATCGAGGAGACGCTGGCGAAAGAAGGATTGCTCGAATTTTCGGGGCAGGGATTTGATCAGGTACTTGGAGTTGGGCGTAGTGAAGAAGGTCTACAATGGTTAGCCATGTCTTATGCCATCGGAAAGTATTTCACGTACCGATCCAGAGTAGCCCAAATCTCCAACAGCAACCAGGTCCGTTCGCTTATTCTTACTCGGACTGCGGAAGCTCTCCACATACTCCTCCTCTTCGATACCCCAGGTCTCATTTCTCATTTTCTTGAATAGTCCTGCGCGGTATCTCGCAAGCGTGAGATTGAAGAATGTGAAAAAGGCCAAAATACGCGTAAGCAGGCCGGGTCGCGCTTCTTCATTTGCTTCTGTGTCATCCTGGGAGGGTTTGGTCCTGAAGATAGCGCGTAGGATCGAGGTGCTAATGAGACGGTCTCGATAACCCATTTTGACGGATAGAATCGCTGCAAGGCTGCTGTAGAGCGATATGAGGATCATAGGCAGAAGTTCGTGTCGCGTTAGACGTTCGTGACGTCACCCACGCTAGCACAGATAACATATCCATTGCACCTCTGAACGATCAGAATGCTCCTCACAAGCCTCTACCCAAGTTTGTAGCAGAGTAAGTGGGTGCCAGGACGAGCGACAGCCAACACCGCCTTTAAAGGTTACCGACAATTGGTCCTTCGAACCCTTGCACCCTGCAGGCTTTCAACACCAGCCGGTTCCAGGCATCCATCCCATATAGAGCATCTGATGTCTCCCAAATAATTTATCACACGTTGTCAGCAACTAGGTGGGCTTGCCAAAGAAGCTGCCTGCCACGAGAGTCAGCCCCGTCCCCTAATCCGCACACTATTTCTTTAGATTTTAGGCACCCAGTCAACCTTGACCCGTGTCTTGCAGGATTATGTCTCCATTGTCTTGAATCCGACACATGTTGCGAGCACAAACTGCCGCAACTATACAGAGCCTGCTGTTTTGCCGCTGCGTATATTGGCTGCATGATCACTACCGTTGTACTCCAAGTCGACTTTCAAGTATCCAGGGCCTCGCAGGCAACCACCCTTACGGTCTTCGAACTGCTCTGCCGGTTGTACAACAATCGTCCACGAGCATCTCGAACCACCACTAAGATCTAACATCTTGCATCGAGACGATGGCAAGCCGGACGGGGTTTGACTCGCGGTTCCGTGGGATCCCCACTTTCCCGTGTCACAATAATGGCGAACGACAAGTACAGAAGTACAGAAAGCACGAGGAATCCACCAAACTAACAAGGCATGCCTTAGCGTCGTCGGGAATTCGGAAATAGTATGATGGTGTGCCCCTATGCACTACGCCCCCTAGCCACTTCAAATTATTGTACATGGAGTACTACTCATGGTGCTAGATCGTGTGTAGTAACATACGCCTCCTTCTATGATCTAGCCATCATGGCATTACGTTGTTGCAGCGTATTATTCTCAATTTCGTCGTTGCTAACAACGCAGAATGCATGTCAACCTCGTAAACATACAGTAGCAAGCATGGCGTAACCCTACCATCACCGCATCTAGCCCCACTAGATTTCTAGACTCTCCCAGTACCGTGTCCAAGGTCCCTAGTTGGCCCTCCAATGGTTGCCGCCGCGGTTCGTCTCACGTAACCAAAGATCCGCCTCCACTAGATTCGGCGTCGAACGTATCCAGGTCGCCAGTGATATCTCCCCTGTTCTTATCGACAAAGCATGCCCTCCTCTCTTGCTCCCTGTATTGCAGAGCTAGATAGCTCACATTGTATGAGCTTACTGGGGCTTTTGAACCTGCCTATCTGGGAGACTGAAACAATATATGTATAAAGCGACAATGAGGTCCTTCACGATAAAGTCTTTAGTGAATCCTCAGGTCGGACCGAGAATTCGTATCACATTGAACTTGTAGCAGGTATCACGACGCTTCTGTTACTTTGTATCCCGATTGCTATCTCTTCATTCTGACATATACCTTACCCCTCGGCCAACCATGGCCACTGCAGAAGTCCAACAGCAACCCGCTCAAGAGCCCGCGCCAGCCTTACCAGACTATCTCACCGACCCCGATGCGGTCCTCAAGGATCAAGATGCAAAGTGGCGATACGGTAGGGCGCCAGACTACTCCAAGACACGGAAAGTCTTTACAGAGAGTAAGTAAACCCCATCACATAAACAACTCCCACATCCCAGTTCCTACCAACATGGCATGACTCCACTCCAGCAAAGCAAATGACGCACGAAGCCAACTCGCTCCCCTCGCTCGTCCAAAACCTCGTCAAAAACTGGGAAGTCGAAGCGTCCTTCAAGCCCGTCCTATCCGACTGGCGCACCATCGACCACGAAAACTACTCCTTCGCCATCAACGGCGGCGCGCCCGAAGGCGCAGAAGCAATGCTAAAGGTAGGTACGTACAACGCCATCATCGCGCCGAACGAGTACTACTCGCCCGCGCACAGCGACTTTGCGTCCTCGCACAAGACGTTCAAGCGCATGATGCCCACGTTTGCATGGGAGGTGCTGGAAGTCTACAGTGGGCCGCCGACGGTCAGTTTCCGCTGGCGACACTGGGGCACCATGAAGAACGATTACGTCGGGCTGAATGATAAGGGGGAGAAGGTTACGGCCAAGGCGCATGGTGGTGTGATTGATATCCAGGGTGTTACGGTTGCGAGTGTGAATGCGAAGGTGCAGTTGCAGAGTGTGCGGACTTGGTTCGATCCTATGGATATGTTTCGCCAGATTGATCCGGATGGGGTGGTCAAGAGGGAGGTTGTTCCTCGGGGCGTGGCGCCTGCTGATGCGGTTGATGAGGCGCAGGCTGGTGTTGAGGTGCCGGGGGAGCAGACGCTGCCGGATCGAACGGTTCAGACGGTAGAAGAGGCGAAGCAAACGGAGGTGAAGATGGATAGCGAATCGAGTGAGGCGTCGAGGGCTCAGGAGCTTCCTGCTGGGCATGCTCTTGTTTCTGAGAATGGGACAGGTAATGCTGGGGTCTGTCCTTTCATATCTCAGGTGTCTTGTTGAGCTCAATGTGGTACATATTCGAGAAAAGTTGTGTCATTAGGGTATACAGGATGAGCCCAGACGATTTCCACTTTTGATATAAGGACTTTACCTTAATCCTAAAATTTCCTCTCTCGTTCCCATCGCACTCATTCACTTCAACTCGCTCCAGTAATGATCATGGTATGCATTACTATCTCAGCGTAACTTATCAAGATCTAGGTCCTTTGATATAATGATAGATGCCCAATCTTCTGTCTCTTTCAATTAACTTTGATGAAAGAATGAAAAAAGACATCCGCGCTCAAGTTGTACACAATTCCATCTTGGAAACTACCCGAGTGAGTGGTATACGTGCACCTAACCACTTCTCATCCAGTTTCATTTCAAGATCTCTAAAGCACGAAGTGAATAACCATGATTCAGAGAGTGTAGGAGAGAGTACCGAAATATCATATCCTTTTCAAGTGGTTCAGCGCGAAGAGAGAATTTGAGCTTGGGAATTGGGATTGGAGATGAAACTGGCTTTATTGTATGATTGGATAAGTGTACTATGGAACTAAAGAGTCACAGTCCATAATTCCATGGCTCATCTCTATTAGCGCCATGTTCTCCATATGATATGGTATGATGCTGACGTCCGTCTACCAGGTCGCGATTACGATATACCGTCCCCTGGGATGAGACGAGCTCGACCCAAAACTACACGTGTTGTCCTGGGGCGAATCATTCACCATCCTTATCTCATCTGACTGGAGTCCACAATGCGCACGTTCAGGCTCTTTCATCATAGCCTCTCGATGCGATGAAAGACTAGGGTGCTTCGTCATATTACCACGTACCTCGACTGTCGACGCGCGTTGTTGGTCGACACTAGGAAACAGTGCTGGATTAGTAAAGTGAGTAGAAATGTGTCATGTAAAATCAAGTTGCCGTCTTTCCGCCTTCGCATGCTCATTCCTGGGACTCTGTTTACAAATCACCAATGCAGTCAAGACTTTGTTTGGCATTGTTTACCCGTTGCTCGGGTGTGGTTGCCCGAAGAAGCAGCTTGGATATGAGGGTGATGCTCGCTATGGTCGATCTACTACACTGCTACCTGCTCCGGCGTCGGATCCGATGCATAGATAGCACTTATCAATTGTTGACCACGGTGTTCTTTCGCAGTTACAGACTTTGGTAGAGTTTCGTCAAGCGTGTCTCGAGATGGCTCTGAATGCCGTCATTTGCCGTCTGCGATCCACACGCGTCCATCTACTTCCTGGCTGGGGAAAGCAGCCTTGCCACCGCGTGTCGCCTTGGACGGCGTATACCGGTTCTCTGTACTTTGAGCATTACCTACTGTACAACTAGGCAGCAGTGAGTCATATACATCATCATCCTCTCAGCACCATGACTACTATGATTAGCCTCGCTTTATCCTGGGTCTGGTTACGCGCCGGGCCCCTTCACGCGGCACACGGTGTCAGCAGACTTCGCGATGGCGATGGTAACTTGTAGTCACATTGGTTGCGCAGAGTTTTACGTTGTTTGAGGCGAATTATCTATCCGTGGAGCGCTGCGAAGACGTGTCTCTGCCTGCCACCGATGGCAACGATGGTGTGCCAAGGAGATTGGCTAGCCACTACCGCACTCGGACTCGCAGGGCGAAGGTGCCCAGGTGTGGAGGTGACTCAGCCCCGGCCAAGCCCGTTGATGGCCGGAACAAGTCGGCATTTTATGGCCACAGGGAGGGCTGCCCATGGCGATGAGTCGTCAGCGGTTGTTGGGCGCTGGGGTTTCTAGAAGCGCAATGGCGGCAAACTCTGCACTCTGTGTGGGAGGCGCAAACGACTGATGGCGGGTCTAGGAGAATCTTCGGGTCAGCTTGCGGCCTTCTGTCAACAGACAGGGACACGGACACCAGCTGGTGTCTTTCGTTTTGAGGAGCAAGTCCGGGGCTGATCGGCCACCCAGCCCACTCCCCTACTGGTGCCGAGGAAGCACAGTGTGTTGGCAGCAGTTCATTGCGTGCGCCATTTGCGTCATGTCCCGTGCGCATTGCACTTGTACTGTGTGGCATGAGGCATTTGCGCAAACGGGAGCACCAGTGCCGGACAAGCAAATGAATCGTGTCGCGGGCTGATGGATGATGATGATGAGCGATCGAGGGGTTCGCCCCAAATACTGCCCTTCGCAGCAGGTTGAAGCCGCCCAGGTTGACGAAATTACGCATAAAATGCCCCATTTGGGGAGGGTGGCGGGCTGCAGCCTATCACAGACGGGCCAATGTGAGGAGTGCGTGCCTTGGCAGCCAGCCTACTGGTTGCCCGTTCCAGTGAGCTGGAGGGCAGCTGAGAAAGGGAGGGTAGGGTAGGGAAGGGTAGCGGTAGTAGAGGCCAGGCTGGCACTAGCCATCTATCATGGATGGAGCGTTCGAGAGCAAACGCGCAAAGGACGAAGAAAAAAGGAGACGCCGTGTGTCGCAGCAGCTGGTCGCGTCGCAGGCAGAGTGAAAGCGCTTGGGCAGCCTGGCTAGGGGCTTGGACAGGTGCGTCTGTAACTCGCTGCGCCAGGCACGGCGGCGGAGTTGGTTGCAAGCTGGCGGGCTGTGGCCTTGGGATGCCGTCGATGCGTGATGGAGGGGGGAGCGTCTCACTTTCTGCCCATGGTCGAGCAGCAGCAGCAGCGCGCACTCGTCTTGAGGCCACATCAACAGGATGCTGCTGCACCATGGTAAGATGCGATATATCGGTAGATAGCATAGCATAGCATAGCACAGCAAATGATTGACTGGCCATATAACCACATATGACTGATGCAAAACCGTGGGCGTTGGCAGGCGCGATGAGTCTTCGTTGTGGCAAAGAGGCAAGAGCGGCCTGTGCGCCCAGCTGCGATGACTGGACGGGGGGGGGGGGCTGCCTACCCTACCCTACCCTACCCTACTATTAGTATCGCCATCTCCGCCCAGCCCGTCTCCCCTTCAAGACAGCAGCAATGGACTTCACGATACCGCACAGCGAGCCCTGGGGCCTGATCTAGGACTTACCGCCGCTCTGTCGTCTATTCTCTGTCGCAAACCATCGTCGCAACCGAATCCACTCCCGCCTACCACCATTCCACCACCCGTTCCGTCTTTGTCTAGTCAACAGCCCAGCACGACCTTTGTCGCCGCCACGCTGCCGCCTACCGCAAAGACTCATCTCCCATCCTACAGTCATCCCCTCGACGACAAGGCCGCCCTTTAACCAGGCGCCTTCTCTGTACCTGCGTCGCCATCAGACACCCGCCTGTTCGCGCCCTCCTCGCCTTCACCTCCTCCCCACCGCCACTTCCTCACACGTCAGACCTGACACCTCCCAACCACAAACACCTCCTACAAACCACCTGCAACCAATAATACCCAATAATACCACGCCAGATACAACTACAAACACTCTCCACTCTTCCGCCCTCTTCACCGCGAAAATACGAAGCTGCTCCAGCTAGGTGATACCGTCCTAAGGTCGTCACCTTACTCGAACACTTCTTAAATCGCAACCCACAAATCACAATGTACCTCTCGGTCTACACTGCTCCAGTCATTCGTCGCTCAGTAATCACCACTTCTTCCGGAAACGAGGCCTTCGCTATCGGAGGTTTCGCCTGCTAGATCCCCGCATCCTCTCAGATCTTCCAGCTTTGCGACAGCGCCAGCTGTTCCAGTAGCTGTATCCTCCGAGTGCTTTGCGGACGGTCTCTCACAACGGTCTTGTTTCGGTGATTCTGCAGCTGACGGTGACTGGAGTCCCCTCTGTTCCGCACTTGGGCAGCCGTTCGACCATTTGACACGGTTCGAACCACTCCCACTTGCGAACCCGCCAACTACCCTTGAACTCTCTTCATATGCCATCTTGACTTCGACATCTACCCAATTCCAGCCAGTCATCGAAATCATACGACAGAAGTCACAGGGTTGTCCCGTACGGTTTGTCTACCGGTAAAGTTCTCGGTCACCCCACGACCACCCGATCACGCTTTGCGCCACATCTCAGGGTCTACCTAACGGTTAGCACTTCGGGACGTTACGACACAGCAGTCACTCCACTCACTCCTTATTATCTCCTTGCTTTGCCCAGGCGCTGTGTCTGTAAACTCTTTCTTTGAACATGAGTCTTGATATCCCCCTCCCCCGTCCGAGCTTCGGCCTCTTGCCGGACACCTATCCATACGCCACCAACCTTTCCTCTTCAGCCTCCTCCTCTACCTCTTCAGTCTTTTCCGACGCTGCATCACAAGCGTCTAGTGCTAGCTCAACATCCTGTCACTCCTCCTGGGAGTCAGAAGAATGGAGTTCCAGGATCCAAGCTGCATCGACTTCTACTGTCGACTCTGCAAGCTTGCTTGTTCTCCAACCAATCAGCCGCGTCAACACCTTCCCTCAGTACCAGCCTTCAGCATGCCGAGAGACTATTCAGGAGACGTTACCATCCCTCCGCACCCAGTTTCTCGCGCCTATGGAGCAGCGACAACATCCTCGACGATCGTCGACGACTATCAATCAACGGCCTCCACCTCAATTAGTACGGCAGTCTGACCGCAAGGTCAACTTCGTTGACTGTCTCGTCGGTTAGTATATGCATCCCATGGACCCTAGGTTCTCCGCTGATATTTCTCCCCTTCAAGATTCTGCTACTCAAATGGTTGAGGTTATCTGGCAGCTCTCCGAGCCCAAGAGTCGTTGTGAGACTGCTTCTGGACGTGGAGTGCTTCCTCTCCGCACTTTCATCCAGGAGACTCTTCGACGGTCTCGTACCAGCTACTCCACTCTACAGGTAGCCTTGTACTACTTGATCCTGATCAAGGCTCACCTTCCGAAACACGACTTTACCATGTCTCAGCCGGAAGATGCCTCCCTCCGCGCTCTGCAGTGCGGTCGTCGCATGTTCCTTGCAGCGCTCATCCTTGCCTCAAAGTACTTGCAGGACCGCAACTACTCTGCTCGTGCATGGAGCAAGATCTCCGGCCTCAAGGTTTGCGAGATCAACACAAACGAGATGGCTTTCCTTGAAGCGGTCAACTGGAAGCTCCACATTGTGGATGCTATCTGGGAGAAATGGCAAGAGGTTGTCATGCGACACACTCCTACTAACCCTCCCTCATCACCGGGAGCCTCCATTCCTAACACTTGGAAAGACGTCATCCCTATCTTGACGCCTGAGTTGGATATCATTGAATTGGGTCCTAAGACGCCAGCCACTCCTGTCCGACCGCAGCCAAGGCCGCAGCTTAGTGCATCTCCCTTCCGCTACCCGACTCTAGAGGGTTACAGCTCCCAGGAAAGCACACCGACTCCCTCTCGTTATCAGATGCCTCACTTTTTGGAGCCGAAGCCTGATTTCCTTCCTCCAGTTCCATCCTTGGCTCGTTTGGCTCCACTGCCTACGCCTTCCTTGACGCCGCAATCTATTGCCACCAGCACTCCTGCAGCGAGTTGCCCGGCTTTCGGATCGCGACGCCCATCGATGAGCTCAGCAATGCAGCAAGCACAATGCTCGTCATTGGCGCGCACCTGTGTCGACCAATTCAATCCCAGTATCAGGAACGGACTGGAAGCTTATCACTTCCCGACCCGACGGCCTTCCTTCCCTCCCTCGAACTCATCTCTGTCATCCTCTCCAGAGTCCATGGTCTCGGACAACTCGCGATCTTCGCGTGCTTCATCAATCTCTTCAGTCTCCTCTGTCGGCTGGGCGCCAATCCAAAGTCAGGCCAAATTGGCCCGACTGGCGACGTGCCGCAATGCGAGACTGCCGTATCCAGCACTACCCAAGTGCAAGGAGCAGTACGAGTATGCTCCTAGCGAAGCAACGTCCTCGCCCGATCTGGAAAGCTTCCACCTTGATGATTCGGACTCCGCTTCCGTCAGCGTCGAGAGCCCGGTCGCAATCCCTGCAAGCCGCAAGCGTGGCAGGTCGTCGGCGGACCTTCAACAGAACGTTCGTCATCTACTCCACAGCTCTCGCTCGGAATTCAGCCTTCGAGGCCAGCATACCGTTCTACCTGATCGTTCGGTTGCTCACTCATTTCCCCTGTCGGGCAGTGAACGAAAGGGGCTGCAGTCCCCTAAGCACACTGTACCCGATTGCTCACGTCTTCCAATCCAGAAAGACTTTGGCAAGAAGAGGTCGTGTTGCGCCACCGAAGCTGTACAGCTATTTCGTCCACAAGGGCCAGGCATGTGGGAAGGTATCTTATAACCTCAAACCATCGTCTACCACTATTGAAGAACCCCAAAGAGGGAAAAGAAGAAAGAGAAGGAAGTATAACAGCCTTCGCATACTCACGACACACTCTACACCTCCGTGTACATTTTCCTTCTCGAGCCCCGACATGTGTATTTTCTTGCGGACAAAAGTGGTCCCAGATCTCACTGCTACTTAGGTTTTCTTTTGCTTTTGGCGTTTTCCTCTTGGCGTCTATATCGGGGAGAGCTCGGCTGAGCCATGGTCGGATACCTTGATTGCTGGTAAGGTGCATAGCATGGCAAGGTTTCAGGACCTATGGAGTTGTGAGCGAATTGCTCTCCGGCTCTCGAATATCAGTGTATTGATGTACGTTTACGCTACGGCGACGGTGATTAGGTTATGGATCTAGTGAGTAGGTAGCAAGCAAGTCGTTGATGTTGCTATCTAATACTCGTCCAATCCGTCATTGATGAACGTGTGCTTTCTTTGTGTGTGATGAACTGTACTATACGTCTAATAACTTGCACTATAGGCTTCCCCTGATTATCGTGTTGACTCGATGCTGGAGCATGATACGGCTGCATACAGAATTGATTCCGCTAAGTTGCCCTCCATTCTCTTCCTACTTGTCTTCCTCTAAAAGCTACATACACGCGCTACTCACCAATTTCGCTGTCAGACCGTCCTTTTTAGCTTGCCTTTGTCCTTGTCTTACCTTTCCTCGTAACATCTCTCTTCTACACACAGGTAGGTAGGTTTATGAGGCACCCATTGCAAGGTGTAGTAGTAAGTCAATGTAAGAGAAAGGTATGCGTCCGTAAAGTAAATATTTGCATCTTCTGTTACTATAGGCAAGGGTATCGAAGATAAGGATACAGAAGACGTAATAGTGAGAAACCTGTCCAAATGATGAGGATAGATATTCTCGAGACTGACCTGTTGTCATGAATCTCAACCGGACTGGCGGCACTGGTGCTTCTGAAAAGGATAAGATGGCGCGGTGCTCGTTCCTTCGTGCTTATTGTCGTCCGATCTCACCCGGCCATCTCCGCCCGGCCTCATTAACAAACATTTATATCCGTCCAACACCCTAAAGGTAATGTTCGCTACTCAACATGGCATTTTCATCGAGATTGTCGCGTGTTTCGCGCATTTTGGATAATGCCCGCATCCCTAAACTGCTTGTCCGCTACAAAGGCGCGACTCTAGCAGCTCTTGGGCTCGCCATCGTCGCCCCGTTTGCCTTTCGAGACTACCAGACGTTCCTATCGTACGGTCCAGGGGGTTTGCCATATAACGTCGTCGGATGGCTACTATCCAATGTAATGCGTCTTCTCTCTCGCGAACAGCTGTCGACCCGTCCGTACAAAGACAAGAGTCTGTATCTTTCGGACAGTGCTGGATCTCTCCCGCCAGGCTTCCCTCCTCGTCGCAATTCTCCGCGTCCTCGATTTGGCGTTCATCCAGTTCCCCAGCGACAGGTGTCACAACTACCAGATGCAGAGACGCGTCAGGAGCTCATCGCGCGATTCACGGCCCTGGGAGAGGCTGCCCAAGAGCTAGGCCTCGTTGAAATCAAACAAAGCCTGTACGAGCGTCGCCATTCCGCACTATTCGTCTCCAAGAAACGCGAGTGGCATCCAGTTGCACAGGAAACTCGTGGAGAGATCACGCACGTCCATGCTGGCTTGGACGGCAGCATCCACGTGACGCTACACCCGAAAGACTGCAAGAAAGTCATTGAAGCAGCATGGGGCCAACGCCACGGTCTCGCGGGTGTCGGATACGTGCATCTGCCGATCACCTACCTCGTGGTGTATGCCCCGCGGGATGAGGCGGAAGTCCAGATCGTCTTGACAATTGTAAGAGCCTCTATTGCTTTCATGGCTGGATCCACCGAGATGTTGGAGTAGACGGTGCAACTGCGACGACTCAGGAAGAGACCTCGCCGGCCCGTTTCAGCATCCACGAAGCCACGAAACCAAGGTGTGGGGCTTTGCGGGGTAGCGCCCTCCTACCTCCACAATAACCCCTAATCTCCTAATGACCCTTTGTACAGACACTTTGAGTTGAGTACCTCGGTCAGCAATGGTCTCAATATCTGATGTTCACGTCGTCCGAAATAATAATCAGTCTGACAAGCGTGTAACACTGCAACTAGACGACTTTAATATGGGTATTTACACCCTGCTGCATGAAAGGGCTCGCTGTTCCCAACCGTACATAAAATAACACTAAAGAAACAGCCCTAACCGGGCACAAGCGAGCATAACCTGACTAGGTTTCTCCAATTTTGACAAGCAAGACTCGTGCAAATGCCGGTTCTGTGGGGCCTGATAGGTCTGCGGGGTTTGCACGGATGCCCATGCCTACGCAGACCCCAGAAACCGCATGCAATCCTGGCGTATGGGCGCTATATGATTTCGGAGATCGATCCAGTCTTGGGGGAATCCCAATCCTTCGTATTAAAGTCCGTTGTCGCACATACTGCAGCGTCTAGTCACGTCCAGAAGTACTTCTGACACACCCCCATCCCATCTTTGTCTTTTCAACACACCCTTTGCGAACTCATCGGCCATTCGGGCAGTGGTCTGCACCTTGCATCATGGGCTTCCTTAATGTCCTCGAGGACAAGCATCTTACTCATGTGCCTGCCACCGTCATTCTTAATGAACAGGATCATCAACACACGGAAGAGACAGCTGGACTGAAGCGTGGAAGCGGCAAAGATGCAGATATTATCTTGATTCCTCAACCGTTAGTGCCCATTGAAACACAGCTACCCGTGTAAAGTTTGTTGCGTTCGCAGTTCTAATGACCTTGCAGGAGCGAGGACCCGAATGACCCACTCAACTGGTCCACCACCAAGAAATGGACCATCATGTCCATTGTCGCATTCGGATCCGTTCTCTATGCTGCTGTACTTGCTCCTCTACTGTCTCCCGCCCTGGTGCTTATTGCGATGGACTTTGGGAAACAGATCGGTGATATCACTGTCATCTCTGGCTACATGTTGTTGGTGACCGGCGGCGTAGGACCACTCGTTAGTGCGTTATCTCGGAAGTATGGCAAGAGACCTATGTTGCTGCTCGCATCCATCTTTGGCCTGATCGGGACGGTGGTGTGTAGTGCAGCGTACAGTTATGAAGGACTGTTGGCTGGCCGCATTATTCAGGGCGGTTCCATGTATGTCGTCTCTACTTAGATGGGATCTGAACGTCAACTGACTTTTTATAGATCAGCCTTCGAGTCCCTTGTTGTCGCTATGATTGGCGACTTGTTCTTCGTTCACCAGCGAGGCGGATTCATGACCCTGATCCAATTCATCCTGGGTGCTGCTTCGAACTTCTCCGCCATCATCGTCGGCCCCATCGCGACGAACCTCGGATGGCGTTATTTGTTCCACATCCTCATCCCTTTTGTGGCTATCGAATGTATTCTGTTGTACTTCTTCGTTCCTGAAACGACTTACATCCGAGACCATCGCTACGATATCGATGAACTATCCAACGACAACCTTGCAGATCTCGCTGCTGTCGAGAAAAGACACGCGACCCCTGGTAACTCTCAAGAGAAGGAAGGCAACGACATGGTCAAGATCCAGACGACTACAAGCTCGCCCCCTGGGCGCCGACCAAAGAAGACGTTTGTGCAAGAACTCGCCATCTTCACTGGCACATATTCGAGCGACAACCTCTTGCAACTCACCATCGCCCCGTTCGCCGTCTGCGCCAACCTCGCCGTACTCTGGATGGTCATCGTAACCGGCGGTCTAACAGCCCTATTCGTCGCGCAATCCTACGACATGGCGCAAATCTTCATGGCGCCTCCCTACGGCCTCACCGCAGCAGGCGTAGGCTACCTCTCCCTCGGCCCCTTCCTCGGCGGCCTGTTCGGCTCCATAATGCTAGGCGCGACTCTCGACCCGCTGATAAAATGGTGCGCGAAAAAGAACGGCGGCGTCTACGAGCCCGAATACCGCCTGCTAGGCATGATACCCTCCATCTTCATTGTCATCGGTCTCTGCCTCTTCGGCTACCTCGCGGAGAAGGGCTCCTCGTTCTACGCCACGGCGTTCTTCCACGGCATGGATCTGTTCGGCATCGTGTGCGCTGCTATCGCCGCGTCGACCTACGTCCTAGACTCGTTCCGCGATATCAGCTCCGAAGTCTTCATTATGAATATGGTGTTTAAGAACTTTTTGTTTTATGGGTTTAGCTACTTTGTTAATGATTGGACGAAGAGGGATGGGCCTGCGAAGGTGTTTTATGTGTTTGGTGGGTTGGCGGCGGCCATGATTGTTACTACGCCTGTGTTCTTCTTCTGGGGCAAGAAGTATCGGAGTTATTGGCATAGGCATAATTTGCTTCAGATGTGGGGGATTACTACGCATGCGGAGTTGTAGTGGGGTCAGTTGTTCATTCGAGACGCCGCAGGGTTATGAATCTTGTTTGGATATATTTGACCATGGTCTTTCTCCATCTTTTGCGGCTTCTCGTAGCTATGCAAACGTCAGGCTGAGCTCCAAGCCTTGCCTGGACCTTAGCGACTGCAAAGCTAACTATTCCATCTTCGCAGCGTGTTGATCGTATCTTCAACTCTTGGAAGGACCACCAATGACAGTATTCGCTTGATGGACATCGGTGTAGTACGAGGCCAATAATGATAAGGCGGTGAAACCATTCGAGGCGTATTCGAAGCCTGAAAACGCCTCGTGTTTGCCCCGACACTGGCCTGCGCCTCCTACGACATCGTACACGGAGAGTCTTGCGATGAACATGCAGGACCCCAATTAAAGATATGGGGCTTTTATTTTCCTTTTCAATTTACTACAGGTGGTCTGGAACGGCAACAGAATACTTCGGCAACGAGCAAGTGCTGGCTAACAACACCGTGCGTTCGGCACGACCTCACAAGGCTACCATGGTCACCGGCAGGCTGCAAGGCTGAAACCCGAAGGCTGACTGCTTCACTGCCCCTCATAGGAGTTTTCAGCTGATGACGTGGCAAAGTGGCAGGCCTCTCCTACTAAAGTAGCCATACATCCTGTTTCCCTCCTTCATGCCCAAGTCTCGGTCATACCGCGCTCATGGCCGATCCTCTCTCAGTGGCTGGCTCTATAGCTGGATTGCTTTCTATCGCAGATATCGTTTTTCGGAAGCTCTACCAATATGTCAAGACTGCAAAGAAGGCGGAAATAGAAGTACAAAAGTTGAAGAACGAGGTTGCAACTCTCACTGGAGTACTGCACAACTTACACCTTGTTGTGGAGGAGTTGGAAGACGACAGCACAATCGACAACGCTATCAAGGTCGATCATGTCGCCTCTTGTTCTGCCACATTGAAGCGAATCGACAGTGTTCTATCCAGCATTCAATTCCCCAAAGACCAGAAAATCCAGAACGCCATCCAAAGACTCAAATGGCCATTTAAAGCAACAGAGACCAAAGAGATTGGTGACGAAGTGCGTCGGCACCGCGAAACGCTCAGCCTCGCACTCTCTGCAGATTCCATGACTGCGCTCCTGCAATGTCTCTCTACACAGAAGAGCATTATCAAGCAGCTAGACAATATTCAGGAGACCCTACAGCGCAATAAAGACTTTCAACTGGGCATTGCTCTAAACGAGGATCGCAGGCGAATTCTAAAGTCGTTTTTCACGGTGGAACCTCGACAGTACTTTGAGACATCTCTGAGCCTCCGCCATTCTGGAACGGGATCCTGGCTCTATGAAGATACCACATTTCAAGGTTGGCTCCAGGACCCTGGCAGCAGAGTATGGTTGACAGGTATACCTGGGGCTGGGAAGACTGTCCTATCTGCTACGATCATCCAAGGATGCCTCACAAGGTCGTCGGCAACCCAAGCTATCGCTGTTGCCTACTACTATTGCGACTACAAAAGTACAGATTCTCAAAACGTCGTGAACATTTTCAGTGCTCTTGCAGGACAGATCGCCATGAAGAACGAGGTTAGCTTCGTACTGCTTAAAGATTACTACGACCAGTTGCATGCTCGAGACCAAATGGAACAACAGCCCAAGACTGAGGAACTCATCAAAATCATTCAAGATATGGCTTCCACTTTTGACGATGTCCGGATAGTTGTGGATGGGTTGGACGAGTGTGGAGAGGCCATGGCAGCTGTCGCCGAGTCGCTTCATAACCTAGTATGCGCTCCCCGCGCTACAATCTCACTAGCTATTCTGAGCAGAAGAGAACAAGCTATCCGCGATGTATTCGAGGAAGACGACACATATACCCATATTGAGATTGCAGCACATAAAGAAGACATTGAAAGTTATGTTCAATCAGAAATCGACGAGCGCACACGCAATAGGCGTCTCCGCATCCGAAGCCCCGAGTTAAAGCTTTTGATTGCGCAGGAGCTGGTATCAAAAGCTGATGGAATGTAAGTCGATAGGAGATTCATTATTTTATTTTGGTAGTTAACATTGTCTCAGGTTTCGATGGGTAGCTTGCCAGCTCGATCACCTATGCGACCTAGCCACAGACTCACAACGGCGGAAAGCATTGAAAGAACTGCCGAAGACCTTGGAAGAAACATACGATCGTATCCTTTTGCGGGTAAAGAGACCCGTCGCTCCTTTAGTCTCCAGTACCCTGCAATGGCTTGCGCATGCGACAACGAAGTTGGAAGTCGATGCTTTGCTTGAAGCACTCTCAATCGACGACGACACGGACGTCCTTAACCCTGAAGATCGACCAACCGAAGAAGACCTGCTGATGCACTGCAGCAGTCTGATCCGCAAGACTGGTGCATATCTTGAACTCGCACACTTCACAGTGCAAGAGTACTTGGGAGCGCTTCCTACCGACCACAGCAAGCTTAGTCAATTTCGCTTAGTTCATGGTTCCAAGGCACTGCTTGCAAAGACTTGCTTGTCGTATCTCTGCTTGCCAGACTTCAATATACCTCCGAAACCCATCCTCGGCGATATCGTGTCTTTCACAGACAAGTTTCCATTTCATACACATGCGTCAAATGCTTGGTCTAGATATATGGACAACTCGTGGAGTGATATCGGGCTGCGTCCACTATATCGTAGGCTTTTCGATCCCGAGAAGACGCCTAATTTCGTTCTCTGCACTGTCCAGCGTTTGTTAGGCGAAGGAGTGGTCAGAGGTCAAGGTACTTTGATCCAGGCTGCGGTAGATTCATACATCATCCAAGACGTTTTCAACAAGGATTTCCGTCCATTACATGCCGCTGCTATGTTTGGCTTGAAAGAGGTCTGTCAATGGTTGGTGAATCAAGGTTGTGACTTAGATATGCCTTCTTCCTGGGGGCCGCCCCTCACACTGTGTATAGATACCATGCTCAAGTACAGTAATACGTATCTTGGCTATATCTCAGTCGATGACTCGGCGATTGCAGCGACGGCGGCTTTTCTTATGGAATCCGGTGCGTACTGTGAGAACGAGAGAGATCGCATTCAACATTTTATTGGAACTCCTGGAGACAAGTTCGACATCTTAAGGTCTGTCAAATCGTTCGCAGAGCGCGCAGCGAGACCACTCTCACACGCGTATAAATCGATGTCTGACAGCAATTTCAACGCGAGGCTCAAGTATTACATCTCCGACGACCAGGTCGAGCGTATCAGGGACTTTTCCAAGGATCCAAGGTTTTTCCTGGAGAGTAAATCACTTCTGACATGTGCTGCAGAATATGGAGCAGTCCGAACGATGGCCTTGCTACTAGATCTCGGCGTTGATCCAACGTCTCGAGATGAATATGGCAGGAACGTACTGTTTAAATGTATGAAAGTTGATAACGAGGAAATTCTATCCCGACTTATGACTTTTCCGGGTATAGAACATCCCGATAAAGGTGGAGCGACAATATGGCATTATGCTGCCAGACTTGGCGCATTTCGGATGCTCAAGTTGTGGGTAGAATTTCACAGCGAAACAGCACCTAGACTTATTGATGTATACGAAGGAAAAACGCCAATGATGTGGGCCATAGCCTCTGGAAGCGAACAATGCTGTCTGCTACTTGCTCAGACCATGCAGGCCCATCGGCTGGCGTTCGATGATCCGGCAATTGTACATGGTTGCGTAGCCATGGGCCTATCCCAGGTTTTGATACAACTACTCGATTATGGAGTTGATATTAAAGCGGTAACCGAGAGCCGACGTTCTGCTTGGTTCTTTGTAACTCCGTCGACCACTTCAGACATTGTCGAGCGTCTCTTGTCCACGGGTCTCGACCCTGTCAGTCAAGACGTTGTGGGAAAGTCGCCATTACATGCTTTACTAGACGGTACACGTCATGACGACATCCATGACGTTTCCGGAGGCGGTATGAATGAGGAATTTTACTACGACGCACTCACCTTACGACTGGACGGCATAAACGAAACAATGCTCAACTACCTACTGAACCCGGAGTCAGCCCATATAAAAGACAATGAAGGAAACACACTCTGGTTTAATTTCTGTACCAAGTACGTCCCGCGTTTCCGGTTTGACAAAGAGAACCAGAGCGTGCTCGATATTGATACTCTGGAGACCCTGGCTAGGCGTCTAGTACTCAACCACGCGATTGAAGCATACGAAGAGGAGGATGAAGACGAGGCATACAAAGACGAGTATGAAACACGAAATGGACCTGAACTACTTTTCGAGGTTTGCCTTAAAACTTCCAGAGACGCCCAAGACAGCTATGATAGGTTGATTGCACAATTACTCCATTTCATCCTGGCGTGCGAAGACATAACGATCCGTGGTGAAACTGAGATCATGATGCGCTTGCTTATCTGGTCTCTGAAAAAGCATGAGAAGAAAATCTTCGAACTAGTTTTAAGTTGCGGGGTGGACGTACACCACGGCAATAGCACTTATGACGGGCATTCTGCACTTGGAATGACCTCCGCGTATGGATACGGAGATTTCGATACGTTCATTGCCTTAATGAAACATGCGAACCCCGATCGCTTTGACGAAGTAGACGGAAGCGGATTTGCACTGATACATGCGATCTGTGAGAGGGCAAACCTGACCGGGATTGCAAAAAAGTGTTTGCAAGCCGTATTAGAGGCTGGAGCTAATCCGGATGCTCACACCAAAGATGGTCGTACCGCGCTGCACCTTGCCGCTCGCAGGGACTTCGTAAATGGAATCCGACTCTTACTCAAACACAAAGCCGACCTGAACCTTCGCGATGAGAACGGTTGGGATGCTTTAGCATATGCCGTATATTACGGAGGTTCCAAAACCTTGCAGTTGCTACAGACCCATCTTGGCGACGCCATGGCTCTTCATGTTTGCGACAACAAGTACTTACTTCCAGGATATAGATCTCACAGTATCGAATGTACTTTGATTCACCTGGCCACTGTTTTGGATCAAGTTGGGATGTTGGAGCTTCTCAAAGCTAGTGGACGAGTCCAAAACATGCACGAGGCTACAGAAGACGGGTATACTCCATTGCATGTTGCTGCGGGCTTTAAAGCAACCAAATGCGCGAGTTGGCTCATTAAGAATGGGGCCGATATAAATGCCAAAACATATAAAAGCCAAACGACGGCGCTGCACGAGGCTGTTCACAGAGGATCCTTCTCCACCGTTCGACTGCTAGTCAGTGCTGGAGCCGAGTTCCCGGAAGATAAATGGAACCGCCGACCCAACGATATTATACCAAAAGGGAAAGAGAATAGACTATTCGAGGCTCTTGAGGGGCTCCATGTGCCTGACCTGGTCTATCTGGATATCTTCTCCAAAGCTGACAAACAACCTTTCTTCGCGGCGATTCGCGATGGAGAGGTTTACACATGTCGCATAATGATGGAAGATGATCCTCATATCATATCAATCCCTTCTGCAGACTGCGGTTTGTGTACACCATTAATAACTGCTCTCGCAGTTACTCGGACAACAGCGGTGGTAAGTCTGCTACTGGAAAGCGGGACCACTACTGCTGGCTATAGATGTAGCAGGCACTCCTCTGACAAGACCGACACCTGCGGCGCTTCCTCTGTCCATTTGGCAATCATGCGGCCGGACCTCAATTCGAAATTACATATTCTACTTCACTTGTGGTCCCAGCAGCAGAGCGATAGCTGGAATGGTATCATGCCTGTTCATGTCGCCGCCGCGTTCAATCCGGAAGCAATCGATATTCTTCACGATCATGTCATTGCTCACGCTGAGCGTTATCCGTAGGCTACGTCATTCCTGATGCTGATCTATCTAAACCACTGACATGGTGCAAATAGTGGCCTTGAGTTTCACAAACCAGCTGAATTCCCAGCACAGCTGCCTTCATGGGCACTTTCGGGCGCACAGCCTTTGCATATCGCTGCACATAACAATCAGATGAAGTCAATAATACGCCTACTTTCTTATGGCGCAGATGTTCGCAGCCATGACGATAATGGATTAACAGCATTGCACATAGCGGTCGCGCGAAACTGTGTTGACATTGTAGAGATCTTGTTGGCTCACGGCGCGGACCCAAACGCACAAAACGGGCTTTCAGAAACACCATTAATTATGTGTGCTAAGTCGGCTAGAATTGACATAGCTAAGCTGCTCCTACTTCATGGAGCTGACATGCACGCAAAAGCTAGTTATGGAGATACAGCACTGCATGTGGCTGCCAGAAGGAATCGTCTTACGATGCTAATTTTCCTTATCAAGGCAGGATGTGATCCTGCTGCGAAGAGCCAGTTGGGCGGGTATTCTGCGTTGGCGTTAGCATTAACGCACCCAGAAATGGCAACGTACATCTACGCGCAAGGCTTTAGTCTCTACCACATGACCCCGTCCAAACCCGAACACTATCCACTAGTGCAGAGGGGAAGAGGGGATATAACATACTTGAAGCGGCTTCTTCGATACTTGCGAGATCACACTTGTGTCACGATGTTCAACTACGAGACAAAGCAAGTCCTAAATACACTAGTGTATGCCGCCAGGTTCGAGAGTATTGACGAAATTGACTATCTCATAAGAGCTGGAGCAGACATTGAATTCGCGGCCCCCAATGGCTTGGGATCGGCACTCATCGCTGCGTGTACAATAGACCGGTTCAAATCTGTCAAGTGTCTAGTCTATCACGGCGCAAGATATGAGTCAACAATTGACGGCACACCAATCACCGCACTACAAGCAGCCAGGCACTCACCGCACCTAGTCCACTGGTTACTCGTGGGGCGATATACCGAGCAGTCAAAACTCACAAACTTCGCGACGCAAACGGGTCAGCTTGTGAAGTCCTGGTCTGGAGTCCGCCAGCTGGAGATCAAGCTGGATGGCTTCTACAAGAGCCATCAACTGCTTTTCCAGTCTCTTTTCGAATATGTATGTTGGATCTATGGCCAGAAGGATTCGTGGAGGCGGTTGGTTCCGCAATCGTGGAAGCCAGAGGATCATATTGTCGCACTGCCTGGGGAGCCAGGGCATCCGCTCGAGGCACGATTTGCGCTACGTGTGAAGGACGCATTAGAGGAAATTCCCTAGGGGGAGAGTTATGATCACGAGTGATGAACCAGGCAATTTGATACAAGTTAGGTTTTCGGAGAATGTATGGTCTCCTCCCCTTCTTGGCGGACTGGATCCCTGAAACCGCCTTTCTCCACCCCAAATAACCCGTCTCGTGCTCAGGGTAGGGATGTTGGTCTGAAATACTGGTCTCAAAGCGTATATATTGTCTATCCAACAGTTTGTTTTATTCGATTCAAGCACACCGGCTCTACTATCTTAATCCCAAGATCACACGTACATCTACACCCCAACTCCTCCCCCCGTCCCTCCAACATGGGCACAAGCTCTCCTCTCCTCCTAGCCTCATCAGTAGGGGCATGCGTGCAGTACTGCAAATTAGCATGTATATACCCAAAGTCCGAGAAATGGTGCAATTCCTCGGGCCTCAACAGCAACGCAGCAGCCAAACTGTGTACAGGAGCATCGCCCCAGCGCTCATAGTAGAATCCCCCATCTTCATCTAGATACCTAAAGAGCGAGCGATATGCGGGCGAGCGAAAGAAATCCATATCCGCGATCTCAAAGTTCGACCAGAAATGGCACATATTCCAAATATCGCCGTATGCGTCTCGATTGCGCAGTAAGGAAAGGAAGCGGCGGAACGGCCAGGGGAGATAGGAAGGGTCTATCATGGCGGTCCAGAGGGATGTCGAGGGTATGTGCACGCGCGCCTTGTAGTCTGAGAGTTTGCGGAAGAGCGAGGCGACGGTTGTGCCGCGCTCCCAGAGTGCGATTGTGTAGCCGTACTTCTTGCCGTGCTTCTCCATCTCGATGAACGGGTCGTAGGTTATGGCGCAGGTGAAGGATATGTCTGGCTCGACGCGCCAGTACCATTTGTATGATTCCAGGGCAGGATGGTCGTAGAAGAAGCTGTTCACAGAAGGCATATGTCAGTGTGTCTACTTGCAAACACTGGAAGGAGCAAGGTCGATGGTATAATATAGGAAGAATACTTACCCGCTTTGAAATCGGCACATATGATGGTAGCTCTCCTGGCCCGCATACATGATCCCTCTTCTCTCCATCTCCTCCATTTTCCGCCGCGCCTTATCTTGGTCTATCCACTCCGGATACCCCCACATTGCTCGCGGTATCTTTTCGAACTTTACATTCACACCTTCTCCAGCTGCCTTGCCAACCTTCTCCATGAACTCCGCGCTCCACTTCTCGTCGTTCAAGAAGACCCAAGGGTATCTGAAGTGATCGTTGAACTGCGTCTGCACACTCTTTACACTATGAACAGCGCCAGACACGTCAGAGTTGCGTGCAAGCATGACCAGTGTGGCGTTCGCCCGCGGTGCTACGTTCATGACTGGATTTTGGCATCCGACATGGAAAGGAGGGTCGAGATTCGTTGCTGGACGGCGGATAGCGAAACTCTGTATGTGAACGCATACTTCGATCAGCATGAGGAGTATGATTCCGAGAATCAACTTCCAGTGCAGTGCTATTGTGCGGGAAAATCGGCGTAGAGGATTCCGCCTTGGTCGACGGAGGGGCATGGTGGTTGTAGATGCATCCTTTCGACCAGAAGGTCAGGAGCTTCAAAGGAAAGAGACAACGGCATGACTATTGGGGAGTGAGATGATACTAGCAATTCGAGGCCACGACCAGCTTCTTGGCTGATTCCCGTCCATTTCTTCGCGCTCGGGTAAATGCGTATGTGCTGCGCCCCGGTAGATTCGTGGTGAGAGTCCTGCATACAATCAGCATGATAAACCTCCCAAGTCTTTACAAGCGAACCTCTCACAATCGACTACGGTTGACCTAGTATTATTCAATATAACAAGCATACTACCTAGGGCAGTTGCACTAATGTGACTGCGCCTTCTCCAAGACTTCTCAATGAGCTTCTGTATTGGCCTTGTTTGCACGCCGAGCCCTGTGTTTTAGCAAAGCATTCTTTTTCTTTCCATCAGCTAGATATATTCTGTCCTTTCTAGATCTCCCAGCCCGCCCTTGAGGTAAGACTTGTAAGGGACCCCCCTGCTATATGCGCCCCCTGTGCTGTCAGATATATAAATTTCCCCTCACAGGCAGTCAGACGAGGTACCGGTAACTCGGTAACTGAACATGCGATACATGATGAAAGCTCGGTAGCTAGTTTAGTCAATGGATATGAAGGATCAGTATTGTCAACTTGGAAGGATTAGAGACTAAGGTCAAGTCTACCGAAGTCAGCCCGCGCTACGGCTGTGTAAACCTTACTTATTGCAATCCGCTACGACATATTATGACGGTGAACTTATAGCTAAAGCGGCATCTGTTAGCGAGAAGGGTCGGTATTGAGTCAATTTCTAAAAGTCTAGATTCAACTACAAGTTGAGACTGCTAATGCGCCAAGGACGGGCAGGCATTGGCGTTGCGGGAGCACAATGGTACTATCATCTTGTTATCCAAATCCTATCTATAACCGTGAGAGTTTACCTATAGTAGCGAACACAGCTACTTCTATCTCTGGCGTATGCTATGGACCAGACAGGCGTGTTGAATTAGTGAGTGAATTGTTACTAGACGAACTGGACCTGCGTACGAAGGAGCTCACGTTCTTACTTGGCACCAAGTCCTAGCCCAAATTAGTCGAGACTCTAATGCTCAAAACAAACGAGCTCCGTCGTAGATGATGACACAACCCCTTTTTTGTAAGGCGCGCCGCGAGAGCACACTTCGAAGGATTCGAGGGCTTGAATCTTGGACGGCTGCGGAACGCCAGCACGGAACATCGCCGGCAGACAAATATGTCAGCAACGTCGGAGATGCAGACTGTCAGGGCCGAAGACATGCAACCACGCTACTTGTTCCAGTCCCAGCAATCGAGTATTCAATGTCTAGAGTCCCATTATTGCGTTGCTACCCGCTCCAAAGTGGGGCAACTTTGTGTAGCCCGAGAAGATGCACACCTATCCGCATCGGGGTAGGCCTACGTTTCGCGGCGTTTCGGGTACATTTGTTTTGGAAAAGAAGATGGCGGGAGGCTGGAACTGCGCGAATGAGAATCTTCAAAGGTAAGACAGGGCGTTTGGCTCGAAAAGGGAGTGGCAGGCGTCTAGATCAGGCGATTGGCGATGAACGGCGATGGCAGGTGGTTTATGGTCCTAAGTTTGTTGCTGGGTAATTTCTCCCTCTCTTTCGGAGTGCGCAGACTTATTGGTAATCTGGTTACGGACGAGATGCTGTGTGAGTGGTAGACTGCGCACAAGGAAAGCAAGGAAAATCAGGTGAGATGATAATTCGCATTTGTGTAATCAATGTGGTAAGAGCGTGGTAAGTAGCGGATATACGACAACAAGAGGAAACAGGGGTACGAAAAAGAACAGCGTGGCAGGAACATAAATGAGAGCTACACATACAGTCTTGTGTGGAAATGCATGCAGGATCGAGCTGCAAGCAATGGACTTTGGTTCCTGCATTGCCGAGCTCTGACGTATCCTTTTAGGGTGGAAGTAGATGGGACACAGCAGGGAAAAAGAAATCAAGATCTGTGACAACGTAACAACAAACAAGAGCAAAATATATCAGAAAAGACAAGTGTCAACTTGGGTATCCCCAGAAAAAAAAGCTCTAAATGAAACAGAACAGAACGCCGACAGCCGTGAGGCATCCAATTTCTCCATATCCCCAATTGTTTCATCCATGCCGTGAGGCTTCCATTCTTACTAGAGTATAGTTGTCCGTGAGGACGTGGTATTTCTGTTGTGTCGTAATCGTGTTTTGTGTAGGTCGGATCCGATCCGTGAGTGAGGAGGGAAAAGGTAGAAGTATATCGATTGGCAAAAGATTCAGATGCGGCGATTCAGATGCTCGACGCGCGACTTGAAACCCTTGACAATCTCTCCAATGCGACGCACTTTGTCGAATTCGTCCTGGAGCTCGTCGATTTCGCGGAGAATGGCGCGGAAGCGGGCGATTTCGGCATCGGCCATCTGCATTGCGTTACCCGCGCGGTCGTACTGCACTTGAGTTGCTATTTGTGTCTGCTGCGTGAGCTGGAGCTGGCTGTCAGCATTGCGCTTCTTCAGGGTCTGGGGGGCGTCGCTCTTCTTCAGACTCTAGGCTTCATTGTCCATATATATATATAATATGTGTGTTGCCATCCATGGCTATAGAAACGGGGGATACTTACATACTGCCATCGCTGCTGAATCGAGTACATCAGACGGTCAAAGTGGGCGCCGAGCGCCTGCAAATTGGAAGGATCCAGGAGGAGACGGCCTTGGCTAGAGGCGCGGGAAGCAGCGCGACTCGAATTGCTGCCCTGCTGCGACGCGGCAATCTGTTGCTGAAGATATCTGCTCTCGGTCGCGTTGAGCCCCAGTTCAGAGACTGGGATGGCGGACATGTGCACATTATCTTAAAAACATGGTCGGAATGCTCCTGGCTCCTGGTGTGCGACGAATCCAGCTAGTAGTGGTTACTAGCTGCTCTGCTGTTGAACGTTGCAACAGCTTCGAGGGAGTGGGATTCAGATTCAGATTGGGATGGGGATGCAGCTGATGATGTTTTGGGCGGAGAGGGGAGGCGCCGACGGCTCGGGCTGCCAAGTGGGTGGGGAGCGAAACAGAAGCATGTCGCCAAAAGCAACACCACAGTGAACGCCCACTCTATCCCGCATACGCTCCTCTTGGCCGCCTGCAGCCCTACTGCCGTTTGATTGCGCCGGTTGCCAGCCGCCGCATTGCTGCTGCGCGACACTTTTGTAACCCAGCGCGCCTCGCAATTCGCGCGCGCACACCGAGTCGCCCACCTGCTCGCCCACGCACTGCGATATGACGCTGCACTGGACCTTGCTCACGACTTGTTGCTTTGCGTCCTCCGTCACCGCATCGCTGTGCCCCACAGAGCTCCTTGACTACCGTTCAGGCGCGGGATAGTATCTCCGTCTGCACACCCTCTGTGCTCTCGCGGACCAGGGGTCATGCCTGTGCCGCGAGGAATTATGGATGAATTGACCCCTCCATGCGAGCTGGCGGGGTAAGCCTGGCAGCCCTGGGTGAATCGAATCAAGAAGGTGACAGTGGCATGTGAAGAGGGCTGCTGACCTGGCTGTCATGATTTGAGCCTCTTTCTTATCAAGTAGCGATGATGGAAGAGCTTCACGTGAAGATCACGGAAAATCGCTCTCCGACTACTAGAGGCTTGGTAGAGACATTTGCAAGGACTAGGGCAGATAGATCCAGATGCTAAACCAAAGACTGTCACCAAGTACCGAGGCAAGTGTATATTTGAATTTCTTGAATTTGATCAGGCATGTAGGAAGCATCCACTGGGCTTCTCAAGCCGGATATCCTTCATTTCAATAAGAGAGGAGACCGAACTATAGCCTCATGTAGGCGGTCAAATAGATACAGTAAGAAACGAAACCGAAAAAAAGGTGGGTATAAACAGCCAAATCCAACCACAAGACCACGCTATGCACAAACATAAAGAAAATAACCCTCCAAAAGCCAACCCAAGGCGATCGGCAGCAGCACCGCCTAGAGGGCGTAGTTCTCCGTATGCAAGAAAATCTCATCCCTATTACTATCACTCCAGATACTCCTCTGCATCTGCGCAACCGTCTCGCTCACACTAACCCTCATACTCGGCGGGCCGCAAACAAACACACACGTCCTCCTCCCAAAATTCCTGCCTAGTCCCTTCAATAGGTATGGTATATCAGGCCGTCCATATTCGGTGCTCCAGCCGTCCTTCTTCTTGACCGCAGCAGGCAGGAACGCGAACCGCATAAGATTCTTCTGGAACTCGGTGGGCGTAGATGGGAAACCAAAATCGAAGCCCTGTACGCCTTCAGTGGGGTCCTGTGTGATGTCGGGGTTGATGGCTCCGGAGCCGGATTGGAGGGCTTGTGAAATGTCCAGGGAGAGGTTGCGCTCTTGGCGGCGGGCGGCGAGGGAGCGTTGCGGGACGGGCGAGATGACATCGGGATTCGAAGATTCTTCCGAGAGGCGACTGCTCTGAAAGCTTGGTCGCGGCGGCGCCAGGTAGCCTCTGTTGACAGGGACGAAATGTGCTTGTGGGAGGGCGGTGATGTTGTCTTCGTTTTCGCGACGAAGTTCGCTTTCTTTCTCTGGGTCGCCTTGGGCTTCATCACGAATCAGTGCGGAATGTCGCTTTGATGAGATGCCCGAGAGGCGATGATCGGCGATATTTTGGAAGGCGCCGTTGACTTTGTCGTGGAAGTAGAGAGACACCGGCCGTGTGGGTGTCTTTGCGCTGACAAGTGTGCCGCCTGGGTTGCGTTTCGCGGCTGTGATGTAGAATTGACACTCTACCGTCTCTGGTGGTGCGTATTCGCGGCAAATGCGCAGTTCTTCTTTGAACCATTCCATGGTCTCAGGGCGCTTGAGTGCCCATATGACATGGATTTTACGTGTGACGGCCTTGCCATCGCGCATCTTCTTGATGAGTGTGAGAAGCTGGGAAACAATGGCGGTGATTCCACTGCCACCCGCAATGAGAACAACGTCCTCGAAAGCTTCGATACGTCTTTGCATGCCTCCGTATGGGCCGTCAACGAAGGCGCGATACGTGTGCCATGGGCCATGTTCGAGTGCCTTTTGAAGAACCTTCTTCGTGAAACCCCCGAATGGTCGGAAGACGAGCACCATATCCTTATAGCCCTCGCCGTACTCTGATGGGAAGTCATCGTCGCATAGCGATGCAATGGTGAACGGATGGTTTTCAAAGACCGAGATTCCAGGCATGCGTAGGTAGATATACTGCCCAGGCCTCCACTTCATCTGAGTGGGGATAGTAACCTTGATCGCATTTTCTGGCATCAGTGTGATGGCAGCTTCATCGCCGATGAGCCAAGACAAGCGTCCTGGTCGAGTCCAATTGAGGTAGAATAGTCGCATGATGTAGGAGAGCAGCCATATGCCTACAGTAGATAGCAGATAGTGCCATGAGGTGAGGTAGTTGTTACAATGCCAGAACATCATCCCAAGGAAGACGATGGCGACGGGTACATGAAGCGCCACGAAGAGTTCGTACATTCGGTGGCGAAGAGGAGCGATGGAATGCAAGCAAAGGAAGCACAGAGGTACGAACGCTGCGAGTCCTGCGAGACTGTCAGCGAAAAATTCGAAAGGATAGGACTAGTGGTTGAGTCTAGAAGGTATAAAGCTATACGTACCAGTACCGTAAACATAGAAGCCTTTTCGCGCGAAAAAAGGCTCGAAAACGTGGCGCGCACCATCTTCCCAGATCGGGGTGATATAGAAGGGCACAACATGCAAAATGCTTAACACGAGGCAGATGTACGCAGCCCACCGATGCAGCACATTCAATCGCTCGTGACTAATGCCAGTGACCATCGTGATAAGATTTGCCTTCGAGGACAGCGCGACGATCCAAGGTAAAAGCGCGACCGCCATCATCCCTGAGCGGACTGCGAGTGGCGGCGATCCGTAGGCAATGCTTTCCCAGAACAGCGGTTGCGGAAGTGTGCAGTAGAGAATGCCTACAAGCAGTGCTAGCAGGCCGATGACGATAACACTCAAAGAGGGGAAAACCAAGGGCCTCCATCCTTTTCGGATGTTGATCTGTCGAACCGGGCGGTAGAAGATGAAGCGGAAGAAGGCCACCAGATTGTTGATGGGTCCGACAGATGACACACTCGACTGCGTTTTTGGTCCGCCTGGTAACGGGCCTTCGCGGGGAAAGAACTTCATGGTGGACTTGTCAGTATACAGGACCGATAGCTCGTAATCTGTGTCGGGAGAGGATGTCGTAGAGGATTGCAATACCTCTTCTTGGTGTAATGCGGTCCGTATTTTGTCGGTGAATAGGTGGTAGTATCGCATGAGCGCTGCAATGAGGAGCAGAGGTATGCAGAAGTAGACGTAGGCCAATGCATATTTTCCACTCTTGTTCCATGGATCAACGGTGTTGGCCTCGATTAGTCCAGCTGGACTCGTCCTGTTAGATGGTACGTTGACTCGGCGGAGGAGCGTTGAAACGGTGTCGATGACGTTTCGATCAGCATGCGATACCACAGCCCCAAATTGCTCCAAAGCCGCCCCCGTCCGACCTACTAGCAGCTCCCGAACTGCTGGCATTTTCGATTCCTAGATGTGCTTTTTCGCACGAAGCGATGGGGTACTAAAGCTCGTGGAACACCTCTGCCAGCTGAAGCTGGAACCACGGCGTCGAGGCGTCCTATGCCAGCGAGTATTGGGATCGGGGCAACAATCGCTTATAGGACTTCCGGGAATCCAACTCTACATGGATACGAAGATGCGGAATTGATGGCTGTGATAATGCGGTGTGAAACTGCAGCGGGAACCCGATCCGGGGTCGATGTCGTACTGTGTGCAACCAATCGCAGCTCGCAAGATTCGGATGTAGTGTTGTGTTAGATCCACCTCTTGTTCTGCGCAAAACAACAATGTCCTGTAGTAGATCGTGACGGTAGGTGCACGAACAATAGAGGTGTGAGACCACAAGGCCACGATATATCAGATACGGGTGCGTGAGAAGCAGCCCGAGTGTTCCTTATGTTCCTTGCGCAAGTGGAGTAACGGGTCACAGGCAGGGATCAGGGTGTCGTATTGTGTGTGGCAGCAATGGCAGCAAATGGAGTAGGATATTCAACCGCTCACTACATCCCACGCTATTGGGCCAAGATGTGATAACGAGTCGAGCAGGGGGTCCGAAAGGAGAAAGGACGAACCGAGTGCGCCATCACATTCGCGGGCTGCATTGACAGACAGATTCATTCTATCGGAGGGCCTCGCAAGTCGCTGCCGTGCGCACCCTGCAGGATCAGCGCCGTGACTAGTGAGTAGCAACCGTCGAGGAAGCGGACCGGCCTGGATTTTGCCTTTGAAGCGGGAGGCGCTGTCGGTTGCAGCGGGAGTTCCTCTCGAGCCGCTCCCTGATGCTGACATGCGCTCCATTTCAGAGGAGCACTTTGGACTGTCGCACAGCGTCCAAAGATCTCCGTCATTCCATCTATTGTGCGCCTTCCTGCGTCTGATGTCAGACACCGCTCTTTTCAAGTCAGAAGATTCCTTCTCATGAGCCCGTTGCGATAGATAGTGGGCTGGGCAAGGATCCGAACCGACACGTCCCATCCCCTCGTTGGTCACAGTCGAATCACATCTTCAGAGCCCGACTTTCAGGTCTGCATTGTGGGCCTCAAATGGGGCGCTGTCTTCGTTCGCATGACTTGCGGGTTTGGCGAATCGGCGTAGTGGGACTGTGGTGCATTGGCTGATGGGGTCTTGCAGCGACGCATGGGAAAAAGCAAGATGTCGAGCGGGGTGAGGTTGGCTTGTGGAGCCCTTGACTGGACCATGATCGTCGAGTAAGCGCCGCCCCTCTTGACAAGCTTTTTGACGGCCCGCTCATATCCCACTGTTGCTGCTGGTTGGTGCAAAGATTGGGACTTGTTCAAAATGCACCAAAAACATTGAATCAGCCAGTTGCAATTAAGCGATGGGAGCAAAATATTCGAATTAGGCAGGCACACGATCCTTTTCGGCCTACTCGGCCTTGGGTCAATAGCAGGGCGTCTTCGATCTTCGCAAACACCGTCATCAGCAGCAAGCATCAAACAAGAAGCACGTACGTACCTTCAATGATGATTCATTCACAGACCCTGACTTCCCGCTCGCTACCAGAGACTGTTCTCAAACATCACTGTGCTCATCACTCTAATCATCACACTGCTCCCTCACATCAACCCCTTCATATCGCTATCACCTCAACATCACATCAGCAACCCATCTCCTGGCATCTGATAAGTCTGCACACATAAACACATAAACAATCACCCCATCACCGAGCAACCATTAGGCGCCTTGCGACCCCCCTCGCGGCCGCCCCACACGTCAATGCACATGGAGATGCGTAACCGCCAGCCCTACAGCCCTGAACCCGCCAGGGCACATGCGATCAATTCAGTTAATGCAATTGTCCAGACTGCCGGATCACCAGGCACCGCAAACACAGTCCCACTTCCAGACTGTCGCGGGCCTACTACGCGCTCGACGATGTCCACGATGGGTTGGTGGCTGCAACTCTAATTGAACGTGCAAATGTGCTTGGGGTGGCGGCCTGCAGCCTCAGGGGCGTAGAGGTGTGGCGAGCGCTTGGGTGAGTAGATGGGCGTCTCGAGGGGTCTAGAAAGCGCCATGACGATGGCACAATGCAATGCAGATACCGTAGACATGGACGAGCCGAGGAAGGCGTGCACGCGAAGTTCAGGTACAGTGTTCGTCTGTGACGTGTTCTCGAAGCGAAGCGCCCAAAGTGAGTGATGGTAGACGCTTACTCTCCGAATCTAGATTGCGTGCCAGTTTAGGAAGGACATCTTGGTCGCAAGTGTCGACACTCCTTTTCTCTACACCGAGTACTCCCAAAAAAAGTTCACGGCGAATACATCGGTGAATGCTCCATCTCTTTCGATGACTGCTTCGCGCACAAAGTGACGTCGTTCGCCTGCGCGGTACTTTATCCTATCTGACTTGCAGGCAACGTTTCGAAACATCCGCCGAATCAAATTGCCGCGTCGATATGAGTACGCCGTGCAACAAGCTCGCGTATGCACTCCAATATATCTTCCCTCTTTCTGGGCCGCCTTATCTGGACAGGAATAGGGTCTCTCGACATGTGCTCCTCATTTATTCGCTTGGACAGTGATTTAACAAAGGGTAGCTGAATGTGTGCTTATCAAGTTAAAGTGGCAACCTCGCTGTTCGATGCTCGGTCTACTGGGATAATCAATATCTGGGGTATTGGGTGATTTGCGTGCGCGGTCATTCATAGATATGATTCAAGTATTATTATATGCTTGAAGAGACTAATCTTTTAGGAGTAGAGATATATATAGTAAAGTCAGAAGGGAGAAAATGCTAACTAGGAATCTAATGAACATCTCTGAAAGGTACTACGGAGATCTCACACATATGAGTCCACATCAGAGGGGCTACTATCTATGCACACAGCCATTCGTTCCTCTTAAGATATATCGTTTAGCCGTCGTATCCCGTTCTGAGAAGTGCCGAACTCGCCAAAGGGCCAGAGGGCTCTTCACGTTCTTGAATGCCCCAGACGCATCAATAATTTTCACCCATTGGCCAAAATACAGTGTGTTCTCCTCTTTTGCTTGCTCCCACATGTCGGCAGGAACCCATCCATCGGAGTCCGAGCCCAGCGCGCGCTTGACGAACAACTTCAACTCCAGCCACATCGTAGTATCGAATAGGCCTCAGCAGCGTTTTATCTACGGCCCTTGCGTCGTGGAGTTTTGACGTGTGACCTAGTAACACAGCCTCAAAGGCTTTCTGGCATATTAGGACGTCATTCTCATATCTTTCCCTTGCTGGCTCTTCCTCTGGGTCCTCTGCTGCTATTTTCTCGAAAGGCTCCCCATCTGCTGGTTTATGCTCTGCAATCAATTCTTTCTGGACTTGGTTTTCGACAGTGAGATAATCCTCCACTATATCAGGCGTGTCATTGGCGTAGACGAATGCTGATTCGATACTGGTAGATTGCCAATCGATGATTGCGGTGATGCAGGAATGATCATCTTCGGAGACAAAGATATTTTGCTTGTGAATGTCACGGTGAAGCAATGTTGGACCGGCCACGTTTTTGATGATTGGACTCTAAACCAATTCCTAAATGACTTTGCTGCTCATTTCCAGCAGACTGAGATGCTCCTGGACAGAGCCGCGATACCACGGCCTTGAATGTACACCGTCGGCCTTTCGAAGGCGGGAAAAGCCAGCATCAATCAGGCCCGAGCAGTATGACTAGACGTGGGCGGATGTAAAACGAGTGAGGCAAAGTCATGGATGCTAGGCAACATGATCCGTGTAGCATTGATCAAACATGGACAAGGACAAACAAGACATATTGAAAGAATGAGTAAGCAAGCAAGCTTCGCACGAATGACAAGGGCTAACCCTGGAAGTTTGGAGGCAGTGTATCTCATATTATCGCAGGCCTTTCCTATTATGAGTGCTACTTCGCTTGCCCAACAGAGACCTGAAGTCATGTTGAGGTATCTTTACGCATTAAGTAGACAGAACGCTAGAACACCCTATCAATAGACCAGACAATTACTCCGTTAGGCAGTAGTATGAGGAGATACGTGCAAACTCTTTAGCGAATCGCTGTTACTCTAGGGCGGTCAATTCCTAGCTTCCCTAATCTTCTGTGTGTACTTGGGTTTCGGAAGAGAGTTGTTGAAATGGTCGACAGTGTAAGGCGAGTGCATGATAGAAATCAAACTAGTGCCGAAGTTTGGCCTTTGTCAATTAATTCATACCTAACATGTCGCTATTCAGGAAGCTTGGCCCTCGAGCGATGAAAGAGAGATTGACGAGTCTGACGTTACCAGAACGGGCTAATGCGGGGAAGCGATTCCCTCCGACTCGCCGCCGTGACCGGCATCGTAAATTATGAACGCAAGACTCATCCACACTACACTTCTTCCGTGATCCTTTACGGCCGTACATCGTGACTCACAGTTGTCTCGTATACATAAGAACGTCGATTCTTGTCTTCCTCGCATCGCCATACCTTATAGACAACCATCATCAAAAAGAAACCATTGAGCCACCACAATGGACGGAATCAAGAAGACCTTTGCACAATGCAAGAAGGAGGGCAGAGTACGTCATCACATCAAACGTCAATTGAGTATATACTGACAGCAACTGCAGTCTGCCCTCATCACGTATGTGACTGCAGGCTTTCCCACTGCGCAGGAGACGCCCGATATCCTCCTGGGCATGGAGGCCGGTGGCGCAGGTACGCACAGCGAGCAATTGCTCTCCTACATGTCTCGGAGACGGTCAACTGACATTCGTAGACATCATTGAACTCGGCATGCCCTTCACTGACCCGATTGCCGACGGCCCTACCATCCAAACCGCAAACACTGTACGTTGAGTCATTCGCCACACATATACCCAAATACAATCTGACAGCATGTGTCTATAGCAAGCACTCAAGAATGGCGTCACAACCGTCGATGTCCTCCAGATGGTTCGCGACGCGAGGAAACGCGGCCTCAAGGCGCCTGTCCTACTCATGGGATACTACAACCCTCTGCTGAGCTACGGCGAGGAGAAGATGCTGCAGGATGCTAAGGAGGCAGGCGCCAATGGCTTCATCATGGTGGACCTTCCACCTGAGGAGGCTCTGCGCTTCAGAAACTTCTGCCGCAGCTATGGGTGAGTCCAGCCATGTTTGCGCATGAGATTGGTGCTAACCGCGTGTGTACAGCCTCTCGTACGTTCCTTTGATCGCCCCTGCTACCTCGGAGCACCGCATGCGCGTCCTCTGCAAGATCGCCGATTCTTTCATCTATGTCGTCTCCCGAATGGGTGTCACTGGTGCTACTGGGTCGCTCAACGCCGCTCTTCCCCAGCTGCTCGACCGCGTCCACAAGTACTCTGGAAATGTCCCAGCTGCAGTGGGCTTTGGAGTTAGCACGCGTGACCATTTCCTCAGCGTCGGCAAGATTGCTGAAGGTGTTGTCATTGGTAGTCAGATCATCAACACCATCGCCAATGCTGAATCCGGACAGGGCGCGAAGGCTGTCGAGGAATATTGCGACAAGATCTGTGGCAAGAGCAGCCGAAAGACCACGCGTGAAGTCGGCATGGTTGAGGCCTTGGCCGAGGCTAAGGAGCCCACTGGCGTTCATGTTGACAAAGTCATTACCGATGCTGATACTCCTGACGGCCCTGGACTCGCTGATCAGATTGAGGCACTGAACACCAACGGCGACTTCGACGAGGAGCATGCGCACCCTCCTCGATTTGGCGAGTTCGGCGGACAGTATGTGCCCGAGTCGCTCATGGATTGTCTTTCAGAGCTTGAGACAGGCTTCAGTCAAGCTGTGAACGACCCGAAATTCTGGGAGGAGTACCGGTCCTACTATGACTGGATGGGCCGTCCAGGGCATCTGCATCTTGCAGAGCGCCTTACGGAACATGCAGGCGGCGCGAACATCTGGTTGAAAAGAGAAGATCTAAACCACACTGGAAGCCACAAAATTAATAACGCCCTCGGTCAAATCCTCATAGCTCGAAGACTTGGCAAGACTGAGATCATTGCTGAAACTGGTGCTGGTCAGCATGGAGTTGCCACAGCCACCGTTTGCGCCAAATTCGGCATGAAGTGCACGATATACATGGGTGCTGAAGATGTCAGGCGCCAAGCGTTGAACGTCTTCCGTATCAAGCTGCTTGGTGCATCGGTCGTTGCTGTCGAAGCTGGCTCGCAGACGCTTCGTGACGCCGTGAATGAGGCCCTTCGTGCCTGGGTCGTTAAACTTGACAGTACGCACTACATCATCGGATCTGCTATTGGTCCTCATCCGTTCCCGACCATCGTCCGTACCTTCCAATCCATCATCGGCAACGAGACAAAGCAGCAAATGCAGGAGAAGCGTGGCAAGCTCCCCGATGCGGTTGTGGCTTGCGTTGGAGGTGGCAGTAATGCGGTCGGCATGTTCTATCCTTTCGCAAACGATCCCTCCGTTAAGCTACTTGGCGTGGAGGCTGGTGGTGACGGTGTCGATACGGATCGCCACAGTGCTACCCTTTCAGCTGGCACCAAGGGCGTGCTACACGGTGTTCGTACCTACGTGCTTCAGAACAAGCACGGACAGATCAGCGACACGCACTCTGTCTCTGCTGGTCTCGACTATCCGGGAGTTGGCCCTGAGTTGTCCAGCTGGAAGGATAGTGACCGTGCCAAATTCGTTGCTGCCACGGATGCTGAAGCCTTTATTGGTTTCCGCCTCATGACTCAGCTAGAAGGCATTATTCCGGCTCTCGAGACTTCCCATGCTGTCTTCGGTGCTCTTGAGCTGGCTAAAACGATGACCAAAGACCAGGACGTGGTGATCTGTGTCTCTGGCCGTGGTGACAAGGATGTGCAGAGCGTCGCTGAGGAGCTGCCTAAGCTGGGTCCTAAGATTGGCTGGGAGTTGAGATGTAAGTCGAGTCCCGACTCGGAATTGCCATGCTCTTTGCTAACGTTTTCAACAGTCTGAGCGTCGACGGTTACAAATCTTCTTACCATGGACGTTCCAGTCGCTATGAAGCCAACCATCTACATATAACGTCCGATGAGATAAGCAATACATGATAGATTTGCTCGCTTTGCACCAACCATGGGATAGTCTCTTCTTGTCTGTGCGTGATGTTTTCGTATGTGAATATGGCGTTTAGCCTTTAGTCCGAAATGCTTCAGGATGGATCACGATAATGTCAAGGAATTGCCCGAAGCTATCCTTCAGCCCAAAGTCAATAGCAATTACGTGCGAGATCTAGCTTTATTGCTAATTTATAGTAGGCTATTTAGTTAATATAATTATTTAGCTAAATTTAATTTTATATAAAACACTTGCTTAAGTAATTATTTTATTATTTTATTTTTTACTAGCTACTGCTTTTATTAACTAACTATATTTTTATTTTATAAAGCTAATATAAGCAGCTTCCTTCCTTTATATATAAATTTAGTATTTAAAATTATAAATAAAACTTTTTTATATAAAAATATTATAGCTAATTTTTATAAAGCTAAGTTTATAAGCCTTATATAATATATAAAAGTAGTAAAGCTAATTTTGCTAATTAATATAAATTTAAAAATAATACTTGTTTATTTACTTATATTAAAACTTTATATAAATTTATTACTATTAAAAATAAACTTGCTAGCTAAATTAAAGCTAAAGCTTATATTTTTAACTTATTATAAAAAAGTGTTTAAATAAAAGTAAATTTTTTAAAAAAAATTACTAGCTATTTTATAGCTAAACAGCATTAATATTAGGCAAAAAAATAAAAAATTAAGGCTTTATTAAAGCGCTGCACTTTTTAGCTTAAAAGAATTAGAATTAATTAACTTGTTTAGCTGAGGGCCCTGCAATACTTTGCTGCAGTTGTGCCGCGACTTCACACGTTTTGAACTATGATTGGTAGCCCCCACAATGCAGGGCAGGGTGATCCACGATGATGTTACGTAGATGAGCAGGGTCGAGATGCACGATGCCATGCGTGGACTAAGTGGCGGTTGAATGCCGACTCCAACGTCCTCACCGTCCATGTTTGCATTTGAAGAAGACTCTCAATCAACAACGATAACGGTGAGACATGTTGCCTCTCGTGACTTGAATATGGATTCTGTAGAGGTGTGCTGCCTCGTAGCGTGGCCTGAGCAGAGCAGGACGGACATCCAACCGATTGAGCACGAGTCAGCCGAGCTTGGCTGCTGCGTCACCGCCGACCAAAAAGCATTATCCTCAGACTACCACCTGCAACCAATCCCAACACACTTGATTCCCGAATGCAGCACTCCAATTGCTGCCGCTCCACTTGCCCTCCGCTCATTGTATGGCTTAGGCCGCCAACTATAGTCGTTGCGCCTTCCGCTCGCTAGCTGCGCTCCTCCCAAGGTTCCTCTTTACCGCTACCGCTCCACCTTCATCCTGGACTTCTCTTCTCCATCCCGTGTCGCTGCGACCGAGCAAAGCTTCGAGCTTCATACTCTACACACCCACACAGAGCGACCCAGGGCGGCAGCGCGTGAGAGCAAGCGAGAACAAAAAAGACGGGAGAAGCTCGAGCAGCTTCGCGAGGCCGACGAGATGAAGTTCTCCCACAGCTTGCAATTTAATGCGGTGCCAGACTGGAGCAACCACTACATCGCCTACAGTAACCTCAAGAAGCAGTACGTTGAGAGATTCATAGGGCTGTTCACGGAAAGTGCTGGGATCACATGCTGACAAGTGTTGCCTTGTAGGATCTACAGTCTCGAGACCCAGATTAACCAAAAGAACGCACACGTCGACGCCGAATCCTCGCCGTTATTGAACGGAGACGCTGAAGACCCCGACAAAGCCTTTACGAATACGCTCGATGCAGAACTCGAAAGGGTCGTCTCCTTCTACCAGCTCAAGGAATCCGAGATTTATAGAGAAGTCGACGCACTCCTCAACGATGAAAACACGTACGAGGCGGAGCAGGCAGAATACGACCATGAGCAGGAAAACGCCCCGCCCGGCAAAAAGCTACGCAGCGGAAGTATCTTCAAACAGATCAGCTTCCATCAACCCAGTAAACCCCGGGCGATGAGTGGGTTAAGCGACCGATCGACAGCGGATGGTGCAGACGACGACGAAGATTCGGACGAGGACGCGAACGAGACATCACAACTGCGCAAGAAGAGCCCCGATGGGCAGCGACGGAGGCGGCGCGCTACTGATGAGGATTTGGCGGCTTCAAATGACTGGGCCTCGTCAAGACGGAAAACCAGCGTAGCTTTCGACGACTACAACGACATGGCGTTTGCCGCGCTGTATGACGAAGGAGTATCGTTGAAGAAGCGGGCCATCAGTGTATATGTATCGCTGTGTGAGCTGCGATCTTTCATCCAGTTGAACAAGACGGGGTTTGAGAAGGTGCTGAAAAAGTACGACAAGATTCTCGACCGCAAATTGAAGAGTCGCTACTTGAACAAATACGTTTATCCCGCGTTCCCATTCCAACAGAGCACCATGGATAGATTGACACGCAATCTGGAACGTATGGAATCTGCCTATTCGCAAATATGCACAAAAGGGGATGTCAACGAGGCCAAGCGTGAGTTGAGGCTCCATCTACGGGAACACGTGGTTTGGGAACGCAACACAGTTTGGCGCGAGATGATTGGAATCGAGCGCAAGGCACAAGCCGCTAACATTGGCATCACCCAAACCTTGCTAGGACATGATACGAGTGGTGGCAAGATACGGCGGCAAGGGGACGATATCCAGCCGGATATGAAGGAAGTGGACACGCCCATCGGAAAATACCGCTGCCCGCAATGGCTGGTCAGCAAGACGTTCTGGATGCTGCTTGCTTGTATAGCGATCTTCGTTGTCCTGCTAGTGGTGCCCATCATGGAGAAGCCTGAGCAGCAGAATTGCCTAGCTATGGTAGTCTTTGTCAGTCTACTTTGGGCTACTGAGGTAAGATCAAAATCGACTAGCGCTCCCGACAGTACTAACTACCACAGGCGATACCACTCTTCGTCACATCACTCCTCGTGCCATTCCTAGCTGTCACTCTCGATGTCGTCCGAAGCGATACCAAACCCTATCATCGACTAGACTCAAAACAAGCTGCGAGCTATGTCTTCTCCGCCATGTGGACGCCAGTAATCATGCTTTTGCTCGGCGGCTTCACGATTGCTGCCGCCTTATCAAAGTACAACATCGCAAAGATGATGGCCACTTTGGTTTTAAGTAAAGCTGGCACGAAACCGAGAACTGTCCTGCTTGTTAACATGTTCGTTGCCATGTTCGCCAGTATGTGGATCAGCAACGTTGCGGCGCCGGTGCTATGCTTTTCTATCATTCAGGTACGTTTTGTGTAGTATTAGGCTTAAAGTAGGAGCTAACTGTGTAGCCTATCCTCCGTAACCTCCCCGCCGATTCAGACATGACCAAGGCCCTTCTCCTCGGTATCGCCCTGTCCTCCAACATAGGTGGTGCCGCTTCGCCCATCGCCTCACCCCAGAACCTCATCGCACTTCAAAACATGCAGCCTGAACCCTCCTGGGGCGTATGGTTTTTCGTCGCGCTACCCGTATGCATAATCTCAATCCTCCTAATCTGGGTGATACTCCTCGTCACGTTTCAACCTGGTCGCGGTACAACCATTGTACCCATCCGCCCCCTCAAAGACAAGTTCACTGGGGTTCAATGGTTCATCAGTATTGTCACAGTCGTTACTATTGTGCTTTGGTGTGTCAGTCACCAACTGGAGCCCATATTTGGAGACATGGGTGTTGTTGCCATCATCCCGCTCGTCCTCTTCTTCGGCACTGGCATCCTCACAAAAGAGGACTTCAACAACTTCCTCTGGACCATCATCATCCTTGCTGCCGGCGGTCTTGCGCTCGGCAAGTCTGTTAACTCATCCGGCCTCCTCCACACTATCGCTGAATCGATTACGCAAAGTGTTGAAGGCATGTCGTTGTACAGCGTACTGGTGGTCTTTTGCGCATTGATATTAGTAGTTGCGACGTTTATTAGTCATACCGTTGCGGCGCTCATTGTGCTTCCACTAGTACAGCAAGTCGGACAGAGTATGAGCGAGCCGCATCCGAACTTATTGGTCATGGGCGCCGTCTTGATGGCGAGTGGTGCGATGGGGTTGCCGACCAGTGGATTTCCCAATATGAGTAAGTTCCTACCCTCTTTGTTAACCAGCCGGTGAGCCTAACTTACTTCCTTCAGCTGCCATCATGATGGAAGACCAAAGAACAGGCCAGCGATATCTGGACGTTAAGCACTTCCTTACACGCGGCATACCTGCATCGATTCTTACCTTCCTTGTGATTATTACCGTGGGTTACGGGCTTATGCTCGCCGTGGGCTTTTAGACTTTTTTCCGCGAGTCAATATTGTAGGAGTTTATGCATGTCATCGTATATCCTGCATTTGGTGTTTTATAGTATTGCTTGGACAACTAGCTACGCATTTCTATGCATGTCCTTGGAAGAATTCATAGCTTTAGGATGGCCATTCTCCCTCGTCAATCGCTCACTCCCTGATTTCTCCCTCCTCGAGCTCCTCCTCCGCCATTTCTCTCTCCTCAACTGCCCAATCCCCAATTTTCCCGTCAGTCTCCCTATCCTCAGGCTCTCCAGATTCTTTGAGTTTCCCATCCTCAAAATGCGCCTCATAAGCGAGTATATCACAACTCTTCAACACAGGCAGACATAACCCACACAACATATCTGGTTCGCCAACATCCTGACAAACGATATCATCCTCGTCGTACCTCGGCGGCCCTCTAATCTTCTCATTTTCCTTCTTGATGGAAAGCTTCCTCGCATCAATCAGCGTCTTCACCCACTCCTCTCCCAGGTGCCATTCATGACGCGATACGCAGACATGTGGGGCATCGTTTGCTTCCATCGCTTCGTGGAAGATATCTTCGATGCTGCTTTCTGCGTACTCGGGCCAAGCAGAGTCGGCTCTGGCTTGGGCCAGGAAGTCATCGAGGATCAACGGGTGGAGCTTGGAGCAAAGGGGGCACAGGGTTGTGATGCTCGATTTGGTGGCGTGGGATTTGCATCCGTGGCCGGCGAGGGCACATTTGATTGTGGGGGTAGAGGCCATTTCAGTTTCAGTTTCGGTATCGTTTGTATTGTAGAGTTGGTGTCTGTTCGTATTTTGCCAAGAAGAGTGTGGTTGGAGATGGGTACTGAGAAGGGACCGCGTAGAGGGGGCTTTTATATTGATGATGGAGTCAATTGTAGTCATTAGAATTACTGTAAGTGGGACTGAGAGGTTGGAGTCATGGAGCGCAGTGACGGGTATCTAAATAGAAGGTTTTCGACACGGAACGCTATGTGGTTGTGCCTTGATGACAGAATTGAAAAGTAATATCCACTAGATTACGAGGTTCAACAAAGCAGGTGTGCACGCATCATAGTTGGGAAGAGTATTTGGCTAAAAGTATTTCAGTTTTACATTGTTGATATATCTACCAGAAATGCCTCTCCAGTATAGATAAAGTCTAGTTAGTCCCTTGCCAGAATCCAAACATCTCCCACCTCACCAGATCACTTCACACGACAACTAGTAGACCCGGGTCCCTCTCGTACATGCTTCTCAAACAGCCATTATACCAGAATACATCAAGGAAACTTTCCCACACGGCACCATCATCCAATTCCTTGAATGCCCAAAAGCATTCATGGCACATGCTACCCGGCATTTTTGCAGGAATTTCTTCACTACATGAATTCTTTCTCTTTCCGTCCTTGTCCAGCAAAAGCGCTCTCCATGTCTCTTCTTTGTAAGTATCATCCGCCCAAATGCACTCGAACTTGATCCGGAACTCCGGCGTTGAGAGAAAATCCATGTCTCGGACCCAGCGTTCCCACCACACGGACCCCTTTTCATTTACAATGCACGCTTTGCATAGGCAGTACTCGTCGAGGCCAGGCTGCTGGAGCAACAGACACGCCTTGTTCTTCTGCTTGGGCCTGAAAGCCAAACGCCATTCCTCGCCCTCAAAACTCGGATTCTCCATTGCGCAGATAAGTAAATCCTGCTCACAAGCAGCTACCTCTTTTGCTTCTCGAGATTTCCTTATCGCATCTAGCTGGCTGAGGCCTTCCATGTCGTCGGGCGCAATCAATGTCATTAATACACATGGGTCTAGTGTTCGGCAGTATCCGCAGATCTCAGCACCTGTTCTCTCGCTATTCATGGACACGCATTTGTTGTTCGTTGGGGACCAAAGTTTGCATGCAAGGCCTGGCTTTGGAGGAGGGGCCATTGGGTCGCGCATTTTCCACTATGGTCGACTGGGTTTGGATTCGACGAGGAATATGAACTTGCGGACGCTTGCTTCTAAGAATGTTGTGAAAGCGGTTCTTCGAAGATAATGCCGGGTTCAAGAACTTGGTGAGTTGATCATGGGAAATGCTCGGGTGTTGGTATATTTCAGGGTAGGAAGGAGAAAAGGAATGAGAGTGAAAGATGCGAGACATTTAACGTCACTAGAGAGACTGAGCAATATTTCTAGTCATTCGGAGGAACTGTCAACAGTATTGTAGTCATTGAAATATCCTTACAACAATTTGACTGTGTGAAGGCGCTCCTAGTGGGTCAACGATTAATCGCACATTCATGACTCTTCGAGCATAAGGATACGGGCGGGATGTGCACGATTTCCTCGTGTAGTACAGTGTACGTCTCCACGTCCCCAAAGCTCATTCAGGACAAGTACCTGACTAAAAAAGCCGAGAGATGGTCTTGTTTAAGTAACACCTTCCATTTCGCAGGCCGCACAGTCTGCTCGTTATGTCAACATACTTTTATGCTATTGGGTTTCAGGGGTAAGGCTATGCTGTGCTACGACGCCACCTTGAGTACGAAGCGGCCGAGAACGCGGAAAGAATTTTTGTCCTTCATGCAGCTATCTTGACGAAGACTTCTATACTAACTTGATGCTGTGATAATCAATGAGGGAAGAATAAGTGACTCAAAACACAAAACACATCATCATGTTTGGTTAAGCGAATGACTACATAGCACGACATCAATCAGGTTGTTCTAAATTTGACTTTTGAGTATTAAGCATGATCCGATCAGGATGGCTACCTTGTGTCTAGGTCAAAGCAGGCTTATGGATCTAGAATATCTATAAAATATAAGCATTTATGTAATATGTATATATAAGTGATATAATGAGTATTATTGTGTAAATGTCGATAGTCTTCATCTATTCTACAGTATTTGGGGGAGACATCTGCTTTCGTAACACTGGCTGGTTTAATACAAAAGTAAAGATTTAATTCACCTCCAAGGTTATCCTTAGTATATGCAGTAGGCTTACCAGAGATTGCGATGTTCACTTTATCCCGATATAGTAAGAGGGGGACTCCGCCGAACCGTAGGAATAGATGCCTCCCCTCGATATACTTCCTTTAGCCTTCCATCATCCCAGAAGTAGGCCATGATACTAGAGTAGTCGACCATGTTATTCACTTTTAAACGACAAGTTCTGCACATGGACGCTGCATACTTCGTCTCGTCCCAATTGCATGGGCCCATCGATTGGGCGAATTGCAACCGGAACGGGTGATTCTGGAAGCTCTCATCAACCCAGATGCACGGGAAGTTGAATCGAGCGTCTGTATGCCCCTCATCCGCTGGAAGGACAAACCAGAGGGAGCGTCCAGAGATATTCTCGTGAACTGCGCAATTCCAGCAGAACATTCCATCGTCACCACCAGGCGTGTCGACGAAGACGCAGGGACAAGGACTAATTGGCACGAAACCTCTAAGTTTTCCCTCCCATCTAAGGTTCTCCAAGGCGCAGACGACTAGTCCTTGACCGAGGGCTTCGCGGTGTCGTTGCCTTCGGTAGTTCACAACCCCTTTCAAGGCCTCTTTCCCTGCCTCGGTCGTCGAAAATAAGTCCTTCAGCTCGTGAAGATCGCGTTTCCTGCAGATTCCGCATAGGTCGTTGCCTAATGCCGTCACGAATACCGAGACGCATCCACCATTGTAACCTAGGCACCTTTCGTCGACCTTGTAAAATGTAAGCTGGCGATCGATCATGGTAGTTAGATCAGGGGCGAATTCGGCCATTAAGTCAAAGGTCGGAGATCCTTTAGAAGCGAATGAACTGGTATCGTGATATCTAAGCGTTTGGCAAATTCGATATTCGATAGTAGGAGTTGTGGAGTAGGAGGGAGCATGTTGAACCTCTTATGCAAAGTAATTTATATACCACTGAAAAGCATGATTCATGACTTTAGGAGCACAAAATGAGTGTCAACCCTATCTCAGTCATAGAGATGACTCTAACGATGTATGACTACGCAAGCTCGAGGTGTCAATCTCACAGAGACATACTCGATTTGTAGATGACTGTAACGTAACAATCGGCTTAAGTCCCTGTCATTGAATCACTCAGAACTAAGAGAGGTGGTTGTTGACGAAGCTCTTCGCTGTGACGGTCAACTCGGGATATTTCCAATTTTTTAAGATGCGAGCATGATGTGAGGGTTTATGTATCATACTAAGTAGCTCAAAAATGATTCATTTCATTATAGATAAAATAGGTTAGCCTAATCAATGAAAAGTCCTTGTGTCATTCTTCGGCTCTTCGTCAGTGATTGTATTCACCATGATAAAAATTTCAAATATTCGCTCTACACCTGTTACCGCCACCGTCACGCTTTCGCTCTCTCTAGATACCCTGAACTCTCTAAAATAGTTCACACGATGTAGCCCGCATCATGCACTTAAGTTTAGGATTCCTTTGTTTGTAAATGTCTGTTCCTGGAGAAGTCTTGGCTGATTCTTTCGCACTGCCTCTAGGCAGTCTACACATAGGGTGTTCTGTGCCATTACAGCGTTACAAAGGTAGCTCTTCTTCTTAGAATCTGCAATGTTCTGCGTTCTGGCATTGACGACAAATTTTGTCCACCACGTCTTGTTTCCGTTCTGGAACCGAATATCTCGGGAGACACAGGGGTAAAGCCCTTGTGGCACCTGCTGTTGCCTTTTTATGACGATTTCGAGTGCTCGTAGAATATCGAGACAGGTGGAGTTTTCATCGAATACCTCGCGCTCCTGGTCTCGAATGAGTTCTGGGTGTGCGGTAGCGCAGTCTGAGCAGGCTTTTTCTCCCTTCACACTGCTTTTGCCAACACACCCCGATTGATGAAAAGAACAAGTTGGACCCATGTGTAGGTTTCTTCGAAATTACTCAAATTTGATAATCTCTAGGGCGTCAAGGTTGTCGTCTAAACGCTTTGGTTTCCAATCTCTTGGTGTGGTATTTCTTTGATTCTGGAGTAGACACCCTGATAGCGGAAGTCCTTTATATAGCTGGGTCATCAAGCAGTCATCAAGCAGTTTCGGCGCTAGTTGACGTGTACAAATCAAGTACGCTGAGTCTTCGCACGGCCCAAAGCATAAGATCATCTACCGTCTCGTGGATATGACTAGTAAAAGTTCGGGCTTGGACTGAGATATGATTGAGATTCATCTTCAAAAAGAATGCTGCAGTCAGCTAGCATGTTTCACGTAGCGAGCTACTGGTTGGAAATGTCCTAACAATTGTTTGGCCGAAAGAGGATTGGAGTTGCAGACCTCGCCCGGCTTTCTCTAAAAACCGTAGAGGCGATTTTGCAGCAAAAAACAGTACTGGTATACAAGTGCTGGACTGAACGCTTCCCCACCTTCATAGAGCTCGTGGTATTAGAAACCCGGACACCCAATAAGTTTTCTATCAACGAACTTGAAGTAATTGAAAACATCTCCGCACTTCAACTGCTTCTACCATAACAGCGTGTGGTGCTGCCATATTTCCTCCCTCGTCGCAACTCGACCTACGACAGATTCGGCATCCCCGCCCGATCAACGTCCAGCCGTCCATCTTCCCTGAACTGTTCTTTGATATCTGGCGTGCAATACGTGAAACGTGCTCGCCATGCCTGAAGACACCCTAGACACAATTGATTTTTGCTGGGAACGCTTGGACAATTAATCATGTGAGGATTTTCCACCGGCCTTGTCTTCACCCACTCTGCTCGCTGTTCCAGCCTGCCCTCGAGTATAGGTTTAATCCACCACGCCGTTTCACTATTCAGGTATAAGCGCTGCCGGATGATACAGGGATATCCAGTCTCAGATGTTGTTTGCTGTCTTTCTATGAGCGACTCTAGTGCGGCTTTGATGGATTCGTCGTTTTCCTTCTTTCCTTCGGCAATTTGTAGTTGTAGGATCCATGGATGGGTCTTGAAACAATCAAAGCAAGGCTCGGGGCCCTTTTCCTCACACCCGTCGATGCAAGCCCCGGCGAATACGCATGGCCTTTTGAAAGGCGCCATTTCTCGGCAGTAGTAGCTTAGCTCTTGCGCATAAAAAGATTTCCCGGTGGTACCTAGTACTGATATTTCGATCGCTTTAGTGCGTGTTTTATTCTGATATTTTGTTTGCTGGGCCGAAAGAGGGTTGATTGCTAGTTATCTACAACCCTTTATATGGCAAGGGAGTCACTATACTGCCTGATGTGTACAGTCATGCCATGCCGGTTACTCACAGAAGTCCGTACAATCAAGTCACCTGCAGGTCTTGCCTGACTGACCAGGTTTTGGTAATGCTGGATTTGGGCGATCCCTACGGAAGCTTGGAAGTCACTAATTTATAACATACTTTGTGTCATCCTCTCTTCCGACAGAATTTTCTTGCATTGCTGCATTTCTGTCACCACGCTGTTAAAACCTTCTCTAGGAGGATACTGTTGATGTCCATGCCCGTCCTAAGGTGTGTTGACGCAGCCGTTAAAGTGAGTCAGTGCTGCACAGCTCTAGAAGATATGAATGAACCGATGAGAGTTTGCTGTCCAAACAAGGATATGGGTGTCCACTTTTGAAGCCTTTAAAATGTGCCACAAACCAGACTGTCCATGAAGGCTGAATACAGTCATTTGGTAGCAGATGCGGAGAAACGCGACCCGAAAGTGCATCTTCCGCAAGCTGCCTTGGTGACAACGTCAAGTCTCCCTCTCCCCACCCTAACCCATCTATCGTGCTATGAAGCTCTTCACCAGTTGAATACTGCAGATATCACTCCCATACACCGATCGAAGTAGTCCTATACTCATTGCACGTAGGGATAAAGAATGTAGCACAATCTTTCCTCCTCCGGCGAAAACTTCGAATACGTATCCCCCTATCCTGCGCGTCCGAAGGCACCATGGCGTTCGGGGTGCGCCTCAGTTTAAACCGTTTCTTCCATTACACGTCTTCTTCGTTATTGTCCTAGGTGATGCACATGTACGTCCTGGGCTGTCATTGATGGAAAGCCGCATCAACTTGGTTCGTTAGGTGCAGTCTCCAATCCAGGTTACCTTCCAAGTGAAGGACGAAGACGACGATTATTTGCCTCTGAATTGCTACCATATCCGGACGTAAGATCCAGAAGGTGTATTTGAGTCGATTTGATGTAGCGATGCGACCTCGCCAGTTTCCTGTAGTTGAAATAGGGAACTTGAATACTGCCGAAAGGTTCTGTTTCGTTTCAAACCTGGTCGTCCCTCTTTGCGTTACTTTTGCAGGCAGTCATCATCGACAATTAGCGTCCCCCCTCTTTAAACGCCAAAACCCTCACGCAACGTGCCCCACTCGGTGTCAAAGTACCTCCCAAACCCTCTAATCTCACACATGCGATTGAAGCACTTCTGACACAACTGATTCTTTTGTCCCGCCCTCTCACATCGTCCATGTTTTCTTGAATCCTTCTCCCAGCAAGGATCCGGACGGCCCAACTCATCCACGGGTCCAATCCTCCAACTCATATCAGTTTGCCGTCTCAACCGCGGGTCCTCGAAAACACACGGAAATCCAAGCCTGTCGCCTTCGAAGTGTGCAAGCCATGATTGGTCTTGCTCAAGAGCCTTGCGATAACACCGCGCGCATAGCTGGCCTCGATGGCGCACTGTACCGCAAACTCGTGAATCTCTTGGGTTGAAGTCTTGCCGCCAGGTTTGGAATCGATACTCCGGGTCTTTGCAAGCGCAAAGGTATGACCAGCCTTTGATGATTCGTTCTTCGCTGTCTCGCTCGAGTTGGTGCATGTAGGCGTCGATGAGGCGCTTTATATAGCGTGTTTCTGGTTGTGTCTCGGATTTTTCGTACAAGGCATCGAAGCTCATGTTTTTGCACCATGAGCAAATGTTTGGACCTTTCTCCTGCCCTTCTGGGGATGAGTCACAAGCGACTCCGAATGCGCAATGAGGCTTCGGTGGCGCTAGCATAATAAGCAGAAGGATGGGTAACATGGAGCTTGTTTTTGTTAGCACGTCGAAAATAATGAGGACCAAGATTTCTTACCAATCGACCGTCTTTGACTTGTTCAATATCAAATTAGCATTTCGTTGTAGCCTTCCAAGTCATCCTCTACTCCCTCAGTGCTCGCCTCCGTTCCCTCCAACCTCGCTACAGCCTTGTCTGCCTCCTCATGGCAATGCCCAGTTGGCGTGAAGTACTGTATGATTTGGATCTTCTGTAGATGCCGGTTCCAGCACCTCGCGCAGGCTGTACCCTTGGTACGTACGGAGCTGCAGTTCAAACGGGTACCACGCAGATTTAGATCGCTCTGCCGCCACCTACAGTGCTGATAATCTGGGTCTTCGAAGGCGCAAAAATAGCGACCATGTGCTTCAATGTTTCGCTTCAGCACTTGCTTTCGTGCCGATTCTTCGTCTATAAGCGATAGGGCAGCAGTGTCGTTGTCCGCCCACACACGGAGTTGTTGAGGATCGTGTCGTTTCAGACAATCGGGGCACACCTGGCTGGGATTGTATATCTTCCTGCCAATGCCAAGACAGTGTTCCTGGCAGAGACATACAACAATCGGCGGAGGTTTGAACGACGGCTCGGTCGAAGAAGTCATCAAATGGCGCCAAAAGCTGGCCAGTTTAGGATGACTCCGCTCGTATCCGTCGAACCTCACTCCATCCCGACTAGCTCAACGTCCATGCATTAAGCTTCTGAGATGGAAAGATATTAGTGGGACTAGTGGCGGTGCGGATAGATTCCGTGGTGGTGCTCGTAAGGGGACATGATGGGAGCTGTGAAACTATTTGGTTGTGCTGTAGAAGAGTGTTGATCGAAATGAAGGTGATGGCAAGCTTAGTTGATATCAAAGCAACCAAAAGCGGACCCACCGCTCTGTTCACTTGAGCAGCCAACGTACGCGACGTGGCATTCAAGTCGGATCGCAGGGCGCCATGAACAAGCCTTTTCGTCAACGGAGATTATTCGATCTGTCAGATTACGAGTCGCTGAAGCGGTGAGAAAACCTGATTGCCCGTTTCGCCGACTGAGTTGTGACCAGCATTGTGTCGATTGGTGTAACCCATGAGAGGATTACTTCATGGTATCATGTGGTGATGCGTTCCGAGGAAGCTATGGTCACCATGAGACGGGGTCGGAGCGAATCACGGTCGTCAAGCCCGACAGATTGGCAAAGTCAAAGCGTGAGGCAAAATTGCCGATTAGCTTGATGTATATGTAGTGTAGTTATTTCCGTGATTTGACTCGTCGCCACCAAAGTCTGCGGCCAAGTCCGTCAGCCCAAATTATCAAAGTGGCGGTAGCCACGACTTACTAGGCCGCCAAAACACCGAGAGCTATGGCTGTTTCGAGATTTGAGGCTGGGTTTAAAGATGTTCTAGAAAAGTACCGTGCACACCCCGGGTGCGGTGCCTCGTTGGGATCTCCACAAAATGATGCCCAAGTCCATGACTCGGTCCACCGGATCAACCGCTTCATGATTCAACAATGTCAGCAACAACCCATCGCCGTTCAATGCTGATGCTTCCTATCAATGCTGTACGAGTCCAAATTGGCGAACTGAAGCAAGTGAGGGAATAGTAAAACGATGGTTTGTTACGCCACATGCGGACTAACCACCAAGAAACGACCTGTCACGATCAACGCACATTTCGTGTAACCTCCTCGGCACTTACATCCTGAAAGTCCCACTTCCTCGTGCGCAGTCTGAATATTTAGAGGTAGCAACCCATGTCCAAGTATCCGCAGCTCCGTTGTGAATGCCGTTGTCAGATGACGCCCGCTGACTTTTCGAATAAGCTTTACTAGTGTGAGGGGGGTCTTGCTTTATCAAAAGACGCGTCACAGAATCCCTGCGTGCTTATTCTGGATATCCCACACTCTCCATCCATCGTCCCATTTCCTAATATCAATCCTAATCCCGATTTGGAATTGTATTCGTTCAGCATGGGATACGAACGCGTTGGGATCATGCACAGCAGACTGCATGTCGACTTCACCTCCAGATCCACATTGCTCGCTAAGTAGATGAGCTGGCAGGGATTGCACCACATGAGTCGTGCCACCTCGTTTCTCGAGTCTTCCAGTGTCAACTCATGCGAGCGAATGAAGTCGAAACTTTGATCGGCGCAGTTGCCTTGCTCTCGTCGGCTATGCTCTTGGCTTTGCGCGACATAAGAGTCCTCGGAGAGGATCTTTAGCATGCTGTGAGATACCTAGTCTAGTTTCGGTGATATCAGTCCAAAAGAGGGGATATGCTCGCAACATACCTTGTCACAGTAATGTCCCCAGCGAAGACCAGGCAAGTAGCGGGATGATTCGGGCTGCTTATCGGAGCATGCACAACAGAGGCGTTATGATCGACTGCAGGAACCCCACAAGGCCGTGTGAATGCGACGTTTTGAAACCTCGGAGCATGTTGCCATGTAGTCGGAACGTCCTGGAAAGCTCGAACGCCCGAGAAGGGTGTCTGAGATGAGACGCCGCATGCTCTCTACCAGAGTGCAAGGGCCCAGTCCAGGAGCGCTTTATGGATCGCATAACGGAGGGCTTGTGTTAAGGACACTGGAAATTTGCTCGAGTAGTCAAAGTGTACTTCTGTTGTACGACCCAACAGTCTACTATGCTGCGCAAATATGAGCTGTGCTCTTGACTCAATGCTGACCGAGCAGAGCCTCTCCAAACAAGCGCTTACCAATGCCATGGTAGCATCAAGTGTCTCGGGCGATATTGAAGACGGTGAAAACTAGGGAGAAGGCGTTCGATGTAGGAATGGTCGACAACGCACACCCGGCAGAGCGGCGAGCTTGATGCTGGAGGAAGGCGCCCCTTTCCTTCCCGGGTGTTAGCGCCTTTCCGCTTCTGCAGGCACCCGGCGCGGACACATGCAGCCTCGGCCGGAGACGATCTCACAACAAGGACCTGGAGAATAGCACATAGAAATTTATCAAGTCGTGAAATGCATATATATCAAGCGTGAATCCAGGACATGGACGTTGTTCCATGTCAGCTGGGACTGGATCGCCGACGCCGAGAAAAAAGAAATGTATAAGAAATGAAGTGCCCTGCCATAGCCCTTTCATGAACGCCTAACACCGTTTTCGTAGGGGGCGTTAGTGTGAGTGCGTGGGTTGGTCCAGTGTAAAGACTGCCACTCCTCCAACGCCTGTTGACGACCGGCTCAGCCCATGACTGGCACAATACGTCCCATAGCCCTCATGTCATCCTTCTCCTTCTGTGCATTCTTCTGGAAGTCAAACACCACCTCCCCGAACTGCTCGATCTGATCCTGCGCTCTTGGAGCACCGATCAATACGATGCCCCTCGGCACGACCACATCGGCAACTTGGAAACAGCCAAATGTGACGACCTTCTTGATCATTGGGCAAGACCGGAAGACACCCGCTATGATCTCCGTGTCGACGACGGGACAGAACGAAAGGTTGACTTCGCGAAGATGTGGATACTGTCGCGTCCCGTCGAAGATTTCTACCAAGGTGCTGTGTGAGATGTGTCGGCACGACGATATGTCTAGAAACTCAACGCGCTTGCCAGAGTGGCTCATCATCTCGCGGAAACCGTCTGAAGCCAAACCTATAGGGCAGTCTTCCGGGCCATCCGGGTTGGTGTTGTCCATGTCGCGTGTGCTGTTCACGTCGATGTAGTGCAATGGCGGGTTCGCCCAGTTCGAAAAGAGATTGACATAGCCGGCATCAGTGCACTCGTTGTTCTCAGTAAAGCGGAACTTGATCAGATGGCGACAGGTGTCGTGAATGATCTCGAGGACATCATCTGTAGGATCTACCGAGTCATCGAGGAAGTGCTCCAAGCAGAGTGTGCGTAGGTGGGCGCCTACAGAAGTTATGAGGTGGATGAGCTTCTCACGAGGGATAGGCTCGTAGAAGCGTAGGGTGAGATGCTTGAGATGATGTAGCCGGGCAATCGCGTCGATGCTGTCTTTTCCAATCCGCTTGCAGCGTTCCAGTTTGAGGCGTTCGAGATTGGGGCAGAAGGTTGTAAGCGCCTCCACAGCCTGGTCGTCAAAAGCAGCGTCTAGCCACTCTACCTTGAAGGACTTGAGGTCTTGGCCTCGCGCGATGAAGAGTTCGGCCCACTTGTCGTTCGAGACTAAATTGGCACCCAGAAGCTGGATGTCAGTGAGAGCTTTGGCCTTCTCGTTCATGTAGTCAATGTTGCTGTCCTTGAACTGGCAGCAATTGCGCAGAGAAACTCGCTTGACGTTCGGGCAGACAGCAAAGATCTGGTTATAGTCTTCTGTTTCAAGGTCTGGTAATGCGATTAGTCCCAGAATATCGCACGCAATGGATCGGTGTTAGACTTACACGCTGCCTCATGAATAGCTACCGACTCCATATCTGGCTGCAGGAACAGCTTCATCGTCGTGGAGTTCATTGCTCTCTTCTTGGAGAAGATTTCACTGATACGGTTCATGACGCCCTCTGGCATCTCACCCAGCTCATCAATGTCCTCGGAGTGCTTGGCGAGTTTCTCGATGCATAGCAGCTGCAGCGATTTCGGCCCGCCCATAGTCATACCGTCCAGACGGTTGCTCTCAATCTTCCTACGGCCCTTGCGGACGACAGGCTTAGTTGACTTTTCGTGTGCCTTGGCTTCCTTGACCATTTCTTTGCCGCAAGGGGTGCAGAGCAATCCGCCTTCAGGCCCAGCCTTGCTGTATGGCGTGACGGTGAACCGCTTGCTGCAGAGCTCGCAATTATCCAACTGTCCAGGCAGCGGTTTCGCTTTCTTGTACATGTCCATCATGTCCTCAAAGTCAGACTCGTCGTCCGAGCCTTTCTTTTTCTTCTTGGAGGCAGCCTTCTTTTTCGTTTCCTTGCCCTTCTTTATCTTTGCGATGGCTTCGTCCTGGTTGCGCTTGCGCTTGCGGCTGCGTTCGGCTGCCATGACAGAGGACTCTGCCAGTAGGTCCTCCTCGGTAGGATCTTCACCATTATTCTCGGTGTTCGACGGACCTTCACCGTTGTCTGCATCAGGAGGGGCGTCCTGCTCGGCTCGTTGCACGCGCTGGCGATATGAATCGCGGATCTCTTGGGCGGAGATGTTGTTGGCCTGGGTCAAAGTGTTAGTGCTCGAGTTTGAGATTTATCCTTGCGTCCTTTTCGTGAGCCCGTATGAGGGTTGCTGCTGCTGAGGCATGCCTCTCCCCAGCACCACGAACCTCAATCAGAACGATCTTCTAGATAAGGGCTGACTTACGGCCAAGAAGTCTGTCAGCGCAGAGTGCGGCCCCCGAATGCCCGTTCCTCTTGCTCCTCGTCGCCCGCTCCTGTCGCCACTCGTTAGCTATGCGAGATGAAGCATTCGCATGCGACTTTGGACTTACATGGTGCAAGAATTTAACCTCAATTGCCGTGATCGCGATGGTGAGAGACGACAACCAGATGTTTGCGTTGGGTAAAGTTAGGATCGGCAAGCGGGGGTGTCAGAAGTGTAAGTAAGGAAGCGCGTCCGCCGAAAACGCAGGGCGCGCGGTCACGTGGTGGCAATTAGTGACTGGATGCAGCCTAGTCTTCTCATGAGTTCTTTCACCTCGCATGCGCCACAGGAATATGACTTAATCTATGCTATCAATTGACCCTATGCCAGAGCGCTATTGGAATGGATATCGCTGTTTGGAGAAAAATAATCATCCCACCATGCCGTAATGAAAAGGGATACATCGCATAAGGAAACCCGACCCATGAACAGAAGTACTTTTTTTAGCAATCCATTCGCATTAAGGACCTTGCGCTTTTGGTCGGTTGCTTTGTGTGCCGTAAACTTCAACCTGAACCCACGATAAGCCCCAGAAGTAGGAGTTGTGCCTGCTAGATCTGGGTGTCGTCGTCGTCGTCGTCGCTGTCGCTGTCGCTTGCTGCTTCCTCGTCCTCCTCGTCCTCCTCAACCCAATAGTCGAATCCATCGACTTCGTCTTCGTTATGTCCCATTGGTGGCTGTAACTTCATTAGCTAAATGTCTCCTTTCTCACCCAAAAATTAGATGTCGAGTATAGGGCAGTCTCTATGAGTGTTACAACTTACAAGCGACACCCCCATGTTATAAGATCCACGTGGGATATCACTCTTCTTGGCCCATCCATTGTGGCGAGATTCAGATGTCTCGGATCGTTCGGCTCCACCAGAAACGAGAGTGAGAGCGGGCCCGGTGGTGGAGGTAGCCGGAGCCTTGCCATATCTGTTGGAGTTGAAACCAGAGCTGGTGCTCGCAGGTCCAGTAGACTCTGTGTGCCATGATTTGGTACGGACTTCCGTCCAGTTACCATCGTCCCCGCTCTTGAAGTCGCGGGCAGAAGGATACGTGTATCCAGAGTTGGCCGCCGTCTCGTTGGAAGAACCCGAAACGGACATAGCCTGTAGTCCTTGTGTTAAAGCTATGGAACCGTTGTCGTGGTCACCGTTGACAGAGTTCCACGACTTGTCGCCCTATCTTAATTAGCACCAATACACGAAGTAATGTCTTCGTTCAGAAGGTTTATCTGCTTACATAGGTAGAAGAGGAATCGGTCGTTGACGTGGCTGAAGAAAAGTACTCGGGGTAGTTGCCGCCAGAGTGGTCAGGTGTGACGAAGGCGTTCTTGGGATCCTTGTACTTTTCGTCGTTGATTGCCTCTTGGCTGACGCGCTCATCCGTACATTTGAAGCATCTCGCCGTGTCCGGCTTGTTGCGTTGAGAATTAGCGAACTCCTCCAACCCCTTTGTCTTGTTGCACACTGTGCATTCGATCTCAGTGGCTTTCTCGCCCATGCACTTCCGACAGTTGATGGCTTTGTTCATTCTGCCGAAGTTCTTGATCTGTGCGCGCGCTTCTGTGAGCTGTTTGACGGAATACTTGGCCTGGCTATTGAGGTTCTTGAGGCAGCGGCCACATCTGATCTTCTCTGGAAGTGGGATACCCTGGAGCCTGTATTGAGATTAGCACACCAAAAGTCTACTCGAACTGCGGGTAAGGTGTTCTGGTTGGTTTGACCACAAGAATCTGTACTTACCTATCGATCTCCTCCTGATTATATGTGTGCATGTTGCGGCGGCCTCCCATGGTTGGTACTGTTGATAGTGTTGATAGTAGAGCTGTTGCAAGGAGTTGTTTTCAGAGAGAGGGTGCTGACAAAGTTGCGGAGTGATGATGTCGGGAGGAAGTGGGTGGCCGAGGGGGCTATATAGAGTGGATGGCGGCTGCCTGAAGAAGCTGTTGACTGCTTCGGAAAGTAAAGGTAAAGGAAGGGACGAGTGAGAGAGATAAGCCTAGAGGCCTTGAATGTGATGCCAGCTGGGCATTTACGGGGAGGAGCAAACGGCTGTTAGTTGAATACTAACTACTAATAGACAGCAAGGATGAAGGCAGTGTCCAGTTCTAGTTTACTTCCTCGGTTGCCATATTCAGGCTCTACACCGTCTATGTTTCTCTCCACAATTCAAAAGCGGAATAAAACAGCATGATCAATCGCATCACTTCTATTCAATCTGTATTCCGCGGGTTGGGAGGGCAGAATGAAAATGGAGAGGCAGGGGAGAACATGAGGCGTTGATCTCGTGACTGGTATCATCTCTTACCTAACAGAGAGAACCCGGGAACATCCATCGCTCTGGGCAGCCAAAAGAAACTTCAGTATGGGTCATATGCTGCAGAGTTGGTTGAAAAGCGGTTGGAGAAGAGTGGTAACAGGAGTCGCTCCTTGGTGCAACGACTAGCCATGACGCCACAACCGAGGAAAGACTAAAATTGCTATCGATAAGCGGACCACCAAAATTATCTCGTGTCCCGCACTCGCACGCCAACCGCCGTAGAAGTGATTCACGCAGTCAAAGTGGCGTCTATTCCCTTCAGATTCAAATCAGGTGGCAACGGCAATATGGCGCCCGTTGTTGCGCAATCACACCATCATCGCAGCACGACCAAGCTGAACAAGAAGAACTTCAAGTCCCGCCATGCCACCAAAGGCTCGCTGAAGGAGCAGAGCAAAGGTACAAGACACGCAAGCTTGGGGATGAACCCTCTGACAATGAATATATAGGAAAGGTTGACTCCCTCGAGCGCGGAAGCCGAAAAACCCCCCACCAGCAGGTCATGTCCAAGTTCGACCGCCGCAACCGCGCGAAGCAGATGCGCCTGAACAAGGACAACGAGCACGCCAAATCTACCAATGTATTCGCTGGAAAGGATGGCGCACCGAGGGTGGTCGCTATTATACCTCTCTGCGCGGACGGTTCTGCCGCCGCAGCGGTTCGCAGTCTGAACTTGAGTCTCGATATCGAAGAGGAGATCCCAGAAGCAGGATGGACGCGGACAAACGTTGACCGGTTCAAACAGAAGGTGCAATACTTGGTGGTGCAGAGGGATCTCTTGGCCACCCTGGACGCCTGCCGTGTTGCAGACTTTGTAGTCTTTGTACTCTCAGCAGAAGAGGAGGTGGACGCCGAGGGCGAATTGATATTGAAATCGGTCGAGAGCCAGGGTATCTCAAACACATTCACAGTGGTACAGGCACTAGACAAGGTTGAGCCTGCGAAACAAAGGCCATCCGTGGTTGCGTCGTTGAAGTCATACATAACCCACTGGCTGCCGTCCACCGAGCGCGTCTACTCCCTCGACAACCGACAAGAGGCCTCGAACCTTGTGCGATCATTATGCACAACAACTACGAAAGGTGTCAGGTGGAGGGACCAGAGGAGCTACATGTTTATCGAGGATATTTCTTGGTCAGGTGGCAAGTCTGCAATTGGCGGAGACGGTACGGGCGAGGTCGTCTTGACAGGAGTAGTTCGAGGTCTTGGCTTGAAGGCCGACAGACTGGCCCAAGTTGGCGACTGGGGTGACTTTCAGATTGACAAGATTGTTGCGGCGCCCTTAGAGGCGAAGAAGCGGGGTAAAGGAGAGGGCATGGAGATCGACGCAGAAGTAGACGATACTTTGGAGCGCCCTACCGAAGACCAAGATGACTTGGCGGATTTGGCACCAGAGGAGACCATTATGGACGATGTCACTAACTATGCCGCATCTGTAGCTCCAACAGAACGCAAAGGAGTCCTGCTCGACGATCACCACTACTTTTCAGATGAAGAGGAAGAGTACGAAAAAGTGCGGCCAAAGCGTTTACCAAAGGGCACCAGCACATATCAGAGCGCGTGGTACCTTGACGACCTGTCTGACTCTGGATCTGATCTTGAAGACTTCGACATGGAAGACGTTCCGGAAGAGGGTCAAAGTCAGGCGGCTCACCCGGCAGATGGCGTGGAGGGCATGGACCTCGATGGTAAGGCAATGACAGAAGGTGGTCCTTCAGAGTACCCTCAATCAGAAATGTTTTTGGATCCATCACCGGAAGATGAGGTCGAACAAATCGAAGCATACCGAAAGTCTAGAAAGAACGAAGCGGATGAGGATCTTGAATTCCCGGACGAAATCGAACTTCATCCAAACGTGAACGCGCGTGAGCGTCTCATTCGATACCGTGGATTGAAGAGTCTAAAGACTAGTCCCTGGGAGACGGAAGAAGACCGACCATACGAGCCAGAAGAGTGGCAACGACTGCTTGAGATTTCGGATTACAAGCGAACGGCAACAAAATTTATGCGTGAAGCATGGGCTGGTGGCGTCGCGCCCGGCACAAGAGTGAACGTCCACATTCGCGGTGTCCCATTGCAGTTCCAAGAAACGTCATCACGACCACTGGCGATGTTTTCACTGCTCAGACACGAGCACAAGAGGACGGCATGCAACTACAGCATCAAGGTTAGCTCCGACCATGAGGCTCCGATCAAGTCCAAGACGGAGTTGATCGTCCAGTGCGGACCGAGGAGGATCGTTATCAACCCTGTAAGTTGTCATGAAGCTATCTTTGACGATGCATAAAGCTAATTAAAACTACAGCTCTTCTCTCAAGCAGGCAATACCCCAAACAATGTCCATAAATTTGACCGCTTTGTGCACCCCGGTCAAGCTGCAATCGCAACCTTCATTGGTCCCCTGACATGGGGTAACGTGCCGCTCCTCTACTTCCAGCGCACCACGCCCGCCTCCGATGGGCCCTCAAGTACATCGTCTCTACGTCTTATCGCAACAGGAACTTCCCTTCCTCCCTCGACAAACCGCATCGTCGCCAAGCGCATCATTCTGACGGGCCACCCTTACAAGATCAACAAGCGCGTTGTTACTGTGCGCTACATGTTCTTCCACGACGACGACGTGAGGTGGTTCAAGAGCTTGCCGCTGTGGACTAAACGAGGAAGGTCTGGCTTCATCAAGGAGAGCTTGGGTACGCATGGTTACTTCAAGGCTACGTTTGATGGCAAGATCAATCCCATGGATGGTGTTGCAGTCAGTCTTTACAAGAGGGTATGGCCGAGGGTCGCGAGGATGTGGAAGGGTGAAGCGGCAGAGACTCAGCAGTCGACGCTCTAGGTACGTGAGAGGTATTGGGATGGGGCGACAATGGCACTGGAATGACAACGGCATGATTTACGGATACCTAGATAGACAGACAAAATGATATGGCGTTCTGCTCTACTTTTACAAACACGTTATTTTGTAGATGTGTCCCTGACATAATGAACATATTTAAGATAGATACGAGGGTATATACTACCAAGTCCACCTCGAGCCCATGAAGAAAACGCCAGGGAAATGCAACAAGACTAGACGCCCGCCAACTATGCTTTTAAGCCCCGAAAACGCCTCGGCGACCATCTCTCTAGAAGCCCTTCTTAGCAAATCTCTCGAGCGCCGGCCCATACTCCTTCTTCATCTTCTCCCGCTTGTCCTGGTTTCTCTTCTTTTGCGACTCGAGCGCCGCGCGCGCCCTGTCCTTTTCTTCATCAATGACATTCTTGCTTCCGCTCTTCCTCAGGAAGCGGCGCAACGCCGAATTGCGGCCGCGGCCACGCTTCTTCAGCCTCTCAATCTTGTCTTCTTCCTTCTCGCCTCGTTCGGCCTTGTACTCGCGTCGCCGCTGCTCATCCGATGCCAAGTCTAGGTTGCCGACGAAGTTGGGGTTGAGGGCGATCATGTCGGGCTGGATCTTTTCGAGGAGGGCGTGGACTTCTGTCTCGCGGCGCTGGCGCGATGTTTCGAAGGGGTTGGTGCCTGCTTCCATTGTGTCGGGATTGGGTTCACCGGCGCCGGGCACGATGATGGAGGAGAAGCCCTTGTCGTGCGATATGCCTAGAATATCTTCGAATGGACAGAAGCGTACGCGGCCGATATTCAGGCCCTCTCCGCCCCAGGCCATGTATGGCATCGTTGGGTTGGATATGTCGTCTTTATTGGCGGTGAAGAGATCGGACTTGTAGATGCTCATCTGCGTGCCGTAACCGACGGCCGTGAGATTGCGGTCGGATATGGAGAGCGATTGGCCTGGTACGCGTAGGTGATGCGCGTGCATCTCCTTAAACATGCGAATGTCCCAGACGGACATGCGCCGATCTTGCGATGTGCTGACCATGTAGGTGCCTGACTTGTCCATTGCTATACTTCGTACGGGGCCGTGGTGTGGAAGAAGCTTTACGAGGGGAGCGGAGCTGTTGGGTGACCATAATGTTACAAGGCCTTTCTGGTGGCCGATGTGTAGTATGGCGTTGTGTGGGTTCTGAGCGAATGCGGTCGCTGGGCCGAGCTTGGTGAACATTGTGGGGAGCGACTGTCCTGTAGACACATCCGTATAGCGTAGTATGCCCGCTGTCGAGACGGAAGCAAGGAGGAAATGGTAGGGGAGGTATTCGAGATGTGTGGCTTCGGAGTGAAAGTTGAGTCGATGCATCTCCACGCCGTCGCCCGAGTAAATGAAGACGCACTTCTTTTGCGCGACGGCGAAGTTCTTCTGATTGCTGGTGTGCAACCATCGCGCATCACGCACGGTTTCGTTGAGTTGGAGTTCGCAGCCCAACTTGCCGTCCCTCCAGTCGAATGTGGCAACATGACCTTTCCTCCCGGCAATGAGTAAATCGCGCCCGTTGCGACTGTACTCGCACACATCGTACGGTCCGAGGTTGTCTAGTCGTAGTTCGAAGCTCTTCTTCGCCGTTTCGACGCCGACTTCCCGCTTAATTTCATCCTGCCGTACTCTGTACGTCCTCTCGAGCTCATGCTCAGGTTCCAAAAGCCCTGCATTGTTTTCCAGAAGAATTTCCACGTTTTTTGCTTCTACAGCCGCCTGCTTGTTTTTGGCCTCGAGAGACCTTATATTCGCCCGTAGCTTCTTGTCCTTGACCGACTTCGGCCGTATCCTTTCACCACGGCCATATTGTGCTGTTGCTGATTCGGTGTATTGTGCGAGTGCGCGGGCTTCTTCATCATGTACAGGCGCGCCTTTTTGCGATTTGCGCCGCGGTTGCGAGGTCTCGGACGTGAGCCCGCGTTCTGTGGCCATTTTCGAGCCGAGAAGACGGTATGAGAAAGAAAGGGAGTCTGGGGTTGTATTTTAGGCCCGTAACTAGAAAATCTAGACTGTTGTCGAGTATCTGGTATGCGGTGTCGATAATGTTCAATTAAATTATTCTGCCATACGCCACCGCTTCGAACTCTTGGCGTGGGGCTAACCACCTTCCCGAGGTCTTATTGATGTCTCTCCCTTCAAAATAATCCTAGGTACTTCTGGATGGCATTCAAACCAGTGCAAGCCCTTGCGGACGATTAGGGTTACTTTGAGATGCCATACTGTAATGATACTGATATTGTTGTTTGTATAGTACACGCTCGTTATGTAGAGTTTGAGCCTCTACACTCTGCTGATACATAACCTGCGATGCGAAAAAGCCTCAACATTGGCAACACGGTGATAGGTTTGTCATGGAGCACTTCGCGTCCGAAATAGCGGATGCTGATATACTGTATGTTCGCTAATTCCACACCTCTCCAAACAATGTCTCTTGCTTCATGTGTCTCGGGCTGCGCGAAGTGCCCTCTGCACAAATTCTTCGTTCTGCCTCTAAGGAGACATGTAACATCATCAACCGCCTTGGACGGGCTCCTTCTTCCTCTTCTCACCCGTGAAATTCATGGTTATCGTTCCAAGTTCGTTAACCCTCAAACCCTGCTCAACCACAACATGAACCCAAATTGAACCACATAGCTGTAAACAAATAAGAACTGCGTTCTTCGGTTCTTCTGGCTACGCGCAACCGTGTACCCCGCGGCTGCGTTGCCTCCAACACCCATGCCCTGCCCACTCTGATCCGGAAGCAAGACATATCTCAGGCTCCTGAGCAAGAAGAAGGCGTTGGCCCCGAAGCAGTAGAGGAAGATGACCCAGCTAACCCATGCGCCGTCGAAGCCAAGCAAAGAAGCAAGGTAGGTAAGTTCGAGGGCCACAATGACGTGAACAAACTTGTAGCCGCTGTAAGCTACGAGGTCGAGAAGCTGGGAGGAGTTGCTGATGGCCAGCAGAAAGGTGCCGGTCCTGATGATGAGGATCTCGAGCAACATGACAGAAATCGCCAATGTCGCCGTGTATCCGAGTAATTCGGGGTGAAATGCACCTCTTAATCCCGCTAATAGTGTCGCAAGCAAGATGTATGTTACAAGGGCCATGGTGGGGATGTACATGTCTGGCGAGTTCACATCTTCACGTGGTGGGAGGTAGAGCGACGAGGCGGCGGTTGAGGGGTCGGGGCTATGGCGCTGTTGTCGTGACCACGGCCTATGCCACCATGGGAAGAGAATGATGCGTAGTTTGGTAAGTACGTAGGAGTTTGTGACGTTGAAGTAGTGCTTCAGTGCCGAGACGGAGACGTAGCGACCGAGCTGGATATGTTAGCATCCATCGTCTTTAAGACCCCGGAATAAGGAAACGGTAGGCAGGGGCAAGTATTGTAACTTACATTCTGCTCCATGTACTGCTGTCCGGCATCCATGGCACTCTTGCCCATCTGGAAGCCTAGCTGGGTGGTGGGATCATTGATGAAGCCACCAAAAGAGGGTTGCATGTTGTAGCCACCCTGCTGCTGCTGAGGCATGCCGCCGCCCTGTTGCCCGTATCCATATGCGCTTTGTGGTTGTGAGGGCGGTAGCGGAGGAGGCGGTGACCGTAGCTGTGGGACTGTGGATACATGCTGTGGGATAGGATGGTGAACTGGTAGGTGATTAGCATTCTTTGAGTTTAAATATAACAACGAATGCGGTATGCCAGGGTGAAAGAGCTCGAGAGATAACTTCACGTGGTATACATACGTGGTGGTGAGTGCGCGGGCGGGTTGTTGTAGCTTGGGCGCTGCATTTCGGCGCGTGTGAGAAAGTCAATCGTGTAGCGACAGTGGTGTTGAGAGCGATGCGTGAGACGAGAAGAGGGTGTTCAAGCTCGTCGAATGGAACAGGTTGCAGTTCCAGTTGTTGAATTTCTGTTGCCTACCACACAGTTGCGGTGCAGCTCACCTCAGCTCCGAGCCCATCTGGCCAGTGCAGCACGGACGTCATTGGCGAGCCCCCCTCATAACCCACCACTTGTGCCACCATTTAGTACTCGTGCACACTTTCACTCTACACTCGCCGCAGCAAGAGCATTGAGCATGTTAGATACCTTTGAGATACTAACCTCGTCAGGTGTCGTCCTGTGGTCGCGCACATATGCCCCCGTCGGCGCGAATATCATCAACAGCTTAATTCGCGAGGTCTTCATCGAGGAGCGCATACAACCCCAGGCCGAGGATGCAGGGTCGAAACCTACATACAAGAAAGAGGGCTACACACTGAAGTGGACGGCAGCAAAAGACCTAGGGCTCATCTTTGTGGTATTTCCGGCTTTCCCTCTACTATCAGAATAGATATAGCTAACGCTTGCTAGGCAGTGTACCAAAGTCTCGTCCACTTGACTTGGATAGACAAGCTCCTCGACAATGTCCGCGCCCTGTTTGTCGGCCTCTATGGCGAGCAGTTGAAGACGGAGCACAGCAGCGTCGTCAACTGCGACAAGTTTGGCTCCTACTTCGACCGCCAAATGCACGAATTGGAAGGAGCGAGCGACTCTGGCGCACCCAGCATCAAGCTCACCACGCCCGACTCGAGTACAGACAATGACAGCGCCGAAGAGAGCGCAGCGGCACCCAAAATCCTATCCAAGCCGCAACGAGCCCTGTACGATACGAGCGCCGACTCGACCCCCGTACCCACACCAGATGCTTCGCGACCCACGACACCGGCACACAGTCAGTTGGTGACAGGAAAGGCGAGACCGCTTGGCGGCAAGATGTCGCGGCGAGACAAGAAGAAAGCGAGTGCATTCAGCTCAGCACCTGCATCATCAGGAGACGAGGGGTCCACGAAGCGGAAGGGCAAGGGTTCAGCAAAGAAGGGCAGGGTCTGGGGCGAATTTGGCGCAGAAGAGCAGGACGACTCGGTTCTCGATTACTCCCAGGCGGATATACGTGACGGGACTTCGGCCAGCGAGGCTGTCGAGGAGATCCGACCCGAGACATGGGGTCGCACGACAAACAAGGGCGAATTTGTGTTGAAGGATCTGGATGACGAGATGGATGCCATTATTGCCGAGCAGAACGCAAAAAAGGTGAAGGACACTACATCAACAGCCTCAGCCGGTCTTGTCGGATCAAGTCTAGGCGCAATTGGAGGCCTGTTCAGAAATGTAGTCGGCGGAAAGACACTCACGAAAGACGACTTGATCAAACCCCTCAAGGGTATGGAAGAACATCTCCTGCGCAAAAACGTCGCCCTTCAAGCAGCGGTGCGGTTATGCGACAGCGTGGAGCGCGATCTCGTGGGAATGAAGACGCCCAGCTTTACCAGTCAGTACTTCCTCAGAACTTTCGCTTTTGCAGACTGACGTAATCTAGCAATCGAAACAACACTCAAGTCATCCATGGAAAAGGCGCTGACCAAGATCCTCACGCCCACATCCTCCCTCGACCTCCTCCGCGAAATCCAGCACACAAACTCTACTACATCACGACCATACGTCCTCTCTATTGTTGGTGTAAATGGCGTAGGCAAGTCAACCAACCTATCCAAAATCGCTTTTTTCCTCCTACAGAACCACCACCGCGTCCTCATCGCTGCGGCGGATACATTCCGAAGTGGCGCTGTTGAACAGCTGAGAGTCCATGTCGATAGACTCAAGGAACTATCGCAGCGTGAAGGCGGTCAAGTCGACTTGTTCGAGAAAGGCTACGGAAAGGATGCAGCGAACATCGCCGCGGACGCTGTTACCTATGCAGAGAAAAACAACTTTAACGTTGTCCTTATTGACACTGCCGGTCGACGGCATAACGACCAACGGCTTATGAGCTCACTAGAGAAGTTCGCCAAGTTCGCCAACCCAGACAAGATCCTCATGGTCGGAGAAGCCCTCGTCGGCACCGATTCGGTTGCGCAAGCACGGAATTTCAACGCTTCGTTTGGCGCAGGAAGAAGGCTAGATGGCTTCGTCATCTCCAAGTGTGATACTGTCGGCGACATGGTGGGTACGTTGGTGTCCATGGTGCATGCGACAGGCATCCCCGTGGTGTTTTTAGGGACAGGGCAGCACTATAGTGATTTAAGGACACTGAATGTTGGTGCTGTCACGCGTTTGCTCATGAGCTGAAGATTAGGACCGTAGAATCTTTGGCGCAGTAGGATCGGAGCACTTCATGTACAAGCTATTCGTTTGTTGTATAAATAATTAACTTTTTAATGCCAAACTCTATTTACGGCAAACTGGCATTCACTCTACTAGTTCGAACGCATTCATGAGTCTTAGCAATGTCTTGCACGCCAGTCGTGAAAAGCAACACCTTTTTAGCTAACTCCTAAACGAACATGGCACTGGCACGAATCCGAGGTCGGCCTTGTAACAAACATAACACAATTCCCTTCCTAGTTTGAACTAGACTAATTTTGCTTAGTAGGCTAGAAAGTCTTCAGTGTGTCCTAGGCAAGTCGAGAAGACAATAAAGCGTCACCTGTCTCTTAGGAAACTTCGTCTTTGATATATATATAGCAATGAACTATGCTTCATCGATTGAACACCTCGTAGTTATTGGCGTTAATCAACTCCATTCCCTTCTTGCGGTACGTGTCTGGCTCCGTATGGCTCGACACATTGGCATCGAACACAATGTCTAGCGGATTCGCGACATCATACTTTGGCCACAGCGCTTCTGTTCCATTCCAAGCGTTGTTCTCCCTCCACGCATTCGGGTCCAAGTCGTGTACAAAGCTTACCCAGTTGCTGTTCATGAATCTAGCAAGATCGCGGTAGCTCTCGCTTTTATTGGTGAAGGGAGGCACCGCAGCGGGTACATAACCCCGTCCCTCGAGGTTAAGGAACACGAAAGCCACTTCCTGGAAATGTGTTACTCCAATCGTTGGTGGTAGACCTGCGGGGATCGCATTGAAGCGATAGCAGTACGCCGATAGACCGGCAGCGGCCCAGGTCTCGCAAGTCAGCCTGCGGTTGGCAATGAAGACCATATCACCAAAGTAAGATGCTGACCGGCGGAATTGCGCACCAAACGGTGGGCCGGGTCTGGAGTTGCCCAGGTTCGCGATTACGTTGACTGATGGGTCGTCTGGGTATGCTTCCAGTAGCTGCTTTGCTAACGCAGGCGGGACGTTACCACGACCGGAGCTTGTCATGTACCTGTAGAAATCTTCAGTCGTTTCGACCGGCGACGGGCCAAATGCGCTGCCCTCGTCTGAATTGGCGCCGGATATGATGGGGACTTTTACATAGTCGCCAGCTTTGAGCTGAAGAGACGTGGGCTTCTTTATGAAGTCGTAATCTAATACAGGCATAAATTGTATAATGGAAAGATTTGATGCCGGGCTTGTGGTGTTGATGGCTGTGTTGAGCTGCTCGGCAGGCAGTTGGCGAAGACATTCGAATGTACTGGACGAATTGCCGCAGCTTGTCCGGCGGACGAGCTCGTTGTACCAATCCGCATTACTCAAAGGATTTTTCAAGACCCCGAAGTTGATAGGATTGCCGCTCTGCATTATGGCACCACGGAAGAGCTTATCGTCGCGGCCACCATAGGCTGTGAGGTGGAAGCCAACGGACGCTCCGCCTGCACTCTCCCCGTAAATGGTCACTTTTTCAGCATCGCCTGCTCCTTGTCAGCTCAGTCGGCCTCGATCTGGGAGTTGAAACTGACCACCAAAAGCCTCGATATTGTCCTGGACCCATTCTAGTGCTAGTCGCTGATCTTTGAGTCCAAGATTCAGAGCATTATTGTCTTGTACTTCTTTGCTTCCGCTGAGAAATCCCCAAGCACTCAATCGGTAATTGATGCTTACGCCGATGATAGGCTTACCGATCTTCACAGAGTTCTCTACTGTGAAAGATAAGTTGTAGCGCTGGTCAATACCTCCGCCCTCGAAGAAGCCGCCGCCATGAATCCAGAACGCAACTGGGAGCTTTTGATTCTCGAAACCTGCTGGACGGATTACGTTGACATACAAACAGTCCTCGGAAACTGCGTAGTTCCATTGATCCGAACCATATCCGTAGCACTTATCGAATAGTAATTAGCTTGGGGGAGCTGGCTAAAGAAAGGTCTGTACGTACTTCGCTTGAGTACTGCGTAGCTGCTTTTGCATCGTTCCAGCTCTCATTCAAGCTCACTGGATTCCTGAACCGCAAACTTCCCACTGGTGGCTGGGCATACGGAATGCCCAAGAAGAAGTCCTGGTTGTACTCTGCTGAGTGCACACCGTAGTACGACCCGTTCTTGACCTCAACAGTTGGAGCTGAAGAGTTGGAGTAGCAGTTCGCTAAGCCAAAGTATAGCGCAGCTCCTAGTACAATGGCACGCGACATGACAGGCAATTACGTTGGCAAGATAAAACGAGGTCGTCAACGCTATATACAAAACCTCACCTGCTCCGCAATCGCTGCCGCGGTATGTATTGCGCCGCGAAATTGACCGCTGTACGTACATAATCCATGGTTCATGACTCCAGCATCGGCGAAGCCCCCGTTTGCAAACATCGCGTCTTAACGTTCTGCGGGGATCGAACATCGCAGATGCATGTTGACTCGCTCGGGAAGTGGGGAAGGCCAGCAAGCCGAAGATGTGATTGGGTAGCGTTATATATCGATGTTCATGCATCGGAGAAACTCTTTACATTAGCGCAACAAGCTTATTAGAATGTGGGGTATAGGAAGCTTGGAGAACGGCAACGAGGAGCGGCAGCTTCCTTTCTAACCGAGGCCTGCGTATTCGACGCATGACGCTATGTTTAACAAGGGTACCGAGTCTCCAGACCATAATATCATGATGTACAAAAAAGGTCATATCTCCGATCGTAAGTCTGTATAGGCTGCTAGTTGTGCTAAGCAACAAGAAAAAAATCTTTTGACATTCTATAACTTTATAGCGTAAGTCTAGACCTTCCCTTACTATGCTAGATTAACATCTTTTTCATAATCTTAGGGTATTACAAGAGCCTAAAACTTCGATAGCATATTTGGCAGAATCTGCGCCAGACTGCACAGCGCCATCAATCCAGCCGCGCCAGCCATCGCTGTAATCAGCGCTTGCAAAGAGGACGTTGCCGTGGGGTCTATTCAAAGCATCAAGGTAGTTGCTCACGAACTTGGGCGGTAGGAAGCACCACGTTCCCTTGGAGAATTCATCTTTGTCCCAATCGTGGTATACCTGTGATGTGTTAGTGTTAAACGATTAATAGGGGCTCGTGAAGCGGGTAGGGATGATGAAAGTAGAAACATACAAGGCGCTTGATCTTCTGATCTGTGGGAATGATGTACTCGGCAGCGGTTTTGAGCTGGTCAACACCTTCATGCAGGTGAATCCCACCGACACTGCCAGGGGAGGGGCCGAACGCTACAAGGTGTGTATCACCGGCGGGGGTTAGATTATCGGCCAGCGCTGCAACTAAGCCCTTCCCAGGCGAAGCCCAGGCCGTATACGACAGTAAATCTGCGCCCTCGGTGTCAATATGGACCTTGTTGCAGTGCTGGACAGAGCCTTCTTTGATCGCTTGCTCTTTCAGGGTGGGAAGAGGTGGATTAAAAGAGATGTCTCCCAGGACGTTGAGTGGTACGGTGCAGATGACCTTGCGAGCTTTCCATGTCTGGCCATTCCTGCTAGTTACCCTGACCAAACCGTCACGGTCTTCGATACGATCAACAGCGGTAGAGAAGCTGTAGGAAAGTTTGCCTGTGCAGCGGGCATGGTCGAAGATTTTGCGGTGCAGTGTGCTTTGGCCACTTCTAAGTCGGGTGCTCAATGCAATGGCGTTCAAACCAAGCGGCGTATGACCTCCAAGGGCGAACCAGCGTATAGCATCCAACAAGCCCATTCTCTCAATTGGTCCCCCACCCATCTGCAGAAGCATGCTCTCCAGAACGGTAATCTCTACGTCATTAAACTTGTGCTTGATCTGGTTCAAGCGGTCGCGGCAGGATAGCTGATCGATTTCGGTCATGGCAGACCGATTTCGCATTCCTTGGAAGGGATATGGCATGGCATCCTTCGCAAAGTTTCCATCAATGTTACAGAACTCCCCCCAAATTCTGACAATAATGGCTTCCTGTGAAATATTAGACATCGAAATCTACCTCCAAGCTTCGGTGAGACTCGCCTCTTCGTCGTGGGTCAAATCTACCCTCCGTTCGCCAGCTACCACGGTCGCGTAGTCTAGCTTTCCACCCGGTTGCTGGCTGACAATCCAATCGTCATTGAGGCCGTAAAGAGATACTTCGCGATAAATGTGAGGCATTGTCCAGTGTATCCAGGTCCCTCCCATCTCATAGTTGAAGCCATCGAGCGTCCCGTGCCATGTGCGACCACCAATGCGGTCCCTACCCTCCAATAAAAGAGTCTTTTTGCCTAACAAACCGGAACCAGTCAGCCAAGGGGAAAGACGGGGAGACTTGGGGAGTCGCGCATACCTTGCGTGGTAAGGTCACGTGCAGCCACAAGACCAGCATATCCAGCACCGATAACGATAACATCTAGAGTCTCATGAACACCCGGAACTTGAAACTTGGGGGGACTAATAGCTCCAAGGCAGGGAAGTCCACGCTTCAGACCCTCTGTAGGGGTCCAGCTCTGGCCATCTGTCGTAGCCATTATGATGTCTGGGTGTAATGAGAATGACGAAGATCTAGCTGATGAGGATTGAAGAGATATCAAAGCTTGGGTCAGCAAGAAGTGGACGGATAGGATAAATGTTCAAAGCTAGGAAAATGAGGCGCCCACCAAGGCACGGGATGCATAGCCTGACCATCGCGTGCTCCGCTGGTGGAATGTGGACCGCGGAAGCTAGTGATTTGAAGCTGGAAGATCTACATTAGAACAGGTTACTTCAGCTCGATGTGTTCGACACGATGTACTCCGACGCGTTCTCCGTTCTAGGCGGCAATCGATAATGGTTTAGCGCGTTGGTGGATAAAACGTTCATTGGCTCATGGCAACTACCGCAGCTAGCCGAATGCGTTCTTTCATTGTCTCTACGTAGGAGTGGAGGATAGTTTAATCCCTAAAAGTGTTCACAGGTATTTGGTTCCCGCTTATTGTATGAACTCTAATGCTGAGAATAATTGCCATGGCCTAAGTTAAAGTCCGCCTCGTATTAGTGGCCCTGCATGCTGTCAAGATTATAGTAGACAACGCCCAGAGAGGTGATTACAAAGAAAGATATTAGCCTGCGCAGTTTTACGAGGCGAAAAGGTCGATACATAGCTAGATCAGGAGCTGGAGACAGTTCCAGGTGAGTAAAAAGTAGCTAGAGCCAACAAAGCGTTCGTTCGTGGCATTTGGTTATAGAAGATGTCCGTATTCAGGGAGAGCTATGTTAGTAGCACCATGGAGATGGCAGGTTGATTTAATCTCAAGTCTGCTTTCAGATGAGTCTTGATTGATATTTGCTACAATCTACTAGATGGTGCGTCGTTCTGGGTATGAAGAATATTAAATTTCACAACCTTTGTCGTCGTCCACTCATCCAGGGCTTCTACACCCATATCGCGGCCAAACCCAGACTGTTTGACACCGCCAAACGGCGTATTCGCATTCAGTGTTCCCCAGCTGTTGACCGTAACTTGGCCAGTCTCAATGGCGGCCGCAACGCGATGAGCGCGGTTCACGTCGTTGGTAAATATGGCAGCACTGAGCCCATATTCACTATCGTTTGCTTTGCCAACTACCTCAGACTCTGTCTCAAATTTCGCGATAGCCTACAAAGAGTTAGCAAGCCTGACACGGGCCGACAACGTGAAAGTGTAACTTACAGCAACTGGCCCAAAGATCTCTTCCTTCATAATCGTATCGTTGTCCCCCACATCAGCGAATGCTGTGTTCGCGACAAAATTGCCGTCCAGCGAATCTCCTCCGTGCAAAAGACGTGCACTGGACGACTTCCCTTCCTTGATATAAGATAAAATCTTCGCATGCTGGGCGCTGCTGATGATAGGGCCCTTGGTAGTATCCGGTAATAGAGGGTCACCATGTACTGCACGCGCGGATCGCTTAGAAAATTCCTTCACGAAGTCATTATAGATGCTCGAGTGGACGTAGATACGCGACCCAGCAGCACATATTTGCCCGTTATTCGCAGTGATCCCTAGGGTCGTCCAGAATAGTGCGTTTTCGATGTCTGCATCGGGGAAAACAATAGAAGGCCCTTTACCGCCCAATTCTAAGGTCACTTGGGGCACGGTTAGCTCAAGTTTTTAATTTCAGACAATGCATACACATACCTTTCTTGAAATTGGTATTCGCTGACGCCTTCAGAAGAAGACGTCCAGTAGGCGAGCTACCAGTGAATGAAAGCTTTCTAATACTCATGTGTTCGGCAATTGCCTGGCCAGCCTGATGGCCGTAGCCGTTCAAGATATTGACCACACCAGGTGGGAAGCCAGCCTCTAACACGAGAGCCGCTAACTTTTGAGCGTAGAGCGGGCAGAGCTCTGGGGGCTTAATAATTAGCGCATTACCGGCGGCAATTGCGGGAGCCAGCTTCCATATAGTGATCATGCTTTGAGAAGTTAGCTACTGGAAGATACAATGCAGCCAAAAGAAAACATACAGAGGCGCGTTCCATGGCACAATAGCTGCGCACACTCCGATAGGCTGGCGCCTGGTGAATGCCATACCGTTGGGAATCTCTAGTGCTTGGCCGTCGATTTTATCCGCCCATCCTGCATAATATTTAAGGACCTCTATTGCTTGGGGTACATGCAGATGCGTTGAATCTGCAAGTAGAATACCAGCATCAACAGCTTCCAGGGTAGCTAGTTCGACCGCGTCACGTTCGAAAAGGTCGGCGAGCTTGTGCAGCAACTGGCCGCGTCCCGGTGGGGACGTCGTTTTCCACGTAGAACGCAAGGCAGATTGAGCCGCCTCTACCGCCGCATCGACATCGTCTTTCTGTGCAGCAGCGAGGGTTGCGAGGTGGTTCCCAGTCGCTGGGTTTGTGGTATCCAGTGTTTCTCCACTTATAGCTGGCACGAATTGATTGTTGATGAATAGCCCAGAGTGCACGGGGAAGGCGAGGTCCCCAGCACCTCGTATGGTAATGGTGGTCATGATCCGTAATGCTGGGTGTGAAACGAGGTGGGCACCGTACGTCTGTGAAGCATCCCGGGGATGATCGTGCTTTTGATGGGGTATTAGGTGCGGGGGGGTCTTTTTCCGGTACCCAATAAGGCAATTTTCCTACCCGGCTGTCGGTAAGAAATGAATTCAGATCAGGATCTGGTCTGCACCGGAGCTGCGCATCACGTCTTGCCAGCGAGGCATTGGCTCGTTGAAGAGTCTTGCTACGTCTCGCTTGCTCCACACCTCTTCCAATAACCTCGCGGCTGCTTCTGTGTTGCCTATGCCAAGAACCTGCAGCGCTTTCCAACGGCATCTAATGTACTCGCGTCTCTCTTCATCATCGAGCTCAGTGCCTATGACTACAAGCGCCCAGCCGACATTGGCCCCAGGACCAACTGCGTCAGGTACTTGAGCGAGCCAAGAGAAGACGGCGTTGACAGACTGCTGGATTTCGTCGCGAGCTTGCATTGCATCACCTCTGATGCGATGCACATAAACGTGGGTGGCGTGGCGGAAGATCTCAGCAGTTGCAATGGCTTTGTTCATATAGTTGTGTTGGGTGAACTCGTCCATGGCGGTGACGGCTTCCACCCCATTGTAGCACGTGATAGCAAAAAAGGGAGGATCTCTGTCTGAGGGTACTATTTCACAAGCACGTATCTGCGCCTGGAGAGAGTCGATGCGCTGTTCTAGCTCTTCCGACGAGACGGCATCTGCGCTGACCCGCTGGTAGAGCTGGGCTCCTTGGAGCTAGAAGGTCATGGTTAGCGACGCAAATAGCAGCTTGGACACTCGTGACGTACCATAAGATGTGGCAGATGAACTGAGCAGCCCAGGAATGGATCAATGGCAGAGGTTGTTGATGGCCGTGCAGGAGAAGGCGCTGTCCAGGCGGCGACCTGGGGGATGAGGGCAGTGCCGCAGTTCAGACCGGATTGTGTGTCGAGGAGGGTGATCCACGTCTTTAGAAAGGGGTCGAGGTCGACGGCGGCCGAGAAGGCCTGTGTCCAGCCAGCGATGGCATGGTAGTGGTGCTTCCACTTGGAAGAGCCGTTGAAGACTTCATAGGTAGCCAACAGCAGCATGGCAACAACAGTCGTCTCACTCTTGAGGAGATGCGGGCTGCGGAAGCGCTGCTGTAGCTGGCCGATGGCCTTTTTCAGATAGAATCGCGACTCGACGTCGACAGTGCCATGCCAGCGGCTGAGATGCGAGCGGGCGACGGCGAGCACGGCATCAAGGATCATGGGATCATGCAGGGCCAGTGTTGCAAACTTGCGATAGCCATTGCCGTGGTAGTCGATGGCGAGGGCGAATCTGGCAACGTTTTTCATAAAGTGAAGAACCAGTCCGTCTTCCTTGGACGGTAGACCGAAGGACGAGAAGGCAGCGGGCCTAGGGAGGGGACGAGCAGTGGGTGTGACGTCGAGGAGCTCTGTAGGCCACTGAATATGCACCGCGTAGCCAGGACATGGCAGCTGTGCGAGCCGACAGGCATTGCAGGCGGGCAGCGCCTCGTCGCAGCCAAGGCCTCGCGCTTCGCAGGTTGCGCAACCGCCACGACGAACAATGTCAACGCGCAAGTCCATGCTGTCGATAAGAGATGCAGTGTGGTGAGGCTGCGCGTCTCCAGTGCGCTGCGTGACAGCTTGTCCTGCTCGTGCTAGTCTGCGGCTGCGTAAACTGTGCGGGGGTGCCATGGCTGTCCATTGTGTGCGGGGTGTTGTGGCTGTCCATTGCCGGCCAGGGCGATAAGAGAGAGAGATAGGTCGGTCCAAGAGGGATTAGCTATAGATAGTACAATCTCAGAGTGAAGTGTTATCAGCAAGGCTGCTGCGCGTCGTCTTCGCTAGGGGAGTTTTTTTTTTTACCATGTCCGTGTTGACCACCACCGCCGCCGTCACCACCACTACCACCACCACCACAGGTCCATCGACCAGGACGAAGCAGACGTTTGCCTGCGAGCCGTGTCGCAAGCGCAAGGCAAAATGCAGTGGCACCGCGCCCTGCTTCATGTGCCAGAGGAATGGTCAGGCCTGCGAATTCAGCTATACGCGACAGCGTCGCGGGCGCAAACAGGCGAGGTCCCTCGACAACGACAGCAGTATTGCGCCCCAGCGCGAACCTGGGCAACCCCCTTCTTCCGTATCTCCACCTCTGGCTTCCAACCCACCATTGTCTCCCGTCACGCCCTCGTGGCCCCCGCACCTGCAAGATCTCCTTCACAGTGACCTGGCCTCCCAAGCCACTGTGCACCACCATGACCATGACGCGGCAGCCCTCGCAGCCCTCATACCGCCTCTCCTCGACATCTTCTTCTCCGCCGTCGCTCCACAGCACCCGCTCTTTATACGAGCGAGCGACTTCCGCATCCTAGTCGTCGAGCACAGGTGCCCCGCCTACCTATGCTATGCCCTTGCCACGGCTGCGATTCCGTGGTCCAGCCACCGATATCTTCAGGACCACCAGGTGCGCGAGCGAACCGAGGGCCTGTTTGTCACCCTGGTGCGCGCAGCACTCGACTCTGCTGCCAGCTTAGACGCCATTTTGTCTGTCCTCCAATCCTACTGTGCAATCATTATACATACCACGAGCCATGGAAGCGCCGTTCAAGCTTGGTCAGACCTAGGGGCAGCTGCAAGTCTGGTGCGCCTACTGGTCTTACAACAACAGTTACCACAACAACGACAGGAGGAGGTTCGACGATTACACTCATCCACCCGGCTTGTGTCTGACTTTCTCTCCATTTGCGAGGTGTCGTTGGCCTTGGGCCACCCCGGGTTAAGCATCTCGCGTCATCCTAGCCACTACCACGAAAGCCCTGAGACCATGTTGAGCCTTCGTCACATGTGCTCTTTGCTGGCTCAAGTGCAGTCTGAAGCAAGGCTAGGCTTTTCAGATCATCCCCTCCTGCCATGGCTGTCCAAGTCTCCATTCATGGCACTGCATCAGTCTCTAGATCGAGTGCGGCTTGCTTGGCCTGAGACCCTCTCTTTCGAGCTGGAAGAGAGCAGCGCTACTCAAGACTGGCTTGCCATTGTTCTCTGGCATGCTTCCATCATTCTGTTAAACAATGTCTTTCTCCCGGTCCCTACTGCCCGCCCTGTCATCGACACCTCCATGGACGGAGCTTCACATCACAGTTGTAATTTACTTAGCTACCCACACGCACCCGCCCAATTCCTTGAGGAACGAAGAACAGCGTGCGAAGTCAGTGCCGCCCAGATTGCAAGCATCTGCATGCACATCATGTCACGTGGAGTGACTCTGCTGGTAGGCTAGCTTCAATGTTATCCTTCGTTTACTTATCCTCTCTACAGGCTCCGATGCTAGGCTATAGCTGTTATCAGGCCGCCTTTGTTTTCTTGAATCAGCTACACAGATCTCGTCCTTCTGTGTCGCCCCAAGTTGCCCGGCACCTGAAAGCAGTCTTGACTATGCTTGGTGCAATGCGCCATTTCTTCCATCCCGCCCAGGCCTGGATCAAAGCGATCAAAACAGTACACACGTTTCCCCCTCTGCCTACAAACCAATCACAAGATTATGCAGAGATATTCATAGGCTTTTCGGCGAGATTTCCTGGATTTGAAATGCCACCATTCATCTCCTTTACAGACACGGATGCCTGTGACTCGGAGCAAAGAGAGAGGAACGAGAGAGAGTTGGACCAGATACCTAGGCAAACTGGTCACACGGCCGAAGAAACTTCTGAGCCTGAGTGGCTTGCCAAGTACGCAAATCAGCTCAACAACGACCTAACACTGGACCATTTGGCCGATCGAGTAGAGCCCATTGAGGACCCTGCTGCCAGCTATGAAACAATGATTGCAGCATGGTCTCAACCCTTGCAAGAGGATGAGCATGTAATTGCTGATTCAGATATGCCCTTCGCCGATGATGAAGTACTACAGGCCCTTTTAGGTAATTTCAGCACCGACACCCAGCTATCTGAAGCATTTCGTGGGAACAGACTCAATAGTTCACCAAGTGTACATACGTAGATACATAGTTTATAAAAAAGCGATACCTGCAAAGACATTCTAATGAATTGATGTAACCTATCTACACGAGCATCTTTATACACTATTGGATACTTCTCAAGCATTGTCTCTATTCTTCCTGCTGACAGACGCCGCGAGCATTTTTTTTTTTTCACAAATTCGCCCGCACAGGCACCTCGGCTTCGTCGGAGTATCTCCTGTCTTCAATTTCGAATCCACCGCCAGCTGGGACAGATAGCTCCTCCAAAGTTCCCTGCCTGCCGGACCGCACGTCAGCAGCCAGATGGTCAAAGTGCTCCTCGGCATTCTTCTCAGCATCGTGCTCGAGCACCCACTTGAAGCGCGGCATGTTCAGGATCTCTGGGTGCTTCTGAATCTCCTCGCCGTCAAAGTCGACATTGTGGTAACCATCTCGGTTAGATATAGAGCTCATGTGAACCACATGCGAGCGATTGAAGCGGATACGCTCGAAAACTTGCAGGCCAAGCTTCGCGTCGCCCTTTGCACGGTGCAGCGCTACCGCGGCTGCTACTCCATCCTCCATAGCCTGCGACCCGCCTTGTGCAGAGGTAGGCAAGTGGCAGTGCGCTGCGTCGCCAATGACGGCAATTCGTTTACCAGAACTAAGCCACGTCTTTACCGGATCGCGCCAGACGAGCTTGTAGTCGACTAAGGAGTCGGCGGGAGTGTACTTCACCACCTCTTTCAGCTTCTCCTCAAACCCTTCCTCCTCAAGGCACTTGAGCACATCTTTCTTGTCGCCAGGGAAAGACCATGACTCGCCAATATCGTGGTCGTCCTATTGTCTCCGCGTTAACGTTTCTGTCAGAAACAAGCTTGGAACAGGGGAGTACGAACCTTGTGTGTCAACACCCATCCAATTTCCTTGCCTTTCATCCAGGTATAGATGATCATGTGAAGATCCTTGGCTACCCACATCTTTGTAATATCCCTGTTGGGATTGCAGAACTCGGCTAAGAGGGGATTCTTCCGATGCTCTTCCGTCAAGGTATAGTATGCGCGATAAATGGCATATCCGCTGTTCACCTTGGTGTCTGGAAGGTGCAGGACCTTTTGGCGCGCCAGCGATCGGGGGCCATCCGCGGCAAGGACTACATCGCCTACAAACTTGTCGCCCTTGTCGGTGACAACTCCAGCTTCATTCTCAGACTCAAAGTAGTCCACCACCTTTACGCCGAAACGCAGCTCCACTCCCAGTTCTTTCGCATAGTCGAGAATAACGTCGTGCATCTGGCCACGATGGCCAGCGTACTGCTGCCAGAAGTGGTGTGGCTTGAGGATCCAAGGCTCATCGAAGATAAGCTTCCCGTCGTACTTATAATACTGGAATCGGTCGCCTTGGTTGATGCAGACGGCCATGAGATTGCGCGCAATGCGCCCGCCCGCCCACTTCTGAATAATCTTGCCGCCATTGGGGAAGAAGTCGATAATGTCTCCGTATTTCTTGCTTGTGGGATATGTCTCAACAAGGAGGACGCGCATTCCTCTGAGGCGACATTCGATAGCGGCCGTGACGCCGGCGAAGCCAGCACCCACGATGATGACAGTAAACGGATTGGAGGCCATGATCTGAGGGAGATGAAGACAACAAACTTTCTAGTGAATTCCAAGGATAGAGTCCACGCATTGGTTGCGATAAAAGTACCTCTCGCCAGCTGCTGCACGGCGCCCGCTAGTCGTGTCTGATCTTGGTCCGGAAGAAGCAGTATGCTAGTGCGAGGCAAGCATACAACGTTCCCCACAGCCATGGCTGTGAACTTTCCCCGATCTGGTGATTGCGGAATATTTAGCGCCACTGTCTATCATGTGGGCGTTGGCCGGGATGCAGCTCGGATGAAACGCAGATTGGGCGATTGGGTCTGGTGCACAGGCACGGTCTGTGCCAAAGTGGTCTCAAAAGGACGACATTGCTTCTCAAGATATTAAGATACGTACTATGCACCTGCCAATGATCTGTAAATGAAGTGGATGATGCTATGATATTATGGGTATCGTTATCCATATCAGTGTAATTGTTGGTTGGCGTGCCGTCTGCGGAAAGGTGGTGCAGCATCGGATTTAATGAGTCAGGCAAAGTCCGACGAAGGAGATAAGCAACCGTCGTCAAATCCTTTGTTATCTTCAATCACATTTGTACAACCTCCGAATTTCATAACACATGTGCTTTGATAATTACCGTATGTACATCTTAAGGGCTTACTGTACGATTTCTTATTCTTCAAAGAGGGCACGTGACGCGTGAGCGACAACCTGACTGGCTGCCTACAAGCAAAACTCTAACCCCTAAATGACCATTTAATTCTACCCAATCTTCTTCCCAGCCCAGCACTCAATAAGGAGCTCCTTCATCTGCTTCGGTTTGATATCAGGAAACATTTTATTCAGACTCGTTCCCTTGATATCGTACACCCCATTCGCGATAGCAACACCCAAATTGCATGCAAGCGCATCTACCTGCGGTTTGCCTTCGGGGAACAGCTTGTAGAACGGTTTGTTACTCGGCAGCTCTGTCACTTTCCCAGCTCGCAGGTCAGCGAGGGAGTCATAGCAGACATCAAACTTGGTGCCTGTGACTTCCTCGGCTAATTCAACCAGTTCGTTCGACGAGATTGGCGTTCCCGTGCAGATGGCGTCGCGTGGCCATTTTTCGGCTGGAAGGCCTAGGAGAGCACCGACGTATAAACCGATGTCTCGGGTGAAGGTGAAGGCAATCTTGGCCTTCCCATCGCCCGGTATGGCAGCTTTGGCGGCCAAAATGTCTGTAATGATGTACAAAGGCTTAAGGTAGGTATTCTCAAGATGTGGCATGCCGTAATAGTCCATAAACATTCCGGGTTGGATGGAACAGTATGTTAGGCCAGCATGCTTATCAAGTTCCGCTCGAGCTGCTTGGTGAAAAGCCTTCTCCGGATAGGGAAATATCCTTTTTTGAAGAGCCTCACGTTAGCTGGCGTTCTTTTAGAGCGTGATATGTTTCATAAACATACTCTTCCGAGAGGCTGTAGTCTACATTGAAGTCGCTAGGAATGAATCGCTTCACTACGCCTGATTCTGCTGCTCCACGGATCAAGTTGATGTTTGACTGGGATATCACCTCAAAATCGAGGTTCAATGTTGATATCACTGTATCAATCTTGAGGTCGCGAAGCGTCTGCGCCATCGCTGAGGGTGATGAATAATCGACTTCCACGACATTAACACCGTGTGGGGGTTTATGTTTCCCTCCCGAAGTCTGTGAAGTGAGAAGTTAGCTTACTAGTTTGAAAGTTCATAAGATGACATTGGCTCTTACTTTTCGTGTCAGGATGTGAATTTTGTGCTGTGGTGTCGATGCAAGGACCGCGTCGATGATGGTCCGGCCAAGGTCACCCAAGCCGCCGGCAACAGCAACAGTACTCATTGTATGTATTCGCCAAAGTAGTGACAAGGGTATTCGTTGTCGCTGCAGGCCAAAGATGTTTCACAGCGTTGTTATTTGGGGCACACGGTCTGAATTGAACATCAGCGAGGATGTTGGCCACACAAGCACGGAATATTGCGGTATTCTCCGCTTGAAAGCATCCTGAAAGTGTTTGATAGACATCTACTATAGCTATGGGGTATCGCACGCTGTGTGGGACCCTACTAGTTCCATGTCTGAATTTGGCACGTCCGCGCGGAAGAATTGCTTAATCCCAGATGCGCAGTAACAGTACCACGTTATCGGGCGGTTTTTTCCGGGAATGCGGGGTAAGACGCTAATGGCGGAAGTGTTCCGACTTCCTATCAAAGGCTAGACCTGCCCTTATCGCCTGAGTCGCGGCTATCGACCCCAGGCGTCCAGCTACCAGCCCCATCTCGTCTTGAATAGGAGACAGGATCCTGATATTGGAGGAGTTTGATCACGCGCGCAAGTCTAGCGTTGTCGTGGATCATACAAGCCCAGATCTACGCGAAATATCCCGGATCCAGTCACGCAGCGTGTGCTTTTTGGGGTGACCGAGGTATTCGTGACGTAATGGGTTGTGGCAGCTCATGGCACACAAGTCCACCTCGACAATACACGGATTTGAGCCTCAGCATAATATGTAAACTCACGAACAAGGGCTCATTCTGATATATCAAAAACAAATATATGTGGTGGGGGCTCATCTCTTGAAATAAGAAGCAGAGATAAATTCTTGTTTTATTATCTGCCAATTGAGGCACTTTGGTACTACTAATCAATGAGCATCCTTCCAACGTGCAGCCACCTTGTAAGCGACGGCAAATTTGGGCGTGCTGAAAGTTATGGTACTCCCACGGTGAATGAAGAACGTATCTCCAGGGTTGCAAGTTGCAGTCTTTCCAGATTCATCGGTGATGATCAGCTGGCCTGTGGCAAGAATTAGTACAAAGGAGCCTATACTGTGTAAGAGAGGGCCGGTGCGGGAAAAAAGTGTACCTTTGATGACGACGCCCGATTCATCGTACATGTACTTGGGGGGTGGGTTAAAAACTTCTGCGTATTCCAGAAGGAACATGGAACCAGTCAAAGGGTTCTCTGTGTTCGGGCCCTTAGGCGTTCCAAATCTGTCCACTATGATATTCTCTCAGTACTGTTGTCTCAACAAGTTTGGTCAGAACTCACCAAAATACACCTCTGGCGGGCCTCCTTCCAGGTGAGGGATATGATGGAATTGGGATTCTGAGAGAGTATCGAAAGGCATCTTTATCTGGTCAAGGGCCAAGAATTTTATGATTTTGTAATATTAGTCGTGAGATAGACTGCGGGATGCGAAGGCTGTTGAGAGAGCTGCAGTAGGCTGGTCTTAGGAGCTTATATTTTAAATTTACTTTTTGGGTAAGCTCCAATACCCAGCTATAATCCGCCCGCTCTGTGGCGGGCAAGGCAGCGCAAGGGTAAATGATAACCGAAGCCAACCAATGAAAGTATAGTCCAGCAAATCCTCCGTTATCAACGTGCATACTGTTCTCTACTGCAGACAGAGTACTAGCGCGAGTACCTAGTTGTAGGCTGCACGGATAGTCTTTTTAGAAAGAGGCTTATTATCTGTACGTTTTATATTAAATGCCCTATAATTATATTCCAGAATAACGGCGGAATAAGTATATTTAATGTTAGAATATATTATTTCTATAGCAGGAGAGGTATTTGTAAATACTTTCAGTCTTAGAAATATTTAAATTATATTGTTAAATATTATTTAGGACTAACCCTTTTTTACCAACTAAAAGCCGGTACAAAAAGTCACCTTACGGTAGATTAGCGCTTATAGAGATAGGAGTAAAAAACATATCAAAAGCGCCTACGCCTTAGTGTTCCCTGTTAAGCTATCGCCGGTTCTGAGATAGGAGCAACCGATTGCACGGATAACAAAGCAGGCTTGACTGCTAGCACCTCTCTAGCGTATGCGCCCAGCTTCCCCGCATGCATTAAATACTCCTACTAAGACCTTGGAACCCGTATCAACAACAGCAAATTGAAGTGGTATCTTTATTATTGATAATTTACGTTGTTACTCCTTTGACTTTTTCTGTCATGGCCTTGACAAAAGACGCTGAGGTCTCGCACACTGTCCAGAACTCAACGGATCATGATGTGGTAGATTTCTATCATCAGAATGGCATCGCCGCACAGAACCAAGTGTTACATCGCAAGTTCGGATTCTGGTCTGCATTTGGTATTTTGTTATGCTGCAGTGGCGCGGTGAGTTGCCAATACTCAGACACCTGGTAATGTATAATGGGCTAATATTATGTGTATAGTGGGAAGGGCTAGTTGCCTCCCTGGCTCAGTCTCTACACGCCGGTAGCTCGGTGTCCCTGGTGTGGGGATGGGTTGCGACTTCAGTTGGGATGATCTTCATTGCGTGCTCGCTCGCCGAACTCGCCAGGTACCATAACCCAATCGTCTCTTTGGGGCTCATGATTTACAATGGCTCGGCAGTCGCTTTCCAACATCTGGCGGACAGTACCATTGGGTTGCCCAACTCGCTCCTCCACAGTGCAGGAATTTCTTGGTAAGACCCCCAATCTTCCTGGCTCTGTGTTGAATACATTTGATAACCCTTCCTTAGAGCTGGTTTACTTGCTGGATGACCATAGCTGCCCTCTGGCTAGGCGGTATTAGCTGCACAATGGGTGTTGCCGTACAAGTTCAGGCGTACGCTTCACTTGCGAACCCGGGATATGTTCCACTCGCCTGGCATGTATTCTTGGTAAGATTCTGAAACACGGACGAAATGCTTTGATAATTGGACTAATTCTTGAGATCATTTTAGATCACGGTATTGATCACGTGTATCTACCTTTTCATAAACATCTTCTACATAAAGCTCTTACATGTGATGAACATAGCCCGTGAGTTCCGACCTCTCAGGTTTCTGAAGAAGATTCTAACACTACTTCCCGCTAGTCATTGTCGTTCACATTACCGGCTTTCTCATTGTGATCATCGTCATGGTTGTAATGCAGAAGGACAAACACGATGCCAGCTTTGTCTTCACCCACTTTGAAAATGGGGTCGGATGGAGAAGTGATGAGATAGCCTGGATTGTTGGGTAAACTCAAGATGATATCCAGCTATAGGAACTCTGCTGAACACAACAGGCTTTTAACTTCCATCTACGCCTTCTTCTCTTTAGACTCTGCAACTCATTATGCGGAAGAAGTTGAGCATGCAGAAATTGCAATCCCTAGAGCCAGTGAGTCACACCCTTTTCCTTTGTATAGATGTGTCATTACTTATCTTTGAATAGTGTTGTTACAAGTGCTCTTGAATGCCTTGATGACATTCCCATTCATTATAGCCCTGCTTTTCTGCATCGGAGATGTCGACGCAGTACTTGTCTCTCCACTAGGTCTTACGAGCCCCTTCACTCAGATTTTGTATAACATCACAGGCAGCACAGGCGGTTCCATATTTCTAGCTATGATTAGCACATACGTTGCCTTCGCGGCCGGTGTGGATCTCTACGGTGCCGCAGGCCGCATGGTGTGGTGCTTGGCTCGCGACAAGGCACTTCCACAAGTCTTCTCCATCGTACACCCGAAATACGATGTACCCGTCAACGCACTTCTTTTGATGTTCTTCCCGACAATGATTCTTCCTATCATTTATATCTGGAACTCAACCGCGTTCTACGGTATTATGGCCGGAGTTCTGGTGTTCTTCCAGCTGTCATACTTCCTGCCAATCTTCGTAAATGCCACGTATGCGCGCTGGAATGGCAAGCAGCACCCGAGCGCTTGGTCAATGGGCCGTTTTGGTTGGATTGTGGATATCATCAGTTGCTTCTGCACTGCGTTCATTTTCATTTTCATGTCATTCCCGGTCTACATGCCATTGACGGCTACAACGATGTGAGCCCCCTTTTCCAGCTCAACGTTTATCCTATGCTTCGATATGAGACTGACACGTCTTAGGAACTATGCCTCAGTCATCTTCGGTGCTGTCGCCGTCCTATCAACCGTTCTTTGGTTCTCTTATGCGCGCTCCCGATACAATGGACCAATTTACTCACTCGACACTCTACAGCTAATCGATGGCCAAGTAGCGCTAGATGCGGAAATGACCATCGTAGAAAAGAAGACAACACACGGCTAGTTGTGGGCGGCTCAAGTTGATTGTTTTCCAATAGCTAGATGTAGTGTCGTTGTTAAATAATGCGCCCCGGGTATAAATATACTTGCGCTCTTTTCCGTATGCAACACGTAACATTCTGATCGCAAATCTGAAAATGTATTGGATTTCCCGTGATCATGCTACCGCTGATTGTATTAGCTCAAAGCTACAACAGGTAGGCAGCACCTCAAGGAAAATGTCATGAAGTATTGGCTATGAAGTTGATGTTAAGTGTCTATAATTCTACCGAAAGATTGGCTAGAAACTTGCTGTTCTCATTTGGTCAAAAACAGAACGTGGCGTGCATGTCAGACTATCAGGTAACGTGGACCTCTAGAAGACCACGTTCAGACCCCACCCCACCCTCCTTATTCTAACGACTAGGAAGAAGACAAACGAAGCAACGTAGAAGGAACCCGTCAGCAGGGCCATACCCCAGTACCTCCCTCCACATGCTTTCAGTAGAGCACCTGCGATGGGAGCCCCAGTAAGCGCCGCAAAGCCAACAATCGTGTAGCTAGTGGCCAAGTAGCGACCAAACTCCCCAGTCTTGCAAAGTTGACCCACGCACACTGGTGCCAGGGATAGATTACTCCCGGAAGCGAAGCCGAATATTGTCGCAAAGAGTATAACCAGAGGCGCAATTGCAGACGAGGACGATGGGAGCAGCGTCGCAGGTAGCCAGATGCCAATATTAGATAGAGCACATAGGGCTACGGTGACGAGGATAGTATTGAACCTTCCCATATGATCACTGATGTACCCAGGAATAAGGCGGCCGAAAAAGGAGGCACCATTGATAATGGCGTTCAGCTGGTAGGAAGGGCCCTCTTTGATCGCTCCGTCGGTAGACAATGCATAAGACGTCAAAAACGTGAGAGGAATAAACAGCGCCCAATCCAAGAAGAACATACCGGCAATCAGCAGGGTAAGATCAGTGTCCCGTAAAAACGTGAGATCAGGGAGCATCGATGATGGTCCCTTGGGAGGAAGCCGGGACCGTACTAGGGTAACACAGATGACGTTGAGGAAGAGGAACAGGAAGGCAAGGATGCGGATGCTCCATCCAAATCCTACTGATGCGAAGAGTGGCTTCATCATCAAGGGCTTCAGAGAGACTTAGTGGTGTTATGCGTTGGTTACAAGGAATGACACTAACAATGACAACGCCCCCTATTGATCCCCCCGAGATAGCTATGCCTGTAGCCATCCCTCTTTTGATCAGGAAAAAATGCCCAATGGCGCCAATGCACGGCGTAAATATGAATGCCGTAGCTGGTCCAACGATCAGGCCAAGAACGAGGAAGAATTGATAATATTCTACTCTGCATTTAGATCGATTCAAGTCTGTTGGATACACAACTAACGTACCTTTGCACACTGAGAACAAGAATAACCCAGTCGTAGATGCAATCGATCCACAAAATACCATCCAGCGAGGGCCCTTAGCATCGAAGATAGGACCGGCTTGTAAGGAGCTGAAAAGAGCTAGAAAGATATACATTGAAAATATCCAGCTGATGGTACCGGCACTATACGAGGATAGTTGATGTGTGCTGAGGTATGCCTGGAAAACGCCCACAGAATTCATCAGGCCGAAGGCTACGAAAATTCCACAGAACCCACCGGCCACAACGAGCCATGCTGCGATACCCCCTTCGGGACATTCCTCCTGTTGCACAACAAAGCCTTCTGCATCAGTGGGTGCTTCGGCCTCCACAGCCGGGTGGGCAGCGTCTTTCTCTAACATGAGAGAAGGGTTGTTTACCATGCCCATAACTTCCAAATGAGATGTTCGCCGGGGATGGGAATGGTTTTCCGCGTTCTAGGCGCAGCGGCTTTGAGCCTATAAACGTGCGAGCCCGCGGAGATAACTGCAAAGGTACAAGCAATCCTGCACAGACGAGCACAGACTGATACTCCACCGCTGCTACCGCGGGGCCCGAATGCGATATTTCCTGGATCAAGGGTGGCCGGAAAATAGTTGGGGGTGGGAAAGTGGGAGACGGGATGTTTCCTAGAATAATCCGACGGCCGAAGCGTATGGCTGTACCTACCCCTCATTATCTGAACCAGTCGCAATCGTCCTAGCGCCACACGATAAGCAACAGTCCAGGACAGTGACAATTAAATGACGATGAATGGACTGGTCTCCATCATGTGCTTTTTCATGTACCTGCCTGAAGCTGAAACAGTGTCCTACAGTTGACTACTACTATGGCGGTCATTGAGCTCTTCAACCCACTTCTGGACCTTTTCAAGCAATACTGGGTTGCTATCATTGGACTTGCGACCCTGCTATATCTGTTATCCAACCGGTACCAGAAGGGCCTCCAAAAAATCCCCGGGCCCTGGATTCGCTCCGTGTCGTCGATTCCGCGTATCCTCTCCGTATACAAAAGCTTCAGCCACGAAGATGACCTCCGCCTTCACAAGAAGTACGGCAAGATTGTGCGCATAGCACCGAATTCACTCTCTATTTCAGATCCGCACGAAATTAATACACTCTATGGAATCTCCACCAAATTTTACAAATCCCGGTTCTATGATTTAGCCTCAGTCCACGACGAAGAGGGCCTTGTTCCTGACCCATTTGTCCTGACTAATAAAGAGCTGCATTCGCGGATGAAGCGCAATGCGGCAAACGCCTACTCTATGAACGGACTATTGCAAATGGAATCCTGGATAGAGCCCGTCACAGAGCGATTGCTACAAAGGCTCGAGGAAAGACATGTGAAGACTGGCCAACCTTGCGATCTAGGCAAGTTACTGCAACTATACGCCATGGATGCCGTATTTTCCCTTACATTCGGAAAGGATAAGGACTTTATGGAGCATGGTGATCAGCATGGCATGATGCGGACTCTTGACCTTATGACTGATTACATGGCTATTGTAAGCATTAAGCGTCCTGGTTGTCTATCTCCTTCCCGCAGCAGCTGACGGTGACGAACAGTTTGGACAGATTCCATGGATACACAAGTTCTTGCTCGGGAATAAGTACGGCACCCGGCTCCTTCTTGGACAAGATACCTCGGAAGAAGCTATTATGAAGCTTGCCATGTCCGAGGTGGACGCAGTGAGGGAAAAGGACGATGATTCAGGCCCCTGTACGTTCCTGCGCCGCCTATTGTTGAACCAGAAGAGCAATCCAGCCTCCTTGACCGACCGGGAGATCTTCACGCACTCATTTGGCAACATCGCGGCAGGAAGCGATACGACAGCCATTGCACTTCGCTCTGTTATGATTCATCTTCTGCAATACCCTGATGTGCAGGCAAAGTTGCACGCGGAGATACAATCAGCGAACTTACAATTGCCCGTTTCGTTCGTAGCAGCAAACAGTCTACCCTATCTGAACGCTGTTATCAAAGAGGCGATGCGATTACACCCCTCTGTTGGATTGATGCTCGCTCGCTATGTGCCGCAGGGTGGTGCCACCATCTGTGGCCAATACATCGCACAAGGGACCGAAGTTGGCATCAATCCATGGGTTCTACACCGCGATCCGCAAGTGTATCCTCAACCAGATATTTTCAGACCAGAACGCTGGTTGGAGGCGGAGAAGGAGCATTTATCCTTGATGAACAAATCCTTTCTTACCTTTGGCGCCGGAGCTCATACCTGCAGCGGCCGTCAAATTAGTCTTATGGAGGTCACCAAAGTCATTCCAACGCTACTGTTGACCTATGACTTCAAGTTGGTGGAAGACGGCAGGGATATCTCCTTTAAGAATAGGTGGTTCACTCCGCAGAAGGGACTGAAAGTTTTCATCACTAAGGCAAAGAATGAAGTTTCTTTTCGCTAGCATCGATAAAGTAGATATGTTACTCATGTTGGCACAGGAGTCAATATTGTTAGCTCAACAACTTACAATCACACCAAACGAGCAAAGTATGAAGGGGTCAATATCCCTACGCCCATATATATATATATATATGTGTTATTATGACTATGAAAGTTTTCAGGACATCCTAAGAAGTTGTCATATAAGTTACAAACTCGACCGAACAACGACATTAGTCCGTCCTGATGGAGTCTCTTCACCTGCACTATCACTCTCTGACGTATTCGGCTTCCTTGATGCCGCTTGGAAAGAAAGGCCATAACTCGTAGTGGAGAAGGTGATCGTGCTGCCGCGGTGAATGAAAAACGTATCGCCCTCCGTCACGGTTTTGACAACACCCGTCTCAGCATCCTTGATAGTCAGGTTGCCTAGAGTCGATGGTTAGAAGCATGAGATGAATTGGGAAATTGTCTGCTCACCTTGGAGGACAACACCAGTCTCATCATACGTATACTTTAGCGGAGCGCTTGTCGACGCGCCATCGAGGAGGAAGAGTGACGATGTCAGAGGCGATTTATCGACCTGGGAAGCCATCGTTCCGAAGATCTCATCTGCACGCGGGGATGGTAAGTCCTAGCGCACTATAGACGGGTGTTCGTGGAGGTAGTTTCATACTGCAATACACATCAGGCCCAGCAACTGGCGAATTGGAAATTTTGAACGAGTCCGTCTCGGGCTTATAGTCAAAAGGCATTGTGGGACTCGTCTCGTTAAGTTGGTAATGTCGTGGATGGGAAATACTTGAGGAGCTGGAGTGAGCATATCTGCAATGCACAGGCGCGATTAAGAGCAAGCCAGGATACTGGCAAGAGGATGCAAGCTAGTCCCTGCACAGTTGGATGACTGGCTAGTTTATAGTAAATACAGGGGTCGTAGGGAGTGGCAATAGTGCCTACCGAATTTTTCCGACCTCGGATTTTTGGCGTGCTTAGTCTAACGTACTCTAAAAGCAAGTAGCTGATACAGCCGAATGCATCCTATAATGCGTTCCGCTTATTACCATTATGGGTCTGCGGGTTTCTCAGGTGTAATTAAGTGCCACCAACGTACCTCAGGCTGAAAGTAATTGCCACTTGACGCGCATTTCTAGGTCCTTCTAGCGAGGGAGCGAGCACGAGCACGAGCACGAAGTATGAGGGGGTGGTGATGGTTACCGACGAGCTTGCCTCTCGAGGTGCGCACACCGCCGCACCCTGCTGGCACTGCCTCCACATGCGGGCTACGAGCCAACACGTGATATTTGGCATCGACTGCGAAGATAGGAGCTGCGAATCATGTATGACATCCATAGACTTCTAATTTCAAAGAATTAAGTAAGTTGCCGCCGCGGTTGCGAAGCTCTTCGCGATGGTTTTGCCAATCGATCCCGCCGCTGTCGCTGCGCTGACACCGCGCTGACACCACGCTAGGCCTAGACTTTTCTTAGACGACGCCAAACACAACCTTCGTCGCTTCGACCACGGAGCCACAACGCGAAAGTAATAGACTCGCCTGACCAGAGCCAACTCCCTGTTGCCCAGAGAGAAGTCTGAAGTTGTAAAGCTCGCTTAGAGCTCTATGCAGACAATCTCCGCACTCAAAGTACTTTCACAGAACCAGTGATAGCTCAACTAGAGCGTAGGCGCTTTGGAAATCCTCTATGCAGACAGTACCAGAACCCGACTCTCGCTGCAGCAATATGTTTTCATCATAGAGTGAGGAGTCTGTCATACATACAGACGCTTCTTGACTTCCCCTCTTCTTTGAAGTACGAAGGGTGGGTCAAGTAATGAAGATCATAGGTAAACTTTGAATCCTTGATGTGGCAGCACAGCTGACACCTACCGGTAGATTGTGTCAGCTTTGCGCCTTTCGGCCCCCATTAAAACACCAAGTTGTAAGCATTGATCTAGCCACCTATCATAAGCGTATGTATGCATCATGCCCCTGCTCACTGTTGCAAGCTCACGCTCGGATATTTAAATCTCGTGTCGCCCTGCGTCGTTTATGAAACTTACATGCTCTGGTGTTCTTAACTCACACCAGCTGCGCGACTTTCTTTCTCTTCAACGATAGCAAAATGGCCTCATCGCGTCTTTACAAAGAAGGCCGAGCGCATTTTGTGCGCGAGGCCGAGGCGCGCTACCATGACAGCAAAGATTTCGATATGCTCCGTGATTTTCTGGCGCAGAGTAGCAGCCCGGAAGAGGCGCAGACGGCAGCTGGAAGTCTGAGGCAGAAAGCGAGCGAAAAATGGGGTTCCAAACGAATAGGCGAGGCCGAAATCCCAGCAGCATGGATCGACAAGCTAATGGGGAACATTGGCAATTTTGTCGCCGTCGGCAACTACGCCATGACAGGCGCACCAGAGAGCGTTGGCCTGGCCTGGTTTGCTGTTAAGTTGACGCTTTCAGCGATTCAGAGCAACTACGATCTGTACGCCTTTTTTGGATCCGGATTAACAGATATCTCTGAGATTATGATCATCATCCCACATTATGATCGGTTGTATGATGAGAGGGCAAAAGCAACTTCGAAGGGCGAGTGGAAACCAAGTCCTGTGATCGACAAGCTTTTCCAGGACATCATCCAAGCTTACGCTGCTGTGCTAAACTTTTCTTTCTCTATTAGGCGCCACATTGGCGCCGGAACGCTGGCAAAGCTGAGACATGGATTCAAAGATTTCTTCGGGGCGTCGAAGGCCAAGTTTCAGGCGAAGATGGATACCATTGCCTCCCTGAAGAAGAACATACTGGAGGATAGTCAGGCCATATTCCAGGATAAGTCTCTGCAACAGTTCGATGCTGTCAAAGACATTGTATCCAATATCGAAGGCACGGTGAACGACATTAAAAACTTCCAAGCCACCCTGCAGAAAATGCATGAAGAGCAAACTGCCCAGTGGCAGCTCGTGCTTAAGAATATGGAGGATATCAAGGCTACAACGAAACCAAAGACTCCCTGGGACTTCGCCCTGCAGAAGTTTGAGAAGAACAGGGACGCTCTTAATCCCCAGCAGAACACAACTGATGCTTTGGGCGACGCGATCGACAAGAGATACCCAGGAACTTGTCAATGGATATTTGAACGGTCAGAGTATGTGGATTGGAACAATTCAACCGCTGGTGGCATACTATGCCTCAGCGGACAGCAGGGTTGGTGAAAATTACCCGACTGCTTAACGATTAAACTAACCAAAACAGACTCGGGCAAGTCAACCGTGTTAGCAACTGTTGTAGAGCAGCTGGATCTCAGTGACGACAGTAAGACCGCCCTCATCTACCTGAACTGTGGCTGGCTCCGGGGAGGCGCTACGAGCAAGGGAGCGCCGAGTATGGAAGCTGTATGCCATACATTGCTGTTCCAGCTGTATAAACGTGCTCGGGAGGATGAAACCAATGTTAAGCTCCTAGAAGACTGCAATAAGGTGTTCACCAACCCGAAAGCACAGGATCGCACCAGCGCTATCCTGAAGAACAGCCAAGATGAAAATCTCCCGGAGTTTGCTGAGGCCTTCTTAACTATTGCAGCACGGTTGGGAATTAGCGTCGTAATTGCCCTCGACGAAGTGGACAGCCTTCCTCCAAATGACCAGCAGGAGTTAGCTACAAAACTGAAAGCTGTTCTCGACCCATCGGAAGCACTTACACTTGACTCGCAGCCAATGAAAGCCTTAGTTGGATGCCGCTCAGTTTCAAAATTCTACAACCAAATACTGACTGTCGAGGGCTTGCTCCGCTGTGTGGATGTCGGGGATTTCAATCACGATGACATGACGAAGCAGCTAGGTAATGAGCTGAAGAATGTTCCTGGACTCAAGCAAGCAGAGCAGAAAGAGGCAATGGAGGTTATTCTCAACAAAGCTGGATCCCGCTTTGCCTATATCAGCAACATTGCCGTGCCATTTATGCGCGAGCCTTTCCAACGCCCGCTGTCTCGTCGATTACGGTCCTTACCGGAAGGTATGAGTAACGTCTACAACGAAGCGCTTAGAAAAATGTCTTCCAACTATATTGAGTTACTCCATACAGCACTCACCTGGACTGTGCTGGCGCCAGTCCCTCCTAGGGCCGATGAAATAATGGATGCATACCACGGAATATACCGAGACCGCGGCCTTGATATTGAAGCCGAGGCTAGGGGAGTGCTTCACGATGAGTCATTCCTCCCGCTTTCAGAGCTGGAAATAGAGCAGCTGCGGGACGCAAGTGGGCCATTCCTAAGGCTTGAGCAGGAACCGGTCACTGGTCACTATTTTGTCCATTTGCAAGACTCTCCGCAAGTCAGAGATTTCTGTCTACACACGGGTGCGGATAACCCAGAGGAAAGTGGTGCATGTGCCAAACTGTGTGCACGTTGCGAGTCCTCCCTGGCTGGTTCAAACGTATTGTCTATCTCGCCAAAAGAGGATCATCTAAGGCTTGCTTTAGAGTGCTTGCGTCACTTGAACAGCCCAATTTTTCAAAGGCGCGCAACAGCGGAGGACGAAACACCGCAGTGGAGTCAACCTGCAGACATAGATCAAGAGGAAAATCAGGAGGATGTTGATAGCATCGAGTTTGATATGAGTACAGTAATACGAAGCGGCCTCACTGAGGAAGCCAGGTGTAAGACGGAAGCACGCAATGAGGAAGTTTCTGGAGAACTAATCAATCATGACCCTTGTCAAGACGAAGATGGATGTCCTCCAATCGAGGGTTCTGAAAACGTGATTTCAGTAGACGAGGTTCCCCAGGACAAGGTTATGGACGAAGATGCATATGACAGCGATGAGTCTTTTGACGACGAAGACCAAGATCCACTGAATCCCCTCGGAGTGCCGACAACAGACAACGAGAATACTCCCGAAAATGACTCCGATGTCAGGAAAGTCCGGTACGAGGTGAATTATTGGGCATACCACATCCGCCAGGCACAGAAATTATGGACTCCTGAAGAACAGTCGAAGAGCAGTATTTGGGCCGAGCTGATGAATGAGTTAGACTGCTTTGCTTCGGCTAATCCGTCATTCTTTAAGCGGTGGCAACTATTTGATGATGGGATTGCCGGGCTGAAAGGTCTTCTCAGCCCTATTCACGTTGCTGCTTATCTTGGTTTGACAAGTTGGGCATCACACCTTCTAGAGAGGGGTGCCGATCCCACCCAGAAGGCTGGACACCTTTCTCAAACGCCTATTCAATTCGCCTCTACTTGGGCAAACAGTCCTACGATGCTCAAATTGCTCCTGGAGAACGGCGCCGATTGCAATGCTGGCGGACCCTCCGTACTTCCAGCGTTCCACTCGTGGTTGATTGATGATTCAAAGCTGGAGATCGTCCAGCTTATGCTCTCTCATGGCGCAGATCCAACACTATCCAACGAGGTAAATAAATGGACTGCACTTCACTGCTTCGCATGGCAAGGCAACGATGTCGCGGTGTTGGATCTATTGCTGAACCATATCTTCAATGGTGTCAAGCCTGACATCAACTCTCGCGATGATCAAGGCAACACGCCGTTACATATCCTACTCTGGCGACGAGAAGTGCCCAAAACTCTCTTACAGGCCTTCGTGGATCGTGGCGCGGATGTAAATGCAGAGCGAACAGACTCGGCGCGTCCACTTCAAATTGCCAGCATCTATGGAGATCTAGAGACCTTGCAGATACTGTGTCGGGGCCAGGCAATTTCCGAGATTGATGACGACGATGACGATGGCGATAGTGCTCTCCAGCAAGCTGCGATCTGTGACCATGCAAACTGCCTGAAATATCTTGTCGATATTGGTGCGAATCCTAACATGCAGAACAAACGAGGACGGACCGCACTACATAACTCAGCCAAAAAAGGAAGCAAAGAATGCGTAGAAATACTTCTCGCACACGGAGCACAGGCGAACATAGTTGACAAGCACAACAGAACCCCACTGTTCTTCGCTTGTGGCGATGTTAACATTGAGAAGGCGAAGATTATCCTCGATGCCCTGCTTACAAAAAGTGTGCCGATGGTTGAAATCAATACCTTGACGAAGGGTAATCGATCCCCCCTACGTCAGGCTGCCACACGCGGATTTGATGACATTGTGGAGAAGATGATCAAGGCTTCTCAAGCGACAAATGATCTTTCAAGTTTGGCCCTGAACGAGCGTGACAAGCGTAAAGGAATGACGCCGCTACATCGTGCCGCCTGGTTTGGCAACGTGGGCTGTGTCCGGCTTCTCCTCACAGCCAATGCCGACGTCACGGTTCTTGACCACAACGAAAAAACCTCTCTGGTCCTCGCCTACGAGCAATGGGCACTGGCAAGCCATGAGAGCGCATTCGAAGATATCATCGCTCTCTTGATCGAGAGAGATCCAAAGGCAGTGGTTGCCGACGCAGAGCTAGTGGCTACTTGTGCCACTAACGGTAGCATACGTCTACTTCGGCAGCTCAGTGCGATAGGTGCGGACCTAAATCGTCAGGATCGGTTTGGCTGGACACCGCTAGATCTAGCGCTCAATTTTCAACAGGACGATGCTGCACGCTTCCTGAAGCAGCAAGCCGCATGGGCGGGAATGCTTCCATCAAGATGGGCAAAGGACGTTCGAACCGAGCTTACGGAAGATGGCAGAGGAGTAAAGCATAGGGCAAGTGAGAAGGTCTGCATCTCGACAGAAAAACCGCTTCCAGCAGGACTGGGTACGTTTTATTTCGAAGTAACGAGCAAAGCCCTGGATGAATTCAGACCTGGCCAACACCCTGAATGGCCAATCATGGCCATTGGGTTCTGCACGATTGGTGGTACTGCAATTCGCTTCCCTGGCTGGCCGCCAAGGCAGGACGCTCCCAGCGCGAGGTCTTGGGGTTATCATGGGGATGACGGCGGGTTGTTCCATAGTGGTGATGATAATCCTAGCTACGTTGATACAGAGTTGCCGTACCATGCAGGTCATACGGTTGGCTGCGGTGTAGATCTTACAACGCAGACGATTTGGTTCACCCGTAATGGGCGAAAACTGGAGAGCGGTTTCTCGAACGTGCGGGGGAGGCTGTTTCCCCTCCTAGGTTTGGAAGATACAGTGAATTTAGAAACAAATTTCACAGGCCCATTTTTGTGGGCTGGTGATGATAGAGAGAATGGTAAGGGCGCGGAGAACGCTATAGCGATTAGATAAGTAATGTAAGAGCTTTGAAATTCCTGCTCTAGGAACAAAAGTATTTCTACTATATAATATCCTCAAGCTTAGCTGCTATACTATTTTGATAGTTAGATGGAGAAGGCAGAATGTATCAGTTGCCGGGACATTGAAAATGGTCGTTTGCGTACCTTTTAGGGTTCAGCCAGCATTTCCTTTTATGCTACAGCTTAATGATATCACGTATTGATCCTTGGCAGATATATTAAGGGACCTAGCGTACAGTCCCTCTCTGATTCCATAGCATTACAGTGCAATGCGACGTATGAAGCAGCACTCATGAACATGGGAATGGCCCCTGTGAGCAGTTTTAGCCTGACGTCTCACGGTATCAGAGCCTCAATCAACATCCCCTTCCCAGCTTCTAGAATCCGTTTTGAGGCTTTACCAAGCTCTGTCTTTAGCGAACCCACAGCGTTTACTTGCACGCCTAGCATCCACTGGCCTTCAATCTGGATGCCACCTCTCGATGCAGAGCTTCCAGAGGCTGCCTCTGCAAGGGCTGCGTAGTTTGGAGATGGTTCGAATGAGATATTCATCTCGTCACCAGTAGCTCCTTTGTTCAGGCCCTCCGGATACACTATCTGCGTAGACTTTCTGGGAGCGTTGAATCCTGTTCCAACTGTTAGCTCGTACTTGATTTGATGAACTGGAGAACGTACCACCGTTATTGAGCACGATCGTGAGAACAGGAATATTGTACTTTGAGGCGACCCACAGAGAACTCGAGGGTGCGGCACACATAAAGCTGCCATCGCCAACGACTTGACAGACAAAGCTTGGTTGAGGTCTTCCAGTTGTAGGGACTGCGTCGTCCAAGGCCATTTTAACACCTAATGCAGCGCCATTGCTCCAACCAATACCAGTGGCACCACAACCGATCCAACTACCAGCTCAGTCAGGTTGCAATTGATCGGCAAGAAACTGAGCATAAGTCACTGCCTCGATTACAAATACTGTTGACTCTGGAAGGGTGCGCTTGAGCAAGTAACCGATATTGCTAGCGTCTAGTGACTCTTCATCGTCCAGTCGACATCGAGTGGCGATTTCATCAAGCCGCTCTTTGGGTGCCTCTACAAGAGTGGTCTTACGCTCTTGGTATGAAACATGTTGGAGAGCTTTTCCGAAAGGCGATTTCGTGATGTACGACACAAGTTGATTTAGGGCAGTATAGCAATCGGCTCTCCATCGGCCATGGGCTGGAAAGAAAGACACTGGGATTTGCTGATTCAAAGGATCAATATCGAGGTGGTAAATGCGTGTGTTGTGGGCGGGCGGATTTTTAGAAGGAATCCAGGGTACGTCGCATTCGAGGAGCAAGATCATATCAGCGTTTTGAGTGCAATTATCTGTGCTGAGGCGAAACCCTTGTGAGGCTGGATGGGAGAAGGGGAAGCAAAGGTCGCTACCCCCTGTGTCGTGAACTCGCAAACCCGGTATAAGGTCCGCCAGTGCAACTAGATGATCGGGACAACGCTTGTCTCGGCCTGAATAACCTGTGATCACAAGAGGTCGCTTGCTCTGCTCATCAGAGCCTTAGCAACCTCTTCCACACCCTCGGTTGGTAGAGCACCTGGTCCAATTGGTTTCCAGTATTCCTGGTCAAGTGAATATGGCTTTTCAATTATCTCCGCAAGAGTCTCTCGTGCGCTGGTCACGTACACTGGTCCTTTTGGTGCACTGCTTGCAAACTGTAGAGCACGCGCGACAGTTTGCTTGGCGTTGAGCCCACTTCGAATCTCTCCAGTATATCTGCAGTATTGGCGGGCGGTAGCCTTTTGGTCAGGTGCTTCCTGTAACCAGTGCATATATTCCGTCCGAGAACTCAAATGTAGTTATGTAGTCAGTATTTGACTCACAAGCATTTTATACATTGAAGTTTACTGACCCAATCTTTTCGCCAGCTTCGGTGTAGGGGCACATACCCGCGAAGATGAAGACAGGCGCGCGTCCAACACTCGCATTATGGAGTCCTTGGCCAAGAGCTTGTGTTCCAACGTCTACGTGCACGATGACAGCTGGTGGCCGGCCAGAAACCCTCGCGTACCCATCTGTCATCGATATGGCCGTTATCTCTGAGGGACAGGTGATAAATCTTGGCCATGTCTCTGGTCGCTCTCTTTTGCCTTTGATGATAGCTTCGATAATGGATGGATGATCTGAACCGACAGTAACGAAACAGGCGGTGATGCCAGCCTGGTTCGAACTTTAGCCACTATTATAAGGCGAAGAATTTGGTGATGAGCTAATCTTACCTCCCACAGTGCGTCGAATAGCGCAAATGCTGTAGTGTAACTTGAATCCCGTAAGTAAATCATCGAAAGACAGTGGAATCTGTTTCGTACGAGGATGAGTGGGGAATTTCGCTTGGAGAGACGTTTTCATGAAATTGACTCGAGGGGGCGAACAATGTTGTTGGTCTCCGCTTTATCTCCAATGCTTTTGGGTTTAACAAAGGGCGAGTTGACCCGACGAGGTGTCTGGAATAGTACGGATATAAGGGTACAGTTGAAAAGCGTGGCAGCCTTGAGCGTGAAATTAATGCATTGCGACCAGGCATGTCACTATAGAAGGTACCACATATGCGCATTGTGGTATGTTATATAAAGGTACACAGATCTCTCGAGAAGGAAAACAGACGCATGCGGGACGCTTTAAGTGGATGACTAGGCTAATCTGTGCGTAGGGCGTTTGATGAGTAAGATAAGTAAGCCGTAGATTGTCATAGCGCGGGTTGACGTGGGTCTACTTATTTGGAAGGTTAGGCCTACGCTTGATACAGGTACGCCTTGCCACGTAGTAAAAACTAATTGTCGTAAATGTCATTGTATCATTTTGCCTAAAATAAGGGCGGACTTATGTAATGTTATAATATATGATATACCAGTACACACGTAATTTTCCTTCATACCATCCGTTTCTCACTCGTCCATCTCAGTTAATACCTGCTCAAAAATAGTGAGTCGGCTTCAAGGCAACCGAAATCAGCCAGCTTTCCAGCTTTCCAATTCGACAATTTAATTACATACCAATGGCTTAACAGCCGTGTATTCGCGAATAACACGTTGTTTTCTTGAGACCAGGCGAATTGCTACTAATAAGCGCTCTTAGAATATGCGACATCGAAGCCCTGAATTACCGCAAGAGATGCCAATTTTGTAGCTCGCTAGACATTTTGGACATATCGTTTCTCTTTCCCTCACCGATTGCTCCCTCGCGGAAACCCTGTTATGACTGTATCTACAAATGCTCCTTTTGTGTCGGCGCCTATGGCAACACATCCGCGAGATCTTTCAATGCCCAGAGGGGAAGGGGCTGAAGGGAACGATCCAGAGCTTTTCAAGGGCGCTTGGGGGGGTTTACATCTTCTTCCAAGCCTGGGCGACCCTTCCACCCAGAAATGACACATCGGTGACATTTGGCAGTGTATGATGTCTCAAGCCACTCGGTTTCGCGTAGAAGCAGGGGGAAAAGCCCAAGCGTCATATGAAAAGTTCAGAGGATTCCAGAGTGAAACTAATCGACCCTCGTGCTCAAGCCAGTGAGATGCACTTCCCACTCAGACCTCTCTTGCCACCGCCGCTCGAGATTCTTCCTCTCATAGCCAATTGACCATCTTTACATGCAGGTTCATCAACCTGCAGGTCCCATTCCCGGAACTTCCTCACCATCAATTGTCTGGCAAGCCTAACGCTGCCCAAATTCCTCATCTTGATCATATCGCTGAGCCGTTCAAGCACGAACCGCCTATGATGTTCGTTGTCAGGGCTTGCATTTCCTAAGACGAACAACGGCCATAGTAAGGTTGGTGTCACGGGTAGTAACTCTAGCTGCGAGGCGAGAGAGTCTATGAGGCGGTGGGCGTAGCGAGATTTTTTTTCGGCCAGATCTAGATCACCAAGGGGCGAGAATGGACTGAAGCGGTCGTAGAGGTAAAGCAGCGCGGTTGTGCGCTTCGCCTCGGCCACCAGCGCGAGATTCGGGTTTGAGGTCGTTAAAGGCGCATGTTGACGGACGGTGCGTAGTGCGTGCTCAAGGCGAAAACGGCTTTCGTCCATATTTTGGATTTCCTCAGTCGTGAGGGCCCGCGATAAGCAGATGCGTTCTGCGTTCGAGCTGATTGCAGAAATTTGGTCGATGATGTCGAGTAAGCCACGGGAGCAACCCATTAGTGGATCTATTTCCTCCATGATGTCGTCTTCAAGCCAAGCGTACGATGTCGACTCTGGAGTTGAATTGCCAGCTGTGTGACCCATGATGTCATGCGCGACAAAATACATGAGGCAGAACTTGCGGAGCATTTGGGTCTCAGTGCATTCAGCGCTGATCTGGTTAATAAGAGCCAACCCGCCACGGAGATGGGTTCTCCAGGCCTCGTTGCAACCGTCAGCGATGTCGCCAAAACAGAGCATTAAGATTGTGGCGATAAAAGGCCAGGTAATGAAGCCGGAAGCAATGGTCGCTTGAAGTCCTTTCAGAGCTTGAGATTTATACCACCATGCCTGCTTTTCAAATCTGCGATCGTTCAGAAGTTGGCGCTCGGTAGCTGCGATGGATAGCACAGCGTTATGTAGAGGCGGATATACGAAAGTCATAGGTGTGATATAGCGGAGATAAGGATTGTGTGTGGCACTTAGGGAGCAGTTTGGACAGATTCCTGAAATGAAGTAGTCCAGGAGATATGCTTCAGTTGTAGGGAGAGCACCAAAGTGCGAGAGGGCAGGTGTTGGACTTGGAATTGTGTATGGATGGTGTTCTTCATCCTGTCCATCTTGTTCGTCCTGTTCGTCTTCGCTCTGACTTCCGAAATGTCGATAGGTAGTATTCAGGAATATCGGTTTTTTGGTGGTTGGGATGAAGTAGGGTCGAGAAGCTCGTTGCTGGGCATCTGGCTTGTGGGCCTTCGGCTTGCCTTTCTTCGACCATGCGCCCTCACGTCCCAGACAGATTCCTCGCTGAATAGCGTCTTCCTGCCACAACAACTTCATGCCATACTCACATTCGACACCCAGTCTCTTGCACCGCGCACATCGCGGCCGTTCCTCAGTACATCGCACATGCATGTCTTTGCAGGGCCAGCAGCCGGTCCGGCGGCGGGCATCGCCATTCGAACGCTGGTTACGTTGCATTTGAATGCTGGCTATTTTGGCGCGTTTCTTGACGTTTATACACCTTTCCGTCTCGAGCGTTGAGATTTAGCGTTGTCAAGCTGGAGTCGACTCCGCCCCGATTAGGAGGCGGGAGCGGTCGGAGGAATAGATCAATAGAGATGAGGGGTTGCACGTGCTCATCGGAGCTACGGCGGCGCTAGCCCAATCTGGCACGCTGCTCTTGCCCCTAAACCTTCCCCGCACAATCTAGCCTATGCCTTGCAGACGCTTTACTTTGGCCATTCGCCATGTCTTCAACAGTCTCACTACTTCGTACTACAAAGAGTGCTGTTGTGTGTCCACAGCGAACAGCAAAGCGACTAAACGATGACCTTCTGTCTACAATCTCGCCCTTACAGCGTCCAGATCATCCCCCGCCCAATGCGTTTCCTTGAGATCCTTCACTCCACCCGCCCTCCAAATGATATCCTCCTTTCCATCGCTGTTCCTCGCCTTCCACCTCCACCGTTTCTTTTTTTTGGGACTGCGCCTCTACTAAATCAACCACCCAGCTCCCGAAAAGGGGCAGCATCTTAAAAGCGTGTCCTGAATCCCCGCCTGCTAAGACTAGCCCCCATGCCCGGGAACGTAATCGATCACATATTCGCTATCCGCCGTATCTGCGCCCTAACACACTAACCGGTTCACCAGCGGCCTATGCGAAAATTCTGGTAATGCCTCCTGGAGGAAACGGCGTAATGATGCTTCGTCTTCCACTGGAATTGAATTGTTTTCTTCGGCATCAGAAGGCAGGAGACTGATCGACGTTCTAGGTTTATAGTATGATCAGAATAGTAGTATTTTAGAGACTAAAGGGGGAGTGATACCAGAGCGTGAGTGGCGTACGTCGCGCGAGATACTGAAAGGACGCGTCGAGATTGCAACCGACAATTACTATTATACAACTGCCAGAGTCATGATACATTCTTGTCCTCGCAAGGCGGTCGACTTATGTACAGTATCTGGGTATGCTCGTTGAGGTCGAAGGTCGATACGATAGCCCCACCTAAAGTAGTACATTGCGCAAGGTTCAATTATCGCCGATACATACACTAGATATCATGAAATAGTGTCACCCGGGTCCCTTGCCGCTTCTAGCTGTTTTGATATGTTATTTGCGAGTTATTATCTATGTACCCCTGCTAACTCGACTCTGCTTGCGCATTCATGTGCGCGGCAATACTGCCCGCCGCTCGCGGATATTGCTGTTTCGTCACATTCTCCTTCCCGTTAACCATTTTATCTTCGCTCTCAAGACCCCATCCACCTCCACCGGGCGTATATATTACACAGCGATCGCCTTCCTTCATGCTCACCATGTTCTTCGGCCCCATGTTCACCCACCTTTCTTCAAATCCTGAACCATCTTCCTTCTCCACCCTCTTAACCCAATAATTGACACCTTTCGCCCCGGGTCCACCATTCTGCATTCCATACGGCGCTATAGCTCTCCGCTCGCTGATGACGCTGAAGCGTATTGGTTGACGACACTCGATATCCCTGACCGCGCCGTCGCCACCGTTGAACCGGCCTGTGCCACCGCTGCCTTTGCGAACTGCAAACTCTCGTAAGATGACCGGATACCGCCGTTCGAGAGTCTCGGGGTCCGTGATGCGCGTATTGGTCATATGAGTATGGACAGCACTAGCACCATGAGCATTAGCGGTAGCACCAGATCCACCGCAGATGGTTTCGCCAAAGGCATAGGAGTGCTCTACGCCATCAGTGTTCTTCACTTCGCCAAAAAAGCCAAGACAATTCATGCAACCATGGCTGGCGGCAGCAGCTGCGAAAGTCTTTAAGATGATGTCGACAACCCGCTGGGACGTTTGCGTGTTGCCCGCGCAGACGGCGGCACCCGAGGATGGATTTAGAAAGCAACCCTTCGGTAAAATGATAGAGATAGGTGATAGACAACCTTGGTTGAGCGGAATATCGATGCCAATGAGAAGACGGAGCGAGTAAATGATGGCGGAGTAGGTGATTGATGGCGGTGCGTTCATGTTGGAATACATCTCTGGTGCGGTACCGGTAAAATCGAACGTTGCTGAACCGGTCGGATCGATCGTTACGGCAAGACGCATTTCAGAGCCATTGTCCATTTGGTCGACACCACTGAAAGAAGCACCTTTCTTCTCAAGTGTTTGTCGGAGGAAGGCTCGTACCGCGACTTCGGCGTTCTCTTGTATGGCTCTCATGTAAAGCTGAACGACATCTTGACCATATTCCTCCATCAGAGTTTGAATGAGCGTCATTCCCTTATTGTTAGCCGCCACTTGCGCTTTCAGATCGGACAGGTTGTCATCCAGCCTTCGGCTTGGAGTACATCCAGGAAAGTCGCCAGGTGCAGTAAGGATCTTTTTGATACCCTCCTCGTCAAATAGGCCGTCGTGTATTAAGCGGAAAGACTTGATTGCTGCGCCTTCCTGCCACAGCTCAGTAGAGTTAGGGGGCATCGAAGTACCGCCAAGACCGCCAATATCAGTATGGTGCCCACGAGAAGCTACGTAGAACGCAATCTCATTTGTGTTAGAGAACACCGGCGTTATGACCGTTACGTCTGGCAAATGGGCTCCTCCAGCCTCGGGATGGTTGGAAACAAGGACGTCGCCTGGTTGCAGTTTTCCCTCAAGCAATTCATGCTGGTACTTGACAGCATAGGACATGGAACCTAAATGTACTGGGACATGTGGAGCGTTGGCCACAAGGCCACCCTCGGGACCAAACACTGCACACGAAAAGTCCAGACGCTCCTTGATGTTGAGCGACATCGAAGTCTTCTGTAGAATTCGTCCCATTTGCTCTGCGATGCTCATAAAACGATGGGCAAAGACAGAAAGCTGGATAGGATCCACAGCCGTAGAGGACGTCTGTATGCTTCCAAGCCTTGGAATCTCAATTACGACATGCACAGATAGAACTTTAGCTTGAGCGCCAGGTACTACGACGATGCTTTGAGTTTTATCGAGGATCATGGCAGGTCCAGTGACAACCGAGCCGGGTGGGAGGACTTCAAGTAGATAGACCGGAGTGGTGACGATACCTACTCCCGAGAAGTACGTCTGGATGTCGCGCTCCGCCATCGTAGCCTTCACTGGGCTAAAGTTAGTATTGTGCAGGTCATGTTGCAGCCTGGCGGCATCTGCAGTAACGTTTCCGCTGCCGCCAATACCCCTTATTCTAACGTCGTCCACAAGAATAGGCCGGCTATCCGGAAAGATGAAGTTGAATTCGCGAAGATGTTGCTCAAGAAACGCTTCCTTGAAACTTCCGTTGGCTGGCCGGAGGATCATCATAGCGGTTTCTGTTCCTTGGTAGCGCATATTGAGGTACTCCTCATAATGGATGTCGCTTTCTTTGATGTTCTCGTTGCGAAGAGCGTGTTTGACCTTTGACCTTAATTCTTCCAGGCGCGAATCGAGCTCCTTGAGTGTCGGTCCCGTGTAAGTGACATTTACAGGCTCCTGGGCTTCCTGGACAACATTGGCAAGGGCCATTCCTGTAGGGAATTAGTAAGTACACATCTTAATATGACAGCGAAGAGTAAAGTACCGTAAGCGGAAAGAATGCTGGAGTACTTGTGAATGATGGCAGTAGAGATGCCCAGCTTTGATGCGATCTCACAGGCATGCTGACCTCCAGCACCGCCAAAGACAGCGAGGTTATGCTTGCCAATCTCGTAACCCTTTGCTTCAGTCAATGCGCGAATTGGCCTACACATGGCTTCGTTTGCCACGTCCAAGAAGCCACATGCAACCTCTTCGGGGCTCATAGTTTTACCCGTGTCGGCGTTGATCGTTTTGGTAAGCTCAATGAAGCGGTGTTTGACCGCTTCCGTATCTAACGCTTCGTTCTCGTTGGGTCCGAAGATTTTCGGAAAGAAGTCTGGCACCAGACGACCAAGGAAGAGGTTCGCATCCGTAACTGCAAGAGGGCCACCCTTTCGATAACATGTAGGGCCTGGGTGTGACGAGGCACTCTCAGGGCCAACTGTTAGGAGTCCGTTCCTCCAGGCAAGGATTGATCCGCCACCAGCAGCAACAGTATTGATATCCAGTTGAGGACTTTGGATAGTCACTCCCGCGGTAGTGGTTTCAAAGACGTGCTCGAAAACGCCTCCAAAACGAGATACATCGGTTGAAGTTCCACCCATATCAAGCCCGACAATCGGAGTCTTCGTCTCGGGTACGTATGAAGTTCTCGAGAAGCCTACAACACCTCCTGCGGGCCCAGATAGTATACCCTTGAGTCCGCTGAAACTCTTGTGACCAACGAGGCCTCCATCAGATTGCATGAAGTCGGTCTTGACGTCATCCAAATGGCCGCCCTCAAACCCCTTGAGGAAGCCCTTGAGATACTTCTTGATTTCTGGAGTGAGATAGGCATCTGCAGAGGCGGAGCTACCCCTGGGTACCATTTTGATCATATTCGCGGCCACCGCCGATGATAATGAGATATGGGAGAAGCCTTCTTCGAGTGCAAGCTCTCCCACTCGAGCTTCGTGGTTCGGGTAGATGTAAGAGTGCGCGAAGCAGACGGCGACAGTATCTATTCCTCGAGACCGTAGGTCTCTCAGGGTGTTCCGCACTCCCTGTTCGTTAAGAGGGGTCAATATCCTGACCATGTCTCCGCTCGATCCCCTGATAAGCGAGCCAGGAATCTCTTTTGTGGTCTTGTATACGCCAAGGATGTCTTCATCGAAACCCTCGATCGTGACGCGCTCATCGACTTCTTGGACTTCGGAGTAAAGAACTTCTGGTTTGATGATATTGAGGTCGAACAATCGCGGGCGTGACTGGTAGCCGATCTCGAGCAGATCCCTGAAGCCTTTGGTCACGAGGAGTGCATGCTTGGCGCCTTTTCTCTCAAGGAGAGCGTTGGTCGCAACAGTCGTTCCCATGCGGACATATTCGAGGTTCTCTTTCGGAAGTGGGGTTCCCCGACGCACTTCCTCCCCACGCACAATAGAGAGCACGCGACGAATGCCTTCGGTAGGTGCGTCATCATAATTTGAAGGATCTACGGACAAGAGCTTCAAAACAATGTCCTGTTCATCTTCAACCCGAGCCCAGATATCTGTGAAGGTGCCGCCACGGTCTGTAGAATGAACTTAGTGAGGGATATGGGTGTGACAGTTTGTAATACACACCAATAGCGATTTTGACACGCTTTTCCGCGGAAAGAGAACGATCTCCCATGATTGGACAGAAACCGAGGCTGAGGGTATCCAACAAGGTAGAAGTAGGATCGAGTGGCACTTTTCACGGGATGAGACTTCCAGGACCGCGGGAGGCTATTATATGCCTGTCGTACAGCATATGTAGCGCCGCATACCCCTCATGGTGTCAGAGCCCCTCATGGTGTCAGAGCCCCTCTTGACTGGGAAGCGGGGCTGAGAGGATGGTCGATACGAACAGCCACACACACGGAAGATAGTGGAATAGGCAATGCGAAGAGTCCTAAGTGCAGAGTCCTATGTGCACGCGGCAGTTGGAGTTAAGCGACTGCACGGTGCAGTACACCCTCTTGCGTACCAAGACGCGAAGGAACGTAACTATACGTACAACGTGGGTACTACAGAAGGTGGATACGACGTCATGTAGAAGGTAGATACGATGACAACTGTGGAAGGTCGACACGATGGAACACGCTAGACTGGGCTATAATTCTCCTTTGGTACTAGCGCATTAGGGTCCAACGCATCGGAAAACCCGGTGCACGATAATCTGGCATTAGCTTCCCCTAGCTGGCCGCCCCATCGTAACGACTATCCTCTTATATCCCCGACTTATCGAACTTATCAACCCGAAACCTGTACGCCGGCTCACGAGTTCCGATGCTAGAGTCTGGGGTAGATGCTTCTCCACCCTGTTTCCCCATTAGTGCTTGAGATGGATTGGAGCTTATCTTATGTCCGCGTACCTTTCCCTAGTCATCTCCGATGGATGATTCGACTTATCTGGCTGTCAACACCAAGAGGCCAATGAAGATATATAAACCCCTCTCTGCTTGACATACGCTCTGCCAAGTTTATTCCTAGCATTGAGTTGCCTCCTCGCTTTTTCATCACTTCGCCTCTGCAGAATAGAGTTCGCCACACGCTATTACCATGGCTTCAATCAAAGAGACTGCTGGCGTGGATGTGGAGAAGAGTACTGCAGACGAAAAGGCCGTCCTCAGCCAGCATGTGGATAAAGCTGCCAAATTCCTGGTTGAGGTCGATGCCTACCCGCCTCTATCTCCCGAGGCTGAGCGGAAGCTGATTCGCAAGGTAGACTGGATAATGATTCCTATCGTAAGCTCTTATACTACCCCTCAACCGCTATTCGTTGAATGCTTACAGTATCACCACAGCTATTCGTTACTGCCACCTTGGGTGCCGTGGACAAAGTGGCACTTGGAACCGCAGCGATATACGGCCTGCGAACCGATACCAAGCTAGTCGGGCAGCAATACTCATGGCTGGGATCCATTTTATCGCTCGGTGTAAGTAGCCTACAACTGCATCTCGAATTCCCAAGCTGATAAAGAGCAGGCTTTGACAGGAATGTTTCCCTCCTCATATCTTATCCACCGGCTCCCGTCTGCCAAATACCTGTGCGCATGCAGTGTGGGTTGGGCTAGTATGGCACTCCTCATGGCTTCCTGTACAAACTGGAGCTCGTTGATGGCTGTTCGCTTCTTCATGGGTGTTTTCGAGGCCATTATCGTCCCCGGAATCTCGCTCATCATTGCTTCTTGGTACAAAAAGTCTGAGCAACCACCACGTAACGCTCTCGTCTTCGCAGCTGCTAGTTCCGTCGTCAACGGCTTCCTATCTTGGGCGGTTGGACACATCGACGCCGAGCTCTCCATCTGGCAGTATTTATTCTTGATTGTTGGATCAGTCACTTTTGCTTGGTCGCTATTTGTGCTGTGGTATATGCCAGCGACTCCGATGGACGCAAAGTTCCTAACCCAGGAAGAGAAATACCATATGATTCGACGTGTTGCTGAGAACAAAACCGGAGTGTCCAACAAGGAATGGAAGTGGTACCAGGTCAAGGAGGCTTTCATAGACCCAAAGACCTGGATCATCTTCTTCTTTAACGTAAGTGGTCACTATACATTTTTTCACGCGACTTCTCAGTACTGACATCATCCAGATTGCCATCAACATCCCCAACGGAGGTCTCACGACTTTCAACGGCATCATTATCGCGAACCTTGGCTTCACAAGCGTCAAAGCATCCCTGCTATCCATGCCCACGGGCGTTATGTCGACCCTTTCAGCCTTCATCTTCAGCTACATTGGCGCCAAATGGAATAACCGTCGCTGTCTCGTTACTGTTGCGGCCTGCATCGTCCCAATTATCGGCACCGCAATCGTATATGCCGTTGATCGCGGCAATGTAGCGGGTCAAATGGTCGGCATCTACCTTCTTTATACATACTTCGGTCCCTACATTGTAGGCATTGGTCTAGCTCAGGCCAATACTGCCGGGAACACCAAAAAGACCGTAGTTTTTGCAATCCTCTACATCGGCTATGCTGTAGGGAATCTCATTGGACCGCAAACATTTCGTGCTGATCAGGCTCCTGCGTATACAGGCGGTGTAGTTGCCATGATTGTATGCTACTGCAGTTGCATTGTCTTGGTGTGCCTGTACTGGGCTCTATGCGTCTGGAATAATAAGCGCATTGTTCCCAGGGTCGAGAGGAGGGGGTCTACCGAGGAGTTTATGGACGATCTGATGGATCAAACCGACTTTGAGCAGGAGGGCTTCAGGTATACCACCTGATGAGAAAGGTCTTGGGTATCAGTCTGGATATTCTATACAATATACATGCAATGCTACTGGTAGTTGTGTTCAACGTCGGAATTCTAGTTAGACGTTAGATGAACCTCACCAACCGTCACCCTACCGTGCAGAAAGACCTTAAAAGTTGAGTATGGAGTTTGATGAATTACTAGCCGAGATAGTTGTCCTCGAAGGCATTACGCATAAAACTAGTGATGGTCCTAAGTCAGGCAACATCAGGCATCCCATTTGGCAATGCGACGAACCCATTGTTGAAGTTGGTAGGCTACGATGGGGCGAAAACAGAATGTCTCAAGTGGCGTACGAGCTAGGAGAGGTCAACTGCGCGTCAGCCGCAGCTCAATATAAGACACGATCCCCTCACCACCGAAGCGAGCAATGCGAATACGATGTGTAACTTCGCCAAACCTGCGCAACCCATCTTCCTATATTAACGCAAGCCGTTGCCAGCCTCTTTTGCCCTTAACCTGTTACCCTAATTTTCCCACTCACAATTCTACACCGAATCGCACAATGCAGTTCCTTTATTCCCTCCTCGCTACATTCGCCTTCTCTTTTGCATACGCGAAACCTTGTAGCACATCCACCACCACACCAACCACTTGCGACTACGACCAGTGGCATCAGGAGCGCAAGGTCCTCCTCGGACCAAGTGCGCGGATCAACGTGCAATGCTGGGCACCCGGACGTTCTGTCATGGGAAACAATCGCTGGTTTTATGTGAATGATAGAGAATGCTGGGTCAATTCTAACGTGTTTGGTCCGAGGTGTAACGGTATGTCAACCTTCAGATACGATGGGATCTAAGACGTGGGGAGGCTGATGTACGAGTAGATGGGTTGCCGCCATGCCCGCGTCGATAGACGTAGAAGCAGCGAAGGAATTTATTGGGGTGCAACATGGGAGGGGACAAAAGACAAGATGGACAGCAAATAGGACTACTTGAAACAGTGATCAACTGATACTTCGATTCCTCTCAACGGTACAACTGTATCTTTACACTCAATAAGCCTCAGATACTTGTCTAATATAAATTAAACAAGCCTGTTGCGTGTGTTCGAATATTTCGTCTTTCGCGTTGCGTAGACATGAACTTTCAGATAGCCTTGCTATGCAAGCTCAGAAGCCGAATCCGGTAAAGTCCTCGTCGAGAGTTCCAGTATCGAAGTTCAAGAAAGAAGAAGTGCCGAAGTTGAAGCCTTCCTCAAATCCATTACCAAAAACATCGTCGCCATACGAGCTTTCGCCGTTCAGCAAAGGCGTCGAGGTAGTATTAGGCTCAGACGCTTGTCGGATGCCCGGTCGGACTGTACCATTGTGATAATGCGTAATATCAGAGGCTGTGTGAACGTTTCTTTGCCTATCAATCATCTTCTCCAAGCCCTCGGCCATCATGTGAACGAGGTGCCATTTCCCCACAGGAGTCGTACGAAATTGCTGTACCGCTCTTGTGGTCAGGTCGAAAACGACAGCGTCTTCGATATATTGTGCTGGGTATTGCGTCGAGACCTTAAGGAGGAAAACGCAGGCAAAGGCGATCATGGAGTGGATGTAGTGCGGGATACCAATCAATCCGTTACGGATATCAGGGTCGATCAAGACTAGTTCAATGATTGCGACTGCAGCTGCAACAGCAGCACGAGCGCTGTCTTGAAAACACGGCGGTACGGTGTTACCCTGCAGACCTCGAAATACGTGGGAATGGAGATGTAGTTTTGCGAGATGATGGTGTAGATTGGCGCCTTTCGTGGGGAACTCACCAATAAAATCATGTATTCCTACCGTTATCAGCGAAATCGAGGATATTGCGGGTTTTCTCGCTCATCTTACTCAAGAGGGAGGTTGACCAGAAACCCATCCAGTGATCAATCTGTAGGCTGAAGGTCATCAACTTAGGAGCAAACGCTTTTGGTATAGGCTCCCCAGTATCTGGTCCAAAAAGCTCTCGCACGTTACCCATGATTATCAATAGTGCCATTTGACTGACTAGTCGCTTGTCGGACTCGGTAAAGACCGAAGTGGCCATGAGCTTTTCCCATCCAGCAATAGATGCGTCGTCCTGCACGATGGACGGTCTACCATACAGTATAGAGAGGTGACGATCGCAGATATACAAGATATACCAGATTCGCAGATTGTTCATAGCGTCTTCATTGCTGTTGGCCAAGACACGCTGGTAGTTGCTGCCAAGATTCACTTCCATGGCTCGTCGTATTGCATAGCCGCTGATCATCCACGAGAGGTCGTGGAGCCAGTAAGTCGCGATGCACATGGCTCGCATGGAGTCCTGATCCATGCGACGGGCGAACATTGAAGCTGACATAAGTCTGCGAAATTCGCGATTGCAAATTCCATACAAATGATTACTGCTCGGATCGTGAAGCGCCGCAACGGTGCATATGCACGCAGTCAGGAGGGATGAACTGCGACGCAGGCTAGTTAGGCCAGAGTGCCCTCCGCTACCTATCATGTACATGAAATGATCGATGCGCTTTAAGAAGAAGTCGACTAGACGCTCCGCGTCCTCGACGCTGATGGAACCTCTTGAGATGAAGTCGCTCACGGGTGGATTTACTCTCTGCTCTGTAAGCGATGGATCATCTGAGCGGAGCGCTCTTAGCCGGGTGATCTGGTAGAGTGAATCGATGGGTGCGTGAGGAAGGCCTTCTTTAGGTGAAATACGAGGCGAATTGTCGCATGATGGCGCATCGTCTTCTTGACTATTGACTTCATGTTGATCCGTCTGCTCTAGAGCCTGCTCTATGTTTGACTGTAACGGTGGAAGTAGAGGTAGCGACAGTTTTGCTAGTGTTTGTTGCAGTGATGCGTGGATCTGGCCGAGGTCGCCGACGACTGTGTGTTTCCACCTGGTGATATCAGCCTTTGCTGACTTGAGGTTGATGTATTGGAGCAGTTTTCGGTAGTGTATCAACGAAATGAACAGCTGCGAGCAAACTTACTGCGAACGTTCCTCGATCAGCGTCTGCAGGCTTTTGTTCAGCACACATGACAGATCACGCTCAGCGCACCGTCTACACGGGGGCCCACTATCGTCCATGATGCATTTGATCTTCGCTCATGTCAGTGCACGCTCATTCTTGATCAGCTGGAATGCTGTGCCTTCTGCTTCCTGCATGATGCACATGCCTTGACCTTCCGCGAGATCGAGGGAACTGGTTCGTCGCTGGCAGAGTTGGTAGGTCGTGACCGCGAGGCTGGCGATACCACTGGAGGCACTCCATTTTGGTTTGCTTGTGACCATTTTCGCTTGGGAGGCATGGGCGTGCAATTGGTGTTGAGAAACACTACAAGATGGATAAAGCATCAACGCAGGAGACGGCGCGCGACAACCCTACAATGTGGAGATCAGTCGCGTCAGCAATTGCGGGGTTGGTGATTGGCCAACCAGCAGCCGGGGCAATTCTTCTGTTCCCCAAGGCCGTCTGCGAACATGCTATAATCAATCCTTTGGAAACGGTGGTGCGCTCACTGCGAGGATTCCAGATGTGGTGTTGAGGCTGTCATGTCCACGGAGGTTTTCCAAAATGTGATGGGTGTAGATCCTCGGTGCCTTCCCTCTTCTCGAGACGGGAGGTGCGTTCCATCCCCCCACACCCTCGAGCAACGCACACCATCTAGTCTTCCACAATGTCCCGTGTAATATAATCCATCATCAACTGTCGCATTTCCCGATCATGTCCGTGGGTGCGATGTGTGAATCAGGCTGTTGGACTACAGCATATGACGTTAGCAAGGCTTCATTCAGGCGTGCGTCAAGGCGTCCACCTCAAACACCCCAGCCTCACCCGTCGCCACTCCATGCGCCAGCCCCACAGCCTCACACTAGGGTTCTTCGTCCCCTGACATCTTTATGAATGAGATTCTTCGCTGTATCTCCTTATCGTCTTATATATCTCTCAACGCATATTGCGCAATACCCCCGTGTCGCAGAAGCTTTAAGCCACAGCGCTTGTGAGATCGGTGCCGAGACCCGTTGACCTTTCGTCTTCTTGTCTGAAATCTTCCTCTTTCTCTCACTTAAACCTCAATCTTTCCTAGTTCTCTGGTATCCAAACTTCATGAAAATCTTCGACGACCCCTGATGTCGTCGCCAAATCCGTACCAACAGGGGCAAAATTGGTCAAATCAACAATACCAGCAACCGCGAGTGCAAAATCCAGAGAATCGCTACTCGAAAACATCCCCGCCAAATCATTCGTGTACTGAGCAGAATGTTGCAGGTCTATCGCCCTACATACAGCCACACTATGAAAGCACCTCTCCAGTGCCGTTCATCGCGGAACTGCCAGCACCCTTACCTCCAGCACCTCCAACTACAACATCTGAACAACAACTGAAAGAGGATGAGCTACTGGCGCACAAGCTTCAGCAGATGCAAATCGAAGAAGTGAGAAGGCGATCAAGCAGCGTCGTGAGCCAGCACCAGCGGCCGGTCAGCGTGGCACCGCCGTCCCCACATCGACATTCACCTTTACTACACCAACGATCTTTCCATTCACTACGACCACATTCCCAAAGCGTCTCATCAACAACTGCACCTTACACTCTCAGTTCGTCACCCCGTCTACCAAGCCCAAGTCTTCTTCCTGAAGTCGTCCCGTACTACCCTCAATCAACGTCTGAAAACCTTCCCATTCCCGTCGTTCAGGATCAGAACACCGTATATCCACTTCCAGCGTCACTAGACCCAGCCTCATCATCTGCATATCTCGAACAACATCTCCAAGTACCGTATCCGTCTCAGTGGGCGCTGGCTCCAGTAGTCGCAACATTCTACGCCTACCACGGGCATAAAATTCCTCCAAGTTCAACTTGGCTAGAAACACCAGATTCTGTCACTTGGCGGACAATTAGGCCTACGGAGAATGCCATGGGTCCTGCGCCTGCCTCTTACATCTTCAAATTCAAGACATCAGGCGGCAGTTTTCGAAGTTCGCGGCTTTCATGGAGTATGACTTGTTCTGGGGAGCAATCGAACAAACTGGCCAAGTCTAAACGACCCATATGGGCTTACGATCTCAAATTCGATTCTAGCACTGGGCTACGCAAGACTGAAGTCCTAGCTCACGGACGAGAAAATGCCATTCTAACTACCTACGTCCACGGTCTGAACTACGACTCTCTACGCTTCATTGGCCCCGATAGCCGCGCATACATGTGGGTCAGTAGTTCCGCACTATCTTCTATAAATGGCTCGCGATATGACACGCTCCGCCATGCCCTCTTTGTTACCACAGGAAACATCCAAGACCCTCTGTACGGCCAAATCGTCGCAGACCATACTTTCTGGGATGGCTATGTTGCCGAGAACGAAGTGCACGTGGGTATACGATGCAACGAGTGCCAAATGAAGCCCATCAATGGGCTGAGGTGGATCTGCAGAACTTGTCCCCATCACGATGTATGTGATACATGCCGTACGCTCGCGCTCGGCGCACAATTCGGCGCATCCATACAACCAACATGCGACTTCTCCCTTGTCAATCTCCCCAATGAGGCATTAAACATTCGCTCGCCGACAGTTGACCCAGAACTTGTTGTGGCCACTCTCCAAATTCTGAAAGACTGGGAAAAGCATACACTTCGAGAGGAGAAGAAAAAGAACTTCAACGGCTTCGTGGCGAGTGAAAATGCAGCACGGAAATGCGATTTGGGCGTCATGAGTTATTGGAAAGCAGGGGATTGGGACAAGAAGGGTGCAGAGGGGGAGAAGTTTGGTACACGGGTCAAGGCGAGAGGAATCATGCAGGCATATGGAGAGACAGCGGCTGCGTTAAGAAAGGTGGTAGACACCGGGTCTTCCGTTGGTGGGAATGATGTGACGATAGGTACTAAGGTTGCAAACAAAGATGGCAGCGGCTCGTGATGAAAGGAAAGTCTAGCGTAAAGCTTGATATCTTGTATTAACAACAATTCCGGGTTTAATTTCATGAATGATGCAAGCGCTCCATGATGAATTTGACCAGATTAAGGAACTCTCGATGGCGTTTCTGGGTACGCCGCACTGGGCAAATCCAAGCCAAAATAATGAGGGGAAAGGTGAGAGGTCAAAGCCATTCAAGCCACTATGCAGAATCCTCAACATGGTGCACATGCATCGATGAAGGCAAAAGATTGTGATAGAGGAACGCCGGGACAAGTGACATCCTTGCCTGAGTCTTATTCGGAAACAACATCGGCACTTCATGCACAAGCCAATTCGCCATTAGTTCAATCAGCGGATGTCTGGCGACATGTTTATACCAGGGTGATTCTGAAATATTCCCCCAAGCAATGGGGTCGCGGTTCTTCTTTCTTGCCTGTTGGACGATTCCTTGCTGGCCCAATGACTTGATGTGAGACGTAAGCTCCAGCATGAAAATCGTGATTATCTCCAGAGCGCATTCCACGTAACTATCATTTTTGGTGTTAGTATAAATGTCGAGGCCAAGCAGGGCTTGATTTAATTCCGATACAACAGGTTCTGTTACTTGTCGGTTAGGAGTTGCCGGCGGAGCTACTGACAGAGGTGCTCGCCAGCCTAGGGAATAATGATAACCGTATATCACAGACCAATGTACCTCCTCTTGGCCAAAGCTACTTGAGGCTAGTTTTGCTGGACATTGTTGAAGCATGAGGGGCAGATCCAGCCATTTGTAGAATGTGAGGATACGATTCGTTGATGGGAGGCCGTTTCGTTCCATACGGAGACTCCCAATTATTCGAAGTGTTGCTCCCTGGGGTTTGCCTACATTCATACTTAGTGATTACGCTGTCAGGTATTTATAACAAGAATTAATAAGACGCCTTACCTTGACCAATAACAGTCCGGGCACAACGATCCATATCAAGTAAGGCCATGACTTGCTGGTGACATTGAATCCCCTTTCTGCCAGGTTCAAAAATCCAACCGTGGTATCCATCTTCATGTGATATGAGCCGAAGCGTCAATCGAAACTTTTGCGGCACGACTTCCTTAGATGTACCAACACTTTTTGTCAGGGGCAGGTAACCGAAATTTAGGGTTTGTCTAACCCCTGGAGTTGTCTTGACCATGTGTAGATCCCATGATATTTTACTCAAACTCACATCGCGCCATTTGATAGCACCGCGAAACCACATGAGTGTGATCAGCCCCTGAATGGCTTTGGCTAGATGCCCCTCTAGTTCTATAACTTCTCTGCACGGTCTTGTATACAGCTCTGCGCAAAGATCTATGTCACGAGACATATATGGCGCACTCTCATACTCGGTTGCTTCGATATCCGGACCGAAGTTGACGCCGCTGGTTGGAGCAGAGCGCATGTTGTCAATGGGTTCTGGATCGCCAAGCATCCCAGTCACAAGCCTTGTCGGTATGAAAGACCATTTACCTGTGCCCCTCTTTCCATTCGACTGGTGTGGGAGAATGAAGTCAGGCAAGGGATCTCTGTCCACGGTACGACAAAGATCGTCTATCAGTGTCGAAGTATCAACGGCCTCATGTCCGAGGGCTATTTCCATATAGTTTGCACTGTATGCTAGTCCGCGTCGTATCCATGCTCTCGCAGAGGTCATGATGATCGTGAAGCCTAGGCACATAACCGTGACTGACCAGTGCAAAGCGCGAAGCCCAACAAATTGACTGACGAAGCCGCAAAACGTAACGAATACTGAAACAATCGTCATAGTTCTACAGTAGTGTTAGCCTACTATCAACGGTACATAGAGAGACAGTTCTTGGCGACAAGACTGAGTCTGATAAAAGAAGCCGGATTGTAGTTGCTAACCAACGCACCTGTAATTTCGCACATTTCGTGTTGATAGACAAATCCGTTGCTTTTTGGGAGCACTGGTGGACAGGTATGAAGAAAATCGCTGTTCGCCGACAGTTGTTCCCTCCTGAATTGTAATGATCTGTAGCGGGATCCGCTTTTCTGGGTTTGGGATAAACTCCAGCTCGGTTGTGCTTGCCTCAATGACGTGTGAGCATAATGCAAGACCTGTGCCAACAGCAGCAGTGCCTAAGATATAACAAACATAGCCATACAAAGGTACCCTCCAGCCGTATGAGCGCTTTAGGATAGCCGGGAATGCAAGGCAGATTCCCTGTAGTACGATACCTACGGAAGCCCATAACCATAGCTCGTGTTTCGAAACAATGGAACGAGGTGCATTGAGAGTAAGGTTTGGTACTCCTTCCAAGATCAAGCGTTCAAAGTCCTCCTTGTTACGGCCAGATTTTTCGACCAAATACTTCAAATGACATGCTTCCACAATTGGGTAACACCGCAAACCATCTTCTTCTTGTACTATGACTATCTGCCTTGTTTTTGGCGATCCATATGTTCGGATGATCTCATTCCCATTCCACATCTCACAGACTTCGTTGGAAGTAGACGATAGTATTTCGGCTTCTGCGGTTGCTCGGCCTTCTCTTGCGCGACCAATAATGGCTTTCAAACGTCGCTCTCCGCCGACGCGAATCGTGCTAACAAGGATTGTCATGATGCCCAATGGCCCAAGAGCTATCAAAATGTTGTCGGCCCAACCCATGGATAGGGTGAGAAATTGTTTCGTAACCTGCTCACCAAAGAGGGTAAGAAGCGGGGCGAGGTCGGTAAGTAGATTATTAGAGAATGCTTCTCCAGAGAAAGGTGGATGCTTGGGGGCATCGTCTGACTTCGACTGGTCCGTCATCTTGAATTCCGTTGGAGGTAAACGCAGTGATTTTCTTGGGGTGTGGGTCGCATATAGAAGAAGACAACTGAGACGCAGTCATACGGACCGTGGATCTGATAGTAGTAGTACACGTTGCACCATGTAAAATAAAATGTTGGACAAGAACACAAGTGTAATTGATACGCCTGCTTTGGAAAGCCACAACGTTGCACGCAGGGGGGGCTGCGTGGTACCCATATTGGGCGGCGAAGAGTAAGTGCTTAATGCAGAAAGTCGTTTGGATACCGAGAAATTAGGTTACAATCCATATACGATATGAGAAAAAATTTCAATATGAATGCTACATTAGGTGACACACACAACGCTGTTGTCAGACCCGCTGTAACCACTCATGATGGAAGTCAGCCGCTTGCCGAAGAACGAAGCACAAAACTCGTCGAATACATTCAAGCTACACTATAGCCGATCTTCAAATGCTCCACAAGGGAAAAAAGGTACAGCTGAGCAATATGAGAACGGTGTTGCGAAAAAGAAAGCAGTAATGAAGGCGAACTTATTCTCGGCGACACAACATGTTGAGAGCCGCAAGTACTACAAAATGGCTACCAGGATGGAGAAGTGGCAAACAATAAATCAACTCTAGGAGTCCTTGAGGGTCTTTTCAAACTAATTTTGTGATACTATGGAAGTGTCTTTATATTGGCCATGATTGCACAAAAGTTTTGACCTAGCACATTTCAAGTCGTTGATTCCATCAATGCATGGGCGAGGTGCCGCAAAGGGTAACATCATACCCTGACTTCCAGTGGCGCGACCATTCCTCATGCTCAAAGTCGAAGTCGCATGAGACCCCCGCAGCGCGAGCCTCAATTCGTTGAATCGCTTCTCGTGTGTCTTTCAGGCTGTCATAGCCCTTCCTCATGGCCGATGCCATCAGGGCAGGAACCCACATCTTCGGGTCATTCTTGACAATGCGATCGAAGCCATCCGGAACTTCGTGTCGGCATAAGTCGCTGTCATACTCGTGTGCCTGCTCCTTTTGTGGCCCCCTCGTACGATTCTCAAGACCCACAATGAAGTCTACGGCGATTTTTATGGGTACTCGCCGCACTTCTATGCCATGCGCGTCCGATCGATCTAGTGGCAGAGCATGAGGCTCCAGGCCTTCGAGCGTAATCGGCGATGGCAAGGATGTACCAGTATGCATCACAAGGACTGTCATTTCCTCTGCCAGTTTACGCAGATTTATAAGTCCGTCCTCGTCCATTCCGACCGTTTTTATCTCTTGATCGCAGATTAGGATGATTACAGGATATGACTCCAGTATCTTATGCTTCACATCTCCCACACCTTTCTCTTGCGCCATATCACAAAGCGCCCTATGGGCCACAGCAATTTCGCCCAGCGTTTGTGGTCCTTGTTTCGTGATTCGAACAGGGTTGGCTAGAAAATGTCCGAACTCGATATTCAGCATATCGCCGCAACGTGCGCGCCATGCTTCGAACATAGATGCGATGAATATACGTTGTATGCAGGGGTACCCATGGATGTTGTCATAGCGACCGCACTGAGCGGATTGCTCGAAGTAAAAAGCGGTGGGCTTGTTGAACATGTCGCGGCAGGGACGGTGAGTAGGGAAGACACCCGATTTGAGGACTGTTAAGTATGAGTCTACAGGGGACCAGATTATCTTGAGGTTGTTGCGAAGGACAGCTTCGCGCTGAAAGTGCCATGCGGTCTCGAGATCTTCTTCGAGCAAGCGCTCTATGGGGTCGGGTGATGTAGACGGACCGCACACGGACCGTAATATTTCGTCGCGTAGCATTTTGACCATGCTGCTCTGTGTACTAATTACTATCAAAGGAGAAGTGGTAATTGTTCCAGATAAATACTCAAAGATGACAAGATCAGTTCGGTGGACAAAACACTTTGCGGCGCAATAAGTCAATAAGTACTATTGGGTACTTCTTATATTTATTCTTCTTTGATGACTACCGTAGACCTAAAGTAAAGTGAACCATGTCACTGTACTCGCTTCCTTCCAGATAAACAGCAATATCCACGTGCGGGCAAACTTTACTTTGACTAAAAGGGCGACGGTTTCAAACTGCTCTGCGTTCAATGGTGCATTGAGGTATCGTCGACCAGGGGGGGGGGGGGGGGGGGGGGGGGGGGGGGGGGGGGAGAAAGATGTGGTGCTTGATGACAAACGTCTATTGTATTACTCATCTGGGGCATACTTCAAGAGAAATGATTGTGCCTTTTCATTCTGCTGCTATAGGCAGTAGTATCGCTATTACATAGCTAAAATTAGTTCCATAGATCTGCCACTAGATTTTTGCGTCACGGCAATTCGGTTGAGAATATTGATTTGGCTCTAGTGGTTGAGTCCTGGTGGATCACTTCCAATGTTTAGTTCCATGGTTCAGGTTGCAACACCGCCTCTACGATTTGACAACAGTTGGAACCAGCTAAAATACAATGCTAGTGTCTTCGTGCATCTCGAAGTGGCACACTACAAAAGAGCTCCTATCCTTTTTATTAAAGGGTATAGTCATCTGTGTCCAACGGCTAGAACCAAGAGACAAACTTCCTCCGTTGTATGTTAAACATATTCAATTACACCTTAAAACGCAATAGCTTAGATTATCAGACTTTGGTCCTATTCAGGAAGAGCGTTAGGTTCCCAACATAGAATTTCGAACTCCGATGCACACGGATTCCCCGTTCCATTAAACTCAAATACTACCTCCGGCCACTCGCGTTGAACTTGCGCGTCGCCTGTCAAAACGCCCTCCCCGCCACCTATCAGCATCTCAAAAAAGGCCCCTACAAAAGTTCTAGTAACGTTGAGAAACCTTGTTGCGGGAATAGCAGCCCCGCCTCCTGAAATGCCATTAGCCTGTTTCAGGAAGATGAGATCCGAGAAATCAGTGTGGTTGATATTGCCTAGTGCTCTAATCTCTTTACGCCAGCTCGTCTGCCACGATTCGAAGACAGGCCATGTGGGATCATAAAGGCGCTCATGACTTGAGCTTGCAAAGAGCAGGGTAGGTGCGTGGACGTCGACAGACGAGTCGTTTGCGCTGGCGCGACCAAACACGGTGCCGTCGAGATCGATAGTGCCGAGGAACTTCTTGTGGCGGGAGGAAGTGCGGTTTCGTTCAGTGGGGATTTGAGCCAGTGCTGCGCTTCCGCCTAACGAGTGCCCGAAGAAGGCGAAATGCGTAATATTGAGGGACAGTTTCAGGTGCCGTGATATCGAAGGCAGAGCATCGAGGACGGCAGAGTTTTCGGTGACGCGGTACACTTCGGTAGGTATGTACACTTCTGGGCCAGGTGACCAGTCTACGGAATGACCAAGGAAGCTGGTTCCATCCGGATATTGCAGATATGGCTGTTCGTACGGGTGATCCACGCTCACCACCGTATAACCTCTACTCACCACTTCAGAGATCAGGGCGAAGAACATCTGACTCGCAGGGCCTGCGAATGGAGGTCCAAAGAGTAATGTTGGTAGTTTCAGTTTCACGCATTCCGCATGTTTGAGTGGCGTCGCATTGTATGCGATGTTTGCCGTAGTGTTGCCAAAAGTACCGGGTGGAAGCTTATAGTAAGTCTCGTAAGTTGCGGCAAGCCCTCTCCAGATATACTTCTGAAGCGGGGCCGAGTCGTGTGTGGGGTAATAAACGTTGACCAATATAGAGGTGCTGATATTGTTTGGCGCAATTGGGTCATTGAGGGTTGTGTGATTGAGCACGTAGGGCTTTGATCCGACGTTGTATGGGCCTGTTGGTGGAGGGAGGCTGATACCTGTGACGAGGCAGACAAAGGTGGCACTGGCGAGGGTGAGCGATGTAAGACGCGCCATTGCCCCGGTATGCAGAAAAGTTACCTGGGGTTGGGTTGACAATATGGGCACAATCTCCAAGAGCTAAAAATCTAGAAACTCGCTCCTCGCTTTAGAAAATAGGAGCGTTCTGTCGGACTGGGCATCTTTTGTTGGCGAGAGAGGGCCTAAGCATCAATATTTACTAGTTATCTCATTGACCAGCCGCGCCGTATACCGCCAATAGTATTTCTATGTAGAGCGTCTAAGAGCAGTTTGTTCTAGGTCGGTTCGTATTACAATTTGTAGCGTGCAAATGCAATTTACACGTTATCGATAATCGCAGTAAGCCGCCACTAGTGGGGCCAATGTCTGCATTCGTGTGTAATCTACTTGCAAAGCTTATCAAATTGTCTATCTATGCAGTTGAAATGCATGATGACACTGCATGCACTTCTCAATGGCCATCTACTGGTGCAATGAAGCCCGCGGCGATTTTCTCGGCACTAGACCCATGTTTAGTATTCGTGGCAATAAGGCATTCAAGTAGCTTGTTGAAGTAGCTTGGATGCCTTACAAAAAATACTGCTTGGGAGTGAGCACTAGTATGCCGCATTTAGCCTATACTGCAGGTGCTAAGGGAGCACCAAACAGATCCGTGAGCGACGTGACTCTCTATGCCCCTCTTAAACCTCTTCAAGTGTAGCCTGTAATTCTATAGTCATGGAATTCACATGCCTAATGACGTAGGTTTACGGTACTTAAGCAACAAAACCCAACTAACAGCCCGAAATTCCGGACACTAATCCCGTACACAGACTAACCAACACAACAATGACTTTTACGGTCTTCATGTTCATTCCCCGCAAGCCGGGTATGACCCTCGAGGCCTGTAAGCAACTTCCTCATGCGCGGTGAGTATAATAGCGCTAAAAGCGGTAAATTACTCTAGTCAAGGAATACTACGAAACCAAGCACGTACCCCTATGCTGGGACGCCCTCGGAGATGAAAAGCCTATCCGCCACTCGCGCTACTATATACAGCGTAATCCGGCCGCGCAGGGAAACGCTGATGTTCCCCCACCCCTACTCTATCTTGGGGACCCTGCGACCGTGGACTACGACTGCATCTCCATGGTTGAGTATGAAGACGAGGCGCATTTTTTGAGATTCAAAGAAGTTATGCAGAATGGCCCATTGAGAGAGAAGATTACTGCAGATCAAGATGCGTTTGAAGATCATAGTCGTATGAAGGCTCTAGCAGTTGAGAGCCCAAAAGTGTCGGAGCGTTGAAAGGGTCCAAGACAAAAAGCGATCTTACAACAACGTGTTAGTACTATGACCTTTATGATAACACTACTTTGTTGCATCGTAACTTCTTGATTCGTTCAGCTTGTAATTCTCCAGTCATGAAACTTGCGCCAGTTTCCATATGTCGCGTGCATTGGAACTTTAGTTTTACCTAAAGATCCTCGATAGATGTCTAATTCCATCTCTTCTTGCTTTTCCTCTGCTAGACGGTAGAACTCTTCCAATTTTGAGTTGTGCACCTCGAATACTGATAAGCAGGAAGCTATTCATGGCAAGCCCTTCCGTCGAACCGAATGTACTCGATCTACCTACTTGTTGCTACCCGCCTCGGGCCATGTAACTAGTCAACTGGTATATACGCACAAGCTTTAGAGATGATCTCATGAGGCACAGGAGGCGAAGATATGAGTCGATCACAAAAACACAACGAGAGATTGGGCAAGATATACTTTGGCGAACTACATGCGCCAACACACAATGATATACAGTAGACCGATATTGGAGACGGTTCATGACCACAGCTAGATGGTCGACAACATTGTCAACAAAGAAAGATGCCTCATACTTGACTTCTTTCGGTATTTGTTTCAACACACGAGGGTGAAATATGAATCAAATGCATTCTAGTGTCATGATCCACTCTTGTTCGATGTCTAAAATGCTCGCCCGCCAAATTCACCAACACCAACCGAAACCCAATTCTACCCGTTGTATATTTTGCAAAGTAAAGTTTCTACGCCCACCCGATTCTATAAAGATTGTACCCACTTTCGTCCCCCCTTCCGATACCCCTCCTCTTCTCTACGCTTCCCTTATCCAAGATCCTGAACCTTCGCCCATGCCCATCCTCCGGGCAAAGCCCAGGCATGAACGCAGCCTCCACAGTCTGTTGAATATTTTCAAACTTTCCAGTCTTGCGTACCGTGACCATGAGCCAGAACGTACCGCCAGGTGTGAGGAGATGTGCTGCACAGTCGCGCAGCCAGGCTGCGTGTTCAGGTGCGTATACGACGTCTGATGCGATGAGAAGGTCGGCGGTTGATCGAAGATCCGGTGGAGGAGCGGACCAATCCAAAATCATCATATCCACTGACAACCGGTCGATTGATGGCGAAGGAAAGTTCGTCGCCACATTCACTCTACAATTTTCCAACACCGCTTGATGGTAGTCCGTTGCTATGATAGTTGCCCTTTCTACCCCAATCTCTGAAAGAAGTTTGGCAAGCGTCAAGCTTACAAGTCCAGTGCCAGCACCGAGCTCAATAATCTTCGGTTGTATTGGCAGGTTGTTTGAGGTGAGATCGAAGCGCTGAGGATCGGCGCACATCATGCTACTCAACACGATACTCGCGCCCCAAGACTGCAGGCCTACGTCGGTATGATCAGTTCCTGTCAATGGCGCATCGTTCAGCGTAATATAAATCGAGTTACCCGATGAGGTCGGAAACGTAAAGTTGCGTGTCAGGGCCTCCTCCTCCTCATCGTTGGTAGAATTAGTGAGTGATGACAGAATGAATGCTGCATCGTCTACAATCTGGCTCCTTGCTTCCTCAGAAAGGTCTATCTCTTCAACACGAGAAAGTAGAGAGGTGAGCCACCGCGTTGCAAAGGTGCGCTCGAAGAAGTCGGCGCGGAGAGCTGCTAACACTTCTTCGGAAGCTGCGTCGTCATCTTCGTTTTCTGATGCGTAGCCAGAGTCGACTGGGATAGGCGTCGATGCAACTGCGATCTGTTTCTGCTTCAAACTTGGCTTTGGTAAGCTAGCTGGTATGCGCAGAGGGCAATACAGCGTTTGCAGCTTTCGAAGTGCCGATGTGAGCTGCTCATCAGATGCTGATATGAGTTGTCGAACAGGTAGCAGGCTGCTTGACGGCGGCAGGCATGGGCCTGAGAAGCTGACACTCATGTGTCGCCCCACTAAACAACGACGAGACAGAGAAGTGAACGGTATGAAAGAGACTGTGGGGATTAAGAGGAGATGAATGAGCAGGACATGGAGAATGGAGAAGACGATAAAAGATAAGAATGAAAAGACACTACATCTTAGTTGAGATTCAGTCTAGCCTTCCACGCTCGGACAATGAATGTCGCGAAGACCAGAAATTTTTCACCGCCTCTCGTTTGGTATCGTGAGCTAGCGAATGGGTCATAGATAGTAAGTGCAAGCAGTTGCATTATTCGAGTCGTTGCGCGAACGCATACAAGCCCATTCGAAAGGCATATTGTGATTGGGGAGTTATGAGTGCTGTTTGCAACATCTTCACGATGTTTTGCTGCAGTAAATTTTGCGTGTTGAATCTTTTTTGGTAATTTGCCGTCGCCACGTGGGCCGCTAAACATGAGGCCCTTCTAAGCTAACCGGGATTGGCCGGATGCAGGATCGCCGAAAGACCTTGCCACCACCAGCACCCTGCCAACAGTGCGCCTCACAGAGATAGCTTCGGCGGAGTAGAGCTTGGTATACTCGTTTGAGAACTTTCCTGCCAAAGGTGTTGATCATAGCACTAGTGGCTTGGAACGGTGGGTGGACAATCGACCCAAACCATCCCTCGCCGCTCAACCCGGGATATCCTATCGTTCACGACTGGGCTTACTGCGGAGGCTGAATCAGCATAGAAAATCTTTGAAACTCTGTGCTGAGGAGCAAGTGTCTGCGGTTGTCGCAAATCATGGATCTCACGCATGCCTCGATTAAAGAGTACATCTTTCAAACAGCCTGAGCTTTCCAACACAATCAGGGAGCTGTGAAGTTAATAAACTCCGTGGACCAGACAACGAATTAGCGACCGTAAAGGAATCGTGTAACACATGGAAGGGTGCTGCATCAAGGTCATACAAAGACCATACATCGGGGAACAAGAGGGATTGAGAGGCCATGAAGATAGCAAGTAATCTTCACTGGTGTACGTTTGGAATCATCCATGATTCCGCCCAGAGACATTCGCCATTACGACTCCGGGATTAGATTCGGTTTTGACAGAACAGATGCAGAGAAGAGCGGCCGCATCAGCTTTGAACGCGAGGAAGCGATCATTCTGTGGAGTAACAAAGCCAACAACCGCGAAACCTCGTTTCAACATGTTCCACACGAAAGCTTATGGACCGTCCACTAGTTGAAGAATATAGCAGCTGATGGCAGCCAACGGCACATTTCCAACACGTCAATCATCTGCCAGGGCAATCATAAACCGACTATAGCACAAACACGCGAAGATCTAAGTCAAGGACCAGTACCCGCATACAACAATGACTACTACTTTCTAACCAGGACATCTTAACGAGCGAGATTCATCATGCTCATGACCTGGCCGTTACCTGGGCCACCCTTCTCCATCTGCATCAGGACCTGTCTCATACCCGCGCCACTCTGGCCCATGGAACCCGCACCATACACTGCTTCAGCCAGCATTCGCACCTGCATGGGCATTTTATCATCACCGTAGTGCTGAATCATCTCCTGCTTGGTGACCTTCTTTCTCAAATCGCTCCAGGCACCGCTCTCGCCAAACGCCTCACACTCCTTCTGTTTGTCCGCGGTCCACCAAGGCGGCAGAAGGTTGGGACGAGTAGCTGCCTTGGCGAGGTATTGTCGGAAGGGCTCGATGCTGCTCGACGCGCCAGTATAGACACTACGCGGCGTAGTTTTGTTCTCAAGGTTGAGGTCGTCTGCCTGGCGCATGCGGAAGGAGTCGATGAGAAGCTTGAACACGTCCGTCTCAGGGCGATCGTGTAGGTACTTGCCCTGGTCAAGCCTCGTGAACGGATTCGACACGTGCTTTTCGAGATCCTTCAAACGGCCAGCAGAGTAATTGGTGCTATGCTCGGTATTGGCTCCAACGAACGCGTCAGCAGCATTCTTGGCGCAGACCTTTTTGTGCGTCTTCCAGTCGGCCTTCTGGCAGTCGCGGCCACAGTATTGGGTGGTCTTGCATTTTGCGCAGGCTTTGAGCGTGGTGAGATTAGCAGAAGCGGCCGTCTTCTTGCAATTTGCGCAGGTCTCGTCTGCCATGGTGATTATCGATCGGTATGAAGGAGTCGAGGGCGGGATATGCGGATGAAGTGGGTAACGAATGACTAGAAAGTCTTCGGTGCAGAAGACAGGTCTATAGGCTGCGAGAAGCTTATGACCTGTCTTTAAGGAAGCGACAACTCACTTTAGTTTAGTTGCGGGGAAGTAGCAAAAAGCAAAAAGCCGTGCATAAGATCACCGGGGAAACCTAGCAAGCTAGATTTCACGCGCAAGCGACACGCATTCACGTGTCCAAAAACTGAGCCAAGCACTGAATGATTATGCTGTCTAGCGTCATCTCCGTGCACGTTTATCGTACTGCATCTTCAGTGAACGATGTCACTGTGTGAGCGCCTTTCCACATGCGCCTGCAAGCCTTTCGTCCAACGAACTTGCGATAATAGTTTTGGGGAAAGGGCAGTTTGACCGATTCGTCATAGTGTACAAGGGAAGCATTCAATACTATGATAACAATCCACGTCGCGAATTGCGGGGCTGAATTACACGCGTCTAACCCCCGCTCCGATACTCGCCACGAGACAACATCGACACAACTTGGGAATATGGTCGTGATGATCTCCTTCGGATGCTAATGCTTGGTCGCCTGATATTGAAGATATATAAGTCTAAGAATATTCCCTTCTTCAAGCTTGTGTGAAAGACTCCCCAGCACTAACTTTTTATTGAACCCATCGCTTGATCAAAAGCTCAAGATGGCTTCTTCCACCTCCAAAGAAATGGTCAACCCATCAATAGTCCTCTATGGTGCCAAAAACGCAGCACTCGAAGATAAGCCAATACCAGAACTTGTCGAGCCACATGATGTTCTCGTCCGCATCAACTACGTAGGCGTGTGTGGCAGCGATGTAAGTCACCTACCGTTTCCATTACCACTACGAAAGTTGTCTAAAATATGTTCAGGTCCATTTCTGGCACCACGGCGGCATCGGAAAGATGGTCAATCCTAGTACGGGCATCGTCATGGGCCACGAAGCAGCCGGTACCATCCACTCCATCGGCCCTGCAGTCAAGACTATCAAGCCCGGAGACCGTGTAGCAATTGAGCCGGGCACGCCATGTCGCCTCTGCAAAGCCTGCAAGTCCGGCGTGTATAATCTGTGTCGGCAAATTCGCTTTGCTGCTGCACCTGGCCCGCCTGATACGCAGGGGACTTTGTCAAAGTACTTCCGCATTGCAGAAGACATGGTGTACAAGATTCCAGATGAGATGGGCTTAGATGAAGCGGTACTTGTGGAGCCGCTGGCTGTGGCCGTACACGCCGCGAAACTAGGCGATGTACGTCCTGGGGAGACGGTCGTAGTAATGGGGAGTGGAACGATCGGATTATTCTGTGCCGCAGTCGCGAGACAGTTTGGCGCTCATCGCGTAATTCTCGTTGACATTTTGGAGAAGAAACTCGAATTCGCGACCTCGTACTTGGGTTGTGAGACTTTTCTATCATCCACCAAAGTCGAGGCTGAAGAAAACGCGGCATTGCTTCTAAAGAAGCTTGACCTAGCTGAATACGGTATCGACAGCTTTGGTGGACACGTAGACACTGTCATCGAAGCTTCAGGTGCTACATCAAGCATCGAAACTGGTATACATATCCTACGACCTGGCGGCAAGTATGTTCAAACTGGGTTGGGAAAACCAAAGATCGAATTCCCCATTGTGGCAATGAGCCAGAAAGAGTTGATTGTCCGAGGATGCTTCAGATATGGTACCGGTGACTATGAACTGGCAGTTAGTTTGATCAAAAAGGGACTTGTTGACGTAAAGCCGTTGATCAGCTCGGTGACGCGATTCGAAGACGCGACGCAGGCGTGGGATAAGACGGGCAGGGGTGATGGCATCAAGAATTTGATACAAGGTGTGCAGGATTGAACATGTAGGCGTTCAATGAGCAAAGTGTCCGAAAGTACTCACCGAGGATAGGCATCCAATCCTATAGGTACTCAGATGACAGTAGAAAACGTGAGGATGCCTAGAGGCGAGATCAGCATGGCTGCTAACGTTTCTGTCCGGACAACCTAGATAGACGATAGCATCGTATTTTAATCCCGAACCTTCATCCTCGAGATAAACCGTGCGGCAAGACTTGTATCAACCTTTTTAGCATCATGGTATAACGGCCACGCGAACAATCACACTGAATTTCATTCCGCGCGCGTTGCTGATGGATATAGAAGGTGGGGAAGACTGATGAGCGGAGTCATGAAGTCACCTTGGAGAAAGCTTAATAATCGATGTATGGATTATATCATAAGTCCGAAAGACATAGTCGTGAATAAGGGTATCAGCATAAGCAAATCGTTCTGAAAAGTCAGTGGTGTAACATATTGGGGTTCAAGATGAAAAAACTCACAACTCGTTTCCATGTCATTATTGCCATCGTGCTTGTATGCCGCGTACAGAGTTCGGTGTCTCTCTTGGAACACCCCCTCTCGTGGCCGAGGCTAAGGCATGAAGTAAGACGTCGATGTTCTGCACCCTGTCCATGCCATTCTCATCCGTCCCAACGCTGCGCTTCCTTGCTATATCCTATCAACTCCAGGTCGATATTGAGGGTCTTCAGCATCATATCCATCGTGAATGACTGCGTCGAATTAGCCTTCTCGTTCACTCGCTCCATAGCTATCACTACTCACATCATCATCAGCACCGCCCTTGAACGTCTCCTTTTCCTCCTCTCCCTTCTCCTCTTCCGTCTCTGCATACTTGTCGTACGCCTCCTCTGACACCTCACCGTTCTCCTTTGCTTCTTGCATTTTCTCCATTTCTGCCTGCATCTCCTCTTGTTCCCACTGCTTCTGTCGTTCTTTTGATTCCTTCTCGCGTTCTTTCAAAGCGCCTACGCCGCCCATCCTATTCACCCTGTCTCTTGTGCTAGCAAACAGCTCTTCTGCGGCGGCTCGGCTTGCAGTCCGCCACCTATCGATTAGGATTACCAGGTCGTCGTCTTTAGTGGAAGTAGCGAGCGACTGGGCTTGTGTGAGCATTTGGATTTCGTTGCGCAGCTGTACGATTTCGCGCATATGTGAAGGTTTCGAAGACGGCTTTTTCGGAACGATCCGCGAGGGCGTAGAGAAGGTTGGACGGGAGACAAGCTCATTTGAGACGCGTGGCTTGCATGGTGTTGCTGCTGCTGCTGAAGCTTGTTCGGGGAGCGCTGGTGTTGCGACATGCTGCTTGCCGTGGCTAGTCGCAAAGGGGTTCGCAACATGTGCAACACGTAATGCAGATGCGTGTTCCTCGGGCGGATCCGAAGACGGTGGATCAGAACCTATGTTGGGATTCAATGGTGTGCGGAAGGGCGACTTGAACGGCTTGTGGAGCGTCTTCGCAGCTTGGTTCAGCCGGCGGCGTTTGGCTTGCGGGGTCGACATGTTCGCGTGCACAGAAACATGGAGTACTCGTATTTTCTAAGCTGCAGTTTCTCGGGCTGATTGGTGGTGTAGGTTATTGTAGGTTATTGCTAAGACTGAGCCATGGCATCGGCGCTGATGAAGTTTGCTGGCCTGTGCAGAACGCGCTATCACGTGGACGATTTATTTGTGCATCAAGCGCCCATACTTTGGAACATCTCATTGAGCCGCCTTTTCCTATTCGATTTTTTATACGTCTACATCTCGTGGATCATCTGTTAACGCCGCCATTTTTAAGTGGTAATGTTCACCGATACATAATACATACGAGCTTCTACTCTAAAATTACTTCATGTCGCACGCCACCCGTCTTATGTTCATTGCGTTATAATCTAATAAAACGAGACCCAAATAGCACCTAGACGTCATTCGATGCACTTTCAAAGCAAGATGCTCTCCTCACAGATTCGCATATCCGAGCAATTATCGAAATACGAAATTCCATGACCATATGGAGAGTACCAGCTTGTCAGTGTGGGATGCTAGAGATCGCGTCTTCTACTATCCAGAGATGAGGCCGCCTGAGCTGTTCCATGTTCCAACTTGGTAGAATGTTCATCTTAATGATAGAGAAGATTTTCTTTACTTGTTCATCACTTGCTGGATATTAAGTGTTTAGCTGAAGTTGGAGGCAACCTCGACATCAGCCAACGAGAGCGCAACTAGAATGGATGGATCCAGTTGTCACCTGAACACTTCAATACATATGTAAAGATGCGGGCAGATGAACCAAGCCTTACATTTCGAGACTGGGCAGTCAAGATACTCCAAGTTGCGGTAGGCCTTGAGGTAACGAAACTTTGCGGCAACTATTGCCATGTTATTGGGACTATGGCGAAAGATTCCCGGGATCCGATAGGAGACGGGACGTTCTACATTCTAACTCATAATTTGATAGACAGATTGTAGAAATCCAACCCAACAGCAACCCCAGTCACGGTAGCAGCGTACGCTATGAGGATCGCCATCGACTGCAGCATGCTCATGTGTAGCGTTGGCATTGTCATGTTGACCAAGCCCGTAAGCAGGTTCGCGATTAGGAAGACTGCGAGGCCGTTGCGATTAAAAGCATACAGTATGGTGCTAGTGGCATCTCTACTCCTCTGCAGCTCTTCGTCTTTGGTCGTAGCTTTGTAAAGGTTGGGGAAGAGGATGGTTTCGATGGCGCAGCATATGGTGATTTGGTAGCTATTAAATGCAGACACCCACAAGAAGTAGGGGAGGTTGGCAAGTCGTCGGGAGACTGAAAGGCGGAGGCCATAGTAACTGGTTGAGAAGTAGAACAAAGCTGTCCACATGATAGATGTCACGGCAAGCCTGCCCAATGTTGTTTGCCGGAGCATGGATATCAGAGACGCGTTCTTCGGAGTTGGCTGCTGTCGTGGGAGAGCAATTGAGCCCAGAGATTGGCCGGCGAGAAATATAGCAAGATAGCCAATGAAGGAGAATATACCTTCTCGATTCTTGGAGAAGAGGTCAGTCCGCGGTGCGATCAAAATAAAAGACCCGAGCGATGTCCAGTCCAATGCAATCTCATAGATGGCAGCCAGCGTAAATGAAAGGATCGCGTAAGATGGTACCAGATTAAAAGCCGTTTGGAAGAGAGCAGCAAATGGTGGCAGAAAGCCTAACGTGAAGAAGAAGTTCCAGTGAACGCCATATTCGGTGACGTGCTCGGCGTAGTCAAGACCTTTAACGGAGATGAGTCGGATTGTGCCAAGTACGAGGAGTGGTATGGAGTGCCTGAAGGAGGCCAAGAGCCTGTTGGATAGCGGCGGTCCCCGATCAGTCCCCTCCTTAAGGGAGGATCGGACGGAAACCACGCCAGCTGTGAAGACAAATGACCCTACGCCCATGTCCATAAGTGATGTGCCCCAATTTTCCACTTTTGCAAATCGCCGAGGAAACACTCGGAAGTCCACAGCCAGTATAGCGATACAAGTTATGATCATCATGGCACCTCGGTAGTTTGTGATGAACGGCTTAACCGGTAGCGCATCAAGCTTCGTTTCCTTCTCAGAATTGGTTTTTCTAGGCGGACGAGGTGCCTCTCGTTTTGGGGGAGCTGGCTTCTCGAGGGCGTACAGTATAGCTGCTGGGAATAGGAGGAGCATGTTCAGTACCCACGGCGAGGAGGAGTAGATGGTGGTTGCGAACAGCGTGGCTCCGCAGTTGAGCAGAAAGTCGACGAGGCAGGGGCCAGGGGTGTACGGAGTGAATAGGCGCATGCGAGACTGAATGACCGACCATAGCAAGATGCTCAACTAGCCATTACTGTCAGTAAGAGCTCCGTGGACGAATTGTGGGAGTGTGTACGGTACAGGCATTGCGAGCGAGACGCTGTTGACATCGGCGACGGAGCCCCCAGTGTGACCAGACACCCAGGCCTCCTTCAGTTGCTTGTATGTCTTCGCCATAGTATCGAACGAGTGTTGAAGCTATTTGGGCGCCGCGGTTCGAAAACGTTGCTGGAACTCGACGCGTCGAATGCTGGCCTTTTCGGAACGGGCGCCGGCCCAAGCTCCAAAACCATGACCTCACTTCATCGTACCTTTTCGTGACCTCTTTCTCTATGCGTCAACACCAGCAATGTATAACAATTATTCAAGCCACCTATGACCCTGGGAATGATTAACTCGAGTGCTTCTTCCCGGATGGTGCGACTGCTACCATTTGGCCCTAATTTCCTCGGCCATGTCAGGAAGCCTAGCCTAGCCATACAGCGCCCACCAAAGAAGGCTCTCTTTCACCCGGACGAGTAATTGAAGCTCACATACGAGAAGCTGGCTTGACCCTTCAAATGTTTTCTATTGATGAAGTTTGCCTGCTACTCCTCCAGTTACTCAAGTCCCTGACCATTATCGTGGTGACTCGGTCTCGGCAAGTACATGATCTCGTTATCACAAGATGACAGCTCAAACCTGAGGATGCTGGCCATCGCCTGGAAAAAGAAGGAGCTCTTGTATTTGATTGCTGCTTGCAATAGCTTCCCTTGGGTAGGCGCTTCCAGTTTTTGGGTCCGGCACTTAGTCGAGAAGTTCTTCATATGAGCTATAAGGGGTCTCCGCCAGGTGTTTCCATCTTCACCTCTGATTTCACTATTTTCCTACATTATGTCTCTGCCAAGCCTTCCATTTCATTCTCTCATTCACCGTCACTTTCCATTCTACATGCAAACGCGTCCCCGCCCCGAGCTCGCGTTGGGTCCAAAACACAACAACATTAACTCAAACCGACCCATCACCTCATTACAACACCGCACATGGCTAAGTAGCCGCACGCCGAATGCCCACCATGTCATCTCCGCTTCTCGGTGCTGACACCAACGCTCGACACGACGACCTCACGTCTGCGGACCCATCCCAGATCCCCAGTCCGCCGATCGCACAACGCACCAGCAGTACAGGTCATCGCAATCCCTTTTCCGTCAGCACAACTGGATCACCTCGCTATGCTACCGCGTCTCCGCCGCCGAGGACTACAATGGCATCTACCTTAACTTCCAAGATTCCACGCATGTCACAAATACAGATGCCAACTCCTACGCCGCAAAGTGACAGGTCTAGCCGTGTACCGGCTTCGCAGCGTTCGAGCTTGCCCGCCCGTGCAGTTCGCACGTCGCTTGCTATATCAACGCCTACTTACTTGGTCAGAACTCAATGCCATAGCCAGGGATTATCACAACTAACTCCACAGGGCACGAGGAGATTGCCTCCATCAAGCTCTGCACATGATGGACACGGTGGTGTTCCTACAGTTGGCATGTCCTCTGTAGACTCTTCCAGCCCGAGGGGATACTCGGTTTCGCCATCGAGCAGAGACAAGCCTCTTCCCAGCCCGCCAGTTGTTCAAGTCATTGACCCCAACAGCCCGCCTAAAGCTCAGCGTACTCTGGTCGACGCAGAGGCCGGTACTCCTTCAGAGGACGAATGGCCGATTCTTCGCCCTGAAAACATATCCCCGCCAAAAAAGCTAACACCTCAAGCGAACAGTACCAGTACGAATGTGCTGCAGCAGCAGCAGCAGCACCGCAGCGTGTCTATGGGTGCAGCGCCACAAGACATTGCTGAATGTTTCTTCGCGAACCAATCACTTACACCTGCTAACATTTTAGACTCCAGCAATGAACCGACAGCGAGCCGTTTGTCTACTCAAGGATATCAGAAGTCCATGCAGATGGCGAAACCACGCACCTTGAGCTCAAACAACCCGTACGCAAATTCCTACGACCCGTACGAAAATTCCTACCATGCATTCTCAACTGGTACGGAGTCAGCAATGGAGAGTCCGCTAGCTCACAAGAGGGGCGCCTCGGGTATGGTCCCTGTCCCGCCTCGCAACAGTTCAAAGGGCAGCTCACTGCGTTTGTCTAACCAGAACAAGCTTGATTCGCCAGCTCGGCCACCCTCTCCTGAGTCACCACTGGTCAATTCAGGTTCTACGAAATGGACAGTTGTTGGGGAGCCAGTTTCCGAGCAGTTCGTGGCTTCGACTACCTGTTCATCTCAAGACACACAAGTCGCCGCTGCCACCTCCGCCGAAGTGCAACCGCCGAATGTTCAAGATCTTACACATGACGTCATCCGCCCTGCGGATACCCATGATACAGCTCAGACTTTGCCTGGCTTAGTTAGAAGCAAGTCGTCGTGGAGCCTCGCTGGTTGCTCGTCCCTCGATGACCAACCATCACATGACTACGAGGGTAGTACTCGCATCAAGCGACTTTCATCACGCTCCTCTATGTCTGTACCTGGTCCAATGCTGAAAATTCATGGAGATGCCGATTCCATTCTACTTGGTCGAGGAGACCCTATTCCAGCCATGCCTCCCCTGCCGGCCAAGGTGCCTGACAAGACTCCACGGGAGCAATCCAAGATCTCTTTGGCCGAACGCTCAAAGCAGACCATTTTCAAAATCTCGGAAAGGATGGTATCACGTCCTTCGAATCCAAATTTGTCGGAGGATGGGACCACTGCAGCAACGCCCGTGCGAATCACTCCAATCAGGTCTATGCAGCCGCCACGTGTAGTCAGTGCAGAGATTCCTTCACCAGCTGTCTCTTCGCCCGTCTCGCACACGTCGATAGAGCACGATGAGCCCAGTGGACTGCTTCCGGTCGTGTCTTTGGCAGCCAGTCACACAGCATCTGGTTCCTCGCAGAATACGATCATACGCACTTCAAAGCCCGTCGCTGCAACCGTTCCTACTCCTGATGATTTATCTAGCCCATCTGCGATTAAACCCAAAGTAGGTGTACACTGGTTCTCTTGACATCATTTTTCTAACTCATGAACAGGACCCCATTAATACGCCATCTAAGGAGATCATTTCATCCAAGGTAGATTATGCTCCAGATATCGATCTAAAAGCTTCACCTGCATCAGTTCGAAAGGGCGTGCCAACCGGGTGGGTCTCGCCTTCTGCTAGGTTGTATCCATCAAAGCGGGCAGATGCGGGTCGCAATACAATAAGCTCTTCGCACCACGCAGGTGTTCATCTGAGTACTCGGGAGATAGGATCAGACTCCAGCACATCTCGCTCGGGCTCTTCATCGCTTTCTCGTATGACTCAATCTCACGACGCGTCTCACCTCCCAGGTCCTTCTAAGTTGAGGTCCTCAGAGAGTGCTACGCCTGTACACCGTCTTCCATCCTCAGGACGCCCAACGCCGGCGAGCGGACGAGAGAAGTCTCAAGGGTCGACGCCGAAATCACCCCTCCCTTCTCTCGGCGTTGGAATTACGAAGGAGCACGGTCCTAAGAACAACGTGGCAGGTGATACAACTGCAACAAAGGTGAAGGTGAAGGCGAAGCGCAGCCTCCGTGAGATGTTCCACAGACGCGGTACAAACCCCCCAGAGAATCTGCCGACGGTGACCACCCCAGAACGAACGTTCATGGCCGGTACACGAAGCTCTCTAGCAAAGCGCCTTAAGAATTCTGCCAGTCTCTCAATGGTTTATCTTCCTACGATGACCGAAGTCAAATCAGAGTCTGGTGACACACCTAAGCCTGCAACGAAGATCGACCAAGTTTCTGCGACGGAGCCTCCCATCAAGAATACTGATCCGCAGGCGGCGCTCTCACCGCTTACAGCTATGTCATCCAGCCCGGCGCAAGTGCCCACGCCCGTCTTTCATCACGACTCGGCAACCGTCCTCACCAACATGGTCAACCGCGTAGCCTCGATGCCCCCAGATGCGCCAGACCGTGAGCGCTGTCTCGAGATCGCAGAGGTTTGTAAAACCCTCCATTTTCGCTCCATTATGCTCGACGAGCTCGTTCTAACAGTAGCAATCAAACAGGCTGTTTGTCATTCGGTCCAGTGCTATAGAGCGGCCCAATCAAGCGCGGAGAAGGCGAGAGAGCATGCACGCGATGCGGAGCTCAATGCTGAACGCGTGAGCTCAGATATGCTTCACTTACAGAGGCTGTGTGAGCGGGGCTTTCATGGCAAGGCGCTACAGGCTATTCAGCAAAGCTTCAACGGTGCTAAGCTTGTTGATGGTGAAGACGAGGCTACCAAAGCCGGTACTTCTAAGAAGTGAGGAGTACATTGTCTGCATGGCTTTGCACTTCAAGGTACTTCAAAACGTTTTGCGTCCCTCTCCGGCTCATACTGACAGCTCACAGGTTAGTGGCGGCCCATGCCTAAGCTAAGCCCTCCAGGCCTCTAGGCCATCATCTCGACCCGACTGGCTTGACTTGCCTGCAGGGCCAAATTCGAAGGGGATGTATATGTACGATTCTTTATGGACGGGTTTCTTTGGATAATCAACATGGGTTTGCATTTGCTTTCTTACGCGATGCTCCGTCACGCACATACATTGTGCGGCACTTGGAGCATTATGACTGTGAGCACCAAGGCAGAACACGGCCCGTCTTCTCTCTACGAGTCGCAGAGCATTCATGTCATGGCATCACACTGGAACGGCTGCTCGCCAAGAGAGCTTCGATGGTCCGATTGATTTTTTCCGACCCGATAGATCCAAACAAAACCCATATATAGTACAAGTTCCCATGCCTAACAGTGACCTCAAGACGCCGAACCAAAAGCGGAGTATGCACATGCTCCCCGCTACGTTCCCATCCATATTCGTATACGCGTCTCGCGCAGAGGTTCCTCCACCTTTTGTCTTGAATTGTGTTCCTTCTCCAATCCTCTCCCTTCCTATGCCACCATCATATTCAATCCTTACATACCGCCGCCGAACATTGCACCGCCACCACCTTGTCTTCCTTGGGCCTCGCCCTGCATCTTCTCGCTGACCTTGACATTGACCTCAAAGAACTTTGCGACGCAGCGGTCGAGGCAGACGGATTCGCCCTTGTTGAGATCGGCCTCGCGATACGCCGGGTCGATGCACTTCGCAGTGCAGGATTTAAGCAACCTATATATTCAGAATATGATTAGCGCTAGTTCAATCAATCGATTTTAGGAGGGTAGGTGTAGAGGGAGGTAAAGTTGCAGCGGGAGGAAAGAGAGTGCGGGGATAAAGTGTTGATTGGAAGGGTTGGAAGGGAGTGGGGAGTAGGAGTTGGAGTGCACTTGAGGATAGGATGTTAAGATAAAGTAAACAACATACCGGCTGTACATGTCGGACACCATATCGATTTCCGCCTCTGCTTGCGCAATCTTCTGCTCAGAAGAGAGCTGTGGCTTCCCGCCGAAGAGGAAAGACATCTTGAGCAGTTGTGTTTTGTGGTAATATAACTAGTGCGGTGGAGATTTTGGGGTCGAAGTTTGAGCGCGAAGAAAGGACGGGTGTATTGATAGGCGGGTGTAAGGTAGTATTGTTGCGTCGAGTCGAGGACGGGCGATGATGTCGCGCGGTACATGCTGGGAAAAGTATTTGGAGCTTTGGTCGCGGTGGGGCGCGTGCGACGGCAGCTTTCTCCACTCGATGCATTCGTGTTTGTAACATCGGACAAGCACAAATTCACGCCGTTGGTTTCTGGGGTCATTTATTCATACCTAATTGGGTTATTATCATTCTGGTTCCTCATATGGAGCAATGAAATATCAAGGCTATTCTTGTGTTGCGAGACATTATGCTGATTATCATTCTGGTTGAGACTATGGTCAACAAGCACCCCGTAATAACTGGACCTAATTCATATTTTCAACTATCGATATAGGACTCCCTTAGTTTTCCGTCGATTCAGGATGAAGTCCTCAGGCTTTACTCGTCGACGGTTGAAGATATGCGTAACGGCCGCGTGAACAAGATAATTTCAGTCTCTATGCGTCATGTCCTATTCCATTATTCTAGGGCTATTAAGCAAATCATAGGTTAACGACCAAATCATAACTTTAGGCTGGAACCAAATGTCTTTTGCACCAACTCCAGTACCCGCTCAGCCGTACCCCTGCACCAAGTCAGAAAATCTCTCCCCATCTTTCGCGTTCGAAATCAAAGGTGAAACTTACCAAGAAGACTGATACCCCGCTCCAGCATGCCCGTAGCAATGCACAACCGGAACATCCCACTTGCCCTTCTCCGTCTCAATCCTTGGGCCACCTATCCTCGAAGCTACAGTAAATTATTAGCCCCATTTCAACTCAACATGCATATGTAGTCACCAACTCAAGGGAAATAATAACTTACGTCGCAGCCCAACGTTCTTTGCTATGATCTGCAAATCCTCTACTCGCCCTAGTTCAGGACACAGTTCACAACATCGCTTCATGATGTCTTTCCCTAACTCTTCGTCCCACTCAGCGCTCCAATCGTTGTCTTGACGGCTACCGCCGAGAATAACACCGCCCCCGAGAGGGCGTGGAAAGACGTAGGTTGTCGTGGGATCTATGCGCTTGGGGGAGCGGAGGTACCTATACATCGTAGATGGTTAGTGTGAATATTCACTTATGAATGAGCAGAACGAGGTACGGAACGGAGTGTAGTATACTTCACCCGTCCAAATTCGTACATTCTGTTGATAGGAGTCTTGGGTTCTGCGACTAGCAGTGTTTGACCTCGAGTCGGGTATAGATTCTTGTCGAGGATGTCGCTCAGATGAAGAGATCCGAGACCAGTGCAGTTGATCAGAAGCGTAGTCGATGGAAAGTCGCCCAGCAGCTTGGAGACCGACGGATAATGTCGACGAATGAGCGTTATGCCTTTGGCTAGGGCTTGACTCTGAAGCCTGTGTTCATCGTCAACATGAAATGTCCTGTGTTCCCACGTTGATGTTTTAAACATGGATGGCTTCTTACCACTGCAAGTACACCTGCGTATTAATTCGAAACGTGCTCGGGAAGTCAAGACCAAAGACTGCATCTTTAGGTAGTTCTTCCTTGCTCAATTCTCTCAGCCCGCCTACAAGTGAATCGTACCACACCTTGCCCGTCTCCTCCGTCAGAATACCCGTCTCTTCAATAGGCGCATCAAACACAGCCCACATACCCTGTCTTCCCAACCCAAGCTCATTTCCTTCCCCTTTCTTTATCGCTTTGCAGCCGTGCACCACCTTCCCATCAATGAGTTCGCCAAATCGATGGAAAGTTACTTCGTCATACTTTTCTAACGGGCCATTGTCGTGAGCCATCGAGGCCCAATTTGCGCCGGCCCATGGCGACGTGTACTCGATTGATCGGTCGCCGGGAAAGTGTTTTGCTACTATAGTGATGCGCGCGGCGGGGTAGGTGTTGGCGAGGACAAGGGAGGTAGTTAGGCCTACAACACCGGCGCCCAGGATAGTAATGTGGTGGGATTCCGAGGCTGACATGATGATTTGGCAGTACCGGGATAGTTTTCGTAGAAGAGTGGTCTGGATTGTATGAGTCCAAGTTCGAGCTAGGTCTGGAAAACACGTTGGATAACGAAACAAGCCAAGACTTGATTAACAACAAGACACGCGATGCTAAAGATAGGAAGGCTTTACAGACATTACTTCCATGCCTCTTTATAAAGAGCTCACGTCGGAATAGCAAATAATCAAGGTCGCAACAAGGCCGATATCACCAACTTATTCCGACGGAGAAGGTCCGACATGGATCGTCATGCCAGGAAAAGGGCGCCACAGTACGCAAAGGGAAGCTCAAGTGCGTAAAAAAAAGTAGGGGGACTGACTGGTATATCGGAAGATATGGATGGTCGTTGTTGGTATGGTGAATGTTGGTCCAAAGTCCAGGTGGGCCAGTAATGTCGGTGTTCCGAAATCGGAATGGCGTACCCTGCAGGTTAATCATATTTGTAGTTGGAGAGGCAAAGCTGCGAAGTGCATTATCCGAGATAACGAGGTCTTCTCATTGCATCAGTTAAACGTGGTGTACACCTTTCTTTGCCTACTGTACATACAAACGGGGTAATCAATAAAGTTAGCATTTGTTCTGATTGACTTCTAAGCAGCTCAAGATCGTAACAATAATTTATTATCTGTGACTCTACAGAACCCTAAGCATATGATGATGAAGATTTATTTTTAACATTAATGGTGTAAAATCAGAGGGGTATCTGTAAGAGAGTGGGATATATACGGCAACCTGAGCTGCGGACGAACCAATTCATCCTGATCATTATACACCAACAGAGACGAAGGCCAAATTTTGCTGTCCCAACTAATCAAGGAAATTATGCGTAATCGATAATGGTTGCTAAGCTGACTGCTTCATGAACCAATCCGAGCTGGCGTCAACCATGTAATTCGTAATATTCGACTCATTTCCATACCCTCCTTCGGGCAACTGCATGTTGCTATCTGAAGCTGGATAGCTGATAGTGCCGTCCATAGACACCGGCAGTCGAGGCATGTTGAAAAAGTCGAAGACATCGAGATACTCCAACTCATTTGGCGCTGGTGTGCGAGCCGGAGTGACGGACGGCAGCCTTGCACTATTATTCAGCTTCGGTTGCCGGGAGATAAGGAAGTCTAGATCAAAGGCACATCGTCGCATATCGGCCAAGATCTTGACGGTCGAAGGTGTCACCCGTTCGCCATTCGCACCAGTAGGTGTTTGCTGGCTTTCTTGATACTCAGACAAAACGCGTGAAAGCAGGCTTGCATAGCGTGTGCCGACTTCCCAGTACTGACCAAACTCTTGAAGGGTGCTAACGAGTAGGTTGATTGAGCTATCGACTCGGTGATCAATGGTTGATCCGTGTACTAGTAGCACGCGCGCAGCAACCCAGAGGGAGAACGCGAAAGGCGGACCCAGTTTGCTTAGCAAGCCGTGGTCCCGAACACATGCACATAGTGTTGTGAGGTTCTCAACAGCGCTGAGACATCTCTGGCTGGCGCTGAACGAGGGTGTGAAGATGGGTGAGCGATGGGTCGGATACGCCGCGGATGAGTGAAGACGAATTACGGTGCTAGGATGGTCAGCGAGTACTCTTACGATATGCTAAGACCAAACATACGTGTGAAATGCCGCATGCAACATGACTAAGCCGCTATTGAGGCTTTGATTCATGCCAGGTTTGGCGAATACTCTCGCCGAGTTGCCAAACTCTTGGGGGAGGTTGTACTTCCACTGCTCAATCGCGTTATCGAGCTCGCGGTACTCGCCCTGCCATTTTTCTACGTCGGACAAGGAAGTGATATCAACGGGTTTCTTTAGAAACTTATGTACGCGAGTTAGTAGTCCCAGAATTTCTACGTAGTAAGAGAACCAGCCCAAGTTTTCCGGTCTATTTCTCGTCTCTACAGGCAAGTTTCGCGCATACATATCATCACGGCAAGGAAGGCGTCTGTCGATTTCGTTCTCGTCTAGAGCGAACTCAAAGGCAGTTGCCACGGTAGCGTAACGATCGAGTACGTAGATCATCCAGAACAGCCTACGTCGGCTCTCTTCCTCGATCCAGTCCTTGGGTTCGGGAAGCACTATGGCTCGCAAAGTGTAGATTGATGCGTACTGAGGGGCGACGGCCGGAGAGTACGTTTCGACAGACAACCCCAATTGCACTACGCTACGGGTGATGAGCGCGAGTAGGTTCCATCCAGGTGGACCATTCGAACAGCCAACAACATCAAGGGCGAGAATCACGAGCGCCTGAAGAGACTTCACCGAACTGTTCTCAATGCCATAGAGCAGAACCTTCTCTTTCGAGTTGCGGTGATACCGTTCTCTTTTGTCTGCCGTTAGTCGCTGGTCCGTTGAGAATTTCACAGTTGTAGCGACGACGGCGTGTAGAATGATTCGATCTGCTTCGTCTAAACTCGCGTCGCCGAACAAAGAGTTTAATGTTGTCTGACGATGGAGTATTGGACACCAAGGGTAGATGTGCTTGAAAAATAGGTCGACAAGCCCATATAGAAGGTCGTAGGGAGGAAAGTCTGCATCCGACTGGCCCAGAGTCTTGGACATAGCAGGGTGGAACTGCTCATGGTTGAACGGCGTATAAGCGTCTCGTTGGAAGCCACCCAACCCACCCTGCATGTCCTCATAGCCACTCCCGGTAACTGACGGAGTCGGTCTGTTGTCCGTCACGCCATTGCCAAATTGGTTTTGTATAGCATTTTGCGAAGGGAAGCTCGGTGTGGGTTTCTGTATGAAGAGCGCAGTCTCGGGGCGCGGTATATGGGGGGTTTGGATGATGGGTGGGCTTCGGAAAGCAGCGACTTCTTGTGGTGAAGGGCCGGAAGTTGCGATTTGAGTGTGTGAGAGCTGGTTAATTTGTGATTGCTGCTGGACGATGAGCGATTCGAGCTTATCTGAGATGATGGTCAGCTCGCAATCCTACGTTTCAGATTCTGAACCTTCCCCACTCGTTCAGATGACCTTGCCATCACCCCATGGGGATGTGAGAGAAGGTAATGCCAAACATCACCTCGAATCAAACGGGCCTCGGGTAATTGGATGCGGGTAGCGAAGTAGGTACTCACCAAGACGAGCCTCCAATTCACGTCCATAGCCTGCGCGAAGCCCTGGCTTCTTCCTTGGTAGATATACCTATGCCATACATGAGTCGCTGTCATCTGAACCTTGCAACGAGCGACTTACGCATTGCGAGTGGTTTTTGAGGCACCATCCGCACGCCGGCGCGCCTCTATCGCATTTCACCTTCCTCTGCTTGCAGCTCAAATCCTGTCAGCATTGTACGTTCGACTAGACGAACCGACTCCTGCAGTACTCACGTCTCACAGCTCACGGACAGCGGGCGTTTGCGCTTTGTACCGCTCTGGCTCCTGTTTGTCGCTTCGTCTGCGCTAGATTCCTCTGCGCTCCAGGGTTCTTCGGCAGAGTGGTGCGATAGCTTTGAGTCTCCATTAGGACTGCCGTCATGCTGGTTTGTAGCGCCGTTGTTTCCAACGGTCGCATCCATTATTGTGAACGATGCGATTGGGGGCGTATGCGTTGAGCATGTCTTCGGCAGAGAGGACACCGAGAGTGTGCGCGGGGTTAGGTGTTTCAGCAAGCTTCCCCAGACTTCGTATTTTACTGATTGACCCTCCTCCACACCGCTCCATTGGCGACACTGGGTGGGCCGTTGCTGAGTAAATACATTACGGTGCTACTAAACCCCCTACCCGCTGTATCAAGCACCATCCGTGCAGAATGCCGAATCCTCGGAATGACCGCCTCCACTTCTAGGCCGACATACAATCAGAACGGTCTGTCTTCTCGGTTGTCTAATGCAGCGAGATCGTCCGAAGGAGCACTATGGCCCATTTTTCCGTTCTACTGCACATGATCATGCAATGTATATAACGAATACCTCCTCGTAATTCCGCTGTGCATCTACCCCTCTCCTTTCTGCTCCTCCTTCCCCGTTGGCATTCCTCCTTGCACAATGCCTTCTACCACGCAACCCAGCAGCGCTGCGCGCTCCTTTCCTACAATTAAGAAAGTGAAGACGTTCATTACTCAAGGACCTGGCTCAGGCGGGGACTACCACAATGTACATGGAGGCCATTGGTAAGATGCATGTAAAGGTTGCTTGCGAGACATGTACTGATTTCGCGCCTCTATCTTTTAGGCTCATAGACTCTAAGATCTCGACACCCATGAGCCAGTACGAGCAGTATCGCAAATCAAGAACGAGCTGGGGAATCAACGTCTTGGGTTCATTCTGCGTAGAGTTGGAGGCCACAGATGGGTAAGAATTCCATGAACAGACGCGACCGAAGTCATTCACTGACTCGTGCCTTTATCTTCGCAGCTCCAAAGGTTTTGCAACAGGCTTCGGAGGACCACCGGCGTGCTGGCTGGTCGCTGAGCATTTTGAGCGATTCTTAATTGGCCAAGGTAAATCACGCATTGCAATGGTTATAATGGGAAGATAGCTAACAAATTCCAGATCCCCGAGACACCAACCACCTGTTTGAGCAGATGTACCGCGCTTCCATGTTCTACGGCCGCAAAGGCCTTCCCGTCGCTGTCATCTCCGTCATCGACCTTGCACTCTGGGATCTCCTCGGCAAGATCCGCAACGAGCCGGTATACAAGATGATCGGAGGAGCAACGCGTGAGAGGCTGAACTTCTATTGCACTGGCCCCGAGCCTGTAGCAGCAAAGGAAATGGGCTTCTTTGGCGCCAAGGTTCCTCTACCATATGGTCCTGGCGAGGGAGTAGAGGGCTTGAAGAAGAACGTCGAGTTCCTCACAAAACACCGTGAAAGCGTGGGACCAGACTTTGTAAGATCTCCGTACGACTTGCATGTGAAACATACCCTGACTTTGTGTAGCCTATCATGGTTGATTGCTATATGAGCTTGAACGTACCTTACACCATCGAGGTCGTCAAGGCCACGGAGCATCTCAACCTTAACTGGTGGGAAGAATGCCTGAGCCCCGATGACACGGAAGGTTTTGAGCAGATCAAGCGTGCTCACCCCAGGATGAAATTCACCACCGGCGAGCACGAGTTCAGCAGATATGGTTTCCGCAAGCTCATTGAGGGCCGCAACTTGGACATTCTTCAACCCGATGTCATGTGGGTGGGAGGTCTCACGGAGCTGCTCAAGATCTCAGCAATGGCTTCTGCATACGATATTCCTGTTGTCCCGCACGCTTCAGGTCCCTATTCCTACCACTTTGTTGTCAGCCAGGCCAACTCGCCGTTCCAGGAGTACCTCGCGAACTCGCCAGATGGCAAGTCTGTGCTTCCAGTGTTTGGCAACCTCTTCCTCAATGAGCCCATTCCCAACAAAGGATACCTTGATGTTAGCCAGCTAGACTTGCCTGGTTTCGGTCTCGAGTTGAACCCCAACGCTGGCCTTATCGATGCGACGCGCATTCTCAACCCTGCGCCGGTTAAAGCTTTGAAGCCTGCCGAAGAAAAGCAACCTGAGCAATCGGCTGAGACCAACGGCGCTGATGTGAATGGTCAGGTATAAACGATGAAGGTTTCCAGGCGTTCGGAGGACTATTGCATATGTGTTGTAGCTTTCAAGGTTCACGGCTGCATTGACGCAAGCATGATTTTATGCTCGTCTAGATGGTTCTGGCGTTGGATGCATGTGCGATTGTAAACTCTTGCATCAGCAACGCGATCTCGTATATCCTCATGTAGAGCATGATCAAAATGAAAACACGAAATGATACCCTTCACGTTCCTATATTTAGTCACGATCTCCAGCCGCTGACAGTGATTGCCCCATGTGCGGCCGGGAATGACGCCGAGTGGGGCAGCGTGGGCGTTAGATGCAGCCGCAGCTGAGCACTTGCAAGTCGATTCTTTCATAGACTGTCAACAAAGCCCAGCCTTTTCTCCTACAAACTACACCCGTGTACAACTGCCTGCTCTTGATAGACATATTGCACCATCAATTACATCGTGTCCCTTGCATCAACCCCGCCAAATCAAGCTACCCCGCCATACGCAAATGGAGGCGGTCAAAGACACCATCAACACAGCCCTTGAGGCACTGCACATCACCGGCAGTAAGCAGGGTGTTGCAGCGAAGGAACCCTCAGAAGAACAACTCAATGATCTGAAATCAAAGTATGAGAAGGCAGGGCAGGAGCAGGTCTTCGTACGTACAGCCGCGCCGCCGTTCTCAAAGCTGTTTGGCTCCTAGAGTGTCTCATAGAGTTTGCCACAACTCATCTAGCAGTGGAAAAGCTGCTCGAATTCCCCCGGGTTCTATCGAGACCAACTGAAAAGAAGCATGGGCTGACCTCGAACTCTAGTCCTTCTACGACAAGCTCTCTACAGCTGAGAAAGCCGGTCTCTTCGAGCAGCTGAGCAACTTCAACCCCGAATACATCAACGAGATCACCGAGCGAGCCCTGCACCCAGCCAAATCAGAATCAGAATCTACCGAGACCAAGCTCGAGCCCCTTCCCGAAAATGCTACCTCCTCAGTCCTCGACTCGTCACAGGACAACCTTGACAAATGGTACAACAGCGGCTTGGACCTGATCGCTGAGAACAAAGTGGCAGTGGTCCTCATGGCCGGTGGCCAGGGCACACGACTAGGCAGCTCGGCACCAAAGGGCTGCTTCGACATTGGCCTACCAAGCAAGAAGAGCCTGTTCCAGCTGCAGGCTGAACGCATTGCGAAGGTGGAGCGGTTGGCGGCGAAGAAGCATGGCAAGGAGAGCGTTACTGTACCGTGGTATGTCATGACATCTGGGCCCACGAGAGGACCGACTGCCAAGTACTTCGAGGAGAACAACTACTTTGGCTTGAAGAAGGAGAACGTTGTAATCTTTGAGCAGGGTGTGCTGCCGTGCATCTCGAACGAGGGCAAGATTCTGTTGGAGAGCAAGTCCAAGGTACGTCTAAATAGCTTCAGCGCAGTGCAGTGGTCGGTGGGCAATTGCAAAGCTGCTGAAGTCATCCATTCTAATTGACGCTGACAAGGCTAGGTCGCGGTCGCTCCTGATGGCAACGGTGGTCTCTACCAAGCCCTCATCCAGTCTGGTGTGGTTCAAGACATGGGCAAGCGAGGCATCCAACACATTCACGCCTACTGCGTCGACAACTGCCTCGTCAAGGTCGCTGATCCCGTCTTCATCGGTTTCTCCGCCTCAAAGAGCGTGGATATCGCAACTAAAGTCGTCCGCAAGCGCAACGCAAAGGAGTCGGTTGGCCTCATTCTGCAAAAGAATGGTAAGCCAGACGTTGTAGAATACTCTGAGATCTCGACCGAGGATGCAGAGGCGAAGGATTCCAAGGACTCCGAGTTGCTGAAGTTCCGTGCCGCAAACATTGTCAATCACTACTATTCGTTCAGCTTCCTGGAGAGCATTCCAGAGTGGGCGAAGAAGCTGCCCCACCATGTTGCTCGCAAGAAGATTCCATTCGTCAACACCGAGACTGGAGAGACGGTCAAGCCAGAAAAGCCCAATGGCATCAAACTGGAGCAATTCGTCTTCGACTGCTTCCCATTCCTCACCCTGGAGAAGTTTGCGTGCATGGAGGTGAAGCGAGAAGATGAGTTCTCACCGTTGAAGAACGCCAGAGGCACGGGCGAGGACGATCCCGATACGAGCAAGCAAGACATCCTGGTTCAGGGCAAGAAGTGGGTCCAGGCCGCCGGTGCTACTGTTGTGAGCGAGGACCTGAAGGATGGCATAGAAGTGTCACCCTTGATCTCATACGTAAGTCGTCAACGAGCCTCCATGTTTCGCACAGAGGCTAACAATTTTACAGGGTGGCGAAGGCCTCGAGTTCCTCAAGAACCGTACGATCAAGGCTCCTGCTGTGATAGAGTCAGAAGACTAGGAGCCCATGGTCTTGGATTTGAGGACTAGAAGTCCTTCAAACCAAACGCGGGCATTGTCTAACCCGCCGAGTTGCTCTTTAGGGCGGCCAAGAAGAACACATGGATGATCATGATTTCCGCGTGCCTATTCTTGAGTCGAAAAAGGTTATATAACGACAGCGACTGCTATCAGTGTTACAGATTCACGGTAGGCATAAAATAGATAGATATGAATGAACTTCAACTTCAGCTTCGTCTTCAAATCGTCACTTCAGCTAAAGTTACCGAAGCTACTGTATAGGACTGCAAGACGTCTACCCCTCTACACCACCCCTAGTCGATGGTGGCACATTACCCGATTATCAGGTCATGCCATGCAGGAACCGGCCCAAGTTCGGTAGCAGTCGGTAGAAGGGCTTCAGACACGCGAGGAGATGCGTTATCTGCGCGCTTTTCACATAACGAGACGATCCTTCAAATGTCACCTCACTCACAAGAAGGCGTACCCACTGTTGAACTCAAGGCCCAAGCGACTGTAGCCGTGTGGTGCCATCCATGGATTACAGAGGAGGCTAGTAGGATGGAGGGGCGCGACCTTGGAAGGCTCGAGCTGGCGGCAGCGGCGGCGGAGGGGTGGGATATGCACGACAGCCAGGCAGAAGCCCGTGATAGCGACAGCAACTGGACGTGATAGGAAGCGCAGAGTCGTCTAGAGTCAACGTGGCAAGGTGCCTCGAGCGCAGGAAGCCAATCTGGCCCGTCTAGGATTGTTGCGTGCATTTTGACCTCGGAAAGGGCCAAATTGCTCTGCGCATGCGCAGGGTGTTAGCGCTGCTCGAAGCAGGGACCAGCGAGCGGGCATTCAGACGTCCTTTTGGCCTGCCGCCCAAGCATTCTACACGCCCAAAAACCCTCTCTCACCACCAAAATTAACGTATTCGGAGGACGGTCGCAGCAGTGTCGCTGAGGGAAGGTCTGGAAGCCCTGAACGTACGTCGCGCCCACCGCCCGCTCTGGCTTCAAGCCCACCTTCGGTTTGCGCCTGGATCCGCTCGGCGCCAGCTGCTCCGCATTCCCACCCGCACCCCTCGACGTGACCGAAAATTCTGCGACTAACAAACAAACACAGGTGAAGGAAATTGGATATTGAAGAAGTAAACGAAGCAGGTACTAGCGACTCCATTCCTGTTCCCGAGCCTGCTGCGCCTGTTCTCGCGCAAACGGAGCAAGCAGCCGTCGCAGCACACGCAGCCATCAAACCCACCCCTCGTCTGCGGCCGCCCCTTTCGCTCCCCCTCAGCCACCCATCGTGTACTTACGTATAGTATAGATTTACGCGCAGAAACAAGAAACATGTCTTCTCTATCTCGCCGTGCGTGCTTCAAGTGCGGAAACGTTGGACATTATGCTGGTAAGCGACCTCGCGCATTGGCTGCGGCGCACGCTGCTGTGAGACACTGTCGGAAGCGTCTGTCGCGAGAAGGCGCTGTCGATGGCGGTACCTGCATGGCGTGGCCACGAGCTGTGTGCAACCCTCTATGTGGGGCATGCGACTGACGCGGGTATACAGAGGTGTGCTCTTCGTCTGAGAGACTCTGCTACAACTGTAAGCTTCAACCCCTATAACCTCCTTGCGAACAAATACTCATTTCCCATAGGCAAGCAGCCTGGCCACGAGTCCAACGGATGCCCGCATCCCCGCACCACCGAGAGTACGTCATAGCGAATCCATAGCCCTCGTGTTGCGCCCGCTGCAAATCCGATGCAGCTATACACACATTGTTGACCACGGACTGACGAGCGGATAGCCAAGCAGTGCTACCACTGCCAGGGTCTCGGACACGTCCAGGCTGACTGCCCGACTCTGCGCCTGAGCGGAGCTGGCACCAGCGGACGCTGCTATAGCTGTGGCCTCGCAGGTCATCTTGCCCGCAACTGCCCCAACCCCAACCCAGCCGCTGGATTGGGTCGTGGAGCTGGTGGTCCTCGTGGTGGATTTGGAGGCTTCAGGGGCGGCTTCGCTGGCGGCGCGCGCCCTGCCACATGCTACAAGTGTGGTGGACCCAACCATTTTGCCCGCGATTGCCAGGCTCAAGCCATGAAGTGCTATGCCTGCGGCAAGCTCGGTGAGTAGGCAGTTGGACATCACTTTGCCACAGCTAACCTTTCGTAGGCCACATTTCCCGCGACTGCACTGCTCCCAACGGCGGTCCGCTCAACACTGCTGGCAAGACCTGCTACCGTTGCGGCGAGACTGGGCACATTTCCCGTGATTGCACCCAGGCTGAGGTCAACGGCGATGCTGCTGCTACTGCTACTACTGATGCTGCTCCCGCTGTTGCCCCTACCCAGCCGGCAGCAGCAGCTGCTGCTGCTCCTACCACTGCTGTCGCCTAGACACGTGGTGGCTTTCAATACAGATCTCTGCGAGTAACATCGCGGCGATGAATCAACATATATCGACACTTATCTCATGTCCACCTTTTTGCTTACGCACCATCACAATCGTTTCCTAGTCTTTCTCGGCATTCTTCCGGCAAACTTCACGCATTCACGAGTCATCATCGAGCAAGAGAAAAGTTTTCACGATTCCTACGCTGATACCCCAATTATCTCCCTTACGTTAGCAATTCTACCATTAGTTCGAACAGACGACGGCTTGGCGATTTGAGACGGCGACTTGAGTCTTTGCATGCACTCCTTGGTTACCCTTACAGTGTATGGGGCGCCGAGCGGGGCACTGGAATTGGCTACGGTTACCGATGGACCTGGAAGGCGGCTGTGTGTGGTGGCTTGGTAGTGGAAAGGGTTTTTTGGAGGAGTGAAGGAGATGTTGTGTGTGTTTGTCGGAGCTGAGTTGGCATCTCAGCCCCTGGTTTTCTTCTTTGTCTGCACTTACCCAATTCTTGCTTAGATGGGTCAATATCACATCTATCACCAAATACATGCATTCATACCACACTTTATGCTTTTCGTTATCAACTAGGATGGAGGTAACCTCACGACTTTCTCAACACGATCTCTTACAGTTTCTCCCTCTATCAACGTGAAATATGGCTGGACTTCCGGCTAGTATATGTTCTTGTCATCCATTGGTCACATTTCACGATTTATTGAGCGTCCGGGTGATCGTGCCTTCCTTCTTAGACACATGCACGTGAGTTCGCGTTAGAGACCCTTCCTATCGTTCCTTCCTCTTTGACTTTGCCTCACCGGCTCTTCTTTTCGCCTGTCCCTCCCTCATCTCTACCTCTATCGCTTTCATAAACTGCATTTGTTCTACCGCTCGTATCGCATCCACATAATCATACCGTAGCAGCTACCCCCACTATCAGCCATGGCACCCTCCTCAGTCGCCAGTGACGACGAGATCAATGACGTGAGTATTTGGCCTCTTTTAGTGAGACAAAGCAGACTCACCGCAGACAGGACGGTTTCATTGTCGACATTGATACCATCCAAGCCCACGGCATTGGGGCAGTCGACATCGCGAAGCTCAAAGCCAATGGCTACTACACCATTGCTTCTGTGCATGCAGCAACTCGCCGTAACCTGCTAAAGATCAAGGGCTTCAGTGAGATCAAGGTGGACAAGGTCAAGGATGCACTTGCCAAGTGTCAGGTATGTTCCATCTACGCCAGAATACAATGGCCAACCCTCAGTGACACTCGATGCAGCCTTCTGGTGGAGGCTTTCAGACAGCGCATGAACTCGGCCAATTGCGAAAGCGTGTCATCAGGATTTCAACTGGAAGCAAGGCGCTTGATGCTGTCCTCGGAGGGTGAGTGCACCTGCCGGTCAATCTTCAGCACTACATCTGCTGATATCTTCCAGTGGTTTCCAGACGATGAGTATCAGTGAGGTCTTTGGTGAGTTTCGCTGTGGAAAGACCCAGCTTTCGCACACCATGTCGGTAATCGCCCAGCTTCCCAAGGACATGGGTGGCGCAGAAGGAAAAGTGGCATATATTGGTATGTCGTTGCCTTTGCCGTTGCTCATGATCTACCTCTAACGTTCTTGCGCAGATACGGAAGGTACTTTCAGGCCAGAAAGGATTGCCCAAATAGCAGAGCGTTTTGGCGTCGACCCGGAGACAGGTAAATGAGCATACACCAGTTCATCGCAGTTAGCTAACAACCCGAAGCCCAGGACAACATCACCTACGCTCGCGCTGTCAACTCCGAGCATCAAATGGAGCTTCTGAACAAGGTTGCAGAGTACTTCGTTGGTAACGAGTACCGCCTTCTTATCATCGACAGCATTATGGCCCTGTTTCGTGTCGACTATACCGGCCGTGGTGAACTCAACGAGCGTCAGCAGAAGCTCAACCAGTTCCTCTCGAAGCTGACGCATGTCGCTGAGGGTACAGTTGCCTCCGCCTTCCTTTCAGACATCGCTGACCGTGAATAGAGTTCAATGTCGCTGTCCTTATGACCAACCAAGTCCAGAGCGATCCAGGAGCCAACGCTCTCTTTGCTAGTGCAGATGGTCGCAAACCGGTTGGGGGCCACATCCTCGCTCACGCTTCTTCAACGAGAATCCTACTCCGCAAAGGTCGAGGCGAGGAGCGCGTCGCGAAGATCCAAGATTCTCCAGGTATACCGCTTTATAGTATCTTTTCCAACATATCGTTGACGTTGCTTCCAGATATGCCAGAGAAGGAGGCGACGTACATCATTACGAACGGTGGTATTAACGACCCCGAGAAGGTCTAACCATTAACTGTGGTTCCGAACCCGCCCGCGCGTCAATTCAACACCGGTCCGATAACAAGTTGGGGTCCATGTCGGGTTGAAACTTTTTAGATCTTCCTGTTGTCGTCCATGAGGGTAATTTACGTGTATTTTGCGGTCTCTATGTGTGTTTCGGAGGTGCGTTGTGCGAGTAGTAATCAATAAATTCAATCCACTCAAATACAAACCATCGTGAAGATTCATAAACGTTTCAAAGCTGGACGTCAAGGCCGCGTAGTCGGACTCTTCGCCAATACCGGCAACGCCGGAAGTCACATATCCACGTCGAACATGTCCTAGGGCCGAGGTTCCTCTCTCCCCGCAATCAGCCTCCCTAGCTATGGGGTAGATTATTTGTTTTAGGCTTCAAATGGAGCTTAAGAGCCGTCAAATCCGGTTTGCCACGTAAGTTGGTACTTCTTGTTCACTTGACTAACAAATACCCCATTAATTGATCGATTCCTGAGCAAAGATGGCTCCACGCCAGATATCCCCGCGCCACGGACCCGACGTCGTCCTCCCACAATCATACAACGATTTAAACTTCACGCAGATCCAGACGCGACATCATGACAAGGAGCCTTCTGTCATCATCCTTACTCTGTACCGCCCGAAGAATTACAATGCCTTCACGGACAAGATGCGCCAAGAGCTCGAGGCCGCATATGCCATGTTCGATGTAGACGACCGCGTCAAATGCATTGTATTCACAGGCGATGGACGGATGTTCTGTGCAGGTGCGGATTTGGGCATTGGATTTGGAGATGGCGCGAATGATCTAGAGGCAGAACGCGTGGAAGATCATCGGGACGGGTACGTTCTGTTTCGCTACGTTCTAAGGAAGCGAGAGCCGATTCATCTTCATACTGACGACCATTGACTGACTGACTACATAGAGGCGGCCGCGTAGCCCTCTCAATCTTCCACTGTCGCAAACCCACCATTGGTGCACTGCAAGGCTCCGCCGTAGGCATTGGCGTCACCATGACACTCCCCATGAACATCCGCATAGCATACAAGTCCGCGAAAATCGGCTTCGTATTCGGTCGCCGCGGCATAATAATGGAGGCATGTTCGTCCTTTTTCCTCCCCCGCCTAATCGGCTATTCGCGCGCCATGGCCGCTACAACAACAGGCAGCACGTATCTCGCCAGCGACAAGATCTTCGACGGCTTGTTCACGGAGCTGTGTGATAAGCCTGAAGATGTGCTGCCCGCGGCACTACGTGTTGCGGAGGATGTGGTGCGGAATACTAGTTCTGTCAGCACGTATCTTATGAAGGAACTCATGTTTCGCGACAAGGGATCGCCTGAGGGCCAGCATCTGCTTGATAGTCGCATTATCTTCGAGCTGTTTGGGTCGCCGGATAATGAGGAGGGCGTCCAGTCGTTCTTGCAAAAGCGGCCGGCGAAATTCGTGGGCTCCATGGAGAATACTACTGTGACTGGGTATCCGTGGTGGATGCCGGTTGATATTCTAGGTAGGCCAAAGGTGGCGCCGACGGGGAAGGCGAAGATCTAGGTAGCACCAGTAGAACATGTATTCAAGTTGACCTGCTCAGTTTGAAAATGCCCTTCACCTTGATGTCAGTGCCAATGAGTAGAGAGACATGACCAACGAGGACTTTTAACCGTGATTGCATGATTCATTGTCTATCGCTGGTCCCACCAGAATAACCTCACTACTGTTCTTAGCCGCAATCGCCTAAGACTCGTTCGCGGAGCCTGGGCCAATTCCCGAATGCATCACACGACTCGACAGCTCGGATGGAGGTATCAGGGATTTTCATTCGTTCCTATTGTACTTCTTTTTGTGAAGCATGCATAACCGAGGGAAACCCATATCATCCCTACCCATCCAGACCGCACTCCGTAATGAGAAAGACGCTTAGAAGAAAGTTGATGGGCGCTTGGAGGCGAAGACCTTCTTGCCGGCCTTCTTGTTGATGCGGTGGGGCAGCGGGAACTTGAGGCCCTTGACGAGGAGCTGCTTAAGGTATGGTCGGCGGACATCGTCGGTCTTCTCGAGCTCAACAACCTTGAGGATCTATACAGCGCGTTAGCCGGGTGATGCGATGGGCATGTGTGTGATGAGCGTACCTGAACCGACCTGAAGCGGGATCGGTGACGGGCGGCCATATCTTGGTAAAGAGCGTCGACGGCGGCAACGCGGGACATCTCACGGTACTCCTTGTACATGTTGTGGGTGCCGGAGCGCGAGTCGTAACGGATCCAGATACCGAAGTTCTTGACCTTCTGGGGGCGCTTCTCGTGGATCTGCAGCCGGTTAGCCTGCCGTCTTGTTTATGCGCCGACACATAAGTCTATGCCGGGCCTTGTTTGCAACGCACCTGGTTGACCGAGACGATCTCGCCGTTGGCCTTCTTGATCTTGCGGAGCTTGCCAAGGAAGTACCAGAACCGCGACTTGGCGACGACCTCGTTGGGCGCAAAAATGCGCATACGGTAGATCTTAGGGGTGGGGTTGGCCTCTGAGGGCAGATGGCGCCCGATGATCTGGTATTCCTGGAAGCGAGCTGATACGAAGTCAGTATTGGTTCTTGAAAATGTCGATGCATCTGTCCAGCAATTGCAGCCCAGGGTTCCAGTTGTCGAGTTCCAGATGATGATGTAGTGGAACGATTCGGTTCGTTTCATGGGCTGTGGTAGGATTGCGAAGTACGTCAGGCAGTTTTTCATCCCAATCGAATTCCCAATAACGCCGCGAAATCCACCTCATGCGCCTGAAATATCCCACGGATAGGCCCTTGGCCGGCCACTGCCATCCCAGGCCATGTATCGCATCTGTGGTGTATTCGTTTCGGAGGCCCAGGGCTTGTGCGAAATTTCCTTTGGCTGCAATTGCTGGCGGATTGAGGACACGGTGCGGAGAGAGAGCTTACCCATCTGCGAATTGTCAGCAAGAGCGAAAGAAACGTGTGAGGAGTATTGACTGACCTTGTTTGTGCTGCGAGGTTAGTACCCTTGAGTTGTCGTGGTGTTCAAGTCCGGTCAATTGAGGTTGTGGGCGGCCGGCATCGAATTCGCTTGTGTGGGCGCTAAGCAGGTTCAGGCTTGGCGGGCAGGTGCGACTGTGTCGGCATGCAAACAGCGCAAACACCGACGCAATATTCCTGATCCGCTCTAGCACCCGACAGGACCGACCCACCAGCCGTCCAGCATCATGGCCAATGGTCGAGGGATTTGATTGAGAAAGTTGGGCTGATTCTCGAGCATCCGCGCCAACCAAGACGTGCTTCTGCGAGCCCCGACTGAACCGAACAGACAGCCATGCAAGCCGCACTCGTCCCTTTTCAGGAAGCCCATGCCACTGGTTTGGCCCAGCCTGTCGCAGACTTCCTGAGTCCAGTCCCTCCTGCGCATAACCCAGGTCGATTATATGACTTCTACCGCGCGTCGAATGATGATAAAATCGAAGGCGACGTCCGCTATGCGCTCAAGTACAACAAGAACACGCGCATGTCCCCAAAGGAAAGCGGAGCCTGGGTCGACATCATCGTGAGCTACTGGCGCGCGGTCAAGGAAATAATAAGGGCGGACGAGGCAGCGAACCAAGGCAGACTCGGAGACCGCCAATATGTCCTCGTGTATGACACATGGAAAGACTTGACGAGTACCTTCATCAAGCACATATCGAACGGACTGCTGCCACCCTGGGTCATCTTCACACTTTACTTCACTGCGAACCACCTGAGGAAGATTGCTATTAGGGCAGACGAACATTTGGCCAAGTCGAAACCTGCAGCCTTTAGTACCGGCTTCTCGGACGACGTAGTGACCACCGTTGCCCAAAACCAGAAGCTCGAGGAAGCTGCACGAGTCTTCAACCGGATATTCGCTCTTTGTCTAGGGGACAGGTGCGCCAAATTCTACTAGATAATCTCGTATAATGCTTCTGACCAACTGCAGGAACCCAGATCTGTCCGAGTCTCGCAAGTGGGGTGTGTATTGCATAGCCAATCTACAGTTTAAGACGTATTTCAAGGTAAGCTCCATCATTGTGCGGGCTCTAAGAACCATTGCTAATGGACATAACCACAGTTGAAAGCTATCAGCCTTTCGAAGAACGTAGTGCGGTCGATCGAGGCACAGAGTGACCTTCCACCCTTCGAGCTATATCCCAGAGCGCACCGAGTCACATACAAATACTATACAGGCGTCCTTGCCTTTCTACAGGAGGATTATGCAAAGGTTGGTCAATGACTTTACACGCCCGGAGTCTGTTCTGACATTATCTAGGCGGAGAAGAATTTACAGGGAGCTTGGGAGTCTTGCTGGTCACGCTCTCTTCAGAACAAGTCGTAAGGATGGCCTCTTCATCAATATCGATACCGGGAAAGCTAATATATGCAGCCTCATCCTTACCTATCTGATACCTTGCCGTCTCATTACACAACATAAGGTCCCCTCAGCGGCCCTGCTCGCCGCAGCACCACGTTTAGAACGCATCTTCGGACCCCTCGTATCGTGCATAAAGCGAGGCGATCTTACAGGCTTCGACAAGGCCCTTGCAGAAGGCGAACCCGAGTTCGTTCGTCGCCGCATCTTCCTAACTCTCGAGCGAAGCCGCGACATCGCCTTGCGTAACCTACTCAGGAAAGTCTACCTAGCTGCAGGCTTCGACGATTTAAAAGAAGGACAAACGGAGAAGGACAGGATACGGAAGTCTAGGATACCGTTAGCGCACTTTGTGGCGGCCCTCAAGATGGGTATGTCAGGAGAAGGCAGCGGCCAAGCCGTGGAGGACGATGAGGTCGAGTGCTTATTGGCGAATCAGATATACAAGGTGCGTATTTCAGGTAGAACTATCCATGTGTTGCTTTGGCGAAAGGGTAGCCCTAGTCAAGGCGAACACCTTCCTAGGCAGCCTTGCCACGCATACTACGTTACCACACTCCACCCATCCACAATTCCGCTAACAATGATTGCAGGGGCTAATGAAGGGTTATATTTCCCGCGAGCACGCCATGGTCGTTCTGAACAAAAAGGGTGCTTTCCCCGGAACAGGGGTGTGAAGCCTAAAGTGCATTGCCTACTCCTATCCACAGTAGCACAACCCGACACCGATCAAGTACGCAATGCGACACGTCACTGGATAGCACGACCACACCGTTGCACCACTGCTACATGATCAGCGTCTTCGTACGCAAGCACAGGGTGCCCCGTCGCAGTGCATTGCAGACCAAGTCACTGCGCGCAAAGCAGGCGGTGCTGCATGCAAGAAGACATCGGCTATAGATACCGATACATCAATAAGAACTGCGATCTACTCAAACCGTCTAGCCATGACCATTCCTGTCCTTGTATTTCTTGCATGGGTACGTGATACTAGCTGCGTGTTGCAACCAATTGTGGTTCTCGTTCCGCACCACGTCTCGCACCAATGCGCCTTCGCCTTATCAGCTGATATCGCGTTCCATTCCCGCGGCACTTGTTCGCCCTGCTAATCAGCCTAGCCCACTCCCAACCAAACGCGATACATTGCTGTGGCCCGTCCCTCGCCCCTCTCCTCGCTTCGGATGCACATCCCAGACGTGTAATCCTTTTGCTATATACTCAAGGCTTCATTATTGTCGCAGACGGAACTGAACCGCGTTTTAACTGCGTGCATTACGCGTAGATAGACGAAAAAGTCTTGAGTAGCGCACACGCCTAGGACTACCTAACGAGCTATTGCTCGTCTATAAGGTTGTATTAGGACAAGGACGGAAACGTGAACGTGAACGCCTCAAATCTTTCTAAAGTTTGTAGCTGAGCAGTGTCCCTGCTGGTGACATTGTCACAACAAAGACTCTAGAGTCCTCTAAACTACCCTAATATCGAGAGGATCTGCAGTCGTACAAGGACTGATAAGTGCGGTGAGGCCTTAGCAGGAATGCTCGTTTCGTGGAAACCCCAAGTTCAGCGATTTCAAGCATTCGAATATGTTGATTCAGGATACAGGAGATCGTTATCATCCCTAACCCTTCGATATTTCGTCACGACACAGAAGAAAACAATATCATACCGATGTATTTTTTTCTAACTGTAACTATCAAAGGATATCCACGGTAAAGTGGTAACTTTCACACTCTGCTTACAATTTGATTCGTCATGGTAATCAATACTATCATCAAACGACCCAAACCAAAAGCGATAAAGCACACAACCATCAGTGATACAATTTGGAACCAGCTGCCCCAGAGATAAAGCACCCGATAGCAACTTCCGTCGACTGGAAGGTAAACAACAAACGCTTGTAAAGTGAGTAAGACTAGAAACAACGCGCGCGCTGCCGTGCCATAGACATTCATACTGCATGGTTCCTTTTTGAAAGGAAACCGTGCATGTTTTGAACAATTTTGTGGCCCAGGGAAGTGGGAACGAGAATAGGTAGACGATACAAGCATGACCCAACAGCCAAGTAGGGAAACAGTAAGATATAGTACAAAGTGTGGCTGAATGAGTGGCCAAAATGGCATCGATGCCCTTGAACGCCTTGTAACGGAAACGATAACAAAAGGGGTGAACCGGCCTGTGCCCGATGAGCGTAGCCGCGAGGCTGATTGGCTAAGTGTATGTACAAGAATGGTAAAGCGATAACGGAAAAGGGGTCCAGCGTTGTGGTATAGGGGTCGTAAGAAAGATCATTAGGTTGGTTCGATGTGTTGATAGTCGAATGAAACGGCGAAGTGATGCGTCATAAAGGTGCGAGTTCGAGCGAGGGCGCGAAGAGTGGTGTACGTGGATGTAACACGACGCTACGTCGGCCACAAATAGAAGAAGAGAAGACCGATAGTAACAAGACAAAAGGAGACAAAGATGAGATGGAGGCTGTCGATAGGATCCAATGAAAAGGGGTGTGCAGCCTAGCGTGGCGACTTCTGGGACAGGTCGTCCATATGATTGACCATGGCGACAAACAAGTCAAAGAACAGCTTGCCGCCGTTCTCCATCTCATTCTGCATTGTGCCACTACGTTTGAAAGTATGTCGAGCTCGAATGATGAGCGCAAGGTAATGTGCACGAAGCTTGGAGTCGTTATCGGGTGTGTTGGCATAGGCGAAGCGGGCAGACGTCAGGATCGTCGAGCACTGAACGCCAGACTGGAGGCCTTGTTTCTTCAATGCAAGCTTCTTTAGCTCCTGCAGTCCATACTTCTCAGCCTGACAGTAGATGATTGTGTCCTTTAAGATCGGCCCAGCAGCGGAATGGACAACGGCTTCACTAGCGCCGTTGCCATTACCGCCATCTTCGAGGTTCCAGCTATTGCGCTTCTTGTCGTACTCCATACGGGGATAGTAGTCACCCTTGTAGAGATACTCGAGGATCGACGAGAAGACTTCGGGTTCTTCATCGGGAAGGTCGATTCGCTTGTTGGCGGTCTGGAAGAACTGGCCACTACACGCAGCATGGAACCAGGGAGAGTGGGATAGAACATCTTCGTGGGCTGCAAAGAGCCGTTGCTCAGGACCAACACATAACGTGATGATAGCACTAACGAAGTCATCAGCAAAATTATCGAAACGAGCAGCCGAGAGTGGGGAAACTCACCTTCCCAGTGTTGGCGATGTTTGATTAGACTGTGGCGAGGATACCTGAGCCTGCTGTGCCAATTTCTCGACTTTCCTGGGTGAGTCCCTGAACGAGGGATTCTTCTTGTGCGCCTTGGACTTGCTTGCTCGATGTTTGGAGAAACTACCCTCTTGATATCGTGTTCGGTTTGACGAGAACATGGTGATTCTGATGGAAACCACTCTTCAGGCGGAAGGGGATACTGATGATGGGGTATTGTGAGTATTATTTATACTTTGTCCAGCATAGGCAGCAGGTTACGAATCCGTCTACGCAAGCAAAGTAACCGATATTAGTCCTCAGGCAGACACGTGGTAAGGCAAAGAAAAGGCGATAGCAGGCAAGTACTGGGCGACTGCAGCCGTGTATATATACCCAACTCCTCACGGAGGCCGCTATCTGGCCAGCGACCAGGGTACGATGAATTTAAGACGCGATTGGACGCGTAAATTGGCAACGCGATATCACATGTTCCGCTAAGCCAATTCGAGGGCTTAAGAGTCAGTCCTGAGCACCGAGCTCAGCCCACAGCCCTGGCCCAAGCTGCACTTGTGCAAGGTTGTGAAACGAGGGCGGAAAGGCGAAGGGCTGATAGCGCAGATGCGTGTGTGCGGCCGCATGGTTGTGGATACCAAAGTCGAATGCCATCTTGAGAAAACGAGAACGAGAAGATGGAGTTTCGCACTCACACCATTTCCGTCGTCAGTCGAGTTGATTGACTTGATGCGCAAGTGACGAGAGGAGGTGACTCTTCCCACCCTTGCATAAGATGTTGCTTTCCACGGCCCAGCTGAAGCTTTGGCCAGGGCGTCCCAGGAACTTTCAGAAAAAGCAAGCCGACGTCGCCGTGCAACAGCCATCGTCCGCTCATCGCTCGGGTCCGCGAATCAAGAGATGCGACGGTTCGTAAGAGGACCCATCAAGGAGCGGTTTGCCGTGCCCCTGAGAGGGGCAAAAGCGAATGTGAAGGACCGATTGTCGTTGGCCTCTTGAACGAACGAGGCGGCGACCCGCTTCCGCGTCGCGATGGGATTTGCAGTTCGAGAGGCACTGTCAGCGACCATGATACCGTACCTGTTCCCGCGAAATTATGCATTGTTGATCATTGATCAATGTGCCTTAGCTGCGAGGGGTTGTGTTGGTGGGTGCGCGACGCCGCCCAGGCATTCACGGGTGGTGATGAGGCAGCAACCCCTCGACGCGCCATCACGTTACCACTTTAGGGCCCGATTCGGCTTGGCTCTGGCAGTCACAACGCAACGTCGACGGCTCCAGGTTCCACTACATCCCATTAACGACATCATCATCGATCTCTTCTATATCTGTTGTGGAACATGACGAATGCAGCAACGTTATCTCCCGTAGTACTTGTACATTTGGGGCGCCAGCGGCTACTTACGCACATGAAGCAAGTCGACTAGGACTGCCAACAGCGTGCTCTCGGGCAGGTTTCAACACGAGTCTCACGTTGAGACAGCAGAACAAGGCCATCATCATCTTTTTAATGATCGCGCACGGGCACTAGACCTCGAGTGAATCGCGTTTGCACATTTCCAATTCCAGACTCTCAGAGGATTGCGGCATCGAGATATTGCTTTCGGTAGCGATCAGGACTCAAGACTCCCGGGCAATTCAGGCAGCGTTTTGCTGCTCGATCAACTGGCTGAGTTCCACTTCAGCCCGACAGCACCTTTCTGATCTTCTTCTTTCATCTACTCTAGTTGTGCTAGCTTTTGCAAGGCTATCGTCAACCTTTTGTTGCCGTCTTCTCGAAAGGACATGAGTCTAGCATTTTCTACAAGAGCAGATTCCCTTTCAGTCTCTTGCATTCCTGATAACTATTATGGAACATTTTGGTCGCTGTCATCGGGATGCCAGCACGCCCACTTTTGTTGGATGAGGCAATAGCGCCAACCATCTTTTCATACATCTGGAGTACTTTGCTTACAATGTGGCAGCTCACCTTAACGGAATGATCGAGGCCGCTGATTACCTTCAGCCGCAAATTAGACATCATGTGCTTGAAACCGGCACTCCCCTGAAGCAGTATTGAATCAGTCTTGGCTGTTGTTCAACACGTAAATTTTTCACTCTCTGGCACGCCATCCCGTATTCGCTGGAATGAAACCGTGTGTCATAGCAAATGCAAGTAATGACGTTATTTCTGTAATATGCATATCAAGTCAGTTGGTACGACTGCCGAACGCCTTACCGTTATTGGAACAAATGAAACTTGGCGTTTCCCCGCATACCGCGTCTGAGATACAGCCTCACACACAAGGTGACCATTCTCAAGTGCCCTGGAAATGATTACTTGCAATTAATACTGACTTTTGACAGGCTCGCTTCTGTTTGTAAATAACGAACTAGGCTCGGCAGAATCAAACCTCAGGGATCACCTTAGCCGATGTCTTACGACAGTTAGAATTTTCCATTTTGGACTAGTCAACATATGCGATAACTTCCAATATTATCACCAAGACGACCACATACACTCAGATGTACCAGAATACAGACTGGCTCAAATTTGGCTACCAGAGCATGTTCAAGCCTTTCTGTCTGGCGGTACTTGCTAGTAGCACATTGACGCTTAGATTTTAACGTCGTCCGTGGGGATATAGCATGAGTAAATGCAGAAGAGCTGTGGTTATTCGAGCTTTTCGGTTGTACCCAATCTATCCCCGCATGGCAAGTATCTCGCACCGAGATGAGAACAACACTTCCGAGTTGTCTTCGCTAGACCATAACCTATCCACTTCTAACTACCGATATTCCAGACGGTCAGGCAAAGCGCCACTTGGATGAACCACTGGGGTGTATATTACGACCAGTTAAACCCACTCTAAGAAAACCACGCCGTCCATCCCGTCCATTGCTATTTGATGACCTCCAGACCGCTCCGAGATTCTTGGTAAGTATGGCGACAGATCCTTACCTACAACAGTCTACCTTCGGCACTTTCCATCCTACCACTCGTTCCTACATGAACATGAGGCCAATCGCCCCTGTATGCCGACCATTTAATTAGACAGCTCTCCACGAAGCCTGTTATAGAGCAGTCAAGGTCTTCTCGGCCAAATATATAGTAGATGAATCCTTTCACCATAAGAGCTGTGAAATCCGTAATCTGACCACCGGAGTACGGATTAAGTATGGCTGGAAACATGGTGGTCAACGCCGTTTTGGCGTCGCTATGTTTGTTCTCAGGCGCCTCAGCGTGGCCCTTCACCACCAGGCAGACTACACTCACTTTGGACAAGGTTCAGGAGCAAGCTCTTGCCAACGCCTACAAAGTTCTCGACGGTACACTTTCCGATGGTCTTACGCGTCCTTCAACATGCAACAAAAACACCGTCGCAGTCAGGAAAGAATTGTAAGCGAGTTGACTCTACTGACCCGGCCTTCATGCTAATCCATAACAGTGGCGACTTGAGTAAAGATGAGCGAAAAGAGTACACGCGAGCTGTGAAGTGCATCCTCGAAAAGCCCAGCAAGCTGTCAGCCACCAAGTACCCTGGGGCGAAGAGCCGCTACGACGACTTCGTAGTGGTGCACATGAACATGACGCCCTCAGTTCACGCCACGGCAAACTTCCTGCACTGGCACCGCTACTACATCTGGGCGTACGAGACCGCTCTCCGCACCGAGTGCGACTACAAAGGCTACCAACCCTACTGGAACTGGGCAAAGTACCCCGACATTGTCAACTCGCCCATCTTCAACGGCGACGAGTGGAGCATGGGCGGCAACGGCGACGCAATCGGCGCCCACGCCGGCTCCTTCATCGGCGGTCAAATGGTCCCCGGCGGCCCAGGAGGCGGCTGCGTGACGAAAGGGCCCTTCGCCAACCTCACCATCCACCTCGGCCCCTTGATGTCCACCGTCGACCCCAAAATCGGCATCAAAAGCAACCCGCGCGCCGACGGCTTCGGCGATAACCCACGCTGTCTGCGCCGCGACGTGAACAATTTCTTCAGCAGCGCGTACATGCGCCCGCAAGATCTGCTCGATCACATCACTGCCAGCGCTGCTATCGGCAAGTTTCAGGATTCCCTGCAGGACGCGGGTGCACGCAAGACGGCGCTGCATGTCGGGGGCCACTTTAGTATCTGGGGGGATCCAGGTGGTGATGTCTATGTGAGTCCTGCTGAGCCGGCTTTTTGGCTGCATCATGGCCAGGTCGATAGGCATTGGTGGCAGTGGGCGAATTACTTGGATAAAGAAGTTAAGAGTCGGACGAGTATGTATGAAGGTGAGTCTTTCCCCCATCCTTTTTTCTTACTATTACTACGGGCTTTCGTCTGCGTGGTACAGGTTTTTACAAAAGAGTATATATATAATATACTAACACGTACAAATAGGTGGCACTAACTGGATGAATCCGAATAGCGCACGAGGCAAATCGTCGGATTTACAGTGGCTGGACGTTGTTGCGCCCACGGGCCAAAATGGTATGGCGAGTACACAGTTCTTTTCTACCACAGCGGGTCCGCTGTGCTATGTTTATGCGTAGTGTAGCGTCGTAGCGTAGGAGGAAAAGTAGCCAACGGCAACTACATTGCATAGCTTTCTGTATTCAGTGTAGCTAGCTAGTGACCTAAATATCATGTTATTCCTTCTTCCTTGGATGCAAAATTGGTCGGTTGAAGATATCGTAGAAGTTCAAACCAAGTGCAGTATGCTAGCTTTGCCAAGGTATTACTATACACTCACCAGCCACCTCGCATGCCAACGCGCAATGTTGCTACTACTCTTACAGTATGGTATCATATTCCCCTAAGACGAGCATATTCAAGAACATATTCAAGAGCTGAAACTGTGGAAACTTCCTACGCTGTGACCTCGCCCTCTGCAAACGCCCGGCCAATCTCCCGCGCAACACCCAGTCTCAATACTCTAATCACATCCTCGCCCTTCGCACCCTTTCCGAACCCTCGTCGCCAGTCCCACCCACGCCTCACCTCATCTATATGCCCGCCCTTGACTAGCACTGTAGAGCCGTCTGTGCTCTGGCCATCAGCGGAGCTAAACTCCGTTGACCCTATTAACGAGTACTGCGATGAAGCCGTGGTGAGATTCGATGTCGACTTTTGAAGAAGATGATGGGGGTTGGGTAGTTGTTGGGAGGAGTTGGGGTCATGCGCGGAGAGAAGGGTGCTGGAGAGGACTTCCTCGCACTGGGCGCGTATCATGCTCGGTGCGGTGTCGAGGTCTTCGACTGCGGACAGGAGGCCGTAGAGGTGGCGGAGAGTTAGTGTGCGCTTTGGCTCTGCATCGTGTATTAGAGAAATGTTCGGTGGAGTAACAAGTAGTGGAATGTGGGGCTTACGATTCACAAAGACAAGCGCTTCACCTAGCAAAGGAAGGAGGACGTCGACTTGAACCACAGTTTCTATCTCTGGGTCATATAGTCCTCCCCGGATGCTGGACGCTGCGCTCGCGATGATGACGGTGAGGGCGCTTGCTGCGGCGCGCTTCCGTGCCATGGGTCGGTGGGTAGCTTTTTCTCCGTTCCTGAGCAGCACTTCTTCGTCTCGAAGGTCGTAGAATTTGCGAATCGTCGCATAGCCGCTGAGATGATTGGAGAGTAGGGAGGCAGCTTCGGAATCGAGACTTGCGAGATTCGTCAAAGTCTGCTTGGGTGAAGTAATGAGAGAGTTGAGAGCGTCATCCAGTTCGTCACGGGGAGGATATGCAACGGATTTGACGAGGCAATGGGCGACCAGTACGCGAAGAACCTCCTGGATCTTTCGCGCATCATGAGCGCGTGCGTAATAGAGAAGCGTGTCACCGTAGTTTTGGGTGTTTGCACGGAGGTGTTCGGCGTATTTCTGAGATGGTTAGCTTTAGCATAATATTCAAAGTTCGGTAGACGTACTTCGGCAATTGTAAGGGCGTGTTGCGAGAGGCCTAAGTTGTGACACAGTTGCGTGATCTTGTCTACGCGTACTGCGGACTCGAGAGGGAGCTCGTTTAGTATCCGCTCGATGCGTTCGTTGGCTGCGATACTATCGTCCAGCCTCCCTAGCACCTGGATAGCCATCTCCCACCCCTCTCTTGATGTCTGGCCATCCTGGCTCGTGATCTGGCTCTTGGTCGCCAGCAGGTTCGAGTAGGCGATTTGTAAGTCGTCTTTGGACAAGCCTTTTGGTTGTTGTTCATGATAGCTCAAGACCATGAGATCGCTTTGGTCAAACTGATCCATGAGGCCGTTCGCTCGCGTGAACCACCCTCCAGCACTGGCAAGCTCGGCAACTGTAGAAGCTACGGTAAGCGACCAACCCCGAAGTATCTGTAGAACGGCTTCGACGTTATCGTCCATGATGCAGGCGAGGCCCACTTCAAAGCGATCGGTGGTACTGACGCTGAAGTCCTCGTCACTATTTTCGATCACGGCCGCCAATGCAGAGGACATGCGCTGACGGTAGGCCTTGACTGGGGTTACATCTACTGAGCGAACTCGCTGCGATCGCATTATTGATCGACGGCTGGCCGCGAGGCTGCCTTGAGCGACGTCGTCCTCCTCTCCGTTCCACCAAATTGCCAATCCGAGCACAGCTTCGATCCAATCCGCCGAGATGGTTAGGATTTCTTCCTCATTGCCGAGTAGGAGCTGGTAGAGCTTTCGTAGGTTTTCATAGACCGACCATGGTACTTTGCTTTCTGCTTTTCTGCTTGCTACGCTGAGTTGAAAGCTTGCTTGCGACTGCGAGATACCGAAATGGGGCGCTTGGAAAGGTTGTGATACGGAGTGTCGGCTAGCGCTCTCGCCTTCTGCAAACTCCTGGAGGTTGACGTACACTTGGTGGACTCGTTGCCGGAAGATGTTCCAGTCATGGCCCTTGACATCCCAGTCGCTGGACGCGACAGCTGGGCACTCGTGAAGCAGGTCGACAGCTGCACCGACAGCATCGTTGGCAAACCGAAGATGCGCGCCACTGTATCCGGTGTCGCCCAGTCCGTCAAGTTGGGCCGTCTCGGCAAACTCAAATCTGGCACCCTGTAGCAGCTGCAGAGCCTGTTCAAAGTTTCCTCGCACGGCAGTGACATGTACAGCCTCCCAGAAGGAAGTGTGTCTTGAGTAGCCACGTGACTCCTTCAGAACAAGCTCCACCTCTGAGACGCCCGAGTAAGTGTTGTTAAGCCAGTCGAGCAGAAGCTTGGGGATTGGGGTGTAGTGTCTTGAATCGGGTCGTGCGGGTACGAGAGATAGAGCAGAGGTCCGTTGGTGGTGTTGGAGCGTTGGCGGGTGGTGGATGGTAAGTAGGAGATTTGCCAACCGGCTGGCGTGAGAGAGGCCAAGTGCTCCTCCAGCGCGGCTTGACGGCAGGTTCGGCCGCGAAGCAGTCTTGGACGCAGCCTGCCATAGCGCTAGCAGCTCTTGGGCTGTCTCTCCAAGCACGTCTGTCCTCTTTTCTGGTGTGTCCGAGTGAAGCGACTCTTGCACCTGCTCCACCAAGCGCTCCGTCTCTAGTATCAGATGGTCGGAATCCTGAAGGGTGGCGCGTTCGAGGTCCGGTGTCAGGCCCTTGGCCAGTGCGAGGAGGTCGAACTGAGTCTGCTTTGCGCCCGCCCGTACCAGTGTTGGACCCGGCTCTATATCGCTGGCGCTGGTTCTCGAAACCACAGACTGCGAGAATCTGTTCTGTGTCTTTGCGCGTCGCTGCGCGGCAAGGCGCTCTTCTTCTGCCTCGGAGCCGTCATGCTCGTCCAGGTCGTCGTCCTCTTCGTCGTCATCCATGTCGTCGTCATCGTCTTCCTCCGTGTCGCCCTCTGCGTCTCTGTTCAGCGCATCATCCGGCGAGCTGCTAGGCAGGCCATATCCTCCTGCGCTCGTAGTCCGCCCTCGCTGCACTGCGGGCCTTCCTGTCGTCGATGTGCCAATGGAGCCCGAGCCCATGCCCTCAAACAAGCCGTGTTTGGGCGGTGAGCTCCCAAAGGTGGAGTCGCCAAAGTGGTAGCTGTTGGGTTGGTCGAAGGTGGGCCGCGCCGTGCTGAAGAGGCCCTTGTTCATGGCTGGCGGCGGCCCTGCTGGCGTGGACGAAGGGTAGATGGAGTGATCGGGTGGAGGGCCTGCGGGCGTAGTCGATGGCGCATTGCGGCTCTCGCGGCGATAGTCTGGCGTGGAGGGCGGCGTGGAGGAGGGGACGCGGAACATTCTGTGGTGTTGTTCTTGTCGAGCTAGCTGGGTGGCCTGGTAGCAAGAACAATGGATGGCAATGGCAACAGGACTCGCGATTTCCGAGCTCTATTTCTAGTTATTTCCAGGGCCCGAGGTCGCAATTCATCTGCGCTTCAAAAACAGCAAGTCGGTGGTGAGAAGACTGTCTTCTGTGGTCAAGTGGTCGCGTCGCCAAACAGACAATCTATAATAATAGCCTTTGGAGCTCCCAGCAACGCGCCCGGTTCTCTTGGCGCGGGAGAGCCCCATTGTCTATTCTCTTTTCCATTCACCGCGCTAGGACTTACTTTTGTCCGCCTTCTTTTGCCAATCCCAGGTACGTACTCTCTAGTAGAGATCTAGAGATCTAGACTAGATTCTAGACTGCTCGTTCGTCCTTCTCTTGACTCGTTCCTCTCTGCATACATGGAATGGAACGCCACGCCACGCCCGCCAGCAACCCACCAGACGCATCCAGGTGACATGATTCTCTAGTCCCCGCTGCTGCACATCTCTCTCTCTCTCTCGGTGGCAGTGGTCATGTAGACAGGGGTGTGCGTCTTGGTAATGGCACCAGGGGATTATTAAGGTACCCGCGCGCTGCTTGTTTGTTCGCAGCTAGATGGGCGCCGTCTCCAGCCTCCACCAGCTTCTTCCAGCTGACGTATCCGCGCCGCCGCTTCCGCATTGTTCCTCCGCTCTTTGTCCCTCCTCTACCGTGTGCGACCTGCCCATATACATCATTGCTTCACGTCCCTGATGTCTGACCCCAGTGTCACTTTCTGTTGAGACGCTGCAAAACCCTTCGCGCCTGTGCGCACCCTGAAAGCCGAGGCATGGCTCTCTGGTCCAAAACAAAGACGCAGTCCAAGGCCAGCTTCGACAAAGTCTACACCTGGGTTGACAAGCTCGGCGCACCCGTCAATCGCCTGTCTAACAAGGTCGGCGCCGAGGCCTTTTGGCCTACGACGCTGGACATCGAGTCTGACAAGGCTGCGAGAATCCTCAAGAGCTTCTGCAGTAAGTCAGACGCTGCATTGCGCCTGGATGCCTACGCCTACTGACCCCATGCAGAAGATGGCTTCTACCAAGAAGAAGACCGCCCGACCGCGGACGCGCCAAAGGGGAAGCAAAGAGTGCTCAAAAAGATACCCGCCAAGGTGATTACAAATGCAAAAGGTCTCTGTATCTTCACCACTATGAGAACCGGCCTGTATGTGTCTGGCTCGAGTGGAGCTGGTATTGTCGTCGCGCGCAACGAGGACGGCACCTGGTCGCCGCCCTCTGGCATCATGATGCATACCGTCGGCGTGGGGTTTCTTGTCGGCGTCGACATCTACGACTGCGTCATCGTCATCAACTCGGACAAGGCGTTGCAAGCCTTCCAGTCCGTCCGATGTACCCTAGGCGGCGAAATGAGCGCCGTGGCCGGTCCAGCCGGGGTAGGCGGCATACTCGACACGGAGATCCACAAGCGCCAGGCACCGCTGTTCACCTACATCAAGTCACGAGGCTTCTACGCTGGTCTCCAACTAGACGGCACCATCGTCATCGAGCGAACAGACGAGAACGAGCGTTTCTACGGAGAGCGCATAGGCGTCAAAGACATCCTGGCTGGGAAGGTGCGGCATCCTCCCAACGAGCTCAGACGACTCATGGAGACGCTCAAATCGGCTCAAGGGGATACCGACGTGGACGAGTCCCTGATACCCGATGAGGCACCGCCCGCTGATTTCGAGATTACCACACCCGAAGACAAGACTTTCGGCATTCCCGAGGCCGAGGATCCAGATCCGTTTGGTGTTCTGGCGCTTCAGGAAGCTGGTTTGGATATTCGAGAAGCAGGCACGCGGAGCCGCCCGGGTAGCGACCAGTTCGAGTTCAAGCCCAGCCCGACAAGTCCCATCTACACGACATTCCGCAACTCTACGTACAGGAAGAGCACGGACAGATCAAGCACAGCGGGCAGTCAGCGTTCGAGTTGGCGAATAAGCACAATCAGTAGCGTTCTTGGGCCCCGCACGTCAAGTCACTCAATGGTGGACACGAGCACGCAAACCGTCGATATGGGCGTTCAAACGGATGACCTACCACCGCCTCCCACACCTCCTCCCACCGTGAACATCATACCTCCCGCATTGCCACCGAGGCACAGGCCAGTTAGCACGTCCACGCCTCCTCTGCTCGAAATCCCCGAGACAAGGGTTCAGGAAGCCACTCCCCCCAAAGTGACCACCGAACGTAAGGTCGAAGCACTCACGCCTGAGACCGAGGAGGACGACGAGGAGGACAAGGGCAATGAGGAGCCAAAACCAATCAATTCAGACTTCGACAATGTGGACCTCGACAACGACGAGCAGGATGGTGAGCAAGATGATGAGCAGGACGACGAGCAGGATGATGAGCAGGATGACGAGCAGGATGATGAGCAGGACGAAGAGGCAGTCATCCACGAGGTGCACCAAGCCGCAGCCCCACAGGTCATCACCCGCGTACGCGTAGTACAAGTCGCAAAGTCTATTCCCCCAAAGCTACCTACAAGGAATCCCTTCCGCAATCGTAATTCGACAAACTCAGATGCATCGATGGAGACATCACGCGATGCCTCTGCTGGTCCGTCACCTGCCGTTGAGAAGCACAGCCCCGAGTCGATGCCGTCCCTCATGCACGGTGACTCGGCATCATCTGTATCGTCTGTCGAAGGTGACGGACTCGATCACATTGGCGACAAGCTCAAGCCGAAACCCGCGAGTAAGCCAGCACCAGAGCAGGAGAAGAAAGAGAAAAAGGAGGATGCGTTCCATTCGCTCCCGGAGTCGCCGGTAAAAACCGTGCCAGGCGGCTTTATCTAGCACTCACGATACCCATCGGCAACGCTGCTACAATAACCTCCGTATGATTACTCTCTTCGCCACTTGATTACGAAACATAGTTCGGAGCAAGCCGGCATCTGAACAAGTCACATCCCGGGCATACTCTACATTTACGATTTACGATCTCACTAGATATCCATTTCAATGGCCTAACGCCGTTTCGCTGTCTTATTACCCATGTTGCGCTGTGTATCTGCATTTCGGGCGACTCTTGCTTAGAATATAGTAAGGTAGTTTATAAAGCATTAGATATGAATAAACAAGCCCTCGTTTTATGATTGTGCTGGTACAAGATTGATATGCTTGACAGACGAATTGAGACCATGTTCATCACAAGCGTGAGCCAAGACAGCAACCGTGCCACCCCTGCCAAAATTTCGTGAACTGGCTGCCCATCCCACCACGAGCTTGCGACTCAACGCACCTTGAAGACCTCGTACTTTCGTGTTTTTACTATCCACTGTTCATTGGAGTAGTCCTCGACCTAAGTTCGACCTGGATCCAATCAGACATCGAGCACCCCCAAAATTCCCATCACGATCCTTGACCAAAACCACGACATAATCCCCAGCCATGGCTCCCGAACCGCCCGCAAAGTCTCTCAAGCCAAAATCGACACCAAAAGCCGTTGGCGACTTCACAATCCTCCCGCTCACACTACCCACATTATCCGGCCTCCCAGAGCACCACCAAGATGCAAAGCACTACCTCTACATCAAAGCGCACGAACCGAGTATCCCCACCGCCGACGACGAGCGCTCCCTCTTCCTGGCAAACATACCCATAGATGCAACAGAAAGCAACCTGCGCACACTCTTCGCAGACCAACTAGGCGGCGCAATGGTCGAGAGCGTGGAATTCGATTCCTCGATTCCGGCGCGAACGCTGCATAAGCGGTTTAAGAGCTCAGAGGGGTCGAGAGAAGACGCTCAGCAGCAGAGGGGCAAGAAGCGCAAGCGGAATCATGCGACCGAACAGGCGATGATCGCCGAGGGCGTAGTAGAGGATGAAGACAGTGCGCTACCGCAACTTTGGCATGGGGCGTTACGGCGCAGTGGGAGTGGAGCTGTCGTTGTTTTTGTCGACAAGAAGAGCGCGAGGGGGGCGCTGAAAGAAGTGCAGAAAGCAGTTGTGCAGGGAAGAAAAGTGGCGTGGAAGAGTGGTGAGACGACGACGGCTTTGGGAGTTGACCGTACGTACCCTACACTGCACTGCACTGCACTGCACCATTGCAGCTCCGCAGCTACAAAGACGCGCACGCATGCTTATAATTTTCAATACAGGCTACAAATCCCACACGACCCTAACCTACCCCTCCCCCTCGGTCCTCCAATCTAGCATAAACGCCTACCTCACGCAATTCAACGCCCTCGAAACCCTCCGCAACCGGCACCGCAAGACGGCGCGCTCCGTCCCCGACGAAGAAGGCTTCGTGACGGTCACCCGGGGCGGCAGAGCGGGACCCGCGCGCATTGCAGAAGCAGAGAAGAAGCAGGCTGAGCTTGAGGAGCGCAAGAAGAATAATGGCGTCAAGGACGACTTTTATCGGTTCCAGAATAGGGAGAAGCGGAAGGAGCAGGAGGGGTTGCTTAAGAGGCGGTTTGAGGATGATCGGAGGAGGGTGGAGAGTATGAGGGAGAGGAGGGGGAGGGTTAGGCCGGAGGCGTAGATGGTGAGGAGGGTTGGAGAAGATACCCGCATAGTACAAGTAGATTGTTATTATCACACACTTATACAATATTTTGAGGCCCGTGTCGAGCTATCGAAGCCACTCTATACATACTTCGTGATGATGACTTATACTTCCATCGCTCTCATTGCCAACTTGTGCACACTGGACACCATGAAAGTCTTCGACATGGACGCCTATCTCGAAACTAATGGAAAGAAGGGGCACGTGGGGGAGAGAGAGTAGTAGATGCAATTCGATTTGAGAACTCTCGTTAAGCTTTAAGCTAGTATACAGAAATCGCCGGCGTGCATACTTTCTCGACTCTGTCCTTCTCAGCCATGATAGTGTGCATATCACACTCCTTCAGTCCAGCATGTCCATCTTCCCTCACGCATCAGCGCTTATCCACCACGGTAGCATTTCCTTCCACTAGGCTGCCATTCTGATCCAGCTGGCCACTCCGATCAATCTCTTGTCGACCTTCCCTCCTACCGAGTACACTGCTTGCTTGAGCTGAGACGGAGACGGGCTTGTTCTCCAACGAGTCTAGACTAGCGGGGATAGATAGCACAGTATCAGTCGTGCGGCCCGATGAGCCCGACTGAAGACCTTGAGGGGTCTTACTGTGCACCTTCTCCCACACTAGTGGTGATAGGCCTCGTGGGAACGTCTCGGATGCCTTGAGCGAGTTGCACTCCCAATACATCTGTTCGCCTAGATGTAGGAAGCGGCGGCTGAGGAGCCGCTCTTGCAGCGCCCATGCACGTGTATCCCAGCCAAAGTTTGGCGACGTGAAGTCGACAGCGGGTAGTGCAGCAAATACCGGTAGGTGATCTTCTGTGATGCTCGAGCGTGTCTGCGACGGCAGAGGGAGCGTGTGGTCAAGGTTGTCGTTGGTCAATAGGACAACGGACTTGTCTTCTTGGACAGAGGTGGTCATCTGGTCAAGTACGACTGTCAAAGCGGCATTGCGGAACACGGATGCCATGGTCGCACATTCATGTCGCTTATCATCCTCCGAGTCCTGGAGAATACACAATGAATCGACCCAGATGTATCGGTATCCTAGACGCTGTGCCGTAGATACTGCGGCCTGGACTGCCGTGGGTAGCGTCTGTAGTGGTAAGTTGGTCAGCATGTCTTGCAGACTGTCGCTCGACAGAGTGACATGTTCTTGGTTCCAGAGATGGCTTAGTGCAACATATTCGACCTGGTCAGCGGTTGACTCAATGCATGTACTGTTGACAACGCGGACAAAAGATCCTTCCTGGCCGCCCGGACGGACATCGACCAGGCGAGTGGGTAGGAACTTTGCGTCGCCTAGTGTTTGCTGACGACAAGCGTCATGGGAGTGCGAGCACTCTTCGAGCCAGCCCTTCGCAGTCGGCAAGTTGGTGTCGGTCTCTTTGCTAGTCTCCCCACGTAGGTGTAGCTGGGTGCAACAATCGATGCCATCCTTTTGGCCGAGCATCTCTACCTCACCGAGCTCTGCGTGCGGACCGGGGAACGTTGCTTTGTCGTTTGGCCAGTGGAGGCAGCAGGGAGCCGGAGTGAAGATCATGGTCAGCGATCTCGCATCTGGTCGCTGGGTTGGCTCAGCGCTCAGCATCGTCTTGAGCGTGCGAACAACGGTCTGCTCGGTCACGGTCGGTGCTTCCTCGAGGAACTGTGATAGTCTGCTCTGTAGGAAGGGTATATCTTGCCAGTAGTACTTGCCAGTGCGTCCACTGAACTCCTTGCGGAAGCGTGGCCATGCCGAGTTACCTTGGCTAAATGAAACCGACGCCATCTCGGCGAAGACACAGCCAAGACTCCAGATATCAGCAGCTTGTTTGCGTGTGAAGCCTTCGAATACCTCAGGCGCCGTGTATTGGCGTGTTAGTGGCTTCGACTGTCCGTCAAGTGAGTCCTCGGAAGAGCTAGTACCGAAGTCGCATAGTACTACGTGCGGTAACTCTTGATCACCGCCCACGATCAGAATGTTCTGAGGCTTGATGTCCATGTGGTTGACAACAGGCCGCTGCTCGTGGAGGTACCGGACTGACGACGCGAGACAGCCGAACATCTTGACAATCGTCTCAGCTAGATAGGCAGGATTATCTAGTGCGACTTGTTCCATCCATAGGCCGAGGGTTGTTTCCGCAACAGGAGAGACAAGGATTGACATCTTGTCGCCCGTTGAGTAGGCTCCAAGATAGCGGATTACGTGAGGATGGCGTAGCTTCTGGAGCACGTCCACCTCCTTTCGGATTTCTTCGAGGGCGGTTTGATCGCGATTCTTGAGTGTCTTTCGTCCCATGCGTAGGTTCGTCTCGCGATGCACGACCTCATCGACCGTACTAAAGCCTCCTGCTCCGAGGAGCCTGATACTGAGGAAAGACTGAGAGTTTGTCGGAATACTATGTAGTGCCTGTTGTGAAATCAGTCCCTGCTCCGTCGCTGTGTCCTTGCGAACTGAAGTTGCTTTTGTTCCTAGGAATACGCCAGACGATTGTCTAGTCTGGAAGCCTGGTGATGGCGCATCCAGGCCTGGCGTTACCGTAATTGGTCTTAGGCGTTCCGGCGAACGTGGACGGCGGTCATTTGACGTCTGCAGTCGAGTACGAGCAGCTTCGCATACAGTGTTGTTACTCTGGCTTGGGTCCAATTGGGCTTCCGGCCATACAGCATCAACCGCTGACCTGCTAGTCTGATCGACTAGTGTGGTCCGGGGGAGAACATCTCGGGCCACAAGGCCCTTGTCGTCTCCCGCTGCCGAGATAGACTCTGCGAGTGGTTGCTCGGAAGCAATAGAGCCACAGATTGAGCCCTGCTCTCCTGTGTCCGGTCTAGCTGTCGCACATTGTTGATTATGCTGCAGTAGATTCGTGGGTTTAATACACTGGTTGGCGCATGAGGGCTGACTTCCGCTGCCCTCACTGAGTTGTGAGAGCTGGAATTGGAAGAACCCGCCATGGGGTGGTTGGCTGTCAGAGCCGCTGCCGCCGTCGTTGCCGCCATAGTAGTTGGAGCTGGAACCGCCACGTGGATCGCTATCCCGTGGGTCAGAGGAAGGCTTGCTGCCGTCGAAGCCATCGCCACTTGGTCGATCATCGTCGTCATCGGTGTTATCGGAATCGTGGCTATCGTCGACGTCTTCATCGTTCCAGTCGAGCATGCACTTGCCCTGTTTAAAGTGGTCGGCAATGTGGTCGATTCGCTCTTGCCTTGATACGAAGCGATGGCGGCAGAAGCCACACTGGCGCGGGAACTCGGTCTCAGAGCACACAACGCTCGCCTCCTCGTACTCGTCAGCATTAATGTCGGGGTGGATATTCCGGAAATGCTGTCCACGGTCAGTAAGTTTGATGAATCACCATGTATCTATACTAACCTGCGCGTAGTGGTATTTCCTGAAGCATGGCTTCACGTTCTCGACGCCCTCGCTCGTGCACAGACTGCAAACCCATGACTTGCACTAGATCGTATAGTCAGTAAAATGATTCCGGGAGTACCTAAAGCAGATCAGAATTATGAGTCTCGACGTGACGTACGGGGTAGCCTTCCTCCTCATTCCTCTTCCAGTCGCACTTGCGCCCATATCGCTTACCACACTTCCTCGTGCACTGGTAGATCTTATTGGGGTCTCTGCTGAGCAATTGCAGATCCTCAGTGGGTGCACAGCGCTTCTTGCTACCCCGCAGAGTTGTAGCGGACTGGTTAACTGTGGTGGTGTCGTGGCTGCATGGGGCCTCGGACGTAGTGGTATCTTCCTGTTGCTGCTGGAGGAGTAGCTGCGGTGGTGATGTCTGGGTGACACCCGTCGAGAACTGGTCATTCCAGAACTGTTCTTGCGGGATGAGGTTTGTTTGCGATTTGTAGGCCGAGTCTCCGTGGCTGCCACCCATGCCTTGCTTCAACAACCGACCAAACCAGGATCGGATTACATCAGCTGACTCGCCGGTCAGCTGGCTTAACGATTCGATGTGCCTGTCACTGGAGTGCTGTCAGCATACGATTTCTGACGAGGGACAGCGAAGATTAATCGGGCGCGGCAAGGTTAAACTAGAGTAATTCTCACCTGGGCAAGATGTTGTACTTGTTGAACCAGGTCGCACAAACGTCGGCAGCCTCATCGGAGAGGCCTGTCTCCATGGAATTCGAGGTAGACTGCGTCTCGATTCCCCAGCTTGAGGTAGTTGCCGTCGAAACCAATGGGGAAAATAAGGTGAAGTCGGCAGTTTCGTGACGCTTCGCTTGAGGAAAGTCTTGCGCATCAACCTGCAATGGTCGCTTGCCCAGGGATGTGCTGAAGTTGGACTGGTACATCGAATCCAAAGATGGCACTGGCGTAAGCGGGAAGGTATTCAGAGCATGATGCATATCTGGTGTGAGCTGCGTATGCCATGCTGTAGTGCTACCCGAGGTGTTATCCATGGTCTGTATGGAGGTTAGTTAGTAGGGAGTTCCAATGCGTATACGGTGTCAAAGGAATAGATGGGGCACGCCTTACAAGACTGTGTTGCATGTCAAAGCTAGCCTGCTGAGGGGTGGTCGAGAACATGGCCGGATCAATGAAGGAGGCGGATGTGTCGATAGCCTCGTCAGCGAAGAAGCCGGAGGTGTCACCCTCAACTGGCTTCAAGAAGGATTGCTGCTGTTGCGGAAGTGTCGCAAAGGCATTGCTGAAATCCATGTTCACGTCAAAGGCGTATCCTGCGCCCTGTGAATCCATTACTTTCCTTTCGCGTACTGTACTGGGTGAAGAATGTCAAAGGGCGTCGGTGTCGGACGATTAGCAATCACGAGAGGTGCGTGGTATGTTGTTGGACCTCGGAAAGGATGAGTGAGTATGATGAAGAATGAGTGAGTCAAGGCCTGAGGCCGGGTTTGATCTATCTTTTAGATCAAGGGCGCTGCGCCTATGAGAGTGCATTCGCGGATGGAGTCATCAAGCAGCCCTTCTGGTGCTGTGAAGGGCTGACGGTTGATCGTGGTGCGGGTTTAGGCCACCCGTGGCATGATTAGCGAGGAATTGCATTTTCACCGTGTAACTTTACAAGCCGGCCAAGACGTGTGAAGAGCACATGCTGAGGCTGGGCGATACCAAGGGTTGTTGATACAGCTGCCTGTGTGGTATTGGCCGTTGATACAGCTTGCGCGTGCGTTCTAGCTGCCCCGCAACGATGAAGCCTCAAGGCTGGATTGCCCTCTCGTGAAGGCTTTCGTCTTAAAATGGCTAAAAATTACAGGCCATAAGCCCAGAGCAGTAAGCGCTAATCAGGGCTACCGCCCTTTTTCTCCCCACCCAGGGCGCAGCATACGCTAGAAGGGCTATGATGGCGGTGCAGCCAATGGGAAGTGGGGCGCGTGGCTGAGCTGCAGCAGGTACAATGCGACGCAACCTCTTTGACTGACTCACACTAGAAGAACTAGGAGAATTGCAGATCCACGCCCCGTAACTCGTCGTGTCTTTCTCATCTTTTAGCCGGCACCCCATCTCCCGTAAAGCTTATGAGGCAGTCATGCAGCACAGGCCAAGCGTTTGCAACAGAAGGCCGCCTTTGTCTTGTTCTAGCCATCATGTCTTGTTTTCTCTTGTCTTACCTCTTATGTTACGCGATGCCGTCTTCTCGACATTTTCATTTTCTCTATTAACTTCGAGAAGCTACTGCAATCATCTAAAAACCGACCGTCAAGCTGATATAACAAAATTAATTCTATATCCTGCATAGTAGTTAATCTTGAACACTCGTGGGTTGGACTTTTGATACAGAGACGAGCAATGTGATCAATGGGGTGTTTAAGAGTCAGTGAAGAAGGCATGGGTTGAGAAGAGAATAGATGGGAAGAGAAACAAGGGTTAAGGGTGGAAGAACAGTAAGAGCCAACGATTGTTAAACGAAGATGAAGTCATAAATATCAGAAAAACAGCGACAATGAATATGCAAGTTGACCATGCAAGAAAGTATCATTATGTCATAGCTCCTAGTTCTCCATCAGAGAATCCTATATAGACGCCACGCAGTTTCCAGCTTTTCCGCGTTTAATACGCAACCTGAGCATTCAGACCCGCCGCCTCACGCTCAAAGTTCTTATGCTGCGAGATCGCCCACGTATACGCGCTCACAAAGTCTGTCGCGCCCTTGGCCATCTGCACCGTCTCTTTGAAGCTCTCCGGCTGCACCTGTGATGCCGTAACCACACCATATGAGTCCACCACATCGCCTGCGGTCGAGAACTGCATACCGGGAAGATCAACAGCTTGTCGGATAAACGCAACAGCCTCACCGGTAGCGCCAATGGCTTTCAAGTGACCGAACGCTTCACGAACCCAGTGCACCGCGCGCCCGTTCTTACGGAGCGTTTCGACGGACTTAGCGCCGCCGGGAACGAAGACGCTATCGTACATGGTGGAGCGCTGGCCTTCAAGATGATGGTCTGCGACTACGCCGCCCGAGCCACCCTTTTCTTCGCCATCGGCGTAGATTTTGTTCCTCCTCGGGCTGATAGTGAATGGAAGGGCTCCAGCAGCTGTCAAGGCAGCCTTGATACCATTGTACGCAACCTGGTCGTAGCCGTCTGCGATGAGAATGGCGACCATGCGCGTCGCAATAGTCGGCGTAGCAGGCATGTATTCTAGCTGCGAGAGACCCTTTGCCTTCTTGTTGTGCTTGGGTCGCGTTTGCTCCTGGGGAATATCGGCGCCAACCATCTCGGCCACGCTCTGCGCCAATTCTAGATCGATCTCACAGAGACGCTCACACAATCGCTTGTACACGACCTCGTCGTCGCAGTGGTCAAGCTCAAAGGCAAGGGCGTCCTTGATATGCCTCTTCTCAGGCTCCGACATGGAGTTGTAGAAGAGCTCAGCCTGGTTCTTGTGCTCCCTGAACTTCTTACTCTGCAAGCGAGTCTTGATGCCAACGACCTTCTCGGGGAATTCGACGAATCCACCCTCCTGGGCAGTGGCGGGAGGTACAGTCTCGAAACGGTTAGGCCAGTAGTTGACTTTGCCCTTGGTAATGCTGTGTCGCATAGCTCCGTCACGGTTGAAGTTCATCACTGGACAGACAGGCTTGTTGATCGGCAATTCTTGCCAGTTGACACCCAAACGAGACAGCTGAGTATCCTGGTAGGAGAAGTTGCGTCCCTGTAGGAGGGGATCGTTGCTGAAGCCAATTCCTGGAACAATGTGGCTCGTGCAGAATGCAACTTGCTCGGTTTGAGTGAAAAACTCGTCAGGGTTCCTGTTCAGCTCAAGCTGACCAATGTACCGGATGGGAACCAACTCTTCGGGCCAAACTTTGGTAGCGTCAAGAATATCAAAGTCGAAATCATGCTCCTTGGCCTCGGGGATGACCTGAATACCGAACTTCCACTTGGGGTAAGCGCCACTATCGATAGCCATCCAAAGATCCTTGCGATGGAAATCAGGGTCTTGACCAGCAATCTTGAGTGCCTCATCCCAAACGAAGCTGTGTACACCTAACTCAGGCGTGAAGATGAATTTGACGAAACTTCGCTCGCCCTTGTCGTTGGTGAGCGTGAAGGTATTGACACCAAAGCCCTGCATCATGCGGTATGACCGTGGAATCGAACGGTCAGACATGGTCCAGAAGAACATGTGTGTAGCTTCCGGGTGCATATACTGGAAATCCCAAAAGTTGTTGTGGGCTGACTGGGCCTGGGGGACCTCGCAATCTGGCTGCGCAAATATTAGAAACCCCGAATTAAAACAAAGTTAAGATATCTCACTAACCTCAGGTTTACCAGCGTGAATAACATCAGGGAACTTCATCGCGTCTTGAATGAAGAAGACAGGGATGTTGTTGCCGACTACATCCCAGTTTCCCTCTTCCGTATAGAACTTGACAGCGAAGCCACGAACATCTCGAACCGTGTCGGCAGAGCCGCGGCTACCCAGAACAGTCGAAAAACGGAGGAACACGGGCGTCTCGCGAGACGTGTCTGTGAGGACGCCAGCCGATGTGACGTCTGCAGCCGACTCGAAGAGGGTGAATTTGCCAAAAGCGCCGGAGCCACGGGCGTGCACAACGCGCTCGGGGATGCGTTCATGGTCGAATCGGTGGATCTAGGAAGTAATTGTTAGTACAATTGCAGCTTCGAGTGGTGCGGGCTGCAGCCTTACCTTCTCGCGGGCAAAGTGATCCTCGAGCAGGCTGGGACCTGTCCTGTCCTCACTCGCCACCTTCAGCCAGTCATCTGTGTTGGTCTGCTTGACGCCAAAGTCGCTTGTGATTCTCCAATTCTTGTCGTGGACGTCTTTGGTATCAGCTGCGAGCTGGGCAATCTTGGTAGATTGTCCGCCCGCCATGGTTTTGGCTTTTTCGGCCATGTTTCCCAGGATCTGAGACGCCATTGGGATGTAGAATGTTTGAATTGCAGTGTGGCGACATTGGCCAACGGCGCGCGGTCCATTTGTATGTGTCAGTTGCTCCTGGGAGGCTGTTTACCATTCGACGTCATTGCGACGTCTTGTAGCTGCAATATCTCTTTCACTACCTTACTAACCCCTCCGCTTTCAGTGTGACGCCCGCGTACAGGCAACGCCTCCCGGAGCGGAGTAGTGCACAGCAGCCAATGAGAGTTTCGATGATGTTATCCTCTGGTGAGGATTTGCGCGTGCATTGACTGCCGGACGCCTCGACGCGCACCCACGCGACCCGCACAATGCCATAGTTCTGCATCTAGCAGACTCGAGAACCTCCATGGGAATTTGTAATCGTCATCCAGATTATCCCCGGCACAAGGGCTATATCGGCAGAGCGCCGTGGCAAGACTGGCATTGAGTAAGCAGCTCGACTGTGAAATCTTCATCTAATCTATGACGTCAGCCCAATGCTCCGCATACATACTAAAAATGTGCCCCGCTCCAATCCACTTTATAGGTGAGAGACATTGGGTAGGTTAACGAAAAAGTGCTCACAGGTAGATTTCATCTTGTTTGTTGTAGAATTTGCGGGAGAATCGAAACATGCGGCTGAGCCGTCTTCTTTTGAGCAAAGCGGGGAGTCAATTGAAAACAAGCTTTTGCTTCCCTGTCAGTTGCGACGACCAACGAAGCCAAACTCCAGCATCACGAAAACCACAGACATGTTCTACTGATAGGTTCGGCACAGGGAGCCGTATACTACAACAAATGCACCTGGCTTCTGCAGCTAGAGCAGTGGGCGTTGCGCGTTCCTGAGCGGCTTCAAAGACTGCCACACGTATAACTAGCTCCGGCAGGCGTCAGCCCACTACCAGAAAAGTTCAGCGCATCGCTGCAGTCACATGGACGCTGAAGGCCGGTATACTGTATGATCAGGGCTATACTTTTTGATGCACCGGTTCTTTGCAGAATCAAGTACGAATTGGTCAACTGAATTCGCTTCGTTCGTCGGCATAGATACGAGCCCATTGGTGGATCTTTCGAGACTTGTTCGCAGACAATTACTTGTCTTCCATAGCAATACCTATAGTGGAAGGATTCAGAACATCAGAGCAATGGTGCACATCATCGCAGGCTGTGGGGAAGATGCAGATAAGTGCCGCAGTTGTTAGTACAGACGCGTCTTTATGCAGGTATTGCACCTTGGGTGTAGACGAGATGGAGATACCGGCCGCGGTGAGGTGAAGTCAGATTAGACTTCCTATTGCTTGCTCTTCACCAAGGTATTGAGAAGGGCCGCGGTTGGTTTTCATCGACGATATGGATCGCTGGGCTCGTAAGCTCCTATTATGCAGCTATCGATGCTAGCATTGCTTGCTATAGCCGTACGAGGTCTTAAGAGCACGTCTGCGGATCCACAATATGGCAGATGATTGTAGATCTTACGGCTCAACTCTCCGAGCTTACATTGGATCCTTCGAAGGAAAGGCGTTGATCTTCTCTCGGAGTCAAGGACCGTGCTTTGTTTTGATAAACCACCCCACACCTGTAGCTCCAGTCCGCTGATCAATCTTGATCTTTGACTTGAAAGTTTTCGGGAAAGTTTTGAAACGAAATTCCCGAAGGCGGCCGGCTGTCGGATATGAAATAGATATGAACCATGTGCAAAGCCAGTGAAATGGTTCGTAGCTTGATGCGGTCTGTTTTTACAGGCTATGAGCTGAGGCTAACGTGAAGGATGGGAATGCTTGATTGCTGATCAACCCGCACGAAGGAACAGTGACGATTCGCAAGGCTGGTGCAGGCTCTCTCCACGACTCTCGTCTGCAGAAGCTCCTTGTCGTCGCCGCATGGCCCATATGCGAGATGACCCCAAGTCGCTTTTGGTCAACGCGAATAGTTGTGCAGGTGGTGGTCACACAGGGCGATCTGGTGCATGCGGGCCGACGCGCTAGAGCGCTCTGAGAAACTTGACTCTGCACACCCCTGCGGCCGTTTGGAGAGACGTGCAACGAGAAAGTGACAGGCGACACAGCATACGCCGAGCTACCTTTGTATCTCGACCTCCTGCCCGTAACAACACGCATGCAGTTTAAGATGGCGCATATGACCTTGTGCCCTCCCATTGCCATTCGCCCTGCCCTCGGGGTGTGGAGACAGTCTGGCACTGTCCACAGCTGATGACCGGCGATTGTAACATGAGCTGCAACATGGCCGACCCATTGTAGCCTGACTTCGGATGCTCACTTGGCAATCTCTTCTTTTTGTTGGCGGTTGGCTGCTGATCTATACTAGCCAACACTCGGGACAGGAATCATTGTATTGTGTTATGAGAAAGTCCGGATCATCTCCACCCTGTCACGAATCATGGGCAGCGTTCCGTAATGAGCAGACGGAATCTTGCGTGTGCAATTTTGGGGATCTGCCAATTGACGAGACCGCATTGGGAAATTTTGTGGACTCCCGTCATGTCCGTATGTTGCTGCCCTTGACTGTGCGTGGTTGCTATGCATGCAAGGACGGCCCTTTGCTTTCAATGTTGCACCCGTCCGTCGACGACGTGCAGCAAGCAGACACGACAACCGACACATGACGAAGTCGTCCTTGAGTGTTTCTTGGACAGGCCTTGACAAAAAAAAAAGCCGTTGCGCTGACAGGGGTGCCATGTGTCCATGCTGTGCAATCGCAAAGACTATCAGGGGTCGAATCCTTCAGAATGTAGGCGGGGGGGTTCAGAGGTTAGCTTTGCCCTGGTCCGCGCCTGTTGTTGTTGGTGTCTGAGTCGAGGCATGATTCGAGCGCGCAGAGCCAGAAGACTCGGGAGCGTCGACGAGGCACAGGGAGCGCGCAAGATGAGAGGAGGGTTTGGCGTGACAACAAGCGAAGGCTGCGGGCGTCGGTAGTGCGGCAGGCAGCCACAGGGCGGGCCACTCCAGTATGGAGCCCGGCAAACGTTGTACCAATATGCTCCAAGCGAGAGTATCATCAGCCCTGTGGTCTGATGTTGTTGTTGCTGCTACGACGAATTGTGCGCGACAGGAGTGGGCGGGCTCTCTTCCGCTGGATCTGCAAGCTGGAGGGTGGCATAGCGTCTGCTGCGCCGGGTAAAGGTGGATGGGGTCCCTTGGTTGCCGGCGTGTGAAATCCAAGACCCGCTTGCTAGTACATAGTGTAGCAGCACAGCTATAGCGAGCGAGCGACCCTGTGATGAGGGCGGAGAATGAATGGAGAAATCACGGTGCGAAGCTGGGCCCGTTTGAGACGCGGCCGGCTGCTTGCTGCAGAAGTGCCGCCTTGGAGGGGCAGCGGACGCGCCCTGTGAGTGTGCGCGGCGCAGACTTGGACAAGGAGCGAGCAGGGAGAGGACGAGGATGCAGTGCAGTGCCGTGCAGTGCAGTGCAGTGTGCAGCGACAGGACTGCACACCCATTGCCAGAGGCCACAGAGCAGCGGTGCTTTTGCGGACCAGGGCTGGTGATTGGGGCGCAGGCGGGTGCAGAAATCACCAACAGTGCGCTGCAAGCATGGCGGTCGATAGGAGGACGGGATGATCCTGGCAGTGGCAGATGCTGGTCGCTGGCAGGCCGCAGCTAGACGTAGGCGTGAAAGGCTAACCGTCTCCGCCTATGCTATGCTATGTACGTACTTGTCCTTGTCCTTGCCTGCCTTTCCTTTCCGCACGGAGCCAACGGCTGTACACGACTGTCGCACTCTCTGTTGCAAACGGGCGGCGGCAGCAATCTAACATCTTTCGAGAGGGTCCCGTCCGTCTGGCACGCTGCAATGCCTCTGTTATAAATCTCTCTCGCTGCCCGCCGTCTCCCTTTTGGACGCCTCGACCAATTCCTCGCGGCTGTACACGGCCAGTAGCTTTGACGCGGTACCTTGCGTGCTGCTACCTATCCACTACTACTGCTACTACCACTACTACTGCTACTACTGCTACTACTACCACTACCACCGCTGCCCCGACTGCCCTTTCGTCTTGCCCTCGACGAGACGACCAACACCCGCGAACAACCCCTACAATCCACCACCTCGACCGCGCCCTGCCTCCTGTCCACACGGAACAACCCATACCAGTACCAATACCTATATTATACACCCACACTCCCACTCCCGCTCCCACACCCTCTCTACACACCCTCTCTGTACACGCCTCATCACGCTGCGCTGGACCTCCACTTTGGCTGTCTGCAAAGCTCCCACCGCGGTCGTCTGCACCAAGAAAGAAGCTCCCCCGCCCGTCCGCCAATCAGCGCGTCCAAGCTCCCACCCCGCCTTCCCTTCACACGACTCGGCGTCGCCCTCCCCCCCTCCCACGCCGCTGCCCCCCCGAAGGCGCCTCGCCCCCCCGCCGTGCAACCTACGCCTCCATTCGCCTATCCTCGCCAACATGTGCACCAAGGTCGTACACAGATATGGCTGCGGCCACGAAATCACAGAAAAGGCCCCCTGCGCAACGTCAAGAACTACCAACTGCGGCGTCTGCAACACAAAGACGGTCAAGCACGACGAGAAGTGTGATCATTGTGATCACTGATTACACAGGTATGGCTCCCGCCCCAACCCCTCTGCGCGTCGCACCTGTCTGACGACGCGCCTTGCAGTGTGTGACTGCAGAAATCATCCAGACGATACCCCATGATGGCCCGTGGCACGCAGCGGGTGTGCCTGTCGTCGTCGTCGCCGCGCAAGTTGCATCTTAGCGCACTTTCTCGCTCGACCTCTTAGTTTTGGCGTTTAATGAGCTTTCTCCCGGGCGCTCCTCTAGCCCACCAAGCTGCATTTCACGGCGTCATGGTTCTCTCAAAAGTACTGGCGTTCAACGGGCATTGGCATCCACCTGGGTCCTTGGACACTGCGCGTCCGGCGTTTTGATTACGGGCTGGTGCTGTGCAGGCCACGCCTCAACTTGTATTACTTCTTCATCATTGTTTTCTACATGGGTATTAGGCTCTCCTAATTCTGGTCGTGCTATGCGCCGACAGGGAACCTTACAGGTTCTTTCTCCTTACCCGGTCATTGCTATTATGATATTTCTTAGTTGCGGCCTCTGGCACTCCGCAATGGCGATCAGGGGGCCTCAGTAAACGAGCAGTCAATTAATGCCTAGGCGCCCATGGGGGAGCGTTCTCGTTCCCCAGTGGGCAGCCATCACTCACCTGTTGGGCTCCTCTGTGTATTGAGCCAATCCGCGGATGGTGGCAGCCCAGACAAAATCCAAGCAACAACGGCTGATCTGCCCTACAGTGACAAGCAGCAGTCGTATATGCAACAGCTTTCCTCGCCAACCGACAGGGCCTAGCCCTTGAATAGCTATGGCTACTAGCTGACATTCACACAAGGTTGAACCCGAGTTTGCAAGTCACCCCGCCATAGCAACGGCTTCATTTGCTCGCGATATTGGCCCATAATATCTTGTATTACATGCAGCCCTGCATTTGCGTCCGCGTAAACGAAGACGATAGAGCAGGTTGCTGTCTGTAGATGGCTCGTGACAAGGCGAGATGAGTGATGGTAGTTTGGTCATGCAACATGACTAGAGCAAGGTACGAGGCGGACTAGTTTGACCGGGCACACTGGCTATAGCAGATGACCAGTACGTTTATCCGTCTTACAACGCTCCCGATCCTACTGAGGGACGGGCCGTGGTACATCAAACCATCTTCTGTCCTGTCAGCCATGCTTCTCAGCCACAAGAGCACGGCAGGCAAGGAAATTGTAAGTCTGCCCTCAACATGACCTGCAAGAGCCCTGCCTGGGCTTTCTTGGGCTTTCATGTGATTCAATGGCGAAGACACACTGTGGTATAGCATGATCGCCAAATAGCCGAGTAAGATAGGTAGGTATATGTCCAGTTGTTATGCGTCAGGATCCGCATTGGCTTGCCTGCGACCAACCGGGTAACGGTTCTTCTAGAAGGTATTCAGCCTGACCACTATAATTGCTTCGACCGAACTGTGAGACACACCAAATGCGACAGGAAGCCCGTCACGGCCACAGTCAACTTCCTGCCTCGCTCGAGCCAGATAGCGTTTATTAGCACCCCCAGCAAGTGGCAGTGCCCACGCGAAAAGCGCAACGTTGAGCACCATGAGGCATATTACGCGCACCCTCGTCAGTGTTTAATATGCCAGCATCTGGCGTATGCGGGCAACGTCTGCCGCCACCAACCCTGTCCACGTCCCCTTGTACACGGCCCTGTCCCTATAGCCCTCCCCCTGCTCTTTCGTCATGAGGTCCATCACCTGGTAGGCTCCATGGAAACGATCTGCGGCATGGAGGTGTCTGCACGAGCACGTGTAGCGACGCAAGGCGGCTCTCTAATCTGGAATCATCATCACAAGTTGACACCCAAGTCCCGTCGCGACGTAAGTATGTCGAAAGCATCCGTGGCCACGATAACGCTCGTGCGTTTCACCGCACCACCCTTTGCGGCGAGACGGCACAGAACACACATCAAGGGCAGGGACATGATGCACAGGCAAACGCATTGTCACATGCATACCATGTCAAGACGGCTTGTCAAATGGTGCGATACGCAAGCGATGATTGCTGTGGTCGGGGGTGCTGAGTGGTCGGTGGCTCGGCGTCAAAACGTTGTTACGCTCGGCCCGGGTGGTCGTTTCCCATTTCGGAACTGGTAGGCGCAGACGCGGCTTCCTTCGTCAACCCCAACACTACTACCTACGCAATACGCAGCCATGTCAATTCAAGTCAACTGGGACACTCTCACAGGCGGCGCAGACGGAGCCGCTCGCACAGAAACGATACGCGCGTTCATTCATGACAAATTCCAGCAGGTGACGCTGCCGCGCTTCATCCGCTCCGTCCACGTCCACTCCTTTGACTTCGGCAGCGTACCCCCGGAAATTGAGATCAAAGATATTTGCGACCCACTTCCGGACTTCTACGAAGAGGACGAAGATTATCCGGACGAAGATGAAGCTGAGAATGAGCAGGAGCAGGAGCAGGAGCACGACCGCTCCAGGCCTGACGAGACTGGCCATCACATCCCTAGCACTCCTGCTAGCCGTCCACCCATAGAGCGACGTTCGAGGGAGACAGCAAAGGGCAATACGAGACCGCCCGCCAATCGAAGCTTGTTATCTCCCGCTGAGCATCTCCTCAGTCCTCTTCTTCCCAGAGCCTCCACTCCAGGCATTCCAGGTGGCACCTCCAACATCAACTACTTCCATCTTCCGCTAGGTGCAGGCCTTTCCGGTGCTACGACACCTCTTGCTGCCGTGGCCGGCGCACAGTTGCAGGGTTGGCTAGATAGTTCTTATGGCCGGCCATCAACACCAACCAATATGCGTCTTCGACACGCTGCCTCGACAAACTCACTGACACTCACACCGCAATCCAACCCAGATCCCAGCACTCGTCCTTCTTCACGGCATCAGCATGATGAAAGGAGAGAATCCCTTGCCGAGTCGGACGGCACTTCTTCCCCGCACAGCTACGGTAGGACGCCGTCTGCATCACCGCATCGTCTGCGTGATAAGAGTCCTGAAGACCTTCAGGTCGTCGCCCATGTGCAGTACTCCGGCGATATCAAAATGTCGCTAACCGCAGAGATTCTGCTGGACTATCCCATGCCAAGCTTCGTTGGCATTCCTCTAAAGTTGAACATCACTGGGCTCACCTTTGATGGTGTTGCTATACTGGCATACATCAAGAAGAGGGCACATTTCTGTTTCCTGTCTCCAGACGATGCAGATGCACTGGTCGGTAGCGAAACGGCCTTTAGCGGTCTCCAAACCGACTCTCAAGGCCAGAACCCACGTCCTGTACAGCGACCAAAGATCGGAGGTCTGCTCGAACACATCAAGGTAGAAAGCGAGATTGGAGGACAGGGCAGCGGCAAGCAGGTACTCAAGAACGTAGGGAAAGTGGAGTCATTCGTCCTGGAGCAGGTCAGGCGCATCTTCGAAGACGAGTTTGTTTACCCGAGCTTTTGGACATTCCTCGTCTAAGCTCTGCGCGAGAAGACGCATGTGTGTAGTGACGAGCCATATGAATACGGTGTGGTTCGACCGTTCAGCAATCTACCGCAATCGCAAACATGCAGCGGTGCGAGAGTCAGGGACGGCTTTGCTTGCCGCAAGCGAATAAATAAGGCTACGACCCCAGCACGGCAATCTTCATTTTTCCACTGTGGGTCTTGTACGTGGCTGTCAAATGCAAGCCCGCGTTTTTAGGGTAACACAACGCTCTGTCCCCACTTCTTGAGCGACTGTTACAGCACAGGGCGGGCGTTTCACAACAGCATACTACCTCTGCAGTACGCTATACCATTACACAGAAACTGTTCAGGAAACGTGGGTTGGCGCCCTGTCATCCACGGGTGTGCGCAGAAGCGACGAAGGACAGGATTTTGACAGGTCTGTTACTGACAGCGGGAGCGACAGAATCAGACCACGTCTGTAGCACTGGTACACGAGTACAGTGATCAACTCAGCCTGTCAGTGCAAGTGTCACACTCCTGTCAAAATCACCTATCCGTCTCGGCAGCGGGTCCGTCGGGAGGCGGTGACAAACTTGCCTCCCCGGCTGTGTAGCCTCAACCAACGCATATGAGCTCTATCATCACTCAGTTTCTCGTCAGGTGCGCACGTCGATCCATCGCGTCCTGTCCTGCCCGCATTCTCCCGTCCTCCCCTTTCCGTCTCGCTGCCTCAAACTGCTCACGCCCTTGCTGGCGGTGCAGGAATGCATTTCATGATCATACGATACGTTTGCAAACCAGCTCTGCACGTCGCTCAACGAAGCATGACTACGAAGCCGGCCTTCTGGTACCAGCCTTGCGACGTCAAGTGCATGACAGAGTGGGGCCAGCGGTTTCAGGACAGCAGGCGGCTTCGAGTATTCTAATGGCCATATTGACACGAGGAATTCACATGATTGCGCAATACAGCCTACATCCAGATGAACCATTTATCCTCATCAAAAGGGTGGGGAAGGGAATGTCGATAGATCACCTCAACAACTACGTTCTATTCTTGGACGATGGGAAGATAAAGCCTCAACAATCCTAGACGAGATGCATGTTCTGATTGTCTCGGGCAATATACAGACTCCTACGGTTATTATCACATATAGATGGTGGGGTATAGTAGCCGGCCGTGCAACGGCAAGGCTGTTTCACTATATGTTTTACAGGGCATGGCTCGCTATCCTGGCTCGTTGTGGTCATTGCTTGTAGGGTATCACATGAAGATGCCGTCTGCGATTTTCCTTGTGCGGAAATGGCATATGCGGCGGTCAATGAGATAAAATAGTGCTACTCGCCTTGTCGAATTGGCAATTCGTTGAACGCTTGCTCTGGGCTTGTGGATGTAAACATATTTTCACATATGCGCCACGTAATACAACAAAGCGCTTCGACATTCTCCTTGTACTAGACCCCAGCTTGAGATTTAGACATGTCTTAATATCCAACTATCGCGCTCGCCGTATTCACGTCTTACGTCCTGCCCAGTATCTTCGCTAGGGTAACCTAGCACTCGGTCTAATACCATTTCTCACTTACTTACTCACTAGACGTGATTCGGTATCCCGCTTGCAAAACAACATACCCACTTCACGTGTACAGCTGTAATTTTTCTATTTAAATAAGATGTGTGGCGACACATTGTTGTTCAACTTCATGACTCGACGGAACGTAGTATACCAGCGGGACATCCCTATTTACCTGGAATAAACTAAATAACTTCCACGGATAAATAAATACTAGATTCTAGAAAACAACCCTCTGACCTACTATCTCTAAAGGCGAGAAATGCAAACTGAAAGTCAAACTTGGGATAAACGAGCATCATGATGACTATGTATCAAAACCTAGTTAGTTAATCAACGACTAATAAACATGTGAATGTGTAGACGTGTCTCGGTGGTAAATAACGGCTACGATGCCCCCCTGGGCCTTTGTATTCTCTTGGCTTGCTATGCTGTGATTTCTTGATATGGATTGAGGGGTAGGGTTGTACTAGCGACCCCTTCATGGATGTTTGATTTGCATGCGGGGTTAGGCTGGACATGCACTGATGTATACTTCTATCTTGCCGTCTAGACGCAGATTTTACCAATTATATGCATTCGAGTCTTTTATATTCTAGCATGTCTGCCGGGAGATCTAGTAATTGCTCCTGTCGATCACCTTCGCTTCTTGGTGGTGTGGACCCCTGCCCCGCCTACGTCACGCGATGCGTCTGCCCCTCCACACAAGCAGGATCCGAGCTGAAACGTCAACAGTAAGAACCACAGCTGAAAGATCTTCCCCCTCTTTCTCTACACCCATCCTCATCCCTTTTACAACTTCCTCTACAGTCACTTACTGCAGAGTACTATCACAATACACACGATGCCGCCGAATCTCCAGTTCAGCGACATCTGGCTGCCATGCCTCATTCTCCTTGTATTCTGGGCCCGCCCCACGGCGGCTTTCGGTGCTGGTAACATCGCGAGCCTGAGTTCCGTGGAGGGGCAGAACTGGCGTCATGGAGACATTGAGGACACCCTTCTCACCCTACTCATTAGCAGTCGGACCGGGAAGAAGTTTAGCAAGATGGACGTGAAGCGTGTTTACTTCGGCAACTGGCTTCGAGACTACTCCCAGGCTGTCGATGTCGGTGCCCTCAAAATGGTGTCTTCCGAGGCTATCCGCATCCTGCTCTGGGTTCTTGGCTTCATGAGCTTCGGTTACGGAACCAAGGAGTTCGAGGTCACCCGCGACAGACTTGGTTGCTACAGGCCAGAGGAGCACATCGACAACCCCAAGGTTAGCTCATTCATGTCATTAGCTTGTGCCTTTGCTAATTCTATCAGGACTACGCCGATAACCTCGACGCCCGCGACTACGACCGCCGTCTGCGAGGCCCCGTCGACGAGGGTCGCGAGCTGGCCGTCGATGAGCGAACTGGCTTGAAGAACTACATTGCCTCGGAAGACGTGGGCATTACAACCTCCGCCGGCATGGTCCGTGACCTGCTCAGACGCAGTATCGATCTTGCTCGCCGCTCTGGCGGAAGTGGTCCCGACTTCCATGAAGCTCTTCGTCTCCTTGGTACTGCCACACATTGCTTAGAGGACTACTCTGCCCACTCCAACTATACCGAACTTGCCTTGATCGAGCTCGGGGCAACCAATGTGTTCCCGCACGTCGGCCGTAATGCACGCTTCAACGTCGAAGCCGCCCGAAAGGAGGTTTATCCCCTCATCACCGGAACTTTTGGAGGTGTCGATTTCTTACACTCCGTATGTGGTGAGATGACAGACAAGGCCACCCAATCTGAGCTACAGGAGCTTGAAGGCGCCATTTCCAACGCCGAAAGGACCAAGAACAAGAGCCAGATCAAGGATCTACTCAGTCAGCTCCCCGACGGTATCTTCGGGGGCAAAGACGAGGCCGGCAAGGCAGATCAGCTCGAAGAGAATGCCAATGCTACTGCCATGGGCAATCTTCAAGTCACCCCCAAGGACCCTGAGGCCTTTACCCAGCAGGTTGGGGAGTTGGTCAAGCAGATCTACCCCATCATGGAGTTCCACGATGAGATTATGCAGTCCATTGCAGAGTTCATTGAGAAGATCCCAATCCTCCCAGATCTGATGGAGGAGGTTCAGAATCAAGTCACCGTATTTGTTTTCAGCCTGCTTGCGCCCTACGTCTTGCCCATTCTAACCCAAGTCAAGACGGAGCTTGAGGAGGGCTCGAGCGAAGTCATCGCTAGCTCTCGTGAGAAGCAGCATATTGTCTTCAACGACGACGAATCTACCGACCCGACGCACAGTATGCTTTCTAAAGACCACTTCACCAACCTCTTGAACGAGCCTGCTGGCAAGATAGCTTCTGCCGTCTTGGGCTGGGCTGTTCCGCAGATCGTTCAATGTTGGGATGGTCAAGCAGACCCGGAACAAACAATAGATCGCATCATCAACGGAGTATTCCATCACCCCGCTTGCGTTAACGCGTCCAACGACCGAGGCGTAGTACAAGGTCGTCAAATCATGTTCGACACTGTCCGGCAGTGGTGGGAGTCCCATGACGAGGGACAGCAACGTAGTCTTAGCCAAAAGCTTAGTCGCGAGGGTGTACAGCGTGGCGAAAACCACAAGCCAGACGTCCATGATAAAGGTCATGGCTGCGGTAAGCCTCTAGGTATGGCCAAAAGCTTTGGTGGGTCCTCCGGAGGCAAGGTAAATCCGCAGGTCCAGCAAGCCAGTGACCAGGCGGGCAGACTTGCGAGTGAAGCCGTCGGTGGTGGAGCACTAGGCGGCCTCGTTGGGGGCCTTGTTGGTGGTATCGGTGGATCTTTACTTGGAGGCGCCTTCGGTGACGACGAGAAAAAGACCAAAAAGCAAGACAGCTACGGCCAAGATGGCTCCTACACGCAGTCTTATACCGAGACTGGCCGCCATGAAGCCTCTTCATACGGAGATACCCAGCGTGTTGGACAAGCTCAGTACCAGCAGACCCAGTACCCTGGCGGTGGTCAACGTGAGGAGTACCGCCGTCAAGAACAGGACGAGCGTGGTGGCTCTTACAGCTATCAGCAGAAGGTTGAGACCTCCAGCTACACTGGTTCGGGCGCATATGAGCGCCATGAGGAGCGCCGCGTTCAGCAGGGTGACGAATGGCGTTCTGAGGAAAGGCGTGAAGGCTTCGATCGATCCGGACAATACTACTCTGAAGAGAAAGAGTAGGCACTCCCCTGTATTGACATTGTTTGCTTGCTAACGATCATTCAGACGCCGTGGTAAGTCCAAGAAACAATCCGATGACGATGACTCCGACGACAACGACGAGGATTCGTACGAGAAGCGGCAGAAGAAGGAGCGCAAGAAGCGTGAAAAGGAAGAAAAGAAGCGCAACAAATACAAGAAACACGGTAGCGGCAACGAAGACTCGGATGACGATGCTGACAAGCGTCGTTCAGGTTCCGGTGAGCAACGACGCCGTTCGCGATCTCGCGAGCAAGAGCATCGCCGCAAGAAGAGCAAGAGCCCGTCCCCAAACCGACGCTCGGGAAGCAACACGCACTCTGGGGGTTACGGAGAGGAGAAGCGGTACGGTGGAAGGGAGGAGAGCAGCTATGAGACCAGGCAGGAGCAACCAAGTTATGGCAGGAGGGATGAGGAGCATGCATATGGAAGACAAGAACAGTCTAGGTACGGCGGTGATACGGAAGGCTACGGCCGTCAACAGTCTGGTGCTAAATCTTATAGCTCCGGTGGATACGGACGTCAGGAACAAAGTGAGGGATACGGTCGCCGTCAGGAACAGAGTGAAGGATATGGACGTCAAGGGTACGTTGGTGAATCTAGGGGCTATGGCCGTCAACAGGCTTCTTCGAAATATGGTGCTAACTATCCTAGTGCTGGCGGATACGGTCGACAAGAGGGTCTGGAATATGGAGGTGAACGTCCTGAACAGGCTTATGGCGCTTCAGGTGTCCCTGGGGGTTTCGGTGAAGAGACTCAGGGATATGGTGGTCGTGGCCAAGGAAATCAGGGATCTGGCCGCCGTCGCGATGACGACGATGAGTACGGTCAGAGGAGGCAGCAAGGCGGCTCCGAAGGATACGGAGAGCAGGGATACGGTTCGAGGTACTAAAGCGGGCCTCGACTGCTCAAAGCCGAACCCTAGAAGCACCTGGAGCACTTTGATAACCTTTCCATAGTACCTGGCACTAGCACAGGTATGGATGAAGCCAACTGAAAATTGTCAATTTTCCATAGCATATCCAGAGAAAAATTGATTGATTTCCTACCAACTACACAACCTTGGTGCAGTGAGGGCGACGTCCACACTCATTCTATTCACGGAGTAAACAAGGCATCATAGGACATAGTATGAGTAGAATTTTTCAAAGTATCTATACCCCTCTTAAACTCATCCTGCGGCTACATTCAAATGCCTTCTGACTCGTCGTACTCCATCGAATCCCAGGCTCGATGATTTGACCGCACGCCCATCTCAGCTTCTTCTGGCTGAGTATAGACTCAATAATTCCGAATATCTTTATGAGTGACGAGATCAAGAAAGATAAGACGCTCCCAGCTTGGAAGGTGTTCGTCAAGCAGTGGGGCAACGCTACACTGGAAGCGGGGTAGTCACACGGGAGTTAGACTCCGCAAAACTCGTGACTGTTGCTGCCTACTATCTACAAAAGCTTGACAAAAGCTTGATATCTCCTCTTAGACTTCCAAGCAACTCAACACACGATCACAGTCATGGCTCAAGCACCTCAGGTCTCAGACTACCAACACGACGACGCTTGGGATAAGAACTGGCTCAGAGTGGATGATATCCACGAGCTGTTCTATCAGCAATATGGAAAGAAGGATGGCAAGACTGGTAAGCAACTGCACCTCTCACACCTACCAATTTATACTCACTCTGGATGTAGTAATATTCCTTCACGGTGGCCCAGGCGGGCAGTGCACCAAGCCCAACACCGTTTTCTTCAATCCGGAGCAGTACCGTGTGGTCCTCTTGGATCAACGTGGATCTGGGGAGTCTCGCCCGCACGCGAACACCACCAACAACACAACCTGGCATCTAGTTTCCGACATCGAAGTTCTACGCAAGCACTTGCAAATCAAAAAGTGGCACCTGGTCTTCGGCGGCTCCTGGGGCTCAACGCTCGCCCTGGCTTATGCGCAAACGCATCCTGAAAGCGTGGGAAGTTTAGTTCTACGAGGCATCTTCGCAGTACGAGAACTCGAATTGAAGTGGACGCTGGTTCCTGGTGGTGTAGCAATGCTGTACCCTGATAAATGGGACGAGTTTATCGAGTTTCTCCCTGAGGAAGAGCGTGCCGACCACATCGCTTCCTATCACAAGCGCCTCATGTCAGATGACACTAGCATTAGCTACCCTGCAGCAGAAGCTTGGAATAGGTGGGAGGTTTCTATCAGCTGTTTGTATCCCAACACCGAGGGACTGAAGAAGTTGGAGGATCTGAAGTGGTTGCTTGCGCATGCGAGGATGGAATCGCACTATTTCAACAACAAAGCGTGGTTGGAGGAGGGGCAGTTGTTGAAGAAGGAGAATATCGACAAGATTCGACATATACCTGGTGAGTCTAAATCCTCATTGATATCAACTAAGTGTGTTGGCTGACGAAAATACAGCGACGCTCGTACAGGGGAGGTACGATGTTGTTTGCCCGCCTGTCACGGCCTGGGCGCTACACAAGGCGTGGCCGGAATCGAAATTGCATTTTATTCCTGATGCTGGTCATGCTGCTACGGAACCGGGGACGAAAAAGAAACTGATAGAGACTTGCGACGAGTACGCATCCTTGTCGGTATAGGACAATCAGGCATGGCGTGCTAGCGTGAATTATCCCATCTCGTTGATGTTGATTAATATTACCATTCAACCATATACCACCTTTCTTCTTGACACAGGTTCAAGTCATGCTAGTACTTGAACCCACCCGCCCTAACACTAAACAAGCCATTGGGATCCACACTCTTCTGCAGCGCCTTGAATTTCTCGTAATCTCGATAACTCTTGGTCACCTCCTGATCGCCCGCTGCATCATTCATAAAAAAAGGCAAATAGACATCCCGACTCAAACCTGCCTCGTCCAACCACAACGGAACCTGCACATCTAGCCACTCAATCAACTGCTTGCTAAGACTATGTCCGACAGTGTCGTCGCTCGCCAATGCCCACGAGCCCTGGACCTCGAGGATCACACGGTCTGGATCGGATACAGTCAGACCCATGGCATTGCCGCCTTTGGACTGGGAGATGCGGCCGATAACCGAGGGGAGCGGTTGGAAGTCGACTGAGTACTGGCTAGTAGGGCGCTCGGCGGTGAGGAATGGTACTGAGATTTGAATGAACTTGTCGCGAATTTCGGCGTAGAGTTGTGGGCGGGTGGCGATGTAAGGTAGCGTGTAGGTCTTGTTTGATTAGCTAAAGAAGGTGAGGACGGTTTAGGAAAGGGTAACGACTCACTCGGAAAGATTGTCTCGCGTTTGAGAGGTGGATTGGCTCGCCGTTTGCTCTCAACTAGCTTGAAGTCAGTTTGGAGGCTCACATGATGGGCAAGCAGAGTATTGAAGCCTTACTAGTTCAGAGTATTTCTGCGTCCTGGGCAGGCATTGAAGTGCCGGGATGGTGAGGAAGTTTGCAAAAGGGCCGGACGTAGGCGGTGTTGGCCCATCGTAGAAGTAGTAGACGACGTCTGTCTTCGCTCCACCGGTTGCAATTAGGTTCGTGAAGATGATGGCAGCTTTGGGGTCTTGAGCGCCATCAGCCACGAAAGTATGTAATGCAGCATATAGCTTGTCTTCTTGGCTTGCGTCGTAGATACAGAAGCCGCCCCAAACGTCACCAATGGCGTGAGTTTGAACGGTATACTTCGTTACGATCCCGAATTGGCTGCCACTACCACGCATTGCCTGGGCGATGTCAGGCTGTGTTGTGGCATTGACATTGACGATTGATCCATTGGCCATGACCGTCTCCCATCCGATGATGTTCTGCTTTTTGTTAGTCTAGAACTATATAGTTGGAGAGGGTGTAACTGACATCGGCAGCGAGGCCTACTTGAGCACTAAGAAACGAAATGCCTCCCTGCACAAGGTATCCGCCAACTCCCACGACTCCTATAACGGACGGTAAGACTCTACAGTAGATTATGGATGCGTTTGGTTTACTAACCTAATCGTCCACCAGCAATAGTCACTCCACTTGGTTCTAGGTCTCTAATAACATCGTTCCATTCCCCTCCTGGCTTCACATGAGCCACTTCCTCCGCCGCGTCGTAGGTTGCTCCAGCCAAGTCGGTCATCACAATGAGAACACCATCTTGGACAGAAGCATGGCCGACATTGGGGTCATGCCCACCACTTTTTACGGCAAACTGAACGGTTGGGTACTTGTTCAGGCTCTTAACGACAGTGGCTACATCCTCGGCACAAACGGGTCGAACGATGCATGCTGGATCGACTTCGCGGAGAGCGGTGGACCAGTATTTCTGGGTTTCATTCGCATACTCGAGGCCAAGGAGAGCAGGCGTGAGGACTTTGCCGGGCAGGGCGTCTGTGATGTCGGCGCAAGCTTGTGTTGTTTCCTGGGTGGGAACAGCCTTTGCTGATCGGGCTCCCAGTAGCAGAGCTACTAGTAGTGGACAAACAAAGCTCTGCATAGTAGATGAATTGAGACGCAGCCCCGTACTATAGATTAATGATAGCGATGAGAATCGGTAGGAGCTTGCAAGAGATTTTATGATGAGCGAGCCGCATTGTTATAGGTGAAGACCCAAGATCCTTACGCCCCGTACATCGTATGAATACGGGATCTTTTCGCAAGCCATACTGAATTATCTGATCAGGCCTTCCGTTTGGGGTCTTTTTATCCAATGGAATACGATTGGCAGAACAGGTCCCTCTATTTAGCCTGTGCTGGGCAGGACAAGTGCTTACAGTGACTCTGCTAATGTCTACTGAAAGACGCTATTTACCTTGGTAGCCAAGCTAAATACTGCTGTAATGAAAAATATGACGCGAGCAATTGTATCTGAAGGCTGTGGATCTGGAGATCAACCACTCAAACTCACCTGAATACGCGAACCCGAGGATCGGTAGCGTGATATCGGGGAAATACACAAGCGGTGGCCCGAGCGTGGTGCCCTGACGTCTGCACCTTCCGCCGAAACCCTGAGTAAACAAACATTGGATGAAAACCCCTACACCGATATTGCCCGCAACGTCAACGCGCCACGACCACGATGGAGTCGTATAATCTCAAAACAGCTTCGTCTTACATCAACAACCTGCTACTGGCGCGTGGTCTGCTACGCGATGGCAAACCAATTGAGTTTGCGCATCCCTCGAGGGGAGAGGGCGGCAAGGAAGTCACAATGGCGCAAATCATCAATGTGGTGCACGACTTGATATTGAAGCGAGATGTATGTTTCCAATCCTCTAGAAGGCAATACCGGAAGGTACTGATGATGCATAGCGCGACCAAGAGTACCGCGAATCCATCGCAAACACGATGCGCACACTCCGCTCCGACTCGACGCGCCAAACGATCGCCCTCGAAAAGCTTCAGGCGCGCAATGAAGATCTTGCGCGCCAACTCTCCCTTGCTAAAGCGCAAGAACACTCGGCACGCAAGGCTCTTAATGCAGCCGAATCATCAGCACGAAAATTGCGCGTAGAGATGCAACGACTCAAAACCACCGTCGAACAAGTGCGAACAAGCTGCACAAACGATGTACGAAAGCGCGACAAAGAGATACAAAGGTTGAAGGGCCACTTGACGAGCCAGCAGCGAGGCAATAAGACGGGATTGGTAGGCGCGAGCATCACCATTAATCCTGGAAATATTGGTCTGGGAGGCTCCCCATACGGTATCCGCGATGATTCATCCGACCTCAACGACCCGGAATATAGTTTGAAACAGGAGACGACTGAGTTCTTGACACAGCTGAGCCAGAGCTTGAGTGACGAGAACGATAATCTGATTGGCCTCGTACGGAGCACACTTCTGACATTGCGGGAACTACAAGGCATGCCAGATAACAGCACACAGAATGATACAGAAGGACTGTCAGTAATTGGCGAAGAGGAGGAGAGTGCGCGACTGGGCATGTCGCAGTCACTCCCTACCGATTATGACACTCTGGCCAATGACATGGACACGGTCCTGGACAACCTCAAGAATCTACTCACGAACCCAAACTTTGTGGCCGTAGACGAAGTGGAACTGCGTGATGAGGAAATACACAGGTTACGAGGGGGCTGGGAGAAGATGGAGGCCCGCTTGCGGGAAGCTTTCATGCTAATGGACTCCTGGCGAAAGCGCATGACGAAGGGCGACACGATCAATTTGGAGGAGCTCAAGATGGGACTCGGTCTTGGCATTGGCCTGGAGTCGGTCAATAGAGACGAGATCTCAATGCTTGAAGGAGACGAAGAAGATGACGAGGAGGGCAGCTCCGTGTTTGACGACACAGTCGATAACGCGGATGAGCAGCAAGACCTTCCCTCACCCAGAGCAGACCATGTCGCAGAGAGGACGACGGGTACCGACATGTTCAAGCTGAAGCTGCAACCTAATCCGTCGGCGCTACAAGAAACGAACGGCAACAAGTCACCAAGCAGATCACCTCGAAAGGTGGCGTTTTCTGCATCTATCCCTAACACACCATCACAGCTCGAGAACGAGAATGTCGAGACGTCTGGAATAGATCTAGTCGATGTAGAAAAGTGCAGCCGCCCATCATCGGCCGCGAAAGCACCACGGTCCGAAGAACGCGTATCCCGATCAACTAGTCGGGATGTACGCGCACCACGCCATGTACGTTGTGACGATATTGCCGACCAAATCATCAAGATGGCCAGCAAAGTCACCTTTTCTTCCCCCCAATCCTCTTTGCTTCTCGACCTGCCATTAATCACCATGTCTCCGCTCAACGTATCTAATGACTTCCGACAGACCAAGAAACGGCACTCCAGCCCACTTACTCATCCCGAGGAGCGATCGCCGAAGCTAACCGTTCAAGATAAGCTTAGGGTTGCAGAAGCAGCCGCTAATGCGAAGACAATCAAGGTAGTCAGTCCGGTCAAAAAGGCGACAGAGGGTGGTAATATGCCGAAGGAGGACGGCCAAAAGCGCCCTCCGAGATCACCGGTCAAAACGAGGATTCGAGGTAGGCCGAGGAGGAAGAGCACGTTGACGCCAGAGGAGCTGGAGAATCTATTGTGTGGTTAGGTAGAGGGGTGATGCATGTACGATGTAGAGAAATGACATTTTTGCTGTGGAATCGGATCATCTGCGTACGTGCATCAGCGCTTCTGCCCTAACAATCTCGCTCTTGTCGAGTTATCAGCAGTGAGGGAGCTGTTGTTGAGGTGGTTGGAGTTTGCATGACCGATGTTTTGCCTGATTGGGTAGTCGACGAGCAACGGTGCATGCGCGCATGGTCGCAGCCAAGGGTTGCAGCGCGTAGGTGGGAGCATTGAATGTGGGTCTTGGGCTCGTCTAATTTATTAGATAATGCAGCTGCAGTGGTCTCTCCGGTGGGCTCTCTCTGCATGGACATGGTCGAGACCTGTAGGAGAGTAAAGCCGTGTGCTCGAGGTGCTTCGTACACCTGATATCGTCGATGACTGTGGCCAAGGACGGTCAGGCAGCACAACCAGGTTGCTATTCCTTAGCTGCATCTGTTCAGTGTCCCGAAAGCTCGACATGTCACTTCTATAGCATACTGGCAGGATCCATCATATTCTGTCAACAGAGACAACAGTTCCATCGGTACCTGAAGTCTCGAAGCGCTGTGCCTCAGCCATCCCGCCTTCCTCCCGCTATTCTCCTACTTCTTGCCTCCTTTCGCTCAACGCCCTCGCGAGCTCCATGCATGCATAGCATCACGTTTGTCTCCACATGGCGAGCGTCGTCGTGCCCAAAGGCTGACCGGAGAAGCAAGGCACTGAGAGCAGATCAGTGAGGTTGGCGATCCGATGTCGTGGTTGGTCGGACGATGCACGCCACTAAGTCTATTAGCCGCCCATATCCTGTTTTGGGGCATTTTGTGATCGAGATAGTCGGTGCCTGCAATGTTGATTGGTACATGCAGGAGATGGAGGCTGGGCAGAGCACAGAAAGACTGTAAATAGGTCTTCATGCGGCCGGGAAGGTGGCTGCAGGCGTTCAGGGTAGTGGCCTTGGAAAAGTAATATCTCTGCATCGGTCATGGCCCCCCCGCCCTCAAGCCAGCCAGCTGTGCCCGTCGAATCTGCAGTGTGACTGAAGGGCATCTGCAACTCGCACATTCTCCCATCACATGGCTCGCGGCGTGCCAGGTCCTATTGGCCTTGTGTTTTCACTGCAAGCCCGTGCGCTACCCGAGGGCCCACCTATGTATTCCCCGCCTGCTATAGCGAATGAGGCGGGAGAGTGAAGGCGCCCGGCTACACACTCCAAGTCGCCCAACCACTCCTGCATCACCGTCAAGCGCTCGCCGTACTTTCGATAGACTGCTCCCCACACCTGATTCCGGTGTGCTCCCTGCGCAAATGGCTGCTGGGCGCTGCGCATGCAATCAATCGCTTCATGGAGCTGCGCGACTTGGCCCGAAGCTGCGTAGCGCACTCTGCCCGCTGCGATTACGCTGCCAACCCCTCGCTACGCCAATCGTCGAACTCCCCAGCTGTGCGATGCGGTGCTGAGGATAAGTAGGCCTGGGGGCCCGCCCATCTCTCGTCTTTTTTTTCTTCAGCAAGCGTGTGAAGTTCTCAGAGCTGTTGTGTTAATCTTTTTTCCCACCCTTTTCCCCTTCTTTCCCTCCCCCAGGCCTGGTGCCATTAATTTTCACTTTTACCAATTATTCAATTCCACATCTTCGTAGCCGGTCTACCTTCATAATACTCCAGCTCTACTTGCTCAACAAATCTTCAAACCAACAAAACACCAAACAACCAACCTTCACGATCTCAGTCAATCAAACACAGCTTCTTCAGCAATCTTTACGTCTATCCATTAGCTTGGCTTCGGACGAATTGAAAGAACTATCAACAACCATAATACCCATTTCAACAGAAAGAACTTAAACAACTTCACAATGGCCGCTATCCAGCTCAACTTTTCCCTCCGCACTTCCTCCAACTGCAAGACCGTGCACTTGCTCGGCTCCTGGGACGGTTACCAGGGTCAGCTCCCGCTCTCCAAGGACTCCAAGAAGTCCGGAGGCTGGACTGGCTGCTTCAAGTTCCAAGGCGCCACCCTCAAGCAAGGTCAGCGATACTGGTACTACTACATCATCGATGGGTACCACGTCTCCCACGACCCCGCCAAGGACCACACCACCGAGCCCACCACTGGCCGCAAGCTCAACATCATCGACATCCCCGCCGGCAAGTCTGCCTCCTCCACCGCTGACCGCAAGTCCCGCCGCGTCTCCACCGCCACCGTTGCCAAGGGCCGCTCGCTCTCCCCAGAGCGCATCGTCGCCCCCAAGCCCCAGCGCCCCGGTCAGACCCGCCAGGTCATCAACACCCAGTACAACAAGACTACCCTCGAGGAGCTCAACCGCCGCTTCGCCCAGCAGTCCGTCGAGGACTCCGACGACTCCGACAACGACTCCGATGTCCCCTCCCTCACCAGCCGCTCGTCCAACAGCTCCAGCCCCTCCAGCGTCAGCTCCACCAGCTCCTGCTGCACATGCGAGCGCTTCGGTATCACCCGTGCTGGTGACCGCGTCAAGCTCGACTGCGGAGGTGCCCGCTGCAGCTACTCTGACGACTCCGAGGACTGCTCTTCCGAGGACGAGTACGTGTACGAGGAGAAGACCACCCGCCGCCAGGGTGTTGTCATCCGCAACTAAGTGCGAAAATTCCTGGACCCACTATTGTATCGCATCGATATGCCTGCTGCTGTCGGCATACCGATTCAAACCTTCTTTTCTGTGCATATTATGATTACGACTTTTTTCTTTCCTAATTCGTTTATTCAAACACTGCCCATCTACGGCATCCGCTCTATTGGAGATTATATATTATTGCTGCTGGTATGGGAGCTGCGAGGAGATTTTTTTTCTCTCATGGGGAAGGAACGACGAGGCAGCTGCCACTGCCGTCAAGCTCAACGGACGTCACATCGGCCCGGATGTCCACAACACACTTCAATGCACGCTTATGTAGAACTGAATCTATGAATTCGCATGGCTCGTGCGCGGAAAAACATATCCTCTGTCTTTTGATCTGATCTGTGTATGTGATGTTATGTTTGGTTGATTGCTTTAGCAACAACTACGAGGAACGACTAAAGTTTGAGACTGTCAACACTGGATATCTCATTGTTCATACGCAGAAGGCCTGTCTTACCCTAGATTGGAAAAGCCCAGGTCCTTGGGAGTACACCGAGCGAGGCTGCATAATGATTCGAACTAATGACTACAACGTCGCAGGCCAGGTATTTCTCAACAAGCATTCAGCCCAAAGGTTGAAAGTTCCTAGTCAGACGAAAGTGGAGTTCATTGCACTGTCTATGATTAACGACAGTTTTAATGGGTTTATGCTTGACTTCAACAACAGTTCCAAGAACCTGTCAATGGCTTTGCTCTATGGCGGCCCTTGCTCCTTTCAAGTTGAAGAAGCCGTAGAGCCAAATCACATTGTGGAGTGTCCCAAGCATGCTAACTTCTTCGCTCCTGTTCCTTCCCAATCGTGACCTCTCCCTTGTTTTCAAAGGTCCTTTTTCTCGGAGGTATGCGGGGAACGTGCACTAACTTTGCCAAAACGTATGGCCGACTTAAGCTACCTCGATAGTCATGGATGTCTATTGCATGACTGGAAACGCCTACCTGAGCTCCATGTAATGTTAATTATCCCGAGGTCGAGTCGTGGCGGAGAAACAAAATTACATAAAAGACTGGGCATTGGACGGATATATCCGAAGATGGATCGAGACTTGACCGGTCTTCGAGAGCATTCTGTTAGAGTGAGTGATTTCATAGGCATATTTGTAACTGGCCTATAATTCTTCAAGAAGCTCCACGTATTTCAATCAAAAGCTGGTGGACTATTCAATCGCAAGGAATCGGACTCCAAAACGTTCTATTCTCCTCGACCTGGCTTCTATAATCATTCTTGGGAAAGTGTAGCTATGATAGCAGATGTCGCCAATTCATTCGCTTCTATAGTATTTACCGCGTCAAGAGTATGATCAGGCGACGGGCCGCAGCTATCTCATGAGCGCGTCGTGATGAGACGACAGCCTCGAAATGCCGAGACATTTTCATTTCTAAAGCTCTGTAATGCATAGACAACATTGAATCTATTCTTGCAAGCTAGACATGTTATCTGAGAGCAAGACTGTTATCCAATACATTGAACACCGAGGAGAGGGGTGAGATAATGTACGAAGTGCACTCATACAACCGACCAACACTGAACCCGAAATATATCTCATAGACTCGCAATCTTCAGCTGTGATAGGGTGGCTCGTATATCCAGCCTAGAACATTCTCCGCCCCATCAACGCGTCCCAGGTAACTGCGCCTCAGACTCGGACAATTCCCACGACCGAAGATCTAAAAGCAGTCGAACCCGTCGCCACGTTCTCAAATACCCGGCTAAGCACTAAAACCTTTCCCTCGGGGTCGATGGCAAGGTCCATGCGGAGGCAGTGATCTGGCGAGACCGTGATGATGGTGGTAGTTGGTCGGGATGGCGATGACCGCTAGAATGGGCGCTTTCGCACGCTCACGTCAGTCGTGTCTTGTGCCAAGCCGTATTCGTCACAATGACTGCAATCGGATTACGAGTTTCTTAGGTTGGCATTCGTTCTCTTAAGAGTTTTGAGTCAGGGTTTTGAGCCTACATATGGTGCGAGTTAAGAGGCCTAGAGAAGTGCGAATCGGTCATGATATAGTCACATCTCCATGATGGCATTCCATGGTTGGTACCTTGGTAGTACCAAAAGTTGAGATCCGTAGTCTATGTAAAATGCAATGTCTCGATAGAATGTTGTCCAGGGATGTTGCGTGTCGAGCGAGTTCAGAGCATCTCTATGGAGGAGGTGGTTGAACGTACGTCTCAGCGATCGCTATTTCTGTAATGAGGCCATTTCGAATGAGGGCAATGGTGTGGAGAGTCGTATATATTTGTAGATACAGACTGTTCAGTGAGCGTAGTCGAGTTGTGCCATCTGTATGGCTATGAGCTGAGCCACTTGTAAGGGCGTTGTATAGCCACTCCGCAATTTGAACCAGTAAGATACTCAAGTTCCGGAGGAAATAGTGTAAGGATCGCAATATAGACAATTAAGAGTGCCCAATGAGATGCGTTAGAGCAGCTTTCAAATTAGTCTGGCGCCTACTCGTAAGAGCAAATCGGGATAGATGCTCAATAGGTTAAGAACTTCCTAGGCATACTTTAATGAAGAGGGTGTGGCTGGTGGCCTGAAAAATACGAAGCTGTAAATGTTGTTGCATGCACCGCGAGTTCAGCCTTGCCGTCGTACCCACTTACCGTTAATAGTGAACCTAGCGTACCTGGCCGCGAGGCTTGCCAGGTTAATATCGTTCGCCATTAGAGAACGATCATGAGTGCTGTCGCCAGATCCTGAAACTCCAAACAAGCTCAATATCCAGATTGGGTTATCGATGGTATTGAGAAAAGTATGGGTTAGCTAGACCTTGAACTGGTAGATTTCAATCAATCCGAACAGAAAGCCGGCGGATTTTGTTATATGTGCTCGACGTTCACGTTGACTTCTGATATACCAAGTCAGGTTGTGAAGTATGTTGTCGAGATTGACTCGACGTCCTCTACAGTGATGGAAATAGGGTCCCCGTCAAGTCTGGCAAGACCAAGACAATCAAATTTAGTAGAGCCATGGAAATAAAAAGCAAGGTAGACTTGCTTAGATACCGGTGAACAGGAATACACGGAGGATCACATAACCAACCGACGGAGAGACCCGCTGGATGCCTGGATCTAAAGCTGTGACTGTAGCGCAGCCCCGCCTTGGAAATTCGAGAGCGGTACGAACACGTATGAATAGAGAGTCTCAGGCGACAGGCGCGGTACGAGTCGATAAAACAATACGTGACAGGCTTCGCCCTGCGCCCGTAGCTGCGCTGTCGGCGGAGCGTAAGGAATGGTCGGCAGGAAGCAATGGTACTCGTGGAGTCATTACAAGGCGCATCGTGTTGATCATTGAGTTGAATCGATTACCAACTAACTGCGATAGGGCTGAAGCGACTCGCCGAAATCAGAAGATATCTACTATTGGGGATCAGCGGTAGCGGCAGAGGCCTAAAACTGGGTCATGAAGCAGCAGCGCCGGAACGGAGTCAAGTTTGGTCATAGTACCAGGAGTATGATTTGATGATAAAGACGTGCGAAGGAAAAGCGACGGCTCTCACACCGACGAATGTGCATGCTGTTGAGGGTGACATGTTGGAAAGATGAGAGGAAAGAGCGGTGGCACAACACGGCGCTAGCGCGGACCAGTGCCGAAGCGGCTTGGCAGATGACGTCTCTTCGCTACGCGTGCGTTCTAGAGTACACTATAATGCTTTGGTTTACTATTTGTGAGTCTACTCGGAATCCTTCGGCTTGAGATGCGTAAATGGGGGGGCTTTCTCGAGTTCGGATGATTGCACCCTCGTCCGGGTATGGCCCCATATATTCGCAAGGCAGATTCGAGCTGCACCCAAAAAAAGATTTGTGATATTCCGTATTGATGATATTGTGCAAACTGCGAAACAGAGTGGGAAAGAGTGGTAAAGAGTGGTGAAAGGAAAATAAGGCTCATCAGCCAACTCCAATGGTATGCCAGTTCCTGCCCGTGACCAATGTGCTATGCAAGCGATAATTCCTGCGTCTTCCTAATCGTACATGCCAGACTGATAAACTAAAATAAAATCTCCCTTCTCCCACAAACATACCATCCGGCCTTAATATTTCATAACCCTAAGAAACTCCGTGCTAATGCGTGTGCTGTTGTGTCGAACGATAGAAACCAGATCCAAGAAAGTGCTGCCCAGCATCGCACCGAGGGACTCGCTCGAAGAAGTGAAGTGATATTGCTTGTTGTGTGTGATGAAAGGAACCCTGGAGGTATAGAGGAAGCCCAAAGCCATTCGCTCATTGCCGTGCAAACGTGTGATGATGATATCGTCGGGCATTCATCGTAGCGATGACGGCGGGTACACGCCGCTCTCGTAGCCGGAGTCTGGTAGCACACCAGTGTAGGCAAATTCAGGTCGGTGGCTGCTATGACGACTACAGGCGTAGCCTACAAGGACTGTCTTCTCTTGAACCATGTGCCCGCGCTGGCCATGAGCAGCACATGGATCGACAGCGTGCTTATGGTATAAGCAGCGGCAGACCGAGTAGCGTTCGACAACCTGATAGCACATTTTGACGAATGTTGACTGGATAATGGCAGATTTGAGGCAGGAGAATAGCGGACTGGAGTGGAAACGTGTTGATGAAGCTTGAACGCCGATAATGCAAAGCAGTAAACAGATTGCAGAGTGAAGTGGATGAGATTGATGGGAGGGTACTATGACATGATGAGCGAGGAGCTGGCATATATAGCGGAAGGAGTGAAGACGACGCAGGAAGCACAAAATAGTGTGGGTCACATACAGTAGGCATATTGTCGAGTATCTGCAGGTCCGTCAGGCAACGAAGACCCATGCGTCGGGATGGGTGCACAGTCAGCCGGGTGCTGCTAAGATGGGGTAGTCGAAGAGAATTAGCATAGCCATCATGACAGTAGTTGACTGTAAAGAAAGTAGTATGGTCTTTGACCGTAACAGGGGTAGGTAGTTCACTTCTTGGAGGCTCTTTCAGCTGCCACCGATCATACGCCCAGCATTCCCATTGGCTTGTGGATGGGGCCATGTAATCAGTCTGGAACCTTGCAAGAAGTTGAGTAGGGAGCTTCACGTTGCGGATATCAAGGGAAGTGGGTACGCAAGGTTACAAGACGGGGAGCGAATGAGGATATTACAATATCCCTGTAGTGTGCGGCGACGGGGCCATGCGAGTGAGCCATGTTACTGTACATGACCCATGTTGAATTGTGTCGTGCGCGCTCAAATCAGGTGTTACGATCTCTAGTGACTCTGATCGGATCTGACAGCCAGGCTGTTGAGTGTCAGCCACACTCTTGGAATAGCGAACGGCTTGTGGGCGGGGAGAGGGGCAGTGACTTTCTGACGTAGATTACTCAGGCTCGGACCTTTGCGCACCCACCCTACCGCTGGCGGTCAAAGTGATTCTCCCGGCGGCACCTGTCGCGCAGCAAAAGACGCGGCACCGGTTCGCAGAATCTTAGCGAGAGCCGAGTGCAAGAGAATGGCACACCGGTACGATATTTGGAGAAGAGAGGAGAGGAGTTGCCCAAGCCATGGTTGGAAGGGCACGTGCGGGATCTCAACGCTAAGGTTTCCCCTTTGGGGCAGTGGCTTTATTTTTGGTGGCAGCTCCTCCCCACCAAGACCCGTCCACGGGTGTTACCATGCTCGAACAACGGACGTCAATTCAGCTATCCACGCCCGTCGACGTTGATGCCGGTCAAAGCGTCGAGAGAAGATGACTTGTTTCCTCATCAACTTCCCCAAGAAGTGCATGGGCTTGCAAACGTGCCCGCCAGGAGTTTTAAGGCTGATCAGCTGAGTGTTGCCTGGCAGCCTGCAGATTAACCCATGCAGGTGGAAAATTAATTATTCCCAGACTGATATTCTAACTGGCCAAGGTCTCCTTCGTCCGTTGCACAACAGTCCTACACTCGTCGGCGGACGAAGTACACCGCTCGCGTACCGAACTATGGTGCTGCACATGTTGTCGCTCTACTGTATCGCCCCAGAACAGTAACTATTTGCAAACAAGTAGCCGGCCAAGAATGCCAGTCAGCCATGCCGCGCAACTCATTACCTTTTCGGAACCCTTCGAGCGTCCAATTCTGGTTGGGGTATGCTATTCACCGCCGGCTTGGTTACGCAGCTGCGAGCTTAGCTGCAACGTTTGACAATCATGCAGCCCTATGCACTCTCCCGTTTCCTGGACCCACGTGGCTGTCGTCTGCATGTCTCACCCAGACGTTCTGCAAAACGTTTGATTTCTCTCTAGATGATCTTTAGTCGCACCCTCAACGATGTCAATTACCACTAGACGTTTCAGACCCTGAAAGATGAAAGGCCCCAGATACGAGACGTACACTGGCCCCAGGATAGATTTCCTCTATTCAGTAAATGAAGGTCTTACGCCCGAAGCAGTCATCAGGATGCTGGCCCCCATCACAAGTCTGTAGGCGCAAGAGGGGGAACGTATAAGGCAGACTTTGCTGTCCTATATTTGCCGACGGCTTAGTTACCAAGCCTTTTCTTTGCAAATGTTATTGTTGAACATCGTAATAACTTTGCGCAGAAAATATATCGGATCCGATAGGTTCGCGTATCCCCTCGAATCACGAAAGACAGTAAGCTAACGAAAGCTCCACATTTCAGCTGAAATGCTGCGCAATAGGCATCATCACAAGAACATGACATGCGAACGCGGTGCAGACCAGGTCTATGACCGCAACACGTCACCTCCTCTTCCTCTGCAAATGTTATAGCATCCAATAGCTGATTAGTATACCTCAACCGAGAGCCGAATATCTCTTAGCGCCCACTTACATATTGTCGAGTCCTACAAGGTCCAGTGGAATATAGGCCTTGGTTATCGCTAAATCTCCATCAAAATTCACTCGAAAAAACAACCACTACCACCTTCTATCATGTACGTAGTCAAGGTAGCATCGAGTAAAGAGTCAATGGAACTCACCACTAGACGTGGAAGGTGCAACTCCCTCTGAAAATCGCTGCCTAGTGATCAGACATATGGCGATTCACCGCTTCGATTCTGTATGTGTCAGCTCACCTGCATACATCCAACCTTTTCCACACACCACCACTTGAATCCTTCCCAGCAATGAAATTCCACGGACCTGGGATAAGGTAGTCCAACGGGTAGATCTCCCTAGGCCGCGTCATGACTGTTAGGTTGCTGTCCTACTAAGCACATTTCCATCTTGAAAGCGACTCGTACTCACCGGTCACTACGCATGGTCGGCCCCGAGGAAATTGTAGCGGTCAGTACTCTAGAAGTGGTCGTTGTGTCGCGTCTGGCGGCAAACTTGCAACCCCCAGCGACGCGGGTCCAAGACGGCGATAAGTGGACTTATGCTCGACACCCAAGCAGAACATCGTCAAATGATCATTTCCGGGCTGTTATTGATCTATTTCAAATCAGTCTCCTTGATGACTGATACAAGAGGAGGCTTATTCGGAAGGCAGGTGACTTCTGGATCGACTACGTGCCACACACACACGATTTTCTCCACTACATATAAATAAGGAACATACTATTATCCTACGAAATGAAGTCAACAGAAATTCTCTTACTATACCACACTAGTTCTTTATACCCGACAAACAGTGTTAGTAGACGAATAACTCACCTCCATTTCTAACCTAACCCACTGAGTGGACACACTACCATTACGTCCTGCATCATATTTTTATTTGCTTCACTTACACCCTGTTGGGTTTCAGTATTCTTACACAGTAGTGAAACCCCTACTATTACTAGAGTCTGATTACCCTCGCAAACCTGTAGCCCTTACTTCAATCCACACCAACAGCTGAAGGTAAAAAAAAACATACTACGAAATGATCAGACTTCAAATGGCATGCAGATGACATTGAGAGCGGGCACGTTCACCTACTACCTTGAAGTCCGGAAGCAGACACATGGTAGCTGGAGCTATACAAGATGATCAGCAAGTAGCTAAAGGGAAGCGAGGTAGGATTGGCACACACAAAATCCAAAGGGCATCGAGGTGAGTCTCTTCGTTTAGTATACACGCTCAGGTTTGAAGGCCCCGAAGAAGAACTGGAAGCCAGTTCCCCGGACACCCACGCCTTGTAGGACAGTTACCTCTTATTATATAGGTACGCGCAATACCACGTTCGCTTTACAGTGAGATCATATCAAAATAACAGATCCGTAGCTGGTACATTTCTTCACTGCTAACCGTGTGAGCCTATGCTGAATATGAGAATAATGAATAACTCGATACAACTAGTGCGATAGTGGAGTTACATCGATCTAGTCAGCCTTTTAATCAGTTAATCCTTTGGACTGACCATAGGGACATCTTATCTGCTCCAAATCATGAAGTACCTATGCCGTTGCTGAAAATACTAGCGGCACTATCTATCCGGAACCAAAATAATCTTCGAACTGATGGTTGGCTTCAGCACGCCAAGCCTCGACTTTAAGTCGAAATATTTGTACAGCTAGCCTTATCTTAAGGATCCGCTACCCTCGTATATGTTTTCCTTCATTCAAACCAGGTTTTCGCCAGTCCAACTACAACATCAGTGGGCTTTAGATTACTAAACACCTTCGCTTCATATCACCTGCTTAATCGGGCCTAGAGGGGTGACCGAGAACCTCGTTGCGGCCACTCCGCATCCTTCCTCAATGGCAAGGCTGCAAGGATATCAATCCTACTTACGGTAGAGAGAACAGAGTAAAACAAGACCTTGGCCCAGTTCTGAACAAAGCTTGAACGCTGTCACTCCCCATATCCGGTACCCTTCAACAAGGCGATAAACGCAAGCGCATACTTCAAAGTGTGAACAAACGTCACAACAGCTTTTCCTTCCCTGGACGGGTATTCTCGCATCCATCCGTGTCAGCCGCAGCTCCGAACAGAACGGTGGCCATGTCGTCCGCCATCACTCAAACCGTGCGGATAGTCATGATCGCGCAATTCGCCGCCATGGCCACAGCACAAATGCAACTCGCAAAACGCGACAAGCACACTCTCGGCCTAGCATTCGGGCTCAGCGCCGGCGTTGGCGCTGCTGGCATGCTGGCTCTTATCCTCATCATCTATTGTCTTCGGCAGCGTCGAAAGCGGAGAAGGGCGGCTGGGTTGGAACCGGAGGAGGAGATGGGGGATTGGTGTACCTGTAAAGATTGTTCCGGGTGTAAGAGGAAGAGAGGTGGTGGAGATGGGAGTCAGAGTTGTTGGAAGTGTAGGCAAGGATGTGCAACGTGATGGAATGTTATGGTAGGTCAGAGGGGTCGAGATGTACAGTGAATGCGTAGAGCAACAGAGTATTAGAAATCGTAATTTCATTGGGGCATGGGAATTGCACTCTTGGAATAAGTAAAGACGGGTAGAAGAGAAGGGACATAGACCATGAACTAAAGGTTCAATTTCAGGCTGGTTACATTTTGTATTAATGAATGAAATCTATTTCTGTAGTGGTACACGACTTTCAAATGTAAAAGACTTGGGGTATAACAATCATCCACACCCATTGCGGCAACAATCTCGTGCCAGTCGCCTCCCGAAACGCCAGAACATGCATCGTCGAATCGTGAAAATGATACAACCAGACAGTTAGACAAAGATCCTCTCTATCCCAGTCCCGAGAGAGGAGATTTATACGAAGACACCGTAAAGGACTATCAGGCCCATAGCCCAATACCCAGTGTACTTGCCCAAAGCAAGGTGGACGGCAGCACCCTCGTCGTCATCGGCGCCTCCAGGCGCTGTAGTACCATTGGGAAGAGTGCCGTTGAGAACGAGTGTCTTGATACCGTCGATATCGGAAACCGTGATGAGTGTCTTGTTGAGAGCAGCATAGCTGCCGTTACCAACCAGGTCGGTCAAATACTGTTGATCCTCATTCTCGTCGCAACCACAGACGCTGAACTCCTGGCACAAACACTTGACTGGCAACGTCTCGTTGGCGCCAGTTTCTCTCGTCGACAGCGTTCGGTTGGCGACAGCGGACTGGTTACGGAAGCGGTAGGGATTATTGTAGTTGTATGGGTACACGTTGTAAAGCCAAATACCGGGCATGATGGCGAGAATTGCGATAGGGGCGATCAGGGCACCGGCGATAAGGCCCTTGGGTGTTCGCGATCCTGCGGAGTAGGGAACAGCTGCGCCGCCACCGTAATATCGTCCACCGCCAAATGCGCGCGAAGGTCCTGAGCCAGCGCGCGTTGAGCCGCCACTCAAAGAGCTGGAGCCGGTACGGGAGGAGCCACCGCTGGAAGAACCGCTGCGTCCTCCGCCTGAGCTCCCGCCGCCTCTGCCGCCGCCACCTTTGCGCTTCTCCAAGGTATGATCTGGGGAGACGACGTCGACAGATCGGGGTTGTTCGACGGCGATGAGCACATCGTTGGCGCGTGGTATTGATGTAGCGCTGATGGCTTGTGTGGCGAGCGCGAACAAGGTGAACGCTTGTGATACCTTCATAGTGAAGTAGGTGGTTGTGGTGTTGATGTGCAACGGTTGCGCGAAGAAGGGTAATGCGCGACAGTCGGTGCCGGGTCAGGTATTGCTAATAAGGCGTCCAAGGTATGGTGATCTGATATAAGCAGGCCTAGGAAGTTTGCTCGGTGATGGTGGAGCCGTTTGTTTTAATGTAGGGTAAAGAAGGTACAACTCGAGAAGCGGCAAGCGTGGGTCTTTAAAGATGCAGTCCGTAAAGTCACAAAGGGTAGCACAGCCCTGCGTCATCCATGAATGAAAAAGGCTGAGGCGAAACACGGGCTAGAAGGCTAATAAGCTGCAGCCACAGCCACAACATTGACCTCTTATGCCCTGGTTCCTGAGAGAAACTAAAGTATGTAGCCAATCCAAATGCTAGGATTATCACGCTGTGACTATTCAATAATTTATTTCCACAGGCCAGTCAACCAACGGCTTCAAGTTGCGAGAATGTTCGCATTCCTTGACAATCATGAGGTACCCATCGGATACGCTCTCATCGCCTCCAAGCCTGCCCTTGAGGAGCTAGGGCGTATACTCGTGACGTGTAGAGTGCGCGAAACCACTTGGAAATATGACCTCATCTCGTCGATTGCCAAGACACTATTAGAGATCTTCCAAAACAGCGTGTGGCAAACGCGATCTCGTGATGAATATCCTGACAAACTGTAATGCAAGTTGGGCACGCTATTCGATTGCGCCTCGTTATGAGAACGCGCTCGAATTGGGCGGTCCCATGGCGTGCTGATATTGGGTGTAACTGAGCTTAAAGCGTCAAGAATTTAGAGATCGCCCGTTTGCCCCAACCATAACTCCAGCTGTGGTGTCATATTTTAGTCGCGACTGTATCTCATTGATGGAGCTATTATTATAATAGTAACTGTGTTTGTGTGTTTGATCATCAAGGTTAATTGTGCTGTAAACCAGTAGGCGCTATGCAAGGAGTTTGACCATACTACGATGCATGAAAGAAGAGTGCAGTCTTATTGTACCGTAGCACCGGAAGATCCTTGCCTCCTCTCCTACAAATTGACACAATGCACTACGACGTAGTCAAGCATGAGGATGCCCGATACATGACTTCTCAGTGTCCGTATTACTATGGAGCGACCGGTAGGTGCTGCGGCGATTGCTCCATGCTCTAAGACGACTTCCCACCCGTCAACCCCGAAAGCCGCATATGGGAGTCGCAATGTACCCAGACACTTGCAGTTCTAGTAGCAAGGCGCAAGGCTAAGTCGACATTATTGGAGTGGAGCGGAGCGGAGTGGAGTGAACCGGTGGCGCAGCCGGGCACATGGTGCGCCTAAGGCATCCTCGGTTGCGGAGAGCAAGGCTCAATATGTCCATGTACCTTTCGGTCACCGGCAGCAGTTGCAGTGTCAAATACAGTGATCGGCATCATCCTATCACCGGGCTGATCCTTCTGGCTGTTGCGGAGTAACAGGTCCTCCACCATCTGATACAGTCTGATATTTCTTGTATTCCTCCTCCAATGCCTTCTGCATCTCGAAATCCGCCAGTCGCTCGCGTTTTACTCTTTGTTGTTCGTAGTCTCGGATGACACCAGCGTGCATTGCCTACAGTTATGTGTTAGAGTGGGACAATGCCTGCGGAGTGGTCTGAGGGTAACGAACTGCTTTATCTGCTTTCTGCGAAAGATGTACAAATGCAACAATGCCAATCGCAGTGACACAAGTAGTGGCCAATGTGATCTGTGATGCTCGAGACATGGTAGTGACCGATGCAAGCGTCTGGAGGAGTGACTGAGGTGTTGCGTGAGTTGCTGCGGGAACTTTTGACGCAAGGAGCTTGGGCCTCACTTCCTGCCAAGTCCAGCCGCTGCATCATGCCTCTGCGCAACTCTTCTTTGCGATAACGAACGTCTCCACGCAACTACAATTCAAGATGGTAAAGGCTCTCAAATTCGTAGTCCTAGAATATATCACTAACACTCTTGCAGTCCGCTCAAAACTCCGCGGGTATCCAAACGCTGCTCGATGTAAGGCAGTACAACCCACTATGGCCTCCGCGTAGCTCACATAGAACATAGGCAGAGCGGGACGCCCAGAAGATTGTCCAGCAAGGTATTTCAAAGCCCGTATCTTCAGCTGTGCGTATTTGCTAACAAGTCTTTAGCAAGAGAATGTATATGCTCCCAAAAGACCCCGCCGCGGCATCGATCTAACCCTCACAGACCGCACGAAGCGGGTAAAGGACGCCCGAAACGAAGCACAGAAAGAGATCGAGGATTACAGGAAAGAGAAGGAGGACGAGTACCAGAAGTTCGAGAAGGAGGTGCGCATTCACTACCCTAAATGGCGTTTGAATGCCGATCTAACCGTCATTTAGCACAGCTCAGGCAACCAGAAGGCTGAGGAGGATGCGAAGAAGAACACCGACGTCAAAGTGAAGGAAATCGATGAGCTAGGCAATAAGTCGGGCAGCAAGGTCGTCGACCAGCTCATTGAAGCTGTCGTAAATGCGAAGCCCGAACCTCCGCGGAAGGACGAGTAAGATATTCCTTCAAGTCTCAACTTTCGGAATTATCCAGCAATGTGTGTGGACTAGAGGGCGAAGTCATGGCGGACCAGGCTCGGCTGCAAAGTATAGCATGTCGAGGAGTGCTTTTGTACATGATCATCACCTTGTCAAGGGCGAGCTACTATCTCAGACATACGAGCAATACACGAATCATCACGAGAACGACTAGTTCTCTCATTACTGCATACATATCTCACTATGGTACTGTTGGATCTATCGCAGTGGTGGAGTTCGTTAAGCCTTTGCTAGGTCTCTAAGGCTTCCATTTGACACCTGCAAGAAGAAATCCACTTACAAGCTCCTTGATCACCGACAGCGCTATCTCGAATTCAAGTGTGTTAGAACATGCCTATGAATTCCAAACCCGGTGCTCATTAGACTTCTTGCTCGATCTGTGTCTAGCCATCACATGCATGTTCGTAGACCCCTGTCCATGTTTGTTGCCTTCAAGATTACGTCACCGCGATGAGAACCGAAAGTTGGAGCTCAAGCTTCAGCATCATTGCACCACACCTTACGATGCGCAACACCCAATGATACGAATATGTGCCCGAGCGGCTTTTCGCTCGCCCAGTATAGCTCCACTGCGATGTTCGCTCGTGTACCGGGAGTTCAGCGGTACCCAATGGCACAAGGAAGACCCGCGCATCCAAGACTTCGGTCGTGAGATCACGGATGACTACGCTGTGATGCGCGAAAGATATGGTGCATATGGCCCCCGATTCGACTTTGAAAACATCGCTAACTTGTTGCAGATGCTCCAGTACGAACCGCGATACCACCTGGCAGCATCCTCTCCTAACCAAGCGTAGAAAAATACCATTGTCCTCGCTCACGGGCTCCTCGGCTTTGACGAATTACGCCTTGCAGGAAAGATTATACCTGGCATTCAATACTGGAGAGGCATTACGGATGCATTAGCAGCGAAGGGTATTGAAGTTATTGTGGCTGCTGTTCCGCCTAGTGGAAGTATCGAGGCGAGATCCGCGAAGCTGGCCGAGAGCATTGCGCAGAAGGCGAAGGGAAAACAGGTCAACATAATCGCGTACGTGTAAACTAGTTATGGACAACTGGAGGTAACACCACTGACATTCTGCAGACATAGCATGGTATGAAACACATTGACTTCGTAGAAAGCGCACAAGTGCTGACATCTGGCTAGGGGTAAACAGCATCCTTCTCCTCTGATGACCTAGTGCTGAACAATCGCAGAGGCCTTGACTCCCGATACATGATCAGCCAGCTTCGACCGACCGACTTCAAGATCCTCTCCTTGACTACCATAGCCACTCCGCATAGGGGCACTGCTTTCGCGGACTACATGTTTGAGACGATTGGCCGTATGTCAGACACAACGACCGAAAGATACTCACTAATTTGATCTAGCACGTCGAATCAAGCGGATCTATAAGGTGATGGAATTCTTCGGTTTCGAAACCGGGGCTTTCTCACAGCTCACACAAGAGTACATGAAGAACAACTTCAATCCTAAGACACCAGATATAGCGGACGTCAAGTATTACTCCTATGGAGCGTCTCTTGAGCCGAATAGTTGGTCCGTGTTTGCGGCTTCACATGCGATCATTAAGCCAAAGGAAGGTGTCAATGATGGATTGGTCAGGTACGTTCCACGTTCAAGGTGCTTTGAACGCTAGCTGACTGGTTCTCAGTGTATATTCGAGTCAATGGGGTGACTACAAAGGAACTCTGATAGGCGTAAGCCATCTTGACTTGATCAACTGGACGAACCGCTTGAAGTGGTTCTTTTGGGAGCTCACAGGGAGCAAGCGAAAGTGGGAAACCCTAACTTCCAACTTCTGGGCTTCCTTGTGCTAACGCCGAGATAGCTTCAATGCCATTGCATTCTATCTCGACATATGCGGTAAGATCCTCACTATGAAGTGTCACATGCGAACTAACACGGGCTTGCAGATATGCTGGCGAAGGAAGACCTATAGCTTGTGCCGCCTGATACGCGCCAATGTCGAAAGAAATATTTACAGCCCTCAAAACAAGTACAGTAAGTACGCCCGACGCGCGTTTGAGTTAGCCTGGCCTGGAGCGTCATGTCTGGTAACAGAGTGCTGCAGTGAGGTCAGGGACACTTCAGCCCGGAAGCCCGGCAGCGCGATAGTGGCTGTGGCTGTGGCTATGCATGTTTGACGATCTGTTTGGGAGTATATGTCGCAAAGACTGCACACCCTCTGGCTTGAGGATTGTTATCAGGAGGAGAGGGAAATTTTGAAGAAGTATTAGGAATATGGCGTCGACTGGAGATGGTCGTTGCTTTTGGCAATCGGTGTTGGAGGAAGTCGCGAGCTGGGATGACGTTTGCGGGGACCCTGAACAGTTTGAGACCCCGCCGACTGCCGTGACATGTTTTCAGCCTGCAATCACAAACGCTCAACCGCTATTGACACGCGTACCTCGGGCTTAGCCGCTATAAGCACCACACTGGAGCGCTAAACACATCTTAAACAAGCAGTAAAGTTTCCAACCTTCGCATAAAGTCCTCCCTGATATGTCGGTGCACCCCCACAAGCGTTGCGACTACCCATTTACATAGCAGACCAAAGCACCAAGTAGAGAGCCGTCGAATCCTGGCACCAAAGCATTCACTCAGTCAAAATGTTCGTCTCCATAGCTCTGGAGCACCCGCATGAGCACTACACCAACCTTGACGTTATACAAGGGAAGGTGGCCCTCAGGGTACCAAATCCTACCAATGTTAGCAGCATCGTAGTGAAGCTTGAGGGAGAGTCGCGGACACGGTTACTGGCACCGATACATCCAAACAGACCGGACAAGCAGAGACCAGTTTTGGAAATCCACAAGTTCCTGTACAGGACACAGGTCGTGTGGCCAGAGCATGCGCGCCCGGAAGACCTCGTCAACAATCCCAAGGCGAGCTTTACGATAAATGCGGGATCGTTTGAGTATCCTTTTCAGTTCAAAGTGGGTCACATCATAGATGCCTGTGGTGGTGTTTATTGCTAATGAGAGGACAGATACCTCTGAACACTTCATGTCAGCAGACGAACAGCCCCATCTCGACCGTCTCCTTCTCGAACGCGATACCCGAGTTTGCGAAGACGCCCACACAGCACATCAAGGCCACGCTTCCACCGTCATTATCTGGCTTCCCAGGCGAAGCAGAGATTCGATACTTCGTAAAGGTTACCGTCAACCGCCCGCAGTTCTTCAAGGAGAACCCCAGGTCGACTGCGAACTTCACTTTCCTCCCGATCGAGCCGCCGCGACCAGAGAAGGCGGATGGAGAAGCATACGCAAGGAGACAACATCAGTTTTTGGAAAATGCGCCAATGGTGGCAGCGGACAAGAAAGCGGGCTTCTTCGATAGGAAGAGCTCGACGAACAGCCCTCCGAAGTCACCAACAACAGGAAGTGTGCCACCGCGAGTAACCATCGATGCTCGACTGCCGAATCCTGCGGTTCTTACCAGCAACCAAGATATTCCGCTACGGCTATTGGTGAAGAATGTGAGCGAGCGAGCAAAGAACATATACCTACAGATGCTCCAGATCCAGCTGATAGGCTACACCAAAGTGCGCGCCCACGAGGTCGCTCGCACGGAGTCAAACAGCTGGATACTATGCTCCTTTAGCAACATGGCCATCCCCATCGGCTCTCCCACAGACGCAGTAGACACAGAAGTCCCCATCAACGCAGAATATTGGTCCGGCAAACCCATTCCCAACACCGTGCCACCAACGTTCACAACCTGCAATCTTTCCCGTTTCTACGAGGTTGAAGTACGCGTCGGCATAGGATATGGAAGCTACAAGCACGGCGAAGACCAACTCGTAGTCCTCTCACTGAGACTACCAGTCAAAGTCTACTCTGGCATCGCCCCTCCCATGGCCTTGCTAGAAGCATCCCTAACAGGGGAACCGGGAAAGTTAAATCCTCCTACATTAAATGTGCCACCGACACAACAGCAACCTCCGCACACACCTACTACGCCTACGCACGGCGGCTTCGGAAATAGTGGGGGTGGATTCTCTGGCCAGCCGGTGCAACCTCAAGCTGCTGCTCCTGGTTATGATGAGGCACCACCACCCAGCTACGAAGAGGCCATTGGACATGATTTGCCGCCAATAAATGGGTACAGAGGGAGTTACCAGCCTCCGCCTGTGCCCGACGATGCCCCGAGTCTTTCGGGTGAGAAAAGGCGATGAGGGAGAATGGACTAGACGCAGTGGCAAACCATTGGCGAAGTGCGTGAGGCTAGTAACAGTTCCAGACACAACACGCGACCAGGATGAAGAACGTTGGGCCGCAGTCAAGGCCTGAGAGCGGAGATGCAGAAGTGGAGACATGCACGAGTTGTCGAAAGAAGCCTTCCTTCTGCCCAGTCATCACACCTTCTAACAGCCTTATGGAACACAGCTACCGGGAATGGAGAGGCTAAGACAAAGAATGGTTTTATACTATGTCACAACACTAGAATGATTGATAACCAACTATTGCAGTGTTCCGTTTCATCTTCATAATCGTGCTTCCAAGAGCTCAGTTGCGTCATCTGTGCTCACGGCAATAGTCTAGGTGTATTTGAAGCCAGAAGTCAAGCATGGCGGGGCACTGAGTGTGACCGGTCAGAGTGGCGGCAAAATGCCACCATGCAAGTGAGGCATTTACGCGGTCGTGGGGAAATAGTCGCGATGTCGCGATGCTGCTCGCCTGATCGACCTTCTCAAGACGCGACGGGCAGCGATCTGTAAGGATGGCGTGTTATGATGTCCAGCTTTGTGTTGTGATATCGCACACTGGCGCGTCTTCTAGTACGAGGTCACCATCACACGGTTCGAAGCGACATAGCTGGTTAATGATTCCTCTAGATGCACGTCGACCGTATTAACCATGAACATGAAAATCATCGGGTTGTAGCCGTTGGTGATCGAAGATACAAAAATCCAACTTGCTCCAAACACTTACTAGAATCCAGCAAGGGCGTCGCGATAGGTTTATGGTGTTTACATCTGCTAAGCCACAACGGCACGCGCCTTACCGGTACCGTACCGGCTAGCAATCGATAAAAATCGTGGAGAGAGACCGTGTATGCCGCCCACCATCCAAACTAACGCGACACCCGGCACCAATGCAACAACTGCATCTGTTATTGTTTTGGATCCTCGAATCGCGACTCTCTACAGCAACGTCTGGGTCGCGTGTGCGGCGGATCTAGTGGGAACTAACGGCCGGCAGACGCGTCGTACCTTTCTCTCGACGATTGACCGCCAGTCCTGTGTGCCCAGCCACCTCCTCCAAGCTTCTACTGCAGGACTACTGCAGAGCGTGCATGCACTACCTTGTGCAGCCCATGATCTGGTTGGCCACAAAGAGTGAAACGTTTCATGCCGGCTCCAGGCTCCAGCCCCACCTGGCCGGATGGTCGAATCGTCGCGTCAAACACCATAAAGACACGCTCTCCCACCGCGAGATGGTCGTGTTTTCCTCTCAATACTCTGGCCGCATCGAGAAGAGTCGGGCTGTCGAGCGGAAGACTGGATAGGAACTCGACATGTTTGACTCACACCTGCGTCTCACGTGTACCATGGCCCCGCTTTGGAACATCAGTGGTAAATACTGGGACTATGGGATGGCCGTGCCTGGATGACTTGTTTCCTGAGGTTTGCGAACACTGGCTGTTTGAAACAAATACACCATTTCTTCCTACACTATCACGATATTTGACGAATCTTGACGATTGGACGACGACTTTGATATATTGAATGCGACAACGACCACAACCATATTCATGTATTCCCAACGACCACCACCACCGCCACCGGCGCTGAAGCGAACGCATTCGGAAGAGAGCCAGAATAGCTATGCCAGTGCGGCGACGACTGTGTCGCGCGCGAGCTCGAAGCTGCTGTTTGGCGAGATTCCGTTGACGCCTGCGACGACAGTAGATGGAAGATGTAAGAATACCTTTGCGCTATGCGCCAACGCGCAACAGTGTTGACCAAGTCTAGCGACGCGCACGAACAGCTTAGTTTGCAACCTGGTCATGTCAACAAGTTCAGTCTTCTTACGCTTCTGGCTGAATGATCAATGCCGCGACAACTTGCTAGAGCATCTGGAGCCTGAGGATCTTTCCAACTTCCGTCTAGTGTGCCATGATTTCTCCTCAAAGGCTGCGCCGCGTCTGTTCGAGTCTATGACTGTTACTTTTAAAACTTCATCCTTTTCCAAGCCGGCGCGCATTGAGGCGCTGTCAAGGATAGGGCGACATGTCAAGACCTTCACCTTCCACATGCCCCATGGACCGGATAGCTTTTTACCACCTATTGTCGACCCAGAGACTGGCGAAGAGAAACAGTTTTTTTACGAGCCACACGTTCAGAATCCGCAAAATGGCCCAGCGAAAGATAAGACCCCCAAGTACGGCAGCTGGGAAATGCAAGACCTTCTTATTAAACAATACCCTCCCCTCTTCCACGCAGCGACCAACGTACCTGCATTTGTGTCCGCCTTCTCAGAGCTTATCAACCTCACACACCTCACAGTCTCGTGCCCAGGATCGAACCATGCGCCACGACACCGTCGAAGCGCAGTAGACTATGCGCTCATCTCCCTCCGCATAGCAGTTGAGCGTGCACCACTTTACAGCCTCTCTTCACTCTCCCTCCATCCTATACATCCCGGCGGCCTTCTCTACCTCCATCCCATGCACGGGTTCGGCAGCACACCCTCATCAGCCAAGCGATGGTGTCAAATTCATCGGCTGTCGATATGCATGGACTCGATTCCCTTCTCCTCCACCTCGATGCGAACACGCGCTCAGTCCTTGGAACACCTCCGCATATTACACGCCTACCTGCGCACCTTATCGCGTGGTCTAACACGCCTCTTCTTCCGCTGGAAAGGCGAGCGCGGACCCTCTCCTCTATCACTTGATAGAGAGCCATGCATGCTACCTGTACAAGAAGAATGTATGCACCCTTCTATGCGCGGTCAAGTCCGTGGACCACGACCCCTCAAGTTCGCACGTTTGCGTTACATGGAGCTTGAGAACGCTGTCATGGACTCGACACAGATTGCGGATTTTATCCACAAACATCGGCGTAGCTTAGTCGAGTTCAACTTCGAAGACGTCAAGTTGCGCGAAGGGGACTGGGATCATGCGCTTGAGCCACTCACTCGTATCGCTGGTAGTGATCGGTGGAAGCGCACGCAAGAGGAAGTCATGGACGTTCCTATTATGCTGTCGCCTGTTGATGCCGAGCCGAGAATTATGGGGCCGCTACTGGAGGAGGTTGATCAGGCTATTGGAGAGATTGGGGGTGGAAGGAGGGAGCATGCTTTGAGTAGGTGGTTAAGCAAACCGAAGAGTACGTTGAGGAAGAGTCCGGCGATGAAGGATAGCTTCTTTGGGGGCGACCATATGAAGCGCTTCCTTCGATTGTCGTCGTGGAAGTGAGGGAGAGAGATGGACGAGTATCTTTATTGTTGTATGATTGCTTATTTTGGTGTGAGGAGTACTGTGTCTTGTCAAGAGAAAACACGGTTGATACCCTGGGATGGAATGGATGGAATGGCGTTCTCGAATGAGTGGGTTTGCATAGTAAGAGCCGGCTTCCTCTGGCGAGGATGGTGCTGTGGCAAGGTTCTTTACGTTCGCTTTCTTTTTCAGTCTTCTTCTTCATGTCTTATTGACGGCCTTTACGAAAATATTTACGAAACATTGTCTGACGATTGGAGGGACGTTACTACTGAAGTTACGATGCCATGACTAGCATACTACGATCCTTGAATGATAATTTCCTAGTTCCTTCGAATAAAGTCCATACATTGATCTTGTTTAAGTGCACGTGTGTCTTCATATATTATAGTGTCTCTTCCATCCAAACCGTACGCACAATCAAACAGCTGCCTCTTTTGAGTTAGTCCTGTGAACAGTTGGGCACGTGCGCACCCTAAAGCGTCATGCCTCGGCTCGTTGTTCAGTACCTTGTTCACATGTCTGATTCAAATGCAACATCATCACTATCACAAGCCTCCGAACGCTTCAAATACCCCGGATTCCCATACCTTAGCTCTCTCTTCCCGATATTTGACACTTCATACATCATACAGCAACATCTGTCCCCACATTACAAGTGAGCTCTCGAAGACAGCTTGAGGACAATAATCGGACTTTACGAGCTTCAAAGGAGATCATACAGCCACAATGTCTCTTAAATCAGGTACGTGATTATCTTGTTATGTTTTGCGTCTGCAGAACCGCAAATGTGCGAGGCATTGCACGGAAAAGGGCGGATGGGCAGGTCGCGGCGCAGTCGAGGCGGTGTCATCGTCATCACGGAGAAGCAGTCAGCACCATCATTCACGAAGACCACCTCCAACACCGCCCACGTCTTACTACAAGCTCCCAACATATTTCCGTCTTCAGCTATCCAGCTCACAATAGCCCCTGACTAACCCCTACCCACAGCGGACTTCCCCTCCTCCGCCGCCTTTGACGAAATCGCCCGCTCCCTCTCTTCCTCCGACGCCGACCGCAAAGACGCGATCAAAAAAGGCGGCGCGATCTTCGCCTTCACACTCAAGAACGCCGGCAAAGAAGAATCGTGGCACATTGATCTCAAGGAGACGGGCACCGTGGGCAAGGGCGTCGCGCCCGAGGGCAAGAAGGCTGCCGTTACGCTGGTGCTGAATGATAAGGATTTTGCGTCGCTCGTTGCGGGCAAGGCGAATGCGCAGAAGCTGTTTATGAGTGGGAAATTGAAGGTCAAGGGCGATGTCATGAAGGCAACCAAGATGGAGCCGATACTTAAGAAGGCGCAGACGGGCGCTAAGCTATAGGCTGGAAGCTATAGGCTGGGAGGTGGATTATATAAGATATCAATCGAGATGTGCAATAGTATATTTGTGTCTATCTACTGACTGGCCTCTGTATATTCCTTCTTGATAGAGAGCCACGTATTGCCCGGCATCCGCTCGAGAATCTCAAGTCCTCGCGGCTTGATCCACAGTGGCTCGGTGCTGGCAACATATGGTTTGTAATAGTCTCTCGACAATTGGACCTACACGCGCCATCAGCATTAGATCACATCGCATCCCACGTCCAAGGCGTTGTCCCCTCTCGCCATCCCCACTTGGCTACCTCTAGATCGATATATAGGACGTCAGAGGGCAAATACATACAGTTTTAATCCACTCCTTCGACGCATGCCAGTTTTCAACAAACTTAAACTCCCCAGGCACTTCAGGGTTCTGATACACCTCGAAGAAGACGCATTCGGGTTCTGCGGTTACGGCGTCATAACAAGGCTTCAACAGTTCGAGGAACTTGGACGCATTTTCGGGCGCGACTGTAATGGTCACGTGGAGAGAGACGGTAGGGCCAGTGTATGGAGCCATGATGAAGAGCGTGGATGTGAATGAATAGTCGAGGAAGGTTGTATTGGTACAACTATGTACAACGTATAGAATGTGGATAGAGTTTATACTCTCGCATGTATCAGTACCCGCAGTTGGATTTCGAATCTGCTCTTAGGCCTCACGTCATGTTACGCCCGGTTTCGTCCGGGAGTATTGACTTGATGTTGGGCGAGTCATGTTGTAGGATCCGCTACTGTTTTTGATGGTGACAGGAAGTATAACAGTGCGAGATTGTCTGACTAAAAGCTGAACCGACTGCAATCATAAGAGTAATTCAAAGCGAGCTTGCGACTTTCAAACGCCACCCAACATGCGGTTCGCGCTGTGTAAAAACGCGGCCGTAGCAGCACCCATACCTTCCTCGTCGTCTGAATCAACTGCCTGTTGGAACAAGCTGATAGGATTCGCAGATGTGTCTTGACATGTATCGGCCTGCATTAGTGCGTACGTGAGCTGTTTGTGTTCCAAGTTCTATAGGTAATGATTTCAACGCTATGCTAACCTGTATGACCCTCGAAATAGTTGTGGCTTGTTTTCTAGAATCATATTCTACTCCCTGCTTTAGACGCTTCTTGTCCCTCCTTTCTTGTTGCGAACATGTTCGCTGCGATGGACAAGGCCAGCTGCATTCTGGCGCAGCTTGTTCCTCCAGGCCTGTCGAACTCTTACCGCGCTCGCGGCAAGGTCCTTTACACAAACACACACCACCCACCGTGCGTGCAGTCGCCGCTCAATTGAAAAAAAGGCCCAAAATCAACATTACCTCACTCTATATAGGAGGATGCCCTCGTTCATTTCCTTCTGTAGATGTCTAATCGCGGATAGCTAGTCCGAATTAAGACCAACCGACCGACGAAACTGCCTGGCCGCTTAGTAAGAAGTAGACTCAAGGTTGCAAGAAACGGCATCTAGAGACACAAGCGAGAAGATTCAAGGTGCTAGACTAGAATTGTTGTGAGAAACCCCCCAAATAAAAGACAACGCACTGGTTCAAGGCAATGAGACCGTTGCTAAATAACTTGGCTATCTTAAAAAGGAGGATGTTTACAATATAGACGAGACTGATGTTATTTTTATAGAGTTTTATATGGACAACAAGATGGGGTATCACAAAATAGACACAAATAGTACAAACCGGTAAATCCCCTCTAACAGTAAGGAAAAAAGAGACTGATGTTATGCTATTGATGCTAGGTTTAGTAAAATAATTAGCAGTTAAGGATGGCATGCAAGGCTATAGAGCTGCATGTATAAGGTGCACAGTAGGTACTATGATTAACTGCATTGGCAGCGATAGCAGGTATTTTATCTCTATAATTGTTTGGCTAGCTACCATCTACCAAAGTAACCGAACCACCTTCTTGTCTTTAAATAGCAGTATGCTTGCTTCCATGATTTAGAAATGCTGCTTCAAATATAACTCACAATCTTCAACCGCCTTAGTAGATGTTGGACGATCAGGTGCTGGTATTGTAGATATAAGATGTCAATATTCTTCTAGCATCTAGACTCAAGTCATACTTAAGACCATGGCAGAACACAGTTAGCAATGCATTTCATGTTTACAACAGCGCTTGGGCTACCACAATGGATGATTCCTATGCGATTGTAGCAATTTTCATAGTAAAGAAGACTATCCTTCTATATAGCGTTAAAGACAGAAATGGCCGAAACAGGCCCAACACCCGAGAGGACAACGCCCTACTGCGTTTGATACTTAACAAGAGACCAAGTTTCCGCCGCAATACCCTTGAGTTACGATTGACATAGCCATTACAGCTTTGTTGGTTCTGTGGATTGCGTGCCACACACTATTCGCCCTGTTTAACATGTAACAGACACGGAAGCAAAGAGCACGGAAGTGCAACGACCGTATGCTGGACCCGCGCTACTTCCTGCGCAGTTGTTTCCGCTCCAAGTACGAACAACGCAGCCACTTTGAGTATTTTGTAAGTAACTGTAGCTACACAACAGGTGCAGTGCCCCAGAGTTTGAGGCACTTGAGATAGAAGGGCTACTTACTTGCCAGAGACCGAGATGGATCGTACGTTACTGAAGGGCACGCAGCGGTTGCCGCCGCCTACAACGGTGAACTGCGAATTGCCGCCGTTGCAGGTATCGCCATTGTATGCCGTCACAACAGCGATGTTGTCACGCGCTGCTAGCGTGACAAAGTCGGTTTCGAGCGTGTCTTCCAAGGGGATGGATGTCGTTTCGAGAGTGTCTTCGATAGGAGCTGGTGCTGCCATAGCAGAAGCCAGCATGGACCCAAGGGTGATAAGAAGGCTGAAAGCGTGCATGGTGGATTGGTGATATGATATATCTGGGTTTTAGAAAAGAGCAGTAGGGTTGTGGAGTTGGAACTTGGAAGCTGTTGATGCCATGAAACGACAGCGAACGAGCGGGTCTTTATATGCCATCTCTGAGATATAATATAAGAATAGCACTATGCAGAGATGTGTTTGAATGCCGGCGGCCTGAGTTTGGATCCTACACGTTTCGTTTCCTGCAAGCATGTCTCTAAAGGTATCGTCGCTCGAAGGGGCATCATTGTGCGAGTTGTGTATAGAGTTTGTCAATACCTTGTCGACTGTCACTGGAATAGGCAAGAGTCCAAACCTTGTTAGTAACCTTTCTGATCATCGCCCACTGTATACTGCTCTGAGCAAATAAGGGGCATCGTCAGCTATGCTGCTAAGTGGAAGGTGATACAGAAACAATATCAGGATATTGCGAAGAGGATTCAGGATCAGACACCAGTATAACTATTTTGTAGAATTTTATATGGACAACAAGATGGGGTATCACAAAATAGACACTAGATAATAAAAACCGATAAATCCCCTCTACCAGTTATAAAAAACACGAAAAGCGTGACAAAATACAGGTGTACACACTAGTATAACTATCGTGTTAGATTGGCCTCGGTAGGTTTGTAACGTAAAATGCATTACATACCTTGCGCACCGTGAGGGCGAAGATCTATAGTCAGGCAAGCAGCGGCTAGTGACTTTTTGTCGTGATTGGCAGGGAACGACTCTTACTTCGACATGCAGTACACAGCGGGGTACACGTGTCTTACCCAAGAAATAAATATAAATCGCGCTCTGCATTATGCGAAGAATTTTGCCTTGATTTGGCTTCGGGCGCCTGAGACTATTGAGGCCTTTTAAGGAAGACGGACAAGGAAAAGAAGTTACTAGGAATAAGCAGGCACATTAGGCAGCAGTGATCAGCGACATGATTTGCTGCTCCTAGACAGTGATTGGCACTAGCACTTGGAACGGAGTTGGCATATAGAGTGATATTATGGGGTTGCCTAATAAAGGCGCATCATTGTATATCCAACCACAAAGGAAAAAAGATAGCAACGTAGCAGATTGCTCCCTCATCCTTCCTAACCTTATTCCGCTACTTGCGAACCGGGGGTATCATGTATTATCCTGGCATCGTATGCGTCCAGATTAACGTCTCAAGGGGTGGAGAAGGGTATACGCTCCAAAACACTAACGAAAGGAAATTAAAGGAGAACAGAACGCCCAGAACGCGTGCTAGGTGTGTGTATCAAGGGCAAACATTAAATCCATCGTTTTGGCGGACTCGTATATGAAAACAGAGGAGATTTACCAGATATGATAAAGAGACATATAAAATATAGAAAATAAAGGAAACGCGAGATCTTTTACATATTATCCATCATCTTGCTTAGCGCGAGCCAGTCATATAGCTCGTGCCCGCTTGCTCGCTTGTCGCCATCGAGTGCCGATTGATCTCTATTCAGCGTTGGGAGCGGCTGCTCAGTATCGCTGGGTCGCTTCTGTCCGAAGCCGCTATCGATCCTGGAGGTAGGAAGAGGCTTCTGAGTATCGAGATCAGAAGCTGTGGCGATCTTGTAGAAATTGGTCGTTGCGGATCGGGGGGTTGTCGGGGGTTGAGCAGCTGTGGTTGGCTGAGGTGTGGTCGGCATCGGAACAGCGGTGGGCTGAGGAGGAGCTGTGGGCTTCTGCTGTTGGACTGGTGTACATGTCGTGATACGCATGCTGGCCAGAGAAGTCTGCTTAGGCATGGATTCCACGGGAGGAGTAGCAGATTTGAGTCTGGACACAAGAAAGGAGGGTTTCTTGAACAGCGGCGACTTGGGAGTCTTGACTGGAGCTACCGAAGGCTTCGTGAGAGCCTCGGTGTCCTGCCTCTCCCTATGTTGCTTCAGAAGTTTTGCCTGGGTCTCCTGTTCCTTTTGTAGCCTCTCCTTTTCTTCTTGCTCCCTTCGCAGTCTCGCTTTCATCTCTTCGTCTTTCCGCTGCTGCATCCTGGCTTCGTGGGCAGCGTTCTGTTCCTCCTGCTGGCGACGTCGTTCATCGTATCGCTTCTCTTTCGTCTCAGAGTCCTTCAGCATTGGAACAATCTTGTCCTTTTCCTCCTCAACCAGATCCTCGGCCACGCAAGCCAACGGCGTCAACCCTTTCACGTTCTTGACATTCGCCTTCGCACCTGCACGCAGCAACGTTGCAACGACCCTCTTGCTCCCCCCTCTTGCTGCGGCATGAAGTGGTGTATTCTTCTCATTGTCCTGAATTTCGACCTTTGCACCGCGGCGAAGCAGGGTGTCGACGATCTCCCACAAGCCCTTCTCCGCAGCAATGAAGAGTGGCGTATTGCCGCTCTGATCCTCGCAGTTCACATCTGCACGCTGGAGTAAGAACTCGTCTACGAGATCCATGCGATTCGCCTTGGTTGCGGAATGTAGTGGATACCGACCACCGTAAAATGGCGATGCAACAGACAACTTCGTCCCCTTCGTCAGCAGTAACGTTACAAGATCGATATCGACACTTGGAAGTTCTTCGAGGAGGAACGTAAGAGGATGTAAAGACAGCGGTAAGCTCTCCCTCGAGGCATGTGGGGATGCTGGGGATGGCGAGCGTCTTGACCCCCTGGCAGTTCCAACATTCGAGTCAGCACCGGAGTCCAGGGTGAGTTTAATCGTTTCGAAGGCGTACTCGGGCGACATCGGCGGCTGTAGTGGCATGTTTCGCAGTACAGCCCAGAGCATACAGGTTCCGAGAGGTGACTTTGGCAACGCGTTGACGTCCAGTCCCATGGAGATCAACTGTCTGATTTCCTCGGTGGGAAATATTGCGGAGAAGACGGGCAGTTCAGCCTCTGGACTGCCAGGCTGTCTTCGTAATGAGCCCGCACGACGTGTCCATTCATACTGGGCGAGGAGCTTCAAGATCTGCTTTTCAGTCTTAACCGATGTCTTGAGATGCCCTTTGCCTGGTGTCCAGTCTGTGAATGTGAAGACAGCACCATGTTTGAGCAGCGCTTCCACGAAAACAGGCTTGCGCATAGATATCGCATAGAAAAGCGCGTCGTGCCTCTTATGATCCTCGTGGTCGACGCAATGCCAGCTCGCCCTTCGGTCCGCCTTCTGCATCAGTAGCACCTCGACGACGGGTAAGCCTTCCTCGGGAAGCGTCTTTACAGCCTGTATGAGTGGTGTGGCCCCCGATCGGTCGCGCATGCTTCTGCTGACCCCACGGTCACAGAATGGCACCGCGGCAGCAGCAATGTCTTTCCAGGTCGATGCTCCTTTCGGGATGCTCCTAGCAATGTGATGTAGTGCATTCATGCCGTCCTCGTCCCATGAGTTGATGCTAGGCGGGATCGTGAGCAGCGGCACGACTGCCCATTGGTGGTTCTTGATAGCGAGAAGAAGCGGTGTCTGCTTCTTCGAATCGACGGTTGTGGTTTCAGCGCGGGCGCGGAGTAGTAGGCGGATCGTCTTTTCGAGTCCATTCGCTGCAGCGAGATGTAGGGCAGTTTGCTCATCAGAATTCGTCTTGCGAAGATCGGATGCTCTAGCCAACGACTCTAGCTCTGGCTCCTTCTCTTTGTCGCTATGTGTGGTAGCGTAAAGTAGGGGTGTGAGTCCATCGAAGTTGATTTGACGTGGGTTGGCACCGTTTTTCAAAAGCAAATCGATGCACAATCTGCTATGCGTCGCAAGATGCAAAGCCGTGTTTCCATCATTGTCTTGTGCATTGACCTTGACTCCAGAGTTGATGAGCAGATGTGCTACACGCACATTGCTGAATCGGGCAGATACAGCGCGATGAAGTAATGTCCTGCCATCCGGGTATGTGACCGTAGCATCTGCGTCTTTAGAGAGGAAGGCCTTGAATATGGCGGACATGGCTTCCTTGTCCTGTGCAATAGGACTGTCAAAGGCTGCCTGTAGAACGGTCAGGCCTTTCGCGTCACGGATCGAAACATCAGCGTTATGTTTGACAAGTGCCTGGATGACCTGTCCTCCGGCGCACTCTAATGCCACGAATACTGGGCGTAATCCGTTTGCCGTTTCTCGATCCGGATCTGATCCCTTCTCCAAGAACATTCCCACCAAGCTGGCATCATCGCGCTTTATCGCCTCTACCAGCACAGTCGAGTCTGGATCGCAGGCTGCTGAGAAGATGTCGGCAATGAGGTCGTTGCCGATCGAGAAGCGACCCTTGGTTTTGTCCACGTGCTTCAGAAGCATTTCCTTCTCTTTCACCAGCTTGTTGCGCTTCCCATGTGCAGCGTTGATGATTGCAACAGCTCCATGAAGATTATTGGCTTGCAATGCAGCCTCGGCCGGGGTCTGGCCTTTGGTATTTAGGGTGTCGTATTTGGCCCCAAGTTTAAGAAGGGCGACTACAGTGGCTAGAGATCCCGATTTTGAAGCCGCGTAGTGGAGTGGTGTTTCGCCAGTTTCTTCTGTCTGGACTTCAAGGTCGGGTCCGTACGGGAGGATGAGGTCAATCAAATCACTCCGGCCACTTTTGATCGCCATGTGTAGAGCTGTCTCTCCGCCGCTCTTCGTTGTTGCATTGATATCCGCTCCTGCTTCTAGTAGTATCTTGACGATTTCGATGTGCCCATTGGCAACCGCAATACACAAGGGTGGTTGACCCGTGCCATTGACATCGTCAGGCGATCCACCAGTTCGTAGGAAATGGGAAAGAGCTGCTTCGCGTTGGTGATATACAGCGTAGTAGATAGGCGTCCACTCCTTCGATGGTTCAAGGCTCGTCTCTCCCTCCGATATGGTTGTTGGTTTTCCGAATTTACATCTCAAGACCTCGACAGATGTCTGTAATGTAGAACCTTTGCGTTTCAACATACTGGTCTTGGTGGTATCGTTATCCGATTCGAGGTCGACGTGACGGAATGGTATTGGGGCTTCCATTGAAGCAGATGAAGAAGACATACAAGAACAAGACTTCATGATCGAGAACAGACATTAGAGAAAGCGATAAACATCAGAATGGAGACGAAGAATTTGGACGAAAACGAAAAGGCCAGTGCGTGAACAGCTCAGTCCGCTATCAAAAGCATAACGCCAGACGGGAGATTGACAGGCAGGTTACACTAGCCCTTCCCCCCCAAAACGGAATCGTAGCTGTTGATGGCGCACTCAGAACCAAGGAAACCCGGCATAGCTACCCTCACCAATGCTAGACCGCAGATGCCAGAACGCCATGTGCACTTTTCCAATAACGGTTGGATTATCGTGAAGCTGAATCCAGCTGAAGCCAATTGCGCCCTAGCTGCCGTCCGGATGCGTCAAGGCGAGCGAGCAGCTACGACGAAAACGAACGACGTCCAAGGATGATCGCCACAGCGCCTCCCAGTGAAGCAGCGCGCGCCTCCAGACCCCCTGTCTCCTGCGTATCAAACTAATGAATCTTAAGATGAGATTTCTCTCCACTTGGCTTGTTGATGGCATCGTGAGTAAGTCGCGTTGCCCCAGGCGTGCATCGCGCAATCCGCCGTCACATTCCTCAAGACAGCGGTGTCCTGTCAATGGCGGGACCGACGCAAGCAGGCTAAGCGAGTTTGCCAACTGTCCAACGCCATTTTCTTGCTTTCGGCGATGATTGATGAGAGGAGGCGAGAGAAGGACGGATAGAGTTGGGGCCGTAAGGTACCAGCGCCTTACGAGGCACCGCTTGAGGCGCTCGCTAACCAGAATACACGTGCTGGTGGCATGATTGGCTCAGGGGCTACCATCTTCCCGTCCTCTTTCGACAACCACATCAAGTACCGGCGGCAACTCCTGCGGGAGATTCTCTTCCGCACTGGCATTTTGGGGTGGAAGTGAGTATTGAGTGGAGATTGGCTATCCTGAGATTATCGTGGGGTGAGGATTGGCTTTGACGCTCGTTCGGTAACTTTAGACCCTACGGTACGCCTAACAGCGCCACTAGGAGCGCCGTCGACGGGAGATCATCATTTCCAATAGCTCGACGGTATTAAGTTTTGAGCCTCACACAATAGACATGGAATAGGGGTACCAAACGACTGTGTTCCTTGGTTATACGTAGATCAACTATGAAAATCAGGTAAATCAGCAAACGAGTGTAACAAGGCGCGCGAAGCTGAATAGCAAAAGCACATTCCGACAATCAAACTTTCCCTCTTTCTCCTCACAGCCCCATGTTTCAGGCGGACCGTTGCCACTCCCAAAATAAACTTTCCGAAGCATCGGAACTCACGCGTAATACTCTGATTGGGCTTGCTGTACACCAGAACCCTCTAACCACGAGTCAACAACTGCCACCTCTTAGAACTTCACCCCCAACTTCCAGCCAACTTGGAGGGCCCGGCTCCAAATAAAGCAGCCCGATGCGACAATATAGCAAATAGCTGTCCAGATGACAACGCCCCAGTACCGTCCACCAGTAGCTTGAAGCAGGCTGCCCGCAATTGGTATGCCCGTAAGGGTGCTGAAAGACACGACCGTGTAGCAAGTTGCATAGTACCGTCCATACACATTTGTGTCGCAAAGCTGGCCAACGCACACTGGGACCAACGAGATGTTCGAACCGGACGCGAACCCGAAGATGACAGCGTAGACAATAGAAAGCGCTTTGATGGCAGTGGCCTCGGCGGTTGTAGTAGGCGTCAGGAGCGATGCAGGTAGCCAGAAAGTCAAAGACGTGGCTGAGCATACGGCGAGCGCAGCGATCATGCTGTTGAAGCGGCCTAGCTTATCTGCCAGAAAGCCAGGCACCCATCGTCCAAGACAGCTACCGGCATTGAAGATTGCAATGAGCTGATACGAGAATGCAGCGCTGAGCGTGCCGGTCGAGGTTGCAAAGGTTGTAAGGTAGGTGATGGGAATAAACAAGGCCCATTCCATCAGGAAGATACCGATTGTAAGCAATAGGTACGATTTGTGACGGAAGATGCGGAAGTCAGGCATGACTGATTGTCCAGGTTTGGGGGGTAGTCGAGAGCGGATGAATACGCATGCGAAGATGCAACAAAAAACGTCGATGAAGCCTATGATCCGGGTAGCCCATGCGAACCCAACCGAAGGTAGGAGTCGTTGCAGTGCCAATGGGAAGATGACACCTCCGAGCGCTCCCCCGGCAGCCGCAACACCAGTTGCGTTGCCTCTCTTCAGATGGAAGAAGTGGCTGACAGCTGCGAATGCTGGCGTAAAGATCAAAGATGTTCCCACGCCACCAAGGACCCCAAAGACGAGAAAGAAGTGCCAGTACGTTGTACATACGCCCAGAAGAAAATTCGAGGCACACACCAGTATGCTGCCTGCTGGTACAAGTATTCTCGGGCCATGGGCGTCGAAGATCGGGCCAATCTGAAGGCCGCAGAAGAACGACAAGAACACATACATCGAGAAGATCCAACTGATGCTACTCGCGCTGTAGCTTCGCAACTGGTTCTCCCCAATGTAGCTGTGATACACACCAACGCTATTCATCATGCCGAGTGCGGCCACGAGGCCCATGAAGGAACCCAGTACAACTGACCAAGCCTCAAGGCCACCTTCGGGGTAAGTCACCTCATCATCATCGTGAGAGGTTTCAGACTGTTTCTCTTCATCTCCAGTTGCAGTGGCGTTTTTTTGATTCTCCTTGGATTTCTCCGATGCCTGGGCATCGGCGGAGTGAGTTGGGGCACTCCGGCATTTCGAGAGTGTGTCCGAAGGCGGGATAGTAAACTCAGCGTTGGGAAAGGTATTCACCCTTGAGAGATGGTTGCGTTCGGTAATGAGTCCTGGCTTGCTGCCGTTGTGTTCGCTGTTCATGCGAAGGGCTGAATGGATTGACAAAAAGTTGGTCGAGATAGACTAGAGTGCGCAAAACGCTTGCTGTATTGATGCGATCTTGAGGTTGATGCTCGTAGCAAAATAGGTCGGAAGCTCCCCACTATCCCCAGAAACGCGTATGAATCGAAGTCTTAAATCCCCATGTGTCTATGACGCAACCACCAAAGCGCAAAATGTATATGTCCCCGAGCAGTAAGGTTTCAAAGGTCAATGTCCCCGAGCGGTAAGGTATCCAAAGGTCGTGGTCCCCGAGAGGAATAGATATCCTTCGCAAAATGGGGGATACGGCGGGGTTAATAAAGCATGACCAACAGATTTGACTTGTGCCGCTTGGAGTTACTGCTGGAGGGAACCCGCCAGCTCTGCCAGTAAAACCCACATCGTGTGGCCCCACGCGATGCGATTGGCACCAAATGACGGAAGCTGAAATATAGAAAGCGTCGGATAACTATTGCAATGCGGTATCGGCCGTTGCCGAATTGAAGTTTTTTTGGACGACCCTTTTCTTGAAGCCGCATATGATTGGTCGAAGATGCCGAGAACTAGCTTGTTGTTACATAAGCGCGTGCCGTTTTCCGTCGGTGACGAATCTGAACAACAGCATAACCGACATTGCGAACGAATGATGCAAGATGGTATAATACAGCATACAGTCTATACTTGAGCAGTAAAATGAACTCGCTTCATCTCGTCAACGTAGTTTGTGGTCAACAACTGCCCTTGACCAGCGCGTCGTATTCCGGAAAGAGAATCCTTCGGAATTGCAGACGGAGCTCAGAATCCTCGTGGAATTGCTTCTCTGGATGACCAATCTGATCCAGGATGTCTGCGGCATTCTTCTCTGGCCAGACGTAGGTCAGAATGTCTTCAGCGACCGATGTGATCTTCGTATGGCCGGTGGAAGCTTGCAATATGGTATGCCATATTTGCGAGGGAGGAGGTGCCTTCGATGGCTTTGTGAGATTAGGAGGTTGTAAGGAACCGAGCGAGACGGTGCTGAAGGCGGAATCGTATCGTGCGTGCTCGCTGTTGCGCTTTGTATATGGCTCTGCGGGCATCTCGCTGACCTTGTTCCCAGGTATGTTGCAGGCCTTTGCGGTACCAAGTTCTGGATTCGGTTAGCACTATGCGTTTAACCACACATTGAAAGTGACATACGGAGCAACTCGAGAAGCATTTTGCTCTCGTCTGGGGCGGATTTGCCCTCTCTGAAGATATTGTAGCTGTCATTTGACGGGCATGCCTGTATCGCCATGTGTAGTAGTAGACAACTACCGCGAAACTTCCAGCGCTCTTCGTCGGGCAGGTCGCGCTCGCGTGACGTATACAGTTCCTTGAGTTTAGTCTCGAGGAGCTCGTATAGAGTAGTGAAGCCTTTCTGGCTGTTGGTTTCCGGTTCCTTCCCAAGATTAGCATGCATCAATATGGGAGAGCTGGCGGTCTTCGCAGTACTACTCACCTCAGTAAGCTCGGTAGGTGCGGTTGTGGCGGTACTTGACCTGAGATTGGTGGAGTCGCTTCTTGGGAACTCAGTGCTGGCTGTCTCTGGTATCGATCGCTCTGCAACGCGCTCAAAGCTTTCACACTCTCCTGCAGCGGCTTCGAATTTCTCGTCTTGTGGGTGAGATGGGATAGAGGCCTTTGCGGCTTTGGTGAACATGTTCTTGAACTTGGCTACACATTTGGATTTGAGATCTTTGATGTCGCGTCGGATGAGCTTGGAGGTCCAACGGACATCGTAGGGGAGGGGAGATGAAACCATCCTGACTATCGCTATGGTGGGCGGCGGATTCGGAAGGTATAGCAATGAGTTGAGCAACTTCGCGGGGGTTAGCAAGCGCTAAACTAGGTGGGCTGGATTTGAGGACTTACTCACCTGTTGTAGGCTTTGTCTAGGAAGGTACAGCTTAACTATCGCTCGGAGGGAGAGTGATATGAGTGCTCGGTGTTCAGAGTTGAGGAAGACGAGAGCAGTTGGTGTGATAGACGGGTGGGTACGCGAAGCTGAATAAATACAGGCTTATCAATGCGTGAGGTGAGGATGGGGCCAGGGCAATAGTGCGCAAAGACGCGACTAGAGTTTCTTTCACCGTGACGGATGTAAACAAGAGGGGAGCGCGTGCCCGACGCCAAAGACAGGGTACAGAACTCGAAAGTAGTCTAGGATCGAGTGAAATTAATGGCCGAGAAATATAGAAAGCTCTGTGATGTTGATATTCCCAAATGATACGATGCGTTGATCAAGATGGCAGACTCGAGGACGCGGGAGCAATTTAGCCTTCCTCCATTACAGCTTCCACTCCAACGGCTCCGTAATCTCCAAAACACCCTCTTCAAGCCAGCCCGCAACACTCCACGGCCGCAGTCCCTGAGGAAAGTACCTTGCACGCCCCTCGTCATCCGAACCTGCCTCTCCCATAGTAACCCAACACGCCCTCGCCCTCGGGACCTTGGCCTCGATATCAAACGCCGTCCATCGATCTGTCCCAACACAAAGCGACTCCTCACCCTTCGAGCTAACATCATACGGGTCAATTTCCGGGCCTCGAATAGCTTCTTGAGCGGCCGCGCGATGGCCCGCAGGCTCAGGAATAGGCGGCTGGACATGCCTGGTGCTGATGGGGACCCACGCCGTATTGACAGGTAGACTGGGCATCCATTTCCACGGCTTCAATGTACAAGCGAAAAAGGGTTTCACGCCATCGCCTTCCTTTGTTCCGGGCGGGAAGACTTTGACATCCAGACACGGCGGTGGGGACTGGCCCTTGAGTGTTGGGGGCGCAGAGAAGGAGAATCGCGCCAGATGTTTTGGTATGTTCCAGTTCAAGCGGCCGTTATATACTGTGGTGCGTTGGGAAACGTAGATTCTGGCTATTCTGAGTGCTTTCTTGGGGATCTTGGGCGGGCCATTGGAAGGCTGGGGGACAGTGAAGTTTCCGGGGATCAGCATCAGTTCATCGTAGGGACCTAGAAGAGGTGTGTTAGGAGCAGCCGTAGCCGTATAATGAACATCTTCAATAGTATCTATGAGTAGACGTTTCGTTCGACACCGCGAGAACGTAACTGGGTAGACAAGAACCCAACAAGTTCGAACAAAGTATGAATCCAGGAAACTCGAAAACTCAGAAATAGTTCAAAGAATGTATTGAATTAATAGAAACGCGCGGTATCTGCAATAAGAGTAGCTCAGGGTAACTAGAAGAGTGTGTTTACACTCATAGCACCAAAAGAAAAAATGGTTTACACTGAACCAACAACAACAGATTAAAAGAAACAGCAAAACCTACCAACAGGCGTCCAACTATACCTCACAATGACCACGGCGCCCAATCCGCCCCGAAACGCACCTACACCCTTTTCCCCCTCCTCTTTCCCCCACGCTGCCTCAAGCGAATCATACACGCCCTGCGGCAATTCTCTCAGCGACAGGAACAAGAAGTAAGACTCGGCTTTTAGCGTCCATGGGGCTTTGGACCGGGGAACGGGGTGTTGCGCGGGTTCGGTGAGGAGGCTGCTGCTGCTGCTCATTGTGGATTGGATAGACTAGACTGAAGGGGGTTGGGGAGGCGAGATGAGATGAGATGAGATGTGGAATTAGACTGTTGAGTAGGGAAACGGAGGGTAGTGCTTGAAGGTGATGATGATGACGATAATGATGATGGCAAAATGCGCGCGTTGAGGCAATGTTGACTTAGCAGTGAGATGACGTTGGGCGTAGTACAAGCAGGTGACAGCGCTGTGGCGGCTTACTTAGTAGCTGTGGCGTCGAGTTCTGCTTGGTCACAGTGCGATTTGTGATGAACACATGGGATGAATGCAACGATGAAGGGTTTAACGAAATACAAACCTGTTTGTTGTACTTTGGGTGTTGTTGATTGTGAGCATGAGAAGGAGGGGTTGCCGTTGCCTCGGCCTCGTGCGATCCAATATAGAAATCACATGTGGATGTGAGAAAAACATGAACACCGACGCTCCATCATTGAAAGTAAACAACATATTCGAGCAATTCGTATCGACGAAGACTGTCCCAATTCAAGCGAACTAGCTGCTGAAGTAATTAGCGCAAGCTCTTCTTTGTAAAAAAAATCCTAGCCCTAGTATCCATTATTTTCAGCCACTCGCCATCCAATCACATGCCATCGCACTTGAAGCTCCGCAAGGCGACCGACTAAATGTCGTCGCAATTTCCCAACAAACACGCACTAGAATCTCCGCAGTATCCTAAGCCAGAAGGCGACAGGTGGTCCGAGACAAAGTGGATCGAAGTAGTTTCCATTACTCTCCAGGCAATGCACCAGCACACCGCTAATGATCTTCCATGCATGCTTCCGAGGTTCTTTCGCCCCATGGAAGAGAGCGTTGGAAGGATGTTCCCTATAGCCAAGCGCCACTTAGTACCGTCTTAGTCCGAAACACATATATGTGTCCTCGGTTGGCGGAGGGAGATGAGTTCTTGCATCGGACGCGAAGACCCACATGAGCGTTCGAAGCGGATTTTGACTACTGGTTAGTGCGGCTCTGCCGCGATCCATCCAAAGCCACTTTCATCCAGTTAGACGCAGCTAGCCCTCACGATGCCCTCGTTCGTGCAGCTTCTAGTAGACCACTCAACAAGGGGCAATGGCTTGGTTGGGCCTTGGGCTCCCGGCTAAGTACGGCGTGACACAGTAACTTTCTCAGAAACTGTCACACTGGAACGTGGAGAATGGCTGGTGTTACGAGGGGGGCACGCGACACCCAGCCCACTAGCAGAAAGCCCGGCTGCACGAAACGCGGCCTGTAGCGGTACACAACCCATTGTTTGGATGCAGGGGAACGGCGGTGGATCAAACACGTGGGCACGGGACCCTGGACACGAATGGCGTGGTGGCGAAGTAGCTGCTTCGTAAACGAGGTAAGCTGGGCCGACCTGGTTTGTGATCACACTGCCTGGTCATAACACAGACGGACCTGGATCGAAATAGCTCATGGACGTTGAAGACGCGGATAGTCACCGTATGCATTCTCCGAGCCCGAACCTCGGTACGCCGCATTGCTGAGCAATGGCGAAATCCATTCCAAGGTTCGCTGTTCGCGGTTCGCGGTTCGTAGACGAAGATGGAGAGACACTAGTACTCGAGTAAGCAGCGAGCGAAAGGAGCGAGTGAAAGGAGCGAGTGAAGCCGTGGCGATTATGAAGAGCGTAGTATTATGGAATTCTCCATCTCCCAAGTAGGGGGAGAGATGCCTCAGATCTATCAACTAGTCCTACCAAAGACCAGAGCAGGTATATATTCCCAGGCCAGCGTATAAGCGTAAACCTCATTTCAAGACTTTTGTCGCAGTGCCAATGAAACGCCAAACGAGATCAATTCTAAGATTGCTGATTCGCACAATGACAACCCAGGATATCCCGCGGTAAAACAAACAAGGAGACTGCCACTCAGAACACCTCTCTAATGCACATCAAGTCGTCATACCAGGCGCTTGGCCGGTCAAAAGCGATGCACCTCGCAAGAGATGTACAGGAAGTGAAATGCATCATATGCAAAACGACATCATTCATGGCCAAAGTTCCAGTACTGGCTGTCTTGGGGGATGGTGCGTAATCAGTTCTCCAAATCCAAAGAACTCCAGGACAGAATGCGGGAACGGGATGCTGAAAAACCAAACGAGACTTTTTTCGTGTTGTTGAAGGTTCCGGAGACCTAAAAGTGACAAAACCGGTCTATATGTGAAACGACGTAGTAGTGGTCGCATGTTCGAATATTGGGTATTAAGAAAGATACAAAGGCGAGTCGAAACCCGATCTGGAGAAGGGAAGCCAAACAGCTACTGCTCTAGAACATTGACGGGTCAATGCCGCCCATGCCAGCACCCGCAACATTCGCATTCTGCATGTTCTGGAGATTTTGGAGGTTTCCACCTAGACCGAGTTTCTGGAGAGCGAGCTCAGGATTGCAGTGTGGAGCGTGGGAGCGGTGGTATTTGAGGCCGTTGAGGTTCTTGTAGCGCTTGCCGCAGACTTCACACCGATATGGCTTCTCCTTCTCCATGCCGACAGTGCCGGGGTAGGGAATGGACGTGAGAGGATCGACAATAGAAAAGGTACCGTCGTCGTTCTCCTTGAGTTGCTGGTTCTGGTGGCCGTGCTGCTTGTGGTACTTTAGACCGTTCTGGTTCTTGTAGGCCTTCTCGCACCCAATGACCGGGCATCGGAATGGCTTGACTTCCTCTGGGAAGGGGAATTGTGGTATGCTTGCACCGTTGAGGCTCTGCTCTCGTAACCTCCTTGCCAGCTCACTCTGGTCGTTGCCGCCAAGTTGATAGTTCTTCAGCGCTGCCTGCAGTTGCACTTGGCTGAGTCCTGCGCCCTGCTTGCTGAACAGGCGTTTTCCAGGCTGATCAATAGTGCCATTGTTGTCGAAGCCAGACATGGCACCAAAATTACCGTTGCCAAAGTTCATGTTCATGTTCATGCCCATGTCCATTCCCATCATTGGGTTGAAGTTGTTGAAGTCCATATCTAGCTCAGCTGGTGTGCCGGGATGTGATGACTCGGGCGATGTCAGATTGTGGGTATTTTGCATGGGTACAGTGCCGAGAGTAGGAGTGTTTACTGATGAGACTGTGGGATTGTTCTGCAGGTTGAACTGCTGTGATGCCGCAGGCGTGGTAGGCGTCGACGTCCGCAGGCCCTGATGGTTTTGCATCGTGTTGGCGAGGTTGACGTTCAGCTGCGGCAGCTGGTTCTGATTCTGGTTGAATGCAGTCTGCTGCACGGGGAACTGGGTAGGCGTCTCCTCGATCGGGCCGAGGTTGTCGAAATTGAAATCGTCCATGTCCATGTCCTCGAGCGAGTCGACGTCCTGCACGGTCGACAAGTTGGAGCGGCTGACTGAACCAACGCGTTGTCGAGAGCCACCTATTGACCCTGTTCGTGGCTGGAAACCAAATTGTGTGCTTACAGATGGTTCGCCCTGCGTCTGGCCTGGCGCTATGGAGGTATTTTGGGCGCCTGATGTGGGCGGCATTCCGTTCTGGGCCGGCTGAGAAGTGCGGGCTACCGGGGCGTTGGCGTGCGTCTCCTCGAAATGCTGGAGGAGGTCGTGCAGCGAGGCCAGGGTGAGGCCACAGCAGGTGAAATCCTTCATGAACGCAGCTTCCATCTTGGGCAGATACGACGATGAATGAAACGATGGCGAGTTGTTGACGAAAGGAGCTGGCGAAGTGCCAGACATCATGATGCTGTTCACACTGCATTAGCACGAGGTTGCGTCTTGCGGGAGTGGCGTTGGAGATACTTACTCATCGCGAATCCACGATCCTACCGACACTCCGCCCCAGCTCATGCCGCCGGCGAAGCTGCCCATGTTATTGCTCTCTCGACGCGGCCTGTCCTTCATAGAGATGGGACGGGCGCCGCTGTTGCCGTAGAAGGAGGAGCCAAGCATGCCCATGGAGCCGTTGCGCTCGCCCATGCCTGGTCGGGTGTTGGGAAAGTCGAAGCCATTTGGGTTGAGATGGTTGGACGTGGAGCCGAGGTCAGGCTGTGCCTCTGCCTCGCGGAGGGCGGAGGTCAGATTTGACGTCTGGTTCTGCGGGGAGTGGGAGCCATAACGCGGGGGCGTCTGGATGTCGATGGGCGAGGCCGTCTGCGCCATGTCTCGCGAAAAGCAGTGCTGCTGGGCGTCTTCTGGAAAGCGTAGAAAATGCGAGTCGGCCGAGTCGTCGAAAAGAGAGTCGGAGTCGGGCAGGTGGCGGACCACAAGCTCGTGGGGCTTGCGGTGCCAGGAAGAAAAGAGGGTCGCGCTCGAGTCCTTGGAGATGCGGGCAAAGTGCGGCGAGGCGGGCTGCTGCACGGGAGTGGTGATGGGCGTGCTCGCAGCGGTGGATTCGCGCGGCGAGTGGGAGAGGGGTGGCGGCGTCGTCGTCTCGTGGGAATCCAGCTTCACGGTGGAGGGAGGGAGGAGTAGAGACGATGGTGGAGTAAAAAAAAGGGTGCGGGCGGGTAGTGCTTTCTCGTGGGGAGCGACTCGAGATGAGTGTGCGTGCGGTAGGTAGGTAGTGCAGTGTGTGGCGCTCTCTTGGTGGAAGCGCAACGACACGACGTGGAAGAATGCGGGGGATCTAGGGGTGCGCAGCGATAGGGTGTTTGCTGGCGGTAGTGTAATGCTCGTAGAAAGAATGTATACGGGGAGATTTCTGGGCGCAGGGAGGCTATATGCCCGCTGCGATCGAAGCGGTGACGAGCAGTTGGTTAGTCGGAGACGGACGGGCGGTTCGCTGCTTTTGGGCAGGCTTGGGAGGGGGGGGCAGGTGCGGCCAATCGCGGGAAGGCGCTACTAGGGTTCTTGCGTCGCGGCAGGAAGCTGCAACTCTGACGACTGAAGCACCGGAAGGAGCGATGGATGGACTCGACTCTCTACGCGGCTCTACGCTACTCGAGGAGCAAGCACAAGAAGCGAAATCGCCGACCTGTTCATGGCCTCTTCCTGATGTCAAATACCTAGATAGAGAGACGATGCTAATGCCACCCTCTACGGGTACTGTTCTGCCCACGGAGGTGCCGGCCGAGGCAAAGAGAGCACGGCCGCCTGGTTGCTGGTACGCTCCTTACTAGAGCCGGTCATCCTCTACCAGTCCTGTCACGCTGGACAAGCGATCCCCGGGCCTTTGTTAGTTCTCTTTTGCGCCTGTGGCGTCGGCGTCGTCGTCTTCGTCGTCAACTCTGGGTCTCGTCGTCGTCGTAGGGCTACATCCGAAGAATGGCCGTTCACGCCTCGCTGACTTGGCCACCTCACCCAGCGGAAGACCTGCAAACGGCTGCTCTCTCTCTCTAGCAGCAGCAGCCTGCACGTACCGCCGTAGCCGCCTCAGCCCTCGGCCAGCAATCGTGATGCAGATGCAGATGCGTAATTGCTTCTTTGGCCCCTCGGGCTTTTAACGGTGCGCCTCATCAACGGGTCTTGGTGGCACGCCCCCCTGCCCCTCCCTACCCGCCTTCTAACTAACCACCCAACACGCCCTACTCCAGGGCTACTACCCCCACCGCGCGTATATCTAGTCCTGCTTGAATGAACGCTGCCGCTTTGCGAATCCACAGACGTGCCTCGACATTTCGGCCAACTCGGCAGAATGCGTCTAGCACGCCCCGGGCATCTCTCGGTTGTCGACGCTGTGCGCGCTCGAGTCGCCGGGGGCGCCCTCTTACACATGCAATCAACAAACTAGCAGCCGCTACTATTAGCCTACGCTACATGCGGTGCCTTCACAACAAGCATCTACTGTGTGTTTGGCCTCGCGTCGGCTGCGTTTCATTTATTCATGGAACAGCTATATTTGCCCAAGCCGTGACACCCGTCGTAGCTTGCAAGTCAAGGCGACAAAATGCGTCCAACACACGCCGCAGCCGGCCTCGAGCAACTACAGGCTTGTCAAGGTCAGTCCACAAGGCAGGAAGGATTACCACCTGTTCTGTCTTGCATTGCGACGACCCGAAGACGCTGCTGCATGTCGTGCTCAAGCTCGCCAGTATGCAAGGAGCTACCCCATACAAAATACCCCACGGTTGCCTGTTCGTGTAACCTCTCCCTCCATGTTCGAGTCGCGCCCAGAGCGAGCCCCAGGTACCTAGTTCCCAACGCTACATAGTGTAGTAATAAACAAACACGTCCTGTGATCACAGCACCGGAGCTATTATCAACTTCAGACAGACAGTCTGTCTCATCACAGGCTAGCGACCCCTGCCGTGGCCTGCCCAGTTCCGGCAGACAGCCCTTTAGGTTTGGCTCCGACGGCCGTTTTGTCACTAGACCCTGCAGCTGCCTCTATCCTATCCCACGTCTTGACCAAGGAGCGGCCTGTTTCCTTTACATGGTACGGTACTTTGCAGCACGTTGATGTGAATCCAGATAGATCGGCATCCCACTTTGTTGTGTCATTTCGCCCAGCCCGTCCCCGCCTCACTGTCACCAAGAAAGAAGAGGATCCAGCATTACGATGCAGCACAGTCGTTTCACACTCCGAGACGGCCCAAATGCGAACTGGGCGGTGCCATGCCACTCCGTCATGCTCATCTCCGGAGACAGAGTAAAGGCGGGTTTGGTTGGGGCGGAGCTTTCCGCTGTCATCTCGTCAAGTAATGACGCCGCCAAGTGGTTGCCGAACTCGGAAGGCACACGCGCTGAGAGGCGTCACTGATCGTCTTCATTCGGCCTCCACCTCGTCCTTGAGCCAAGTTGTTGCAGCGCGTATAAAGTAAAGCACCGTATACAATCTGCTCCAGCGTTGCAGCCACTCAGGGCCAACCAACGTTCGTCGACTGCATCTGATTCGTCACCACCAACTCTACTCGAAGCCAGGAACATCCTGGGTCATGACGCTCTTGAAGTAGGTCTAGCGAGCCTTCACCGCGCACCTTGTTGTTCAACAGATTATAGGACCACTGTGGGACCGCCTTACCTCTCGTAGCTACAATACTAGCTGACCGCCATCGTGGTAGCGTCGCGGGAGCAAGCGACCATCTTCCCTTGAGCCGAATCTCACTGCCTTTCCAATGCCCATGACCTGTCATTGGAGTCTGTTGCTCTGACTTGTTAGGCAGCCAAGCATACTGTAGACACCAAAACCCGTGTATCCACGATTTAGCTTCCCATGATCATTGCGAAGAAACGTATGAACAATCTTGGATTATTATACCCCTCCCCCATCATAACAGAATCAAGCGCCATCAAATCGACCCACGCCTGGACCCCAACATAGAGGGGCCCCTCACTGCGAGATATCAGAGGCTACTGCTGCTGGTCGTCCCCACCGTACCTACGTACAGCTTGCCTGGAGAGCGCTACAACCGCGCTTGCCGGTGCAACTGTTCCTGCATTGGCGCCTCGGGCTGCTCTGCCAGCACATCGTCGGGCTCCTCGACATTAGATGGCGCAGTAGCAGGTAATCTAGCCTGTCTGCAGCTCGCTCAGTAGACCTTGATACCACAAGTTCCTTCAGCACGACAACACCTTCTTCCTAGATGCATCGCTAAGGCACAGCCACTAGGCCCCGACGTCGCAATAACTAATAACTACACCATCTGACTAACGTCCGGAACTCTCGATCCTCCCTAGACGCTTCGATCCAGTTCCGCATTACTACTCTCGGCAGCGTGCATGTCGCTTTCCAAGTTGCATTCTAGCGACCTTCTAGCGCTCACAAGTCGGCCCGGTTTACTTACTCGATCGTGCCATCATCCGACACAACACCCCGATTTGCGTCGGATCCATCTCCTACCGCTTGATGTGCTGCATGGGTGCCAGCGTCCGGTATACCGTAACAGGTACTTCGCGTTTAATGAAGCGTCCACATGGAAGAGGGCGGTCAAGCAGGAGATACCCGTACTATCGGCCCTTTGACGCACCGTTCGCATCAAAGATCAACAGCATGACGTCAACCAAGTACCAAGTAGTCCCGAGCCTAAGTATATAACCGCTTCTCGGCGTGACTTTTTTTCGTATTGGCGGAAGATAAACTTCGTGGGATGATTGAGGGTGGTTGGTAGTAATGCGGACGGAGAATTACAGCGAAGGCTTTATACGAACTGCATGATCGGCTGTCGGGCTAACGGTTCTGGGGTTCCAAGACTGCTCTTTGTGGGCTCGGTGTGAATACTTGTGCTCGATGGATAATGTCAGCCGAATCATGGTCGCGATATTCCGGCTTGCTTGCGAGTAAGTGATCAATCGATAGGCGTCGCGTCGTGTAAGTGGGGTGCAAGAGATGCATTGTTGGATTACAACTTCTTGCGTGGTGTCTATCATTGCATCACTCTTGCCCAACTTTCAGCACTGCTATGATGTTGATGTCGCTATTCTCGCTATAGTCTGTTCTGCATCCACCATATCCACTCGTATACACTCGTTCACTCTACGCTTGAAATGATTGAACGTCGCTCGGCCGTTCTGTGCAGTAGCCTTATCAGCATCTCACCGCAGTCCCTCCACGATCCCAGATCTTCCTACGTATCTAATCATGCCGATATCTTCGATGTCGCAATCATAACTAGTTCAGTGTACTTGGAGTATCAAGCAAGTCCCCAGCTGTCGTGGCATATCACTGTCTTACGTTCGTCGCGTACGGCATCTACCACCTAACCTACGATCGTGTTAGATGGACCTGTTGACTTTGGAAGAGAATCTAATGAATGGCAGTGCAGGGCAGATTAGAACTGAACTCACCAGATCGTAGTTATTACATAGGACAAGATGACAAATGGCTAATATAGGAACGTTATGATCTCACAGCCGTTTCAATCGTGGACAAGTATGATACATTCATTGCACGTAACATAATAACAAGGAATACTCCTTGTGCTTGTCAGACTAATGTAGCTGCCGCTAGAAGGGATGACGCAAGGGAGTATCGATATTTAGCTGCAGTAGCTAAACTGTCGTCACTAGTGGTATGCATGTAATTGCATCCAAGTACAGGCGAGTGTAGTACGTCGAAACTGACTACGCATGTACGTGTTATACTCCCTACTCCTATTAGGAAAGCTTACTAGGACGAAACAAGAAAGATTACCAAGGATTCGCGATGCAAATGCTTGGAGTAAGACTACAACATCCGAATGGTGTGTCGTCGATCGGATTAGAGGGTAAGTAAATTGAACGAATCACTAGTGTACGACGACACTTAACGAGAGAAAGTCACGTTCAGATATAAAAGAGTATTCGGTGGTCATAACGCATAAAGAAAAGTATACTATGGACAGGAAAAACAGGCATCTATTGAAGCGCCGAACCTTGCGATCAATCAATCAATCAACGCTATATATCTACTTAATAATCTACTATCTCGGTGCATCTCAGCCGGAGATTTCATCGTCGTCGCTCAAGTTGGCTGAAAAGATCGAGCTCAAGCCTGGCCTACTCGCTGTCGCCAATCCCCCTGCTCCAAAGCCTCTTGAAGACGGCGACTGAGAGTAGCCTGATTGTACTTGGCCCAACCATGTCAACGGCCCGGTGATTTGAACGCCCTAATCGAAATCCGGCTCCTCATCGTCCCGATCTTCTTCGTCCAACTCTTCCTCCTCCTCCAGCGCCGTCGCTTTCTCCTTACCCTTTCCCTTTCCCTTGGCCGCAGCCGCCGCCGCAGCCTCCGCCTTCCTTTTCTGCACGGCTGCCTGAAGCGCCTCCTTCCTCGCCTTCCTCTCCTCCTCAAGCCAAGGATACACGCCCTTCACATCCGTAAACTCAACGAACCCGCCCTTCCAAGCATCACCATGGACCTTTTCACCACCATCGTTGGGCTTACCCTCCTTGAAGCGACGCGCGCGGCCCCAGCGACAGTACACCCACCCGTGCGTGAGAATGCGAGCCCGAACACCCTGCGTCTTGTACTCTGGCTTCTCATACTCGGGCTGCGATGCTTTGCTACTCACCTTCTCCCAGCCGCCTAGGCGGTAGGCACAGACGCCGTCCATGATGGTGATTTGAGTGAGGGGCTCATCGTTCCTTGCTCGCTTCTTCTCGGCATCCAACAGGGTGGCCCTACGCTCTTGCTCCTCTTCGTCTAGTTTGAGGACCTCCTCCGGCGTGCAGCGGGGATGGCGCTGCTGCATGTTGCGGAAGTTGAAGCATTCCATGCGGTTGGCAGTAAAGGTGTCTTCCTTGAAGATGGGCTCGAAGTAGTATACCGTGTGTGGGTCGAGCCGCATGTGGAGGCTGAGCACGCCGGCTTGAGCGATGATCTTGTGGAGCGGGTTGAACACGTCTTCAGGGATCTCGGTTTCACCTGGGGTGGAAAGATTTTCAAGGTTGAGATAAAAGATTGGTGACAGATGCGTCCACACTGCGCCCACGATGCGGTTGACGTGGTTGCTGAAGTTGGCGGGCAACTCGAGAACGTCAGTTGCTTTGTTCCCTTTGAGGAGCTTCTTAATAGCGGTGCCATAATGCCTGTTGCGATCGAAACCTGGAAACGTTAGCATGATTCTGTCTGTGCGGACACCAGGGAAGCTCACCATCTTCATTGCGATGCTTCTCTTGCAAAGCAGCAACGGCCTTTATCTCGGCAGCCCTGCCTCCAAAGAGGATATGTTGGAAGACCTGCTCGACGAGCACGTTGCCGATGATGGCACATACGAGCGCGCGTCGCTTCTGCTCATCGATGAACAAGTCGTGCCATCCGTGAACACCAGCCGGACCACCAGACGCCACACAACCAATGATTTTGGCAGTCTGCGGTGTCAGATCCTTGTACCATCTGGTCGGCAGAACGCCGTCCTCAGAAAGGTGCTCGAACTGGAAGAAAGCCAGGGCGAATCTCTCCATCTGATCCATAATCTGCCACAAGCCATCGCGGATCTCGGCGTCACGGAGTGCATACTCAGGCTCCTTGATTTCGTTTTCAATCGCCGCTTTTGCTCGGACGGGATTCTTAGCGATTACCTCTCGAGCCCGCAGGTTTGGCTTGGCCTCCCACTTCTCCCGTACCGTAAGCTCGTTCCAGCGTTCTGGCTTCTCTTCGGCCTTCGTGTTTGTCTTCTGTAGCTTCTTCTGGATCGTTTGGTCTTTCGGCTTTGCAGTCCTGACAGGAGAAGTTGTTGTATACCTAATGGGTGACGTACTGATATTCTCGTCATCATATTCCGACTCGGTTCCAGAGACGCTCTCGATAGACGGTTGGAATTCCCAAATTGACTTCGCAGGTTGCTTTCCCTTTCCCGTCTGAACTGCTTCAGAAAGATGTTCTGCGATCGTATCGGCCCTGGGCTCCAACCTTCCAATACTCGCCGCCATCCCCTCGGCCTCACTGTCGCCTATACTTTGGTACTTCTTGTGCGCCTGTGCAAGAAGATTTCTTGCTTCAGCAGCTTTTTTGATCTTATCTGGCGATGCCGGTTTCGGCGGACTTGATGGCTCCTTTGCACGTTCGAGCATCGTCTTGAGGCTCTGAGGTGGGACTCGCGATCGCGACCGCCCAGCCCGTGCATGGTCTTCTTCAGTGTCTTCATCTGTCGTAGTCATCGTTGCGGCGCCGGCGTAGTGCTCGGCTTCGCTACGGGGCGCATCGTATCCGTGATACTTTGTCTTGTGAGAAAGATCACCACTGGCCTTGCGTTTGCCGCGCGAAGAAGGAGAATGTTCCTCTGGTGATCCTAAGACGAAGTCTTTAATAGTCTTGAATTTGGGCAGCAAGGACATGGTTGTTGGTACACTGTGATTCCGAGTAAAGATTGAGCGTGAAGTGGAGGAGCAGTTCTGAAAGATCAAGAGAGATGTGAGCTCAGATATTGGAGACTATTGATGAAAGGCGACGTCTTTCTTTGTGAGGTCTTGTATGCCATCAGCAGGTGCTTCTTTGTTGCGCATTGCCGCATATGGCAAATGTGGAAGGTGGCTTGCGCTTGTTCTGAGCAAACAAAGACATAAGCGGCCTTTGAGTGGTTTGAAAGCTGCGACGCAATTCATTTGCATTATGAAAGGTTTCCGGCACTTTGATGATGGCTGCAAGAAAGGAAGATGAGCAAGTCATCGAGGTAGATGCTGTTGATCCAGGTGACTAAGCCTGGCGAGCGACCCAGCTTCGGTTTATGGGACCTCGTGGATTTAATGAACGTCGAAAATTTTATACCATATCAAACATGTCAACACGGAAGGTCTTGATCAATAATGGTCTATCCATTGACCGAGTATGTACAGAAATCGACATCACGAAAGAAACACTTACACCTCCTGAACCCTTCCTCACCACCATCTGTAAGACTAGGTAAGAATGAGATTAATCCAACAGATCCATCTACGAGATGCCTGGCTATTCTGATTGCTGCATAGCAGTATTCTATGTCGGGACTTGGAAATTGAAAGCTCTAACGGTATTTAATCAACTTCATAAGCAATTTCATAGTTAAAGTCTGTGGATATTGTGTAATGCTTGCAGTAGTAGACTCATTGTACTGAACTACGATTAAATAACATGATATATAACGATGAATCAACTGCAGTCAATTACAAAGATTCACAACAGTGCAATAGACATGGGGCAAATACAGTGATGAATGATAGTGGTTATATATATATATATAGTCGCTGCGCAGCCTTACTTCGGTAACGTTACGAAGCGTGGAGATATTTACATAGGCCGGCAGAAACCAAGTGCTTGCTAGTGTAAGCACAACAAGCTAATACAGAAGGAGTGTGCAGAGATGGAAACTGCTATATACAATCCATCAGCGCCAAGGTCGGCGCGCGAACGAGTGAGTGAAGACCGAACTAAATGAGTGAGCGCTCATGACTGAGCGAAACAAACCCCATAGAAGCCGTACATAAAACGAATCAAGCACTTGGCGTAGCACTCAATCCCCGTAAGTACCAAGTACTTCCCCACCGGACAGTCTGCATCTTACATCTAGCAAGCAGGGAGAGAGTTGAGCTTGCCCTGGGCGCCACGGCAGTTGGCATTGGTGGTGAGCTTGGGGCTGTTGCCCTGGCCCTTGTTGACGCCCTTGTACTCGCTGCAGACCTTCTTGGTAGTACCGCACGATCCGCTGATGGTGGCGGTATCGCCGAAGTTGGAGTTGATGCCGACGAGGTCAGAGGTCATGCCGAAGGCGCGGACGTTCTCGACGATGACGTTGCGGGGCGACTTGGCCTGGTTGTTGGTGCAGTCACCGCACGAGCGGTAGAGCTTTCCAGAGTTGACGACAGTGAAGCCGCGGATCGTCACCGTGCCGACGGCATTGTGCTGGATGACCTTGTCCTTGGCTTCTTGGGCGCCGCCGCCGACGATCAAGACGTTTCCGTTGCCGATGAGGGAGATGGCGTCCTCGCAGACGTCACGGAACCAGACGTTGGTGAGGGTGCAGGAACCTATGTGACCAACAGTTAGTAAACTTGAAGTGAAGTGATGGTAGGATAGAAAGCCTGATCAGCTTTCGGAACAACGAACCCTTGCAGTGGACTCCTTCGAGGGAATCAGCGCCAATGATGACGTTGGAGATGGACGCGCCATTCTCAAGGATGAAGACAGCGTTGGCGCTGCCAGTGTCCTGGTCAGAGTTGCACTTGCGGCCACGGCTGTACTCGGCGTTGCCAAAGTTCCTGCTTCCAGAGATGCTGCTGGGTGCTGGAAGGACATTGATGTTTCCAACACGGTTGGGGATGGGGAGAGTCTGAGCAGATGCAACGCTGGCGACAAGCGCAGCGAGTTGGATTTGAGTGAACTTCATGTTGAAAAGATGATTGGGAGATGGAGCGAAGGAACTGAAGGTTGATAGATGGATGTAGATGAGGAATCAATGGATGAACTGGTTGATTTGGAAGATTTAGGAATACTTTCTTCCATACTTATATATTAAAGCACTCACCATATCCGGCCCTTTTGGGGCTTCACTCTCCAGACTAGAACAGGGCCAGACCAAAGATCCACCACTAGGAGATTTAAAGAGGAGCACAAGTCTCGGAAAAAAGTTACCTGAATGTGTGCAGGCCAAGACACGATCTAGTATTCTTCTAGAAGTATCGCCGCGGGACGTGCTGCGTGGTAGTAGTCTAGAGAGTCAGTAGTTGGCTAGATTTCTAGCTTGCTAGAAACAAAGTTTAGCACCACTACTAGGAGATTTAAACAGGAGCACCGGGTCGCCAATAAAAGCCACCTGAACGTGGCCAGCCCACGACGCGATCTAGCTTCTCCAGCAGTATTGCCGTGGGACGGCCCGCGTAGCGGCGATTTGGCGGTGTAGTGTTAATGGTGGGTACAAGTCACATTTGTCAAAAACGAAATTCAGCATATCCATACGGTGAAGGTCAGCTACGGACGAAAGATCGGGATTCAATGTCAATGGATAGAAAGAAGCCGGTGAGGTGATGCCTCGTATCAGTATTGCCGTGGGACAGGCCGCACGGTAGCAGTTCGGTGGTGTCAGTGGTGGATAGAATTCAGCTTGCTTGCTAGAAACAAAGTTTAGAATACACACCGTGTTTTGGCGGTTGCGGACGAAAGGTCGGGAGAAAGAAACAAGTGCGGTGATTCCTCGTAACAGTATCGCCGTATGATGGGTCGTGAGGTAGCAATCGTGAGGTGTTAGTGGTCGATAGAAGTCATGCTCGCCAACAGACAAAGTCTAGCATACATACACCGCCGTGCAGAGTGGGTTCGAACGAAAGATCAGAGTTGGATGTTGGGACAGAAAGATCGGGGAGAGAAAGAAAAGGGTCCGGTGGTCCCACGTCCCCGTGATTCAGGGCACCAGGCCCTATTATAATCAAAATCAAAGGGTGCTCTGTAGAAGTGGGTGCGCGAGCAACTTTCCTATCGCTGTGTCCAAGCCAAACCCACCACAGCCCACACTCCGGGCCTAACGTTCCACGACGGTAGAAGCGTTTCTGGGCAGTGCTTTTACACATTCTTGGCGTCGGGCACTAATACTCCCGGACAGCGGACAATCTTGGCGTTTCACTTGGGAGCAGGCTCTTACGTCGTTAGGAAGGTGGGCATCATGAGATGCCCCCAAACAACCGCTGTACACCTGATTTCGTACATGTCTGCATTAGTAGAGGTTATAGAGGGCATACTATACATATAAGACCATCCGCTATATACCAGCTTTGAAAGTCGAGATATTATGGTGGTTGTTATGCGGCGCAGCGAACATGTGTTTTCCCCCGATGACGCTAGAGGTAGGAATCTCTTGGAACCCTCCTTGGCACCTGGGCAGGCTCTGTGCTCATTAAATGTTCCGAAGGAACAGCTGGTGGAAGTATATATCTCCGGAAGAGTAAAACTCCGTAACGAGATCGCACAGCACAGCAAAGGCCGCGTGTTGCGTGCTATAGGGTCACACCCAACGTGGGACTCGCATCCCTGTAGTATTTACCCCGGCCAGCGTACATGGTCTGATCTGATCTTAAACTCTGATTTGCCCTGAGAATGTGAGCCGACGTCAGTGACGCCGTACCACCTACTATATGTTCACTAGCACGAGTCTAAGGGGGTATAGCGGGGGACAAGAAGGAAGCTGAAAATACGAAGGCGAGCTCGTATTTTCTGAGCCCTGGGCCTTAGGCCAACTTGGGTGAAGATCCTAGTAAAGAAACGAGCTGCCTCGTACACCCACAGGCAGGCTGAAAAAAATGGTACATTGGTATACCTATATGGGTATGTTGATCTAAACCGAAAGACAGATTTGTAGAGTAAAGTCGGGACGATGCCTTTCTTCCTAGAACGCCAGAGCCATGCTATGCTATGCAACATTGAATCATTCACACAAAAAGTGGAGTGTTGTTATCTCCTCGGACTCGCTCTAGGCGTGGGGGTCGAGTCCTTCGTGCTCAGCACACCGAGGTGGTGCGTAAGCTCATCAATATCAGCCAACTCTTTGGTTGGCGTGATCCCCTGTTCCTCCCCACTCTCTTCGTCGTTATCACGCTCATCATCACCATCATCGGGGTCGGGGTCGGTGTCCTCGTCAACATACTCCTCGCCAACGTACTCCTCACCCTCTACGTAATCGTCCCCCTCGACGCTCTCGAGGATCGAGTCTTCAAGATTCGCCTCGTCAAGCGAGTCCTGCGTCATGTAGCTCGCCTCGAGATCTTCGACCACTTCCGAGCCTTCGTCCTCGCTGCGGATGCTACCGGCTTCGGTTGTGCCATCGTCATCGTCGTCCTCACTGTCTGTGAAGTCTTCAATGTCAAGAGGCTTGTCGCGCCAGTAGTTGAAGTCAGTATACGCCTCGCCTCCCGCGGGTACAAGCAGGCCAACGGGCGGGAAGAAGTGGTCGACAATCTCGCGCATGCTTGCGTAACCGGTTTTGTAGGAATTGAGAGAGAGAACGTCGAGGCTGACCTCGGAGTTTGAGTTTATGGTGAAGATTCGTGTGGAGGGTATGTTTACGGAGCGGTACGAAAGGGCGTCTGTGAAGCGGTTGCCGAAGCCGGCATAGAAGGGTGTTTGATGTACGGGTTTGTCGAAGAGTTGCATGATATCGCGTAAGCAGGCCATTTTGAACACCTCTGGTTTTCGCAGGTAGATCTCTCGACGCAGGGCAGCGATTGTGCGATCTGGGCTCATGATGACTGGGCCTTTCGGGAGGCGGTAGGTTTCTTGGACAACGCCGTTGAGGTACGCTCGTGTCGTGTCTGCTAGGCCGATGGAGCGACTGGTGAGGTAGAAGATGTTGTAGCCATTGTTGACAATGTCGGTGTACAGCTTTGCAACACCTTGATGTGTCCAGTCTCTGCCAATCATGTTGAGCACCTGTCCTAAAGCGTCCGACTTGGTGATGGTGCCGTCGATGTCGGAGATGAGAATCGGAACGTCGTGCTTCCAGTAAAAAATGTATGCAGTACACGTCGATCGGTTTACTGTGAAGCTCATGGTATTTGCACCAGGCTTTAGATTGAGTGCTTTCAGCTGATCATTTGTGAGACGCAATGTCTTTGCGTAATTCCTCGTCTCGCGCTTGTTGTGTGCTTCTGGTGAGTGGGGCGCGGACATACCCAGAGCACTATCTGAGTCCCTTCGCACATGGGGAAAGTCGCCTGTGTCATCGCTTCGGCCGCTGTCGCTCTGGTAGCCGGGGTCCGATACAGCGTCGGCGTTGTGGAGGGCGGCTTCATTCAAGACGCTCATGGACGTCTTCTGCATGGCGGCTGCTTTTGCTTCTTCGCTGCTGTAAATCCACAGGTTGCCGTTTTCATCTGCTCCTATCAGCGCGCCAATGTCGTAGTCGCCCGCGAGCTCGTCAGAGAGAATCTTCCTGGCAATGACCTCGGCGCGCAAGGCATCCTCCTCGCTGCTCTTGTATCCCGTCATGTCGAGCTCGAGGTCCCCGCTGTCGGTGACTTTGTTCGGAATGTTCGAGGTAAAGAGCTTCTTGGAGAGCTTTATGGCGCGGGCGAAGGCCTCAGTGGCTGATAGTGGCGGTGGGCTCGCTGAGCGTGTTGTCCGGTTCCATGCTATTGCGTCCTCCTTGCTGATCTGCAGCAGCCCACTCTCCATGGTGCCGTCGAACGTCTTTGTGAAGCTTTCTTTGGTCGAGGGAAGGACATCGTCCGTGTTCGCACGGTGCATCTGGAAACCTGACCAGTCTCCAGATTTTGGGCGGGCAAAGTCAGCCTCGACGTGCAGGGTGTCGGACGATGCCACGGACATGGACAGGCGCCCCCTCCTGGTTGTGACGCTGGCGTCGTCGAGGTCGAGTGGCTCGGGGTCGTCGAAGGCGCGATCGCCAGGGAGTTCTATGGGCTTCTGCTCGGGGCTGGCGACTGGCGACTGAAGAGGCGAAGTCTGCATTTCAGCGGGAATGGCAGCCGACGTCTCGAAGACGAAGAAGGCCTCGCCACCCTCGCCCAGCTTCATGGCATAGTCCTGTAGTTCGCCATTTACTCTGAACTGGACCTTCTTGTCCGAGGGCCGTAGTATCTGGTATTTGCCAAAGCGGACGTGGAAGGGCGAGCACGCGAGGCTGCCATCTTCGCGCTCTACGACAATGGCATCGATGGCGCCGCTGAGGGTGGCCGGGTTGATCGAGTTCCAGCCCTTGGAGACAGTGCCTGTAATGGATCGCACGTAGTTCATTTTCCTCGCCACGGGCTCTCGAGGCCTCTTGCTCTATGTGCTGACAGGCGCAGTCTAGGAGTGAATGTCGGAAGAGCACTGCGGTACGAGGTTCGCCGAGGACGCGTTCGGGATTTTTCCTTTTTTAGGGTTTCCTTCTTCACATGCCAGCGGGACTTTACTTTGACGCTCTGACTCTGCTCGTCGAAGATAGTGGCTGCTGCGCAAAGTGAGGAATGTAACGACTAATGGGCCGACTGCTTTTGGTCGTGCCTAGAAAGCGATGCTGTCACCGAGGCACACGGACGTCAGACTGGGCGGTCATGGGATGGAGCTTAAGCCGGAGCAGGGCGGCATCATAGTTTTTGCAGCATAGCGACGAGGGGGAAAATAGAGCTTTTAATAATCAATGACATGTGCAAGGCTCGCTATCACATGCTGCGGGTGAATTATATGTTGGGACTCAACTCGACGCAACCCAACCCAACTCCACTCAAGCGCATGATGGTTTGCTGCGGATGCCGAGCAATGCACTCCCACACGTCCCCCCATCCCTCTTTGGGCCTATCCCTACGCAGCAACACTGCAATTGCACTTCCCCATGAAGCCACCATGGCCCGCTAGAACACTTGCAGCAATGGTGAAGGCGGGCTGCGGATGCGGAGGGCCCTGCAGGCGTGGTGGAGCCAAGACACCCACATTGCTTGTTCACCTCTGCTCCCTCCGGCCCGAATCGGCCATGCGACAGGCGTAGACTACTGCACCCAACTCTTCACCACCACCACCCAATCCTCTCCGACACCCGCTTGGGAGACGACGACAGCCAGGCCTGCCTTCTGTCGCCATGTTCTCCGAGCCGTCGTCGTCGCTCTACTGGCCGCCCGACGTGGCCCGCTACAACATGGACGCCCTCGTCTTCCTGTCGTCGGGCTGGCTGAGGACGGCATGCATTGTCGCGGCGCTGTTCTGGTAGGAATATATCGCAATATATATATACACACACACATGCACTCACTGACAGCGTCTCTCCAGGGTCGCCTTCCGCGCATACCAGGTCCTCTCGCAGCCCGTCGAGAAACTCGTCCAAGTCCTGGGTCTCGAAGTCCCGGTAGCCCCGCTCGTTTCGCTGGCCGGAATCAAAGCAGATGGCGTGTTGCTGCACTGGAAGCCGCCAGACCAGCGCGCGTCTGTCCTCAAATACGTTATTCGCATCAACGGCATAGACAGTAGGTCGCCCGCGCAACGGCTGGCACGCAATTCCCCACTGACAGCTATAGTTGGCGACATCTCGCCCCAAGAAACCTCTATCACTATTGAAAACCTGCAACCCGGCCGCCACTATACCGTGCGCATCGTCACGCTCAATTCGTCAAACTTCCAGGCTCCCAGCGTACCTATCCGCCTTCGAACCCTGCCTGCCGACTCGGACCAATACTACAGCCCCAACCCACCCAAGGATACCCAACCTACGAGCGGCGATGAAGACTTCACGCCCACGCCCATCATCCGCCCAAACAAAAGCCGCGCCGATGTCATTCAACCCTTCGTTGCGCCTCTCATGACGCGGGAGCACAGTAACAGCACCTCACGTTTGAGGCGCCCGGATGTGGGGAGGAGAAGTTCACCGGCATCGCAGACTGCTGACCAGGCACGCTCGGCCCAAGAGGCCGTAGAAGGCACAGACTCAATAAGGCAGCTCACAGAGAAGTTGGACGCCCTCCGGCGTGACCTGGACGACATGGAGCGCCAAATTCAAGACGAGGACCAGGAGTTTGTGACGCAGAAAGCGATTCTGGCGGACAAGCGCGACGAGAAAAAGGTGGCTTTGAAAGAAAAGGAAGATGCTAGTCGGGACCTCAGAAAAGAAGTAGCCAGTCTCGAACGCCAAAATGCCGCGGCCCAAGCGAGGCGTGCCCAGCAAGAGAAGATACTGCGACAAAAGGAGGCAGAGAGGCAGAAGCTAAAAGACGACGTTGCGAGGTGGACACGTGAGGCTGGCGAGCTGCGTGAGACAGCAGAGAAAGTCAAGAAAGAGCGCGACGAGTACGAGGATGCGTCTGCGAAAAGGATCCAGGCTGTTAAAGACAAGCATGCAGAAGAGATCCAGACCAACAAGTGCTTAGAAGACGCTATACGCGAGAAGGGTATCCAGATCAAGGCGCTCGAGGAGGAACGACAGGCCCTGGAAGAAGGACAGGAGGGCGGAGAAGCTCCAGATGGTGCCGATAATGCAGAAAGGGAAGAGGACAACAGATGGAAGATGACGCTTGGCCTCTTGCAGCAACATTATGCCCAGGCGTGGGCTCTCTTTACAGAGGCCGAACGAGTGAACCACGAAGCTTCAAGCAGACTACAGTTCATGGAGCAGCGTCGTATGAGCCAGCCGCAGCTCTTCTCTGGGCCGCCTGTTCCCGAGATGGGCCCCGTCAGAAGGAGCAGTCTGCGAGCGCGCCCTCTCAGCATGCGCGAAGGCCTGCTTTCTGCAGCTCCTGGAGGATTTGTCCACACCTCGTCCGCCCCGTTCAACAGTATTCCTACAACAGCCTCGCCCTCATTTGCGTCCGTCACACCTTACTTCAACCCTGTCAACGGCATGGCGCTTCCTCCTCGCACACATTCCATGTCCTTCTCTCAAGCAGACATTGATAGTCTGACCGGAGGAGCTCCCATGAGTCCGACTGCCGGCGCTCTGCTTCCTGCAGGCCTCTTCGGCGACGATTTGGGTCTGACAGATGCCGAGGATGAGGACGATCTAGGTCCACCACGACCCCCATCACTAGACCCCTCGCCAAACCTCAGAAATGTGTTACCGGGCTTAGGGGCGCCTGGCACTATGAACCGCATCCAAGACCCCAGTTCACCCGTCTCACCGCAAAGCCGCTCTCCTAGTGCATTTGCGAGTCCAAGGGAAAGTGCTGGCGAACTACAATATTATCCAAATAACGACAACGCCGACAGCGACAGGCGCTCCATTCATTCCACATCCAGTTCCTTCATGGTCAACCCTCAGGCCAGTCGCTTTGGCGGTCTTTTTGGACTGAATCGGGCGCGTGGGAAGACATTTTCTGACGAGGGACCCACTTTGGGTTCTCTGAAGCCATCGCAGAGTCAGTCTCTGCCTCGGCAAGAACATGGATTAGATGCTGCAGGGTCCTCACGGCGGCGAGGCAGTCATTCGGAAGGCGCGTGGTACGATTCATTCATACGCCACAAGACGCTGCCTGTGGAACCGCCCAGCAGTCCGAAGCATGTGGCTACGCGTAAGCGGCCATTCAACATGTTTGGGACGAAGGCCGACCCGTGGCTGACATCAGTACTAGGATTCGAACGGCCGTCGTCTCCCCGTCAGGGCTCTACCAAGTCTGGCGAAGGAATGGCTTTACCGCGGCCTTCGACGGAAAGCCAGACGCGGTTTGGATGGTCTGTGGATGCATTTGGTGCTCGAAGCAGCCCACTCGGTGTCGACTGGAGTATCAACAACACCAACACGACTTCCTGGTCAAGGATGCCTTCGCGACGTCCGTCAATACAACATGGGTCCACTAGCAATCTGATCAACGAAGACATGCTACATGGCGATCTCCTCGACTTCCCCTCCACCACCCGTTCACCCACCCAGGCACCAATTGGCACCAGGCCTCAGTCATCCGCTTCACACATGCCTGCACAGGCGTCAATCTCATCACTACAACCTGTCCCCCCTACGCCACCTACACAGCTCGACCCGACAGCGGCCGCTTTCACAATGTTCCAGCTGGGGAAGAAGACGGAGGAGGACAAGGCGAAGAGAGCTGCCGAGAAGGAAGCTAAAAGAGCGGAGAAGGCAGAGAAGAAGGAAGAGAAGGAGAAGAAAGCTAAAGCCGAGAAAGCCGAAAAAGCTGCGCGCAAGGAGAAAGACAAGCACACTGCATCTGAGGCCGGTGATTCTAGAGATGCCACTTCTCCTCATTATGACTCGCGCATGTCACGCGATACACCATCGTTACTTTCTACTGCCGACGCATCGGAAGCTTCGCCGCGTGAATCGCTCGAACGCACCGCATCCCATACAGCTTCGGAGAATGCTGGGTCTATCGGAAAAGAGTCTTTCATGCAAAAACTTACTCGCAAGGGAAGCACCAATCAGTTCCTCACCTTCAGCAAGAAAAATGTCCTGTTGTCGAAAAATAAGGTTAGCGACGTGCCAGGTACTCCGGACGAGGCAGACGAGGACGGCGGCTTCCTTGGTATTGGACGCAGTACTGAGAGCGTCGGAAACAGCCCTAGCATTGGGACGCCCAAGGACAAGGGCGGTTTACTGAGCTGGGGCTCTATCAAGCGCATTGGGAAGAAGGACAAGACGCCGAGCTTGCATGAAAGCATCGCTAGTGAGGCGACAGGCGATGAGGATGATGGTGTGATGGAGGGCCCGAAGGTATAGTGTTGCATAGCGAGCGATGTTGAAGTAAATAGCTTGGATCAGCCAGCATAGCTAAGGCGTTTATCAAAATCCATTTTATTCTTGAAACCAAAGAACAAGTCCACATCTGCGGTTGCGCAACGACATTGCTTCACCCCAGATTTCAGCCCTACGCAGAGCCGCATCGCCAAGACCGGACCTGCGGCTTCACTCCAGCTATCACCTCCAACAACCCGCACAAGTCAGCGCACGCGCTCTCACCCCACCCACCATCATGGCTTCGCCAACCGCAGAAAGCATGCCTAATGGCATATCTACGCCTCCAGCAACCGCCAACGCGAATGCGAATACGACGCCGCCAACCCAACCCTCGACGCAACCCAATCCGCAACAAGCGTCGCAACCGCTCTCCAACGGCGCGCCAGCCAGCATGAACGCCCCGTTCCCCCCAAACTCCCTGCAAGACCCCGGCAGCTCCAAGCGGCCCCGAGACGCACGCCTGATCCACCTGATCCTCGCCAACATGGGCGTGCACGCCTACACGGAGCGCGTCCCCCTCCAACTCCTCGACTTTGCCTACAGATATACATCCGGCATTCTCACCGACGCTATCAGCTACGAGCCGCCGGCACATGCCTCTACTACATCGAAGAAGCGCGGCGCTGATAAAGCAGAGGAAGAAGGCGGTGTCAGTCTGAATGCGCTGCGGACGGCGGTCGGGGCGCGCGCTGCGGGCACGTTTAGCGGACAGCTGGGCAAGGAGTTCATGGCCGATGTGGCGAGTGAGCGGAATAGGATTGCGTTGCCGCGCGTCGAGCGGGAGTTTGGCGTGCGGTTGCCGCCTGAGCGGTACTGTTTTACCGGAGTTGGGTGGGATGTGAAGAATTCCTGGGAGGGCGAGGAGGACGAGATTGAGGAAGATGAGGATATGGATCTGGGAGAGGAGGGCGGGGTTGTTGGGGGTGGGGTCGGGTTTGGTGGACCGGTTGGAGGGCCGAATGGCGAGGGTGCTGGTGCTGCTGGGGACGATACTGCTATGGGGGGCATGGGTGACGAGGAAGAAGAAGAGCAAGAAGACGACGAGTTTGAGGAGGCTATGGGTATCAGACCGGAGAACAATGCTTGATTTCACATATCTCTCTCTATCTCTCGCGGGATTTTTGAGTTCCGTGTACAATCAGACGTACAGCACGGAGTACCCTAGGCGTAGGGCGTCGGCGTTGGCACCAAGCATTTCAAGGCGTTATTTATCATTTGGACTGGAGCAGGATTATACCAGAGCTGAAATTTCCTCAATTGCGCGCAGGCTTTCTGCGCTTTGCCGCATGTCTGTCTACCTCCACCTTTTGTTCTGCGCAAAAAAATATCATACAACATTTCCATCCAGCTCTTTATCGATACATTCGGAATAGTTCTAGTTCCGATCCATCTGCACAATCAGTATGCATATGTGCAAGTGATGCCATGCCGCCTTGTAAACGCCTTATGAATGCAATCAATCAATCATATCATCCCGCCCATCCTTCCCCCCTCCAACATCTCACGTCCCCCTATAAATCCCTCCACGTGTAACCCCCCTGTCGTCCACGCGATTCTCTTCCTTCCGCCTCAAACCACCCTCTCCTTCACCTCCAACAACCTCGGCCTTCCGCCCCATCGTACGCCCCTGGTCATCCAAATTCCACCACTCCTTGTGCTTGTGCCTCGCATCCTCCAGCTGCCGCTGGTGCTCTTCCCGCTGCTTTTTCCGCTCGCCCGCTAGCGCAAACCACTCTTGCCGCGCCTTGTCCAGCTCGTCTTGGTTCTGGTATTGTAGCATGCAGGCGTTCATGGCTAGGCGCGCGGGGCGGCATGTGTACATCATGGTGAAGGTACGGCCGAGGGCGCATTGAGCGAAGGCTGGGGGGGATGTTAGCTCAGGAAGGTGGGAAGTGGATATCTAATGCTCTTCATAGAGGCATAGAGGAAAACAATCATGTGGGGGAATCGGAGTGGAATGGAATGAATTGCAATGAGAGGAGGGGCACATTACTCTCAATCTCCTTTGCGCATTTGGCGCGCACATTCTTGTAGTATAGATCGCGGACTTGTTGTTCTTGCGGGGCGGAGAGGGGTGTCGGATTGCTGGGGAGCGTGTTCGTGCCGACTACCATGCGGTCTGTCATTGCGACGGGGCGTTGAGCTGCGAGCGAGCGAGCGCTCCACAGGCTATTTTGCTGCGTAGTAACAGGCCAATGCGGATGATGGCAGCAGGAGTGAGCGGCCTGGAGGGATACGGTAGCGAGCGATGTAGCGGTGACGAGGCGTCGAGAGCTTGCGGAGCTTCGATGGTGGTTCGAGATTCGAGATTGATGTTCTTCGGAGCAGCGGCTGGGGATTATTGGGAGCGGGCGTATTTTGTCGGAGCATCTAACTCGAGAAGGCCGATGATTTCAGGCCGAGGCTCTGCATTGCTCGTGTGGGATTTCCACTTCACGTGCTGATGTGGAACATGTTGCCTTCTACACCGCACACACGCACTGCTCAATCTCCAACTTCACGAGCTTTCTCGTGAGGCATTTCAAAGTATAGTTTTTCTATATTAAACTACCTACTACACATCACCGCACATCAAAGCCCGACCCGCTCATCGAAGCTCTCAGCACACACTCTCTTCCGAAACACTTGCGAGTCGAAGCACATACGATGAAAATCGCAGACAGGACCGTTATAATTAGCGGCGGCGCATCCGGCCTCGGCCTTGCAACAGCACGCGCCCTCCACGCCCAAGGCGCATACGTCTCGCTCCTCGACCTAAACAGCGACAATGGTTCCAAGATCGTAGCAGAGCTAGGCACGCGATCCAAGTTCTTCGAGACCGACGTAACCGATACCAAAGCAATCGCTGCTGCGGTGACAGGAACAGTGGCTTGGGCAAAAGAGACAGGGAAAGAGATCGGCGGCGTGGTGGCTGGTGCTGGTGTCGGTCTACCAGGCCTGATCATCGACAAGAAGAACGAACCGTTGAGCATCGAAAGCATCGATTTCGTACTCAATATTAACCTCCGCGGCACCCTCGACCTCATTCGGCAGACAGTACCGCATATGACGACCGCAACGCCCTCGGAGCCCGACGGTTCACGCGGTGTGATAATCATGATCGCCTCCAGCGCCGCGTTTGACGGACAGATGGGCCAAGTCGCCTACGCGGCCAGCAAAGGCGCCGTGGCTAGCCTGACCCTCCCACTCGCACGAGATCTCTCGAAACACGGTATTAGGGCCGTGACCATCGCGCCGAGCATGTTCGATAGCGCCATGACAAAGATGTTGAGCGAGAAGGTTAAGAAAAGCCTGGAGAACAGTATGGAGTTTCCCAGACGAGCAGGACTGCCCGAGGAGTTTGCGAGATTGGTGGTGGAGTGTGTAGGGAATGAGATGCTAAATGGAACGGTACTGCGGTTGGATGGGGCGATGAGGATGCCCGCGAGGTTGTAAATTGTTCCGTATCGAAATACATGATGGACAAACTTGTAGAGTCACAGTGGTGAAGCTCCAAAGTTCCAAGTGTCGGTAGATTTGGTAGCACTCAGCGTTTGCGCTCTCGAATCTTGAACTTGACGCCATGCTTATTGACTCCTCCCACCGTGTTGTTCATCCTTGCCCTTTGAGCATCCAGTTCCTCTTCCGCAGCTGCAAGCTCTTTCTCACGCTTCTTTATTGATGCCAGTTTGATGGCTGTTCTTGATTGTGCCCGCTCTCTGTCCTTTCTGAATTTTCTGGCCTCCTTCTTAGCCAGCTCCTGGGCTTCAAGCTTCTTCTTCGACATCGTTTTCGTTTGGGGCGCGTCGTTCTTGTCATCATCGTCTGATAAATCTGCGTCGAGGTCCTCGGCGTGACTTGGATCTTCTCTGCCCGGTAAATCTTGACCTCGCCCAAACCAGGCCTCAGGGTCAAACTCCTCCTGCTCCTCTTCATTCTCCACGAATACCCTATGCTTGCCTTTTTTTGCCTTGTCCCCGTCTCTTAGCGCCCGTACCTCGCCCTGTTCCTCCAGAATCAATCGCTCCTCCAACTCCTCTCTCTCTTTGCGGGCCATCTGCAACATTGTCCTGATATACCCCGCATCCTGTGTCTTCAATAGCTTGACTACCTCTAAACTCAACACCTTGTCCCCCCGGTCTGCCACCTTTCTGCCCTGCTTATCCACCTTCGAGCTCATCATCTTGAAGCTGAACTCATCAGGATTGCGATCGCGGGCCTTTTGGGAGAGAATCTTCAGCTTTGCTTTCTTCCCGCGGTGGTCGGCGGCCCGCAGCTTGTAGTCCTTGGCCTTCTCAAGAAGACCCCATTTTTGGCGTTCGACGGGCTGAGCACGCTCTTTGTGGTTGCGCCGCTGAACGGCATTTCGCATGGACGACATCTTGTGGGTTGCGAGGTGGTGATTGTGGTGTTGAGGAGGCGCTGGAAATTTTGTATGCTATCGAGGTGCCAAGATTTCGTGGCGCTAGGCCTTGCGCTAACGACAGTCAGGTTGTTGACCTGTCCAGCTGAACAAACAATGATTAAAAGTTCAATTTATTCATGGCTTGCAAGGATTAGTGACCCGACTCGCGACGTCTTGTTATAAATCTCTATACTCAAAAGATTGTATTTTTCACGCCATCGCATTGATTGCTTCACTTTTTGTGCCTTTGGTCCGATACCCAAAGACACGGAGTCCATCCTCGTGTGTTCATCGGCCATGTGACATAAGGAGTTTTGTCAACCTTCTACACAGACACAACATTCACGATGAAGACAAGGCGAGTGACTCGCTCGATGAAGACCAATGCTCCGCCTCGAATAGAGAACCAAAGCGTAGGCCCTCGTAGGCATGGGCTGAGATCTGTCGTACGTACTGAAGCCACAATCCTTCCCTTCCTCGATCTCCCACTGGCAGCGCGCACCCAAATCTTCAAGCACATACTGGCACCCACGGGAACGGTTGATCTGAAAGCTTCCCATATGCCATGGACTGCGAATAATGTCATGCCTATCACAAGCATCCTTCGTGCTTGTCGGACCGTCCACAATGAGGCTACCGTTGTCCTCTATGGAAGCAATAAATTCATCTTCGGTTCGAACACCGAAACAGTGCAAAATTGGATCGCGCAGATTGGACTCAGGAACGCCCAATATGTCAGCACAATTCGCATGGATTTCGTCGGACATTGCGATCACAAAATGGGCTATCCACATGCGGAAGAATATACTCATTACATAGATGCCCTAAGGCTAGCGCCCAACTGTGTACTTAAATTCGAACCCCATGTTGATGAGACGACTTACCCTAGCTACCTCTATGGATGCAAACATTCTCACAATCTTCGGCGGATTGAACTCACTCTGTGGAGGCTTCGAAATGAGCCATGTTTTGAGGCTTATCAACGACTAAACCTCCTTTCCCATGTTTATATTTACGAGAGTGGGAGACATGGGCTCATCTATTTCAAGACACACGACTCCAGGTTCAGTTGGAAAGAGGAGTTCCTTCTTCGGGACCCGCCCGGAATTACAATCAAGGAGGAACCTATTGAGCTTGACGGGGTGGCCAAAATCGAACTATTGAAGCACCTAAACACCGCCGAGGAACTAGAAACTATCGAATTTATGCATGAACGCAAGGTCTTATCTCATCTCCCCGCGTACCTGATTACAGAAATACTCAATTACGTCGTTAGTCCTCCACGTCTCATTGAGATGCGTCTACCTCCACAATACGGGGGAATAGATGCATATGCTACAGACACGAATTTTGTCATGGCGCCCGAAATACTACCATTTCCTCGCGGCATGTGCGCCAGCAAACAACTACTTGACCAGGCATTGCGCATGTACTACACACGCAACAAATTTATTTTCCGATTCCAATTCACCAAAGCGAAAGTTGACCAGTTGCATAATCTGGAGTATGTGTTCGCGTGGATGGAAAAGAGCAAACACCGCAAACATGCACGGCAAGTGCGGGTTGTGCTGGATTTTGGCAGGGCCATAACTCTACATGAGATTTGTATCAGCTTGTTTGCACGTCGACCCGCGGCTAAGAATGTTTGGGACAAATCGTTGGATATTTTATTCTGCTTCAAGGCGGGCGGAACTAGTCATGGAGTGAGCATGGATCAAGTCGCACGCAACATCTCTAGACTATTGTATAGCGAACACGATGACCCTTTACTGGATGGATGCTGGGTGGATGGGTATGGGAATGCTCATTTATATACCAAGAAAGAGAAAAGACTAGCTACGATGGGTTAGAAATGCGGGTACTCGACGCGTGTAGGGAGTATAAAATGAAGATATTGAGTACTGGAAGAATTAGCAGTGAGGAGGTATGCATAAGTATGAAATCTAAATTAATACTGATTTTCTTCTATTGAACTTAGCAACGTCCTCAGTCTGTAGCCTTGTTCTCAGCTACATCATCCATTTCTACCTCTTCCTCAATAGTTGGCAAAACATGATACCTCGCCTGTCCCTTCCCTAATCTCTTCAAGCACCTATCTGTATGCAACAAATGCCCCCTGTTATGTCTCACAAAGCCCGCAAAACATGCCGCACTTGTAGCGACCGCGCCCGCACTAATATATATAGGTATCCTGAAGTCTTCGGGTCGGTAGAAAATCATCGTCGTCGCAAAAGAAAGGAGCTCGAAAAGATTCTGAATCGACATTTCGATGGCAGAAAAGGAGCCGCGTGTAGCTGAAGGCGCGTCTTCTTGGACCAGGTATTGTACTGAGAGGTCAAATCCCCATAGTCCGAGACGGCTGAGACAGACGCCCAGAACGAGAGCGCCGCCCGCTAACTTGGATTTGACGTTGGCTAAAGAGAACAGGCCGACCGCCAAAGCAATAGAGATCAACTGCTCATTGACGAACCAAAGACCCGAGCGAACGGCGCCGATTCTGTGCATGAGCCATGGGGCGACGCAGGTAGCTGATAGCTCCAGAGCGACAGATACAAGGCGCATGATGGATACATCTGTGCTGGTAAAGCCGAGTGTGAGGAGGTAGGTTGTCATTTGCGAGGCGAAGCTGAGAACTGTGAGGTAAAGGAGGGAGAGCGAGAAGGATGCGAGAAATGCCGGGTTCTGGATGTACTCTTTGTACGGTCGGAGAGTGTTGGTGATGATGGTTGTAATGGGTCGTGGCGTGGAAGAGTCTAGTCCCCGCTGTTCTTCCTGCACCTCGGGACTTTGCTCTCTTTTGTGTGCGAGATTTAGTACCGCTTTGTACACCTGTACGATGGCAAAGTACTCAATTAAAACGCTCATGGCTTTCTGCCCAAACACGACCCAAATCGCAACTCTTGTCGAATACCCATCAAGTAGACCTATGCCTACCGGAGCGATGAGCTTGCACACCAGATCGATCCGCCTCATAGTACTGTTCAGCTCTTGGCGGTCCAAGTGCAAGCTGTCAGATACTACGATAATCCAGTCTCGTTCTATAGACACGGTGTTGGCGACAGAGCCGAGTTTTTCGACGCATGCCAGGACCACGCTTGCCGCAAAGAGGGTGTACATCAAGGATTTCTCCTCCATGTTGGCGTTCAGCATGCGAATGAGGATGACGCAAGATCCAGCGACACTTAGTCGTTGCCACACGATAGACTGCCTCACAACAACAAGGCGGTCATTTCGATCTACCTGGTCGCCTATCCATGACCCGAGAACGGCTGCGGCTGCGGAGCGAAACAAAGCGTAGCATGAAGCGAAGAAGAGTGTTCCTGGGAAAATAGTGGCTAAGAAGATAACGGCGCCAAATTCAAAGGTTCGTGCGTTCCATGTTGAGAGGGTATGGGAGAGGTATAACCTCCATAGAAGTGGCCTCGTCGATCTCGACTGTGTGGGAGTGGGGTAGCGGTGATTTGGCTGCGGGGCACCCGGTGATGAGGAGTGCGGTGATAGATTTGTCATAGTGGAGAATGTTGAAGAGTTATTTCAACGAGCGTTGAGAAGATATGAGGGTCCATTTTGAGGGGATCGTGACGATCATGAGACAATGGTGGGCGGATGCCCAGATGTCCGAGGTCGCCTCATCTGATCGGCAATTCGAGCCTTTGTTCGCTTAATGTTGCTCGTGGTGCTCACAGGTCTCGCCATTTGCTCCTTTCTGTCTGCCTTGCACTAATCAGTCTGAGACTATAATCAAATATAGTAGTATCACATCTCGGAGAACTACTTTAGTTGTCGTATCACTCTATACGCTAATGGAAGGCACTAACACCAGGGTACCGTCGCGATGCGTATGCGAATGACGGACACGCTCACAGCATATGGGCCTACGTAACGACAGCCGTCTTCTAGGGACGCGGTATCAGATATGAGATTGCATATTCGATTCCAACCTGCATTATGAGACCGCTCGGAAGTTCGGCGGGCTGTCAACGCCTGGCCAAGCAATTGCTGGGCACTCACGCGTCAGCGCTCACAACGCGTTACAACAGCTCTTGCTCTACCGTGAGCTATCACGAGAGTAACGAATGCCACGCTCTTTGCAGAGTATCCGAAGAGGTAGGAAAGCCCAATTAAGTCCAGCCGTTGTTGCAACGCTAACATGCTGGAAAGGATGGATTCTCCTACCCCTCGGTAGACGGCCCGCCCCCTTGCGTGCATTACCACTCCTCCAACAGCCACGAAACGATGGCAAGCCTCAACGCCCGCCCGTATCGAAAACACGCGATGATAGTGAGCAAGAGCGAAGCAAATTCGCGCGAAGCATTTTAGAAGGCAGCACTGTAGCTCTTATATCGCTCTTTGGTCTTGGGCTTGGCGGCTACGCTTACAGCCTATTTTACAAACGGACTGTCAGAAACAAGATAGAAAATGCCTTCGCCACGGGCTATAGCTCGCAAGAGCGTGTCGCGCTAGGTCGAATCTCGTATGGTACTGACCCGGATAAAATACAAGAGATCGTAGAGAGAGAATACTGGGTGCCCAGAGCCGAACAAGATGAGGTCAACGATATCGTTAGTGGTAAGACAAGAGGCCGATATCATCTCATCATTGGTGAGAGAGGAACTGGCAAGCGAGCCTTGCTCCTGGAAGCTATGCGGAAGGTCAATGGCGATGGCATTGCCATGCTGGAAGCGCACAATGATCTAGAAGTGTTCCGGACCCGGTTGGGCAAGTCAATCGATTATGAGTTCCATGAGGACTACATCGGCGGTCTTTTCAGTATCAGAGGTCCGCGAGATAGCACGCCGCTGCTAGATATCGAGAGAGCGTTGAATCAGTTGGAGAAGGTGGCATTGAAGATGAGAAAGAGACGAGGCAAACCTCTCCTGATGATCATCAACAATATTCACCTTTTCAAGGATGACGAAGCTGGAAAACACTTGCTAGAAATCTTGCAACAGCGAGCGGAGATCTGGGCAGGCAACGAGCTTGTAACAACGGTCTTTACATCTGACGAGTATTGGACGCTAGAGCGATTGACACCGCATGCGACCAACATGTATGTCATGAATATCAGGGACGTTCGCAAAGTTATGGTTACCTCAGCACTGAAAAAATATCGTGCTCGATACCACAACGAAGACGTATCTCAGACTATCTTAGACGAGGTTTTCGCAAAAGTCGGCGGACGCTTGATATTCTTGAACCAAGTTGCAAAGTCGAAAGACATGTTCGATACCTGCAAGCAAATTAACCGACGAGAGAAGTCTTGGTTTCTCAACAACTGCTGGATTCTGGGTGACTCGATGGACGACGATGTTGAAGAGCAACAGAAATATTGTGCTGCCGCCATCATCCTGGCGCGTGCCCTCGTTCTCCGCGAAGACAATTCTTCCTCTCAGCCCCAGTTCACACTCCCCGAGATACCGCTACATGAAGCTCGCCAAATCATTACACGCGCCGACTTTGTACACCCCTTCGACCACATCAACGTTCTCCATATCGACGCTCACGGTATGGTGAGGGCTGACTCCGTACCAATGCAGAACGCTTTTCGAGAGATTGTGCAGGAGGAGGGGTTCGAAGAGCATTTGAAGGCTACGCTGAATAGGCTGGATGAGCTGGAGAGTCTGGCGAGGACGAGGGAGGTTGCGTACAGAGAGGTGCCGGATCGGAGTGGCGGGATCGTACCGGTGCAGACGTATTGCGCGAAGATCTAAACGGCTTGAGCACCTGGCAGGTATGCAAGGTACTTCCTTGAGTGTAGTGCAAACGATATTGCCAGACTTTCCATTCGTTTTTGAACTAGTTTTTAGGTCAAGGATGGGGATCAAGGTAGTCGAATCAAAGAATCAGCATCAACTGTGGGTGCAAGCCCTCCAGTCCGCGTGTATGAGGTAGTTTGATGGCGACAAGACAGATCTGCAGGTGACCACAAAAGACTATATAAATGCAGTAAACGATATTAATCCTGACTGTCTTAAATTGTGAGCAAAGATGTTCTAGTAAGGAGTTACATTTAGTTTGGGTCCGTAATTACGAACTGCCAACACCATTTCAAACCGAAATCCACCTCGCCTGAGTTTACGAACTTCCCATTTCTAGCAGGGCCGAAAAACCACTAGCCTTCGGTAAATCCAAGTTCCATCATTGCCAATACCTTCCTCCTTTTGGTAGTCCTATTATCTTAGACAATGCTTCTGACTTAGGTGACGCGGCAGTGTGACACGAAACTACAGTAAAAACGTGATAGTAGCTATTAGAACACCAAGTACCGCAAGCAAAGGCCCTCCTTGAAACTCGGGAATTTGGTGAACTGCTTTCGAAGTCTTTCCAGATACAGCACCACTTGGGGTCGGCTTATGTGTCATAGATTCAAGAACGTCCTTAGCTATGACAAGCCCAGTTTGTGTTCCGGCAGTTTGGTATGCAAGACACTGCGTAGTGTGTGTTAATGTTGGACTCAATAACTCCGTGGAAAATGGTAGGAGCCCCACTTGCACACCAAACCCAGCAGCGAGGCCAATACCGTAGTCGACATGCGTAAGATTCTTGAAAGCGTCCTTGAATTTGACATCCGTCTTGCCTTGAGTGTTACAGTCTGCACCAAATTTATCCGTCGCCAGTTGCGTGACATTCATTTTGATCTCTGGAAGGGAGACGTAAGGCCCCCCCTCGAGGCTGGCTCCGAGGAACGAAAGGCCTACCGTGATCTTGGGTCTAAGGCGTGCGGCTATACTAAACTCGAGGTTGGATACGTTAGCCGAAAGTGGCTTCAGCGACACTTCTGTTTGGTTGAACCCGGATATATATGAGTCCTGTAGTTCTGCGGCATCGAGCTTCGCTACAGAGTCTGGTACCTGAGGATCTCTTAGCGCCGTCGAGAACATACCAATGTCGAGAATTAATCCTCACTTTCACGTCGAAACCGAATCCTAACTCGACAGCTCCTTCAATCGTAATTTCAATCGAAGCGACCAAGGAAATGGTAACGCCAAAATGACCGATTTTAGGGATCTATCAGATGGATCAGCGCTGTAACTGGTCAAGACACCTGAGCTCATACATTGAACCCGGGACCGAGTGCCGGGGATCTGGCTAAGGTGAATTCTTTCTTGAACTTTTCAGAGGGAGTAGCCTTCAGTCCAATTGACATCTCAAATCCCTTGATATCGAGCTGAATGAACCCGCTTTTTACAGGATCGTCGTCTTCCCCCTTAAACCACGCGCCAAAGTCAAACTTAAATTTCCCTGTTGTCACTATCATCTCGCCTTTCGCAGTGCAGTTAGCACATCCAAGTTGAATTGTGTTCAGACTTTCGAGCTCCTCTCCTTCAAAGAAGGTTGTGTTGATTTTATCGAATCCAAGATCTGTTTTGTTGACTGTATTTTCAATTTGTGTGACTACAGATTCTGTTGGGGCGGCCAGAAAAGTACTGCTTGGACGGCCGATTCCTTTTATTGTTGAACTTTGGGGAGCTCTGCGGTACAGGCGATCGTATTTGTGGATAATATAATGCTTGTCAGTTTGACCAAAACTAATCGTGACGGTATGAAATTCCTTCTCAATGATGCTTTCTTCAAGGTCAAGTACAATCGTAGAGGACTTGTCGTCAAAAGAGACATTGATAACCCTTCTACAATCAGTATTTATAGCTTACATTGATTAAGCAACCTACCTATGAATTGTGTGTGCACCATTGTCTCCGCAAGTGTGATGTGAAGATATGAGTAGTCCACCGACCAAAGATGTACATGCGTCTTTAGCCATTCTGTACGATTGTCCGCTCCGCACACTGACACTCATCTTTGAACCATGGCATTCAACTTTTGTCAGATGATGATCAAAGTCTTCCAAGAGGAGGGTTGGTCGATCAGCCTCAAGGTGGATGTGAGACGACATGACCGGTCCACCCGTATAGTGATCTGCGTAGGCAAGCTCGACCTTCTGCCCGAAGGAGAAGTCATTGTTTCGAGCGGAAAGACTGCGATGTCTCGTTGCAGGCTTGAGAGTGCTATAGTGAGATGAGAACGATGGTGCGTCCAAGTCAACTAAAGCCAACGAGGCGAATGCAACGTGGCTGAAAACGACAAACAACAAGGCTGGATGCATTTTAAATGCGGTAGTGAACTTTTTCTTTCGATAAGAACGACAAGAGGTGGACTAAGTACTGTGTAGGACTAGTATCGAGTATTTCGGATAGCAGATTATAGGCTCTTAGATAGCAAGACCCGGCCAGCCCTTTTGTATTGAGAAGTCTAAACGGTCGCACCAAACAGCTAGAGTAGTCTCTCAGCCTGCAACTCAGACCTTGCTAAAATTATGATCCAATTGAGAATGCCCCGGGATCGGTCATGCAAATCAGACAGGCTTCAAGGCCATTGATTTGTTTTGACGAGAACTCTAATAAACGTATGATCGGAAGTGATAACCCAAATAAGCTGAATACGAGAAAGACCAGATGCGGCGAAGGGCTGAAGATAGCGTGCTGAAGGATTGGGGGCACGACCGTCAGGCTATGTCTCAGTCTTGCAGATTGCTCAACTTCGATTCGTCCCCGACGGGATTCTCACGCTGCAAGGGAAGACGTAACAAGTCTATGCAGGATGCGTTGTGAAAATGGATTATGTTGCTCATGTAGAAAACGGTCGACCCCGGAAGCGCCTCTTTTCATGCATATGTGGAGTCAATTGAGAAGGTTTGATTTATGTTTGCATCTAGACAGCCGACATTCTCCCTGCTAAATGCAATGCAGTAGCTCCATAATATTATCCAAGACTTTCGAGCAAGTCCATGATCTGCTTTTGCCGTCGCATTCGCGTCATCGAGGCTGACCCCGCAGGTTCTGGCGGCTTGGGCGACATTGAAGAACTATTCGGACAACTCAATCGTGATGAACCTTGCGCTATTGCTTGCTTGTTAACATTCAAATTATCTGGGCCCGTTGATGTAGATGCGGCGGAGCGTGGTCGTGAAGATTCTGAGCAACTCTGAAGATATTCAGTGGATCTTGATCGGTGAGATTCTGAAGGTTGTTCCAACGAAAGCTGCAGTTCGGAAGCTGTAAAGACCTGCCGATCCTGGCCGGTAAGAACATTCCTTTGCGATAAGGGAGGGCTGATGCTTGGTCCAACCGGTGCGGGTAGTAGTTCATTGTTCATAGTACCGTCCTCGCTGAAAGAATGTGAGAGAATAGGTTTGCGTTTTGGAGTAGTTGGCAGCACCGAAACAGATCTCCTTTGTTCTTGGCTGCGGGTTCCATGTGCTACATTGTTGTAGCGTGATTGATACGTCGTGCTTCTGCTTGCTTGTCGAGGATATCCCGGCGGTGGTGGGCCATTGCTTGGAAGTTCAACAGCGAAATTCAAGTCTCCTAGTAATTCTGCTACATCATTGGTCTCAATAGTCTCAGATAATGTATTGAGAGTCGACAACTGAGGAGGGGCACTGTATTCGTATGGGTTAACAGGCCCATACGAATTCGTGCCACTCAGGTATAAAACAGTGTCCCCCGCCAGTTCCGAAACAGGTAAATCGTTTGGCACTCGTCGGTAGGCCCAGGTATCTCCGGATTCTTGGTTTACTGTAAATGAATTTGAAACATCTACTTTATGCATTGAAGGTCGAATGGGTTGCTCGAGATGAGTCGTAAACGAGTTCCGCTCGTTGTCTAGCTCGGTGTTAGCCTGGAGGGCTGAAGCGTAGGTCGGTGGCGGACTGTGAAGACGGAGTGCTCTTGACGATGGCGACGTAGGGGTTTCGAATTCGCTAGAGCTAAGGCTCATTAATGAACCACGAGCAGCTATATTCTGGTCTGCTCGTATAGCATCCGAGGACTTCCATATCTTAGGTATACTCTTCCGCTTATGTCTCGAGATCATCTCGTTGAAATGGGCAGTGTCTTGGTACGCTGATGGTCCAACATGATTTGGTATGTCTTCCAAACGGATCAAATAGCTGAGGACGTTCGAAAGTTGTTGATGACAGGTCAACAGCTCTGCCGTCCGATTCCATATTTTCTCGTGGTCGTTGAACATCCATCGGACGCGAGTATTCAACTGTATTGACCCAGTTGGCTCTTGTGCGGTGCGGGCGCGTTCAACCCATTTGCCAATCTCATTAAACGCTAACTTGGTGTTATCGATGGCGCTTCTGACCCATGGAACTTTGCCAGGAATGCTGGCAAGTTTCCTTTGCATCGTGTCCGATTCCAGCAGTCGTTCAACCTCATTGAGGTCGTCGCGTACCACGTGTATCGTGCGTACAAAGACTTCATCTTCGCTGCCTACTTCGGCGATGCGGACTGCCAGATCGGCAAATTTGAACGCGCTCCCAACGCTGGCGAAAGCGGCTCCTGCACCGGAGGGTTCACACATGATTATGTGCTGTTTCCCATCCTATAAGAGGAAAATGTAGAACGAGACTGGTAAGAGTTCATTCGGGCCTCCTTTACTGCATAAGAGGGGACGAGTGGTATGCGGATCGAGCTCACAAGTGGGCGGCTCGAAAACCCCCAAAATCTTGTCAGTCGCTTCGGCACGGCCGCAAGGCTGAGCATAACTGTCCCACAGCACATTCTCGTGTGTCGCTCGCATTGGCCCCCGCATGGTTAGATGCAACCATGATCATTTTCGCCATACGGGCGTTCCCACGCCAAGTCACATCCCTGTATTTTTCTTCCCACGAGGGTATAGATGGTCTGAGAACGAGTTCTGATTTGCTTTTGAAACAAAGGAGGAATGCAAGCTGTCGTAGTAACACCTGGCACGGCGCGTCTGAGCATCGCGTGGCTTGTCCAGATGTACGGGGGCGAGAAGGGATAGAACAGTCCATCAATCGGATGTTGGCTAATACGCGAGTGTATTTCAAGGACAGTGGTTTGAATATCAGTTCTGGCTGCTGCGTGCTCGTATCTAGGGCCACCCTCGGTTGTTGGAACAGGAGTGGCGTGTGCTCCTGCATTACAGGACCACGTCCCTTCCACTGAGGTTGGCGCTAATGCCGAGTAAAGTTTAGCTCGGAAATACAGGTCAACCTCAACTCCTCAGCCTTGTCACCTCCCCCACCGTACCTTGACATAATAACCTCGCAGCACAGCTATATGACAAACTGTCGTACCAAGATGATATAATAAATGTACAATTTGCTTAAGGAGGTGATGCTCTATGAAACCCGCCCTTCACTCAAAGTACTTTCACAGAACCAGCGATAGCTCAACTAGGGCGTAGGCGCTTTGAAAATCCTCTTGAACCCGCCCTTTCAAGCTCCTCACCAGCCATTCTCTCCCTGCCCTTATGCCGCAACCTCCTTCTCGACAAGTACTCTATGAGGGCGAAGCACCTGCCCCTTGTCACTAATAGTTTGCACCAAAGCTGGGAACGCAATCAAGCCACCATATCCACTTGAGAAATCGAAGTGGAAAGAACCAGGCTGCGAGAAGAGGAGAAAAGCAAAGTTTGCCGTTCGCGTAAGTATCATGTTGAGGTTTTTGTGGCGTTGAACACTATCCAAGCTCGCTTCAACAAACGGAGCTAGGACTGAGTCGAGCTCTGCGATTATGTTCTCGAAATTCTGGGCGCGGTCGGGGCCTGGCGTATTCTTTCCGAACCGCTGATGCAACAAAACCCCTGTAATCGTCTTCCATTTGCTGTATAGGGTCGATTGGACTATGGGGTTAAAGTTAGCGCATGAACAAGTACAACAGAAGCTTGTAGGATACTGACTGGTATCACTGCCATCTCTCCCGGGAATCGAAGTAACAAACCTGGAGAGTTCCGCAGGAAGTAGACTAACATCGTGTTCGCCAGTCGTTTTGGATAATACAACCCAACCAAGTACAAGCCGCAGTGCGTCTTGTCTAGTGGTTGAGTTGGACAACGCGCTTCCGAGCGCGGAAGGGCTTACACCTGTTGCAGTCGCAAGATCCCGCAACCCTGTTTCGTGTATTCCCGCTACAGAGATTGGAGTAGACTGGTAATATGTCCGAGCATGGTTCTTAATATTATCCCGGATCTTCGATAGCTCGTCTTTGATAGTTTCATCCGCTACCGGCTGCGGAAGCAAGTCGTCAATGCTACTCGCAACGGCGCTAGCATCAACCGTGGGGCCTTTCCCCGGTGGCATGGTCGCTACGTTGGAAGGAAAGTGATGCATTTGATAAGCGGCAGCGGAAGACTGCCTTTTTGTCTGGCGACGTAACATAATGAAGAAGATGGCACCGGCAATCAGCAGCCCGGCGACGAACGTACCAATAGCAACTCCGGCTACTACCCCGTCAGAAAGTCCTTCTTTGGATATTTTCGAGATACCAGTCGGCGAGGAGCTTGATAGTATTGAGGAGTTGCTCTGGGTTGGTCCAAGAGGAACACTAGTGCTGGCTCCATTATTCGCGCTGGATGGTGGGGGAGGTTGCGAGTTTATTACAGGTGGGGCAGGTTGCGAGTTTATTATAGGTGGGGTAGGTTGCGAGTTTGCTGCAGGTGGAGGAGGTTGCGAGTTTATTGCAAGTGAAGAAGTACTCGAACAGGGTGCCGATATCGTTTGCGCTGATTGTCCATTCGGCCAAGTTGTTATAAGGCACTCGTCTTTCCTGCCAGGTGGCAACGACGCATTCACTGTTGGATTCCCCAATGTAGGCGTCAGTGGTGTAGAAAGAGACATTTTGAAAGATTGAGGATGAAAAAGAAAGAATTTAGAGCGACAATTATTTGCGTCCACTATCTTTATGTGCTTATATAACTCTTTGCTTGACTTCCAATCATGCTATGCAATGCTTTCTCTATTGCCTTCTAAGCCACAACAGGGATGTCAAGTCGTTCAGCTGCTCACCGGAAATGGTATGGATTGACGAAGCAACGCCACAAGATAGCACAACATCATGACAGGGTGTCACCACATTGAACCACATCCTTTTCGCGTTTTACCCTATTAGAGGGCCGGGATAGTCTAATGTTGGAGCTCTAATTTGGTCTAAAAAGACGGTGGTGGCAACACTCTGTACGTGGGTGTTCTGCTCATGGCCAATCCCCTGGGCTATAATTTTCGGACCCGTTACCATCAAAATTGTCATCCGCCAAACAATGTTCTTGTAAAAGAGCTTTAAAGGCCTTCCTTTTTCTCTCAATTTGGCCCAACTGCCATAATTGTCTAGACGTTTCTCGGATATTATACAAATCCTTCTAGCAGGGCGCTGTTAATGTGCTCCTTCAGCCTTGAGCTCAGCTCGGGGACGACAAGCTTACGCTATCTTACGAGGCTGAACTTTTGGTTCCATAAACGGCACTGATAGTCAATTGGGCTCTGTGTTACGTAAATAATGGCTGTTCAGGGCCTTCCGAGCTTCCAGCATTGTAAACATTGTACGTTTCTTACTGCCCACTTTCCTGATACCTCATGACAAGGTCTTAAAGCTAATATAGAAGCTTCTACATCAAGCCATCGCCCAATATTCATTCTTCAAACCATGACGGATTCCCTGCCTCGACCAGACCTAGTCGTCTCCATCGACTTTGGAATGACATGTACGAGATATTGAACATCGGAAACTTTTCGATAGTAATCCATTCACAGGTACGGGTGTCGCATACTGCAACCTTGCGACCGGTTCTGATGCCGTACGGCATATTCAAAGATGGCCAGGGAGGATGCAAGCAAATGAGAACAAGGTAGAATCACCCAGCCGATTTCAATTCATCAATGACCAATATTTGCAGGTCCCGACCTTACTAGTCTATCCTCGGAACTCAAGCACGCCATCTTCATGGGGATTTCTCGCCGAAACGGCGCAAGAATCCAGTGGTGCGGGATACGAAAGTAGGGAGTGGTTCAAAATTATGCTCGACGAAACTATCCTGCAGCAAATGCGGAAGAACTCAAAGGGCCCATCGAAGGTGCCAAATATAGATGAAGTTGAGCGATGGTCAGTAAACTTTTCGACGTTATTCCAAGTTGTTATTGATCAACTTAATTTAAGGTATACACATTACTTCCAATACCTTTATCGCACCATCGAAACCCGCCTCAAGGGCGAACTCGCCAGCCGATGGGAAGATGCAAGGATCGAGTTTATCTTTTCGGTGCCCACCACATGGAAGCCAAACCCGACCGTCGAGCGCTTCAAGAAGATTATTTCAGTAGCAGGGTTTGGATTGCATACAAATCATACAGCTTCTATCGGCTTGACGGAAGCTGAGGCAGCTGCAGTGCATACAGCGCGAAGCATGCCAGGCATATTCCAAGTGCGTCACACTCACAACTATACATGTCGCAAGTCTAATGAAGTTCCTAGGAGAACGATATACTGTTAGTATGCGATGTTGGAGGGGGCACAACGGTGAGACACTTGTTTGTTTGGCAAACTTTGGGCTGAAATCATTAGGATCTGTCGGTGTTTCGAGTCAAGAGTACAATCGAAGGTTCTCTAAACCTTGACCAGATTGATGTAGTCTTCGGTAAGCTCGATTACTTATTGTTAGGCCGTTAAGCTTACTCTTCGTATAGGTGCGACCATTGGTGCTGCACAGCTCGATAGCCTCTACGAGAACGCTGTGTCGGAGCGATTACAATACGCCCATCAGAAATTGCCCATGGAACTACCAGACATAAGCCAAGCTGCATGGGAAATGAGAATTAGCAAGGAGTATCAGAAGTAGGTAGAAAGGCTCAGCCATTAATTTGATAATGCTAACAAAAGTCAGCGCCAAGTGTGACTTTGGATCCGAGGAGTCAATGGCCGATACCGAAACATTTACGGTACGAGTACCAAAGTTGGACAGAACTTACGCGAACCAACAATATGGAATCAGCGGAGGCGATATGCATTTTCAAAGGTCTGCTCAATGGTTCACTGCAAGGGTGTAAGACAAGGCTAACAATTATGCAGAAATGACCTCAAGCGCTTCTTTGACATGCAGGTAGGTCCTAATCCAATAAAGCATACCTGAGCATTGCGGCTCACAACATCTTAGATATCCAAATTGATCGACCTGATTGACAAACAGCTCACGCGTATTCAACAGAAGCACCCAAACGAACAGGTGGTGAGACATCCCGCTGAATTTAGATTTGACAAAAGCTTGACTGACTAGGTATAGGGCCACTTGGTCCTTTCTGGAGGTCTGGGTAACTCTGCATATGTTCAGAATTGTTTACGCAGCCGCTACACCTCTGGTAACACACCACAATCAAATGCGCAAAACATGCAGATCCGTATTGCTCCCGATCCGCAACTGGTAGTCTGCAAAGGCATCGTAGCCGATCGCGTAGAGAAACTCAAGACTGGCCAGGCAGTGCTTGGGTGGCGATGCTGTAGAGCTTCATACGGGACTAGATGTAAGATACTGCATGACCCGTCTAATCCCGCGCACTTTGCTCTACCAACACAACTGGATGAGATGGATGGAAAGTTGTATATTGTGGACTACATTGATTGGTTTATTAAGCAAGTATGTCTTCATACACTCAGAATGAAATGATTTGTAACTAACTATGATAGGGCGAACCCGTCTCTAGCGACTTCCCCATCGTGAGAAGTTTCAATCGGAAATGTCCGCCAGCATCTACCTCCAACCCAGATCCATTACGCATATTCCCGACCGATATTATCTACTCTGAAGTCGACAGAAGTCAGTTACCATTAGTGAAGGATGACTGTACGCTTTTTCATACTCTCTCACCTGTCCCTGACGCTTCGCTGACTTGCATAGCATGCCGCTCCCTCTGCAAAGTCGAATCCGACTTCTCCTCACTCCCTCTCTCCCTATTCAAGCTCAAAAATCGACACTGGTGGAACACAGGCCAAAAATATCATCGCATCAACTATGTCGTCAAAGTCAACCTTGGAGCTGCAGATGTGGTGTTCGAGCTATGGCACAATGGTGTCAAGCTAAGCAAGGACAACTCAATCAAAGTCGAGTGGGAGGCCGCTGCACCACCGGATGTGAGTGCGATGACAATACCAATGGATTTTCCAATGAACAGTCTTCCGACGGCAGGCGGAAATGCGATGAAGAAGTTTGCCAAAAGTCTACTGGGTAGAAACCAGTCTGGGCCTGCGGGTGGAAATGCTTGGGATGATAAGGATGATATTCAGACGCACGTCAAGCCGTTACATCAGAACGGCTCTACGGTTTGGTAGGGAAGTTCATTCAGCCATTTCAGGTAGTATTGGAGGCTTTTTAATTCAATATGACTAGGCAGGTTCAATGTTATAGTAACGAGAGCAGCACCTCTGAAGAAGACATACCAAAAATATATTTCTATTGTTGAGTGAACTCACTGAGTCCGCTTACAGGAAAGTGACAGCTTTCGCGAATGGAAGGTGTCTAAGCTTGTGATCCAACCAGATTACAGTGAGTAATCTGAGCATAGTCATAGCATCGAGGATTTTTCTGGTATGAACTGAACACGTTCTTCGCTAACGTTCGGAACTTTGCCGGGAAACGGCATCTCAGTTAATAGGAAGAAAGTAATAATAAACGGTTTAGCACTATAGCTGCAGGCAATATTAAAAAAAATCGCTGATCGTGCTATGCAAATCTCCTAGCGATAACAATGCCATTATCAAAATAGAGACTACTGTGTTTCCCATAAGACTCTTAGTGCCCTGGCAATCATGGTAACCACACAAGCTGTGCAAGGTAGCCTCTGTGCGTCCGCAAGAAGAGCTTTTGGCTTGTGTCAGGTCTAATTGGGCATTACGGGAGCGCAAGGCAGTGCAATGATTTACCAAAAGCTCTATGTAGTAGCGGGTGTTGTTTATATTCCAAAAGAAGAGGAGTGAAGATCTCAGCCAAACGGGCAGAGCATGCCAGAGCACGCCAACTTGTGTTGGCTGATAAATATCCAAATTAACAGGCGTACGAGAGTATTGAAGAAGAGCTGTTGTAGAACCACAAATATCGACGGTCGCGAGGTTCTACAATTGGAAAATCTATCGCCGTTTGAGGTGTTGACCACTCCGAGGAGAAAATTATAGCCGGAGACGTGTTTGCATGGCAGAATGCAGGCACCGAAGTGTTCTACGCCGTATGCGCTCTAGCAGAAAATAATTTTATTGTCGCTGAAGGCGTTGCTGTCGTTGGTAGGAACAGTGTTTCTTTAAAGGAAGTGTTGTTAACAAGTTCCCAGGGCTTTCTCAAGCATGGTTGTGTTTTGGGCCCGATTTTATTTGAGTGCCCAAGTGTATTAAGAATTGATCTGTCAATAACAAAGAGGTTTAAGCAGATCCGTGGTTGTCAATAAGACAATCAAGTTAGTATATGAACAATGAGTTGTTTTCTAAGTGATAGATAACGCTGACAAGTTCTACTTGAAAACCATGCGGCGCACCCTACATCGTTTCATCTCAATCCTCTCTACTGCTATGATTCCTGCACGTGTCCGTGGATGGACTTCTCTTTCGCAGCAATCTGAAGCACTAGATCTACCATTCAGGTCAGTTTCTTCCCTTTCAAAGGAGCAATGTCCAGTGGAACGAAGGACTGCCCCATCTTGTTCTTCCAACTAGCAACAAGAGCTTCGCACCTCCGCCAAGTAGTCCCTAAAATCTTCTCTTCTTCCGCAACCGTCCTCTCTACCCAGCTATCCCTCTCATCTGCTACTATAATTTTTTCGTCCCCATTGCCGGTATACTTGTACTCCCTCCAAGGCATCTTTCCATTCGCGAAATCAATCCAGAGTCGCGCATGCTGCGTAGATATGTCTTTCAGTTTCTGTGTAGGGTATCTGAATTGGAACGTCTTGAAGACATAGTACATGTCGACCCAATGATGGGCTTGTTGATAGAGAGTATTACACGGGAAGGGGTTGCGGACATCAAAGATGTAGCGATACACCTTCTTGTTGGTATGCGTCGTAAGATACTTCGCCAAGCAGTGATTGGGTGCTGAGGTGGTTAGTAGTGATGGTAAAGTTAGGATAGGGTGCAATATCTACCATCGAAGATTACATCGCCCACCCACTGTAGTGCCCTTGTCGTGAAAAGGTTCTGGTCCATGTCTGAGGTGATCTTGTAAGCTTGACCAACTAGCTCAGCACTTTCTTCGCCCAGCTGTTCTGTAATGCCTGCGAGGAATGCCTGCGGAGTGACCCCGGCGACTCTTGCCATAAACGTGGTGCCCTGTGCTTGTCTCAGTCTCACGTATCAGATAGCAGTGTGCTGCAACATCTTACCTCGAAACTCGTAGTCCCAAGAACGATATCGTCTACCCACTCGCATTTTCCAATCAATTCTGGAACTCTGTCCCACGTCACAATACCCGTGTCTTTCCCAAACCACTCCTGGTCCTGCACGGAAAGCCACATCCACCCTTCGTCGCTGAGCTCCGCAGTCGCATCAACGATCTTCTCTATACCCAACTCCCTAAGCTGGTTCAAAGCGGCTTCTCCTTGCTCTTGAATGTCGAATTTCGCTAAAAAGGTCTCGTACATCTGTCCAGCTACTTTGACTGAGGCAGGTGCTGATGTTGGACCAATAATTCCAGACATCAGGATCGCCCTTTTGAAAAGCGGCCCCGAAGCTGGCGGAGGAGAAAGCATGTGAGCGCATATTGACATGGAGCCTGCAGACTCTCCAAAGACGGTTATTTTCTCACGATCACCTCCAAATCCGCCAATGAACCGCTGGATCCAGATTAGTGCATTTCGCTGGTCGTTCAGGGCACGGTTCGCGTTTCCAGGCTCGGGTGTGTGCAGATAACCCAGTGCACCCAATCGGTACTGGAAGCTCGCTGAGATGATGGGCTGGGAGTCGAAGAGTGATTGTTCCACCATCAGAGCTGTATTGTGCTGCTCGTCAATCTTGCCAACAACGAAACCACCACCATGTATATAGACTAAAACAGGGAGCTTTGAAGAGTGGCAAGTGGATTCGAGACATCTAAGAGGTATGTTGAGTTGCAGGATTAGACACTTGAACTCGTCTGTCGCTGGTGGGTACACCTCTCCCGGGAATGGGCCGCCGTTATGAGTGTCGACGCCATAAGTTTGGGGACATTGGTAGCTATGAGGTGTCAGAATGGATGCTCTCAAGAAGAGCTCTCGATTGTGGAGGCTGGTAATTACCCATGCTTGGTGAAGTCTCCATTGGTGTCCAAGGGGGGTTGTGCTAGGATTGACTGCTTGAAGCGTGCTGGGATCGTAGCGTAAGGTATACCTCGAAATTGGACGACATTATCAGGCGTGACGACTCCAGTCATATGACCTGCACATTGTGATGTCGCAGTTAGTCGATTCTTAGAAATGTCGGTACGGATGCTACAAGTGTGAATGTGCAACGGAGTTTATGATATGCAGCTCATAAGACACAGCGCTTGTGATCTGTCACAACCAATGGAGTTTAGACTTACTAGACTCGAGTTAGCTGAATGTACTCCTGTTAGTAATTGTATCACTAGCTTACCCGAGCTCGGCATGAGGAAAGGTGAATGTACGAGATGTAGTATTCGACGCCATTTCTTAAAGTAGTATCAAATAGCTCGGAAACCAAATGAAAACACACAGTGGGAGGCAATAATTGGAATGCGTATAACACTGCACATATATAACGCGGAGACCTGGACTGATTGAATCGAGAAGTTTTATGACAAATGCTAATCAGTGGAAGCTAGGCCCGACGCCCCGGTCAGACGTGCATGATCACTTCCAGCCCCGGCGAAAACATCTCCTGTTCTTGAGCTTTTAACTTTTGCGTCATCACTCTGGCTCGCGGTAATCTGAATGACAATGAGAAGTCCGCGGACAATATGATAATGAAATTGAGAAAGGGCCTACACATTATGACTACCTGTGAAGCTATTGCTAGTCATCAAACAGTGCGTTTATGTACCATCAGCGAGGCCGTAGACATGACTACAGCGTCTATCCCGGTCATGGTTGAGGAAAGCTCCGCCCTTGGGAAGATTGGAGGGTGGATAGCTAAGCGAAAGGGCGCAATATGGCAATGAAGAGCAACATGTATGACGGGAGCTGTAGAGGTGTATTTGGAGTGCCGGGATATTTGTGATTACATGCAACCCTCTAGGATAGGTGACGATCCGCGAACGAAAGACTGAGTAAGTGGCGCTGTTAAGGGCGGCTTTGGCTTAAGGGCGGTTTGGGTCGGCTAAAACGTAATTTGCTACCCCCCAGGCGATAGATAGCAGATCTTAGTCCTGGCCTTGATCAAGATCTGGCGTTTTTTACGAGTAGTGAAGTAGTGAAGAGGTTGCCGTGAAGCCCGCTACACGAGGAGTTGCGTACAAATTCATTCGGTTAACTGAGTCGGCCACATAAGCTATGGTGACGAGGCTCCCATAGGTGAGAAAAGAGATCGCCGCTATCGGTTATTCTAGATGTTCGGTTACTATTGCAATAAGCCCAATTGGTAAGCTTTTCATGGCTTGCTTGTACCGTAGCTGTTTCTGCCTTCGCGTCGCGTCACAAGCTAACCCCGACGTTTTGCCGCCGCTAGCAAACAGCTACAAAACCCAGCTCCCCACCAATTCTTACTTTTTCTCAACGGCCTGCCTCGCCAACGCTGCGTTTCTTTGCACACAAACAGACGCTGTTCACCCAGCTGTCTTACCCTGCAAATGAGAAATTCGGAGTAATCTTCACCAAATCATGCCTTTTATGGCTGTACTGCCCGTAAGGGCCTGGCGTGACTCACGTCTGCACTCGGCATCAGAAAGCTCAGGGCCCAGAAAGCCGCTTTGCCGCTCTTCGGGACGGTCGAGTGTGTGGACTGGTGTCCCTATGGGAGTCGGTGCGAAGATCGTGTGCCTGGAACCTTCGGGGGATGGGTGACACTGTAGTACAATACGCAGCGTACTTGACCTCGAGTAGCTTCGGCGAAAGAGGGAATGGTATCATTCGATTCTGATTACTCTGGCGAGGCAGGCCGTTCACTCTCATTTTTCCACTGTAAGTTTACTATCTTTTCAACTCCCAGCCCAGGTTCGAAGGATACTACTAATTTCAAATTCAACGCGAGCAACTATGACCGAGCACCAAACGCCCAACCTTTGCCTCTTGTTTTCGGCCTCACGTCCGCAATACATCTACCTCCCTGACTCGCCTTCTAATGTATACATGATGTCTGTCCTCATGGTCAACTTCATCCCGCTTATAACATCATCGCCAGAGTGCAAGAGACCTCGATGCTGAAAGAGTAGGACACGGCCACTCTTAGGAACAACATCTATGCGCTTTGTCATACTAGGGTTGAAAAATGTGGTAGCTCCGCCTTTCAGCGGCTGCTGGCCTTCTTTACCCTCCGCGTCATTGAGGTACAGGTGTAGTGTAAAGTACGAGCGCTCGGTGCAATCGGGCGTCTCATATGCGCCATCGCAATGCGCTACTAGAGTTAATAATTGAATACGTGCCTGCTAGCCGTTTGCGTACCTTTGAAATACTCGCCGCCAACATATTTAAGAAACCGTTGGCGTTCGTTCAACCTGGTCATCTTCCACGTTTCTTCCCACTTCACAGGGCCGTTCCCTGTGACACTTGCCCAGTTCTGCAGGCGGTGGATTTCCGGTACTGATCCTTCTATCCTCGCCCACAACTTCGCCATGGTCTCGCGGTCATCCCATATGATGCGGCCGCATTTTCTTGTGTCCTCGTACAAGGCTTGGAAGCCACCACCAATATTGACCATCGCTCGTTCCCATTCACCGTTCGTAGTTGCTTCGGCAGCTGCTACTAGTTCATCACATTCTTGTTCGGTCAGGACGCCATCTAGCACTACTGCCCAGGCGTTTGGCAGGCCGCCCTTTGCAAAGTCGACATCGGACCTGGTCAGGTTGGGTGCTGGGCCTTCTAGGAAGCCCTCGGGCAATTTGTATGTGGAAACCATACTTGATTTAAGATGTGTTGGGTTGTTTGCTGAGCAGAAATGAAGTGAATGTTCATGTCTAAATTTTGTACTTGCCCGCTAGCTTATATGCATATGGTGCAGGGCTGTGAAAGCTGCTGCCTTGGCTAGGCTGGGCCTTAACTACGAGGGCATTCGATTTGTTAAATTAGTATGAGCTTAGTTGTGCACTTGCACAGAAGGATCTATCAATAAGATGTGCATGGCCCACAATGTAATACTGGCACACGTTGAACATCGTAGGGTGGCTATGCAGAAGGGACACGTGACGCGTGTGACTTCCCAACCCTAGGTTTCAGGCTCGAGTGGTCGGCTCAAACGTCAGTTTACATCATCACCTCGCAAAGTCATACGCAGCATCAAGACTCTCTCCCGCAGTAGTCTCTACTATTTGCGAGCGTGGGCGAACCTTGGGCCTTCTCGTTCATCGTCGTCATCAGTGTAACGCGTTTCGACGCGGATCCAAGCCACTTCCGCTCGCTCCACCAGTCGCTGCGCCAAGCGAAGGCCGACTTCACTCCTAATTTCCCATCCTCACACTCAATACAACCACCATTGGAGCGCGCAAAAACGCCGCGACTTTCGCAAAGCACATCTCGACCGCCCCTCAACCACCATCACCCTTTTCAACCCTTTTGCACTACTCGCCGACGTCGTCGCTCGTTCGGCAGCCGTAGTGCTAAGACGCCCAAACACGCTGCGGGCTCCGCGCCCATCTCGGGACATTGCGTCTATCGATAATCGCTATTCTCCATACACCAGCGACCTCGTCGTCGCGCGCCTCTCGCTACTCTAAAACACATAACCCACCGTCGTCATGTCGCACTCACCGGGACCTGATGCCATCGAGGGCCAGAACCGCAATCGCTTCCCGACACTGTTCGAGGTGCTGAGCCGCAAGACGGTCGCACCTCTCGACTTGTTTTCCTTCTACATCTACATGCGAGACCAGCAACGCTCGGTGGACTACCTAGACTTTTGGTAAGGCAATCGTGTGCCAAGGGTGATTACGAATACTAACAAAGCGTAGGCTCGATGTGTCGCAGCACCTTCAGCTATGCCGGCTGTATGTTCGACGGTTACACAGGTCAATGATTGAGGAGACACCGGACCCAGAGAAGAACAGCAAGCGTTCGTCCTACATTTTGGACAACGCTGGAGAAGGACCGTCTAACGAGAAAGGCGACAACATGTCTGACCAGCGCCTCTCCGCCTTTCTTCGCTCGGACCGCGGCAGTCGCAACCACTCACCGCAAAATAGCCAGGGCAGCAATCAGAGCCGGGAGCTTGCGCGGCCGAGTCTCCACATCCTCGACACACCGAATGATTCGAGCTCGCCAGGCCAAGACTCGTCTGCTGACAACACCCAGCCGCGGAGGGAAGACCTGCGTGCATCTGCTGAGAAGATCCTGTACACATATCTGCTCCCAGGTTCGGAAAGAGAGATCATCATCCCGCAGAGCATCTTGAACGAGGTCCAGGATGCAATCGAGGGATCGGAGCAGCGCGCAGACCCGGAACTGTTTGACCCGGCGAAGGACTATGTCTTCCAGGCCATGGAGCGGGACGCATACCCAGGATTCCTTCAGAACAAGGGTCTCGGCAACCTCGTACCCCAGAGCATGATGCTACGACTCATTATTGGGTTAATCAGCTTCTTCGCTGCCATATGGACGTCGTTCATACTCATCTTCTTGAACAAGTCAAGGGCAACGCGCTGTTGGGTATGTATGCTTTCTATATACATTACACAGCCAACTAACTATCCTCATAGGTGATTCTTCCCTTTACGCTCGCCATCTACCTCATCTTCACTCATCAGTACATGCTCGATCCCATCATCGCACTGCTGGGATACAGCGAGTATACGTCCTTCGACTTCAACAAGATCAGGGAGCCGTTTGTGCGAAAAACGCTAAACAGGCGCTCGATTACTGTGCTAGTCATGTTCCTAGTCCTCACCACGGCTGTCTGCTGTCTCTTCATCCTGGTGCCAGGGAAAAGACTGTGAGCGACCTTACCCGGACTTTCTATCTTAACAGCGACTTTTTAATGTTTGTCTTTCGTTTTACCGGCGTTCTCAGCCAGCTTGATGGGTCATCGAAAAAGGCCCGTAATGGTAGGGAAGGAGAGGTGCGGAAGTAATGGACACGAGCAAGCCTACAGATGTGATACCCCTCGCTGCTTCCATTCCATACCCATAGCAGGATTTTTCTTTTGTTGGTTTGGAGCTTTAATTGGATTCTCTGGGGGTGAATTGGACGGCCGCTGTTCACACAACACATGGCGTTCAGGGGGGTTTGGCGATGTATTAGGTAGCTTGCGCCAGAGGTGCGAATTGATTCATCCATTTGATAACCCTCACTATACTTGACCTGTTGCTTCACAACACCCCGTTCTTTGACGGCTCTGGCACCGCTGCGCAACATTTGACGAGACGTTCGGGGTGGAGTTGGGTTGCATGAACTTGGCCCAAGCTCAATGACGTGGACCGTGAACCGCGGCCGAACTTTACAACGTCGAATTGGACCGCTATCCACCTGCACCGGTGATAGCAATCGCAGCTTTAGAAAGTCGTACTCCATTACCGCGCCATCCATATCGCAGCTTGGACTATTCTCGCTGTTGTCAACTGCTAGTTATAAGGGCCACCGGTCAAAGCAGGCCAACTAAAGAGCAAGAACAGCGAAATGAGCGGGCCGACGGCGAAGAGCAAAAGAGGGCCTACAGTGCTCATGACGGATTCTCGAGACACACCACCTCGCGGACCACAACGAACAGCCACTACGCAACGACCTGCCGCCAAGTTGATATCGGTTGACAACATCCTCCAGTACGCTTCCGACATTCCATCCCAGCAGCGACGAGGCCCGCCAGGGCACCGGCCACTGATGCATACACGAACACCCAGCGGTCGCCATCCACTCGACCCCAAGCTCTCTGGCCGCCTGATACCACAGCATATGCCCACTCGGTCAAGTAAGCTTAGCGAGAAGCTGGTCTTGTTGCCGGAGACAGATGAACAAGAAGAGGACGAGAAGGGAGACTTTGATGACGATGAATTCGAAGGGCCGCCTACAGATGAAGATTTGGCAAGACGGACAGCCAAAGGTGGCCCAAAGGACAAAAGCTACGCAGAACGTTTGCCGAAAGCTAGGAGAACGGACAAGCTCTCGCGAGTGACAGCATACTGCACAGCGCAGGCCTACAAAATGAAGAGTACAGCCGAATTCGTCAAAGACCAGCACCATGCCCGGACAAAACTATACGACGACTGCCTGTACACCGTCTACCACCTTCCCCTCCTCCCAGGGAGCGACGGTTATCGTGTGCGCAGCAGCCCTGCGCTGAAGAGTCCTGGCGGAAAAAATGTCCTCGACGAGGAAATCGAGCGCAACGAGCAGCGCGACCACCACGAAGGCTACTTTGGTGACGAGGAAACCTACTTTGTTCGCGATGACCACGAACTAGAGACTCCCTACGACGGCCTACAAGATCGCAGGGATTCCAACGAAAACTCGAGGATTGCGCCCAACGCATTGACGTTTGGCGAGATGTTCGTCTTCTCCTATGGCGTAGCTGTATTCTGGAACTTTACCGAAAAGCAAGAAAAAGACATACTCGCCGACTTGACATTCTCCAGCACGTCTACGGGCGTCTCGCTCGCAACACGCCCTTTGACCGAATCGGATTTCGAAACCGAAGAGTTCCACTTTGAATACAATCCCGACATTCAGCGGCCGAGAGTGTACAATGATATGATTACGCTGAAGAGCGGGGATCATATGATTAAGCTTGCGATGAGCCATGCGATTGCGCAGAGTACGAAGTTGAGTTTGTTTGAGGAGGGCATGAGCAGGACGATGCTGGCGGCGCAGTATGTGCCAAAACGACTGGCGTTGACAGGCAAATTGGGCATGAATAGGACGGATGTTGTGAAAATGATAGGCCAGCTCTTCACCAGCAGAGTCGACGTGAACTTATGTAAGTCCAACCAACGCATGGTTTCCCCTGTTGGTCGCAAACTGACGTGAGCACAGCGTCGAACATGCTGGATACGCCCAACTTCTTCTGGGACTCTGAGCCTACCCTTCACCCGCTCTACACCGCCGTCCGCGAATACCTCGAAATCAAACCGCGTATCCAAGTCTTGAACGAGCGCTGTCAGGTCTTTTTAGACCTCGGGGAGATTCTGTCCGACTCTATCTCAGACAAGAAGATGACGAGGATAACGTGGATCATTATTGCATTGATTGTTCTGAGTATTTGTGTTACGTGTTTGGAGGTACTGCTGCGGTTTGCGATTTTGAGCGGCAAGGGACGGGTGACGGTGGCTGCTGGAGGAATGAGTGGGCTGAAGGGGTTGAGTCCACCAAGCTATGCGGGACCGAGTCTGCTTGCGGCGAGAAGTGTGCTGTGGGTAGGAAGCGGTGTCAAGGGGATGTTGGTGTAGGGCAGTCTGCTGGATAGATTAGGGCGTACATGAGTCGTTTGGGCATAGCGATGGCGTTGGTGGACCAGTATTTGCTTGTATACATTAATATTGAGGCTATTATCATTTCATAATAGCGCCCACTGGAGCTTGTTGTGACATTGACGTCCTCTGTTGAGAGCTCTCTTAATCGACGGGCATAGGGTATATGCCATGCTAGTGTAGTGGCACGATGATTCAGTATGGTAGAGCAGACACAACGGAGTAGGAAGATAGACTTGTAGCTTAGTGAGTTTGGGGGTTTATCGAACATTCGTCATCATGAGATGGCTTAATACCGTATATCCTAGGATGATGTTCAAGATACTTGTAAAGCTAGCTCGCAAATCAATAATCTTACCTATGCTTCTACTTCACAGTTGCCTTGATCTATGGCTTCGCGCAAGACAACCCTATGCGAAGCGTACATAGCACTGTCACTCTAACCAAATAACAGCCTCTTAACGGTCAACCCCGCCAAACAGCAGAGACTGATACCAGGAGGTTGGCGCAGGCATAACCCAAACGTTCGCGTCCAAAGCGCTCTTTGTCTAACCCGTTCCCTACGAGGTCTTGACGCATCACATCCACGTCTTAAAAGCGACATCATCACCATCACCATCACTGTCGTCATCATCATCACTTTCCTCACTCATCACTACCTTTCCCAAATTTGCTGAATGTACACAACCCCTCTCATCACAACACAAGTATCAGTATCAGAAACGCCCCTCTCGAAACGCCCCATAGCTGCCGCAAACCGCGCGAGTGCACCGCGCGCCGATTGGTTGTGGGCGAATCGCTCGGGGTGCCTCTAGTGGGGCGGGAACGAAGGGCACAGTCGACAGGGATTCCCACGCGCGATTGGGATTGGTTTCCGGGGCAGGCAGGGCCAAAAGACGCAGGGACCTGTTGTAAACACAACATAACACGCAAGACGCGCCAGGGGAAAAAAGGGTCGTGCCTGACATTAGCTGGGCATCTGCATTTACTTTTTGCCATACGCGACCGATCGACTTTCCGATTCCTTGTATACAGAACCTCTACTTACCCTTTACCGTCTTCTGCTTTCGTTCCTGGTTGGCTCTGGTCTTTTTGCGCTGCCCTAGTTCATTACGGTGGTATACTTCCTATAGCGAGCACGATAAGAAAACACCCCCACCGAGTTCAATTCCGACAACAAGAGACAAGATGGCTCTAGCAGGAAATGGTCGAGCGAACGGTGGCAACGCGACCGTTGCGCAGCGGTACGTCTTCGCTATTTCCTCACACACGCGCACTTACTAATACCTCACCCAGCCTCCAGAAAGAACTCATGGACATCATGACCAAGCCCACACCGGGCATAACCGCCTTCCCCGACGACGAGAACATGACAGTGTGGACCGCGACCATCGACGGCCCCGCCGACACACCCTACGCCAACCTCATCTTCAAGCTCTCCATGGAGTTTGCCGCAAACTACCCCTACTCGCCCCCGACGGTGCTGTTCAAGACGCCGATATACCACCCGAATGTCGACTTCTCTGGGCGGATATGTCTGGATATACTCAAGGACAAGTGGAGTGCGATTTACAACATTACGACGGTGTTGTTGAGCTTGCAGAGTCTGTTGGGGGAGCCTAACAAGTGAGTAGAGTGGGGGTGTTGCATTGTGCATGGCAAGTGCTGATAAAGTGTAGTTCGAGTCCGCTCAACGGCCAGGCTGCTGAGCTTTGGGATAAGGATCCAGCGGAATACGGGCGCCTGGTTCTCGCACGCCACAAGGCGCCGGAGGAGCTGGACGCCTGAGCATCCTGGGCGATTTCTCGTCTCTCGACTGTGCCCTCTGTCTACTCCTGGCTTTGGTTCGGAAAGTTACATGGCGGCACAGTTGATCTGCCCTTCAGCGCGGCGTTGGATAGAACCTCTTGGCTTACTCTACCGGTTGAGTCTCCACTTCTTGATGGCTTGGCTTGTTTGCTTTTTCCCGATCGCTTGGAATATGCATGACGATTGGAAACGACACGCGACATGGACCAGACGTACTGTTTTACGCGATGGTCCTTTCTACACGACGGCGAGTGGCTGCTTCAATTTTGCATGGCATGGCGACGGAGTTGCATGGTGTGATGACGGTCACGACATTCTCTAGCGCGCCAGGCGCTTTCATGGCTGGCGTACAGGACTCCAACTCTGTCCAACACCCCCTAAATACCCACAATGAAAGTTACGAAATGATCAAAAATGTCCTTGTCTCCTCCTCAGGCATAATCAGGCTGTTCTGTGTGACGTCTTCTTCCTGATCGTGTGAGCAACTCTGCGGCGTCGAGGCATTCGGCTTGCGATGGCGGCATGCAAGAAATGGGCAACGTAAGATCTCGCCGTGCGCCACTTCCGCCTCGAGAAGGATCGATGACCAGGGCGCAGCCTGCACAGAACCTGGCAGCAGTGCTGCGGGCGCACGGCACAGCACGGCACAACGATCAGAGCTCAAGCATAGCCCATCCAAGAGAGTTTGGAGATGGCAATTTCAGAGTGCGCGCCTGCCAGGTTTGCGATATGAGGGTGTCGATAGTACTTCCGGTGCTTCATCAGGCAGGCGGACTTGCTGGGGAGTTTGTGGACTTCCGTATGCAGACTAGTAGTGTACCAGGTTGGGGTGGATGCATGATGAGGCGCTGAGATGGGGAGCAGCTGGGGCAAGGCACACATGTGGGCTGTGGAAAGCGCGGAATCTTGCGATTATCGCGGAATGCGACAGTTAATCATTACGGTAGCATTGGGGCGGCGCCAGACAGTTTGACGAAAAAGAAGGACGACGCTGCCAGTGGCTTGTTCCCAAAGGCCCTGTCTGCCCGTTGGTGGAATGGAAATTCTAGGACCTCGCTGTAATCTGGCAGAATGGCCTTCTGGAGCCTTTTCGTGACGTACGCTCGTCGCTGATAATATGGCCGGTTGTCAAAGCCGAAAGATCATCAAATATCATGGCGTGGAAAAAGCAAAGTGGTGTGGGTGGTGGAAGCGTCTGGACGAGGCGCACCATATCAGCCTCATCAAGCAGGAAAGATTGGGGGAAGCGACATGTTTTAATATGTCGGTACGTCGGGTAGTGCGAGGCAGGAAATGAGCAGACCCAGGCAGGTCACTTGATATCATGATGCTATATAGTAGGCGTCATCTTATTATTAGCTGTCTGACACGATGCGCGGATTCGCATACTCCATCGAGAAGCGTTGCACGAACGAGGGGTAGAGTGGAAATCAAACAAAAGGACCAGCATTGACCTCGTTGTGTTTCGCTGCCCCTGGTGTTCCTGTGACGAAGTCTGTGGTACTTCATCTATGCACCCCGCGACGGCTTCGCAATGTAAGTAATATGGTAGCAGACGGGGACGGGGCCAGGGGGTGCAGATATTGTACCTCGGGCGCCAGGGACATTTCTCCCCAGCAGATTGTTTGTCTGTCTCTCCAAGTATCGTGGCTGTCCCTAGCCCTGGTTTGCTAGCCATTGTTTGCTGAGCGAACGACGGCCATGGCGAAGGAAACAGTCGGAGTGGGTATGCAGGTCAGGGTTGGCTTCGCTGCAGGTCGAGGTTCTAGCTGCAGGTGGGGTGGTGGTTACTCTGCATACGCAAGTAACGAGTTCGCTCACTCACGCACCCGGTTATTTCTGCTGGCGGCCGAGCCGAAGGCGAAGTTCCGATGCGGGCATGGCTAGTAGTACCCACCCTTTTGCTTGACGCTGTACACCTGATCGGAGGGCAAGTGGTGGAAGCGAGTGAGTGATGGGTCTGGGGCGCGTGGGGTCATTCATAGCACATAGCGACACAGTCAGTCAGTGGGTGGGCAGGAACAAACCAACCATCAGCCTGAGCCACAGAGTCAGATGGAGGCTGATGCTGATGCTGATGCTGATGAACTGCTCGACGCCCTTTTCGCCCTTTTCGTCCCTGTCGTCTCTTTCTGTTCAGCAGCACGAGCATGCTTCTTCGTCCTTGGTGGATGGTTCCGCAAGGTGCGGGGCTGCCGCAGACCAGGGCTGGACCAAAATAGGTCAGGCTCGTTGACGCTGTGCATGCAGAAGGCGCGTCCCGATGGAGCTGGGCCTAGCCGCTTCGCGATGGGAGCCCGCCACGCCGGATGACAGCGCGCGCGGGCCCTTCTAACCGCACCGCTTTTGCTGGTCAGGCCGTCTGCGCTGGTGGGTGTGTGAGAGAGGGAGAGGCAGAGGGGAAGAGAGAGTCTGTGTATGTGAGAGAGAGAGAGAGAGAGAGAGCCTCATTAATGATTGCGTTGGACGTGATGGATTGCATGGGGCTGTCGTCTCAAACATGGCACACAGGTACGCCAGCAGCAGCATGCCTGCCTGTCCTAGTGGCTAGAGGGTTGCAGGCCCCGGCACCCAACTTCCGCTGCCGTTGTTTCTTAGAGTCTGCCACGAGTAGCGGTGGAGCAGTCCAGCCTGCCAGACAGACTCATCAGCAAGCTTCCCAGCTTCGGTCAGCGAGGGCGCAGAGCTGTTGCTGTTGTTGTTGCTGTTGCTGTTGCGGTTGGACTGGGGACAAGAGGCGGCCTGCAGCGTCCCCAACCTCAACTCGAATCCGAGGCTGTATTAATACATCGGACGGAATGGGACCGGCGGGCGCGGTATGTATAGCACCGCCTTGCAGACGGCGACAGATTCATGTAGTACGAGGGCATCTCCAATGCGGGCCGCCGGTGGATTTGGCCTAATCGTCCTACCTAATGCCTCGAGCGCCCGCCCGCCCTTGTTCGGCACCACTGCCCTCTGAGGCATGCGCGCGCTGGCTGGCCTGGCTGGCCCAACATCACATCACGTCTCGCGCGGCTTCCATTCATTCATCCATCCATCCATCCTTCACCACTCTTCTCTGCTCTACCCACAAGCAATTGATTGCACCTGCAAGTGTCGAATGTCCCCTGCCTGTCCACCTTTCATTCTGTTCGTGACAACCCAATCGTTTCAGACCACTCGGTCCCTTTGATCCCCGTGCACGCTTGCTTGCTCGCTCGCTCGCTCGCTGGATTCCGGGACCGCTGCACTGCACTGCGCTACGCTATGACAGTCTGATCTTGTCTTACGGTCCTCCGAGCTGCGAGATTCCTCTGTTCGCTCCTCCGTCCTCCTCGACCATACTACCAACGCCCTCGTCAGGTCAAACGTAGCATTCCTCTGTGACGACGGGCCCGCTGCCACCAACACCCCGTCTGCACTGCTTGCTATCCGCGTAGTGCCTGGGTGCTCTCTCTATGCATTGCTTCCCATAGCAACATCCGGGTGCGAGCTCCTCCACACCTCGTTCCGCCTCTTGGACACACACAGCCCGCCATCACACTCACCATGGCGGCCTCTCTGCTTCCCACGGGCGGCATTGCCCTCGTTGGCGCCCCGGATAGAGACATCGGACGGAACCACGCCGTCTTAACCCCGGTACACGCCATGCAGCTGGAAATGACCCAGGACATTGTCGACGAGCTTCTCGAAAGTGCCAGGAGCGGGAAACCACCACAAATCTTCTTTGGAAGGGCTCCTGTATGTGTGCCCACATCTTCCGAACCAACCGTCTTGTTGTTCCTCATTGTCATGGTGGTTCGACTCTAGCAATGAATGACACTAGCTGACCATGCACCAACAGCAACTCAAATACGCCGACAAGACCCACGTCCTGCATAGCAGCCCCGAGACGCACCGATACGAATTGTACAGGTCCAGCGGGGCTGGCAGCGACGACGACGACGACCTCGAATTCGCAGGCTTGATCAACCACACCCTCACAGTGCAGAAGGCGGAACATGTCACGGCAGGCGTAGACACGGCCTTGGAACAGCTCAGGAGTAGCATGGCTGCCATCTCAGAGATCAAGGAAGCCAACAAGTATGCCTCCCCGGTATTCCCGTGGCTGCCCAAGACCCCTTGTATCACATGCAAGTCGAGAGACTCGAGCACACCATGCATACACCTCGACTAACACTGTTGCTTGCAGGACTATTGTCGGCGAAGCTACTCCAGGTCGCACACCAGCCCATCGCCGTTTTCCTTCGTCTGGCTTCAAAGCGCAGCACCTCGCGCCCTCCCCCCTGCTGAGTGCTGCCTCCTCGCCCATGCACAGGCGGCCACCCACGTCACAACCCAACAACAGTCATGACATGGTCCTCACTGCCCTTCGTGTCCCCATCATCCACCTCCTCGCCAGGGAGCCCGCTACAGACATGACTCTTGCCAGCACATGCCGCACGTCGCTCGCCAGCGTGCGAGACGTCCTGTCCAAGATTGCCAAGCGCTCTTCGCCAGACGCCGACAAGTGGCAGCTGACTGACAAGTCCTTTCGTGAAGTAAACCCTTGGAAATTCCCATATCAGTCCTCCGAGGACCGCCAACAAGCAATCGACTGTGCAATCAAGTCGTTTGACCGTCAGCGCCTGGCCAAGGACGACAAGCTTTGGCAAATCCTACTGCCGCGTGAAGAGCGAGGCCAGGGTATCTGCTTGTCACGTTCCAAGGTGAAGGCACCGGAGGCTAAACCCAAGCCAAGCACACCGATGCATAAGATTTCAGATCTGACCAAGAAGAAGCCCGTTGCTAAGAAGGCCGAGGACAAGGTCACTGAGAAGAAACCCAAGGCTGTAAAGGACACGGACACTAAGCCCAAGACCATGAAGGAAAAGTACCTGGCTCGTGAGAAGCCAATGGTGAAGGGGGTGAAGGAGGTGAAGGAGGTGAAGGAGGTGAAAGAGGAGCCCACAATAGCAGCGACACCTGACGCAGCTACACCTTCGTCTCGGCCTACCGCACCTTCTGACCGCAACACTCACCCAACCGACGCTTCCAAAATCCGCATCAAGAAAGCGCCCGCTGCCAATTTCAATTCAACGCCGCGAGTGAAGCCCAAGATGCCTGCCCGAGATCTCTACAAGGACCGCCCCTCCAGACCAGTCAGGCCTGCGATGCCCATAAACACCAAGCCGAAGAACCCATCTCCGCTCTCAGCATCTCCGCCTCTCAATGCCAGCGACTTTGAAGACAACCACCCCGTCCACAAAGCCCTCGCCGCGGCTCCCTCGCCCGCCAAGACCTCCTCCGGCAACTCGGATCGCTCGTTGAAGCGCAAGGCGAACGACATCGATAGCGGCATTCACGATCACGGCTCGGCTGTGAAGAAGGCCCATATGGACCGCTCAACGCCGAACCATACGCCGTCGCACACCAACGGCAGGCTCAATGGCTCTACGCCTTCAAGCAGTAGCTCACTGAAGCGCAAATCAGACGCGTCGTCTAGCTCCAACACCCCCACCACCACCCCCAAAGTGCGCAAGGTCGCCAATATCGATACCGGCCTTGCTTCGCGCTACCATCATAACAATCCGCAGGCGTCACCAGGCGCTTCCTCAGCCTCCACTACCTCACCATCCATGCCAAGCCTGAGCTTCCGCCAGACGGTCGAGCTATCTCAGAAGTTTCAGAAGTATTACAAGAAGTACGAGGAGTTGTACTGGCAGTTGACCGAAGCGGTGAAGCCACCAACGGACGCGCAGAGGAACGACCTACTCAAGATGCACAAGAAGCTCGAGGAGATGAAGAGAGAGATCAAGGCGGGTGCCGGCGTGCATCGATGATGAACGAGGCTACGGCCAACGAACCACGCCAAGTGCGAGGATGATTATCACAGTACAGTTTTGCACATATATACCCACGGCCCACAGTCTGATGTGTATGGCGGCAATTTGCATACCCAAAAAGGTGTTGGAGGAGATTTCTTCCCTCGGGATTCTACAGCGTTTGATTGTGATATTTTGGGACAGCTGCATCTGGATACGGAGTTCTTGGTTGGTTATCTCTCCCTATCTCATACCTTAGGGATCGCCCAAGGGCAATCCCATGTCTATGAACGATTGATACGTTAATGGTTACATAAAATGCGTTGGGGCTATATGATCCTCATCTATAAGTACGTAGGCTACCGAATAAAAACTCGCGTCTGTTCACTCGCGAATGTTCCTCATTTCTCTTCCTCGTCGGTCCCCCACCAAAGCCACGGCACTTGGGGGGTTACACAGATTAGCGCCACATCCCCCAATCTCCGAATGATGACGTGCCGTGATGCCACCACAAGACATTCGTCCACACGTCAGGATATCTACATCCACTTGTCCACACCTGTGAGCAGTGCTCGCCGAGGACACCCTCCCACTTCAGTACACCATCCCAAGGCCGGATCAGCACTTCCAGACCCAGTCGCGGCCCCAGCCCGCCTGCCCAGCCCGCTCGCTCGATCGCTGCAGCCGCCGCCGATCTCCTTGAGCACAGCACCTCACCTGCACCACACCACACCACCGCCCGCTTGTGCGGCGCACGGACCCCTGCACTAATGAACGTCATCCACACACACATCTCAGCCCCATGCGCTAGCTGAACCCTTTGCCTTCTCATTGACGCCATCTCAAGTAGACCACATTTGACGATACCAACCAAACACTCCATTGCTCGCTCGCCGTATATGAGTCTCCTTCGCAACTTACTGCGGAGATTACCCACGCGCACTGCCACGAGAGAATACGCGCACGTGCACGATATTCAGATCAAGTACGCGAGAGCGCCGCCGATTAGTGAGGAGTTTAGGGAGGGAGAACAGCAAGACGTCGGGAGTATGGAACGGAATGGTATGTTTCTGGGGAGTGTGTGTTTCTTTGTGGTTATGCGGTTATAAGAGGGAGAAGAAGTGCGGAGAATCAGAATGTGTATATAGCAGGACTACGAAGCTAATAGGAGACGATAGTATTCAAACAGCCCCTCGCTCTCCACTCCACGCGCCCGTTAACCGGCTTCATGCGCACGGGGTACTGCGAGGCGCCTAGGTCAGATGCTGGGAATCACTCCGTTGCTGGTATGCTACATCCCTCTTGTGTATTCAACAATACATCATCAGCCCCTAACATGCAAAAGGCATCGTGTCAAATGAGTTCTTGGATTTCTCTGCATCGCGAGGAAACGATCTCCGGCAAGCTGGGCTTACGGACGGGTGCAAATGGTGTCTGTGCCTCAGTCGGTGGAAAGAAGCGTTCGATGCGAGGTCGGGAGATGACGACAAGAAGGTTCCGAAGATTGTGCTGAAAGCTACGAATGAGAGGGCGCTGGAGGGTGTTTCAATGGATGATTTAAGGAAGTTTGCTGTGGATAAGGAGTAGCGTAATTATCAGCCCTTCGTCACAAATCAAATATTATCAAGGACAGCTACCAACGTTCAACATCGACCATAGAGCCAGCCAGCTGGTCTAAACGTTGCTTCGTAAAATTAATTAAATATGAACTAGTCCTCCTCTTCGTCTAACCCCCGTATCGGCTTTTCCCGCACAAGTCTGCGCTCCAGACTACACCTCAGCACTCTCTTTTCCGCCCCAATCCCCACCCCCTTCAACGCATCGTCCTCGCGGTCCCAGTATATAGCCCAATCATACCCGCCCCTCTTCTCCTCGACAGCAACTAGACACTCTTCCCCTTCTAGTGTGATACCTTGTTCGTCGTCGACTGTCCAGTCCCAGTGTCCCACCCTGTGCCACTTTGCCTCTGCGCGAGGCCCGTATTTGACTTCGCGAGTCTGTTTGTCGACGTAGAGCCAATTTAGCTTTGGTTTAGTTTTCTGGTTCGCTTTTGACTTTGGTTTCGGCGTCGGCGAGGAGGAAGGAGAGGGAGAAGAAGACGTGGTGGATGGAGAGGGCGGCACGGTGCTGACGAGCCCGAGGATCGGGGCTGAGGGAATGAGTCTGTGAGGGAGGTCTTCGCTTGGGAAGGGGAGGTAGAAGCCTGTGAAGGGGTGAGGTGTGTCGCCGCCGTTTGGATCGTCTCTCGGTAGGTTTGTGTCTGGGTTCTTGGGCCATAGACGGACCTGTGGTATTGTCAGATCGATTGCCCATGCTCTGCGACTGTGCAGTATATCTGTGTGATGAAGCGCACCTTTCCGTCCTTCAAGACCACAATCGCACCATTCACCTCATCTTTCTTCCTGCTCTTCGCATCGCAGAATACATCCAGGTAGAATTCCTCCTGTCGCTCGTCTGTCTCGGCTTCTTCGTCGAGAAGGCGTTGTTGGTGGACGGCCTCGTTTGCGCCGATTGAGATGGGTATCCCGGCTAGGGTGAGTGCATACATGTCCTCGAGCTAACAGAGCGTTCAATTGAGTAGCGCCTAGACACAGGTTGGTATGCGTGCGTGAACGGCATCTTGAGCTGTGTCGAAGCAGGGCTGTTGGTTCTCAGAGCCGACTAGGATTAAGGGTCGATGCGGTCATAGGCCGCTCCACTGTGGGGTTCGGCTAAAGTTGCTACCTAAGTGTGCTCCGAACCCAAACAATCATCATCCGGATTCATATCCTTGTTTATTCCGCGTGTACAAAGTGAAAGAGCATGACATGCCATAACTTTTGGTAGAATTATGGGTCGAAGTGAGTCGAGGGCTCCGCCGTTTGATTCTGTTCCAATATACATACAAACGGATTGAAGAACATGATACGACCCTCAATGCTTCCATACCTCAGTTACCCAAGTGTTGCATGTTATTAACCGCTCCCGAATATCACACGATCGAGCCAATACCCATCTCGGTCATCGAATTCGACTCACTCAATGAGTTTGTCTGACCTTTTACTCAGAGCAAACCTCATACTTCAAAATCCTTTCTTCGTCAATGTTCCAGCGCCGGAACTCAATCTCTGTGAAACCTGGCGGTTGTTCCTTCTCCACATCTATCAGGTGGCTATCCTCGAAGTCGACAATGTAACTATACAGCGAAGTTAAAACCACAACAGATTGAGAGGAATCTCTATACTTACCACTTTCGCTCCTGTTGGTCCCAGACGATATTTCGCAAGGCCCTATCATTGGGTATTATGCCGCAACTCCATACCTCTCTATCAGTCTTGTTAGTCTTGTTAGTCTTGTAGCGAACAGTATCGCAGAAGAGGAACTTACATTAGCGCCTTTCTGAACGCTTCTCGAAACTCATCCCGCTCAGCTCGCGATAACTTGCAGAAGATATCGTATGGTAGCCGGGAGCCAGAAGTCTTGGTCATCAAGACGAAAATAAGATAGCCTCCAACAATGCAATCTTCGTGCATGCCAGGTCGCACAGTTGTCTCTGTGAAATCTAGAAGTTGCGGTGCGCTTTGGCATCGAAAGTCTGTTGAACGGCGGAGCGCCGCGATTTCTTGCACTGTGTCCTCGTTGGGTTCGATAGCTGGACTTGTGCAGAAATTAAATGCAGTCTGTGTCTGCTCAATGAATCGTTGTGTTCGAACTCGGGAATTGGGGTGATGGATGAGTTCTTCTTCGTAATCTGCCATGGACATTTTGTATGATTGTATCGTATCTTCCGAAGCTTGCACCCTGTAAACATTAGTATGTTTATAGAGTTTTATATAGACAACAACGAGATAGGGTATCACAGAATAGACACAAGATAGTACAAACCGGTAAATCCCCTCTACCAGTAAGGGAAAAAACACGAAAAGCGTGACAAGTAAACATTAGTAATGCGCAGCTCTCAGCATTTTCACTCACTGGAACTTGATCTTGATGACCGCTTCTCTGGTTTTGCCATAGAAGCCTGAAGGGTCTTCCACGCAAACGGCTGTGAATACTTGTCTTGCCTCACAAGGGCTCCAAGTCTGCTGTAGCGCGACTTGAGACAATGGTTCCTGGATCAACCATCGCGATTTGTCAGGGAAGACGACAGACTTTCCTTCGAAAGCGAAGCATTTGTGGGCAGCAGGACGGCTCTTTGTAGGTGAGTTGAGCTTAACACTCGCATTCGAGGATGGCGGACAGGAAGACATGGAAAGGGCGGGTGTGTGTGATGAACTAATCTCAGTTGTGGTAGCTTCTAGTAGTGTTAACATTGCGTTTGGTTGGGTGATCTTGAAAGTGGAGTGTACGGTGGAGCTTTTGACTAATAGCATAGGTGAGCATTAACCCAACGCGGGTTCACGTGATTCCCTGCTCTTGCTCAATTGGGTAAAGACAGCGACTTGAATGTGAAGGCACAATAAGGCGGTGTGCGTAGTTCTGTGCACCCCAAAATCTTGTAAGCGATGTCTTGAGTTGGAATGTTTGACTAAATTGCTACACTTAGGAGTATGTATCTGGTTGGGTATGGGTCCTAATTTCTGTTCTGGATCGTAGCCTTAACAGTAAACCGTTGCTATAAGAGAATGTGTTCAACAATCGTCTAAGCCGTAGGACTACTTGTGAAGCTATTTTTAGTCTATACGTATACTTTGGGCGGATATGTTTGGGCGGATATGTTTGTGATAAGGCTCGCCTTCCCGGATAGCCGTTGCTCGAGTCAAAGGACAACCAAGTGCACTGCAAGAGCGAAGATCCCTCTTCTTCTCGCATACACAAACTGCTACTTCCTTGTAAAAACAATTCACCTGCCCCTACGGCAACGTCCCACATGTCGAGCAGGGCATCTGCGATGCACTTGAGTCTCCAAGCAACGCGCAAGCATTCAGTGTTATACCACCACCATTAACCACTCACCCATAGTTACATATCGCTTTCATGACCATCTTCTTTCGTTATCCATCTCTATTCACCCCATCCGTTTGACATACAATATTCTAAAGAATCCAGCCTCTCGAGAAAACCACTCTCACTATGCCTCAAAACAGCAATCCTGACAATGGCGTAACGGCCGCGACTTTGATCAGCAAACTCACTGTTCAACAACGATCACGTCTTTCTCAGTATGTGTCAATTACGAAACAAACAGTCCGAGACGCCATTTCAATCCTACAACAATGCGAGTAGAACCCGTTGTTTGCGATAAACCGTTTCGAGGATGGCCAGTCCAAAGGAAAGAGTCCATTTGATGTCGAGAGCAGCTCAGAAACAGCGCCCAGTCTGTCGACGGAAATTGAGGCTATGCGGCTCGAAAACCTCACGCCGCCACCCAATGTGTCGACAGCAACAGAGTCTGGGCAGTCGACTCGAAATTTTCCTGGAGGTAGCCAGCGTACTGGTTCATCAATGAAACCGCCGCCGAATGTCAGCGCTGCGTCCGCGGTCTCGCGTGTCTCTCAGTTCGCTACCGGTCTTCCTCCCCCACCAACGGCCTCACCAGGCCCCTCGAATACCCCCAGGACTCACCCAACCACGTCTAATTCTGATTCACCAGGTCCATCTACGAAAAAGCTGAGCGCGGAAGCCCTTGCTGGCACGAAGACTTGGAAGAAAATGAAACCATTGAGCCCACTGGAAGTTGTGGTGCGACCCTTACCAAGCGATGTACTCCCCAAGCCCGAGGAGAATGGGCTATTGTTCTTCGGCGAGGAGAAGTTATGGTATCTCGGTTTCGTCGGGCGGTGGGCAGGCTTTCAGAGTCTTGTGATGGATTTCTACAACAGTCAGCTGTTCAGGAGCGCTTGCGACGAGATAAAAGGCCACCCCATTATCCCACCTCGCAGCTCGGACCTCCTCGACGGTAGCCACGGATCCCAACAGCTCGCCGACTTCTTCCAGCGCGAGGTGCTGGAAGTGGTGGTCGGGATATACAACAAGCTCCTCGAAACTATGACCCTTCAGCAGTTGACTGTTCCAGACAGCGTATCCCTTGGCCAGGCCACAGACGAGGATCTGGGCAACGAGGACTTGGCGTGGAATCCGAAGTTCGTGGTGAGAGCGATGCCGAAAGAGGGTGACGACCAGACTCGACTCATCGGGCATGCAGAGTACCTCGGAGGAAGGCCTGGTGCATTGTCGTGGGCTATACAAGAGCAAGTGAAGAACTCGTGGGGAAGCCTGCGATGCGTTCTAGGTGATTAGCCACTCTCTCTTTCAACGTTTTGGGGCAGATTGCTGACAGACTTCAAAAGGTGACATCGCCCAATGGATGTTGATGGATAACATCCGCTACGCCTTCCTCACCTGCAGCGACGAGGTCATCTTCATCAAATTCGACATCGTCGAGCGCGTTAAGTACGTGAACCGTGCTAGAGGCAATGAAGCGGCGGACGTCGATCAAGTCGACGTCTTGACAGAGCCATGGCTCTACTACTCCGACCCTATCAAGTTCACGGATGTACTAAACGAGGCGGAGGGAAAGGTGCCGGTGAGGCTGGCGCTGCTGTCTTTGTTGCATATCGCTTCGACGACGGAGTGGCATTTGCCGGCAAATATAGGGTCAGCACGTAAGTAACGTCTGCGTGCGGACTGCATGAAAGGCACACGCTAACTTTGTAACTCGACTTTTAGTGAACTATGCGGCGAAAACGAAAGCTGGAGAGAAGTGGAAGCCGGCGCCTCTCGACATGTCGTTGTTTTCGTTGTGAGGAATCGACGAATGTCGGGGATGGACAGGGTTTGTGTGATAGCCCGACGGTTTGAGTAGGATCTGCAGGTTAATGACCTGATAGACAGGTATCTATTTCAATACAAGTCCATGATGAGATATCGATGCTTAAGACCAATCTCTCGGAATGTAGCGATGCGGAAATCATGATCATTCAGACGTCTGTAACATATCGGCAGCGAAGCACTTCGCAACTACCCGGCATGCTCCCTGTACCAAGAGAGTGAGCCAAACTCCCACATGCAGAGTTTGGAACCTGGGCTTAGGCAACGAGGAGTTGATAAGTTGGTCTCCTAGACGTGTCTCGTTTTGCCGCTATGGTCGGGGAAACACGGAGATGAAGGCAAGCCTCATACCAGCGCTGTCCCTGCCATATGAAGCCCCTGGTCTATCCAAAGTTGTTACTTGCATCAAGGATGCACGCTCACATCCCCAGTGACTTCGCGGCTTGGCTAGACGAGCTGTGCCAGGAATCTCAATGAAAGCAAAGGCTTCCATTGGTGGTGCCTCTCAGCTCAGTATGTTTTCGACATGTACGTTTGTAGTGGTGTTGTCCGGTGTTGTCTGGTGTTTAGGTGCCAGCAGGACGAACTAAGTTGCTACCCAGACGCTAGAGTTGCAGGAAAAAAACCTCGGTCCAAAGTGGTGACTTGATTGGTGTGGCTAGGCGCGCTGCGAATGTAGGGCCGGGACAAGAGTCGGGCTATAGGCTTTGGCGTCCGGAGTATAAGGCTGGATCTGGACGGTCTCGGTGACTAGAATCATAATACGGTATGATAGGGCGCAGGAGATCTGAAGCATGGCAAAATGCGGGGGAGTGCTATCGGGGTTCCAAGAGCCGGGATCCGGAAGGGAGATCATCACGTTCCCGATGAGTTGGTTGGAGGTTGGAAAACGTGGTGTTTGCTCGGCGTAGGCGAGAGACGGTTCCAGATTGTTCATATTCAATTCACAACGGTCAAATCAGGTTAGTAGATGTAGTTACTGGCTAGACCTGCTTCGGTTCGAAATGCGCAGCTAATGCATCCCTGTGCTGACATTCCATAATTCCTGAAAAGGCGGAGCGATTGTGTGTTGTCACGAGATTGCTCTCTCACACCGTGTCGCTACGGGCACTCCACTTGCCTACAGTACGTTGGAGTATGTGCTTGCAAACATACTAGGCGGTGCATGTGTTCGCGGATAATCAAGGAAAGCCAGCGAGAAATTCGACTAGGTAGTCCTGATGAGACCGGGTCTGCGGGGATAGATGGTCTTCCGAAGCAATACTAGGCATCCATGATCCATGCTTGATTTATCTTGGTCCGTGGAATCTGCAGCAACGGCGGTGACATACTTCAGTGTGCGTGGGGACGAATACGGTGAGCGATCCAACGAGCCACTAGCAATTCAGGAGGCGACTTCGGTCAAATTTGGCCCGAATCTTTGCTCCCTATACCCTCATATCTAAGGATTCTCTTGCGTCGCCGATTGCGATGAGTAGTAGGTGCTGGTAACAGCATTCTTTCAGGCGTGCCAAAGTTGCATCTTCTTGATAGCAAGTAAGAATAGTCGCGTGTCGGATACTGGAGGAGATTGCTAAGCCGTCGGATTTAGGACGCGGCATATGGGGGTGCAGCTATCGGGTCATGCGGCTCGAGTTGTTGGTGCAGCGACTTCATCAAGCGCATCGGACAAGTAGCCCAGTCGGGACAACCTAGACGGGCGCTGTGGAGCATTGGTTTGTCTCAGTCGACCCCGCGTGAAGCCTTCAAACACAATGACGTGCAGATCTACGACATAGTCTGACAGGTCGCACGACGTCTGACGGGGAGGACAAAGAGAACCCCGCGGGTCGACGTGCTGCCACTTCAACGCCTCCACGACGTTGTAATTGTCACGATGGACGTATTGCTAGGCGTCGGCCGTCATCAGGGCGAATAGGCGTGGAGTTGGTCGTCGATTGGCTCGAAGAGGGGTGGGCGAGAAACAATGGCGTTCATTGATATGCGGGGTCCCCATGTGCCAAGCACCAACCCCAGTTTCTAAAAGGAGCTATTCGGTCAGTGCCTCGGTACATTCCAATGAATGCTCGCTCTTGGTAGCCCACAGTGCTTGGCGATGTGGCATGGCCTGTTGCACAGGGGCGGCTGAACATATAATGAGCGCGTCGTATCGCCTGGTCATCTTGCCCACAACGCCTTGTCCCTTCCCTTGCCCACGGTTGCCTACTCGACTTCTACTCAACCACCATGGCTCACCACGACCTCGAGAAGGAACAGCCAACGTTGCAGGAGGACATCCACGCTACCTCGGGTGCCTCGTCACAGGATGGCTACGAGTGTGAATTCAGCCCGCAGGAGCAACGGAAGATTATCCATCGTATCGATCGCCGTCTCGTCTTGACAGTGGGAGTGCTCTACTGCGTCAGCCTGATGGACCGTACCAACTTGAGCGCCGCCGCCATTGCTGGGTTCGTACATTTGCTGCCCCTTACTTAGGGCGCGACGCCGAATGCTAATGCACACCAGTATGACGAAAGAACTGCAGCTCAACAAATTGGAGGGTACCATTTCACACTACTCGATTATCACCATTGTCTTTTTTGCCACCTACATCGTCTTTCAGCCTCCTGCGACCGTCATCGTGCGTTATCTTGGACCCCGAAATTTCTTGTCCGTTATCGTGGTCGCGTGGGGCGCCGTTATGATTGGAATGGGTTTTGCCAAAAACTACGGAGCTCTCGCTGGGCTTAGAGTGGTTCTGGGTATACTGGAAGCCGGATTCTTCCCCAGCTGCGTCTATCTGCTGTCTACCTGGTGTAAGTTCGCCATGGTATCAGAACCCTTGTATAGGTACGCTGACACATTTGGCAGACACTCGATTTGATGTGGGAAAGCGATACTCGTGTTTCTATATTCTCGGAAGTTTGGCTTCGGCATGCGCCGGCATTCTGGCCTATGGCTTGATGCAGCTCAAAGGACGCCAAGGCTTGAATGGATGGCGGTGGATCTTCATTATCGAGGGAGCCTTGACTTGCTTCCTCGGTGTCCTGTCCTACTGGGCCCTTGTTGATTTCCCCGACAAAGCCCACAAGTCTTGGAAGTTCTTGAACGAGCGCGAAGCTGCTTTCATCATTAACCGCGTCGACCGGGACCGTGGAGATGCGAGGCCAGAGCCTTGGTCGTTTGCCAATTTCCTCCGTGGTGGTGCTGACATCAAGGTCTGGGGGTTTGCCTTGGTAAGCGTCTTGTTCCAAATCGCTCTCATTTTGCTGACCAAGTAAGATATTTTTCAACACAACGACTGTGACCTATGCTCTCGCATACTTCTTGCCCATTATTCTAACTGAAAATATGGGCTTTTCGATCGGCGCATCGCAATGCCTCGTCGCTCCGCCATATGCATTTGCCGCTATTGTCATGTACGCGACTGGTTGGGCCGGCGACAAATACCATCTCCGTGGTCCCGTCGTCATCTTCAACATGGTCCTGTGTCTGATCGGGCTTCCCATCATGGGTTTCCACAGCAATACGAACGTCAGATACTTTGGTGTCTTCCTCACGACTGCTGGAGCAAATAGCAACGTCCCAGCGACCATGTCATATCAGGCAAACAACATTCGAGGTCAATGGAAGCGCGCATTCTGCTCTGCCATCCTAGTTGGCATGGGTGGTGTTGGTGGTATCGCCGGAGGCTTAGTTTTCAGGTATGTTGAGATATGCTCACTTGATCCAGTACGGCGTGCTAATGTTGTTTAGGGCCCAAGACAAGCCCCACTATCGTCCAGGTCTGTATGCTTGCATTGCGTGCTGCCTTCTCACGCTTGTCATTGTCAGTCTCATTACTCTGAGGTCCTGGAGTTTGAACAAGCGAGCAGACCGTGGTGAGCTTGAGTTGGAATACAATGACGTGAGTCCCACAACGAATCGATTTTGCTGCAGAATGTTAACGAGTGTGCAGGACCGCGACCAGAAGGGTTTCAGGTATACTTATTAAACAAGTACTACACATGGGCGGGACTGTGGTCCTTTTGAAGCTTGAAGCTTGCTAGGCTACGCGTGATACCTCGGCTGAGAGCATAACGTTACCCACGTCGTCAAATAAATAATACAATTTATTCTTCCACATACCGTCTCTTGATATGATCGAACTTGCAACATTCAATCATCCTGGCTCTCCACCGCGTCTTCCACGACCTTTAGTGCATACGAGTTGGAAAAGTGAGACTGTAATCCATCAAGGCTTCACCTGGGAAACGGGCGTCTTTGATACATATTGTCAATATTCTACCGATTATTAATCTCAACATATGCTCGGTCGATCAGTAATCGTGTCTTTGATGCTCGGGCTACACACACCTTACTTTCGCATCACTCTTCGTACCGACATCGGGCATCAGATCGCGCCTTGCATTGGATCAGTAGCGTGCTATAATGGCTCTTCAATCCATCGAGGTTGATTTTAGTGCGGCTTGTTGCAGGAGAGACAGCAGAACCCCAAATCGAACTTTCAGTCTAGACAGCTGACCGTCTTCCAGGTAGCACCTCGAAGCTAAATCAAACACTGCTCTTTCTCACTACCACCAAGACCACTGCTGATAAATACCACAAGCACAGCTACATACGCCGCCGTAGTGGCAAAGACCTCTGCTATTTTTGCCTTGATACACAACGTGACGCTCGAAGCGAACCGCATTGTATACATGGCTATTAGGCATAGCCTCGCTTTCGGCTTTGAAAAGGTGCAGGCTCACGATTGCGCCTATGAGCAAGAATGCGGTTAGTGCTAGGTCAAGGGCTGCAATTATTCGAACGATGTGCGAGTTGTTATAGATCGTCGTATGATCTAACAGGTCCGTGGTCTTGCGCTTCTTGAACAACTAGCGGTTCTGTATAAAACGAGGTAGGTAATCTATCGATCTTTCAGTTCGACGTAGTAACTTATCCCTTGTCTAAATGTCCTCGATGTCAGCTTTCCATACGTGATTTTCTGTCCCTGTGTCCCGATCAATGTATATCACTGTTGGAAATGCATCACTAACTGCATGCCAAGTCGTGCCCACAAAAACCGTATAACAGTGAAGTTCAACTACAATCTAATGCTATAACACGCTTCACATCGCGTCCGTCAATCTGGGTATCTTACGCCCAATGCACAAAAACGCCACAGCTAATGCCAAGAGAAAAATCAAGAACGCAAACGAAGGAGTGGAGATGCGACGCCATTCAACCGAGACCGCACCATCGCTATGCAAGCAATCTAGGAAGCAAAGATGAACATAGAGCAAATCAAAAGGAATAAACCCGATAAACAGACTTAGACTAGGTGTGTATGAGTGTATGTGATGCAAATACGCTTGGCCGGAAGTTCTAGGCCAGACGCTGATACCGGCATGCAACGACATTTGGCCGGCTAGTAGGACTTATATTTCTGTATAATTGTCAATAAAAGTTCGAGATGCATGATGCGAGTGGTGGACTTACGTCTTCAATCTTACGCCTTGAGCCCTCATCAAGCGCATTACCAACGCCCAGTAATGCATTGCTCAATGCCTTTGTCGCACCAAGTGCAGGCCTTAGAATTACCGTGGGAGCATGTCTAGCAAGCGCCCGCGCCATCCCTACACCGCTGCCCTCCTCCATGACCTCTGCGGGAATGGCAATCACGGCATCACGCGCAGTAAGAAGATCACGCTCTAGGTGCCGGGCCGCAGAGCGCAAGCCAGCTCTTACCCCAATCGGCTGATTTGCGTAGTTCGATACAGCACGCGGTTCTTCGGTGTCAGAGGTTGGATCTTCGCCATCCCAATCGTTATGATGCTGGCGAGATGGGGAAGCGGCCTGTGGATTGATGAACACCTCTGCACCTTCAAGCAGGGTTTGGGTACCGATTGCTACTTTGGCGCCTAGACGTGCAACCTCTGATGTGGTGTTCTTGGCGAACGCGTAAACCCCCTTCTGTAAGCTGCGGACGATACGGCCATCCTTTTTATACTCGCGCATTGGCACAACGACAAGGTCACGGATGCCTGATCCCACATTGACCAGTGGACGGACAGCTGCGAGGCCGGAGAGTACACCTGGTAGTTGATTACGCTTGACATCAGGCATCCACACGTCGTTGAGCGTTTTTTGGAGTTTATCAAAGGACGTAATACCGTATACGATGGCGTGGCGGAGAACGATGTCGGAGCCGTCGAGGATGAGGAAGTTCATAAACTCGGTAGTGTGACCTGAACGAATACCACCGTAGTCGACACGCTTCGGCTTGTAGTCCAGCTTCATTGCCACTGCCTTCACTTCTAGACGCTGGATAAAGGGCTGTTCGGCTGCCGAAGCGGGTTCAGGTGCAGAATCGTCTTTGAACTCGAAGAAACGCGTGATGAAGTCCAGAGCATCTTGGTCGACATGTAGACGGAGAGGAAGTACAGTGACCTTCATCTAATTAGTACATCTTTTCATCATGTTTACTGCAAGAGCTTACCTTGATGACCAGTTCAGAAGCAGCCAAATCAGTCACTGGCTTGACCGTCACAAGTTCAAGATTAAGCATTGGCCGGCTAAGCTCGCGCGCACTCGGTGCGATCTGGCAGGTGACGAACTTTTTCCAAGTCGAACTAGGGACGTGATCGAAGACTTCGAGATCTTGCACTCGGACATCAATGGAGTTGATCGTCTCGCCGGAATTGGGAGGGAAGACAATGAGATCAACCGCAACACCCATGAGCGAAAACGCGATCTTCTTGTGCTTGCTGCGCTCCAGTTTGAGACGGCGCTTAGACTTTGTTGCACTTCGTGGACGAGCCGTAGCTCCCGTAGAATGAGTGGCCGTCGAGGTCGCGTAGCTACCAGTCTCACTAGCGAGGTCGTCAATGTCGTGATTGATACGGCGTGCGAGAGCGCCCTTTTCGTCCTTGACTGGAACACCAATCCACACGGAGTTGAACAGGAAGTCTTCTTCGATGAAGTCGTCGTCCTCATCTTCTTCGCGCACCTTCCGTCGCCGCTCCTCAGCACGCGCTTCAACGTCATCCACAGCCTTAGCGATGATACCTCGGGTGCGTGGCCAGTCATATCCATCGTAAAGGTTCCAGATGATGTTCACATCGCGTACCCGAACTTTCAGCGGTGCATCAGGAGCTTTGAATTCATTCGAGAGGTGATACTGGTTTTTGGTTGAGTCCCACTTCCGGGCTTTTCCTTTCTGATCCGAGTCTGAGTCTTTGAAGTAGTTGTCGCTGAAGTCGAAGTCTTGTATATCTGGAGCGATCTCATACTTTTCTTGGAAACTTTCCAGGAGAGCTCGCTCACCGCGCTGACGTGTGATCGGTGGCGTAGCCAAAGCACCGAGGTCATCCTCGCCGAGCAGGCTATCACCCATCTCTTCGTCGGTAGGAAGAGACTGAGAGTTATAAAAACTGCCAACAAACTCAAGATTTGTCGGTACATCGTCCTCAACAAGGTCAGCGTTGCTCATAAAATCCTCGTCCTCGTCCTCATTTCCATTCCCAACGTCTGCATGAGCAGCAAATGCGTCACCAGTGAAAGATTCCATCATCTCTTGTAGCGGGACGACGGTTCGATATTTCTCTGCCGTAGAAGGAGGCATGGGTGGCTGGAGGCCGTTCAGTATCGCGATGAGTGTCTGCGTAGAGTCTGCGCACGATTCAATAACGAACAACTCGTTCTTGAACTCTACATCAACCAGCTGTGGCTGGTCCTTTCCTTCCCCTGCAATGTTCACATACACTTTGGCAGCTGAGATTGAACTCAACGATACAAACCCGGACTCGCCGAGTTCGTGCAGATGGCGATTTGAGATTATTGGGCTAGCTGGCGAGTCTGTTCCACGCTCCTCTTCAAGACGAGCTATGTTGTCGATAGCGTGCATGGAGGCTTTACGGAGCTCTACTGTGATCGAGTAGTCATTTTTCGCTTGCCGACCCGCAATATGTGCTTCTGTGAGAACGAAAAGGCCTTTAGATGAGATTTTTCGCGGGTTCAGACCAATGGCGCAACTTCTGAGGAGAACATCAATCTGCAGTGCTTTCGCAGCAGCTGTCGACGGAGAGCTCGCTTGCGACGATTGTCTACTAAGGGTCTTAGGGGATGCTGCTCCGGTTATAGTCGCGACGCTTGATGCGATACCCAAAGCAATGTCGTCAGCTGTGCTATCGTCCGATATGCCAAGCGCTGCCATAACGGTCGAAACTCGATATTCGGCACAAACATTGAAGAACTTAATCTTCACCATGGGCTCCATCTCATCTCCGACCATCCTAACCATGATAGCGGGCAGCTGATCTTGCGGTCGCAGCCTCACAACTTCGTGAATGAGGACCTCGTCATCTCTGGACACAGTTGCTTTGCCAATTTCTACGGCCAACAAAGCAGGAACACCAACGTGTGCCACCGAAGCGTCCAGGAGAGATATGGAGATGTCGCCGAGCTTTTCGTTGACGGCTACACCTGCGTCAAACTTCTTCACTGTTGCGAGTGTGAGTAAGCCAGGGCGGTCGTCATCAGGGAGGTATTTCGTGACCTTGGCAAGCCGTGCCAACTCTGCCCCAAGAGCTTCGAAGGTTTTCATTTGCTGCAGATCAGACACCCGAATACCCACTTCACTAACTTCAAGCCGAAGAACGGATCCCTTCCTTCGCTGACGTAGTAGTGTGTCTATCAAGATATCGTCATTGTTCTCATATGGATCTTTCGACGGTGTGATCATGGAGATAAGACGTGCTAGATCAATCTCTTGAGGCGCAAAAAGGAAGTTGACAGTGGTGCCCCTGACCTCAATCAATAGCGGAGCGCCTAATTGGGAATCCTCTACAAAAGGCCCCGATAGCTGGATTTCTGAGACCTTCAGGCGGACATTGCTATCTCGAACCGCGATGCGAACCGAAGTGGTCTGCAGTTGTACCGCACACGACCTACCCTTAAGAGTAAAAGATACCTCACCGAGTTGGACCTGTATCTTTGGTACGCTAGAGGACACTGTAGGCGCCTCTGCAGGGAGTGGCAGATGGTCTCCGAAATGTACGCCGCGAGGTCTAGGTCGGCTAGGAGACAAGACTGGACTATGTATCGTGTTGGTTGAGCTCATGGAGCTACTGAGTTCTAGCACCCCACTAAATCCGCCAAATGAACTGAGCGCATCGTCGAGCTTTTGTATGTTGAACATGATTTTGATGGGACGGGTGACCACCGTGATACGCTTGTCCTTGGCTTGTTCAAAGTCGATCTCGACATCGTTGCTCATCTGCTCTGGAAGACAACTAATGGATCGTCTGGATCTAGGTCTCGAATTGTGAAAGGAGATGATATCTTGATCGAGAGAAGAAAGGACGAGTGTACCGATCTGGAGCTTCGCTCGCGAATCTTGCGTGCGACTTTGACTGCTGATTAGAATCGTCGAGAGATTTAATCTAAGTATAGCGTCTGAAGGATTTGGATCGAGCATCCTATTGGTAATCTGTCTGTTGGGCAATGAATCGGCCATAACGGTATCCAACCAAGTTAAGCTAAAGAGCTTAGCAGAAAGTTCGACACTACTAATGACATTTTTTGAGGTGTCATCTGCCTTTGTGCCCTTCTCTGGAGGCTCTGTTTCACTAGTCAGAGCCTTTACAACTCGACTGAACATTCCGCACATGATCCGACCCGTCGAAATATCCACATGACCCACTACTGAGCCAACTTCGATGCTGATGGAAGGCACATGATTCTTTTTGGGCTGCTCCGCTAGCTGTTCGACTTGGATAGCTCTAGGATTTGGCCGTCCTCGTGCGGATGCTTCCAACGACGGCTTTCGACGATGAGATGATGAATGTGCATAGTTAGAGAACGAACCGGGCATCTCGGCAAATATGGAGTCTTCACCAAGATTCGGTGGCTTGAAGTCCATTCCGGAAGATTCTGTGGGAGGCTCTGTTGCCTGAGTGCTGTTCTGCACCTGATCCAGGCCCAATGGAAACCAGACAGTGACTTCGTCGATGGTAAGGAGAACCTTCGCTTGCTTCTGATTAACTGTAGCGTTGACGGTTGGCGTCTCAGCTGGAATTATCTGTGGGGAGGAGGCCAGACTTTGACGACTGTTTGGACGCGGAGTGTCGCAACCATCCTCAACTTCCGGAAGTGGGGCCAGAATACTACCAGAGATCATGTCATCGGGTATCGATCCAGACCTATCCGAAGCCGTATCTCGACTTGATGTAGGGGATGCATCCCAACCTCCGGGAACATGACGCTGATGAGTTGAATCCGTCTGTGCAGCACTCACCGCACTCATGTACATGCTTTCAGCATCGTCATGTGTGAATATCTGAGATTCTGCTAGGTCCTCTTCCGGTGATGGCGACGATGCAGGGGGATGAGGGGCGCTACTGACAAGACTTTGCTGGTCGTCCGCAACGTTCTGGCGTGCGGTGATGAGATTGTCAGTAGACGGCTGAAATGGTTCCGAGACCCTTGACTGAGATGGTGAATTAGTGGCACTAGGTGGACGAAATGATCGACCAAGAGCAGAGACTGTAGGCAGAGTAGAGATTGAAGCTTCGCTCGTGGGTGCCGAGGGTGCCTCCTGAAGACTAAAGTCTACCCCATCTAGACCCCAAGTATGCATTTCTTCTGTCGGCGCTTGCATGTCCGGTGCATCATCAAATCGGAAATCGAGCATGCTGTTCTGCATTGCATAGTCGAGCAGCCCCTCGTCTTCATAAAGAATACTGCTCCCTCCTAGGTCACGAATAGGTAATGATTGAAGCGACTGAGAGGGTGAGTCTCTCTCAGAGTCCTCATGCAGGCCGTCGTCAGATGTAGCGTCCGCGAAGCGATCCTCATCTACGGTGTGCGCAGACAATGCCAACCGAGGAGGCTGCTCGGGGGAAGATGTCGCCATCGACAAAGTTGTTTCTTCACGAAGACTTGCGACCGATGCTTGTGCAGATGAAGTGCTCGGTACAGATACGCTGGCAGATTCCACATCTTCCTGTGGGACTGATTCTCCCTCCCGCGTAGACTGCGTGGATATGTGACTCGCCGACGGTTCACTCGGTGCTCGACTGGTCATTACTTCGGATCGAGTAGTTGCTGGAGATGATGGTTGCGAGATCCTCGACATGGACACAAAGTTTTCTACATCTGATACCAGCCGGGCGCAGATGCGTTCTACGCGCATTCTGCGCTTCCCCAATCTTGGATCAGAGTCTGGCGGAGATGTCGAAGGTCCAATATCAACGGGTGCATCTCGAGATGTTGAAGAATCAACCGCGATACGTTCGATATGGACGTTTATAGAAACAGGCGAGCTTTGGCTTTGCTTTAGTGAATTGGTGGTGTCCAGTGGGGACTGGTCCTCCACTTCAACATCGATGTTATTAACGACAATACTAAGCCGATCAAGCGCGGTATTGAGAATGTTCCTCAAGTAGAGTGGAAGCGCTAGAGGCGCTCCCATGCCCGCGGAACCCTCCTCATCTCCATCGTCACTTGATGTGGTTGACTCGTGCATATACGCCGATTGTGATTCCAGCTCTTGCTCTAGCTCTCGTATTTCCTCGGCAGGTTCCTCTCGTATGAACGACTTTGCCAGCTCGTCGACGGTCGGCACATGCTCGTCCTCATCCGAGGAAGCATCACTCAAATCATCACGAGTATGCAAAGAGGGCGATGGCTCGTGAGGCGGTGAGGGGCGCGACCGAGGCAGCACTTGGTTGACTTGTGGCGATGCATTTGCTTCCGCGTCGTCTACTAGCCTAGCTTGTACTTGTATGCCATCTACCTCTATTGATATCTGCGGTACACCGAAATCGAGGACGAAGGTGACTCGGAGTAGCGAGGCTCGGGCTTTGGAAAGGTGTATCTCGGGAGGTAGCTTGAGATGCAGCAGTGCTACGAGTTTCTAAAGAAGCAAATCAACATTATTGTTTCCCTCCGACGCCTGTCCAGACGTACCTTTACATGTAGGCCAACATCTCGAACCTCAAGTGTGGTCCGCTTCCCCACGTCAACGCTCACAAAGTCGGCAGGGTCCTTGTCAAGGATATCGATATGTCGTAGTCCGTAGAGTAGCAGCTTCTTGCCGATAGAACTAGAAAGTCCCGAGAAAAACGCCATGGTAGTGGAGTAGTTGGCGGTTAGGTTGGGCGGTTTGTGGACCGTGGGCAAGTCGAGCGCCTACCGGTGCAGCGAAAATAGCTCCATAAGTGACGAGGTGCTCAGGGCAGTAGTCTGGCAACCGTTGCGGAGTGCAAAGCGTCTGACTCCTTGGACACAGATGGTAGCGAACCAAATGCGGTGCTTCGTTCGTGTGGATGCCGCGGCTCAGTGAGTGGAGAATCAAGAAGCGGGAAGCGTTTGCGATGCAAGTTAGTGAGGTTTTGTGGCGAGGAGTGACTCGTCGACGTATAGGAAATGGTCACGGGGGAAGAATAGGGTACATAGGGCAGTGCGTTTAGGTGCTTTCGGAGGCAGATGATGCGTGACGCGATGGCAGTAGGCGGCCGTGCAGCCTCCACTCGAGGGCAAGGATGCGGCCCCGCGCAACGCTAAGCAATCGATAAGCGCGTGATAACGCATGGAGACGTGACGAGAAGAGGCGTACAAGCAGTCTTTTTTTTTTAGGAAATCTGCTGCGAAAGGAATAAGGTAAGTGGTGTCAAAGACTGCTAGACTAGACCTCTCCGCGAGACTGACTTGTCAAGGTCGTTGGGGTGGTGCCGCATTTGGAAAGGGCGACGAGCGCATTACGTCAGCACCGACTAGTTCTCTTGAGGAAGGAAGTTGCGGCAGGCACCGATATCAACCTTTCCTACTTCAACTGTATTAGATCTAAATTTCTCGTTAGATTACCTCTCTCTTTCGCTCCACTCAAATCCTCAACATGGCGGCACAGAAAGCTCCCAACGATGATGACTGGGAGCAAGCTGAGGGTGTTCCAAGTCTAAGCGACCCGTTCATCCAAAAGTATCTTCAAGGCAGAGATGCGCTCGTGCAGCAAGAGAAGAGACAGCGAAGTGGTCCGTCTAACAGCATCCAACTCTCAATAGAATCACCGCAATGGTCTGACAGCCTTCAGACTATCTCTTCCGGCAAAATCTCTCGCCAATGGCTCAAGAAGCGTGTGCTATAGTCTCCCAAATACGCTTTGAAGAACAGCAAACCCTATGGACAAAGGAGTATGAGGACAGCCTACTCACCGAACATGTCGACGTGTTTCCTGGCATGATGTTCTCGTTAGCCAAGGAGCGTATGGAAAAGAGCAAGCTTTGGAAGATTGTCAAAAAGATGCCGAAAGGAGCACTACTGCACTGCCATTTGGAGGCAATGGTCGATCTCGATTGGGCGCTTGAGGAAGCATTCAACACTGAAGGGGTCTGTGTCAGGGCAGACGGGCCAATCACCAGCGAGCAAGCACGGCGAAAGACTGGCTTCTCCTTCACCTACTCAAAGACCGCGAATGACACCTCCTCAATCTGGAGTGACGCTTATGCTGCCAATACACCGATACCAATCAACACAGCCGCAGACGCATTCCCAGACGGAGGAAAGAAAAGCTTCGTAGAATGGGTCCGCTCCCGCGTCACAATAACAGCCTCAGAACACCTCTCCCACCACGAAGGACCCAACGAAGCCTGGCGCAAATTCATATCTTGCTTTCCCATACTCGGCTCACTGATCTACTACGAGCCCATCTACCGCAAATTCATCCGCAAGTTGTGCAAGCAGTTGCTTGATGACGGGGTGAACTACGTTGACATGCGATCAGCTTTCTACACACCCTATAGAAGTCAGGGTAAGGCGGACTGGGACGAGGATTGGTTCAATATGCTAGAGCATATGACGGATGAGATTGAGAAGTTCAAGAAGACCGAGGAGGGTAAGGACTTTTGGGGAGCGAGGATGATTTGGACGACGGTCCGACAGTTTGGCAAGAAGGAGGTCATTGAGAGTATGTTATCATTCATATTTCCACCCGTCTACAGACAATTGCTAAGTCATGAAAGGCATGAAAAAATGCATCGAGATGAAACTCGAATTCCCCGAAATCATCGCCGGCTACGACCTCGTCGGACAAGAAGACCTTGGCCGCCCGCTCGCCGACCTCGCCCCAGAACTCTTCTGGTTCCGCAAAAAGTGCGCTGAAGAAGGCGTCGATATCCCCTTCTTCTTCCACGCAGGCGAAACCCTCGGCGACGGCGACTCGACTGACGAGAACCTCTTTGACGCCATAATCCTCGGCACGAGAAGAATCGGTCATGGGTTCAGCTTGTACAAGCATCCGCTGCTCATTGATATGGTCAAGGAGAAACGCATTCTGATAGAGAGTTGTCCGGTCAGTAACGAGGTATTGAGACTTTGCGGCAGTATCATGAGCCACCCTCTCCCGGCACTGCTCGCCCGTGGCGTCCCATGCTCGCTGTGTAACGATGACCCCACGATTCTCGGACAAGGCGTATCCGGCATGTCGCACGATTTCTGGCAAGCGCTGCAGGGCTGGGAGAATCTCGGACTCGAAGGATTAGGGTCACTGGCAGAGAATAGTGTGAGATGGGCTAGTCTTGACGACTACAACGCGAAAGAGTGGACGCAGGATATCAAGGACGGCATGTTTGGGAAAGGCATCCGAGCACAGAGGTTGAAGGAGTGGGTGAGCAAATGGGAGAGGTTTTGTGCTTGGATTGTCGAGGAATTTGGCGTAGATGAGAATCTCGATCCTGAGGAGTGAGTGCTTTAAAGGAAGTTACTTTCGTCAAGCATGTACTTTGAAATGTGGAGATAAAGAGTACTAGGATTCAACTCCAAGATAAAGAATATATCAAATTCCGTTACCATTACCCATTATAAAACGCCAGACCTAGTTCTACCACCATAACTCAACTCGTACATAATATGCGCACATTGGCATCTCAGCCACTTCGACCCACCTTATCAGCATGTACTCTCGACAGGTGATCCATCATCTTGTCTTTCCTCGGAAATGCCTCTTGTCCACCATTCTTGCTTCTGGCACAGGTGTCAATCGGGCACCAGAATTGAGGCTTCTTGCCTGCGTGACCGCCGTGGCGAGTTGTATGGTGACGCTTCAACTCAGCGAGGCGAGCAAAAGAAGCACCAGAGCACGCAGAATCATAGCATCTGTATTGGTCTTTGCGAACCTCGCCATTACTGAGTATGACGCCGATAACGACATGCTTTGACTCTTTGTGATGTTCGTGATTGGCGGCGGCGCGCAGGATATCGGCTTGCGGGTTGTCGAGACTCGTAGCGTGGAGGTAGTCGATGGTATCATGTTGGGATACTGACGACTGGAGAGGGTCCAGCCGCTGCGTGTTCATCGGAGAGCTGGTAGCATGGAAACCCGGCGGGGAAACGAACCTACACCACCGTTCAAGTCAGCTTTTGTCTATCGATGTTTGTTCGAAACTTGCGAATAGATTCTCAACGCAGAGGAGTTACAAATAGCTAGTTCGCTTGCCAAAAAAAGGGTAGGTCCTGGCCAGGTAAAAGCCCGGGCTGTGGTCAGGGGAAAGAAAGGAACAGGTCAAAAGGAGGAGGCCAAAAAGGATCCTTAAGAAGTCATGGTGCTCATGTAGAAGAGTACATACGTGCACGTATAGTCAACGATATAGAAGCTCGTTGTCTCAATGCGTTTCGGTATCCGGGCTAGCGGCGCATCTCCGCTGTAGATGGTATGGCGAGTAGAATCGTAGCTTGGAGCCGGAGGTAAAGACCGTCGTTGGATGTAGTGTCATGTTATGTCATGGTTTTCCTGTGTTTTGTTCAGCATTGGTGACATGAGAGTTTTATTGACCATACTCTAGCAACTCAGTCAGTAAATATACCACTGAGGCCAGGCATATGAATCACCTTTATGTATGCAAAAGACTGGCTTCATATTGGTGAACGTTTCACATCTCCGTGAAGGCTAATAAACCGTGCTCCTGGGTTCTTCCTATCGTTCGGCATCATGCTACTTACTCATTACCAAAGTTCACAGGGCTGACTGGAAGGACAGCCTGGTCATTGATTGACGGGATCATTTCTCGAAATAGCGACTCGGGGTTTGTTTGCTCTACCAGGAATTCTGCACTGAGAGCCGCAAGATCTAGACTTCCTAAAGGTCCCGGTACCGAGTCACTCTGGTATTCGGGCAGGCCGGCTGAGTACCCTTATATGTTCCGTTAGGCTCGGATCGTATTCCAGACAAAACACGTACAGTCAAGATCATTCGGCCCCATTGTGGTGCTGTCCGCATTAGTCTCGCTGCGGAAGGCAAAGGGAGGTGAAGCGGAAGCTAACAGTTGCATGTTCTGGAGGAACGGTGACGAAACGGGTAGATCGAATTGAAAGTCCATTCTCAAGTTTGATTCAGCAATTAGCAGGTATATTACAGTCGTGGAAAGATATCTCGAGCAGAAGTGGATGTTCGTCAACAGACGTTGGAGGGAAATGGTGACAATTTATGCGAACAGACAGGGCCTGGGGCTGAAAAGAGGGGCAACGTTGCCCTACCGTGGCAAGGTAGCCTGCACCACCGCTTTGCCAGACGCTGACCTGCTTTGACAAGCTGACATTCGCCTCGCATATGCAGTATGCGGGCGTTCGTCATTGCCGCTCGTCCTCCAGACCATCGAGTCCTCCGTACCCCAGTCCCCACAAATACGCGCCACAGTACCTTCCATAGTTCCTCATCCATACCTTTCTAAAGCCCTTGACCGCACTACTAATGTTGTCCAAAAACTCATCGCCCTTCTCTCTTACGTCTTGAGATGCTGATGGGAAGTATTTCGCTTTGATGACGTTGAACCAGAACGTTGATTCTGCCGTGGCCATCAAACCTACGCCGGCATAAACAGTATAGCGCACTGCTGGACGCGCTTCGCGAATCTGTTGCAGGAGGTTGAAAGACGGGTCCGATGGGTTCTTTGCTTGCTGACTTGCGTTTAGTGATGAGGAGGGCGATGTTTTTGATGAGTCCTTGAATGTTCTTGTTGATTGATGTAATCCTTGAAAGCGGGGAGAGGTTGTTAAGCTCTTTGGGTATCTTCGATCCTTAAATACTATCCTACAGCTCCTTGGAATCATGGAGACATGATGGGCAGGCTTCATGGTACCCTTCGAACCGAATTCGGATGAAGAAGCAGATATTAATATTGGAAGAAATTTGAAGGCGAAATTTGGATTGTGCAGGGACTTGGAGGACAAGGAACAATTCACGGTTACCTTCATGCTTCTATATACTATTTTGTCCGCACTATCAACCATTTTTGTTTGTGGTTGTGTTCTGATTATATGCCAAGACTACATTGTCTGTTTTGGGCATGAAATTGCGAGCTCGCACCTTCCCAAAAGAGGTGCGCTCGGGCCCTTGACGCCGACATGCTGATTGCGTTGGTACTGCTTGGACAAGTGACTGGGCGGGAGATGCGTCGTCACAGGGCAAGGCGTGCATGTGAAACCAACAGTCAGTCAGATGGTGGTGAGAGCGATACTGTACTGCAAACAGGGAAGCAAAAAGACGGTGGCTGGAGTGGGGAAGCCAAAGGCAGGCCAGCGACATGCAGGGATGAGCTGGCGCGCCCTGCTTAGCTTCCAAGCCTTGCCCTCGGTCAAGGAAACAAAGGAAACACGCGCCAGGGCATCATACCTCACCGCAAATACTCACACATGTCGGCTCTCCTACCTAGCTAACCCGCCGCACTTCCTTCCAAGCATGAGCAACGCCAACTACGCCGCCATCTCTCATTTACTATTCCCTCTCAAGGGCAAGACGGCCAACGGGCCTGTTTACGCAAGCGAGGGGCAGGAAACATGGAGAGCAGCAGCATTCCAAGCCCCAGGTGTTGCTGTGGGAGCCCCGGCTGCGCGTTTCTAGCTCACAATGGGAAACTCCTCGAGGGACTCGAGCGCGACGTGTCCAGGGCTGCACAGCTGGGCCAAGTATGTGTCCCATTCACTGCTGTCCACATGTAGCTGCACTACCACTTAGCAACTACCCTCGCCTTTGCGCTATGCCGCTGACGTTTGCGCTACAGGCCCTCCTCGTTCGCCATGAAGCCTACGTCGCCGACTCGGAGCGAGAACGCAAGCAGATGGTTACAACCATCGAGACGCTGGAGAAGGAGAAGCTGGACCTCGAGGCAAAGAATGCCCAGACCATCAAGGCGAACCGCGACCTCTTGGACCGGCTGGAGTATCTGAATGACGCCGTCCTTAATTCCGATGCCCATATTCACGCCTTAACCGACACGCTTCGATCGACCGAGGAGGAATTAGAACGCTTGAGCTCGCTAGCGGCGCAGACGCAGATGTTGGAGAAGCAGTTGCTGGACCTCGAAAGGGAGCAGTCGCAGCTACAGAGCAATCTGGACGCAAAGCTAGTCGACGAGCGTACAGCCATACAGCGGTGGAAGATGGCAGAGAGGACCATAGGAGATCTGCAGGACCAGATTGATCGCATTGAAAAGGAAGCGCGCGAAGAGCGGAAGCGCCATGTCGAAGTTGTGGCACGCATGGAGCGCAGAATGGCTGTCGAGGGCGAGCTGAACACGGCTGCAGACAGACTAAAGGCAAAAGCAGGCCATGACAAGGGTACCACCAACGTTGTTTCGCACTTTGTTAAGGACATCCTGCTCGATAACGCAAATCTGCAACACGGCATCGTGGAGCTCAGGGACATGTTAATGACCTCAAATGAAGAGGTGGAGCGCCTACGAGATCAACTGACGGTACATCAACCGCTATCGACACCACCAGCTGAAGATACGCCTGCTACGACATTACAAAAGGAGCTAGCAATGGAATCGGAAGCAATATCAAACCAAGAGCTGCATATCCACCACCACTACCATGGCCCAAAGATCAGCAAGAACCTACCAAAGCCACAAGCTCCACGACGTCCCAAGAAGAAACGCTTCAGCCTCACGCCTACTCACTTTGATCCACCTCCGTCTCTTGATCGATCCTCCACGGCAACCTTACTAGACCAAACTGCTGCCACTGTACCCAACTCCCATCGCATGTCTCAAGCGTCCACCTTGGCTCCAGGCTCTTATCCAGGTTCACCCGTGTCCGAGAGCCACCGTGGCTCCATTTACGATCGCGTCTTCAGTGATGCAGCCTACGACTCGTCACGGCCAAGTAGTCCTCCAGACTCCATCGATCTTCACTCTCCCATGTTTGGTCCGACGCGGTTGAACGATTACAGTTCCGACCAAGACCGTACCCAGAAGCACCGGCGCCGAAGATCTCATCACCTGAAGCCGCCTAGTCTGTCGACGATTCGTAGTGCGAGTACGCCAATCTCTCTGATGGCTAAGAGCAGTCCGGCCACAGCCATCATATCAGCCGTCAGCCCTTCCAATTCGTTCTCGAACGATATCTTCACACTTTCGCCTCTGATTAAGCCCGAACCTCAAGCAGCGATCCCCGAGGAAAGTGAAGACACTCCATTACCCTCGCCTGAAGAGCCCGAACCAGATGATTTTGTTTCGCCTCTAACGCAAATGCGCACTCCTCTTCGCCGACACGCATCTCACGAGTCTCTCATCTCCGTATCTGGAATGGATATACACACGCTGCAGTCCCGACCTTCACAGTTACTTTACTCTTCTTCTCCACGCTTTTCAACACCAGGTGGCGCGGGTTCTGTAGGCCCCGAGCTCACACCATGGACTGCTACCGCCCACGGAAATCTGTCGAAAAAGACCAGTGATAGCAGCACCCTCAATCGCTCACTCTTATACTCCAGCATCGCCAACCAGAAGCGAGGCCCTCGAAAGAGCGATGGCCCACCCACTTCCTCAAGCACGGGCATCGGCATAGGCAAAAAAGTAGGAGGTTGGGTCTTTGGCAAATGGGGCGCTGCGCCTGCACCTGCTCCCGAACCACCGCGTCCCACATCTTCGAACAGTCAGCAAACGCAGTCTAGTCAGGGCACAGCGACCGGTACGCCGGACACGGCGAAAAAGACTGTTGACAAATCGAAGCTCAGACCGTCGGGCGTCAACCAGAATGGCCCGATCCGGGGCTTCTTCGACATCCCGGAGACACCTACCAAGGTCGTGGTGCACGATTACGATGCTGATGCCCTTTGTGAAGCGCTTGCAGAGGCGTCTTCTACATAATCCTACATCCTCTAGTCCTTGATATTTCTATCATCATATATCTCGTTATGTTTTCATACTGTTGTTTGGTTTCGCTCTCGCTTTTTTTCATGAACATAGACTGCATATTTTTTGGCGTTGGATACCTAGATCGATTAGGCATGAAGTACGCCCGTAATGACTTCGTTTGGTTAGCATGGGGTTTGGATTTGGGTCTGGGAATTGGGGGAAAAGGTCCTAGAATTGAATTCGGAGCGCGCTTTTCTTTTTTCTATGCATTGGAAGTTGATACCCACAGACAGACACAGACGCTATAACAGATGGTAGTCTTTTATGTACGGCAGTTGAATAGAATGGCATTAATCAATCTTATCACATTAATTTAACACGCACTTTTGGCATCTAGGTATTAATTTTTTTGGCAGTCGATTTTTTTCTTCTATATTTTTAATGGATATTATATCGCTGAATCAGTTCAGCAATCGTGAAGGACCTGCAATATGCCTGTCCATGATATCGCAGGGAAGCGGATGTGGGACACAAGCCCAAGCAACTGCCACTTTGGAGCATTCAGCTCAATAGCATATGATGCGCCCATAAACATGTTCCTCATAAGTCTTTATATGTCGCTGCGTGATCGCAGCAGTAGCATTCCCATCTTCGATATAACACCTTCATTCGTCGTCATTGTATGCACGCTTCTGTGCTCAATTGCAGACGCTCGAAACTTAGTCAATAACGACCATAACCTTCGCCTTCTTTTTCGGAGTACCCGACGCTTCATCGACGACCTTCGTGTTGTGTCGAATCTCATCTTCATCTTCGCTCAAGTAGAAGACACGGCGTTTCTTTTTCCCCGGAGCTGGGCTTTTACCCTCGCTAGACGACGTGCCACCGACTGTGCTGCTGCTAAGATCGCTAGCTTCGCCTGTTGAGTGTGTCCTGACGGGTAGTGACGCGGTTCCAGGTGCCATGAAACTTCTCAATCCCCTTCCGCCGGCACTAGTGGATGCCTCGGGCTTCATAGTTGCGGTGGCCTTGTCGTTCATTCCCTCAATGAGTTTGATGTCCTTGCGCCACTGCCTGACGTCCCGCTCCCGATCGTACTTTGCGACCTCGAGCCCGTTGATGGTGTGGAGGTTTAGAGCGTCAGCGCGATTGTCACCCCAATACCAAGTGGCGTTGGCGTTCTGGGCAATGCGTTGGTCGCGCTTGCGAGAGAAAGCACGGGCTTCTAACAGCCCTTCTCTTCCTACGTCGAGGTCTGGCGGGTCGTCGGGCTCCGAGTTCAACCAGATCGCCATGGCATCGGGTTCGTAGAGCCGGCCCAAGATGCGGGAGAGAGGGAGCGCAAGTTCCTTGTTTGATGGGTGAAGCGGATACCAAGATGAATATTCTTGTGCTAGTTTTGGTAGTTCGACGTTTTGCTCAGATAGCCACTCCTTGTTGGAGCGTGTAGGATCGTTGGTGTACGCAGTTCCATAGATCCAAATCGCCGAGTCGTATGGCCGTCCTTCATCATAGTCATTGTTGGAGGCCATGTCCATATTTGACCATTTGAGACGGAGAGATTTGATGATCAAGATCTCAGAGCATCCAGGCTGCCCGGACTTGGAATTTGGTAGCAGACGGACAGCGTCGCCCACGGCTAGCAGTTCTGAGCCAAGGTAGAGTCCATGACAGTAGATGTTAGCGTTCGGCCATGTCCCGCGAAAGCGATGCTTTCCCATCAACGAGCAGGTGGATGCAAGGCTCAAGGCGTTTACGACAGTAGCGTCCCAATTTTCTCGAGGTACATGATGTAGAAGCTCCTGCCAAAGCACTAGCGGTCTGATCTGGCGCAAGGAGACATATTTGTGTCGCTTCGACAGTGACTTGTCCTCGTTGTTCGCGTCGGGTATGGGTTCAACACGCACACCGGAAGTGACAATGCTCGTCTTTGAATCGACCTCTGTAAGATCATGTACAGTTGCCGCTTTCGGAACCTCGCCTACCAGACCAGCCTCCCAAGGCGGTGGACCAAGGAAAGTCTCTGATTGCTCGTTGTAGAGTTGTAACTCTGCAGTCACGTCGTGTCGAACAATTTTCACTCTGTCTGGTAGTTCTCGAATGTATAGAACGATATCGCCAACTCGTGGCATCCATTGCTCTCGCTCTCTCAGGTTGTTGAGCCAGCTTGGGAGGATATCTTGTTCGGCTCGCCAGTCCGGGCTTAGTGGTTCCTCGATCACCTCGTCGATTGTTGTGTATCGTCGCAGCTTGTCCACCAGGTTTCGATACACATCTGGTGTACCTTCCTCATCAACGCGACTGGTATCCAGGCCGGCACTGATAGTCTTTGGCCGTCCCTTGACATGCGCGGATGGAGCCATTGGCGGTGGAGATTGAGGGACCCTGGGCGTTGGAGGCCGGGAAGATGCTGCGCTTGAGCTGTGCATTTGCACGCTGCTCGACGAGCTTTTTGGCAGTATGCCTGAACTTCCGGCGCACACTGTACACGGACAACCCATACTGTCACCTCCATTATCCATGAGATGTTGGAAATGAGGGTAGTAGCGATTTGGTGAGTCAAACTTTTTGTGGTTGGGATGCCCATATAGATACTTGTCCACAAGCTTAGCATTCGTGGGACGTGGTCGCTGCCACATGCTATAGCCGGTAGGCAATCTCTCGAGGATATACTTGACCCCAGGGCGTGCTTCTCCGCGACTCTCCATCCACTGCTGACCAATCTTTTCCAGGTACAGCGCTGGGGGGTCAACCTGTACGTGATTGCCAGCCGGCGGGACATGCGTTGCATCGCCGTCGGAGCCCGCGTACAGCGGCACAATGACAAAAGACATTGGAGAACTCCGCTAGGCCTAGTCCTTGTTCCAGAAGTGCTTGTGACGATCACGTATGATGTCGTGGGTCGCAAGTGGAGCGTGATATATGGAGGCACCGCCCAAGGTAGATGAGGATTGCCGTTGAATTGCAAACTGAAAATGAACCGCAGATGTCACGGAAGGCCAGCAGGTGAGCCCATTAGTGAACGGATCCGCGTTTGCTCGCAGATTGTGACGCGTGAAGGGATGTGGTGCGCGAGGTGAAGAGGACGCGTGGTGAGCCTGGCGCGTCTAGACATTTGGCAGTGCAATCAAATATCTTGGCAGCGCAACATTCTATGGTTAGTGAAGGGAAGTGAAGTCTTTAGCAAGCATTCACTGCGCATGGAACATTCAAGAGCCTCATATTCTTAGAGTGAAGGTGAAGGTAAAGGTGGATGATGGCCTTGGCATGGCCTCTACCAATGCGGCAAGGTCTTCTCGCCTGATCCCTGCGCAACCTTAATGCAGGAACACGGCTAGCGAGTCGTGAGCCCCTGATGATTGTGGTCATGGGCAAACCACAGCGCGAAGCTGGAGTCTTTTGTCTTCAAGTTTCTTCATCTCCCCTTGAAGTAAGGTGAATCTAAACTAGTATTGACGAACACGTCCTGCGACGGTCATCATCCTCATGCGCGAGGGCTGTGCTGTCCCCAACAGGAAGCCTCCGGCGCGCGATGAACAATAGTCCTGGCGCACCCGTTCCCGAACCAGCTCCGTGCAGCACCCACAAGTCTCATCGCTACGAGTAATGGGCGTTTAGAGTGCTGACAGGTTGGTCGTCTAGACTGGATCAGGCCATTCCCCATCCCGCAATGGAAGATGGCGTGTGATGGAACGCCTTGCGCCATGTGCTCCTATACACGTGCTGCAGGCTTCTAACCATTTTCATGTCTCACAAACTTTCTTTAGCTTGTGAGGAGGTCTGAGCTGCAGTGGAGTGAGCTTCTCGCCCGGGGAGGGTGACAAGCTCCTCGTGTGGTCTCTTCACCTAGCTATACTGTTCAAACCTTTCGTTCCCTCTCATCGTTCATCTACTGGCCTCGAAGTGCATGACAACGGCATAGCGAGAAGCGAATTGGGAGAGCAGGCACAGAACGACCACTGAGCATGAGAAGGAGCTAAAGGAACGAGCAGAGGACTGCACCTTGCAGCGCACCCTCGAGCTATCACCACGTAATATAACCTCGAGTATACCCATCAACGTCATCGACAATGGACTTTCTTCGTTCCAAGCGGTCGAAAATCCACCAATCCGTCGGGGATGACCGTCCTGCAAAACGTATATCGACACCTGCCGGCCAGCGCCTCTCCACAATACTCGACGCGACGCGATCCAAGCCTTCCGCCACGAGCAAGATCAACGTTACCACTACTAGTACCTACTGCAACGACCCAACACATCAACACATTGGCCCGGTACAGCATGGACATAAAAGCACGAGGAAGCATGGCATGGTCTCGGTATTGACGGGTGGTAGGCTGGGCGAGACGCCAAGGGAGAGCAGTGAGGATCGCACACCTAATGGCAGTAATCTTAGCGTCAGTGTGTGGAGCGACAAGGAAGCAGAGAACTTTGAACAAATAAGAAAACGGAGGCGCAGGGGGATTGCAGGTTGGGGGTGGAAAAGACTGGCTATCATTGGCGCTATGGTCGCTGCACTGATCATAGCCCTAGCGGTTGGACTCGCTGTGGGGTTGAAGAAGAAGAAGTCCTCAGGCAGGTAAGACGACACCCACTTGCCTCTTATAAAGGAACTTCAAGGAGGCTAACATGCGACACAGCAGTACACCCGCAACTGCGACTGCGACTAGTGACAGCAGCACCAGTACCCAAACTGATGCGCCGCCTCTGTCACCGACGTCCACTCTCACGCCTTCTGCTATTCCATCTAACTTCCCAGTTGGCTCCTACTCCCTCGTTACGTTCCTCGACACTGTAAACACAGGCTGCACTGCGAACCCTGACACATGGACATGCGCCCCCTTCACCAACTACTATACCGACCCACAAAAGGCCCTCACAGTCCTGAATTGGGAAATCACCGGGTCCGCAGGCTCCTATAAGATTTCCTCGAAAGGGCAAGACAGCACATTCGGCACTACCTTTCAGAACGAGAAACTGCAGTTATTAGATGCAGGGAAGGATCAAGAACGATATCGATTCCAGTTCAGTCGGTCGAAGACGGTCAACATGACAGGAAGCCTGGGAAAGGAGAAGGGTGACTTTGCTTGTGCCTTCGGGTCGACGACTCTGCAGGGGTCTCTGTACACGAAGATGCACAGGACATTCCCAGCGGACACGATAGCAGTCAGCGGGGCTACTAGCAATGTCTGGCCTTATGGTAAGTTCACTACGGAAAATTCGAACGGAAGACGGAGAAGCTAACGAGTCATAGCTGTACGCGTCGAACAGTCAGTAGCCGGTGGTGAAAACGTACCGTCCTGCAAGAAGTCTTCTGGTGAGTCGGTCACCGGTAGCCTCAAGGCGCAAGAAGCGGGAACTCTTTGCTCGTGTCTGTACAAGAACTGGACGCCGGCCCTATAATCAGTTTCGTCATGTCGAGTTGTTGCATATCATTATCTAGCGTCACAGCATTGTTTTAGATATCCATTCGTTTAGCAAGGAGTATCTGGAATGGGGGGTTCCAGCTTTCGTCGAGTACAGGACCAAGGTGGTCTGGCATAATGAAAGAGGCACGGGGCAAGAGAAGCCGTCCGATTGTTCACTATTTTTTTTAACTAATGACCTTTTTAGACGGTTTTCCTTTGTCAATGTTGCATTTTATTGCATTTCCTGTACGGTCGAGTCTCGAAAGTAGAATTCTCATGCTATAAGCTTATACGCCCTTCATGTGTGTCCATCTGACGGGAGTCTTTATTACTAACATCTTCATCCTCTACAAGACCGGGCAGGTAAGAAAGACTTCATCTACGCTCACAGTAGCTCATATATTAAGCATAAGATGTGTTCAATTTAAGTGTAAGGCGAGATTGAAGAGTTGCAATAACTACGCGATACCCGAGAAAAATTGCAGGTTACTCAACCGCCCTTCAGTGGTTCGAATGGTAGATGTCGTGGACGATCAAGAAGGATGACAAGGCATCTTGCTGGCGAGCGGTGGCGCCGCTGGAGTTATGTAAGCTTGCCTCTCGTCCGCAACACTGCTTTCGCCGCCATCTTGTACACAAGACCTTGGCCCATGTCGCCGTCACTACAACTGTCCCTCAAATCCGGATCACTTGCTCCTTCTAGTAGGCTTCGCGCGAAGCGTCATTGTTTTCGCGCCCCCTCATTTTTGGCAAACTGCATGACATGTTGGTTTTTCCGAGTCCCGAATCCACCAGACCAGAAAGCGGTTCTAGCGTCGCCATAAAACCTGGAGAATTATGATGATCATATCCGGAAGGAGACGTGGAGCCCCGCATCACCATATGCCAGGCCGTTGTTCCTGAAAGTTCGGGCGAATGAGTCCCGGTGCAGTCTTGGCTGGTAAATATCCATGTAGATGCGTCCGGCTATATGAGTTGCTATAGCCATGATGGAAAAAATGTTTGCTTACGCATTTCGTTTGCTGAACACTGCACAATGGGGCTTCTTGCGCTTACATCACAGCTGCTGCTAGCTACAGCGACTGTCTCCGCCAAATGGATTGTTCCTGGCGCGCGCTGGAGAGATACCGCGGGTAATTTAGTGAACGCACATGCTGGTGGCGTCACTGTGGACCAGGAAACGGGCAAGTTCTTCTTGTTCGGGGAGTACAAGATAGAGGGCCAGGTGGAAGGCGGTGGTGTCAGTGTCTACAGCTCCGATGATCTTGCAACGTGGGAACACCATGGGCAAGCATTGAATCCAATTGAGGGACACCCTTACATCTCTAAGCATGACATCATTCAACGGCCAAAAGTAGTGTACAGCAAGGGCACTGGAAAGTATCATGTAAGAAACTCATAGCGGCATTTCGAGCAGCTTCACTGACCGTGCAGTAGATGTGGTGGCACGCCGACAATTCCACTTACGGTGAACTTCTCCAAGGGTTCGCTCAAGCAGACAACATCACGGGGCCGTACAGCTTCGTCGATGCCATCTCCCCTCTTGGAAACTGGTCGCAGGACTTTGGTCTTTTTGTCGACTACAAAGATGGGCGGGCATATTCGCTATACTCAAACGGCGATCGCAGAGACGGACGCGATGTTTACTTCACCTCCTTCAACGAGAACATCACGGGGCTTGACAAAGTCGTACATCGATTCGACAAGTATGATCTTGAGGCGCCTACGATCATTCAGACAGACAAGAGCTACTTTGCTCTCATGTCCCACAAGACGGGATACAGGCCCAATAGTGAGTCGCTTTTGCCATGCAAACTTTAGTTCATTACTAACGAAGAGCAGATGTCGTTGCTTTCCGCGCCGACTCACTCAGCGGACCATGGTCGCAACCCTTTATCGTCTCTCCACTGAACACACGTACTTTCAACTCGCAATCCGGCTTCTCGCTTCGAATCAACGGCACCAAGAAAACCACACATCTGTATTTGGGTGATCAGTGGGACTCCATCTCATTGTGGGAGTCGCGTTACATCTGGTTACCCGTTGACATCAACGAGAAGAAGAAGTCTCTCGAAGTGAACTGGCACGATGTCTACGACCTAGACGTCAAGACCGGGGAGGTCACACCCATCAAAGGGAAATCCTACTACGGTAAAGATGCCACGACCACAGGCAACGCCTTCAAGCAAGAAGCCACATTCGGCAGTCACGGAGTCATCGTTACGGGCATCTACGGCAACGACAGCAAAGTCACCTTCTCTGGCATCGAAGGCAGCGGAAAGCCGCAATGGGTGTCGTTTTACTACCAGAACACGGATGATATGGGCTTCGGCGACCAGCCTGGCGGATCGCCTGATCGCATCAACGGAACGTGGCAACTGCGTCGCATCTCGAGCGTCATTGTCAATAATAAGGTGGAAGAGCTGGAGACACTGTACCAGAGAGATACGCACAAGGGCATTATCTTGAGCACGCCTTTGCAGTTGAAGCTTGAGAAGGGTCGCAACAACACGATTACGATTGGAGGACTGAATAATGGGAAGGATGTCAAGGGTGCGGATATTGATAAGATCGTTGTATTCGACCCTGAGAAGTAGAGTCCATGATAATTGAAATAATGTATTGTGCAATGGATAAACACCTTGACTACATCGTATATCTTCCTGTGTTCGTGTACTATCAAAGCTGACGTAGACATCTGGTTCCATTTTGATATGACTGAGTTGTAATAAATAAAAGGGCTCCACGCGCCAGGCGATAATCAAACATTTAATCATAAAACCCCAGAAGCTTGTTCGCCCTATCCAAGATCACTCTCTCGGCTGGGTTCAGGCCGGCAGCATCGCTGTCCCATTCTTGGAGACCCATTGCTCTGCAGCCCTCATCACCGACTAATCCAGGCATGTCTTCAGCCTTGATACGCCCGACATGCTCGCTCTCGCCCACACCGCCGCCAAAGTCAGGACTTGGTGTTCCATTGACGAAGCTCTTTCGCTGGCGGATGAGGTAATTTGCATTGTCTTCTGTCATCGGGCAGGCTGGTATGTACAACACACTGGAGTCCGACTTGCCGGCATGCGTCTTGTCCACGGCATGGATTGTGTCGCAGTGCCAGGCTACATAGTCTCCAGGCCTGACTGTTGGCATATGGATCATGGATTTCTGCAGGTTGAGGTGCGGATGAAGCAGGTGGGAGAGTTCCTGTCCGCGTCCAGGCGTCGCGCCATGGACCCATGGAGATGGTGTGGTATCCATTTCCCAATTGTCCGAGGCAAGGAAATCGGCTGAGTTGGTAACAGCTTCAGACGCGGTTTGCGCACCAGGATCGACACCTCGTTTCGGGGAGAAGAATGGGCGCAAAAGGTAGTATGCTGTTGCCTTTGCGAGGAGTGGGTTCACGAGCAACGTGCCCTCGAATGGCCCAGTAGTGCTCAGCGACAGCCAGCCCTGGAACATGCGAAACGCGCTGCAAGCTCCTACACCCTGATGGAGGTCTGATACCACGGACAGACGGCAGCTGGCCTCCCAAGGATCAAAGTCTTCCCATTTCCCCTTCCACACTGAATCGTATACCTTGCCCAGCCCGTATCCTTGCTCATCCCAGCGTTCTACGCTCCCGCCGTCGACATGTGGTCCCAAGGCGAATTTGGCGTCGCCGGGCAGGCGCATGCGCAGACGGTCGGCATAACTGATCGGATGCTGGGTGGACAGAGGAACGTGAGGATTTGTGGAGTGCCAGTATGACATGAGGAAGCGATGGGTTTTCAGAAGGTTGGGGTTCCCGCGTGCGAGAAGCTGGATTCGTGACCAATACAACTCAAAAACTTGAGGATTGTCGGCCGGAAAGGCTACACATTGGTCAGCTATGGTGACTTTCCCAGATCACGAAGGTCATACCCTTTGTTTGAGGATTTTGCCGGATGTACTCTCGTAGCTCTTCCTTCCATTGTAGCGCTTCCTGCTCTGGAATGACGCCCCTCACGACGGCAACGCCTCGCTTCCTCAGCTGATTGCTAAAGGTCTCGGGTGCGTTGTCGAGGTGTTTGAAGTCGATCTCGGGAATGACCTTGCTGCCTTGCTCCACAATGAGCGGGATTTCTTCCCGTAGATGCCGAAGTAGCCTTTCCCAAGACTCTCGTACCTCGCCTTCGTGACCTCGGATCAGGCGACCTTTGAGGTCGGCATACTCTTGGGTGAGGGGCTCGAACTTCTGCCCAGAGAGCGACGCGAATGCATCTGAGATGTCGCCTGCGCGCTTCTGGGCTTGTGTTGCTGTGGCTGCCGTGCGGAGCTGTGTCGCGACGCGTCTCGATGGAGATGGGATGGTTCGAAGTGCGGAAAGCAGCATGGTGGAAGAAGCTCGAAGATTGTGTCCAGTTTCGGGTCAATGCTTCAACATGGCCTTCCAACTAACTCCCAGCACCCGTCCATTACTTATCCTCTATTGCGCCGAATCGTCTCGAGAGGTTCCGACAGAGCAATTGAAGCTCCAGTCAAGAGGGGCAGAAGTGTAATCGGATACTCCTCCCAACAAAGTATAGCGCGACTTGTCAGCTGCTCTATGCATGTTCAATCCCCGCAATTGCCAAAGCAGCAGAAGCAACCTTTCCGACGCTTGCCATTGAAGAATGTCATCAGCTCCGACACTCACGAATGAGCAAAGTAGGAGTCCCGTACAAGGGTTTGGCCATGGACACAATTGCTTGCGGATGGAGAGAGCTCGCCTGTTCTTGCCTTGTACCCCCACCGCACCACCTCACTCCGCACCTCGTAGCCGCCCAGCAGCTCTCCGTCACGCCCAGCACGGGTTAAAGGGCAGGCTGAATCGACGGCCCGTAGTACCACTGACCGCCTTGGTCGCTGTGAAGCCATACGGGCAGAATGGACGCAAAAGTATAGCCTCGTCATGCGCGCTCACGGTAGTACTCGAGTGGACGTGACTGTAAGCGGGGTTCGTCGTCAGAGGAGCCACTGAAGGAACGGAGAAATTGACATCAGCTCGCATGGGATCAACTGAGACTTGCGGAATGCCTCATATGTCTTACTGCGCGTCTGTTCAGGTCTTGTCGACGCGTGAAAACACGGTTACGGCGGGACGTTCTCCGTAGCCAACACTACGGGCCGCCCAGTATATGAAGTATAGGTGCCCACTGCTGCAATCTACTTGCTCACTCTACAGTTGTTGTTAGCTGAAGAAAGCCTGACAACACATCACTTGATAAAAATACAGCATGTCACAGTCATATCTACCCAAAGATTTCTTATGGGGATTTGCAACAGCAAGGTTCGTCAACCCCAAACGTCTCCCCGCTAGTACCCCGCTACAATGCCTACCGAGGTCGACTCTTTCGTGTACTGAGCTCTGAGCCCACAGTTACCAGGTCGAGGGCGCCCCGCATGAAGATGGCCGCGCGGATTCCATCTGGGACACCTTCTGCCGCATTCCAGGCAAAATCGCCGGTGGAGAATCGGGGGATGTGGCCTGCGACTCGTACCACCGCACTGCTGAGGATATTGCCCTCTTGAAGGAGACTGGCGCAAAGTCGTACCGCTTCTCGCTATCGTGGTCTCGCATCATACCCCTCGGTGGACGCAAAGACGCTGTAAACGAGAAGGGCATCCAGCACTACGTCAAGTTCGTCGACGACCTCCGCACAGCTGGCATCGAGCCCATGATCACGCTCTTCCACTGGGATTTACCCGACAACCTGCACAAGCGCTATGGGGGCATGCTGAACAAGGACGAATTCGTAAAAGATTTCGAGAACTATGCCAGGGTGTGTTTCAAGGCCTTCGGTTCCAAGGTGAAATATTGGATCACCTTCAACGAGCCATGGTGCAGTTCCATTCTCGGATATAATACCGGACTATTTGCACCCGGTCGTTGCAGCGACCGTAGCAAAAGTGCGGAGGGTGACAGTTCCCGGGAGCCGTGGATTGTTGGGCACTCGCTCCTCATTGCTCACGGAGCCGCAGTCAAGGCGTACCGCGACGATTTCAAGGCGAAGGATGGGGGCCAAATTGGAATTACTCTTAATGGTAAGCGAAACCACGTGGTTCTCGTGTTGCCCAAAGTCTATGCTTCCTGCTGTACTCAGCCTCACGCGGGGGAGCACAAAGTTGAGCCTGATCTCCGAGTACGGAATACCTTGCTGACAATGGCTTATTAGGCGACTGGACCGAGCCGTGGGACCCCGAGGACCCGAAAGATCGTGAAGCATGCGACCGCAAGCTTGAGTTCGCCATCTGCTGGTTCGGCGACCCAGTGTACTTTGGCAAGTACCCAGAGTCCATGCGGAAGCAGCTGGGCGACAGACTGCCAGAGTTCACGCCCGACGAAGCTGCGCTGGTCAAGGGAAGCAACGACTTCTACGGCATGAACCACTACTGTGCAAACTACATTAGACACAAGGATGGGGAGGCCGAGCTGGACGATTTCGTCGGTAACCTAGACGTCCTCTATCAGAACAAGAAGGGAGACTGGATTGGCCCAGAGACGCAATCCGTCTGGCTACGGCCCATGCCTTTGGGCTTCAGGAAGCTAATCAAATGGCTAAGCGATCGATATGGCGGCCCAACCTTCTACGTCACAGAGAACGGAACCAGCTTGAAGGGTGAGAACGAGCTCCCTCTGGAGCAGCTGTTGGACGACGAGTTCCGCTGCGAATACTTTAGGGGATACATTGGTGCCTTGGCCGATGCTCATACCCTTGATGGTGTGGACGTCAGGGGCTACTCCGCATGGAGTCTCATGGAGTACGTCAGTATTCTTTCCTCTATTTCCAAACACATTCGTCAAATGACGCCCGGAGGAGTATTTGTCGGATAGAGATTCTCCGGCGGGATGCTAGTCCTCTCCTAGCTTCAAACATGGGCTACCTGTCCACGTGCGGGAAGCAAGCACTAACGTGTACCTGCAGTAACTTTGAATGGGCCGAGGGCTACACGACACGTTTCGGTGTCACGTTTGTCGATTACCAGGGCGGGCAAAAGCGGCAGCCTAAAAAAAGCGCCCGCGAGATCTCAAAAATCTTCGACAAGTACATTAAAAAGGAGTAATATCGACGGACGGGTGTGGCGCAAAGATTAGTGGTTCGGAGATGAGAGATCCAGCAAAGCGGATGCCATGATGACGGTGGATGCCCTTCTAGCATTCTTCTAGCGTTATCTTGCCTCGTGTTGCAACCTTCTAAGACGCTTCTATTCTTTGAAACTTCCAGCCTCAACATCTTTAGATATCTATAGACCCGGAGCATTGCGCCATTCTGGGGTAGGCACAGTTTGCGTGACTATTCTATGGCTTGCCGCGCATACGATACTACTTCGCGATATTGATACCGACCTCCACACATGGAGAATAGTCCATCTTGATATGAACAGGAGTCCCGAGTGACTGTGCATTGGTGCCCAAAAGCCCACGTTTTCAGCCGCAATGCCATCCCTGAACGACGCATGCGGGCGTCTTCTAAATGCAATGCACAGTCTAGTTTGATGGATGGGAGCCAGTGGTTCCCCAAGCTCGTGCCCCCTCCCAATCTTTCTCTTTCGGACCCAAGGGCGATACGCCACAAGCCTCTACTACCGGAAAACTCCACCACCCGCCATGGTGGACGCCCAAAAACGACAGCATCGCTACCAATGACTTTTGCACCAGCTCCTTCGCGCTGATGAAACCGACAAGACTATAGTCATTGCCCTGACCACCCCGCATCAACTCTGTTCTAGCGTCCGACCTAGAAACCCCCTTCGCGGCAAGATTTCCTGATGGCGCAACATGGTGGCTGCGAATGACGCGTGACGATGAGATCGCTGCAGATTTGGAGCGATGAGATGGTGTGGTGGACACACCCCCTTGTTTTGGTGCGCGTGGGAACGTGGCAACCCGCAAACTTTAATACTCGACCAGCAGGTTTCAAACCCTACAAAACCTACAGAAGGCTGTATGCAAGCTGAAGATGGCAACCACACTCTTCTTGCCGCTAGTGCTGTTCGAGGGGGGTTGAGCGCAGTTTTGGGTTTAGCTGATGGAAGAAGTTCGGAAGCTGGAGGTAAAACCACAGGGTAATCCCAAAGTTTAGTATGTCGAGAAGGCGACGCGGAGGGTTTCTGGGAGTGGCGCACTTTTTTGACAGTGACACATGCAGGTTACCCTGCCAAAGGAAGGAAGGACATCGGATTGGGGGGGGGGGGGGGGGGGGGGGTTCGGGCAGGATTTGGTCCGAGCCAGTACGCGGTCCTGTTGTTGCGCAACTGCTCACGGACGTCTGATGGCTTATTCTGCTCTCTTCTGTTCATGGTTCCCTAGGCTTTGGTGCTCGAGGACCCTGGGTTTGGTGGTCAAACTAAAGCTTACCTGCAGCCGCATCGTGGATGTCCGACCAAGTCAGGTGAAGCGAGCCCCACCTTGGGATTCCAAAAACGATTAGAAACGATAGTGTGTGATGTTACACAGCAGCCTCATTTGCCGTCGTCGGGTGGTGGTATTAAGCATCCTTGGGCTGGGACGAGCCTGAGCGACGGCGGAGCAGAGCGCCGCGCTGGCACTGGTGCTTGGGCAGAGACACTGGTGCTTGGGCAGTGAATCCTGCGAACCAATGTGCTGGACTTTGGTGGGTGATGGTCATCGACTCTTCGCGGGGGAACGTCGGAAGCCCGCAAGCTAAGGTTTACAGATTGTCTCAGGGGACATCATGTGGCGGTGATGATGTCCAGCTTGAGTAGGTTTCTCGATGATGCAGTCTTCTTCTCGTATGCGAGGCGGCATAACTCTCCGAGGCCACGGGCTATTGGTATACATACCTGCAGTTTGTGTGGTGGCAGGAGAAGAGAGCTAGAAGGCGGCTTGCATGCTGTATACGCGAAGAAAGGAGGAAAATAACGCGCCCAGTGCCTCATTGGACCAGGCACAGCGGTACGTGTCTCATGTACATCGCGATTGCTTCTCTCGGCAGGCCGCATAACGCTCCTGCTAACCCCAAAGAGCACACCGTTGCAGAAGGTGCGGCGTGCATGGATCCCTCCCTCCCCACTTGTGCCCCCCCAAACCACCTCCGCGAACCTGATTTTCATTATTATTATTATTGTTTTCTCTTACGCTTGCCAGCAGAGATCGCGCACTCCGGCCATGTCCTATCCCATCATGCCCTTCTCCTCGCGGCTCGCGGCTCGCGCTTAGCGCTGCCGACGTGCCGCGCTGCTCATGTTCAAGGTCCAATCTCGCCGCCAAGTCGCTCTACCTGTGGTTAGAGGAAGCCAACGTGTACGAAGCAGGGCGAACGCTAGCAGTATTGATCTTGGCTCTCTGTAGCGCTAGTATGCAGCAGCCTCACTCGATGCAGCAGTACATGCATCCAGCGGTGAAGAAGCTACAGTACTGTACTTTACACCTGACGAATTATCGAATGTCCGACGATCAGGCTATGGGTCATGCCCTCCATCAGCATTTACTGCACATGACGAGACGAGACGAGACGAGACCATGTCCCGCTTTGGATTTGGACCGTGCCGTACGCGGCTACCAGACCAGACCACACCAGACGCACAAGCGAAAGGTCCAGGATGTGTATAAGCTCTAGCCACAGGCGCATTTGCATTCCTCATGCGGCCTGGAGGAGCACCTCACGGACACTGGCCCATGCTTCAGCTCATTTGCATGCATCCAACGAGCTGGCCCGGCAAGCGGGCAACTCGGGGAAAGGCCTGCTGACCCTATCCTCTGCGAGGTGCCGCCCTGCACAACGCAGGTGCGGTTGCATATGCATAACCAGGCGCATGGCATGAAACGCGTCAACAGCACGCACTCGATGGACTTTATACTTGCAGATCTTTGTTGTAGCCAGCAGCCGCCAGCGCCTACGATTCACGTAGCACAGGCCGGGGGGGCAGGAGAGGACGGTCCGTGGCGGGAGGCCGGAAGTGTGTCCCTACAAGTGCTCATTGGGTCGTAGGTGTGAAGGAGAGTAAGCAACCTGACCCCGGCATGATCGACGTTGCTGTTCCGGTTGCGCTCTTCGAGTCATTATTGCAGACGCTAGTCGACGGCCATGGTCGCAATCGCGCGCCCAGTGTGTGCAAGACGCTCCCCCCCCAAAGTTTGTCGTCGTCAACTAATGCTAGAGTCTAGACAGCCGCCGCCCTGACAGCCGCCATGACAGGGTTGAGGCCCTACCTACTGTCGGACCAAATTTCTTGACAGGGTTCGCCACGTGCTGACGGCTTTAGTAGCGAGCGTCGCTGTCGTATTATCTTTTCCTTTCAGGCCCGGTGGCACTTCGGCCTCGGCTCACAGACTCGCTTCCCTATAGGCTCTTCCAACATCAAATTTGTCCGTGTCTGCTCATTGTGCTTTCATCCCTCGACCTCGCTACGGTCCGCAACATTGGCGCGACTAACGAATATGGCGACATCAGGAACGAGTCGTCCGGTTTTCGCTGTCCCATGAACCCTCCTGGCGGGGCCCGGCGCTCTTCCGCGGTTTTTTTCTCTCCCAAGTAAGGTGGACCGAAGGACAATGCGCAGGAACCTCGACCATAGCCACCATGAGTGGGGTGCAAATGGTGCAGGCTAGAGCCTATAGTGCCTTTCCAGAAACGCCATGGTAGCCAGCTCAACGCAGCGTGTGTCTCGGTCGGCGCATCTGGCACCACCGTTGAGAGTTTAATTCTGTAAAAGGGTCTTCACAAGGCAACCAGAACGGGCTGCTGCGCGTGCTAAGCTCGGTGCAGGCACCAAGCCTCATCGTGTCCATGTTGGAGCTAAGGTGAAACGATTTCCCCGGAACCCACGTGTGTGTGGCCGGGATCAAGACGCAGGCACTAGCAGTAGGCTAGGGTCGACGCATGGGACGCGAAGACGCTATTCTTCAGACCTGAGAGCAGGTTATAGGCTCCTGCCAGCCATGCCTGGCTGCTCCGCTTCCTGCTCTTCCACCATTCTTCTTTGCCTTTCTGGTCTTGCCCGCTACTCTTGTTAATCTCCGCTGCCTTTATTACATCACTTATTCCCAGGGTTGCCGTACCCGCCGCCGCATCTCCATCAATTGCTCGCCAAACACCCTAACCTTTGGAGCCTGGGAGTACCCGTCGTTCATTATAGACTCGATATTGCCCAACGCTTGGACCGCGCATGTTTTAGGCCCTGGCTGACATAGCAACCATCGACATCGCCTATACTCTCACCGCCCCCCCGCGGATCCTCGATGACTTCGATACTTCACTACCGAGACCCCATTGCCTATCGGAGTGACTTCATGAATTCCTCCCATTACCAGTCGCCTCAGATGGACCAATCAAAAAAGTCCCCGCCTTATGAAGGCAACTCTTCTGGCTCGGAGGCAAGGCAGCATACTCCTGGCATGAAGAAGCGACCATCGAGAGCAGGCACACGGAGTGTCACGACCCTCACAGCTGCTCAACTGGAGCGAAAGAGGGCAAACGACCGCGAAGCACAACGAGCTATCCGCCAGAGAACCAAAGATCACATTGACACGCTTGAGCGCCAAGTCCGTGACCTCACTACTCAGTTAGACAGCAACTCGTCGACCAAAATGATCGACCTCATGCGGCGGAATGAGGAGCTCGAGCAGGAAAATGCGGTCCTCCGCGCACGACTGTCACACGCAGTGTCAGCTCTAGGAGTTCCCGAGCAGGGTACAGGTATGTCATGCTTTTATTTGTTCAAAAAGCACAGATCAATTGTTCCTTTCTCGCTGGATTGGACACAGTTTTTTTATTTTGGCTTTTTGGTGTCACCGACCGCAACCGTTCTTGGTGCAGCCGAACCTCTTTTCGTGAGATGATCACATCTCACCTTTTCATCATTTCGTATTTTCCTGTCTCGTTTCTCGTTTTGGGCGTTGTGCAGTGTATATAACGCTTCTGTTCTTTTTTTCTTTTCTCGCGGAAGCGAGACAAAAAAGTCAAATTTGTTGTTGAAACAAATGTGGATTTTGAAGCTGCAATAGCTGACTCAAATATAGCAGGCGCTCCTTCGCCCAGTGATCGCGTCCAAATGCTCAGCCAGCCCCGCAGGGGGTCAGCAGGCACAGCTAGAAGTGTCCATTCAGTCACGGAAATAGCAACACCCGTTTCGCAACCTGGACATTGGCAACCACAGCATTCGTTCACTCATCACGTTTCATCACCACACGTTGACACGCCACCTTCCATGGGTGAAGTCCAAGGCCGCTGGAGCCCTCACCCGAACCACCCTCAGCATCACGCAGTCTCTATGCCGGTGCAAGATCCGTCAGTTCATGCCGTTGAATCTTCAGTCATGTCGTATCCAAGCCCGTATGGCATGGAGAGCAACGCGAGAGCCATTTCCTACCCCGTAGAAAATACGTCACTGGTCACATCCCAGCCCATGCCAATGTCAGGCTACGACACGCCCAATTCGCATCACTCCACTCACACGTCCGAGTATCAACGACACATGAGCGTTCCTATGCATCACCAGTCTGCGCCCGGTCAAGGTCCACCTCAACACCAGCAGCAGCCCACTTCAGCGCCTTACTCTTCCTATCCTCTTGCTCAGCAACAAGGTTACGCTCCTCAGGCCAGCCATGCTGAGCAGATGCCCATGATGCACGGACAACATGCCCAGACGCAGATGATCAATGAGCAAGGACAGCATATCATATATCACATGCAACCGAACATGAAGGTGGAGCATTAAGGTCAACCTGCCAGGCGCACTTCTGGTGCTTTTGCGGCAACAACCCTTGATAGGAATGCCGGCAGGGTAGATCGTCTTCCAGGAGCCATTACACGTGCCACGAAGCGCTCGGCGTCGCGTCTAGGCTCAGCGCGGAGAAATACAATCGGTTACAACGGACGACATCAATACGGTTTCATCTGGCGTTCACGATGCTTCAATGTCTTGTAACACGGTTAGAGCTAATTCAAGATTCCACATTCTCCGTAACGCCGGGACGACCTTCCACACTTGCCCCTCAACCGCATAATCGGCAAAAAGACGCAACACGTAGGCCCCACATATGTCTCGCAGGATTGCAATCGCCCCATTACGAAGGATTCGGCATTTTGCTTTGCAAACGCCGTGGAGTGAGGCCCTGGTCTGAGTCCGTGGAATTAAGAGGCGCTGTTAGGCCCCGGCAAATGATGCTCACAAAAGGTGGATTTTGGAAGCTTGGATCCTTCGACGAGAAAGTTCCATGGATCCTCCTGGCAAGCCGCAAATGTAACATGGGTAGTGGCACGGTTTTGCGCTTTTCTGTTTCTCCGAGATCGAGCTCCTAAAAGGGACAAACAGCCGAAAGGAGCGCAGGGTCCACTCGAACGCATCTGTCCCTCTGCAGCGCGCCCTGAAGCGCCTGCAGAGAGAAGTTCCACGATCGGATCGTTTAGCAGGCTATGAAACACGGGCGACCTCAAGTTCACTTTTGCTGCCCCCCGACGCCCTGCGCCCTGTGATGCTGAAAGGAGGGAGATTTGCACAAATCCAAGGCGTTAGCGTGCGGTTGCAGGTATCCGGCCCCGGTGCCGTGCGGCGCCGAGACGCCGAGGCCAGCAGAAATCCTACGCCAGCCAAGGGCGACTAGTGCACGTACTCGCACCTCCAGGACCATGTCCCCGGCGACGTCTCATTACCAATCGCTCTATAGCGGACCCGCTCCCTATGCCCGCCTCCAGGTTGGGAATCCCTTCCACATGTGGTTGGCCTCCTCAGCTCACCGTATCGTTCATCGAGCCGAATGTCGATGGTCGCCGTGCACCCCAACGTGATACTCGTCACACCGAAAGATCACTGCCTTGTTCAAGAGCGAAAGAAAAATCACGCTTGGATCTGTACATGTACTATGGTCTACGCGCTGGCTGTTCACGACGCTTTGGCCGCTGCCGCCTGTTGCGCGCGAATCTGCTTCAGCAGCTCGGGATACCATCGCTCGCCAACATCTGGGTGCGATTTCACGCGGTTCATGAGCGTAGCCTCGCCAAGGTGACCCCATCGTCCTTTGACAAACGTAAACTCCACATCATCCTTGCGCGCTTTGCGTGCCTCGTCGCGCAACTTCAGCACCTCTTTGGGCACGTCCATGGCCTCGAACTGGGCGTCGTAGCTCACGCCTTGGAAGAACGGAACCGAGTACCTCGCTCCTTCGCCTCTGCGTGGACTAAGCACGCGATGCGTTGTTGATGCGCACACACCGTCCGTCAACGCTTCCATGCCCTGCCCAATAGCAACGACGAGTGTGCCGTCAATGGGCTTACAGTCTATCCACTCGCCCTTTGCATTCTGCGCTTGCAGACCGAGCTGGTTGCTTGCTTGTAAGAGGTAGCTAGTCAACATGCTATCTTTATGTGGACCGACGCCCTGCCGCTTGATCTCCCATTTCTTCCTATCAATCTCGCTTGCACCGCTTGGCAGGTCGGGCACGTCAACCTCGGGGTACTTTACAATCTTGAGCTTGTGCTGCTGGTCTCTGTCGAAGAACTTGTTGAAGGCATCAGGCTGCAGGCCGATGGCTTCGGCAATGAGCGAAGTGAATAGAGTTGAGATGTGCGACATGCGCCGCATGTAGTCTTCGTAGACGGGTCGGAATGCCGGGAGGTACTGCGTCGACGGCCATTGGTTAGGTGCGAGCAGGTTGTGATATAAAGGCGCATCAGGTCCAGGTACGGGATGTGGTGTTGAGAGATCTAGTTGTTCGCGGTGATCTGGGTTGAAGGCCGTGGTTTCGTTGTCGACCTTGTTTATTCGTCAGCACCAGAATACCCAGCAGAAAAAAGAAGAGAAGGAAAAGTCAATAGGTTGTAGGACATCGCAGCCTCATTCTCGTCGTGTCGAGTTTTATGTATACATGATTTGGAGATACCCGGATTTTCGATTTTAACGGCGCAAACGGAAAGGAGGTTGGATTCGCATTTTGCCTTTACGTTTGATGTTTGACGGCTGCATTTTCGCGTCTTACGTTTGCTCTTTTCCTTTTCTGTAGTAATAGTTGCATCTCCCAGCGTTTGATAGTTGCATGCATGCATAGCGATAGACCATAATAGACTTTCTTGACAATCTCACACCATCCTTCACACCTCCACAAAGCCAATAACAAATCGATCAATGATAATAAAAAGAAACAATGACTTACTCTGCTCCACCCCAGGAAACTCTTCTGATTCTTCATCTCGATCGCTTCCTTCTCTTTCACGGGTAATTTCTCGAAGAATCCTCCACACTCACTAATGACATTTCGCACCAACTCGTCCGGCAGCCCAGTTTCTGAAAGATACAAAAAGCCTACATTCAGTAGTGCTGAACGCAAGTCGTCCAAGAACTGAGGCTTAGTCGCTGGGTCGAGCGCTTTGGAAAGCGGGAGGATGGGGATCTGGGAGAAGGTCTTGGCGTCGCTCATGTTGCGGTACTGTCGCTTGGAATGAAAGCCAAGATGAAAGAAACCCAGTGTTGTGAAGATTTGCACTGCACAAAATCAATGTTTCAATTCGATATATTCTGTCTGGGCGTTTTGGGTTCCCGTTTGTCGCTGCTGCTGTTCGCTTTGCCTGCGCGCGGGGTAAAAGTATCCGACTTGCTGGCACACAATATAGCGGGGCAATCACACCAGAAGACACCAGCTCCTTCGCCTTTTCCGACTTCGCTCCACGCCTTTTGGTTTCGGAGGACTCGAGTCGTCCCTTGACGCTCAGCGGAGGTGTGGCGTGATTTGAGTAAGATTCGAACGATCGAACAGTAATCCTGTGGCAGGAAGTTCTCTTTCTCATACAGTTGCTCAGCTCCCAGTCTTCCTTCAAGATATAGTCGAGAAAGGCGCTTTTAGTAGCGAGACATCCATTTGAGTGCCAGGCCCACAGCAGTGAGCTTGAGTCCGGTAATGAGAAAGAGGGTAAAGGCTTCGAGGAAGATCATTTCGACCTTTCTTCTTCTTTTTCAACAAGTGGTGTTCAAGAGACAATAGTAGAAGAAGTATCGACAAGCAAACACAATGAACAGAGAGGTCTCTCTTGCTTGATCACCCCGCGTTCAACCGGGTCATACATGGCTTTTTGTATTCCTTTCTACACGCACGCAGACACGCGCGTACACTCCCCTCCACTACTTTTCTTAGTAACTACAGCTGAAATTCCTCCACTCGTCGGCCACGCTATATCCCCCACTCCCCATCACAAATCTCGGAGACATCTCCACACGAGCATGCACACGACCACGATGTCATCGTCATTCACCACCACGTGCCTCTATTTGCTTGGGCAGCTGTTCCTCGCGCGGTCGTACTAGGAGCGGGACATTCGTGTGCTATTCTCTTTGGATGCAAAGCGCTGCGCGGGTGATGCATGTCTCGCAGCGGTGGCATGCAGGGTCCGCTTTCTTAGGATTGGTGCCTGGACATGAGGTGAGGTAAGAGGTCAGGTGCAACGGAGACTAGTCCGCTTCATTTACTTAATAGCGCCGACGAAGATGTATATCCCGAGGTCATGTTCATAGATTTGACAAATTTAGGATTGAATACGTCGTGTTAAGTAAGATAAGGGTGATAAAAGTGCTAGAGTCTATGTTTTGGTGAAATTGAACTGGAGCTCAAGCCGTGGCGCTAATATATACTAGTATGAATACTAAGTACAAACAGGTGCAAGACTCGATGCCTTCCCAAGACAATTATACAAGACACAAGCTATTTCCTCCACATACCAGCTCAAACATGACGAAAGAGACGGAGTCATGACGCACGTACAACCCTCGCAATCCAAGTCATAAACCCACACCCCAACAATCAAAATGCCTACTACAAGTCACTCAATTTCGCTAATTCCTGCTTCAAAACCCCTTCACCACGGCGAGTAAACACGCCGACGATCCCAGTTCAAAACGACATTGATGTCCAAATAGACGCGGTGCAATGCAGTCATCGGTGCATGCGATCCCTGTCTTAATAGAACACCACCTTGTACTTCGTACGGCGGAAACATGGAGATGTAGGCACATGCTGGGTTGCCGGGTATATCAGGTGTTAACGGCGCTGCATCGGAGAATATTGCATGAATGTGGCAGGTTGCGCGGGATTATACGTGGGCCGTGCGCTGATATTGGAGTTGGGTGGTGTTTTATAGGTGTTTATGATATATAGTTTATAGGGCACGTGCTGAGGAGCAGCTGGGGCATTTGAAATGAGTATGGGGCAGACTGCCAAGATTCTAAGGAAGATGAAGATACGATGGGGTCCAGCCTGAGCGATTGACGGAAGGGGATGGCGAACATCGGGGAAGGATTCGATCGAAAAAGATAAGAAGTACGATTCAAAGCACACAGTAAACGCGACGAAGGCGAATGTGACCATGTCTACAAACTAAATCTGAAAAGGACGCCCCATCGCTCACATATCGCCGCCGTTACTTGATGCCAGTAATTCCATATCGTGATGTCATACCTCATGAATCCCCCTGCCCAATGAACGCTGGTTGAACAATCTCTCATCTCTTCTCAGAAGGGTAGTATGCTGGCTGCCCCTCAAGCGACTCTCCAACACCAGTGCGGTAGGTTGGAGGTGGGCCACCAAATGAGATTTGGGCTGCGGGTCCCGGGGAGGAAACATTTGGCGGAACACCGGTGTTGCTCGTTCCAAACTGCGGGTTCAGGTCACTAGGCGTGATAGTACCGCCATCACCACCTCCTACAAGGACCGTCTGCTCGTTGCCCTTCTTATCCTTCACCTTACCAACAACCATGCCCTTGGCGACAGACTTGATGATGGCACGTCTGCTAACTCCAGTCACATCGATGTAGACGAGACCAACATTCTTGACACCGCCGGCGAGGTTGCTGGTGATGCTGCCTGCTTCAGCGCCATACTTGTGGCCGACTGCTGCACTAGCTGCCGCGCCGCCGTGTGTGAGTATGGTTCTGCCCGAGTGCGAGATGCCATCTGCGACAGTCGAAAATGCTATCAACGACTTGTTCAGTAGACCAGGCTTATACTGCTGGTTTGGCGTGCCATCAGGATTCATGCCCCTGCCGTGCGTCTTCTTATGTCCTGCCAAACCCGCCGCTGCATTTTGCGCATACTTGGTGAGTTGTCCTACGGTCTTTGCCGAAACACCAGCGACGCCAGTTGTAAGGGAATTGATTTTGCGGACGCGGTTATGGGTTGTGGTTTGGAACGTCATAGGTTTCTCGTTGGGTCTGGTCTTGTTCATGAAGTTCTCCGCGCCAGAGACCATCATATTACTAAGGTAGCTGGAGCCTGTGACGATGAGTCGAGAGGCTGCTGCTGCGTTTTGAACGAGACCAGAGTCCTTGTACGCGGGGTGGCGAGCCATCTCGAGATAGTCATCTTCTAGAGGTCTAATGTCGATGCGCTTTCCGTCGGCAGAGACAACGATCTCAACAGGATCTTTGCCTGTGTTAGCATAAGTAACCAACACGCGCCAGGGTTGACAGTGTACTCACTCTTTGAACCCTGTTTCAGCTTCGGGTCCTCGACAATCTGAGCACCCCCAGCAAGCTCTCCCACTACACTGCCGTTCTCTTCGTCGACAAGTACAACCTCGCCCGTGGGCTTGCTAGAGCCTACGTAGGCCTCCCCAGGAGCGAAATCCTGGGGGTTGTATGCCTTGACGCCGCCCTTGCCCTTTTCGTGCTGTGGCGCCTGCGCACGCTCAAGGAAGGCGGTGCATTGAGCCAGAATGGTCTCAAAGGTATCAATGTCTTCCTGGCTGACAGAGGTAGAGCTGTTTCCGATTGGTGGGAACTCAATTCGGGTGAAAGCGCCGCTCTCTGGGCCCAAGTCCCATCGTGGTATTAGGTAGCTTCGCGGCGGCTGGTGATAGATTTGCGTAGTTGCAGGGAGGGGTAGGTCGAGCTCGGGAGGAAGGTTGAGGTGTAGGTAGAAGTCTTCTTCCGGTGCTTCGTTTTGGCCGCGCGTGTTGCTGAGGTCTGCAAAGGGCGAGTTTGTAGGGACCATCAACAGAGACAGCGTCTGTGGCCCCGAGGGAGTGAGAGACGTCTCTTCACCTTGCTGGATATGGTAGGCCTTGATGCCACCAATAGTGTAGAGCAGTCGAGGATCGCCATGGCCGCTCATGCTTGCGACAAGCGTACTCGCGCGGGGTATACGAGGGAATGCTATGAAGGTAGGTCGCTTGATAGGCGTGAGGAAGGCGTGTCAAGCGCTTTTGGAGGAATTAGGGTGAAAAGGAGGGGAGGGCAAGGTCTGAATTTGTGTGAGGCAGTGCGGTAAGAGACGCCGTTTTATGGCATGCAAGTGACGAGGAGCCAAGCTCTCCGTTCCTGCAACCTGCTGGTGTTTGCGGCGCCTAACGTTACGTCAGGATCCCCATTGCACCTCCCGCTTTCGCAGCCACAGTTCTAGACTTCTGGCAAATGGGAACGAGCGATTGCGCCACTGCACCGCCACCCGACACAACGCGGCAGTCACCATGTCTACCGAAGGACATTCATGGTTGCCACTCTGTGTCCAATGTATGCCATGTCCCGTAGCTCGCACTATCTGTGTGTGTCTTAAGACGCGTCATATCCATCTTCGACTCTTGGTCGATGCCATTCAATCTGAACAGCTCCTTGGTTCATCCTCGTTGCAGACTGATCTTCAGTGCCATTGCTCTTCCCTCAAACTTCTACAATAACCTCTTCAATCTCACAAACTGTCCTCGTCTGGTCCTTCTCATGTTGCTGAGCTCTCAATCTTCACTGCATGTATCGCGCATTGCCCGTCAAAGATGCACTTTATTTCCCCCATTCGCTCACTATTCGCATTGTCTTATACCACAGTCGGTTTCTCGAGGAAAAAGGAGCCAAATTTTGGCCTGCTTCATGACTACCGACATACTTGAGCTCTAGCTTTCACTATCCATCGTCTACCTTCACAGAACCAGCGATAGCTCAACTACGGCGTAGGCGCTTTGAAAATCCTCTCATCACCAGGTACACGCCTTCACCTTCACTTGTGACACGCACGTAAGATTATTCGGTCTTGGCACCCCACAGCTTCCACCTCTTGCCCAAGTTCTGCTCTTGTTTACAACATCATACCAGTCGACCTCAACCTCGAGCTTCAACAACTGCGCTCGATCTGTCGCTACACTTGCTCTAGCGCTCGCAGTCGCGAGACCGCCGGGTCTAACTCAAAGCCTCCTCGATTCGGTACGTTAAGTTACAGCCAATATGATCACTTCATGATACTTATGGCCGTTGCATGCCGTTTTAAAAGCTTCGTGAAGAGCCCCACGGGTAGTGGAGAATGCGCTCTTATTCAAAGAATATATGGGACTGGGCTGATCATACTCTTACCTCTAGAATCTTTGGCTCAACGCCATGCAGATACCGAAGACAATGTCAAGCCTGGCGGATCCGGCTGCTCCGTCGTTTCTTACCACGTTGCCGCCAGAAATACGCAACGGGATATACGAGATCTTGTTCAAGCGCGAAGAGCCTGTGCTGCTTCATAATGCTGAAGCTTACCATGTTATAGAGCCTCCGCGGGAGCACTACCCACTCGATACCCTCTTTCAGGACGCGATGGACGAATATCACGAGACTTTCGAAACGGAGATTGGTGGTGACGTAGACTTCAAACACAACTTCCATGAAGGTCTGTCTATGCTACGATCTTGTCGGCAAGTCTATCACGAGGCCGCGGGAATCTTCTATGGCGAAAACACTTTCATTTTTTCACGGGTTTTGAATAGACACGACTGCGCGGATCACGAAACACATGACGTATTCGACTATCATCCTCTTTCGTATTCCACTCGTTGGCTTTCGAGCATCGGCAGCCAGATTATCTTTCTTCGAAAGGCAATCATCGATGTGGACGGTATCTGTCCCGCAAATTGCTATGCTCGTCTGAGAGACTTAGATTTCTTCCCTTTGATGCGCTTCCTATGGTCGTATCCGCAAAAAGCTCATGTCATTACGTTTGCCCATACTGGACGACGGCTGGAGATGCATACAGAGGCGAACACCCGTAATCTGGACCTCAAAATTGAGGTCCCAGATGTCGATATCGCTGGGTTTTTCAATAACGTTCTCTCTACGCTCACCATCGGGGATCCTTTGAAAATGCGGCGGTATGCATATTTCGATCGTCTTGTGGAAGGAGTCTATCTTTCCCACGGGAATATGGATTGCCATGTACATTATAAAGGCCCGACCGGGGGTGCACTTCTAAAGCAAGGATTCGAAATCATGGACGAAGGAAAGGTCATCAATGTTCTCCCTTGGGCTCCTACTTCCCACCTTTTGGACTTGCCTTATGCAATAAAGGACCGCATATTCGCATATGCTCTACATTCGCCCGAGGAAGTCGTCCTCGACCTAGACGCTCGCAAAGGACATGGATTGTATATGGAAGTCTTTCACGTGAATACGGCCATACGATGGTACCGAAGCTTGGCTTGCTGCTTTTCTCGTATGAACACAATGACCATCAAAATGACGAGCACGGAAATCGTTACGAGCTTTAACGATTTCGCTGGTCTTAGGGAACTCATTTACAAGAATTGTTCCGCCTATACCCCAAACCCCTTTCACAACATTCTATTTCAGAGAAGCTCCAACAGTAAGGCAATGACGTTACTGTTAAAACTCGATGTTTCTAGTCCGACTATACTCTCCGAGGCTCGAATCGAAACATCTATGATGTGCCTACTTGGAAATCTCAGGCCACGAACAAACACGACAATACGGATTGTATTGACGTGCCCCCGAGGAAAAAGCACATGGACAGAAGAGATGGAAGTGCCTTACGACAGACTACAGCGAGAACTATTCCTCCTTCTTTCGGACGTCATAATGATGCGGGGCACATCTACAGCGCCCGCATTCCTGGCCAACGAAGACCCTGACCTACCTAAACTTTGGATCACTGGGCGTGGGATCATTGTCAACGCGACATATGAAGCTACAAAGACACGAGATGCTTTGATAATCGAGAACAAGCACTCTCAACTCAGCGAGAATGAGGTCCACCAGAAAGGTTATGAGATGGCCGCAAAGGTTGCCAAGCACTATGACCACTATTTAGTCCATACTGCTGGCTACGTCAGGGATCATCAGGAGTATCACTCTCTATTCTCAGCTTGGGGAGCGTTGCGTGGGCTTTATCGGGATAACTGGTGGAGTCACTTGAATGGCCTATGATCCACAGCGCAAAGCGCCGTGATCGCCTCCCTTCAGTATCAGTTCGAATATTAGCATAGCTTACAAGGTACGGACACAACCCAATACCGCTGAAGTCTGGCTCTGCATAGACTCTAGCGGAAGCGGACTTTGGAGCAGAGGCGATAGACATGGTCTGTCTAAGCACAAGGCTGGTTTATAGTTTCGATATACAAATAAAGAGAATGATGATTTCACATGTCTTCCCTGTGTCTATCCCTTGAGTTGGATGCTTCCTTCCAACTTTGCTCACAATCCCGTGAATGCCTCCGCACTGTGCGGCAACTCATAATGCCATGTCGGCATTTAACCCCAATGATTGCACGGAGAGGGTCCTCACAGGCATCGTACAAAGCAGGACACCAGATACACAGAAGAGGCGAAGAAATGAACTTTATTCGCATTAAGTCGTCTGAACGATAGGAAGACCACGCTCTTTATGTCTGTCTGTCTGTCTGTCTGAAAAAACAAGGGAGGAATAAAAAGTGTAAAAAATATGGTATAGCACACACAACAACAACAACCACCATCATCGTAGAAACACCCCGACCACTGCACCCCTTTCTTTATCCCTGTCTCGTAAGGCAGCAAAAGCAAAAACTTCTTCATCGCATCCACCCACCCAACACCGCACACTGTGTACGCGAATATAAGCACAAGCATTTCAGAAACAAACAGAATAAGAAGTTTAAGAACAAAGGAACTCCAGCGCCCGATTGTGGCCGAGTGTAAAGCGGGAACCGGGGCAGACCAGTTAGCGATATGTGGAGATGATCAAAATCCGAGCGATCCTTTCGCAGGCAGAATGGACAAAACTTCGCGCAAGAAACCCAGAGAAATGCAAAAGAAACGCCTTGGTAAGATCCAATCAGCGACGTGTCGACCACCTGAGTTTCCCCCAAGCCCCCCTATGCTCCAGATAAGAAAGCGATCAAGGTCGAAAATGACGGGTATATGAACGATTTTTGATAGCCACGACTAGGCTCGTGTAGACTTTGGCTCATGATGAGTCGTCAAACAACCACTTCTAGTGCTGCGAACTATAGACTTACAAGCGTCAGCGAACAAGCCTCAATATGTGTCAAGGTCTACTAGCCCAAACCCATCCGAAGATACAGCCAAAGCTGCCATCAGTCGTGCGGAGCCGGACTCTAGTAGACCCTGATGCTGCACATTGAGTCAAGTCAGCGAGCAGCTTATAGGTTATAGATCGCCACCGACTTCTGTTGTGTTGTTGAAGTCAAAGTCGCCGACCGAGATGCCAAAGGCGTCATTGTCATTGCTGGTATGAAGGAAGGAGTCGAAGTCGAAGTTTTCTAGGGCGCCGGCATCGTCGCCAAAGTTAAGGCCGAGATCAAAGCTAGGCTGTAGTCGCGTCAGATTGTTTACTTAGATGAATGTGGTAAAAGAGTCTTACGTCAGGATCAATGTTGCCAAAGGGAGGGGCATTGTTGTCCATAGGTTGCTGCTGGGCAGGAGGCTGCGGTTGTACGGGTTGTTGCGGCTGGCCATTCTGTCCTTGGTTAAAAGATTGCTTGTGAACTGGCGTAATCGGTGCAATTGGAGTCGACGAAGTCGGTGTTGGAGGCTCTTCGCCATTTGTAGCCGCTGGAGCTGCAGCTGCAGCTGCCCCTTTCTTGTTTGCAGGCTTCTAAACCGATGTTAACGCTGGTCGAAAGTGGAAAGGGAGCGTACGACTTTACCTTATTGTCTTTGGTAGGCTTCTTCTTCGGACCGGCCTTGTTCGTCTGTGACGGTGTCGGTGGGGCCTGGCTAGACTGTGATGGTGATGGCTCCGGTCGCGGTTGTTCGTTGACCGGCGCGGGAGGTGGTGGCATTTGTCGCTGCTGAGGGTTTTGGCCCATAGGACCCCCCATCTGCTGCTGGCCTGGCATCATTCCCGGCTGCGGCGGGCCACGCCAGGCACCATTTGGCATCTGCGCTCCATTGCGCATAGCGTCCATCTGCTGCGGAGTCAATTGCTGGTTGCTGAATTGTGCCCCAGGATGTGAGCTTGGAGGCCTCATCATGGGGTTCTGGATCTGCTGGTAGAACTGTGGAGGCATCCCTGGGGGAGCCAGGTTCGGATCGAAACCCATGTTTGGTGCTGGTGAACCGCCTTGCCGTTGCATCGCTCCCTCCGGCATGGGTGATCCTGGTGGGCCTTGTTGGCCTAGTTTCGGGGTACCTCTCTTCATCTGGTCTGCCGGGTTGGGCGATGGGCCAGCTCTACTTCCTTGAGGCGACATGGCATTTACAAAGCCGGGAGCGCCGACAGCACCCTGCTGGTGGGGTCCAGACATGTTATCCTGCTCCTGCCGGGCCATTAGTAGCCGCTTCTTGTTCTGCTGCTCGAGCAGCATGAGCTGCATCTGGTAGTCCTGGAGAGCGTGGTTACCCTGCTGGGGAGCGCCTTGAGGGTTGGGCATGCCAGGTCGTGGGCCGTTGCCAGCGAACATGTCATGCTGACCGTCTAGCCCGGGCTGAGCCATCGGGGAGCCTTGAACACCAGAGCTCATACCCTGGGGGGACGAAGTGTTATTCAATGCCACTCTGTGTTGTTGGGCCAGGCTTTGGGCATATACCTCGATGTTCTTCTGTTGCGCGTTCTGGCCTTGCTGCGCAAACTCGCCAAATTGGTTGCCCTGCATGTTGCCAGGGTTCATTCCACCTACAAATCGACCATGTTAGCCTCGGTGCATCAATTGCATACTGAGTAGCTGACGTACCATCAACGCGGGGGCGCTTGTTCGGGGACGGGGCATTGTCGTTGGACCCCGGCGATTGTGGGCGCTGGCCGTTCATGTCCATGCCTGAGCCGTCGCGCTGCATCTGGGCAGCCATCATGGTCTGGTTCTTCATCTGCATGCCCGCCATGGGGTTGCCATTGCTGCTGCGCGTCAGAAACTAGATTACTTGTGGTAGGGATTCGTCGGAAGTGCGTACGGCCGGTTATTCATAGCTGCTGCCCGCTTGAGGTCATTTGGCGCAACTCCGTTGGGCATGCCTCCGCGCAACAGTGTCTGATACTGGGCTGTCATGGGATTGTTCATCATCATGCGCTGGTTCCGCTGATCATTCTGCATCTGCGTGAGGTTCTGTGGGGTATGTCAACAGGCCGCGCTTTCTGAGGATCAAGACAGCTTACTCGGGTGTGCTGGATGTACTGCGTGCCTTTGGACGGCCCGGTGCGGGTCTTGGTGGCTTGATAGATGTCCCAGAACTGGACCCACCAGTCGAGCAGGAACGAATTGTCGGCCATTTGGTTTGCGGGAAGTTGCGGGGCGGGGAAGCTGGCGAGCTCTTCGTCCTCGATCGAGTCGATGCCATTGGGCCTGTTGTTGGGGCTGGTCTTGGGCGGCGGGCCGGTGGACATCTTCAACTCGCTGTCGAGCATGGTGCGCGCGAGCCGGAAGTGGCTATTCCGCAGAAAGTAGTCGTAGATGTATGTGTTGAGCTGTTCGCGTGGATCTATAGGTCGCTTGGGGTGTGGCAGGTTGCCCATGATGGGCGTTCCGTCGACGGGCCCGTTGTTCGCCGTCATGGCGGCCATCTGAGCCATCTGAGCCATCTGCTGGCTCTGCATCGCGACGCGGGTAGTAGGAGCCGGCTGCGTCAAGCGCAGTCGACGGGTCGGGTGTGGGCGGGCGGTAGGAGTTGCGCGGCGATGTTAATTAGTAGACGCAGTCGTGTGTTGTCGTGCACCTCGGTGCTGTGGTGATGGTGGTTATAGTAGCATGGGCCGTCTTGCCACGGGGGGGTTCGGTGTCGGCGGTGGGAGCGGAGCGCCAAGAGGGGGCTTGCGGACGATCAGGGCGGGCCTCTTGCGCGCAAAGGACTGGACAGAGGAGAGGGATTCCGCGAAAGAGAGAGAAAGAGTAGCGACGCCGGCGTTGCGATGAAGGCGGGCGGCTGATGCGCGGTAGGTAGAGGTCGGGGGGCTAGCGTGGGTGCAGAATGGCTTTGCGAGGGGCCTCCACGCAGTGGGTAAGCGGCGCAATCTACCACAACGGCGGAAATGCTGCTGCGCGATGGGGGGCACTTGTAGGCTAGACAATAGGGAAAAGAATTATTAGCAGCGAGGAGTGGGAATCGGATGGGAACGACAAGAGCCCGCTGGATGGATGCAGCGCGTCGGCTTGCCCAGCCCTGCCGCACGTGACTTTTGTATTATTAGCATCTCCCAACCACTTTGCCCACGACGCGCAGACGTAGCTAGCATGGCCGACATGATAGGAAGACAATTGCACAGCTGCTCTACATGTTGACTACAATCCTATCGCTGGCACCCAGCTTCGAATGCTGGCTTCCATATGTCAGCTGATTGATGGGTGCTGCGCAAACTCTACGGTGGAATTTGCAACTTCATGGTGAGCCGAGTATCCATCTGGCTGTAAATTATCGCATGACTTCAACACCCTTGGTAACACCGCCTAAAGCTTCAATTCACCAAAGCTATCCAAGCTTACATAGGCACCCTTCGCGTACAAAATTTAGCAGCTGTCGCGCAATCTTTTTTTTTTTTGCACTCTAGTGCTTTGTGCAATTGCGTGCTCGTGTATTTCTGCACTCCCTGAACTCCACAATTACACCAGACAACCTTCAGAGAAAGCCTACTATAGAGAGCAGAAACCCAGCTACCTTCAATAGCCTCTTTGATTTGGTATTTTCGCTGCATACCGGTATTTGAGGGCCTCCAGCCTGCACCAATACCTAACTAGCTGTTCCAAAGGGTGCTTGTCAGCCGCCTCGCCCCGCCTCACTGCGGTAGGTTTCTCGACGAGTGCAAAGATGCGGAGTGCAAAATGCAGAGTCCAATTCCTCTCGTATCCCTATTCCGTGGACGGCCTAGTCTGAGATTGTGCATCTTGGTCATGAGCACCGTGTACAGCCAATGCCGCGTGCCTATTGCTGCCTCCACTATGAGAGGCCTCTCGGACCCCATCAGGTCCAAGAATCATTACCCAACGCCGTGCCATGCATGTGGTATGCGCCAACAAAGGATATACGTATTCGTCACTTCTATTCAGCTTCCGAGAGTCTACTCATCATCCGGTGGCATCTCGTCATCGATGAACCGGACCAACGTTATCCGCATCTCTGTAGTATCGTTGCCTCGAAGAACATCGCTGATGAAGTGTGCTTCGACCTGCATGTGTACCTAGCGAACGTGTCAGTATGAATTTCCATTCCCATTCATGTCCAACGCAACCAAACGGGAACGTACCATTTCCAACGCACCACGCAGTACGCCCACTAATATGTTTGAAAACCATAACTCATCCTGTGCCCGGCCGTCATCCGGGAGCTCTACAAAGTCTGCGAGAGGATTCTCCTCGAAGATGAGTGAGAATTGCTTGTTGTCGCTGGACCAGTTCGTGACCGTCGGTGTAACGTTGAGGAAGATCTTGAAGCCGACCTAGGTTGTGCGTATCAGCTTGCAGTCACTATGCCGTGTCATAGCATAACTACCTTTGATATCATGTCTGCGACTTCTCGAAAGTTGGTGCAGGTGGGCGCGCTCGACTTGGCCAGGAAGTCCTCTATTAACCGCACGCCGATATTATAACCCATTCTCTCCAGCTGCTTGTTGACATCCGCATAGTTGTACTCGTAGTCTTTGCATAGTTGCGCGACGATCGTGCCGTATGTGAGCGTGACCAGCTCGGCACTGACCTTGTCTACTCGCGTCCTTGGCCTATTAGAAGAAGCTCCTTTACGGTCGTCAAGAGTACACGACTTACTTCCATACTCTAGTAGCTATTAGCACATTTCAGAAGGTAGTCGCTGGACGTCTGAAGCTCACTCCTCGCCCAGGCGGGCCGCTTTTGTTGACGAAGCCATTGATTATGCGCAGCCCTTTCGCCTTTGATACCCCTTGAAACTAGGCTATTCCGAGACTTATAGATAGAGTGTAGAGCAAGTTGTACGGTCGTGAATACAAGGTTGTGAAGCTGCGTCGGGGTAGAAGCATGTGGAGTAGTGAGTAAGCTTGGACAGTGGAGTAGTGGAATATAGCTTGGCACAGAGCTACTCAATTCGAGAAAGTTTACGAGGCTACCGCCAACTGTCTAATTATACCACGACAGTCCCCCGACACGCTTCACAACACCACGACCGGATCTACATATTACCGCGATGTCACGAGAAAAGCGACCGGCTGCCGACGCATTCGGCTCGAGCCAACTGGTCAAGCGCGCGAAGTCGGACGCGAACCTTGGTGGAAGCACTGATGTAGCTGTGGTGAATGGAACAGCGCAAAATGGGGCCCTCATACAAGCAGTATGTCAACACGGAATACCATCGCAGTGGGCATGATAGCTGAAGGTCGCGATGCGCTGACAGGCTACCTAGGGATCGCGCACTGGCGCACTGCAGTCTCCAGTCATGGAGTTGACAGGCCATTCTGGAGAAGTATTCGCAGCTCGATTTGACCCCACCGGCCAGTTCATTGCCTCTGGCTCAATGGATCGATCAATACGTCAGTACCTCTATCTGTACCGAAGGCGACATGCGCTGACCATGCCTAGTACTTTGGCGCAGCTCCGGCTCATGCGAAAACTACGGCATTCTCAGCGGACACAAGCAGGCCGTCTTAGATCTACACTGGTCACGAGACTCGAAAGTCCTATTCTCCGCATCCGCAGACATGAACCTGGCAAGTTGGGACGTTGAGACTGGCGAAAGGATACGAAGACATCCCGGACACGAGGAAGTGATTAATTGCATGGACGTCAGCAAGCGCGGCGAGGAGATGCTCGTGAGCGGCTCCGACGATGGTTATATTGGGGTGAGTCTGGTGGTGTACTTCCCGTGAAGCGTGACTGACTTTCGAGTAGATCTGGGATACGCGAACGAAGGACGCTGTAACCTTCATCCCCACAGATTTCCCCATAACTGCGATATGCCTCGCAGAAGCTGGCAACGAACTATTTACGGGTGGCATCGACAACGATATCAAGGTCTGGGACCTACGGAAGCAAGCTGTCACATACACACTGCTTGGCCACACCGACACGGTGACTTCATTACAAATGTCCCCAGACAACCAGACCCTTCTTTCGAACGCACACGACTCGACTGTCAGGACATGGGACGTTAGGCCATTTGCCCCCGCAGATCGCCGTATCCAGACGTATGATGGAGCGCCCACAGGGCAGGAGCGCAACCTTTTGAAAGCAAGTTGGGATTCGAAGGGCGAAAAGATCGCAGCGGGCAGCGGAGACCAGAGCGTAGCCATTTGGGAAGTGCGGACAGGGAAGCTTTTGCACAAGCTTCCTGGCCATCGCGGCGCAGTGAACGATGTGCGCTTCCATCCAAGGGGCGAACCACTACGTAAGTCTAACCCCTTCTTCACATTGTGTTCACTTCGTCGTAATAGCTTTCTCCGAGCGAGCACGCGACGTCTACTGCCGCTACATAATGAAGGATCAGGCTGACTTGGCAATCTTTAGTGGTCTCTGCATCCTCGGATCGCACACTCATGGTAGGAGAGCTAGGCAAGTGAAGGTACAAGTGGAAGATCTGGCTACGGATTCTTGCTTTTAGAAGAGCGCCGCGAGAAGAGTGAGGTAGGCCCAAGAGGAGATGAGCGGCAGGTCTGCTGCGCCGCGGATAAGTCACAGAGGCGTTCTTATGGACTGGATACGCCGGTGCGACGTTTGCGGAGTTAGGGAGTCAGATGCACAGTAAGCGTTGGGGAGTGAGGGACCGATGGACGCGAAAAGGACGCGAACAGGTCATCTACCTGCAGTGCAACGACAGCACGCAGGTAAACAAATACAATCAACACGACGCGATTTGATATCCTCATGCTGGACACTCATGCTCTTATGTGAACCTGTCGCACACAATTCCCACTTGCAGGCGTTGTTAAGGAGTTGTTGAGGCCCATGGGCTTGATTGGCCCTGACGTTTCAGTGCCGCCTGCACCCTTTGGCCAACCACAACACGTCCAGCCAAACTTCACTCCTCTAGACGCACTTTATCCGCCCTCTGCCGTACCACACACGCAGGCCTGTTCCCCAAACACTCAATTCTGACGCAGCAATGGACGTGAACGCGAAGACACCCCGGCCCGCTGCCGCAGCGGCGTCGCGTTTCATACTTGCAACGATCTGATTCTGATACGCCACCCGTTCCAGAAACGCATGGTGTTCAATGCTCCCTCGTCCACAACCGTCCTTGCAGCACCACCCCGTGCCCTGGTGTGACTGCGATCCTCTTTCTCTTCTCCACGTTATGGTTCCTCCCTTCTTTTAAGTCGTGTTCATTGGCAGCTGTGCTGTTGTCCTTGGTTTCGCTTCTTTTTGCCTTCTCGCGCTCGTTTGGCTTGTGAGCTCTGGATAGCTTTTTCTTTTCTCCTCTTTATCGCCTTTTAACATACTACTCGAGTTAGTAGACGACTTTTTGGTCAGTTTCGGCTTCTCAAGACTAGACAAGGTACAGCCAACGGTTCCTCTTTTCGCAATGCCCAGCGTCCTATGACCGAAGGCAGCCTCCAGTAAACCTTGACCACGGTACACAACCACAAAGTGCACCTGCATGGCCAATATTCTACTTCGTTGATTCGCTATCAGACGGTTGCAAGGAAAACCAGGGTGGACGTGTCAAGGCAAGGAAACGCGTTTGCTATAAGGAACTGTACACACCCAGAATAGCACCTTGGGGTCGAAATCACCGGTTCTTAGAATTCATCCAGCTCCAAGGCTATCCACGGATCACCATGTTTCGGTCACCACTCTTCAGCTGGTCTCCACGGCCAGACCAAGACCCGCTGGCTACACCGGCATCGCAGTCGCCATCTCGATTTGGCGCATTTCAAAGCAACATACGAACGATGATCAATGGCTCTTCGATCTATTCGCAGTCTCCAGGCCTCGGTCCATCGAACCATGACACGCCTAAGGTGCCTTTCTTGGGGTTCCTCGGCCGCCGCCCGCACTCGCCCGATGGGAACATTCTTCCCACCTCGAACGATGTGCCTCGCGAGTCAAATGATTCGCGATCTCCTCTTCACCCTCAGCATACTGCGGGTTCATACATGCGTACTATCGCACCGCTACAAGACCCGCGAGAACCTGCAACAATATACAGTCGCCATCCAGCGGACGTGCCGTTACCACATCAACCAAACGGATATGCGGACCCCGAGGTACAAGAACTGGCCGACGACATCCATGGACGGAGACGGCGGCGGAAACACAAGAAGAGGAAGCATAGGCGCACCGAACAATGGGTCCGCCGGAGGGACGAGAGAGGCGGGCGCGGTTCAACAAAGTATGTAAAAGGAACGGCAGCTCGAGCGAAGATGTTCGCCTGTGCTATTTCTGGTACTTTCCTTATCATCGTATTAGCGATCTGTAAGTACACCGACTTCCATCTACCTCATTTGAGGCCCCTACAAGTCTGGAAGCTAATTGTGGCAATTTAGATCTCGCAATCGCCCTCACGAACCGCGACCTTGGCCAGGAAGTCCACATCCTCTTCATACTAGTCCTCCTCACTATCACCATCTTCTTCTGCCACTCCCTGATCAGACTCTGCATGCTTATGCTCAATCCACCGCGCGAAGGACATCGGCCACACCTCCCAGCTATGACGGGACCTGACGGCTTCCAACCTATTGTGCCTATCCGCGTACATCTTGCAAGAGACGTGGAAGCCGGAGCTTCTGATGAGGAAGCCGAGAATGACATGGACATCGAGGACCCAGAGAAGGACAAGATTCCTCCACCTCCACCTGCCTACGGTCTCTGGAGGTGCAGCGTCCGCGCCGATCCCAACCTCCTACACTGGCAGCGTGTCGAAAATCGAGAAAACCGCGCCTCAATCACCACAGACATCCCTTACACACACAACGCATCTGCCATTGACCCACCCGGGGCCCCTCCTCTTGCGCCTGCTTCTGGTCCTCGCCCGCCATCTTACATCTCAGAAGACGGCGTGAGTTACATTATCGAAGCTGCACCGCGGAGTACGGTGAATAACCGTGAGAGTTCCACGGGGGTCAGTGACATTCATCCTGCGTGGCGGCCAGGCTACGCTATGAGCGAGGTCAGGGGAAATTACGGTGTAGTGTAATCTGACATGTCAATCAATGTCTACATTCAAATAACTTGTATTTTATCGGCGCATTCTGGCATATGGGTTCATCATGGCGTACTGGCGCCCCCTTCTTATTTCCCTAGCGGGGCGAAAATTCCGGAGTTTTTACGCTGAACATTTCTTGGGGGGAGTTGAATTGTATCAATGTATGTCGTCATATTGGTTTCGCTGGTGTGTAGGAATTAGTGGATCTAGTGGCCGATGGTCGGTTTCAGTAGGTGAAGCGATGAAGGCTAGTCAAGTGCTGTCAATGCATGTTAGTTTTCAAGCACCTTCCGCGGCATGAATATGTCCCGTTGTTTATATGCCTCTTTATGACGTCTACCACGTGTATATATAGGGTTAGGGTCGAAATGTTCGACGCACGATGGTTTAGAAATTAGCAAGCACGCGAGGATGTGGTATGAGTCCATCTCACCTGAAAGTAAAGTGTGAATACAGATGCAGCAGAAGTGCTATAAATTCTACAAAAAGCTCTTGTGACTCGCGGTGATTATAATTATACCTTCTCAGGACCCAAACCAACTTGATGATCCTGCCCTGCAACACGCAAACCATGCTCTTTGCTCGCTATATCTGTAGCCACAGCTTCTCTATCCCTTTTCTTTTCAGTGCGGATGTGCATCCACACGAGTAGACCTGTCCAAATGGCCATCGCAATGCTCACAGCGATCATGGCCCACATACCTCTCGTGAAATATGGCGCGAAGTTTGCTCCGTAGAAGACAATACTCCACCACGCGTTTATTGCGTTACTTCCCATGTTCATCGACGCAATGACTACGGCTCGCAAGCTGTCTTCCTCGTAGCGGAGCACGTCGTTTGCCCAAGCAAAAAAGGTCGCTTGGCAGGCATACACTGAGCCAGCCCAGTAGTACATCGCGAAGTGGATCGTCGTGTTATGCGGATAGGCTAGGATCAAGGCGCTCGTTATGACGCCAGTTATACCGATCCAGTAACCAACTAGCTGTGCGTTAGATATGTCGCGGTTCGGAATCGAGATATGAACACACCTAGATAGCGCTTGCCTCCCATGAAATCCGTGAGCGTAGCCCAAAACAGTGTTGAAACGATGCCCACTGCAGGCACCCCAGTCGGATAGTTGTTGACTTGCGATACGGCGTACTTCTTCGTGGGATGAGACTTCATGTAAAGCTGTAGAAGAGCATTTGTACTGAATGACTCGGTCTCTCCCGCAAGGATCCATAAGATGACGAAGAAGTACCAGTACCACGTGCTGAAACAATACTTCAGGAAGGTCCAGGAGATTGGTGTGCGCTCTGAGACTTCTGGGACGCGAGATATGGCAAGCGCCTTCTCTTCCGCAGAGAGGTAGGGAGCCTTGGTGTTTTGCGGCTTGTCAGGAAAGAGGAGGAATCCATAGACCGCTACAGGCAACGTAATGATTCCGTCGATTATGAACAGCCATCTCCAACCTGAAAGGCCGTTCAATCCATTCATGCTTGAGTGGATACCGGTTTGGATCAAGCCCCCGATCATGGTTCCAGCTAGTCCAGATGCTGTGAAGATCCCGGAGCGCTTGCCCAGCTCTTTCTCGGTATACCACGAACCGAGGATGTAATGAGTTCCTACAAAGGTCGATGACTCGAAGATTGCCTGGAAGAAACGAATCGCCATTATGTCTTGCGGTTTTTGGGCAGCAGCTGTTACCATGGTCAAGCATGCCCATGCTACCTATGAGCCGTTAGCTAGGGGCACTCGGTGTCAAGACCTCGAAACACCTACCATGCACGCTGGGAAGAAGTATCTTGGTTTGATATAGTAAAGCGCAATGTTACAAGGTACCTGACCTATCGTGTACCTAATATAAACACAGAATCAGTCATTGTTACATAAGCAGTTCGTACATGAAGCTCAACTCACCCAACGGTAAACACAGTATTAATCTGGTTGAGTTGATTGCCTTTGAAGCTCAGTTCTTCTCTCATGCCAGAGACATAGGCGTTGTTCAAGTTTGTTCGGTCAAGATAATTCAAGAAGTACATCAGACAACAGAATGTGAGGATGAAGAAGTCGAGCTTCTGCACCAGCTTCCGTTCTCCAGGCGCATTTTGGTCCCCCCGGACGTACTGAACGAAGCGGTTTGCCATTTTCAGCGTTATCGTCCAGTGAGGCCGTGTTAAGGGTATTGGTCGTAACCCAACGTTCGTAACTGCACACAAGCGTCCAATGGTATCGCTGCTAGATTCCGTGAGAAGAGTGGGTATTGGAGAGAATAGTCTCGATGGTCGCTGATAGGCCCTTCTTATAACATCCGCGTATTGCCCAATTCAATGCCGATCGTGTTCCACGCATAGTATAGCCAATAGATCTTGTACGCGAGATAGGAGAGATAACTCAAGACTGACGCCGGTTGTGCATAATCAACCTATTGCCGAGGGCGTGTACAGCGTTGTGCTGGGGACTCGGAAGGCCGCAACCTACCGGTGTCGGTGCTCGTGCCCGGGCTCAAGATGGCAGATAATCGTTCAGATCGCCCAAAGACAGCTTAGGTTAAGTTAACAAGCGATCCTTTGACGTCTGGTAGGGTTTAGCTGCCCTCACGTGGGTCCAAGGCGTGCGGGGATGAAGAAATAGTGGAGTAGCCTCTACCATGGAACTGTGGCAAAGATAGACCGAAAGGTGGGGGGGAGCTGGCACCGAAGAGAGCTGTTGGGGAAGCTTACCTACAATACAGGCCCTCCTTTGAGACCTACGACCGTGTATATTATTTCTCACGTTGATAGTTGTTGTCATACCAAAGTGCTGCTCGAACTCTGCACAATGACGTCTGAAGAGAATTGGGAGAAGATTGCCGCGGCGAAGCGGGCTGCTCTCGCGGAACAAATCCCGCCCGAATACCGCGTCCCGAAAGACCAATTACCACCAGAATCGCAGCTCGACGTTACGACGTGGCCCAAGGAATCTGGGTGGTTCTCTCCAAGGGAGCTAGAGATCACCGGTAGCACTGCATCGCGAATCCTGAAGCAAATTGCGTCGAAAGAATGGAGTTCAGAGGAGGTGACACGAGCATTCTGCAAGCGTGCTGCTGCAGCCCAGCAATTGGTAGGGCTATGAGCACCCCCAATATAGTCGAAGAACTATTTAACGATAGTAGACAAACTGCCTTAGTGATGCCTTCTTCGAGGAGGCGATACAAAGCGCCAAACATCTCGATGATCACCTCCAGCGATCCGGCAAGCTCGTGGGACCGCTCCATGGCTTGCCAATCTCTCTCAAAGATAACTTCAATATCAAAGGCAGGGATAGCACTGTGGGCTTCACCTCCCTGGTCAACAAGCCAGCAGAGTACAACGCGACATTAGTAGATATCTTGGAGAGGCTTGGCGCGGTGCGGTACTGCAAAACCAATGTACCCACAGCTATGATGATCGTATGTGTACATGCACAAGTAACGTAGGCAAAAGGCTCATGGGACACAGGCGGAATCGGTAAACAACACGTTCGGGCGGACGTTGAACCCACTGAACCGCAAAGTCACATCTGGCGGATCTTCAGGCGGTGAATCAGCCCTCATCGCTTTCGGTGGCAGCGCTCTCGGAGTCGGGACCGATATTGTCAGTCATTACTCGGTTGACCTGAGATGAACAAGACTAATCAGATACACAGGGCGGTAGCTTACGTATACCAGCAGCATGCACGGGCATATTCACTCTTCGTCCGTCTTTCGGTCGCTTTACCACACAGCGATGTAGATCCGGCCTCGCGGGTCAAGAAGCTGTCCAGAGCGTAAATGGACCGATGGCAAAGACCCTTGAAGATATCACAATGTACTCGAAAGCTATTGTAGATGCGCAGCCCTGGCTAGTGGATCCAAAGATGCTGCCAATACCGTGGCGGCAAGTAGAGCTAAAGAAAAGGCTCAAAATCGCTGTGTTGTGGAACGATAATGTGTGTATGCCTACACCTCCAGTAACAAGAGCTCTTACGGAGACTGTGGAAAAGCTGAAAAAGGCTGGCCATGAGATTATTGATTGGGACCCTAAGTTACATGCTACAGCGCTGGGCCTTCTGGTGAGTTCTTCGCGTAATCTGCCAAAGGTCGACTAAGCAAGAAGTTAGGGCCGAATGTTCGTCGCAGATGGTGGCAAGAGCGTCGAAGCATTACTCGCCCCAACGGGTGAGCCGTACCGACCAGAAATGGTTCAATACAAGGACGCCAAAGACTCTGGCGTTTTTGAGCTGTGGAAGCTGCATACAGAGCGATCCGAGTTACAGCGCCAGTATCTTGAGCAATGGATGTCATACGATGGACTCGATGCTGTTTTGGGTAAGTCATACATTCGCAGTGACTCCACATTCATTAACCTCGACAGCACCTACTACGCCGTACGCAAGCGTTCCACATGGCGACTTCAAATATGTTGGGTATACTGGAGTCTACAACGTTGTCGACTATGCTACTGTGTCGTTCCCAACCGAGATTACTGTTGACAAGGCAAAGGATAAGCCGGTCGCAGATCACAAACCGCAGAGTGACTTCTGCAAGGCCGCGCAAGATAGCTGTAGGTTTCCAATATATACCTCACAAGTGCACTTCCTTAAACTGATACTCGGTAGATGACCACGAGCTCGTGCACGGCTTGCCCGTCAGCCTGCAGTAAGCTTTACAACTGTCATCTTGCTTTCGTTTTGCTGACGTTTGTGGTTAGACTCATTGCGCAGAGGCTTGAAGAGGAGAAGGTTCTTGCCATGACTGACATCGTACTTCAAGCCATCAAATCTACGGACTAAGCGGATTTCTAGAATGGTGTGCACCTTGACTTGTTATGAAATTGCTTCAAAGATTATAAAGTCGGTTATGTCGTCCGATTTGTAGGCATGATCCTGATTTGCACCTGGTCGCGAATGCCTCCCTTGGCGGATGCAGTTGAAGCAAGAGCAATGAGTCTACCGTAAAGATCACACATACAAACAGTAACTCTCTCCCCGCTCTCACTATAACACCACATCCATACCCACCTCATTGTATATCCTTTCCATCTCGCAGTCCTCCACGACCAGCTTCCTCGAGTCCGAAACCTTCGTCCTAATTACTTCTTCGCATCGGCACTCGGAGCTGGTCGTTTCCTATTCTGTAGAGCTCACAAACCTCTCACTATCACTCAGTACTCCCGCGCAACTGTTTAAGTCCTAGCGACACCACCTTTCTTACCAGGTGTCTTTCGAAGTAGCATATTTGACTTTACCAGTGTAGCTCCACGCACAATTCCGCTTGCACCCGGCCGTAGAGATGGCTGGGAGTGCTGATGCTGGCTCTGCAAGCACAGAGGCGCTCTCGAAGCCAGAAGCACCCACGGAGAGGAGGAAGGTAGCTCCGCGGACAACAGTGAAAAGACTCCCTTGGCTAGATGGCAAGACGTCACGGGCCGTCTCGACAAAGCCTTCAGCCCGTCGGCAGAGCGAGGCAAAGACTCCATCTCAAGGTACATATCCTTTTAATCGCAGGCCTTCTACAGCTGTCGCACCAAAATCTACCACAAAACCCACGCCACTAATACGGAAGAAGCCAATGGCTTCACCAAGCAAACGTCGGGTCTTGCCGCTGGACGGGAGCAGCCTATCTGTAGCAACAGAAAATCGACCGTCACAGAGTCGACGTGTCTCGCTTCCGCCGAAAAAGTCTCCCCCTTTGGGAGATCCACCTCTTGCATCAGTATCTCGCGAACTAAAGAAGAGGCCCAAGATCGTACATTATGACGATGAAGAGCTCAACGAAAGCCCGCTATACGACGATCGTCGGCGTACAGATAGCCTTGTCCCAGTTCCAGACCAGCTCGAAAGGTCTATCACACCGGATTCAATCCGTATACCTGCACAGCACTATGTGGAATCAACAACAACTCTGCCTGCGTTCGCTTCGCATCTCCAGATGCCCGCAACAAAATTAGGACCCGGCCCTGGTGCTTTCGATCGAATCGATGACCGAAGGACTAGCAACGCAGTTGAAGACCTAGAGAGCATGGTACAAGAGGCTATTGAGATAGCTGAAGATGCTCATGATCAAGATCAAGTCGAAAAAATCTATGAAATCATTGTAGATGCCAAGGATGCGATCCAAGAAGCATCTGGCGACCCCACGAGATATTCGATGAACACCACTTCACCGCTCCAAGCATCTTCTGAAGATGTGGAAGACGTGTCACAATTGTATTCGCAGTCACAATGCGGCGGATCCCCACACCATATGCCCTCTGAACCAGTAAGGACGCCCCTCGTTCACAAGGACAGATTGGAAAATGCAAAGGGGCTCATGCATCCTGAGGAACGTGTTAACTTACAAAGAGACTCTTCGTCATTTGACTGGGCTTATTCGCAGCGCAAGGATCACCAAGTTGATAAGTCTTCAACTTCGTCTCTCTCGTCTAGTGACCAGGGCGTGCGAGGTCGGACCAGATTCGGCACACGAAGTGATCTACTTCTTCCACCCCAGCCTTCTCGGACTTCTCCAAGGGATCATGTAGATTTCGTTCTTCGTCCTGTAGCTCGAGATCAGTCTCGTGGTCGATCACGCCAGCGGCTTACCGGAGACTCAGTTATACGACCACGCAGACGTCGGCATCGCGGAAGCTTTGGAGTCGAAGTAAAGTCTAGATCCGGACATCGGCAGCACAGATCGTCAGTCTTCAGCCAAGATGATACATCTTTTGACGAAGAAGATCTTCCTGCTAAAATATACGGAAACGAACTGATCGTACAGGAACAGGCACATCATCATATGTTCAGTCTCCGCAGGCACCACCGCAGACAACCGATCGCGAGAAACTGGTCCACGGGCAAGAAGCGTCTCACTGCCGTGATTGCGTGTATCAACACTGCTCTACTCGGCATCATCATCGGCGTCTATGCCGGCGAAGTACCTCGCATTCAGTATTATTTGGCAGATGAGCGCCATATCGTCATCGTAGGCAATGCTGTCCTTTACTTTGGGCTTGCTGTATCAACCTTTGTTGTATGGCCGTTAGCCCTGCTCCACGGACGCAAGCCTTATGTGCTAGCCGCTCTGGCGCTCGCTCTACCTCTACAATTTCCTCAAGCAATCGTCGTCAGCGCCAAGCGGTCCCCTAACGACGCACGATTTCGAACTGGACTGCTTTGCTCTCGTGCAGCTTTAGGCCTCGTTCTTGGGTTTGCAAATGTGAATTACATCACAGTGCTTCTTGACCTTTTCGGCGCATCCCTACAGAGCAAAAATCCACATCAAGAGTTTGTTGTTCCCAATGATGTACGGCGGCACGGTGGAGGGATGGGAATGTGGCTTGGTATCTGGTCATGGTGCTGGATTGGTTCGCTCGCTATTGGTTTCCAGGTCGGCGCTGCAATCATCGATGGCTTGAGTCCAGATTGGGGTTTCTATGTCGTACTAATTATCATCGCCGCCGCACTGGTTCTGAATATCCTCGCCCCAGAAACTCGTCGAGCCCCCTATCGAAGGTCGGTAACGGAGGTGTATGATCGTGATGAGAATTATATCACTCGTCGCGTATCGCGCGGTGAGTGCAAACTCCATATCTCGACCGAAGGCCCGAAGTACTGGTTTGAAGAGGTGTGGGCTGGGCTGAAGCTCATGGTTATGATGATGTGCCAGCCTGGATTCCTCGTCCTCTCCCTCTACCTTGGCTGGATCTACACACAGATCGTCTTAGTCATTGTTCTTCTAGGCGCTCTTCTCTCTCGAGATTACAAATGGCGGCCTCGCTTCGTCGGGGCAGGCGTGATGTCCATCGCCATTGGTGCCTTTCTAGCCATTCCACTGACGAAAGCCGGCATATTTTCTCGCGAGCGCAAGCGTGCATTTCGAACTGATAGCATGACATTCCAGAAACAAGTCACTTGGTCTTCCCATCTTGTCCGTCGGGCTATCTTCACGCTAACCCTCCCGCTGATGGGCCTCGCATACACTGTCTCTGCTGCCGGCAAGCCAAACCCATATATGGTCCCCATCATCTTCGCAGGCGCTGTAGGCTTCTTTAGCATCCTCGCTATTGCCGAATGTCATGGGTTGATGATGGAAACATTCGATACGTGCGACTTGCAGCCTGGCACAAATACGCGGCATCGTCTCGTGTCCATGGCTGTTCAGGATCGGAGGAGGAGAACAAACTATACTTCCTTTCCCCGCGTAACAGCGGGCATCTTCGTCTCGCAAACCCTCGCTTTCATTGGTGCAGGAGTGGCCACCATAGTAGGCGGTTCCATGACACGTCGCCTGGGTGCCCAAACATCTACCGGCGTGACAGCAGGAATCCTCTTTGGCCTCACTATTCTTCTCACAGCGGTTCTTTTGCGCTTCAAGGAAGTACAGGTCATCCCCAGCCACACGTTCGGTACCCGACGCGATACGGCTGCATGGGTGGAGTTCAAAGAATTAGAGAAGATGGGTAGAGGGGCAGACTGGAAGGCTGTGGTGATTGGGAACCCGAGTGGCAAAATGAGGAGGATGAGTGTGCTTGAACTCGGATCACTGAGCAGGTGGACAGAGATCCGGAAATTGAACTTTCTGCTCAAGGGGCCGCGGTTGGGGGAGGAGAAGCAGAAAAGGAGGAGCTTCAGGGACAGCTGGTGAACAACTACGATGGAAGTCACGAGCATACAAGGATTCGAACTTTACAAAGGAGGCGATAGAATTGACAGATGACTAAAAAAACCTACTTTCTTCTTGCATATTTGTTTTTACTGGTAGCCGAGAAACATGTCTGCACGTCTGACGATTGTGAGGATATTTTACGCAACCAGTCCACTCTTTTCACGAGTAGAAAAGTACTCTTGTTCGACTACACAATGGTCAGAACTGTTTAGTATGCTCAAATTCTTATTGATAAGCGACTGTAAGAGTAGAAGTTCGAGTGAATAGCTCCCTCGATGCTTGGGAAGGAGCTGGCGCACAGGCCATCGGAAAAATCGTCAGGTCGTTGCCGAGCAGTCCAACAACTCAACCTCAACGCCGACATCGACCCATCGCCGTGAGCCATCTCCACTCACTCAATTCACATCAACATGTCTCTCGCTGCATCACGCGCCGTCTTACGGCAATCGACGTTCACCATCCGCCGCGCCGGCATCCGCAATGCCTCGACGACGTCCGAAGCCGCCGGCGCTGTAAAGGGTAAAGCTGCTGAGGTGTCGACCAAGGCATCAGAGGGCCTCACCAAAGTCACCAGCTCAGCAAGCTCTGCCGCGTCAAGTGTTGGCTCAGCCGCGAGCAATGCGGCCAATGCGACAACTGGACGTGTAGGAGGGCTGGTTGGGACTGTACAAGGTTAGTGGCATTATTCTGAGGGACGGAATGGGGTGTGATTGCATTTTGGAAGTCTGGAAGAGCGCGAAAGAGCAGAACGAAGGACGGCTGGAGCTCAATGGCATGTTTGGGAAGCTCTGTGCAGCTGTCCAGGCGTAGCTCGCGCGTCACGCTCCAATCGCGCTTTCCAATGAGACGATGACACACTCGGGTACCTGGTTCATTTCAAACATTGCGCTGACGTTGTCACTACAGGATTGATTCCCCAGGTCGTCTACTACTCAAAAGTCACACTTGAGCTCGGCAAGCTTATTGCTCATCAGCGAAACATGGCACCACCGTAAGCCTATCTAACACAACCGCACCCCACCCCTACGTTTCCTCATCTCACCCTCTATACACAACTAACACCTGAAAAGTTCTGTTCAGACAATCCAAGGCTACCTCCAGCCGGCCATCAACGCCGCCAAGAACCCAACCTCGCTCTTCAACCGCGCCGCCAGCGAGGCCAACGCCGCAGCACAGAAAGTGCAGCAAGACCCCGCCAACATCCTCGCTCAGGTCCGGAACGTGTCACGCGCACAATGGCTTTCTGCTGGTGTTGTTGCTGCTGAGGTTATCGGCTTCTTCTCCGTTGGCGAGATTATTGGCAGGTTTAAGCTTGTTGGGTACAGGGCGAAGGAGGAGCACCACTAAGTGCACCAGAGCCATGGAAACGGATAAAGATACAGCAGAAACATATCAACTGGTCACAGGACAGTTGTAGATGAGTAGGAAGCGCGAGGTAGAGAGCAGCTGTACGATCACGCGGGCTGATAGGTTGGGCAAGCGTGCATGCGGTACACTTGGGCCGGGAAGGGCCCTACACTGTAGTATTATTGCACATACCTTTGATTTAGATTTCATTTCTCCTGTGCAACTACTGGGCAATGCAACCATTTCACAGCGATTCAGAACGCGTCCTGCAAGCAATACGATGATCGGCAGTTCGGCGAGAAGGATCGCACGGACCACCAATTTTTCGAGTTGAACTTTCGAACTTTCAACACTCGAGAAACTTGACACAATCTCGCAGCGAACATGGCGAGACAATGAGTAAATTTACACAAAAATAATACCAAACAGACGCCCAGTATCAACTTGACCATGAACGTCTTCAAGCTCCTCTCACGATCGTCAAAGGCGGCGCCAAACTCGCCGTCGCAAAAGCTGCCATCCTCCGGCGCAGTCGCGAACCCGCAACTTTTTGGCCACGATGAGCCTGCGCAGCCTACACAAAGCACGAACAAGAGCCGAAAACGAAAGAGAGGCCTTGTCGCTGTCACTATACAGTCACCCCCCAGTCCAGCTGCATTACCAGCAGATCTCGACTTTTTCGGCGGAAGCGCAGGTGTAGACACCGAGCTCGATGGAGATGATGGCAAGCTCACAAAGGGGAAGAAAAGGCAGCGGAAGGAAGAGCTGAAGGACTCTGGTGCTTTGGAGAACGGCACCGACGTTGTTGAAGAGGAGCAGTACGATGTGGATGAATGCAAAAAGATACTACACTTGCATAAGCTGAAGATCGCAGTGCTGGAAGACTTCGCGCCACAAGTGGAAGAGTCGCGGGAGGAAAAAAAGAAGTCCAAAAAGCGGAAGAAGGAAAAGGAGCAAAAGAACCAGAAGAAAGAAGCAAAGCGGCAGCTTTACCCACAGCCGCTCACGTCATTTGCTCACCTACGTACACGATATGGCATCTCGAGAAGACTAGCGGAGAACATAATGGATCAAGGCTATAAGCTACCTACCGAGGTGCAGCTTGGTGCTCTGCCGCTGCTGCTGGCTAGTAACAACCACAAGGCGGGGCAGAATGGGTCTACAACGGGCGCAGAATCTCTCTCTGGCGAAGGGTATGCCGGGGATATCGATCTATTGACGGTCGCACCCACAGGCAGCGGGAAGACGATAGCATTTTTGATACCGATCATCAATGCGCTGCTTTCGGAGAGCAAGGATACGGATTCTAGGGACGGGCCACGCGCCATCGTGCTTGCACCTACGAGAGAGCTTGCGTCGCAAATTGTCAATGAGGCGAGGAAAATGGCAAAGGGCACGGCAATCAAAGCGACACTGATGAGGAAGGGCATGGAGGTCGTTGAAAGAACAGAAAGCGAGCTCATCGAATATGGGCCCGACTCACCCGATGCTTCTGAGCATGACGAAGACGCTTCAAATTCCGATAATGAAGACAAGGCAGTACAAAAGAAAAAGCAAACACCAAGACGAGCAGAACTCGTAAAAGCAGCGATTCTCGTAGCCACGCCCCTCGCACTTCTAAACACTTTGAAGCGCAAAGATGGCACAATCGCGAACCTACCGAGCGTCTCCCATCTTGTCCTCGACGAAGCAGACGTGCTCCTTGACCCGCTCTTCCGCGAACAAACCCTCCACATATGGAACGCTTGCACCAACCCCAAGCTGCGAGTAGGGTTGTGGTCTGCAACAATGGGATCCAACATCGAAAACCTCACTCTCTCCACCATGAACACGCGTTGGGAGACACTGTCCTCGTCGAAGTCCGATATGCCTGCGCGACCGCCCCTCATCCGTCTCGTCGTCGGTTTAAAGGACAGTGCTATACCAAACATCTCCCACCAACTGACGTACGCTGCAACCGAACAAGGAAAACTTCTTGGGATACGACAGCTTCTCCATCCAACCTCCAGTTCCTCAGACTCCACAGCTCAGTCAACTCTGAGACCACCCTTCTTGGTCTTCACACAAACCATCTCCCGCGCCATCGCCCTCCATTCCGAGCTCCTCTACGACATACCCCCCGAAGCAGGAGGCTCCTCGCGCATTGCAGTCCTCCACGCTGATCTTTCCTCGTCCGCACGTGACAGCATTATGACGCGCTTCCGCCGCGGCGAAGTTTGGGTACTCATCACTACTGATCTACTCGCTCGAGGCGTGGATTTCCGCGGCCTAAACGGCGTGGTGAACTATGACGTACCCAACTCAGCAGCCGCATATGTACACCGAGTTGGCAGGACGGGACGAGCTGGCAGGGAGGGCGGCGTAGCAGTCACCTTCTACACGCAGGACGATATCCCGTACGTGAAGCTCATCGCGAACATCATCCGCGCGTCTGAAAAACTACGGGGCGTCAAGGCGGAAGATGGCAGCATAAAGCAATGGCTTATTGACGCCTTGCCGACACCAACGAAGCGCGATCGGCAGCAACTCAAGAAACGAGGTGTTGAAGCTAGGCGGACTGTCAAAGGAGCAGATAACAAGTCCAAGAATAGGATCAGCACTAAGAGCGGTTATGAAAGGAAGATTGAGAATAATCGCCGAGGCGCCATGCTTGGGAGTAAGCGGAGAGCAGAAGCGGAAAATGGTGGTGGTGTGAAGGAGGTTGAGGATGGTAGTGATGGGAGCGACTTCGAGGGGTTCGAGTAGATATAGCAGGGCTGGATTCAGATGTCAAGATTCTGAATTTAGACACTTGATTCTCTTCTTCCTTTAGACATACAGATATGCCCGTCGTCAGTCTCCCCGTACACTTGTCTCATCCCTACCACCGTATCACAACGTTAATGAAGATATGAGTCGAGTGATCTCCATTAGACATATGCATACCGTGGAACATATTGACCAGCATTCAAAATGAATGTTTCGTTGATAAGGCAAAAGAAGGTGGTTTGGGATTAGGGGTAATATCTCTGACTTTTCTTTTGAAAAGCAAGCGTGTAAAAGAATCATAATGGGAAGGATAACTTTGGGTTAATGTGTTTTTTCAGCACATTTGGTTGTATTATAGTTGCTGTGGCCTTGCGACTATATTATTTCCTATTGATGCATTGAAAAGAACCCCAAAAGCAGCTCGCTTCAGCTTCCATTGTACTCCTTCCTCCCAAAATCTTACATATACCTCACCTCGCCAGAGACAACCTACTCCTTCACCCCTCAACCCCATACGCCTCACTCCCCGCCCTCCACCACACCCTCTCCATTGACCCCTCCTCAAAACCCCTCTCTTCCATCCAAGCCTCAACAACACTTACCCAAAATTTCCAATTTCCCTGCTCGCCATGCGGCCCGCCGACATTGCATACGGGCCAATCCGATCCAAACATGACTCTCCCAGGGAAGTTGGCAAAGACGGCGTCGAAGAAAGGCTGGACTGCTTCGATGACGGACTGTACGGTGTCGGGCGTTGGCGAAGCGTCGTCGAATTCATTCAGGGCGCCCGAGAGCTTCATGTAGATGGATGTGTCTGCTGCGAGGCCGGTGAGGGCGGAGCGCCAGCGGACGAATGTTGGATCGGAAGGAGTCGCTAGTGGGAGTCTGTGTTTGCAGAGGTGGTCTGGTGTGGTTAGACGTGACTTTTCTCGATATAGAGGAAGTAAGGAAGGAAGAGGGAGCATGACTTACTCAAGACGAATCGAACGTGCCCTTGGCCACCACTATTCGCCTCTCGCCTGCGCACTTCCGCAATCATACCGCCCACATGCTCCAGCTGCTCAACACCATCTCTATGCGTATCCACACCAACATCAAATGCCCAACCTTTCCCTCCCCTCCCATCCCGCAGTGAAACAATATTCTGCAACCAGTCCTCGCTCTCAACTAACCGCTTCACCTCGCCCTCAGCCTTGCCCTGAAGTAAATACCGGAAGCCTACGACGCGGGCCCAAAGTGCTGGCCCAGCAACTTCTTCCGCGATCTGGAGGTACGTGCTGAAGAGGGAAGGGGAGAGATGGAACGGGGCCCATAACACTGCGCCTTTCATCCATGCCGCATCACTGGGCGCAAAGCCATCACCCTCTTCTGGCTTCCCTTCTACAATTCGTCTGAGAAATTTCACCTCGGATAAAGGCTCGCTAGCCCATTTTGATAGTTTCCTTCTCTTTTCCTCGTCGCTATCTCTTTCTTCTTCAATCTCAGGAGTTGAGGATGGCAAATAACGATCAGTTTCTACGTATATGAAAGAGACTGGAATGGGGTTTTCTTCCTCTACTTCTTCCTTGGATGAAGATCTCTTTACATTCGCGACGCTCCTGTAGTCTGAAATCCCATGTCTTTTAGCAAGGTGATGGCCCGGCGCCATCCAGCCATGATTTGTGGGTTGCGTAGCTGTTGAGGGCCAGAGGTGGATATGCGAGTCTAGGATGCGGGATGGTGGCATGGTGGGAATTGCACTTTAGTGACGCCCCGTTGTGCAATGTGCTATCGCTGAGTCGTTCAGAGCGTTTTGCGATGAGTCTGGTTCAGGAGCTAGAACTTCGAGATGCATGTGCATATCTGGAATGCGGGGATGTGGTGCTTCGGTTGGCGGGATAATTATGACCGAGTGTAGGCGGACGGGCCTTGTGTCGACTATCGCTTGTTGACCTTGTTGGTGATGCAGATAGAGGGTGGCAGCTAAGTAGTAGTCGCATAGCTGCACTATCAAGTTACTGGTGTGACTGCAAAGCCGAGGAAGGTAGTTGTGATGACAAAGAGCTGGGTGCATGGTTATGAGTCTACACTGCAAAGTGATCACACATATTCGAAGATTTGCTGAGAGGTTTGTAGTACTAGAAGGGTTGGAGCTAAGATGAACTTTCGACTAAACTTTCGATCAGAAGGGGAGACTATTCAGATTCTCAGACGAACTGCAAGGTTATTTAGCGTTACTGATGAGTGGCTCTTGAAGTCACGTAATGTTGATAGTGAGCTGCTCTGTGCCTACCTCGTAGCCAAGCGATGACGACATACGGATAGCAGCAGCCCACACCATACACATAGTACTTTACGGCTGGGACGCCTTGCTAAAGGGGGTTTATACGGAATATTTGGCGCGAAGAGTTGCACAACTCATGCACACAAGTCACATCCAGCCCTCAATCCTACGGTCCAGAAACAGTGTGCGGCAGGTGTGCTAATTGCAGTATACACCCTCCCATGCATTCGAAAGGATTCCACCCCGATATGATATTGCAGCTGTGGTTGACTATTCCTCCGCGCCGACAGGGACAAGGTGCCAAACCCATAGCTGACAAAGGACAGTGGGGGTAGTTTTCTTTCGCTTAACGAGTTTGCTCGCTAATGTAAGGCATGTCCGAAGTGGACGCAAGGAGGGGTAATGGAGGCGCGCTTGCAGCTCAACAAGTAAATATTTCACGTGTCCTGAGGCTCCTCTTCGATAAGATGTTTGACAGCGAAGAAAAGCCGTCCAAGGTAACATGATATCGGCAACTCGCATCTTCAGGGATCTGCAGTAGTCTCTAGACTGTCAGATCGTGACAGCTGCACTCAACGTCCGGCTGTCGATCGCCGAACTCAGCAATGCACCATTGCTAGCAGATCCTTCACCAAGTAGAGGATCCACATGATCAGGACGCCCGTCTTTGTTAGTCTGTCATACTTCGCCATATCACTTCAGCACTTGCCACTTTTGGCGCGTTACTACAGCAATTTGTCGCGCGCTAGATATTGGTGTATCCACAATCGTTTGCACATCACCCGTTTATACCCATCATCAACGGGCCAAACACGAAGATTTCCCGCCGAGACATGGTGGGTGTGTCCTGTATGTGGAACCTTTCCGCATGGAATAGCGTAAAGCAACGCGGTTTAATTCGCGGCACCAAATTAAAACACCTGAACAATGTGCCAGATTGAGGACTGCTTGGCTACTTGGAAAGCTCTCGGAGAGTGGGGTGGAAATTGTACATGTCGTAAAGGTTGACGCGAGCGTGGAGAAAACAGGTAAGACCCTGGCCAAACTAAGTGCCGAGTCAAGGTCAAGCATCGGCTTACTGCACGACATTTTAGTGTTGGTGCATGCTTTCTCGTATTGTGGAGTAAAGCTCCGCGGTGCGGCTCGCTCGGATATTTTGGCCGAGACTCGGTGAAGCTGTGGCTTTTGATGAAGAGCAACGTTAAATTGCTGTGCAATAACGGGTCGAACCACCCGCAAAGGGGTTGACGCGTAAGGCAGGCTCTCATTGTTGCTATGGTGTCGGTGCTGATTTATTGTTCTTACCAGTAGATCGGGTTTATGGTGATGAACGAAGTCCCAAGTCTCAGCTGTTTGTGTATCTGAAACCATGAAAACAGCGATGCGTAACAAACACATTAGTGAACCATAGATCGGGTAGACTCAAACTGATGTGCGTTGGCCCAATTAGAAGGTAGGCTTATGTCGTTATATCAGCCGTGTTATACACCTGACTGATAACCGGTGGACAGAGAATTGGTTCCCACATTCCTCAGTCAGTCAATGGAGAAATCAAGAATACTGGAGGCATCGTTACGCGACGATCATCAGGGTCCTGACTCGGAGCGACCAGCAGCTCGTGCTCGCCTCTCAGATCTCGGGTCAAGGCCGGCACGGCACGGACACTACCAAAGGGCGCACCCGAGGTTCACAGCTCGTAGTGCTCGTGACGAGCTGTTAGCGAGTATTGTAGTTAGTATTGTAGTTGTCGAAGTTTCCAGAGGTCCACTCTTGTCCGGTAACCGAACCAAAGAGTTTAAGACTGATGTCAGCCAGAAGGACCCACTGCCTGGTCTGGATCCCTTGCAGTGCAGTACATTGACTGCCCATAATCGATTCGTGAATAGCGGTAGTTCTGCTGGATCTCGCAGATGATGGGGCTAATTGGCCTACAAGTATCGCATGCTGAGAGCAATGTGATAATGGGGGGATAAGGATGATATGGAATGCCTAGATAGTAAAACAAATATTCCGATGCGCGCGGAGATTGCGTGAATGTTTTAACCTTGTCATCATTTAGCAATAAAACTGCTAGAGATAGTCCGCTGCTAGCGATTCCACAATCAGCGAGCTGTGATATGCAACATGTCATATGTTGAAAATAGCAAGGAAACCTTCCCACCACTGAAGAAAAAGTGGGATAAACTGGGTTAAGTGAGACGCTGCAAGCCTCTCCTGACTTACGTATACGTCTTCAATGCGGCCCGGAAGAACGAGTCCTGAGACGATGCGAAAAGTGACCAGCGTCTTTCTTGCTTACCCTGTCCCGACGGCGTGTTGTGCGCGTGAAGCGAGATGTGCAGAGTTTTCGCTTTCGACCCAGCCGTATGGCATCCATTCAGATGCTGACAAGGAGTGGCAAGCGAAAGTCGGATGCCGATATGCAAGTTGACTACGGTACTAGGAGGTCTATATTCGTCAAATGGCGTGGACCATGTCAAAGTTTCACAAGGTCAAACTTGTGCTGCGCCTCCCTTACAGAACCTAGGTATTGGCAACAGCCAAGTCATCTCGATCAGTCCGAGTTGGCTAAACGTGGCGTCCATCCACGCTGCACCTGAGCGTTTTGAGCAGTTTGGATCAGCCAGGTACTAATCAGGTTATTCCCTTGGCCGTTAGTGAATGCGTTCTATACGCGCGCACGCGAGTGCCGAATGGAAAGTCCTTGCTTAATTTGGCTTGCTTTTCTGTTGCATCGGGGACGCGGGCCACAGAAGCTTGCATGCAGCAAGCTGCCATTGCACACATGCTCTACAGTGCATGATTGTCGTATCCCCAAATTCGCGAGGGTTTCTTGCACCGCGACAAGCAGCTATGCTAAGACGTGGGGAATTGGGGCTGGCGTCACGCCGCGTTCGGCGCTGGTCTAGCGCAAGATCTTGGCTAAGAGCATACAGGGCGGGAGCGGGATGACAAGCATAAGGTTTGGCAAAGGGTCTCAGTCATCTCGACTCGCTTGCTCGCTTGACATGGAGCCGCTTGCGTGTGTCATGGCGCGTTTAAAGAGGAACGCGTATAAGATTTTTGCTGTTGGTAAAATAATTGTGGACAGGGAAGGAAAGTGCCGCAACGCACAATGATGAATGCTGAGGGTCGACGAGGCAAGTGTGCATGAGAAGTTCGGCGCCGTCTGGTTTCTGCTCGCTCCTGGAGCCCCAACTAAGACGTGCAGGATGCAGGCTCGCTTGAGCGAACGTGTTGTTGGTGGGCCACCTTTTCGACCTGTCAGCGCTGTCGGAATCTGGTAGGGCGGTAACGTAGCAAGAACGCTCTGCACTCCTAAAGCGCACTGCAACCGATGCTGGGCTGGATGGACCTGGATGATGACCTGGGAGTACCTCGCGGCAATAAAAGACGCAGGCGCAGATGGCGTCGTCAGAAATGGCCCGCTGTGGTGCGACTTTCATAATCCTCCGCTTTTTATGCAGGCCATGGCCGAGAGTGGAGATAGTCCGGGAGAAGGATGATTGAGCCCCCCATCGCATGAGCCGGAATGTACCTAGTTACATCGCGCCCACCTGCCGTCTTGGAGTGGTTCACCGGGAGTATTGCCTGATAGCACTTGTAGCACGACAGCGATGGGTTGATATCGTGCCGCTCGGCTCTCTTGCACCCTGATTAGAAGGATGGATGGAGCAGTCAATGTCTGCGACGCGGACGACGGTTCGCGCTACGCGGAGCGTGTAGGTAGTGCGGGCTGGGCGCCCGAGGCAGCTGGCTCGGGCCATGTGTTGCTTGGGAAACAGGTTGCGAAGGGATCCATTCACAGCTTGTGGGTATTTGTCAGATGAAGTTGGAATTAAGTTTGTGCTGCCTGTGCGTCGGACAAAGAGGCGTGGTTCCTTTGTGCGACTCTGAGCCGGCCTCGTGGAGGAGGCAGTTACACGACGGTAGCTTCCGAATCGAGCACAGCAGCGAGCGACAGGAAAGGCGCAAACAGCCACCAAGCAAACTAGTGACATTATGCCATATTGACTTTTGCATAGACTATACAATGGGCGGAACTGCTGGAGTGGCCCGAGAACGAGAAACGCAGTGCAAACCTGCATGGACAATACCCGAGGACTCCTGAACACCATGCACCCTAACCGTCCCATTTTGGTGACCTGAGAGCGACCATGCTCGATAAAAAGGGATATAGATGGGGCATTCCGACTCTACCGCTCAGATGCTGAGATTAAGTCATACCGCGCGCGGATCGTCACACGTCTAACATTACTGTACCGCGTCCAAATTCGCGGCCAAGGCCAAGATGCTGACCAAAAGTGGAAATAGCCAGCCTAACTCAAAGAAGATGGGAAGAGGGCGCCTCGCTCGCGAAGCATGCGCCCGCCTGGGGGAGGCGTCAAGGGAGGAGTAATGGTAGCCATGGGTGGGATGGCAAACATTCTGATGTTGTCGTCGACATCTGCGCCTTCGCGAGTGCCCCAAGTGGTCTAAACAGCCGATGGTCAGTCATGGTGGAGCGAGCGAGCGATGGGTGTGGGGCTGGGGCCATACCTCTGTGACGGTGATGCAGCCGTACAGCTTGATGAGATTGTGGAAATAACCAAATAGAACCGAGGCCGGGATAAAGCGGACGTCGCCCGGGTTCCTCAACAAATGCGGGACTAGCTTTATTGTTTTGGAAAACACCCAGTGGGCGATGAAGAGACCCCAAAACAGAGAGCGTGGCCACGGTTCCGCGTGGGGTTGCTTGTCATGCTCGGCCTTGTAATACCCAGCCTCGGAGAGAGCCAAGTAGACCGAGACGAACAGGAGGCCGTCGAGCAAGAAGGCCCATTGCGTAATGGTGGTCTGGAAGACGGCGTAGAGAGACCACGGGTAGCTCCTATTAGGGCAAAGGATTAGCAAAGGCTGCGAGGGTGGTGTACGATACGAGTCGGGCGAGGCAGAAGAGGGGCACTCTTGGCGCGTCCAGGACGCGGAAATGGTGCAGAAATGGCAGCTAGAGGTGTACTTACAGCCACATGTGGCCTTCACTAAGACTAGTCAGATTGCTCCTCCAATTAGAGCGCACCCAGCGCAGACACTGGCGCAGATACTTGGAATCGTCCTCTAGAGTCGTCTCCACCTCACACTCACGGTGGTTCTGCAGTTGGATCTTCCAATTGTGCGAGAACAGCCAGCGTGTGATGAAGTTGTCGTCGTCGGCGTTTAGGAAATGGTCGCTGCCCCATGTCTCGTGCGTGAAGCCGTAGGTGAAGTTGGGGTCCTGTAGAATCTCTGATCGATAGGCCACGGCTCGTCCCGAAAGGCACGGCAATCCGCCGTCTATCCAGTTGCAGGCCGTGCAGTCAAAGTTCCTCCTGACCAGGTAGATGGCCCCGAGAAACTCCCAGATGCTCGATCGGTTGGAGCGGCGCAGCTGCTGGTTTGTGCCGACGCCTCCCACACGAGCATCCTCGAATGGGGCCAGGATCCATTTTGTGAATTTCTCTGGGAGCCAGACGTCGTCGTCGAGAAGAAGCGTGATCTTGGTCTCGACCTCGGGAATGGCCCGACAGAGCTGGCGGCGCTTGTTGGCCTGGCTGACGGACAAGACCTGGATGATCTTGGGACTGCCCAGCTCCTCGACCATCTGATAGACACGCTTCACGCGCGAGTCAGGTGTCACGAGCAGAATCTCGAGGGGCTCGAGGCGGTAGGCGCTCTGGACCGTCTCCTTCAATTGCTGGAGGTTTTCGGCCACAGTGGGGATGATGACGGTCATGTCTTTGGAGGTGATGGTCGGGTCGTCGACGGGCTGGATGGGCGTATACGTCCAATTGCTCACCAAATTGACCCAGAGACGGACATATCGAAACAAACTGGATTGCGCGAGTCAGTGGCATGCAATGGCGGATAAGGCTGCGGCAGCAGAGGCACAGCCAGGACCAGGACAGGGCATGGGCGGGAAACGTACAAGAGGGCCAGAAAGATACAAAACCAACTCCAATTGGGCACCAAGGCAAAAGAAAAGGGAAACATGGCAACGACCAACGAGCGTGGTAGTACGGAACGTGAACTACGACGAGTGGACGGCAGACGAAGATCACATCGAATGGTGGGAGTGAAAAACCCGCTTGCCCCGGGGAAGCAGCGGATGTACAAGTATTTAAACACATGGTTGCTTGCGGGCGGGCTAGGGCGGCGACGACATGTTTCGCTTCCCGGACGCTGTTTAAGCTGCATGAGCTTCCCTTAGCAGACTTTGGGGTAGTGTGAACCTGGCTGGAGCATGAGGTAGTTGCAAAATTACAGAGGCGGGCCAGGGTACGCACCGAGTCGGGCATAGCACATGCGCCAGTGAGCACGAGCGTCATGCTTGGATCCCGCCAGCCGTTGAATCGCTCGCATGTTCCGGCCACCCTGCAACGCCAGCGCCTTCAGGGATCGACTGCATCGTCGTCGTCGTGTGTGCGTCGACAAGCAGCAGCAGCAGCAGGGCCTCGTCTGGTGCAACCGCCCCGCGCTCGCTCCGGTGTTGGCGAGAGCACGAGACAGACCAGACGGACAGACGCTATCCCCGACACCCTCACCCCATGGCGCCATGCTATCCAACCGCCTCTCTTTTTGCCCTCGCCATTAGTCGCACAGTCCTCCTCCTTCTCTCTGGTCATGCCCGCGATGGTATGGGGAAAGGCCGCGCACCCAGCGCCGAACCAGTGCGGCTGATGATCGATGGATCAATATATGTGACCCCCCCAGCTTGGCGCCAGTCCATCTAAGATCAAGGGCTCTAGGCCCCAATTGCGCACTCAAGTGCCTCTTAGAGTGTCATGCACTAGCCGCTGCACGCGGTCCCCACCCAGCGTGGCGTTATGGCGAAGATAGGCGCCCGCGAGCCCTTTGGCGGCAGGGCTGGCGTCTCCAGCTTCCCTTGATACGTCCTCACCACACGGCTAATTGGACCATTACGGCTCTTCGACATCGCCTATCCACTGCCCTCAATATCGTCATGTTGCAGACGCTGACCAACGGGCTATTCTCCCACCGACTGCCCAATAAACCATCCACGACGTCTGTCCCTATGTCCACCCTTCGTGACCCAGCGGTGCCTGCTTTCCGACCCACCGGCCGAGGGAGACTATTAAATGACATGATATTACTACCGTTTAGTAGCTTGCCGTTTTTGCTCGTGCTCGGTCCCACCCCAGCAACTGCAGTCTGCATTCGTCACCCGCCCCTCCCTCTCGCCGGACACATTGCCCTATGTAGTAGACACCACGATTGCCTTTGTGCCGTCGTCCTTCAAAATGGACCCCCAATCAATTTCTCTCAGCCGCCGGGGCCAGCAAAATAGCAGAGGTACCTGCACCGGCTGAAGAGATACATAGCCCGCGTCCACCTGCAATCCTAATTCAAGCTCATGTACGTACGCTGCATAGACGGGGGTCTATACCTTGCTCTTGCAGATCAAGCTGTCGGCCCGCGGGAGCACATACGCGCTCCAATTGTGATGCCCTGAAGCCTGTGCGAGGCCTGCTCGTGCATACTGAACGAGTTGGCCATGGGACGCCATATGCTGTTGGGTGGTACCTTGGACCTTGCCTACACATGGAATGGAGGGTTACCATTCCGTCTGTCTACGTCCGCATTCGGTCTTGCCTTCAACCCTTTGGGTGCATGATTTGCTCACGTGGTATTGTATGAGCTTGATACTACGAACACTTCTGAGCCTGGTTATCCTGCAGTGTGTATGTGAAGGGAATTATCAACGCAAACATCCAAAAAGCATGGTGGGGGTTTTAAAAAAAAACGCCATCTGCAAGCCCTGCTGCATCTGACGGTTGCGTCATTAACCACAATGCACGGGGGCGAGGGGGGGACACATAGCTGATCCTCCGCATATTGCGGATCGTATCCCGCTTCCTCGCGAGGGCCAGTGCCGTAAGAAAGCCAGATACATGCAGCTAATCCGATAGGTTGAGGGTCTTAAGAGCCTCAAGCTGCTGCACACTCAAGCGGAGTTTTGTTCGCATTGAGCGTTGCTATCCATCGGAGCCTTGTACTTTTCACACTCCATCTCCCAAAAGATCACGGAGAGCACTTGCTGCGGGTAAACACTCACTGTCAATCAGGATCACCTGTTGCCTGAACAGGCTGGCTGCCGTGGCTCCCACGACGAAAACTGGGAGCAATTTTCCCTCAGCGCTGCTATCTCGGGTAGTCTCGGACTTTCTCGCAAAACTCTCGCCATGTAGTAGACAAGACTTCACGGATAGAAACAATACCTTGGGATTTCGAAACTTCTGGCGGCTAATTGAGCGTGCATAGTCAGAGACGTGTCTTTGTAGCTACCTGAAACGATCTGAAGGCTGGGACTGCCGAACTGCATTCACATTTGGCAATGCACAACACCATCCGGGGATATCGCCACGATCTATTTCGACAAGACCAGCAATACGTGGCTCCATATTGATCGAACAGTAAGCTCGGAACGTTGGTGAAGAGCAAGCGGGTAAGTGCCATGAGGCACATAGGCACTACGCGAAGAGTTCTAATGGGCGAACTGGTGCTTGACTGACGAAAGCAGTTGAAACTGAAGCACGCGGCTCTCATCGCAGAGTTAGCTGTCCGTCTTCTTGCCGAATAGTCCGTCTACGAACTCAGTGTGTCTCTTATCGCCGTAGCTTCAGAATCGACCAGGCGCGCATGCTCGTTGCCAACACCAACCTGAGGATGTAGAAAAGCACCCAGGAAGCCACCACCAGTCTCGGAGTCTCGCAAACGGCATGCTAGTCGTTTTCGGTCAAACCGAGTTGTGAATAGTTTGTTGTTGTTGACCTGGACGCTTTGAAGATGGGGCAGGCATGGCCTGTGGCGTAAGACAGGACGTCTGGACCATGCCCACGATTATACTCAGTGTGGCGCACAAGCGTTGGGGAAGTTGTAGAGGAGGGCCGATGAAATCCAAATCGCGCCACATAGAGCGCGTGTCATGGTTGCTCCTTCCCTTCTGATTCTGGGGATAGCTCGGCGCCGCTTTGACCCTTCTCGACAACAGCGCGTGCCGCTTGTTACTTCTCGAGCCGATATCATCAGCACGACCTTTGAAGATCTCGATACATCGATGAGACGCACTGTCTTCGACATCTTCCCTTAGCACATGGGCTAGACAAGACACGCTTCCGAAATCGACGCGAGGCTGGCGCACTGCTTACCCGCGCACTCCAACCAACCCCATCGCATCTACACTTATCGCAGTAAGGCTATCAAAGCTGTGACTAAAGAGCAGGATCAGGTGCACAAAGGTAGTCGGTGTAATTGAGGTTGATGGTATGGAAAGAGTGTGCTGGTGGGGGCGAGGCTGCGCTCGAGGCCGAACAACTCCATCATCCCACGCCTAGCGTCCGTCCACCACCTGACCTTTACTAACCATACATACCTAGCTCAAAACCTCCAATCAGCCGAATATGCACACCCACAGTATACGCAAAACTCTTCCTGACCAGCGCTTGCCGTTTGAGCAGAAAGGTTGCAGCACTGCCGCACAACGGTCGTAGAGGGGACCAGGGCCTGGAGGGTCCATCCTTGATCGTTACCCGGATTGTCATTAGGGCCATGTCAGCCCGGATTACCAGTCTCGAACCGCTCTAGACGGTCTTGGTCCGGCGCCATCTGGTTCCCCACACGCTTCAGCGGCAGCGTAGAGCTCGACTCATTCCCCAGAAGTAAAAGCCTCTTGCGCAACAGCTGCACGCCGCGAGCCTCGCTGCCGTATTCACCCTGGCAAAGTTCAAGCAGTTCCATCAGGCCCGTACTCGCTCTACTGTTTGTCATCGTGCGGGGGGTGAAGGAGAACGTCCCGGAATCCCGCAATCGCAGCTGCTATGATTCGACCGGATTCGAGGCTATGGCGGATACCATCTAACCAGCACTTCTCCTGCCTGCATGCGCGAGCACACGGTTGCAGAAGTGATACGCTCGGCTCGCTATGAATATTGGTGGCATCATGCCCCTTCGTTAGCTCTCGCTTTGCTTACTTCGCGCGAACGGTGTGAAGGGCTTTAGCTGCATGCGCCCATTCTACGAGAGGAAGGAAGATGAGCCAATCCGTTTCCTCTCCATTTGTGCACTCCACCAGGTCAGATTGATCATGTTCACATCCGCCTTTCACGCGTTCTTCGAAGAATGGAGATGGGGCTGCGGTCAAACGAATCGTTGGTGACAATCCCAAGCATTCGAGGGCTGAGGTCTGAACAGCAATGTACAGCAACCAGATGCGTTCGGTCGCGAGCCTAATCAACATTACACTATATATCGAGCGGCGCGCGAGATCGACATTGATGACTTGGGCGATCGATGTCGTACATGCATGCCGCACGCTATCTTGAAGCGGTCCTCACAGGGAGCACTAGCAACGCCCAAGCTTTTGCTAATCTAATAGCTCGACAGGCACGTCACTACTAACCTCGTTTCACTCCGAGGATGACGAGCTCTGCCACAGAAGCTCCAGACACTGAATACCTTGTCGTAGCAATTGCGCTGCGCGGCATCCAATCATGGCATTCCTTCAATGCATCCCCGATCTTTCATCCTAACTAGCGGAGCACATTACCCAACTATGCAATCGACTGAACATTGCCCAGGCTTCCTTTCCGTACGCAGTTGTGTGTGTAATGCATGTGTAACTGGTCATTACCACGCTGCCAAGTCTTCCAGAACCAAGAAATGCATGCTCAAACGATAGCAGAAGACTGGAGCGACTAGTCATTAGCTTCATAGCAGCATTAGACGTCGCTTTGACCTGACTATACGAGGTAATCCCATCATTCGATAATCATCCGACTTCGCACGCTAACTGTCAGCCTGGAGTTATATCTTACGGGCTATAAGCGCAACACGGCCCACTGCAAATCCGGAATTGTTGGGAGCTCCAGCTTTGGCGCATTTTGCATTTTGCATATACCTTGATTGAGGATCAGCATGGCATGCACGGTGCTTTAAGAAGGATTCCATGCTTTGAGAGCAAGATATCGGGAGACTTCCTCCGTGTCTGCAACATTGACACTATATTTACCCGTATCCAAAGAGAGTCGCAGAGACCATCGAGGCGCCCAAAGTCAGCATGTATTCCTATTGCGAGCAGCAGGGATAAGTGACATGACCAAGACGCAGGTTCGCGTTTCCATCCAATACACCATACCACATGATTGGAAGCGAATCACGTACCAAAACGACTAGTCGAAACAGCGAAACCACATCCGGCAGCGCAGTATACGATATCAGGGTCTTTGGCTGCACTTCGAGTCTCACGACTGATGCCTCGGCATGGGCTTGTCCCACGTTGACTATGGTTGTCCGTTCACAAACACGTTTTCGGCAATATTGCACGATCCTGGTGGCACCCGTGCCGGAACGCAACACACGCGATAAGCGCAAGTTTAAACAGGCCCAATAATCTCCGCGGAGGATCCTCGAACCTCGAGTTCACAAGACAGAGGGCGAGAAGAAAATGGAATTTACTTTAAGAGAAGGGAGTTGACGTCACGCGTCGATAATAATCATCGCTGCGGATACCCATTGGATGTAACCGTGGATTGTGGCGTGAATAACAAGTCGATAAAGACAGGGTGTTAGAGTAGGAGACGCAACGCCCTGCCTATCCGTCAGCCCAACAGGGGACGCTAAGGGTCTTACCCATGCTGTCCAAGCTGATTGCACCATGGACACTATCGCGCTCCATATTATATCGCACCTCCTCTCGACCGTCTGTCTACGTTTCGCTGACGCATTGGACCCTTGAGCAGTTCTCCTTCTATCACACCACAGTAGCGCTTCGCTTAACCCAGCTCAATGGCTATTCATCCAACCATGGAACGGCAATGGCTTCCACGGCGAAAACCTATGACTACATAGACACTGGCGGAAGCATGTGAAGAGCCGGAAACACCACGCCACATATCCGGGTACAACGTACATATCTTGCTTATTGAACACGGAAAATCTAGGGGCACGTCTGCTCATGTGGGTGAAAGGGCATCAATGTTGTACACAAGGCGTTTGCGCCAACATGTTCAGCTGCGTCCAAAAAAGGGAGAACCCACACGGCTGAAGAAGCGCTGACTGCCAGAATGGTGTTTTACGTGGGTGAGCGTAACGCTGAAAGGAGCACGCGGCTTTTCTACGACATATCCAAGGATGCCAAAGTTCCACCTCGACAAGCCTCAAGGTATCAGCAGATCGTGCGGCTGAACGGCGACTCTCAACGCGCCTGGGTAAAAGAAGACATCAGGTGCGAGGCCCTCCACGCTTCATCGAAACGAAAGAGATTGGATTAGACCTGCAGAATAGGCTCGAGGTTGCAGCAGCGGTCAATGTGTTGCGGACGACTATTCACATCGATGGCATCTACATACCCGGTGACATGACTGGAAAAGTCAAGCCTGCTCGAGACAAGGCCACTGAATCACCTCAGCCGTGCATGTACCTGTGTTTGGTAATCTTGAGCTCATAGTTGCAGTGGCGGTTGCTGCAGGATAATAACTGGGCAACCAACTTCAAGTCGAGTCGGCTGGAGTAAGAGAATATAGCAACGGTTGCGTTCAGTCACCCTGGGACCCACGATTGGGTTGATCGGGCCGCAGGCGGTGGCGGAGCACAACCAGGACAACATGAAGGTCAGTCACCTGGACGAATGGATATGCCACTGGACTGATGCAGTGAAATGTAGGGTTCGAAACATGGCTTAGCGCGATGTCTCTTCACCGGAGGGAGCAGGCGAAACATCCAACACACGATGTCGATCCTTGTCCCTCTCCACGTTACACAGAAGTTGAAGCGAAGCCACCCACCACACACACCTCGTCCAAGACCCCCTCATGTCCATTCAATGCGTTCAGACTCTGCGGTCGTCCGAGGGCGAGATCTAGAAATCCCCACACTAGCGTACAGAAGCAGAGTCAGGAGTCATGGCCAAGTCACACGCACCATGCATCGACACTGCTCAACCTCTCGCCGTGGATTCTTGACCCTGCAACTTGGACTTCCCCCGCTCTCTCTCTCTAAATAGGAAAACATTTGCGCGGCCTTGGTGCGCGGCCTGTACATCCTCCGCGGCCGCTTAACCGAGTTGTTGCGGGCTGCGACGTAGCGATTCGCTTGCGTGGCACCGAAGCGGACTTGGATGGCTGTCTCGCTGTCTATCGATTACTTGGGCGCCGAGGAGATTGTCAGGATCAAGAATCGTTAAGGCTTGGTATGGTGTCTGAGATTGAGAGACGTGCATAGGTACTCTTGTGAAAGGTTTGTTTCTGAGTGGAAGAAACTGTGGAGGGGAGCACGGCGGATTTGAGTCTTTCATGGATAACGAGAGTCTACTTGGTAATATGCGGAGTCGAGTTGGAATATAAGCCTCATACCTCGTTTGTTTTATCACCCTGGAATCGTATCAGTCGAATCCTGCTGATTTATTCTCCTGAAGCTTTGCAATTGCTGGTCACTCTCTCAAGGCCTGCCAACATGATCAAACACAATTCCTAAACCTTTCGACAGCATTATTTTGTAAAATAGGGGTAATGTGTCTCACGAGAGTCAACGTTTGTGTGTACGATGTGCAAAAGTTCTTGGGAAATACTAGTCTATTCTGTCTACAGGATAATCATTGCAGATTGACGAACAGTCCTCCGTCAACCAAGAGCTGGGCACCATTGACGTAGCTACTAAGATCGCTACCGAGGAAGACTGCAGGTCCAGCAAGATCACTCGGTACACCTGTTCTACCCAACGGTATCCGGCCCTCCATGTATTTCCTCTTCTCAGGATCCTCGAGATCCTTCTCATTGAGCTGCGTCTTGATGGTCCCCGGCAACAACGCATTGCACCTTATCCCATGTTCGCCTAGAGCGCAAGCAGACGACTGGATGAGCGAAAGCACGCCTGCTTTCGTAGGCGTGTAGTGGCCCTGGAAGGCACCACCGACAAGCGCGGAGATGGACGAGATGCCGATTATAGAACCACCGGGGGGTGTTTGGGAGGCGAGTTGCCGGGCGCCGGCTTGGATGGTGTTGAAAGCGCCCGTTAGGTTTGTGGTGAGGGTGGCGTTCCAGATTTCTGGTGTGATTCTACAACACAATATCGTCAGCACAAGAGTTGTTAAGAACAGGGGACATAGGGAGATTAGGAAGGTTATGCGTACTCCAAGAACTCCTTGAACTCGCAAATTCCGGCATTGCTCACTACCACGTCTAGCCGTCCCCATTTCTCCACCACGGCCTTGATCAACTGCTTCCCCGTCTCAGGGTTTCCTACGTCGCCTGGTACCTCTATTAACCGCTTCTCTACATCCTCTTTACTGATCTTTAAACTTTTTATGGCCTCTTCGATCAGCGACTGGAATAGTGAAGACGATCTTGCGTCGCCAAGATGGTTTACTGCGACATGTGCGCCGTGAGCCAGGTAGCCGAGAACGATGGCGCGGCCGATGCCTGTTACGCCGCCGGTAATGGCCATGTTCTTGCCAACGAGGAGCTGGGGGGCTGCCATTGCGCCAGACTCTGGCTTCCAGAGAGTCATTTGCAGTGTATAGAGACGGATTCGTCTCAAGTGCGTCTGGATGGCGGGGTATTGGATTGCTCAAGGCGGGGTCGTGGAGGAACTTCAAGGTGGTCGTGGAGGCGCAAGGCAAGGATTGAGGCTATCGAGGCGGTGGATGAGGCATGCAGAGCACTGCGTTATCTTTGAAGACGCCATTGTGACTATTTGGCTCGAAGCTAAGCTAGACTTTCGGGAGATAGAAATAGTAGAATGGAAGCATAACCCTTTCGGGCTCCACGCAGTCGGGGCATTGGTAGCCGAAGGGCTTGGCGGGCGCTATGGCGGGCCTTTCACCATGTCACGCAGCGGACGCGTCCACCACGCCAACCGTAGTAGGCCCGGCTCTTGACATGGTCTACAACTGGGATGACAAGGAAGCTGAGTGCTTCAGGCTGTACGTCGAGGAGAGACAAAGCCTTGATGAAGTCATATCGTATTGGGAAATCAGAGGCTTCACCCCCAGGTATGTCGACTGCGGGATTGTTTGTATGGGACGCCGTACAATCTCCGAGCATCTAACTAAGAAGCCTACACATCCCTCCGACAAGCCACCACGTGGAGAGGGCGCAATGCTAACTATGTCTTTAGCAAACGAGCCTTTCAAACGCAGTTCAAGGTACGTCTCCATCGCACTCACCCGTCTCATACAATTCCAGCCGCCTGAACATACCTCAAGTTGCCCTACTGACACCTTCTGTAGCGGTGGGAATTCCCAAGCAAACAAAACCCAGCGCACAAGAACTCCGCCCTCGTCGCCCGCCTCCATGTACTATGGGAGCAGAACTACTCGCAGAAGGACATGGTGGATACCCTGCAGGCTGAAGGCTTCCAGATCAACGACCGCGAGCTGATCAGGCTGCGGTTGAGGCTCAAGCTACTGCTAAGGGAGAGTGTGCCTAGACCAAAGAGAAAGCAAAACACAGAGGGCGGAGCACAGAAGAAGACATCGAAGAAGAAGCGGCCAAAGGTCGTGCCTAGGAAGGGGCTGGTCAATCAACTTGCAAATGCAATACTGGCAGAAGGGTCTTCGAGCGAAGAAGAGAGTGAGAAGGAGCAAGAAGCTGTCCAGGAACAACACCAACAACATGGAGAATCTGCGGAAGAGGCACAACCTCTCATCCTAGATCCCGACCTTGCGCCTTTGAGCACAGAAGAAGTGCTACGAAAACAACTACGGCAGGAACAACTTCGGGTCGAAAGCGACGAGAAATGGCGTGCGCGGAAACGACGACGGCGGACACGCGGCTGGGCTGGGTTGCCAGCAGACGCTCCGGGCGAGCCCCCTCGATTTCCCTCAGAAACGACCATCGATGAAGCAAAGGCGTATCTCGGATTGGACAACAACATGTACCGCCAGATCCGCGAGCGCTTCCTCGAGATCTGCAAGGCCGAAGGTCTCGTCAAGAAGACCATCGCCGGGCCAGAGAAGTGGGCACAGATTGTGCAACAGCTCATTCGCGAGAACGCACATTTGTCGGACGTCTTTCAGCAGGAGCCCGACGTGATGCAGAACAATGACGCGCTATTCCGACCGAAGGGCCAGAGAGCGCTGTCACTAGATGTCATATGTATGGATGTTACAAAACGCCTGCGTACGATGGAGACGCGAATGACGCTTGCTGACGCGAAGAACACCCTCAACTTGAACCCTGAGCAAACACGCCACGTTCGGAACGCTTTCGCCGCCAAGCTGAAGGAGGACCACTTCACAAACAAACACGAAGCTGGTGAGCAACACTGGACGGAGCTTAAACAGGGCTGGGTCAACGAGTCGGAGCTCCTCACCAACGCGTTGGCACAGGGCGAGGCAGATCCAGCTTATGCGCAAAAACTAAGGGCTGTGGAGGTGCTAGCGAGGGACGTAATGAAGAGGGTGCAGCAGGAGAAGGCGGCAAAGGACCCGAGCAAGAAGAAGCAGGTCCATCAAGGTCCTGGGCCAGGCCCTGCGCCGCCAGTAGTCGTACCCCAACCGTCGATATTGCAGAGCAGGGGCAGGCAGAGCAGAAGCAATAGTGCTGCCAACGCGACGCAGATGAGCCAGTTCACCATGCCGGCAATACCAGCTACTTCAGATCTGCAGATCGATCCAAGTCTGTTGCTAGCCGCGAGCGATGCTGCTATCCCCAGATACCACCATCCCGAAACCCCTTATCAACAACAGCAACAACAACATCACCACGATCAATACCGGCCAGCTCCGCAGCCTCAACTCCATCGGCCTCAAAACTCTCACACATCCCACAACCAGCAGTACTATCCTGCATCGCCGACCCAGCCCATGCCCCTACCAATTTACTTCCGCCTACACCCACATTCCACGACGCCCTTCCCCAATAAAACCGTCTGGCTCTCCATTTTGCATGCGCCCTCCGTGGCGGAGGTGCGCAACTTGGCTTTGCGAGAGCACTCAGGCACTATCTTGCATAAGTTGGAGGGCTTGATCACGTACAGAGGCGAGGGGCAGGATAGGGAGGTGGTGGTCGAGGTGGGCGATGATGAGGAGCTTGGTGCTTACTTAGGACATGTCCGAGGCGAAGGACAGGGGCAGGGTCAAGGGAAGGCTACGTTTGTGGTGTGGTTGGGTATGGAGAGTGGTGGAGGGTATGCATAACATCAAGGTCGATGTGGGTGTAGGATTATCAAACGGATCATTGTAAAGTCTGAAGAATGTGAATAGGCATGCCATTGTGACAAATCTCTGGCAGAAATGGTATCATATGCTATACCTACGCGAACTCCACTATGGTCCCATACTCCTGCCAGGATAAATGCCCATGAAAACGCCCCAAAATGCCGTCGCTAACATATCATCTACTTACGCTGAAATGCCGCAAGATCAATAGGTCGAATTGTTTCAGAGAGTCGACATGAAGCGAACGCGCCGCTATCAAGAAACCTGTTCAGTAGTCAAAATCTATCCGATTCATAAGGGTATGCCTAGTATGGTGAAGCATAAGCGGGGGTTGGAGCGCCATTACCTCAGCGATATTCTGCCTCTCGATATAACTCTCCTGATTAGCATCCCTGCCCACACGCCAATACACATCCGTGTAATCCGCACAGTTCATCTCGCGCAAGAACTGCTCATCGTGCGTAATAACCAAGAGCTGGAAGTTGGCCTGTTTGCGGCGTATCTGGATGATCTGCGACAACGATTCAGCGAGACCTTTGATGTTCTGCTGGTCTAGATTCGTCGTCGGTTCGTCCAACGCGATGAGGCCACAGTTTGTGCCAAAGCACTCCGCTAGCGCTAAACGAATAACGATACTGGCAAGCACCTTTTGGCCCGCGGAGCAGCGACCTCGCATATCCATTTCGGTGTCTTGCTTGGACATGACGACGCGATAATTGTAGGTCCGATTTCCCCTACCATCGCTATCGGATGCGATACGGATCGTGTCTACGTCAGTGCCTTGGTAAGCGTTGCGCCAGAGCTCTGCGATGATTCGGTTTATTTCCTCCATTTTGAGCGTATGGTACCTCATGATGGCTTGGTCGAGTGCACCAGCATATCGTCCGAGGTCTTCAATGGCGGCTTTTGTTGTTTCGACTCTGATGTGGGCTTCGCGGTACTGCGTTGCGGATTCATGGTACAAGTTGTTGTATTCCGCCATGAGCTCGGTCAGCTGGCTGTCCTTGTTCTTCATATCTGACTCTAAGCCTATCTTCTCCGAATTGAGTGTGTGGTATTGGATATCCCAGACTTGGGCCTCGTGTTCGTAATGCTCTTTATCTCGCTCGGCGCCATCCTCCTCCAGCTTCGAGATCTCGACCTGTAGGGTTTCGAGAGAGCGCTTCGCTTTGCGGTAGCGTAAATTGTCGCCGATGGAGCGTTTGGTCATTTCCGTATCGCGCATCGACTCTTCAATCTTCTTAATCTTGCGAGTGAGGTCTACTATGTCCGTCTCAATCCGAGCAATCTCACCCTGTAGATTCTCGATTTCCCGGTGAGTACGTATGAGTTGTTGTGGGCCGCCGCGGTCAATATAGGCATTGATTTCCTGGTCTGCCTGGCTCAGTTGACGAAGGCTGTCAGAGAGCTTGGAAGCCTCATCATGGGCGCGCTGAACGCGTTCATTGCCTCGCCGGTTGACATCATCGTACTTATACTGAGCCTGCTCGATCTCAGGAACTAGGTTGTCGATGTCTTTATCGAAACCGCGAATCGCTTCTCGCTGCTTGTTGTTTTCCGTCTTGAACTCTTCGATACGGTCAGCAAGCGCTCGTTTCTCCTTCAGCTTGGACTGTGCGTCATTCAGCTCGGCGTAGATGTCGCGTATGCTGAGTTCGAGGGTGGTGATGAGATTACGTGACTTGTCACGACCCGCAGTCAGCTGCTCCAGGGCAGTTCTAGCGTTACGGCTGTCTTCCGTGACCTTCTTTAGGTCGGTCTGAATTGCAGTGATGCCTCGCGACAGCCCAGCAGACTTCTGCTTCTGCGACAACTCCTTGATTTGGACTTCGAGCTCTTTTGCTTTATTGTAGTAACCTACAATTGTTTGAACCTCTTTTGACATTGACTCAACCTCCTGTTTGGCAGCCTCTAACTCGTAAATAACAGCATCTTGATCTTCGAGCTGCTTGTTGACAGAATCGCGCTCCAAAGTAAGTTTTGAAAGCTCGGTTTGGATCGCAGGAATGTCAGCCTTTCGCAGGCGAACTGCTAAATCGTAGCTAGGCTTCGCTTTCCGGGCTATCTCGAGCTCGGCAAACATTTCCTGGGCGTTGTCGCCTTGCTTGTTCATCTCCGCCCTCTTGATGATATCTTTTAGCTTGCGAACGAAGCCAACTGTCGTAAAGTCTTCTGACCGATCATCATGGAGTGACCTCATGCAGAGTCGGCAAACATTATCTCGCTCGGCTACCTCTAGGCACTTGGCCATGTACTCGATTTGTGCCTCAAATTTGGCTTTATCGGAAGAGGCGGCCTCGTAGTCGTCTTCGAGCAGCTGCAGTGTTTCATTGAAGTCAGATATGTCGTCTTTTAGGACAGAGTCTTTGACGATCGTTTCATTCTCCTGGAGCTCTGCTCGCCTCTGCTTCAACTGGGACTCAGAGCTCGACATTTGGAAGTTGATCTTGTCCAGCTTTGCCTGCGCAATATCTCGGCGAGACTTTGCTTCTTTGACTTTCTCGGTCTTCTCCGATAGCGCTTGTTGGAAAGAAGCCTCAAGCGTAGCAGGATCCCACTCTAAATCGACAAGTTGCGATAGCCGCTTATTATGGACCTTCTTCATGGTCGCCAAGCTATGTTGCTGAGTCTGTAGGTCGTCCCGCTTGACATCGACTGAAGCGGATTCGCGCGCCTGTGTCGTAGCATCACCGAGCTCGGTCGCTAAACGCTCTTTTTGGTCTTCCAATGTTCGCACCTTGCTCGAAGCCTCCTGGATGCGCTCGTCGTAGCGCTCAGAGGCAGCCAATGAGTTTGCACTCTGCAGTTGTTGCTCGACATCTAGTTTTTTGTTCTCGAGGATAGCCTCGCTGCCTTCGTCTGCTTTGATCTGGTTCATGGCCTTCTGCAAATCTGCAACACGCTTGTCGTTATTTATAATTTGGGTTCGTGACGACTCCTTGCTCTGAGTCGAACCAGACTTGCGCGTGTTGAGCGTGTTGAGGTCGTTCTGTGCGTCGCGCAGGTCCCGTTGCGTCTCTTCTCGAGCGCGGTCAAGAGCTTTGTTCTGGTCTCGGGACATCTTGCTGAGTATCTGCTGGAAGTCGGCCACTTGCTTGTCCGTGACATCGTAGTCATAACCACGGATACCGTGGCGCTTAGCAGCTTCCTTGATGTGATTTTCGCGCTGCTGAATTTGACTTTCATGATGCTCTTTCTGTGCTTCGTACTTTCCGATATCACCTTGCTTCGCACCAAGAGAGCGACGGCCTTGTTCTAGGTCGTGCTGGAGGCCGCCATATTGTTTTCGGAGGTCGTCCGCTTGTGTAAAATACGTAGAGACACGTTCCTCATACTGGTCCAACATGGACTGAAGCTCTTCATCTGACTCGGCCATGTGCTTTAGGTTATCTTCAAGGGCAACAACATTCTCCTTGTTAGCATCGAACGTGATTCGCTTGCCATTTAGCTGTGCGACAATCTGCTCAAAACGCGCAGCGTGGTTGTAAGCGTTGTTGGCCTTCTGTTGAGCCTCCGTGCAAGTCTTATCCACTCTCCCGTACTTGCCCCGCAGCTCCTCGATTTCGTCGAAAAGGACACCTTGTCGTTTCTCGCTCGCCGCCGCTCGGTCTTTGTCTTCTTTGGCGTGTGCTTCAATGATCTTGAGCTTACCCAACTCGACGTTTTGGGTCTTGCGGATCATCTTTATATTGTCTATGGCTTTGGTGTACTTGAGAGCCTCGAAGATCTCATCAAACTTCTTCTTGAGGGTGGAGGGGTCGCTCATTGGCCAAAGACTGTCTTCTTGGTGGCAGAAGATGACATTCTCTAGGATAGCCTTGGACACACCAAGATACTGCGGGATGATCTGGTCCAGTTCGGCGACACGGGTTGAGATGGAGTGCTTCTCGCCATCTTTGATCATGAGCAGCGAGCCTTCTAGCGTCTTCTGGCTCCTCGCCGTCTTCTTAACCGTGACCTGGAGGTTGCGAGTGGCGACCATGCGGACTCCAGAGGTTGAGCGGAAGGATAGCTTGACCTGCGCTAGGACCTCTTTCTCATTTCGCAGCTTTGGGTCGTGGATGAATGCACCTCCCGTTTTGCTGTTCGGGGGTAGGTCGCCTGTTGTTGCATACTTGAGCGATTCGATGATGGTCTTGCGCACATGTCAGTCACGTGGGCTGTCTTTTGGGTAGTCCGCTTACTGTTTTGCCAGAGCCATTCCAGCCTACGATGAGGGTGAGGGGTGCAGTGAAGATGATGGTTTCTCCTTTCTCGGGGCCGAAGGAGCGGATGCTGTGTCGATTAGTAGGTGTCGATGGATGCATTATAATGAAGGCCACTCACCCCTGTATCATCATCCGATCGATCTTGGCTGTAGAGTAGAGTCAGTGATGCGGGGACAAGGGACATTGTGGAAGCCATGTCAGATTTGATAGTATGTATAGGTACGTACACCTGCGCTGAGATTAGTGGGAAGATGCCGCATTGGGGGTGTTACAGTTGCTTGCTCACATATTGATGTTTCCGCGCTGCTCGCGGGGAGCTCTGGCGGCACTGCCTTGGTTGTATCTCTGTTGTGGAGTGCGCGTACTACGCAGTTGATTGTCGGATGGTGGAGAGTATGCTAGAGAGAGACGCTGGAGCCTGGTAGCTGAACGCGAGTTTGCTGTCGCGCCATCACGTGCCCAGGCTGCAGGGGTCAGACTCCCAAGGCGAAGTGTGGAGAGGCAATTATTAGCCGTCGCCTCGCCCATGCAATTGTTCAGATGCCTGCGAAAAAAACCCATCCCATTCCTCCGCAGCTCGGTCCAACGTGCCGTCCCTATCACCGCTTCTTTTCCCACGTAACCTCACTACGATAAACATAGCACATAGCACATAGCATAGCAGAGCCCAGGCCGTCCGGCTCCCGTGCGTTTGGACAGCCATGGCGCACTACCTCAATGGCGGTGCTGAGGTACGCACCCCCCCGCATTACTAGCATATTAGCAAGGGTCCATTCCCTCAGATCTGAGATGTTGTGTTTATAGATGGGCCTCACGCCCATGTCCGGCCTTCCCATGCACCCGGATCGCGCAGACTTCAGCAGTCTGCCAATGGACGATGTGATGCAGCAAATGGACCTCGACATGTCGTCGCTCGATGGCGCCGAGCCCCAGAACACGGGCTTTGGATTCAATGACCCGCAGCTTCAATCGGCTTGCGGCCCCATGGGCGATAGCCAAATGACGGGTGCGGGCGCAGGTCCATTGCCTACGGGCTTCGGGGCCCCCAATCTCAACCCCTCAGGCAGCACCTTGACCGAGTTCACCAAGCGGAGAAATTGGTCGCAGCGCGTGCTAGAAGAGCTGCGCGACCTCCTTCACATCCTGACCCCCGATGGCAGGATCCTCTTCGTCTCGCCATCGTGCAGGCCGCTGACCGGATGGGAGCCCTCCTACCTCCAGGGCCGCTTCATCAACGAGTTCATCCACCACGACGACATTGGCATCTTTGTCAAAGAGTTCAACGAGTCCATAGCGTCGGGCAACCCGCTGCGCTTCTTCTACCGCTTCAAGAAGTCGGACGAGACCTACACCATCTTCGAGTCGCATGGCCACCCCCACCTAAGCAGCGAGCCGAGTTCCTTCGCGCCCCCAAACGGCCTCAACTGTCGCGGCTTCTTCATGATGGCCCGCCCCTACCCCACCAAGAACGCCGCCCTCCTCGACTCCTTCCTCGAACACAAGATTGAGAATGAGCGCTTGATGAAGCGGATAGCCGAGCTCAAGCGCGAGGAGCAGGACGAACAAGACGATTGGACAAGAAAGACGGACGGTGCTTCTACCACCATGACACCCTCAGAGTCACAAATGCCACAGAACATCACGGAAAGTGAAGCCGCATCCTATGCCCAGATGCCGCCACCAGCGAAGCCTGCCATATCGAATACCGCTCTCACACGGCAGAATCTCGACGAGGCGCTAGCAGCCAGCAAAACGGAGAACATCAACGACAAGATGGCACGATACGAGGGAACGAATCACCTAGAGACGATCGAGATGCTGACGGGTCTGCGGTATCAAGACGGCGAGCGATCGCAGGGTATCAGTACCGGACATGCAAGCCCCAACCTCATTCGAGGTGACGCTGGCATACAAATTAATCTGGACCGTGAAGGCAGGAGCTCCTCAGACAAGAAGAAGAAGCTCAAGATAGCCGACGAATATGTTTGTACCGACTGCGGCACGCTGGACTCACCGGAATGGCGAAAAGGTCCGACTGGGCCCAAGACTCTATGTAATGCATGCGGATGTGAGTTGCTTGGTTCTTAACGTAGTAGAGCGTATGCTAACGGCGTTGCAGTGCGGTGGGCGAAGAAGGAGAAGAAGAAACAGCAAGGGCCAAGCAGTAGCATGCCTGGCGCAACTGCAATGATGCACACTCCATCCCTCCCGATGCAGAGCAGCACCGGCAGCAGCTGATGCTCATATCGTGCCTCGCCGATAACGACTATGTTTCAAATCAGCAGAGTGAGCGAGTTGAGCTACACTATCCGCAGCGTAACCTTCAAGTCAAGGACCGGCCCAGAACCGACCAATCATCCAAAGGATGATGGCAGTTATAAGTGATCGGAAGACAGTATCGCCACCGCGTCCGACGGTCAAGATTCGCGTGGAGCCTCAAAGAATCGGGGGTGACCACGTGCGTCGCCTAACATGACGAAACAGTGCTCAATAACAAGGCGCATGAGCGAAAGGAATGGCAATACGAATGCAAGAGACCATTCATCATCTCCAAGTAACGTCGTCCTGGTCTCGCTTCGATCTTGAGGACGAAGAGCATCAAAATCAGAGCGATACCATGCAATATCGAGTAGCTCGACCAGGGCCATCAACAGCTATCACTAAAGCCTTTTCAGAGTGAAGATCACTCGGGTCATAACGATACTATCATACCGATGCTTTGCGGGATTCGCATGTGGAAGTATCGATCGTGATATAGCACAGAGCGGTAGGAAGTACACGGGACAGAAGCAGTGTGGCTGTCCACTGCTTCGTAACCGTACAACGTGAGATAGATAGCGAAAGAGCAGCATGTTGACCAAAAGAATGTAGCTGCCCCCAAGGGCATTTCCTCCAATATTATGGCAATCCATTCGTTTTACCCAGCTCGCCAATCTAGTCCACAAGGCTCGTCCCTGCCGTCTATTTTATTATGAGTTTTCCGCATAAGAGACCCTCAACGGAAGTTCATCTCTTGCTCCTCCAAAACGTCGGTCCACCTAGGGCACTGTCTTGCTACAGTCTTACAGTTTGTCGAAATTGTTCTGTTCGTTATAATTTGCATGGGATCGAAGGTAATATTGTAGGCCATCTTAGTGAGGCTGTATCGCGTCGCGGCATTATAGGTATACTAGGTATTTTATGCTTGATAAGGCCTGAAACTCTTTGTCTTATTATTGCTATTGTATGCGCCGTTGTCTTTCTCTTCTTCATCGTAATCCAGTTCCAGTGTTGATAGTGCCAAAGGTACTTTCATGTCGATTTCATTGAATTTCTGTTTGTAGTTGAGGAGACAAGCTTATTGCTCATTTTGGTTGACTGGCTTGTAGAGATAGAGTAGGAGTCCATTTTGTAGTAGTATTGTGGCATTATGAGCTTTTAATCCTTCTGCGGATGTCATGGTCTTGAAGGGGGCATCTTGAGGCGTATATTGTTCTGTATTCAAGGATGCTGCAAGGTTAATTAGGAGAACACAGAGATGGGTTACGGTTCATTGCATTTATTAGGGAACATTGTGCAGTACACATGAGGTTTTAACCAGATCCATATATGCTCTATCTGTGGTTGCCATATGTCATTCAAGACGTTGTGGTTATGCTGTGAGCCTTTGATTCAACCGAGAATAACAAGTATGCTTCTGAACCCCACTATGAAAACTCCTGAAAGCTAAAAGAAAGGTTCGCTTGCAATTTGGTTTGCACCAGGAAGGACGAGCAAAGCTCACCTCACTCGTGATCTCGTCAGGGTGTCAGGTGCTTATTCGACACTATATGGAGGCAAATCCGATGCCGATATCATGCGGCGAATCCGCAATTCAATCTCACCATAATCAGTTCTTAGCCGTGCGTAAACCGGATCGTGCTGATCGACACCCCCTTTCACAGCCAGAATCCACGCCAGCATTGCTCGGTCTTGACGCGTGTCTTCCCTCAGCTTCCAATACTGCGCTGGTGTGAGCCCATATGATGGGACATTTGCCCTATATAGTGTATTCTTGAGAAAGCCTTGCAGAGGCAGCGGAGGTGCTTTGTCGCGTGTTATGGGATGATGTGGACAATCGTTCCTGCCACAAATTACACATGCACGGCACAGCGGGCATGTATAAGCGCTAGTAGACTTATGAAGCCACTTGACGAAACAAGGCCTGCATAGCACATGGCCGCATGGCGCTTGCTGAGGCGGGTGGGATGTGTCGTCAAACGTATTGGTGCAGATGAGGCACCCTTCACCACTCTGAATCTCGCTGGCGTCGACGTCGGAAAGACCGTTATGGCGAATGAAGAAGTGCAGAGCGTCTGGGTCCTTTTTCAGATTCTCAAACAAGTACGCGCCGTCCTCCCATGCTTCAATCGTTCCGACTGCCATATCGATCTTCTCGAACAAGCTCGGGTAATCGCTGTCTTCTTGTAGCTCTACAATCTCAAGCCATTGCATTTGCTTCGCGGTCTGGCGGTAGGGGTGTTTTAGTGTCGCATCTTTGATCCAGGTGATGAAGTTCTTGTGGTCTTGAAAAGATGGAAAGCCTGTATAAAGGTCGCGCAGGACGAGATTGGCGGCGAGATTGACGATATCAGGCTCTTTAGCCTCGAGAGCGCGAATTATGGAGTCTGTAAAACTCTGGAAAGTTTTCATGGCTTTGCAGTATGGGTTGGAGTTGGATGCCTCGTTCGAGATGTAGGCAAAGGACTTGAAATATTTGAGGTTGAAGGAGACTCGGTCAGCTTCGGTGATGCGCGCGGCGATCTGGTTAGCGGAGGGCTCCATCTTTGAATTGGTTGAGGTGGAATTCGTGGAGTTGGTATGGAGAAGTATAGAAGGGTTCTGTGAAATTATCAGTGGTTAAAGATGATAAAAAGGCGTCAACTGTGAGCTTTCACTTAGTGCGTGAACAACAGAATCAGTACTGATTATTAACAAACAATGTCGATAACGCATTAGAGGCAGTGTTTTCACTGAATCTCAGCGTTGTTTACGCAACGATGATCCGCCGAAGATTGTGGAACTGAACAAACAGCACGTAAAATTGAGCGATTAAGAATATCGTTACCGAAAGTTCTTCTCGGCCCTGCATCCGCGCCTATATCCTGCGCAAAGGGGGTCAGCCGATTGATTCTGACCTTCCCTATGTACAACTGCAGTCACGTGTACAGTTTTACGTTGTACAGGGAACGCAAGATTGAATAAGACTTTAATTGTTCTGCAGCAGCATCGCTGTTACGTGGCTGGACTTAGTTCCATGGTTCTGCGACCGACCGTCGCGGTACCGTACCGTTCGTTGCGTTGTAATACCGCTTTTACGATTTGCAGAGAGCTGTCTGAGCTTTATAATTTTTTCTTCTCCCTGTGCTGCATTAAACTTGAGCCTGACTTGAAGCAACCTCAGGAGACGCCGAGATAGCTGGCGGCCGTCTAGACGCGATTATGGTTCAATACTCTGGGAATTCGGCATCCACCTTTTCCCTCCAAGCCTGCAAACCACCCCTGATATCTCCAATGAATCTCTTCCCTCCGTAATTAAGCCCCAGTTCTTTCATTTTCTTGACTGTAAGCTGTGAGTCGTTACCCAGTCTACAGACGACAAAAATGGGTTTCTCGGTCTGTCTTAGCTGCGTGGCCCAGTCGTTCTCATCGACATACATATCGTTGGAACCAGGACTTGGTGTATTTGGGTTGAGGCTGAGACCTGGAGTGATTGATACTGTAGAGAATGGGATATTGACACTGCCGTCAATACTGCATAACTCGAATTGCACTCTCTCGCGCACATCGATGAGGATGTGGTTATCCTTGTTGGAAACGGTACCTGTGAAAGGGTTCACCCCAGATCGTAGCTTTGCATAGCTCTCAGCTGATATACGTTCTTGCGGTGTAAGCGCATCGATCGGGTTGATGCTCCCGCAGAACTGAGCGTAATCTAGACTCCCCGACTCTAACACCTGGGGGGAGATAGTTGCTTGTGCTGAACACGCTGTACACTTCGCCTTCCGTGAACGCAACCGTATTGACCGGAACATGGGGTTCGAGTAAGCGGAGAATATGAGCAGTGTTGGTGGATCTGCTGGAGCAGGCTCGGTCCCAGTCGCCTTTTTGGTGAGGACTTTGATTGTTTCCAAAGCTTGCAGGACACCCATGACGCCTACAACAGGTCCTAGGATTCCGCCATCACCACACGACACCACAGACTCCGGAGGTGGTGGTTTTGGAAATACGCAGCGGTAACATGGGCCTCCTGTGGGATCTCCTGGTGGCGAAGGTGGGTTGTTAAGTACCATCAACTGACCATCGATGCGAAGAGCTGACGCTGAGACAAGTGTTTTGCCGAGAAGGACACAAGTGTCGGAGATCAGGTAGCGGGATGCAGGCGTATCGGTACAATCGAGCACGAGGTCGTAGTTTTTAAAGATGGAGATGGCGGTTTCTGGGGTGAGTCGTAATATGTGAGGTATGAGTTTGACGTTTGGATTCAGCCTAATGAGGGCTGTCAGTATGCATTGATTGTAGTTGGAATTTATTCGTCGATCTAGGAGTGTTAACGTACGAGTTCAACGCTACCATCGCACTTTCAACCTTTGTCATGCCGACCCTTGCACTCGAGTGCAGAATCTGGCGATGGAGATTCGATTCTTCGACCACATCGCCGTCTACCAAGCCCACAGTACCTACTCCTGCTCCGACTAGATACGCTGCAGCCGGACATCCTAGGCCTCCTACTCCCACAACGAGAACTCGGGAACTTCTTAGGCGGAGTTGGCCTAAGTCGTGTGGAGTCAGATCAATCTGGCCGAACTTTGGATGAAACCTGTAAGACTGCACTCACCCTGTAAGCCAATCTCTGGCATAATCAGCTGCCTTCCATATCTTCGATACTCGTTCTTCTCGAGAGGCCATCTCCCCAGCTTGTTCGACTCGTCTTGTTCTTGCGGTTCCGCCTCATGATCTAGAACAGCAAATACTTCTGAGCGGAAGTCATCAGGGACACCAAAGTTCATGTCGTGATCAAGCGGGTCTGTCGTCAGCGGTTTCGTCTTGCGCAGCACCCTCTCCTGCTGGCGTTGATTGTGTTCGGCTTCCGCCAGCTGCTGATGCAAGTCCTGGAGCGTAGCCTCGCATGTTGCTATCTGCTGGCGTAACGAGTCAATCACCGCAACCATGTTTGTGTTTGGTGTCTAGACCCGTGACTCGTAATGGTTTTGGTAGGTTGGATGTGGGGATAAACGTCCCTTATCGATAACAACAATAGCCGGTTCCGCATTCAGCACGAGCCCGTGCAGTACTACCCGTGGACGTTCATAGTCCATAGCTGCATTCTTTGCGTCAAAGTCTTTGTAATATAAGATCTTGATATTTGGTGCATCAAGGTAATATCTAGAATGGGGTATACGAGTGGAAAAAATTTATTCAAAGTTAGCTTATACGAGGTCGATTACTACAGGTCATAGAAGTAAATTTGGGTCTATTACGCGCCGACAATGGTAGCGTATATAGAACCAAACTCAACCGTACTCGGATGCTTGCTCAGCCGCACATTCGCCTTGCACTTGTCCTGTGTCTGCTTATGCATCATGTAAGTATGTTCGGCGACACTTGCAGCCTCGTGACAAATCCTTCTCAAGCTGCGAAGACTAACCTCGGTTCGTTCGGAAAGGAGAGCCATCGAGTTAGACCACACATCAATAGCATCGCCATCTCGATGAATACGAAGATCGAATACTAACGTGAGTCAGTGCAGGCTGGGGCAGGAGCATGAGACCTTTGTCGGGCGTTTTTACTTTAAAGCGGCGCCGATAGTCCAAGGATTGAGACCGTGAGCAAAATGGGCCTTGGAGCTTATGTCCCGAGATCGAAAACGATGCGTATAATAAGCCCTTGCGCACTTATTGTCTTAATTATTGCTGTTTGTAGCCTGAACAAGAGTGTAACCTTCCCGTTGAGGCAAACCAAAATCCTTTGGTACTCTCTTTTGGATGACAGGAGCCGACAACGGGTCTGACATGTGGATGTACGGTTGACCGTTGCATATACGATACTAAGACGCATGGCTAGGGGGGTGGAACCCTGGTACTGGATATCTTGAGCAGTGCAGGAAAGAAATATTCCGTACGAGTAACTGGCCGTTGAAAGGGGAACTATTGGGCGAGTGTTGGACGTCGCGAATCGAATGCTGTTGCAATGGCTCCCCACCAGATCCCCGAAGGCTTGAATGGTTTCGCTCACGACGGCTTCATGGCTGGCGTCAGGTGCAATCTAGACCTTTGTGACAAGTCGCTGCTTAGAGCTGACCCCTAAAAGGAATATCGTGTTTCATGTCGACATAGGGCTACCGCCACCACGAAAAAGCATTCAGTCGGCGCATCGAAGAGTGCAAGGTTGTATGTGCACGTTGGCCCAGTAAGTTGGTTAGCTTGACCTGGCTGCGGGAGACGATCAGACGGGGCGACCCAAAAGCTTCGATCATGTCTGCCTGTAAGATCGGGCGGACGACTGATTATAGTAGACCGTCGTCAGCGTGCATCTTGCCTCGGGCGTCAGCATCACTGCCCCCAATGAGGGGGCCAAGTTGAGGCGGGGGCATCCCGGTGCTGCCCTCGACAACAATGGGGCAGACTTCCATGGTTGCTGTGTGACGACGCTCGTGTCTGTTGGACGACTGGCACAACTGGGCAGCACCCAGCGTCTCCACAAGAGCGGGTTAGGCGTATGTAAAGGCGCAAGGGGGCGCTTCCGCCGGTTTGAGCTGGGGAGGGAAGTGGACCAGAGCTGACCGCTCAGAGGTCTGGCTGCCTGTCATCAGGTGCCCCTTATGGTTGCGTTATTCAGTCGCCTACCAGTGATATTCCGGTAGAGGGTCTAAAATCACGTCGTGATACCTCCTCCGGTTTCTTGTCAGATTTGCACGTATACATATTCTCGACATTGCCGCTGCCCCGCCGTTGTCGGTTCCGCTTCCGCACTAGAAATCCACTTGCCCCTCCACGACTCGTGCACTGTTACAATACGATCGATCACATTGTCCTCATACCCACTCCTGGCGCCATGGTCAGCGTCTGTGCCACATGCAAAGGGCTGCAGAAGCATCTCCACGCGCTCGACGGTCCCCAGGAGACAGTAACAGAGAAGTTGCAGTGGATAGACACATCCCTTCCAAATCTTCGAACCAGTTCTAGCGGGTGCCGAGCATGCGCTCTGATTCTGAATGGTATCCTACTCCATCATGAGCGGTTTGCGGGCCAGAAAGAGGATGGCCTCAGGATAATAGCGACATCTTTCCCTCCAAACCCACGAAGGACGCTCCAAGACCATCTTTCGGTCGAAATTCGATGGAAGGAACATGACGACCACGATGCCTGCCAGGAAGAAGAACATGAGCACACAATGGGCTATCCAGACCTGAAACTAGAGTTCTTCATCGATGGAGGTACGCGCTCAAGTTTTCTTTTTGCGTTGACAGGCAGCGCTCCACATGTTCAGGAGCCATCAACTACTACATTGTGCGCGCGTAGATACTGACTTTTGTGCAGACGGACAATCTCCATTTTCAGCGATTGGACAAGGTCGCCAAATCTCAGACAATCCACTGCAAAATGCCGCCCTGTCGACAGCACGAGGCATGATTGAGAACTGTCTAGCAAACCATGCCACATGTCGACGAGCTAGACCCACGACGCTACCAAAACGAGTTTTGGATCTGTTGACGGGTGACGACGCGAAGAGTATGAGGCTTCATGAGTCTGAATACATTAAAGACGAACGAAGGTATGAGCATGGTGAATATGTAGCACTGAGTCATGTTTGGGGTCTGGCCAAAGGCATACCGAAAACGACTTTGAAAACACTGCAATCGCACAAGAAGAACATACCCTGGTCGGAATTACCTAGAGCGTTCCAGGAGGCCGTTGTGTTGACGCGCGCGCTCGGGTTCCGCTGGCTATGGATCGATTCCTTGTGCCTAATCCAAGACGACAGCCAAGAGAAGCTGGAAGAGTCCCTCAAGATGGACGAGATCTTTGGAAACGCATTCCTGACTATTGCCGCAACCTCTGCCACAGACAGCAGCAGCCAACCTCTATTTCCTCCCAAGACACAACCATTCAAGATCCAGGCCACGGATAACAAAGGGTCGCTTTTCAAAATAAACGTTCGAGAGCAACCGAATCACTATAGCTTCAAGGCACCATTCGACGATGGGGCGCACATGAACGAGTGGGAGCTACCGTTCAATACTTCCGAGGAAGCAAACTTACATACGCCACTTCTGAAGCGAGGATGGCCTTATGTTGAGCGCTTACTCTCACCTCGAGTATTGCACTTCACGAAAAGCGAAATGATACTCGAATGTCGAGAGGGCTACCAATGCGAGTGCGGTCGGATTGATGATAAAGTCTTTGACTCACGAACAACTGACTCCATCAAACAAGAGTTCGGACGAATAGTTGTCGAAACAAGCACCTGGCCTACCCTAAATGGACATCTAAATGCCCATAACCGACTGGATAGCATGACATCTCAACTCGCGAATACGACCCTCACAAATGGGGCACAAGATCTCCTTCGAAATCGCGAAGAAGCTCTGCAGCTTTGGAGCTATATCATCACCGAATTCACAGCACGAAACGTCACGTACGATAGCGACCGATTGATCGCAATAGCCGGCATCGCAAAAGCATTATCACCCACCCTACAGTCAGGCTACATAGCCGGACAGTGGACATTCAGTACGCTAGGGCTCCTCTGGTATCCTAACGACAGCACACGATGTCGGCGCCCGAAGCTTGCGGCAGGACACAATGTACCAAGCTGGTCTTGGGCATCCGTCGAAGGATCACCGATATTCTTTGACAATGCATCCGCTATGGATCTAGCTTGCAGGGCATCTTTTGGACCCAAGGGAAAACGCGCATCTGCTTGGAGCCCGGTTATGGGCGAACCGGTCGAGTTGACAGCGGCGATGGCGGCGGAAGTTACATTCCACTCTTCTTCCGGACCATCACAAGCCTCATACTCGCTAGCCAAGAACGGTGTTTCTACGGATTTTACCCCAGACGTTGTTCCACTGAGAGGCGAAGACGAGCTGCAAGATGGAGAAAGCCTGATATGCGTGTTCGTGAGCATGACGTACCGCTCCTCTATCGTCGGCCTCGTACTCAAATCATTGGCCAACAACACATACCGTCGCGTCGGCCGCTTTGAATGCTACGAATGCACCCCCGAAGGCACCGAGCAGGAGATGAGCGAAGACGCAGAAACCCTTTTCGAGCACTGGTTCCCCGAGATCCAGGACATGACACAACTCGACAATTGCCCACAGAAGACTTTTACTGTTGTCTAAGCTTCCAACCCCATACCGTACCATCTCTTACCTTGTCTTTGAATTCTCACTTCTCTCGCACAAATCTCGGTAGCTGGTATCTTTCTTTTTCGATAAAAGGTCGCTAGTAGCGGCGTCGAAGTGTAGTGGGCATGCCATAACCTACTATACTGTTCAGCATCTGAGTGAAGGGAGAGTGACGCATGCTGCAATCGCTTTGTTGATATTCGATACCCTACAGCGCCAGCTTAATGGCGACTGGATTACTTCTTTTCTGTATACTTAGTCTACTCTTGCGAAACACATGCACTTACCCATCCTCCTATCTCCACTGCTTCTTCACGCATGTGTATCCCTGCCAGCCTGAATCTAACTACCATGTAGCCCGCACTACTTAGCAGCTCAACAATTCTGTTTTGGCTGAGACTAAGGGGGCATGCATGCATTATCAAAGCTCGGATGCTGCTCGTGCAGTGACGGTCTTTTCCACAGTAGGTAGCCAAGCAACCGTCTTCATGCAGCTCCGCGGACAATTCTCCGCTCGTGCTCCATACGCTGGAGAGGAGACTTGACGTATGACGTGCTTAGAAGTGTGTAGGGCCGAGCAAGGGACAGAGCGTTTTGCTGTAGAGAAAAGTGGTGAGGCCATGAGAGAGCGAGATGAACGTGACATTTTACGCAGTACTAATGTCAACACGATATTCTAAACTCCGTCGGATGAATCCCCAGTCCATCAAAGCCTACGAGCGCGAAAAAGGGTATAAGGCCCATCCAAACACCATACGCCACTTTAATGCTAAGAATTACGAAGTTCTACCCATATTAATATTAGCAAACGCCATAACCCAACGTATGATCCCCAACGAGGCAGGAGATGTATTTCATGCAGAGGGCAAGGCCCCTATTTTCCAGTCAACTCGCCTTCAAGATGCTGCAATAGATAGTCAGTTAAACTCGTATATCCATGGCTAGCAGCTGGAGTACTCACCGACCACTCTGGAATGTCCCGAATTCGCTGCCACATGTACTTCTCTAACCGCGTCGCAGCCTTTGCGTACGGCGTGCTTTCATTGTTGTATTTCCGACAGTTATCAAAAACCAACTTGGCATCCCTTATGAAATCCTCAGGCGTGGGATATAGATCCTTCTCATGCTTCTCCTCCATAGTTGCGAGATCCATGGGCTCTTTGATGACGTCGTAGTAGTCGAGGACTTCGTCCCTGTTGACGGGTTGCTGAAAGGGCCAGGCGTTGGAGTTGTTCTGCATATCGTTGAGCAGGTGGAGTAGGGCGTTATAGTTGGGCCCGTGGCGGGGCGCGCGGGCGAGCTCGTCCATAACAGGAGACCAGCCGGAGCTCTTGATAGCGGGGATGGTGAGAGGATCGATGGCTTTTGGCTCTCCCTTGGACCATTGCACCGGAGGTTGGTGGACTTCGTAGCTTTTGCTGACGGCTCTGATTTTGGCGTTGGCGCACTCCTTCTGCTTCAAGAGCATCCTACCGCTCTCTAGGTAGCGTATCTTGGGTACCATGGAGCATTGCATGATGGTGCCGCCTTCGTAGTCCTTGATATAGCCCATCCAGCGAGATTTTTCGAGGGTGATTTCTTTGGTGAAGCCTTGCTTTTTGAAGTAGCCGATAGCGTAGTTGTCGGCGTAGGTGAGGAAGTGCATTACTTGAGAGGTGGCTTTGACGTAGTCTTTTAAATGCGACATCAAGTGGGCGCCATAGCCTTTGACTTGCTGGTCTGACGATATGGCACAGAAGACTATCTCGGCGAACTGGCCTTTGTCGAAGGGGCGATAGGTTATGCCTCTGTAGTGTCGCAAGGTTAGCGAACTCGATGCAGTTGGTATGGATGAGGCGTTCAACGTACCCCACCACCTCGAGCGGATTCTTGACGATGGCAATACTCAGATGTGTCCGATCGTAGACGAGGCGTGCTATGTAGTCCTTGGGCATCTTAGGTAATTGTTTTTGGAATATGCACTTCAGGCCCGTCAAGATGATGGTGCTCTCCCTTCTCCCATCATTATTGACCACCCTGAACTCGATATCGCCTTTCCTTTCCTCGATAACAGCAGGCTTCTCGGGAAATGGCACGATGCGTTTGACGGGCGGGGCAGAGACATCGTCGGTAGCAGAAGGTGTCGAGGGATTCGACTGCTTGGCACGTTTGGGAGAAGAAGCGTTGGTGGCTTCGGAGGTCGCTTTGCGCTTAGCTGCAGCTTGGTGGTTAGTATTGAGGAATCGCAGGGGTACTTCAGGAGACGAGGGCGCTGAGAATGCTGTAGCGCTCGGTGGTGTAGTTGCGGGAGAGGTAGAATAGCCCACTGCGTCGCGCAGAGGTGGGCGGCTCTCCTGTGTGGACATTTTGGGTGTATAGACGCGCCATGAATCTGAAGCTACTAGGTAAAGAGAAGACAGGGGGACTCACCATCTTCAGTTGCGCCCGCCATGTCGCCGTCTCTGGCACCTTCACTCTGTATAGTGGCGCCTTCCTTGGACGTCGCGGAGGTGGTGCATGTCGGGGAAGTCGCGCCTCCCGCATTGGCCGCCCCCACTCACCAATCACCCGTTCATCGCCGCCAAGCCATCTCCCCCAAAGGCCACCAAAGCAGCTTCACCAAACAGCTACGAGGAAGACAATCACGCTTCCATTGCCCACCCATACTCCATGTCGAGCCCACTCGTAGACGTCTGGGAGGCCGCTGCTTCCTCGCCCTTCAGCCCCACAATCGGAAAGAACACGCAATTTACCGTCGGCTTTCTGCTGCTGTTCGCCTGTATGTTGTTGGAAGCTGGAGTACTGGCTGATGGCTCCGAGCTATGCTAACATGTGCAGCTCTCGTCTTGACCACCATTTTCAGCTTGAGTATGCGCAACCCTCCCTTGCGCTTTGTCGAATATCACACTCATGTAAATGTAGATCGATCAGTCGCCAATCTGCCAGTGCTCGGTGTTCCGGCTTCGTTAGCATTCGGGTACGTGGTCTCATCGTCACGGAAGTAGGGCATCAAGGCTAACAGTAGGCAGCTTCGGCGCAGTGTACATGATCTGCGCAGTCGGAGTCTACGTATAATTTCTTTCTCACCGCGTCCGGCGTTTGGGGTATACTCTCTGTATAGTCATGGGAATGCAATAAAAAGTTCAAGACCGAAGACACCACTACCATCTACTTCACAACCCTACACCTTACTCTTCCTATCTCCCGAGCATCTTACCACGGGCATCTCAGCGACCGCTTCAATTTGTCAATATGGATATTGAAGATCCTCCAATCCTCACGGCAGTGTCCAGCTCGGCGCGTCAACTATACCTGCTCCTCCGCTGCATCACATCCTCCACAAAAGCACACGTTCAGATTAGCGAAGAAGGACTCAAGTTCTCAGTTGACGAGGCTAGCATCATGGAAGGTACGCATCTCTTTCCGGCTCACTACCCACTACTCAAAGCCTAACACGCGACAAAGCATCCGCCTTCCTCGACAAGTCCCTCTTCACAACCTACAATTTCAACCCTCCCACGCCACAGCGTAACCCTCAACAGTCCGATGACAGCGAAGATGAAGACCTAGACCCTCCCAACACCACACCAACCTTCCAAATCTCCCTCCCCGCTCTCCTCGAAACACTGCAAATCTTCGGTCTTACGGACCCGAACACCACGAAACAATCCTGGCAAACATCGGCGGCCTTCTCTAATAACGTCTTGGGCATGAACAATCTATGTCGCATATCATACAACTCACTCGGCGCTCCGCTCTCCATCATCCTCACCGAAGCAAGCGTACGCACGCAATGCGACTTGACAACGTACGAGCCCGAGTATTCAGAGGATATACCATTTAATCGACAAGCACTTGCCTTCAAAACAATAATGCGGGGATCATGGCTGCACGACGCGCTATCCGAGCTCTCGTCTACGAGTCCGGAGCAGTTGACAATGTATGCGAAGACGGTACGCGGGAAACCTTTTTTCGCACTGAGTTCGTCTGGCACGCTCGGCAGCGCGAGAGTCGAGTTCAACAATCAGCCGCAACCCTCTGCCTTTCGCACGCCTGCTTCGACCAATTTAGCTGCGGGCGCGGGCACGGGTACAGATGCAGGCGAGCAGGCTCCCACAAACCTCCTCGAGACGTTTCAACTCTTAGATCCAGACACCGTGCTTCGATCTTCGTACAAATTCAGTCTTATACAGAAAGCCGCGCGCGCCATGAGTGTAGCAACCAAGGTCAGCATACGTGTAGACGACCAAGGTGTGCTTAGTCTGCAATTCATGGTCGAGGTTGAGGGAGGTGCATCGGGCGTGGGTACTAGTAGCGGCGGAGGAAAGGTTTCGTTTATTGACTTCCGCTTTGTGCCTCTGGTCGAAGACGGCGATGAAGAGGGAGAAGGTGTCGACGAGACGATGATGCAATATGGCGATGGTAGTGATTCCGGGACTGGCAGAGAGGATGAGGACATGTTGTAATTCGAAAGTACGCGTACGGGTCAGCGTATACGGGTCCTCACAGGGATATCTAGTCATGGAGTACGTGTCACAGAAATGGAAATAGCGATCAAGTTCAGCGAATGCCGATTATTGATTGATTTTACGTTCATCTGTGTTCTCTCGATGGAACCATTACTCATGTTCCATCCAGACAAGGGAACTCTTTATACTAACGTACACTCCACTCCGTTATGGCCGCGCCCAAGTTGCTAAGGTATGAATGTTTGAGAAGAGGAAGAAAAAGCCGACTTTTCGCAGCGGGATAGTCGTTGTAGGTCATCTAGTTCGGCCGCACCAAACACCCACCTGAAAATGTGAACAAAACGGAACGCGGGACGCCTTTGCTTCCAAGATAAAAGCACTTCTCTGATAGCCATTCCCAACCGGAATTGCAATAGCATGAATCGATGCCGAAGGCATTGTTGGTCAGTGTTTGACTTTTAACGTTACGCGTGACGGGATTTTTTTTCTTTCTTTCTTTGTTTCTGAAATGAAGCAGCCGGTGTGCAAGATGTCGAGCAAGCGTCTTGTATGCAATTTAGATACTCGCTCTTGATGTCGCGCAGAATGGGTCTGCTGTGGCGAAGGGGGGAATGGAGAGGGTGTATGGTACAGAACATGCTGAACTCGCGTGCGGATCGTGGACGCCTGTACGTAGGACGGCGACGACTTAGAACTCGAGTTCAGCTGTCATAAAATAAGTATGTGTTCATTATCGAATCTCGCTACCATTCGAATTCACCATTTGCCTTGTGGAACAGATATCTAGCACAGTCAGTACAGGTGGGTCATCTCTTGTGATTAGGGTGAACTCACTCCTTCTTATTCGTGGTCAAGATGCCGTCCTTAAGCGTGCACTTCCACTTGTTCTTGACCCGTTGCACCTTGTCGTATGTGCACAACATGTAATCAACCATATCATCATCACTGTTTTCTCCATCAGCGAGATCGTCCTCTGGATCGTCCAGATCCGAATTGATGGCATCATCCGGATCTTCCTCTGGCTTCACGTCATCATCGCCATCAAAGCGAGCGGGGCCTGGTGTGCTTGACGAGGCTTCTGCATCCTCAGCTTGCAACACACGTACAGCAGCCTTTCGCTTCTTGCCTTTGGGCATCGAGTCGAGTGGTACCATGAGTCCGCTATCTTGGCGCATTGCCATAGCATCGACTCTGGCGCGCATGAATTCGTCAGCTGCAATACGATCCACTGCGTCAGCAGCTCGCGCCGCCTTCAATGCGTTCCAGTCTGCTAGCGCATCACCAGAACCGTCGGTTTGCGAGGTGTAGATATGACCTTGAGGCGGGGGGCGCTGTTGTGGCATCTGCTGTTGCGGCGGGCGCTGATGCTGCTGCGGAGCCATCATGCGCTGCTGTTGTTGTTGTTGCTGATGCTGTTGCTGCTGACCCTGCATTGGCATCTGGGGTAAATGGCCTTGCTGACCAAGGTTTGGGAAGTTCTGCTGGTGGACATTGCCTTGTTGCTGGATGCGTTGCTGGACCAGATTTTGCGCGCGCTGTTGTGCCAGGTTTACGTTCTGCTCGTATCCACCAGTGTAGCCGCCACCGTTCGCGGTCTGAGCCTGGGGATAGTTCGGGATAGGAGGCTGATAGCTTCCCTCCGACTTCAAAGGCATGTTTGGGAAGTTGAGGGGTTCCTGAGGCGCCGACACAGGAGGCAGATCATGGTCGACCTTGACGTTCGACGGCACGGTAGGCGGCTGGCGCACCGGCTCAGGCTGCGGATCCCACGGAAATTGAGCGACCTTGAGAGCAGACAGCTTGTCTTGCCAGCCCTACAAGTATGTCAGCGTATGCTCCGGGTATTCATAATGGATTGAAAGTGTGAAAGCATCCGTCACATGACGGCGCTATGCCAGGTTAGGCGGTGATGGCGGGGCTTGGCGGGTGGGGAGCTGAGCAGGGGCTATAAGAGATGTCCCAAATACTGAGACGCCCCCGAGCTGCGAGACCGACCGGCAACTCAGCCCCGCTTCCGGCCGCCCATCACCTCCATAACCAGGCGGCATCGCGCCAACATCGAAGAGAACGAGAACGATGGAAATAGATGATTGACGGATGGAATAGGCAGGAAAAAGACAACAAAGACGACAGAGCGACTAGCTGCTACTGCTGCTGCGACAATGAAAGGGAAGAAGCGATAGCCGGACAGCGGCCAGGTTGCCACATACCTGCTTCATCTCGTCCAGCGTAGAGTGGTCTACGCCAAACTCTTCAAAGTCATTCTGCGAGACCTGGACCACCTTCTCGATGATCTGCTGGTAGACGTTGCCCTGGTGTCGCTGTTAGCAGACTTACCCTCACTCACGCACAGCTCGTGCGTGCTTGGGGAAACACTAACCACAACCTGGTTCGACATGGCGACTCAGAGGTTGGATCAACTATCTAGTATACGGTATGCGCTTTCGCGAAGACGGCGCAGAAGGTCGCAATAGCTGCTCGCGTGCAAGTGTTCGAGAGGAGGGCAGGCCAGCTAGGCAGGCGACGTCAGCGCTTGAGGCTTGCAAGTGTGCGCGCGCTTCGGAAGCGTCTGCGCTGTCAAGAAGATCTACAGCTATCGGGTGCCCAAGACGGAATGCTTTGTACGACGTATTCGGGTGCCCTCACTCTGGTGGTTCGTGGGGTCTAGGTAGGTGTAATGGGCATGGCCAACGGCACTTCGGCGATTGTTGAGGCTATCAGCGCACGAGCCGGGCATTAGCGCGCACGTGATGCATTGTCATAGCCAATTTGCTTGTCGTCGACGTAGAGTGAGAACCGTGATAATTGATACTTTTTTACTGCACTATTCTTACCTGAAATGTGCACAAATTGGCCAGTCATGAAGTTGAATTTAATGAGTAGTGGAATGCTAGCTGGCATATCATCCAGCAGCGACATACACGACGACCCCTTCTATTATACATGTATATAGTTGAGTAGTGACTAATTATATGAATATGTTCAAGTAGTAACAAAGCTGTGGGAATCATAAGCGCTTCGATCACCAAATAAACTTCGCCTTTTGCGCTGCCACGCAATCGCCAACCAAATATAGGTATACCTTGAACAACACGCGACAAACTTTGCTATCAAGATTCATCCTGTCCCTCAGTACGGGGGAATCAAAGCAAGACGTAACGCCATATCGACATGCTTTCTCCTGAAGCCAGGCGCCCTTCCCAAGCAAACACCGTGTTTTAACAACTCTGCCAAACGTTAGCCTCTGTACTAGATCTCTTCTCTCACCCTGCATTACTTCACGATCGTTGAGTGGAACTTACCATTGATCAAGATAGTAGTATCCACCCACGTAGTCTTCTTTCGCTTCTGCTTCACAACCTCCACATTTTCACCCATCAAATCCAGTCCCAGCTGCATATCTCCACTCCATCCTCCCGCGGCCCCAGCAAACCCATAGTCAAATCCGGGCGCAAGGTCCAAGCCCAGGGTCTGGTCAAATGAGATGTCGTAATTTGCGAGCTTGGGGATGTCGGCGGGGTAGTTTGGTGTAGGCGCGTGATTGAAGTTCATATCGAGGCCGAAAGGTGCGTCGGGTAGGTTGAAAGCATTCGTCGGTGGTGTGAATGAGGCGGAAGATGAGGTAGAGGACGCTGGTGCTGATGCAGAGCTATGCGTTAAACTCGGAGAGTTGGAAACCTCGTCCAGTGCTCTTGTTGTGCTGGAATCGTACTGTGGAAGGCAGCTAGAGGGCTTCGCAGCCTCGCTGGCTTCCTCCTCTTCGATCAAGCATTCAGCGAACGAGCTCTTCGGGTCGATTCTACAGGTGTATTTATCTTCAAGATAACCTTGCACATCGTACGCGTCAAACCACTCGCCCTCAAAGCCAATCAGGTCCACGTCGTCCAAGTCTTCCCAGCGCCCGTCCTGTACATTCTCTAGCCTCATCAATCGTTTTTCGAATGGTCCTATCTGCCTCGCCGTCCAGCTATTCTTGATCGGGATAATGTGTCCTGAAGCATCTCGGCGTGGGTAATGTGTCCCTGCTCCGCCGAGGTGGATGAAAGGTGTTTCCCACCAATCCAATTCCTCGTTGACACCTCTCGACAACATTGCCTTGAGCCGTGTACGCAGTTCCTCCCGTGTCAGGAAACTCAAGGACAGCTTGAACACATAGTTTATGGCCGCGGGACGGGGATTCACCGAACTGAGTAGCTGGAAGCCAGCCTCAAGCGAAGCCCTGGTCAAGCGTCTTGCAAACGTTGTCTCATCGAAGCTGTAGGTCGTTATTGATTTAAGGGTCTTGCTTAATAGCGGGTTCGGAAGCTGTAAAGGTGGTGTAGATAGCCTGGTAGTCGGCGGTGTGAAGTCTGGTGTTGGGATATTGACAGAGTAGATGTGGGGATTAAGTGGCGTGAACGGAGTTGGGTGCTCGCCGAGGAGGTCGACGAGACCGAAAGGAAGTTGCGTTGGTTGCTGTGGTTGTGTTGATTGTTGGTATGTGGAAGCTTGGGAAGATCTTGACTGATCGAGGACGTCGCCAACCGTGAATTGACGGCGTCGAACAAGGCTAGTCGTACTGTCTGTTTGTCCAAAGGTGCCAGCAGGGTGTGAGAAATAGTTATCTGGTGGCATTTGGATTGGTTGTACCGAGTTAACCTTTCCTGTCGGATTCATGGCCGAGTATCCCCATCCAACCTGCTGAGGCTCTGGTTCAGGCTGGGAAGGGATTTGCGACTCTTGGCTTGTGCCGTTAGCACCATCCGTCGAGTTTTCCGGACTCCCTTCATGATCTCCATCTCTACTATGTTGGTCATCGCTAGCGATCTTCGCAAAATTTGTGAAAGTTTCTGTGACTAGCTTGAACTCTTGTGCTAGGCTAGGGTTCATTTGCAGCAAGCCTGACTTCAGCGCTGATTCATTTAACTGGAGAAAGGTCTTGTTCATCTGCTCAATGATCGAATGAAGCTGCGTGCCTTGTGACTTCAGTGATGAGATTGTTGTTTCTTTGCGCTGGCGATAGGCTCGCTGCGCGAGACGAATCTGTGTTCTTCGTCGCTAGTACATCCATCAGCACGAGCAGTTGCGTATATGTGGAACACTCTGCGGCTTCATGCCTATTGTTGATCTGGGGAAGTGGACTACTTACATCCGCAGCAGTACTATCTTGGGTATCCACTCTTGGTCTTCCTCTTGCCTTTTTTCCCCCAGCAGCACCATCTTCAGTACTATTACTCGTACGTGACCGCTTCCGTGGCTGCGCCTGCTCTTCCGACTCTGAGCTTGTCATGATGCTCTGCGTTTTCTCTTCAATCCTCGAGACCTTAATTACAATGACAAGCTTCAAGTACGAGGACTAAGAGTCAATAGCCGGAGGACTAGGTGGGCGATTCGCTCGTCCGGAGTAGTGGGAGAGCTCAGTTGATCCCTGAGATCTTTGGAAGCAGCTCAAACAAAACCTTTCGCGTCAAATGCAAGGAATCGCGTACGCCTTTTGTATCTCGTGGGCAGAACTCTGTGAATGAAGTAGAAGCGGAGACCTCAGCCCAGGTGACCCAGAACTCAATGATAAAAAGCAACCAAAGGCCTCGACCAGTTTTCTCCTCAGCTCCCACGCGGCCCGCTCAACTTGTCAAAAGAGGTCGCAAGGATGCCGTTACACCGTGCGCATACCCCCGCAAACTTACCAAGCGCGGAACCCTTGTTGGGCCGGGGAGCACTCGGGTTCTGGAGCAGAACAAGTGATTAAGGCTGATCAATGGCGACAATCAGTCGGTAGGTTTCTCAAAGCATCAGTGTAGGAATACTAGGCAGAATTTGAACTAAGGCGTATCGTAGGCTGTTATAACTGAAAGGTAGGTAAGGCCGAGGCGGAGTCTGACTGCATTTCCAACGCGAGTCGGGATGATTACTGAACACAACTTTATACGCTAGCTGCTTTGGTCTCTGAACAGCCAGTCACGTGGTGTCGCTGAACCTCCACAGTTCATAGACTACTCCTTTCTCTATAGATGAGCCTACGAAGATTTCCGCTTCGAGACAATGCCCAGTTTCCTTCCTGTAGTATAGAAGCCTTATCACGACTGTTGTGGCCCATCTCTAAGCGCAGTCTTCAAGCCCAGCCATGTTTCTGGTGGCGCATCATTGGATTCCGACGCATCGGCGGCTGCGGCGGGCGATGCATGAGTGGCTTCCTTTTCCTCCTCCTCATCGTCATATCGATCCTTTACTGCCTCGGACGAGGTAGGTTGCTGTGTTTGCGATCCTGACCCTTCGCTAACGTCTTCTTTACTCTGTGATTCCACTTCACTTTTGATATCGCTTCGTGAGTCTGATGCAGAAGTGGACTCGTCTTCATTCCCATCCTTTCCACCCTTGTCATGTCCAGCGCCCTTCGTCGCATGGTCCTCGTCGATGCGCTGTTCTCCCCTCCCTTCTTCAATCCACTTCTGCAATTCTTCATCCGTGGGCTTATAGTGACACCACATCTCATCTGACGTGCTGTAACCCGTCCCCATCCCGCCTTTGAAGTTCCTTTTAAATTTCCTTTGCAATCCAGCAGCCATCCGCGTTCGAAATTCATGATCGACTCTCAGCCGGGCGGCGATCCATTCATCATCCGGTCGGTGGTCGTCTGGGATCTCTTCGAGGAGCGCGGTATCCAGAAGTTCTTCGTTGGTCATGCAACGATCTATGATGGCTCTGCCGCCGCCGGTTAACGGTGTTACAAGTCGCAGGAACTCGAGGCTTGTACTGTTAGATGTTAGCGGAGTTTCTACGACCAGGAAAAGGATAAAGATGTAACGCACGATACGTTCAGATCAATCGCCCTCTGAGGATGAACTGTGGCTTTCATAAAGAAAGATGTAATGTGTCTGTACAAAATCGAGAAGTCCGACTGTGAAATATGCACGGAGCCTCGCACGGTGAGTAAGTACGCTGGCGCGCCATGTTCGCTCGCCTCGTTCATAAGAGACATTACGGCGTCCCAGTTCTTCTCCCAGTACATGAAAGCTTCGCTGCTGATGCCTAGTAAAGGTAGGTGTATTCGATGTTTAGGGTCGTCTGCTGGAGGCTTGATAGGAGCTCTATACTACAGTTAGCTTCGGGATTGGTTTTTAAGAGAAGAGTACCTGCCCCCAGATGTCGTATATGATTCCCGCCTGTACGTTTGTGAAGCGATCCGTATGCCTCAGCACCTCGACCACGGTGGCGGCCCCAAAGCTATGCCCTGCCATGGTCATCTTGTCGATATGGAATCTGTGCTTCCATAGTGCCCAATCTACGCCCTGCAAGCCTCTCGAAGAGCCGCCAACATAGCCTTCGGAGCGTAGGTTCTGCCGCGCAATCTCCTCGCCATCGCCGGCACAGATGATTTTTAGCACTCGATATGCTTCTTCGAGCTCGCAAAGTCGTAGTTCGATCTGAGCGCTGCGGAGTTCGCCGTCAACACCACGCTCGTTGTTCGGTGAAGTGTCTTTAGGGTTATTCTTGGGGAATATATAGTCCTGTCGTCGTTAGCCCCTGCATCATCGTGCTTCTGGTCCTGCGGCTAGAAGACGTACAAGATGGTGATATCCTTTCCTGATCTCCTCCTCCGTATGATCCATATGCTCCCACTTTTCGAACGCCTTCTCGCCTTCTGGATCCCCATCGCAATCGGTTTCGTCTTCTACCTTGGCTCCTCCATGACGATCCTTCTTGTTGTTCCCTCGCTTCTTATGGTTTATAAACGTGCGAGGCCCACTTCCATCCCTATGCTCCACTGCGCAAACGACGAAGCCATAACTCGCAAATTCAGAGCACAGAGTGCTATACGCAGTTTTTGAGCCTCCCAAGCCATGACTGAACATCAAGAGTGGGAATGTCGGCTCCTCATTCATGCCTTCTGGTGGTCGCCCCTGCTGGTTTCTAAGCTTATATCCGCATTTCTTTGAGGTCCCCTCGGGCGGCCAATGGGTCGCGAGCGGGCTATTCTGATACGCGCGAAGCTTGGTGAGCATTGTGGAACCCCCAGAGAGAGCAATTCCAGCCCAATGCGGCAGTCCTGCGAACTCGGCATATCCCTTCGCAGTCTGAACTCGCGGCCTTGGAAGCCAGGTTTCGCGGGTCCATTTCTTCGCTCCCCCTGGTGCCTTCCCCGACCCGCTACCAAACGACGCGGGGTAGTATAGGGTGAAAAGTACTGTCTCTAGCTGCAGTATGTGTCTTCCATGCCGTTTTATGTCGGATATTGGGCGTGGGTTCTGGACGGGCACTTCGATCTCCATACTCCCGACGGAGTAGGGCCCTGACGATGCCGGTAGGGTAGCATTCGGATAGGGCAGGTGATCGCGGAGGGACGTGGGAGGGCGTGATCGAGCTTTCTTCGCATTTGGTATTTTGCCTGACGAGGTGGCACGCAGGACGCTATTTCCACGGCCATGGTCGGTGCCGGTGATGCGAGTGGATTGACGCTCGAGAAAGGACATGCTGAAGGCTAAACTAAGAAGGACTAGGAAAAGTGTTTGGGTATCGCAGAATCGAAGTATGTGCAATGAAGGGGTCGCGACAGTGGTGAAGTGCAACGGACGGTCGCAACTTAGCGCGTATTGAGCAATAGGCACAGCGCGAAGAACATAGGCCAAACACACCTGACCATGCTTGAGAAGGTCAAGCGTCTCGTATGTACGCTTCGTGCATGACTGCAGACTGCGCGGATTCACTGGGAACCTACGGGGCTGTCGTGTGTTGTGTTGTTCAGGATTGCACGTCTGATGTCATTGTTGTTCGCGACCTGGCGTAGCCAAGTTTAGCCTAGATCTACAGGCACCAGTTCACTTAGACCCCGCATAAAAGTTCCCCAGCATGGGCAAAATTAATGCAATTGGATTGACTAAATTTGTGCTTGTTCGATCTGCGAATGTGTCAAACACCACTGTACGCCTACGACCATTATAAGGGGTATACGAGCGCTAACAGACTCGATGACTTCTATTCAAGCCCACGAGAACTAGGACGTGCGAAGGAGTGCAGCCCAGAAGAGTCTACAGGCATCAGTTAGCCTCTGGCCAGGCTAAACGTGATGTTTGAACATACCCGCAGTATACTTCCTTCTTACCCACCAAAGATGCTCTTGGTATCAGCTACTCGATAGTGCTGTCAAACTGTCTATAATGATGCACGTCTTGTCCCTTCCCTTCAATCCACCGACGCGATGCTGGGTTTGGATACGCGCATAATCTCATGGGCTGCCTATGGTTTCCAACATGCCTCTCATTTCTTCGCGAACTCAGGCTTGACCTCCATATTACTTTGCACATGACTCTTCAGCGCCGCCCAGCGATCCTGCACCGCATTCCCCTGCGTACTACTCGCCAACTGGGCTAGGTTCTGGTTGAATCGATCCCGCTCCATCTTTTCCAGCTTATCTTTCCTCTTCTGCGCCCCTGGTCTACTCTTCATACTCTTCAAAGGCTTGCGTTGTATCTTTGCTTGTCCGATCTCGATCTCCCCGTCTGCTCCTTCATCTCCCAAACCTGGTAGAGCATCGGCGAGAGACTCGAGGTTTGCGACGAGCTTCTTGTTGGGTCGCCGCCGCTTGGACGTTTTGGAGGACGACTTTTCGATCTTGGATACGAAGGAGGAGTGTTTGATTTTTTGCTTGTCTTTCTTTGACGAGGAGAAGAGGGCAGAATCATCGTCTGGGGTAGGTAGGGTAGCAGCGGTCGGGCGGGCTGCGCGGGCGAATTTTGCGCGCGCTGTTGTGCGCTTCTTGATCGGCGCCTAGAGGGTACATGAGTCTTAATCTCCCTTAATTATAGTCCATGAGAGCTTACCATGATTATGCAGTTGACAATGCACGAGCAAGGCACGATTGCGGAGAGACCTCAGATTCTTAGCAGATTATCTTTATCGATAAGGAAGCTTCGACCACATTGCGTAGCTTCACGCTTCCCATCAACCTTTCTCTCACGTCCAGCTTTGAATCTTGTTGCACAGCATCACTTCAGAAAGATCGGCACTGCCCGAGTGTCTGCATAGCCCACGTTGTGTCACGTCTCCCCCGAGGGAGTGGACTGGCATCTGGTCTGACAACACACTTACACTTCTCTAGGGCGCGATTCAAGAAGGCCTTCAAGGTGCGTCATAAAGATACTTTCGGGGCACACCTACAATCTTGTCAGAACATGAACATGCCATCGTCTTACTTACCCAAGACACCAGCATCGTGAGATGGGGGCGCCCGTTTGGAGTCCGATAGAATGACCCCGCACTTACATGCAAACGACAGAAGTCCGCTCGTACATTTCGACGGAGCAAGACCGCTCTCATATATCTTCTAGTACCTGTCAAGATAAAGAGCGTCGGAACGCTTGCTCCGTCCCGACTATTCTCGTCCAATTCAGCTACAGCAGCGGACTTCGCTAGCTACGGTCCGGTCCATAGCGCATCCTCTATTGGTGCCTTATTACCTCAACACACATCTTAGCTATCCTCCCTATTATCGTCCATGTCGTAGGCTTCTTCCACACGGGAAAACAAGTCTCGTGCCATTCACCGTTCAGGCGGTAATGGCATGTCAGTTCCGGTCTGCTGGGAATGGGTTCAGATATAGCGTCAAAGCACGAGTGTCTACTTATCACACTTTTCTGAATCGTCATTGAATTTATCTCCTTTAGTCTACTCTATAATTGCTCGGATGGAGGGCTCTCAACGTCGTACCATGCCCTTGTACTACTGTGGCGCCTTCATACATCCCAACACTACGGAACTGGGTTCAGCTCCTTGACAATCATTCAGTCCAGATCCAGGTACGCGTACTACCGATATGCATCATCTTCACTCCCTTTCTAGTAACTTCACTCTGTGATTCGCTGCTGCCCCTCTTCCAGCTCCTCCTACTTCTATTTCAAGCTCCGTCAGTCGAGACCTGGCGGGCTGCGGATCCGTCTCGAGTCAACAAATGGCAATCCTTCACAGCCCATGCAGGGACGCGAGGTCCTGGTGACTCCGTAGTTGAAGGGAGCTTGACGAATATGCATACGCATATGCACTTGTCCGATGGCCCAAGATATCTGGCCTTTTTGTGCCGTCACTCCTGTCTTCGCCAAAATGCTATTTCGATAAAGCCCTTTATCTAAGCTCGTTCAATGCAATCTCCGGACCCTCGAGGGTAATTGACCATGTGCACCCAGGAATCCCAGCAGCCAAATGCACTCATTACTGCTCAAAATCATGGTACCATCCTGGTAATGGTAGCTTGGTTCCTTGCCTGCCTACTTGTAAGGTGGCCACTCTGTCTACAATTATATCTCGAGTGAGTACTGACTGCTCAATTCAGGCTCTGTGTACAGCGACGAGAGTCATTAGTCGGTGCAGATCAAATCGTCTCCCCCGACTTCCGCTATCAGACGACTTCATCATCGTTACTGCTTCGATATGTTCTCTAGGAAGCACGGTCATAATATCAACGGCTGTGGACTCGGGCCTTGGGAAGCGAGAATGCCTCGTAGTTGCCGTCGACGTGGATCAAGTTCAGATGAAGATCTTCATCTCAACGATACTATTCGTCCTGGCCCTTAGCATATCCAAGTGCTCGATTCTTTTGTACATGTACCAAGTTGCAGAGAACACGTTGCAGAGAGTTGCGGCAGTTGTTATAGGTATCATCGTGCTCCTATGGTCAATGGCTGTGATGGCGGGCATCATCTTTCAGTGTGAGATGCCGAAACCGTGGGAAATATGGACTGGAAAGTGCATCCCTTTGGTAAGCCCACCACCTTTGGTGAAAACCGCGATCATTTCTAATCGATATGCAGTTTCCATTTTGGGTCGCAACAACTGCTGTTGATATTGTTATCGACATCGCTTTGTTCCTGCTCTCGGCCTGCACAGTGTGGAGTTTACGTATCGAGTACTGTCAGAAGTCGTTGGCGACAGTGATCTTTTCGCTCCGCTCATTGTAAGTAACTATACAGATTTATGTGCTGAAGTACCAACTGACAATCTCTTAGCCTCGTAGCAGCATCCATCATCCGCCTCCTGTACCTACAGCGTGCCTTGTCCCCCTCAGCAGACCCAACCTTTGATTTCATTCCGTACGCAATCACCACACAATGCCACTCAACACTCTCCGTCCTCTTAGCCTGCAGCCTCATCCTCCGACCCCTCACCGACCTATTCCGCGTCACCCGTTCCCAACAAGCCCAAAAGCCCAAACCAGGCCATTGTAAACACTGGTCCGGAACCACCGTCGGCGGCACCCCCTACGAAACATTCGACTCCACCACCGCCACCGCCAACCCACAGATCATCAAAGAACCATTGCCCTCAATTCAGGCATCCATGTCAACACCCACTTCACCCGTAGCATCGAGGAACTCTCTAACAACAACCGACGTGCTCCTCCCAGATATTCTCCTCCCAGTCAAGTATGCAAAGGCTCCGCCCAGACCGCCTCCACCGTCTGATGCGCAGCGCCCGGATCTCACCATGTTCACCAAGAAGACGATCATTAGACAGCCACCTGTGGTGACGAGGCTGGGTAGCGTGGTGCGAGGCGATGAGGGGAGCAGAGCGTGGGAAAAGGTTGGGAAAGAGCGGAGTCTTCGGGAAAGGGGGTTGGCTTAGATGGAAATTGAAGACTGGATGTTGGAATTTTTGTTTGTAGATGTATGGGATGAATGGAAGACTCATATACGGCTGAATGGCGACACACTCGTTTTGTCTAATCATTTAAATGGCTTCTCCTCTGTACATGGAGTCTCAATCATTTGTCCCTTCTATCATTCCTATCGCTACAATCTAGAATCAAGTGTTTGCACAACATTTAATTAGCATGCTCAGTACATCTCGTTTACTTTGATCTTCGCTGACGATAATGGACCATTCAACCAGAAGAAGTTTAGTGTGCTTGCGCCCTTGGTATGTCGGTGGCGGTGAAGACGTTCACGCCCTCATGGAAGGGATAGAGCACGGGCGCTCAGGCAAATATGCAAGGTGCCGCCAAACCAACTTGACGTATGCTGTGCTATGCCTTACCTTAAGGGCTGGAGATAAGATGTTCACGCAAAATACGTCTAGAAAGCGTGTGCGCCAGGTTATAGCGTGCCCTGCGTCCTTTGTCGGAAGTAGCTCCAGTGTACACACTTTGGCTTTGCCTTGTACTCTGCATTATATGGAATTCCTCTTGTGTTTCCAAGGTGTCTGAGATTATATCGTCGCGGTGTTCAAGCGGACATATGCGGGCTTGTTTGCGTTGGACAGATGGCGTTGAAGGGCCACCTGTCAGGAAACGTACAGGTGACACGGGGGCGCGGACGGGCTTCGATGTACCGAGTCGGTTCACTGCGGCGTGGTTTAGTGCTGCAAGGGGTAGCTCGATATGGTATCTGCAAGGTGTCTGGAGAAGTTATAGAAGTGTGAATAGCGATGTGAGAGAAATGAGATTGAGTGAGCAGCGTTTCTGTGTAGTAACAGAGGTTGCGTGCTAATGGTTGTATTTTCGGATTTGATGATTTAGAATATGCCCTATAATTTTAGATTAGTGCAGGAATTCAATATTCAAAGGGAGCCCGTCAGTATGGACAGCTATCTACACGCGAATAAGACCAGACCATGTTGGGCGATGTTTGTAAATGCATGAATCGCGTGAGATGTTGCTGCGGAGATTCGGTGAGACTTGTGTGTTTAGGGCAACTGCTACATCCGTGGCGTTTGGAACATGGCACCGTCTCTCCCTTATTGGTAGGATTGTCCGCAATCGAGACAACACCAGGACGATAGGAGGCGTTTTTGGTAAGAGACGCTGGGTGCCGATGCGATCCGTGTGAAGTTTAAAGCAAAGGATGTTGGTGGCAGAGATAACAGTCCTCTACATGTCGACCCGAGCATTACTGTAATTGGTACTGAGCCGAATAGCCGATCTGGCGGGCCTTATGTTTTGAACATGCCAGGAAAGTCCTGATGTGGTTCGGTCATTGCGAGCTATGCGGGCGGGCGATGACTTTAGGAAGCTCGAATCCGCCTTCTATGCCGCGAGTCCACCTCCACGAGGGGAGGGAGCTGCATGAACCCTGGCCCACTGCGGGGATGGGTCAGGCCGCGCTGGCAACCCGCCGTAGACAGCCTGCACTCAATTTATGGCAGTGACAGGCAGGCGCGCCAGTGTGCCTATCAAGAGCCATGAGAATCCCGTGTCTGCGCCGCATCCAAAATGAATGAACAGACAGGCGATTTCCGCACCGTGTTTCGGGTGGTATATCTGAATGTATCGACTGGTGATAAGCATCCCCGCTCCATGGCCTGCAGATAGACACAAGCGCGCGCAGGAGGTCGACTCCACCTAGTGCTGATGATGGCCTCCTCGTTGATTCGACCGAGCGAGGGAGCCAAAGATAACCTCGTGACAGACGAGTCGAAAGATTGGTGACTACGGCGCACACGGATTCTGGACGTGGTGCAGCTCTGCCTCTGCCGGGTCAGAGAGGGGCTAGGGTGGTCGGGGAGAACGAGGGTGCATGTCGTCGGCCGCTTGGGAGAGTGAGACGCGCTGCTTCGAGAAGGCCACACGATGCCCAATTGAGGGGGTCTACCGAGGCGGGGCGCACAATCGCCGCCGCTTATCACAGGCTAAAGTAGCTGCCCCATCACGTTCGCGGCCGTGAGTGGTGGTGCTGAGGGTGTCGAGACTGGGGAAAGATAAGAACCTGGTCAGCGTTGTAGAGCCGCGGACAGGCGGCCAGTGCGGTTGCGGTGGTGGTGCCGTGGTGGGCCAAGACGGCACGAGATCAGCAGCGAGTGAGCGATGCCGTACCATGAAGCTGAGGACGCTGGCCAGCAACGGAGATGCCCGTGGGCCAATGAGGCGTGCGACGGCGGCGCGTCGGCCAGGGCGAAAGAGGCAGTTGCCAAGTGGGTTGTCGATTTGGTAGTCTGGGCTAACGGCGGTGCGAGTCCCTCCACTTTTTGTCGTAGCGCCTTTCACCGTGGTGGTGCGAAAAGAAAATATAATCCCGTCCTGGCCGACTCGACCGACCGACCGCATCGTCAATTCTTCCTCTCGTCCAGGTCAGCTCAGCCTCATCTGCAAACATGGCCGCCGCCGCCGCCGACTTGCGCGTCGAGCACAACAGCTCTCCAATGCCTGGTGTCGTGCGCAACAATGACCCAGCGCTAGACATTGCTAGGGAGCATGAGCACGAACACGTGCACCACAGCGCGCGGGCAAGCCATACCGACAATGTCGTCTATACCACGGGCACCACCGACGACAGGAGCACCGTTCCCACGCCCAGCGCCCAGGACAGCCATCTTCACCATCGCCACCCGCTCGATGAGAAGCATGTCGAGCATGACCTTGAAAAGTCGGCTGGATACGATTATGAGGTCGAAAAGGGGACCCACAGCTCAGCTGATCCCGAACTCGAGGCAGAGAAGAGGAAGAAGTGGTACTCGCCTTCTGTCCTCTACCGAAAATACAGACTCCCAGTTCACATCTTCATTGGCGCCTTGTTCACTGGGTAAGCTTCCTCCATGAACCTGCACATGAGCTGGGCCAATGTGGACTAACCATGTCAGATGGTGGATTGCCAGTCTCGTCGTCCATCGCAAGGACAAGAACTGGATCATTCCCTTCTTGTTCTGGCTGGCCATTATGATCCGCCTCATCACCCTGCATGTCCCCATTACTCTGGTGACTAGGCCCATGCACTGGGTTTGGAACAACACCGGTGTCCGCATCACCAGCCTGATCCCAGAGAAGATGCGAGTGCCCGCGGGTGCCTCTCTCACCATTGCCGTCATCATTGTTGGTTCCTTTGCCAGCAAGGAGAGCGAGGACAACACACGTGCCAATCGTGCCGTCTCGCTGTTCGGCCTACTGGTCTTCATCTTTGGATTCTGGGCTACCTCGCGCAACCGCTCCAAGATTGTATGGCATACCGTCATTGTCGGCATGCTGGTCCAGTTCATCATCGCTCTGTTTGTCCTGCGTACCAAGGCCGGCTACGACATCTTCAACTTCATCTCCCAACTGGCTCGCTTGCTCTTGGGATTCGCCAATGACGGTGTTACCTTCTTGACCAAAGACACTGTCCCCAAGCTCGGCTGGTTCTTGACTGGTGTCATTCCCGCCATCATCTTCTTCGTGTCATTCGTCCAGCTCCTGTACTACTGGGGCATTCTCCAGTGGTTCATTGGCAAGTTCGCCGTCTTCTTCTTCTGGTCCATGCGCGTGTCCGGTGCCGAGGCCGTCGTCGCTTCCGCCTCTCCCTTCATTGGGCAGGGTGAATCTGCCATGTTGATCAGGCCCTTTGTGCCCCATCTCACCATGGCCGAATTGCATCAAGTCATGTGCTCTGGTTTCGCTACCATCGCTGGTAGTGTGCTGGTCGCCTACATCTCCATGGGCCTCAACCCCCAGGCGTTGATCTCGTCTTGCGTCATGAGCATTCCTGCCTCGCTCGCCTTCAGCAAGTTGCGATATCCCGAAGAAGAGGAGACGCTGACTGCCGGCCGCGTTGTCGTTCCCGATGATGACGAGCACAAGGCTGCCAACGCTCTTCACGCCTTCGCCAACGGTGCTTGGCTCGGTCTCAAGATTGCCGGTATGATCATTGCTACCCTGCTGTGTATCATTGCACTCCTCAACATGGTCGATGGTCTCCTGACCTGGTGGGGCCGTTACATCAACCTCGACGGCGAGTACGATCTAACCTTGGAGCTGATCCTTGGCTACCTGTTCTACCCCGTTGCCTTCTTGCTCGGTGTATCCCGCCAAGGCAACGATTTGCTCCTTGTCAGCCGTCTCATCGGTGTCAAGGTCATCACCAACGAGTTTGTCGCCTTCGCCAAGCTCGTCGCCAAAGACGATCCGACATCCCCCTACCACACGCTTTCTCCTCGATCTCGCGTCATTGCCACCTACGCCCTCTGCGGCTTCGGTAACATTGGATCTCTGGGAACCCAGATCGGTGTGCTCAGTCAGATCAGCCCTGGCCGCAGCGGTGATGTTTCCCGCCTGGCCTTGTCTGCTCTTATTTCTGGTGTATTTTCCACCTTGTCCAGTGCCACTGTGGCTGGTCTGGTCATCGTTGATCAGGGCAAGTTCTCCAGCGGTGCATAGAGAGAAGTCGTTGTATCTCAAAAACTCGGTCATGGCGTCAAGTCGTCCGCCGAATAGACCCGTTAATATGGTGCTTCTAAAATGTACATGTTAGTTAACCTCGTGCGCAATATACCCACAAGTTGGATCCAAGAGGATGCAAATACCAATACCAATACCAATACCAATATCTTCAATCGTTCAACCATCTCTTCGCACATCTCTTCCTTCCTAATATGGAATACAGATATCTGTCTGTGAAGATATGTCTGCGAGGAACTGACTGGGCTCGACAACATGTTTATGTGTTTCCTCACGTTGGGACCGCCCTTCTCGCGTGCATCCGTCTTGGCAGCTCCAGCCCGCTCCAGCTCCACCTCCGCCCTACACGCTTTGACATTTTTACCCGAAAAGGCCTAGCATCGAGTCCGAATCAGGTATGCATTTCGACTTTGCCAGTCTACACGGCCCAATGAAAGCCTGCTCGGCTACCTGGGGTGGAATCATGATTGCAAATTTGCCGTTCCTGGCTACGGGTCGAGTCAGAATGGTGGGGCTGGCGACATTGCACACGAGCTCTGAATTTTAGGAGGATAGAACGATGGATTGGTGGCTTGGTAAGCTTTGGAGTCATCGCGGAATTGTGGATGACGCCGATACCGTGTTCATGCAATGTGACAGTTGACTTTATTGGACAGTGCGCATAGCCGTTGCATTTAGATGCGAGTGGTGATGAGAGGATGATCGTGACATGAGGCGAGGTCACTGTTTCCTTGTCAAATCTGGGGAAAGAACCACCCATTACACAAGGCCTTATAATCTTCTTTTGCATCTGTCTCAGAACACGATGTGAACACCGCTTGAAACTTGAAACTATATTGTCTACATCATGCGGAATAGACTGAATTGCGTAAGCCCAGCCGGAAATCTTGTTGGAATCAACGCTTGTATTGATCAACGCAACGCTGTTACAACGAAGCGAGTTATGTGATACGATTACCACTCTCTTTACTAGATATCATATGCGCTTCTTTCTTTTGGCGACATGCCTTCTAGACCTGAGGTGAGGCTTCATCAAGCGACATTAGGCGCCACGCAGAACAACGTATCCGAAAATCGTCAGCTGAAAAGACTCAAGGCGTTGCCAGCTCTATATTTTATCTTCAAATGCCAACCCCACACGTGGAGACACGAAGATAAGGTTGCATAGTGCCCAATCAGACGCCATCAGCTCAAACCCGCCATGGCCACTAGCCTACCGTTGAGAGCTTGACGAAACATCAGCCTGAGCAACATTGCTTTTGCACTCTCCAACGTCGTGAAACCCACGCTTGGAAAAGCCATCACCTCATCCCACTCGGCGAGTTTGCGCCCGCTGACTGCATGCAATTGCTTGCGTGGATCCTTATCGACGGATCTCGGCTCTTGCAAAGCAGCGCACTGTACGACTATCTAAATTTCCCACGCCCTGGTTAGCTACCGTAACTTGCCCATACATCGCAATGTATCTTGCGACTCTGTTCCAGCCTTCTTGATTGGCTGTGGGGGGTAGAGTTAGTAAAACTCGCGTCTCAAGGTTTCGCATCTTATCGAGACGTCCACTTCAACCGCCTTATCTGTCCAAACCGGGGTACGACCATCACTTCCCATTGGGGTCAGCAATCATCGGGCGTACCACGTACAACCCCACGAGGCCATTCAGAACCATGTGAAAAGCAGATCCCAAGCACGGTTCTCGCTTATCCGCCAGGATGCGCGTTAGTCTTGCGGATGGCGTTGAATATCTCCTATGGCCGGCCGCCCACTGCATGCTGTCAACTTGATCTTTCCTCAAGCCCTACGACCACTAGCGTTAGGTCTGAAGTTTTCGATTCTAGCTGGGTCAAGAGCTGGGCACCGAGCTTAAATATACCGAAGCTCTTCCCTCTTGATCTAAAATCCCCACAGCTGGCCCTTGTCCACTTGCAAGAGCTTGGTATTGTAGACAAAGGCTTGTCCAAACATCAATCGACATGAGTACTACTCCCCCACTTAGCCAAGGGTTCGGATATGGCATTGTTGTTGGACTTGGGTTTGCCTTTTCGTAAGTTCCGCATTTCGATTGTGTGCAGGAAACCCAAGTTGACACGCGTGTAGCTTTGGTATGATTTTGACCACGTTCGTTCTGAAAAGATACAACTATGAGCTCCAAACTTCCGAGATGTTTTCGACTGCTGGGCGCACAGTCAAGTCTGGTCTCGTCGCCTCTGCTGTTGTCTCGTCTTGGACATGGGCAGCAACGCTTCTTCAATCTAGTGCTGTCGCCTACCAATACGGCGTCTCTGGTCCATTCTGGTACGCGTCTGGAGCTACTGTCCAAATCATCCTGTTTGCTACTATTGCCATTGAGCTGAAACGAAGAGCTCCCAATGCGCATACCTTCCTCGAAGTCATCCGAGCCCGCTATGGTGCTGTGACGCATGTTGTGTTTATGGTGTTCGGAATCTTCACCAACATTCTGGTTACTTCAATGTTGTTGACTGGCGGATCCGCTGTTGTGACTTCGGTAGGTGACAATGCCAGCAGTTGTCCTCAAGTGCTAACCAGAAAAGCTTACGGGAATGCCAACGGCTGCAGCTTGTTTCCTCCTGCCTGTCGGAGTCGTGCTCTACACCATGTTCGGTGGTATTAAAGCTACCTTTTTGACCGACTATGGTGAGACTCTAGTATCATAGCGAACATTCAACCGGCTAACCTGAATGTTAGCACACACCGTGGTCATTCTCATCATTCTTCTCATGTTTGCATTCACCTCATATGCGACCAATGAGCATCTCGGCAGCCCGGGTAAAGTCTTCGACTTGTTGGTTGAAGCAGCGAAGACCCATCCCGTTGAAGGCAATGCTGGTGGTTCCTACCTCACGATGCGCTCTAAGCAAGGGGCCATCTTCTTTGTCATCAACATTGTTGGCAATTTCGGTACTGTTTTCTGTGACAATGGCTACTACAACAAAGCTATCGCTGCTAGTCCTGTAGATGCCCTGCCAGGCTACATCATGGGCGGTCTCTCTTGGTTCGCTATCCCATGGCTCGCTGCAACAACGATGGGCCTTAGTGCCCTTGCTTTGGAGAGTAACCCCGTCTTCCCCGGATATCCTAACCGTATGTCTCACGCCGACGTCTCTGCTGGACTTGTCCTTCCAACCGCTGCGGTCGCCCTGCTCGGGAAAGGAGGAGCTGCTGCAGTCCTACTGCTTGTATTCATGGCTGTCACATCTGCCATGTCGGCTGAGCTCATCGCTGTGTCTTCCATCTTCACGTATGATTTCTATCAAACATACATCAACCCGGCTGCTGCAGGCAAACAGTTGATATACATGTCCCACACCATGGTCGTAGGATTTGCGGTGGCTATGGCTGCTTGGTCTACAGGTCTCCATTATATCGGGATCAGCATGGGATACCTCTATCTCCTTATGGGCGTGATCATCTCGTCGGCTGTGTTACCCGCAACTCTGACCCTGATGTGGAGCAAGCAGAACTGGTGGGCAGCGACTCTTACACCGCCCCTCGGTTTCGCTTGCTCGCTTATCGCCTGGCTCGTTACAGCCCAGAAGGAAGGTGGTGAGCTGTCGGTCGCGAGCACAGGTGCCAATAACCCCATGTTGGCAGGCAACGTTGTGGCCCTCCTGTCACCACTTATATTCGTCCCGGTCTTGACCTTCGCATTTGGTCCGCAGAACTATGACTGGGTCAGCATGAAGGCCATTCGCAAAGGCGACGATCACGACCTCGCTCTTGCCGCACACATTGATCTAGAGCTCGTTCCCGGCGAACAACGACATGCTATCGAGCAAGAAGAAGAAGAGCAATCCAAGCTCCTCAAGGCATCCCGCATCGCGCGCTGGATGACCGTATTTATGACGCTAGCTTTACTGGTCCTGTGGCCCATGCCCATGTACGGCTCAGGATACATATTTTCCAAGAAATTCTTCACCGGCTGGGTGGTCGTGGGCATTCTCTGGATGTTCTGTTCTGCTTTCTGTGTCGGCCTTTATCCACTCTGGGAAGGAAGGAAGACGAGTATTCGGACGTTCAAGTCAATTTACCTGGATGTTACTGGGAAGAAAAAGCCAAGTAGAGCCGGTATGGTCATGGAAGGCGAGGGCACTGATACGCCTCCTGAGGCGGTTACGGAGAAGATGAAGGAGTGATATTTTATGGAAAACTCTGCCTCATATGTCTTGAGTCTGGGACGTTGTTCGAGTTGGTTGGTTCGAGTACTCGAGCGATTGTTAAAGGTTGCTATCATGTGCTAGATACCCACCCTCTACATAGCGGCAGGCCTTTTTCAAATTGTTCAAGTAATCTTGCACTGATCACAGCCCCAGCCCTGAATCCTACACCAAGCACCTATAGCACAGAACACAGCATTTTCCTACAGCCAATCATACTCTGAATGCATGCGAGCCCATACTTGACTATCGAATCATTCCATCAGCGGCCAATTACTCCTTTTCTCCTCTTTACCCGAGCGCTCACCCGCCTGCAGACCAGCAGCAAACGTCGGCGGCGCAGGGAAAGCCGAAACATCAGGCGTGATAGGATGACTTCCCAACGCCATATTCGGCATACTGAGTTTCCTTCTAGGCAGCATTCCACTTTCATTCATCACCTCACGTCCAGCACCAGGCTGGCCGCCATCTAAACCACCCCTCGAATCGCCCCGTGAAGCAGTGCGTACACTCTGTGCGTGCATATCCTTGACAAACTCGACTTTCTGCGCTGACTCGACGCTCCATTCTGCATCATGCTTATTGTCTGTATACTTCTTGGGGTGGAAGAACTTTGCGAGAATGTTGTTGCTGGGTTCGTTGGGTTGGGCGGCGGCGCTGTGGTTGCTTTCATTGTCGGTATCACTGGCACTGTGTTGATTTTGATGGTGGTGACGACGACGGCGCCAGAGGAAGAATCCTGCTATGCTCGCGATAGAGAGCACGCTGAAGGTGAGTCCGACGCCCATGCCTGCCTTGGCAATTGGGGTCATTGGTGCGTCGGTTGTTTCTACGAGGAGTGCGGATGCCGCAGATGTGGTTCCATCGGGCGCTACAGGTGTTGTGTTTTCTTCCGCGGGCGTGGGATCTGACGAGGGTGATGCGAGAATAGCTGTTGATTTGGAAGGCGCCGCGGGTATGGTGTCCTCTTCTGCTGTAGGGACCGGATCACGAGACGGTGACGCTATAATAGTTCTTAATACCGTCGTAGTGGTTGTTGATGATCTGCTTGGGAGGATTGCATTGACGGAGGTAGAGGTAGAAGGCTCTGGAGTCGGTATAGCTGCCCTAAGAGACGACGCTGGAAGTACGAAGGAACTAGCTGAGCTAGAAAATGTTGCTCGCAAAGTACTCGGACGTGCTGTACTCTGGGGTATGACAGCGCTTAAAGTTGATAGTCTTTGCGTAGATTGAGTTTCTTCGGCAGATTCTCTATCCTCGGTCGGTGTAGCTCTATCCTTCTGTGGTAACCTCTCTTCGTAATCGCTTGTATGAGACTTCATGAGACATTAGCAGAGCTTACAGTGATTGGAGAGAAGAAAGGTGTCTTACATTGGTGTGTCGGCCTGCGGTCATCCCATCAAGGTCAACCGAGACTGGATGTCTGTGTGGCCTCGAATCCTCCATAATTGCCGCAATGGCAGTGTTCCTGAAAAAGTTACATTGAACGAATGGAGAAAGAAAAGAAAGTAACCAGCACAGCTGGATCACCACTCTCATACTACAGTACATCGTAAAATCTAGACAACATTAAAAGAGAACAAACGAGGGACGAGAAAGTTGAAGGAGATGTCGAAAAATGCGTACTACAGCCCCAATACGCGGGTCAAGGGCGATAGAAGCAGGTGGACAATATTTTACCACCTTCATTCTGGGCTGCTTGTTCTGGTACCTACAGTAAGTTACCGGTCTACGTTCCTTCGCCCAAACAAGAGATGCATCAACTGGCATTGAGCCTCCATTCTGCAACAACTATAGGCCGAATCTACGCATCGTTTCCCCCGTGGCTGGGTCCACTGGATGGTGCGATTCCGACATGATCCGGCTTACTAAAAGAGGCAAAGAACCCCCGAGATGAGGCAGATGAATGTCTGAAACAGGCTGAATAAAAATTATCAGTGTTGTTGTTCAAAGTGGAGAAATTGTGGGAAGGTACTGCTTTGCATTGACGTTTGATAACGGATGGCCTTTCAAGGCCCTTTTTTGCCGGTCCATGGGTTTAGTTCAGGCGAATTATGTCTGAAACGCGGGGAAAAGCTGCATATCGTGCTGCGCACATGCCGAACCCCGAAGATCCTAGTCGATTGATGACAGTGATAAGAGGACATGTGGATTGCGCAAGAACCGGAGGCAGTGGTTGAGAAATAGAGTAGTGTTGCTGAAGCGAGTCCAGAGAAAAGGCTTGCTGATCTATGCATCCAGCTTTTCCAATGATAAGAACTAAAGAGATCATAAAGAATTTTGGCTCAAGAGTTGTATCTTTGACTATGCGATCGAAGAGTCTGCAAAGCTGTGCAACGTTGCAATTTACCCAGATCAAGGAGGTTCGGGCATTGTGCGAAGCTCGTGTAGTCATGCTATAGCGACCATAACGTGTAGGTACAATACTCAGAGCTCGATGATTATGAATGCGGAGAGTGTTGGCGACGAGAGGAGGACGACAAAAGAAGTTGGTAAGGCTGCTAAAGCTTTCCTAACCGACCGGATATTGGTGTTGGCACTCAACGGTACATACAAGACGTCTCACGCGAGATGATCGCCACTCAAGTACCACCTCGAACATTTCACTCCTTCTTCGAGAAGAGCTCCTTTGACCCATGAACTGCATCAGCGCTGCTTAACTCCCGCCGTTTCCTTGTGAAGCGCACGATCTGAACCTTTGAATTGGTGCAACTATCGCACCAACTGTCATTCTCTCTTGTTCTCTCCGGTTTAAAAGGCGTCCTACTCCACGTTTTCACCTCCATATGACCATCCCATGTAATCTGATAGAAGCTCCATTTTATCGGAAATCTCCACGTTTTTGCACATTCTGTCACGCTCTCCAATTGGCTTTTCTTGTCCACATATGTCTCCAGCACCAGCTCCAAGGTTTTCAAGTCTGGCAGCTTCCCAATCATGCGACGCTAGCTTTTGCGATTGTATATATTATTCACAGTGACTGGATTGCGCCCGGCACGAAGCTCATCTGCGAAGTTTCGCATGAGGTCGCTAGTCGGCCGCATGTTGGTGTCCCTACTCCCGTTTCCAGGTATAGGGTCGAGTTGCTGGTCACTTTGGGTGCTTTTTGGATCATCGGACGCCGTCGACCAGTCTGTATACCTGGGACGGGGTGTCAGGTGTACGAGTGGCCGAGCTAGAGTTACACGCCCATCTGTTGACCAGGGATACTCGCTTCTAGACTGTGGGTCCAACTGGATGCACTGTCTCGTAGCGCGCCTGAAAGGCGCTTCTGGCTAGAGCACCGTTTGCGCGCACAAGTGAAAAATAGAAAGAAGTGTTAAGGAAGAACGAGATGACTTCATTCTGCTCTCCGTTGGCCTTGGAGGAACGTGGCGCGCGTATCGCTTCATTGGCTGCCAGTCTGGCGAAACTAGAAGATGGTCTTGAAGAAAAGAACCTTCTAGGACGTGTTGTGAGAGTGTGATATCTGTTGCTTGGATGGAAGCAACCTGTCAGGATAAAAGTCTCTTCGACAATCTCGAAACGAGTGCTTAAAAGTCTGTATTCATGCAGGGGTTGAGGGATAGTGGGAGTGTGTATGTCTCGAGGTATACTACCGTACATGTCTGAAGACGATTGATCGTGATGGCCGAGGGATAGAGGCCAATTACGCGTAGGTCAGAGGCCGTCCTTTTCCACCGACTCGGTTGTTTTGGCTCTCGGTCCGGTGGGTTGAAGGTACAATCGGTGGGTGCAAACTCCCAAATCAGTTCGCGCACTTCTTTAGGAACGATGGTATATAGTGGGCAGTTGCCCTGGGCCATGACATGTTTGTCTTCGATAGTCCAAGCGAGCGGCTCAAGGCACTGGCCATTGAAGTGACAGTCCTTCGCTCGCCGTTGTTTTGGCAGCTGCAGGTGTACTGAGTTTGCAGCTGGCTTGAGCTTCCCTGGTCGCACGCTGGTTGACGAACTTACGCGTGGAAAAGTGACAAAAGTCTCCTACTTCGGTAGGTTCAAGCCGAAGTTTGTAAGCGAATTGAAAGTCTGGTAGTTAGTGATGCTCCTGGAAAAGGACGCCCGTGATCTGTGCTTTGAAACGTTGACGGAGAATATTATTGAACTTTAAAAAGCCATATTTCGGCTTCAGAAGAGGAAGGTTTAACGATAATAATGCCTGTGATTAAATAACCGTTAGGGGAAGCGAGAGCGAGGAGGAGAGAATGGCTTTATAACGGCATATATCCCTTCTGAGTGCCAGGCTGTCAGGGAAGGCTTCGACTGGACGAGGAAAACATATAAAACGAAGATCATACGCCTTGGGCTTCGCGAGCGGTTTCCGTTCGCGAGGCCTATTTTCTCTCAAAACCACTATGCACGTCGGAGGTACTAATCCGAGTATGGGCGAGGTGACGCAACTCCAGGATCAGAAACGTGGGTGAGTGAAGTCTGGAATAGTAGGCAGATCGCTGCAAGGTTCGCACTGATGTTACCGCCCGTTTACTTGTGGCGCCCATACAAGCAATTGCCTGGACGAGACGCCCGAAGCTCCTGATTTGCAATTCACAACGTCAATCGTGGTTTGGTGACACATCGGCTCTCAGGCAATAAGTTCGCCGACAAGTTTGACAGACGGAGAGCTCTTTCATGCTTCGGGCAGTTGGGAGACACTAACAGGAAGTCTACGCCATGTCACGCTTCTACACTTTGGACGCAGGCATCCTAGAGATAACATTGGCTAGGCAGGACCGGAGCTATTTCCATGCACATTCTAGGGTTGATTGATATGGAGGCGGAGCCTGAAGCTGGTCGGGTGGGCCTCGCGATCCAAATGTCGGAAGTCCAGACAAACTGCGCGGTATCCAAGTACCGGGAGAACAGTTCAGCTGTGACTTGATCGCAGGCATGAAGTTGGACGAAAGTGTCACAGATACCAAGCACGATTGGTATATCATTTCCACAACGGCGCCACAAGCATCATCGTTTCGTCCCGCATTGGCAAGTAGGTAGGTGCTCAGATAGTGGTTGTGGTTGGAAACTGGTCGCGTACTCCGATGCGCTGCGGGGGTTGTGTCGCCGTCGCATGGCAACCTAGCCACGCCAGTGATTGGACTAACGTCGTGTTACCCTCTAATGTGTCATGGCGCATTGATGGGGGAGATGGGGAAGATGGGACGCGAAGGCTTGGTGTCGGGTGTCGAGAGATGAGTCGGCAAAGAAAAGGTACAGTAACTGGTCAAAGCGCTAGCGCATGTGGATCTCCCGTTGAAGATGCGAAGTCATTCATGCTGAAAGACTTTCCGCATGGCATAACCCAGCCCACACACCGGACGAAGACCAATTCGGAGGATTGCACCAACACAGTCGCCAGCCGCGCCTCGTCCGGCCATCCAGGCCTGCCGTGCTAGCTGCATGAATGCGTGCACCTGAAACAGTATTTTTTTTGCTACACGGCGAGTTGGTCTTGGCCCCCGGAGCCCTCTCAGAACTCAAAACCACACGGGCGCGTTCCCGGCCGGCGGACAGGCTTGCGCTGGCGTCCATAACTCTTATATCTTTGCTCAAGTTATTATAATGCGCGCCTGAGCAGCGGTCGAAGGCTGTGTCGTGCAAAGACGGGTGTCATGGCGAATTCCAAGTGAGTAACTGTCGCTTCGGCCTGGTGAGAACGGACCTCGACTAACGGACGGACTTCAGGTATGGATATGTGCGCTCATTCGAGCAGCCGGACAGCCTACTGTCCAACACCTGGATCGTCGTGCGCATCGATGGGCGTGGCTTCTCAAAGTAAGGTCACCAATACCCTTCCCTTTGCCAACTGCTCGTTCCTGGATATGCAGGTACCCGTTACGTGAAAGCGATGCATCAACGAGCTCGCTGCCCCAGGCCAGCCTTTCGGCTAATATACACCAACCACCAAGAAGCCTGCGCTAACAGCTTGGGACCAGACTCACTGCGAAATACAAATTTATCAAGCCAAATGACCGGAATGCGTTGGACCTTATGAACGCCGCAGCTGAGGCTGTCATGAAAGAATTGCCAGACCTTGTACTCGCCTATGGTAACAGCGACGAATATAGGTATGCTACTTCCTACACCCATTGCATAGCAAGCTGTTTGTGACAGATTACTCTGTCTACAAGGTCGTCAACATCGCTGGCGCAAGCTTGGACATGGGTTTGCACATGTTTCAGTCGGAAGCTAAGCTGACGTGAGCCGCAGTTTCGTCTTCCACAAGGACTGTGTCTTATTTGAGCGACGAGCTAGGTATAGAGTCTGCCCTATTTGCAGAAGATGCACTTCTGACCTATTCTTAGCAAGTTGACTACGACGATCGTGTCTACGTTTACCTCTTATTATGTGTTCCTGTGGTCCACGTATTTTCCTGATAAGCCACTCACGCCTCCTCTTCCCTCGTTCGATGGACGTGCAGTATGCTATCCGAGCGACATCAATCTCCGGGATTACATGAGTTGGCGACAAGTTGATTGTAAGCGCCTCAACGTGTCCAGTTCTTCTCCCCTTGAAGATTACATGCTTGTTTACGTCCTAATGAAACGCTCTTGTCCAACCTACTCATCGAGAGTATGAGTATCAACTGACCTCTATCTAGGCCACATCAACAATCTCTATAATACCACATTTTGGACCCTTGTCCAACAAGGTGGCATGGGAGCTCAAGAAGCTGAGCAAAGACTATCAGGCACTGTGTCGTCAGATAAGAACGAGATACTATTTAAAGATTTCGGTATCAACTATAATAACGAGCCCGAGTGTTTCAAAAAGGGCACGGTGTTGTATCGAGATGTAAGCTCACCCTTGATTCACATCTTATAGCTTCACGGATTTTATATCTGACGGCAACAGTTCTTTCCCACACCAGCAGCACAGCGGACGTCTTTACAAACTCTAGCAGCATTTCCATCGCCTCCCATAGCGTCGCCCCAACCTACACGACCATATTTCCGTCCAGTATCACAGCCAATAGGGCGGACGATACCCTATCCGCAAGACCAGGTAGTATCCCCGGGAGGTGAAGGTCCAGGCCCAACCTTCCTCTCGACAACATCAACACCCTCACCACCACCTTCATCCCACACAATGTTGAAGACAGCGTTTCCTAACCCGCTGCGGTCAAATCCCATCAGCCCTCGTACCAGCACATATCCTCCAACATCATCGATGCCGTTATCGCCACCTTCAACAGTCACATCACCGTATGGAAACTCCATATCGCCGCACGCAAAGCAGGGTCTACCGTTATTAACGCCCCTTCTACTATCTCCGCCAACCTTGAAGCCAAGTACTAAGCCTCCGCTTTCCCTCAATCCGCCAAACCCTACAACACGTACCAACTTCTCTCCAACCTCCTCGCCTCGGGACTTCCCTACAGCCTTTCCCATTTCCGGCTATACCCACAACACCTCATCAAGAATCGCTCAGCCTGTTTCTCACTCAGCATCTGCTTCGATGTCCACCGCAGGCCCATCGAAACCCAGATTAAAACATCGCTCACCCAGTCAACCCCAGCTTCCAACATACTTTACCTCGGGCAACTCTTCCTCAGGAGGCCCTCCAGCCATACCTTTGCGCATGTCAAGTATACCAACCAACAACAAGCCTCGCAAGCTTGCTTTGCAGAACCAGCGATCTATATCAACGTTGAAGCCAACGAGACAAAGCCCCGAGGGGAAAGAGAACATTGCTAACCCCGCTCAAATCACTGGTTCAATGACGCCCAGAAAAGTGAGCCCACCGCTGTTTACAAACAAAGAATTGCCCAGTCCTCCTATAGACACAGAAGAGGAGATGCGTACACGGGAGAAGGTTATGAGGAGTAGTCCGCAGCAGGAGTGGGCGAGTTACACTACCGCGAGTATCCAAGAGGCACAAAGAAGAGTTAGCGACTCTGACAAACGAGATGGGCATGTTTGGGTCGATCAAGACGTATCTCACGCTGGTACAAAAGAGTTGCCTACTGCGTCAACATCAACGCAAAGGGCAAGGAACCATTCTAGATTACACTCTGCGCCCGCTGCGGCGTCATCGTACTCTCCGTATCCAGCCACCCAAGCCTTGTCATCTACGAGCAGTACACCCAAACCGCAACCTATTCCCAGCGCCAGCGCCACCACACCGAACCAAGACCCAGACATCCCACAGACCCTTCCCCAGACCGATAGTCCCAGCTTGAAAGCAGCGAAACCGAAACCGAAACCTCAGTCCTTCTCCCTACCCAACGCGTCGAAGCCTCTCGACACAGAGCAAATCGCCACCCCGCTGAAGAGCAGCAACAAGGGCACAGTCTCGTCCGAGCAAGGCGGTTGGAACGCCAGCACGCAGCACGCGAACGAAGGCCGGCCTGTGCACATGAGCCGCACGCAAAAGGACAAGGAGAGAAAGAAGAGGAGCAAAGCGAAAGTGCTGATGGAGCATATTGATATTATTAGAGATGAGTTTTGGGAGAAGAGGCCGTGGATATTGAGTGGGAAGACGGGGTGAGTATGAGTGTGCATATCTTCTAGGGGTGTTAAGGAGTTGGTCTGAACGGTGCTACAAGTATTTGTTGGTTGTAATTAGCGGGAGGGGAGGAGTCATGGTAACGAAGTTGCGCTTGATCGAGGTGGGTTCGAGTGGTAGATGATATACACGCTATATGATTGACATGCTTAAAGGTCCACAACAGCCGGTGGATGTGCTTCCGTTGCCGGTGCCCTTGTGACTAGGAATGGCTCTCAACCGGCCCAAGGCGCAATTTCCTTTCAACTACTCTCCGGCCCCTTCTCCTTAGTCAGTTTGTATCCTTTTGCCCCCTGTCCTTCTTCATCCTTTCCTTCAGTTCCTCCTTCAACTCCTTCTTCATCGCATTCTTCGTCCCCTTCTGCATGCCCTTCTTCGTCCCATTGTTCATCCCCTCCTTCAGCTCCCTCTTTATCGCCTTCTTCATCGCCTTCTTCTTTTTCTCCTCCATCACTGTAAGTTTTGCCTTCGACCCTGCTATCCCCCATTGCGCCAGATCAAACTGCTTCAGATCAAGACCCTGATTATCTAGCGACCCCTCCTTTATAAGCTGTTTCTCGGCCTTGGTCAGGCCAATTAGCTCCTTTCTTTCTCCCCCCTCGACCCTTTTAAGCTTCTTAACGAGACGCTGTTGGGCGATCCAACGCTGTCGAGCATTCCTGACTGGTTTTGGCAAGGACTTTGCTTTGTGGCCTTCCCATATCGTCGGGTCGAGTGGACAGGAGCCGTCGGCGAGCGGCGTGTAGGCTATGTTGGCTGTCTGATTCTCGTCATCACTCCCATCGCCTTGCTCGATCTTGCTCTCCTCTGTCGTGCTCTTCACATCATGTCTCGCCTCCCCCCGCTGCGCTTTGCTCACAGGCTTAGGTAAGCTATCGAAGTCTTGGCTATGCATTTTCGTCGAGTCGGGCGATCCTATTCTGTTCGGAAGCGGCGTGTAGGTGATGGGTGTGGTGGATTGTGCGAGATTGATGAGGTTGGCGTCACCTTCGAGGTCAGTGAAGAAGAGAGCAGGGTCGGCTGGTTCGACGTACTTTGTTTCGCGCTTTTCGGCTTTCTTTTGGATGCGGCGTAGGATGTACTGCTGAAGCGTCTGGTTCTTTGCGGCTGCGCGAGTCTCGTACTCTGCTTTCTCCGAGGGTTTCAATTTGGCGAGCTTTGCGGCCACAGCGGCTTGGTCCTTCTTGTCTAGTGCTTCCTTTTCCTTTTTATGTTTTGGTTGTGTGGAGCCGGTCTTTGTCTTTTTGCTGCTGCCAGACACATCCGTGCCAGCGCGTTTACGCTTATTTTCCTTGACGGACATGTTTCTGGTGCGTGCTGGAGCCTCGGTATCGGATACAGATGTTGGGGGCGTGCTGGCACCAGACGGTGGAATCGATGTATCCGTGGTGGTCGCTGACTCGTCTTCGATTGTGCCCTTGATGGCTTCGCCCTTCACAAAGAAGCCGTATAGACCGCCGCGGTTGATGCCCTTGGTGCGGATCTGGTCGAGTGTGCTCTGTGTCTACGGTTAGGCCCTAGCTCCAATCTTGAGAGATGACCTTCATACCTCTTTACCTGTTCCAATAGACTGTAGACTCTCATCAAACGCGCGCATCCACCATTGATCGTCTGTCGTGTACGCTGCCTTCTTTTTGCCGAGTCCCAATTGATCCTGCTTATGAGAAATGAGTAGCGGCTTCCTGATGCCACGGCCTGTCGAGTCAAGGGAGTGACCTGAGCCTTTCCAGCCTTGCTTGCGCAGATATGCGTCGGCGTTCATTGAGGTTGTGAGTTGTGAGAAGTTCGAGGGCTGGAAACAAAATTCTGTGGATCCCAGACATCGGCGAAACTTCGGTGCGGGGCCCGCTGCTCCAGTTGGCGGACCTCCGTGGACAAACTCCCTCTCCACCTTGAATGCTTGATGTTCACTCTTCTGATAATAGATCTCTAATATTGGTCATTTTATTCATGGATATAGACGACTAAATGAGGTCTTTTAGTTCGATCATCTCTGGTGCCGTCCTCCCGAGTTGATTCGGAAGGTTCAACGTAATCACAAACTTCGCCTATAGACTGGCGATAGCTCGACAAATAGTTCTGGAGTGTATGCGCTCTTTGAATATTCTGTATCATATATACGAACCGTCACAAATTCGTCTAAACATCCTCGTAATACTCACTATGAAAGGCTTTGGTCCCTAGCCCGCTTCGTCGTTCCTGCACCATTCCTTCGACTCCACAATAATGGCAGTCGCTGTGTCCCCTGGGTTCTATCTCATGCAGGCCGCAGCTCCCACTTTTCTTACTCTCCTTCAGCTATCCCACAGTCTTGTTTTCAACCTGTCCTCTCTACTATACACCCACTCTACACTGCAGCCTCCTTCATTGTCACCCACAGCAAACGGTTAGCATGAAGCGCATGCAGTTGCTTTGGCTCTTTGCCTCCATGACGGCAGGGACTCGCCCTCTGATTCGGGCCAAGAATGCTGCCACCAACTACCCAGGCATTCAGTTTGGTGGAGACAGGAAGCTCTCCATCACAGTCTTCAGTGACTTGCACTTCGGAGAGCGTAAGTTGGCTATCTCTCTGTGATTGACGCTCAAAGATGATTGACCATACTTAGCTGAGAGTGCACGAGGCCGTCACGACGCAGACTTCAAGACTATCAACACCATGAAGTCTGTCCTAAACAACGAACAACCCAATCTAGTCGTTCTCAACGGCGATCTTACTTCATGTGAGTGGGTGGCTCCAGAGAACGCCAATTCTCTAGTCGACCAGATCGTTGCCCCGCTCGTCGAACGCAATATCCCCTTTGCTACGACCTGGGGCAATCATGATGCATCGAAAACTTGCAGCACCCGCCTCATGTCTGAGCACATGTGGGACATGAAAGGGACGAACGGCAAGAAGCTCTCATTCACGACATCTTCTGTACCCGGAGAGTACGGCCAAGTCGGTACGAGCAACTATCTTATCCCTGTATACAGCTCGTCGGATGCCAGCAAGCTTGAGATGCTCCTGTGGTTCTTCGATAGCAAGGGCGGCCGTGTGTATCAGCCTAATGGTGGTGACATGACTGTCGCTAATTGGGTTGACGACAAGGTAGTGAAGAACGACGAGTTTGCGCGCTTATACTATAATGATGCTAATTATAACTATCAAGGTTGTCTCATGGTTCCGCCAGTCCAGCAACGAATTCCGCCAACAATATGGCCGTGTCGTCCCTAGCTTGGCCTTCGTCCATATCCCAGTACACGCGGCCCGAGCTTTCCAGAAGGACGGTGGTCGTACTGGCGCCACTGAGCCAGGTCTTGACGAAGAGCTGATTGGGCATCAAGGCGATGTGTGCGATAATAATGACAACTGCAACTACAATGGCGCCGACACACCCTTTATGAAAGCGCTTATCGAGACTGAGGGCCTGATGGCTGTCTTCTCCGGTCACGATCACGGCGTCGAGTCTGTCCTCTATACTCTCACTTCTAATTTGCGGCGTAACTGACTTTCTCCTAGCTGGTGCATGAAGTGGTCCAAGAGCCTTCCCTACAATGATCCTACCAAGGGCAATGGACTCAACCTCTGTTTTAATCGACATTCAGGCTACGGTGGATATACCGATTGGAAACGCGGTGCCCGCCAAATCGTTATTGAGCAAGATAAACTAGGCAAGAATGAACTTGAGACCTGGATCAGGCTGGAAGATGGAGATGTGTCTGGGCATGTAATGCTGAACGCTACTTACGGTGTTGATCACTACCCGAAGGTGGACAAGTTGAAGAGCTTCGTCTCATATCTTGAGCCGAAGCCTGCTGCAGTGTTTGCCGAACGACCTTCGAGTGTGGCGAAACCTAAACCCAAGTCTAAGTCAACAACGGCATCGCAAACCAAACTGAAGTCAACGATGACTACACGACCGGACGTGCAGAAGCCGAAGACAATGTTGACAAAAAGCAAATCAAGTATCAAGCCGACAGCACATCCAAAGAGCCTGGACGTGAAGAAAAGCTCGAATCGTTAGCAACAGGCGGTTGTCGAATATCGCAATATGCCTACTTTTGCACCTTTGCTTGTGCAGATATTCCCTGTATACATACGAGCATATATGTCTCAGCGTCATAGTAGTTCAATCTAGCATAAAGTCTTTCCTCGGTTTCATCATCGTTCTTTTATGTGTTCTTCAACGTCATTGCAAATATCCTTTTTTGGGGTGCCATCATAATTCCCTCGATTCAGAGTTTTAGTTTTTTTTTCGTACACTTGAGGCAGCAACCGCTTCTACAATTGGCAGTGAGCTTTATGATACTTATCTCCTTCTGAGTAAAAGGTTAGTATTGGTCACGAACACAAGGTAAGGTATTAATGCAAGACAGAAAATGCATACTAAGGTAACCCAAAAGGCCTATTTTTCTTCCATGACCGAACCATGCAATGCAATGCGATGAACGAAAGTGGGTATAAATGCAATCGTACTTTTGAACCAACCTCTCTTGCTTTTCATAGCCGTCCATCTGCGTTTCCGTACTCCGCAATTTCCATTTCATTCAAATGACTCCTCGCCCTGACACTACTCCTCTTACTATCCGAACCCGCCATGCTCTGCCTCATTAGCACAGCCTTCCTAGGATCCATCTTTGGGCTCAAAGGCGTGTTGCTGAAGTCTAATGTACCATCAAATCCACCGTATTCGTGTTGAATAGGTCGCTTACCCCTTGCTACGGGCGATTTCGGTACTTTGGATCTAGCTTGAGTGCGCGAGTAGCTTTTAAGCGGACGCATTAGGACTGGAGTAGGCCATATATCCTCGCTTTTTTCTGATTTTGGGGACCCCGGGGGATCGGCGTCCCAATCTTCGTGTTCCCAGATGGGATCTGAATATGTTGAAGAGCCGGATGGCTGATCGATGTACACTGATGAGAACGACGTGGTGGCCGAAGTACGCCTTGGTAAATATGGGCGCGGATGTAGCATCTTCTCCATCTGTGCGTCGAGCATATTGCTTGATGCTGTATCGGTTTGTTGCTCTCGTGGAATTCGACGGCGAAGTGAAAGCATCCGTGCCGGGTTTCTAGGTGGCGGAGTCCGCTTTTCGAGCCCGAGCATCTCATAGCAGGCCTTGCCAATCCATAACATTTGTTCGTGTTCGCGAAGATAGCGTTCGCCTCCGAAAGATTTCTGGACGATGCTACGTGCCATCATACCAAGTTTTCGCCGCTGCTCGGTCTTTTCATACATACGGCGAGTGATGATTTTTACATCTTTCAGCGTAGGCTTGGGTGGGAGCACAGGTGCTGATATCCCCGGGCCGTCTTCTGCGTATTCTGCCCATTCGTCTAGCATGGCGAGAAGATTGATTTGTGCGCGTGCTAAACCATACGCATCGTTCGGTGCGACAACCTCGCTATACCGCATACCATCATCGGGATCTGTAAGAACTCGAAGAGAAGCACCAACATCGGTACATACCACCGGAGCTCCGGTAAGGGCAGCTTCGCCGAGTGCGAGAGGTAGGCCCTCCGAGACTGATGAGTTTAGGAAAAGCCAGGAGTCTGCCAGCACCATAGCAGGGTCAGCGGAGCCCCGAAGCGCGACACTTTGGCCGAGTCCTTTACAGGCAAGGATCTCTTGACATTCTGAAGAATAGACAGGAGACTTATTGAGCGCGCCGTAAATGTCAAGTTTGTAGTCCTTAAAGCCCCACTCATTGCTGATGATGTCCGCCGCAAGAAGAGCAGTCTTGATGTCCTTCGCAAACCAAACATGAGAGAGCATAGTGACAGTCGGCGTCTTTGTTTTGATCTCAGTGACTGGTGAGAATTTCTGCATGTCGGTGATGCCGTTTACGATAGGGTCGACCTTTCGGCGGAAGACATTGCGGTGGGTGAGTTGGCCTTTCGCGCTTCCGATCTCCACCTCCCAGCCAGGATTGAAGAAATCTGGAATCTTATTAGTTTCAAGACGGTCAGAGTCGAGAAATGTCCACATACCTGCACATGGAAGAATTTGATCGGCGTGATGCAGGATCAAACAGGATGTCAGCTTCATCAATCCGAGGAGTGAGTTTCGGATAAATGGTGGTAGAGTGCACATGGCAGACGAAAGGTAAAGATTTGTCTCTCGCCACGAGATTGCATGATCCCAGATCTGAAGCGTGCAGTTTCGCTTTAGCTTACACACAATACCATATGATGCCGAAACACTGTGATGGGATGCTTGAAAGACGTTCGGTATCTTTTCAGGTATCGGAATCGAGAATATGAACAGATCTAGCAAGGTCAGTTTCGTCCCGCTACATCTCAGCGAAGCTCACATCTGAACCACAGTTCCAACGCAGTATCAAAGTGACCTAGGGTAGGCAATTCGGTGCGGAACCATTCCGACGGCGGCTGCGCATTGGGCATATCGTCCGCCAACCACAGCTTTCTCCATGTATCTTTCACGATATCACTAGTCCATACTTCCTTCCAGTGACGGGAATCTTGAAAATACGTGTTGAGGTTGACCAAGGCTCTTGTGGCTTGCGTTACATCCGCCGATGTCATGTTGATAGCTCTGGCGCCACGGACGAGAGCAGTCAAGGTGGGAATGAAATTCATCTTGATGTCGGTAATAGTAGCCTCCTTAACTAGGTGATCCACTTCGCTGTCCAGCTTATTGGTGAACATGCCGTGACACGGGTGCATAAAGTCAAGACCCCACAGTGGGATGACCTTGAGAGACTCCACATTTTCTTCGGTCTGATGCTTCGGTAAACCAAAGTCGTTCGCTGACTCGACAACCATGTGCCACCTGATGGTGCGTAAGTTGTTAATAAGATCGCGACGACATGCTGATACACCACCACCTTCGTTTGGCCAGGTTCCAGTGTCGACAGCAATGACGTGGAGATTGTGGTCCGTATCGCGCTGTAGTGTCTTTGTCCTCGTGAAAATCACAGCATCGCCTCCTTGACCAAAGCTGAATAGATCACTCATTCGGATGGCAAGAGGCGTCCAAGCACTGATGTCGCTCGTCAAATCCGAGCTTGCCATAATGGCATCAGCATGCAGGGCGAGGTAATCTTCAGCCTTTAGAAGGCTTCCGCGATCGCGGCGCCTCCAATATGGTCTGAGTAGTGCTTCCTTCCGAATGAGCTCTTCGTCGACCCATCGAATCACTACACCGTCTAAATCGTTGCGTTTCTTCCAGGCTTTCCAAAGCTGCGAGCGAGCTCTTGAAGTGGAGATCTCCTGCCTTTTTATGTTATTACGAAACATTCTGCTCATAAAACTTGAAGACGCTGACTTAAACTCGAGGAGAGGATTCTCGTCAGCGAAAGTACAGCGTGTAGGCTTTTTGAGTACGCCAAGCCAATCGTGACGAATCATGTCTGGGGTTTCGACAGACTCGCCGTTGAGCTTAGTGGCAATGGTCGGATGAAATTTGTGGTCATAGAGCCATGTACATTCATACACATCAGCACCTTGGACAAAAGTAGCCTCATGTACGCGGGGGGTGGGAATCCACCGCTCCATCTTCTCAGCATGGCGGACTGGTGGAGCGCACCAGCTAACGTTCGCTGACATGTGGGGAAGTACAAATTCCGCACGCAAAAGTTCGTCATCATACTTGGCGTTCTTTCGATAATGGTACTTGAAGCGGACTAGATTCCCGTGATTGATGTAGCTGCCTGATTCGATGTGGCCTTTGTGGTTGTACAAGACCTTCGCCCCCTCATCGCTGCCACTAATGCAGCTTCTACTCAACGGGATTCTGTTATGCTTGATCTTGGGAATTTTGATCTTTCGCTGCGGTGGCTTAGAAGTATATTCGTAGGCAAATTCATTCACCACGTTCCCGTTTCTGAACTCTTGGCGTAGAGTGACCCGCATTTCCCTGTCGTAATGAGTGATCCTGGTATGACCCCAGGTTGGCTCCTGTTTTGCAGTGCCTTGATAGAAGGTCAGCTTGAAGCTGTTATTCTCAATGGGCCGAATGAAGGCGGTTTCTGTCTCCCCATAACTGCGAATGACCAGACGATTCTTCTTCTGAATGATCAAGCTGCCTTTCACAGTGCCTGCGAGACCGGCGACATCTTTTCGGCGATGGTATAGAAAGAACGGGAGAGCAACGGACATGGCAACGCGACTGTATATCCATAGGCCGGTAAGGATGAAAGTTGCAGGTTTGGCCAGGAACTGTGGCGTGTGGATCAAAGCACCATTCAATTCTCGTTGATATTCCGGATCAGCCATGCACGCAAGGACGAAGAATTTGACCCAGGTACCAGCTGTGTGGTAGACATAAGTGATCGGAACTCTGACATACTCCGTGAATATACTGATGATAGACACTGCGGAGCGATTCAGTACAGGATGGTAGGCCTCTTGAATATCGGCGGTCATCTGTCGATATTCTTTCTCGCCGAGGGCCTGATCTCCACGGTCTCTGAAAAAGTTGAGTTTATTGACCGCCAAATATGCACCAAGATCGTATCGTGCAACACGGGAGAGTATCGTACAAGAATCCTCTGCTGGGACGTTCAAATTGATCCATGAGATTTCCGTGCTGGTGTATGGACCTCGAGCGCCCAGGCATCTTCGGAGAAAGAGGCGACGTATGTCTAGTGGAAGCACATCCCATTGCGTTTCACAGTCGAATCCCAAGCAAAGATTTCGTAACAATTCTTTGCGGCATGCCGTTTCAAAAGCCAGCGCCTCGGGTCCTGAGCTCAAGGCTGGCATTGAGCGTTTGCTGCACTCTGAAACCGTATGCCGTTCATTGCTGACAATACGACACGCAAGAATGGACTCGGTCATCTCTGCTTGAGAATGGGGCATACCAAACATCATTTCCGAACAAGAATGCAGTAATGTTTCGGCAATAGTGGTGCAGTTGCTGCTCACATTCATTTGCCTAGATGTTGAACCTTTCGCGTCCGAAGCAATATAGAGAGTCAATCGACCATTTTCGTATTGTGAAATTGCCCGAAGGTCGGTGGCGACTGCTGCAATCGATTGCATTGGGACGATGAAGACCTTAATTAAGTCATTCTTCCACGCCAAGACAATCCTTTGTACCAGGAACGGCATCGTCGGAAACGCATGCATAGCTAATCTGGAGAGGTTGTCGTGAGTGCATGATAGTAGTATGGCTGTGATCTGGTCACCGGGCTGGCCGGTAGGCAAAATCCGATACCGATCCTCCCTAGGGGCAGCTCGTAGCTTGTTGCAGAACGCCTGAAGTTCACTTTGGCTGAACTCTTCGTCGGCACTTGCGCCATTGTAGGCGTGGTAAATCTCGTCGACGGACAAGTGAATCCTAAGCTCAGACGGTACGCCTTTGATATTCACTGATTCGGTCGAATCGGACGGCCTCTTGCTCCGTTTGAATCTTGGCAAAGATTCTGAGATCCAGATGCGAATATCGAATACCTCAGGCAAGCCTAGTTTGGCCGTCCGGAAAGAGAGCAACGCTGCTGTCCAAGTCGATACTGCAAGAGCGATGACCTTGTGGTATAAGAAGTTCGGAAACACTTCCATCAGTATGTTTCCTACTACGAGTCCGAGGACTACGGCAGCCAAGAGTGGCATGAGTGCATGAGGACCGGAAAAAATCTTGTTATACTGGTAAAGCAGCAGCCCGCTATAGGAACCCACATATGCCAAAAACATGACCAAACCAGTTGGTGAGCCATTGAAGATCCAGATGAGGGCGGCACAAAGTGCTAGTGCCCACACATGGATGCCAAGGAAACGACACAAGGTGTTAAAATAGAGGTGTCGTCTGAACTTTTGATCGTTGGCTTTAGCCTTTCTGATCTGAGCTAAATCTTCGATTGAGATTGGTGACATTTGTTCAGACAGCGTGTGGAGATGTTGTGCCTTGTAGTCGAGTAGTACAGCGCCGATAAGATAGTAAGCAAGACCAAAGCCAACGGACAAACGGAGGGTCGTGTTCATTTCGCTTCCCAGACCAACTAGTTGACCGCCACGCAATAGGTCAAGCCATCGGTCCATGAGGGCAACGAGGAAATAAAGAATGCCGCAATAGATTTCGTCGCCGGCCGTGCGCCAATGGATGAATGAGTTGTGAAGCTTTATGCCCTTTTGCGACTGCTGCATACTTTCTAGTGCAACCTGCGTTTCGAGGTTCCAGGTTGAGCTATAAGGAATCGGTCGCTTAGTGTCCGTAATGCGACAATACCAATCGAGGAGAAAAACCGTCGACTCCCAGCAATTTGCAAGGCGTTTGACGAATAGATCTTCCGTAGGTTTTCGCCAGAAGGGACGCTCTTTCTCCTTCATCACCGCGTCGTACAGATCCTTACGACATAGGGCAAGGATCGCTGGCTCACTCAGGTCGTGAAAGATATCTGGTTCGCCGAAAGACATCTCGGAAGAAGGAGCGACAGAGACGCTTGCGGCGAGGGATAGCCTTGGTATTTTGCTCAGTCTCTTCGCTGTCATATGCTTAGTCTGTGGAATTAAACAAAGCTTCACTCACGAACGTACCTTTACTCGGAGCTGTGTTTGCAAGGCGTTCACGGTTTTTGTATCTCTGTATGTACCAGTCCTTTACATCGGCATCGTTCAGCGTTTTGATGTCGTGATACCAGGTGACCCACTGAGTAGCTACATGCCGAGTGCCAAGGAAGAGAAGAATAACAAAGATGTAGAGTATACTAGGGTAAATGATGATGTCCTGTCCTGGAATGAACATAGTTATGATAGGTGAGATGATCAAAGTTGGGACGACCATAATAATCACTCTACGCCCGTTCAAGAAGCTCGACCCGGGGACTTGATAGGTAGAGAGGACAGCCAGGACGGATAGATATGCTGTTAATCCAAAGAGGTAGAAGAAAAATACGGCTCCGAGCTCCGGCCCTACAACAGCGGAAATAATAATGAATCCTAAAAGACATCCGGCAAGTGTAAAAGCGAGACCACCGATCAAGCGTGTGAGAACGAACATATTGGCCGCGGAGAATGCCATGGAGATAAGATAGTAGGTGCCTCCGATGGAGATCCAGGTTCCGATGGCCCCAGAAAGGAGCAGAGAGCACATCAGAGCAAGGGTAGCATAGTACTTCTCTGCTTCGCTCATACGTATACTCAGGTAAAGTCCACGCCCGGTCGTTGACAGGAGAACAATGTCTAAAATCATTAGCCGGTGTTGTATATCTCTACTAACGTGCCAACCTACCAACGAGAGCCGGTATCGCAAAGACACTGAGAAAGGTAAATCGACGATATGCGGGCATTACGGAAGATTTTTGGTTAGGGTCGATATCAGTCTGAGCAGCGGCGTAGGCAGAAGCAAACGACGGGGCGTTAAAGATCCACATTGGAGGTTGATGTTCTGCTTCATTGTAGTAGTCTCGATGCTTTTTGGATAGCAACATGCCGATGTCGCTTGGCTTGATATCAAAGTATGCTTCACAACGGGAACCAAGAGCAAAGAGCTCTGCAAAGGCAGCGCTCTGGTCTGAGTACTGGTTGAACAAAGGGTTTCGGTCCGACACTTCGATGTACACCTCGTCGAACCCTGCTTTTCTTGCCGAGCAGAATATGCAAAAGAGCACGAAATCTGCGGCGGAGTCAAGGTTTCCTCTGTTGGTAATACTCTCAATGGAGGAAGTGATTGCATCCAGCTTTTCGTGGTCTCGCCACCATAATATATCGGAAAAGGTTTCCGAGACATGTCTAAATAGCTCGAGGGCATCATTTCGGTCGAGTGTTGGAAGGTGACAGAGACGGTACCATTTAAGTTTGGCATTGACAAGCTGTTCGTCCGTAATCGTACCACTAATGTAATCCATGTTGCTGAGCTTCTTGAATTGCTGGTAGGTGGGCACGTCAAGGAGCAACTCCTCGCATTGTTCGCGGAGAGCTGAGAGTAGTGGACATTCGTCGTTCCAAGCTGAGTATTGAAGATGTTGGAGATAGAGGAGGAGGTCCGAAGATGAAAGCAAACTCAGGTCCTGTTCGAGTCTTTCTGGGATCCATTTCGAGAGGCGTGGTTCAGCCTGAGAGGAGCTTAAGCCATACTCGACTAGGAAGCTTTGATACCTCGAAAACCCTAATCGGCTCAAATGTGTATGAATCAAAACCCCAGTGAGATCCTGGACCGATTTTGAGATGTATATTATTGTAGATCTTGTCCTTGGCTCGACTTCCCAAACTGCCCAAAATTGGCTGCCGCTTGGCGTGTGGAATCCGGAGTCCAGCCCAGAATAAACTTGTAGCTCATAGAGGTCATCGGCCTCATCAGTGATCTTAGCCAATGCTTCTGCGAGGACTGAAATGGCTTCCCGTGATGTAGGTACATCGTCCAAGAAGCGGCTTCTGTCTAGGCTGTAGCCGCCGAGAATCTTGGCGGCTGCATGTAGTTGCTTTGTGGCGGGTTTACTGAGCAACTTCAGCTCCCGTAGTCGTCGTTGTGATTTTAGAATATGATCGAAATCCGCCTTGGAGGCGTTGAATCCGATTGGGAAGCAACCTAAAGACCCATACAATGCTCCATCATACGAGCATGATAGAGGATTGCATGTGCGCTTCTCCAGGGCCAATTGCCAGTCCAGGCCCGGGGAAACAGGCGATAACGGTGCTGAGGGGAGCAGGACCCCATTCTCATCAATTTCCGGGTATTGTACGATGAGCGTAGACGTACTCGAAGCATCGTCGTCGTCAGATGCCGAGCCATCTAAGCCAGCAAGGGTATCAGAGAGAAGTGGAAAAATCTCTTGCAACGGAAGATAGTCGTCGATGATACTCGAAAAACCTGCAGAAAGCTGTTCAAGTTTCAGCGCAAGCACACGAACCTCTCAAAACGGAGACTGCTTACTGTGCGCGTTGTACGATATGTTTCGTGTACGTTCATGACCCTTTTGTTCTTCAGCCATTGGAATGCTGCCAACGGTTCTTCGCAGGACCGAACATCATGAATGCTAGTTAGAGCTCGTTGACGTGTAAAGTATGGGACAGCGCCGTGGTAATTACACCACATATGCGCTCTTCTCACTACAGCATGGGAAAGGGGGGCGTCATCTTCAATGGTATCCCACATCATGGTGATGAACGGCCGTTGACAAGCTTGTGAGACGAAGGCTTTTGTTGTAGTCTTCATCTTGTCCATATCAAAGAAGTCTCGACGGTCTCCGTTGGACATAATTGTGCCATTCCGAACAACCATTCCAGCAAAGAACTTGATATCGAGCTTCTCAATGCCATCCAAGAAATTTGGAGGGCCTACCTCCAGGTAGACTTCCAAACCGTATGCAGACAGAAGTTTCGCTAGTCCGTTGAGGAGAGGAGTGGAGATGCGCTCACGCCATCCAGCAACGAGGACGCCCGTGAAGTATCTTCGTTGGTCTGGTTGTCGCAAAGTTTGCTGAATGATCCACGAGATTATGTATACCGTGCGCGCCATATCAAGCTCGTTGTCCATGGCCGCAAACTTGATGATCTGGAGCAGATCCAGCCTAGCGATTATGTGAGGGCCCATTGGAACACTGCCATCGCTAACGGCTGCTAGGACCCCGGGCTCGCAATAGTCTAGTACTACAGCTTCCCATCGTGAAAGTATCTGCCCCTCCTCTTCTGTGATTGGATCGCTAAGTAGACCTAGATATACACCAAACGATGAAGGCTTCGTAGCAAGATTATGGCGTTTGCGGACGACGTTTGAGCTATTCGAGAGGAGATGGATGCGTTCTTGTACCGACCGCGGCAGCGTACGCTCGTCTTTATTGGCCTACGAGCATTGTGAGAGGCGAATTCTTCGAAGGAGTATTTTATTACCCTAAAAGAGCTTCGAATAGACCGGTACGAGAACCAGACGAATGCCACAAGGCCAGCCAGGCTGCTGGCACTAATAATCGCCACGAGAGTCCATTCCCACCACTCCCGAAGCAAGGAATCAGTGCGAAAAGCCTGAATTCCCAGGATATCAGGCTTCAGCATTGTGCGTTGCCGGTTCAAGAGGAATCAGACGGCAACCCCGAGCCCTCAACGGCGCTCGCCGAAGATAATTCAATTGAAGAGATCCGTAAGCTCGGTACTAGTCGTACAGCAGAACACAAAAAGGTAAGGGAAGTAGGTATTAGAACATGACGGTTAAGCGGCCGACGCAATGTTTCATGATGAAAGGCTGCAATCGTCAAATTGATATAAACATCCAGGTGAAACGACTAGGCCATATGGTAGAGGAAGGGATACTATGCCCTAGTATAAGAGCAGGCACGTCGGCAGTAGATGACCGGCCCTAAAATCACCACAGACGAACAAATGTCTTCTTTGTATTAACGTCATGTGCTAGCCTTCGATCTGCGAATTACATTAGCACATAGCACCCATGGTACACAAGCCGGAGGAATCTCCACCGCCGCAAGGGCATCGGGAGTAGGAAGAGCAGTCAACCTCCTAGAAGCCGGCAATACGACGCTGGGTCGCCACGAAGGGCAGTAGAGCGACAGTCATCATGTTGCAACTTGCAGCGCGAAGCCTTTGAGCCGGGCATTGGCGCTAGAAGTGCACGGTAACCGGCGTCCATCTATCCCGAACAACGAACGATGACTGCGGGGAAACTGGGGCGGAAGTGATATAGGCCTGAACGATGAGTAGGGTCTGTGAAGGAGGTGGCGCGAAGACGCGACGGGAGTGGTGGATGGGGGAGAGGCTGAAGCGGGAAAGGGTCGACGCGTAAGGCCCGTGCATGCACATCAACGCCAGACTAACACGTTCATCCGGCGTGGCTTTTAGCCTGACCTCCTCCTCAACACTACTTTAATATCAGACCTCATCTATCGCGTCATCACCCTCGGCAGAGTCTCGAAGCCTGGCCTAATGCAATGCATCTCCCGCAGATGAATTCGGGCGTGCTATTTGATGGGGCAATATGCGCAGACTATGGGCAGACGCGTCCTTGCGTGGAAGCAGGCCACTGGTCACTGGCTGCGTCGCCTCCAATATGCTCATATCTCGGTTTCCGTGTCCTCACAAGTAACATGTACTCGGATTACAACCGTCTCTAGTGTGGGCTTGAAGCGGCTCGGCCTACTCAGATGGGTCTCGTGCAGGGGTCGATTTGGTATGGCAGGCAAGCTTCAGGTCATGAGCCCAGCCAGGTCTCCTTAGTCCTTACGATACATTGTTCTCACGTGGCGAGAGCTTAATACCACGGATCTATGAAGACGAGGATCCGCCAAGGCCCCTGCCTCCCATATCCTCTACAGCACATTACGTACCTCAGAAGTGCGGCAGTGATTGTTCAAAGACATGTGTAGGTATCTACGCCGCGTCACATCCCAAATTAGGTTGAAATCGAACCAAAATTTGAGTTGCTGAGGCCAGAAAAAGAGAAAACGATAGTTCCCCAGCCGTCTATACCTGCACCTAGCCCTATATTCTCCCAGTGGCCCATTAGATGATTTGCTACTTCTGCCGAAAGCACACTTATTAAGACTGCCAGGTTCCCAAAAAGTTTATTTTGTCACGCTGTTTACGCCATTGTCTTACTATGGCGTCCTTTTTTCTTTCGTTACTGCGCGCATGCGCGTGTTCATGTCTCTTCCTCTTCTTGCACGGCGCTTCCGCGTACGTCAGTAGCGCTACGGTTTCGAGCACGATTCTCATTGTCGCGCGCGACACGACATCGGCTGAGAATGGCGCAGCAGCCGGTCTTCGTGGCTACGGCATACCTTTCGAGATTCTCACTGTTCCTCAGGCCGGCATCGCAAACCTTCCTGTGCTCAATTCCTCTGGCACGCATGGCAACTACGGAGGCATTGTCGTATTGAGTGAAGTGGGTTACAACTATGACAGCCAATACTACAGTGCTCTTACGAGGAGACAATGGAACGACTTGTACGCGTACCAAATTAACTTTGGGGCGCGAATGGTTCGCCTTGACGTCTTCCCAACGGCCGACTTTGGCGTTTCCAGTAACGGTGGCAATCTGAACAACGAGCCAGTGTCTTTTACCAATATTACCGGCTTTCCCACCGCTAGCCTTAAAACGTAAGTTCACGAACTTTTCATATAACTGGCAATGCATTTTCCTGTTCGCTACTGCAGCGTAGTAATAAAGTAAAATTATATCGAAGATAAAAGGACGAACAGAAGGACTAATAAATTGGACAGAAACGTAGGCGTCAACATCGCAAACATCTTCCATACTCCTGCAACGATCACAAACTCGTCAATAGCATGGGAGGTAGCACGATTCTCGACAACTGGCACTGCTGCAGTCATCAATCAAATTGGAGCTCGCCAGCAGATGGCATGGTTTTTGCCATTCGCGCTAGATTGGGCCGCCGCGAGCAACATTCTTCAACACGCATGGATTACATGGATTACGAGGGGCCTCTATGTTGGCTTCAGGAGGACGTATCTCAACACACAGGTGGACGACATGTTCTTGGAGACCCCCATGTACCGACCGCAGGGCCAAAACTATCGCGCCAAGCCAGATGATCTCTCTTTGCATGTTGATTGGCAGACGACCTTGAACGCGAAGATGCCGAAAGGCTCAGAGTTCTTTATCGAAATCGGCCATAATGGCAACGGTGATATCGAGGCATCTACTGATACTACCGAGGGTGCGTCAATCTGCACTCCGAACACTGGTATCGAATACGCCGAACAAAAGGACGGTAGTCCAGAATATATGAAGCCACCAGGGACTGGAACGGACATCTGGCCTGCTACGCCTACCAAGTATAGCTGGAGCCTTGAGTGCGTTGAGATTGATGAGCTTCAAAATTGGTTCACAGAGGAGGAAAATCGCGATGCGTTCGCACACGTCTCGCACACCTTGTGAGTTCATAGACTGATGGATGGGCATAATCTTACGTCTTCTAGCTCGCACGCCGACCTTACAAATGCAACATACTCAGACACAGCAAAAGAGATTATTTTCAATCAGGCCTGGCTGAAACAGGTCGGTCTCGATGCAGCGAAACGCTGGAGTGGGAACGGCATCATTCCGCCCGCCATTACAGGTCTCCATAATGCAGATGCCATCAAAGCTTGGTTAGACAATGGCATCTCGAATGTTGTCGGAGACAACACACGCCCACTTCTTCGAAACCCTTCAAACGCATTCTGGCCTCTAACCACTACAGTGGAATCAAACGGATATGCTGGGTTGAACGTCGTGCCGCGATGGGCGACACTCATCTACTATAATTGCGACCTTCCAGCTTGCACACTGCAGGAGTGGATTGACACGTCTGCTGGCAAGGGCACTTTTGATGATCTCATGACCAATGCAAGGGACACCGCTATGCGCAACCTGTTTGGGTTACATTGGGATGCGTAAGTCGCGACCTCCTCCCTACACATGGCTCCCTGTTGACATGTGATACAGGTACATGTTTCACCAGGCCAACATGCGCGTCAATGATGTTCCAACTACATCCGTGAATGGCAAGCGAGGACAGTATTCTCTACTTATGACCTGGACCGAGGTAATCACTGCTGAGATAATGCGCCTGTACGTTTGACCTTCCTCAAGACAGTGTCCGTATATATACTGACGCTTCACAGCACCACATGGCCGTTGAAGACCCTTAAACACGATGACCTCGCCCAAGCATTCCTCAACCGCCAAACACGTGATCTTTGTAGACCTAGCATGACGTGGACTACCTCCGCCAACGGCGACAGCATTGAATCTGTCAACGTCTACACAGCGGGTGGCAATAACTGCAAGACAACGATCCCTATCACTGTACCGGCCGCTGTGTCATCGACGACTGGTGCAACGAAGGAGCAGCTTGGTAGCGATCCTCTGACATTATGGGTGACGATGAGCGGCGCAAGTCGGAACTACAAGTTTACAACGGCTGTTAAACTATGATTGAGCTGGCTGAGCCAAAAGTTATGCATCCAGATCTTTGTACGTTCACTGTATATAAACAAGGCTTACTGGGACTGTACATAGAGGGAGTGCTTCATGTGTTGATAGTCCCAGTGGATGCTTGAAAATCATTAGCCACATAGCCCGAATCACATAGCTTCGGTGTATTCTAACAGACTCGCAACTATTTCTGGGCGAATTGCATTATCGAACTACTGTGGAAGCGTAGGCGACCGTCTCGAAAATGGAGCCTATCCTGGAAGAATCAATGTAATCACAAACATCTCCGCACTCAAAGTACTTTCACAGAACCAGCGATAGCTCAACTAGGGCGTAGGCGCTTTGAAAATCCTCTTAAGCATAGCCACACGTTAATCTGGATGAATGCCGAACTGCCGGGCCATCGCACCCTTCACGAAAATCAGTTGCTGTCCCAAGATTCACGATAATTTCTTAAGAAGAAGAGCTCTAAGGACGTATTCAATATTCCAGTACCACCGCAACACCTGAGCCTTATGACCTTTACAGTCCCGAAATTGTGGTTCTTGCGTACACAGCCACAGCCATAGCCGCGATCTTACTTCATGCGGCCTAAGCCCTGCACGTAAATGAACTACATGACACCGCCTCTCTACCCAGGGGTATTGAACTCGCGTTCATTCATCTACATCTCTCCATGCGACGCGTCCGTCACGAAAGTTAGGAGTTATCTAAGGCTCGCCAGCCTTTACATGCGCATGCGCAAGCTCAAAACCCAATGCATCTAGCTTTTTGAGTACCGTTCGATTATCACGTGTGATAAAATCCGAAGGATTCAACGATTGTGCTGCGATTTTTGAGCGCGCTTTCTGTCGGCCACCAGCTACCCTCCCTTGGCCACAAACATGTCCATCAAACCCGCATCAAAACGACCATGGTCACTTCGGCTCAAACTCCTTCTCGGCGGCCTCGCTGCTATCATAATTCTCGGACTGGCGCTCGGACTGGGTCTAGGCCTAACAATCGGACAAAACGGCGACGATGACGATGGAGATTCTAATAATCCTCCAACGTCAACCCGCTCTCCATTACCGTCACCAAATACCACTCTGCCCTGGGTGCCAAGGGTGAATGATACATGGCAAATTATCCTCTCGCATCCGCCGCTGCTCTCATCCAACGACAAGGCTACCACGCCTAATGTGTCTATCTTTGATATCGACCTGTTCGACACGCCTACTGAGACTATTAAACAGCTGCACGATCTCGGCAAGAAAGTGATATGCTATTTCAGCGCAGGAAGCTATGAGGAGTGGCGGCCTGACGCCGGGCAATTTCAACCAGCAGATCTAGGGAAAAACTTGGACGGATGGCCTGGGGAGAAATGGCTGAAAGTAGGGAACGAGAACGTACGCAGAATCATGAAGAGTAGGGTGGAAATGGCGAAGGAGAAAGGATGTGATGGTGTGGATCCGGACAATGTGGATGGATATGTGAGTTACCATTTTCTGTCTATTCACACTACTTCCTTCCTACACCAAGCGCGACCTCTGCTTCTGTAGATTTTCATGCGAGATATTGTTGCTGATAAGTTATTCTAGCAAAACAAGAATGGTCTATCTCTCACCCAAGACGATGCTATAGAATATCTATCTTACCTCTCCTCCATCGCAAGGCCCCTGAATCTCACTCTCGGCCTCAAAAACGCGGGCGATATCATTCCCGTAGTTCTTCCCGTCGTGGAGTTCTCTGTTAATGAGCAATGCGTCGAGTACGGCGAATGCGATACCTTCCAACCCTTTATTGAAGACGGCAAGCCTGTGTTTAACATCGAATATCCGAAGGGCGCTGGAGAGGGTGAAGCGCAGACACACGGACTAAAAGATGATGTTATGGAAAAATTCTGTGAGAGGAGTGGTGGTGCGGCGGCGAGTGCAGGGTTCAGTACGGTGTTGAAGCAGATGGAGCTGGGCGGATGGGTGGAATATTGTGATGGAAAAGTAGAAGTCACGGCTGTGAACGCGACAGTTGGGAATCGTGGTCAATCAAGGTGATGAAAATCACGCGAATTAGAAACAGACATTGGAAAGGAAAAAAGAAATCGCGAGATCGCCGTTTGACTCGGAAATTTCGCTTCGTGCAAACAGTCTCCACGCTGTATTGCCACAGCATCTTTTCTCCCCTCTTCTTACCGAATCAGCCTCGCAGTGAGCACGAAATATCGAGGCGTCAGCTGCATGCAGCCTTACGCAAGCCCTATGGAAACTTTCCTAGTTGAGCGTCCCCCTAATTGCTGTGACGGGCTGTGCTATAGGAGGGTTATTGAAAGATTTCCCTGGGTTGAAGGCTACTTTTCCAAGCGAAGTAGCAGTGCGTAAGCGGTATGCATCTTCCCCGAGTCCATGCTGAAAGCGCCGTCAAAAATTTCAAATTGAGCTTCGTCAGCTCAATCAAGCAAAAGAACAAGCGGCACAAGACTTGTCACGGCAATTGCGAAGCCGAAAAGCTGGGCAAGAAAGCTTAGAGGGATTGTTGGGCAAATGGACGAACTCGCACTGTATACCTGTTGTTGATTGTATCGCTGTCTGCGGAGCAAGTAGCAAAGTCTTGATGTTCGATTGAGTTCATAGGTCAATTTCAGTATCCTCCATTTTGCAATGCCTCCATGGCTGACGGGCTCACACTAACGAAGGCCTACCCACTCAGCTCGCCTTAGCTCATTATTACGTGATGCTCAAAGTTATTTATTCGAACATGTAGAGGCTCAGAGGCACCGGGGCTGGACTTTAGCCGACAATAAGAATCTGGGGAAAGCATCATAAATCGCCGGGGTTAATGTGGCGACACGCCCGATCCTTGACAGCCTGGCATAGGTGGCGTGTAAACAACCCTGGAAGCGTGACTGGTGGAATCAAGTGTGATGCCCTCAGTATAATAGTAATCAGTTATGACATGCATGTTGGTACTAGAATGAAGCCAGGGCGCAGTTACCGGCCGGTTGAATGAAGATCAATATAGGAGGCTCATGGCGGGAAGGATCCTAGATCGAGACCAATTCCGTGTGTTGGCGTAAGCTGGTGGCCTGCATCTCGCCATTGACGGTGCCGAAACCCATCTGTTAGGCTGAAGACGACGCGTCCTCAATTCGACGAAGTTGACAGTCTAGTGAAAACGGTGTATGAAGATGAAAATATTTCAGGACCTCTAGTCTCGGTGCGAGTTTCCGTTCTTGACACGGAAGAACGTTTCGTGCCACCATGTGTATGTGGCGTTACTGAGCCAGTATGTCACGCACATCTTCACAAAGTCTTTGATCACGCGAAGGAGCAAAGACTGGTCGGCTCCAACATGTAACTGACGCAGCATCCGATGATAGGGTTGTGGAGAAGGTTATGTTCGCCGGGTTAGAGTTGATGCATATTTTATCCCCTCTTTACCCTATTCTCCGACTCCTGAAAGTCGGCTGAGCGACCATGAGAACAGTGCATGGCTCTGCCTAGGTAGGTATGGCGCCGTGAAATCGGTCCACAGTTCTGGATACGGAACGCGAGGCGCCAGCACTTTCAAGGATAGTGGTTTGCGGGGCTGGATTCGCGATCTAACATTGGTCCTCATCCCCTCTTTGGAAACTGAATGTCAATGTATGCAGTGTTCAAGAACTGCAATCAGGAAACTTTTGCGTAGGACATAAGCTTGAGCGATTGGAAGAATATATGCATAGTTAGGAATATGCACATAAGCTCGTAGTGTTAGTGAGCTAAATCTGGCTTGGATAATACAGCAACTTGCAGGTGATGAACTTGGCAATCAAGGGGGCCTACGTTTACCTTGAAGCGATAGCAAGCTTTAGTATTCGAAAAATGTACTTGTAGAAGTTAGTCTCAGTTTTTGCCTAAGATGCAAAGAGAGAGGAAGTGTCGGTGAATTCATAAAACTGCTAGAGACAGGGAAGGCGGCGAAATACGATTTTGTTTCGATGCCGTGTTACCCGTGGAACTAGTTCGGGGAGTATCGTCCGACCAAAGAGCCCAGCTATTAGAAGCGTATCATGCAGGTCTTACTGTCAAGCAATCACTTGACTGGGGAGAATGCAGCGTCTTCACGAGCGAATGAGGCCCGAGATCGATCCGTCTTTGAAGCTGTTGGGAGTTCTTGCACCCCGAGGTGGTTCTTGAGACATGTTCGGATCTAAGGTTATGCGATGCGGCATCTGCCTCCCAGGTCACATAGCCGCCGGCACTTGGGCACCTGTCCAGTCATCGGAACGCGGCATTGACATGGAGTGAGCTGTGGGTGTAGATTGCATCTAATATCGGTCTTATGCACGTTACATGGGTAGGTAAGTTGACTGGAGCAGGTGAGAATTGTTACTGCAAAGACGACGCACTGAAATGAACAGTGACGGTTGAAATAAAGTGTTGACGTAGACTTAGCGCGACGGCAAGGGCTTAGCGCCTGAATCCGGGGAATTGATGCAGGGGTTGGTCGCCCATAGGATCTCCCAGCCAAGGGCGGCAAGAACGGAAAGACGCGAGAAGGAAGGAGAGGGTGCTTGGGTGATTGGGTGTAATGGTCTTGAGGCAATTCGACTGATCAGAAGGAAGGTTGATGGCGATCGTTGCTTGTTTTGCGACGGCCTAGCTATTCACTGACTATACCTGTTCCTAACTCCAAGTGAATTCACCCGACGGACTCGCGGTCCGTGTATGTGCGTATGTCAGCTCAAGATCGCCTCTCGGGAATCGCTCGCCATCGCACATCATCCAGCCATCGGTGACTTGTTGACCAACCAGCCACTGGTCGACATCTGCACATACCGGCGATCGGCGACCGCCGTTACATCGCTAGCGATCGTACGGGCAGGTAGTGATACAATAGCCTCTTTCCACGTGCATGCCAGCCGATCCAAGTGATTGAGGCTCTTTCGCGCACTCGTTCCAAGATGGTCATGAAGGGGCTCGAGAGTGTCCCAAGGTGGTTAAGTAATATCCGAGTATTCCATACTGGTGTAGTGACCACGGTCCTGGAATCTGACACCCCTCAGCCTCAAAACTATCGTATCTAGCTGAGCAGAGCGGCTAGGCATTCGATGAAGACAGGCAAGACTGCATCAAACTCGGCGTAGTTTTGGGTACCTGTGAGCCAGACGCTGTGGCCCACAGCGAGGAGCTGCCGCAACGTGGATCTCATCTCACTGATGGTCAGGTTTGGTACCGAATGGAGGAATAGGGCAAGCTTATTGCGATCGTAAGACTCCGTTGCCTCGGTAAGTGCAGTGCCCTCGTTGGTCCATTTATCAAACGAGTTCTCAAACACCACAGTGAGGTGAGCATTGTTGTGAGACGCCGCATCGGACGTGGCGTGCTCAAAATATTGGATTTGCGGCAAAGCCCCCGGATTATGGACTGCAACACAGTCAGCCTTGCACGGATAGAACTGCCGACATGGCAATCCACAGTGTCTGACTATAAGTACAACCGAGAACAGTACTCTAACAGAGAAATTTTTGTTACGGTAGATGGCACTATAACAGGGCCTATAGGGTTTGGGTTTCTATGGGGGCACGGAATGGGAGTAACACCGAAATGAACGAAATTGGCTTACCAATGTAGTCATCCCTTAGCCCGGGACTCTCGTGGACTGCTTGGGATATCGTTTGTAAATATGTAACATGATCCGGAACGTACTGTGTAGGAGTCTCGTCGACGAAAATGCCATGGATAGCCATTGATGAGTCGTACTCGCCCCAGAATGAGTACGCGGCTATTTCGTCCAGCACCGAGCTTAAATTCCTTGTACACCACGAGGTGGCCACGTAGCCGATAGTGCGTACATTAATGAGCGAGTTCAGTATTCCCATGGCTTGTGAATACTCCTTGCTCGGCAGTGCACCTTCGCCGGGACCATTGTAAATGTTGACGATTGCGGTAAACTGCAATTGCGGGTATGCCGAAGCCCTACGCTGATTAGACTTTCGTATGCCACAAGAAAAACTTGGAGTATATAGTTCCATACATGTTGTAGATAGGAGTCCAAGCACCTACGGAAGGGTAGATGTAGAGCGGGACGATCACTGATCCGTTCATGGTCCGAATTTGGCCGCGGCCAGTTGCCGCCGAATACAATATGTTGGTCCAGGCCTCGTCAGGATTGCTAGAAAATAGAAGAAGGGAATAAGAACGGATGAGTGTGTAATGACTGTCGCTGTGTAACAGCAAAATATAGCGTGCCTTCGGGCGCCAATGATGGAATCGAGTACCGAGTGCAAGGCGACGAAAGAAGCATCATAGTCTGCCCACGTCGGTCACCTCATAAGAATATTGGTTTTCTTTTAGAGAACGCGGCACTGTGATCCATACGGGGTACGAGTTGGGCTTGATGCGATACATATTGAACAGGGATCATTAGCGACGGGGCAGTATATTCGAGAGTGCTGGGCCTGACGAGATTCCGGATCGAATGAGTCGGGTTCAAAAGGCCGGATCATGCCAAGCACCATAAACAATATTATGCGATACAGGTAAAAGTCTTACGTGGAGCGGGTTCTGCCTAATTGAGCATGAGCTGCGTAAGTCCTCAAATGCTGTAGCGCATATAAAGAATTTTCAACGTACCACTCTCCACTAGAATACGACACTCACTTTGCTCCTTTTCCAAAATACCACCTGTGGTAGACATGGAGGCTTCATCGTACTTCGAGACCGCATCGCCCTCCTTCTCAACCTTTTCACTGTCACCGGCTGCAACACCCGAGTCCGTCAGCACACCGGGGACACAAAGATCCGTTCTTTTCGACGACGATGTGGCAGCGGACCCCCTCGACATCGGTGGGAGCAGAACTTCCTTTATCATGGTCGTCGGCGGATTGGGGTACATTGGGTCGCATACGGTATTGGAGTTACTCAAGGAGGGTTACAACGTCCTCGTCATCGATGACTTGAGCAATTCATATGAGAATGTGCTGGACAGGATAAAGACCCTGGCAATCGAATCCTGTGCGGCACAAGGGAAGACCATGCCAGCCTTGCACTTTCGACAGCTTGACTACCGTAGCCCTGCTATGAAGTCTATTCTGGCCAGCTACGCGTCATATTCTGTAAGCAGTAAGCCACTGCCCATATCGAGAGGCTTCCCTTTCTCCACGCTCCATCGAACAGACTCTGGCATCGATATGGACATGGACGACACGCAAGAACCCATCCTAGAGCGACAGTCTAGCATATCAGGTGTGATCCATTTCGCGGCTTATAAATCAGTGGAAGAGAGTATCCGAATGCCATTGAGGTATTATAGCAACAACGTCTGCGGATTGGTGGACTTCTTAGGCCTCCTGGAAGAGTTTGGCATCAAGAACTTCGTTTTTTCGTCCTCTGCCACGGTCTATGGCGAGGGCGCCAACTGCGGGATTCCACTTCGCGAGGAGTTGTGCGTGCACCACCCAGAAACATTCCTTGACAACGATGGATCCGAGCAACATGTCCTACCTGGAGTTGTAGGTCTCACTTCGCCATATGGACGTTCCAAGTTTATGTGCGAGTCCATCCTTGCAGATCTTGCAAGATCCGACCCAACCTGGTCAATCACTGCTCTACGATATTTTAATCCGGTGAGTTTGGTGCATTTCCTGGGCTAGACTATTAGCTGATGTGAAGACATAGGTTGGCTGCCACGAATCTGGTATCTTGGGCGAAGATCCTAGGCAGAAGCCGAGCAACTTGATTCCGGTCATCGCTACTGTCCTCACTGGAGCCAGACCAGTCTTGGATGTCTTTGGTACTGACTGGAATACCCCCGATGGAACAGCCGTTCGGGACTTCATCCATGTAGTCGACCTAGCCCGAGGGCACATTGCGGCCTTGGCGGCTTCGGCAGCTGGCCGCACGAAGGCTCCCTTCCGCACCTACAATCTTGGTGAGTAGACATTCTCTTAGCGTTGGTTGGCATGACGGCCCTGCTGACTCCATCCAGGAACGGGAAGGGGGCATACCGTTCGTGAGGTGCTTCGGAGTTTGGAATTGGCGTCCCAACGGAAGATTCCAGCCCGGGAGGTGGGCCGAAGGGCGGGAGACGTTGGTTTCTGCGTAGCCGAGGTGCAACGAGCTGAAGTTGAACTGCAGTGGAGAGCAGAGAGAACGCTGGATGACTGTTCCGGGGATGTCTGGAACTTTACAAAGGCTCGGTGTCCAGAAATACTTGAGACGGATACGATAATGTGCTAGCGATGAGACATGGTTCGGTGTGATCGAGCATTGTCGTTATCTCTACAATACTAGCATGGTGGGTCGGCGTTATATCGCGTTGTGAAGTGCATGGTGTTCAAAGATTGCATCTCTTTCATGGAGTTGGATAGACTATAAGCTGTAGCTCAATACCAAAATGGGTTCTATGATTCTCTGGACTATGACTTGACCACAGTCAGCAAGTTCCTACTTTCAAGAGATACGCCTGGTGGCCACCTGGTGCTGTCAAAAGCCGAGACAAGTAATATGAGAAGTCTAGGCGAAGTGAGGTGGGTTTCTGCTAGAGGTGTCCTCCAAGGCTTGGAAGGGCGATTTGAAGGTGTAAAGAAAGTTGACGCTGCGGTCGAAGGGCAAGACGAATGTTATAAGCATCGTCGTGGGGATCGTGTCTTATCCAATATAGATAGAGGCGATAGTTTCATATAGCAATCACGTGGGTGGGCTCGACATTTGGTATCTGATAAGACAAAGTCGAGTTGAAGGAGCCAAGGCCAGCTTGCATGACACGTTGTGGTGGAGGGTGTCTGCGACCAGAGTTCGGGTATGATAGCAAACTCGACCCACAGAAGGTTAGCCCCTCTCTTTCTGATGCAGCGGCGCATTCCGGGCCGTACCTGATGCCATCGCTAGCGAATCACTTGGAGCGACAAGAGCGGAGAGCTTGCGAACCGGCGCACAGGCGAGAATAAACGGTAACACAGATGGCAGCGCTACCAGAGCCGATCTTCTCCATGGCGCTATGAGTGGCACAGAGTCAGGATCTCGATGCTGCAACAAAGAGAATGCAGCACAAACCAAAACCAGTGCACGCTAAAGTAGCCACGCAGGACTGGAGGGGATGCGGCTGCAAACATCCATTAGGGGGTCGCAGTAAGCAAGGAGCGAACCTTTTTCGCCTTCGGTCGAGGGTAACCGATTGGGCAAGGCACGTCCCGGCGCCCTTGGCGATCATCTCAGCGCTAGAGTCGGGCACGTGACAACGGCTCAGTAGGCATCCCGTGGCCGTTGGGTCGTCAACGTCTCTCACGACTCACGACTCACATGTCGTAAAAGCTGGCTCGACTTGTTAGAGACTACGAAACTGTGATCGCCTGTGCATGTCATTCGACTCCAGAGGCCTCCTGCCGCCATGGCGATGCCTTCCCAGACATATCCGGGCGCTTCTGCCATCTCGGCTGGCGTAGATCCCACTTTCTGGGGTCAACAGCACTTCTCGTCCGACTCCACCTCGCCATTGTCGTCGTCTCTGGGCTTGCATCTGTCGCCAACAACTAGCGTCACCACCCAGGAGAGTTTCAACGGCCGTTCTCCCTCTGAACAGACTTCTCAGTCCGATAGTGGCTCCAAGAACGCGCAGGATGGCCAGAAGAATGGCCAAAAAGAGCTCAATGGCAACCAAGCGAGGGCTTCAGTCGCTGTCGCATGCGTGCCGTGCCGAAGTAGGCACTTGAAATGCGACGGCGGCGTGCGGTGCTCAAGATGTAGGGCTGAAAATGTCGAGTGTACTTATATCAAGTCACGACGCGGCTGGAAGGGAAAGAGAAAGAACAAGGAGGAAAATGGCGCGCCAACAACCCTCAATGGTACGTGACGACTACATAATTTACCCATTGATCTAACATGGTGCCAGCTCTCCCCGGGGCAGAAGTCCCTCACAGCAATGGCCATCTATCATCGCCTGAGTACTCGTATAATGGCGAACTCAGCCCAACCAATAGTCTTGGCGTTAGACCCGTTGCTCCTCCAGCTACCCAGCTCAATCTGAACGGAAGCGCACGAGTTAATCGTTTTGGCCACCTTGGTCCTGAGACGGCTGTTCAGGCATTCTACCACTATTTCTACAACTCCCATCCCTTCTGTCTACCGGAGCCAAGGTTAGTGCGGCTCTTCAAGGAACGACAGGCCCCTCTTCTCGAATATGCCGTCCAGTTCATTGGATCTAGTTACATACCTGCCGTCCCCACAGATATGTACAAGGAAGCCTTGGACCGATACATCAATAATGGGAATTACCCGAGAGACGCATGGTCCGTACAAGCACTCTTGCTCTTTTCCATCGGTCTACATGCACATAACGAAGTTCCCCGAGCTGCTCAAATCTTCGCCATCGCCCAGGCTCTAACGCTCGAACTCGGTCTCAACCGCATGGAGTTTGCTTTATTGCATGGAGATAGTGATCCACAGCTAGAAGAGAGCTGGCGAAGAACGTGGTGGTCCATGTTCACCGTCAACGGTATGATGACAGCTGTCAATCCAGGCGTGCAATTTAGGCTGAAGGATGTCATGACTGACGTTCCGCTACCGTGCGAAAACCATCAGTACTTCTCAGGCGTAAGTGCCCCCCTTTGAGATATGTCAACCTGGCTTGGCATCATTCCCTTCTTTGTACTAGGCCCGCATCTCGTCACTCGGGGGTCACCGCTTCTCACCCTACGATCATATCCATCGTTGACAAGACCTCCCTCAATGCACTGCTAATGAATTCACCAGCACATCCCCTACCCGAATTCCCTGCAAGACTATGACGACTCTTCCTTTCTCCCCGCCCTCACCATCTTCAGCTCCTTCACCTACCTCATTGATGCCGTCCGTATCCTCGGAAAAGTCTTCGAATGCGCACGCCTCGACGCAACCTTCGAATACCATGCCGTTGACGTTGTCGACCAGTATCTCTGCAACTGGCGCCTTCACCTCCCTCCTTCTAAACTCGACATTGTCAACAACGATGGCCATGTCGACGAGGTTCTATTCCAGGCGCATATGGTAAATGCTGGCAGCACGATTATGCTCCATCGTCCGCGGAGTAACTTGGGCTTTGGAAGGGTTGAGGGCGTGAACATATGTGTGCAGCCCGGACAGGTGCTACTGCCGACGCAGACGAGGGAGATACATACCGCCAAATGCTTGACGTCGGCGGAGAACATCTCCTCACTTATTCGACTTCCGGCCCAACTGTTGTACCACACACCGTTCTTTACCTGTGTGGTAGTCATGGCGTCCGTCGTTCACCTCTCGTACTGGTCTTTCCTAGTCCCCGATGGCCAGGACGATATCGTAAAGCAGTCGATCCGGTTGGACGTGGGCACACTCCAGCAGTACTCCAATACGTGGTCCATTGCAAATGTGGTCTTGGGCCAGGTACGCGGCGTTGCGCACACGCTCTTCAACAGCAAGAAGGCCATGAGCATCCATCTCTGGAGCAACATTGACCAGCATGATGTCATTCGCAACGTTATCGAAGAGGGAGGACACGTACCTCAACAGAATTACGCACAGCTCATCGCACCGTAAGCGCCACCATTAGTCTCCTTTACATACAAAATACTGACTATCAATTGTAGGATGCTGAAGTCGTAAAAGTTTCCCCGTCATTACAGAGCTGAGGCTACCCACTCGCTCACACCAGCCAGCCAGCCAGCCATGCGATGCCAACACTTGCTTTCTCCCTATTTTCTTCCGGTCTTACATTTGTTTCTACAGTGAACATTAATTATCACATACCGTTTCCTCGCCTTCTTTTACGGGTTTCAGGCGTTGCGAATCTGTTGCAGGCGTTTCTTGACATGATGACTAATGGAATGATCGAGCGACTGAAGATGATGTACGAAATTTAGAAACTCTTGGAAATATTACGAGGATATGAACAATGTTGGGCCCGGGCCTGGCCTTTTAAATATTTTAGGTGCTCTTCTTAGAGCTTGAAGAAGCAAAAGCGTTTGGTTTGCTCCTGCTGCCACTTTGGCATATGACTTCCGAGTGCTCACAAATGACGTCAATCTCATTTTGATAATTGATCATCTCGCTTGCAGCGACACAATTAACAGGAGAGTGGAAAAGGACATGTTGGATTGCACGTGCAGAGAGACGACTTTCTAGTCAGAGAACAGTCTAATCTTGTTCGTTCATCGGAACGCCAGCTAATCCAGCGTTCCGCATCGAAAGTAAACTTCCGCCCATCGTTGCTCCCTTTGTCCCGTTTTCGCTAAGAATGTCTGAATCTCCCAATTCAGCTTGTCCTGCTGTCCCAGACCGCTAAATTCCGCAACTGTGTCGTGTCCCCGTTACAGCGCCCTTGTAGGCGATCTTATGGCCATATCTACAAATCGGCGTCATCCTCATCGGGCAGGGGCATCTGAGCGGCATCCTGCATCTCCTTCTGGTACTGCTCGAGCACGGCCTGGTCGACCTGGACCTCGGGAGGCGCAAGGGCGGGGGCAGCGACGAATTCCTGTGAGCGAAAGGTTAGCCAATGTACCGGAACTGTTTGCGCAGCTGTCATACCAAAGTCTGGTTGCCGACAAGTTTCCGGGCGAGCCAGAGGAAAGGCTTCTCAAAGTTGTAGTTGGACTTGGCGGAGATGTCGTAGTACTGAAGGTTCTTCTTTCGGTGGAAGGTGATGGACTTTGCCTTGACCTTGCGCTCCTTGACGTCGACCTTGTTGCCAGTGAGGACGATTGGGATGTTCTCACAGACGCGGACCAAGTCACCTGAAGGTTTGTTAGCTGATTACTGCGCAGTGTAGAGTCTCAGAGGACGTACGGTGCCAGTTGGGAACGTTCTTGTATGTGATACGCGAGGTGACGTCAAACATGATGATACCGCACTGGCCGTTGATATAGTATCCATCACGTAGACCACCGAACTTCTCCTGACCTGCCGTGTCCCAGACGTCGAACTGGATGGGTCCGAGGTTCTGCCAAATATATCAGTAAAGCGTATCGCGCGAGCGAGCGCGGACAACGTACGGTGGTGAAGCCGAGCGGGTGGACCTCGACTCCGAGCGTCGCGATGTACTTCTTCTCGAATTCGCCCGTCAAATGGCGCTTGACAAAGGTCGTCTGTGGGCGGTGCGGTTAGCAATCTTGCTCTATCGCCGGTCGTATGACTGCAGTGTCTCGCGCACGCAGGCCCCAATCGCTAGCCGGTGCGCGCAATAGCTGCAGAACAGAACAAGACATACCTTTCCGGTACCGCCATCACCGACAAGCACAAGCTTGAAGGTGGGGATGTTGCCTTGTGCGGCAGTCTCGGCCATGGCTGTGGTTTGTTGTGGCGGGGTGGTGGTGTAGGTGTTGCGCGAAACTGTGAGAGCGGTTGTATTAGTTGAGGTCGCAGTGTAGAGTCGGGTGAGTGTATGTGGTGCAGGCGTACCTCTTATTAGTGAGTGGGGAAGAAAGGCGGGCTTGGAGGTGCACTTTCAGAGGGGCAGGAAGAGGTTTTGTTGTGCAGGGTGAGTGTTGGCCGGGCGGTGTGGATCCCTCTTGGCGCTGCCCTCAATTGTCCCCTCGTCACAGGCAGAGGCAGCGCTTTAGGCAGCCGCAGGCACGCTTTGTCTTTGAAATCAATAATCAAACGATGGCCAGCACGAAGAACACGACAATTGTTTCATTGCCTCCACAATGCAGGTAACCGGGTATCATGCTATGCTTGTGTCAATGACCCAAGCCAGGTGCGCCACGCAGCAAGCGCTGTTGTTCATTCAGCCTCATCCGCTGTCCTCGCCCGAAGCACCCCGCCAGGCATCGAGTAGACTATTTGTTTGGCGCCTACTATAACCTCCATATCGGAAATGTACTGTAGGGATAGAGACATCTGTTATGCGCCACTTTGAATATGCCGTCGTAGTTGGACTACAGCGGCAGCAGGTGGCAGCCCAACAGCCCTCTTCCGCCCCAATTACTCCGTGGTGTAAGTTGCATCTCTATCGTCTCTGCCGGGCCGCCCGAAGTACTAGGCCGAAGGGCCTTGACCGTTATTGGGATCTGTGTGAGCTGTTAGCATTATGCACAGTGCTTCAGATTGCATGTCGTGTAGCTTAAGCGCTTCGAAGCTCGACTCTGCCAGCACAACCTGCCATGTACTCACCCCTTCATTTTGAGAGACTGCCTCAGCCACCCGCGACAGCCTCTCGTGATTTGTCCAGTCCACCCAGCCAAATTTGGTCACTGTGTCGCCTACTCTCAAGCCCGCTGAATCTGCTGGGCTGCCTGCTACAACACTGTTGACCTTTGCGAAGGGGGCTTCTAGAGCTGCTGGAGCTGTATCAAACGCGGTCTGGGCGTGGTTCGCCACCCCTGGGTTGTTCTGTGCTTGCTCTGCCAGTCGGGCGTGGTGCTCGTGAAGGCCTTTCTCTATCCGCGACATGAGGTCCTTGTAGTCGTTCTTCAACCGTATTATGCGCGCCCGAGTTGTCCGTACTAGATCGTATAGTCAGCGACGACTCGGTGTGTTCGCGGGGTTCTCTCTTACTCTGTGGGACATCGATGTCACTACGCGGGAAGCCGTCGAAGGTAGTCAGGCCAGTGTTCATGTGCACACCATGCTAACATCAACCCGTTAGCTGAAGAGTTGTTCAAACAGGACAGTATACGTACTGAGTCCAGGACCTGCCCCAACGCTTTGAGCTCTGTCTCTACCCGGTCTTTTTCTGCTATAAGCTCCTGCAACGACAGCTGCTCCTTCGGGATCCCATTCGCGTAGCCCGAGGACGTAGGCCCCGAGGATACGGTGGGAGCGTGTATATCATCCATACGTATGCCTAGAGAGCTTGGTGTCGAAGCGTGTCAAGGTTGATTCACTACCTAGAGAGCTCCAATGTGGGGTTGAAGCTCCAAGAGAGCGGACCAGGCGGGGCAAAACCCGCCCAAGTGGTTAACCTTCGCCTCACCCACTATTCACACTTTATCTTACTCAACTCACTCACTCTCTTTGGCACATTGAGTCGTCGACAAGTTCTCGGAATTGCGCCATCGCCTTTGAGCTTGGATGGCAACTCACAAAGGAACTCTCCGTAGTCTCGAATTTCTAGGGACAAGTCGCACCTGCCGTCATGGCGACCTGCAGTTACCCAAAGCGCTTCCCAGACACGCGTTTCGTCCATGGCTCGACCCTCCACACGCAGCGGTCTCTACCATGGCTTTGAGTGAGTCGTCTGCACCTGGGCAACATCATAGTCCGGCCCTTCTGCAGATCTTGTATTCATGACGCGCTGGGGTGGGAGTCGCCAACTATGCTGTGCTTCAGTCTCTATGCACTTTCCTTGCAAAACTTGCTCTCCTCTTTCTCTGACTTGTCCTTCTCATATACAGCCGCCATGTCTCTGGGCTTCCTCGAAGCCCTCTAGCTCGCCCGTCCCTCCTTGCCACCACCGTTGGATGCAGTAATATTTATCTCTCATGCCGCTTCAAACCCCCAAGTCCGCCTCGTCATAGTGTCGAGCGCACTACCAACATCAGAGATGGCTTACGTCTTGTCACTCCGGCCTCATAGTCCGCTCAAGCGCTCTTTTAGCGACAATCCCTACCTCAATGTCTGTTCACCTCTGAAGAACACGCTACTTGGGCCGCTCGGCGATATCACGACACGCAATGCGTCTACATGCTCGCTGTACTCCCGTGAATCGAACAGAGGCGGTGATTGGGCGCGCGCAAATGAAAATACACCACCTCTCACGTCTCGGTCTCTCCTCGATCTTGTCCCAGGAAACAACGGCTCTGCTTTTAGCATCCGGCGTGTCATCGACGAGCCGAAGACGAACTGCGGAATCGATCACTCATCACCGTCCTTTCCACAAGTTGTGGCACCATCGAACCCATACTCGAGGAAGAGCAACCCGACACAACATGTCGAAAGACTATCTTCGAGCAGTGGGAGCTCGGTGGAGGCTCTAGACAGCGAAGACAGCAACCTGGACGAGTCAGAGCTCTTCGACCTCTACGAAGCCATACACATCCCATTGCCACAAGGTCGCTCTTCCGAGAATACGGGCAGCGAACCACATCCGGAGGAGGAAATATTGTCTGCTTCCGTTCCAGTCAACTCACAGCCCTTTCGGCGGTGGATGAGTACCCTAAGACGTCGGCACGTCCAACGACGAAGAGAGCATGATACTGATGTCCCACGTCCATCGTTCGACACCACGGACAGGGACTTTGTTCTTCTTCCACAGCCAGAGAAACTATTAGAGTCTGTACGCAGAACATCAGGGTCGATGTCATCGTCCATGAACTGTGTGACCGCTATGAAGTCTGCCTCTATCACAATTGCAGGCACAAGCATCGCCCCACATTCAGATACTGGCTTGTACAGTAAAGGCCGTTTGGGTAACAGAAGCAGCAACTACTCCGACGTTCGAAGGTCGCTGGACAGTCATCGCGGAACATTAGGGCCTGTCCTCGATGAAAGCGCCTGGCTTCGGTCGCTGCAACGTCGCAAAGTTGTTGAAGAGCTCATTGCATCCGAAGAAGGCTACATCGCAGACCTCAAGGTTTTGATAAATGTGAGTGGCTTGCAGACCTGTTTAACCATTGCTGATCTTGCCATCCGCTCAGGACTACTTCATGATCCTTACTGCCCTTCCCACATTAGCAGGCCAAACGAGATCATCAATACAACAGAACATTTCCCAGATTCTACAACTTCATGAAGATCTACTCGCTGAACTCCATCAAGTCGTGCCCCAGGCAGACTTCACCAAAAGCGCACACCAAGAGACATACCCTGTGACGAAAGCTAAGCATATTCGATTTCATAGCGCAGACATAATTCCTGGACGCTTCGCAGAGCATAAGGCGACCCGAAGGCTCAGGCATTCTCTAGAGATTGGCCGATCACCAGACCGGAGACCACGGGGGCTAGTGACTGACACCAAAACAGCGGGCAACATCGCGAAGATATTCAATAGACATGTTCGTTTCGCGCAATCATGCCGCTGCTAGCTGCTGATCAGATACAGATGAAGCGATTCTTCACATATGAAGAGTATGGCGCGCACTGGACGACAATGTCTCAGGATCTTACCACAATGTGCAAAGGACTTCACGGCTGGCAAGAGTACGAACGTGGGGTTGAAGCGCTACAGAAGGTCGTTGCTTCCGAGAACAACCGGGATGCCGGCAACAAGAAGGCGTTGAGCTTCCCTGATCTACTTATCAAGGTGCGGCTCGACTAGACTATTCTACTGTTGCTGGAATATTAACATATGATCCAGCCCATCCAGAGAGTATGCAAGTACCCTTTGCTTTTCGATGATCTATGCCGCTATACGCCCGTTTACGATGACCCAGAGGCGCATGCTGAACTCGAGAAAGCTCTTTTCCGTCTGCAGGAGACGATTCGGGAAGTCAATAAGGCGAAGGATGACCCAAAGACTCGTCGATTGATCGAGATCACATGGCAATTACAAGATCGACTTGCGTTTCAGGAGCAGGTGAGTTAAACTCGCACCCTGCAGAGCCTCGTTGACAATGGTAAGAGAATATCACGAGCACTCATCTTTCGCCTTCTCGGACATGTACTCTTATGCGGCGTTCTACATGTCACCTATCAGACACCCGAGCGCGTAAAGGGACAGTATATGGTATGCGTCTTGTATAAGTCGTGTCTGGTGCTCGCGACAGTAAGCCGCTCTCAAATGCCCTATACTGTTGTCGCGTCGATTGGTCTTGCCAATGGCAGCATTGAAGAGCCAGACAATGGCCGAGGTATGACTGATTTATGTGTGTATACATGTGAGATCTGCTCACACCACTAGGCATTCAATGCCATACCGCTCCACATACCTGGAAATTTGTATTCGAACATAGCCACCGGTTGCACGAGATCATATTCAGCGCCTGCACTTTACAGGAGGAGGAAGTGTGGAAAGGGCAACTGCGCGAGCGTATTGTTTGCGAGACGCATGATTTCGTCGAAGGCCAGTCTACCATGCAGGACATGTTCTCATCTCTATCCTTGGATCTTAAATCACTTGGGCCTGTTTTCGGACATGCCAACAGCGTCGTACGGCGAATGTCTGTTCATCGAGCGGCGACACTGGGCGCGAAAACCAACATGAGTCAAGTCATCATCAAAAACACGCAGGCGCAGAAGCTATCAGGATCACCTCCTTCGTTTGCACCTAGTATGGTTACGCGGTCGCAATCACACATGTCTTCAAATTATATCCCTACACTGGCCCCAAGGAGAGCTGAGCGTACCCGCCTCGAAACTGCTTTGGAGGATGTGTGGACGAAGGATGTCCTGCCTTTCCCAGGAATGTCGAATCGGAGGGTTGAGAACCAGATCCGAGCATCGGCGAATTCGGTGATGCGAAAGCTCAGCATGGCTAGCATTGCCAGCAACTTCTCTCGTCGTTCACCTAGCTTCTCTAGTGTGAGCAATACGCGATCGGAAGATTCTTTCGGAAGTAGAGTCCATAAAATGTCACATGGAAACCTACGAGTCGGTTCAGCAACGGATCGTCGACCCGCTCCAGCAGTCGTGGACTTCCACAGTGCGCCAGCCGCATTTCTACCCACGGACTTTGAACTACAAGATACGCGACCATCAAGTCGGCGCCGGCGCCTTGCAAACCGGGCTGTAGGAGCAGAGCGTTCAAGTGAGAAGGCCACCACCCCTAGCAATCCCAAGAAAGTGCGAAGGCTTTCAACGCACATCATCAGTCTTCCACGATCCGAGTCAAGTGCTCACGTTACGGAGAGATCGATATCTCATGGGTCGAATACAACGGCGGTGCGGGCTCCGGCACTTTGCGTAGAGTCGAGAAAGAATAGTGAGACTGAAAAGCCGAAGAGAAAAGAGGAGAGAGGCAGCGGTGCAAGGGACGCGCCCTTCAGCATGCCACCTTCGAAGAAGTTCCTCAAGAGCAAGAGCAGGATTTTCAAGTTTTGGGTATGATTGATGACTACGGGCACTTCGTTGGATAGGGTCAAGTGTTCCAGCCCAGTCGTAGCACTCTGGATGCTTCTAACCAGTAGAAGAATCATGGAGGATTGTCACGATGTCACGACGCATGCTATTATTGCGGCGGCAGCACATATGGAACGTATAATTCCGGCATGACACGACAACACGATAGTGAAATGAAGGATGGCATTGGCGCCGATCATACAGCATTAATGCAAGGCACACCCGCATGCCGCATTGGGCTTTGGGAGTTGGAAAGGAAAAACGGCATGACGTCATTCGATGGCACGCGACGGGGTGCACGTTGTAAACGCACGAATATTTGGATAGTAGCAATCAAGATTTAATCATAGCGGCAATTCCAATTGCGTAGTAAGGAAACTGTGCCGAATGCCGCTTTGCGGGGCGCTTCAGAGCTGGGCGAGTCGAGGAGAAGCATCGCAACGTGACGGCTGAAGCACACCATTACTGCCTCGGATGAGCACTAAATGAAACATGACAGTCTACTTCTCAGCAAGAGCCGCATTGTAGTCTGTTCAAAGAAGGTGAGGGAAGAGTACATGGGTCTTCATTGCTTGGAAGCGGTTGTGTGTTCAACTTGGCAAATGACGTATTGCGGCGGTCCAAGCTCTTCTGCCTGCAGCTAAATAGCCCCTCCAAAGCTCCAAACCCCTCCATTACAACTCCATACGACACGAACACACGAGCAATCACATCATTCCCTCTTCCAAAGTCATCACCAAACACACCGTAACCCACCACAACTTCAGAATTAGCAAATATGGCCCGTGGAAACGCAGCTCAGAGCCAGGTCTTCTACAAGGGTAGCTCAGGCGACGTCTTCACCGTGTTCGTCGAGAGCGAAGAGGCGGTCAAGAAGTGGAAGGAGGATTCCAGCATCCCTCTTGCCGAAGTCGTTGCGGGATGGAAGATCCTGATTCCTGAGTGAGTGCTCCCTCTTGCTATTATGCTACGCGCGAATGACTTGTAGCCATCGATAGAGAGTTGGGCTAACCACTTCGACTAGGCATGGAAAGCAGGGCATCCTGAACACGGCAAGCAAGAGCCAGCTCGAGAACGAGTTTGGCACCACGAATGAGGATGATATTGTCAAGAAGATTATTCAGCAGGGCGAGGTACAGTCCTCGGAGGTATGTAACCACCAGCACGCATGGCCCCACACCACTTGTCTATCCTTCTTTTGCAATCTACACTGGATCTCATGCTAACGCATTATTTACAGAACGGCGAGCGCCAGGGCAGCACGAACGACTCCAAGGGCTCTCTGGCCGGCCACTAAGTGGCTTCTTCACATCTCGACTTCTTACGACTTCGATACGACCTGATGAGCAATTATCGCGAATACAGATTTGCTGAGCCTGGAAGTCGGCTAGCATGCATATGGATAGGGATGACCTCTGCTGAGATGCGAGGCTACCCGTCAATTTGATAGGGATATCTATTGAAATGAAAACATTTGCGTACATACTAGATGCTGTCCAGTCCCGAGCTGAATTTACTGTGAGGACATTACTAAGGAAATCGCTCTGATACCGACAGCGTGAGGCTTCACTACTCTTCCAACAGCTCGAGCTCAGCCTCGTGTTCTCGCTCTCATCACTCATTTGCGACCAATGTTAACGCGACACATGCAAACAACGAAGGACCTTGCACACGCCAACGCAGCTCAATCGCTTATTCGTACTTTATGCAGATTCTTTCCATTCCCAATGCGTAGGCTGTTAATAAGCAGAGCCTCACTTAAGGAGGACTGTGTGACGGAAAGGAACTAGTTTCTACGCTAACCGTTTCCCCGCACATGCATCGATACCACATGCAGTGCTCGGGCTTGAGTGTTCAAACACCATGCTTAAGGCTCCCCTTGCACATGACACATGACACCAGTCCAACTTTTCGTCGTGTACAGCACAGCACATCCAGATCTACCGACTTTCTGTTGCTCCAATAGGAACATGCTTGACAAGAGGCCGCGCAAGCACACCTGGTTGTCCTTAGCCACCAGGAGCCACAATTGGGGCTGTGTGGCGAGTGAAGCCTCAACACGATTACCATTGGACCAATAACTTGGAGTCACAATCCTGAGAACTACTAAACCTTGCAGGATCTGGCTTACTGCAGTAGTCTAATATCTCGGCTGAACAACGCGTGTGGACCCTGACTGCTGCCTGGTCGATATTGAAGGTGCATGTGAGCAACATGTTTAGACTTGCTCAAGCGCTGCAGGGCCACACACAGTCTTGTGGAGGTGAGGCCGCCCATGAAGCTCTAGCATGCTTTGAAGGGGTGATGGGTATATAAAGCTTCCGTTTGCTGTCTTTGCTAACTGGAGGTCTCAACTTCGACTTCTCCAAGTCTAGTCTCAACATCCACTATTGATACTGGGCTCCTATTTCTACTACCCCACCACTTCAGTGCTATACCCATACACTACCAGCCTTCAACAAGATGCCGGCAACGAAGACTATCCTCACAGCTACCCAGGCGAACAGGACTGACGTCTTTCATGCTTTCAAGGCGCATTGCAGTGCACCACGCGTGGAGACCAAATCGATGGTCTTGACGCAGATTCGCAATGCCTACCCGGACTACCACGTCACCGAGGCCGAACTGAAGCATGTCTCGCTCTTCGAATTTGCGGATGCGGATAAGGCGGTGCTGATCTTCGATGCTGAAGGCGAGGACTTTCAGGCCACAAGGAAATGGGGAGCGGTTGGGGATGGCATCGATAAGAAGATGCATCCTGGGACCCTAATAGATGACTTCAGCTTTGCAAGGTACGTCCCTCTCCATGAAACGATTACCTTCTCTAACTTCTTAACGTAGGTTCCAGTACATATGGGAAAATAAAGAGTACCTGGTCTACTACATTGAGTGGCACGACATGCTCAAGAGCCCCGATAGGAGGTTTTACATCCTACACCCTCGCATCGAATCTAACATCACTGACGGCCATTGTGCGGAATCCGATGCTTTGATTCTCGCCGCCGGCAAATGGACATCTCAGCTCCATCAGGAGATCTTCGTCTTCGATGACGGGCACTGGGACAAGAACAAAGATCTGTGGAAGGCCGTCAATGGCGCCTCTTGGTCCGACGTCATCCTGGATCCGGAAATGAAAAAGGGCCTCATCGAGGATGTGCAAGGCTTCTTCGACAACCAGCAGCTCTACAGTCAATTCTCTGTACCGTGGAAGCGTGGTGTCATTCTGCATGGCGTGCCAGGGAATGGGAAGACTGTTTCTATCAAGGCGCTGATGAGCTCTCTTTACGGCCGGCCTGACCCTATTCCCTCTCTCTACGTCAAGTCGTTTGAGACGTCCTGCAACACAGAACAATACTCCATTCGCGCCATCTTCCAGAAGGCACGCGATATGGCGCCTTGCCTGCTCATCTTCGAGGACTTGGACTCTCTCGTCAACGACGATATCCGCAGCTACTTCCTGAACGAAGTGGATGGTCTCGAGTCCAATGACGGAATCTTGATGATCGGCTCCACCAACCATCTTGACAAGCTCGACCCAGCTATTGCTAAGCGCCCAAGCCGCTTTGACAGGAAGTACCATTTCAAAATCCCTGGAGAAGAGGAGAGGAGGCTGTATGCGGAATACTGGCGCAGCAAACTGACGAAGAATGAGACGGTCGATTTTCCGGAAGAGTTGGCTGGCATTGTAGCCCAGTTGACCGAGGGTTTCAGCTTCGCTTACCTCAAGGAGCTCTTCGTCATGGCTCTACTCAGCCTTGTTAGAGGCTTCAAGGGCGACGACTTTGAGATTGTCGACGCTGAGGAGGCTGCGAGCGCGGATGAAGAGAAAGCTGATAGCAAAGCCACCGAGGCAGACAAGGACGGGAAGGATGCGAACCTGTGCACCTGCGCCAAAACATGTTCTACATGCAACAAACCTCTCCCCAAGACAAACACCGCAGAAGCAAAGAAAGAGCACGAAGCAACTGAAGCCGACGCGGAAGCTAAGAAGAATAAAATGATCATGCCTACCGTGGACATCCCTGAGCATCTTTCAGATAACTTGTTCCTCAAGGTCATCAAGCATCAGATCCGCATCCTGCACGCTGAGATGGACAACACGAAAGAAGAGGCATGGCCATCTGGGAAGAAGGGGGTTGCGGGCAATAACGCCGGTGTGAATGCGGCGGCGCTGAGGAGGATGAGGGCGGCAAACGCTAGGAGGGCCCGCTGAGAATGGGTAGGGTAGGGTCATTCCAGGACGACTAACATGTTTCAGAGTTTGCAATCACACTCGTTTGTGAAGGAGGTAGATAAGCACAAGACTGGGATTGGAATGAACGAATTACCATGTATACGCGAGAAGAGCAAGGCTATGTAATCGATGCCTAGGAAACAGGGTTCTTGTATAGTATAGTCTCTGTTTAGCCTTGAATACATCTCATGAGGCAGAACTCGAAACACACTCAGTCGGTCAAATTTCTTGAAGCTTACGACAATACGAGAAGACTTACGGTACTGTTAGTGGAGAAGCGTTTACTGTTAATATGCCGAGGACGCTAGGGCAATTCGATCTCCACTCATTCCATCTCAGGGATCTTGACACCGAGATTTACACCGTTCTTGAACAAAGAGAGATTTTCTAGGGTATCCGCAAGTACCAAACTTGATTCTTGGTGCAGGGTAACGCGCCGTCAGTTGCCGGTCCAAAAGGCACAGTGTGAGGCTAGGAACTGTGGCTGCGGGACGGAAAACGGTCAAAAGCCAATTTTAGCTTTTTTGGGACGGCCAAAGCTTACCATCCGTTCTTTTCTCCACAATCCACCTTGTTTATTTTTTTGTGCAACCCAATTAGTAGAAACGTCATTTGCATTGCGCACCCAGCCCCTTTCAGTGCAACTCCGATACGAGTGGCGTATCTCAGGGGCGAATACGGGCGATCTGCCCTCGATAGTCATGCTGTCCTGAGTCGCTGCATTATTTGCGGACGATGGCATTCTTCCACAAGCGATGTCCTGCAATTGGATGCAATTCACAACAACCCGATACTTAAGCGCTTCAGATAACCACATGGATTAAGATAAAGACCACCTACTGTTGCAGCGCTAGGTGTGAAAAGCCGGTTTTCGATGCTGTCGCAAAGCATTGCTGTCCCTTTGTTTTCTTTTTCGTATCGCGACCAGGGCGCGTCGATGAAGGATGGAGCGGATATTGCGAGTGTTTGATCGCTACGCGTATCACCTCTAAAAGCAATTCACAGAGTGCATTCCGCGCTGTACAAGAGGTCAGGCGGTGTTTCGATAACCGAGGAATCGCGCGTACGAGCCACTGATCGTCGCTCTCATGGCAACGTCGCCAAGCAGAACGGTCCCACTGCAGCCCAAAGCGGCTGTGAAGAGCAGGGATCGAGCTGGCGGTGAGGTCACTGTGACCCACGCCGTCGCTTCGGTAGATCTTGAGTGAACGGTATGATGAGGAACCGAGGGGGCGTGGTTGCTGTCCAAATGGCTTTAATTGGGCGACGAGAGGGTTGGGTGTTTGCTTTGGACTTGGGAAGGACAGGGCAATTCTCTCTTCTGTCTCTTGGGCCGTGTACCCGCCTTCTCTTGCTCTCCCTTCACCTCACCTGAACTTGGGATCTGCCGAAGCCTCAGGAATTGCGACTTGGACTGTAGGGATCGAGAGGAATCTCTGCTACGCCTAATCCTCCACACTTAATCCCTCGGACCGAAGCGCAACATGACTGGAACTACCCTCACGTGGTTGCGCGCTGCGGCTGTCGTGCTCCTTGCTGCTCAGTATGCGGCAGCGCAGACTTGCTGTTGGTTCAGCCTCGTTCTGTTCTTATAGCATAGTGGTTGACCTTTGCAGACTATCCGAATGGCAAGGAAGCTCCCTCGACCGAGAAGCCTTGCTCTTCAGCACAAGGCTCTGCATGTTGTCCCGATAACTGGGAATGCCTCGACAACGGTCTTTGCCACTACCCTGCCAATAACCTCTTCGGTAGGTACAGCTGTACCGACAAGGACTGGAATTCGCCAGGATGCGCCTCCAATATGTGCACATATGGTAAGTGAATGCGAACTGACTGCTGAACATCTCGACTAACCCAAACCCAGACATGACAGCTGGTGGTGGTGAGTCAATAACGCAGTGCTCAAGCCACAACAACGATTGGTGCTGCAACGCGGACGCACAGCATGTAAATTGCTGTAAAGAGTCTCCCGCCCCTCGGCCCTTCTTCGCGCTTCAAGATGGAAAACCATATGCGACGATTGGCTCCAACCAGGCATCTAGTGTGCCGACCGTCTCGTCCATCACAGGTTTGGCGGCTGGCACAGGGAGTGGAAAACCAGCATCGGGAACCTCAGCATCGCGGACATCTGCATCTGCATCGTCAAATGCCCCCTCCTCCGCTAATATACAAGCGGCAAGCACATCTACAACATCAGCTATGCCTTTCACCTCGATCGGAACGAGCCTTGCCTCCGATTCCGCAGGAGTGAAGACCGTCTACTTCACTTCAATCGTCACCCCAACGTCAGCCCCGACCGCCGCCGCCAATGCGAACTCCTCAAACTCAGGAGGCGGTTCGAACTCGAAAATTGGCGTGATCGTGGGCTGCGCAGTGGGCATTCCTCTCGCTCTTGCCCTTGTTGGCATTCTTATCTGGATGCTCCGCAAGCGCCGCCAGCAAAAAGCGAGCCCCTACAAGGAGACGTCTGAGATGGACGCTGACAATCCCAACTCTCCCAGCTTTGCAGGTGGCGCAGCTGCGAAACTCGGCAAGAAGGAGACATTCCGGCATTCACGACACGGTACTACAGAAATAGATGGTCAACCGGTAGGCCCTGGAAGACCCATTTCTACTGTCAAAGGGCACGCAGAACTGCCATCTGGATCAGGTTTTCAACCCGGACAGGGCACGCCGTACGCACCCGACACAGTAGGCTTAGGCGGTGGACACGGCAACGAGCGCTCGACGTGGGGAAGTGTGCCGCCCCAGTACTCGCCCGCTAGCAACCAGACGGGTTTCCACCAACACGCCGATGCTACTGAGCTGGCTGATACGAGTATCATGCCTGTTATCAACGAGAAGACAGAAGGCGAGCCGCAATACATTGCGTACCGACCACCGCAAAGTCAGCAACCGATGGCGGAGTTGCCTACTGTAAAGACGCCGCCAGAGGACTTGGAGAAGCAGATTCACAGGTAGATGCAACAACAACAAAGGCGTTCTAGGAGTACATATACACTGGATAGGCATGAGGGCTTGACCCGCGAGCATACAGACACATGTGTACATATAATGGCGGTATGATAATGCCTCCAGACATCAGCGAGATACCATTTCAACATTACTTAATGAACGTTCGATTCTTCGAAGCCTGTGTTTTGAATTCATTCTTGAGAAAGTAATAATAATTCTAATCGCAGTACAAATTAAATATATACATGTTGCGAGGAAGGCGCGATGCATGATCTCAGATGGGAAGCGATGAGCGAGTCATGTCAACCAGCATGTCGTCAGCCCTTCCGCCCTCGAACGCGGAGCTATGGAGCCCTTCAAGGTACTCGAGATAAACGCGTCGCAACCGCCATTGTTCTTCACCCACATCCTTCTCCCCTCCTCTCTTCTTTGCCTATCTCCCCTTATGCTCCGAACATTCTTCAGCCACCATGAAATACCTCCCCGACGAGCTCGTACTCCACATCATCTCCTGTAAGCACCCCGGAGATAGCAAAGCAGCCCACCCCTCCAATTAACCTCACACGATAACCACAGATCTCGAGCCCGCTGAACTCGTCAACCTCCAACACGTCTCGCGCCACTTTTTAAATCTATCCCGCGATAATAATCTTTGGAAATCCTTGTGTTTCTCGCACTCGGCCGCCGAGCGACGACGCCGCCGCCTCGCATCCGCATCTGACATCGACCCGCGTCTCGCAGAGCTTATTCGCGCCGCTGATACCCTTTCAAACACATTCGATACCTCTGTGCATGACCCACACGCGCCGAGTGCCGACGTACAACAGGCAAGAAATAGAGAGAAAAGGAGGCAGGTGTTGCTTGCGAATTGGGATCCGAGTTATCCTGAAGAGAAGGTGAATTGGTATCAGGATTTTATACAGCGCCATGCAGAAGAGAAGATTAGCTGGTTTCAGGATGTGGGGAGTGAGGGAAGGGATGAGGAAGACGAGGGGCTGAGGCGTGAAGCTACTGGTGCGGGTATACTATTCGATCAAGATGGGATGGCAGATAAACTCGTTGCGCCGCTAGATGATGGGAGTATTAGTATATGGGACGCGTGCGCAAGCAGTGAGACACAGGGAAGAAGTATCGCGAAGAGCGAGGTCGGGCTGCTGCCAAATAAAGGCTCGGATTTGGATCACGATACGAGGCTCAGCCAGAGCCAGGCCATCATGACGGAGACGGGGGCAGTCGAGTGTGTGAGCATCGACAGCAAATTGAAGAAAGGATTCTTCGCAGTGCAGAATGTCCTGAATGAGGTGGATTTGAATACTTTGAAGGTAGTTTCTCGCACGCCGTATCCATTTCCCATCACCGCGCTGTCGGAAGCGCATCATCGCACGCCCTTGACAGTCGGTACGAACTGGACAATCCATCTCCACGACACGCGAAAACCTCCTCCAGCACCATCATCAGTGCGCTGCGAGCTGATTGGTGGCTCGACAGACACTTCTTTCTCGCGCCTCGAGACGGGTGACTTTGGCGGCCACGTCTCGCTCTCGCAGCCAGGCGCACTATCCGTCCTACACCTACCAACCACGCGTGAATGGGATGGCAATGGCGATATCTGGGTCGGAGGACGCTTCACCAGCATGCTGAACTTCGACCGCCGCTTCTTCCCCCGTTTGCGCGGCACAGTGCATTCTGGCGCGCGACTTTCCTGCATGACCGCCATCCCGCATCCCTTTGTGCCGCAGGATCTCCGACTCGGCCGCCCGTACTCATCGCCTGCATTACTCCGTGAAGCGAAATCCCTGCCAGGCTACACGCTCATTGCAGCAGGTGAATATAAAGGCAAAGGCTCCCTAGAGCTCTACGGCCTATCCAGTGAACCTACTCGATCTATCAACTCGAGTGATAGCCGCACGACGAGAAATCAACACGCGTACTATCAGAATCGCCAGACAGCTAGTAGCTCTAAACTGCTCTCTGTCGCGCCGCATGGCACGCGCCTTGTTTTCTCAGACGGAGATGGAAATCTAAAGTGGGTGGAGAGGGATGGATCGACCCCTGTGCGGCAGTTCAATATCAATGATCTTCAACGCCCGAGGTCTACTACTACTACCACTACTGGTAATGCTTCATCGTCACATTCTTCCCAACATCTAGTCAATCCACACTCAGCCAGCGACGCTGCCTGGGACGACATCGTGCACAAAATCCTACCCACAGTTTCCCCCTCTCTCCTCTCCCCGCACTCACCCGACGCCGCCTCCCTCGGCCAAGACAACCTCATTGTCTGGACAGGCGATGGCAAACTTGGCATGGTGGGCTTTGGCCGCGACGCACCGTTTGACGCTGATGTATTTGAAGATGCGTTGGAAGAGCAGGGCGATGGTGTGCGTTGTGAGAAAGTGCGAGAGAGGGAATATAGTGCTGAAATGAGGAGGGCGCTTGAATTGCAGGCTAGGGAGTTGAGGTGGTTGAGGGGGTATGGGCTGTAACGTAAGAATTGGTGCATGTTGTATGTGTGTTAGCTAGCTACGCTATACTATGCGGTCCAATGACGAAACAGTCTAGCAATTCTCTTTCTCTCCCCTATTTTGGATTTCTTGGGCTCGCTCCATACATTGTTACAAAATTCACATCCCAAGCGCCGCATCATCAAGCCAGTGGCTGCCCCCAGCGCATCTATATCCACTGTACTGCTTAATCCACCAAAAACCTGCCGGACACGGTCCCAGCTCCCTCAGCCTCTTCTGCTTCTGCCTCTCCTGCTCACGTTCTCTCTCTATCGCAGCCAACACCTCTTCTCTACGCCTCTTCTCTATCTCCGCTGCAATCCTCTCTGCTTCACGAATGCGGCGCTCCTCTTCATCTGCAGCAGCTTGCTCCGCTCGCTTGAGCTCTTCAATGCGTTCTTCTTCTTGGCGCTTTTCTTCTTGTAGGCGCTGGTACTCACGTTCTTTTGCGACTATAGCGTGCTTATCGCGTTCTAGCTGTTCCCAAATAGCATCGGAAACGCCGGGGTCCCTCTTCGCCTTGAAAATGGAATCGATCGGATCTTCATGCTCTTCTTCATGGCTAACCTTCTTTTTCTCGATCTTCGGAGATTCTTCCTGCTTCTCCGTCTTGATCATTGCCGGCGGTGGGGCCGGAGGTGCAACCTGTGTGGTGACGCTTGACACGGGCGCAGCTGGGGGCTTTCGCTCCTCTGGGGCCTGTGCTTGCGGTAATGGATGCAAAGGCAATCGGTTGGGAAAGCGGCCGGTCCCGACAGCTGCGTTACGGCGAGAGCGCTCGTCAAGCATCGTGGTCATGGCATTCGTAACAATAGCCTCCGTAAGGACAAGACTAGTGACCGGCGGAATGGCAGTGGAGATCAGCGCTCCAAACATACCTCTACCAAGAGACTTGACATCGCGAGCATTTCCCCATGAATCTAGCACGGACAGCTCGCTGAAAAGTTCAAGGAGACGCTGGTGTAACTCCGGTGATGGCGGATCAATGATCGAGAGGTCTAGTGGCGCCTTTTTCTTTTTCTTCAGATCGGCAAGAACCTTGACCAGAAGCTCCAGGCATATCTCTGGTTCGAGATGCTTGAAGATGACCGATTCGGGAAAGCGACTAGTAAGACCAGGGTTCATGCTCATGAGTCGATCAATGTCCTTGTCGTAGCCAGCCAAGATGGTCACAAGCTTCTGCGCGAACTTTGGTTTGGTCAGGCAGTCTACCAATTCGTCCATCGCTTCAGTAGCAAATCCCCCTTCGGCAAGGCGGTATGCTTCATCAATGAATAGCACTTTACCCATTGCCTTCTCCAGGAGCTTTTGGACCTTCGGTCCAGTTTGGCCGACATACTGTCCGATCATGTCGGTGGCGGAGCATTCCTCAACCTTCGCCTGGCTGAGCAAGCCCATATCATAGAAGATTTTACCCATTTTCTGCGCCGTTGTTGTCTTTCCTGTACCTATCATCAAGTCAGCTATGTTCGGTGATTGAATCGTTCCACTCACCAGGCGGCCCTTTGAAGAGGAAGTTGAAAGGAAGTTGTTCACGCGGGTCCATCCCCAATGCTTTCATATTTGCTGCTGTCGTTTGGTAGCCTTGGAACTGTTTAATCAGTTCCTCGCAACCCACCACGTCTCTAAATAGAGCGGGTAGATTGGTGGCAGCGCGCTCGCCTCGGTCGAATTCCGGGTCAAAGTCGATAGCTTCTAGGGTGTCAAATTGCTTGACTCTGCCGGCAGTGATGTGCTTCTGATGCAGTGCTTTTGCTCGATCAAGAATAATGTCTACTTCGCCAGCATTTCCGAAGTTAGGGCGGTTACGCGCACGCTGTAAGACATCCATAGCCGCTTTCTTTGCTTGATCGGTCGCCTCGAAACCGACGTCCTTGAGCTTGAGGTCTAGGATACAACGGATCTCGTCGTCTTTGAAGTCTTCAAAGACGAAAGCAGACTCTAGTGGGAAACGTCTCGCCAGACCTGGGTTGACGTCGCGGAACATTTCCTCCATCTGATCCTTGTACCCCAGGAGGAGTACACATCGGTCTTCTCCCGGCGTGCTCTGAACCTCAGCAACAATAGTGTCAATAACGGCCACTTTGTAAGGATCAGCGGTAGCACCGCTAGCTAGCATGTAAGCCTCGTCGATGATGAGCACTTTACCAATAGTCGAAGCTAGAATGGCTTTCGTGTTTGCTTCTGACCCACCCAGAACACTACCGACGAAGTCTGCTGGGTTCTTGGTAACCACTAACCTCATGTTAGCGCTAATTATTGCCAGACTCAAAGTACTCACCTTCGCCGTTAGACAGAAGCCCTATGTCTGCCAAGATCCGACCGTACAGCTTCGCGACTGATGTTTTGCCCGTACCAGGAGAGCCGATGAAGCAACGGTTCAGCGAGTATTGGACGATCGGCTTTTCTTCCAATTCCCGCTGGTAGTTGAACTGTATACCATCGAGAAGAGATTGTACCGATTGTTTGACTGAAGCCAACCCAATGAGCTTCTGTAGCTTCGTCCATGCAGCATTGTTGTTGAGGGCCGATGACGGCTCTGGCCCTATCAGGTCTTCTTTGGTTAAGATGTTGTCATCCGGCTTCAAACCAGCGCGCCTCTCCTTGCGTAGACGCTTCGCCTGGCGCTCTGTAATCTGTGCGATCTTATTCTGAACTTCTCGGGCATTGCCAAAACCATCACGACCGCGTCCTCGTCCAATGCGACGTGCCACGATCCGAACGTAGAGACCGCTCATTCCCTCTTCAATCCTCATTCTTCCTTTATACTTCGCTTTCACATAGTGACAGAATATGTGCTGTAACTCTCGGTCGTCGTAATCTTGAAACTCCATCTGGATCGGAATGCGGCTGGGTATCCCTACGTTGTGCGCGAAAAAGGCCTCCATCTGCTTGTGGTAGCCTGCCAACACAAAAACGACTTTACCAGTCAGATTCTCGATCTCAGCGAGAAGATAGTCTAGAACCGCTTTGCCACCATAGCTATTTCCAGATACCAGTTGATAGGCTTCATCAATGAAGAAGACACCACCACCCGCTTCGAGAATTTTGTCGATATGTGTTTTGCAGGCAGATACTCCATCGTTAGCGAGAGCCGATCCGGAACTTTCGAAGAAGTGATCTCCAGGAAGTGCTCCAACCTTGACTAGGAATTGGGCGTAGAGACGGGCCACGGTGGTTTTTCCTGCAAGCATAAGCCTCAATATGAAACATACGAAAAGTAGATTGTACCTGTCCCAGGATTGCCTAAAAGAGCAGCTCCAAATCGCTCTTCCTTGAGCGACACGTTCTGGCGGACAACGGTATCAACTTTCGCCTTGGTTGCAAGGAATTTCAGCTTGACAGTCTCAAGCCCTATAATTGGTAAGTAATTACTTTGATATAACCAGGACTTGAGGTACCTGTCATAGACATCAACGAATCTAACGCTTCATTCTCCGCCCCTTCAAACTGCTTCTGCCATTCCCAATCGTCCTTCGCTTCGCTTTTGTCCCAATCAGGCTGGCTCTCGGCCTGATCAGTTGCAGCGTCTCGCTTCTCGGTGGTATCCGTATCGGGAAGAGTTGCAGAGCCTTGAGACGCAGGGGGTGTCTTGGATGTGTTTGTATTAGCTGGTATTACGGGTGGTAGTTTCGTGGATTGAGCCTTCGACTCAGGCGGCTGAGATTGTTTGTCGAAATTCGCCTTCAAGTTCAAAAGATCCTGTTTCTTTTGGGCAAGTGCTTGCTGGCGATCGTTCTCATCGGCCTGATCCTTTATGACACGTTTCTGGTGCTCGATTTCATCCTGTATCTCCGCGAGCCGTGCCGCATACGCTCGTTGCTTGTTTTGGCGCTCTTGATCTAGACTGTAATCCCGCTGACGTTTTTTTTCTTGAGCACGTGCTTCAGCTTCGCATTTTCGACATGTTGCGGCGGCCTTGTCATGACATTTTCGGTTGACCTTGTGATTTTTAGGACAGTGGAATGAAACTATGGCGTTGCACTCCATCTTGGAATGATCTTGCAGTTGGTGGCATCGGTGTGGGCAACTGTGGATCTCACACTTGAGGATTTTACCACTAAAGTCATTAGCGTATGAAAAGCTAATGCTGTACATAGCTTACCAGGGCTCAGAGCATCCTCCATCGGGGCAAACGGAGTCAAAGTCTTCCTTTTCAGCCAGAAGTGCCAATTTTTCCGGATGTTGCTCGCATTTCACTGGGAAACCATCGTAGATATGGCCGTCTCTCTTCAACTGGTCCATCAGTGGGATCCAAACGTCACTACCTTTGCGACTGTTCAGAAAAGTCTGGGCATTTCCGATCATGATCAGTGCGTTCCGTGCTCGCGATAACAATACGTTCACACGCTGAGGAGCGGCCATAAAGCCTATGTCACCGGTGCTGTTACTTCGAGTCAAACAAGCGATGACAATATCACTTTCCTCGCCTTGGTAGTTATCTAAAATGCCATTAGCCAGTCCTCAGTATTCGGTAATCGCCATGGATCAACGGGATTAAAACAGTCGTGGGGTTCGTGAGCTGCATCAGCGTGGAACAATAGACGATTACAATCGATGAGAAAAGCTGAATTTGCTTACCAATGGTGGAGATACGAATTTTCCGTTTGGCGATATTTCCACCAGCAGGTGTAAGCAGGCCTGCCCGGATCAGCTCGTGAGAGTCTAGATCATTGAGGATTGGATCGTTGTCCTTCGACAAAGTCTTTAGCAATAGAGATAGTTGGCCCAGGTACGGTGTCAATATCACGATATCATCCGTGCCGTAACCCTGTTGGCCAAGATATCGAACACACTTTAGAACCATTTCGGCTTCGTACACGTTCTCTTTGCTAGCCTTGGCCTCCTCATCCCGTCGATCGGCGATCTTTTCAGCGTTGAGCTCCGGTTTGAAGTGCGATACGAAGATGACGTTATCTTGGAAACCACGAAGGGAGGGCCTTCCTTTAGTTTTCTCGGCATCTTCCAGTTCGGGATAGGTGAGAGACCTCACAAGCGTCGAAATCTCGGGACGCATACGATGCTGTTTGTTGAGGGTAGTATGTGGAACTCCTCCGAGAACAAGTCTCTCGAATAAAGATACATTGAGGTCATAGCCATCGCCTTTCTCCACAGTCAAAGAGTAATTATTGACTTTGGGTCGCAACTGTTTGTGGTCGCCAATAAGAACAAGCTGCTTCGTAGTTGACGTCATTGCCGTAAGTATGTGACTCTCGAGAATCTCTCCGGCTTCCTCAACTAGGATAATACCCGGTGAGGCTTTCTGGAGGCCGTCGGTGTACATAGCAGCTGCTGTTGTAGTACATCCGATGATTCGCTTCTGACCAAGGACATATGAATGCTTCTCTCGAAACAACCGTTCAACCCGATCACGGCAGGTATTGTACTTGCCCGCGAGCGTGCTTATTTCAATGACATGCTCTTCCAGAACTTCCTTCGCCCATTGAGCTCGGAGTGTACCGCGAATTTGTGGTTCGACTTTCCAAATATGTGGGTACTCTTGCTTTGCGCTAGCTTTGAATAAGCCCGCGTCTTCGCCCTTGGACCATCTCCTGATTAGATAGTACTTGTCAACCTTTTTGTTCTTCTTCCCTACCAAGTTCATACCGTCTTCATTCTCAGGCACAACAAAGGCATCGAAGTACTCTGAATCGTCTGAGAACTCGAGATAGTCAAGGAGCGTTTGATCAGTAATATTAGCACGCGCAAACCTCGTCACTTTCTGTATCAAAGCGTCATGGTACGATTCCGCTTGCACTTTCTGGTCTTGTATCATGGCACGCGTTTGACCACTCATCTTGTAGTCGTTTGGCTGTTCAGAAATGCTCAAAGCTCGATTGCTAGGATCGACCTTTGAGCCAAGTCGCACGATTGAGCTCGCTGGAATTCCGGCATTCTGGATGTCCACAAGAAATTGATCAAGCGCATGATTAGTATATGTGAGTACTAGGATCTTTTCCTTAGTGTGATCGTGCAAGATCTTAGCGATGAGGGCTCCGATAAAAGACTTGCCGGTGCCTGGAATGATCAGCATGACGCACACTCTGATTGTGGGTAAACGAACGCAAAAGAAAAATGTCGAGGGCGTGCACCAGATGAACATAGACCCAAGTATTAATGAAAAGCAAGAAACCTACCGGGGGGGCCTTGGATGAGGCTTACTTTCTTCGCTAAGCCGGTGAGCAGCGACTCTGCTTGAGCAAGGTCTAGTTCAATCGGCCGATCGGTCCCAATTATATCCTGAAGGTCGTTCTCCCATCCTCGGCGGATGGCATTGATGATATCATTAGGCTGAATTCCAGAGAGAGATTCAGCGGACCCAGGTGTGAGGTTGAGCAGCTGTTCCTCTAATGGCAGGTCGGTCATCGATTGAAGACACTTCAGGATTGGTTCGTACGCAAAAACAGCGGTATCGACTTGAACAAAGCAAAGATTCGATGTTGTCTTGCAGGCCATCAGCACCTTGCCAAAACGCCCTGAATCAGCCACGCGAAGGACGACAATGGACGGTTCCTCAGCAAGCAGATTTTCATCCCGGTCCACACTGGCCAAAGCAACGATGCTGCCGTTACTGATGAGACACCCAAGAGATTGGTGCTTCAACATGTTTTTGTTATCCAAAATGTACTTTTTACGAACAGCAACCCCTTTGATCTTGCGCAGCTGCGGGATGTCGTCGATACATCGAAGCCTCAGCGAGCAGGGCTTGCGCCGAGTTTCAGGCCCACAGTCAATGCCAGCAAATTGCAGTTTCTCGAGAATCATCTTGCGTTTCCCTTTCTTCTGGCCAGTGGCAATCTGAAAGTCGCTGCGCAGCTCTCCTAGAAGATCTTCGCGGAGGAGGCGGAATTGGTTGTCAAGATGTATGGCAGCGCGATTCTCCGGTTCAGCTGACGTGATGGCATCCGCGCGTCTGTAGAATGGTGTTTCGGTGGATGCGAACTCGTCTGGTGTTGGCAAGATTTTGACCTCGCGGTAATCCGCGAAGTCGTTATCATGCCGGCCACCAGGACCTTCGGCGGAATCGCTGGATGTGCTTTCCAGGACATGCTTGATCTTGTGGCCTAAGTTTCGAACGTCCAGAGAGATCGAGTTGATGAGCGACTCGTTCTTCGTAATCCGTTCCGCGACGTCTCGCACATCAGGGGCATCTTCCGAACGAATGTACAGAACCTCGATTAATAGCCACGCGAACGCGTACGTGCCTTCTGGCGTGAGGATACGAGCATGGTGGGCTTCAACGAGTGTGTTCCAGAAAGTGGGAGGCTGTAAAATCTGTTCGAGGATACGATGCAGGAATTGTCCGCCGTAAAGCTGCTTGACAGATGGGTGGGAAAGATGGTGAAGGACGGAGGTTGCTAGCCCGTTCAGAAACGCGCTATCACGTGAGAAGCGGAAAGACTTGGCGACGGCCATTAACCCCGCAGGAGCCGCGATCAAGCATTCCACACACTTCGATACATCCTCTTGCGCACACAAGGCTTCCAGAAATCGATTGCCATCAGCTGAGCTCTTGAGTTCGCGATTACCGTGGATCACGGCATTGAACAGCTTTGTCAGCCCCGCGGCTCGCTTCGCAGCAGCTTCTTGGTCGGCCATGTGTCAGGTGGAGTCGTCGGCACGAAGAAAGTAGTTGTGCAAATAATCAAAGTCTCAATGTTGGGGTCGGCCCTCTATTGGAAATTCTTGAGCTTTTTGAACTCTTCTGGAAGTGCTGCAAAAGGTCGCACAAAAGGGCTGTGCAAACGATTGGAAGACAGTTGCGGTTTCTATGCGGCGAGGCATGTAGTATTCCCTGCTTGCATATTCCGGTGAAGTCTAGACGAATTGAGTCCTACCACATACCACATCCTCAGTTGTGTGACCTGCACGTTCAGCAAACAACCCCACCTACGCTCAGCCTTGCCTAGGCAGCATCGTTTATATGAAGCCAACATGACTTTCCTGCATCAAATCCACAGTCACCCTTCATCTTCTGGCCTGGTCAATACAACGCCGCAATGTCTTACAAGTCTTCGTTCTCTGGTAATAATCGGGGTGGCTTCGCTCCACGAAAAGGCCGTGGCGGATGGGGTCGCCCGTTTGCAAAGCCCAGAGAGCCTGTCAAGCCTGACATCGAGAAATATCCCCTTGGAAAGCTGCTTCAAACTCTCCAAGCTTCAGATCTAATACCCGAACAGAACGGCTTGTCTCACAAGGCGGCGATTACTGATTGTCAATACATCGCATCCTACAACTGGCTCAACAACAGCACTCCTACAATTATTGTGCCAGGTAAGTTATTTCACATAGACTGTGTGATCTGCAAGATGACACAATTCAGGCAAACCCGCTCAATGGACTCCTCTCCAAGACCCACCACGTTTGAAGGAAGACAGCGGACAGTACTTCCGAGATCCAAACGCTGCGAGATATCCTGACTTCCCTATGGCGCCTGTTGTGCATGCCATTCTAGGGAGCGATCCCGACTATTGCCCTACACGCGTTAATCTGTTCGCCTGCGGGAGTACGCTAGGCAACCTACTTCGCTTTGTCCGTGGAATGGACAAAGCCTTCCGCTTCAACATCGAGGTCATCGGCAATACCGTCTTCTTCGTTCGCAAAGAGAATGACCCCAAGGAGATTATAATGGACGTTCATGGTTTCGGGCATTCCTTTCCCGAGGCATATACAACTTGGGACAACGAGGTCAAGGGTTCTGAGACGCATCAGCGTATTGTACAATACACATTCGGAGACCTCAAGTGCCTAGTGCGCTTTGAATGCGATGGCTATATCAAGCCTGACGGTCGGACTAGCAACCACAAGTCTCCAACCAAATCCTCCAACCGCCACACATCAAGCAGTACGGAAGACGAAGATGACCTTCTCAAAGCCCTCCTAGGTACTGCCGTAAGCCAAACTCTACATGCAACGACCAATGGGTCTGATACCATCATAATCAAGCATGGTGGTTCTGAAGTTCCGCAAAACTCCGTCTTCGATTTGAAGACCCGTTCTATACGGTCTAAATGGGGTATTGACATGAATGAAGTATATCCACTGCTATGGTTGAAGCAAATTCCCAACTTTATTGCAGCCTACCACGATGGGAACGGCCTATTCCAAGACATCAGAGTGCAAGATGTGCGCGAAGACGTTCAGAAATGGGAGAAAGATAATGTCGACGCTATTCACCGCTTGTCCATACTTCTCGGAAAGATCATCGAGATGGCAAAGGAAGACGCAAGAGGACTTCTGGAGGTATATTATACTGGTACGGGTGGACTTGAGGTTCGAAGCCAGTATGGCGAAGGTACACATGCGTTACCAGTCGAACTGATGAATAAATGGGCGGACAACGAGACCCCGCTCGAAATTCCTGATTCCGATGAGTCAGATGATGCTGCGTTTGACTTTGATGATGCACACAGTTCAAAACAGGGCTGGAAGCTAGACTGGGAGGAAGAAGAGCCGGATTACACCGCCTGCTCCGCTGAAGACTGTGGATATTGTGGAACATGCACGTACTAAAACTACCTGGCCGGCATCACCACTCACACTATGGTAAGAATATTCCAATTTATTCCTTTTCGTTTTTACATAGGTATTGCAATCAAAGTTATCTCTTTCGTGCATCTTTGGCTCATCTTATATCTCTCGTCACACCAATCCCCATCTCATCGCCACCTTAATAATCCGCATTCGTAACGGCCACCCTTCCCCCATCATTGAGAAGAATAAGCCCATTACAGAACGAGCCAGCTCTGCTCGCAAGATACAGCACAGTCCCACCCATCTCCTCCTGGCCGCCAAATCGTCGCGCGGGAATAAATCGGTCGTCGTCGGTGCCCTCTGTCCCTGGATCTCTACCTTCGATGAGGTCATCTGCCATCTCAGAAGGGAACCCTTTCAAAAAGGTCAGTCTAAACAACGTAGCATTTACTTCGTTCCAAGAGGGGGGATCAGGACTGAGATGGAGTCAATCATAGAGGGACAACTTACACCCTGGCGCCAGAGCGTTAACCCTAATGCTCAACCCAGCAAGCACTGTACTGGATTGCTTGACCAAATGTATAAGTGCCGCCTTACTTCCCGCATACGCAGGCGGAACCAAAAAATCCCTCAGAAACGCACCAACGCTGCTCGTCACAATGACCTGGCTCTGGATACTCGGCACGCTACTGCCTTCCTTTAGCGGTAGCCCAAATCCGCCCTTTATAGCAGCCTTGTTGCCTGCATCCAGGAGTTCGAGGAAGGCGAGAATGGAGAAATAGTTCGCTGTCGTGTTGACGTGAAGCGTGTTGGTGAAGTCTTCCATGGACACATCGTCGAACATACTCTTCCTCACTTCCTTTGCGCTCTTTCCCGGGAGGATAGTTGCCATTGGGCCTATGATTCCAGAATTGGCGACGAGGAGGTTAATGTGTCCCGTGTCTTGGGAAATGTAGTCGACAGCGAACTGGAGCGATGCTTTGGATGTAATGTCACACTGGACTGGTACTAAGCCTTTGCACTCAGCGGCTACAGAGTCAAGCTTCTCTTTGCGTCTTCCAAGTATGTAGACTTTTGAAGCGCCGCCATTGCTTAGGGCTTTGGCAATCATAAGGCCGATCCCTGTGGATGCCGTCAGTCGGTTCAGCGAAAATGTGTATGAGGCTGAATGATATTTACCAGTGCCTCCGCCCGTCACAACGGCAACTAAGCCATCGACTCGAAATAGGTCTGCAGTAGCCATTGAATAAAAAATATAGATGGAAATAGAATGTTAATTCAAGTTGTGCGATCGAAGGGACTATTGATAATTGATGTATTTCGAGGAGCACAGAGCTACTTATAACGCATACACTTTCAACTTGAACAGCGTACAACACTTCTTCGGGAATACGACTAGATTGGACACATAGTATTTCTTCGTATATCTTACATCCCTTCTTGGTCGTACATCACATCCTCATCGTACACAGCATTCGCGCGATAACCCCGCAAAGCCCGTAAGCCATCTCCGCATATGCGCAAAAGCCGGGGCTGACAAATAAAACATTCTCACTGCATCACGATAAGCTCAATGATACGTTTCATTGACCATTATAAAGGACCAAGAAGGCGTACATGGCACTGCATAGATCAGCTTGACCGATGATGATGGGGCCGCCCCGCATTTGTGTGTTTGGAACATGAATCGCGTGATTGTTTCTTTCTCCGACATATTTTGTCAAATTCACTATTTTGATTTGGCGATTGATTGCCATGGAAAGGAAGTCCTCAAACTTCTAGTGTGAGTTCATGTGACCTATATGAATATGATCTATGGATCATCCTTGTTAAATAGCGCAATGATGCAGGATATCTAGGCAACCTTCACTAAATTGCACGAAGTTTCAACTAAACTTGGCTGACTACATTAGCTCTGAAATAGTAACCTACTCGAATAGAGGATACAAGTTATCAGCATTATTGGGTAGGAAGACTAGGTATGTATGCCCTCGTGAAAGACAGTAGGATGGTGAGCCTTATGACTAGTTCTAGAAATACACTGAACGCAGCTTTGATGAGCATATTGATACCAGCCTTTTCGTGCGTACCAGGTATCATCAATATGCACAAAAACTCCAACTCACATTACGATATACGGCAGTACCCGAAGAGATAATGATGACACCAGACAACGCCTTTAAATGATGCGAACAGGGATGAGAGAAATGCTTGTCTGATTTAAGAAAATCCGTAACCCGAATTTGACGGTAGCTGGGACGGAACGATTCGCGAACGCCGATGAAGAGGAACTACCGCCCGCTTTCAAGTTCACGCAGCTCGTTGTGTTGACTACGGACAGGGAAATCTTCTGCCATTGGTGGCCTGCGGTGTCGATGCGGGTCGTCTTTGGGCGCTGGTGGTGGTGGCGGCGGGAGTTGAGCGACCCAGAACTTGGGGTACTGCCGTTGGATATTGTTCATCATCAGGGCGGTGACAAGAATAATCGAAGAGGATAACAGTAGCACAGGGAGAAAGTACCATCGCAGGGCCCAGATGTGCGGATCGAGGCACGGAAGTAGTGCCGTCGCTCCGGCTGGAGGGTGAGTCGTCTTAGTCAGGTGCATGACAACAAGGGCGATAGCTGTTGCAAGACTGGCTGCGAGCCATTGAAGCCGTGGAAAAGGGTCTTCCGTGAGGTTGAACTGGAATATAGTTGCGATGATGACCCCGGTCAAGCCGCTGAAGAAATGACCGAAGACGAGAGAGCGCGGTTGAGCTAACGGGACATCGATAGCTCCATAGCATAGAATTGCAGAAGCTCCCTATTGAGGTAAGAAAAGGCATTTCAAGATGGATTGTTCAACTTACGAACGACGCAACAATAGGCGGGACAGCGCGACTTCGAAAGTACTCGGTATGGCCAAAGATCGCAAGAATGACGCTAAGCCCCCCAAATGCGCCAATGAAGCCCCACAAGCACACGACCCACGTCAGAGATGGAGGTGATGCCTTTCCGCGATATCCAAACCAACGGCTAACGACCAGGGGAAGGCGCGCAAGACCCCTTTGGATGAAGCGCTCGACAGGCACGAGAGGGTCGGGTGAGGGCATCGTGGTAAAAGAGTACAGGGCGGGACGCAGCCGCGCGCACAGCGACGAGATCAGCTGAAAGGAAAGAGATCTAAAGCAGGGGGTTGATCAGGTATATGGCGTAGAATGTAGATGCACAGCGAACAACAGAAGTCGTGGAGCAGTGATGTGGGGAAGACAAGAGTTTGTAAAGCTTGAAGGTACGCCCTACTTTGCGTACTAGGAAGGAAAGAAGCATGGCCGAACTTGACCGGCACAGATCAAGCTGCGGGCATGCACCTCGGTATGTCTGGCATTACCAGTATAACAATTGATGACGGCCTTCGTTGTGACAAATCTGGAAGCTTGAAGGCATTGTTGATATGGTGCTGCTGACTGTTGAATGAGCATCTGTGTGTGAAAGCACAAAAGCAACTTCGAATCTGAAGGCATGACTACAAGACGAACAATCGACCAGGCGCACTACGAGAACGCGTGCCGTGTAACAAGGAGGCGATGAGAGACAAGTTCCGCTACGGACTGGCAGCACAGTAGTGGCAGAAATTGCTGGCGGAGAACGACGCTAATTAGCTAATAGAAATGCTTCGAGCGAAGGTTTTCCGTGATTCGACCGATTTATCAGCGAAAGGCTACCGAGGCGGCGCTACTCCCGTTCAGGAACATTCACGTGAGGACGCGTCGCGTTTTAAACATGTCGTACGCAATTGCTACTCATTCCTCTATATCCCAACTCCTAAATTAATAATTTATCGCGTTCGACAAAACGGTTCTTCTTACTAGCGCTCACATACAAGAAACATGATCAGAAGGTCCATGATACAGCAATGCCATTATGGTACACATATGCTTCGTGAGAGTGGCGCCCCCAAGAGAATGGGACGGTAAAGCGTTAACTGCGCCATGTCCGTGGTATCGTACAGCAGATGAAAACAACACACTCACGACCAACACCTAAAACGCCCCGCTAATACAAGTACTATGGCAAGCTGACGGTGGTAAAGAAGACGTTTCTGATCATACGGCCTGCCATGCGTTACCCTTCGTTCCCCCTGTACTCGAATTCGACTTCGAGTTACCCAACGCCAGAGCAACCGAGTCAACCCTCGACTTCTCCTTTGGACCAGACGACCCATCCCCGCTACTCCTCGCATCCTCCTCCTTCATCGTCGGCATACTGATTGCCCCTTCTTCCACGACAAAACTCGGCCTCGTCAATTGATGTTCCTTCAATATCCCCAACTTCTTCAATAACTGTTCAGCCGGGTGCTTTAGGCACGGAAGAGATGTCGCAATGATGCCAACCTGTTCTTCAACTTTTGCCCACATAGAGGGCAGTATGGTCGCCTGCATAAAGTCGCCTTTGCCGAAGGAGGTAAATGTTGTCATCTTGGCACACGCGACGGCAGTCGCGAAAAGACCGAGAGCCATGAGGAAGCAAATGAGCACCTTTTCGGAGGTGCTACGGTGCAGGGTCCGAATCAGGCGAATGGGCATTAGGGAGAGCGTGAGGTCCATTACTATGTAGATTGCTGACACCAAGACTTAGCAATGCTGCCAATGGACAAGATGAGAAGGAAAAGGAAAAGAGCTTAACTTACCGGCAACGGCCCACCCATAATCGATAATCGGCTGGGTAGGCCAGCACTTCACACCCGGCACATTTTCCCAATTAGCACTCACCGGCCTGCACTGCCCAAATTGAATCACCACATACGACGACGAAATTAGAACTTGACCCCCCATGATGAAGTAGAGCGGCCATCGCCATAGCCTATCGTTCCCAAAGCGCAATAAAGAGCATGAAACGGAGAGCCGTACTAAACAGAAAGTAATGAGCCAGACGGTTTGTAGCGCGAATTGCAGTTTCCGGACGGGCTTAAGGTTCTTGGGGTTGATGTAGGCGGTGGGGTGGCCCCAGCCGTGTGCGCTTGCGGTGATGGCTATTAAAATGCCGACTAAGGAGAGAGGCTGCCAGACTTCTTAGTAGATGGTGCGTATGGAATTTTGATGAACACTGGGTAGTCTAGCGCACCTCGGCCATCAGGATGAGCCAGTCATCGAGATACAAGCGTTTCGTCCTGGTCACTCGCGTGTATATACGTGCGATGACGAGAAGTAACGCGATGGCTCCCAGGATGCAGACGGGGACCAGGTAGGTCGCAACTTTGTTGGAGTATGGTGGGATCACCATAGTGGTAGCCATGGTGTCTTCGGCCTCTAGCCTGAAAGCTAGGAAACCACCAGAGAAAAGGTAATCTTGGGAGTTGTGGGGTTTTCACACTGCGACAGAGCTAGTTGACAATGGCTTGTGAAGGGTTCCTTGACGATGTGCACGACTAGTAGAAGATACCCGCCAACTAACAAAGTTCAACAACTCGCGGAGAGCCGAGAGAACAAAAACTCAGGACGAACGGCCAAAAGACTGGAGCCAGAAAGCTAAAACTTAGCATAACAGACGTCTACAGGGTCCCCGTCCGCGGGCAGACTATATACGGTCCGTACCTCGCTCCTCCGCTGGCCTCGTATTCCTCATAGCAAGACGGCAGCTTTGGATGCAGGATGAAGGAACAAGGACCGATGGGGCGGTGGAATTATCACCCAGAAGGGTGTAGAGGCTACATAAAGTTCAAACTTTCGATCCTTCGGCGCGGAGACGAGGTTACGCAATGCAGATTCGGCGGGGAAGAACGACCGCATTCATGCGCAACAACACCGCTCTGACAGTTTGGAGAGGCGAGGAAAGGTTCGCGTCAGTGGCAGAACCGACTTCCACGCGAAGTCTAGACTGGTCTAGGCTTAATAGCTGCTGGACACGGGCTAGTGCAGGTATAATGAACGCCCCTTAAGAGCTAGAGGAGCGCGATGGATGGTCGCGTAGAGGATTGAGCTCGCATGCCATGATTCACGTACCTGGCGGAGCTGTAACGACGGTCGGCATCAACCCTGTTTCGAGGCCGCCGATCCCCCTTGAAAAGCCAGGTTTGCGGTCACGATGCATCGATGAATGCACGTCAACTATAAGCAGGCCGTTCCCGACACATCTGTGACACACACGATTTGGTAGATCGAAAGACCGGTTGAAGAGGGTTGCGGAAGCATTTACCCGCTTCCCATGGAGTGAAGACATTAGGTTTAAGTAGAGGCTAAAAGGCGATCACGAAGAACGAAATTGCTTTCTCAGCCATTCACCCTCGCTTCATCGCTTTTCCAGTCGGCCCGCTGCCCAGTTTGTAACCCCTCCCCGCAATGCTTGTCCCTGCATCCGTAGCGGCTGCACGTGCTTGCCGTGTCCGCTTGGTGATGTGACTCGGAGAGGTGCAGCGGCACGAGATTATTGGTGGCATTTCAAGCTAAATAGAGTTTGGGCTAAATAGTGGAAGGCATACTCGGTGGAATGTCTTTCGAGTTAGAAGGCAAGAAGAGGGTGGGGTAGATTAAAGCCGAACACGGCAGCTAGAAGCACCAGGCTGTTACCTGAAGTATGACTGGAGAGGGTGGATGAAAGTTTGGAAGGGTAAAGTCGTTTGATTCTAAGATTTAAAAAGGCTTGACAACAGGGAAGAATGGGCTCAGAATAGCCGGCATATCGTATTGGAAGATTTCCATTACGCCATTTTACGCTACCGCACCGTGCCGCCGCCCATGCTCAACCCACCGTACCACGCCACCAGCGCGACGCGTTTTCCTGATGCGTTTGAGAACAGTTCGTCCACTCAATGCGATGCTAATGGAGTAGAATGAGGTGTCTGGCGGGAGTATACTAGCCTTGACGTTTCTCATTGGTCTGTGACAAGATGCCCCTCAATTTAGCGGCATCCGAAGACTCCTACCTCAACCGCAGGAGTATACGCGCAGAACGCCTCTCATACCAACTCAGCTACTCGCCAATCTCGCTTCGAACCCCAGCTCGTCCATAGCACCTCTTCGGTCCGAAAGGCAATCTCCGACGACAACATGGTTGAGTGTCCAGAGTGTGGCGCCAACGCCGATTTGACTAAAGACGGGGCTTGGGCACATTGTGCCTCGTGTGCGCATTCCACTACCACCCTCCTGATCATGGTGGTCTGACTGAACTTGCAGGCAATACAATCTTTGAGCCCGGCAAGGAAGGTAGTCACTATCAAGGTAGCGGTAGTGGGTCAGGTGATAAGAAGGAGGAAAAGAAGGGTGACAAAGAAGCTGAGAGTACAAAGAAGGATGAAAAGAGTGAAAGCTAGGGATGTCCTGTGATGCCTATCGTTTGGGTTGGAACGGCCAAGCAAATTTAGTACGATCGTCCTCGACTGACTGTCGAATACAGAATACAAAAAAAGCTAGTCGACCACATATTTCCTCAACGCTCATCACAAAATTAGGACGACACTGACATTGTCATCACAATGTATCCACAATGAATCACTATCATCTCTACAACGCTGTGCTTGCACGGGGGCCCTCAGCCAGCGCACTTGCTCCCGCGGTACTCTCCCTTCAGCCTCACAGTTGCGATTAATTGCATAATGTAGATTTAGATTTCGAGAGAGGCTATCGTCGCCTAACTTTTCACATCAATATTCCGTAGATCTCACTTTTCCATTGGACTGCTATCAACTAATTGGGTTCCATTCTCATATGCTAACGAGCTTCCTAGGCTGTACTGGAAATCTACCCAGCTGTGATGACAATCGTGTCCAAGTGACAAGAAATACTCCAAGTCTCTTGCTTTGAATTGAGGTAGGCAAGTGGGATCGCGGAAAGAAGACGTATACTGCCAGAATGAGACCCCAAGATAGTCTAACTACTCTCGTCCTTCTCTTTCTTACCGGTCATCTTATCATACCACTTTGCGACACGCTTCTTGCCCTTGTGATTACCTGTATCATTTGTGGCATCCTCGTCTCTCTCGCTTGGTCCACGACGCACTTCCATTGGAGCCTTGGGTTTTGATCCTTTGGGGGCATAAGATCGAGCTATCTTTTGCTTGCCGTCTTCAGGTTGTGAAACAGATGCGTTGCCTGCGTATGTGAACCCAGTTTGGCTATCCCGTGCAAGAGGCCGCTCCTTGAGAGAAATTCCTCGCTTCTGGTTCACCATGCCCCTGCCTGCCTTACCACTAGTAAGAATATTACCTTGGCCCCTGCTAGCCGTGACCTTGACCTCATCTTGGTCCTCGGAAATTGTCTCCATGGCTACATGATTACCTGAACCAGGCGCACCACTATTCTTTGGCACCGCAAACGACTTCTCCTTAGCTCGATCTTGCCAATACTTCGCATGGAAGTCTGGGGGCAAGTATCCGTCTTTCTCGATTATCGCCTCTACCAAGCGCTCGAGTTCTTCCGATTCAGCCTCAAAATCGTCCTCGTTATCTTCAGGCTCGCCCTTCAGGTCACCCGGATCTGTATCGTCAAACTCTGCGAGATCCACGTCATAACCGTCAGCAGCACGGTACAAAGGTTCGTTATATCCCTGAACCCGGGGGTGCTTCGCACAACCATCCGAGCGTAGGGCGAATCGCTCGCCACAGCGCACGCGAACCCGCCTACCATCGCGGTTTCGGGTCACCCATGTCGAGCAATATGCGTAGTGGAGATTCTCGTAACAATTTTGTGTCATCTTGTTGTTGCACTGCCCACAGTGGTGACCGCGCATGAGAATCTTCCCTGTCGTCAGATTTCGAGTAAGGGGCTTGAATTTGCCCGAATTATACAGGTCATCTTCGCCATAAGATGAGTATAACAACTTAAGCTCCTTCTTGCTGAAATTCGACATCCTCTCTATTTCTCAACACCTGTTTTTGTGCTATAGAAAGTGGAATGCGATGGAGCCTGCGGGGGCTTGTGGGAGCTACGACGTACTGACTTTGAATTCTGCAGTGACCCACTTGAACACTGATGCTTTGCTGTGGCGCGGTTACGGTTGAGAACCTGATGAGAGCAGTAGAAAGTAAACTGAAACGGAAGAGCTGGTTGCGCTTTATTTTCCCACGTTTCCCAAGGATTTCACTCTGTACACGCACGTTGACTACACATTCGACTAGTTGGTGCACAATATGGCCTTCCAATGCCTCTTCGACTGATCACACCACAATACAGCCAATGGGATCTTCGCAAATAGGCCGGTGAAAGCTCCAAGGTTGCTCTTCTTGGGCATATCAGTTGTTTCACAATGTCTATAGGAGAGCTTCTGACACATTGTGCGCTAACACAGCAACTTGGGATAAGTAGCAGCTAGGCTTTAAAAAAAGGTTTCCCTAACCTATTTTCTTTCCACTACCACAAGACCTGCCGCTATCACAACTTCAACCCCGATTCATCACCTCGAGCCATATATTTTATTTGGACTTACATTCCAATATCGCATCCTGAGCATAAAGAGCAAGCGCCGTACAAAGTGGCCCACGCCGAGACGAAGTCGGGCAACTGGTTTCCTGCCAATCTCTCGAGCCAATCTCGAGCCATGAAGCCTAAGCAATCATCATCAAAGCTGCAGAAGCCCGCTCTAAAATACATTCATAATGCGACTACCGAGATCAAGCAATTGTTTAACTTCCGCGGTTATGGAATGCAAACAACGGCAGCAAGCACGACTTCTACGCCATCCACCAACAAATCCTCTAAGCGCACATCGACCTCTACGACCGACTCAAAGGTATCGGATTTGTCCTCGAAGCCTCCGTCAGATAACACGTCTTCAGATATCACCGCTTCATCTTCACTGATGAGCTCTCAGAACCCATCATCCAAGAATCCGATCCGTCGATTGTTAGGCATCTTTGGTCACTCGAAACGAGAACCCATCGCATCTGTAGGCGAAACTAACCCTGATGTCCAGGACGATGCAGAGTTAGAGCAAGAAGATGCTGACAAGAAATTTGAAGCTGAAGAGGAGGATTACAACGATGACAACAAGTCAGACGAGGTAGACGAGCATGACCGCCGCAATTTCAAAGCGATCCGCACAATACCTCGTAAGGCAATCGAAGCTTTTGTCCTCGGACTTGTCAACTCGAATAACGACCTCAAATCACGCACATGTCGCTTGACACTGCGCAAAGAAGGCTCATTCCACCACGCGGTGTTCTTGCAAGTCGCGCTTTGTGGAGAAGTGGAGCAAGAGTTTGTTCTCAAGATCCCAGCCCATGGTACGCCCGAACTTTGGAAAGAGGGCGATGCTTGCATGCTGAGAGGTGAAGCCAGCTTAATGCAGCATATTCGACACCATACAGAGTGCCCTGTGCCTGAAGTCATTGCCTTCGATGATTCTGTCTCCAACCCAATCGGTGCGCCATATATCCTAATGAAGCGGATGTCTGGTGTCTCCGCGTTGGATATGTGGCTTGGTCAGCCGTACAAGACTCTCAAATCTGGTGAAGAACATATGAACGCCGATGATCCATCGCCTGAAACGGAGCGAAAGCGTATCACCTTTCTGCGGTCTCTCGCTCATGCTATGAGCCACTTACAGAAACTCAATTTTGATGAGATAGGCGTTCCGGTCTTCGAAGAAGCAGAAGACAAATATCCTCGATATTTTGGTCATCTGTGGCGCTGGCACTCAAAGGTCGCCATGCAAGAGCTCACACCAATCGGCCCCTTCGATACGAGCGAAGAGTTTTTCCTGGCTGGACTGAGCGCGGCATGGGATCCTGAGACTATATCAGATCGCGATCCAAATGACCCACAAGTTCTGGAAGTAAAGGGTGTACGCAAGGTTCTTGAAATTGTGTTTGCGTCGCCGCCCTTTGCACCCCTTCGAGCACATTCATCTGCCTCTTTCGACGGAACAACAGGTACCGAAGTGAATACGTCAACCAAAGAGTCCTTCGTACTCCGTCATGACGATCTCGACCTGCAGAACATCCTAGTTGATGACGAAGGTAATGTCACCGGCATAATCGATTGGGATGGCTGTATGAGCGTTCCGCGATGCATAGGCTACACCTCCTTGCCCACTTTCTTACGGCGCGACTGGCTGCCAGATCACGATATGAACCGAGGCCCACACATGACCTGGAGCCTGGACCGCTACCGAGACCTCTATGCGCATGCGATGAAAGAATATTGCAAACCTTCTAGTCCGCTAGCAGATCCAAAACAGACGGATGCGATGTTCACGCGCAAATCGGCCATTTATCAGGCGTTGCAAGCGGCAATACACGAGGATTCTGATGTCCGGGATATAGTCACTAAACTACTTAGAGAGATTCCTGAGTTTAGGCATGTGGATATTGATCAGCTCCATTATCGATTGGGTCAAGGATGGCCAGCTGCGGAGCGGGCGCTGACGGAAAAGGCATATGAGTTGTTAAAGCCAGAGTGAATAAGGGTTACAACTTGTAAAGCCCAGGACAATTTTCATAAGTAAAGGACACAAGCGTTGCTGGTTGTGACTAAGTAGCGCAGTCGTCGATTCTGAGCTGTCCACTTCAGCTGCAATTCAGGATCGTAAAGTCATTAATCTTATGTTGCCACATGTGCAACTTGTACATCTACTTGTACCCATAGCTTTCAGAATGTTATTATTAGACCTCTACCATATTGCCACACTCCCTTCCTCAATTCCATGCCCTCCTAACCCGATGGTCCTCCTCCGACTTGGCCACTTCTTCCTCCGTCTTCAGTCCTTTGATTGAGCACCTCATATGCCTAGGAATAAGGCGACGCAATCCAGTCAGAGAGAGGTTTGCTAATGTTGACGGATAGACGAAAGCCTAGGTAGCCCCCTTTCTTTGGGCGGTTGAATAATCTATTTGACAGGGTGTGGTAGGTACACATCGTGAACTAAGTTTACGAACTTTGTCGCGACAAGCGGATGATGATTTAAACTGATGCAAAAATGCAACGCCAGTGCGAAAGTTGTTTCCTAATTCTCGGCCTTTCTTTAATAATGATTCAACCTAAACTCTGCGGCCTGATATGAGAGATTACTTATATTCACGTGAGCTGTTCATTCACTTATGCACTAGTCAGTGCGGGTTCCGTATATTCCTGTTCTGGAAATTACTGACGCAGCCGCTAAATTACCAAGACTTAAAAGTTACGGATGAAAGCTGATCTGGAAACGGATCAGTTCAAGATTAAAAGAGTGCACGAGGGGCTAAATCACGTGGACGATCTGGAAGGTGATTCGCGCTCTAGTCTCAGATTACGAGCCTGTGGGGGCGTGGACCAAGTACGAGCGAGCATTGAGCGCCATGATCTCTAGGATTTTGAGCCCTTCATAAGTGATAACCGGAGTGAAGTAGAAGAGTGAAAATGAGCAATACTGAACTGTAATATGCTGAGTCAGCGACTGTTCCTAGATTACAACGAGCTTTTGAGGACGTACTGAAAGTAGCCGCGATGCCTAGCTGTACTTAGGCCATCTTACGAGGGGTCAAGTTGCGATGGTCATGGAAGTGCGTCGGCAGGAAATCGTGCTTCGACTCGACTCCACTTCTCTTCAATCGGTACCCCTCGGCATCGCCATCTTACAGGAAACCTTGTTCTTCTCGTATGCTGCTTGTCCCATGGCCTTTGTTCGACCACTGTAGATCTGCAGGTAGTGAAATCCAGACTGGCGGTCGTGCCTGCTGAGGGAGCTGACCCGAATGATGAAGTTAATCCAGTCGACGAAGCTAATCCCGTCGATGAGGTAGATCCAAACGAGGAAGCACCTGAAGACGGCGAGATCGAAGACCCTGATGCACCAGAGGACGATGAAGAGGATTTGCCAGACGATGAGCAAGAAGATGAGGGCGAGGAAGGCGAGAAGATTCTAATTGGCGATCTTGTGGACGGAAGCAACACGCCCGAAGCTCAGAATATTGCCAATCTTCTACTCGATAACAAGAACACTAAAGAAGAGAACTTTGAAGTAGGGACAAGGCCTGGCCACGAGGGCCACACCGGTTGCGAAACATCCAGCGACCCGTGCTGCAGGTGGTAGTTCATCTCGCAGGAGTTGACTGAGGCATTCACCGAAGCCGATGGGCAATGCACGCGGCAATCTATTCGCATGGGTTTCCATGATGCCGGTACTTGGTCATCAAAACTGGCAGCAGCTGGGCAAGACTACGGTGGTGCTGATGGCAGCCTTGTCTTCTACGGCGAGCTCACCAGGCCGGAGAACTTTGGGCTCGAAAGTGCCGCTGGCTTCGCACAGCAGCTTTAGGACAAGTACAACGTCTCCATGGTGGATATCGTACAGTATATGGCCACTCATGCCACCGTTTCGTGCCCGCTAGGACCTCGCGTTCGTACGTATGTAGGCCGAAAGGACGCTACCAAAGCAGCTCCAGACGGCCTCCTGCCGAGTGTCCATGCACCTGCGGATGATCTGGTTGCGCTGTTCGCCGATAAAACTATATCTGCACACGACCTGACCGCACTTCTGGGCGATCATTCAACTTCCACTTGGAAGAGTGTCGATAGCTCTAAAGCTGGGTTCCCCCAAGATTCTACACCTGGCGTATGGGACGTGAATTACTACAACGAGACTTTCAAAGAGAACGAAAATGAATGCATCTACAAGTTTGAATAGGACGTCAAGCTTTCGAAGCATGCGGCCATTGCTTCAGAATAGCAAAAGTTTGTTGGAGACCAGCATCATTGGAACGAAGACTATGCTCAAGCTTATCTTCGCTTGTCCCTGCTTGGTGTGAGGAACATCAATGAGCTCAAAGAGTGCACTTTGACCTTGCCGGCCCAAAAGGGCACTGCCCAAGGATTCAGATGTCACCGCGAAATGCCCGAAGGCTTCATCCAGCTCTCTTATCACTTCTTCCACCACGGTTTCTTCGGATACATCAACCAGCATGTCACTTTCGACCACGAATGTACTGGAAACGAACACTACGAGCTCGGCACCAACCAGCTCTGTTAGCCTCTCACCGTCTACGTCGACGTCCCCCTCGATGCTCATCTCGGAAACAACATCAACACGTTCATCCAGTACATCAACATCTCGTATTACTTCATCAGTTACCCATCCTACCTCAACAAGCCATATATTCTACAACGCAGAGGGATAGTAGCTCAACCAGCAAGCCAATCTCAACCAAGAAATCTACTTCAACTACTAAGCCTACATCAACTCGGAGGTCTAGCTACACAGCGAGATCAACGATGAGACCTCCAAGCACCAGGTCGTCCTCGACAAGAAGATCTAGCTCCACCGCCAAGCTTACTTACACTCGGAAAACTAGCACCAGCAGTAGGCCTACAAGCACCAATCTACCCACCTCATCGCGTAGAATCTCCACACCTAAACCTTCCCCGAGCACAAAGCGGTACACCGCCCATGCAATGTCTAATTCCAAGAGGACAGCGAGCCCGAGCCAATCGACCAAGTTGCCAATAACTACATCGCGCAGCAGCACAGTGAATAGTAGGGCAACCTCCAGTGTGGAACAATTCACCACGTCTCCTATCCGTAGCTCGACAAAGACCTCATATCCCAGTCCATCCTTCCACCGCGTACCTTTTCGCACCGCTACACGCAAGGCGACTACAACTACGTCAACAACACGCGGCTCAACTTCCTCCGTCGTCTGCTTCACGCACATCGGCATGTAGCAACGTCACTGCATCCATCTCCGGGACGCAGACAACGTCGTTTAGTTGTCGCGCAAGTAGCGCTGTATCGTCGACGTATACACGTAGATATCAGGTTCTGTAAATACTCATGATTGTGTAAAAGTTTGATACATTCTTTTGTTCTTGTATATAATCTTTTTATACCATGCATATATCATATCGTAAATGAGTCAAAACTCATAGAAAAATGTTATCATTTCCATGGAGTATTAACTTTTCTTTGTAGACAAGACTTCACCTCTATTGATTGGCTCTGAAGTCCGGGCGATTTGGGAAGGGGCGGAGAAGAATCAGACTTTCAACAGCTAGTTCACAAAATCAATTTTCGCCTACGAGTTGACATCATGATCGACCAGGCCGAAGAACTTCACGACATCACACAATGAGCAGCTTGGAAGAAATTCAAATCTGAATTCGCACTACGTAGCTGTCCGCGTAGTGTCTGTCATGTCTGTCATCAAATCTCACATGACCGTCGTAGTACCATAGCCCTTGAAACAATCTTGCGCCGATAACACCATAGAGAGTCTTCCATGATCATTGTAGATCGGGTATCGAGATGCGAAAGTAAATGCCATCGAGTAAGTATGCGAGGCTGGGAAAGAAACAACGAAATCGTAACCCCTGGAGATAAAACCCATGCCAACAGTTGGGCTGCTGACTGTTATGGCACTCCGTTTAATTACATACCGAACAGGAACCTGAGCTCTTGGACGTTGAGGCGGGTGAGGCTCTTCGAGGCCTGTTCGTCGAGAGCAGCTCCGATGATCAAACGTTTCCTATCTTGCAAGGAGCATATGCGATCTTCAACGGTCTCAGGGACGAGGACGCGGTGTACGGTAACCTCGCGTGGCTGAGGCATGCGATGGGCGCGGTCTACTGCTTGATCCTCGATAAACGGGTTCCAAAAGGGATCGAGGATGATGACTTGAGATGCCTTCCAGAGATTGAGACCAGCATTGCCAGCCTTGAGAGAGACAAGCATGACGTTCTCGTTCGGGTCATCCATGAAGGCATTGACCGCATCGTCCCGCTCATCCATCTTCATGCTACCATCGTAGCGTTGATACCGAAATTTCTTCTGCGACAGAGGAACCTCGACTAGGTCGAGCAGGGAGGTGAACTGAGAGAAGATCAGGGTCTTCTCAGTCGGATCATTCTTCTGTATGTCGCCCAGGAGCTCGACCGTCTTCTGGATCTTCGCGGACATGACGAACGTCTTCTCGAGGCGACGGATATATCGCTTCTTGGCTGCCTTGTTTCGAAGAGATTCTTTCTTGAGCTGAGCAAGGGTTTTTGTCGGCTTGGCACGTCCCTTGCCCTTGGCTTTGCCCTTCTTATCCTTCTTCGACTTCTTGCCGGTTGCCTTTGCGCTAGGTTCTCCATGGGAACCGACTTCACTATCATTGGCCTCGACGAAATCATACTCTTCATCTTCTTCATCTTCGACGACGAAGCCAGCCAAATTGCCCCTGTCATCCACATCTTCGTCGTCGTCGTCGTCTTCAGAATCGGTGTCCGAATCAGACTCTAAGGAGTCGCCACCCAAGAGTTCTGGCTCTGGGCTAAGTTTCTCCGGGCAGTGCACCTTGCAGAAATGCTTGTAGTCGGTGATCAGCTTTGCTTTCAAGTCACCTCGACAATGAGGACATTTCGCAGTAGCGCCCTCCTCGTTGCCCTCTTGTATTAATCTCGCAGGGTCGATAAGTTTCTGAACGCACTCGCCACATATAGTATGGCCGCAGGGGACAATGATGGTTGGGTTGGGGTCGGCTTCCAAGCATATTGGACATTCGAAAGAATCGGAAGCCGCTTCCTTCAGCCTACCGATGACATCTTCTCGGAGTTCTTGAGCACGACCAAGGAGATCATCTTCAGCAATTCCCTCGGTGGCCGGCTGGCTGAGATCTTTGATGAGGTGGGGATGGCAGCAGGCTTGGCGCATCCTCAGCAGCATGACCAGGATATTAGCGTAGTTGGCTGTATTTAATTTGTTAGCAAGTACTTTTAAAGTCCCAGACGCGCTCAAGAAGATGCATTGCTCATATAGTCAACTTACCTGACATGGCGTTTCTGTCCAGATACTTGTTCATCTGTAATTGAGACTTCTCCTCTAAGGCCTTGTAGACAAGGTGCTCGTCATCACTGAACTCAACGTTGTCGAGCGTCGTGTGCTTAGCCGGAATAGTGCAGATTTCCTGACCATCTACGATCGAGGTCTTCTGTCGCCGCAACATGACAGATCTGAGTAGGATCTGTACACGATTCATCGCTTTTTTCTGAGTGACCGGATGTGTCTGCTTCACGGGCTACAGGGATCGGTCAGTAAATGCGAAGGCCTTGGGAGTCGCTTCTGTAGGTAGACTATCAGGAACACTCACCCTGCTGATATCTTGGCTGAATTTATGCCAGTCACTGTAGGGATGTATATGTAAGAAGCGGAGCATTGGGTATAGCTCATCCACAGTATTCATCATGGGTGTGCCTGTCATACAAAGGCGGTGTCGAGCCTGGATGTCAGCAGATGCTTTTGACTGGGTAGTCCTGCGGTTCTTGATGCCATGCGCCTCATCGATTATCACCCTATACCTATATTGGATTAGCAACTAAACAACATGTAGTCGACTAGAATCTTAGGGGTTTGACCTACCACATGCACTCGTGACCCAATATCGCCAGCTTGTCTTGCGGCTTGCGGCGGAAGTCAGGCTCCCGCGTCTCTCGCTCGTGAAGCATACTCTCCTTTCGCGTCTCCTTCTGCTTGAACTCCGAGGTGAGAGTACCAAAAGTGGTGAGGACAACGTCGAATTGACGAAGGCGGCTGAAGTCGGCCTTCTTGCCTTTGCCCCAGTACAAGTAGACGCTTAACGCATAGCGGGGGTGAATATGGCGCGCAATCTCCTTCTCCCATTGCCTCATCAAGGCCACGGGCGCGATTATCAGCGTTGTCCGGCAGAGTGGATCCGTTGAAGGGCGAGCACAGATGAGTGCAAGAGCTTGGACCTAGATGTTGTTAGTAGAGTGGCTTGGTGGGTCATGCGGCCCCTCGCGAAGCGGTCCGAATGCTAAATCAGAATCGCAAAGGTGGAAAGGAGAGTAAGAACTCTGCGAGGGCTAGAACATCGGATTTAACTCACCGTCTTGCCTAAGCCCATCTCATCGGCCAAGATGCCGCCCTTGGCGACGCTATTCTCCATCTTCAACAGCCAAGTGAGGCCAATTTTCTGATACTCTTTCAGAGTGGAGCACATGATCTTTGGTGTTGGCTCTCTATCCGCAGGACTCTCGCCGTGCTCCTTGATATTTTCAAAGAGCTTCTCGATCGCATCTGGATCCACCCCCGTCAAAGGAGATTCACCATAGTCGTCGGAGTCACTCTCGCCTGGACGTCCGGGCGGATATGGAATTCCTTGGAAAGGGATACCAGGAGCGATTGGGTAGTTGCCCGGCATTGGTTGCTGGTTGAAGGCATAGCCACCACCTGCTGGAGTCGGGGTAACTAGAAACTGGGCAAGTTCTGAATATTGCATGTAATCCTGGTGGAATGCATCTACTGGGCCCGGACGAGCATCATCCTGGTAGGCGTTGATCAATTCCGGGAATGGGTCTTGGAAAGGCGCATGGAGCGGCGCGTGGAAAGGCTCAGGGAAAGGTTCAGGACTAGGAGGGTCTGACTGCGTCAGGTCTATGATGGGCACAGAGTTGGAGAAGCGGCTGGGCAACGTCCATTGCTGAGGGTCGTCCGTTCCTGCGCCTTCGAAGAGAGAACTAGGTGTGCTAGGCGTGACTGGGCTCGGTTGGGCACTGAGCCGCTTCGCCTCAGGGTAGTCTGCTGGTCCAAGGCTACGCTTGCGGGTGGACGACGATTCGCCAGGTGTATGGGTAGCCAACTGATAACCGTACGGCGGCGGGGTGTGGACATTGTTTGTGCCTGATGGTCCTGCCCCACCTCGTTGTACTTCTGCAAGTTCCTGGTATAGGTCGGTTAGGATGGCCTCGTAGTATGGCTTGTCGGCGGGCTCGGAGGTTTGAAGCACCTCACTGATCATTTCGACTAGAGGTTGAGGGCACAATGTTAGTAGTTGTTGCATGTGTAGCTTGTACTCGAGCGTTACATACTGTTGTCCTCGATGGCGACGGCATCGCCGTGTTGGGAGGCCATGTTGACAAGCTCGATTGGCGTAGGCAATGCTCAGCCTGACCACTGCCGTTGCACTACACGGGACTCGATCGATCCGTTCAGCCCGTAGCCAGATGACCGAAGGCAATGGGTTGAGGCAGGTCGATGAGGTTTTGGTCGGCGGCGGAGGCGGCGGCGGCGGGCTAGCCCGGATCTTAAGGGTATCGGCAATCCTACAGCGCGGTGAAGTGAAGGGAGAGTTGCGATTGAATGTGAAGCATATACCAGACTGCCGTGGCTGCCCAGACTCGAAGGACGAGGGAAATGAGGCAGTTGCAGACTACTGGCGCAACGCGTCGCGCAGCCTTGTGCGCAGACTTCGCGAACAGGAGAAAGCAAGCGATAAACAGAGGAAACCCTGGAACAAAGAAGCGTCTAGACGGTACAAAAAGGGCACAAGGCGGCCTCCCGTCCGGGGGTCATGGAGCCGGTTGGTAGCCTCGCGGTGGGGTGTTGACGACGACGCGATGCTCTGGGGGTCCCGTTAGTATCGATAGGTTGCCGTGGTAGGCTGTGCCTGACATCATCTGTCCAATTAAATCTACTGGGTTGCGTGCAAACGCCGGACGGGGCCAAAGATGCGTCGCTGAGCTGCCGAGTTGCTCACGAGGCCGAAAGCTGCGTTGCTCAACATCTTGTTCCGGTGAAAGGAGCAAACAAGCTTGGCATGCAGGATGGCTCCATAAGGTTCAAGCTAGACGCGCGAGACACGCGAACTCGACTGATATTCACTTCTATAGTACAGTAGAAGTAATTTCCAATTGCGAATTACTTGATACAGTCCACACATATATCGACAGCCAGCTAGAGCCGTATAGCTTGATAGCGAGAGCAGTCTCACCCCCGCCCTGTTCGTCATGTGTGCAAGGAAGCACAAGACGCACCGAACCGCATTGTGATATGTGACGAACAGCGCCACCGAGAGGGAGATATCGCAGATGCAGACTGGAGACGAAGGGTACTCCTTGATGTGGTGGGTAGCTTTTCATAATCATCTAGCACTCAAACCAAGACATCACAAAGTCACGATAAAAAGAATCACAGCGAAACTTGATAGGGCAAGCTTACTACCCCATTGCTCACTGACACACGTCCACAACTAAGAATAGTCCCGAGGTGGAACAGACAACAGTATAGTGAAAAGTTCAACAGCAAGAAGCGACCGACAATTTGTCCATCAAAATGAATCGATTCCAAGTCGAGAGATGGATAGAGATAGAGAGGTAGAAAAAGGCGGCAGCAACAACGCATCCATAAGTACGCCCCCAGTTCCCCACACACCTTATCAGACACCCCCACCCCCCAAAACAAGGGGTAGAAACCACGAGACAACTCCCAACTATGCAAAAAAAAAAAGGGTTGGAAGGAAACAAAACGATATATGCGAGAAGAAGAAGACAATGAGATGGGAAATGACAAAACCCATCGCTCTCTCTCTCTCTCTCTCTCTCGCCCGCACAACCGACAGTCAGTAGTAGTGCCCATCTTGAACCAAAAAAGTTTGTTTCTCAACAATTGAAAACGCCCAGTCCAGCTCCCGTTCGTTACAGTCTTACACTTGCTCGTTTGGTGCAGAAATGACCTTACCGCACCAAAGAGGATTATCCATCCGCTACAATCCGGCTCAATTGTCAGGCTCGCGAAGCCGTCCGACCTAGGGCTATTCGAGCCTTCTCCTCTTCCTTGGCGAGTTTCAGCTGCTATGGCTCCGAAGCAGAAGCTGCTAATCGTCAGGAATCGCACTTACAAACTCGCGGACAAGGCACGTACTCTCTCTACACTGCTAGAATCCGTCTGGTCCACCGCTAGCAGCTTGGGGCTATCAGCCGCATTCCCTCTCTCTGTAAAGCCTCTTGCTTCAATCTGCGGGCGCTTCTTTGCTGGGCTGCCACCGGGGAGCTGGAGCTCGGGCAGGTGATCTATCGTGTGGCGGCTGTCGTGGTCATAGAGATTACCACCAAGTGTGGCGCAGCGAAGTATGGTTTGGATGAGTTGGTTTTGGCGAAGCGGTTTGGACAGGTAGTCCTGATCAAGTCAGTATGGCACGGGGGAGTTACTGAGTGGCAAAGACCTACGTCCATCTGCGCCGCGAGACACTTCTCGCGATCGCCCACCATGGCGTGCGCAGTGAGGGCAATGACTGGTGTCGACGAGACGCCATTCTCACGCTCCCACTCACGGATTTTCGCGGTAGCTTCAAAACCACCCTGTTGTCCCTGTTAGCAGCGCTTAGTTTACAAGCCACATGTTAACTTACCATGACAGGCATTTGCACATCCATCAGCACGCAGTCGTAGCGCTTCTTTTGGATGTGCTCGAATGCCTCAAGACCATTGTTAGCCACAGTAACCCGGTGATGGTACTTCTCTAATATCCTGACCGCAAGCTTCTGGTTCACGGCGTTGTCCTCGGCAAGGAGAATGTTGAACGACTTCGAGTGGTCAGAGACCAGGGGCGCCGCACGGCCATCAAGTGCAGGAATGAGCGCATTGCCTAGATCGATCGGGAGACATGGCGTGGTCATATAACTTGAAATGCCGTTCTCAAGAGCCGACCTCAGGCTAATTGCTACATGTGGGGTGAGCATGACAAGTGGAATATACTTGAACCGCTCTGCCACCCTGAGCTCGCGCGCCGTTTTTTCATTGTCAACGATTACGCAGTCGTATGGCATGTCAGTTCTCTTAGCTGTGTCAGGGACTTGTTCAACCGTATTGACAACCATCGGCACCAGGTCCAGAGTCTTCAAGTGGTCGATGATCTTATCCGAGAATTTGGTGTGGCCTTGGTCGACAAAAAGCACGGTGTGCTGTTTGTATGCCGCAAGCTGAGGCTGAATAGCAGCCAGCTCGGGGTGACCGAGACGAACTCTGCACGTAAAATAGAAGATGCTGCCCTTGCCAAAGTCTGATTCGACCCACATGCGACCGCCCATGAGGGTAACAAGACGCTTGGAGATGGACAATCCCAACCCAGTACCACCGAACTTCCTGGTAGTCGAGCCGTCAGCCTGCTGGAAGGTGTCGAAAATCAAGTTGAGCTTGTCACCACGGATACCGATGCCAGTATCTGAAACAGCGAACTGGAAGACGTATTGATCTGGACCACACTCCTGTTCTTGCGCCATGGATATGGCAACCTTGACCTCTCCAAGCTCCGTGAATTTGATCGCATTACCGACCAGGTTGAGAATAATCTGGCGCAGCCTGAACGAGTCACCAACGACGTAGTCTGGAACCTTGAAGGATACGTCGTAGGCGAGATTCAGTTTGCGCTCGTTGGCTCTTGAGGCTAATGATTTAAGTGCGTTGAAGATGGTGCCACGCATGGAAAATGGAATCTCTTCCATGACCATACGGTTGGCCTCGATTTTACTGATGTCGAGAATATCGTCGATGATTGTCAAAAGCTGACCAGCCAAGTTATGTACAATGGTCAACATCTCACGCTGCGCATGCGTGAGATCGGTATCGAGGGTGAGCTGCGTCATTCCAATAATACCGTTCATAGGCGTTCGAATTTCGTGCGACATGTTTGCCAGGAACTCCGACTTGGTCTTGTTGGCCAACTCGGCTGCCTCCCTGGCAGCCGTATTCCTCTGGATACTCTCTCGCAAACTGGACACCATCTGATTGATCTTCCTCTTCAGCTCGTCCATCTCGCCGGATGCTTCAACGGTGATCTGAGTGAACTTGCCCTCCATGGCAGCATTGGTGATGTCGCCGAAAGCGCGCACTTGCGATGTCAGATTCTGAGCCATGGTGTTGACATCGGTAGTGATTTCCTTCCAGCGTCCGTCGATGTCTCTGACATCAGCCTGGCCACCCATTTTTCCATCGACACCCACATCGCGAGCTACTCGCTTCACAGCGAGTGACCATTCGTCCAGCCTCATGACCATGTCGTTGATGGTGTCTTTGAGCAGCCGGATTTCTCCTTCAGCGTCTACGTGGACTCTTCTGCTCATGTCTCCCTTGGCGATAGCTTGAGTGACTTCCGAGATACTTCGCACTTGTAATGTGAGATTTTGGGCCATGGTGTTGACATTGTTGGTTAGATCCTTCCATTTGCCTTCAACGTTGTCGACTTGAGCTTGGCCTCCAAGGATTCCGTCCGTTCCGACCTCGCGCGCGACCTTGCTAACTTCTTGTGCGAACGTATTCAGACGGTCTACCATGGTGTTGATGGTTATCTTCAGAGACAGAATCTCACCCTGAACCTCTGCTTTGACTTTTCTGCTGAGATCTCCACGTGCGACAGCTGTCGTGACCTCCGCAATCTCGCGCACCTGCGTCGTCAAGTTCATGGCCATGCCGTTCACGTTCTCAGTGAGGTCTTTCCAGGTGCCCTCAACGCCGTGTACAGTAGCTTGTCCGCCGAGTCGTCCCTCCGATCCGACCTCTCTCGCAATCTTCGTTACTTCGTGAGCAAACTGCTGCAGTTGGTCCACCATGCGATTGATTGTATTCTTGAGCTCTAGAATCTCGCCTTTGCACTCGGCTTCGACCTTGCGGGTAAGGTTTCCTTGTGCGACAGCGGTTGTCACCTGGGCGATATCTCGCACTTGCGTAGTAAGGTTCTGTGCCATGGCGTTCACGTTGACTGTGAGCTCGTTCCACATGCCCTTGACACCGGCAATCTCAGCCTGTCCACCGAGCTTGCCTTCGGTACCGACATCTCTAGCCACCTTTGTAACTTCGGTTGCAAATGACTGCAACTGATCCACCATGGTATTGATTGTCTGTTGAAGCTGCAAGATTTCACCTCGGGCTGGACGTTCGATCTTTCGGCTCAGATCGCCATGGGCGACGGCAGTGGTAACAACAGCAATCTCTCGCACCTGCTCGGTAAGGTTCTTGGCCATGACATTGACGCTATCAGTTAATTCAGCCCAAATACCAGCGACGCCAGGAAGATTGGCTTGACCACCAAGTCTGCCTTCAGTGCCGACTTCTCTGGCTAGGAACGTGACTTGACTAGCAAACTCCTGCAGCTGGTCGACCATGGTGTTGATAGTGCGCTTGAATAGGGTGATTTCAGGGTCCATCTCCTTTGCATGGATCAGGACCTTTTTGCTGAGGTCACCCATAGCGACGGCTGTGACAATGGCGCCAATCTCTCGCAGGGCCTTTTGGAAAGCCAGGTTGGCTTGCTGATGCTTGCCCAGCTCACGCTTCAGGGCACCAATATCCTCGATTCCATGTTCAAAGACGATGTTCTGGTTAGTGAGCTGCTTGTTTACTTCGGCGGAGAGGTTGTCGATGTGTTCGCGTTGGTTCTTGATCTGGTCGGCTTGCTTGTTGAGATGATCGCGTAGATAGTTGAGCTGTTCTTCGGTGAGTGCGGCGGCAGGCTCCTCGGATTCGCCATTGGACTCCTTCGCAGCCAGCCAGTTGCTAACCCAGAGGGCTCTCTCCTTGTTGGAGCCGCGGCGAGCGTGGCTAAGAGGGCCGTTGCTGGCGCGGAAGGCGCCTGTGGGCGTGTAGACCAGACCATCTTCTTGCGGCTCGCCTGCCGGGGTCATGGGGAATGTGTTGTGGTTGACGACGGCATTGCTTTTGTGCTCGAGGAAATCTATCCTTGCGCAGAGCGCGGCTATCTCCTGTTCGAGGTGTGCCTTTTCCTCCGAGGCAGGCCCCGGCAGCTCGAGGGCAGCGTGCTTGGCGCCATTGGCGGCGATTTGTGCAGGGAACGAGGGCTCGTGGGAGGGATCGTGTTGTTTGGCGAGGTTTTTGATAATGTCCGCAAGGCCGGCATACGTCTCGGCGGACATCGCTGCGGGCGAGATGGGGTAGCTAGAGGCGTGCTAGATGCGCATTGGGGATTGGAAATGGACGGGCGCGGTCAGCCGCGGGGTATCGTATCGTAGAGGGTGTGATGAGAAAAAGGATTAGGGACGTGGGCGGCAGTCTGCGAAAAGAATCGCGAGATGGGCTCGGTGGTGTCCAAAGGGACGAGGGTCCCCGCGAGAGCAACGGGCGCGCCAGTCCAGGGTGTTGGCTGCTCCAAAGAGGGTTGGCGTGCTCCTGATGGCTGCTGGCACGAGGGAAGTTCAGGCGAGGTGAATACGGGCCACTCCGCGGAGGCGTTGCTCGAGAGGCTTCAAGGTGTGTGTCAACAAAGGCAAGAAGGCCGGGGCGATAGTGGCTGGAGCAGCGTGTGTATAATAGGCAAGACGCGAAGTTTTGTCGTGAAATGGTCCTGTTCACCCGGAAGAGATGGTCGACAGCCTTTCTTCCCTTTCCAAGCACCATGTCCAAGCCCAAAGCTGCCATCCACAGCTGTCAGTTTTTGGCGCTAGGCCGTAGTGAGCATCCCTAGTCCCCACCCGCGAATCTCGATCCGTCGTGCCAGAGAAACCGAGAAACCGCCATAGTGCAATGCTAGTCCAGTACGCCGTCACGGTCACGCCCTCACCAAGCAGCCAACAACGAAACGTCCCACTACCAACGACAAAGACACTGCTGTGCTCCCTTTGGGTGCCTCACTCCCGCAGAGGGTCAGAGGTGCATGGCATGGCGCTCACGATCATCGACGTCACATGGCCTCTGCGCACATATTCCCCAGCCAGACATTAAGATGAGTTGTGTGACATCAGTGCCCCCCCCAGGCTGCATCTCCACTCCATGAATCTCGGGAATCCTAGACAGCATGGCCGTTTTGGTAAACGACAGGCGCTGACGAATTGTACGTCGGCCAAAGGGCCCCCCTCCCTCCAGTGTCGTGCAAGCAGCGAATAGGGGTTAATTTGCCACAGCTGTGGTGGAGACTAGACACGAGAAACTCGGTCAAAGCCCTGAATCAGCAGTGATTGCCCCTCCGTCACTGCCGCGTCGCCCTCTTATTCTTCTTTAGCACCCACTTGATCGGGCGGGCATGGAATTTCCTCGTCCAAGTCAGTCTGGCAATGACTGGCCCTCTCCTGTTTGATCATCGCTGCCACAGCGCATCTAGTACTCCCTCACTATGTTTCAAAAAAAAAAAAACCACGTCGTGTATCCCGCCGAGCCTTCCCTCTTCTCTCGGCAGCTTCCAGGGCTGCACCTTTCCTCCTCACTGGCGCCCACCAAGTGGGGTGCTGCTGGCTCTCTGCCTCACCGGCACACTCCCGCAACACGCCTCCAACAAAGTTTGGATGCCAACCACCCTCTCGTCGTGCACATTCAGGGTCTTTGCATGCTAAATTAGCCTTGCTCAAGCGCTGATTCGGGTGGATCGCTTCCTGTAGCCGAAGCCGACCTCTCAACGGCTCCTTGGCACAGCCAAGCTACATCCTGCATGGGAATAACACGTTCAATATGCTTTTCGTACACAATTAAGAACCCCCCCGCGCTGTGTAGCCATGCACATCTATGCTTCTTCGCTACTACTGGCCAAGCATAGGAAGCCATCGCTTGCCTGCAAAGTCAAACCCAAGACCTGAACCCGCCCAAACGCCCCACTTGTGCTACACTTTATCGTCGCTCATCCTAAAGCATCCTCAAACACCCTGCAAATGTACTTAGCTCTATGAGACACCGCCAAATCGCTCCGTCGTCCGACCGCCCCGATAGCTGCGATAGAAGTCCGCCGTCGGATCGGTTCCGAGGCCGTTCCACCCGTTGGCCCCAACATGCTGGCTCTCCTTGTGAGCTCTGCTAATCTTCTCTTGCAACTGAGACGCCCCAGAGTCGATGAGCTGGAGCTGTGCGAGTTGCGTGTTGAGCACCCGCACCACCTTTGTCAGCTGTACCATTCGTTAGCAGCTATTAAACAACCTAACCACTCATCAAGACTCACCGGATCATCTGGCTTGCCAGTTTTGCTGAGCGTTTGCGATGTGCTGTTGATCTCTTCAATCATCTCCGTAAGATCCTTGTTCAACTCGTTCAGCCTATCCTGTAGCTTCTCCGCGAGTTTGTACCTGTGTTACCGTCAGTGGTCTGCTTCTGTACATTCTAGACCAAAAATCTACTCACGTCCTCTCCCTCTCCTGGTCTGGACCGCGAAGGCCATCAGACTTTCCGCTCACACCGTGCATCTTCATCAAGTTCTCGATCTCCTTCTCGTAACGATCCAGATAAGAATCGAGCTCTTGCTGGTTCTCCTCCATCATCGTCAGCTGCCTCTCAACCTCAGCCGCATCGCGCTCTGCTTGGAACGTCTTCGAGTATAGCTGTCGGACCTTGTCTGAATTTTCGACTAGGGCCCGGTCCCACTGTGCAACCGTCTCGGATTGTTGTTGAAATTCCTTTTGGTACTTTGATAAATCGGCCGCCCAACGTGTGATAATCTCGTCCATAGACTTGTTCTTCAGTCGTGACTGAGCCGATGGTGTGGGACCAGCAGTTGAACTGGCGAGTCCGCTCTTTCCCGCATCGCCTCCCGCAGTCCCTGTGGTGGCTCCAAGGCTAGGGGCAGGTTGAGATGTAGTAGTTGATGATGCTGGTGGCGCTGCATTCGATGCGGGCTTGGTGAACAGAGAGGAAGTCGTGGTGGAGCTGGCCGCAGCTCCAGCAGCGGGCGGGGCTGAACTTCCTCCCCCAAGAGGAGGGAAGAGCGATGTACCCGATGTAGTCGTCGTAGTGGCTCCACCGGCCGTTGCAGTGGTTGTAGCTCCGCCTGCCGCCGTCGTATTTGCAGGCGTATTTGCAGGAGGTTTCCCCCAGTTGAAAGTAGAACCACCGCCCGTAGAAGCACCTGTGCTTGACCCTGTACCCGCAAAAAGATTGCTGGATGGAGCCGCAGAAGATGCTGGAGCCGCCATGCTCCCACCTAAGCTGAAGGAGGGCGTCGCGCCTGCTGTGGGCTGTGAAGGCGGTTGTGCAGCGGGCGTGGCTCCAAGGCTAAATCCTCCGGAAGGTTTGCTTGCCGGTGTCGACGAGGGCGTCGTACTACCAAGACTGCCGAAAAGACCGGGTTTAGGGGTGTTTTGCGCGGCCTGTGTACCAGGTGTCGCTGCTTGGTTTCCACCACCAAAGAGCCCGCTGGTAGGTGTAGATGCAGTGGGTGCGCTATTGTTGGCATCAGACGAAGCACCAGTGTTCCCGAGGCCGAAGAGTCCCGACCCAGGCGTCGAGCTACCTAGAGGTTTCGCAGCCGAGGGTCCTGGTGTGACTGCTCCGAACATACCAGGCGTAGAAGAAGACGTTGTCGATGGCTTCGCGGTTCCAAACAACGATGGGCCCGTCTGTGCAGCTCCAGGTGCCGGGTTGTTCTGTTGGCCAAACAAAGAAGAGCCGGTTTGGGCACTTCCGCTCGCTTGCTTGTTTTGGCCGAATAAACTGTTCCCGGGAGGTGCGCCAGCTGGTGTAGTAGATGGTAGGAAAGACGTCTTACTCGCTGCGGGCGTCGCTGTCGGTGTTGAGCCTGTGATACTACGTTAGAAGACTGGTGGGTTGTGGAATGTACAGGGATGGTACGTACCAGCTGTTGTACCGAAACCGAAAGAGGGTGTAGAGGATGGTGCAGCGCCGCCGGGAGTAGCTCCAGCGCCGCCAAATGCATTTCCAGGTTTAGGTGTATCGCCGCTGGGCTTTCCAAACCCGCCGAGGCCGCCAAAGGCGGACGTTGACGACGCGCCTGGCGTAGCTTGGCCTCCGCCAAAGAGACCGCCGGGCTTGCTCGCAGGTGTGCTCGAAGCGCCGCCTCCAAAAACACTCGATGAACTTGTGGCTGTATTGCCGCTGCCAAACAGTCCACTGCCTCCACTGCCAGGTGTGCTTGAAGCTGTGTCCGTGTTGCCGAAGAGTGACGATGTTGCTCCGCTGGACGAGCCCGCTGTGCCAAACAAAGATTTGTTCGGGGTGCTGCTGCTGTTCTGCTGGCCGAAGGAGAATGGCGACGCCATATTGACGGTCGATCGTAGAGGACTCTATTGGAGGGCGGTTAGCTGTGATGTGCACTGCAAGTTGAGTGAGAAGCTGTTTACATGGGTAGAAAGGTATGCTGGGTGGCGCAATTGGCGTAGGAGAAGTCGCAGCAGCAGAGAGATGCAGTATTAGCGCAGATGAAAGGGTACGGTGGGCTTTGCGAGCAGCTTCACGTCTTTCACGGCGCGTCCACTGTCGCAGCTGCCAAAAGTTAGGCAAACAGCGGCATGGGCCAGACTAGCGTCGGTGAATTGTTGTTCCCAGCTGAGCTCCCAGATGCGGGCCATGATTGAGCTCCAGACCGCTGTCCCCGCTACTGCTGGAGCCGTGCGTGAAACTCCACGACGACACCCTTAGCACATAGTGAGGCGCAGCAGCTTTTGGGTGCTCGTCCTGCTCTTTCCTCTGTACTCTTTCTTTTGCTTTTGCTCCCATCTTCTCTTCATCGACACTCAATTCTCTGCTCGCCAAAACACCACACGTCTCATCCCAAGGGCCCCGTCCGAGTAAAAGTGGAAGCATCACTTCTCAGTCTCAGCATGACGCACGACCTGGCACCGCCCCGCAAGAGTGTCGAGTTGGAGGACCCTGGTGCGAAGGAACTAGGTACGAAGGCTCTATTCTAGGCTGAGCCTATGAGGCCGCGTCTAATCGTCATATAGTAGAGTCGAGCGACGAGCACTTTTCTGATGCTTCCGAGGGCCGGCCTGGCAGATCAGATGCCACCTCACCAATCCCAATCACGCGAGTCGAGCGGGTAGATGACGAGCCAGCCCATGGCGAGGTCCCAGGAACGGACGCGTACAAGATGAGGACCCAAGACGCAGTGCCCGACGAGGTGGAAATCGTGCCGGATGGCACACGCAGTCGCAGCACCTCACGGGTAAGCATAAACGATCGACCTTTGACACCTGGAGGAACGCCAGTCCCGAAGACGGTCGTTGAAAAGGTCGACCCCGACCAGCCCAGCTACGGCGATGTCCCAGGCACACATGCGCACCACCTACGCCTCGCAGACGCTGAGCCGGATGTCATCGTCAAGGCACCTGAGCCTGCGCAGCGCAAAGGTACGTAGGGCATTCTCTTGGTGCCTCCTGCGTACCATTGACGGAAGAAGGGTCGCCAACTGCCTCGCTTGATAGGTATCCAGTAAGCACCAACGACGACGCAACCGAGTCTGCCTTGGATGCCGACTTGTCCGACCAGCCTGACGATGCTCACAACGACGAGGACGCGGGTGACGATGGGTTTGGCGATTTCGACGAGTTCGAAGAGGGCGGTGAGGGAGATGATTTCGGGGATTTTGACGATGGGTTTCAGCAAGGCGAGGAAGAGGCAGAGACGTCATTTGATAAACCCCCCGATCAACCTCCTGTACCTGCTCCTTCTATAGGTCCTGTAAGTCATGATTATCTAGCCCAAGCCCAGTGTTGCATTCGGCATGACAATTGCAGTGACATGATGACTGACTTTGGCTTTGCACAGCCTGTCCTTGATTTCGAACACCTCACATCGCTTGAAGACATCGTCGCAGCAACGCAGCCCTACATTGATGAGATCTACCCCTCGCCACAAGACATACCTATCATATCAACAAACCCTGAAGAAACTCGCTCCATATTCCTCTCTGAGCGGAGCCACTCATTATGGACACAATTAGTAGCACCACCACCACTCCAACCTCCCGACTGGGTCCGCTCCCGTATACGACGACTCTTTCTAGTCTCGCTTGGCGTCCCCGTCGACCTCGATGAAATCCTCCCCGCGTCGAAACAAAAGAAACTCATCTTGCCATCCATTCACATCCCCGGCTCAGAAACGCCGCGTCCGTCAGCAGATGGCCGCAACGGCGCGCTCGGGCGCGTCAAGCGGGATGAAAACGCCTCATCCACATCCGTCGACTCGTCTTCATCAAAACCCGACAGGAAACGAAAAGGGCCTCCGCCACCGCCCGAGCTAGATATCAGTTCAACGACGATGCTGTGCGCGACGACCGAGGCGGCGCTGAGCAATTTCACAATAGAAGAGTTAGAAACGCATGTCGAGCGGCTCAAGAGCTTACACGAGAGGGCGAACGAGGTGTTTGCGTATTGGCAGAAGAGATTGGAGAGTGCGCTGGGGGACAAGGATGCGTTTGAACAGGTCATTGAAAGTCTGGTTGCACATGCTAAGAAGCTGAGGTGATATGGCCCTTCTCACTATGTTGAGTAGAGTTATTAGATGGGTGTGAAATAATACCAGTTTTCGTCTAACAACTAAACTTGTATATCTGCTGCGTCACACTTTTGTGATTTCATGGTTAAAAATGTGCTTGCAACTTGGGTCAGCTTGACTGTACTTGCCGAGGCAACTAGGACTGCAGCTGCAGCGCAGGATCCGAAGAATTCCGGCATTTTGCGAGGAACGGGATCTTGTAGTGGGCTTTGGTATTTCAAGATTGCTCATTTGTGGATGTTGCTTCACTCTATGACTGCCTGCGATTCACGTGTGGGGGCTGTACCGGGTTAGGCAGAATTTGGGGAATAACAATCCGTCACAACAGGCGACGCATGTAGTCATTGGCGTTGAGAGAAGAGTTGGTAAATCAAGCCAGTCGCGCGCCAATATGCAGTAGATTCATAACATGCTATCTCCAAATCGAAGAGCCGTCAATCGAGTCTGTTTTGTGTACATTTTTCAAAGGCTAGAGACAAAACCCTTGGGTCAGCCTGCGCTGTCTATTCTACCATCGCACTGGGCATGCGCTTACTTTGATTCGCCCTGGCCGGAAGCCTCGCCCTGCTTGATGACATCATCACTATACGTCGTCAGTATTGTCTCTGGTGTAGTTGGAGTGTGCGAGGCAATTGGGAGGTGGGTACTGACATGTGCTTGTCGAGTTCCTCGAGGTGCTCCCTTTGCCGCTGGAGCTTCTGCTTGATCGCGAAAAGCCTGTGTGATCCGTCAGCATTCTAAACGCATTCAAGCTGCTTCCCCAATGGTATGCATGTACCAATGGAGATGCGTTTTGGCGGTAGAGTATGCACGTACTTGGCCTTCTCTTCCTGGCGGATGTAAAGCTCCTCGGCGGCGGACTCGCGCTTGGTGAAAGCATCACTGGGAGTTCAATTAGCCACCTCCAAAAAACTAGGCACTGTAATAATCCTAGGGAACTACTCACCCTCCAGCGGAGCCGGTGGGCCTCGACGAAGCGGAACCGGTAGCACCTGCAGTCATACGCAGAGTGGAGGTGGAGAAGTAGCGGGGAGCGGCGAAAGCGCGCGCGCTCTTGATGATCGATGTGCGAAGCATTGTAATGAGTTGTCGAGTGGATTGGTGGATGGAGGGGGTGGTTATATGGCGGGTTCAGATCACAAGGAAAGGTGGAGTGATGGCTTGTCGAAGCTGCTCGACGGTTGATTGGAGCTTGGACCTGCTGGCAGCGTCATGGCCCTCGGGTCGTCATGTGATGTGGGAGGAGACGATGCAACAAGTCGCAAAGGTCAGCGATCATTGCACCATCGAGTCTCTAGAGCTACAAAGCATGGGGTGACACGTAGTAGAAGTACTCGTGGACTAGATTGCTATGTGAAATGAGATGAATGACTTTGCTATTCAAGTCCTATTACCCAGGCTGGCACAACGCGCGCGTCCTTTGCTCTGGCCGTGAATCCAGAACGTCCAGGCAGGCTGGGCTGCTGTTTAACCAAAGCAAAGACATGATGACAGTACGCTCAAATTTCGGAAAAGAAGTGCAAAGATTATGCCCAACCAGTGCTATCGGTCAGTGTACATGTCGTGGTCATGGAAGGATTGTACTGCGGGGCGTGAGGCCTGAACGACAGAACAAACCCAACGGCCAAAGGTACCCAAGTACCGCTCCACAAGACTCAAATAAACAATATTGAGCTAGAGAAACTGGGCCGTCAAAGTGAGAAGTTGTGCCGCCGGGGCTGTTCTAGGCTGCGTGAAACCGCCCACGGACAGGCAGGCGTGATCGACACCGCTATTGCCAAGAATCGGCTTCTCCCTCCAAGTCCTCCCACTTGATAACTTGACCACACAAGCCACCCTCTGACTAGAGACCTCCACCTCAGTTTCTTCTACCAGCAACCACCGTCGCCTCCAACCGCCTGCCTTTCTGCACTGCTACTCTTCCTCGTCAAACTACCTCTCTCTTCGTAAGTACCCCACCGCCTTTCGTCATCCCCCCAGGCCCGCGAAACGGCCTGCAATTTGCGCCTTCGCCAGCCTCAATACACGCCTGCCAGTCCTATCAGCATAGCATGTCTATCGAGGCCGCTATCTCCGGAACCCCTCGCCCCTCGCGTCACTGATGTCGATTATGTGCGCGTTGCTTGGGCTGCGGTCGTGGAAGAGCCGCTCAAGCCGCCCCTCTCTACGCCTCCGCCGCCCGAATCAACGCACACGCACGCAATTGACGCAGCTTTGCGTGTCGCATGCCGGATCCTTCGCGATTGCCCACCAGCTAAACGCTCTCGACCACGAACCTGCACTTTTGTTCGCCCCCAACAGAGCGCACACAGTGGAGCTGGCTTGCTCAACAATTGCGATAACACGGCGATGGCACTTTCTGCGAGTTCGACCTCTGTACACTTTAGCTAACAGTATCTTGTATTACAGTTCACGTCACAATGGGTTACGAAGATTCCGTCTACCTGGCCAAGTTGGCCGAGCAGGCCGAACGCTATGAGGGTAAGTACATCTGTGAAGAGCTGCGAGCCAGCGGTCTAACCCACTTTGGCAGAGATGGTCGAGAACATGAAGGCTGTCGCCTCCGCAGACCAGGAGCTCTCCGTTGAGGAGCGAAATCTCCTGTCCGTGGCCTACAAGAACGTCATCGGTGCCCGTCGCGCTTCCTGGAGAATCGTCACCTCGATCGAGCAGAAGGAAGAGTCCAAGGGCAATGAGACTCAGGTCACTCTCATCAAGGAGTACCGCCAAAAGATCGAGGCCGAGCTTGCTAAGATCTGCGAGGACATCTTGGAGTGCCTGGACGGCCACTTGATTCCCTCTGCTGAGAGCGGCGAGTCCAAGGTTTTCTACCACAAGATGTAAGCAGTTCCGCTGCGAATTCGTCTCGAATCCTTTTTTAATTTGTTTGCGTCTCATAGGAAGGGCGACTACCACCGCTACCTCGCCGAGTTTGCCGTTGGCGACAAGCGCAAGACCTCCGCCGACAAGTCTCTCGAGGCTTACAAGGCCGCCACCGACGTCGCTGCCTCCAACCTTGCTCCCACTCACCCCATCCGCCTTGGTCTCGCCCTGAACTTCTCCGTTTTCTACTACGAGATCCTCAACTCACCCGACCAGGCTTGCCAGTTGGCCAAGCAGGCTTTCGATGATGCCATTGCCGGTACGTGAAATGGCAGGTGGCGGCATGCGCAGTGCTAACAGAAACGCAGAGCTCGACACCCTATCTGAGGAGAGCTACAAGGATTCTACCCTCATCATGCAGCTTCTCCGGGACAACTTGGTAAGTTCACTTCATTTGTATAGGAGACCTCCCTGACCCTGTTTCTAGACCCTCTGGACGTCTTCTGAGGCCGAGCCTTCCGCGGAGGCACCCGCTGCTGCGGAGCCTGCGACCGATGCGCCCAAGGCAGAGAGCACCGAGGCCCCTGCTGAGACCAAGGCATAAATTGACTGAACTCCAAATCGGGCAAAAATGACAAGGGCTAGGGTATGGTGCATCTTGGTGTAGGTTAATGATGTCTGGTTCATCGTTTTCTAATGGCATGGAGGGTGCTTTAGGGCCCCAAGGCCGTATGCTTCGTTAGACTCTCAATCTTCAACATGTCAGCATCTCAATCCCAACCCTATGCCCTCCTTTTTCCATATACGCATACCACTCGAGTCTTGTATGCCCGTGTTGTACGTTTCTAGAGGTTCACATCTTACGGGTCCATGATGTGTAGGACTCTGTCGTTTTCTCCATCATACACGTTGTGTCTTTGCTCAGCTCGCGCTAGTTCACAGGGGCATCTTGCTTTCCTACAGTCTCTCAAAAAAGATTTCGAATAAACTTTACATGTGCTAGGCTCGCAAGAGCTATACATTTGGCCACAATTGATGTTGAATACTACATTGACTCGTTTTACTTTTTCAAAGTCTCTTGTTGCCCTTTCTTCCATGCCCTCCTCGTCCTCCCCGAGTATGCCGTCTATCGGGCGACTATTCATTCGCCTGTCCTCTACAACTGCCATCCACTAAGCATTTTATACTAGCAGTAATGTTTAGGAGCTGGCCCAAGCATCTAAGTGGTCTTATCAAGGGGCGGCTCGATAACTTCAGTCCAGTGCGGTTGTAGGATAGTGGAAACGATCACCTATAAGCAGCAGAGTATGAAAATGAGCATGTCTTCAATCGCCAGTCGACGAGAAGAGAAATAATCTCGTATGAATGTAACGCCTTTCCTAGCTAGCTGGGACAAAAGACACCAGCTATCAATCCGGTCATCTCATGAACCCCGCCACCAACGATTGCTCGTTATATACAGCCATATACTCCGGTGCTGAGAATAATGCGTTGAGCTCGACGTTTGCAGTCCATACCTTCCATACCACGCTCAGCCACTGCCAAAAACTCTTCTTGTACAACTTCGTGCGGCAACTCGGACACCTTCCATCTCTGCAGTACTCCAGGCATCTTCTGTGGAAGAGGTGGCCACATCGTTTGATCTTGGTGGCTGGGGTGAGGATACTGTCGTCCGAGTTCGTCGGTGAGGGCGTGAACCTGGTGATAGAAGGGTCGTTTGAGTAGCGACGTAAGCAGATGGAGCAGATCTGCTCGGCGGTGACCTCGTCGGATGGGGTGGGGAGCTGTGTAAGACCTCTTTCGAAGAAAGTAGACCTGAACCAGTAGATGGGCCCGTGGAGCTGGAGTTGAGGTCTGGGTGCTTGCGAACTGAGTGGCTGCGTGAGAGGTGGTGCTTGGAAAAGCATCTGCCCTGTTGCCACTGCGGTGATGGGTTCGCTGGCTGTTATAGCAGAACCCTTGTGGGTTATCATGGACTCGCTCGCCATTGCGGGGGTTGAAAATATGCGCTAATGGATTGGTGATCCGTTGGGAAGAATGATTTGCTTTGAATAGTACGGTGGTTGATAGCATAAATAGGCGGATAGCGATGGGATGAGCAAACAACATGCCGTGATGAATCAACGCAGGGGATATGAATTGTTGAACCTAAATGGTTGAGCGAAAGGTCTGCAGCGTTCCTGCTCCGGTGAATATGAAAAGGTGGCAGTGGAAGCGACGAGCTATGGAAGGTAAGCATCACTTCGTCACATTCAGCATTTACTTACCATTGTCCCGTCTTTCAGGCCGAGAGCTTTTAACTCTACATTATCGGTACTATGTTTAGTTTATATGTTGACAGACATTTGAGTGAGAGCGTCCGCCGGACACTCTCGATCTCAAAAGGAAGGATGGGAATTATAGTGGAGATATTTGGCGAAGCCCACCCGGAGAAAGCTAAAAGAGGTGGGACTACTACTGCTAGAAGATACTGTAGAGCTTGGTTTGGTTGGAGTGCTGCGTCGGTGAGATGTTCCCTCTTCCTCGAGAGTCTCTCACTCACATCTCTAAATTACATCGCGCATATTGACAAGGTCAAGGTTAAACGGTTTCTATTACCTCTTTGAAGAAGCATTTATCGACGATGTCGCATACTTTACCTGTCTAGCTGGCCTCTCTCACCTGAGTGCTCTGCAGTTCGCGTTCTATCGACTAGTTTTAGCCGTCACCATCACTCTCACCCCTTTCGCGTAAGCAGCTTCATATGAGGTCTATATCTTCCGATCACACTCGAAAGAAACAAAATTAAGAACCTCGTTGACGACGATCGACTCGTACTTTACTCCACTTCCACGGCATGTAATGCAAATGACCACTCCAAAAAACTGTTAAATATTGATAGACTTGAGTATCTCTCAGGCCTGCTTTCAAGGAATACAAGAAGATGGGTGTGACTCAGTCCCGACTACAAAACACGCCACAGCAATATCCCGATATGTCCTCATCATCACCAACCTCCTCCTCAACTGTGCGACAATCCCCGATTATATCTGGCACGCAGTCGCTATTATCTCCTGTCTCTGAAATATCTCGCAATGGTAGATATGACAAAACTCACTTTCCATTCCTGGATCTGCCGCCTGAGATCAGAAATATGATCTACGAAGAGCTTGTGGTGGTAGGCAAGATCTTCTACGCGCCCGACTCCTACGACATCTCAAACAACCAGCGATTTCACGAATATAAGCTCTTCCGAAAGCCAGAGCTGCAGCTCTTCAGAGTCTGCAAGCAGGTCCATGAAGAAGCTGAGAACTTGTATCTTTCCAAAAATCTCTTTGTGCTTCCGATCGGATGGCAACAGTGCCACCCCTTTATCGAGCTCGGTGACTCGTTGCGAAATAAACCTATTACCGAGCGTCATGTGTTCTCATCTGCTGGTCTGGCGTATATCAGGAACGTGAGTGTCGCCGTCGATCAGCAATTGGTACCGCTGTGCGCTTATACACACAACGACTGGAAACGCGATGATCAAACTTACAGTTATACTCTATTTTCGCAAAAGACAGCCCAAGAGAGATATGAGTGGGTCCACGAAGTGCATCTGAACACGTGCTTCAGCAGCTGGGACGTAATGCTCCAAGATCTGGAAACATTTGAAGCCGGCCTTTTCTATGTCGAGGTGGATTGCACGAATGCATTCTGTGCAATTGGCGATTGTAGGCCAATCAACAGGTCAGTGACAGATTGGATTCCCAATGTCAAGCCAAAGAATATCGACGTCCTCGGGCTCCAGTCAATGGAGGAGAAACAGGATATCCTACACGCGGCTAAGCAGAGTGGGGTCAGTCATCGAGAGCTCCGTTACGACTACGGACTGCGTTTCCGGAAATGTGGGGATAGCAAAGTGTGGGACAAGTGGAGGATGTAAGGAGAGATCGAGGTTGAAAGCGAAGATAGTATAGGGAGATAGTAAGCTCCCGCACGCTTTATTTCTCAAGACTGGTTTGATAACGGACTGACCAGATGTAGATTGGCGTTAATGACGAGCGGTGAGGTTAATTGGTGCTTCACGAGGCCGTTCTATCATGTATAAGCGACTCAAATGCTCTTCCGAATACGGCATTGCTTCATTTCCTGGCATATTGGAGGAGGCGCTTATTGCCACATTTGCCTTTGGAATTTTAACTTGGTAATCAAACATTGAAAGCTCTTATATTTATTGTACACGACCTTGCCTATTCTAAGCATGCCATAACCTTGTTATAGCCTCGGTGATACCGACATCGTTCGTCTCAAAAGAGTACAGCGCCAGACCGAGGGCGACGGTTCCAGCCCGGAGAGCCCACAACGATGCCTTGTGGACGCGGGGGACACGCTTCTTGGGGAAGTAATCGATGATACATGCTCTGCGCAATATTAGCCTCTGCTATTCTCCATGTGTTTGAGATGTCGTCAAGATGCTCGACGTGACCATAGTGCGTCTGAGATACTTACTCAAAGCCAATGTGTGAGTGTATGATGAGCAGAGCGCAGAGAATGGAATCGGTGACGGGGTTCAGCGATCCAGCGGCGAAAGGCGCAATGGTCACGGGAATGAGGCCGGCTGCGACGATCCTGCTCGACATATTAGTTGTACTGCTCACTTCAATCATTCTCCGACACCCTCTCGTTTCCCCCCTCGAGCGACGAGGGGCCTTTGCTACACACCTCTCAAAAGTCCAGTGATAGTTTCCATGTGAGGGTGATGGGTTAGGCACGGGAACTGGGTCGTTCGCCGTCCCGACGATGGTCTGGGGCAGCGGCGGCAGGATCTGGTTGCGCTGGGTGGCATGGAAGGCAGCAATTCGCGTGGACTTGGGGATTGCTGAGCGCGCAAAGGCTGGGCGAAGCTGCTGGGCGATCGGTCGGTTGATTGCGGAGCCGGCCATGGTCGACAGCATGCGCTGCGAGGCGGCGGGCGTCTGGCAGGCTTGCCTGAGGAGCCCGGGGCGCATGATGGAGGCCATTGCAGCGGTGTGGACGTGCAATTGGAGAGCGGAGAGGCGACGGACGAGGCGTGAAGATGTTCGAAGGCCGGGACGTCAAGATGTCGACGATGATACCTCGGATCAGCGGTGCTGACGTTCCTACGGTGCTCATTGGCCAGCGGTCGGAGCCGGGAAGTCCCGTGACAGCAGATTTCGAACCTCATCGACCTCACTGGGGCCAAGCTGCAGCTGTACGCAACTCATCCCAACCCCATCACCGCCCCATTCCCCCATCTCCTCTGTACCGCGAGTTGACGCAATGGCTTCCCGGCGGCTCGCACTCAACCTGCAGCAGAGCATGCGCTCTCGCGCCGCCATCAACGCGATCAAGTCGTCCAAGGCCTCGCCCTTGACCAGAGGCCTCGCGACGCCCGTCGCCTACGGCTCCAAGACCGAGTCGACGACACTCAACAATGGCTTCACGGTAGGCCCAATGTCCTAGGCGCTAGGAGGATTGCAATTGACCCGTCTGCGTAGATCGCTACCGAGCACTCCCCGTGGGCTCAGACGTCGACCGTCGGTGTTTGGATCGATGCTGGCAGCCGCGCAGAGACGGATAAGACGAACGGAACCGCACACTTCCTGGAGCATCTTGCCTTCAAGGTACGCACACCCCACAATGGCAGCCATGGGAGATGTGAAGGCTAATGCACGGCAATAGGGAACCCAGAAGCGCACACAGCAGCAACTGGAACTCGAGATAGAAAACATGGGCGGCCACCTCAACGCCTACACCTCGGTACGTGTAGTTGCTGGATTATGTATTTGCCAACAACACCTATTGATGACATAACAGCGCGAAAACACCGTCTACTACGCCAAGGCCTTCAACAACGATGTCCCCGCCGCTGTCGATATCCTCTCCGACATTCTCCAGAACTCGAAGCTCGAGCCCCAGGCCATCGAGCGTGAGCGTGATGTCATCCTCCGCGAACAGGAGGAGGTCGACAAGCAGCTCGAGGAGGTCGTATTTGACCACTTACACGCCACCGCTTTCCAAGGCCAGCCGCTCGGTCGCACCATCCTCGGACCCAAGGAGAACATCCAGAGCATCCAGCGCTCCGACCTCGAAAACTACATCAAGACCAACTACACCGCTGACCGCATGGTCCTCGTTGGCGCTGGTGGCATTCCCCACGCGCAGCTCGTAGATCTCGCCGAGAAGCACTTCGCCAGCCTGCCTGCCGAGCCCCAGGACTACACCTCCAAGTCCATCGCCGCTGAGCAGAAGCAGAAGCCCGACTTCATCGGCTCCGAGGTCCGCCTTCGGGACGACACCATGGGTACCGCCAACATTGCCATTGCTGTAGAGGGTGTCAGCTGGAGCGACCCTGACTACTTTACCGCGCTGGTTACACAGGCTATTGTCGGCAACTGGGACCGCGCCATGGGCAACTCTGCCTATCTTGGTAGCAAGCTCAGCAACTTCATCTCGCAGAACAACTTGGCCAACAGCTTCATGAGCTTTTCCACCAGCTACTCGGACACTGGGTAAGTTTATCCTCACAGGACTACAAGGTTTCCGAACGCTAACACCGCCAGTCTTTGGGGTATCTACCTCACCAGCTCCAACGTCACCTCGCTCGACGACCTCGTTCATTTCACTCTCCGCGAATGGTCTCGTCTTTCCATGAACGTCACCTCCGCCGAAGTCGAGCGCGCCAAGGCCCAACTCAAGGCCTCCATCCTGCTTGCTCTTGACGGCACCACCGCCGTTGCGGAGGACATAGGCCGACAGATTGTTACCACCGGCCGCAGGTTATCACCCGAGGAGGTTGAGCGTGTGGTTGGCCGTATCACAGAGAAGGACGTCATGGAGTTCGCGAGAAACAAGCTTTGGGACAAGGATGTAGCTATTTCAGCCGTTGGCCAGATTGAGGGCCTGTTGGATTACAACCGTATCAGGGGTGATATGAGCAGGATGCTTTCATAAGCAGCGTGGACTGTTTTTAGGAGATGCAGCATGTAGGCGATTTGAGCATTTGCCGACGGCGACTGTATTTTGTGTACATTTAGCTGAACTGATCAAGAAAGATTCCCATTTTGCTCCTCTGTTCGAATGGGTTTGTGTACATATGCGAGCGGAATAGAGGGATTGAAACTAGAACAGGTTGGCCGTAACGAACTAGGAAGCCGTCCTAAGCAGTGAGTGACTCGCCAGAATAGCCCCTTAGGTCGAATATCTGATTCTTGCGTCCCTTGTACCAATACACCGGGACACTCCAGCTAGATGATCGCCAGCAGTGGGCAGTATTTCATCATCAACAAGAATCAATACAATATAACTCTTACCGAAGAGAAGATTGGGAGTATGAGATGAGATGAGATGAGAGTTTCGTTGATGCTAAGAACAATCTCTTTGGAGTAAGAAGATATGTGTAATGCAATGCAGGGCAATGTGATACGATGTGAATGGAACGAGTCCTAAAGCGCGATATGCCATCTAGGAAGAAGGTGGGAAAGATGAATTGATGTGTTTACTTGGAATGAGGATCGAGGAGTGAAGGTTTTGAGGAGGGGGAAGGTGATACGCATGATACCCGTTGAAAGAGGATTTTGTATACATAGGTATAGGCACATACCCAAGTCTAACTTGTTACACGTGCGCAGCAGTCATTCAAACCTCAATCTCATACTCCGCAGAGAAACCGCCTTGAGAAAAATGGCAGTATCATATCGAATGGTTAGGGTGGAAGACGCCACATGGGAACCAGTTGACCACCTCGATCATTGCGAAGAGCTGCTTGGGGAATATCTTGAAAACCATCGGCACTTGTGTATAGTGGGATGGACGGAAAGTGCTAGGATAGACGCGCTGGTAAGATAAGGCGACTTGTGGAGTCTGGGTGTACTGTTACGTGGACACGCACACCCCTTATCCAGCAAAGCTCGCTCTTCGTTCCCAGCGTCTAAGCAACGCGTGTTGGTGGTCCTTTCAAAGCGGAAAACGCATGAATAATAGTACAGTGACTGTGTATCAGAAACCGGATAAGAGCACTGTCTCAGGCTTTTGAGTCTGATTATGATTCTGTTGCTGCGGATTTGGCGGGATCTTAGGATCTGATGGCGGATAGATGGGTGAGTGGGCCACTTATGTATACTAGGGGGGTGTGGATGTGTGTGGTTCCAGGGTCAAGATATTGCGTGAGAGACTAACCAGGGAAGAAAACGCCTAGTTCAAAATTTTGCTGCGCGTGATAAGTAAGATAATCCATCAAGTTTGATAAGCACACTGTGGCCCCCCTCAGGGATAACATACTTACTACTAGTCTTTAGCATAGTCCATTTTCCACACACCCATCCGCTGCGAGCAAACGGCTCTAATGCACCATGTGGGTCGCGAAAACCAGGCGGGATCAACAGGATAAGACTTCCTTGCACATCAAGAATTGCAGATACGAGTATTTGCCGCATTCGCGCATAGCGCTCGTTTGGAGAAACGTACATACAGGTACATTAGGTTCAACCACGTGCCGCTAGCGAGTCGTGTTAGGGAGATCTTATTCTCCTTTCCTTCCTTCCCTCGTTCCCCGAAAAAAGCAATGCAGAACCAATGCAGAAAAGTGAGCACAACACAGCAGTGCAGTGCAGCAGAGTACAACACATCGATTTCGAGAATGTATAGCACACGTGGTCCAACAAGAGCGCTATCGGTCAATATCGGCTGGCTCCATGGCATGTGAGCAATAGATAAAAGAGGAGATGCATGAGCGAGGAAGGCAAGTAAGTGGGATTAAAGAGGGGGAGTCAACGTGCGGCAGTGGCGCTTGTCACTAGATAATGGGGTGGGGTTGGGCAGGTTCATGTCCAAGGTGGGTCGTTTCGTGCTGGGTTCGTAGTTTGCACGCGCCCTCGTGGTAAATATCGGTTACTGTTATTGTGGACTCTGAGGTTGCGGTGACCTTCAGAGTTGGCAGTTAGTGCCATTTTTCAGCCTACATGTGTGTGGGCTAATGTAAGGTAGGGCGGGCAGGGCGAAGCGCTCACCGCATCGGGAATGTAAGGGATTGTGATACGCAGGGCGCCTGCCTGAGTGAGTCAAATCCGAGATGCGTTTGATTGACCTTGTAGATGATTAACCGGTGTACACGACTAATGGTAGTCGGTGTCGCTTGCGTGAATCTTGGTAGTCTAATCAATGTCACGTTCGTTGCAAGTTCAAGTCCTGAATTTGCACAGTGTTCATTGTAGCTTTCGTATTAGCTTCAGGATATACCTATCTACTAATCGCGTTTTTATAAAGCTCAATGAAGCTGTCGGATAGGCTAAAGTACAGCTTTATGCTTCAAATACCAAATGTGCCTCCCGTGACTCGTCGGCAGAGCGAGTAAATTGCATATCGCAGAGAAACGTGCCGAAAAAAGGAACTCCAGAGACGCCGCAGCAGCCGTGCAACACGAAGAATGTGGAAACAAGAAGCAAATGTTGATGGTCGCAATATGCGGTGGTATAATCGCGGACTTGGTGCGCAATAAACGCAGGCTGGACTGGACCCGAGCACAGGCGTTTTGCCGAATAGAAGTTAGGTGTGGTGTCGAAATATGGTAAAACAGAAGCGGTAATGCTGAATCGAAGGGGAATGATGAACGCCAGTTGCCCAGCCCCGTGCCCTATGCAACGCTCGTAAACGCGATCAATGGTGGTGTATGTTTTATGCTGAGAGGGAATCGCTCTCGGTCAATAGTTGAGGCAGTAGATGATCATGATGGCTTCGTAATGTGGGTTCGTTAGGCGGGTAGCCTCGATGACGCGACGAGGATTAGGCGGTATGCCAACATGATGTGCTCCTCTGGCCAAGGCATCTCCGTGGATGGGTGACCTAGGCGGTGGGAGCGCGGATTGTTATTTGATAGCGCGCCCTTTGCCTTTGACTTTGGAGCCTTTGCCAGCGCCGGTGGATGTGAGTTTACTCGTTTGCATGAGCTCGCCGATATACCTACGTCTCGTTAGGCACATGCCGTGTAACTCATAGTGGGGGGATACTTACGATTGGAGAAATTTGTTTCCGCCTTCAAGCTTCTCGTGTTCGTTCTTGACCACTTCTACGCGGTCGACAATTTCCATGAGGCTGGCTTGTAGAGCTTTGGCTTGCCTGGTGAAGTAGTTAGTCACATGCACCGATGGTTTGGCTGGGGATGAGCGACGAGACAACGAGGTGCCAGCAGTCTCTGAAAAGTCGAGATCCGAAACAACACACAGCAACATGATCGAGTGAATCTTGTTACTGAGTGTTGTCCGTGACGATGCGATCTGCGCTCAGCCCCATAAATAAAGAATAACTCACTCTATCAGAGCTTGACGGGCGTCCTGGCCCATCTTCTCTATCTCTTCACTGCTCCGTCGAGGACTCATGGTCCTCGCGTCGCCATCATCATACTCCTCCTCTTTGAGCTCGACGTTGGGGCTATCGCGCGGTATTATGATGGTGCCGCTCGACTTTCTGCTCCCAAGACGAGGTCTTTGCAGCGTAGGGTCACCTTTCAGCTGGTCCTGGTCGCTGATAGACGAACTCGATGAGGTCGTGGACATGTCGTCTGCGTACGAGGGACGGCGGTCGTCGTGTTCAGCGATGGTCGGATACGGAGTGATGATGACCTGGGGTTGCTCCGACATCTCAAGAAGGCAGCAGAGGTGCGGCTCTGTGTATTAGAGGGTTGAGGAGTCAAAGTGTGCAGGGTTTCGGCAGAGACGGCCGTTAGATCAAAGGGTGGGTTGTCGCCAAGTGGGTATGATGTCGAGGGATGCCAGGTAAAGCGGGCCCTTGTAAAAGCTAACCAGATTGATGTGAAAAGGGTCCACGGGGTCCACGTAGTAGAAATTCGGTTCCTGCGTTCGTGCTGGTGCCGCGGGATCTGGGAGGAATGTAGAAAGAGGTTGGAATGCGACGAGGGCGGACTAGTCAACCCGAAAAAACCGCGTGGTGGCTGCAGACTACCGAAGCTAGGTCCACAGCAATGGAGACGTTCGATGGCTGCATATGGCGGTGTCGACGAGAGAAGAGTACGAAGCTATTTGGCGTGTCAGCGGACATGGACTGCAACCACTACCTCTTCTGCTACTGATGCTGATCGACAGCGCACTCACCACTGGCTGGACGGCGATTTAATTTAGCGTGAGGCTGGTTGTTGCGCAAACGCTGGCCACACAGACTGGAGGCGACGACGACGGCAATGACAATGACACGGTTGGAGGCGGGCACAGCTTTGTTCACCTGGTGTCTCCATTATGCCACGCCTCCATCCCCAGCTCCCTCCCATGAGGAGGCTGAGGGAGCATGACGTCGCGAGTCCCTATGCTCCACTGAAAACGATGCAGGATCGTCCAGCCCTAGTTGCACCAAAACGTCACCACCAACCGTATATCCGGTGTGCCGCTCAGCCTTGGTACCAATCAAATATGGCAAACCCGTCCCAAGAAAAGGCTGCCAATCTTGCCCCTGCCTGAGGAGCTGCGGATGCTCGACACACAGCGCCAGCAAGCAACCGACCGCTCTACAGTCTACAGGCGCCCCTACACAATCCTCTGTACAAGCTGCAGCGATAGACCGATGCCACGACGGCACACAGCCAAACACCGCAAACCGCTCCACGGGTTCCATCGGCGACTTCATCGCCATACTGGCAAGCTTTACCCGGTTGACCGTTAATAGACGACGGATCGCTGCACACCTTGCCCGTCTCACGACGGCCCTGCGTGTTGATCCCTCGTTGCCTTCTCTGTTTCGTCAAAGGCTATGCTGTAGCTATATATGATCGCCAATAAATACCTGGGACCCTGCAGCGCCTCACACACTGCTATGCTGGAGTCTCGCTGCACCATTCCTTTATCGTTGTCCTGACCGTCACGTCAGACTGTGCTCCCCTTACCGCTCTCCTAGCAGACCTGCCAATGTCTTCGTCTACTGTGCAGCCGTTGGAAGCTGATCTTCAGTGCTATTACAGGCATGCGCGCACTAATCCAGCGCTCATGCGATGGATTGGATGCCCAATGACGGGGATTTTGTTTGATCATCATCCTCTCCTACCGTGCAGCGTCCCACCATTCGACAAGCGCCGTGCCAAGCGAGAAAGTCCGTGAATGACGAACCGAGTCATTGATCTCTAAAAGGAATATATCCCGGCGTCAAATGTCGCAACCCACGCCAATCCGTTGGCCTCGTTTGTTGGGGAGGCGGCGATCGCTAGGGGAAGTGACGTGCTATTACTCCGTCGCAGTAGGTAGTTTCTGTTGCCTGCTCCATTTTCACCGGCGCGACCCGCTCCGTTGCTGTTTGCTCTCACACTCATGAGTTACTTGGAGAGGGATTCGAATGCATGCAGACAACTCATCCCTTCTCTGCCTACAAAGAATCTCCACAACATCTGATAGTAATCTACACTTCACGGAGATTTATATCACCTCTTGGCATTATATTGTATATTATGTCAGGTACGGCGGCTCTAAGGTTGCTTGGACCAAAAGTCGGACCGCATTACGGCATTATTTGCCAGTCACTTGACGGTTGCACCAGTGACCCAGCTTCTTCAGACTTAACCTGATACCTAAGCATTTATCCCGATTGTCAACGCGGGGTAAATCCTGGAAGCAGCGGTAGCGGGCCTCCTACGTACAACTGGGTGCGCGTTGCGTGGGATCTTGGATTGACCACTAGTAGATTGAGACACGTATGTTAACACCAGTGTATCATACTCGCGCTCCTGTGGGTTCCCGAGATCCCCGTCTATGGATTCGCCTATTGAGTTCAAGTTTATTCACAAACTTGGCGGTATAATTACTTATTCTTGTCAGGGCCCTGCATCTTGAAACCTACTATGAAGCGGTGAGTTGAGATCGTCAAGCCTCCATGTGAGCAACCTTATTTCCTTGCTATTTGGGATCCAACAAGCAATTACCAGAACGGGTCTAATCGGTCCGCTACATTGACTCGCTGACGGCTACATGGTTTCCATTCCACCCTAGATCGACAGGTTCGAACTAAGGCGGCAGATACCGCACATCCACCGAGAAAATAGTGGTACACCAGGAGAAACTCAGTCCCTTTTCCCCATCAAGTCACAACCACCGAAAGAGTAATTGGTCTAATCCTTTCCCAGTGATCTACTGTACGTGCTTTTCAGCAACGAAGCAACAAAGAAGTCCCACGCCAAGATGCTCACGTCATCCTTTGGCGCTTTACATTTATTAACTAATGTTCGTGTGGAATTCCAAGCTAAACTCCGCTATCGCTTCGGTTGGACATCGGCCCGACATCTCATTCTGTTACACGCGGCTTTACTTCGATACGCCTCTTCCATATCACTTTACCAACACTCTGGAGTATTGAAATTTCACCGAGATACCCATGTGGCGTTTGGAACGGAATTGCGTAATTAATTCCCCGCTGAAGGGTGGGCGGCTCCGGGAGCAGAAGCACGGTACCTAACGGTGAGATCTGTTGGAGTGACGCATCGTTGTTGATGCTCAAAGATTGACATGGTAGAAGTAGAGGACAGTTCTTCAGAGTTCGTCTCCAGAATCTAATGATCTTACGTCTACACTGTGTTCACATTTCAAGGTAATCTTGCTGTGGACTATTAACAAATAATGATCAATGCATCAATGACAGTATAACACAGCTTCACGCAATAAATCCGTATGAGCGGTCCGTAAGTGTAGATTCACTTGCTACGAGTTCCAGTCGAGTGTGGCTGGGCCATACTTGGCGTGCGTCACCACCAGCCTAGCGCGTGGCGCAACCTGGAACTTTTCCCAAACATTCGAATATCCAGATGGCCCTAGAGCAACGTGGTACAACTGTCGCGTCGTTGGCGTTCGTTACATTATTCGCGTATCCAAGAATCCCTTGGCCTTGCGTTGTCTTAGTGCTAGACCTGCATTGAGCTCGTAATCACACAAGCCATGCACGGGATACTCGAGCTCTCGGTACAGCTCCTCAACTCATTTAATCCTGCAAAATTCGGTACGTGATGTAGCATGAGACAATGCGCATTTGGCTAAGACCTTCAATGCAAAAGTCTTACTAACGGCTAGTAGGTCGGCTTGGAGCGCAAGTACCCATCCAAGACCAAAATGCTGTTCTGAGGCGTGAGTACCGCTTTAACTTAGGATTCGGGATATTCAGCGCCTAACAGAAACTATAGCTACAGCGACTACGAAGTCTTCGGGTCTTCCAGATTACTTCGTCACCGACGATGGACACTTCCAAGGTCCAACCCAAACTGGAGAAGCGCCATATCTTGCGCAAACGAATCTAGCGCCATTTGCAGGAGTCTCGTATATTCCCAATACGCCTCTAGAAACCCAAATGCCCATCGCAGGCAATGTAGATAACAAGAACATCTTCCAGAGCTTTGCGATCCTCAGTCCCTACTTTCCCAATCCTCGAGGTTTCGGCGTGAACGAGTATGCAATTCCTCCAGGATCCAACGTATCATGGCTCAACATGGTGCATCGCCATGGTAGTCGATATCCCGAGTTTAGCGGCGACGCTGCAGAGCGTACCCTTGGGAAGAAGATCTCGGATGCGGAGGGTAACTTCACGGGTCACGGCCCTCTTGATTTTCTCAACAAGTGGAAGTTCATGCTGGGTGCTGAGATCCTGGTACCGAATGGCAAGCAGGAGCTGTTCACCTCGGGAACCCTGCACTACTACCACTATGGCCACCTGTATCCCAACAATGGAAGCAAGATTGTTGTCAGAAGCACCACACAGAGACGCATGACGGAGTCTGCGGAGTACTTCCTTGCTGGCTTCTTTGGCCTGGGCTGGGCGCAGAACGCAACGCTCGAGTTGGCTATTGAGTGGCCTGGCTTCAACAACACCCTTGCAGGATACAAGAATTGCAACCATTCGAGTTGGGATATGGCCCGGGAAGGTAGATTACATATTCACTCATTACAGAGTACTGGCTAACATGTGTAGCTCTTATGGAGTGGGTAGGTGTCTACCTTCACGATGCTCATCAGCGTTTCAGGGACAATATCTCAGGTGATCTTGACTGGACGCTGAGTGATACGTGTAAGTCATGAGTGGAGGCACTCGGTTCAACTTGCTTACTTGTTTAGACAATGCTCAAGCCCTTTGCTCCTATGAGACTGTCGCTCTCGGCTTTTCTCACTGGTGTGGTCTCTTCACTTACGAGGAATGGGAAGGCTTTGAATATGCTCTCGATATCGGATTCCAGGCTGGAACTGGTTTCGGGTCCCCCGTTGGTCGAGCTATAGGCATCGGTATACTTTCCACCATGACTTGCTGTAAGTATGAAAGGGTCTGATGTCTCGCAGGTTATGTACAGGAAGTTCTCGCCCGCATGCAGCACCACGTTATCACCGACCCGACAGCACAAATCAACGTGACGCTCGACAATAACACCGCTACGTTCCCGATTGATCAGAATATCAACCTCGACTTCAGCCACGATGCGGGAATACTTAGTATCCTTGTTGCTTTCGGCCTCACGCAATTCAACGACGTGCTTCCTACAACGCACATTCTAAAAGATAGACAGTTTCTCGTTTCGCATCTCCAGCCATTCGCTGGTCGCCTCGACATTGAGGTGATCAAGGCGCCTGCGCCAGTATCCGCTAAGCGTTCTGACACGAAGGTTTACCTTGAGGGAAAGCCAACAAGCTACGTCCACTTTATCCTGAACCAGCGAACGATACCACTAGGAAAGAGCCATAAAGAATGCGGCGATAGAGATGACGGGTGGTGCGAGATGGAGGCATTCCTCAAAGTGCAGCAGAAGCAGATAGAGCTAGCAGATTTCGACCATGCATGCTTTGGAGAGTATGCAAATCCCAAGTACGGGGATGTTACTGATGGACGACCAGTAAGGTAGGCTGGATACCGTCGGACGCAATACCAATATCGAAATACCGGAGGCCTGACTCAATCGGGAGTTCTTCGGGTTGGAAAAGAATAATCAGATAGATTATTCTAGAGCCTAAACGCTGCATTGGGGTGTGGTCAATATTAATTTTCCTAATGCAACAGATTTCACTGGATAGTTGAGCTCCCTAGCTTACAATCTTCTTCTTAAACCCACGGCACCAGTTTGATCTAATATTACCAAGCTTTCACTCCTCTCTCCTTAAATACAAGAAACTCCCACACTATCCTTTCTCTCATCACAACTCACACCCACGCCCACAATCCACTTCAAACACCATCTCCAAGCACGACTTTAACAACATACTACCCCAACAACACACCTCTCATCAAAATGTCTACAAATAACTCAACCATGGGTCCTCCCTCCGAAGCAACCCGCCGCAAGCTCATCGCGTTCTTCACAACACCCGTTTCAAGCACAAACGACTCCGAGTGCATGATCTGCCTCGAGTCACTCAGCACCAGCGCTAGCGAAGAGGACCCGGCAACCAGTACGTATGGCCTAACAGCCCGCGCCCAACTCCCTTCACCCCCCTAACAACAAAAAAGCTAATTACCGTCCCCAACACAGATCCCGCCCTTAAGCTGAATGTCTGCGGCCACGTCGCCCACCACCACTGCCTCCTCACCTGGTCAAAGGAAAGTTCAAACTGCCCCCATTGCCGACGGGGCATGTTTGCAAAGCCCCAGCAAAATCGCGCCTTGGAGAAGATGCCAATTTGCAAATTTGCGATTCCGTTCCTGAGTGGGGAGTACCTCGTCTCTTCAAGGTTATATAACGAGTGGCTGGACTCGGCTACGAGCGACAAGGAATACGCCGCGGTTATGGAGTTTAGGCAGGTTTGGGATGAGAGCGATAGCTTCCTGGAGGAGTATCTTAGGGATTAGGTCTTCCGGGTGTTGTTTTAGTTTTAGGATGTTCTCTTGTGTCGGCGCTTGGGGTCTGTTTTGTTTTAGTGGAGTATGAATCTTTTCTTCTGATCCTCAGAAATCGCTCCAGCCTACAGGTGATGCTGATGTGATTGATACATTTCTTCTCTGAGTATGTCCAGGCTACCTTGAAGAGCTACTAGATAATCCCTAATCGTATTACCAAGGCATTCAGCCCTATCTCTTTAGTACGTCAACCCATCCTTCTGGCCTCACCTTGCCTCCTACATGCCCCTCATGCAACCATTTCTCCCCATCATAGCCAAACTCAATGAGCGCATCCTCGCTTCCCCATTCACCCTGTCCGCTTAGACCGATAGGAACCTTCCCCTTGCCCTTGATGCCATCTACGTAACCCACGGGAAATTGTACACATGGAATGCCCGTGAAGTTCGCAAGCCATACATACTCCATGTTTCTCAACTGCATATTTCCGTTCGTCACGCCATGCGTAAGCTCAGCAGGGTCGATGGGCCAGCCAGCATTTGGCGTCGTAGGTGTTACGATGATGAGGCCAGGATGAACACGGAAAAGGTGTGCGAGATGCTCCATGAGGATATTGCGAACGCGCTGAGCGAGGAGAAAGTCGGTTGCAGGCGTTTGTCGAGCTACACTCATGAGGATCCTGTTGGGGGCCGTGAGCGCGTAGATAGACGTGTTATGTCCACTTGCACCTTCCGCCAAGATAGTCATCGCATGAGCCAACTGGCCCTGCTTCAGGAGCGGGATACTGATATCGACGATCTCATAGCCCAGTTCAGATGTGAAGTAGTCCAAAGCTGACTGGGACGCTTCCTGCACGGGCGGATCAGCACGATCAAACCATGCCCTGCATACCCCGAGTACTTTGTTCCGAGGACCCGTGAGCTTTCGCGGCGGGTTGAACAAGGAGGATGGGTAATGAGAAACGTCGGGCTGGGCGAGGACGCGGTACGAGAGCTCGAGGTCAGACATGCTGCTTGCCAGCGGGCCTCGCACTGTAACTGACTTTCCTGCATCGGGCATGGGAGCGGTCGATACTCGAGCGTGGGAGGTCTTCAGACCGTAGAGACCGCAGTAGTTACTGGGTATGCGGACAGACCCTCCGCCATCAGATCCGATGGCAAAAGGAATGAGGCCATGGCCTACGGCTGAAGCGGCGCCACCAGATGAACCTCCTGTATAGTACGAGTTATTGTATGGATTCAGTGGCGTTCCCCAGATGGGGTTGTTGTTGGTAGTATCTAGGTATTGTTAGCCAATCTCTACCTCTGGTCCGACCGATGCAGCCTTTACTCTTGATGCTTAAGGCTGCGAGCAATACTGGAAGCTTGACTCACCCATACCCAGCTCATGCATATTGAGCTTCCCAACCAAGATCGCACCCTCTTCCTCAACCTTCTTCACGCACCAGCTCGTCTCTTTCGCGCCACCCTGAGTATAGTCATAGCTCGTACCAATGTACCGCTTATAGCCCGTAACCTCCAAGTCGTCCTTGACACCGAAGGGAACGCCATCCAGTATACCCAATGGTTGTCCTTTCTTCCATCTCTGCGTCGACTCTTCGGCAGCTTGTCGGATCAACTCCACCTTGCTTTCCAGGAAAGCCGTAGAGTACGGCGACGGCTGCGCGACATCTCTGCGTATGAGTGGTAAGAGAGCTTCCACGACATTTGTAGGTGTCAGGGCGCCGCTCGCGTACGCGTCATGGAAGTCGGCAATAGTGTAGAAGCGGCCATCGGGCTTATAATCGGGCGCCGCACGTAGATTCGACTTGTTCGTATACCTCGCAGGAGCTTCGTTACCCGGCTGCGGGAGGGGTATCACGGTGGGATCGTATCGCGGGTCGATGCCGTCTAGCTGTCTGCATTTGCGCAGCGAGCTGAAGCCTGCATTGCTCCAAAGGGCGTACGGGAGTAGGGGTACGAAAGCGACGCTGTACTTCTTAGCATTAACAAATGAGGACGTTAGGAGAGACCTACAGGTTGGCAAGATAGTGCAAAGGCCAACCCTTGATCACCGGATTACTACCGGGTGGTGGAGCTTCGAAGGGTGCATCGTGGGCCTTAGGTGTCGGATAGTTGAGGAACCGCGTCCTTTCATTATCGCTTCCCGACATCTCGGATGCTTCTTACTCCTGGTGGATTACCTCGATAGACACAAAGTTTTAGAGATGGGATCAGAGGTGCCGTACGGTCCCGGCAAAACCTATTGGTATTCGGCATGTGATAAACGCGTTGGTAAGATTTCCTCGGATTTCACGTTTGGCCAGACAAGTATTTTGCAAGTGTGCACATCGTATTCCGTGCGAGGCTGGAGGTGAGACTATAGCTGAGCAAAGCTCCTCTGCATCTGGAAGCTGATGATTTAAACATGCGTGGGAACGAGGAGGCAGACGCAACCGAAAAACATTCATGTGTCAATACCAAGCTACAATTCCTAGAGCTTAAACAATGCTTTTGCTCACTTGAATACCAACTCCAGCCATAACACGCTATGGTGACCAGAACATAATGATACAATCATATACGTATCGTCTACATCTCCTTCTATCCATCATCGTAACGCTCGAAGATACGATCCTTGCGTGACAGGCCCTCTTGCGGACACACTAAATTTACGCTGCACGAACTTGATCATGTCAGCGTCGCAGATAGCTTGTTGTGCCGTGTCCGCTCCATGTTGCCTGTCTCCGTCTACAAAGCCTTGCCAGAGACCTGGTCGCCCATGCGGTTGTATTCCTTCTGCATGTTCTCAACCTGCTTCTTTAGGTTCTCCATGTCACGGTCCTTGGCAGCGAGCTCCTCCTTGAGCGCACCCACTTCACCAACACCACCAATATCTTTCGCGGACGTGCCCTTCTTGCCCTTCGGGTCACCCCTGAGGGTCTTGACCTCCTCTTCGAGTCGGAGAACGTCCACGATCAGAACGTAGGTACGGTTGAGGATGAGGGACAGGAAGAGGGTGAAGCCGCAGAGGTACATGTTGCGCTGCGAGTAGAATTTGCGGGCCTGGACCTCCATACGCTCGATGCCGCCTAGGCTAGCATTTCTGCTTGAGATGTTAGTAGAGCTCTATCCATCGAGTGCTCTCTTCACTTACCCGCCACGACCTGAGTCGTCTGAGCTAGAGAGCTCGAGTTGGACGCGATAGACGCGGTTGACGCTGTCAATGAAAAGAATCAAAATGAAGATGAAAGTAATCTAGTCAAGGGTTAGGCGTGTCTCCAGTTTCGATGCAATTCTTTCCCATACCTTCATGCCATATTGTAGTTTCGCTATTATCGGGCTCTCCGAGATGAGCGTGAAGAGCTTGCGACGCCAGGTGAACGGCAGAGGGACGATTAGGGCCATGAAGATAACCATCTCCGCCACCAGGAGGAGGAAGACCTGGAAGCAAGATAAGGGTCAGCGGGGCGGCCTTCAACAACGCGCTGACAAGGATGAGCACGCGAGCAATGAGAGTGCCGAAAACGCTTTCGAACTGCTCATGGCGATACTTTCTCCTCACAATGGAACCAGGGAGCAGGTAATACTTACAAGACTATAGTAGAGCGTCATGTTGGCTACGTGGTACGATTTTCAGTGTACGAGCTGATGTTTGTGTTGAGGCGGGGTTGAGCGATGGAATCAGCTGTAGTTGAGCGACGAAAACGCTTCAGTAGTGGACTGGACGGAAGGCCAAAGATGGACTGGGAAGGAGAGTAGTTGTAGGTGAGGAGGGGAAAAGCAGGGACGCGATGCTGATGTAGGAGCCACACTGCCTAGCTTGTGAACAAATACGTCACAAAGTCGCAGCTTCCCACCTGGCCAGAGTGCCCGTGGCGCACGGCCCAGCCTCCAGCCTCAGTCTAGCCCTTTTAGTTTCACTAACATTCACAATTTGTGCGAGAACCTTTCCCAGTCGAGTTGGCAAGCCCCCAACACTCGCAAATTACAAGCCTGTTCAGTCTAGACTGCACTGTAATGACGACAGGTGAAGGAAACGAAGTCGTAGCAGACCAGCCGGCTCTGAGCGGAGCCATCGCGTTAGACCCCAGCGCTGTCTACAATGGCAACGGTGAGGTTGATGGTAGCACGGAGCCATTGAGTCCCAAGAAGCGAACGAGGACTACCAGCCAAGATGTTGAGGCCGCAGAAAACTCAGTCAAGCGGGTAAAGGGCGTTGCACCGATCAAAGCAGAGTTAGCTACACCCACCAGCATCCGTTATGTCACATGCTAAGAACACCAGGTTCTTGATACACCGAAGCGACAACAAAACTGACACTAGAGATGAGAATGTGGACGATGATGCAGCTGAAGCCGCCGATGATCGCTATCACAAAGGTGACGCACGCGATGGTGGCAAAGGCAAGAACAAGAAGAAGGATAAAAAACAAAAAGGTCAGAACACAAGTCGAACTTTTGGAAGCTCGCGCGACAAGCTGCCATTGTGTGGCACTCGCGCACTGAGCAATGAGTTCTCAGCAAAAGAGTGCCAATTCGGTGTCAAGTGCAAGTTCGAACACGACCTTCGCAAGTACCTGAAAGAAGGCCGACGAGAAGATTTGTCGACTTTCAACGGCCAGTGCCCAGTATACGAGGCCAAAGGCTACTGCCACTTCGGCTGGAAGTGTCGATTCGTTGGTAGCCATTCTGAAGAGCGGGCCACTGAGGATGGGAGGCAAGAGTTGGTTCTAAAAGAGGATGTTGAGCGTAAAGAAAAGACTGCGGAACTGGAAGACTATGAAGTTGACGTCGTCAACGTCGTACCCAAAGAAGTCAAGTTCGGTCTCTCACGACGAAAGATTGGGACTCCACGGTCTGATCAGTACCTGGAATGGATCGAGAAAAACAAAGATGCTGAGCGGTCCATGTTTGACAATGCTTCGGGTGATGCTGGGGCACTAAAAGAAGAGAAGGATGCTCGCCGAGCAGAATATGTCGAAGCGCCATTTAGACCCTCTGAAAAGCGACGACTCTACTATGGACCGGAAACGCCAGTCCTTGCCCCTCTGACCACACAAGGAAACATGCCCTACCGCAGACTTTGCGTTGATCTCGGTTGTCAAGTGACCTGGAGCGAAATGGCAATGGGAATGCCACTCATCCAAGGCGAGAGAGGCGAGTGGGCGCTCATGAAAGCACACGAGTCTGAGATTAGCGCCCCAAGATTTTCAGGCAAGAACACCGTTGTGCAAGGCTACGACAACTCCACGGATCTCAAATTTGGCGCCCAGATTGCTGCAAACAAGCCTTGGCTAGCTACCAAGACTGTAGAAGTCCTGACCGACCATTGTCCCAAGTTGCGGGCCATCGATCTCAACTGCGGTTGTCCAATCAACCTCGTCTGCGAAAAAGGCAGCGGTTCTGCCTTACTTGATAGTGAGGCGAAGCTGGAGCATATCCTACGCGGTATGAGCTATGTCTCAAAGGAAGTCCCTATCACGGTCAAGATCCGCATGGGCACCAAAGACAATAATCCGACCGCACAGAAGCTCATCAAGCGTCTTGTATTGGGCGGTTATGAAGCTGTCGAGTCTGGAAAAGGAACGTCAGGCGTTGCCGCCATCACCCTTCACGGCAGAAGTAAGCAGCAACGATACTCTAGGAGCGCGGACTGGTCTTATATTGCCGAATGCTCTTCTTTAATTAACAGGCTGAAAAAGGAGAAGGACGCACGAGCAGACACGATCGCAGAAGCCGATCCTCGCGACCTTGCCAATGGCGGCCAAGTTTACTTTGTCGGCAACGGCGACTGCTACTCTCACGAAGACTACTACAATAACATCGACAACGCACGCGTTGACTCGGTCATGGTGGGCCGCGGTGCATTGATCAAGCCTTGGATCTTTGAAGAGATCGAGAAGGGCCAATACCTCGACAAGTCAGCCAGTGAGCGTCTAGCGTACATTGAGAAATTCGCGAAATACGGACTTCAAACCTGGGGCTCGGATGAACAGGGTATCGGTACGACACGTCGCTTCTTGCTTGAGTGGCTCAGCTTTGCGCACCGATACGTGCCAGTGGGTATTTTGGAACATCTGCCACCAAACATTCAGGATCGACCACCGACGTTCAAGGGACGGAATGAATTGGAGACGCTGATGGCTAGTGAACATTACAAGGATTGGATCAAACTCAGGTAAGCACTTCAAGTACTAGTCCACCTGACTGGAAGCTAACACGTCGGCAGCGAAATCTTTTTAGGACCCGCGCACCCTAACTTCAAGTTTGAGCCAAAGCACAAGTCTAACGCCTATGAAATCGAAGCAGAGGGGTAAAAGGTGATGCGAATGTCTTTTTTACCTTTTCCGCTCGGAAAATGCCTTCATGAAAGTTCTTTGATCCTGAATCTACCAGTGCATGGCAGACTTCTAGGACTTATAGGAGATGTCACATCCTGCTCTCTCACATGAAGGGATGCTAAGAGACTAAAAGAACCTGTAACAATACATGGCTCTCCTACTGGAGATTAGCATGCAATACAATCTTCCTCAAATCGTGGTTTTCTCGAGTTTCATCTGGTTACTCTATGCGGCCAAGTGAATGCATAAGCGGTTGAGCAGTCGTACCATTGTTATTCGGGCAAGCTAGCTTTTGCGGTACATTATATCCGCTTTCGCTGACTAAATCTAACACGGCCTTACTTTTCTCTTGATCTTCGACAATATGTCTAAGTGACCAGTGAATGAAGCCTAGCCGATCGTGTACGGGATACGCACGACTAGTGCACCCAGCGGTCCAGGAAACGCGCTTGTTGAAGCTTGGACCACATGCGCTTCATTGGTGATCGTAAAGTGAACGCGCCTGATCGAACCGTTTCCGCTGCTCTGACGCCTCTTTTCCCTTTACTCTTCGATACTCATACACGATGACGAGTATAGACGACCTCTTCAAAAGCGCAAACGGCTCGGCGAAGCGCAAATTCGAGAACCCAAACGGGGCAGACCCAACTCACAGCTACAAATCCGCAAAGCTCGACTCCAACGGCGAAGTTAAGCGAACAGCGCATGTATCTGACGATGAGGACGAAGAGGAGGCAGGCCCTTCATTACCGCCAGACCTCGAAGAAGAACCGGGCGACGATGACGAGGGACGATTCTTCGGTGGTGGGCTAGACGAGAACGCGAAAGACGCTATGGATTTCGTAGATGCACGAGATGGAGAGGAAGACATAAGAGAAGAGAAATATGACGCTTCATGGCTGCGTAAACTAGCGCTCAACTTCGAGAAGAAGGTCAACAAGAACTCGTCGCTGCGCGCCAAGTACGAAAACGACCCGTCGAAGTTTATGGATTCGGAGGGGGACCTAGATGAGGCCATAAAAGGACTCAGCATACTCTCCGAACATCCTGAGCTGTACCAAGCATTTTCGAAGAGTACTGGCCCCTCCAAGCTGGTGGAGCTACTGGCACACGAGAATACAGACATCGCAATTGCCGCGACCGAGATAATATCAGAGCTCACAGATGAGGATGTGGCAGGAGAGCAAGAACAGTGGGATGCTATAGTAGCGGCCTTCTTGGAAGCAGATCTACTCAGCTTGCTTATATCGAATTTCTCGCGCTTCGACGAGAGCGATTCCGCCGACGCATCTGGCGTATACTACTCCCTCAACGTCATCGAGAACCTCCTATCGCAGCCCTTAAATACAGATATGATCGGAGGGGAAACTGCCCTTCTCAGATGGCTACTGGACCGGATTCAGAAGACAGAAACTCCCACCTCACAGAACAAACAATATGCTTCAGAAATACTTTCTATACTCACACAATCCTCTCGTCAGAATCGAAATCGAATAGCTGAAGCTAACAGCATCGAAATCTTCCTCACAAATCTCGCTCCATACCGAAGAGACGACCCAGAAAAGGACAGCGATGAGGAGGAATACATGGAGAACTTATTCAACTGTTTATCGTCAGTAGTGGAAGAGCCTAGCGGCAAGGCCAAGCTATTGGAGGCAGAAGGCGTGGAGCTTTGTCTACTCCTGGTCAGAGATGGCAAGACGAGCAAGAGTAGGGCGTTCAAGGTGCTGGATCACGCATGTGGGTTTGCTGAGGAGCTGTCCGCGGAAGAAGCGCAGACCAACGGTACTAAGACCCAGGAAGGTACAAAAGAGGCAGGTCCCAACAGTGCCATGGCTGTGTGCGAGAAGGTCGTCGAATCTCGAGGGTTGAAACCACTCTTTAGCGCCTTCACGAAGACAAAGAAACATGACCCAGAACAAACCGAGCACATACTTGGTATCTTTGCTTCGCTCCTTCGCTCATTACCCGGCAATTCAGATTCGCGCTTCCGACTGCTCGCCAAGTTTCTTGAGAAGGACTATGAAAAAGTTACTAAGCTCGTTACACTACGGAGAGACTACGTCAGCCGTCTTGCATCTTTTGATGCAAAAATGAAAGACAGAAAGAGAGGGTTGTCAAAGGAGGAGCAGGACGAACTAGAGCTAGAAATCATTCCTTCTAGGCTTAGTGAGGGCTTGTATTGCTTGGAGCGTGTCGATGCCATTTTGGCGTGGCTGGTCGCCGAGGACGACGGTGCGAAAACAGCTATCACTAAAGCGTTGGGCGAAAGGGACGAGACACTACTGGATGTGAAGAGGACTCTACAGGCACAACTGAACGGTGTGCTGGCCGTCGAGCCTGCGGAGCGGGAAATGCTTGAGACCTTGGTATCATTCTTGGAATGAACCACTTGGATATGTCCACCTCCCGTGGCCTCCGCTACGACAACTCCCCGGGTCTCCATTGTATAACACTCTCCAGCCGTCCATGCTCACCTACCAAGCAAGTGCAGGATATCGAGCATCGAAAGATTTTGATTCTCAAACCTGTATATTTAATTATGTTGTCGCAATGAACTACTGAGTCTCGGCCTAAAGCTCAAATTTTCAGATCCACCGATTACCTACATTTAACTCTTTACATCTCTAGATTGCGACTCTCATTCCTCCCTTTCCACATCCCGCACACTTATAACGGTCGTCCTCGGAACACCCCGTCCCGGATGCCACGCCGCCAACAACCACACAACAAGGCCGATATGCATAAATTCCAGAGTACCTAAGTATACCTCGTGTTTGTGTTGAGATGTCCGAACAGACTCTGCTCCGTTTCTGCTAGCCGGAAGCACACGCATATAGAGTAACACGACAGCCAACCCAGAAAACGCATATAATAAGCCTTTTGGCACGACGCTGAATACGGCACTATGCGCCTTGACGACGAACGATATAAACGAATGATAAGCACCAACTAAGTGAGAGTTGGAACGGCAAATGCTAGATAGGATGTTATTTGGCAGTTCTGTGTCTTTGCGGTTGGACTCAGCGACGCTGATGTAGGCACGATTGAGGTAAGCTTCTCTCTGTATTAGACACCTTGATGGTGTTTGCTACGTGAAGGGCTGCTGCACGTACTCAAGTGGCGCCATTACGTTTCCACGCCTTCCTGTTCAACCTAGGCTTCCGCAAACCCGCTTATACTTCTGATGGATCTCACCATGAGTTTTACAAGTCCTCCACTGCTTTGGTGTGTCAATGGCTTAGAACATATCTGGTCAGGCCACATTACTTGACAGCGAAACGATGCGGATGTAGGTTGTTAGCTGAACATAACTACGAATAGTAGCGAATCAAGGTATGAGCATGCCTTGAAGGCTACTGGAACAAATTCACTCATCTGAGCCCACGGATGAGCTGTCATCGCTAACTGTGTAGTTACCTTTGAATGCGGACGCTCTTGACGATTACTTCGTCGTTCCTTTCCACTAGATGAAATTGCCGTGGCAGTCGCAATAAAGACATTTGCGCTTGTCAGTTGTGACATAAACATGAACTTTACTGCTGCTTCGGTCAGCACTCCAAACATACATTCAACCTTCACCGTCTTGTCTCAACCATCGAATCATACCTTACCATTCCCCAAATTCTTCTTATCGCTTGCCCAACAATGCCTGAACTATTGGATATGCCAGCCGAAATCATCAATCGGATCTGCCGCTTCGTTGGCCGGGAGTTCGACCCGAGCACTCAAGAGATCTTTTACCGCGATCAAGACTTCTACGCGCTCCGTCTGACATGTCAAGAACTTTACTCCAATACGTTATACGACGCGAGTATGCGGTTCCCTCTAAAATTTCTGAAGATCGCATTCAATTACCCGTCTCTTGTCACACTTATACGGCTGACCAAGGCCCGATATATCCGAGATCGTATTCGTCGTGTGCACCTCGTACGCGATTATGGCAATCGCCGCGACGAGTTGGTGCAGACCGTTTGGGACAGAATCAGAGCCATGATCAGAGAAGAGGAGGCGACAAATTTCACTAGGTCAGGCGAGGCGGTTTACATGCTGGCACAATGTCTACGCAACCTTCGTGGAGCAAATTTGTTCGACACTGTCATGTACGAGGACGGGTTTCCAGATGTGATAGGACAAGCAGCCGTTTTCGAGGCTGTCATAGCGGCACAACTGCCTAGAGAAGATGTGGTCCGCCTTTCCATCGACCTCAGATACATCCAGAGCCGAGGCGGGGTAGGACGGTGGGGAGACATCACTGATATCGTGGGCGTATATAGGCCATTGATCCGGGACGCTGTTATTACGGCACCTGTGTTCAAAGACTTGATAATACCGCCTAGGAATAGGCCAGGGTTTCACAACCAAAATTTCCGCCTTACACATCAAAAATTAGATAGGGTCAAAGATGCAATCGAAGTAGACAGTGCTTTCATTTCTCATCAATAGAATTCTGTTCTCGTTGCCGGTTCAAAAGTCTCCATGCACATGTTCCAACTGCCAGAGGAATTTTCAAATTCAAATGATATTTCTTTCCAAAGCCCATCGCATTCTCTCCAGTCATAGTCACAATCATAACCTCACTTTCAGTCTCCATCCCGTCCTTGCTACCCTCGCTACCACCAGAATCCCGTAACCAAGTAGCATCAGTCCGCCTGTGCAGATTTTCATCTACAGATAAGTAGCAGTTCCATGGCTCCGTGTACCTTCCCCAGCCTGATCAGCATCCCACCCACTGGATCGCCCAGCAATGAGGCGAATCCAACCACACTAAAGCTAGTCCATGCCCCCGCGCATACGTAGCGTACAGTTCCATGATAGCTTTGACAGAGGCACAGACTGTCCCTACCCAAGTTGATCCGCCTTGAGCACGTTTGCTTGTTTATTTATCAATATTCGGGTCGGGCGAACTCGTTCGGGAAAGTAGCATGGAATGGAGGGAGGAACCCGCAGTTATATTGTGATTGAGTGTGAAGATTAGAGAAGATAAGCGGAGGTTATTTGATACTAGAAATTAGTGTTTCAGCTCTGAGGTACACTACTGCCTCAACCTAATATTGGGTTCCACGAACGAAAGCTATGTAGTCAGTCAGCTTATCGTAAAAGTTCGCACCCAGGATCTTGCTTCATTCGCAGTCCCGATGGAGTTTTCTGGCAGTGATAGGAATGTGCGTCGAAGGGTAGAGAAGGCGTCGCCTTTTTTAGGGTTGAACCATTCATTTCGTAATATATACAATCAGTCGTCGTTGAGACGTAACCGAGTGGTAAGATGAACCCCCAGTCGTGTCATTGCACGACGCATACGCCCTCGTACGCGACGATCTTAAGTGACAAGACCTAGGAGATACATTAGCGCTCAAAAGCTCACAGGTTCATCGCTTGCGCCGTTTCAATGCTTCTCGCACCAACGATGCCCGGCAAACCAAACTCAATTCCGCACCACAGCTCATTTACTCAAGTCGTCGCCCCAGACCGCCTTGGCAATCTCAACCTCGAGCCTCACCTTCGCCCACTGCTCCTCCTCAGTCAACTCATTGCCCTCCGCTGTACTTGAGAATCCGCACTGATGACTCAGACACAACTGATCCAGGCCCTTTGGCGCAATCTCAGCGGCTTCTTTCAGCCTCTTGATGATCTCCTCCTTATCATCCAATGTGTTCTTCTTGCTGCTCATGACACCCAAAACGACAACCTTGTGCTCCGGCAAGTGTCTCAGAGGCGAGAAGTCACCGGACCGCGCATCATCGTATTCGAGGAAGTACGCATCGACATTGAGTTCCTTGAAGAGGATTTCTGCGACGGGTTCATAGCCGCCTGATGCGAACCATTTGCTCCTATAATTACCCCTGCACAAGTGGATGCCAATTTTCATGTCGGCGGGCCGCTTGGAAATGGCCTTGTTGATCAATTCGGCGTACTTCCTCGGCAGCGTGCTCAAGTCCTCATTGCGATCTTGCTCAGCGGCTTTCCGCATATCAGGATCGCACAAATAGGCCAGATTCGTGTCGTCGAGCTGGACGAAGCGGCACCCTGCCTCGTAGAGCGACGCGAGCTCCTCCTGGTAGACCCTTGCTAGGTCTTCGAAGAAGACATCTAGGTCAGGGTACGCGGAGATGTCGATCGATGCTCGACCGCCGCGGAAGTGGACCATCGTTGGGCTAGGGATGCACACTTTCGTCGTCGCAGCACTGCCATTCTTCTTGATGGTCTGCTCGAGGAAGTTGAAGTCCTGAACCTGTATCGCCTCAGGGTGTCCCAGCTTTCCCTCTACCACCAGTGTAGGTGGCGAGAAGCCGTCCTTGTGCCTGATATTTCCTACTTGGCCCCTCTCTTCGATGCCAGCCAAGTGTTTGAGGAAGTCGAGGTGGAAGTATGCACGGCGGAACTCGCCGTCGGTGATGGAGAGGAGGCCGTTCTCGATCTGCTTGTTTGCGACATCGGCGATTGCAGTGTCTTCGATCTTGCGAAGCTCGTCGGCGCTGATTTCTCCGTTGGCGGCTTTTGGGCGTGCGTCAAGGACAGATTTGGAGCGCAAGAACGAGCCGACGTGGTCGGCTCTGTATACACCGTAGGGAAGAGGCATCGTGGGGGTTTCTATAGGGTTGTTAGTATAATGTTATAGTGCTTCTTCGAGGTCACTCACCTATCTTAGCTTGTAAGTTGCGTTCAAAGTCTTCTTTCTGCTGTACAATCGTGAAGCCAGATAATCTGCACTCAAGTCTGGTAGTAAATACTAAGAGCGAGAACAAAAGAAAGTCAGCCTTGCCCTTTTTCACATTAGTAGCCTCTTCGCATGATCGCGTTCGCCCTGATCTGAAGCTACCCCACCGCGGCAGTTGTTAGGGGCAAGCTAAAGTTAGGGCAAATGCCGCCGAAGAAAATCCAACCGCCCCCTTCGGACAACAAGGTTAAAGCCCCGAGTGATTGATGTGACGGGGCGTTCGGTGATGTATATTAGAACAACGAGCACCCATCATAGTGCTAACATGGTATTCTCTGTAGTTGAAATTCCGTGTTGCTAGTCGTGGCTATGGAGGGGTCGAGATGACGTTTGGCGGGGTATACTTCAATCGAACCCCAGTCGAAAGCCGACACAGGAATAGTAGCCAGAAGAGGAATAATGTCCGACCAAGAACAGTCAACATTCTTGCGAACAGTGGGGGTATATTGAACGTATTGTGAAGTTGTCCGAGGACGCTGATTCTGTTGGAGAAAATACAGAAACGCGTCAATTGTACAAAATCGCCTGAGGTGCAACGTCCCCACACCCATTTCTCCATATATTCACACAGCCTTGAGAAGCTTTGGCTCAAGAAGCTCACTGAACTGGCCCTCCCACAAGCCTTCGTCGTCCTCGTCGTCGTCATCGTCCATGAAGAATCCGTCCCCAGCACCATATATCCGATTACCCTTGCTATCAAATCTTTTCTCTTTCTTAGGCAAATCACGCTCTGCAATCTTGAGCCGTATCGTACCCGCACCATTACCTGAATCTCCTTCTCGTTCAACAACTGCCGTCTTGTAGTCACTAATTTCAGGTGTGATGGTGATGGGATTTACGCTGAAGAACTTGCACACGATGACAGCGCCTTCTTTGATATCGAAGGAGGTGAGGCCAGGCAATGTGCTCATGTCGTCAGGAGGCAGAGGTAGATCTGACTGCGCAGCTGTTGCGACATCCTGTCTTAGCTGGCTCTCGATAGCTGCATTGATCTCTGCATCTGGATTTTCTGTCGCTGGAGCATCATCGTAATCCAGTATTATCTTCTCCTCCTCCTCCCCTTCTTCCTCTTCCTCAGCAGCGATGGAGTCGCGTGGCGCATCCTTTCTGCCTTTCTTCCCTTTCTTCTTGCTGGACGCTTTTTCGCGCATGAGCCTGCTCGCTGGATCCCAGTGCTGCTGGAAGGGAAAAGGAGGGGCGGTAAGCTCGAAGTCTTCTTCCCAGCATTCGAATGCTGAGAGGTTGATTCTGGATTTCCAGAAGTCGGGCTCTGAGGCGCCTTGAGGCTCTGGTACTTCTTCGACTGTGGACTTGGTCTTCGCCTTCTTGGCAGCAGGTCTCGCTGCCTGACGAGCAAGGATCCGGCTGATGGCGGAAATGTCTGGTCGTAATCGCTTGGAAGGTGTCTCTTTCTTCGTTGGTGGCTCCTCACTCGAAAGAGTTGGTGGTGATACGACCGCTGGCTCGACAACGGGAGGTTGAGGCTGGGCGGTTCCATCTCCCTGTACAGTATTACTGGACGTCTCCTCGCCAAATCTTGCCATCAACTCTCGTTTGCGTTGCTCGAGTTCGCTAATGTCCTCGGCAACTGCCTCTGAACACTCCTCGTCCGCCACTCGTTTCCTCTTCCCTGTCAGGTTGGAGCAAGGTTCTGACGCATCGGGTTCTTCCAGTGTGTTGCTGTTGTTTGCATCTTCGTACTTCCGCAGATCACTCAAGTCAGCGTCTTCGTGAAGCTCACCAGATTCTTTCAGACGCCGCAGACGATTGGTCATAGTGCGACGAGCATTTCTAGATTTGGTGGTCGTTCGGCCTTCACCTGGAAGCACATGCTTTGGCGTCACGGTACTCTGCATCCTCGTGCCATCCTTAGACGACATGATCTCAGGCGGTGAACTTGCCTCACTCTCACTGTCCGAGTCGCTGTCGCTGTCGCTGTCGCTGTCACTAGAAGAATCTGAACCTGAGTCTGAGTCTGAGGTGTCTGAACCAGATTCTGCATCCGAATCTGTGTCTGAATCGTCATCCATGGAAATGTCATCGGCGCTATCTCTTTCAGGCGCAAAGTCTTCGTCGTCCTCCTCGCTATCACCATCCTCGTCTAGCCCTGACTGCTGGAACTGTACCGACTTGGAGCCTTGCCGTGACCTAACTTCTCGATTGGTAGAGGTGGCCATTATTGAGCCTTCCACCGGCTCCTCGCTCCCCTCGCCATTCGCAGTCAACAAGCCTGTAACCTCAACATGCTCGTCTGTCTCTGCCTCGTCGAGTCGTTGTCGCTTGCGCGATGGTATCCGTACGGCCGGTCGATGTGGATGTCTTAGGTACGGTCGTCCAAAGGGTACACCGTCAACGAGGTGTCGCCCATCGTCTGATATCTGGTGGCGGCCGGTGAGTGTGCGTGCGCGAACTTCGGCAGTCATGAGCGGGCGGATGCTATCGAGCATTTAGCAGACATCAAATGTAATGAGTATAGTAAGACATACGAGACATGGTCGTCCTCCTTTAGCGCCTGTGATATGGGTGAGAAGTGCAGACACTCAAACCCATCTACTTCAACGACATAGTGCTCCAAGCCCCAATGCTCTGCCTCTAGCGGAATGATATGATTGACGTCTTCAAGCAGGCGCGTGATGGTGTAAGCCTGCGGGCTATTCGTATCGGGCACGCTCCAGAGGATGTTGGCGGCAGGCAAGCCGTTCCGCTGTACCGTCAGTCGAAGCCGCATTGTTGGGCGCGTTGTGTCGCGTCAGTTTGCCTTTTGCGCTTCTGATAAAGTGGTGAACTTTTGGTCGCGGAGCTTGGAGCTTTCCTTAGCCGCTAGCTGCATCTGGAATGGGCAGGTGCGGATCCACTCCGCACTTGCCCATCTCAAATGTCAGCATCGATAGCAAATATCCCACGCCTGACTACAATCACCGCCTGTTTTAGCTACTCTATAATATCATTGAAGATGTATTCTAAACAGGCTTATTCGAAGCACAAAGATCGGGCAGCCCTTCTAGGAGCACGTACATATAGAGCAAGCCATATTGCACCACTACCTTACTAGCATGGCTTTCTCAGGTGGGTACATAATTCATCGCCTTATCAAATTTACTATAAGGAGTACTTGATAACACGAATAGGAGTATGCAACGCGTGCTGATAGTGACACAAGACTCGATTGCAGAATATATGTGCGGTAAGTCAATAAGACCAATCCAATGGCGGTTCGTGAACGCGTAACCAGTCAATATAATTCCTTCTCAGCACCACACCTCCAGCTAGCATCTTTGGTATCATCCGTCCTCATCGCTTCTCTGTCTCGTTTCTCATCCGTGCAGAACCTCCCCCTTAGCTATCTTCCTCACAAGTTCAGCGGTCTCAGTAGTCGCCGTCAGGTTGGGGCAGTGACCTGTATCCAAAGTTGCCGTCTGCACCTCCACGCCTTGTTTCTTCATCTCTTCAACGAACCACGTCTGGTAAACTAGTGGAATCGTCATGTCCTTCGCTGCATAAATATACGTAACAGGAATATCTCTCCACGCTGCGCGACCCGCTGTTATAGGTTGGTACATGCAGTTCCCATTCCAGCGCACAAAGGTCGACACATACTCCTCCACTTCTTGGTCGGAGATGCCTGAGTCAACGCCAACGAAGGTCGCCTTTGGGTCTCGGCACACGCATGACATGTCATCAGCGACGTCAAAAGCCGAGGACATAAGCTCTTCATGACCGTGATGTCTGACCATGTCTATCATGCTCTTGCCCTCTGGGACAGCACATGCTGCCAGGTAAATCAAGTTCGATACGCCGCCGGTAAGTCCTGATTTGGCACGATCCGTGATTCCGAGGCCGTGGAGGGCGTTGGTGCCGACCTGTCCGCCGTACGAGTGCATAAGCGCGATTACTTCTCGACCATCTTGAAGGAGATCCTCTGCGTAAGAGCGGATATTAGCAGTATCGGTGCTGAGGTCGGCATTTGGAGGGCGTGATTCATTCATAGTCGGATGGGCGGGGACATGGACATCGAAGCCGAGTGCCTCAAGTGCAGCGGCGAGTTTGCGGTAACTTTTCGGTGGGTGCCACCCACCGCCAATGAACAAAATAGTTTTTTTCGAAATCGCCATGTCAAGCTCACGGAAAAAAGACACCGAGTTGTAAGATGAAGGATGAGAGTAAAGGTGCAAAAGACGACAGTACGAACTATATAGATAATTTGGTATATGAGGCTCCACTCCTTTTACCTTGAAACAAATTTCACCGAAAAATCATCTGTGTCCTCTTTGCTGCATTTTCCATAGCCGAAGTCGCAGGATGAGTTGTTGACCCCGCAAGATGTGCTATGGTGTTGTAGAATCTGACGTGTCAGGAATGGTTAGGACCGAGGTCACTAAGTCCTACCCAAATAACTAGGCCCGAGTAGCTGGCCTTCGACTAGTTTTTACTTTAGGCTTCCCGAGGTCCAAGGCTCTACTTCGCCAGAACATTCGGCCCGGTTGGCGGATGCAGGTCATTCTGCGCGGAAGCGGAGAACACGTTGCTAGCTCTATGTATTGGGACCTTAGTTCAACGGCTAAGTCTTGTCAAATTAGTGGCATGGTAATGTTGCTTACTACTGCACTACTCGAAAGCCACATACGCACACTCCTCTCTCCTCTCAGCTGTACATATTTTTTTCAATTGTCCAAATGCTTATCTAATCACTCAAGCGCAACCTACCAGTTGCATTGCCTCCGCTTGGTGTAGTTGGTTCATCACGTTCGACTGTAATAGCATATTGTTATCGAAAGGTCCCTAGTTCGATTCTGGGAGCGGAGACACCACTTTTTTTCCTGCGACACACTCCTGTAGTGTTTTTTGGATCTACGAAATTGCGGGTGAGTAACGCGAGATATAGCGAGTAGTGGAACTTGACAGCACGGCTTCCGACGAAAATATAATATCAGATGTTTTTTTTTATGCTAAGCAAACTCTGGGAGCGTTTGCAAAAGATCGCACACAAGTAGGTTTTGATTATTTACAAATCGTAGTTGAGTGTTGGTGCTTGCGTGGAGTGCAATAAATGTCTACTAATTTGACAAATTTAGAGAATACATAGTGCACGGCGAGCAAACCGTAAGAACAAACCAAGGTCTTTGATTAACCACTGAGCTATTATAAGTGGCCTTAGTACCCGATTCCACGGCACAGTGATAGCTGTATTGAAGTTATATATATATCCATGCTGTATGGAAAAGGAAAGGATCAGGTTGATGAAGCAGCGGTTAAGATCTCAACACGCAATCGCAGGCATTTAATAGAGTACTTGACTTAGCATTGACTAGGTTGCTGGATAGGTCCTCCTTGATCCCGTTGCCTAGAAAACACAATTCACTTAGACGACAATGCAATCTTCAATTCATTACAACGTGGTTTAATTCTCCCATGGCGAATTTGCTCGTTTAATCGACCACCAACGCACTCAACATCTCAAATGTATCGCCTAACGAGGATCCCAAATTACACAATAATGCCGAGATACGCACGAGGCAGCACTCTGGATCTCGACGTATATGAATATCTTCTTGAGAATGACGGAAAGGCCTCTATGAAGCGCAATGTATGTAAAAGAACGGGTATATACCACAGCAAAGACAAAAGCCATTGTGGAGTACCGAAGACACGATGCATCGACGACTTGCACTTCGCTTTCTATCTCTCCCCTGTCATCGATCAAGATTCCAAGTCCAAGACACGTAACCAAGTAGTAATCCATAGTGAGCGATCCAACGTCTTTTCCCCGAAATGTTGTACTAAGCAGATTTACTCTGAGGGGTTCAACCTCGGTATCAAAAACGCACGCAACGACCGGCCAAAGTTGGAGTGCTTCCAACACAAGCTTCAAATGTGATCAAGATGATTCCCGACACGCATGTGAATGATACTAGTGAGCTTAGCAGACCTATGACACCAGCACTAGAACCTCGTCCCACCTCGATCCCGATGTTTCGTCGATCAGTCATCCGCGTTCCTCACTCTGTCGACCAGCGGCTTCTAGCCTGGTGAGCCCGGAATATGAGAACCAGGGTATTCATTCACGCGTCTCGAACCGCCTAGTACCCATATAACCGGAAAGACACGCTACAGAGTGGTGGAGTCGTCCCAAAGTCTTCGTCGTACGACCGCACGTATCTGGTGTCATCCGGTGCACAGTATGTGGGCTGAAGAACTTTCGATCTCGGCAACCTAGAAACGGTACTAACAGAGAGTAGATCTTGGGAAACAAGACCCATACGGGACTCGGCCGCCGCTGTATTGCAGCAATCAGATGTCGTTTATCAAGACCCCGATCCTCATGGACAGCCACAACTCCTGAGCACGGAGGCCGTTAAAATATCATCCTAGGCTTCCAAGAGCGGCCTTTAAAGCTTAACCGGGAAGCAACCGCCTTTGCTTAGAGTCCATTACGTCGTAAAGAAGTAAGAGAGGCAAAGAAGCTGAGAGCAGCTAAAAGCTGCGTCGTTGCGATGACCAAAGCTGCGGAATAATCGAGGAAAGTAGTTGACGAGAAAGCTGCTGCAAAGGAGGCGGAAGAAGAAGCGAGGATCTAAGAAACGAAGGATAGCAAAGGCGGCAAGACCGGTATTCGGGGATAGACACCCTCGTGAAGAGGGCCGTTCAATGCTTGACCACGAAACGCCTTTTTGTCCCGGCTACAAGGTTTAGCCAGGCGGTCGCACAATATGACGCCGCTGGTTCGCCGCTGGTTCAACACTGGGCCACAAAATGACACCTGGATTGGAGGCTTTAATCCCTGGAGCGAGTGCGTGTGTGTGTCGTGGAAAGAGCCTCGGTAAGTCAAAAGGTTGATTTCGGATGACTAATTACTAGTGCGTTCAGTTTGCGCTTGCGAAGCACGACATGTCTATCATCATCCCTTATCCTAATAACCGAAATCTCGGCTTTCAATTTCTTCATCTTCTCCTGCTCTCTCTATGGCCCATGCTCTCTTCAGGTTGAACACATCTTGCAGGGATCTTGAGAAGTCCATCGTGTGCGTGATACCCTCAGCACATAGCAAGCCACAGCGCGAGACCGCATACAGATGAAACATCACACTTCTTCTCTAGACGTCTTCTTCTAAGCTCCTGTTACTAATTTGTCACAGAGGTGTTCACGTTCTAGTTCACGCACATGACATTGAGTATTGGAGTTGATTGGGAGCTATCCAGTAGACATGTTACGCCAGATGATGAGAAGGCTACTACGCTGCAGCACTCTCTCACGGTATGCCACCCGCTGTCTAAGCAAATCAACGCGACTAGTCGCGACTCGCTATCGTAGGTGTCAAACGGGATTGCACAAAACGCTGGGAACTAGGTCCAAGACTGGTGGGCAAGGAGGGGGTAGGCTATCGCTGATGATTTATGAATCCCGTCGAAGAGCTGAAAGTCTAACCCCCAAGAGCTCGGATCTAGAAAACGGTGGGACATGTAAGGTGCCGGGGTGTTTGGAAGATGCGATCGACCGCAATGGCTATGAGACCTCTCCAGATCGCAAGCCCTATGCAGCAGCAGCTTGGAAGCCAGCCACGAAGACTCAAACTCTACGGCGCTTCCTCATGATCTCTTTCGCATGAGGTTGCTTCTGTGCTCGGGTCTCGGTACTTTCCGCTATCGCCACCGGTGACTCGCTGCTTCCTGGTGTCTTGGGCGTCTTCGCGTCCTTCCGCGCCCAAACCTCCCTGCGTTTCGCGTACAACTTGGCCTCGTTGAAAGTCGCGTATGAAAGCTGGCCGTTGAAGGTCTCGGGATCAGCCTTGGCTGCAACCAGAGCCTTCGTGACTTTGACCCTTGAGTTCTCCTCCTCCTCCTCTTTGCTCTCTGTCAACCCGCCCTGGGCTTTTGTCTGAGTAAGTCGCAGCTGCTTGTTCGGTATCACTGCAAGGACTTCGGGTTTGATTCGCTTTCCAGGGGACGGCGATTTTGGAACAGCGGTGAAGCACAACTGGCCCTCAATCGTGGACATACACACAATGATCTCGCCCAAGTTGTAGAGGTTGGAAAGTTCCATTTCCCAGCCCGGCTGCTCGTGAGGGAAGACTGGAAGCTCGTATGGGCGCCCCTTCTTGGCTTGCTGGAAGAATCGGTTGTCCTCGTACGCACCGAAGTGGTGGTCGCTACAACCCTTCGGCGACTCTACCTGGAAACGATTCCCGCAGAAACGTGGCTGTCCATTCTTCATCTGTATTGTCACGCAGCAGAATGCCACATGCAGTTTGGCGTAGCAGCTCTTCTTTAGAAACCCGCATTTTGGACTGAAGGTAACGACACGGTTAGCACTGTACTAAATAGAAGATACGAACACCACTTAAGATACCCCCAAATAGTGTCTTAAGTAGTACTTACTATGCGTAAGTTAGCAAACACATTCGAATTGGGTTCTTGGTAGGACTCTCCCACCTGTGGACAATGGTGACCTTCCTGGTCTGATACTAAAGTCCAGATGCTCTTCAATGTGGGATCTAATCTCAGCCACGCAAAGCCATACAGGCGCACGAAGGGCAAGTCGGATACCATTGACGCGGGGTCAAGGTATTCGCCTGTGTGAGATGTTTATATTGGCCTCGAAGCGGCGTAGTGGAGTACTCGAGGGGCGCGATAGGTATCTGCGGCGCGTGGAGGCCTCTGAAGCTTGGCTTTGTCGACGTTGAAGCTGAATGATAATTGATTGCCGTGTCGGCTTGAGGGTGCGACGACGATTCCGAACTGAAAAGCTCCTCGTGCGCCTCTTCGTTTCTCGGTTGCCGCACAACACGGCGCCGACAGGGAATAGTGATTCACCACGGCATGATTGCCAAGAGATTTCTTAGCTGCAACAGTTGCCTGCACCCCTCTCAATGCTTTCTAGTACCCCATGTCCCACCACAATATTCTCTTAGCCGTGTTTCCACACTGGCCCCCGACGGCATCGAAGAACTCGCGGGTTCTTAGCTATCAGATTGAGTGAAGGCTCTTTCGTAATACCGAGTCCATTAGTTAGAAAGACTAAACATCCATAGTAACGCCCCGATTCTGTAATTCGACCGAACAAGCCGATTCACTGCCACAAAGAAGTCCTCTGGACACCAAACCACTCGCATTCAGAAGTGCAAATTTCATCCGCACCCGCGCAAGGCGGGCCGTCAGTAGAAGCTGAGAACTTATTGGGAAGACATCTCGAGCTTTGGCTCCTCTACGACTATCAATGGACTCGATCACCAAACAAGGTTGTGTATGTTAGTGGTTCGAGAGACGCGTACACGGGAAGTAATTCAAACAGCGCCCCATTACAGCTTGCCAATACTTGAGTTTGAGCGACACCTTCCCTGCTGTTGGGAGTTAGACGAACTCTTGAACAACTTCAAACTGAGCAATGAAGCAGATCTGAGCCATAAAGTTGCCCTCACGGATTTTGACGCTGCGGAACCGACCAAAGCCTTGCCAATGCCATCGATTGCATCGATTGCCTCCCCATTGTCCTCCAACTCTTCCACTACGACTCGGTACTATTACGCGCTTTACGATAATGACACCGCACCCATAAACGGACCCTCCCTACCCACAGCCGCGATCCCATCATTCCATTCGAGGAACCTCTCTCTGTAGTTATGGGCGGAACTCTGCAAACGATCCATCACACCCTGCTCTAGAGGGGAGTACTGCAGAAGTTCAAGATACAGGGAACAGTATGTTCAAGGACAAAGGAAACAAAGCTCATCAGGAGATTGCGGGGACTGACACGGAGGATTCTCTCAAGTCTTTACACACTGAAACACCCATAAGAGGATACCAAGATTGTGTAGAGTCTGTTATCGGTAAAGAGAACGAAGACGACAATGTGAATGCGGCTGACGGCGATGACGCAGAACCCAATGGCTGCGAAGGCAACAGCCGAACTCGACTAGACCGCCATGATTGGGAAACCATCCACCAACTCTCCGACATCGATTCAGGCGCATCCTCCACTTCATGGCTGACAACCCTGTTTGGAAGGAGCTCACTCAAGATAACCACCAAGTTATAACAAGCCTCTGCAGCGTCTTCAACTACATTGTATCCATGTGGCAATCCAAGGTAATCACGCCGAGCGGTATATTTTTCCGTGTACCTGCTATAGGCACGCCGGCACGTTGGCAGGAGGATGACGCGCACACCATGCGTTGAGCAGTGGCATTTATTGAATACCTGCACTAGGACATCAAGATTCCCATTCCAGAAACCAGTTGCTCAGAAGAGGATCCAGACTTCTGGGATTGGCGCGCCTTATCTTCTGACGAAGCGTTTGCCTAGCTAACCTGCGCTTCATCACTGGTCCGAGAGTCGAGGCATCGCAACTACAGGACCGCGAATTGCGTTTCCCCGGAGAAGGAGGCTGTGTATCGTAATATTTTGACCTCGTTGACTGATTTCATGGCGTAGTTGCAGCACTGGCGGTTCGAGAAGCTTGGGATGCCGGATCTTACCAAGACGGTATATATGGGTGATGAACCAGTCACTATGCACGCGTACTGGTGGAAGGGTCCAGACCAGATGACTCGAGGCGATCTCGAGAGCGAGATCAAGTACCAGTACAGGCCGTTCGAGTCGAGCAAGGTGTGTATACCGTTGCAGCTAGAGGAGAAGTACTGATCGATCCCCAACCCATAAGACGACGACGATCCATACGTGCAAGACACATTCCACGGAATCCGCAAGATACTCGATGTAATCTACACCATGCCCCCATCACCTCCTGCTCCGCCTCCCGCTCCAAGATCAACGCGTCAGACCCCACGAGAAAGAACCTTTCGTACTCCGACATCCATACCTAGATCTACAAAACGTACTCACAGACGACGTCGGAAACGCCACGGGTATGCAAGATTGGGAAGACAGCCTCGCATTGTCCCGCTGTATCGGCTACACCGCGACTGGACATATTCATTCTCGCCATGTAACTCCACACACATGTCGTGGCAGATGGGCGCTTTGTCGGCAATTCTACGCTGTGTGCAACTGGCTGCCTAGACGCACAGTATACGCGCAAGTTCGCCATGTACCGCGCCATTGCTGATACGGTGAAAGCCCGTGATAATCAGACTTGCTCAGTGCTGGATCTGGTTAAAAAATCCGTTGCCGGGGTTGCCGTCTACCGACGTGTATGAGTTTAGCAGTATTTGTGGAAGGGATGACCAGAGGCAGAAGAATACTTGCGAACTAAATATCGGAAGTTGCTAGATCTTCTGACCCCGATAATTGGGGCTTTCTATCTATCCATGTGGTGTACTCGTTTTGCTCTAAGGGGGGTAGATCTGTATGTTGCTTGAAGTGTTTTGGGATATTTGATTAAGCTTAGTTCCTTTCTGATCGGAAATCATGAAAGGGCCTCTGTAGGTAAGGGAAATTGGACGATACAAGACATACTCAAACGAGAATATTATAGATTGCTCATCAGGGTATCAAAAACTGACGAAACCAAGCTAAGACCATGCTCACTTACTGGATCCGCTGTTCTCCCCAACTGTATCTCTCCCCTGTAGCACCCTCTGCCGATGCTCTTCTTCGAGCAGGCTCTGCTTGCGCACGTACTCCATAACGATATCTTCCTCTGTCTTCTGCTTCTCTAACTTCTCCATGCGCTCCTTCTCCGCCTGCTCACTCTCTTCAAGCACTTTCTTCAGCTCTGCATCGTCATCGTCATTATTTTTCGACTGCGCACTTTGCTGTCCACGGGGCTGGGGTTGGGAATTGGCTCCAATAGCCTGACTCATCGCCTCCATGACACCACTTTCTTGGGCACCAGAGTGAGTCTGGTATTCCTCTGGGTGGTTGGCGTGGAGATGCGCGAGCTCCTTGGACTCGGCGATGATCCTTTGGAACTCCTCATCCTCCTCCGTGTCACTATCTTCATCCCACTCGGTGTCGCTTCCATGCATCCTCCTTCGGCCTGTTTCAAGTATACTCTTCCGTAGTGTCTCTTCGAGAGCCTTCTGTTCTTCCTCCGTACGATTGGTTTTGCCCGCTTCTTCCATACTAGCCTGCATTGCGCGCTTGAGAAGCTCTTCTTCATCTTCTGCACCCGCATCTGGAGGTGCACGCTCGAGCTCTGCAATTGAGGCGCGTATAGCGGAAGCAATGAGTCTGTCATCCTCGGGATTGCCGCGCGAGGACTCAGCAACGGAAGCAGTAATTGCACGCTCGAGTTCGCGTTGCTCGGCTTCCTCTTCAGCAATGAGTTGAGCTTCGAGAGCAATCTGAGATTGCTGGGATCGGGCGGTGTCAGGACGAGGAAACGTTGCTGCGTGCTGCTGGGGCCTTAAGGACGCCACTCGTGCGGCCTCTTTTTGACGCCAGCTGGGAATCGTGGAGCGAATCTCAGGCTCAGTTGCAGCACTGTCATGGCTTACACTATGCTCGAGGTGGAGATCTGAAGAGCTGCGGTGCTGGCTCGTGTTCGGTGAGAACGAAGGATCGGCCTCTGGCTTCAAGTGTGAGTTTACCCTTTCCCACCTCTCAAGCTTTCTCTTCTTTTTATCTTCGACGAGCGACTGAAGTGAGTCCATTTTCTCTGCACCAGGGTTTCTCTTCTTCTTGATGCCAACTTTGACGTACTTCCAACGACTCAGTATGTCATCACTTTCTTGCGTAGTGATTGACGATGCTTCGTCGTATCCTTGCGCAATGCGTGCCGCGATGATGTAGTTCTGCACGCTCTTACCCTTACTCTTGATCATCTCCTGGTACAGGCCTTTCATGGCATAGCCCGGAACCGACCATGCACCGCCCATGACGCGGAACGGAACGCTCATGATACCGCGACCAACTCCTTTGACGAAGCCAATGCCACCTTCCTTTTTCGCTCCTTTGTAAGGATCAGTCACAATGCCAGTAATCCCGTCGTAAAGTCCAAATCCAAACTCCTGTAAGAAACGTTAGTATGCGAAAGATGCGTGTAGTGTAGTGGATTGTACCTTGGCAGCTGTTCGCAATCCGCTCTGCAAATCGGTGACTTTATCGACCTGCCTGACCTCTGCGCCATAAAGCTTCGGCACATTATGAAATCCTTTGGCGACATTCAAGGAGAAGTCCATCGGCGACCTAGAGGCGGCACCGATGATCCGAGCCAGACCTCTTCCAGTGTCCATAGCCGACTCAACGCTTTCTGCCAAGCCTGGTTGTGGGTTTTTGGCTTTTGATTCTGCCGCTGAGACTGAGCTAGCTCGGCGGCGGTGGCTATCAGCCGACTCGGAAGCTTCAGGCGAGAGCTGTCGGGCACGCTCCCTCGACGAAGACCGTGAACCTTCTGTAGATTCTGCGAACGCCTGAGACATGAAGGTCGATCTGTGTGTAGGAGTCCCAGGAGTACCTGGACTGGTCATTCCTGTATTGTTGGATTGGGTGTGCGATAAATCGTTGGAATTGCTTTGGGTTTGAGTAGCTGTTGGGGTACTGGTGCCGCTCACTGCAGACGGTTCTGTAGTACTTGTCGTGGTTCTCGCTGTCCGCGGACGACTAGTGCCGCTCGATTCTCCGGTTGAAAGGGTCTCGGTACTTGTAACCTTCTCCTTACCCTTCCGGGACCTGGCATCGGGGTGAATTTGAAGCAGTTTCAGGGTTTGGATGGGCATGTCGGCAACGCCCATCATCATTGACGTCGCTGTACCCATCAAAGCACCTGCAGCACCCGAAACGGGATCCCAAGGACCTTCATCTGGGACAAATTCTCGCGCCCGGAATCTAGAAGTGTTAGTCGAGGGTCTAATGTAGACACATGGTGACATACAGCTTCAATTCAGAAAAGTTGACTTGACCCTGCTGTGCAAGCACAGTTGCTGCTTTGGCGCTCAACTTGGTCTGCGTCCGCTTGATCCTCCAGACAGCCGGCTTGCTTGGTATAACTGCACATCGCATCTCGTCGTAGTGGAGCATCTGGTGAAAGGACTGAGCTCCTTTCTGACATCCATCTTCTTGTTTGATCTTATTGCAAAGCTCTTGCGCTTTGTCAAGGGACTCTGGCTTAAGAGCTTCATTGATAGCTCCAGCCAGCTTCTCAGCTGTGAGGTCTTTGTAGGGGATTGGATCTGGCCCAGCACCTGCTCTTGAGACCATTGCTCCCCAGAAAGCCTGATCTCCAAAGAAGGGAATAACGACTGTGGGCTTTCCCGCCGCGATACCTGCCGCCGTAGTTCCAGCACCGCCGTGATGTACCACAGCAGACACGCGTTTGAAAAGCCAGTCGTGGGGGCAATTACCGAGCATAAAGACACCTTCAGGCTTCCCAAGCTCGTCTGCGCCTAAACCACCCCAGCCTTTAGACACCAGGGCGCGTTTATTAGTCCTTTTTACGGCGTCAAAGATCATTGCGGTCATCGCGTTCGGATCATCTACTACGATAGAGCCAAAGCCAATGTATACAGGTGGTTCCCCTGCATCAAGGAAGGCTGCCAGATCCGGATCCGGAGTGTAATTTGAGGCGAGGTTGAGGAAGTAGAATCCAGCGACAGAAATATGATGGGTCCAGTCCCTTGGTTTTGGAATGAGGGCTGGTGACCTAGGTAGCGTGAGAAACAGCTAAAATTCAGTAGAGCAAAAGGACCTACCAGCAATATGTAAATGGAATTTTCAAGCGTGCAAGCATGGCCGGAGCCCAGATGGCGCTAATGGGATCCAAGCGAAGGCTGTCTTTGCGGAACCTGTTGATAACATCGCCCAAGCCCTGCCATGTGAGCACGTCCACCATGAGGTAGGACATGTAGTTTGTGATAGTAGCATCTGCATTCGACGACTGGATGTTGGCAAGTGGGTGAGGGAATTGCTGGGTAGGTGACCAAGGCATTCTGCGTTCGGGTCAGTATAGGCATCGCCAACTGGGGAAGAAGAAACAAACGTGAACATGATATGCAGTGGAATACCCAACTTCTCGGCACAATGTATGTGTCCAAAACTTGGGGGGTTCGCAATGATAGCATCAGCAACGAAGGGCTTCCGCAGCTGCTCGGGCAATTGGTCCTCAATGCCCATCCACTCCTCCACCGTCTGCTGGAGAGGATCCACACCGAGGCCGTTACCCGTCTCAATGCACGATCTCCACGTCCCTTGTAGGATCTCTGCAATGCCTTTCCTCCTCTTCCCAATGTCTCCACTACGCAGCGTATCAAAGCCAGGCATCAAGCCGGGGTTCTTGACCATAAATGCCATGAGCTCGGCCGGATCGCCACCAATACTGAAGAACTCGAGTCCATTCTCAATGACGAAATCTTTGAAAGTAGGATGTGTTGCTAATCGGACGCGGTGGCCATATGTATCCTTCAGCACCTTGCCTAGCGCTACAAATGGCTGTACATCGCCTCGCGAGCCCACTACTTGTATGACAACATTCAGCGGCGGTGGTGGTTCTTGCCCTGGCGCACCGCCCAAGAACTCGGGGACATAAGGTGGAGGAGGTGCGGGCTCATGTAGGGATTGAGAGAGCTGGCGCTGGATTTGCGGGAGGATAAGCTGGGAGAGGGCGCGGCTCTTTGAATCGATGCGGATATTAACTCGGCCGTCTTCTGCAACTACTGCATTTGTGCCCAGGTCGTTGTTCTCGCTCGATATCTGGCCAGGAAGCTCCGTGTACGCGGGTGGGGGCAGGTCGTGCGCCGCAGGCTCATGCTCGTGAACTTGATTGGGATCGAATGCATGGTGGGAGTTTGAAGGGGTGCTGTAGATTGCGTCAGTGGGTGAAGCTTGCCCTGTGTACATGGTACAGACTGACGCAGTGTGTGCTGGTGCTTCAGACGGGCGGTAGGCGCCCGCATACGCCGAACCTTCTGGCTTGGTCCCCGATTGTGATGTAGCATTCGACTGCGATGCGCCCCCGGCAGCATCACTAGGACGGCCTGCTGCATTTTGCTCGGTATATCCTGGCGGTGGTTGTGATGGTGGGGCATCACGGCGGGGCGCGTCATTGCCCTGCGCGGCGTTGTTTGAGCTCGACATTGCGGGCTGGGAGGAAGAAGGCTATCTTGAAGACATGGCAGCAGAGAAGAGTCAAGACGACGGTGCTAACACTAAGACTGGACGGCTTTCAGGTGCAAAGAAGCCTGATATCCACCATGGAGCGCGCGCACGGGGTATGACACGGATGTTACGGCGATATCGTGACGTGATTGGTGTGATGCAGCCACCATGTCTGGCTTCGTCATCGCCTCTTACGCTCTATGCAATCACAATGCGTTCAGGGTAAATCTCAATCACTATCAAAAATAATCAAAAATACACCTATGGGTGCTGTATCGTTGCCGAATCACGCTTACTCGGCCGATGAGAATGCATAAAGGATCGATATCCCTGTGCCACCCTGGAAATCGACGAGACATGGTTTGCTGAACGAACAGGCTTGTACAGGAATCACTGGAGTTGCGGGCATTTCGGTGTATTACGCACTACCTTATACGTGTGTTAACCTAGGTCAATAGTCTACATAGGGAGCGTTGGCTATTCGTATTACTGGTGTGAGTAGTTGGTTGCCCATAACAACTACGTATCCTAGCTTCGCTACAAGAGCTCGAAGATGGACTAGTGAGGAAGCATGCAATATCTTCTGGTCTCATACCACCTTTAGTTCAGCTGCCCATGGCCTTCCCATCCTATAGCACGAAGCGTCTCCACGTTCGATATGGAATGCCCCATCATATCTCGCACCTGGGGAGACTGTTTCAGGCGTTTCAGTAAGATCGAGGTTGTTGGCATACCAGTTCTACCTAGTATCAGTGCCTCGTTAGCCAATATTCAATGGCCTTGGAAAGTAATGGGCTTGATACCATAGATGCGACCATATCGACAGGCCTTCCCACGCCTGCCCACGTGGTGATTCGGTTGCGGAACTTGTCTGATCCTCAAAGCTCTGGCTTTTGTCATCCATCTTCATGGTGTCGTTTTTGGCAACACCTCTCTTCTGGGCCACTGATGCTTCTAGAGAGTCCTTTGCCAGCCAGACAAGCTGCTCGGCTCTAGTCGTCTGCCTTTCGTCCGTAAGCCGAGCGCACAGCTTATCGATTATTTCGCCCTTGTTTGCTGTTGTGTGTGTAGCTTGACGTTTGGTGACAGCCTGGCCGGCACGCATGTAGCAATCGGGTGCCGAGCTCCCAGTGAGTGTTCGAACTGGGGTGGATGAGGCGCGCTTGAGATCGGAGCGAATTCGCTGAAGAGGGAATCTAAACATGACGAATTGCACAAGGTGAGGCACAGGTAGAGAGGTGAGACGATGGATAACGTTGCGGTTGGGCGGTCTTCGAGTGTCAAACGCGTAGTTGAGGAGCAAACGAGCAAACGAGAAAGACGGATACTTAGGTTGCTGATTATATTGTGGGAGTTGGGCCAACAGCAGGTGAGGCTGACCTGCTTACTCTTCTGCGATAGACACGACATCAAGGAAGGCGCCGCCTGTGATGATAAATTCGACTTCGATGTCTTGTTCCATGGTTGAAAGGCAAGTACGTTACTTGGTCCATTCAATACTTTGGCCCCGCTTTGACCTGGAATCGGATGGAGCATCCAGATCGTCGCCAGATGTGCTATGGTTATTTCCTTACAGCTATACAACCAGCGTCGGGTCCCCTGTATGTGGATTGCCTACTGTAATGTTGTTGGAACGCGGAGGTGACTTTGGGAAGGAAGGCGGGATTGTTTACACTTTACCCTCCTCGGTCTAGTGTTTTATATCCCTGCAACGACCCGGAGCTTGAACCCTGGCGCGTCATCCCCACCATCACACGTCAACGAGAGGACGGCGTTGGCTTGTTGTGAAACACCAGACGTGTTGAGCATCTTCCCTTCAGACTATCTTCCAGCTTGATAGGGCTGGATCAAGAATGACTCGACGCTAACGAACGCCGCGCATCTCGCCGTTCAGCTCCCTTCTTCGCGCCACAAGCTCTAAGCTCTATATATGAAGACCGCCTGCCCTCGAGATCCTCAATAGCCATTGCACACCAACACACATCTCCTTCTGCTATTCTTGGTTGAAGCTCAAAACAATGTCGCCTCGACATCTTTTGGTTGGAGCAGTCTTGCTCGCTTCTTCTATGGCATGGAACACAGACGGTAGCATTCACACGTTCACAGGCAACATCAGCCTCGACGCTAATGGCATGCAGTTCACAACCAGATCGGCTTCATGGCCGAGACTTTCTTCCTTCCCGAGACTTCATCCGTTCTCGCTAAGATACTCGAACCGCAATACAACGGCTCCGTCGGACGTGCAGCAGCATGGGCAGATGCATATGCACATACTGACGAAGGACGCTTCTCCTACCAGTGGCATTGGATAGACACGCACGACCATGCGCCAGAACACTGCTACCTAGACTACGCTCACGATTGCGCAAAGGGCGGATGCGTTGTTAGCGCCATTGCGAACCAAACGGGAATACTGCACGAGTGTATAAGCGGTGTGAAGAGTGGTTCGTGGAGTGGCGGCACCAACTTGACCTGCTCTTACGCGTTGAAGTGGGTCGCTCACTTCCTAGGGGACATCCATCAGCCTCTACATGCCAACGGGAGGGCTGTGGGTGGGAATACCTACAAGGTGACGTTTGGAAATGTCTCGACCCAATTGCACGCTGTACGCTCTCTTCTCTTACGTTCCAACACATAAAAGCTGACTGCTATAGGTATGGGATGGCTACATACCGTACTTTGCGGCAAACGTCAGCAAGCCATTTTCTAACCAGTCCATTGATCCATTCTTCACCGGCCTCGTTTCTCGCATCCGAAAGAATCAGTTCTATGAGGCACCATACATGTGGCTTGCCTGTAGTGATCCTTCAAAACCAGAGGAGTGTGCAACACGCTGGGCAAAAGAGAGCAACAGGTGGGATTGCGATTATGTGTACAGCCGAGTTCGCAATGGCAGCGATCTTGGTACAGATGGGTACGCAACAGGCGCCGTTCCCATTGTAGAGTTGCAGATCAGTAAGGCCGCATTTAGGTTGGGAACCTGGCTGAACAAACTTGTCGAGGGAAATAGATATAGCCGGGAAGCACAGGATATCCTGGAGCTTTAACGATCAACGATGCGGAAGAATTTATCCTCAAAACCTCTAAGAGGTCCTCGGGACGGCTCTGCTACGACCGTGAGCTTCTCACCACGGCCCCGACATCATTTGGAACTGCAATGTGTGCTCTGTGCATGCACCGCAACATCGCCAACTTTCACATCCGTATAATGTGCAAGACGTTCCTCGAGAAGAACGAGCTGAATGCTAGGAACCCCTTTGTGCTAGCCCTCACAAACCATATACGCAAGCAGTTACAAGAACAGGCGCTCGTGTACTTGCAAGAGGTTTTACCTGCGAAGGTGGTCACTGGCTGCGTTCTCGATCATTAGTAGGCGTGAAAGTACTTTGGATATTTTCAGGTCGAACTGCGAGTGCAAAGCTTATTAGAGTCATCCAGCGGCCTTTGGATAGACTATGTAGTCTAGCAGCGTGAGTCCAGGGGTAGTACGGTCGACCGTATGGAGTTCTGTCAACATACTCGGTGCGCTTTTACATATATAATCTAGAGTATCTGCTAATACTACGGAATCACGCGACGGTGTCACACCAACTTCCAATTAACATACAGAATGCTCCTCCTATTCCAGACTAGCCTCAGCACTCCATTACTAACTACTAACTGACATATTCTATTATACCACTTTACATCAATACCATGATACGCGTTCGCACGCGTGGCGTGTAGGACTCAGCCCTACGGGAAGGCTGCGGGACCCCACATCGGCACATCCACGCTTCCCCACATACGCCACATACGCCCTGCATCAGCACTAGACTCCCCATGAACCCGGTCTGACCTTGATATCTTGTTCTTCAATCTCATCTGTTTTGGAAGAAAATAAGAAGAAGGAGAAACAAAAGAAGAGCCTATACATAATGACGTTTGACGATTTAAAAGACAAGATCACACCCGCAGTATGTATCTCCCGGCCCCTCATGTAAACGATACAAATACACTCTACTTCAACAATAATCCTCACATTTCTAGAATCCTAGCCGCGAAACCTCACCAAATCGCGGCTCCTCCGTCCCTCAACTCGAAGCCATACCCAAACCCTGCAAACCACTTCGCCAATGGCAGCAAGAAGCCAACATCGACCGCAATGCCCAAATCAAATTAACCAAGCTGGCGCACATGCGGTATCAGCACCCAGACCTCGATGAAATCACGACGTTCCTGCGAGACTTTGGCATGACCGTAGCGAAAAAGACAGAAGGAAAGCGCTGGTACCGCGGCTACGGCTCAGACCAATACGTCTACTACGCACAAGCCGGCGCGAAGAAATTCCTCGGTGGCACATTCGAAGTAGAAAGTTATGCCGAACTAGAAAAAGCCTCCCAACTACCGGGTGCAAGCGGGATAGAAGAATTGACCGACGCGCCAGGCGGAGGCTACTTCGTGTCGCTGAAGGACCCAGAGGGATTCCTGGTGAATCTGATTCATGGCCAGGAGAAGCGGGAGTCTGGTCCATTTCCGGAAGTCCTAACTACGAACTACGAGCAAGACAAGCCGCGAGTTGCGCGCTTCCAGCGGTTCACACCTGGTCCTGCGGCGGTGCATAAATTAGGACACTATGGCTTATGCGTAAAAGACTTCGCAGCGGAAATGGCCTGGTATACACGCACATTCAACATTGTACCCACAGATTTCTTATACGTGACTCCGCCCGTGGATGATGGTTCTGGTGGCGGAACAGGTGAAGCGACGCCGCAGAAAAAAGACGTAGCCATCTTCGCGCATATTGATCGCGGGCAGGAGTTCGTCGACCACCATACTATCTTCTTCAGTACGAATAAGACGAGTCATGTTCATCACTGCTCGTTTGAAGTTCATGACTTTGACACGCAGAGTTTGGGACATGAGTGGTTGGCTAAGAAAGGGTATACGTCAGTCTGGGGCGTGGGAAGACATATCCTTGGCTCGCAGTTGTTTGACTACTGGTGGGATACGACTGGCAATATGATCGAGCATTATGCGGACGGAGATTTGGTAAATGAAGATACGCCCGTGGGGTGGGGCGAAGCTGGAGATGAGAGTCTGGCGGTTTGGGGCCCGGAGGTGCCCAAGTGGTTTCTTGATTAGCGTGCGGTGTGGAAGACGAGGAGTCGAAAAGAATGTATGCAGAATACGAAGGCAAGTTTAGGGCATCTTGGTCAAATAGCTGAAACGAGTAAGAGGCACTTTGGAGTTGTAATATACTAGCGTGAGCTTGGCTCTATATTATATTCTATGAAAACATGCGAAACGGGTATTCCTCAGTCAAATCCTTGAACGCCATAGAGTCTCTCCCTGTCCTCTCAACAAGATATCACCCAGGCGGCTTCCCAATGCCTATCGACATCCGGATGAGCCAATGCCACCACCCCTCCCTCTGTCCCATCACTCTATTCAATTCCTCCACTCTATGCTCCACAAACTCGACTTGCCTCTCAAATTCACCTAACGCATCCTCCACGTCCTCGACCTTGCTCTTCAACGCATTGATCTCGTACTCCAGCTTATCGCCCACGTTGCCTAATTCTCTTAAACTCTCGGTCAGCTGGGAGCGATTGTTTGAGACAACGCCTTGCGTGTCTTCGCGAAGCGCATGGTAAGTGTCGAGGTGTGGGAAGTATATTGAGTCGAGGGTTTCAATGTCAGCGTCGGCTGAAGATTCAAGCTCTTTGATTTCCTTGAGCCGCGAAGATACCCATGTTGTGTCTGTGCTGGAGAGGAGCGCGAGTCGGTGGTGGAGGCGCTTGAGCTGCTCTGATTGCATATTGTGGACCACCATCCTGTTCGTCAATGTGATAGCTGTAGTATCATCCTCTTCGATTGCTTCTTCATCCACGTCTCCAGCTGTAATGCTGGTCCATCTGAGTACACTTTCCTCTGCAATACTCAATGAGAGATGGCGAGGCCACCAGGCATCGTTGCGAGAGGCATGGTAAAAGTGGAACTGATCCGCAGAGTGGGTGCGGCGGAGAAGAAGGGGAACTTCATGCACTTCTTCGACAGGGAGGTTTTCGTTGAGATCAACGCCATGGTAGATAGAGCCTGCTATAGAGCTTACTGCTGTTGGTGGCTGCGTTGAGGCGTCGCTTTCGGCAACAGAAATGTTTAACGCTAATGGCTCGAGATGGTCGTGATGACTGCCGGTTGTTCGATCAACTGCCAATGTGCTCGCCGAGTCACGCGGTGTTTCGGTGAGAGTTTTGGCGAACGTACCCGTAGGCATGGGTTGAGGGGACATGACGAACGAAGGATCGTTCGAGTGATGGGCCTGATCGACGGATGTCTGCGTGCTGTTGTTGTCCATGTATTGTAGCGATTTTATGCTACTCTTTGTTTGATGTAACCCGTGGCGTCCATGTTCCTCTCTTGACAACTTACTCGCATGAGTTCGAAGACTAACGGCGTTCTTGATATGATGAAAGCCACTGCCAGACTCCAGCTTCGCCTTGATAACAGCTCGCTTCGAAAAGGCATCTTTAGGGTCCTTGTCTTTTTCTAAGCCATCCGGTGTGAATATCTCATGTTTCGTCAACTCATCAGACGTTGGTTCGCGTTTTATAGTACGGTCTTGCTCGAGTGTTGTTTCTCGTCGTAGCGGCTTGATAGCGTGGTTGTTTTTATCTGGTGAGATAGAGCGCTCTTCGCCAGGCAGTCGGTCGAACATATCCCCTGATGATGACTTGCGCGGTTTCCCATGCCATAACCACCTGGCATGTTCTCCCCTAGCAAGTTCGACAAAGCGATCGATGTCAACAGTCTCCACCTCGGCGATGCCATCTTTCTGCCCAGCCCCGACGATTCCCATGACCATCTCACCGCCTTTGCCTCCAAGCTCGGTCATGGTCGATTTGAAGGCTCGGGGCACAGCCCAACCTTCTTTGCTAGCTGCCTTGGCTGTTGCTCTTCGTAATTTGTCCAAAGTCTGCCTGTCCAGACGTCGCGTTCTGGGGAGATGATGTGATTTCTGAAAATGGGCGATGCCCCGTTTCGTACTCTCAATATCAAAGACGTCCTTGGCGACCGCCGAGCTGCATGCACCCAATCTGTTACGTGCCCCCATCAGCATACCTAATAGTGCAGCGACAGTTGTAGGACCAAGGATACCGTCGTGCGGTTCAACTGTATAGTATTCGGCCCCGAGCTCAATCCACCAATCGTTGATGGCTTTCTCTGTGACGTCGCAGAGCAGTCCGTCTGCATACTCAGGCTCGAGCTTGTCGAAAAGCACAAGGGCAACCTGGCAAAGCTTTACGAGCTCTATCACGGACGCGTTGAATGGGATCTTTTCGCTCGTACGATATAGCTGGTGGAACTTGGCCTGGGTCGCGCTGCTAGGCGGCGCGAGTTTGATCCCTAGCCGACCTGAACAACCCAATCTCTTCAGGTTCTCGTTGACAAAGAAGGATTCGCGGTACTGCTTCAGGTCGCCGCCTGGAATGGGAATGACAGTCAAGGAAGACGGGAAGCCACTCAGACTGGTGATCATGAGCACTCCGTACGGTGTCTCTTTCCTCCGCGCATGGTATTCGGTCAGTGAGCTGAAGTACAGACGCATCTGGGGCGACCACTTTTCCTCATCGGCAGGCACGCTTATTATGGTTGCCAGCACGACATCTTCGGCATTGCCAGTGTAGGTGGTGATGAGGAAGGTCGGGTGCGAACGAGAACAGGCCCATTGTTCGACTAGGTAGATCTCGTAGCCTTCGATCCTCTGGCGGCGAGCGAGCACCTCGCAGGTGGTACTTGGATCCTCTTCGATGTATCGCGCAGCCACGATGTCGGTCAGAACGAAGCGCAGGTGGCCTGTTGGTGGGGAGGAAGGCGAGATATTGGCCTCTTCGGGCATTTTGTCTGCGGAGGCTTTCGATGCTGGCTGTGAGCGGGATTGCGCTGTGCTCTTGCGTTCGATGGACGATGTCTGCGAGGGTGGCATCTGCCCGCGAAGCTCCGTCGGCGAGGACGACTGCGACAATGACAGAGGGAATGACATGACTGCGTCTCCCGTTTGATGTTAGACAAGTCGTCCTGTATACACGACCTAATTCCGTGAGAGCGAGCGGCTCATTTCGAGAAGCCAGGCCGAGAGAATCTCGGGCGGCCGCGCGCAAAGCAGCAAGTAGTAGACGACGTTATAACGGGAGAGGATGTTGTTTCTTGCAAGCTATGCATAGTTCTTGTAGGCTCGAGCTATGGGCAGCATCTGGAGCGGCTTCAAGTGGACGTACTGTGTGTGCATGGTCGTTCGTGTCTGGCGGCGTCTGCACGGAGGTCGTCGGCCAATGTTCCCCCACACGTCATGGCCGCGGCTATCCCTGCAGCGATCGCGAGCTAACACCACATTGAACCCCATCACGCCAGCACGACGGCCATGGACAGCAGCAGTGCCATCTGCTGGTCAGAGAACAGCTACTTACTCCAAACTGACGCTCACTCTACCACGCTGGCCATCAGCGAGACCTCATAGCCACTCACTACCCGCGCCGTGGACAGCCATGGATGACCTCCGGGAGCAGGTGGAGCTCTTCGAGAGCAGCGCCAACCTCGCAACGAGCATAAGCCAGGTGCAAAAGGCCATTGACCTTCTCACTGCAGCTCGGGCCAAGATTGCAGCGGGTCAGTCTGCTTATCGCACATGCATGGGTGCATCTACTGACACACGCACACGAGCAGATGCGAAGACGGCGCCCTTGACCCTCGCAAAGCTCCAGGACCCCTTCAAGAAGACGCTGGATGCTGCGCAGAAAGATCTCAAGCCCATCTATGCCGGCCTTAACAAGTATGGCAAGGCGCTGGACAGGGTGCGCCTCGTTACTCTAGTATTCACCCTCAGAGACTGACAATGTACCCAGAAATTCAAAGACAAGCCACTCCCCTCGGCTGAAAATGACGCCCTCTCCTCGCACCCCTCTCTCATCAACCGAGCCATAGCCATGCATCTTCTCCGCGAAGGCCAGTTCGGCGTCGCATCCACCTTCGTCGAAGAAGCAAACCGCCACCCGCCGCATCCCGAGCCCACCCTCAACACACCAAACCCGTATCTACGAGAGTCATGGGAGAAAGATCTAGCCGAAGGAACATTCAACTCTGAAAAGTTACAGCAGCAGTTTGCCCAAATGTACCATATCCTACACCAGCTCCGAATCGAGCGGAACCTGAAGCCCGCCATACAATGGGCGCGAGAACGAAGCGACATACTAGAAGCGCGAGGCAGCAATCTCGAGTTCGAACTATGCCGCCTGCAGTTCGTCTGCCTTTTTGTCGGCCATGGTCAACCAGACGATATCATGAACGAAGAAGAGAACGCCTCCGGTCCCTTGCACGCATGGAAGTATGCGCGCCGCATATTTGGAGACTTCCAGAACAGATACGCGCGGGACATACAGCAACTCATGGGCGCAATGGCCTACTGGGAAAATGTCGAGGACTCGCCCTACCAAAGATACTTCTACAATGACTCCGCCTGGGAGGAAGTAGCGCAGTCCTTCAATCGGGAATTCTGCTCTTTACTTGGCCTGAGCGCAGACTCACCGTTATTCATCGCCGCGACAGCTGGCGCTATAGCCCTTCCATACCTCCTCAAGCTCCAAACCATCATGAAGGAAAAGCGCACCGAATGGACGACGCAACACGAGTTGCCCGTCGAAATACCATTGCCAAGCCAGTACCATTTCCATTCCATCTTCGTCTGCCCCGTGAGCAAGGAGCAGACAACCGATACCAATCCACCCATGATGATGCCCTGCGGCCATGTTATTGCACAGGAGAGTCTGGATAAGTTGAGCAAGGGCGCGAGGTTCAAGTGCCCTTACTGTCCAACCGAGAGTCATCCTCGGGACGCGAGGAAGGTTGTGCTGTAGGATGCCAACCGCAAAATGAGGAGGAGGGCGGCTACGATCGATGAGGTGCTGCAGCTGCTGAGGAACTTGTTGGCGACGTATTTATAGCATTGACTCACGGCGTATAGGAAGGACACATTCGGGCGTTATGAGGAACTGGCGTTGGGAATCGACGGTGCGGGCTTTACTGTCTTTTGCGTCTGGCACTTGCTTATTATCTCTTTCTTCTGATATCATATTCTCTTAGAAGAACCAATACTATCCATACTCACTAAGCAAAGCAAGTAAAATGATCGAGCAAGGGTATTGCACAGCTATAGCCACTGTGTCAAATGATCGTTCAATTCAGTCAGTTACTTCAACAAACACATATCATGACAAAAGTTTGTCGATTTCTTATTATCTGCTCGCACACTGTAGCGCAATCGCTAACCAAGTTCACTACCATCGTCTGTCATCCCCTTTCATCCCCCCAAAACGTAAAATTGTTCGTCTAAGCTGGCGAAACAAATAGCCCCAAGCGCAATTTGGCGGGCTAGGAATGAAACATCTAGAAGAGAAAAGGAAAAAGAAATGCAGAAACACACATATCAAACCCTACTTGCGGAGTTCAATGGAAACCAGCAGATGCAACCCGCCGAAACGCCTCGCAATTTTGGGTTAAAACAAGAAAATGGCGAAGAAGCCCCCAGATTTATGGTGTTAAACAAGAAAACGCCGGAACACCCCGCAGATGATTTGGTGTATAGATGATGCGAATTACCAATCAAACTCAAAAGCGCAAAAGGACGAGTTTTTGGTGCAGTGCATCGAGCACAGCTTTAGTGTTGTACAATTTCTGACGCAGAAAGACATAAAACGGATGAAAAGGCAGTGACCCATCGATAGAGCTAGGCCGGTGGAGTGGACGTGAGCCTAGTCAAAGGTACGTCGAATGCATCGACCTGCCATACGAGACCGGCCGTGAAGGGTTGGAGCAAACTTTTAGTGAGGGCAGGCAGACCGAGGACTGCTGAAATCACCAAAAGTCAGCCATCCGCGAAGCGAATACAACTTTTATACAAAGCAAGGTAAGAACCTTAGCTTACATTAAGAGTCCACATGAAACATTTGAGGCGTGTCAGTAGTCCTTTACTGTTTGGGAGATCTGAACACAAGTCAGCGTATGCTTCAGAGGGTAGAGTCTACAACTATGGCCAGAGGGGACTTACGTAGGCGAATAACTATTCGCCGGGCCTGGCGAGGTTGGAGAGTACCGCGGCGAGGTTGGAGAAAAGCTACCAGCTGGGCTAGTCGGGCTATATCGCGGGCTTGTAGGGCTGTATTGCGGCGACGTCGGAGAAGTGGGAGATCGTCTATCGGTACCTGCCTGATACTGCGGGCTTGTGGGGCTGTACTGCGGTGAGGTAGGGCTGTACTGTGGCGACGTCGGGCTATACGCCGGCGACGTAGCACCCATAAACGAGGGTGAGGTAGGGCTGTAGTTTGGCGACGAGGGGGAATACTGTGGAGACGTCGGAGAGTAACCAGCGGGGGAGGTTGGCGAGTACGACGGAGATGTGGGAGAACCGTAGCGTGGCGAAGTCGGGGAGTAATGAGGCGATGTAGGCGACGCCATATAGCCCGGCGATGTGGCAGCAAAGCGTGGGCTGCTGATGCCCGGCGAATGTGGCGAATAAGCAGGCGAAGATGGAGAGAAGCCTGGAGAGACAGGGCTGGTGCCTGGGTATCCAGGAGACATGCCTGGGAAGCCTGGGCTTCGGCCTCCGGGGAAGGGGCTGAAACCACCACCGCCTTCACCATAACCACCAATGACAGTAAAGCCCCCTTCATCCCCACCACCCGTATGGACGAGGGGAGAGAAGGATGCAGAGGCATCGTAAGTGCCCATGCCCATGCCTCCTTCATAAGTAGGCGAACCCAGATCGTAGGGAGTAGCTGCGCCGTTATCGAGATAACTGCCAGCAGCAGCGGCACCACCCATCATCTTGGAATTGTCCTCGACCATGGTGAGAAGCATGGCATTATCCATGACCACGTCAAACTCTCCCGTACCCATAGGTGCAAGTTGGCCAAGCATAATGTTCTCGGACACACCGCGGCAGTCATCAAGCTCACCGAAGCCGGCAGCCTCGAGAAGAATCTCCACCGTCTCTTCAAAGGAACAGCGCATCAGTGCTCCTGTGTCGTTACGGTTGATACCGTGGCGGGTGATAGCCATGAGGAGACCGCGCTGTGTCATGATGTCGACGAGCAACGCCATGTGACGGTGATTGACGTAAGAACCATCGAAAGACAACACCATGCCCAACTCCTTAAGCAGGCCAGCACGAGCAGCCTCGATACCTAGGACACCAAGGATTTCGATAAATGAGTTGGAGTATGTCTTGGTTGAATCCACACCTTCGATGGCAAGGACTTCAGCCAGGGCAGTACCAGTGGTATCGAGTACCCACTCCTTGCAACGAGGATCAGACTTGGAGAGGATAAGAGACCTGTCGTCGTTCTCCACCACAACATTATCCTCTCGGATGAAGGCACGCTCCACACCACGGACACCACGCAAGGTAACGTCGTCGAGAAGATGATTCTCAAGCTTTCGCATCCAGCGCTCATCTCGCTCGTTTTCATCCTCGTCATCCTCCTTAAGGTTCTGGTCCCAGATAAAGCGGACGCGCATGACCTGTTCATCCGCATTCTCGTCACTGAAGATGACAGCAAGGTTAGGCGAGAATTCCGCCTTGATCTTACGGGCGACCTCGCCAATGGTGATAGTCTTGTCTAGCAGCTTCTTACGATCAAGAATGATACGAAGTAGCCATTTGGACTGCGATTCGATAACCTCGTCTTCTTCTGGGAGAATGAAGTAGGACTCAACCATGTCCTGATCATCCTCGACGATGGTAGACTGAATATCCGGATCGTAGTAGAGCTCGACAGCTTGCGTCAAAGAACGGAGCGTGGTTAGCTCAATGCGACTTCGGAGGAGCTTCGCTTCGTTCTGTCCACCTTTGGCGTCCAGTTGACGGACAAGCATAGACGGGGTCTTGATGTTGGCTGCGATGTTCAGGATCTCCTTCAAACGAGGTACACCGAGCGTGACATTCTTGGATGAGACACCAGCAAAATGGAAGGTGTTCAGTGTCATCTGCGTCGCAGGCTCACCAATGGACTGAGCTGCAAGCACACCGACCATCTCACCCGGAGCTACGGCAGCCTTGAGGAAACGATCCTCCAATTCGCCCAACACATAGTCTAGTGCCTCTTTATTCAAACGATGTGTTACGGCCAAAGGTTTGAAGGCAAGACGCGACCGCAGGTGGCACTTGAAGAGATAAGTTGCGCTAGCTTGGGCTTCTTTCGACAGAGCATCGTCGCCACGGATAACGACGAGTCGATCCAAAAGGTCTCGAACTTTGGTGATCACCTCAATGGGGTGCAAATTGCTCGCATCTTTCTGGGGCTTGATTTTAAATCTCGCCTGTGCTGACTCAATCATGCGCTGAATGTTGAGAGGCAGCTGAAATTGCTGGCTATCGTCTTGGCCAATGATCGTGCGCAGATACTCACGATCGCTCTTGATCTGCTCAAACTCTTCGTCCAGATAGCGCTGAATATCAACATCACCTTGGAACTCTGAAGCGCCCTGCAGCTTGGTGACGGGAATCTCGGGTTTGTCAGTGGTCAGAACATCCAACTTGTACGTCGCCTCGAATTTTGGCTCCGAGGATGTGATGATGTCCACCTTCTGCTTCTCGATATGACCGCCATCTAGGCCATCTTCACCGTAGATAAACTCGATGATGTCACCCATGGAGTTTCGCACAGTTCCATCGTATTTGACCATGACGTCTTCAAGCGCCTTGACCAAACGACGTTGGATGTACCCAGTCTCGGCGGTCTTTACTGCGGTATCGATGAGACCTTCACGACCAGCCATGGCGTGAAAGAAGAACTCAGACGGGGTAAGACCACGAAGATAAGAATTCTCGACGAAGCCTCGTGACTCAGGCGAGTAATCATCCTTGGTAAAGTGAGGTAGCGTCCTGTACTTGAATCCAAAAGGAATACGTTGGCCTTCGACGGCTTGTTGACCGACAAGAGACACCATCTGAGAGATATTGACAGTGGAACCTTTGGATCCAGAGATGACGGTCTGGACGACGTTGTTGAAGTCCTTTAGACTGTTCTGAGCTGCGGTACCTCCACCCTCACGACCTTCATTCAGGAACTTTTGAACCTTCGACTCAAATGTGCCTCGAATGGTCATACCGGGTAGAGGCTCAAGGACATCCTCGGTGGCTTCACCAATGATCGCTTCAACCTTGGCTTTTGCTTTGGCGACTTCTTCGGCAATCTTATCCGAGGTCTGCGGATCCGGGACCGTATCGCCGATACCCAGACTGAAGCCATGATGCAGTAGCCACCAATTAATAATGCGCTGACAGGCGTTGAAGAACTGAACAGCGGCCGACGAACTGATCTCGTTGAAAATGATGTGGATGACACCCCCAGCTGAAGCACCAACGATCTTCTTAGTGACGGAACCAAATATGAGTTCGCCGCCCATGATACACAGGCTCTTATCGACCAGGTCATTCCATGCTGAAGGCTCCGCATCTTCGTCGGGCCTGAAGATGTTGACTTCTTTCGCAATGGCCATGCTAATGATTTGTTTGCCGCTCCAGAGAGCATGGGGCTTGAGGATGGCAGGTTCTGGAACGATACCATCCCAGTCTGGCACCCACATCATAATGTTCATGACCTGTTCAATGGGAAGAAAATTGTCGCGACGACTCATCTTGTAGATACCAAGCAGGGTATCCTGCACGATACCCATCAGAGGCTGATTCTTTTGTGGCGACACGATCTGCTTGGGAACCATACACAGATTCTGGATCTCAGCTCGAGTTTCGTCGCTCTGGGGGACGTGCAAATTCATCTCGTCACCGTCGAAGTCGGCATTGTAAGGAGATGTGACGGACAAGTTGAGACGGAAAGTCGAATAAGGCATGACCTTGACACGATGGCCCATCATAGACTCCTTGTGCAGAGACGGCTGACGGTTGAAGATGATAACATCATCGTCATCGATGTGGCGCTCGACCTTCCAGCCGTACTGTAATCGCAGATCGTCGAGATTCTTATTGTGCTTTAGATCGAGACGTACACCATCCGCCTTGATCACGTAGTTGGCACCCGGATGCTGGTTCGGGCCGTTGCGGACAAGGGCCGTAAGTTTGCTGATGTTGAACTTTGTGACGACTTCCGGGTATGTGAGAGTGCGTGCAATGGAGCGCGGCACACCGACCTGGTCGAGAGACAGATTGGGGTCACCGGTGATGACAGTACGAGCGGAAAAGTCGACACGCTTGCCCATCAAGTTACCACGCAGACGACCCTCCTTGCCCTTTAATCGGCCACGGATGGTCTTTAGAGGACGGCCAGATTTCTGCATAGCCTGGGGAACACCATTGGCATCATTGTCCATGTAAGTGGCAACATGGTATTGGACCAGCGCTTCGAACTCGGTCAGAATGTGCTGAGGCGATCCTTCCTGTATACACTCTTGTACACGACCGTTGGCTCGAATGATATCGCCCAGCTTGTAGGTCAAATCGTCCTCTCCTCGCATACCCTGACCTGTACCATCAACAGAGATACTGGGGCGCACCGGAGGCGGCGGTACGGGCAGGACAGTGAGAATCATCCACTCGGGGCGGGCGTAGTCGGCGTTCAGACCCAGAAGTTGGAGGGTGTTGTTGGAGAGGAGTTTGAAGATGTTGAGGGCAACCTGCGGGGTAAGGACCTCTTTGCGGTCGCCCTGGCCATCGTCATCCTCCTTCTTCTTGGTCTTGAAGGTCGCTGTCAGCTTGAGGCCCTCCTTACGAATGGTATCGGGCTGGTTGCTGCCGCAGCCGCCGTGTGCAATCTTGGGCGCCTTCTTAGGGTCATCCTCGGCTGAATCCTGCTCGCAGAGGGTCCGTGTCCTAGACATGCGCCATATTTTATCAAAACGCTTCTTCGCATCCTTGGTCTTCGTGGCTGAAGCCCAGTCTGGATGGTTCTAGAGAGTCCAGTCAGCATATATATTCCATGATCTGATTACTTCGTCTTCACACAGGAAGACTTACGTAGTCAGCCAAGATCAGGCCACAATTGTGGCACACCGTCTCGAGGATCTTCTTGATCTTCACGACGAAACCTGCACCAATTAGCATGCTTGCTAGATGGGGTGGGGGGACAGAAAGAATACGCACCGACGTGGAAGACAGGCGTGGCGAGCTCAATGTGGCCAAAATGACCAGGGCAGACCTGGATATCCTCCTTGCACGTGGCGCACGAGTACATGCGGTCGATAGTGCCGAGCTTGGGGTCGTTGAGGCCCTGCTCGCGCGGCTTCTGCTTTTGCTCGTCCATTGTCTCTGGGTAGATGATGTGGACGACGCTCATAGCCTTGATCTCCTCGGGGGAGAGCAGCCCGAACTGGATCTCCTTGATGGTCCGGAGCGGACATTTGGACACTGCTGGCGCGCCGGGCGGCATGTTGGCGGTGTTAAAGGAGCGTTGCGGGTGAGAGGGTCGCTGGGGACGACTTTAGCAGTCGGGGTGGTGAGAGGGCGCGGAGGCCACACCGGGCACTTGGTTGACGGGGTGAAGCGTGTTTTCGTCTGCCGGCGTGTAGGTGTATCGCGTGGTGCCTACGCCTGCAGTAGGATGGATGCGCCGCGCGCGCTGGAACTGATGCGGGTTGAAGAATAACACCTGATGGAAAAGGGCTGCACGGACGGGGGCTCGCCGTGTCGCGCCTCGAGGTGGGAGAGGCCTGCGCGCGAATTGGAAGCACTCCGGTGAGCGCAGACGGGTTCGGCGAGGTGGAAGACGCGCTCGCTGATAGCAGAACGGTCGGTAGAGATGGTGGGGTGGTGGGTGGAGAGGGTGTCGTGCTAAAGGGCTGAGACGATGTTCTCAAAGGCAGAAAGAGGCGACAAAGGACGCCAAGAACAATGGCTTTGCGCTAATGTCAAAGCGGAGCCTCACCACCGCCCGCGCGCGCCACGCCTGGCATTTGTGTGTGTGTGTACCTACATATCGTCTTCATTCACTCTGCGCGCATGGACAGTCGCCGCCTCTGCGAAGATGCTGCCCACTGAGCCGCGTGCCCTGCTCCACCATGAATCTGTCGCTCGTTGACCCCTTCATCCTCGCGCAGGACTGCCCTGAGGTCATCACCGGGCGCCTTCGTGAGTGCTCCCCGCCATATCTACATTCACCTGCACACACATATATATATATATATACATATACTGACCAGAGCGTGCAGGCAGCGGCCATTCGACATCGATTCGCTTCAGCCACCGCGGCGACCTACTCGCATCTGGACGTGTACGCGACTTGCACACCTCTGCATGTGATTTGGCACTGATTGTGCCCTAGCACGATGGCATCGTCGTCATCTTCGACATCGAGACAAATGGCGTCGCACGCAAGCTCCGCGGCCACACGCGCCAGGTCCAGTCACTGAGCTGGTCGACAAGTGACCGCTACCTCCTCAGCGCCGGCCAGGACTGGAAGTGCGTGCTGTGGGACCTGAAGGATGGCTCCAGAGTGCGAACCGTCCGCTTTGAAGCTGCCATCTTCATTGCAGAGCTGCACCCAAAGAACCAGTTAGTCTACATACATAGGCCCTGTTCTTGTCGCTCTAATCATTGTCCAGTATGCTCTTCGTAGCCGCCCTCTTCGAAGACCAGCCCGTCATCGTAGACATATCCGCTCAAGTCGCCGTAAGGCACTCCTTGTCGTCCGCGCCCTGCCGCTCGCAATTGGAACGCGAGAACGCGACTGAGAAGCAGATAGCGCAGGATGCGAAGCAGACCACCACCATGACCCTCTTCACCCCGTCTGGCCGCCACATCATCGCAGGCACAAACAAGGGCTGGCTGAACATTATAGATACGGAGACGCGTCAAGTGCGCTATTCCTTTAGAGTCACCAACAACATCATCGTTTACATTCGCCTCACGCCATCGGGACGAGACGTCGTCATCAACTCGAGCGATAGAATTGTCAGAACCCTTCATTTGCCCGACCTCAGCGACCCAAAACTAGATTTCGACACACTGCAGCTCGAAGTAGAGCACAAATTCCAGGATCTCGTGCAGAAGCTGTCTTGGAATCATGTATCATTTAGCCCGACCGGCGAATACGTCACTGCGTCCACCTGGATGAATCACCACATCTACGTCTGGGAGCGTGGGCAGGGCAGTTTGGTCAAAATCCTCGAAGGCACCAAGGAGGAGCTCTCTGTAGTCGAGGTGCGTCCCAAGAATGCTGCGAATGCGCTATTGCTAATCGTCGACAGTGGCATCCGTTCCGACCCTTCGTCGCCGCCGTTGGGGTCGACTCGGGCCGCGTCTGGCTCTGGTCTATCCTCCAGCCCCAACGCTGGTCCGCCCTCGCACCCGACTTTGTTGAAGTAGAAGAGAACGTCGAATATATCGAGCGCGAAGACGAGTTCGACATTCAGCCTCTCGAGGAATTACACAAGCGGCGCCTCGATCAAGAGGATGAGGAAGTGGATGTTCTCACCGTAGAACCTGTCAAAGCATCGGCAACAGAGTTTGGGCCGACAATCGGAGACACAGACTTCAGTATGCCCATATTATTGGACATTGAAGCAAGCGACAGCGAGGATGAAGTCGTGGCGGTTGGAGCCGGTCAGTTCAGACGCCGTAGTCCTGGCGCTGGCCGAGAGTGGATGAATGATGATGAAGTGGGGGTTAGCGGTGACGAATCACGAAGAGCTAACGGTTCTACAGCCCAAAACGGCACGAAAAGACGGCGAGCAGGCTGACCGAAGCTGAATATTCGGAACAGACGTAGGGGAGATTATACAGGATGTAAGTCCAATAGAAGCATGCCCATCTAGTAAAACACAAATTGCGCTCTACGCCAAAAGGCGCGAGAGCGTGCGAGCAAGGAGGGACCAGCTACTGTTCGCAAAAGCGATTACCAGTATATTGCAACGAGTGCACTCAAAAGAAATCATTACTTTCCCCACCAACAAAATACTCGCACTCTGACGATCCGCTTACTTCATCCCGACTCTATTCATTGGCAAATCAGTGCTTCTCCCTCAACTTTTGTTGTATGTCACGCGTTCCTTCCTTTCAAACATTCCTCCCCTTGGTGCCCCGCCACCGTTAGCGCAAACGCGTCCCTTGTTTTGTTTATACCAAACGCGCGTGCTTCTTTGTTCTACTCCTTTGTTCTGTTGCACCATCCCCATCCCTGTTCGGGCGGCCTTTGAGGTAGCCAAGGGGTTTGATGTCGCGAAACATTGATATGTTGTTTAGCTAGGGATACTGGTGTGGTCTGATACATGTGTGAATAGATTCCAAGGGAGGTCGATTATTCGTAGTGCTTTCCTGGTAGTCGCTGGCTGTCATTGTTCCTGGGGGCCTATTCAGACCGTTATTATAAGCTAAGGTCGCTTGAGTGGGTGTGCGAAGACGAAGTACTATACTTGAGTGCAGCAGCTTTTCAACAATGAAGGCAAAGTGGTGTGTTGAATATGGAAGGCGTGACATTAAGACATTAGGGTCAAATAACGTTGACAAATAAACGACTAAACTTGAGATAATACTTGCATGGTTGTACTTTTCCGCTATCGATACCCGTCCACAAGTGAAGCTCGTGTAGAACCAGCAAAACGTAATGTACTAAAATGGATGTGACATCGTATGCAGTGTGGTTCCGTCGAGAGGAGAGCTTGTCTTAAGCTCTTCCTGATAGCTAGCTACATCATCCTGCCGAGCAGATATATAAAGGACTTCGAGAAGAGTGTCCATGCTAATCATAGATAAGTGCTGGACAAAACAGACCGGAAAGCCATCTCTGACTGTAATAGAGACGTTATAGTATGTTTTAACAATAAACAGATTGTTAACGATGTAAGTGGCTATGCATTCTTGTAAGTCATTACTGTCTTTTTTTACTACCTAAGCATTATGGATGTAAGTACTGCCTTTTGTAAATAGATATTAGGTCTTAATAAAAACGGCATAGTACGCGAGGCGAAGAGACCTAAGAGAAGTGTATCTAGATACGTAGTATATTTCCTTCGGGATTCCATAGCGTGATGGTAAGGTTGAATAGATAAAGAACTTGTCGATATTCTTTTTCTTGGTTCTATCGTAGAGGCGGCAATGTAACTAGAAATACCACTACTCTTGACTACACATGTAGCTAATGATTTTATAGTAGACTCTAAGCACTGTGCCTCTTCCTATAACCATTTACCCTTTTCTATCTCTGCTTGCTGCAGCTAATAATACGATAAAATTTAATATAAAAATAAAAATTGTAAACTCTAAATATGAACATAACATGAAGGTCGTTAGTACTAAAAAGAAGACATGATTCTAGTTATAGCTCACCTCCGCCTCTAATAATCAGCCTCAACTTGATAATACACTATCCCCCGACTAGCAGATCAAAAGTCTGAGCACTATTTCCACCGCATCTGAATTCCAAGTCTTTTATTCAGATACAAAAGGCTGCTTGCCCCGTTCCTTATAGTAATTAAAAGAACTCCTGCAGGTATCTACTGACACGATGAGACAATTTACAATTGCTCTAGTTGAATACTTCTGAGCTTATTCACGGGCCCTAATTAACTTCGTGGTTGGTGAGCGATAGAGTGGGCGTGCTTTGAAAATTTGCTGAGAGAGGGACTTGGATAGAGACTGGAATGCACTATAATACAGCCTATTGTTTTAGAGATGTTACTTAAGCTTACGACAGCTAGTATGCTTTAGGAAGGGGTGTGGGAGTTCTCGAGTGATACGGGAGCTTTAAAATCCAATTAGAAGACTGACTTGGATGGATCAAAGCGATGTGAGACATATAATTAGAAACTCAATGATCAACATGAAATTGAACAAAAACTAAGTCTGCATTCTTCACCAAATATTTTTTGCATGACTTGATCTCTTTTGTACATTCGCGCATGTCGCCTCCAGATAGTTTCTTCTGAGACTTCAATGTCGTATCTCTCCACACATTCTCAGATACATGGTCTCAATGCTTCTTAAATTCCAGCCTGAAACAGATCTCGCACCCAAGTATGCGAGTACGTACCACCACGAAGCTCTCGGGAAATGCAATCAACATACTGCACATCTTGACTCGTGAGTACCGTATCCTTCCTTCCATAGATCGACACCAAAAGCTGCTCATTCACCTCTCGCCATGCTTGCTCGAAAGTAGATAGATCGTTCCAGTCCAGGACGGGGAGTTGGGCTCCTTGACGACGGGTTCGGTGGAGTAGTTCGGTAATTTGAGCCTTAGTGGTGGAGCGGTAGGTTTCGGCTACGGACGTTGACCCAGTCGCAAGTTCTGAATAGGCTGTTGCGCGAGAGATGGTCATTGGTAGCTCGCCGACTGGACTCTCCATTGGCGGGATGGGGAAGGCAGCAAGCATAGAGGCCATGGATATATCTTGTGACGTGCTGTTCGCATGCGGTTCCGTTACGTCTTTGCGGACTTGCGCCTTCCCGAAAGGCTCGATGTGGGTAGAAAGACAGCTACCAGACGTTGCCTTTGTAACAGGTCGCGAAGGCCGATAATTAACCTGCGCAGTAATCAAACCAGGTCTAGGAGGCAGTGGAATTGCTTGACCGAATGGCAGAGGATCAACCGTCGAAGGCCTAGGACGACTGCAACGCATGGGCTTCGTATGAGTTGGATTACCTCGATTGTCGTGTGAGCCACTTTGGACACCGGACGCAGGATGTATATGCGCTTCGCTCTCATAGCTGAGTAGTGGGTGTTTGATTTTGTGTTGACTCTGCACAGCAGTACGAGGCGAGGAAGGCGTTGGTGCTGATTCTGCAATAACTGTATCTGGAGGCGGAGCCGATAGAGTATATGAGTATCGGTTCGGGCTGTCGGTGTCGCTTACAGTTGACGCTGTCTCTAGGAGTGAGATCTTGTCATCTAAACCAGAATCAGGCCAGACCCCGTCGGACGTTCCATCTTGAAGAATGTGATCCTCTTCACCTTCGGAACTGACTCCGATAGAAGCATCTCGATTCATCCTTTGAGTCTCATCTGCTTCATGGCTCGCGGTGGACGTATTCTCAAGAGCATCGAGCTCATAGGGGCCTGGTATATGCTGATTGTACGGCTGCCTAGATGCATATCTCCTGCTTCCATTGCGACTATTTTCCCGCCGTACAGCCTGCATGTCGTCCGACCTGTCGCCTTGACGAAGAACTCCCCCATCCACAATACCGAAGACGTCATCCGTACCAGCCTCGCGGTCGGTTTGGCGAGGACTCCTAGCAGAGTTAGCAAGAAGAGGATACAATGAGGTTGTTTGATTGATGGCAGTGTTTTGAGCCAATGGCAACGGGATCAAGGTTTTAGAGTGAATGTTGCGAGCAGGGGACGAGAAGGAACGCGAAAGATTTGTCGTGGTCGGCGTGGCGCTGCTTTCCCTCGAACTACGGGACCCGAGGCTAAGAGGGGCCGGTCGATCAGGTGCTGACAGAGTTAGCATCTTGATACAATTACATTCGCTATCGGTGAGCCTCACTGTCAGGTGGATAGCCCTTGTTCGTAGGAGACACCGAGCTCAGTGAGGTGGATCTTGCGGCCTCCCTCATAGCACGCTCCCTCTCGGCTCGAAAAGATGGAGGTAGAGCCTCAATTTTGGCGGTGACCGGCGAAGAAGTTGACCGACTCTTGATGGCAGGACCACGCCACGGAGTGGTTACGAGTGTTTGGATCTTGACGGCAGCGGCGTGAAGGGGTTCCCTAAAAGACACTTTGTTAGTCCTTGGTCTGACAAGACCCGATACCCCTCTTAAAGAGAGTGCGTTGTTGGCTGCAACGGGTGCTAAAAGACGAGAACGTTTGCTCTGACGGCTGTCAAGCACGCGATCGACTGGAGGTAACCCGGATACGCACTTTGGGCGGACATGCTGTACATCTTTCAGAAGCTTGCGCAAGTGGACGTTTTCGATCCTCTCAACATTATAACCCTGTATGTTCTTGTCAGTTCCCAATGACAACCACTCAAGAAACAGGCGGATCACTGACCTGGTCCAGATTCAACTCCCGAATGTGCTGCTTCGCAACATCGTAATGCTCTTCGCTCTCTTGGATCCAGTAGCCAAAGAGGGACAGGTGAACGTCTGCGATAGTTTTGTTGTATAGCTCTCGGGCCAAACGCGCAACGTCTTCAAGTGTCCAGTTGACGTGAAGGGAATGACCACGCTGGTGCTGACTGACGCCCGCATGGTCATGGTCTACGGATCCATTTGGCTTGACAGGGAGGTCGTTGCTGACGACCTGTAGCTGTTCAGGTTGTTGCTGCTGCTTGCTGTTGCCGCCACTCTCGCCACTTTTGCGCTCGCGCTGCTTCGTCGCGACGCTCTCCATGGTCGCTGCCGATCGTCGCGCAGGCCCGAGAATGGGAGGTAGCCCCAATCCGTACATCCAATAGGACTGATTCGTAATATGCTGGTGTATGATGGACAGCGTGAAGCTGTGACGTGCGTGGTTATTAATCTATGTGTGAAGCACTGATCCGCTGGCCATGGTGAAGGCGAGAGGGCAAGTAGGATGGCATAAGCGCGCCGCTGCCTTGGGCGCGGCAAGAACAACAAAGTTGGTGACTTGGAGGAAGTGAAGGTGAAGGTAGTATTGCAGACTAATTTCCCGCCCGCTGAAACGGCACAAGGTCAAATGAACAGATGAAGGAAGCACCCAAAAGTCTTGGAAGCAAAATACTACATATTCAATTTCGTCTAAGGTACAAAGAGGTGGGGGACATATTGGAGGTCGATAAACCAATTACGGGAGGAAACAAATGAGACCATACTGCCGATGAGCGAGTTGCTCGCAATGCTGTTGAACATGTAGTCCGGCTTCTAATTATGGCGATGCGACGAAGTCCTCCTCCATGGGCTGGCATTGATCGCGGCAAGGGAAATGGACTTGCAGTCGCCCGGGTTCTTGTTCACGCCCGCTGGGGTACCGGTTCCGAAACTTGTGTCTGCGATAAATACCTGGTATTGACCGGTGAGACCGAGAGGGCATACAATCCAGGGAAGAGTGCCACCACCAGCAAACAGTCCCTGAGCCGTAGGCCAACTCAGATAAGCAGGACTGGGGCCAACGCGCTGGAGAGGGTTGTTGCCGGTGTGGTAGAAGCTGATGGAGACAGCGTTCGGCGGGAGCCATCCGACTGGGCTGTATTTAAGAGCGCCTGTCACCGAGTCGATGTAGAGCTGCAGAGGCTTCTTGCTGACCTGGAATCTGTTAGAACTGGTGCTTGATTTCAAGAGGATGTGGAGCGCTGCACGATGACGTACCGTGTAAAGTTGGGTATCATCGTCCACGAAGAAGATTGGTAGCTTAGGATCCCACCACTTGTTGTACGGCGTCGCAAGGACGACTCCCTTCTCCAGCCTGATGGCGAAGTTGGGGAAACAGTCGGGCACCGTCGGTGTCACGCCGCCGACGGGGGTGCACACGGAATCGAGCTGGAGACTGAAAAATTCAGGATGGTTCGTCTTTGGTCTCCAGGCTCCGCCTCCCGAGTGACCACCGCGAAAGTCGGCCATATTTTGGTCGCTCGGAGCCCCAACTTGGCGGCTGATCAATTCCGAGGCATTGGCTAGGCCAACTAACGCAAAGAGTCCAATGTCGGCCCTCATGTTGAAGGGAAGAAGTAAGGAATGTCAATAAAGCGAGTGTAGAGGAGACAGAGGAAGTGAGTTCGTGAGACAAGATGACCAGGGTGAATCCAATTTATGATGAGAGGAGAGCTGACTGATCTTGTTGACGACCGGTAAAGGAATGAGCTGTACCACACAATGCCTTAACCCGAAACTTGGCGAGACATTGAAGCATGACTTTGAAAGGGAGACGCGAGGAATGAAAATCAGTACCTACCAGATCGAGAGAGAGAGAGACTAGAACATGACTGTCCAAGGAAATCAAACAAGACGGGCCGTTTGACGCATAGCTTTACTCTACCCCCATCTACATCGTGTACGATCGAGCAGAGTATTCCTCCTTCACAAACAATCTCTCACGAACAACAGAGTACTCTATCCGCAAACAGCAAGGGGTATGGATTTGGCGAACACACCAGTGGAATGTAGACGGCTAACATGCTGCTCTGTCGACTTCATTCCAGCATCAAGTGACGCCTCCCGCCGGGTCGAGGCCGTCGATCACCGTGTCTGTTGCGTAAAGAACCACTCTGTTTCCCAGGCGACACATGTTGAAGTGCTTGGTGGATCTAAAAGTGATGAAAAGAGGAGAGCGATGAGGCTGGTGATTGAGGCTTCAAAGGTCACGCATCCTGGAAGTCGGCAAGTCCCCGGACGGAAGCTTTCCCTAATCCAGTCGGGCATCTTCTCCTCGTCGAGTGCGTAGCATCTCGCCCTAGGTACGAGCAAGCAAAACCAGGCAGAAAGCAGGTTGTAGAATGATCTTCATCTGGCAGGCCGCCAGCCGTTGCCATCCATGGATGTCTCAAGCCGTGTAGCGCTTCGCCTCGGGCGACTTCTGCATCTCTTGCCGTCCCCTGCAGCAACGTCTACCCTTTTCGTTTATTCTCCCGTGAGTCGAGTGAACGGCTCATCCGCAAGGACTTGTGATAGGCTGTTGAGGCGTCGAGCTGCCGAATGCTTCGAAAGAGCACGGGATTGGGTTTGCCAACTGGGCTTTGAGCTTACTCCTTTCAGGAGCAAGCGTTGGTTACACCACCTCTAGCACGAGGGTCAAATAGCACTTCACATGCTCGTGACCAGTGCCCATCTCGAGCTGGAGGGACGGGTCCAGACTCCCGTGACGAGCGAGCGACCTTTGCGAGCCCGCTTTGGCCACTCAGCGGTTGTCTACCAGGCCCCGAACTCATGCCCCTAGCTTTGAGCTGAGACTTGGGAAACAAAGAACGGGAGGTTGTCTGACAGCAACCCACCCATCCACCCTGCACGCGAACTCGACCCTCTCACAGCCATTCAAGCTCCTGTAATCTCGTCTGTTACTAGGCACCGGTCAGTATAAGCTCAAGAATGTGGCTCGTCAGCCCAGCTGGAGGGCGGCTTTGGGCAGCTCATTGGCCATGTGCCGCCGCCAATGAGAGCGGGCAGCCGGTCCCCTCCCAACACTGAGGCTGGTACTTGGACTCAGCTGTTCGGGAAACAATCGACGACAGGCCATATAGCCGGTGTTGGCAACGGTTGGGGTCGTCTATTTTCTAGCCGCTGCTCGATATGAGGTGCGGCAACGGGCTGCCAGTTGTCTACTCCGCAGCCAGTGGGCGCCCGGCTGTAGCGCCATTGTGGACCTTGTCGCGACTTTAGCGCCACGGGCCCAGCGCAAAGTGTCCAACACGCCCCGCCCGTCTTACACTACAAACAATGGAACCATCTTATGGAGTCACTGGGATCAAGGCAGGCGTTTCGACTCTTTCCAACACATGGACTCCAAGGGCGTAGTTCCACGTCGCCACCACACCCACTCCCAACAACCGCTACGGGCCCCTCCTCGGCCTTGCTCCTATCCCTGTAGCACGCATTGTTGCGGCGCGGATGACGCGTGGGTGGTGCATTCATATAACAAACATGTAGCTTGCAGGCCTCAGGTAGTACCGCTTTCTGCTCTTCTGTTGTCGCTCCTTTGCAGCTTTGCGGCGCAGCCTTCCCCTCCCCTCTCGTTTTGATTCATCCTGCCTGACGATTGCTGCCTTGGGAATTAGCCCGTTTTTCTGATATCCAAGTCTGACAGCGGGTCCTGTCCTGACCTGACCTGTCCTTTCCTTTTCTCTTCGTCTTTCCCGCCCCCGTTTCAGTGCCTGTGTGTAACGTTTTATACCCATCATGAATGAAAAAGCCACCACATCAAACTCCACAGTCAATACCGAACCAGCGCGTATGGCTTCGCTTTCAGTACCCTCGCCTCAGCCCGTTTCAGCCTCATCCGGCGGTTCCCATAAGATGGCCTCGCATCGGTCCCTCTCCACTCATGGACTGCCTAAAGCGCCTCGCACAATGTCACCAGAACGACCTCATCGTTTCTCAGCACTGGGCTTTCCGTCACCATCTTCCACATCGGCCACTATGAGCCCCAGATCGCCAGGTCCCATGTCTCCACCACCTTCCGCCAGGAGTTTCGGTACCTTCATTGACTCCGAACCGTCAACACCCGCCTACTCTCCAAGAATGGACCATGATTGGGACAACTCAACCTTGGTTTTGCTCCGACCATTGTCTTCGTCTTCAGCACCTTCGACTCCCACAGAACCTGTTTGGGACATGATGCCCATGCAGCTCCCGCAAAAGCCAATGATGACGACCCGCTCCAAGACTTCTGTCCCCAGAAAAGACAGCTCTGTCAGCACAACGGCATCCTCTTATCCAGTCAAGCAGGCCAGATTAGTTGAGCCGCCGAAGCAGGTTAGGTTGCTCGACCTTGCCCAAATGGAGAATCAGACCCCACAGGAGAGAGACAACAATGATCATGCGAACCACAAGCTGGAGGAAGAGCAAAATAGCAATCCTGGCACAGCCCCGCTTGGCAAGTTGGCATCCAAGATGAGATTACTGCTCCGACGGAAGAACACAAACAACAAGAAGAAGGCGAAAAAGGAGAAGGACTACTACGACGTACATCGCATGGACGACGTGCACTGGACGGAAATGTGAAGCCGGTTGACTGTGAATATGAGAGCGCGAATGAACACAGATACATAACAAGTCAAGTTTGACGAAAGAGCTAGGAAGAAATAAGCGCACGTCCTCATATTCAGCGTGCACCGATCGAAGAACTGGGGTTGCCGGCCAGCTATATGCCTGCACCTCATTGCAAGGTTTCGTTTCTTATCAATCATTACTACCCATACTATATCAGTCTGGCCTCAACACCGGGTGGCTATCGTCCGCGTCTATCTTTTTGGAGTTTGTTGGGATTATCGGCGTTGGCTAAGCAAGTGCGGGTTTTTCTCGGAGGGACCGTTCGGATTGAGTTGGGAAATTGCTACCTTCCACATGTTGTGATCTCAGCGTATGGAACATATTTGATTACGTAGATAGCATATGCGTCTCCTCGCGTGCCTTCGACCTAGATACCTCAACACAATAGAAGTAACCTTGCTGGCAGGTCTCTATGGGTGCTAGAATCATCGCGCGTAGCGCATTTGCTTTTCTAAACAAATAATAACACTCTACATATCAACAACCATCTTGTGCAACTAATCTGTCCTATAATCTAATTCTATACACCTTTCAAGATCGGCCTGATCGTCGCACAAGTAACAAGAGGCATCGTCATCACGTGAAAGAATATGGTCCAAGCTTCAAAATCATCAAGTTCAGAGGCTCCACTCTCAGCCCCAGGGACTTGATCATCACAGCCATCAACAATGATACCTACACGGTGGAGCGGCTCGGTGCGAGTGAGAATTTCACTGAACCCACGTCTTCCTATTCGGCCACGACATCATCTAGCGGCGGGAAGGAGCACGCTTCTTCGGCAACGTACAGCACACCCCCCACGCGACTTAACCTCCCAATCACGTGTCTTTAGCAGTGTACGGCCACTTTGTGAACGTCAAACACTTCAACATGCTCAGAAGCTTCCGAGTAAAATACTGTCGTCTCATAATGGCCTGTCAAATTCGCCTGTTTTGCGCTCCGCCTTCCCAACCAAAACGGTCCTCTTCCTTCTCGTTTTAGGTGGCCTGGTTTACTACTTCGTCGACGTCCGCGAGGAAGACTGGACCGATGACATCTACACATCTTATGTCGAAGATCAAAACCAAGCTACACCTCTGCACTTTTATGCCAATAAAGAGGAACTGGCCCACTGGATCCAATTTCACATCCCGGACCCAAGTGCACCCTTGAAGGACCCCAATGTCGCGCAATTTTTCTCGGACCAGTTCGATAAGTTGGCGTTTGGGTGGATGATGACGAAGGAAGACGCGAGCAGAGATGGCATGCCTCTCACGCATGGCGTAAGGTTCAGAAGCAATGAGCCTTGTGAAGACTATTATGCTCTTGGCACTTCACCTGGCCCTGGAGAACGACCGTGGAACTACTGGTCAATTATGGATGGACATGCCGGTAGACACACGGCGTTTTACCTGCAATGGACGCTCATCCCACACCTGTCCTCGGCGCTGCTGGGTCTTCCAGCTACTTCGTCGTCGCCAGAGATTGTGGAGACGATCAAACGAACCTTCCTCCGTGTCGACAAGCAAATCATGGACTCTGCCCGCACAGCAGCAAACTGGTTTCCTGCCGCAAATGCAGCAGCGATTGCCGCCTTGACGCCGGCATTCTCGGGATCCTGTGCACTGCTCGCTGCTTTTGACCCTGCAAACGATACGCTCCGCGTAGCATGCACAGGAGATTCGCGCGCCGTGCTCGGCCGCTGGGATCCCTCTTCCCAATCCTATACCACGATCCCGCTCTCAGTAGATCAAACCGGCTTCAACGAAAAGGAAGTCGAGAGACTAGCTGCAGAGCACCCGGATGAGCCCGATATCATTGACCCCAAATCCGGACGTCTGCTCGGCATCGCAGTAACGCGTGCTTTCGGCGACCATCGATGGAAATGGGACAACGACTTCATCAAGGCCGTGCAATGCAAGTTCTGGGGCACTGCGCCACGGTCAGGAAGTAAGACGCCGCCATACATGACGGCTGAGCCGGAAGTCACGGAGACGGAGGTTGTGCGCGTGGATGCAAAGGACAAGGGAGCAAGAGGCAAGAGCGACTTCATGATCATGGCTTCCGATGGCCTTTGGGACCGCATCTCTTCCGAGCACGCAGTCGAGTGTGTGGAGCGCTGGCTAGACGCCAAAGACCGCGGCAACGGCTCCGTCAAGAACGACCCCCAGCTCCTCGCCAACCCACCTGTTTTCCCCACACCATTTGCTCTAGATTCAGGCGTGGATGTTGATGTCGAGAATGGCAAGGAGGTAGATTGGCAAGCCACGCCTGAGTACTTTGCCATTGAAGACGAAAACGCAGCAGTTTGTCTTGCACGAAACGCCATGGGTGGTACGCGGAGAGGGCTTTTCTTCGGTATACTTAGTGTGCCAGGCCCGCTGGGAAGAAATGCCGTCGATGATACGACGATCATGGTGGTCTTCTTCGACAAGTTGGGCGAGGGACCCGATGTCAAGGCGAAGACTACGAAGAGGAGTTGGTGGCCATGGTGAGTGCAGAAATTAATTTGCAGAGGCTACAGACACTGTATTGGATGCACCTGGCCACCGCTTTCTTTCCCGTGTTACGTTAGTATATATATATCTTGTATAGGACCTGCTGAAAAGTGGGGTACCCCTGAAAGAGGGACTAGCCTGTCGTCGCCGTTTGTAATTATATTGAGATGAGCTTTGAGAAGCAATTCATAGCCTGTAAAAGAAGAAGTGCGGGTGTCTCTGTAGATGAAGTAGAGTATCAATATACTTCGCTGTCCTAACTCAGTCTACCAACAACGGGCGGTCATCAGAACATAGCAAGCTCATAGCTGCATATTACGCCCAGAATGGGGGAGAAGATAAAACATGTGTGAACCCAGACCGGCCATGCCCCCATCCGAAAACCCCCAAGATAGTAGAGCAGAGTAGTGATAATCGTCCGTGACTCCCAATCCAATATGCAAATGCAAACACAAAGAGGCGGCAATGCCTTCGCCCTCCTCTGTCTTTACTCTCTTCTGCCCCATCTGCAGTTCCCAATGGCTCTACTCCGTGAAGATCTCAGCGGCGAAGGGAGATATCGTGGAAAAGCACCCATGCACCTGTCACCCAACCAATTTCTCGTAAACTGCAACCCAAGACCCACCCAAGCACCTTTCCCCATCTTCCACTCCATACACTTCATAGCCCACAATGTCCTTGCATGCAGCACTCCGACTCTCCCTTTGTACATGAGAATGTGGTGTCGAGCCTTGTTCAGCTCAAGGATACATGGAGGACCGTGGTAGTTCTACTGTAGAAAGTCTCTCCGGACGTTGATAAAAGCGCCCGGGCCTCCATCGGAGGCGAGCTCAGTGACGAGGGCTTCGGTCTGGGCAATGAGACGTTCGAGGGCGGCAGAGGAGGACTTGCCGAGGGATACTGCGGATGTGTTAGCACTGATCCGTAAAGTGCAATCCAATATTACTATAGTGCGTGAGTAAATACTGGGGTTGAGAGACATACCTAAGATTGCGCTGTTTAACTCCTCCGCAACCGGCACGCGCCCACCAACTTCCAATAGCGGCGCCAAACTGCTCTCACGCGCATTCTCATACGCGATGAGCGCGAATGTGTCTTCCAGCGCCCTCTTGACTTCTCTCCGCGGGTCGTTAGCGAACTCAGCTCTAAGCTCCATGCCGTAGTTAATAGTAGCTTCAGTCAGTTGTTGCAGCTTGACTTCCTTGTCCTCGATGTCGTCTTCGTCATCCAGAACATCGTCCTGATCCTTGTTATCCCAGCTTGGTGGTGGGTTGTGCACGCCTAGTTGCTCGTCTAGCTCCATCTCGAAATCGTATTCATCGGTTGCAGTGGAATTACGGTCATTGTGAGTAGAGGCGGTCGAACGCTTTGAGGGTGGTGTGGGCACAGGAAGGCATTGGGCGTTGAGTTCGCCGCATCTGCGGATCATCTCTATGAACTTCCGGCAGCGAAGCTTGAAGTATATGTTCTCGTTGTCCCGTAGTACGGAGGGGTAGTACGCAGTAGTGTGCTTAAGCGCCTTGTCAATATCTCCCTCTAGGATCGCTGTGCGGATTTCTATGTCAAATCAGCAAGCATCCAGCGCACTAAAAGGTATAATCTTACTTTGTCTGTTCAATGCATCCAGGTCTTCTACTGCTGCGCGGTAGGGGACGTCTGCGTCTTCATCGTTTGCAAGCGCCTTCGCCTCATCAATAATCTCTTGTGCAAAAGATCGTGCGGTCTCCACATATCCATCGTGTGCTAAATACTGGCCGACCAACTGGTGTATTAATTCGGTCTCATCTGCGGGCAAGTTTGGTGACGATTTCGTTCGCGCGATATCCGCTTGTATGGATGCCTTCTCGTCTTGCACCATTTTGTCTATATCAAACGCAAATGGTTCTTGGCCAAAGTTTACGCGGACGGTCTCGCCAGGTTTCTTCATACCCACTGTGGGGTAGTACAGCATGTTAGGTTTCAGATCTCGGAAGGCAGTACCTATGTTCATTAGAAACACTACTCGTAGCTCATTCGGTGCTTGCACTCACTTAACAAATGACCGTTCTTGGTGAAGAAGGCTGTGTTGGTCCGGAAATTAAGCCCACAGCCGATCACGTCCAAGGTGCCAAACTTGGGCCCATATGCCTTCCCAGACGTAGTATTGCTGAAAACTTGCCCGTCGTCGCCGTGATATGCGTACGAGTCCGGCTCCCAGCCTGGTATTCGACTCAAAGCAACTTTGGGACCCGAGAAGCCAACACCGATCATTCTACTAGATGGAGGGTTAGCTTAGCAAGAAGAGAGTGGCAGATGTACCTACCCATCTCGGCCCTTGGAGATGACGGTAATCTCGTAATAATATATGCCACATTGCCGGGGCATAGGGAAGTCTGCCCGCACCGCTGCCGCCTCATCATGCGTCTTCTGTGTGCCCGAAAACTTGGCCAACCTTCCGCTATCCTCAAGTTCCAGCTGTGCAAACTTATCTCCTTCATTCCACCTGGTCGGCCAGTGCGCTACCGGCTCATCGACAAAGACAGGCGCTCGTTCAATGATGTCGTGGGACAGGCCCCGGTGCGAAGGTGCCATCTTGTGCAAGTTGACACTACTCGAGCTTGTCGACAGCGATGCCGCGTTTGACGAGTGTGTTGACTTGTGCTCGCGCTGTGCCGTCAGCTTCGCCTTGTGCGCCTCCTGTAGCTTTTCGGCATGCTTGGACCCTCGCAAGTAGGACGGCACAAAGAAGGGTGGTATGTCTTGTGTTGAGCCTCCTAGGCCTTGCCAATAGCCCGAGTGACTGGCGTAGGACGGCAGCGGTCCACCGCGTCCCCAGCTTGTGGACATGCTGTTATGATGTCCGTCGGCGTCCATGGAGCGCGAGTGACGGTTCTGGCTTATCGTGTGAGGTGTCGAGTTGCTATTGACGAGGTGGGAGAATGCTCCGGATCGGGTGGGAGCTTGGGAAGACTGGCTGCTACCTGCACTGCCGGCTGCTACGCGTGCCCAGCTCTCTCGACGGGCATTCATTCCGAAGTGATAGTGTTGGAGCTATAGGCAGCGAGGACGAGGTGAAAGTGATGACGTCTGGGCAATCGCAACGACGGCTGATGGCGGATCGTAAATGAATGGTAGACGTTTAGGCAGCACTAGAAGTGTTTGAATCTCATGCGTTCAAACGCAGCAGGAGCGCGTGGGGTGGCTGTAGGACGCGATATAGTGGAGGTGTTGGACGCGACGTAGTGGATGCGGAGACCAAGCTCGGTGCTGGCAGGCGCAGACGTTACACCCCGGCTTTAGCGGCACACAGGTTCTTGAAGAACTATATTCGCAAACACATTCATTGTTCGAGCTGCACCGGGAGTTGTTGTGAGCCTAGAAACTGAAGCGGACGAGCAAGACAGACGATTCGAGGTTCGGGCGCCACTGAAGCGCGGACCTTGGGGAGTCGTTGGTGGATGCGGGGTCTGGTCCGCTCATCGCTCATCGTCTTGATAACGCACGCCATGCGCTTCCAAGATTGCTCGAACGTACTAACTGCTCTTCTGAGATACGAACAAGGCGTGTCATCTGTAGGGGGTGAAGGGTGAGTTAAATCAATCATCGCACGTTGAACATGGTTCTCACGAGCATATCAGACTCCATTGGACCATAGGCAGCTAGTATTAATTGCGAAGGACAATGACACTCCTATTCTTCATTGCTTCCCTAGTACTATGCAAAATCATACGTTCTCCACAGTCCGAACCCTAGACCTAGTATCATCTAGGCCCATGTTGAACCAGTCGTCATGCGCCTGATGAAAGAACATCCGTCCTCCCCTCCCCCAAATAGATGGCCAGGCGCCCAAAGATAACTCCTTTTGATAAACATGCATTGCGCTTCCAAACGCCGAACATGCTGGTGGAAATAATATGATAAGAATACAAGTGATGAGAAATGGAACATGACAACACGACACGCGGGATACCACGTGCATGTAATCAAGACACGCGATGGGTGCACGTATCCCGCAGCGCACGCAGCAAGACGGTAGCGCCACACACCTTGGGTTGGTGACTCCAGGGTTGGCAACGTCCATCGAGCTCGTCTCTGGGTGGAAAGAACTGTCAAGCAGTGCAGACGGCGAGCACCATAGACCAATACGAAGGTGTTCCGTCGATCAAACAGCAGGAATGGGAGTTGGCGAACTTGCGACGCCGTTCAGTGGAGTTGGTACTGGTGTGCTGCCGTCTCCATTGAGCCCACTCTTCTCGCTAACAGCGCTGCTCTCGTCCTTGAGCTTCGAGTCGCTCGAGCCGGTAGAGTCGCTCTTGACATCCTCGGGGAAGGCGGCAGCACGCGAATGCGCTTTCCATGATGGGACATCCCATTGAACTCCCGTGAAGGACCTGACCTTGAAGCCCTTCTTCTCCCACTTGCGACACTTGAATTTTCCAGTACGGTCGAGAGCGCGAAGGTTTTGATTGATAGCTCCCATATTGGCTTTTGGGCCAAGCTTCTGAACAGGCGCAGAGTTTGGGAAAGGGCCTTTGTTGTTGGGGTCGTTGATCATGTCGCCGCTAGGGGTACTGTTAGCAGATGCCTTGAGATCAGAAATATGGTGCAGAAGAACGTCCTAGCCGACCGCAAGTGTCAAGATGACCCACTGGTGAGGTTCTTGCATCGTCCTTTTGCAATGACAAGGAAGCAGTAATACTCACAGATTCTTCTTCCTCTTGGGACCCGGCTTGCCTCTCTGCTTTGGCGATGGCTCATTTGTACCCTCCATCATGCTGGCAGTCCGTTTCACACCCGACTGCCTCGAACCAGGCTTAGGGCCTTTGCGTTTAGGTCCTGCAGCTGGTGGTGCCAGTGATGCTGGTGTGCTGACTCCGTTCATCGCGGCGGTGGAGTCGGCTGGCGTGTCGGCTGGTGTAGGCTCGATGATCTGGGGCGCTGGAGTTTCGGAGGGCGATGAGTTGGGCTTCGATTCTTGCGAGGGGGCTGCTACTGGCTCGTGGGGGAAGGTCAAAAGCCGCTGTGGTGATAGCTTGACAGTGACGATGAGCGATTTTGACTTTGTAGTCATTTTCGCAAACAAGTGAGTCGGCGACGTGATGTCGCGCTGCAGTGGTGATGATGCAGCGGGTGGTGCAAGATTGGTGGGGAGGGATGCTGGTGGGGAGGCGCTGGGAAGGGGCTCTTTTGTGATCAGCCTGTTCCAAGATTCGTGCGGTTGCGGCTTTTCGTGGCCCGGTGACAGCAACGTCGCGCGCAGGCTATCTGGTAATGGTGGTGTGGATGATGCGCGTTGACGGTGAGAGGGTGATGGAGGATGGAGAAGAAGGGAACGACAATGGCTGGTGGTGGATGCCGCCGACCCTTCCTTGCGGCATCCACCACCGTGCACTTGAGTTGGCGCATCGCTAAACCTTTTCTCACTTGTTGCGGCGGTTCGAGGGAGAGGTGAGGAGACTTGGCCCCGAAGGTGGCGCGCTAACCCGAACGAGTAGCACTTAGTGTGAATACCCAGTAACACCTATCGAGTGTCCATAACTTGGTGACACTTTTCTTCTCTGTTCAGTCTGTAATGTATTGTCTCTCTCTCGCTGTGCATGCGTGTTCAGTCTATGGAGGTCCGTGTACCATGGCATGTCTTTGTGCCAATTAGGCGCGTAGGCGCTCCAGCAACCCATCATTCCTCCTCTCCTCCAGCTTGGTTCTCCATCCAAGGGTTTGCCTCAGCACCACGCCCCACTCGTCAATCAGAGGGCCGCCGCCGTCCAGAAAGCACGCCCGCTGCATGCATGTCCTTCTCGGCCTCTTTGTCGTCGTTTCGTGCTTGCTATCGCGTGCAGCTGTGATTGCTAGCAGAACGAGGGTGCCCAGTCTGCGACGTTACCATGTTCCAAGCGAACATGTTCTGGACGAGCCCGTCCATCCGGCGCTGCCCCTCTTCACGCCATCTAGCACACCCTAAACCCAAGTGTCCCAGCCAGCAGTAGCAATCAAAATATGCTTTCTTGGAAGAGTTTTGTCCGTTAAACTTGCATCATCTGCTGCTTCGCGGACCAGCGACCAAACACTTGGCGATTTGGCTTGTGGTGGGAGTTCCGGAAATGATGCCGCATCTCCCCCTGGCGTGCCTGGCCGCTCTGCATGATTTTCTGTCGCGCGAGTCTCGATTACGACAGCGATGGTGAGGAGCCAGGGGCTTGAGCGATGCCGAAGATTCAAATTTTCTCCAAGTGGCTATCCGAGGCGCTCCGAACCTAGGAAGTGTCTTCCACCTATTGTTCGTCGTGCATCTAGCAGGTGGTGTAGCAATCGCCGTCTGTTGTAGCGCTGTGATGCTGCTGCTGCTGCCGTCTTGAGTATATCGATCGTCATCTAGGTAGCACTGCCCAGGTGAGTACAGGCTCATCGCACAGGCTCATCGTGCACGCGTGCTATTCAAACACTCGATACATTGAAAATTCTCATTGGAGAGGGTGAATTGAGAAGAGGTGGATTTTGCGCAATGAAGGGTTAGACGTGGTCAGTGGCAGGTGGTTCATGGAAACGACGCTCTTGCCGTTGCTCGCTGCGGAAGGCGCGCTCATGACAACAGACAGGTGCTATTCTCACATATTGCTCACGAGCATAATCTGCACGACAGTTCTGCGTCTATTGCCTCTTAAATGCGCTTTTCATTTCTCCACAAACTTCCCTTTGTCCATCGCGTTCTCTTTCTCTGAAGCTATATGCGAAACTACCGTATCCCCGACCACAAGTAGCCTCAGCCGCAACCTCAGCCTCAGCCTCAGCCTCAGCCGCAGGTGATGAGATGTTCGAGCTTGAGCAGCGTGGATAGTGGAATGACCGCAATAGGCATCAGGATCAGAGTCAATAGTACTACGCTACCTTCACCTAGCTCTCACTGGTTCACGGACACCCGTTTCCGAGATGTCTGGAACACACATGCACTAGAAGAGTAAGGAAAACATACAACTCTTGGATGAGTTGGAGGACTAGTGGAACCAACTCAGATAAGTTATTATAATTCACTAAACTCACGTCATGAAGGAACAATCTCTATTTCTAAGATTCTATCTCTACTGATATCATGATTCAAGGGAAACCTCTGTAGGACCAGAACACCAAAACATAATGCCCACCAAGTTGCGACGAGCTATCCGAACTCTCAAGTGCTCGCTAATCGCAACCACCTCCACCGCCGCCGCCTCCGCCGCCTCCACCTCCATCACCACCACTAGAGCATCCTCCACTATATCCTCCGTCTCCACCTCCACCAGAATAGCTGGACACATAATGCGTCGTCGTAGAGTTGTTCCCCGTCGATCCCCCATAGCCTCCCGATGAAAAATTTGGTGTGTATTGCTTCAGGGCTGGTGCTAGGACTGGCTTTGGCCCTACGCGGGGAACGCTCTCTTTCTCTTTCTCCTTCTCCTCCTCCTCTTCCTTTTTCTTTTCCTCCTCCTTTTCCATTTCTCGCTTGTTGATCATGGGCGCAAAGTTGTCGTTGCGCGGGATAGGTTTTGCCGGTTCTTCGATGGGCAGCGAGCTCTGCACCTGGTGGGGTTCAGGTTTAGGCTTCTTGCCGAAGCAAGACTTGAAGAGGGAGGACAGTCCCATTGTGAGTCTGAGTGGGGGTGTGAAGTTCTGCCTCACAGGACTGGGAAGTAAATCGAAAGCTGGATGTGCGTGTATCGTGCTGTAGCTAAGAGGGAAACTTCCCTTTCCCTTTATACAGATTTGTAGCCTAATCTTGGACACATTTTCGTGCATGTTTTCCCCATTTGCGAGGCTGCTAACGAGGCGAAGTTCAGAAGGATAATGCAGAAGCACGACGGTGACTAAATCGGGTGTGGTGAATGCGGCTGTGCAGGGGTGCAGAGCAAGAACACGAGATGTGGGGACCATGACCATTCTCTTTGGGGATCTCTTTAACGAGAAAGTCTACAACCCTGCCACACAAAGTGGAGATAGTAGTGACTGCTAGTCGAAATTGTGCAATGTTCCGGATAGCGTCGGACGGTGACGTGAGGCTCTGCTCGGTCAGTGAAATGGACTAGTGTCAGGCTGCGCATTTCAACCAATTTGCAGGTAGAATCCTTCTACTCTTTCTACAGTGTGCTATTATTCCTAACCTACGTCTCGAAGTCTTTGGTCGCTTGTGAGCTGCGCTCCACACTGTTGCCATTCGCAGACAAGTCAGGATTGTGTTCATCTCACATTGAGACCTCTTAGAAATGATTTGTAGTTGCGACGCTAATATTTGCTCACTACTCCTCAGTCGTCCAATGCCCACCGTCCTCTAGTTTCCATTAACTAGCGCGAATCCGCGAGATCAGCGGCAGGCAATAGCTCCATATCCAACAAAAACATGTCTTCCCCAAAGAATGCTTCCCTTGAGACCTTGGCTTCTATTATACCTCTTTGGGTAGTCAGTCTAGCCTGAGGTTCCTTCGCTTGTGCATAGGTGGTCTGCAAGACTTCCGATAATTCCTCGATATTGGCTTGTTGTCTGTCCTGTAGGAGAACAAGCCAGACACGTGCTGACAAACGGGTTGGAAGTTCAAGTATAGCGGCAAATGTGACGAGATGGCTTGGCTCCATCGGATCGACGGGATTGAAATGAAACTTGAGCGCTGCGAAGTATCCTAGATCGTGTTCGTGAACAATCATAGCCCGCGACTTTATGTTCCATTGGGAGTAGTTCTCTCCCGGTCTCAATATCCAAGGCTGGGGAAGAGAGTATTTTTGTGGATCTTTGGCTGGCGAGAAGATGGCGTCGACAAACTGGACGCCGGCGTGTTTGGGATAGTGCCTTACATGGCAGTGAGGTGCAGGGAGTGGGGCTAGGATTTCTCCGGACTTGTGAATATAAATGGTACGAATTTCTGCTGCTTCTGCCTCTTTGATTCCCACAACTGTCGTTGGGCAAGAGATATCCCGATGGAATCTTTCAGGCAACACGCCGTCGATCCGCAGTGGAATAGCGATTGAACTGTCCAGGTCATCTTTGTAGCGGCAATGCAATATGCCGATATATTTGTAGCGCGATAATTGTAGAATAGGCATTTGTATCCGGAGGCCTCGATTGGTCATTGCATATGGGTCGAGCTTTGAGCGGTACGGCAGTATTTCAGACGTGGATCCAAAGTATCGAGGACTCTGTGCAAGAACACCTCCCTTTTTCGAATGACCATTTTGCGCATATCCTCCTTGGGATTTCCAGTTCCAGCTGAAAATCGACTCATCCTCAGAATCCTTGAGAATTTCTTCCTGGAGTCGGATGAAGGCATTTGTGCCTTCGCCGTAGAGCAGGGGCATGTTGACTCCAAACAACCCCATGAGACAGTACGCGATGTCTTCAGGCCTGGTCGTTTCACGAGAAGAGGCCCACGATATTCGTCGGGCGACGCTCACCGTTGGTAGAAGCTCAGGATGTAAAAGAATTGTTTCGTCGATCGTAGTTCTCTTCTGGATGCTTTTCAGCATGTACACATCGTGTTTGGCTCCAAGCTGTTTCCAGTTCTTTGAAAAGAATACAATGTCTTTCGATGCGATCAACTCTTGCAAAGTCCAGCCTCGTGTGAACCATCTCGCCCCATGGATGTCATGTTGACTCTCGGAATCATTAGTATGAGCGAGTCGCCCTGGGCGTAGAGGCCTTTCAAACTTTCCAGCCCCCTTCTTCTCTTCTTTTCCAGTATCGGGGTCCTCAATGTCTTCGAGAAAAGCGAAGCAAACCTCGGCGCCCTTGTACCATTGAAACATGGAGTTGATAGCTTCACTGAGTTCTGAAGATGATGTCTTATCGATGCAACAGGTATCGATCCAGATGTAATCCAGGCCATGCTCTTTCGTGGCTGTACATGCTCCCCGGATCTTAGCCCAGCCGGCTTGCTCGCGTCGAGACGATGAAAAATCCTGGAAGGTGACTTCGTCTGGCCCCCAGGTATGAGAGAGTATAGCATAGCCTGGGACGTCACTGCTGTGAAAGACCTCAATAACGTTGGTTTTCACATGAAGTAGCCTCATTTTGAACCTTGTCAAATACCGCTGCCAATGGAAGGAGTGTGCGCTATGCTTGGAAAGAGGTAGTGCTCTATGATAGAAACCAACAATTGCGGTCGTGAGTGGGGAGACGGCTGAAAAAAAGCCACATGCAGCTTGCCAGCCCCGCATTAGAGTTAATATACTAGTTCCGTACCACAGCTAGAGAGTACCTAGGTAGCTCCTACAAGCTAATACGCTGTGCTAGGGGACGCAAGTGGAAAATTTCGGGTTTTGCCTATCTGAGGCATGTTGATTGCACCGGCGAGCATATGAAAGCATTTTGTAGCTTACTTGTGACTTTGATAAGCCGGTCGCCGTATAAGTGGAAGTGTCTCCGAGTCCCGCTTAATGCTTCTGGGCCCTCCGTTTCGTACTTCGTACTCTCACCTGAGATATTGACAACGCTTTTGGCTGCTTCGTAGTTGTTAATGCTTGCCCATTGAGGAAGTATGCACCGACACGCGGCTGATAATGTTCCGTAGCCTCATGAGAACTTCGATTCATACCTGCTCTGTCAACGGTGACGGTCTTCATTAACGTGGGTTGTCCTATGGGAGGTGGAGAGGGTAGATTTGATTGTTAATCTATGCTTAGCAATGCACTGTTTACGCGCTCAAGTCCCGAGGTAGGCGGCGATCTGATCCATATGCGGAAACTCTCACGCGTCTAGTTTGATGACTAACACATGATGCGAACAATGAAGGGACCAACACTGTCATGATTCAACATCGCGCTATGAGTATCGCACTCTCCACGAGCGAGATGCATTCCCTAACTGTATATAACCCAGAGCCGTTCGACTAGCTTGTGGCGAGGACATGCCATTTCAACATGACCGCTCTACAGCGCATCAGTCCCTTCGACCTGCTCGACGATGTCGCCCCCGATGAAGAATTACCTGGCTATGAGGCTGCAACGGCGCCCGCCTATGATAGCGGCTTATACGATGAACCCCTCGTTACATATTCCCTTCGGCGATACGATCGCAGAATACAGATGCTTGTTGCGTGTGGCACGACTGCCGCGTCCTCGTACAGAATCACCACGAATAGCTTCCGCATATTCTCGAAGAAGCCGGAGTTTGAGGTGCTGTACACCTGCCCTAAACAGCAGCAGCGCAACATCGCTTCAATAGCGTTCGACAACGAAGGTCATCTTCCATGGCGGCCACGTGCCCACTTTGAATATATCGATGTGAAGGGTTTATCAAAGACGCACAATATGGAATCTGCAAATTTTGTGGACTGGACTATTGTACTACAAGATAAAACTTACGCATGGCGGGTGGATATGCAGCCTATCTCGCTTGTCTTGAGTGAGACGAATTTCAGCATCATCATCGCCCGCTTTACCTACTCGACAAGCGGCACCTCGGCTGCGCGCGGCGCAGAAGTTGGCAATTTGACGATATATCGGGATTGCCTGACGGCTGACGCAGATGGGATAGGCAGGCTGGTTTGTGGATTGATGGTAACCCTCACGCAGTTGAAGAAGATGGGGAGGCATTATACCAATGGAAAAAACGAGCTGGAAAGATGGGACTCTTTGAGTAGGCAATCAGTATCGTTACGGAGGACGTCGTCTGCAGTGTGACCGAGGTTCATGATTGTCTCTGAAGAGGACGGAATTAGATAGAATGGCAACTATTATAGTGACTGAAAACAGAAACTACTTCGAACTTGCGACCACTCTTAAAATAAGTCCAATGTCTTGTAGCGTGTGTAGACGTCATTTGGCCGACTCTGCGTGTTCGGATCCAAACCATGCAGCATACCTCTGCAAACGGAGACTAATAGTACACTGTGTCTAAGACAGCACGGCCACTTGCATCTACATTCGGGTCGTTGTTGCACGTGTAGTAGGGCCGAGTACGCGCTGTTGGGCTTTTGCGCCCAAAGTTACTGCAGGAGTTCACGAAGATTGCTCGAGTGGAGCAGAAGACAGCGGTGCGGGCCGTTTCAATGAACCGTGGCATTTGATCGGTGTAGATGCTGTTCATGACTGTGTCTAAAACCGTCTCACGCCCAGCCATAGCCTCGACAAGGGGGCCATACTCAAACACACCCGCTTTTTTACGCCTAGCGAGCCGACCGTTCTCGATTTCTGCCGCGGAACGCTCTGTATTCTCCAATCGGTCGGCCAGCTGCCGATCTCTTGACCCATGTGGAGATATGGCCCACGAAAGAACGGGTCCACTAGCAATCCCCGCGTACCAAGTTGGGAGACGTTAAGCACCACCCCGATAGTAAAGTATTTACTACCCTTCTAAGGCTCGCTTATTATTAGTCCTACGCTACTATTACGCTATTAAAATAGTAGTAGTTTTAATAGCAAATTAATAGATTAAAAGTGCTTAAAAACTATAATAAAGCTTATATTATACATTAGATAATTAATAATTTAGTATTAATAATAGAATTGTAGTTTTAAAGCCTATGCGCAGTTAATATAATTTATTACTTATAGCTTGTTTTTTATACTATTTAGTAGGCTATATACTTATTTTTAATAATAATTTTACTATTAATAATATTGCTATTTCTATTATTATTATTATTATTACTATTTTTATTACTATTACTACTGCGCGGTATAGTATTGTACAATTTAGTTTAAATTTTATTATTATTTTTAAGCAATAATTCTAAAATTAATAATTTACTATAGTAGGCTATAATATTTTTATTTAATGCAGAATTATTGCCTAAAAAGCTTAATAAAAGCTTATTAAGTAATAGCAATACTAATACTAATAGTAAAGTTGTTATTAGAAAAAGTAAGTAGCTAGCTTAATATTATAATTATAATTATATACTATATTACTATTATTATAGCAAGCTGCGTAATAAGCTTATTAATAGTATAAATTATAATTTTACTTATTTATAAAATAAATTTAATTGTAATTGCAACTATTTACTGCTACTAAAGCGCCTTTATGCTAGCTTTAATAATACTATTAATACTATTAAATAGTAGGCAAAAAACTATAAGCTATTATATAATAGATAAAAATAAGTATATAATTAATAAAATTAGCTATTAATAGTATATAATAAATAGGGCAAACGCTGCGATTATTACTATATTAATAAAAAGTAAAAGCGCCCTAAAGTAGTATTATTAAAAAGTAGTTATTAAATATAATTTTACTTTTTTATAAAAAATAATCGCAGCCTAAAAAGTTAATAAAAAATTAAATAATATAAAAATAGAGCTAGTATTACTTATAATTACTTTTTAAAAAAAAATATAATAGTAATTGCGTTATATTAGCAGGCAACTTAAACTAATAAAGTAAAGTAGTATTTTTAGAAGCTATAGCTACGCATTTATAGTATAAAATAAGCGCTATTATTAATTTAAAATACTTTTTTAAATGCTAAATTTATTTATTAAAATATTATTAATAAATACTACTTATAGTAGCGTTGAGAGATAGGCGCGCAGATAAAAGTAAAAATATTAGTAAAAAAATTAAAAGCTAAAAAGTACTAGTATTAGTAAATTAATTTTATAATAAATTTATAGTATTAAAGTTTAAAATTTTGCATATAGGCCTATTTTAAATTTATATTAATAAACTTTACAATATTAGGCATGCAGTTAATAATAATAACTATTTTAATTTTTTTATATTTATTTATTCTGCGTGCTTTTAACTATTTAAAAGCTTTTTAAATATTTTTATAATTAACTATACTTTTAAAATAAATTAATATAATTACCTGCTTTTTAATTTAATTAGCTTAAATAGCAATAATTAAACTACGCACTTTAGTATTATGCTAATAAAGTATAAAAATAAAGCAGCTTTTACTTAAGTATTAATATAGTTAAAAAAGCTATTTAAAATTAAAAATATTATAATATAATTTTAAGTAATAAATAATAATTTAGCGTTTATTAATATGTTAGAAAAAATATTTAAATATTTTTACATTTTTATATACTGCTAGTATATAAATAAGAATGTTTAGTTATATTTAAAAACTACTTTATTAATTAAGTTTAGTTAGCAGTAAAAAGGTTAAACTTAAATTAATAATAATAGTATAAAAGAATTTATAAATTTTTATATTAGGCTAATTAATTTACTAATAATTACTAATTATAAAACTAACTTAACAGCAGTTAAAGCATTTTTAAGCTAAGCTATAGCCTATTTTTAAAAATATTAGCTAGCTTACTATATAAAAAAACTAGTAAATTACTTTATTAATACTAATTTATACTTTAGCTTTACTAAGACTAGCAAAGCTAAAAGTACTTATTATATTATTAAAAACTAGCTTGCTAGCAGCTAGGCTAACGTTTTATAATTATTTTATTATTTTTATATATTTTACTATAAGCACGCTGCTTATATATTACTTTTAAATATATAAAGCAATTTTAAACTTTACTATAATTACTAGTATTTAATTTATATAAGCGTGTTTTATTAAGTAATGTAGTATACTCTAGCTTTTACTATTAAATAAATAGCACACGCTTGCGATAAGCTCTAATAGTATTAATAAAATTTTAATTATAAGCTAATTATTTATAAAAATTAGTATATATTATTATATAAGCTGCTTTATTAGTACTAACTATTTAAGCTGCTAAAAGAGTTAGCTATACTTTAAGTAAGCAATTACTATTAATATTAGTAAATTAATTAATTATAAGCTTTATAGCTTAAGCTAAGCAAAATACTGCTTAAACTACGCCTAATTTTAATTTATAAGCAAGCTATAAGCTGCTAGTAAAGCGCTAGTAAGCATAGTAACTATTATAAGCCTAGCTTATTTAAATATTTTAATAATAATAATACTATAATAATACTACTATTATTTTTACTAGCTTAAATAGCGCAGCAAACTATAATACTAGCTAAAAACTTTATAGTATAGTAGCCTAATATAGCTATAATAACGCTATTAACTATACTAATATTACTATTACTACGCTACTAACCTTAACTATAACTATAATAATTACTATTTTAATAACTATTATAGCTGCTGTTTTAACTACTACTGTAATTATAGTATTTAGCTAACAGTTGCTTTATTTATAGTTAAAATTATATTATATTATAGTAACTGCTAGCGCAATACTACAGCTTATATAAGTTTTACTAGCTAGCTTTATAATTATTATTAGTACTAATAATATTTTATTAATTACTACTTTACCTTTACGCAGTACTACTAATTTATAATATATAATTAATTTTAATTATAATAAGTTTTTTACTACTTTAATATACTCTAAATTACTATATAAATAATAGTTGTAATTAACCTGCAGAAAATAATAATTTTAGGTTTAGTATATTAAGCAGGCAATATAATTAGGCAGGCAGGTTAATTTTATATAATACTAATAATAAATAATAATTAACAATTGCAATTAACTGCAAAGTATAAAATTATATATTTTATTATATTTAATATACTGCGCTATACTTGTTTTACTTATAATAATATAGTAATTTATATATAAATTAAAGTGCTAAAAAATTACGCAGTATGCTTTAGCTGCATAAATTTATACTAGTTTTAGTAACAGGGGTGGTAAATACCTTACTATTGGGGTGGTGCTTAACGTCTCCCGTACCAAGTTCTCCTGATTGTTCGTTAATCAAAAACGAGTGGTCAAGACAAAGCGCAACGGGCAAGGCCTGCTGGTTGAAAGGAATTGCATGTGCGGCTGAACCCTACCTACGAGGATACTTCCTAGGTAGGCCTTGACCAGACCTACAGGCTCATCCTTGATGCCAAATTCACATTGCCATGTCAGCGTCGCGCGAGAATCACACCTCTGCCCGGCGCCATCAAGGGGCCGAGCCAACTGACCAGGGCTGCTTGTCGTGTTTCTTTTGCAGGCGCACCACCAGCCGCGGTCAACGACTAGACCGCAAGTGAAAGCTAATCTCTGCTTGGCCCTGTGCCGCGGATTCTTTTCTAGCACAGCGGACGCGACGTCCGCTCCGGAGGCCTTCGCGCGGCGTCTTTGGTGTTTTCTATTCACCCTACCTGTTTCCTCCGTCTTCCCCCAATTCTCCGCACCCCCCCAAGAGCGCCAGCTCGTCCCCTCTTTTCGCGCCTCTGCATTCAGTCGGGCCTTACCGCAATAGTCATCTCTGTGTCTTGCATCTGGCTTGGCAGCTCTTGTCGTGCATTCACTCCATCACGCCTGCCCTCGCGAGCCGCACCCCGGATCGCCCCATCGAGATTCTCCGCTGATCTCCCCTCCACCACGACTGGAAACCATCGTCAACCTCTGCAGTAAGGAATGGGACACCAGCAACAGACGTCTTCCGACCACCCCGTCTGTCTGCCGCATCGCAGCTCAGCAGCTCGGTAGCGCGTGCCCTGCAGCTGACTGAGATCCCGCTGCCGCCGCGTCTCCTCGCACCGCTTCCGAGCCTCCGCGCTCCTCATTGTCGCCCTGCGTTAGACATACCAGTCTGAGGGCTGGTAGAGCCATGGTCAGGATGCGGGTTCCAATTCGCGAGCAACTGGGCTGCCTGGTGCTGCTGGCCTCGATGATCGGCCTGGCTGTCATAGCTATTGCCACATGGGTACGCACAGGCGGCGCGACAGAACAATAGTTCTGCTCTGACAACTCTCCAGGTCACAAACCATAGCTTCGTGCTCGGTCTACGGTCGACTCGGCTCACACTAACCGCTTCACTCAAGTCGGCTCAACTGTCATCCAACCTGGCCCTCATGCAGATCCTCGTCCAACAAGCAGCCAACCGTCTAGCTCCCCAGTCCGCGCTTGATCGCTATTACGAAGGTAACATCTCCGATACAAACTGGCAACGAACACAAGAAGACTACGATGCTGTCTTCTCCGGCGATGCGAAGACGCGGGTGGCCATACAGGCTCAGGTGTACGCAGTCAACACGTCCGACCACTCCATTTTCAACCGCACTGCCCAAAGCGTCATGGACGTAGTCCTCCCCTTTACAACTCCTAACGGCAAGAATGCTACATTAGGCGACCCCGAATACGGTTTCATCCCAGAGCTCTACCCCAAATTCGCCGTCCGCGCCACACCTTATAACGGGTCATTCAACACTTACAAGGCCGAATTTAATGGCAGGATAGTTGATAACACCAGCTACCTGTTCTCAGGCCCGTATCGCGTTAATGAGAGCCTCAGCCTAGTATCAATTACTCTACCCATCATCAACAACACATCGAATATCGATACCCTGGGATGGCTGACGGCCGTATTAGACGCGTCACTTATATCCAATGTGGTCAATGCGATGGAGGGTCTCGACAAGAGTGGTCTGACCATGCTCTTTGGTCCTAATAACGCCACCAACAACTTCCCTGCTGGAATACTGTACGATGTGCCAGATCCTAATCCTCCGGACCATATAGACGTACGCTTCATGATGCCCCCAACATGGAGACGTGAGATTTTACGGCATGGGCAATACGACACAGCCCTCAATCCACCACCTTTCGACTGGTCCCGCTTTCCCGCTATCCGCAAAGGTTTCACTACAGCTACCGGTCTCACTAACAACGCAGGTAGCATCATATCCACCAAAAACGAGGATGGCGAGAGTGTTGCTGTCGGATATGCAGTGGTTAACAGCCCCATGGTCGACTGGATGGTTGTGGTTGAGCAGACGCACGCCGAGGTTTGGGGCCCCATATATCATCTTCGCAACGTTATACTAGCTTGCGTATTTGGCACTATGGGTGCTATGTTGCTCCTCGCGTTCCCGGTGGCGCATTACTCTAGCCGGCCTATCAGACGATTACGAGATGCCACCAAGAAGACTGTCGCGCCACATATTTTCGAAAATGATAGTCTGAGTTCGCAAAATGATGGCGGCAATGATGATCATGACGAGGTGGCTCTTGCTCGCAAAGAAGGATTCTTCGGCTCCATCATCCATTACCGGCGAAATCAAAAACTCAGTCGGGCAGAGAAGAGGGACGCGGAGCGGAGGAGGCAATTCCGCATCCCGAGCAAAGTCAAGGACCGAAAGCACTTCATACACGATGAACTTACCGATCTTACCAAGACTTTCAACGAGATGACAGACGAGCTGATGATGCAGTACGAGAAGCTCGAGGAGAGGGTGGTGCAACGAACAGCAGAGCTTGAGCAGAGCAAGAAAGCGGCTGAAGCAGCCAACGAAAGCAAGACCTTGTTCATCGCCAACATATCGCACGAACTCAAAACTCCACTCAATGGCATTTTGGGCATGTGCGCAGTCTGCATGTCAGAAGATGACCCTACCAAGTTGAGGCGGTCACTAGGCATCATATACAAAAGTGGTGATCTACTCCTAAACTTACTGACTGATCTTTTGACGTTTAGGTAAGTTCTCTCCCAAGTCCAGTACGGCGTAGGGTTGCTAACGGTACGCAGCAAGAACCAGGTTGGACAGCAGCTAAATCTAGACGAAAAGGAGTTTAGGTTACGAGACATCAGTCAGCAAGTTCTTGCTATCTTCGATAAGCAAGCCACAGAGGGTGGAATCAAAATGGCCGTCAAATTCGAAGGCCCATATGAATATAACCTAGATGATAATGGGCGGCCCAATGAACGCGGCGACCTGGGACCTTACGGGTTCGGACGACTCAAAGACATGATCCTATATGGAGATCAACACAGAATACTCCAAGTCGTGATCAATCTAGTCTCGAACAGTCTTAAATTCACACCGCAAGGCGGCGCAGTAACGCTTACGATTCGCTGCGTTGGGGAAGCTGCCATGTCAGATAGCCGGAAAGCTTCCTTGCAGTCACGGCAAAGTTCGATGCGCAACTCGAAGACTAGATTCAGAGCGACAAGCTCTGAGGTAGGATCCGTTTCCCTAGCAACCCCGACCAATTTCGAAACAGCAAATGTGATCAACCCGATGGAAAAGCCAAATGCATATGCGCAGATCATGGCCCAAGAAAGGTCGGCAACTCCACCACCAGGGCGGTGGCTATCATTCGAATTCGAAGTCGAAGACACCGGTCCGGGTATTCCTGACCATTTGCATGCCAAGATCTTCGAGCCCTTTGTCCAGGGTGACCTGGGGCTCAGCAAGAAGTTTGGAGGCACTGGTCTTGGGTTGAGTATTTGCTCGCAGCTTGCAGGCCTCATGAAGGGCACGATCGGGTTGAAAAGTGAGGAGGGGCACGGAAGCGTCTTCACTATGGCGATACCCTTAAAGCACGTAACAAGCCGCGCCGACAGTACAGCAAGCTCACACAACAACATCATCGATGCAGGGTCTCCACGCCGGAGTCTGTCGATAGATGAGCCGCGGGGCCGTACACACGAGGATGCACTTTCGACACGTTCGGTACAATCCGCAACAAGCGGTCCTACCGCCGGTACCACTGCTGCACCCGGCCCAGTAGCATTCGAAACAGATTCTAAGCCCCGTCTAGTTGGCTTGAGCCAGCCTTTCTTCGCTTCGACTGCGCCGTTGGAATCGCCAAACTCGCAAGCTGCTGCAATGCAACGAGTGGAAGCTGAAGCTACTAAACGCGGAGGCAAAGTCAAGGTGCTGGTTGCAGAAGACAACAAGACGAACCAGGAAGTTGTTTTACGTATGTTGAAGCTAGAAGACGTCTACGACGTGACCGTGGCGAAGGATGGTCAAGAAGCACTCGACAGGGTCAAGGAGAGTATGGAGCAAAGAACCCCGTACAACCTTATCTTCATGGATGTTCAAATGCCAAATTTGGATGGTTTACAGTCGACCCGTCTCATCCGACAGTCAGGCTTCTCTTCGCCTATTGTAGCTTTGACGGCGTATGCCGAGGAAAGCAACGTAAAGGTAAGCTCTTTTACTTCGTAAACTTTAGTCTCATTTGCTAACATCAAGGTAGGAATGTCTCGATTCCGGCATGGATTTCTTTCTATCGAAACCTATTCGGCGCCCAGCGCTCAAGCACGTACTCAAGACGTACTGCCCTACAATTCCCGAAGAAGAGGGGGAACCGCCACCACCTCCAGCAACAAACTCATCCAAACCGAAGGGTAAATCGATGCTACCCGCGATTCTGGGTAATACCAATGCCGCAACTGCGCCTGTTACTGTTATCGCTGGAACAAGCGACCGGCGGCATGCCGACGATTCACCAGCTATATCGCCTATGACGTCGAATTGACCGTAGACGTCGTTCACCACGCGCTTATATTCCTTGGGCTGTTTGGCCTGATACGTCAAATCCTTCTTGCCGCAGACCCACCCACCACCACTGCCTCTATTACGGTTCTCTCTACGATAATTGTAATGCTACCGAACGACACTCTAATCATGACCCTGACAGTCTTTTTTCTATTTTTTGTTCTTCGCTTCCTAGTCGACTACTACGACTACTACTGTATACAGTAAGCATGGCGCCAGTGGCTTTGGGTATTTCCTTTCTCACAAAAACATATGGGTTGTTTCGCATTCTAGGCGTTTTTTGAAAAGGGCTTCACTTGGGTTTGAAAATATGGGCACAGCGACATCATTGGGGACATATCTGTTATCTTACTTTGCCATTGTTCGGGCGGTTTTTCTTCTCTTAATCGTCAGATATTATTGGGTGGAAATGGCCGCTTATAAAGGCGCTCTTTCCTGAGGACTTTTGATAGGAAAGAGTTTGGACAACAGGACGTGTTGTGTGGATGAATGAAAGCATATTGACACGGCTCGATTCGAGTCGTGGATAATTTGACGTCACTGTTGATCGTTTTATGGATTCGTGATGCTATTCTCGTATTCGGTATCCTTTCCACATCCAGTGATGCTGTCTTCTTCGAAATACCAACTCCCATTGCGGAGCAGAATGTCTCACCATGACGAGTCTTCTCAGCGGCGAAAGGGCCATCTCCTTTGCCGATACGCGATCAGATTGGTAGAGGGGATTTACCGGTTTATATTATCTCGTGTCTATTTGTGATACCCCATCTCGTTGTCCATATAAAACTTCAAAGTACGCGTTTAGATTAGAGAAGGCCGAGAGCATTAATTCGGTCTTCACGGTACAATAATTTTTGTATTGTACTGGTGAGACTACATAATTCACAGTGGTATTAGACTATGGCACAGGTCGTGAGCTTTCAGTGTCCAGATGCTAGTCAGTCATGGAGACGATGTTGTGGCACGTGCCACCGCGACGCGATTCCTAAAGTTTGGCGCGTCGCTCACGCATCACTTACACACCACATACCACAACCACAATACACTTGATCCTTACCTTGCACCCTAAGCAGGCTGGATTCCTTCGTGGCATTCAGTTAGGAGACAGTAAAGCTGCTGAGGCCCGCTCTACCGCCAGACACGGCTTCTTGGGTGTTAGCTTCCAGCGCGTCCGCGCAGCGCGCAACATGGCCCGTCAAATGTCGCCCGAAGAGTACCAAGAGCTTGGGAAGAGGTACTACAAGCTTAAGGACTATGAAAAGGGTATCAATGTTCTCACGCAGGGCATTGAAGTTGCTCCCACTCTGGGTCTTTATGACCACCGTGCAGCCACCTATGAGAAGCTGAAGGACTTCAATGCCGCCGTCAAAGATGGAAGAGAGATGATCAAGTTGGATAAGAAGGAAGTGAAGGGCTATCTCCGCACAGCGAGTGTGCTGGAGAAGATGGAGAAGCCGGAAATAGCGCTTGGTATTTATAAATATGGCATGAAGAATGTCTCTATTCATGACAAGAACTTCAAGGTAATCGAGCGTCATTCCGCTTCCAAACGTGGGGCCTTTACTAACGTACTATTAGCTACTTCAGCAGCTGCATGACAAGATTACTCGCCAACTATCGCCCCCTATAGCCATGGATCCATTCACCGTTCTTCCTGTCGAGCTGGCAGAGATGGTTCTGGCGTACATGCCCTTCAGAAACATGGTAAACTGCATGCGTGTCAGCAAAGGATGGAAAGACTACCTTGCGAAGCGTCCCAAGCTGTGGCTGCACTTGGACTTGTCGGGCGCTCGCAAACCAGTTTCTCGCTCATTCGTTGGCAATGCCGTTAGACGTTCTCAAAATCGCCTGACCCGCGCAACCATCTGCCGCTTCGAGCATATGGATGTGCTTGTGAACATAGCAAAGGCCTGCAAGGAGCTCGTAGAGCTCGAGTTTATCACGTTCCCTTACAAAATGTCCTCCACGTTGATCGATATTGTCCAGTGCGCCCCGGGGCTGAGAAAGTTCATCGTGCACCCGGTGATTACGACGAACACGGCGAGGCACATTCTTCGCTATGGAAGGAGCTTAGAGCATGTCGGGTTTATGGGAGTAGATTGGACACATTACATTACGCTCTGGCAGGGTCCATTCGAGGCTCTCCACACACTCAGCATACACATGGTAAAATACGGACCTGGGCTGTCGATGGGGCTGGACTTCTTACTACCTCAGACCCCGAACCTGCAGTACCTGGCACTGTCCAACTTGCCAGGTGACGTTATGATGCCCTGGCCTGACGAGATATCTCAACTACCGCCGATGGAAACTCTCGTCTTGAAGCGCGTGCAGTTCGACAGATTTCCTCTACTTCCTCCAACGCTTCGGCGCCTAGAAGTGGACTATGACGGATCATACAGATTGGGACCTTATGAACGCAACATAATGCGATCGCGTGTGCCCAAGCTTACGCATCTGAAGCTAGGGGGATTCGAGCTCCGTGCAAAGACATTGGAATCCTTCCTGGATTCATGGACAGACGAAGAATATGTCATGATGCAATCGCCAACTATGCACCCGCTAACCGAGGCAACACCACTCGAGTCCTTGTCGGTCCGCGGCGTTTTGGGCACTGAGCTTGCGCAATATGGCTTGTTCAAAGGCCGTGAAAGCCTGTTTGGTTGCTCGCCTCGCGTCCTCACGCCGGCGTTGTTGTCCCTGGATATCTCTACGCTCCCGTGCAACGACGACGAGATCGAGCATCTTCTCACGTACAAGACTGGCATCCAGTCGATTGACATTTCCTGCACCAAAATCACTGGTGCCTCTATCAAGATGCTGGTGGATGGGCTTCCGTCACTAAAGACCATCAAAGCGGAAGATTGCCCCAACATTGGTGGACTGGATGCGATACACTATGCTGAGCGAAGGGGCATTTCCGTGAGCTGGAAGATGGGTAAACAAATAGGAAAGCAACGAGTCAATTACGGCTAGATGGTATTCATAGCACACTCGCAATCAAGGGCAGACAGAATTTCACAAAAAACCAGGACATTGGCATGATGATCGTTTGAATGTTTCATTCACTTTTTATGACGTATATCCTAAGCCAAAGAATAACCCCTTGTAGACAGGTAACTTGACCAAGAACACCTCGAAATAACAACGACTGGATTAATTTCCAAAATCGTAACTCATGAACTCGTGTCCATAGGACGCTCGAAAGCTATAATTTCCCAACGCCATGCAATGCTTCCGAGACGCCTCGCTGAATCAAGAGTTCATAGAACCCAGCCGAATTGACACATTTCCGAGGGTCGATGTGGAGGTCCTTCTCGAGAGAAAGGATCGCGTCACATACCCAAACGAGATGATTGTGATACTTACCAACTTACCGTTGCGCGTAGAGTCGGATCAATGAAGACGGCTCCGTTGCGCAAGCCGGTCTTGTAATTGTGAGCCACCTGCTCCACTCCCTCTCGGAGTGCCTGTGTTCCAACCCCTTGCAACCCCAAACGTTCCCCCTGCAGTGATGGACCGGATTTAACGGATCGTCATCTGCTTGACAACGCTAGGCTTCATAGAAGCAGAGCCAGCAGCAGCCACAGAAGGCTGGCCGGGCTTCTTCTCGAAGATCTTCCAAAATTTGAGAGACTCGTCGGCGGCAGCGGTGGCGAGCATCTGGCCATCGGGGCTGAGGCAGCTGTGGAGGACGCGAGACTCGTGGGCGGGGACCTCCATGTTCTTGACACCTGTCGGGTAGCTCCAGATGCTCAAGCTGTTGTCGGGAAAGCCACCGGTGCTGACAATCTCCTTGTAGTGGGTGCTCCATCGCAGGCTAGTGACTTGAGAGTCGGTGGCAATGTGGTTGATGCGAGCGCCAGTCGTGGTGTTCCAGAAGTAGATTTGGCGATCGTTGGAACCGCCGCCAGTAGCAAGGAGGTTGGATTGCCAGGGGCACCATGAGACAGCCTTGACGGCAGCACGGTGGTTGGTCTTTGTGAACTTGGGAGCGGCGAGCGCACGCGCATCCCAGATGTTGACCATGTTGTCATTGGCGCCAGTTGCGAGCTGAGCGCCGTCGGCGCGCCATTCGAGACCGCAGACCTCGCCCGTGTGAGAGACGAGCTCAGCGACCTTGTGTTGAGCGACGCGAACGTCGTGGTTGTAGACGAGGCCGGATCGAGCTCCAGTGGAGAGGAGGTGCTTGTTCCAGCCCATGACACCAACGCGAGTCTCGTGTCCGAACATGCTGCGGAGCTTGGTCTGCTCCTCAACGTCCCAGATCTGAACTTCGCCCGAGCCCAGGCCGACACCAACGTAGGCACCATCGCCGGACCACTTGACGGAAGAAATATAGGTATCAGCGGGGCACTCGAGGAGCGAGGCGACTGAGCCTGTATCAGCAGACCAGACATAGACGGAGCGCTCAAGGCCAATGGCGACCTGGTTGCCAGAAGACCAGTCCAGGAGGTTGAGGTAGTAGTCGTCCACAAGGCCAGGAGCATCAAGAACACGATCAGGTGCCGAGGGGATGCGACGGCGGCTCTGTGCATTGACGCCCGAGGCCGGCTTGAGGGGACGGTTATACTGGGTGCGGAGGTCGATGGGCTTGGACGACTCTGGTGGGGCAGGCTTGAATGCGAGAATGCGGGTGTTGGTGCTGATACCGCATGCTGAAGCAAGTGTTGATTGGTATGCCGCTGTACCGGGAGCGGGTTTCGAGCGAGACGGAGCGTCGTGCTCATCGTCGTCCAGATTCAAGCCCTCCAGCGAAAGTGTGATATCCTCCTCTGATCCACGGCCGCCTAGGTCGAAAGCACTCGCGGCAGTAGCAAGCACGGCTGAGCCCTCGGTCTTGGAGCTAGACTTTGGTCGTTGGTCAAGGTCGAGCTTGCCTGTGCCGACGTTGACGATGGCCTCGCTCGCGGTCCGGTTGGGGATAAAGCGGTCGGCGGCGTTGTAGGCGATGCGGGTCTTGGTGGGCCGTGAGCGAAGGGTGCCATCCTTCTTTGCCTTGGGTGTCTTGGTTGTCGTTGTCGTACCCGTTCCCGTAAGCGACCATTCTGTTACACCAAGCTCGAGGCGGCGTGGTGAGTTTTGGCTCTGACGGGCAATGTTTGACTTGGGCGAATCGCGGGTAGCCTTTGAGATGGAGCGCTGGAAGCGGGGCATGAGGTTGCCGCCATGGATCGACTCGTGTGCCTGCACATCGGACGTCTGGGTGCGGGGGGTGCGGGGAGAGGGCGTCAATGGGATCCGACCGCCAGCGGTGCGGGTAGAGAAGAGCGAGGAGCGGCTCTTGACCGGAGTCAAGACTGCTGGGCTGGCCATGACTGCGTCACTCTCCTGCTAGCAATGTGTTAGTCGCATACATGATGATGATGATGATGATGGAGGATAGAGTGGAGTCAGGCTGTCGTACAATATGGGTTTCTGGTTCTGGTGTTGGATGGGAAGATTAGTATTAGATTGCTGTAATCGATGCTCTGAAGTATTGATTCGAAAAAAGTAATTGCGGGTAGGCGCTGGGAAGCTGGAGAGATTGAGGGATATGCGGAGGCGAGGAGGAGATGCTGGTGGTGAGCACATGTAGAGTGGCCAGGTGCGACGAGGGTTAAATATCCGATTGTTTATGCTCGTGGTTGACGAGGCGACCGTCTCGAGGGCCCCTGCACGGCGACGAGGCTCAGGCTGGCCATGACAGCATCACATGACCTGCCCCGAGCGCACCTGAATGAAACTCAATGGATTCTTTCATAATTTCACTTCGTAAGCCATGTTGCCCGCCTGCGCGGAAATGAGGACGCCATGATTATGCGACGGTATCATGGCTTCAGGCGATGTCACATGTCGAGGCGTGTATGTGTGTGTGTGTGTGTGGCCACTGTGCCGCATCCAGCTCTTCTTACTTCCCGCACGGGCCTCCAACCACCCAACATGGCCATAGTCACCCCAGCTGCTTGAGCCTCAGACATTTCTCACAATAAGCCGCACAAAGGCAACCCCTTGCCCAACGGGGCTTTATGAATACCCACTCGTCTGCCCTTCAACACCGCTCGCTAGGTCAATGGCGCACACGACCACTCGCACGCTTCTGCCGCCCACCAACGTCCTCCCCCCCGCCATGACCTCGACCCCCTCGCCAGCCCTCTCCAACACGCCTGGGACCACAGGCTCGAGCAGCAACACCTTCCTCATGTCCGCCAGCCCGGTGCGAAGTCGCAGATCCGCCGTCGAGGGCTACAAGCCCAAGATGATCTCCACCATCGGTGCCAAGCCCGCCTGCCTCGTCAATGCGTCCGTCACGTACGTCGGGGATGACCAGATATACGCCTTTGGAGGATTCGATCAATACACGGATGAAGGTGAGTAGATCAGACTCAGCAAGGGGGAATAGGGGGCACAGGAAGACATGCTGACAATGCTCCCAGTGTACAACCATGTGCTGCGCTTGAACCTCATCACCCGACAATGGAATCTCGTCGACAACTATGGCGACATTCCCGGTGTGCGCATGGGTACCTATGACCTCCATCCGTTGACCTTTGGTCTATACTGACATGACTACGCAGGACATACAGCATGTCTATGGCAAGGCAGCAAGCTTCTGGTCTTTGGCGGTGAAAACGAACACCGCCAGCATCTCGCCGACGTCATAGTATTCGATCTCAAGACAGCACACTGGACACAACCAGAGACTCACGGACCGATACCGCGCGGTCGCGCTCGTCATTCGGCTGTCATCTACGACGACAAGCTGTACATCAGCGGTGGCCAGACCGGACACGACAGCGTGCTCGATGATATCTGCTACCTCGATCTCAAGACTTGGACCTGGTCGCGGACTTGGAGATTCGTGCCTCGCTACGACCATGCCAGCTGGATCTGGAATGGTCGCATCTGGATCTTCGGAGGAATTAATGACGACATGGAGAAGAGTAACGAGATATGGTGGCTCGACCTTCGCGGCAGCCCGGAGTTTGACCATGCCATGAAGTATGGCACGGCTGACCGACAAATGACATCGTCCCGCCATCGCTTTGCAGTACCCGCCTCAGGCCAGCTCGCAACCGGCAGCACCGGCTACACTGCCAACTCAAGCGTACAATCCCATTATGCAATGAGCTCCACCCGCTCGCCCTATGTTGCGCCTGGATCCATCTCGTCCCTCAAGTTCCACTCCAGTCCCAATTTGCCGTCACAGGCTGCAGGCACACATTTCCATATCTTCTCTTCGGGGTGCATGCTGGACTTTGTCACGCCTGCTGAATTGAGCTGCGAAACTAGTTTGTCAAGCTTGGAACTGGATACACTTCGATGGCAGAAGCTGGCTGAAGGGAGAGATCTGTACAGCCCCAACTACCGCTGGCATTACTGCACAACAAATCCGGAAGGAACCCATGCATGGCTTCTTGGTAGCCCGATTGAGTCTGCCGCAGATGGGAATCACAATGGTGAATACCTCAGCGATGTCCTTGCGATTGACCTTCGCAAATACGGCATCTTGGGCAATGAACTGGCTTCAGATTCACGGTCGAAAATGATGCCCTCTTCCGACGCCAACGTCTCCTCACACCTCACTGGCATCGGGGCAGATCTGTCGTTGACTTTCGATCAACCACCGGAGAGTGGCAGCGGCGCAGACTTCATCATCACGGCAGACGCGGACGACGATGATTACGTCGATGTTTCGGCACCAGACCCCGGGACCGCATCAACTGCCGTAGGACCCGCATCCCGCCCAATCCACGTCCACAAGCTGATCCTGCACGCTCGCTGGCCGCATTTTGCTCGACTTTGGAGCGCGCAAATGGCCGAGTTCCACTCGAAGAAGATGCACATCCCTGAACCTTACTCTGCCGTGCGCGCATTTCTTTTCTATCTCTACACCGATAGCATTGCGCCGAATCCACACAACGGGCCCACTTTGAGCGATGTTGCCGGCATGCTTGTCATGTCGAACATCTACGACATGCCGCGTCTTCGACTACTCTGCGTCAACCGATTGGGCCGTGAACTCGACATTGAGCATGCGGCCATCATCTGGGAGCGCGCTGCCACGGCCGGTGAGGATTGGCTCAAGCAACGAGCAGCCTTGTTTTGCATGCAGAACTTTGGTCGCTTGGTCCGTACGGCTGGCTTCAGGAACCTCAACCCCGCCAGCTTGATTGAGCTGTGCTGTGAAGCTAGCCCAGAGTCGCGAGTTGTCGGCGGCGAAGATCTCGAATTACTAGGCCAAATGGCGGGTCGTCCGTTTGGTGTCAGTAGTAACCGCAAGCGCAGCCTGGGTAGCGCTGGCGTGTTGACTGCTGGGGAGGAAGACGGGGACGAGGAAGTCGAGGACGATGGTATGGATGTCAATTGAGGGTTGGCTCACTTTTTTTCCCATGTTCATATATAGCATCTTTGCGCGGCGCTGGTTTCCTAGGGTTGTGCTCGGCATTGCATTGCGCGGGAGTTGGACAAGAGCTTTGAGGGTGTTTTTACGGTTTACGACCTGGCAGACGATGACATGACTTGTGTTTTTGGGACGATACCGGTCAATAGATGACACCACCCTTTTCCGCTAGGCCTTTCAATGTAAAAATTGTTACATGTCATATTGAAATTGTCTACATGGAGCATCACCACACACACACACATACACTTGCTTGACTTTGTATATAGCCATTGAACTGCCTACTGGTATCTTGGGGTATGTTGGTACCGGAGGCCAAATGCATGCATACCGGACATTACGTCGATCGACCACCGACTTTCTTTCCTGGTTCGCCTACTGTACGTTCTCCACCACTTCCCCATTAGAGAAAGACCAATCCTCCTCGCTATCATAGCATTCTGATGTGCCTTCGAGGTCGCTCCCGTAGTCGTCCGATTCGAATTGCTGCCGCGCCTCCCGCTGTTCCCATCTTAGAATACCCTCCATCTCGCTCCGACTAAGACACATGGACCTGATTTGATGTTGCCCAGGAACACTCTACGCTCCACCGTTGAGGAGATACTCGACTGCGCCTTGAACATTGCCACCGCTTCTCCGCAGAGCCGACACGTTCCTGTCAAACTCGTAGAAACCCATTTCGTTCAATTGCCTGAGCTGCGTCTCATATACTTCCTCTGGCGGCCGGCTGTCTACGGGCGGAGGTGTGCCGAAGCCGCCTCCCGCGCCGAAGCCTCCGGGTCCAAAGAGCGCGGCGAAGGGATTGTTGGCGGGCGGCGAGTTAGGACCTGCGCCCGTCGCAGGTGTCGTTGAAGCAGGTGCCTGCCCAAATGCAGAGAAAGGTGACGCGCCTGCACCTGCACCTGCGCCTGCGCCACCGCCCATCATCTGCATCATTGATTGCATGGCCTCGGGGTTTTGCATGAGGTTTCGAGCTGCTTCTGCAATAGGGTTCGCCTGCCCGCCTTGTGCTCCACCGAAGAGGTTGGGGAAAGTATTCGGGGGAGCCGATGAGGCGTCCTGTGTATTCTGTGGTGACGCGGACGTTGGGGTTGTGTCGGCCGTGTTTTGGTTTGCCTGTGGAGCGAACGGATTGCCACCAGCGCCGCCGGCTCCGCCAAATGCTGCGAAAGGATTTGGTGTTCCAGCGGCATTCGGCGGGTTTGGCGTCGCGGTGGAGTTTGGCTGTGGGGTGTTGTCTGTGGCGCCTGGAGCTGGGAAGCTCGATCCACCACCGTCTCGGTCACCCATGGAACGCTGCATTTGTAGTTGCATGCGCATCATCTCGGGGCTGAACATCATGCGGCGCATCTCGGGATTTCTTAACATCTCTTGGAGCATGGGGTTGTTGCGGATCTGTCACATGTACCTGTCAGACACGGCCATCAACAGAATAGTGTAGGTACCTACCATGGGGTTCTGCATCATCATGTCGACCACGGCGGGGTTGTTCATGGCCTCGTTCATCTGCGACAGGAACATTGGGTTCTCCATCAACTCGAGCATAGAGTCTGCGGTTGGCGGCGGGCCCATCTACAGCGTGTTAGCATAGCCCGCGACCAAGTCCATGTGAAGCACTCACTCCACCGTCAGGCCCAAACGTATCCATGCCAGGCAGGCCGTGGAAGCCGGCATAGCGCGCACCCGTCAGTCCCGCGAGAGGATTATTCCCGGTTCCTGCTGCGATGTTGGTCGGCACCTGGGGGGTCGGGGTACTACTGCCGCCCGTGGTGCTCGCCGTGCCCTGGTTGGCGGGGTTCTGCCTCGCATTGCTCGCGGCGCCCTTGACGAGGTGTACGGTGTGTCCATCCTTGATCTTGACACTCGAAAGCGTATCTCCGTCTTTTAGCACGCGACCTGAGTAGATGAGGCGCTGGCGCTCGGCGGGGATGTCTGCGAATTCTGGCGTCGATAGCTTGGCCTTGATATCGGCGACTGTGGTGGTGCTGGGCAGAGTGATGACGTGCTTCTGGTCGTTTGCAGCCTTGACGTTGAAGGTGATCTGCGCGTCCTCCGCAGACGTGGCGGCGTCGTCGGCCATGATATCTCTTGTAGGATGTCTCTTTATGTATGCTATCTATCTATGTCTTGTGCGGCGCGGGCGGGAGGGGCAGCGACTGACGCTAAGGCTGGGATTCGTCCGAGTACAGCACCTTCTGGCGACGTGGGATAATTACGAGCGGTGGAGCAATATGGTGCTTGCGCGAGGGGGGTGGCGTGTAGTGTAGGAGAAGAGGGCGCTGCATGTGGTTGACTTTGGAACCCAGCCTCTGGATAGCTCTGGAAGGCGGCAGAAGAGGCGGAACGGGCCAAACGTCAGTCGCTTCCTTCCTTCCTTGTGCGACACGGCCTGGCGTCATTAGCGCGTGGCCGTGCACGTGGCGCGGTCGCCGGTGGCCAAGCGACGCGAAGACGGGTGGGGTGAAGGACGCGGAGGGCCGGGGAAGCACCGCTACCCAAGGGCCGAGGCATCTAGTCGAGACATTGGTTCATCAGACGGGGGCCATGTATCTACGTCTAAACATCTTGGTCTCCAGTTTGCATTCTCACCAATTCGAGCCTGGCTGAACTGACCACCCACGCCTTACCTCACTGTTCACCCATCCTCCTCCCAGACATCCGCCACTATGAAAGGCATACAGATCACCGAATATGTCAAGGTAGCTTCCAACCCCCCAACCCCCATATATTCACACACCCAGTGTATGCTCACATCCACAGGGCCCAGAAGACCTTAAAGTCCTCAATCTCCCCACTCCGACCCCAAAGCCAGACGAATACCTGATCGCCATCCACGCCTCTGCGACCAACTTCTTCGACCTGCTGCAGATTCGCGGCAAATACCAGAACCAGCCGCCCTTTCCCTGGATCGCTGGTTCCGAGTTCTCAGGCGTCGTCCTCAAGGCCCCGTCTTCACTGCCAGGTGGCAAGACGCCCAAGTTCCAGGAAGGCGACAAGGTGTTTGGCGCTAGTCAGGGAGGCTACGCGACGCATGTTGTGGCTACCGAGGAACGACTGAAGGGTGTGCCCGAGGGATGGAGTTATGAAGATGCCGCAGGCATGTTTGTTACCGCACCGACTAGTTATGCGGGCTTGGTTGTTAGAGCCGGGATAAAGAAGGGTATATACCCAACCTCCACCATCTCAAGCTCCTCAAGCTGACTTTCAACTACAAGGCGACTGGGTCCTCATTCATGCTGCCGCCGGCGGCGTCGGCCTGGCAGCGGTTCAAATCGCCAAGGCATTTGGCGCAACTGTCGTCGCAACAGCCGGCACACAGCACAAGCAAGACGTAGCTCGCTCCTTTGGCGCCGACTACACTGTCGACTATCGCCAATCTGACTGGCCGGAGCAAGTGAAGAAGCTTACACCAAAAGGCCGTGGTGTAGACATTGTCTACGACCCCGTAGGTCTAATCGCTCAATCCATGAAGTGCACTGCTTGGAACGGCCGCCTTCTCGTCATCGGGTTTGCAGCCGGCAACATCGAGAAGATGGCAACGAATCGAATCTTGTTGAAAAATGTTAGTGTGGTGGGGTTGCATTGGGGTGCGTATGCGCTGAACGAGCCGGAGATGCAGGACCAGGTGTGGGATGGCATATTCGCCTTGGTCAAGGAGGGCAAGTATAGAGGCACTGCCTTTACGGATCGCGAATTTGTGGGCTTGGAGAGCGTGCCCGCTGCATTAAAGGCCCTCGGTGGGAGGGGCAGTTGGGGCAAGGTGGTTGTCAAGGTGCCGCATGAGGGCCAGAGCAAGATTTAGATGTTGAAAAGGCGATAATAAAGGTTCCAAACTGCTTTATGGGTATCCTGATGTTGGTAATGAGCGCGTATCACTAGAGAAGCCCTACTCCACTATTGTCGCTGAGACGTTCAAACAATGTGGTGAGCATCAGGTGCTTATAAACACAGAGGACGATACAATTGCCAAGACGTCCGTGCGAGGTTTCTTTGAGCATCGCCGCCGCAGGTCGCGACTTGGACACAACGATTCTCGACCCTCTCACCTCCCACCTCCCGACTCCCTCCCCTCACTCCCTCTCCTACCTCCTCCCCGTCAGTCCTTCTCCTTGTCGCAAACATGGCTGACACATACTACGACAACGACATGGAGGAAGAATACGAGGACGATGAAAACGACCAGATGATCTCGCCCGAGGACTGCTGGGCCGTCATCAGCTCCTTCTTTGACACAAAGGGCCTGGTGTCGCAGCAGCTGGATTCCTACGACGAGTTTACGCGCAACACGATACAAGACATTGTCAAGGAGAACGGCAGCGTCATACTCGAGCAGAACACGCCCTACAACCCCGACGAAGACGACGACCCCATCATCAAGCGCCGCTATGAGATCAAGTTTGGGCGCGTCTATCTGGCCCGGCCCACACACACCGAAGGCGATGGTACCACGGTCCAGCTCTACCCTCACGAGGCACGCCTACGCAACCTCACCTACTCCGGCGCCATGTTGGCCGACATCGAAAACCGCATCATGGTGGCCCGCGAGACCACCGTGGCTGCCGAGGGCGACGATGAGGACGCCGAGGGAGGCTACACGGGCGGGCAGACGCAGATTCGGTGGGAGCGCGAGGATGCGCCCATGGACAACGAAGCTGCGGCGAGGGTCTTCATCGGCAAGCTGCCTGTCATGTTGCGCTCTGAGCTATGTCACCTGCGCAACCAGTCGGACGCAGATTTGTTCGCACTCAACGAGTGTCCCTACGATCAAGGTGGCTACTTTGTCATCAACGGCAGTGAAAAGGTCCTGATCGCCCAGGAGCGCAGCGCAGCCAATATTGTCCAGGTCTTTCGGAAGAAGCAGGGGCCGATCCCCTGGACGGCTGAGATTAGAAGTGCAGTCGAGAAGGGCACCCGCCTCATCTCCTCCTTCAACATCAAGTGGGCGGATAACTCACTTGTTACCAGTGGAAAGCGTGTACAAGGCCCCTTCGCGTATGCTGCTCTCCCCTACGTCAAAGCCGAGATACCCATGGCCATCGTCTTCCGCGCACTTGGTATCGTTTCTGATGAGGAAATCTTGAGCCATATCGTCTACGACCGCACCGATACACAGATGCTAGAGCTACTGAAACCCAGCATTGAAGAAGGTGCCGTGATTCAGGACAGGGAGACGGCGCTCGACTTCATCGCTAAGCGAAGTCAGACCGCGGGCACCAGAGACAGACGTCTCAAGTTTGCGAGGGACATTATGCAGCGCGAATTCTTGCCGCACATCTCGCAGAAAGAGGGCCAGGATACCCGCAAAGCCTACTTCTTCGGCTACATGGTCCACCGACTCCTGCAGTGCGTCTTGGGCCGCCGCGACGAAGATGATCGCGATCACTTCGGTAAGAAGAGGCTAGATCTGGCGGGACCATTGATTGCAAATTTGTTCCGTATCCTCTTCCTCAAGCTAACCAAGGATGTCTACAAGTACCTCCAACGTTGTGTCGAGAACAACCAGGACTTCAACGTTCAGATGGCCGTCAAGGCTAGCATCATCACAAACGGCCTCAAATATTCCCTAGCAACAGGCAACTGGGGTGATCAAAAGAAAGCAGCTTCCGCAAAGGCTGGTGTCTCGCAGGTGCTGAACCGATACACATACTCCTCAACCTTATCTCATTTGCGGCGGACGAATACTCCCGTCGGTCGTGACGGCAAGCTAGCGAAGCCGCGACAGCTTCACAACTCTCATTGGGGCCTTGTCTGCCCAGCCGAAACCCCCGAAGGACAAGCCTGCGGACTGGTAAAGAATCTGTCTTTGATGTGCTACGTTAGCGTGGGAAGCGACGCGTCGCCCATCATTGACTTCATGACACAGCGAAACATGCAACTCCTCGAGGAATACGATCAGAATCAGAATCCGGATGCCACCAAGGTTTTTGTAAACGGTGTCTGGGTTGGTGTACATTCCAATGCCCACCAGCTTGTGTCGGTCGTGCAAGAGCTTCGGAGAAACGGAACGCTATCTTACGAGATGAGTCTGATTCGTGACATTCGTGACCGGGAGTTCAAGATTTTCACGGACGCCGGCCGCGTCATGAGACCATTGTTCGTTGTGGAGAACGACATCCGAAAGCCGAACCGCAATCAGTTAATTTTCACCAAAGCCATCAGCCAAAAACTCCTAATGGAGCAACAAAGTCATGATCAACGCAGTGGGTGGAGTGAACAGGAAATCGAAGCCGCTACATATGGCTGGAAGGGTCTCATTCAAGACGGTGTTATCGAGTATCTCGATGCCGAGGAAGAAGAAACTGCAATGATCACCATGTCTCCTGAGGATTTGGATGAGTGGCGGGACATGAAGCAGGGCATTCCTCCAAATGAGCGGGCTAATCAAGGCAAAGATCGCCTAAGGCGCATCAAGCCAAAGCCTGACCCTCGAATCCATGCCTACACCCATTGCGAAATTCACCCAGCCATGATTTTGGGTATCTGCGCCAGTATCATTCCTTTCCCGGATCACAATCAGTCACCCCGTAACACTTACCAATCGGCCATGGGTAAGCAAGCCATGGGTGTCGCCATCACCAACTACGCGCTGCGTATGGAGACCATGATGAATGTTCTGTACTACCCTCAGAAACCTCTAGCGACAACGCGATCAATGGAGTATCTCAAGTTCCGTGAGCTTCCTGCTGGCCAGAACGCAATCGTTGCCATTGCTTGCTACTCCGGATACAACCAGGAAGATTCCGTCATCATGAACCAGAGCAGTATCGACCGAGGCCTCTTTAGGAGTTTGTTCTACCGTGCCTACACTGAGCAAGAGAAGCGCATCGGCGTCAACGTTCTCGAGCAATTTGAGAAGCCAACTCGGGCCGACACACTGCGACTGAAAGGTGGTACCTACGACAAACTCGACGACGATGGTATTGTTGCCCCTGGTGTTCGCGTTTCCGGTGACGACATCATCATTGGCAAGACAGCACCCATCGCGAGTGACGCGCAAGAGCTTGGGCAAAAGACTACGTTGCACACGAAACGAGACGTTTCCACGCCTCTCCGAAGTACCGAAAATGGTATCGTGGATCAGGTACTCTTCACCACCAACACCGAAGGTCTTAGATTCGTCAAAGTCCGCACGCGGACCACCAAGGTTCCGCAGATTGGTGACAAGTTTGCGTCTCGTCACGGTCAGAAGGGTACCATCGGAATTACCTATCGACAAGAAGACATGCCATTCTCCACAGAGGGTCTCACCCCAGATATCATCATCAACCCTCACGCTATTCCATCCCGTATGACGATTGCCCATTTGGTCGAGTGTCTTCTTTCCAAGGTGGGCGCAATCAATGGACAAGAAGGCGATGCCACGCCCTTCACTGAAATCACCGTCGATCAGATTTCCGACTTGCTTGAAAAGGCTGGCTACCAGAAGCGAGGTTTCGAAATCATGTACAACGGCCATACTGGCAAGAAGATGCGGACACAGGTGTTCTTGGGTCCCACATACTACCAGCGTTTGAGACATATGGTCGACGATAAGATCCACGCTCGTGCTCGTGGCCCGTTGCAGATCCTCACGCGTCAGCCTGTAGAAGGTCGTGCTAGGGACGGTGGTCTGCGCTTCGGAGAGATGGAGCGCGATTGTATGATTGCTCACGGTGCTGCCGCGTTCTTAAAAGAGCGGCTTTTCACGGTCTCGGATGCGTACACGGTACATGTGTGCGACATCTGTGGCCTAATGAGTCCTATTGCGTAAGTCTTCCTTTCATTCTTTACTCACATCTCGAGAGAAGGATTTGTACTAATAAGATGTCAGCCAACTCAAGAAAGGCCAATACGAATGCCGACCCTGTCACAACAAAACCCGCATCTCCCAAATCCACATCCCGTACGCCGCCAAACTCCTCTTCCAAGAGCTGCTCGCTATGAACATCGCAACCCGCATGTTCACCACCCGCTCTGGCCTCAGTGTGCGCGACTAGTCGTCCCATGACCTCATTGAGTCGTGATATACGTTCTAAACTAGGGACACCTACCACCATCTAAACCGAAGCTTGAGTAGCTTTGGCTACATGCATTTCGGCATGGGCTTAATGTATGTGTCTGGTGGTATAGTCGTAGCGTTTGCTACGGAGATGAGGACGCAGCATGAGATAGTTACTAGGTTGGTGTTTCCCGAGGGTGCGAGTCTGAGTCATCTTGATCTTTTCAAACGTTCATAGTCAACAACAGCATAGTACTGGCGTTTTGGGAATGACTTCTTATAAATTGGGTTCAAAAATTCGTTCTGCCCAGAGATGAATCAAGCAGGACGAGGGGGTGTATGGGGTTTTCTGGCTTACCAACTTTCCGTTTGGAAGGTTGGTAAAGTTCGCCATTTTTTTATAGAACTGTAATGGCTTTTTCTTGTATACCTATGTAGTCTGGAACTGAAATCTGCCTTTCTGACATTAATATTGGTATTCGTGTTCTCTACTCCCTAGTACTCTCTGGTGAAGATTTTGAATTTATGTAGTAGTATGAAGTGTTCGAACATGCATCCCGGCAGACGACGTGGGAATAAGGTCTCGCTAACGATTAGCTTGGCCCGGGTATATGGATATGCGTGGGAGAGGTAGTGGGAGAGAAACAAGTGTTGTGTCACCTTTCATGGCGGAATGATGGCATTCTCATATAAAAATTCTCCAGAATACTGGTACATTGTCAACCTACAGGTGCGAGTTACCCACCTAAAGGCCCAACACCCTAACAAGCCATACTAGAGAAAGAGATAGAGTGAACCGGCGGATATTGACAAAAGCCCCTTGGAAGATGACAAGAGAGAACATGAGAAAAGTATTAACAGCTATAGACGTCGAAAGCGCTCAGCGACCGCCATTACGGTCATCACTCCGATACCGATTTCGACTCCTGTCCCGCCGGTTGTCGCGATGGTGACTGGGACTGCGACTCCGCTCTCGTCGCCGACCATCGTATCGGCCATCGTCACGATCTCTTCGGTCGCGCTTTGGACTTCGGCTGCGATTCCGCTTCCATCGGTCGTCGTGATAGTCCTCCCGTCGCTCCCTTCGTCGAGCATCGTCCCGCCGCTTATCTCTGTCGTCACGTGGGCGCGCAGTCGAGTCTTGTGAGATGTCGCGATCGACAACCAGCTTGTTGACTACAGAGTCAGAAACGATCTGACGACCTGAGCCATCGCGATACTGCCTCTTTTTCTCCAAATTGTCGATGCCACCAAAACCACCCGCTGCTCGCCTCCGCTTCTTGTTCGTGACATCTCGCCAATCATCTGCGATCTTTGAGACACTCTGCGAAAAGTCCACGTGTATGCGGTGATCATCAATCAAGACGCCGTCCATCTTGAAGTAAGCCTGTTCACAGTCTTTCTGATTGGTATACTCAATGAAGGCGTACTGCAGGCTGTCATTTGTTCGCTTATCCCTAATGACTTCGCAGCTGACGATCTTTCCAAATCTCGAAAAGATGAGCTCCAGGTCCTCATCCTGCGTCACGGGGTTCAGCTTGCACACAAAGAGCACGTTCTCGGGTGGTGCCACTTCAGCAAACGGGAGATCGCCAACCATCTCGAGCGTGAGGGCTTGCGCGCGCGCCTCACGTTCTCTGCGGACCTTTTCTAACGCTTCTGGGTCGTTCTCCTCAGTAAGACTCTCATCGTAGGCCACACGTACGGTAGCAAGTTGCGCGGCGGAAGGCACAGGGCTTTCGGGCGGTTCCACCAGTCCAGTCGGATCGGCGTAGGGGTCGTCTAGGACAACCGTGTGTAATATCCGAATGTCCTTCAGAGGGTGGCCCTTGTCATCGATGTATGCTGTGTTGATCTTCTCGAGCGCATCGAAGCCCTCTACCACGGTGCCAAATATTGCTGCCTTGCCGTCCAGAAAGTCTATGTTCGGTCCAAGAGTGATGATGAATTGGCTGCCCGCGAACCGCTCGTCTGGATTCTCAGGGTTTGGCGCGGTGGCCATGCTGACGGTGCCCATATCCGTGTGCTTTAGCTTTGGCTTGAGCTCAGGCACAAACGTTTTCTTCGATATGTTTGTGGGCTCAAGAAGACCCCATATTGAGCGCCCGCCATCGCTCTCCTTAGATCCGGGCCCGATTGGATCGCCTGTCTGGAAAGAGAAGTTTGGTTGAACGCTATGCACGGGCGCAAAGTTGTAGTACTTTACTTTGCATAGCTTGAGGAAGCTAAGGTGACAAGCTGTCAGTGTCTGTTTTGTGCTCAGCTTGGAAAGACAGCGGGAAAGAGCATGTAGCATGCAGCGTGCAGCCAAACACCGCAGGCGCGCACAGGGATTGGGTAGACTTACTTTTCACAGCATGTGGGCGCGTCGTCCACCAGCAGATCGATGGTAATGTCACCGAGTGACGTTTCCAGAAGCACAGACATGGCCCAGGGTGTGTTGTGCGGAGAAGGCGTTGTTTGTCGCAAAACGTTCCTGATCGTGGAGCGCGACAGCTTTCGAGATGTGGAGCTTGGGCCTTTAGCTGAGTCATCATTCATGACGTAACGTGCATCTACACTTCACGCCCGTCCACATATCGCCCTTCTTCATCCTAAACGTCTCGCAGACTGCGGAGTACGCATTCAATATACTTGGGCAACGTGCTCCAGCATGATTCGAAATACAGCACAACAAGTGGATCCACTCCATGCATATTAACCGCTACAAGCAGATACTAACGCGCTCATGAAGGGCGGTCACTATTCGTTCAGCTTTCTGCTCAGTGCGCGGGTTCAGATGGCGGGCTTGGAGACCAGAAAGAGCCTGGAATGCCTGTCCAGGAGCGGACCGTTGAACGGAGTACCCGTTGTCTGATCGCTGTGTACCCTTATCCCTGTTCCATGTTCGGCTAGCCGCTCTGGCTGCTGCGTCCTGCGACCCTCAGCAACGACCCGAAATCAAAAGCTCAGGGCATACGACCAGATGAGTGCCTTTTTGCATTTTAAACTCTACCTATATCCGCCACTGAACATTTTGAGCGTCACGCTTCCGTACTTAGCCACACACGGGAAGCGGACCGCCACATAGCTTTTTGGCCAAACATAACCCCACTCCATCATTTTGAATGCTTAGGCGTTGTTTGTCCTCTTCGTATTAGATAAGGATGCTGCGTGTCCGTTCACTATGCCCAGACGCTGCTTGCTATCAGCGCGTTTGATGGTCCGCGCACCGAAGGCGAGACACAACATGGCCGGTAAAAAAGGCGTGGTGGCACTATCACTGAGCGATTGTGGACCTTCGTTGCTTCTCATCTCTTTTCGTACACAGTTGTGCCTCAAACCTTCCAGGCACTCACACCATCATCACCCACGAGCCTTGTAATCGCCCTGTCATCCCCCTTCGGGACTTTGCACATTGCACATTGCTCAACTTGTAGGCAAGTCTCCCTGACCACAGTCATGAAACACACAAGATGCCGGAGGTCATCAAGAAGCTTTAGATGCGGCGATCTCTAACGAAGGTTCCCTACGTCGCCTGGACAAACAAGGTTTGCTACAAGCTTGGCATCTATGTTGGTAACCTGCCATTGGCTGATTACACGAACCCGATGTTTTGGCATGCACTTTTGTTGCATACGTAAGAGCGCAGCTGGTGCCTTGAAAAGTTCGTGCAGTACGCAGTAAGTTAAGGCCCCGTAGAGGCATATGCAGAGTAGTTTACTTGCATCCTTAGCTTCTCTGTCGCCTAAGAGAGCTGCCCTATCAACATCAGCTACCGGTAACCCCTAGCCCGATAATACCAATTTGGAGTTGTGGAGGACCAAGGTCACAGTGGGGGATCTGGATCTAGTATAGAATGACACCGGAAGTTTTCTCTAGCCTTCCCGCATACGCTAGATCTCATTGCGCGTTCATCCCAGAGCAAATGGCCGCGACAGCGGTACTATACCTTTCCAGGCCTATATGCATGGGTTTTTTTGTGAGACCCAGGTGGTGCTCTTTCTTCATCCATAGGTCTGTCCGCAGATCAGGCAGACAAGGGTATCGTGTCGTGATCTTATTCCAGGTCAGTGCGCACAGTAATCACTTGACGGATACTCAGTCACTTAGCCTTCTTGGCCTGCGCTTGCACACTTATGGTTGTAGGTACGTTAAAATGGTTGACTTGTCGAGCTATTGAGCGTACGTCAAACTTTTCCTTCCGACAAGCGAAAGGACTAGCTGATTTGGCTACCTCTATAAGCTGTGTTCTGCTCTATTCCTTCGTCATGTCGATTACACTGCCATTGCATCTCTAAATTCAGCGATGGGCCTAGGTGTATCTATATGGCTATTGAACAACAACTGTTTTCCATCATCTCAATCACCTGCCCTTTCCAAAAGATCATGAGTAAAAGCTCCGAAAGCTGTGTGCCTTGTCTCCCGGCTCCGCGGTGGCACCAGGTAGCTCGCAAACAGCCGACGACCGATTGTGACATGACTTTATCAAATTTACCCTAACGTCGACGTGTTGCAAGTGCAATAGTTGTTTGCACATTTCCAGCCGGGTAACATAACCTTACTAGCTTCAAACTTTCAAGTCTACTACTCCGGGTCATGCATGGTCCTGGAAGTGGGCCGCCTTTCACGAATCTTTGTTCAGGAACGGTTATGGCGCTTATGAAAACGGAGTAGCACACCCATTCAGCAGTACAATGTTACACCTATCTCTCTTCTCGGCGGCGTTTGACTTGTAGTCACTTTGAGGCGTGTGCCTCATGCCCCTGGTCAACAGGGCGGTGACGCCAGCAGGCTTCCGCGAGCTAACGCAACCTACAGCAATGTCGCCCACAGATTCTATTCGTACAAACACTCTTCCATACCTCAAGAGCCTATTAGTTATCTAGAAAATCGCTAAAAGGGACGTTTCTTCGTACTTTGACAGCCACGTCAACAGCCTCGAGTCACTAATCAATAGCTTCTACTAGATTTCAGTCAGGAACGGATGCAGCGTCTTCTCATTTAGGCTATAAACCTTATCGTGCCAGACCGATAGTCGATTGACCTAGGTTCCAGTCAATCTTCTCCCGGGGAGCAGCAGTGGACAGCATTACTATCGACCACACATCAGGAAATCCAGTCAGAGTCCGCCGTAAAATTTCTTCAATCATCTGACAAACGCCTTCCCTCGGAATTAAGAGTTTGTACCTTGGTGCCCCTTGGACATTGACTTCACAACGGTGACTGATCTTGCGATAGACACATATATATCCGTCATGGAGTACGATACTTCTCGTCATTGCCATCCACAGTCACTTTCCTACCCAGCAGGATACTATTACAACAACCGCAATGTCCCCCTCGAGCTCTCACATACCACGAGAGCTAACCCTCGCGGTTACCCCTTTGGTGGTCCTATTGGCGGTATATACAGCCGAGCACATCTGGGACAAGAGATTCCTATGGAGACTGGACCACCGAGACGTCGCATAGCAGTAGCGGTAAGTTAGCTAATAGTCTGTCTTCTGGTGACTCTACTCAGCTCTTGAGAGATTTGAAACTGGTCGCACCGGATTTGACAAGTACCTAATTGAGGACACAACTAACACAAGACGTAGTGTGCTCGTTGTCGCAAGAGGAAGATTCGCTGCAGCGGCGACCCAGGAAATGGCGCTGGGTGTACGAATTGCAGGCAGGCTGGTATCGATCCAGCTCTGTGCCAATTCCACCGAGTGAGTCAAGCCTTCTTGAATTTGAGCTGTACTAACAGTGGCAGGTGGGGTCTGATAACGTGCACAAGGTAATGGATAATTTTAATATGGCAAACAGCCTGACCAGCATGGCAAACGCCAACGGAATGATGACACTCTACTCTGCAACCAACCCGTTGTATTCTCGCAACAATCAGTACCCTCAGATCGATACGAAGCCAATTTACCCCTCGGTTTGGACGGGATCCCACTCGGAGGATACGTCGCCTGTCGACACGTATACCCTGGAGCAACCGGCAACGTATGTATATAGTCCGACATCAACGAGCGATACGGACATCTATACGCCCGCATCCAGGTGGACGCACCCGATTGCGAAGCCTCTGAACCAAGGGACAAACGCTTATTTTGACCAAGGTGCTTCGTACCTGGATGGCTTACCATACGACCAACCAAGTCTTGGACCTACAACCACTGAGCTGCCCTCTCCACTTAATATGACTGCTCTGCAGTTGTCACTGCCAGAGAGGCCACGTGTACGACAGCTTCAGGCATCAGACAGTACTGCCCCACAGAGGCAACTTCCTGTTCCACAGCCTAGCCCAGCTCAGGGTTCACGGAATGTGGTGGACCAGCTCCAAGGCCAACGCCTACGCTCTACACAAACATTCGGTGTGTCGGCTATGAATACCGGAGGCTCGTTCGCCAGGCCATCATTTTCTTGGGGCGCCGATGGAGACGACCAGATTAACGTATCTGAAGCGACACCATCAAATAGCACCTTGACTGGCAATACAGAGGATGCGATCAGCTACCTTCCAACAACAACAACATCAATCGCCAATGACGTCTCGACAGCGAGGGCCGCACCGCAAGTTCAACTTAATTTCACCAATTCAACCCTCCTCGAATCAATGAACGCATCAGCACCAGCGACAACATATTCACACTTCCGCGCAGGCCCACCTCGAATGGCACGGCAGAGCTCACAGGCCAATCTCTACAATTACAGCTTCAATCCTGAACGCGCTCCAAAGCGTAACTCGCTTAGCGGTGATTCATCGAGCGACTGTAAGTTAGTGAGTGGACAAACATATATACCACTTGACGGATCGCAACCGCATAGTGCGACGTTCGCGGATCGTATGCTTCGAGGGTCGCTTAGGAAACGAGACGTACCGCTTCATCGCGCTTCGACATCAAATATTCGGAGCAGCTTCTAGGGGCTATGTTCTCCAAATCTGTGCTCTTCCCCTGGCAACTTCAAAATCTACTCTCATGGTCTCAGAGTTTGATTATATGTTCGTTCCTGTACTGCTGGCGTTATGGATGGCATTCTCAGAGACATTTCTACCATCATATCAGCAGATGGAGCGGCTCGTACCAGTCTACGCTGGATGCTCAATAATAGGACTTATTCGTATACGGCGGCACATCATGACAACATTCAAAAATTTGAGCCTTGGGCTCAATATCTGGCTTTTACTTATTGCATACATTTTCGGCAATAAGACTTGCCTACCCGTTCTTTAGCATTTATCAGCGTCGAAATCCCGACTCCGCAACAGCACTAATGACGACGCCACATCATGTTCCTCTGGACAAGCGTTCGCTCTGGTGGCTGGAAATTCTTTATTACGAAACGATAGTTCATTGCACTGGCTTCTAGTTTCATTTACTTCCCGCTATCGCACTATGCATGTCTTGCTTATCTCATCCTCGCACTATGAGCAACCAATGTCAGGGCCACTCATTTGAACCACTGCATTTAGATCATCTTATTCATTCCCTACCTCTCTTAGTGTTTATCGTAGACTCAGTCTGTATATTAGGTATTGCTGCGTATGCGGCCCAAGAAAGGCAGAAGAATTATGTATCGAGTGCTTTTGTATAATCACCTGAACAAAGCAATTCGCATGTGATGTGACTATTGATTAGGCGGTAAAGTTGAACAAGAATCGCATTCGTTCGACAGTACCCATGCCCACTCTCACTACACGTTTTCTCATGTCGTCCAAAGAAGGAGTACACGCTCTCGTTTTCTCATCTAGCCTACATTACTAGATAGAGGCACTGTGCCCCTACCCTACGTACAGGTGCTTTCTCAATCGTTCTTCATTCTTCAGTTCTCAACCTAACCAATACCCACATCACTAGCATATACTTCTTCCCCCTATCATTCTCAGCACACTGTTCCCAATACTATTGACGACCTTTCATTATTACAGCTCAGTCCATACCCTGTTGCAGCGGTTACTGTTCCCTAAGTCGTACAAAGTCGGTCAGGCGGTTGCACACAGCGTGCATATTGACGGCGAGGCGGTAAGAAGCTCCACTCTCGTACTCCAACCGGTGCTGCGAGGATGATGCTTGTTGTGCGCATGTGTCGGTGAAATATGTATGGAATAGGAAATAGTCTCGCGCCGGGGCCAGTCATTGACGACTTTTCTCATGTTCTTCAAGATGAGAAAGGAAATAAATAAGAAGCACCTGCGAAGCTTGATGACACAAGTCTAATTGTCACACGTAGCTAACATCCTTGCAACGCCTATCACGCATTCATACATCATCATAATCTCCTTGTTACCTGCAGCTACAACAGGAAGTATGCGGTATCCTATGGCCAGGTTTTTTCCGTTCGAAAATGCTAGAAATCGTGTGATCAAACCTTTATGGATGTATTTGACACATGTGCATATATTGACTTCCATGATACAGTTCCTACCCAGGCGGTCTTGCGAGTCATTGATTGTCTTGCACACTTACCGAAAGCTGATGGTAAAAAACTTGAAAGCCCATCCCTTTGTGACCGGAAAAGATGCTTCAAACTACTCACTACCGTCCATTTGAATCAGCTGACCAACACGCGCCCCTTGACATACTGGCGATCGCGGTGGTACTTCAAATGTCTGCTGGCCGTCGGCTTCTATCAACAAAGAAATGGCTGTGTGAAAGATATATCCATCGACGATAAGTTTGTATGCCGAGTAATACGCACAGAACATGTTAGAAGTGCTTTGGTCCTTTGATTCAATCGGTATCTTGATGGTGGTTGGATGGGCAGTCGAAGTGGAGCGAGCATGACGTCGACGCGTTTAGCGAGGCGATCATTACCGGTACCTCACGGGAGCACGTGCATACCCTCCAGCTTCAGCTTCTGACGGCAACGAGTGGAATGAAACTGTGTGGTTTCACCGATTTAAGCAATTGGTTTACATGAAGTCTTACCTTGAGATCATATAATGCGGCGAACACGCTCATTCAAGGCAGATGAGGCTCTGCAGCTCCTTGCTCATGATGAGCAGCTCTCCGACTCCGCAGAGATATCTACAACACCATTGCCCACATCGTTTAAAGGCGAATTGGCCAAGTACAAGTTCAAAGAAACCGACACAATTTCAAATACTAGCGTAAAAACCTCCGAGCCGCCGCAACGGACAACAAAACGCATGCGGACTACGGCGAGACCCGCCACCGACAGCAAACCTACTGGGTCTCCACCCCCCAAGAAGAAGCGTAAACCAAGTAAATATGCCGATCCTACAAAATACGCGCACCTATCGCCGCTAGTTGATATCCTTGAGCCAAACCTGATCTGCGTCTTTGTTGGCACGAATCCGGGTATTCAAACAGCTACCGCAGGACATGCGTATGCGCATCCTTCCAACCACTTCTGGAAGTTACTTCACTCCTCGGGTCTTACCGATCGCCGATTGAAACCCGAAGAAGACAGGAGCCTTCCAGCGCTATATTGCATGGGTAATACAAACATCGTGGAACGAGCATCGAAAGACGCAGCCGAGCTATCCAGGGAAGAGACTGTGGCCGGCACGGCAAATCTCGACGCAAAGTTCCTCTTATATAAACCCGAGGCCGTCTGTATAGTTGGCAAGGGTATATGGGAGGCAATATGGCGGTACCGTTACAACAAGAATATTACCAAGACCGAGTTCAAGTACGGGTGGCAGGATGAGAAGCATAACATGGGGAAGAGCAAGGACGGGGAGCAGGATTTGGATGCTGACGGTAATGTTTGGAATGGCTCGCGAGTATTTGTAACGACGAGTACGAGCGGTTTGGCGGCTAGTTTGAAACCAGCCGAGAAGGAGGCTATCTGGAAGCCTTTTGGGGAATGGGTGCAGACAAGGAGGGCTGAAAGAGGGTTTAAGCTTCGGCCGAAGGAAGCTGAAGATGCTTATCAAGAAGGAGAACAATCGTGAGCTCATCCTAGCTCCTTTTTTTGGGTGCTCTTTTTCAAGCTTTGTATCCCTAACCTGAGATTTTCTGCTCAGCATGGTGTATTGATTCAAAACTGGGTAGACTCGGAACATATTGATAGCGGCTCAAAATAATAACGTTCTATCATCAGGCTCGCACTTTTGGCGGAGAGAGTCACAGTCGGTATTACGTCATAAGGGATTCTATCGCACTAGCCCCGCGAGGCATTACCAAGCAACCGTCTCTGAAACACTGAGATACATAAAAGATCTCTTTCTAACTGCAAGCCTCATTTCAGACTTTAAAGTACTTGTAAAGTCATGTCTCACACCATTTTAATTACCGGCGTCTCTGGCTACTTGGGAGGTTCACTCCTCACTCAATTGACCCGCACTAACCTCCCTCCACACAAAAGGCTTTACGCTCTTGTTCGCTCCAAAGAGCAAGCAGAAGCAGTCAGACGCTATGACTCTGAGCCCCTAATCCTTGATCTTCGAGACGAAGAACGCGTTACCAAAAGCATCATTGATGCAAAGATATCGATCATTTACTTCCTTGTTGATGCGGTCAAATCTGAGCATCAGATCACTATGATCAAAGCTCTCGGCGAAGTCAAGAATCAGACGGGCCAGGACGTGCATTTCTTACATACTACTGGCGCGAAAATGTTCAGCCAACATGCTGGCTTTCCAACCGACCGGAAGATCCTTGACACGGATTCAAAGCTTTATGAACTCCAGAAGAGTGCAGAACCCCCTCATGAGATTATGGCGCAGGTATGTCACTGATACCTGATATACATTCTCTGGGAGTTCTTTGGCTTTGCCTTCCACGGTAGTTGGTCGAGGCAAAGGACCGATATTCTACAGTACTTCAAGAGCATTCCAATAGTGTCCTAATCCACTGAACACTAGGCCCTCAGCACGAACAACACCATCATCGAGACCGCCAAGTCTTACCGTGTACGAAGCTACCTTTTCATCCCTTGCATAGTGTACGGTGAGGGCGAGGGATTCGGAAACCGTATTTCTATCCAGACAACTGCTGTTATCAAATCCGCCAAGAACCTCCGAGCAGTGTATCATGTCAACCCCGAAGGCGCGGTAAACATGTCCCAGCTTCACAGGAAGTCGTGATGTTGCTAACGTTTTCATATCAGATATGGCCTGTTTGCCATGTTCGCGACACTACGGCACTGTACGTAGAGCTCCTACGCAGCATCCTGTCAGGAGAAGACCTAGAATACGGTCAAAATGGGTATTACCTCGCTTCATCTGGAAGTGTGGCCTGGGCTGATATATACTCTGCCATAGCAAAGGCGCTTGCACGGCGCAACGTGGTAGACAGCGAAGTGGTCAAGAGGGCAGACGATGCGACCCTGGCAAAGATGGGGGAGGCATTGAATTGCCCAAAAGAATTGGTTGTAGTGCAGCTGGGTGGCACGTAAGTTATTCCGTCTATATTGGTCGAACGAGTGCTGGGAACCATTGCTCACGATTCGTCTAGATGCACACTAGGAACCGATCGAGCCTACAGAGTTGGCTGGGAGCCGAAGTGTTCACCTGAATACATTCTTGACGCAGCAGACGCGGAGGTGGAACTTGTCCTGAGGAACATTAAAAACTGAGCGTTCATCAATGCTAGCATCAATCTTCGGCTGGAAAGATGTCGAGTTTGGTATAGACATCAGTTCACTGACATCCCAATGCTTTGAAATTGTCTGGTACTAGATAGGTACGCGCTTGACCTGCGTCCGCTTTCCCTTTCGTTCCTCGTGAGATTGTACCAGAGCCCACTGAACCATACGTGTAATCGTCCGTATGTCATCCCATACGCCATTTCATTCAATAATGCGATCTTGCGTTTTGCTATCTCACCCTTTTTGTCTACCCGCATAAACGCTTCCCAGAGCGCCCAAACACCGTGCAAACCCACAGACGCAACTCCCCCGTTTTGCCAAGGCAATGCAGTATGTCATACATGTCTATATCTATAGATTGTGCTTCTTCATGAACAGTGCGTGAGTATGCGATAGAAAGTGTATATAACTCTCATACACCATAAGGCTGCTGAGCCGGTCCACTAGGCACAGTCCACGTCATTGAATCACTGTCGAGCGTATTCGGATACTTTGAAGCTAACTCTTCAATCTTCGGGATCAGTTCACCAATTCGGAAGGGCTTCGATACAACATCATCCATGCCGGCAGCCAAGAGAGTAGCTATTTGCTCACTTCTTGCGTTCGCTGTGACGGCAATGATAGGGACATGGCCCTTGAATGCACCATCTTCTTCAAGCGCTCGGATCTCACTCGTGCAGTGAAGGCCGTCCATAACGGGCATTTCTTTGTCCATGAGAACAACGCCGATCTCGATTGCATTGGGAGGTGAGTCTCTCCAGTACGTGGACGCTTTTAGGATTTCGAGGGCTTCGCCGCCATGGTTAGCGACCTTTGTGGTGATCCCGTGGTTTTGAAGTTGCCGTTGAAGGACCTTTTGGTTCACCAGGTTATCCTCTACAATCAGCACGGTAAGTCCTGTTTTCTTTCGTTCGGCTTCTTTCTGGATGGCAATGTCCTTGCTGGGCAAGGTCGCAAAGTCTTTGATCTTAGGTGCGACATGCGTTCTAACCCGATCCTTGTCCTTTGCGTTTGATAGCTTCCGGGGTAGCAACGTTGATGCACCCTCGATTACATCTGGTGGCTCGATGCTTCTCCGGCATTTGACGTAGAAAGCGAAAGTGCTCCCCTTGCCGGCTTCTGAAGATACACCAATTTCGCCTCCTTGCAGCTCCGTCAATTCGCGAGAGATAAAAAGGCCTAGACCTGAGCCTCCGTACTGGACGTGTGTGCGTGGACTTGCTTGAGAGAATCGCTGGAAGAGGAGCTTCTTTTCTTCGGGGGTGAGTCCTCGGCCTGTGTCTCGAACTGCGAATTCCAAGAAGATTTCTTCGCCTTCGCCCCAATCGGGACCAAACGTTTGATCAGTTCGCTTAGCTCTCATGGGAAAGTAGCTGACCGTGGGAGCTACGCCGGCGGATGGCCGCTCGCGGGATGCTGAAAGAATGACTTTGATAGTACGAGTTTCCTCGGTTGTGGTGAACTTGATAGCGTTGGTAGTTAGATTGATAAGAACCTATACTGATCAGCAAAGTTTTCGAAGTAGCCAAGATTTCAGCATACCTGAAGTACTCGCGACGGGTCAATCTTCACCCAGTCGACGTTCAGTTTTTTGAACGAATCGGTTAGAACGAATTCCATCTCAATGTTGGCTGTTTGCACCTCGCCTTCAAACATCTTCAGAGCGCGTTGTACGACCTGTAGAGGTTGCGCATCTACTGGTGTGACCTAAACAGGTATGAGCAAACGTACCCTAGTTGGGGAGAATTATATACCATAAGCATTGCGCTGTCAAGTTTGGACATCGTTAAGACATCGTCCACGATTCGCTTCTGATGCTGTGCACACAACGCAATGGTTTGCGCTGCGTCTATGGAGTCAACGACAATACTCGCGTCGATAGTCTGAGAGCCAGATGATCTGAAATCGCCTAGAATTGTCGAAATCTCGTCTGCACATTGCAGGATGGCACTCAAAGGATTTCGCATTTCGTGACTTGTTATGTCGATGAAGTTTTCCTGTTGCCTCTTAAGTTCCACAGCTTCCTCCATCTTCCGCTTCTGGAATCCTTCTGCCCATTTCTGTTGGCTGATGTTCGTGATGTTGCCAAAGACACTCTTGAGCTGGCCGTTCTCATATTTTTCTGGGAATGCCGAGAAAAGAACCCAAGTATCACTCTTATTCCGATTTCGATCTTCCCAAGGTGTCTTGAACCGGAACTCAATATTTATTGCCGCCGCATTTTCCACGAGCCGTTTCCAGTGCTCCAGAATGAGACCTTGGTCTTCTTGCTTGACATAATCGATCCACCTGTCGGTCTTCTCTCGCTCTCGTGGAACCCGAGAAATCTCATACCAGGCGTCGTTGCAATAGGTTATCTTCCCGACGTGATCAGCGATGAACAAACCTGCAGGAGAATATTCTGCCATCCGTGTGAATCTGGTTTCGCTTTCTCTGGCCTCCTGAGTGCGGGCAGCAAGCTGCTCCGATAGGTTGAATCTGTCTTCCGCGGCAAGCTTGGCTGCCTTCTGTCCTCTCCGAATCTCTTCCTCAAACAAGACAACAGAGGCCAACGATGTCGCAAGCTGCCGGCTCAGAAGTTGAATGAAAAGGTTATAGTCGTCATCGTACGGCCTTCTCGGATTGATACCCATCACAAGAAACCCTAGATTTGTTTCACCTGTGGTGGGATGGATTGGGCAAATCACCACGTCCCGGCAAGGGTCTCCGAAACCACGCCACTCAAGGCCTTCCATCATTGCGTGTGGGAGGTCTCCCGAGCCAATGCTTACGACTACGGGTTTGTCTGTTTTCATGACCTCTCGGAACACTGGTCCAAAGCCATCTTGCCCCTCTTTCAGGTCGATCATTTCGGGAGCAGCTGGGTGACCCGTTGGAACTCCCAACGAACCCTCTAAATAGCAGTGCTTTGCTCCGAGCAGACTACTAGAATGTAAGGAACATGAGTCACTGTCGTTATCCTCGTTTACGGAGTACAGCATAACGAAAGGAGTGTCGAACTCATTTTCGGTCAATGCTAGCAGAACCTGGTCCCAAAAGCCTTTGACTTCTCGAGCTATCGCTGTCCGTTCCCCAACTTCTCGAAGGGTGAGCATTCGTCGTTCTGCGATCTTTCTTCTCGTCTTCTCAAATGCAGGGTTGTACAGCCCCATGACCGTTCCATCCTCACCTACCATAGGGATGATGGACCATGAAAAGTAAGTTTCTTCGAGATATCCGCTCCGCTTCATGAACAAGCAGTCGTCATCCTTCATGGTAGCCTGGCCGGTCATTCGTGCGTTTGCGAAAACATCCTTGACCTCATCCCAGATCTCTGCCCAGGCGACCTTGTAACTTTGACCCATCAGCGTAGGGTGTTTCTGGCCTGCAAGTCCTGCGAGGGTGTTGGTGTTGAAGTAAGCAAGACGGGAAGAGAGGAGCACTAACCGATATAGGCCTCATTGTAAATAGCGACCAGCTCGTCGCCCCAATACATAGCTGCAGGATGAGGACTTGCCCTATACAGTCATAAGTACTTCCAAAGGCAAATTGAAAGTAGATGGTGTCATGATTAAAGACTTACATAATCAGGTTGCACATCGCTCGGAGATCGTTCGACCAGTACTCAATCGGCCCGAGAGGCGTTGATGCCCAGTCGATTGAACGTGCGAATTGGATATGCCTGGGTAGTGAGGACGATAGTGATAATCTTGTCCAGTCGAAAAAGCCCATGCCGTGGCCTTCATCTTGCGGACCGTTCGGTTCTCTATGGAACGAGTCAACGTCGCCTGCACTGTGGGCCCGAAGGACGCACTCATTAGTGTACGAGGATGAGTCTTCTACTGACGGTATGCCTATCTTGGAAGGTTTCTGGAACACTATCCCACTACCATCGTCGGAACTTTCGGCACTAGTGCGATTGACATGTTTCTGCAGCACGGCATTGGGTGGGGTAGGCTCTGGTACAACAGTAGATATTGTATTGCCAAAATAATCTTGCTCTTCACCAATTGGCGCGGATGAAGATGGCGTGTCCCTACTGTTCACTGAAGCGAGGCCTAACAATGATGCTGAACGGAGCGGGAACTGAATTGATGCGCTTGGGGGTGATAGACTTGTCGCAGCGTGCACAGGTATTGCTCCGGAGACGACGCGCAAACGCTGTCTCAATGTGTAGCATGACCACACTATGCCTCCATGCTCCACCGGAGAAGGATTTGCGTCGAGGTTTTCGTCTTCGGTACTCAGAACCCAGCCCCGGAACTGGCTGATTGCGTACGCGGTATTCTCAGCGGTGATGTTTTCTAGCGGCTTTCCTACTATCAAGTCCCATACTGATGGATTCGAGCGCAAGGCACCATTGGCAAAGAGTATTTGTAAACTAGATGACTCGGGTGAATAGTTTGCGAAATCGCCAACGTCAACAATGAAGGTCGGCCGTCCGTCGTGCTCCAATAGCTCGACGATGCCAATAGACCCGAGAAGCCTCGAGGGATCCGCCCTCTCTCGCGCGTCTGGTGAAACTGTCCGCGGAAGGCTTGACCGCTCAGAGGACCGTCCACTTGCGAGGCTCGTAGGCGCAGGCGGGCTCAGACCACTAAATGTACCTCTTGCGAGCGTGACCGTCTTTATGCCGCTGTCCTCGCGCGTCGTGCTGAGCATCCTCGCTGCAGCCTCTGAGCTGGAGAAGCGCGCTGGCAGGGGTGGCCGAGCGCTTCGCGATGAGAAGAAGAGCGGGGACGGAGGCTGTCCGTCGTGGTGGAAGTGTGCGCTCTTGGAGAAGGCAAAGCGATGGAGCGTTGGGCGCGAGCGTATTTGCAGGCGACGGCGCTTGTGCGGCGCTTTGCGAGCGGGCTCTGCAGGTGGCGGCGTGGGCGTGGGCGTAGGCGTGGAGTCGACGCTTGGTGGAGCTCGTCGCTTGCTACCAACAACCGCAGTCGGTAGCCCACGTCGCCGTGAAGTCGAGTTAGTGGGGTCAAGTGGCAAGATGGGCGTCCATGTAGTGGGCTGCGGACAGGATGATACGGACGGTGTGTCGAGAGGCGCGGGTACGGTAACGAGCGACTCGTGGTATTCTGGGGTACTCAATCGACGGTATTCAGAGTTGGTGATGACGTCCAAGGGTGTTGCAGTACTGCCTGTGAAGATGGAGCGCGGCTGTGGCATAGAGATGCCCGGGACAGTGTCGGCAGATGGAGCCAATGCTGGCCAGCGCGCGCGCTCTCGTCAAGCTTTGAGCAGGCCAGCGTCGAGGTTAGTCGTCCTCGTCTCCAACGTCGAGTATGACCGGATGCATGCCGAGCAGGCCTGGAGTGTTGTCCACGGGCAATGGGTTGATGCTAGCCCGAAGTGGGCAAGCGCGGGCCGATGGCTGCGAAAGCGAAAGCGAGAATGGCCACCAAGAGCTTACTTGGGCAATACTCGACGCGGTCGAGCAGTTAGCAGCAGTCTAGCGCTTCAGAGAGAGGAGCAAATTGATACGTTTGGTGGCTTGGATATATGAGACGGCGTAGGTAGCGCCTCGTCTAGCCTGGGACCTGTCGCTCGGCGCTGAGGGCGAAAGAATATGTCGCTACACCAAATAAGGTAGTATCGCATTCTCGATTTCGCTATAGCCTCATACATACATGACCATTCTGCATGACCCAACCTCTCCTCTCTGGTAATTGCTGATGAGACGAATGGGCTGAAGCGCTTCGGAGACAATGAGCTCGCGGCACCTACGTCATTGACTGGCTTCTTTACATGGCGAGCGTCTAGAACGTGCCTCCCCTGTCACTTTGCTTTCATCTCGCTCTCATCTCAGTCTTACCCCAACTTTGCCTCGATGGTCCGCAAGCAGCAGTCGATACAGACAGACACGATCACTAAGCCGAAACCTGTTCACGATCCATGATAAACATAACCCATGTAAATGCCTGTACACGTGGTTCGACTCGCCCCGTACAGCCTTAGCCACTTGTTACTTGCATCGATCCACCCCGCCAGCAGACACTGACGACTGTCAAAAGTGTGTACAAGAGAAGTTAACTTTTGCATGGCATAGCAATGTCACAATGCTGGGTTTTCGATTTCCCCCTCACTCTCTCGTGCTACTGTTCCTCCTGATTCATCCGATTACTATCTATTTCTTCAGAACACGAGTCATGGGTGGGTCTTCCAGAAACGGTCTCAACGTCTCCAGCACAGCTTGCGCTCCATCTCCAGCAATTGCTAAGATTTTTCATACTTGTACAGTCTCAACGCCTTCGATGATTCGGGAGTATTGTGTAGTAATCCGAATGTTGGTAGTTTTCACGTGAGCAGTTCACTCTGTTCCGCCTCGTCGCTTCCGTGGTGGGCCAGCTATGGCCAGCCATGCCTCTGGTTACAACCGATTGTTCACTCCACATCTCCGTTGCGCAGCTGGCCCACCTAGACTTCCCAGAAGCATTGGCTACTTATCACAGATGTTTTACGACTCATATACGACCCATCTCCTAGCTTGCAGCCTTCTACACAGCGCGGGCATAAAGCAGTTATTCGTGTTCATTATTAAATAGCGCGCACAGCGTCGCTAAGCCTCACTAACTGCTACCTAGGAACACCATACACACAATATACGATACCGGGATCACTCTACAGTACCGTACTAATGTGGATCCACTAGGAAACGTGTCGGGTATCGGGATCGCATGAACACTCAGATTCAACTGCCCTCCATTGGCACTGCGTTATACCCCGTCCAAGTTCAGCGTTATACCCCGTCCAAGTTCAAAGCGGAGGCAAATGAAGCATACATAACGATCAGAATTGAACAGGATAGCGCTTGCTCCTGCGCGCTAAGCATCACTAGTCCAACGCTTCCAACTCGTGGAGCTCCTACTAACCGGCAGAAGCATCAACGCCTCGCAGAACCCCACTTTTTCCCAACATGCTCTTCATTGAATTGGCCTGTTAGACATGCCCCTCCACTCGACGTGCTACTCAGTCTGCATACCGCCAAGGTTGCACAGCCTGAACACTCATTTGCTGAAGTGGTTCCGGGTTGCCTGCCCCCGAAATCCTCCTAGGGTGCCCACTTCAAATCCTTTTAAAACCCCTCGTGCACCCCGCTGACGACTGCAGCTGATCAAGCTTTTCGTTCTTGCAACATCATTAACTTTTGTGAACTAAGCCTCTCAGACCACTCGGTTTGCTATTGCTAAGAGAACCACTCGTAGCAATGGATTTTCTCAAGAAGAAGATGAAGGAGTTGTTGGACGACGATGACAAGCCCAAGAAGCCACAGGGCGGTACAGGCTCCCTCTACACGACTTTCATATGGTTTTCTGACACACAGTAAGACTCTTCTGGAAGCTCTTCTGGTGCCCCAGCGGGTGCCCCAGCGAGCGGTGCTCCACCAGGTGGTGCTGGCCATGGTGAGCGCTCAGCAGCCAACGATTACTACGGTGGAGGGGCTGGCCAAGGTGGTTATCCACCGCAACAGCAACCCTATCCACCACAGGGCCAAGGCTACCCCTCTCAAGGCCCTCCTCAGGGTCAAGGTTATCCTTCGCAGGGCTACCCCCAGCAACCGCCCTATGGCCAAAGCAACCCTTCCCCAGGCCCTCCTCAGGGCCAGGGTCAAGGCTATCCTTCCCAGGGCTACTCACAGCAGCCGGCTTATGGTCAAGGACCACCTACGCCTGTAGGTCCTCCAGCACCTTATGGCGCCCCGCCTCCAATGCCTCCAGGCTGGACCCAGCAATGGGACCAGAACAGCCAACGGTGGTTTTATATCGAGCAGGCCACAGGACGCTCACAGTGGGACCCTCCCGCGCATTTGCCTCCAGGCCCATACGCCCCACCTCCCACAGGCGCACCTTACCAGGCGCCCGGCGGTCACGATGAGCGCGCCCTCTTTGGCAACACTCAGGGACACCAAGGACACGACAACACCCCCACTGGCAAGGCTACTAACGAGAAGGAGAAAAAGAAAGACAAAGGCCATTCTACTGCCATGCTTGCAGCTGCAGGTATTGGAGGTGTCGCCGCCGGTGCCTGGATCGGCCACGAACTCAGTATGTCGCTACAACTATCCGCTATCGCAACATCTGCTAACTCATAACAGCTGAGGACTCAAATGATGCCAAGAAGGCGTCATCATATGCGGCTGCTCCTGCAGCTGCGACTCCTGTTGCTGCGCCCGGATACGCCCCACCCCCAGCTGGTTATGGAGATCCGTACGGTGCTGCAGACCCCGCATACCCTCCTCCAGTTCCAAAATACGATGCGGACGGCGACTCAATCTCAAGTAGTGATCGTGAGTCTATGGAGGAAAAGCGGGAAGAGCTCATCAAGGCCCAGGAAGAATATCGGGAAGAGGTCGAGGAGAATTACTATGACTCAGACTAGCGATCTCGTCCCATTGTGCCATCAGCCGTTCTGCTGTTTTTCCATTCGTTCGCTGTTCGGAGCACGACGATATCTGTAGGTGCGCTTTTTGGACGGTTCGGGACGGTAACGGACGGTTTTCTATTGTTTCGTATGATGTTATTGTCAGGTTAGCCAGGTTCGGACTCTATGATCTCGTTCAGAAGAAGAAATATGATTATTGACTGCTCTAATCGGTCTGCCTGGCACATCAATGACTACACTCACTAACACCTTTTCGCTTGAACAAAGGAAACGCTGAAAGCGACTGAAACTGGTATTACTCCTTATTCGCCGCCTCTCGTCTAACAGCAGCAGTCGAGACAATCTACACAGCACTCGCAAGCTTCTTCACAAAGGAAGCAACAGCATAGCGTCGCAAGACTATTCGCGCGTCAGCAGATCGTTCACACCAGTCACCAACAAGAGCAGTAGAAACTCACCAAGCTACCAGGCATCCTCTGTCCTTCTTCTCTTTCTGTGGTGGCATCGGTGGGGCAGGCTGGTAGGCCATCTAGCAGTGAACAAGTCAGCCACAACATGCTCAATCTTGCGAACAAGTTACCCGTTCACATTGTTCGGATTGACCTACTTGCTGCTGAGGCGGCGGGTACTGCCCATACTGTCCTGCTGGCGGCGGTGCACCGTAGTAACCTTGTTGTTGGCCCTGGGGATAAGACATTTTGCTTGGTTTTGCTTGTCGTCGCGGATTTGCTTCCAAGTTTAACGAAGGGTTGACGTTGAATTAGAGATGGTCGTCGTGGCTGGTGAAGCGTTTAGTGTATGAAAGAATTGTGGCAGAAACGCTTGCTGTGGCAGGAGATGTGGCAGAGGTTTGGTGTGGCTCGAGTTAAATGGAACCGGGGGGGTGTGTGGGTGTTCAAGGCTTTTAGATCTACACCTTGTTGACACTTGGCAGACGGCAATCCGGATGTAACTCTCGGTGAGATCGTCTTCATCTTAATGCACACACCAATACGCAAAATGCCGTGTTTTCCCACCAGGATTGGATTGCTTTCGACGACTCCCAAATGAGGATTGCTGCTTTGGTGATCAAAGCTAGGACCACGGCGCGCCACATGTGGCAGATTGCGCATGCAGGAGTGACTAAAGTGGACTTCGGCAAAGCCACTGTTGTAACATCGAGTGCAGATTCTCGGCGGTATACGTATGCTATTGAGGCGCATGACTTGGGATGCATGCGTTGAAACCACGCAAGTCGGGACGTTCGGGGGCCGAATTTATACATCTCCCCCCAGCATTGAAGAGGCATTGGAGCGTCCTAAAAACGAACCTAGCTAACCAATTTATGGAGAAAGACTACGTCGCTGAGGGTCCAATCGTGCTAAGTAGTGAGCCATGTCAGCATGTGCGTTGATGATGGGTCTCCCCGTATGCATCCGTGCCGCGAGATCCGAATGCCACGTCAAGATAAGGCTAGTTGTGGCGCTTCACGGCACTAGATATTAAAACGCGTGATGCTAGTAGGGTTCTGTGGAGAATAGCAATTTTGTCCACACCGCGTTACTGTTGTCTGCAGGTACGGTAACTTCCGCTGGGGGCCGTTAGAAGTTTGGTACATACGGGTGTCGGCTCGTTTGAAGCGAGCTGAGGATACGCGGTGGATTCGAGCTAATTATATGGGACTATTCGACGGAAATGCAAGCCGGCCAGCATTAGAGTTGGCTTAGTCTCAGGGGAAGACCCCGAACAAGTGCCGCACGAGGGACCAAGCCCAGCATGTGAGTACCGCCGTTTCTTGAACCCCAACCTTTGAGCGGGGTCTCTAGAGAGACATAAACTAGCATCTAGAGTATATCAGCGTACAGACATGCAGCCTACACTAACAGCGAGACTCGTAGGCGCCTTCGTAGTCTACAATATCTTTCCCAGACCTCAACTAACAACTATTCGACAATATCAGATCTTCAGCGAGCGAACAAGTGTATACGGCTACGTACGTACCTCAAAGGGTATGGGCAGTACCCTTTCAAGATCAGACTCCCATCTGTACCCAGCGTAGTAAATAAAATTCTTCGTATGTTACTTTACTATATTGTGTCCCTAGCATTGGTTTAATAACATTCCGCCTCGATGCTTCAAAGGCACTCCCGTTCCTCGTGCCTGTTCGAAGATGCCCGGATATTTTTTACAAGCAAAATAGAATAGAAGCCATACCGGAACCTAAAAGCGCGCATTTGCGAATCGATCATCTCCGCGTACGGTAGCTAGTGCTTTCGGCCGTCTACAATATTTCTGTGCTCCATTGGGCATCTTTCCCACGGGCATCACACCCCTTATTGTAGCAGCACCTAGACGGTTGACAGGCCAAACCTCGTGGGTTATTGTTTTTAGGTTTATCTTCGGCAGTACTCAAAAATTGTGACAATGCCCTTGTCAACCTTACTAGCGTCTACAGTAGCGGGAACGGGCTCATCTGCAGTTGAATACGACCAAGCACATGCTCTAACCATTTGGTAGGTTGGGGTTTCCCACCAAGCCCCGTGCCCGTGTGATGATCGTTGTCCTCGCCCGGCACGGTTGAACTATTGCTCGGTGAGTTATGGGCTAGGATCGGAGTTAGAGTTTTGATAGTGCTTTAGGAAAACCCGACCCCGTTCTGTTAGGAGGAATTCAGACAGTTCGACAGGCATGATATGGTCAGTTCTTACTTACAGCTTTGTTGAATCAGAATTGACCCAGCCGTTGTGCTAATCGGGAGTGTCCATGTTTGTATTTTGAACTGCCAGTGAGCGTTAAGGCATTGTTTCAGCAGTCTTCAGGTAGGTTGAGTTCTGAATCTGTAGAATTGTTTGCGCGTGTTTTTTTGGTCAGATTCGCGTATTCCGTATTTGAATTAAGAAGCTAACACCCACAAGTGTAGCATAGTTATTGCCTTTGCTCAGCGAGTCTCCGCGGATTGTACCATTTCGTCTTCTGATTCCTTTTTTACTATACCGATATATGGTACGGCGCGATCATCGCTGCTGTAAGGCGGTCGTGATGATGAATAGCAACAGTACGACCTGATTAGTACACCCTGTTCACCCTCACCGCTTTCAAGTGCCGCTGGTTCAAAAACAAATCCTATAGGACAAAAATGCAACAGGGAGCTCATAATGATTAGCGTAGTTGCTTCAGGCCGTAATTCTACCGGTGTTGGGATCGTCCGGCGTCGTGTTGGGCTGCCAAATCCGCCAAATAACAGAAACGGCCCATTTGAGGGCGGCTGTAGATTCCCAGATGATGTGTTTGATTTTCACAAACAACCACTAGACTATCGTGTCCCTTGAGCCCCATGGGGCACACCTGTTCTGCGTCTGGTCATACTCTGCCCGATCGCATTCCTCACTTCCTTCTCCTGATGCACAACATTTTGGACCATATACTTCTTCAACGCCTCCTTCAACTCGCTCTTCGCCTTCTCGTTATCCCGATATGGTATGCTCTCTAGATCCAACAACCGGCTCGCATCCTTGTTCGACTCTGCGACGAATGCGTTGAGGCGGTCAAGCTGCTTGTGCCGCGTCTCGTCGGTATCGTCGCTGACTGGGGCGGACTGTTGGGAATTGGCGCGATAGAGCGGCATCAGGAGGCTAAGGAATTGAACGAGCGAGATGGAGGCTTTCTTGGTGATAGCGATGATTTGGAAAGGCAAATATGCTGGTCGGAGGTTCGAAGACATTACGAATGGGTTCAGGTATTTCGATATGAAGGTAGGATGGTCGGGACGCAGTGCGGTGCGAAGTTCGAAGGTCGCGACGGCGAGCAGGCCGAGATACCGCCAGTAGGAACCGTCTGTAAGAAAGCCCAGGGCATTTGCGCCAATAAGGATGATGAGCAGCGCGCCATAAGTCGTGCCTGCAGTCAAGAGACCGCTGTCCGTGAACTCCTTGACCGTCAGGCAAGTTTGGCACTGTCCAAAGATGTCGGGTCCAAAGCGGTCATACGCAAACCGCTTCGCAGGGTCCAGTATCATATCCCTTGCATGCTTCAGATGCACGTAGTAGTCATTCGCCCTATCTCGATCGATGTTTGGCCCTACCTTGTCCGGGTGATAGCGTATCGTCAATCTCCTAAATCGTGAGTTGAGAGCGCTTTCGTCGACATCAATGGGCACGCCTAGGTCATTGTACGCGTTACTCGACCGTTGCAGGTTGAAGTCAACCTCGTAGATAGTGAAAGCGAAGTATGCTGCGTAGATAGCGATCAGGATGTGGCGGCGGTGCTTAACGAAGCGCGCGGAGCCAGGTTGAGGCTTGGGGTCGCCCGCGCGGATAAAGATACTGTAGAGGACAGCCTGCGTCCATCCTGCGACCTGCATCGCGTGAGCTACTGGCACCTAAGCTGCGTTACATACGCCTGAGGGATAGATGTTTACTAATGGAATGAGAAACTGCCACACGAGAAAAGGCCCGACGGTGTCCCAGGATACGTTTGTCTTCGCCATAGTAAGAGGCTATACGAGCGTTACAAGATAGAGACTGAACGCATGGTGGTCTCTGGCTGTACTTTTGTTGTTGCCAAGTGGCTTCCATTCTCGGAAGAATTCCGACCACCGACGCACGTGAGAATCGCTTAGTCATATATCTCTTTCCACTCTATGACACCGTCAGGAATTAAGGCAACATACATTCAGATTGAAACCCAGTCGCGGTCGGTGCAGCAAGGCAGTGTTCAGAGACCACTTCCTTTGCAGCACCGTGGTTCGCCGGGCCGCTCTGTGCGTCCGACTAGAGCGTCAACGTTGTGCCTTGCCACACTTCACAGCCCTCCTCATCGGTGAGTGCGGCTGGCAAGGCTGAAACATGCATGACAAGCTACTCTGCACTGAGCTGCATGATTTACATCCCAAGAGTGCAAAGAAGTGATCGAAGTGCTACACTACAGTCTGTCACAACTGAGCTAAACCTTTTAGCAGTTCGCTACATGAGGTTCACTCTGTCAGTCAGTGAACACGCACAATTAGATCGCGCCTGAAATCAGTAGTGGGACAAGGCTGAAGTCTAGACCTACCAACTCCACGAAAAACGGCTCAGCCGACTGCACACAGCAATATATTTTCCAGGATTTACAGTGAGGCTGAGGCACAACTGATCAACCAATATGCGGTTGCCTTGAGCAGAATGCAGAAAAGCGGGCACCAATCAGAGATAGAAATCTACGACATCCCGTCCAGGGCAACAGAAGATGAAGTCTAAGAAAGGCCTAGGGTTTTTCACCGGATTCTGAGAGACATTTTTAGACTCGCTTACAAGACGCCATGTACTATGTCCGAACGATAATGAAGACGAGCTTCAGGTATCCAGCTTTGTGAATTCCAGTATGTACTTGTAGGACTTTTGCTTTTTTGAGCTTGGTAGCTGGCCGTCTAAAGCTGGCTACGCCTTCTTTGGCTAAGGACTTGTACTGGTACTAGTACGCGACCAAACGACCATTTGTGTTCGTCTTAGAAACCACATTGCTGACACCCCGTTGCGCCAAAAACGCCATCATGCTGCACCTTCGCTTTCCCTTGCTCGTACCAATAATCATATATGTACGAGGCTGAGAAGCTAATAGCCATTTCGACAATTTGAGTATTGTCCCTTACCTCCAAAATGGGTTCTCGACACCCATGGCTGATCTTGTTGTTAGCGTACACCTTCTGCGCAATCGCAGTTGAAGGGACCTCTAATTGTTCAGCATCGTCTGCGAACCCAATAGCTCTGACTATCGGCAATGTTTCTATAGCATCCCAAGACACGTCCACGTATGGGATCCGATTTGATATCGGAAAGCCAAAGCAGAACGTGGCTTTAACTCCATCGACTGTTGTAGACAACACACTGCTGGTCGCGACAAATATCTGCGCGGGGAAAGAACTGCAGAACATGACACAAGCCCAATGTCGCTCTTACCATGGAGGCCTCTTTGATCTCACGACTGCGGGTGCATCTTTCAAAAACATCTCGATAACAGGAGACTTGCCGGCGGATCCTGGCTGGATCAAATTCAACCCTTCTTATTCTGTGGCCGGAGAAACAGACCTGGGTTTGGTGTCGAATGTCGCCATTCCAAACATGACGGTTGTAGTCATCACAGCAGGACTCAACTTCACTGCAGGACACCTCGGACTCGGGACACATTCTGTCCTCCTCAACCATTTGAAAGAATCTAGCGTCATACCGTCCCTTGGCTTTGGGCTGAATGCCGGTAGTCAATCTACTAATAACCCCAGGGACGGTAGCCTCGTCTTGGGAGGCTACGATGCTGCCAGTGTTACGAGCCCCTTTTCGACGTATCCCATGGACTATCCAGACACCCTAGCCGGACGCTACTGCCCACTTCAAGTTCACATTCAGGGCTTACAGCTCCTCTTGAAGGGTCTGGATCCGATTCAGCTTATTGGGGAAGGTGATGGACATGCAGCGTGTATTGAACCGTACGTCAAATATGAGAGAAAATTAAAGCGAGTTATCACTAACCGCACCAAACAGATATGACAATTTGTTTCGGCTCTCAGGTATGCCTCTAATCGCGATCGTCGCTATATGGCTACTAACCATCACATAGAAACCGGTCTTGCCAGATTCAAACAGGTGACTGGCTGGGACCCAAAGACTGCGTACGATCCAAACAACCTCTTCGTTCCTGAGCCCGGACTTATCTTCCCATCAACGACAGGGTTTAACGGAAGTTTGAAGTACTTTCTCAATAATGGGCTAACGGTAGAGATTCCGAATTCCGAGCTCCAACACCCTCTTCGTGGGCTTGACAGAACTGGTGATCACGTTCTCCAGCCCAACGTTACAGAGGTGAATATATATAAAGAACCCCTTGGAGCTTGGGTGCTTGGGAAGGTGTTCCTTTCACGAGTAAATAGACCCCCCAAACCTTGTTATAGGGAAGAAATGGAGACTAATAGAATGTCAGGTATATCTGGCTGTGGATTACGAAGCTCGGCAGATTCAATTGGCAGACGTGAACCAGAACGAGATCACACCCTCCCCGGTCAAATTTATTTCTGCTAGTACAGGATGCACAAAAAGCACCAAGCTGGCAGGAGGAACGATAGCCGCGATTGTGCTCGGTATTGTGGTTGGTCTCTCACTGATTGGGGGGGCCGGGTACTATTTGTTCAGGAGACGTAAGCGACGGGTCAACCAGCCTGGCCCAGATACTAGTGACATTGTCTCATCGCCTATGGAACCTTGCGCTTCGGTTACTGAAAGAAGCCCGATCAACGAAAACCAGTTACATCGTTGGGAATTGTCAGGGGAGCGAAGGACATCGGAATTGTCGTCTCCAAACGGCGGCTACCCGCCGCCGTCACCGCGTGCTCCTGCTCCTCCCCCACTGCGTATTCCGCCATCACGAAACGATCTTCCAGGAACGACGTCGGCCTCTCTTTTCTCTGACGGGACTCCTCGAACACAAGCTGGTCAGCATTGGAGTCCTTGAAATGGCATACAACATCCCTTTGCCTATGCATACAACATTCGCTCTTGAGTGATCTGTAGATTATTGATCTTGATTTAGTTGGATGTATCAAGTCTAAGATTGCAATTAGACAATAGAGAATGAAGCCCGATATTAATAGTGTTTGTTGAAAAGTAGACGTCTATTGGGTATAAGATAATAATAGTCAATCTACAGAATCAAAACAACTCCTACGCAGTCCGCCAAAGAAGGAAGGAAAATTCCTTCCAGAGCTCAACAACTTAATGTTGCTCTCCTTCTTGCGTCCTCGCTACATTCCACTTGACGACTGAGCGTCGGGTATCTTTCTAGTAAGCGTAACGCAATAACAAGCATCGGCAGGCCAATGCTAAAGCGCACACAGCGCGCTCATTCGCAATTATTGCGGCCAGCGCCCACATCCTCTATCAACACATGGATTTACGGACTTAGGCCTGCGTCTTCTGTTGAGGCACAAGATCCTCATCCTGCTGCTTCTTCTCCTTGTACGAGCCATCAGAAGATCGCACCTCCTCATCACTCGACATGTCGTCGTAGTCGCGATGCGCTTGGGCAATATCTGCCTCATCCATGGGCGGCAGCTGCTTCGCGGCGTTGACGTAGCTCATCTTCTCCGAGAAACCCTTGGCGAAGATGAGATCAATCTCTTCGAGAGAGCGGCCGGCGGTCTCCGGGTAGAAGAAGTAAATGAGAGGGATGAAGCAAGCGTTCAGTGCAGCAAAGAGCAGGTAAGTGCCCCATTTGATCTGCGAAACCAGAACAGGAGTGATCATGACAATGAAAAAGTTCCAGAGCCAGTTGTTGATGGTCGAGAAAGCGTTGGCCTTCTGGCGCGTCTTGAGAGGGTTGATCTCGGCCGGGTACAACCAAGGCAATGGCAACCAAGTAGCACCGAAGAAAGCAATGTAGGTGAAGAGACCGACAGCAGCGCCTTTAGCGGTTGACTTCGTACCTGGGATTAGGCATGCGAATGTAAGGACCATGGAGAGACACTGTCCAACGGTACCGATGAGGAAAAGCTTGCGGCGACCAACACGTTCGATTAGGATAAAGGAGGTTGATGCAAAGATGGCGTAAACCACCATGTTCACACCACCTAACAGCAAGGCCAGGTTGTGGTCCGTTCCTAGCACACTCTGGCACAGAATGGGGAAGTAGTAGATGACGGCGTTGCAACCAGACAGCTGTTGCATCATCTGAGAAGAGGCACCCAGGATAGTGCGGCGGAGATGCTGGTGCTTTCCGTTTGTGAGAAGAGACCTGGTTGGGACCTTGCCGCCGCCACCAGAGGCGCGAACAGCATCTTTGATGATGGCCATCTGCACAAGCACTTCGGGGTCGTCGCGACGAAGACTGTTCAAGCCGGCCAGAATGGTAGCAGCTTCTTCTTCGTGGTGATGTGTGAGAAGCCATCGAGGAGACTCAGGTAGACCAGTCATCATGACGATGACGATGAGAGCAAAGACACACTGGAAGGCGATAGGGAACCTCCAGGTGAAGTCCGCAGGGCCATACAGACAGCCGTAATCGATCCAGTAGGCGATGAGAGTGCCGATGGCGACCATACTGCCTTCGATGCAAATGACTTTGCCGCGGTTCTTTGCCTTGGAACACCTAATAGCTGGTTAGTATATTTTGGCGACAACTTTGACAGTTGGCTTGACTTACTCTGCTTGGTAGGTCGGGATAGTGGACGTGTTGATACCGTTGCCAATGCCAGTGATGCATCGCCCAATGATGAACTGGGCAGTCGCACCACTTCCGACGGGTACCGTTGCGATCTGAATGATGACACCAAGAATCATGACGGCTGCACCCAGGAAAATGGCTTTGCGACGGCCAAGCTTGTCACCAAAGGCAAAGATGAAGCATGCGCCTAGGAAACAACCAACAGCGTAGATGGAGACGACGAAACCCTCATAAGTACTGTCGTCCTTGACCTCGGGGAAAGCGTTTTGAAAGGCAGGCGCGGAGATGATGCCACTCATGACACCTTGGTCATATCCAAAGAGCAAAAAGTCGGTGGTGGCAACGATGGTGATGAGAATTTGAAGCTTTCTGCCAGATGCCCCCCAGTAGGTGGGTACACCGGAGTCGTTGTCCTTGATGCGAGGTGCCATGGTGATGTCTGCACGAGGAAGGCTGGGGAGAGATGCCGGGGGTGCAACCGTGGGGAGAGGGTTGGCTTTAAAGTATGGTCCCCGGGAGCACACGAAAGATGTACGGCAACGTTGTGGTGAAGATTCTCCACCTAATTTCCACAGAAATGCACGCTACCAACCTTTCGTCTGACACGTGGAGTAGACTAGATAACGAGTTTTACACTCGGGCTTGGCTTGGTGTTGCAATGCAACGTGATGGTGCTGACGGGAGAGGCGCAAATAAACTGTGGAGTTAAGGCGAAGCCAGCAGCTCCTGCAGTGGGGCGGACATTGTGAGCCAATCCGGGAGCGGAGCGGACGACGCTTGTAGGGGAACAAGCACGCTCGGCAGGGAGCGCCTTTTGTGTTAGCCCCAAGCGCTTCCGCTTTGTGTTGCGTCATAGGCCGGCGGTTCTTTTTCTTGCTCGGTTGAACCGTGGGTAGGAGGTGAAGGTTTGGTTCCCCGAACGTCATTCTGGCAGTTTGAGTGCCGGGCGAGGAGCCGATCTGGAACAAATGCCGCGCCGACGAGAGCGGCTGTCAAATCAGACGACGGCCCAAGTATGCAGGCCGTAGAGTGCTTGCACCAGGGTCTTCTCCAACAACTGCCTCGGTAGGCGCCAACCCTTCTGAGTTTTCACATGAGGTAGCATTTCTGGAGTCAACAATTCCCCAGTTGACGTCATTGCTCTGATCCCATGCAGGGACTAGCTATCCGTGCACAAGCATGCGGCTCTGCAGCCTCTGCAGCCTTGGCGCCGATCTGCTCCGAAATTTCTCTGGTGGAGCAGTCAAACATGTCAAACGCTGGCTTTGCGACTGGCACGAATATAGTGCCCCAGATGTAGTGCGCTGAGCCGGCCGGGAAGACGTCATAGTCGTAAGGTGTTGAGGTTTTAGTACGCGAACTCTTAGAAATTTCAATGTCGACTGAGTACTGGCGCTCCGTCAGAAAAAGACGGCGGAAACACTACCTGCGCATAGCCGCGGCAAAGGCGGCAGGTATACGCAGTATACAGGCCAAGGAGCAGCTGTAGCGGTCACAGGCGTTCACACTAATCCCTCGCAATCATGCATGCTGACCGGTTGACGCGTTTCATGTCCTGTGGGATGGGTTTGCTCGCTTACATAATAAGCGGTCGGGTTTCCTCTTTCGGCAAGTCCGACCAACCATCACCTGGGCAATGATATCGCGCTACTCCAATAATGCCCCTGCGAGTATATGCGCGTGCAGGGAAAGCAGGATAGGCAAAGACCTTGCCGAACACAGAAGGAGCAGAGGATTACGCTCGAAACACTCTCCAGCACAATCGCACCATAATTCATCCATGTCTGCCCACACCTTCTCCGCAGCGGGGGCGGCGACTCCGCTGTAATAACAACACCCACTTTTGCTATGCATACTCACCACACCGATAGACTCACGTCACGCCAGTGTACAAAAAAGGCTTCTCCAACACTCCCAATACTCCCAATATTTCCAATACTACAGCCTTCAACAGCGCACGTGCGCAATCGTTCAATCTCGGAACTAGTCGTCAAGTCCAAGAGTCCAAAGTCTTGGAAGGATTCGGATGATCTCCACCGTGCTCCAACGTCCCACTTTTCGATCCCCGTGTTTACTTTGATCGTCACCTCATAGGCCCGATGGTGACCTCTGGCGCTGCTTGTTCCGCTTTACTCGAATAGTAAAAGCCGCCGACTTTTACCCTAATAAAAGCTGGCCAAGCCGTGGCATACGTGCACTGCTCCTCTACTTCACTTCCGTCTCATGTTCGCATACTTGGAACCCGTTCTAATTTAAGGGTTTTCCTTTGGTATACAGGGTTCGCTGCTCGATGCATGGCACAGCGCGCTCATACCAAGGTTGATCCTAATTCAACGAAAGTGGCTGTCGTCGTGGATCGTCCATGTCTCCGTAGGTCTGCGCCTACCCCTCTTCCGATGAAGCACCCGTGGGGTTATAAGCCGACATGGTGTGCCGACAAACTGGTCTTGTTGCGGCACAGATTCTCTATGATGGCGGTCCAAGGAGCCATCCTAGTACAGTACTGCATGCTGACCCGCTTCCTCTTGCCCGACAACGCGAGGAAAGTGTCGCGAACCAGCTATGCGTCTCCTGAGCGGATATATTCCTAGAATATTTAAAGATGGAGGAGATAGAGATCTCAGATGGGCAAGTACAGTCAAGTGGCCGTGTGTGCGACTTCAATTCATTAGCATGTGACTTTGACGATGCGAGACTAGAGGACGGAAAGGCGCATGGCCGAACAGCGCCGCGCTGAGCTAGAGGTAGACCCAAAGCATATGAAAATGACGTTCGCTTTTCAGTTCTTGTAAGGGAGCAGGGAACTGCCTTGTGATGATAGGGCTAACTATATTCGAACCGTTCACGACAATCCTGTCCACACTGCTGGTCCGGGGATTTTATACTCCTGCTGCACATTAGCATTCTTCTCCGATTAGCCCTATTGTTCTCACCGTCTTCTTCGAAACCTCCGGTTTGTAGATATCAATATTGATCTCCGGTTCTGCAAGACATCAGCGCTCGAACCCAAAGCTAACCGCCAAAGGACTTACGGTCCATACTCCACACACCCGGGATCTGCACCAAATACTCCTTGCTCGGGAATGCATGCCCATCGCCCTTGATGTCCAGATGCGCGCACTCGGGATAGAACTGCGGCTTATTTGCACTATGCAAACTGATGATCTCATGTCTAACCAGGTACTTCCCTGGTCTCAGGCTACTTGGGACCGTTTCACTCCATAGACTCGGACTGCCATCCCATTTACTAAACGCCTTCTGGAACCACGTGCCTTCTTCTATCGTGCCTTCAAGCAACCCTTTCTGCCCAATCTTGAACCAAGATGCCGTGGACGAATTGAACGTCCTACAGTCATTGGAGTCATTGGCGCAGTATGCGAGCCAGGCGATCATAGGTCCAACAGTGTGCACCCAGTATGCGTAAACAGCGGTGATATTTTGGCCAGCGGTGATCGGCACATAGCTTTTTGCGGGATTGCCTGGTGTATTGCAGGACAGGGAGGCGTTAGTCGTTTCGAAGATGGGGTCGTTGGTGATCCATTTGCGTTGTACCATCCAGTCTGCGCCGTCTTGCATGGTCTGGTCGCCATATGGGTCATAGCTCTCGGGCGTTAGCACAAGCCAATCGATCACGCAATAAGACAACTAACCCCGGATACCATGTGTCTCCGACTGTGTAGTTCAAGGCACCGCCATGCGCGGAAGCTTGATGGAATAGGTAGGGAAGCAGAAATGGGATTGGTATGAGAGTTTGCCACATTGTGACTGCTTGTGGATATTGCGTTGGGGTAAAGAATTTATATGATCATGACAGTTTCTAACACTCGCAGTAAGGTTAAGAGAGAGAGAACGGATTGTTGAGCTTCGACTGAGAAACGGCGTGATGTGGAGAGGCGCGGCGCTAGAACATTACCCCACAGATTCTTGATTCCATGTCATATAATGCACCAGGTGTCCTATTTAGCAGTCCATGTAGCAAATGACATAGGAAGTAGCTGCGGCTTCAAGTGCCGCCTCGATATTGCGCCTCGTTTGGAATCCATGCCATCCACGCGCAGCACAAACACCTGACACGAAGCTTCTTTCTGAACCCAGTCAGCTTTTATGATGCTAATCTAGTTTTGAAAGACTGTTTGACCTGTAAGAGCTGCACATGCTTATTCTTCGATAGCGATATGGAAAAAACAACACCTGACGCGGGGGAACAAGGGTTGGACTATTTACGGGTATTTAGCAAAAATGCTTAGTATGAAGCTTAATTGCAAAACCATGGGTTTAACCGGGACGACTTCGTCATTCGCTAAAAGAGGTACTGCAATGAAAGGCAAGTTTACTGAATGGATGCGGAGGAAGAAGGTCGATATTATATAACAAGCCTGTGTGTCGAGGGGCAACTCTCCCAACGTGCCTCTACCAACATGTATCTCCAAGCTCTTACTTCCATTCTGGCTCTTGCCTCCACCTCTCTTGCTGCCCAATTGACGCAAATTTCAAACTATGGCGGTTCTGCTCGAGCGAAGCCCGGGATGTAGGGATTCCTCTCTCTTCCTTTGTCTGCACCTTGTACCCGCATTACTGACACTTTTCAAAGGTGGATATACGTGCCCGATCAGGTCAAAAGTGATGCCTTAGTGGTAGCGATCCACTCCTGTCAATCCTCCGCCCAGAAATACTTTCAAAATGATAAGATTCCTTGGAAGAAAGGCTCGGATACCAAAGGCTATGTGACTGTTTGGCCGAGCTCTTCAACAGAATGCTGGGATGTTTCCAGCAAGTCTTCGCTAGCGCATAACGGCGGCGGTGATTCAAACGCGATCGCGAATATGATCACTTATGCAATCGACAAGTACAAGATCGATCCGAAGAAGGTGTTCGTCACAGGCGGATCATCTGGTGGCATGATGTCCAACGTCCTCGCGGCCACTTATCCAGAACTCATCACCGCCGTCTCATTGTACTCTGGTGTACCAGCTGGATGTTTCGTCTCCTCTTCTGGGGCATCAGCTGCGTGGAACAATACTTGTTCAGGCGGGCAGAGTATTTCAACCGCACAGCATTGGGGTGATGTGGTCCGAGGTATGTATCCTGGATACAATGGAACGCGACCACGGATGCGTAAGTATTCCTTTCCGAGGTGTATCTGAAATATACGCTGACTCTGGCCGTCTGTCTTAGAGTTTTGGCACGGCTCGACAGACGCCACGTTGTCGCCCAAGAACTACGACGAAACGCTTAAACAGTGGACGAACGTGTTCGACGTCAGCACCACGCCAACGAGCTCAAAGAAAGATACACCAGAGAAGAACTACAGAACTGACGATTTTGGTCCCAACGTTCAGGGGATTTGGGCGCAGGGTGTTGGCCATTCGGTTCCATCGCACTTGACGGTATCGGAAGCTTGGTTCGGTCTCTGAGTTGGAGTTAGGGTCGTGGGTATCGAACATGCTCGAGAAAAGGTGAATCCTTGATCCTGAATAGCATCGTGTAATACAGTATATCCTCCGCTTTAGACACAAATTCAGTGGCTTTCGGTTTTACGATGTAAATGCGCCGGCTTGGGCACTTCTAGCGTGTTCCTTCGAGCTGGCTTTCGAGCTGGACTTGTTTCCGGTCGTGGTGATTCTTGTGGCGGTGGTGGAGTGGAACTGCCCCCAATACCAGGCGTAGAAGCAACGCTCGCAGCGTACGAACTGCCTACTCTGGAATTTTCCTCTCGAAGTCGACTATATTGGGTGCTGATTCGCTCGAATTCTGGGTTGCGTAGTCCTTCGCCTGGCACTTCTGGAAATCGATGAATCTCTTTATCGTTCGATAAATCAAGCTTCTCGTGTGCGGCATTTCCCATGTAGTTCGCAGCCGAAGTGAGCCATTTGCGCACCTTGTTTCTACCGGCTGTAGGCTCGCTCTGGTGAATATGAGCAGCATCAATGTCTTGATGCTGCTCAAGGTCAGGTTGAGTAATGATAGGGATAAGCCCAAAATCGTGTGGAGATGCACAACGTATGCCCAAAGCATTGTCGCGCGAACTCCGACTTGGCGAGTGTTCTAGGTCTGATGGCGGACTAGGAGATATATTTCGCTCGTTGCTATAGCTGTGGTGTGAAGAGTCCTGATTCGTTTGCTGTGCTCTCGACTGCTTCGTAATATTCTCATCGCCCGCCCAGATCAGATATAAGGACCCCAGCGCAGCTAAAACAGTCCCAGCCAGCGGGCTCCATTGTCCTGACACGCAAATAATCAGTCTTTTTCATTTGGAGACGTCCAAACCTACTTACCGAACGAGCCCATAGGCTCAGTGTCGTATCTGACCTGAGGGCTAAAGAAGTTTGCTTCTCCAAGACAAATTATCGTCAGTATAACCCCGGCGACTACTGGAATCTCCACCACGCTCAGGAACAACCTGACGACGTTATTAATTCCCTTCATCTCACGTACGGTAATATTGGCCCCTTCGATCCGATCGTCTAGTCTTTCGGTTTCTCGTCGTCTCTTCCAGTTGATCTCGAGAATTTTATCCCAAGTGAAGATTAAGCTCAAAATTGCAGGTATGCAAAAGCCAGCAGAGAGTAGCATCAAGGCATTGAAGGTCAGTACGTGTGGCACAGGGATTACATTGACATTTGAAGCCGCACCGCCTCGCAGAGGTGAGAAGGGCCCAGCAGATTCGGAGCAGCGGAGGCCACAAGTAGCGTTTCCGTACGGGAATTTGGTCAGATACCTAGGATCGTCGCTAGTACAATTCGCTGGCGTGATGCGATAGAATTCGACACATAGAGCCACAAGGCCGCATAGGATTAGAATTGTCCATAAGAAGATGATGTTTCTGCCTGGGTCAAAGAAGTAGGTACGAGAGAGGCGAACTGTCAACGGCGCCGCTAGTATGCCAATCGAGCATAATTGAAAAGCTCCGTATAGATCCATATCAACTGCGCCTAGAAATGGAGACGTTAGAGGTTTTTTCTTGGATGTCTTGGGAGATGTTGGGCAGTCTGACCAGTAACATTTGTAGCTGCGAGCACGATGGAGTGCAGGGCGGCGAGGGCAGGCAACACTAACGCCACGGCCAAGCAAGCGTTCCGCAGCCATTCTGTTCGTCGGAAAGCGACACATGCTGCGACGAGGACATAGTAGAGGATCTAGAGCCATCTGTGAGCCTTCTGATACGGTGATAGCCACACTTGGTATGTATGTATTTGTCTGGAGAGCACTAACACGCGAGCCAGGACCATAATTCGAGGACAGAGGGAAGGCGCAGACAACCTGTATAGCCGATGATGTAGTGTTCGCGGTGGAGTAATTAGACACTGTTTGAATAGCTGGCATATCTATGATGTATGTGCGATCAAGGTTGGGACAACGACGTTAAATGCCATCGCATCGTAAGGGGTATAAGCAGAAGCAGAAGCAGAAGCAAAGGGGGCGGCGCATTGCGGCTTTGGTATGCGGCTCGCAGTAATCAAGCATCGCTTCGCCGGTGAGTTTGCCTCGCCTTGGTCGATGATTGATGATTGGAGGGCGGCAGGCTGAGTCTTGGAAGATGACCCGTTTCGCGCCATCGGACCTTCTCTGACGATCACGGTGGCAGGATTTGGTGAGATCAGCGCAGTCAGCGTCTTGGCCCAAGCTTTGCTCAACACTGCACTGCCTCCTACGCAGAATATGGTCCCAAAGCCTCACTTGCCTGCTATGATTGTATTGCGCATCATTTATTCCACGTACTTCTCTCACCAGGAGCCGTTATCTGGGCCACTACGACATAGTTTCGACTCCAGGGCCTGTGAGGGCGCCATTCTGCTGAGGTGAGACGGCGGCCAACGAACGCGGTCAACTATGAACGCTGCGCCAATTACATATGAGTTATAGGTCTAACTTGGAGTAGATTCTTGTAAAGGCCCCTTTCCTCATCAATGAAGCTGCGAGTTGGTGTTCAAAAGTCAAGATAGGCGCAATGTTGTCACACCGTGCCAGCAGCCCGGAAGTGCAGGATCTCAACACCAGCCATATCAAGCAGTGGCGATCGATAATTACTTTGATTGTCTTTGTCCTGACGAGTAAGTCAAGTCACAACCTCGCCTTCCAAGGCCTGGACACTGATCATAGGTGTATCTACAGACATCAACGTCCTATTTCCGTTCCATATACCTGTTTATATCCCCCGCGTACTGTGGACCGCGTTTCTCAATGTCTTGAGCGCATTGCGTATTATCCCTTTGCCCTGCCATCCCACGCGGGTTCGAAATGGCAAAGTTGGGGCTTTCGTGGTGTTCAGATTCCCAATGAACTTTTTTACGGCACCATTGGTGGCTGATCTGTTCCTACTCGCTATCCTGGCTATTGGCAAGAAGGAGGTACACGACGGCACCATCGGAGCCCATAACATTGTACCGTACGACATCATGTTATTTTTCCTCTCATTGGCATACATTGCCATCTCGGTCGACGCTTCCGGACTCATTAGATGGCTCGCATTCAAAGTCCTACAGAAAGGAGGCAAAGTCGGCCATCGGCTCTTCTTCTACCTCTACGCCTTCTTCTTTGGTCTCACCACTTTCATTGGGAACGACCCAATCATTCTCTCGGGTACCGCCTTCCTCTCCTACATGACGCGCGTATCGAGCAACATCAAGCATCCCCGAGCTTGGATACATACCCAATTCTCAGTAGCAAACATTGCGTCTGCTATTCTTGTGTCATCAAATCCAACAAATTTGGTTTTAGCAGGAGCCTTTAAGATCACTTTCATCAAGTACACGGCGAATGTTATCGTACCTGTCCTTGCCACTGGGGTTGTCTTGTTTCCTTTCCTGCTCTACATAATATTTCACGACGAATCTCTGATTCCATCTTCCATCAAGATGGAGGATCTCCCGGAGGAGCTCAAAAACAAGAAACCCATCAACCCAAACATTCCGTACGCGAAGAACGAGTTGGATGAGCGCGAGAGCGATCCAAACGGCAATGACGAGCAAGAAAAACAACTATCACTAGAGGAGATTTTAAATCCGTTCCTGGACAAGAAAGGCGCAATGTTCGGTGCTGTCCTCATGGCAGCTACGCTGATCACGGTCCTTGCCATTAACGCTGCTTCGCAGGGTACGCACGAGCGCCCGGTTTTCTGGGTCACAATGCCCGCTGCTTTTGTAATGTTCTGCTTCGATCTCGGGATGGGCTGGCTGAACCGGGAAGAGACACGGAATATAGCTCACGAGGGACGACGGAGAGTGGAGAACGTACAGGCAGAACGAGCAGAGGCGAGAAGGAAGTCGGTAGTGCAAGAAGAACTAGATACGAGCGTATCTTGTGAGTCGAACAATTCAATCGACGTACCAAATGTCAAGTCGGAGTCGTCCACGACCGCGATGCGCAGTGGAAAGCGTGGAGAGAACGACCAGGAGGTGGTGGAAAAGGAACAAACGCCGCGTGAGCCGGAGAAACTGGAGTCAAACTCAAAGACGGAGCCAACAACACTCGCATCACTTATCGCGGATACTTACGCTTGGGCCCAAGCGACGTTTCCCACTACTATGACTGTGTTCAACCACTTGCCTTTCACGCTGGTTCCGTTCGCTTTCTGCATGTTTGTCATGGTACAGGCCCTGGTCACGAAAGGCTGGGTTCCAGTTTTTGCACACGGCTGGGATCACTGGGTAGAGAAGACCGGCACGATCGGTGCGATTGGCGGCATGGGGTTCATCTCCGTTATCTTGTGCAATTTCGCTGGCACAAATATCGGGACAACCATTCTCCTATCCAGAGTCATCCAAGCGTGGCAGGAAATCCACCGGCGAAACGGAACTGCCATCTCTGACAGGACCTTCTGGGGAACGGTGTACAGCATGGCTCTTGGAGTCAACTACGGGGCTTTCAGTCTTGCCTTCAGTGCATCACTGGCCGGCATGCTCTGGCGCGACATCCTAGGGAGAAAGCATATACGCATAGGTGGTCTCGAGTTTGCACGTGTCAACCTGCCAATCATCGCGATAACCATGGTCGTTGGCCTTACTGTTCTCACCGCACAGATCTACATCGTACGGGATGGTTCTCCCTATAATGCAGTATGATACTGCTGTCAAAGTCTGCAATCATTTACGCTTCCCTTCCAGAAGTCAATGGCGACAGCTATATTGCCCATACGATTGACGCCCGAAGAAGAAGATCACACATCTTGTGTGAGCCAACGAGCCACATTCAGTTGCAGTGCATGACCCAACATGCAGCTACTGCAGAGAAGCTGCCACGAGAGAAGGTCTACCGCCACAGGCTTCACAGTGGCATTTAACACGCATATCGACTTTGGAGCTGGCCAGCTCTACATGGAGATTTAATTGGCACATAGCTACTGCTACGTCGGTATCAGACCTACCTTTCAGTCCTTCGACGTTTAATACGTATTTTGATGCATTGCCTTTCATAGACGGCGATGTTTGACTGAATACCCATGGGAGGATGCGAAAGAAGCCCTCGAATCTAGCGAAGCGGGAATAAGGGTATTAAATCCCACGTCGCGCTACTCTTTCTACACTCTACGCTTCTATCGCTTCCTCAACTTCACCGATGGATTACAGCACCCGACCCCTCGCCCATCCCTCTTACTTTCCCTTCTACTACTTTCTCCGGCAACCCCAGCTCAGTACATATTTCATCGAAACAATGCATACCATCCAAGAACTTGAGCATTGGCAATCCACTCTCTCTTTCCCTATCACTCACGAAACTGTTCAGTCCGTGTAGATCCTCTGTCTTGGAAGGATTGAGATTAGGCGTTGACGCGATACTGGGTCTGTGGAGGGAAATGGACGGATTCTGATGCTGGAAATGGGAATGCGAGGGTACATTGGGTTGGGATGGGAGTTGCGAATTAGAGGCCGAGGGGTGATGACGTTGCGTAGTGCCTCGGATGGTTGCTGTGTCTGAGTCCCTGCTAGGGTTCGCAGTCGATGTCGCGGCTGAGGTTTGTAAACTCGTTGGTGGTGCGGGAGGCAGGGCTGTTGACGTGGCGATGGCGTACTTGTGCACACGGTACAGGAAGCCCTTTATAATACCAAAGGTAATGAATCGTCGGACGTCGATACCGCCCAGAAGATCGAGGTTCTCCAATACCCAGTTCTTCAATGTCAGACCCTGGCGCAAGGATGTGTAGAGCGTGATTAGGGTTTCGTGGTCGATTTGCCATTCGTCTTCGCTTTCATCATTCATCTGGGTAGTGCCGGGGCTGTCGAACTCAGATGTTTTGAGAGTTGAACCTCCCGCTTCGTTGTGCTGTGATGCCGAAGAAGATGTTGAACCCCGCTCGTCCCGACTCTTCTCAGATTCGCTGCCCACCCGGATCGTCCTCGCACTCGAGCCTAGTCTTAGCCTCGGTACCTTGACATATCTCATACACTCCTCTTTCAAATCTGCGTCCACGATGAATCCACCAATCTCCGCTGTCGGCGCGTAGATTGCAGCGAAGCTAAAGATGTCTAAGAGTACCAGACAGCCGTAGTACACCAAGTGCTGTATAGCTTTTCTAGTCAGCGAGAGGTCTGTATCGGCTAGCTGAGCAATGTGCGAGATGCTATTTACGCCGTTGATGTAAGACAGAATGCGATTGAGAGTGAGATCGGAGGATATGGGAGTCTGAAGGCTTGACAGGGAGATGGTGAGCAATGGGACCTGATGCGCGAGGATTGGTGGAGGAGGTGGGCGAGTCGGGAACAGCTTGAGATTGATCGTGTTGGAATCATCTGCCTTTGATTAGCCGCTTTTCACAATTCAAATTGTGCGACGCGTAACGTAGGTGGACTTACCAATGGGTATCATACACTCGGCGTAATTATTCAAATCCTCTAGCACCATCTCACACAGCGCGTACACTTTGCTACCACTTCCAATACCAAACCCAGATAGCCCTTCATCATCACTCCCCACCCCTCCACCATCATCCTCATCCCAAACGCCCGCCTCCTCCCGACTTAGAAAGCCGCCCTGCTCCTCCAACCCCCGCAATAACCTCCCCAACTTCCTCACCACTTCGCCATAGCACGCCCAATCCAGTTCATTTTCGCCAATCACCACGGCAAAGTTGAAAATGAACTCATTCCGGCTGTATTTGCCCTCGCGGATGCACACAGGGTACCCGATGACGCGGTGGTGATTGACGCAGAAGGTAAGCAGGCGGTCGCAGAACTGTTGCGTGGGGATGAGGTACTGTGTAACAGAGAGGAATGGAAAGAGCGGAGTGGGGAGCGCGGAGGGGAGGGTCGAGGGCGTTATGCTGCCTCGGGGGACTTGGTGGAGGACGCGGTTTCCTGGGAAGCATGTTAGTGCGTGCGGAGTGGAATACGCGGAGATCATGAGGCACTTTACCTTTCTCATGATGGAAGCGCGTGTAGAAGATAGCTTTAATTGCGCGCGTAGGCATTGAAGAGTTAGTGGACTACACCGTTGGGATGGTCGAGAGCTACATGTTGATTGTGAGCTTCATAAGATGCGACGCGGGGAGCTTGCAGCGATGAGGTGCCGATGGCTCACATGGTCTGTGCTTGGCTTCAGAGTATCAAAGACAGCTAGGTTCAGCGGTGATGTAGTAGCCTCGAGGCCTTCGAGAAACTTCGAGGACTTTTGCACTGATTTTTGTTGGTTGCAAATGTCTTGAAGCCTTTTGGGCTTTTTTATACTTGCATGGTCTTGCTTTCGTACAAATCGAACTCGCTACTAATGTTGTAGTATGACTGACGTTCGCACGCGGCTATCCTGATGGTTGGTTCTACATGCAACCATGGGCCCAGTGTGTTACTGGAGGTTTGACCTATTATATCTTACAATACCTCATTTACGATAGCCCTACCACTCCGCCACCTCGCCCGCCTTGGGTACGCTCGCCCGGACAATCTTATCACAATTCAGCAAACACAACGGATCGAACGCTTTCTTCAGCTGCCGCATCGCATCTACGGTACTAGTGCCTAGCTCATGCGGCAGATAGTCCCTTTTGACTAGACCGACACCATGTTCGCCGGTCGCTGTACCTTCGAGCTCGATAGCGCGCTTGACCATTTCGTGGACTAGGTGTTCGGCCTTTTGGAAGTCGGTTTTGCGGTTATAGAGGATGATTGCTAATATTAGTGTTAGTACTTGAAAGGTAGGGGGAACTAGGAGATGCGAGAAGGGACTTACAGTGGAAATTGCCATCTCCAACATGGCCTACAATGCTGCCTAGCAAACCGCTCTGGCTAATCTTTTCTTTGGTCTCCTCAATGATTTGAGATAACCTTGAAATTGGAACGGCTACATCAGTCGTCCATACCGCCATGTCCTCGTGGCCCTCGGTCTTGGCCATAACCGACCACAGAGCCTCTTTTCTTGCCTGCCAGAGGTCTTCTTTCTCTTGTTCAGACTTTGCGAACTCAAAGCTAACAGATCCAGAGTTCTTCGCTAGCGTCTGGACCTGGCTTATTTGCTCTTTGACTGAATTTGGTGTACCGGCAAACTTGAAGAACAGGGTTGGCGCATTCTTCCAGGTCTTAGAGGTCTGGCCAGCATCATTGATGCACATCATCTGCACATCGTCCAGGATCTCAATTGCTGCTATGGGTACGCCTGCACCGACGACTTTGAAGACACAGTCTGATGCTGCGCGAATGGTAGGGAATGCACATACAGCTACACTGGTGTGCTGCGGTTTGACGGTAACCTTGAGTGTAGCCTCAGTAACGAGACCAAGGGTGCCTTCGCTGCCGATGAACATTCGCGTTAAGTCGTAACCTGCAGAGGACTTCCTTGGCCGTTGTCGTGTCTTGATAACCGTGCCATCAGCCAGCACTACCGTGAGTGATAACACCCAATCCTTCATCGTACCATATCGGTAAGAGTTCGTCCCGGAGCACCCCGTACCCACCATACCACCAATCATAGCGCCTGGACCTGGGTCTGGAGGAAAGAACAAGTTCTCTTTTGCCAGCTCTTCATTGAGACGCTCCCAACCAACTGCGGGCTGAACGACAACATCTAGATCGTCCTTGTGCAGCTTCAAGATCTTATCCATGCGACTGAAATCAACGCAGATGCCACCCTTGGTCGCTGCAAAGTGTCCTTCCAAGCTCGTACCTCCACTGTATGGCGTAATTGGAATCTTCCTCTCGTGGCAAACCTTCATGATCGCGCTGACTTCAAGTGTATTTCCAGGCTTTATCACACAGAATGGGATGTCGCCCGGTTCAGCGGGATGCGAGGACCACGAGGACCCGCTGTGCGATACGAGCTCGGACTTCTCGAGCGTGATGTTCTCCTTGCCGACAATGTTGCGGAAATCTGCCCATGCAGCTTCCATGTTCGCTTCGGATATGTTATGCTTGGGAGGTGTGAAGGTTTCAAGCGGAGCGGTCGAGTTGGTGTCTGGTTTGGGGGGAATCAATTGGCCGAAGTAGTAACCTATGCCTGCGGTAAAGAGACATGCTGTTCACCTGTTAGCATGCGCTACTATTAATGAGGTTTGAAGAGCGAGTGTTACCAAAAACGGTCGCAAAGAACTGCCCTCTCGCCGACCGTTGCTGCAACGACTGAATCTGGATCTGCTCCGCCTTCTCCTTCTGCACACGCTCATAAATACTCTCATGAAGCTGGAGATAAAATGGCTTGTCTGCATCCCCACCCTTCTTGTCGTCGCTCGCCCATCTTCTTTGCGTAATCCTTCGCACTCCCGCGCCAACACCGCACACTGCGCTTCGTCTGTTGCTTTTCAGAGCAATTGACGCCCGCGGCAAATTTCGTAGCGACATTGCTATCGTCAAGGGGTGCCAATCATGTCGTAACCGGAGAGACGGCGGCAAATGCGGGGAAGATGTTTGTAACTGTCTTTGAGCTCGGTTGGTTATGTCGCGATTTGTCTTGGCAGACTGTTCTGACACGGAAGTCCGACCCAGTGCTACGGATCAAGCCTCGTGTCAGGCGTAGTAAGCACACCGCAACCACTGAGTGGTCAACTAGTACGAGACGAAATGCAAGCATGAAGACGGTATGCAGATTATACACTATGAATGCTAATCAATTCGAAGCCTGAGGCCAAATACATCCACATGATTGTTCGTATACAGGTGCTGGGTAACCTGCAATGCCACCATGCACGCAGCGTTGGTCAAACATGGTTGGGGGGGTGTTATAATGCTGTTCATAGCTATGTAGAGACGTACGTCTTAGTGGAGGGGGAATCACCATACCTAAAACCCTCCCAGCGCACCTACAATCCAATGCCATATCCTAGAAACGCCTTGCGAAATGTATGCAGCAGGGAATAGAAAGGCATGAATCGTGAAGAAGTAAAATCAGAAACCGAACGCCATGCTAAACCAAGAGAGATATAAGAAGTCATAAAAAGTATCAATGGAAGGAATGGGTGCGAGGCAATCACCTACTTGCTCGAATGCAGCCATATGTGAACAAGTAGGGTTAATGGGGAAGGGCAACCATCACAAGGCGATCCACCAAGTGACGATTTCCTCGCGCGTCCAGGTGGCAGTGCTCGGGACCAAGCCACTCGCTACCCGCCCGACATGCGCAGCAATCTCGTCTTAAACCAGGTGACGAATCTCAGCCATCTTCCCGCACGGCTCTTAGTCACCTTGGGCACCGCGCCGCTTTGCTTCTCTGGGTCCACGGTGGCCACGTACTTTGGGAGCGAGTTGGAGTGTGCCTCGCGGTGGTCTGAGTACTGGCGTCCACCTACAGAAGGCCTTGGTGTCTTTTCGTTCTGGGTGTCGGATGCACTTCGAGAGCGCTTGTAGTCGTCTGTCCTGTCGAGCGTCTCAGACTTGCGTGTGGTATGGTCTTCTTTCCTCAGCTGTTTCCGGTAATCCCGTTCCAGTTGTTTGTGTGTTTCCTTCTCGTACTTGCGCTCTTTGGCACGTTCATCCTCTTCGAACTTCAGACGCGCGGCGCGGATCGAGGCAGCTCTCGAGGCCGCATCGACAGGCGAGTCTCGTCCGCCACGGATAAAGCGACATGTCTGATCGAATGATGTGCGCGAACTAGGTGAAGTGGTAGTGTCTATAGACTTGAGTGTATCGCCCCTCGCTCGTGATTGCGCCACAGGTGATGTGAGAGATACTGAGGACTGAGAGTAGCTGCCGGCGAGTCGAGTGGATGAGTTGTTGGTGTGGATGCGCAGGGATACTCCTGGAACTGAGGAGAGCGAGTCGGATCGGCGGGTGGAGTCAAACGCGCTCTGCCGCAGGCGGAACTCGTCGTCGGACATGATATCATAGCTCTCGTGCTCGTTACTTGGTACTGAGGGCGGAGTTGATGCAGATACAGGTGGCGTGTACGGCTGTGGGGTCTGGCGTATCGAGGACAACGGTGTCGGTCGTTGCAGGCCTGACGAGGTAGAGAACTGGGACGTGTTCGAGGTAGAGCGGTTATGCCGGTGGCGGCCATTGACTGGAACAAAACTGACGTCTGATATTGATCGTGAATAGCTGCCGTACTCGGAGATCCCCAGGCCGGCTAGATCGTTCTCTGCGGCCGGGCGCGACAGATCCAAGCCGTTGTTGCGACGGTACGGCTTGTTCTTGAGCGGGTTTGGGGATCCTCCGTACATGGTCTTGGGCGTGTCGGTCGATGAAGCCCGCTTGTGGAGCCGGGCAGAGTTGGCCATGGTGACTCGCGAGTCTCGTGGGTTACCGTCGTGGCATGTGTTGCATAAATAATGGTTGATATGATGGTTGCACCAGACATGGCATCACCAAGCCAACATCCGAGCTGCTCGGTGCTTACGCTAGATGCGCTGCAGCGTCAGGACGCGTCCAAAGGTAGTGACGAAACGACTCGTGCAAGCGAGTCCTGGCGCTGATCCGGGGTCAATGCCAGGATTCCACAGGGAGGATGAATAGTTGGCACAGGCAGGCTGCTGAGGTACTCGCTACCACAGTAGATCGCTTCTTTCTCGGGCGAAGGCGATTCGCTAGTCACTCACCGGGTTGGCGGTACGAGGTATGAACTCTCTCACTCAGCAGCAACCACGTCGGGCGGCGGCAGCGTGCTTTATGTTGGCGCCGCAGGTGAAGGAAGCTAGCCTTGGAGCCGAGTCGCCGTCTAGGTATTGGGACCCAGATAAGCTCCAAGATATAGCGGAGTTCAACAATACGAGCCGCCACAGCCATGGACGGCTGTATTACCCACCGCCCGCATCACGAGCTGAGGCCCTACACGCAATCAGTGGCACAGCAGCTGGCAGTGCTATCCATCCGGCAGACTGAGTACCGAATCAGGAAATGCGGCTCGTCGAGGCCAGCCATACACGCGCTTAGCTGAGCTGACCGACTTGCGGGGCTCGTTTCATGGGTTGATAACACGGCGTCGCAGGTTTGGGTAAGCAATCTATGTGTCTCGACTAGAAGATCCACCTACCCCTCATGTTTGGCTGGTCTATCCGGAACACCGCGGGCTGCAAAATCAAGATATCAACGAGGCCCATCTCCGCAGAAGATCCACCCGTTCAGCCAAGGTCCAAAGTCTGAAACACCGCCGAAGTACCCCACACTGACATTTTCTTCCCCAGCTTGCGTCATGGCCAGCACCTTTGACATGGCACAGTGTCACATGAATCATCGTGATTCTACAAGTCAATGCAACCATGTTGCTCTATAGATGCAAATTAACTCATAGATGCAAAGGCCACACCCAAGACATACTAGGCACACCGCTGCCATGATGTAACTCATGAATGGTATGCTATCCTCAAGGTCAAGGACAAGAGCACGCTGTTATTAGGCAAGGCCTCTGGATGTCCTTCCAAAATATGAGTGGAGGTGGACAGTATATATGATTAAGATAATTTGCCTCTATAAAAAAGTATAGTGCGATAAGACAACATGTGTACGTCGTTCTGTACTTTGAAGCAAGGACCCTGGTGTCATATGTATATGTTCAACATGATACAGGGGTGGGAGCTCGGCAAAGTAGCATAAGCAAGGACTCTGATTGATGTTTGGAAGAGAGCTGCCACTGTTGCATGTGTGAGACATGTCAGTCCAGCGTAACGATCACATGGATTTCGTCGAGTGTATAGACATCCTTCTGGAGGTGTTCTGTGGTGAGACAACGTGTGTACGTTCTGCCAAGTACACTACCTATATCTGAAGTAATAATCAACAGGCATTTTGTGAATTCGTCACGGTAACGTAACAAGACCATAATGGTGTATCTTCTAATAGGGAAGTGAATGGCAGTGACATTGGGTGTCAGGCAACAAGCGGTGAGCGATAGGCAACACACTGCTGTGTGAGGTCGTCAGGACAAGAGGATGGAGCAAAGAGAAACATGTAGCACACCACATGTCCCAGGCCAAAGCAATGGAACGGCAACGAACTAGCTTATTTGTTTGAGGTAATAGGGTCGAGTACACAAGTACGGGTAATCGAAGACAGTCTAGACAGTCGAGCGCTGTAGAGAAAGTCAAAGGGCAGTGTAGAATGGCAAGGTAAGAGAGGCCGTCGCCGTTGCTAGGTACCCAATGATGACTAAAGCCGCCTGACGTGGGTGCACGGGCGCACCTTCCTGAACATCAGTCCCGAAGAACACCAAAACATTTCTCCACCCTGCATTCATCTCCACGCATATGACAATCACCCCGGCGCCATGAGTGGTTTCAAGAGGAGCAACGTCTTCGACCAGGGCAGACCTGAGGATCCGTACCAAGAGCGCAGGGATGAACCTGCTGAGGTACCGCAACGCGCGACAGCTGCTCAGTTGGCGACGCGAAAGTAAGTCCCCCCTTCACCTTGTTGTTGGACATACCGACCAATCCTGTCCCGCCACAAAGCGAACTCATTGTCTTTCACCTGGCTGACTCTTTGTCCCCACAGAATCAAGACGGCAAAAGTACGGCGACCAGCAGGTGCCTCCTCGGTGAGTACTCCAACTACACCACCACGACCCCAACACGACCCCAACCGCAGCCCCCGGCATGTCGGCCAACAGATACAGCGCCGCGGGGCGGCGCGAGATACGTCGTAGGCAGGAGCAGCAAATAGCTAATGTGCGCGCGCAGACTTCATCACAGAGCGCCAACTTCAGTGCGCCACAGCAGTCCAGTTTCAACTTCGGCGCTTCAGCGCCTGCCCCCAACAGTAACAGTGGGAATAACTTCAGCTTCGGCGGCAACAGCGCTTTCGGTGGCGGCGCGACGAACAGCTTCCCGCCTGCGCAGTCGGCGGCCCCGAGCAATTCCTTCACCAACTCGTCGTTCCCAGCATTCGGCGCAAACAGCCAGAGCACCGGTTTCGACCCCCAACCACCGTCCACAGGCTTCAACTTTACTGCAGGAAGTAGCAATCCATTCGCTTCATCCAACTCCGCCCCTACGATGAATGGCACCACACCAGCACCAGCACCAGCTTTTGGAGGGTTTGGAAGCCAGCCGCAAAGCAACCCATTTGGCAGCCTTGGACAGAACAACACCACTAGCTCAGCATCAGGCGGTCTGTTTAGTACAACCGGCAGCGCAGCCCAGACTAGCATGTTTGGTGCCCCTAGCTCTTCAGCACCCAACGCGACGAGTACGCCGGCTCCAGCGTCGCAGCCTCTTGCTTTCGGCGCCACCTCGTCGGCCCAGAATGCGAGTACGACGGCGACGACCAACTCATTCAGTGGTTTTGGCGCTTCAGCGCAGGCATCAACCCCAGCACAGAACAATGTCTTTGGTGGATTTGGCGCCAGCGCGCAGAAGAACGAGGCTGCTACGGAGAAAGCTGCACCTAAGCAAAGCCTGTTCAGTGGCCTTGGCACAAGTACACAGGGCTCGGATAAAACCACAGCGGCCGCTCCTGTATCGAATCTGTTCAACTTTGCCCCGCAGGCACCAAAGAGCGAGAACGCGACGACGACTACACAGTCGACCAACTTCCTCGGTGCCTCTAGTTCTACCACTCCAAGCACCAGCACTCCCACATCTGCGCCTAGCAGTAACCCGTTCGCGAACCTCTCCTCCGCGCCGAGCACGACCCCGTCTCTATTCAATTTCGCCCCGACAACACAGACACCCCAAGGGCAACAAGAGAAGCCTCCAGGCACTTCGAACAATCTCTTCAGTAGCCTCAAGCCTGTCGACTCGAGCAGCAGCTCAGCTGCGGAGACGCCCAAGCCCAATTTGTTCGCGTCGCTGGCGAAGCCAAACGGAACGCCCACTCCATCACTGGGAGGTGTGACACCAGGGTTCAGCATGTTTGGAACACCACAAAACCAGAATGCAGCGTCTGGAAGTACCGAAAAGACTACAGAAACGCCAACTTTAAAGGCTTCCGAGGCCCCGAATTCGAGTTTCTTCAATGGTTTCAACACCCCACAGGCGGCGGCGACTGTTGACACCGAGAAGCCTCAGGGAGGATTGTTTAGCACTGCCCCACCAAAGACAAGCTCAGGCATCTTTTCCCAAACCTTTCAGCCTGAAAAGAACAACGCGGGCAATCTGTTCAAGCCTCAGTCGACGTTTTCTTCTTTCACATCGCAGTCAACATCGTCAAGCGAGATGCCGAAGGACACGCCCGCATGGCAAACCCCCAAAGAAGCTTCCAAACCATCCCCCAAAATCTCAACGCCATCGGCTGAGCGTCCTTCCTTGTTCAATGCTTCGAAAGAAGCAACGCCTGCTTCACCAGCTTTTTCAATGCCAACTCTCACAGGGGCTTCAACCGCGTCATCTGAGGTGTCAAAAGGGCCCGACCTACCCAAGATTCCTAAGGCACATGTCCCAAAAGAGTGGGCCGTACCGAACGTCGCTGCTGCCCAAAACATTGATGGCTTGTATAAGCATGTTTCAGAATTGACCATGCAGCTTCAAGCCTTGAATGAGAGGTACCGACAGCAGCTGAGTAGTCTTCCTCTGATGGCAGATTGGTCGAGCGTCTCGCTTTGGCATTACCAGCACGCCACGGAGATCAAAAAGAAGATCGACATCGCGAAAAAGCAACGCGCATCCGCCAAAGGCATCACCGGAAACGAGTCAACCTTGTCGACGAAGCGAAAGGTCAATGATGAGAGCCCTGAAAATCGAGAGGCTTCTCCCTCCAAGCGCGCCCGTGCTAGTGATGCACCTACGACGCCAACGCCACAACCTTCTGCCTCCATACCAAAGTTCAATCCACCAGCAACATCAACGTCGAATATGTTTGCCAAGGCCATTGGTGAAAAACCTACTGCCCCCTCGGCATCGACGAATCTGTTCACATCGAAGGCGGTTGAGAAGTCTAATTCAGAGCTCCCGAAGCCTGCTGCATCAGTCACAGGCTTCACTTCGTCACCGTCTACAATCAATGGTACCAAGAACTCAGGAGCTGCACCCACCTCAGTGGGCTTTACTCCAACGTTTGGCGGTGGCTCGAAGTCCACTTCTAGCTCGACTGGTTTCCAGCCAAACCTCGGCAGCAGTTCGACGGGTGGGGCGGGCGGGTTCTTCACTCAATTCACCCAGACTGCAAAGACCTACGACCAGCTTGCAGCAGAACGCAAGGCAAAGGCGATGGCAGAGGACTACGATTCTGACGACGAGACTGAAGAGCAATGGTCCTCTCGTTACGACAAGAAGGAGGCCGAGCGCCTTGCCGCAGAGAAGAAGCAGATCGCAGCTACCCCCACGTTCAGCGTGCCCGCTTCTACCAAGTCTTCCGGCAGCACTACACCCTCCACGAATCCCTTTGCTGGTCTCGCAAAGCCAGCGACTGGTGCATCAACACCGGGTTTGTTCACCCCTCGAGTCGCTAGCCCTGCGCCTTCCACAGGCAGTCAGTCGGTTTTCAATGCTCCGGGCACAGCACATACACCTTCGTCTAACATATTTGGACATCTATCCTCCGGTCCGTCTTCAAACAACCAGGACGATTCTGACGACGAAGTAAGCGAGCAAGTAGCAGGGGAGTCACAGAATGATCAGCCCACTGGTTTTGTGGAGTCTACCACGCCACCCAAGCGTAAGTTTAGCGAGTCTGAGACCGAGTCTGACGAGACACTTGAAGAGACCATGAGGCGCAAAAAGCAAGAGACTGGATCGAAGCGTAGCTTGTTCTCGAGGATGACTAAGGGCGATGACGATGTAGCCGAGTCTGAGAAGGAAAACAACAGCTCTACTTCTATCTTTGGACAGACGAATGGAACGCAGACCCCACCCAACAAGCCTTTCCAGTTCTTCGACTTTGGTGCTGCTGGATCGAAGACAGCTCCGCCCAAGTCGGACACATTCGCCGGCGATCAGACATTCAAGCCTGGAAGTCCGATCAAATTTGGGAATGCTCCAGCTACTGAGAAGAAGGATGCTGCACCAAAATTCATGTTCCAACCTGCGACTCCGTCGGCATCTGAGCACTCAACGACACCCGCAAAACCGCCTCCTACAACGCTCTTCAATTTCACCTCGACTAGCGGATCATCACTACTTATGCCAAATTCAGGCATCTCGGGTCCTGGGTCCGTCGCCTCCTCTGTATTCTCCTCACGCGCGGGCACACCGCTCTCGGAAGCCGATAATAGCGCCGCCTCCGCCGCTGAGGATGATGAAGAGGGTGGCAAGCAGGAACAGGTCGACTTTGCAAGGCTCACCGAGGAAGAGTTGGAAGTATTAGACATCATTTTCCATGCTGAGGTAGCCCTCGCCAAGCAGGCAGTCGACACGGGCGATGGTTCAAAGACGTGGGCTAACGTCGCAAAAGGCCCACTCTGGATACTCAAGGATAAGGTTACAGCCAAATGCTTCGTAAGAATTCGCATTTCCAGTGGTGCCACGCCACTTAACTACCAGATTTTGCCCGCCCTGCAAGCAACTGTCACGGGCAGCAGTAAGAAGCAGGTAGTAGCTACGATGCCTAAGAAAGAAGGGGGACTGAGCCAGGTGTACTATGCTGTTAAGACGCCCGAAATCGCCGAAGAGTTCGCGAGCAAGTACAACGAGTCCCTGCCTTCAAACTAGGCATGTTCATTACTACAACCACCGCTCCCGTCCTAGACGTGATGTAAGATGGCAACTGGCTAGTCTTACATCTATCAATCAGGCGGGTCGCTCCTGCCCCCCTTTCTCTGTTTTTTTCGATTATCTTTGTACCCCCCCTGCCTGTAGCTATGTTCACACAAAATTGGCGCGTTTTGTTTTCTCATCTTGTGGATCTTTCCCGGCGGGTGTTGAGGCATTTGCAATGCATGGCAACGGTGTACTGGGATGGCTCTTTTTGTTTGCGATATATGGGTGGGGCTGAAGCAACATTAGCAGGCAGGGTTTTGTATGTATAGTATACTGGAAGTTATAATGCATTGGGCGAACTGGAATCGTCATTTCCGCCTAATCAAGAAGAAGTTCTTCTCTGTTGGTCGTGACACTGTTTTTGTGTTACGACGCTGCGTTGCACTGGTTGACGAGTTGGCCGTTCACACCGAACTTTACTGTGGCGACGTAACTTGAGCACGACAAGCAGCCTGTCACTTGATATTGAAACTTTATTTGGAGCCTCGCAGCAAGCATCCGCATCTATCCCGGATTGGCTTCTCTTGGGCTTAGGCCTCCCAGCACCGCGCTCTGTACGAGCTCTGTACGAGCTTATTCCGACTATCAGCCTGTTATACGATTTGAAGGTGGCGCTATTAACTGAGTTCGAGGGTCTATGTAACATTGCGCGATGATAACGTGATCTTATCCCGATCAACTAATGGGGGCTGTGTAAGCGTGAACTGAAGTACAGGGATGTATGCTGTAAGTAAATATAGATGGCTTTATCCGGAGTATATATATATATTGAGCGTCACCACACTCAGGGAAGAGCATCAACCTCACCATTATCTGCCAATCTTCCAACTCACCTCCAGGATCATGAAGGCAGTCCTTGCCCTCTCTCTTCTTACATCCGCCGTCAGCGGTAGTGTCGTCTGGTACGCAACCCTAAATAAAACTGAATGCTCTCTGTCGGGTTCTGCATCGAAGACATTTAGTGTGCCCAAAGTGCAGGCTGGGACGCAACGACAGGTACTACGTTTTCTGAAAAAGATTGTGCTGACTTGCCGTAGTATGTGATTTACTGCTTCAACTACTGTACAAAATACTTATCTGTGCCACAAGTCTCGCTCTCTACGGAGCTTAATGGCCAAGGGATACGAAAATCTTGGGTCGTGGACCGCTGGAAATGCCACAATCTCGCCGAGGACGGCATCGATAACCAAGCTTCTTGGGCTTTTGTTGATGCTGGACTAGCCAACGGATGTGACTTATATGAGTAAGTAGGAATGTTTTGGTGGGCCGAAGGTCGCGTTTCGGGATCTTGTGCTGATGAGTGTAGCGATGCAGATTGTAAAGGGAGGAGTTTGTTTGTGAAGAAGAACAATTCGAATATCCTGGGCCCTGGTCCGGTGAATCTTACGGATTATAATTTTGACAATATCGCTAGTTCATTCTCTTGCGTCTGAGGTGGAGGGAGGGCGAAGGCTGAAGGACGAAGGACGAAATTTCTAGTTCATGTTTGAAGATGTTGAGCTGAAAGGGCATTGAAGCAATGATGCCTATTCTAATTCTCGTTCTGTATACCACTCCCAAGATGCTGTGAAGTTACCCAGGTGTTCTCCTACTCTGGGCTGCGGCTGCGTTGCCGCTATGGCTTCATGATGCCTGCGTCACATCCATTCGCTAGCGCCATGCATGCCCGTGTGCCCGTGGACCTCGTCTCGCATTATTTGCCCAGCACTCGACACGTCATGCCTCTCTAACAAGGCCCTCCTCGGCGCAGATATGGACGCGCCCTCGATACAACTACATCTTGAGCTGCGCGATACCGTCGTCAAGGCGCTCGCAACGCGTCGCCCGATTCTCCACCATCTCAACGCCGACACGTCGTGGCTCCTGCAGATTCCGCGCCCGGCGAACGCTGTGAAGCATGGCAGTCGGATCTACTACAATGTGCTGATTGATCCGTGGTTTGTGGGCGGACAGTCGGATGTGGGCAAGTGGTTCAGCCAGCAGTGGCATGCTACCGAGAGCGCGGTGAAGAGCATCGCCGAAGTAGATGAATTGGCAAGGCAGGTGGAGATACTTGCGGGAGGTCTGAGATTAGGCAAGGGGAGGAGCGAGCCTGAGACGCTCGTTGATGCGGTAGCCATTTCCCACGAGTTCACGGATCATTGTCACAAAGAGACGCTGTTGGAAGTGCATAGAGACGTGCCAGTCTTCGCCACAGAGGTAAACAAACACACAAAGGAATTTTACAACGACGGACCTCAGATGCTGACATGGAGTGTAGCAAGCCGCGAACCTCGTATCCTCGTGGCATCACTTCCGCACAGTCATCACGACACCTACCTTTCTCGATGATGCCGACTGGCGCACCTACTCGCTCTCTCCTCTGCCATCATGGCTCAGCATATCGCGCCTTACAGCCGCCGGCGACTCACTATTCTACCACTCCGCTCTCCTCATCACCTTCGCGACACACCCCTTCCTCTCGCACGCAACGCCCAAGAAGCGCTCCTCACTATCTATACACGGCGACGGCGTCGAAGACTTTTCTTCGAGCACAAGCGGAGAAGAAGCGGAATGCGTAATATATACACCACACGGCATACCCCATACCGCCCTTACACCAATCGCGCAAGCGGACCCACCACTACATACGCTCGCCTTTCTTCACGGCCTGCACGACGTCTCTATATCTGCCGCGCAACAGCTGAACCTCGGCGCCAAGAACGGCCTGCGGGCGCAACGGATACTGAAGGCGAAATATTGGGTCGCGACACACGACGAGGTGAAGAAGGGAGGGGGATTCATATCCTGGTTCCTACAGCGCAAGATCTGGACGCTGGAGGATGCGCTCAAAGCAGCAGCTGCTGACCTTGATGGTGAAGATGCGCATATGCACCGACACAGACACGACGACGAGTTTGAAGACGTCCATTTCCAAGACATGCGTAATGGGGAGAGCAGGATTTTGGAATAAGACGAGCCCCTAAGAGAGCAGGTGGAGGAAGAGCAGTAAACACCTTTCATCGCAACCTTGCATACATGTTAGCAGGCATTGAGCGTTATTCTTCTTCAGAGCATAAGTCTAGGCAATATACCCAGGAAGTCTGTCAGCGTTACCCCATCCAATTTGTCCGTTGCCCGACAATATCCCCAACAAACCTCACACGTACTGTCCGTAGATCCAATATCCCGGATCTCGCCATTTCCCATTCAAAAACACAGGCTCCTTCTCTTCCTTCCAACCCACCTCCTTGAACCCAATCTTCTCTAGCACGTGTTTACTCCCCGGGTTGTCCTGGTCAGCGCCTCCTTCTACATAAAAGAGCTCCTCGCCCTTTTCTTTCTCTTCCGCTACTGATCTAGCGTATTCAGCTAGGAGCCCTTTCCCTGCCTCTGTCGCGTAGCCTTTTCCCCAGTGCTGCTTGAAAAACGCGTAGCCTATTACGCGGAGGTTGATCGGTTTATATGTGGACGAACTCTCCTGCCCCGGAATTGGGGGTGGTAGCATAGCTGGACCCGAGTGTTGCTGACGCAGACTGATACTGCCGACATGGTCCCCTGGATCTGCTTCGGTGCCTTTGCTAGTGGGTGTTTTGGCGAAGCAGGAGTAAAAGATGTTGTTGTATTTTGTCTTGTGCTCGAGCATCCACTCGCGGCTTTCGGCGAGGGTGTGGCACTTGCCATGGAGACTAGACTCACCCTTTTAGCTTTTGTATGTGAAGGTGTAGATGCCCACGTGAAGACGGCGGTTAAAGTCTCGTTCGTTGCAAGGACGCTCACCTCCATGCTGTTGCTTCATCGTTGGACCAATTCTCATGGAACCATTGGACGTGCTGAGAGCCTTCTGACGTATCTGTGAGGCGGATAAGGAGCAACCTTGGGGTCTCAAAAATCGAGTTCATGATGTGATGGATTGGGTGCTAGGTAGTAGAATGAAGCTTTATGGGTCTGCGAGGACGACGAACTTGCAGCTTACCGGAGCGTTTGAGTCATAGATGTTGCAGCCTCGCTCGTGTCATCTTACGCCTGCTCAACGATCCAGATGACCGCGCAGGCACGTGAGAGCGCGGGAACGTGTCGCGCATGGGGTGACTAAGCACCATCTCCTTTGCCCTATTCGTCAGTACTTCATAATGATCCTTGCACACATCTAGTTTACGAGGACTGAGTCAATTTTCGATTTCGGATTAACCCGCTAACGCCGAGCGAGTCTGCCTACTACCTCCACTTACTGGCTTATGCAACGATTTCACACATCAAGTCATTCGGCCACCTGGGCTGATCCACCCCGTGGCCTCTTGTGCCGACATTATACCTCAGCTGCACCTTTCCTTCAGGATATCGAATGATTGGCTTTATGCATCTAATGTCTTTGCCAATCGCGCCGGAATGTCGGTCTTCGAAGAAGTCCGGATTAAACAGAATATGGGCAGAGTTGGTCTTCAGCATCTGCAGGAAGCGAGGAAGTGAGTAGGCCATGTTGTGGTGGTGACGGAACACTTGTCTGCCATTGCGGGTCCAGACATCTTCCCATACTTCTTGCGGGTAGACGCCGACGCTGTTAACGAGCCATTGAGAGTAGTAGTTCAGGGCGAGCTGTGTATCCCAATGTCAGACTGCAACGTGTAAAACGTAAGTGGGCTCCACTTACATCGACCTTGTACGAACCCCCTTCGACTCCACGTCGCAAAATAGCATTCAGCACTGCAATGACACCCACGGTACCCGTGCAGTAGTCGCTGTTCGGAAAGACTGGGGTGACGGGCTCATCGTTACCCATCGCTCGACCAAACTGTGTCGACACACCGCAGCATGCATCCGAGATTTGTTGCCATCCACTGCGGTACGCCCAAGGTCCATTCCAGCCATAACAATTCTCACGGACAACAATCAACCCCAGCTCGCGATCCTTGGTGAGCTCCAGCAGACCGTCCAAAGAAAAGCCATACTTGTCTAGTACTGACGGCCTGTAGCCTTGGACTACCACATCTGCCTCTTGAACAAGCGCGCGCAGCTTCTCTCGGTCCTCTTCCTTCCGGAAGTCGAGGTATGCATTCCATTTCCCCCAATTGAGATCAATGTGCAGATTCGACATGTCAGTGATGTGTTCAGCTGTTACTCTCATCACGCTCGCACCAAGCTCCGCCAATCCGCGGGTGACGGCAGGTGCAGCAATAACCCGCGTCAAATCGACTACCTTGAGTCCGGCGAGCGGTCGCCGTGCGTAAGTCTCAATAGTGCTGGGCCACCAACTTGGCGGTTGTTTCTCGTTCTTAACGGCGTGGATCTCGTAGAGCCCAACATGTGCGTTTGCCTTCCCGTGCTCACTTTGCTTGAACTCCTCGGGGGTCCAGCAAATGGTTCCAGCCTGTTTGTACACATCTGAAGCCAGACGTTGCATCTCTTGCGAGTCAATCTGCTCGAGCTTCTCTTCGAATGGAGCCCATGACTCTTCAGGGGAAGCCACATCTTTGTTGTAGGGAAGTCCAATGCTGTCCAGCGTAGGGTCAGGGTTCATTGAGCCGTGAAGGTGGAAGTATCGCCCATCTTTGCAACGGTAGATGTTCGTTGCGGAGCTGCGGTACAGACTGCTGTTACCGTTGTGTAGATCGCAATCCTTGAAGTACTTTTCATACGCTGCTTTGCCTTGTGGGGACAGAGCGAACCCCACGTTCTCTCCTGCTGGATCGATTGAACTGAGTACAACTGACATGATGAAGAGCTGAGCATGATCGCTTGCAGATCGTCAACAACATTGGGTACGAGCGAGTGGGCGAGAGCTGTACTTACGTGTTGATAACAGCCTCCTGAGGTTGCAACCCATACTTTCTCTTCAGAAGTACGTTTATCATTGCAGCTTCTAAACCTTTCAAAGCTGAAATGCTTTCAGCAAATCGCCAGTTGATGGGAATACAGGGCTTATCGTTCCCTTCAAACCGCACGCTTCTCGCACATTCTTCGATTTCTTTTGGCAGCGTTGAGGCAATGAGCGAGTTGTTTAGGATGCCATCTTCGAAAACTCGTTGGGTTTGCTGAGGGATAGAGTATGATCTCTCCTTGCCATTGACAGCGTCTGCCAAACCGCTGGGTCCGTTAGTTGCCATATCTCTTTTTTGTCTTCCTAAAGTTTTCGGCCTTTGCAAAGTGAATTCTTGGGGCAATCTCGGAGAATATTTACTCTCTGGAACGGCGTTAAAAGGTTTCAAGTAAAATACCCGAGGTCGACTCGCGGTAATGATAAACCGATTCGTAAGAAGTAAGAAGTACAGCTAGTTAAATGGCTATCCTCATTGCCGAAACTGACCGACGGTTCAAGCGAGTATCCACTCTACGTAAGTCCTAGCCGGCCCCTCGGCTGAGTCGTACAGATCGACTAGAATAGAACCAATCATGAACAAGGAACTCCTCGCACTTGCCTTGCAGTGGAACATCGGTGTTGTATTTGAAGATGCGACGCTGTCACTACACTAACCGAAAATAACTTTCCCAATAAGTAACTTGCCCGTTCCTCATCCAGCATTTCACAACAAAAATATGGGTTCCTCAAATTACAGTACGAGATGGACCGACCAGCGAGGGAAGAGGCAGGTTCGAATAGCAAATTGTTCAGGGTTTAAGGGTATGGCACAGAATCTTGATCCTCTGCACACCAACGATACTAAGTAGAACACAGCTGATCCTGGGTACCATATGCGATATCAAGCCGAACTTGGGGACGTAGACTTCATCACAGGTGACTACCTCGCTGAAGTCAACATCGCTGAGAATGCACAAGCACATGCAGCAGGTAACCACCCAGGATGGGAAAAGACAGCATGGGACGGTATCGAGCAAAGTATCGATATATTACACGAAAAGCGGATCAAAGTGGTCGTGAATGGAGGTGCACATAATCCCAAAGGACTAGCAGAGAAGATTCAAGAATTAGTAAGTAACAGTAAGGCTGTGGATTGATGCATCTGACACGCCATCGAGGTCACAAGCAAAGGCTACAATCTGAAGGTAGCGTATGTACAAGGCGACAATCTGTACGAAGAGATGAAAGATATTCGAGAAAAAGGACTACCGCCTCACCTTGATTCTGACAATAGCGATGTCACGATTGCAGACCATGCGCTCGACTTGATTGAGAAGGATGACAAACCTATCGTCAGTGCAAATGTCTACCTTGGAGCTCGCGAGATCGTGCGGGGTCTGGAAGAAGGGGCGGACATTATAATCGCAGGACGTGTTGCAGATGCCAGTCCGGTATGCGCAACCCGTAATTCTACTGTCCTCCACCTGACTAACGCTTAAAACAGGTCATCGGGGCTGCCTGGTACTGGCACTCGTGGAACGACACAGATTACGACTGTCTAGCGGGAGCACTCATAGCTGGGCACCTGATTGAATGCAGCGGCTACGTAACCGGTTCAAACTTTGCGGGCTTCTACGAGTATCCGCTTGACGACTTGTACGACATCACCTTTGGTATCGCCGAGGTGGAAAGAGATGGGACTAGTGTGATCACAAAACATGACGCAAAGAATGGTTTTGTTACTGAAGATACGGTGAAGTGTCAGTTTTTATATGAGTTACAGGGCAATATCTACTTGAACAGCGATGTGAAGGCGATACTGGACGATGTCCAAGTCAAGGCGGAAGGCAAGAATCGGTACGCATTCCAAATCTCGATCATTCTATATTATAACATGCTCATAACCTCATCAGGATCCGAATCTGGGGTATCAAAGGCGCACCACCGCCGCCCACGACGAAGCTTGCCATATTCTACCAGGCCGGCTACCAGTCTGAGATAGTTGTCAACGCTACTGGTTACGCCACACAGGAAAAGTTCGATCTCTGGGAAAGAATGCTCAAGTATGGCCTCAAGCGACTCAATCTCTTGGATAAGTTCGATATCCTCGAGTTCCAACGTCTTGGTGTACCTGAACCAAACCCGAGAAGCCAGCTTCGGAGTACGTCCTCCTGCCGAATCTTTGCGGAAGCCAGCGACCCTAATGTGAACCTCGGGTTGGCGAGTGTACTCAGCGAGTTTGGGATGCAACACTATTCAGGCTTTCACTGCACTGCAGATCTTCGTACTGCTGTTCCGAGATCGTACATCTCCTACTTTCCGGCGATATATCCACAATCTTCCCTGACAACCTCGATAAACATATTGGAACCCTCAACGTCTCCAAACGCTTTGCAAACACGTTCTATCCGTACCACGCCACCACCAAAATTTGAAGAACTTGCCAAACGTCAAAACTACGAAACATCGAACGCAGTCGAAATTTCTTCGTTCGGTCCTACCACACGCGCACGACTGGGTGACATAGTCCTTGCGCGCTCCGGTGACAAAGGCGGCAACGCAAATATCGGGTTCTTCATCCCCACTGCACTACCATCCTCCTATCCCCAGTCCTCGGTTATCTACACCGAAGCATGGGACTGGTTACGCACGTTCCTCACAATTCCAAAACTGAAAGAGCTGTTTGGGGAAAGCTGGAGTGACAAGTTTCACGTGGAGAGGGTCGAATTCCCCAAGATCTATGCAGTGCACTTTGTGGTGTACGGAGTGCTAGGTCGAGGTGTCAGTGGGAGCAGTAGGCTTGATGCTTTCGCAAAGGGAATGGGCGATTGGCTGAGAGACGTGGTCGTTGATGTGCCGACCAAGTTCATCGATGGGAGGCAGAAGAAAGCGGAAAGTGGGAGATATGCGGCGGGACGACAAACAGTATTAGTGGGACATAGATTGTAGTGAAGAAGGGGTGGAGTTGCTGACATAATGTAAATTGGTGTTGAATAGAAGGCGCCAAGCAACCATGACGTATTGAATTCACCAACGAAGACAAGTGACGCTCTGTGCAACAGCACAGCCACAACCCTTCCATGGTAGCATAAAGTAGCAGCACTCACAACACGCTCTTTATCTGCGACTTGACGCCAGCTTGGTTGCAATAGCACAGCTGCTAACCGTCGACTAACAGCCAGTCGACTACTTCACCCAAGGCATCAGCTGTAGCTCATATCCTCACTGTCTAGCAAAGATGTTTAAGAAGCTGAAAGAGAAAATCAAGGGAGACGAAAGCTCCACAGGCGGAACTGATCAGCAGCAGCTTCATTCAAACAATCCCTACTATCAACCTCCCCAGACACAACAACAACAGCACCCCACCCCAGCAACCGAGAAGTATCAAGCTCCTCCGGGGCCGCCACCAGGGCATGGATCCTTGGAATCAGACTACAAACCTCCTTCAGGACCACCACCTTCTCACTTCCCTCAGCAACCGCCGCCAAGCTGGGATCCCCCACCTTATCACGACTGGACCGTTATCCCCGACACGGCTCTGCTACCTCCTCCACCATCACTTGGTTATGATAACTCTCCAACCGCCAACGCTTCTGCAGAGGAGGGCGACCGCGCGCTGGCGTGGACTCAAGCGAACCCATTGTGGCCGCCGCAGAATGTAGCACCCAGCACCCACGCTGCCATTCAGAATGGACAGTTAGCCTTGCTGAAAGCTCCAACCTACATTGGCGATCTGATTCCGCAGCCGCAAGCAGGCCACTGGAGATGTCGTACCCACGCCCAGTGCAGAGACTCAAGCATCCTCACAAACCTTCCATTGTACTCAGTGTTCTGGGACTCACCGCTCAACACGCAGCGATCGAAGACAATTTATTTTGAGCTCAAAGTAACGGGTATCGGCCGTGGTGGCTTGTCTCTCGAGGAAGCAGACGCCGGTATCGCTATTGGCTTCGTCGCACCGCCCTATCCGACCTTCCGGCTCCCTGGCTGGGAGCGCGCGAGTCTCGGCGTACACGGTGATGATGGCCGGAAATATGTGAATGACCCTTGGGGCGGGGTTGACTTCACCACCAGCTTTAAGCCAGGTGAGACTGTGGGGATTGGCATAACGTTTTCAATTCCAAAAAACCCTCCTTCATATGAGCAGACACAACAGGGCACGTTGCTGGACATTGACGTATTCTTCACGCGCAACGGGAAGAAGGAGGGAGGTTGGGATGGCAATGAAGAGCTTGATGCTCGTAGCGAGGGAGGAAATGTTGGACTGAGGGGAGAGTGTGATCTATTTCCAGCAGTTGGCATTTTTGGTGGAGTCGACTTCGACGTGTTCTTTCACCCCTCGCAGTGGTTATTCAGACCGTACTGAGGAGTGGAATGAGAGTCTCGTAGGTTCTTGTTGGGGTAAAGCTACGTGGTGGCTTGCGGTAAGAGTCGTAATAGAATCGAGCGAAAACCTCACCTGCACCTTCTATAGTTCTATCACCCTAATGTCCTATATATATCTTTACCTTCGTCTACCACACCATCTATCTTTCGCAATACTTTGAGAATCTCGACGCCAAAGCCCTCCAGACGACCTGACACAAAGGAACTAGTCAGTATGGCAGGCGCGCCCCAGGATTTTGGCCAGCCCTACGTCCTCGAGGACTTCCTTCCTGTCGAACAACCGACTACTAGCACATTACTCTGCGCCATGTGCCACAAAGAATCCTCGCGCCAGCGCTGTAGCGGATGCAAGAATGTCAAGTACTGCTCTACCGACTGCCAATCGAGCCACTGGGCAACCCACAAACTTCTCTGCAAGGCCTTTGTTGATACGCAAGATACACGCCCCAGCCCCAAGAGCCGACGAGCCCTCTACTTCCCGACCGATGTTGCTCGACCACGCTTCATCTGGCTCGAATACAACATCGATGGAGCGCCGCTTGATATGCAGAAATGCTTCCCTACTACGCCGAAGGAGGAAATTAAGACCATCGGGTTCTACGACCGCTACCTGCCGTATTGGATTCAGCTTTCTTATGATAGCAACCTGCACAGCCAGCGCATTCTCAGTAAGAACATGAGCATTGGACACGCATTCCGCGGCCCTGTTGTTGCGCTGGCATATGATCCGGAGTCGGGACTTGGAAAGCCGGCGTTGGATGTGGATACTACAATCCTGGGAGCATTGAGGGAGTATGCTAAGCTGAGAGAAGAGTATCATGGGCCTATCTTTGTGGAGCAGCCTCAGCACAGGTATAGCGATGAGGAGTGGAAGAAGATCGTGCGCCCATAATCCCAGTAGCATGGCTACGGAGTGCTAGAGGATTTTATTCGGAGGAGAACGGGTCTTGGGATATGGTGAGGGGGTTACTTTTCAATCATACTTCTTTCTCGTAGTCAATGAAAGTACCTTCACATAACTCGTGATAGCTCAACTAGGGCATAGACTTTTGAAATCCTCTCTCAAACCGCAGTCAATGACAATGTGATAAGTGTTTGATGCGTGATACGCTACAAATACTAATCAAGGGAATGTGTTACTGGAAATAACTTCTGAATCCAAGCTTAAGCCAACAAAGGAGATCGGGTTGAAGCGGGTTTGCAAGCCGCTGAACATGTTGTTTTAATGTAACAGTACTGGGGAGGAGTCCAATACAACTAACTACTCATGGAGGAGGCGGTCTTGTAAGTGCTTCGAGAGTACTGTAGATTGCGCAGTAGCTGAAAGTACAGCACCTAGGTAGCTGCCTGCAGGAAGAGGCTGAGTAGCTAGAAATAGGACAGCGCATTGTCTTTCAGCGAGCCCCATGCTTGGCCGACTCCACCATGGCAGAAAGTGTCTCCGCATACAGTATATCTTATGTGAGAAATTACCTATCCAAGTAGCCAAAGTTTCCTCTTCCAAGACTTGCACACGACACGAGCAAAGCGCGTCGTGAGCTGGGAGGATTAGTGGCGTTGGCTGGTACGGCTTTGCAGCTGTGCCTGAGTGAGATCGGAAAGCCCTGGAGGGCTGAGGTGCATGCATTGCGCAACGACAACGCAATAGAGCTTAATATATTTAGGTGCCCGTGTAGCTGGATACCATGTGTTCAGTATTGCGCTCAAATTATTTTCCATCCGAATTTGGGTGAATCTTATATCGTCATTCGACTCTACACGCTTCAACCCTTTGTGCTCTCCCTGCTCGTTCCTTTCGGTCGATCTCTAGCATGGCTTCAGTCGCGAGCACCGGTCAAACCGCGACAGCAGCAGCGACAGTTACTGGCACCAAGGCGGCACATATCACATGCACCGAATTCCCAGTCCAGGAACAACATGTCGCCTCCAAGGGCTTCATCCCAACTCAAGCAGGAGACACGCGGTCTACCAAAGCTATTGAGATCCTCAAAATCATCGAAACTTACGGTCTAAACTACGAACGTACCGGGACATGGGATGGCTTCGATACTTTTCTCCCGATAGTCAAAGGCAAAGTGGAGCGGAAGGAACCAGTTCTCTTGCTCCTTCCGGGTTTCCCATTCAAGTCTCCAAACACGAAGGACAAAGTCCTGGGTGTATTACCTGATTTGGGTGAAGAGCTTGCGCTGAAGCACCTCAATGGGCTCGCCGAGAAAATCAAGGCAATCTATGAGTTTGGTGCAGAGGTGCATATTACCTCCGACGGGCTCGTGTATAATGGTGAGTGTCCCCGATGCTATGCAGCTCGTCAATGTTCTGATTCTGTTAGATCTCCTCGGAGTTTCAGATGAAACCGTCTGGAACTTTGGGCAAGCTGTGCGACAGATGGCTGCAGATAACAGCCTCCATAACCTTAGCTTCCTTCGCCTTTGGGATCTCTTGGCACACCCAGGCAACTTCCAGTCAAAAGAGTACTACCTTGCGCATTCTTCTTGCATTCGCCGCGAACTCAAGTATCGTTTTGGAGACCCCAAGTTCGAAGCTGACATGGCCAATACATCTACCAGCGACATGCAAATGACACACACCAAGTACCTCGAGTTCCTGTCGCAAGATCTTGCTCTGAACGGGAAGCATCTTGCCCTTTCATCGGAAGATCGAGCTGCTAACATTGCCAACACTGCGAAGGAGATGATGGGCCGGTGGAAGGCATTTTCGGCAGCGTTGGCAGCTGTTTCCACGGAGTATGTTAGGCTGTCGATCCACGACTCGGGAGGCAAAGACAAGCTTTCCATGGCGGTAATTCCGCAACAGGAGAAGGGTGCTTTGGGCGCAACACCATGGCACTCGACGCTCGTGGTTGAGCGAGATGGAGCGCTGCGAACCGTACAGCGACATAAAGTTGAACAGGAGACATACCAGCTAGTATATCGTCATGGACGACCGTACTTCTACCGCGCTAGATCCGAGGGCGGTGACGCTGAGGGCGAGAACATGACGTTTGAGAAAATGTATCCCAACGGTCTAGCCCTCCGAGAACGAAAAGCAGTCCCCGAATGAGACGAATGCAGAAGTCCACGATTGGCTATCGAGAAAGCGCAAGTTGGTAGTCAGTGAGGTCGCCTTGGTCGGGAACACCTATCTTGGGAACGTTCTGGAAATAGAATGGAAGACTCTATTTCCTACACTGTGACGAAGTCCCCATCATTGCTTGCACTTGCCACGTGCTGAATCTATACTACCGTCGTAGCTATTCAGTCGTTCGATGATGTCGGCCACTCGTCCCATGCTGCATGCGGAGAAGGCGACTTATCTTGTCAAGGCGCCCCTGCACACTCGTGGCCACGTCGAGAACAAAATTTGCCTAGAACAAAGAATTGTCAGTCAGAGCGTCGACCGATGGCTGCTGAGGGCTTTCACGTGTAGTACAGGTTACACAGACTGCTGCGGCTGTGGAGCAAGGACAATTTCGGCTTGGTAGAGTGAGGCCTGAACCATGGGTATCGTAACGGCAAAGTCTGGGCAACGACTGTGGAGACTGGACGTGTAGCCGTGAGTCGTCGCGTCGTCAAGGCTTCTAAGACCACATTGGAGATGGCGCCGGCGCGCCCGGTTCTCACCGAAAACAGATCCGTTGCTGTTGCACAAGAGATAGTCTCTCCTTGACTGACGACCAACATGCTACCGTCCCTCCTTCTCTCTGATGCGCCCGCAGACGTGGATGCCAACGCAGATGCCAACCCCGCCGCCCGATGACGGCCCTGGCACGACGCTGAATGCAGCCGACTGGACGGCTACACTGCCTCAGACCGATCATGTTCGCTTCTTTCGCAGTAGGGATTGGTCGCGCACCGCGCTGGGACCGCTGGAGACCTGGAGTCCAACACTGCGTCTCTTCACGAGCTTTGTCTTTGCAGACTCGCGGCCAGCCTGTCTGTGGTGGGGCCCGACGTCGAACCTCGTTGCCATCTACAATGAGCACTACGTTACCCTCGCATGCGCCGCTCACCCAAAGCTCATGGGATCCACCTTCAAAGAAGGCTATCCCGACCTTGTGTCCGGCATCCAACCATACTTTGAGCAGGCCAGGGACACAGGTGTCGGAGTGAATTACTCGTCGGCTGCGTCTCTGATTGTTGAGCGCAAAGGATGGCGGGAAGAGGCTTTCTTTTCGGGCAGCTTCGTGCCTGTAGGCGTGCCTGCCGAGGGATACCTGAATACTGTGTAAGTTTGGCACACCCTCTTTATCTGTTTTGTCGGTATTGACTTCCTGCTCAGGTACGAAGTTACTGTGCAGAAGCTGGCAGACCGCCGCACCTCCATGTTGAACACGCTCGCTTCAGTCCCCTCGCAAAGCGTCGAATCCGTATACGCCCACATTCTCGCGACGCTAGAGACCAATGCATCTGATGTTCCCCTAGCAATACTTTACAAACTGGAAGAAACTGCAGGATCCAACCTGTTGCAGCTGCAGGGACACATTGGGCTCCCAAGAGGTCACGATCTTATAGTAGCAAGCGCGACCATGGACAGCGACCAAGGCTTGATCCCTGACATGCGACGTGCAGGCTCAGCCACCCTGATTCTCGACTGTGATGAGCGTTTCGACTCGGTTTCGTGGAGAGGCTGGGGTCAGCGGTCCAAGAAAATTGCCATCGTGCCAATAATGAGCGCCTCCCGTCTGTTCGGATATCTAGTCTTCGGCACGAATCCATTTCGGCCGTTTGACGGCACATGCCAGCAATTCGTCCGAGACCTGAGTCGCATGGTATCCAGCATCGTGTCCTCCGCAGTTGAATCCGAGACCAACAAGAAGCGCCAAGAGCAACTAGAGGCAGACCTCGCTTTCAGTGACCTCAAATTGCGCCATCTTATAGACCATGCATCAGTAGGCATGTGCCACGTTGCCATGGATGGGAAAATGTTATGGGCGAATGATCACTTTTACAAGTTAGCTGGCAAACCTCCATCGGAGCATTCCGGCCGCCTGGCTTTCCTCGATGTTTACCACGACGAAGACCGCCGGAAGGCGGAGGAGTTATGGGAAGATCTTCTGAAAGGTGTGGACCGGATCGGCGTCGAACTTCGTTTGAAGCGCATGTATACACCGCCAGTAGGCGATCCAGAACCAGCTCAGCTTCAAGTGCTAGCTTTCCCTTACCGCGATGAGGCTGGTAGAGTGAGGTCCATCATGGCATGCACGACTGATATTAGTAGGTTGAAGTGGGCGCAAACATTCCAGGCTCGACTGGCAGCAGAAGCAAGAGAAGCAAAACGACAGCAAGAAGCCTTCATCGACGTCGTCTCACACGAAATGCGGAACCCCCTCAGCGCCATCGTTCATTGCGCTGACGCCATCTCTAATGCAGTAGAAGAATGCCGGGCCAAGCTCTTGCAGACTCCACAACCCTGCCTCGACATTTTGGAAGAGAATATGCAAAGCGCTAAGATCATTCTGCAATGTGCAAATCACCAAAAGCGCATTATCGACGACATTCTTACCTTGAGCAAACTCGACTCAATGCTCTTGTCTATAACGCCCGTCGCAGTCCAGCCCGCGCAGCTGATCGATTCCATCGTTAGTATTTTCGAAGCCGAGCTAAAGCACGACCGAATTGCACACAATATCAAATCCGACACGTCCCTCTCAGACTTGGGCATCGACTACGTCTACCTGGATCCTTCGCGAGTCACGCAAGTGTTTATCAATCTTCTCACTAACGCCATTAAATTTGTAAAGACGTCAAAGCAGCCGACCATCTCTATCCGCTTCGGGGCTTGCTTATCTGAACCCCGAGCCTTCTTTTCCAATAAAATGTTCTGGGCCTCGGAGCGCAACCAAGACGTAGACGTCACAAGCAGCCCAGAATGGGGCCCCGGAGAAGAAATTTACCTCATGTTCAGCGTCAGCGACACTGGGATCGGTCTCCAGACCACGGAAATCCACCGGATCTTTGAACGATTTAGGCAGGCGAACGTCAAAACTCATGTGAAATATGGCGGTAGTGGACTAGGTCTTTTCATCTCCAAGGAGCTCACCGAAAAGCAGGGCGGCGAGATTGGTGTTTCATCTATTCTAGGGCATGGATCTACCTTTGGATTCTACGTCAAGGCGCGTCGGGAAGAGAAACCAGGACCCCAGGCCCAGAGTGGGCTTTTGGACCCAAACACACACACGGACTCCTCACCTCAACAGCTACACGTTTTGCTAGTCGAAGACAACATCATTAATCAACAAGTTTTGAGCAAGCAGCTCAAAAAGGCACAATGTCATGTCAATGTAGCGAATCACGGTCTCGAGGCGCTGAATGTCCTGGAGGAACAGACTTTCGACATGGTCCTCATGGATTTAGAAATGCCTGTTCTCGACGGACTAGATGCAATGCGACAGATCCGGAAGAAAGAAATGGCGGGAGAGGGACTGTTGGGACGAGCTATAGGCTCCAGACCGAACATGAGCGCACGGCTACCCATTATCGCTGTCACCGCGAATGTGCGCAAGGAGCAGATTGATACGGCTATCACTGCTGGAGCGGTATGTTACACCCTGCTGACAACGTGGCGCGTCAACAAAAACTAATGTATGTGTAGGACCGCGTGATGCAGAAGCCTTTCAAAGCAGCCGACCTGGTACACATGATGAAGTCGCTGCTCCCACAAAAAGCGCCCTCGACCATCGACCCTCCAACGCCTGGCGTGGGCGAAAAGTCGGACGGCTTGATTCCTTAAATGGCGAAACTACCCACAAGCAGTATCACCCAGCTAGGTTGAGTCGGTGATACCACATCTCTAGTCGATCAACGCTGGGGGCCGGAAGCTACAGCACCGAATGAGCGTGTTGAAAATCTAGAGGAGCCAAAGTACTGCGGAATCAACACGACTGCTACGCTACGATCAAGAAAGGTCTAAGCAGCGATTTGATTCATCGGCATCATTCCTCGTCTCGAGGAACAAACACCTCTACCACCCATAACCAAGCCTGTTTGTCCAACACACAAGGACGGACTGTTTCGTGACACACAACAAAGAACAGCCACCAATTCTGTTCCATATGCTCATACACTAGAATAGTGGATGGGGAGAGAACAGGGGATTGAATTGGACGAGACCCTCAGGGAAGAAGGGGCAACACAGGCGCAGAAGAGTTACTGGCCAGTCATATTTAGAGAATAGACGACATAATCAGCATGTCTGGATTGTACATGTATTGCATAGAACACATCAGGATAACTCTTGTCCACGACTAGATTCCTATAGAAGATACTATACCAAGCAAATAACACCTAATGTAGAGACTATGAGCACGTGAGATACGAAGCACTGTTATGTTGAGAGGATCTCGTATCGTTATTATCATTCAGATTACATTTAAACCACGTGCGCCGATGGAGGAGCCGCAAACTTCATCTCGGTTGAATAGGAATGAATAAGTCATGGTAAAAATCATGTCAGCCGGCTTTTCTGCAGTCATAAGAAAGCCAATGAGATGAACAGTCTTGAACAACCCGATAAAAGTAGTTATTGATCAAAATAATACAAAGAAGCGAAGATAGTAGACATGCCTAGAAATGGATCATGTGCATAGAAGAGAGCGTTGGGGTATATGGCGGAAACAGAACAGAAAGCCCCCCCCATCCAGAAAACCCGGGGCCAAGGTGATGAAACAAGCCTTGTGCCGAATGAAGCTGCATTATGCGTTGATAATAAGATTGCGTTGGCTAGTGTCTTCAGGATAATTGCCAAAGACAAATCGATAGAGCTCACGTAACCACTTGAAATGCTCGCTGCGAGCCAGCCATTGCACAGACCGGCCAATCTCAAGGGCAGTTAATCTGCGGAGTGGTTGTGTGTGAACAGTCCGTAGCGTCGGGTCTGCTAGTACAAGCTTTCGATAGCTTTCAAATAGCTGACTTTGCCAAGGGATTGTTCCGAAGCTGTTGGAGGGCAAGGCGCGGATGAAGTCCGGCAGTGGGATCTGACGGTTATAGCCCGTGTTGATGGCTGCCTTGATGATCAGGCCCTTGAGACGGATCAGGTTGGGATCCGATCGTCCTGCGGTTGCGGTAGAGGAGGTATGGACTGAAGAGTCGGAGTATGTCGAGAGATTGGAAGAGGCTGATGACCAGCGGTCGTGTGTCCGCGTCATGCCGGCCTCTGGACCAAGGACAAGGATGTTCGGGACGTTGGGCTCAGACTCGGCCGGGGAGAACTCTTCTCGGTCATCGAAAATGGTGGTTGGCGTCTCTGGCTGCATTGGCGTTGCCATTCTAGATGAAATGGCCGAGTGATAGGAATCGTTCACACTGGACGACCGCCCAGATCGTTCCGAGTATGCGATTTGAGAGTGTGTCACAGAAGTGGGGCCAGTAGAGAAGGCATACTGCGTGGGTCGTGGGGTCCCGCGGTCGGGCCGTACCTGGGTCCACCCCTCGCGGAACAGGTCGCACAGTTCCCAACAGGCTTGTATGGCAGAGCCTAGCAGCTCTTCGTCGGCAGGTTTGCCGTCACGGCTGTTTTGGCGGATGCTGAAAAGCATCTCGGCCAACGACCAGCATGCATGCAATAGTGAATCTGTCTCTTCGGGAAGAGAGGTGCGCTGCTTCATCAATCGGTGGCACAGCGTTAGGTAAAAGTCAAATGTTCGTTCGCGGAACGTCTCGGGCAGATTGCGGTCGTGGGCGTTGTAAAGGTGGTTGTTGAGCTCGAAGCTGACTCTGAGGACCGAATCAGACGCCTCATCGCCACGCTGACGCACGTCAAACAGCGCTTGACAGAAGTCTCGGCAAAGCTCCAACGTCGGATGGATCTGTGCCGAAGGATTCTCGTCGCGACTCTCGTAGAGTTTCTGGCAGAGTCGCCAACACGTCCTCCAGGCGTGTTCGTGTATATCGGCCTGTCCGCCAGAATAGTGGAACATGCGTTGGCGATGATGTTGGCTCAGCTTGGCCAGCGAGTTGCATAGCGTCCAGCACTCGTTCAAGGCGCCCTGGAGGGCAACGACTTCCTTCTCCGTCTCGTTGATGCCGTGTAGTGCTTGGCCCATTGTCTGTGTGCCCATGGACACGGACTCGCCGCTCTGCGACTGCGAAGACTGGCTGTCGTCTGGGTCAATGACGGAGCTTGCCGAAGAGTCGGTTGGGGCATTGTCGTCGTATTCAGCTATGTCTGCGCGATTCAGTCAGCAGGTGCGTGTTTGCGGAGCCCCAGGCTACGTACCAGCTAGGTTGCCGCTCATACGACTGCTGCGTCGCTTCATGTCCTCCTCGAAGTCGTAGCGTGTTTGTGCGCGGGGTGTGCTGCGATCCGGCATGCCCGAAGGCGATACCGAAGTATCGATTGGGGTCGTGTATGCAGAGTTGTAGGCGGGGTTGTAGGCAGACGTGTGCTGTTCGTCCACATCGGGAATCATGTGTGCTTCTGGCGTCGACGGCGACTCGACGGCGGAACTCTCGGGTGATTTTACGTTGGGAGACGCGGTGGATATACCTGTGCGAGTCTGGCTTAGATGTCAGCGTCTAGGACGTGTAAGCACCATGGAGAGGAGGCGACACATACAAACTGTTTGAAATGGGCAGGCGCGTGGATGACGGAGGGGGGCGCGTCGTCGGAGTCGGCACGGGTGCGCGCAGAAACTGTCGTGTCGAGCCTGTAGGGCTTTGGCTGGCTGCCATGGCTCGCCGGGCTCACGATATCGTCCGTGGCGGGCGATCTGATGTCGCTCATGTTGTCTTCGCCGACATGGTTGACCTGGGCGTCGTCTTCGATCTGTGGTGGGGTCAGCCCGCATGTCACTGCAAGTCGTTCATGGACCGCGGCTACCTCGGTGTGATCAGTATGGCTGGTGCCATTGCTGTCGACGGGCGAAGGGTCGACTGTGGCGGGATAAGGACTGGGCGGGGGTTGAAGGTGGTCCGAAGTGTTTGAGGATCTGGGGGACTCCATTAGCACGCAAGCACGTGCAGGCAGATGCATGATGGGTTCTTGGGAATATGGGGGGGCCACTGTACCTATTTGAAAAGACCTGAGCAAAGTTGGCGGGCGAGCTGGGGCTGTCGGTGTAGGGACTGAAGGCTGACATGGAGTTCAGGCCACTGGGTGACGGCATGAGTTGGGTCGCGGTCGCCATGCCTCTGCTCTGCCTCAGGCTGGCTCGAAAGCAGGCAGAACCGAGCGCTGTGCCAGGGCTGTGCCGCGATGGAGGCCCGTCTATCAATTCCGAGGGTTGGACAGACGGTCGCGGCGAGGCGGCAGGACGAATGGGCGAGGAGGGATGCGCGGCGCGAAAGCGTTGGATGGGCGTGGGAAGCGCTGGGTTGGCGACTATGTAGGGAAGGGGGAGGGAGAGGGAGAGGGACGGGGGGAGGGTTATAGCAGGCCAGCTGCAGGTCAGCAAAGAGGCTCAAGGTGCTGCGTGAGACGGTTGTGGTTTGTTTCGACTAAGAGGCGTGCTGTCTTGTGGTGGTGGAGGAGAAGGTACCGGTAGGAGTGCCACACGAACGACTCGCGGTACTGTCTCTACTACCGTCTACCGTCTACCGTCTACCCACGCACGCCGTCTAGAGCTGTTCCGCTGCCCACTGCCAGTGCCCTTGGCGACCGAGGCCAATCGCTGCCGTCGGGCGAGGCGAAGCTCCAGGGATGAGCTGCAGCTTAAGCGCCCAAAGACGACGCTATACATGGCGTCGCATCGTCGAGCCATGCCGCATCCAACAACACAGCGCCGGGTCCCTCCTCAGACGCCATTGTTGGGGGGGAAGAGAGAAAACCATCCCATCGTCTTCGCAGCTGGCCCTCGCCCATGAACCCTCTGGCCTCACTCGACTCGAACCCCCCTTCGTCCTGGCCGTAGTGAAAGGAAATGTCGTAGACGGCGAGAGCCTGCATTAGAGCCTGCAGGCACCTCGTCGAGGCCTAGCCTTGGCTCCGCAAACCTCCAAGGGCCCCCCCATCATGTGGGCAAGAGACAAAAGACAGCAAGCAGTCGTGCGGCACAGCAGGAGGTGGTGGGAATTGCCCCGTCTGACATTTTGCCATGTCTCCACGATCTGGCCCCCCATGTCCCCCCGTAGCGACGTGGCCCATTCGCACCAAATGAACCTTATCTAGATTGTGATGAACTGCGAAGACAGCCCAGCCCAGCCCAGCACAACACAACACAACACAACACGGCTCACTACTTTTGCTTGCTATCAATCAAACTTGACTTGTACTATACCACGGCTCGTTCGTCAGCTCCCCAGTTACCATTCCCTCGGATGTGTCTGACTAGCGGAGCACTGTGGCGTCTCTTCACCCCACCTCGAAACAAGAGACGCCTTCGCTCGTGCTACCACGTCCCACGCGCCATCTCTCTTTGGAGGTAGGCCACCAAGTAAAACCCTCCTCCGTACCACCTGTGCCGCTGCCACTCGTGGAATTAGCCGCGCCTAGCTAGGGCTTACCTAAATCGCCATGGATGCACAAAACGTCCAAGGGGAAATACCGCTGTCTGACCGGCATGGACATTCTCTCATATGACTGACAGGAGGCCGCAGCTGCGGTCTATACTATGCAGCTTTGCATACAGCAAGGCGACCAGTGTATTCTGGGCAAGATGATAGTTTTTCTCGTCTGCTTGTTCCACGACCTAGCCACCACCAACTCCGGTATCATGGCACGGCTGGGCTGGGCCCGGGAGATGATCGTAAATGCTTCGATTCAGATCGAAATTGCCATCAAAGCCTCTGTACTGCACTGCCTTTCCTAAGCTTTGTTTCGACACACTGCCCTTCGCATCGACCCGCAGCGGAGCCCTTGCTCAAGTTATGGGCGCTTATTGCCGCCGTCCATTTGGCCACTTCTCCACCAACAACAGTACCTATACTAGTTTGAGGAAAATCATCGCGTCAAAGCAACTACCCCACCATATTCCAATGCGTTGTTCTTCAGCATCCGGCGTTCTGGTACCCTCCCGGATCAACACACCGTTTGTTGGGCCTGGCTTGGCTAGGACTCTCCCGGCTGGCTTGACCTTCTGGAAATTGTCAAGCCATTACATCAGAACCAACCATGTAAGAATACACGTTACCTCTCTTAAGCCATGCTCAGCCACCCCTATAACACAGACACTACACATTTGTTACCTCTCCTACGTCGTAGTCTGCCTCGCTCTCCACATCCAACAGCTGTACAGCCTTCCAGGAGGCTCAATGTTTCACTACGTTGAAGCCACCATCTTGTTCGTCTTTATGCACTATTGACAACATGCTCGTAATTCATCACGTCGACGGAAGTTCATAGGGCAAAGAATTTACAGATGCATCTTCATCAGAGACGTGAATAAGAAGCGAGACTTTGGCCAATGAGGAGCCGGTTCCAGCCGCCCGGCTCGGACACGCCTAGTCGAGCAGATGTCGAGCAGATGTCGAGCAGATCGTGCATATCGTGCATATCTGACACTGTCAGCAAGCGGCTGAGGTGCGTAAAGTCTCCTAGATTCGTACAGGACGCCGTGATGCCCAACACTGCAAAGCATTCCGCAATGCGTCGCGTCTTCGTGTCTTTTGGTCTGGCGCTTGTGGTGGGGTTCAGCTCTCATGGCCTTGGCATGCCGCAGCCATCAGGACACTCGTGTCAGCTGGGCATATGTGCTTTGTCTCTTCCCATAGACGCCTCTTTGCCTGCAACCATCCTCTTACTGGTCCCTTCTGCATTGCCTAGTCAAGTCATTGGGAAGGCGAGCTAGTGCACTCGTCAAGATGCCTCTTGTTCGGCCCCCACCGCAGTCCACGTCGGCTCCACCCTCACAAGCCCCGCAAGAGAAACAGTTTCCTACACTCGGAGTATGTTCCCGGACGAACTATGTAGCAGGCCTCGATGACTGGTTGCACATCACTTCGCCAAAGCACTTCCCTGACTTCGACCTTTGTCCGGACTGCTATAATACGTCGTTCCGCAACACGCGCTATGGACCCTGCTTCTCTACCGTTCCGCCCAAACCGGCGAACACCAGCACCAGCTGTGACTTTTCAGGCCTGTGGGTTCGCATAGCTTATGTATGGCTCTTCTCAAATAACGCGCCAGATCTCACGTTGATGGGAAATGTAGCGGCAATCCAGCATGATGAAGATGGGCCATGTCCAAACCTGAACCGCGAGGATCCCGAAGTCAAAAAAGGGGGAAACCCTGCCGTAACCAGGAGATGGTACTGTCTCCACGATCCAAAGACGAACACGCTGGTTGAGGACCTGACTTTCTGCTCCGGCTGCGTGGCAAATGTCAATCTCATCTACCCATGTCTAAACGGCATATTCCGGCTCGTGGCCAATGGACAAAAGCTACCGGCGACGTGTGATCTCATGACGTTGGGCAACGCACAGGCGCGCGGTTTTCAATATTTCGACTGCATGGTCGAGGTCGCGGAGAAGACGATGGCAACGGGAACAAGAGATGTTTCGCCGTTGGTAGAGTATATAAGAAAGTGGGCTGCTATCCCCTTCTGCAAAAAAGGCGATATCGTCACCGGAGAAAGACGCTACTCATTGCCCTCCACCGTACCTGATTTCACGGCATGCGAGGAGTGCTATACAAGGCATATCCAGCCGCTTCTCGACACACATCCCCAGCCACGCGTCCTCTCACAACTTGAGTCCTCTGTACCCACCAATAGTGGCTTCACTTGCGACTTGTATTCTCCACGACTGCAACAGTACTTCCAGGAGTATTCCACCACGAACAATGTACAGAGCTACCGCGAAAAGCTTACGGCACGAAATACAAAGTTGCAGGAGACGAAGATGCAGTTGCAACGCATGAAGCAAGAACACCAGCAGTTGAAAACACAGTCGAATATGCACATGAACATGATGCGGGTGGAGCAGTCGAGTGCGATGATGTCGAGTATGGCGTGGACGACGTCGAGATGGAGTGCGCCACCAGTACGTGTTTAACTAATGCCATCAGGGCCTTGCGGGAGGCTAATCTTAATAGGTTGACTGGAGGGGCGTGAATTCGCAGCTGACTCAGGGCAATGAGCTGGCGATGAAGGCGGCGATGGTGCTTGACAATATGGCGTTGCTGGAGAAAGAGTGGAAAGAGTTTTGGGAGTAGCTGTCCATATTTTCGATTTCCATATACTAACTGTAACTATCATGCAATATATGGGGGTAATGTATCGTACTCTTTTATTTTCTTTGTATTATTGACATCCATTATTACCCGCAGCCACCAATATATTCCGAACGCTGGCGGCATCCAGGCATTTTCCAACTCTCATCTTTACCCCTCCGACTGCCTTATCCTAAATCGTGACCGCCGCAGAGATGTCCCATGCGAGGCACTTTCTTGGGCTTACCTTGCTTGCTGCGGGGTGGTCTTTTCTCCCTAAAGAAGACGCGGAGAACAGGTATAGACGCGCCGATTATGGCAGTGGCGGTTTCCACAGAGGTCCAGATGGTCACGTCTTTGCCGTTATCTAGGTCACAGATCGTGTCAGTGAACCCCTAATCAAAAGAGGCAATAATAGAGCCCTAAAACGTACAGAAAAAGTCCTGCTCGCGGAGTTGCACGATATAAATCCCCTTGACAATGGCACACACCCCCGACAGAAGCCCAAGCGACATGGCAACTCCCACGCCAAACTTCTCCCTCAAGCGCATCTGCAGGCCCCAGATAATTGTCCACGGTAGTAGCGCCAACGCAAAGTCCATGACGGCGCAATACGCCGCATTGAAGATGCCGTAGTTGGTGACAATGCCCGGATTCCAGCATTTGCCTTTGACCGCAGGATTCCACGCCTTTTGCGGGGGCGTGCAAATAACCCATTGGAGAAATGCGCTGGGTAACATGGCGAGGAACAGCGTGACGATTGCGAACCATACGAATGACTTCCACCGTCCCTTGACGAGGCGGAGGAGCGTGACCCCGAAAGAAATCTTACTCCCCGTCGAATGGAAGCAGGATATCGATGCGCCGACGGACGTGTACAGCGCAATAGTAGCGAGGTTTTGCGGCGGAATGTCTACGGCGTGTTTACCGAAGCCGATGAGTTGGCCTACTTGCGTGATGATGGACTGGATGAGCAACAGGACCTGTTTGTATTCGTGACTTCCTTCTACTAAGCTAGGAGATTGCAGGATTGTGGAAAGGTAAGAAGCTTACCCACGATGCGATCAGGACATAATCATCCCACCACAGCTTTTGCTTTCGACTCAACTTTGCGTATATCCTCAAGCCGAGAACGATGCCGCATAGGAAACATAACCACCATGAGATGCTCACAATCACCGGTCCGTTATCTGGAACACCACCGCCCATGGCAAAGTCTCTAATAAGACGCTGTTGGACGCAAGAAATGAGTTGTAGGATTCTCAACATGCGAGGGGGGGTATGCGACTGTGCTATGTGTTAAGCATACACCTGGACGCTGTCCATGTCTCACTTGTCAATCTGAAAGCGGATGCATTAATGTACAAGAGCTTTGTTCGAAGCCAAATCTCGATGTGTTTCTCAACGCCCCCTTCAGGCCGGAATCATCCGAGTATTTCTCGCTTTCTTCGCTAACCTAGACTTTTAGCTTAACTAGGATACAGGTTATGGAACTTTAGGATTCTACGGACTGACTACTCAATATGGAAGTACGCTATTGTTGATATAAACTTTAATAGAGTTTCTCTCTATAGAATAAAAAATATACCATGTACGCTAATATACTGTTCATAAAATGCTGAAGCTTGAAATACTGAATCTATAACTCGAACTACCTACTGTTCGATGTACGAAGCCTTGTCTTATTACAACACTAGACACAATGCATGCTAATGCTCGCCCTTGAATAAACTGCGCAGCCCTGAGCTCCATCTCCGCTTCTCCTTGGGTCTTACGACTGGTATTTCCTCTTCTCCCGCACTTGTTGGCCCTTCCCCAAATAAGGACTTGCCACTGCGGCCTGTGAAGGGGCGATGACTTGTCTTTGGTCGTGGAAGCGTTGACCATCGTTTTGTTTCCCAATGTGGTGTCGACGGCGAGGAAAGTATCGTACTGTAGCGCGTGCTCGCTGTTGACTCTGGGGTATGAGGGAACCCACCCGAAGTAGCAGGACGCGTCGGCGTCCGCGGTAATGGAGAAATTTGACCAGGCTCTGTGGCCACACGTGCTGGTGTAGAAGGTCTGCTCTTCCTAAGAAGCGCGCGGTGGTGTTTCCTTTCATTCATTAGTATTCGAGTAGTACCTTTGAAAAAGGTTGAACTTACGGCTTGGCTTGTTTTTCTAGTTGGTGAAGATGCGCCTCGCTATCCTTCAAGCTCTTCTTAAGATCATGCCTCGCCTTCTTCATACCGCTGAGCTGAATCGCGGTTTCATTCCTCAGCATGCGCACGCGCTCAACTTCTCTAGCCCAAGCATCGAGATCGTCGTCATGGGAAACAGCGCTGGATCGCGTTGTTGGCCTTTCATGTTGTACACTTGGAAATCCTATGGGAGTAAGCCTGGAGCTTGTAGTATGTCCCGACATCGGACTTTGGGGGGCTGTGTCGTAGGATTCTTGGAGGGTGATCGGCTCCTCCCATTCTTCGAGGACTTGAAGGTGCCTGATCTTGTCTTGTAAAGCTGCGACCAATTTTTTGAATGCCTTCTTGTCATCCCTCAGAGCCCGAACTTCCTGCTCCAGAGTAGCAAAGGAAGATGCGAATTGCTCTTTGCTTTTCCGCATCTCTTCAATCTCCGCATCCCTGGCCTGCAGCTTGGCTTTGAGGCGGCCCGCACTATCATGATCCGGGCTTAGCCGTTGCTGCCGACCTTGTTCCTCATGCTTCTTTCTCAACTCATTATAAGTAGAGTTCATGGACCTCATTCGCTTATCGCTTGACAACTCAAGCTCTTGTATGTACTTCTTCTTAGCCGACAACTCTTCGACTAGTTTCGCCTTGCCCTTCCCAAGAGTCCCTAGTTCTTGCGTTTGCTCGCCAATCTGATGTTGTAGTTCCGAGTTCTCACTTCTCAGAACTTCGATCTCATGGTTTCTTTCCGAGACCCTGTGCTTGTACTTGAGCTTGGCATTCCTCGAAGCATCTATCTTGGCCTGTGACTCTTCCACGAACTCTTCCAACCGTTTCGCGCTCTCCTCAACAGCGACTTCTGCGGTGGCCATGTCTGTCTCAAGCTGATCAAGGAAAGATTCAAGGCGCGCATTCGTCTCACGCACAGTGTCCAGATCCTCTTCCGCTGAGCTCAGCCGGAACTGCAAGTCCTTCTCGGATGCCTCAAGTCTGGCATTTGTGTCGCGTAGAGAAGTGATCTCCTTGTCGGCTTCAAGAGACTTGGAGTTCAGCGTAAGACCTTCAGATTCGACGATGTCGAGCCGCTTCTGAGCAGCGCGTAAATCACTATCGAGGTTGCCACTACGTAGTAAAGCGGCGCTCACATCATGTTCAAGCTTCGTACGGATGGTGCGCAACGCTTCCGTCTCTTTGCTACTTTCACACAGCTTAGCAGTCAAGGTAACTTCCTCTGATTTCAACTTGTTCAGTTGCGAGGACATAGACGAGAGCTCACTTTCGAGAGCTTCACTATGCTTCTCGGCACCGTCGAGTCGCTCTTCGATACTAGCCTTGATGTGTCGAACAGTAGCAAGCTCTTCGTTGGTCGTAGATAGCGTCGACGCTTGCCAAGCATTTTGGGCCTCGAATTCCTCTAGTCGGGAGCGAGTCAAAGAGAGATCCTTCTCTAAACTTTCGGTCCGAGCTAGGGCTTGACCGAGCCTCTCGTCAATATCGGCCTTGTCCTTCCGGAGTATATCAAGGTCTTGCTCGGTATTGGATAGCTTGTCTGTGAGCCCAGCGTTCTTCTCATCCGCTTCGTTCATTCGCGACCGAGTCAGACCAATATCTTCACTTAATTCGGCATTCGAACTTAAAGCGATATCGAGGCGTCTTTCAACGTCATCACTGACCACCCGAAGGCGATGCATCTCTTTACTCGAGTCCAAGTACCTTGAATTGAGACCTTCATTGTTGGCTTCCAATGTGCTCAGTTCGGCCCGTGTCGAATCAAGGCGTATCCCCAGTCCAACGTTAGAGCTCAGTGCATCGTCGAGTTGAATTTCCAACTCTGTGTTGCTCTGGCGCGCAGCATCGAGCTCCTTTTCCAAAGCTATATTAACCTTTACTACTTCCTCAAGTTGTCGCTCAATTGCGGCTTTGTTACGACGTATAGCGGTAAGCTCTTCCTCGGTCTCCGAGAGTCTCGAACCTATCTCTGCTGCTTCAGCCTCGGCGGCTTTCAGTTGCTGTTGAGTAACTTTATGTTGCTTGTTGAGGTCGTCATACGATGCTTGCGCGGTCGTCAGACGCGCTCCAGCTTCTTCCTTGGAGTGTCGTATCCGTGTCGTTTCGTCTTGTAGAGTTGACAGTTGCGCCTGGAGGTCGGTGGCCTCAACCTCAACAACCACCAGCCTCGCCTGAGCGGAATCGAGCTGGCCCTCTAAACCGGTTTTGGATTTCAGCGCTTCTTCAAGTCTCCTTTCCACCTCTCCCTTCTTTGTATGTACCTCATTAAGCTGCTCATGTAGGCTACTAATCTCCACCCCAGAGGCCTCACCCTCCATCTGCACAAGCGCGAGAGCCTCCTCGAGTCTCGTCTTTGCATCGCCGCTATCTTTTAGCGCTGCCTCTAGCTCAGGTACGACCTTCTTCAGCATGTCCCTATCATGTATAGTGGTGTTCAAGCGCTCTTCGAGATCAGCTTTAGTCTGAGAGTTGCCGCTCAGATCAGACTCGAGCCGAGTGACTTTAGACTTCAAATCTGCACATTCGCCCTCAGTGATGACTAACCGCGATTGAACGTTGTTGAACTCGCTTTGCAGGTGTTTTTTCGACTGGAGGACCTCACCAAGTTGCTCTTCCACCCCATCTTTGGTCGTTTGTACCCGATGCAAATCCTCTTGCAACGTCAGTTTAAGCTTCTCTGATGACCCCAACACCGTTTGGAGATCGAGGACGGAAGATTCCAATTCGCGGAGTTGTGCGTTGCTCCTCTGCAGGTCCGTTGCGTACAGCTCATCGACCTCGTCCTTGGATTTAACAGCCCGATCGAGCTCTGTCTCGAGGAATGACACTCGCTCTTCAGATGAATGTAGCTTCTGCTGGAATGATCTCTTGGACGTCTCTACGTCGGAAAGCTTGGAATTATTAGCGCGCAATTCTTCGCGCAATCGGAATAATGTTTGTCGGGCGTCTCTGAGGTCGGCCTCCAACGCTGCTTTCGCATCGCGAAGGGTCTCTAACTTGGCCTGGGCCTCCGCGTCCGCGCCTTGCAGCGATTTGACGTGTTCCTGAGCAGCCTGTAAATTGCCTTTCAGAGTATCGTAAGACGAGCGTAGCGTCTCCAATTCAGATTGAAGACTGGTATGTGCAACTGTCTCTTGCTCGAGCCGCTCTCTTGTAACGTAGAGATCTTCTTCGACTTTTGCCCTTTCAGTCTGTGCGGACCTCAAACTCGATACCAGTTCATCGCGCTCGTCATTCCCGGCTCGCAAAGTGGCTGAGAGAAGCTCCATCTCTGTCCTCAATGTCGCTGAAGCATCCTCTGTGTCTTTCTTGTTATCTTCTAACAGTTTCAACTCCTCACGGAGCTCAGAAATAACACCTCCACCAACTTCGATTTGCTTCAATTGCTGTGTCGCTTGCGATTCGTATCCGGCGATTTTCTGCTGTAAGAGTTCCATATACTGGGTGCCTCGGTCAAGCCGCTTCCTAAGATCCTCACGCGCGCTCTCCTTCTCCGCGATTCGGTCGCGGAGGGAGGATTCATGGCGTTCGGCGGTTTCAAGCTTGTTCTGCAACGCATGCAAGTTTTCCTTCAGGGTGGCTGCGCGGTTCTCCAGTTCCCCAAACTGGAGGTTGCGAGCGTGAAGTTGGTCTTCGATGGCCGTCTTCTCTCTCTGCAACGTTCCAATCAGTTGCTGTTTGGTCCCGCTCATCTGCTCTAGATGGGCCAACTCCTTGGTCTTGGCCTGAAGCTCTTGCTGCAGTCTCTCTTCTGAACTTGTCACGGCATTTAATTGTGACCTCGTGGACGTGAGCGTCTCTTCCACTGTCGCCCTCGAGCGTTCCAAGGTAGCAATACGAGACTGGTGGCTCCGAATTTCCTGCTCAAGGCCTTCCCTCACTCCTTCTAGAAGTCTTCCATCTTCTGTACTCTGTGCGCACTCAGCCTGCAATTCTTCTATGCGACTGCGACATGCGGCAAGCGCTTGATCTGATTCTCGTTTCGCCCGTATCAAGCGACTGTCTGATGTGCGTATGTCGGCAGGCGTCTCGATGTTGGGTGTAAGCCCCCATTCCATGTCGTGCCATGGCGAAGAGTTTGCTCGTATTGGGGTCCTAGGAGAACCGAGAGGACTCTCCGGGGGGTTTGAGAGACGAGTTGGCGGTGATGGTGGGGGCGAAAAGGGGTTACGTTGAAGTCTGTGCTGAGCTTGGGACTGTGGGGTTGAATCTGCACGAATTGTCAGCATAGGCTGGACCATGGATTGACTTGCTTACATTGAAGCGTGAGCATAGAAGCCCTCTCCAATGCCTCAAGGATCTCCTGATTCCGTCCCTCTTCGACGCGCAACGCTCTCTTCAAGTCCTCAATCCTCGTCTGCGTATCCTTTCCTTCGAGGTAATTGCTCTTCCTACTGTTCGCCAAGTTCCTTGCGGTTGTTGCGATTTGTTTCTCCTTGACAGATATGTTGACAGCCATGCGAAACGCAAGCCGACGCAACGAAGTCACAGACCGCTTCGCTTCCGCGCCCGCAATCAGGTGAGCCTTGAGCTCCCCGCGAAGAGAATTGCGCTGGTTCTTGATGTAGTTGAGATGGGCCCAGTTGGAGATTGGAGTGAGCGCATCCTCCACCTTCGACTGTGAGGTAGCTGCGCTATCCAGTTCGGTTGGCGGAGTATGAGTTGATGCACCCCAATGTTCCAGCATGAAGCTGTCGGTCATGGAGGACAGGGATCGCTCCAAGTGAGGGGTAGCAGACGGCCGAGTGCGTGGCTTGGATCTGCTCCTCGTGGTGATGCTTGCCGGTAACAGGTTCTCGAGGCCAGTATGTTTTCGACTGCTCGCGGCAGGGCGATCCCGACCCGGGGCACTGGATTCGGACGCCATGTTGGATAATTTTACGTGATCATAGGTAGACACAAGTGTCAGACCGCCTGAAGTTGTTCAGGGAGGTGTGTTGTAGAGGGTTGTGTGTGTTGGGAGAAGTGCCACGTGACAGGGGTGTTGGCAGTGTTTTGCTGGACCGATGGGGCTGAGAGCGCGGAGGACGGTGCCAGCCGCCAGCCGTCAGGCGAGATGCAGGATGGAAAAAAAAGGAAGGGGAAAAACAGGATCAGGACAATAAGAATAGCGGGTCAGACACAGGAGAATCGACAGGAGGGGGGTAAAAGATAGGAGAGTAGATACGACACGGCGCGCAGCCTCAGTCTACTAGCAATGTCTGGCTGGTCAGACCACTGCTTGTCAGGACAAACGGAAGAAGATGCGACGGGGTGTCAAGAGAGTGTACACGCTGCCTTGCGCAAGCGTTGGCGTTGGCGGGCCTCTAGGACATGGATGGTGGGTGTTGTTATTGTCTGCCCGCCTGGCGCAAAATCTCGTGATGGTGGGCCGGTCGATCAGGCCGCAGGCGATAGATAACCTTGGAACCCACCCCCAAGCCCCGAGCGTTCATTTCAAATCCACCAGTATTCGCTCTGTGCCGCCGCCGTCTGGTCTGTTGTGAGACGGGCGCTCTGCAAATGGGGCAACAAATCACCCCTGTGATACGGGGTAAGCCTCAAGATTCCGGGCTTGTCGTGTCATGTATGTCATGCCATCCACGGTCAAATTCGCTTCCAATCCCCGCGCGTTCGGCAACCATTTTCCCCTCAGATCACTAGCCTTTGGTGTAAATATCCACGATCGGCATCACTCAACTGCAGTACCTATCCCTCGCTGTAGGAAGTAGCTACGTTGGGACACATCTTGACCCCCACGATGCTTTGCGCAAGTTGACATGTATGGAGACATGCCCCGTCCGTTCACATGCAATCGATTCAAGTATCTACAATAAATGCTCCCGCAATGCAAAAGTACGCCCGTCCCCCTGTTGGATGATGCACCTATTTGGTATACTGCTTTTGAAGATGCTTCGCAATGGTGGTCAACTGGATGTTGCTGGTTCCCTCATAAATAGCACCAATCTTGCTGTCCCTAAAGTACTTTTCCGCAAGCCCCTCGCGGACGAAGCCCATGCCGCCCATCCACTCAACAGCCGAGCTGGATACCTTTCCAGCGACCTGGGAGGCATACAGCTTGGCCATGGCAGCATCCATGACGAAGTCCTCGCCGGCCTCCTTCTTGCGGGCAGCATTGTACACGAGGGCGCGGGCGGCTTGAATCTCGGTCCAGGCTTGTGCGAGCTGGTGCTGCATGCCCTGGAACTCTCCGATGAGCTGGCCGAACTGCTTGCGGTCGTTCCACACGTACCTGTGGGGAGCGTCAGTGCTTTGGGTCTGTATCATGATCGGGCACACTTACCCTGCGGCATTCTCCCAGGCGCCTAGTGCCAGACCCGTCATTTGTGCGGCAATACCAATACGACCCTCGTTCAAAAGACCAATGGCGTACTTGTAGCCCTCAAACTCCTTGCCAAGCAGGTTATCTCTGGGGATCTCGACATCGTCGAAGTTGATGACGCATGTGCTGCTGGCCTTGATGCCGAGCTTCTTCTCCTTCTTCGCAATGGAGAAGCCAGGGGTGCCCTTCTCGACGATGAAGGCAGTGATGCCCCTGTACTTCTTGCTTGGGTCAAGGTTGGCAAAGACGATGAAGAAGTCTGCCTCGACGCTGTTCGTGATCCACATCTTGCTACCGCTGATCTTGTACCCATTGTCTGTCCGTGTGGCTTTGGTGGCAAGAGCGAAAGCGTCTGACCCGGAGACGGGCTCTGAAAGACAGAAGGATCCGACCGTGTTGGTTGCCAGCTTGGGCAGCCACTGCTTCTTAATCTTCTCTGAGCCAAACTTTAGGACAGCTGTGTTGACCAATGTGTTGTGTACATCGCATAGGACGCTGACACTAGGATCCACACGCGCCAGCTCCTCAATAGCAATGATGGCGGATGTGAAGTTCATGCCCGAGCCGCCGTATTCCTCGGGTATCTCAATGCCCATGAGACCCTGCTCAAAGAGCTGTTCTACCACAGCGGGGTCCATGGCCTCTGCCTCATCCATGTCTCGTGCTCTCGGTAGAATGACATCGTTGGCGAACTTGGACACGGAATCGCTCATGAGCGTCTCCGTCTCCGAGAGGTGGGTTATGGGCGTTGGGGGAACGTCAGAGATGTCAAAGGCTTCACGGCGAGCGCGCGTCGCTGAGAGGCATCGTGCTCTGTTGCGCGTCTGTTAGCCTTGTGTCTCTTTCGCCTCCACGCTGGGGACGTACTGCGGGGCGGCCCGAAGTACTGCGGGTCGTAGAGAGCGTGACGAAGCAGCAGCGGCGCGTGCAAACGGTCTGAGTGATCGTGATAGTGATGCCATGGTCGAGACAGTAATTTCAAGCCTCCAAGAGAAACATGTGTGTGGGGATTGGGCGACTTTCAAGCACTGGATCGTCGCAGGCGTTGTGCCGAGGCAGCACAATACAGCCGATCAAATCCGCGCCTTCGCCCCGGGGTTTGCGGAGAAGATCCGTGCCGTCACATGCCAGATTCTCAAGACCCACTATGCAACCTCATATGAGAATACTGAGCATGACATCAAGCCAGCTTCTATTAGACAACTAGGTACTCGGCTATAGTTTTGGTGGACTATAGCAACAAGGGTATATGAAGCAAGAAATCAATCGTAACAAAGACATGATAGAAGATAGCTGAGAGCCCGCATCCAACCCGCTCCATTGCTCAATCATCCTCTACACGCGGTTCCCCGATGACCCAAAGCCAAACTTCCCAGCCTGCATCTGCTTCTTATACTCCTGCAGCTCGGCCGCCTCCTTGTGCTCCTCAGCCAAGAGGGCTTCGTGTTCCTTACGGCCAGCGCGGCGCTGCTTGACGCAGCAGAACATGATCAAGCAAATGATAACAGTGAGGACGCTTAAAGCAGCTGCAATGATGCCGATTTTGGCACCCTGGGGAAGGGCTTGCCATCTGTTGTGCACGCCTGAGGGTGACTCGAGTTCTTGTAGGATTTTAGATTTACCGCTGTGATCGTTGTTAGAGGGTGTGCTCAAGAGAGAGAGAGAGAGAGAGAGAGAGAGAGAGAGAGAGAGAGAGAGAGGGAGGGAGAGACGTACGTGATCACCTTGACCTTCTCCCATGAGCCAGAAGCGTCCATGTCTGCCCACGAGTACTCGGCAGCACTGGTGTAGTCCTTGGCGTATATTGACGCAACAGTCATGACAAACGGTCCCTCGTCGAAGTTCGTCTCGCCGCCTGCCCACTCCACAACGCCAGGCTTGTTGTTCTTCGTATCGCCGCCTGCCCAAATGCCCATCCTCACATTCATTGGAGTTTGGGGATAGTTTTTGCCCCCAAGAGCCTGCGCAGGCAGCAACTCACGCAGCTTCTTGCCATCGAGCCACCACTCAATGCGCTCCTTGGTCCAGTCAATCGTGTAGTTGTGGAACTCGTCCTGAGGTCCCTTGTCCATCTTGTATTCCTTGCCGCGATCAGACGAAGTGGTCTAGTAAGATATTAGTGAATGTAACGTAGAGAACTGAGAATGGATCGACAAACATTTCCTTTTCCATAAAAATTTGTCATAACGTGCGTGTTGTTTGAACCGAGGAATTCCCAATCCACTTCGTCGAGAGCCTCTGACTGCAGAATAGCACTAGAAACAATGCCCCTACCCGACGCGGCACGCATGATGACTTCAAAGCGCCCGAAGAGCATGTAGAATTTGGACTGGACCGTTGGCGAGTCGCCGGAGCGCTCGACGGTGAAGGTGGCGCCCTTTTCGTTCCAGTCGATTTTGCCCTGGTTCTGCTTCGTCCAGATCTTGTCGCCGGTCGGTATGCCCGTCTTATTGAAGTTGAATGTCGCATTTCCCCCAAGCGCCTGCATTGACGGGCACTTGGTGCCGCCCTCTTTTAGCGGATTGCAATTCGTGTGCGTTTGTGCAAAGGCCGTGGGGAGGAGCGCGGCCGCGAGAAGCGCGAGCGCGGATGGTGCGAACGACTTCATCGCAAATATCGTAGTTGCTGTCTATGTAATAAATGAACTTGAAAGGAGTGTTGTAGCACGTAGACCAGACGCGCAGTTAGTCAAGGTGAACAAGTAATGACTGGGATAGTTGGGAGGTGAATGAGTGGACTTCCGCAGGGAGGAAACGGAAAGAGGGGAAAACTGCCCAAGGGAGCGTTCAAGACGGCGTTTTGAGACTCGACGATGAGGCCAGGAGGGTGCCAGCCCTGCAGATTAAGGAGTCGCCTAGTGCCAAAAATGCTCGATAAGGATGGCTATTGGTGGGCATGCATTAAACTACATACTAGCGCTGGCTGATCTCCCAGAATAAGTCCTCTTCATTGCTGTTATTAATCTTGTACTTATGTTTAACATTCATGTAGCGCTCAATGCCCAAGTACATGTCTTTGGAAGGCCCTCAATGGACCTCGATAAACGACGAGGCGCCTGTGTCCATGCAGGAGCGCGGAAGGCTTGCGCTAGTATGAAACATGACCGTCGTGCAGGCCGGCCCGTAACCACGCCTCCAGTTCGCACCTCTTGCTCAGAAGCGCCACTGCAACAGCATACCCATCCTCATCGTTGTGGCATTTGCGTTCGTCTCTAGTGCCCTTCCTCCTGAAACTGGCCCGTTGCGTCTGGAGGTGGCTGTTTGACCGCGCCAAAAAGAGTTACACCGTCCCGAAGTCTCTGCAGCAATTTCCTCTGCTTCCGTGTCGATTTAACCCCTCTGAGCTCACTCAATCAATCTCGAATCGCCGACTGGCGATAGCAACAGAGCGAATCGTACTCGTCCCATCGTCGTCGTCGTCATCGACTCCCAGAATCCTCAATTCACTACTGCAATTCCCTTCTCTCTTCGCCATCTGGATAACAAACACGCCTCCCCAACTGAACATGGGCCCGTCGACCGCAAACCCACCCTGCATCCTCCATCGCCCAATATACAAGTTCAACGCCCCCAGCACCTGTGCAACTTGTGACAAACGGAAGCCATAGTACAGCGCTGCTTTCCCCTTCGTAGCACCGTACTGGGTCCACAGCCCCCACAGAGGCATGTACATGCGCACCACATGATCAGTAGCCTCGTCCACATTCACCGTATCGCAGTGCAGACGCAGTAACCCGGCCATAACCTCATGGCAAGAGTCCTTTATCTGCCGCGGTGAGCGCGAAAACAGCACTGCAAGCGATTCGTATCGACAGCCTGTTTGCAGCAGCTGTATGCAGTGCAGTACTTTCTCCATTCGGCTGATCCCTCCTGATCTCTTGACGTACATCTTCTCGCATAGCCAGTTTTTCAGCGCCCGCACTTCGTGGTGCTTGATGTGGTGGAAGTACGGCAGTACGAAGCGGGCGTCTTCAATGCCGCACATGATCATTTTGGTGACGGTGAAGCCATTGCAGCTGCCGCGTCGCACTTTGTCGGGTTCGTCGAGCGTGAGTCTTTGGGTCGCTTCTTCATGTTGAAGGCGGAGCTTGACTGAACTTCGGGGCTGGGGGAAAGCCTCGCGGTTGATTTCTTCCAAGAAGCAGTGGGCGGTGGATGGTGAGTGTGCCCGGGATGTATCCTGTCTTGCCGTGAGTAACGAATTTCTGTTTTTGGAAGGAAGTGAAGAGTTCGACAGTCCCGAGGGTTGGTAGCACGAATTGAAATCCGAGTCGTGCATGACAGAAGGGGCAATATCAGACAGGAGAGGAGATGACTCCAGTGGTTCGCATGGCTCGAATATCGTGTCTCGTCTTATCTCATGAATCGAACCCCCCGGTCCTTGCTCAATTGGACGAGCGCCAGATATCGCACACACCTCGACCCGCCCTCCTTCTCTCCTTTGCCGTCCAATACCGACTAGCTTTTGGGGCCTCCTTTTCGATCTCACAGCACCTATAGCAGATTTCCTTGCTCCTGTCGGTATGTACACCCCGTGCCCTTCTCGATTTCCTCCCACATCCCGTGCGACCCTATCATTCTTTACTTCATCACTCTCCCATTTCCTTAGAAGTAGCGAACTGCTCTCCCGCCTCCGCAAGCCTCTCAACTTCTCTTCGAGCGTCACCATGCTCCGATATGACTGCCAAGCATGCCTCGTAGCGTCTCCAGCCAACTCTCCAACTTCATCCCCAAGCCCCTCGCATTTCTCCACCTGGAATCTTTCTAGAGCTCGGTGCGCTGTTTTCAACTCGAGCTTCATTTCGGTGACTTGAGATATGTCTGATCGCTCGTGCTCCATGTGCCCCTGAAGGTACTGTATGCGAGTGCTTATCATGCCCACGTACGTCTGTATCTGATGGAGCTCTTCTGCCATCATACAGGGGGATGGCGGTATAGATGAAGGGGAAGCCTTGATATGGGCGTGAGGCGTTGCTGGTAAGGCTTGCTTGGGCTTGCTTGATGCTGTATCTTGCACCGTAGGATCATGGTGGTATAATGCATCGCGAGGCAATTGCCTCGATATTCTAACTGGGTTGAAGGATTCGTGCATCGTGGACTCAGTCGGTGATGATAGTCATGTAGTGTGAACTTTTGCGGACGGCGTCGACATGGTCGTATATTATTCGCTTTTGTACAATCTCAGTACCATGGCTCGAGGTACTCCACAGCAGACAATGGCTTCTTTCGTGGAAATCCTTCTAGATATGATGGACTTTGCATTGGCGACTCCCACTCCTTTTATAAGACTCAAGAACATGAAGGGTTAAAGATAGAGCGTGTTTGAGCAAGGGAACATTTGGAAGGTTACACAAGACTAGACACTGCAACGTCATAACGGTGAGGGTGAAAACAGTGCCTCGAGCAGTGTCTTGCGTGCATGCCAGCTGTCGTGGCCCATGTTCCAGTTAGATGACGCAGGGTTTCTGTGTGACACGACAACGACGAATCCATTGACTTGATGGTCTGACAGACCGGCAAGCCACGAATCCTGGCACGAGCAACGCGGCGCTACAAAGCCGTTAGGATTATAGTTGTATATGATGGCTATATGGCAGTTTATTACAGCAAATGGGTATCTCGAATCGATCTAGTCTGCCAGCCTGCAAAGAAAGGACCGAATATTTACAAAGAATGAAGCGATTCGTCAACTGCGCAGCGATCACCCCTAGCTTCCTTGCGACAAGGAGACAAAACCAAGACTTAAATGTCTGTACCGAAACCAAGGGATTTATGCACAAACTCAAAAAAAATGACCTGCCCACTCTATGTGACAAGAGGAAGCCGGGCGTGATATCTGGCCGCCGGAGCCGCAAAAGCCGCATAGTCGGGCGGTAGCTCGTCTCTCACTTCCACACTTCCATTTCGACGACCATCGAAAGAAGGAGGCGCGACACTCCGAGGTAAGAACACATCTGCAGCTTCTCTGAACACCGTCTCTTCTACGCTCCTTGCCCGTGCATTCTCGATACCAGTATCACTACCTTCCGCGCAAATTTGTACCGGGATCTTCAGATGCATGCTCGGACCACTACTCAGTGAAAACTGCAGCGAGAGAGTGTAGGTTCGGGAGATTAGGCAGGAGTGGAAGGTTGGGATGAAGTTTTTGTTCATCGGGGGGGTGATGGGTACGAGAATCTGGGTAGTGTAGAAGCTGCCATGCTTGTAGTCCTTCGACGCGGGTAGGATGCCAGCTGCAAAGGCTTTTTCGACGTCAGTCATAGCGGAGCAATCGGAGATGCCGGAGTCGCGGCGCACTAGATTCTCCGTGGAGGGATTGAATGCACAGTCGAACTTTTCCCACTGTGCAGAGGCAATGCAGAGGTTGGAGAGGTTTATGTTCTCCGAGTAAAAACCTTGGGACAGGTCGGAACCGAGAGCCGACCGCGATGGGAAGTTCTGTCTGGGAGCAGAGGCAAAGTAAGTCGATATCTTTATTTTCGTAGCTAGCGAGCCCAGCTTCGGTGGTGTATTGCTCTCGTCTGCAGGATCGAAGCGCAAGACAAGCTTAGCCATGGTGGTGATTGGCTTCTTGTCAGTCGAGCGAGCGGTTGGAATTACCAGGGGCTTTGGTTGGACGGTCTTGGCTATCAAAGTCCCTAATTTCCCCTTGAATAGGCCTTTCTTGACCTTCTTCTCCTGTCGGGGTCGATATTCGTCCATGTTATCGACGTTGAGGGGCGCTTGTTCGTCGAAGGCGGGCTTTACGCGAACCTTCTTCATCTTCTCTGCTAGTATTGATATTCCCTCTGAGCCTCGTGCGTGGGCAACCCTGACCTTGATGCCGTACGTGATCTTGGACATTTGCGGAGCGGAATCATCCAGCAATGTGCCGCCAAAGCCAGCAAGATCTGGGTCGCCCAAGCTTGGAGGGAGCTGCAAGTGCGTGTTACGGACATGGTCTGAAACAGTTTTGTGCGTACATGCTTTTGGGAGGAGCTGGGACGGAATAGTAAAGGTAAATGGGAACTTGTACGACTTTCCTGCTTCCAAAACCCTTGGCGAAGGGAAATCAGACTCATCCATGGGTTGTCTGAGAAGCAAGAACCGGTGTGCAGCTTCCGTCCGCCCAGTCATGGTAGGCGTAGTAGTGAGTCTATCGACAAAAACTTGACTTATACCTGTAGCGATGTTAGATGTCGTTTTGGGCCATGTAAATGCCTGCATCAACAGGTGGCAAAACTCACCGACAAAGGCAATGTCGACATCATTGAAGCGCGTGTCGTACGGCGCAGTGATGGTGACATTTCCTTGGACAGTGTCCATGGTCGAAAAACTGGATAGGAAAGCGTTGCGACCATCGCTGCCGTGCACGTCGATGTCAATGGTCGGCTGGCCAAGATGGGCAATGTTGCGGACCTTGTATCCTATCTGGTTACCAATGGAATGCATCGTGTTTGCGTGCGAGAGCATCGAAGCGCTCGCGGATGAAGGCATGGTCGAGGTGTCGCGTGCGCCCCAACGCTGGACGAGGCGGAGGACAAAGGGCAAAGGTCACACAGGATGGTGGAGAGGGTCGACTGATAACTGCTTGAATGCGGAGAACTGGGAGCTGGGATGACCAGAAGGGGAAATGATCTGACGGTGGTAGTGAGATGCTAGTAGTAGGCAACGCCATGGCCTGGGCCTGGGGTGATCTTATACATGTCAAGGCACATGTTTTGCCTGAGTCATCTAGAGCTGCAGCATCAGTGATAAGGGCTGCCGTGTGCATGTGAGTGATGTTGCGACGAAGCATGGCTTGCTTGGCCGACGGATGGGCCTTGCCAGCTGCCCGCGGGGAAAGAAAATGCTTCGTTTCGTTACAGTCATTACACGCTCTTTGCGCCCAATCGCGTAACACACTAGCCACAAACGTCACCAGCCATGCGACTACAACGCCAGTGTCCCCAGGTAAACAGTCTTGTCGACGACGCCGTCTGCACGCTTCGAAAGCCCTCCGTTGCCTTCGCTGTGAAATTCGAAGTCGACGAGCTGCCCTTGAGAGGAGCGTGCATGGCCCTGAATGACTCCACGTTTCCGCGTGCGAGTATGCAGAACCTGTAAATTAGTGTGTATTCTTCGCTCGATTAGGGATCCATATCGACGCTAGGCCCAGGTGCATATGGGCGCCGCGAGCCTGTCTGATTTATTGTTTGACAAGTAAACCGTTCCAAGCTGTGTAGGGCGTGCGGCATCGGTTGATAGGGCGTGGCTACAAAGGGCGCAGGGCATTATTCAGCAAATCTATACTGTGGCCACTCAGGGGGCAGACCGCACCCCGGGGCCCCGGTGGCGGCTGCTGCATTCCGATGCCTATCGCTATTCCGAACGAACAAGCCCGATTCCGAGTGAAGTGACTCGTATTTGCGACAAGTGCGAGACACGGCTCGAGGGGTATTCATGTAAATCAATTGCTGCATAAGTGAGGTAGTCAGTCATGTCTTTTGTCCGTGTCAATGTGAAACCGACGAGAATGCAATCTCAATTGCTTTCGTCAAGCCCTATTCTCCTGCAGGTCTGGACTAGTACCAGCGTATAACTCATTTGGCACAATCTTCATCACGTCCTCGGCTGCAAGCCCGGCATGCCGAAATGACTGTCCCTGGCCGAGATCGCCCCACTGGACTCCGTTCGATGGGAAGTCGTCCAACTGCGTTGTCGCTGCACAGAGCGTTCTAATACTACCGTACATCTGAGGGATAAACCCCTCACGCCTATATGTGTATGCCCACCAACAGACGCCCGTCATCAACAGGATCAAGAAGGTTGCTATCCACAGCGGATATGCCGCGTATGTAATCTAGTTGCGTTAGATAGGACGGTCAAGAAGCGCAAACGTTGACACACCATATATTTGGAATGCTCGACGTAGCGACCATTCGAGTTTTCGAGCCAGATGGCTTCCTGGGCTTGGAGAGCCTCTCCAAGCATCCAGTGCGTCATGACCGAGTAGGCCATAATGGGAAAGAGTATCTTCTTGGGAAGCTGGAGAAGATAGTCTTGCGAGAAGCTCTCGCCTGCGGCGATGGTACAGCGGATACGCTTGCGACAGTACTCCAACTTGCCCCAGTCCCGTTCCTGAACCAAATTGAGTGTCTACGCGTGAATGATAGCAGAGTTCGACTTACCTGGCTGACGAGGGTGATGTTGTAAATCATCATCAGATACAACAGTGAGTATATGAACTGCGCGCCGTTGGAGCTAACTCTTGTCAGTAGAGTCTCGTATGCGGTGGTCAAGTGGCTTTGTAACTGCCAACAGGGAGTGTGGCGATTGGCGTCTTGCATAGGGATCGTGCTAGCTTACATGCTAAAACCGATGAACTCATTACCGAGTCGGTCAGGTGCCATTGATGCCACAGTTCGAGATCGATTGAACCCCCCGAACCCCCCTGACAGTTCTTCGAATCGCGTAGTGGCGGACATTTTGCAATATTGGGCAATTGTTGATGCACGCCGGTCATCACCATTACATGCTGATCTAAGGGACTGATCCTGCATACCCAGCCTGTACTTGTTAGTAATATAGAGAACTCGGAATGTTAAAATTGCCTTACGGGACTGCCACAGCAAGAGAAGCACCTAGGAGAACCAAGCTGCAGAACATGAGAAGACTCATCTGCGTCAATGCTGTGTTGCCTAAATTGGAAATAAGACTCTTCTTGATCTTTGTGGCGATGGTGGGCTGAGGCAGATTGGCGAATTTATCGGCGCTATTCCATTTCTCACATTTCTGGCAATGCCCAATCTCATCTGGAGCAAGTTAGCATAGGTGAAGGGATGAAGGTACTGTGGTGAGTCCTACCGCCTGTCTTGGAATCCTCAGGATTCTTGCAGTGTTTGTGACAGGTGTGAGAGTTCTGCCTTCTGTAGCTTTCGCCAGCATTGACCATACATTCCCTAGTTTCAGTCAGCAGCGTTTATAAGCAGAGGACCCTAAAGCATCTCGTACCCTTGTACCCTAAGTTCGGTGTGTGAAGCGGAGGCTACGATGACATCGCCGAAAGTTAAGCAATGCGTTTTCAGCTTGCCTCGAGCGAGCAAGTTGACAGCGCACATATACGCTGCCTTGATTACCAGACACGAGACGAGAATGAAAGCTGCACTCATACGGACATTGAGGCGGCATTCGGCAGGCTGTGGGTCCTAGACAGATATTAGATCGACCCCTGAATAGACGTGGAAACCCGCTTCTTACGTGAAGGGTGCAGTAAATGCTATCTCCCATGAAGCAGTTGCCTTCTGCATATTGTGTGGTATAGTAACGACTACGAACCACTTTGCCCTCTAGAGCAGGAACATCGGTCGCCGTTCGAGCATGTTGGGAGCAATTGCCACTAGCATAGTGAATCTGCATTCTTTTCCAGGTAGTGCCGAATTGATTCTGAGATGAGCCGAAGATGCCACCGTTGCTGTTGAAAATATCGGTAGATTTTGGGTAGTGTGGAGTGCCAGTGCGGAAGGCAGACCAGCATGGAAAGGACATCTCATCGCGTATACGCTCCTCATTCCCCAAGAAGGACGCAACCAGCTTCTGGGACGTAGCGTTGGCCACTTCCTTGAATTCTATAACATCTGGCAACTGCTGTATGAATGAGGGGCCGATTAATGAGTTTGCAAGGAAGTGTACTGGCATCGATGTCAGGATGAGGAGCAGCCATGCGCACCACGCCCGTTTCTTGCCGCTCTGTTTGTGGTTGATACTGAAAGGTGAGTTCGTCCCAACTCTAGAATCTCCAAATTTTGACAGCACAAACTTTAGATCACTAATCTTCAGAGAGGTGACAAGCTGCTGATACGTGTTGCTCATACCGAGAACCATGGTCGCACAAACATTGATAAGAAGGAGGAGTGCCGTGTTCGTCTTAGTCACGTCCTTGCAAGACCTCGTGTTGTCTCCGCCTACGGAGGTTGTGTTTGGATTTGGTCGACCATTAAAATGCGTGGCGTAGGTCGCAATGAGAATAATCATCGCAATGGCGAATGCCGTCATCGTCGCGGCCATGGTCCGTAACGACCTGTCCACCAGCAACTGATCTTTCCATACTCCGCGTCCAACTCGAGTCGGTTCAATTTCAGCGGCCGGGTGTCTCCTGATAGATCCATTCAAGTACCGAGGCAATGGCTTTCGACGAATGCGATTTCCCAGGCTTTTTAGTTTTCCGATGCTACTTGAGCCCGTTGAAGAGCTGAATGTACTGAAACTCTTCACGCTTGCGAAATCGGTGACATTACGCTGATCCACCGAGCTGTAGCTGGTATGTGTCGGAAACGAAAGCGGGCGTAGCATGACCTCGGAAATGTCTTGCGATTCTTGGTTGGTCGCAAGTTTATCATAGCTGTAATTCGCAGCCATCAATGAAAGTTAACCTGTGGCCTAGTATATCGTGCGATTAGGGTCCCGTTCTTGAAGGGAAAGTGGCCGATGGCGGAAGGTGGTCTTGAGAATGTGCAGCCTGCAGGTGTGGAGAAGCGAAAATTGATCTACATTTGGCCCCCAACAACAAGAACGAGATTAAGGTCTCCTTAGGCCCTTTCGTGCCGTCCAACCTCAAACAAGAGGCTTGAACGAGGCGTCCAACACGCGCGTTAGACTGCCGATTGCCCACCCCCAGCCTTCGAGCTGGTGACTACCACCGCACGACCCATATAATAAGGTGGACCATATTCGGAGGGGTTATTTCTAATATTTAGAAGGGTTGTTTTAGATTGTACGCGTGCAGCCTTTAAATATTTAGCCTAATTTAATACTAACCTTAACTAATTTTACTACTAATTATATTATTTAGTTAAAAATAGGTAAATTTATTCTTAATTTATAATATTTTAAGTTTACTAACTACTTTATTAAAACTGCTAGCCCTAAACTGCGCAGCCACACTAATACTATAAAAGTAATTTATTTTATTCTAAACTATAAGTACATTCTTATAGTATACGTAGTAGCACTATAAAGTTTTTTAGAATTATTTTATTGCGTAGTTGTAGAGTTATAGTGCTGCTTATATTAAATTTATTTCTATAATTGAAAGTAAAGTCGACGGCAGAGCGGATTATACAACGCAGTAGGAGAAATTAGTATAAAAATTACAGTTTAGGCGCTATACCTAGCACCTTAACACAGTATTAAGGCAGTAAAGTTTATACAATACTAAGTTAGCTGAATAGATTATTAAGAGACCCTTGACAATCGCTATTAGCAGCCCTAATGCGTTATTATCTAAAAATTGTAGCAACAGAACTATAGGTTCCTAACAGTAACTAAGTTGTTTAGGCATTGCCAGGCAGCTTTAATTTTTGTAGACTGTTGTTAAAGCACGGATAAATCCTTAGACTGAAATTTAGGCGAGCTTTAGTTTGGTAGTAAGCTTGTGCCTTAATAGCTAATACTTTCCTACGATTAGTAACAGCTTGCGCGATAGACGTAGTCTCTACAGAGCAGACAGGGTAGAGCTTGCAGTTAAGGCTCATAATATTAAATTTATAATATTAATAATAATATTGCTAACACCTTTGCACCCTAATTTTTAATAATACTTTAAAAAAATATATTCTTCTGTATGCAGACTAGCTTAAAGTATATATATATACTTTTTTTTATATTAAGGAAGTTGTACAAGATACTATAATAAAAATATAATTTTATTTAAGTAAGTTTTTATTAAAGTTAAGCCTAAACCCCTAACTAGCTAGCCCCCTGCAATAAAAATAAAAAATAACAGTATATAGCTATATATATAAGGACTTTAGAGCAGCTAAAAATAGCTTTTTTTAAAGCTTTTAATTAGCTTAAACTACTTAGACAAGGCCAGAGAAGCTAGAAAAAAAGAGAGAAATTAATGTATATATATACTAATTTTCCTACTACTATTCTAACTGCCTAAAAACTTATTTACTATATACTAAAAGGATGCTATAGCTCTTTAAAAATATATACTAAGGAAAAAAGTAAACTTTAAGGCACTTTAAATTTCCTAAGTAGCATTTAAAATTCTTAGATAGCTAGAATTTTTTTTTCTTTAACTAGAAATAAGGGGGTAAGGCAAATTTTTTATTAAAACTATATAAGTTACTGCTTAAGGACTTTTAATTAATTTTTAAGGGTATTACTAGGTACTTATTAAGACTAGGATTAAGCCCTTAAAGTTTTTAATAATAAAAATTAAAGTATTTAAAACGCCTGTATATACTTTAAATAGATTAAATTATATTTTTCTAGCGTAAAAATAGCTTTTAAGTTATTTTTAGTAACTTTACTTCTACTTTTTGCACCTTTAAGACAACTTTTAAGTTTTAATTTAACTAAGTTTTTAGTAAAAAACTTATAGCGGCGCAAGTTGTTTGCAGCATAGAGGGGGTAAAAGTACTAATATTAACTTACTTATATAGGCTTAAAAGTAAAATTTAAGTCTTTTTAGAACTATATACTAAGCTAGTACTTATAAAAAAAGTTATATATTGTAGTAAAAGCCCTTAAATAATTTTTAAGATTATAGGATAGGTCCTTTGCAAGCTTAAACTAGTTTGTAAAAAAAATTAATTTAAGTAGAATAATATAAATATAAAGCTTTTAGAAGCCTAAAATATTTATATTATTAAATATTTAAATTTTTTTTATATCTACAGCAACTTAATAAGTATTTCTAAAGGCCTAGATATATTTATAGAAGTCTTTTATTATGTTTAAAAAGTACCTAGTTTAATTAAAGAAAGCTTGTTTAACTTTTTTATGTAAAGCTTTAAGTAGAAATATTATTTACTAGCTAAAACTAGGCATATATTAGTATATATACTCTACCTATTTATATTTTAGGGGTATTATATAACTTTTTATATAGTTTAAGAAGGTTAGCGCGTAGTTAAAATATTCCTAAAAAAATATATATAAAGTATTAAACTACTTTTTGCTCTAGGCGTTTACTATACTATAAAAGTAGTATAAAAACTTTTTTTTAATATTTTTAAACTTTTTTTTTTAACTATAAAGGGCCCTATTATCAGCCTAAATCTTATTAATTTTAATTTTAAAGTTAGTGTTAAGGTGCTATAAACAGCTTTTAATAAAAATATTTTTAAAAGTTTTATACAGGCAGCGCTTTAAAGCCTTTTTGTTATTAGTAATAAAAATTTTTATAGTATGCCTAATAAAGTTTAAAAAATCCTTTAAGGCAGTTATAGCATTATTATACGCTTTTTCTTATTTATTTAGAAGGAGCGCAAAAGCTATATTAAAAGTTTAATTTATACTTAAGATTTTTATAATATAGAAAAGGGGCATATTAAAACAGTTTATTTTATATATATAGTTTATTATAAAGACGTTTAAATACTTTTATAACATATTTATAAAGTATAGGTAGGCTTAAAATAGTAAAATAAAGCAGCTAGAAAAATTTTAAGTAAACTTAATAAAGTATTTAAAGGGTGCGTTATTTACTTTAATTAGAAAATAAGGGTAAGGCTTATTTTTATAAAAATCCTATTAAAGCTTATTTTATAAAGTTTTAATTTTTAAGCAGCTTTTTAATTTTTTTAATTAGCACTTTGCTATATAGTTTCTAACGTCCTAGGGAAATACAAAAAAATGCCTTTTTTCTAGCTATAAGTAAACAAAGCCTAGTATAGCACTTAATTATACTTTATTTTTAATTATATAATTTCCTGCTTTATCCTAACTAGCTTGCTAGAACTGTAGGAAGCTATACTATAAAAATTTAATATAGTTATAGGTAAAGTTTAAAATTTTAAGCTTTTATATAAAAGTATTGTTTTTACTTTAATATAGTTAATGTAGGGTAGCTTTTTATTTATATATTTTTATTTTTGTGCTTATATCTTACCTACTAATGCCTTTACTATAAAAAGTATTAGTGTATTTTTAACTGTATATATACTATAGGCTAACTTAGGTAATTTTTAAAAAAAGTTTAAATTAAATTACGCATTTTTTTTGTACATATAAAATAAAAGCTGTAAATTTATAAAATTTATTGCAGAAAAATAAGTTTAAACTTTTTACTATTTAGTAGTAATTATTACTTTTAAGGCTTTTTAAGTATAATATAGCAGGATTAAAAATTGCAGAATTATTATTTAAGTTATATTAAGTTAAAAAAATATTATTACTTTAAGGCTAAGCTTTTAAGGAGCCCTTAAGTATTATAATTAATAATTTTTATATATTAAAAAGTAAGAGTTTTACGCGCATATATAAAAGTTAATAAAAAAAATTATAGCTTAGTAAAATAGTAATAATAATAATGTATTAAACCTGCTATACTAGCTACGCAACTATAATAAGTTATATTATAATTATAAAAATGCGCGCAATTAACTTAGCGCACTTTATTTAATAATTCCTAGCATTATAATATACTATAATAACTTACTATTAGTTTTGCAGCTAGTGCAAAAAGTAAATTATATTTAGTAAAAAGCAACTTTAGGCTAACTTTAGTAAGGTTAGCATTAAGTTTCGCAAAGCTAATAAGAATGCTAAAGTTAGAATAAGAAAATATACGTTATACTATTAATTTAAGCAGGTAATTATGTAATAAAAAACTAGTTTATTTTAAATTTTAATATTCTTGTTTATGCGTTTTATAAGATCTATAGGCTTTTATTAGCCTAGAGCTATTATATCCCCGGGCTCCGACGTTACTTTATTAGGATTAGTTAGTCCTCTGAATATTGGAAATGACCCCTCTGAATATGGTCCACCTATAATAAGCCGTCAACGCAAGCATCCATTGCCGCTTACCGGTAAGTGCTACCTACTATCCTGGTAACGGTCAAGATCAACAAGACAACGTCTTGCTATTGCTCCTCAATAAGCACAGACCAAATTTGTGGAAGTGGAGCAATATTCGTGGCATGGGCTGTGCTATTTTCGTTGCACAGTACAAGGGTAGCTGCTTCCTGCAGCGACGTTACGATAGGGCCTTAAAATGGAGCAATGCATATTGCTGCAGCAGGGCAACATGGAGGTTTTCTCGAAGTCAACTACATCTACTTGCGATGAGGACTGGTGGGGAAGCTGGCTTTGGGGATGAGCTAGAGAGCTCCCGACGTCTGATGGGTTAGTAGGGGTTATAGTTCCCTTTCGCGAATGTCATTAGCAGCAACCCTTGCGCGCATTCCTCACCAGCACGAAGAGCCATTCTTCACTCACGTTGAACTGCGGTATGTTCTGTAGACGCTCGATGGCTATGTGTTTACACCTCTGAGCGTAGAATGACGCTTATACCCCGCTGCTTACTCACGAAGCTTCACTTGTTGCTCCCACCTTGACACACCAAAAGCGACCGGCTTTGACTCGCCCAATATATGCCCCCAACCTTTGGAACTCTACCCCTGAAATGGCTTCCACCTCGAGTCCAAATAGCGCAGCTTTCGCCGACGTCCTACCAACCCCACCCGCTTCCTCTGCAGCGCCTTCACAGCATGCATCGCCTCTACCGCAACCGCGAAGACACCCGCTGAAGCCCGGCGGACCCAAAGAGAGTGAGCTGATCAGATATTTGGATCACGCCATCAATAGCATACAAAAGCGCGTGGATAACCGCGTCACACACAAGCAGGTCAAGCCCGCGCCCGGCCAAGAAGAAGGATACAGCGCGTTTTGGCAGGCTGCGAAGGACGTTGACGGGCTAGTGGATGTAGTATGGGTGTCTGGGTCGCGTATGTCGCGTCTCCTCATCCGCCCTCGGAGTATGAGAGTGAGCTAACATGTATGACCGTTGAGCAAACCTCCAAATCCCTTACCTACTCAATCTCGCCGTCCTCACGGTCGAATATCTCCGACTGTTTGGCTCTTCCACACGCTCTGCTCAAGCTACCTTCAGCCTTCTATCGAAACTAGACTATGCGTTCTCTTCGTTGCTCACGGGCAATGAAGCTACGACGGGCGAATCGCTACCTGGCTTCGAGGGCGGGCGTAGTGTATCCACAACAGACAAGGTTCGGTTAAAGGGCATCGTAGACCGCACAAGACTCGCCGTGGTACGCGTCATGAGTGGAGAGAGCGAGGCAGGCGATGAAGGGGATGGTGGCGAGCCTATGGACACCGATGCCGACGAAGAGGTGGACGCGGGTGGACGCAATGGCACAGTGATCTTTCCGGGTTTCGAAAATAACATAGAGGATGAAGAGGACGAGGATTGGGAAGAACGTAACGTTGGGCGCATATATGAGAAGACGATAGGAGAACTAGGAGACGTGTTAGGAGGCCCGCCAATTGGGATCATCACAGAGGATTGGGACGTCGAAGGAACAGGCCAGCAAAGACATGGTCAAGGTTTTGTGGAGTCGGGAGCCGAGTTTGAGTTGTGAAGCCGTATAACAAGAACCCACGGTCAATATCGATTTTCATAATATCGCTATTTATTTCTTATACTCGCTGTCACTTTTGTGTGAAGATATGGAATCTTGGAGCTAGAAAAAGCAATCGGCATGGCGGGACAGCTGATGATGGGATGACGCAGCAAATATTCGGGGAGCGAAAGTGGTGTACACGAGCGCGCAGGCTGGGCTGTAGTGATGGGGCGACGTGAAACGCTGTCTCTTCTTGGTCAGAACATGGTTTGCATCCGTGGGATATGCTACAAAGGCCGCGGCCGTCAGAGGGGGGATTGGGCGGGAAAGAGCCTGCTCTTTGGCTCTAAGCTTGGAAGAATGTTGCGAAGCTCTCCAGAACTGCCCACCCTAGGGCCTTCTATTGTGCACCATCGGGAGGGGCGCTCAATCCGTGCCTGCCATGCCTCTACACCAAGTCACGCGACCACGCGTCCGAATGGTACCCCGCCAAGCTCGACATAGACCGAATGGTCCCATCGTACTACGTCAACCGCCAACTGTCCATGCACTATGCCAAACCTCCAATGCTTCCGAATGATGTAACAATTCCGCTAAGCACGTACCAATCGCCCTGCAAGTATGCCCACTTACTACGCCCGCGGCGTCTCGGCGCACCTAGGCGCAATGCCTCTTGCGGATACCATTACACACAACATGGTGCTAAGGAAGGGCACTGTGGCTCGGCAGCAGTGCGAGGCTGCGGAAAAGAGGCTGCTAGAGAGCAAGCATCTCACGGAGGAGCGTGTTTTCTTTCCTGGAGACGAGGCTGCCTTTGAGCTCAATTGGCTGGGCAATGCGCCGTTCATGCAGGTGCAAGCTGGCAGAGACCTATTCCAACCGACAGATGAGAAGGGCAACCTCGCATTGAAGTCTCACGACGGCAAACCCAGAGCTCTCGTACTTCACGTCCAGCTGTCCAACAAGACTTTCGCCTCAGGTATGGACAGCATCAGAACGCAACTCAAGATTGACGTCTTCTTCAACGGCCAGCTCTCTAGCTGCTTATTTTTCCCCATCCATGACGTGCGCTCTGGTGCCAAGTCAATTCATCAGGTCTTTGCTGGCACCCGCATCGACTTCCTCGCAGAGCGACCGTGGGTTGTACTGCCGCCTGGTGTCACCGCAGACGGCAACATGCGAAGGGTCAACAAAGTATCGTCTGCACAACAGCGATGGCAACAAATCTGCCAGGCACTGCAGAACGAATCAGATGAGCGGGGCAAGGACAAAGCTGGCAGTATTTCCCCAAGTGCGGAGTTCCTGACCGCTCTAGCAAATATGCAGATGCCAGCGCAAGTGAGAGAAATGCAGAAGCCGGATGGGAGACAGTTTGGCGTCATCGACCTAGTCATCTCCGCTGGTAACGGTAGGAAGGTCACCAGTGGTACGAGCTATCTAAAGGCGCCGCAGAGACTCGCAGATGAGAACTACCCGTTCTCGTTTGGGAGCGATGGCGCCATGAAACAGTTATACGTACCCCGAACGGAGCGAGACTACAACGAAGATGAAGCAAGAGAGTCTGCGGAACCAAGTCCAGAAATTATCGATATCGATGCCGAAAGGGACAGCGATTCGTGTTATGAACCTCAACCCAAAGGGCGGGCTTCAACGCCTAACGTGCTCTCGATGCAGTCTGTGCCTAAAAATTCGACTCTAAAGCTCCGGAGCAATTCGTTCATGAGCATGCAGGTACCAGCGATGCTTCCACCAAACCAGAGTTCGCCTTCGCCCGCTGCAAGAGATGAACATCAAAGATATACGTTCTCCACGATCCAAAATGGTGGTCAGACTAGATTATCTTCATCTCCCGAGCGCATTCGGGCGCACAATGAGGACCAAGATGCAATTGTTCGCGCTAATAGCACTCCGCAAGCCCTCTACTCTGAACCGAACTCTGGTTCTACTTTCGCCCACACTCCGCATATGCGTGCGTCGCCCGGCAGCCTCCAATTTCCTAACCCGGTTCTAGGTCAAGGTTCACCTAGCGACTTGATGAACCTTATGCCGTTGGGTAGTGGAGGGCCAGTGTCGAATTCAATTGACTCTCACATAACACCCCTTTCCCGCTATCCTACTCCCTCGAGTCATAGTCGAATCAGTATTGGCTCACATTTTCATGCACCTAGCCTGTCGCCTCATACGCCACCATATTTCGGTCCACATGGTATGATACCATTTACCGGATTTTCATTCCCTCCGCCGCCCTATAGCCGATCCGCTACACTGTTACCACCCAAAGGCCTGTATACTGTGCCTACCAAGCCAAAGACTAGAATATATTCGCCAAAAGGCCCACGACTCATCGATCAGGACAACGCTCGGTCAAGCATTCTGGTCAATCGGCTCGTTGTCACAGGAAAGAATGGGGCCACTCTCGTGGACCACCGCTGGTCTATTGCACAGCGCGTAGCTGTTCATTGGGACGCCTCTAATGCTGATCAGTCTCCTGATAGGGCGTGTCTTAGTAGTAAGGAACATCCAGTAAGGTCAACAGAGCATGCTGAGCTTGCCATTGGAGTTCGCCGGTCGAGGAGAGGCACTGTCCAGATGCCTCCTCTGCCGCCAACTTGTCCAGTAACAATGGACAACGCTAGTCCTCATAAGCGATTACGAAATACTACTGGTGACGAGCAGACCCAAAAGCGACAAAAACTTGAAGTAGCCGATCTTGCACTTACGTCTGTCCCAAGCAAGCAATCTTCGTCGAACATATATAACGCCACTGTCGGGGATATCAAGTTGTCCGCCCCAAATGTGATGGCTACTTCTCTAAAAGTGACGCGGCCGGCGCCACAACGTTGTACAGCTACCAGCACTGGCATTCTCGGTGTTCAGGGCCCTAAAGCGACCCCGTTCTGGCTTGAAGACCCTGAAGTCGTACTGCGAGAAGCAGCAAGATTGCGGCGGTCGATGTCTCCTACTAAGCGAAAGACCGAATCTGCAGTTGTACCTCAGTCAAAGCCCTCAGCACCTGTTCCGAGTAGCATGGGTGCGTCAGAGAAAGTTCCGTCCTCTCCTCTCTCAAGTGCGCCTACTACACCCGACCCTGAAGTAGTTCATGTACTAAAAAACGTGTCTGCCGAAGTCGCTACCCTATCGCCTTCCAATACTGCGGCTTCAATAGTGCAGGTCGATGCCTCACCTAAGCGAAAGACTGCTCCTACGCTACCTCGCACCCCACAATTCGATTCAAAGCTCACCTCTACAGCAACACGGCAACTTCAAGCCCAAGGCCCAACCACACCAAAATCTTCGCCCTCACGCAACACCAAGGAGCAAAAGACCTTCAAGCGCTATATGCCCAAACAGCCCCGAAGCCCAGATCGTCTGAAGACAGTGGACAACCCGCCACTCAACACAGATTGCGTGATTGCATATGCGGAAAGTGAGGACAAGGATAGTAAACGAGGTGTGCTGAGGCAGGTCAAGGGTGAACGACAGGGTGTATTCCAGGAGGAGTATGTCGTCTTTGCGACGAGATTCTTTCTTGCTGGGGAGTAGATATTCCATAGGCCACAGCAAGAGAGGGGCGAGAGAAGTGTGTATTATGGAGCTGCTGGCATGTGATGGACGCATGAAAGCGTCGTGTCCCGGATCATGTTTGATCATGTGCTATGACAGCATAAGAGGAGAATGTAAAATACTGCTGTGCTACTATTCGCACACAGCGAAAGCATCTTGATACGAGACAGCAGCAACTGAATCACACGTATAGAAGACTTGTTCAGAGAGATATTGTATTGGTTACGCAATGAAGCGTTTCCACGTCATACACGTTGCACGATTATACATTAACGACCCCAGAACCCAAAACCTCCCAAGCCGTAAAAAGAAAACCCCTAATCAAACTTGTATACGGGAGGGATAATAGGCTTTACAAAGTACTAAAACTACACACGTCGTTTGGACTCGCACTTCCCTAGACCGCGTTCATCTGAAGCGGAGAGGTCACGACCAACCGTTTACACAATAGCGGGACCAGTAGGACCAGTATGCGGTACAGTGGTAACGGGATGCTCAACACCACCAACACCACCACCGACGCCGCCAACGGGCCTGGAAGCATGATGCTTATCGGACTCGAAAGTGTTGTTCGTGTGGTGAACGTTCGTGTGGCGGTGCACATCGTAGAGCCTGGTCTCAAGAAGCGTGCCAACGAGGCTCGTGAAGCTAAAAGCGCCATCCGTTAGCCTCTCATCCACTTTATCTCAAGTTCAAATCGAGGAATGCTTACAATGCGATGAAAGCAAATGCCGCCAACGTCTTCTTCAGCGCGCACTTGTCCACGAAAGCGGGCGAAAAGAACAGGCACCTGTCTCCTGCGTAGTCCTGGGCTGCAAAGATGAAGGCCGTGAGCCACAGGTAGGAGAAGATCCATGCAAGCGGGGCGAGATAGCCCTTGTAGGTTTTGACTACGGGAAGGGCTAGGGCGGGGAGGTAGAGGATGACATCGAGGGCGGCCTAGAATTGACGGCGTTAGGAACATGTTTGCTTGGAGTTTTGTGAATTTTGGGAAGGAGGGATTGGGGCACATACAATAGCAACCCAGTACACAAGATGCGTATTCTTCCTAAAGTCGTGGATCAAGTATGCCGAGATGCCCAGAACGATGAGCGAGGAAATCCAGTGGAGGATATGGTTGGCGAGGAGGAGCGGGCGGTGAAGGGTATTCGATCGAGCAGCGGGAGCGCCATAGTCGGTCGTGGCGTTGTCGTGAACAGCGGGAGTGTTGTTGTTGTAGTTCGCCGTGTTGTTTCCACGAGCCGCCCTGGATTTGAACATGTTTTCTTGATATGTTCTGTTTCTGGGTAATTGTTGTGTATGGGGAGGTGTTGTGGTAGTGGTGGTAGTGGTGTGGTAAAGGTACAGCTCAAGTAGATACAGGAGGGGGCTGAAGACGGATAAACGTTTGCACCAGAGATGGAAGCAGCGTTGCGACGGTGAGAGGTGGAATGCACTTGTCGTCTTTATACTGGAAAGCACGCGTGCAACGATACTGTCACGGTAAAATATACGTACGTGGTACAACCAAGCTTTGATTACCTGCTAGAGCTGTTTGCGTCAAGATCCGCGGACGTTCACGGCCAAGTCCAACCACAAGTCCAATCTTTCCTTGTTAATTTCCTCCTCCTCACTCGTCACCAGACTGCATCGATATGATTCTCCCTCGATAAGGGAGTCGTCACTCTCGTCGTGGTTGGTGCTTGCCAGGGATGTGTGGCGGTTTGAGGCTCGCGATTGGTGGCGCATGGCGCATTCCTGCCCTTTGACATGGCAACGACCACCAAGTCGGTAAGGGAGAAATGTGCTGGCAACGTCGACGCACGCTTGCGCACCAAGGGTTCGAGGATGTGATAGCGTGCTCTGCCAGCTGACATTTGGGGAGTATATGATTTGCTGTTGTGTTTGCATGTTGCTTGAAGCGGTCTTCGACGCCACACCATGACCTTAGCTGTTGACTACGAGCTCCGGTGCCGCACCTGCTATGTGCAAAGTAATGTCTACATGCTGGTCCCTGGGCGTCGTTAAAAGTATGACAGCTGTACCTGCAGTCTCGACATTTCTAGGCACTCCCATGATTTGTTTCAAGAAAAGTTAAGCTCCTGGAATAGGGTAACTACTGTTCCGCATTCAGCGTACTGGGTTTGATATGACGACATAGCGAGCAAGTCCCGAGTCTAGCCACACTTGAAATGCGGGGAAGAAGATAGTACAAGAGCATCTCCAGCTAGGTGTGTTGCTCAACGGACTGCCATGCTGCCCACCAATCTGTATGAATTTGCCGCATCCAAGGTTGATAGATGAGGTCATGGAGGTATGCTTTCATACTATTCAAGTCGATGCTGGGGATGTGGAAGATAAGAGCTGTCTTCTCCAGGATCTCATCTGTCCACGCCTTGAACGCCTACACGTTGACCTGCTTGTACCGCATTGCAAAGTGCAGAGAATTGCCTGTCCAGTCATTAGCATACTTCCACCCAATCAGACGAAACATCGACTTGAAACAGAGCGTGTGTATCAGACAAGTTGAGAAGATATAAAATGCTGGTTGAGAAAGCATTATCCCCGCCTCCACCGCTGTCCAACTGCAAGCAGTAGACAAAGATGGAAACAGGAATTCATATGGCCCCAGCGTATGTCATCATAAAGCGAAAGAAGACGGGGATAAGACGGGGGCTAGTACTTACTGAGATGGTAACAGAGGTGAAGAAGACAGCCTCCAAGCGAACTCATCAGAGTGCGAGAAGACAGTCGTCTACGTACTGCGATCTGCAACGCCTTCCTGCACGCTGCTACATTGCATGCCCCAAAGAAGCGAGACCAGACGCCCAGACAAAGTCGAAAAAGGATATCCGAACAAGTCCGCGGACCGCAATCTGTCCAAAACAGACCAACACAGCGTTGTGGGAAAAGGCAGGCTTGGCTTGGCCATGGGCTTGCCTAGTGGCGCAGTCCGTCAGTGTAGTGTCGTGATGGACAGGACGGCTGGACCTTGTGATCGGTACCCCGAGGCGGGATTGGGTTGGGTTTGGTGGGTGGGTTCCCTCGTTCCCTCCCTCTCCCCTCCCCTCTTCGCGCCATGACTCCGCATGACGCAGGATCTAGCGGGAATTTTCATATCGTATCACACCGTTCGCAGCTTTCTTACCCCCCGTTTCCCACATGCTGGGGTCCGTCCTTCGCACAACATATAGCCTGGCCGGCTGACTGACATGTGCGTAGCATGGAAGGCTTAGCGAGCGAGTTGCAACGAAGGAAAACTCGTAGAAGTGAAAGTGTGATTTGGGTGCGGGTCGTGAGGCCGCTGATCGCGTCGAGAAAGCGTCGCTTGTCCGGCTTCTAGTCGACTCTGTCCAAACTAGCGAATGGGCACTCGATAAGGCCGCACTCTCCCCCAGTTGGCGTGAGGCTGCTCGCCGAGGTTGACCGCAGGGCAAGTCTGCCAGCCGGGAATTCCAGCAGGACGACTGGCGACGGATCGTAGACGTGTTAGGCAGGAAACGCATCAAAAGTGCGACCGAAGGAGGACCGGCGTATATGATGTGGATATTGGAGGCCTTCGAAGGTCCCTCTTTGTACCTTGCTCGCCTCAGCCAAAAGCCTGGCGTGGTTGTCGACGCATGTGCCTGAGTGCTGGTGCAGCAAGCGAGGCGTTTTGTTGTTGGAAGAGCACTGAGATTCGGTTGCGAAGCGGAAAGAAGGCGCACGGCAGGAACATGGCGCACGGTAAGCTAAAGCCGAGCCAACGAAGGGGGTCGTCGTGGTGGGTCTGCCGTTCTCTTTGGCACTGGTCTGGTACTGGTCGGGCTTGATCTTGAAGGCGAAGCTCGAATAATGTTGGAACCCCTTGATATGCCTCCTCCCCCCTGGTGCGTGTCTATCAAAAGGCAGGCAGCAAGGCACATCCCGCCCAAGGGGCACGGGAGATATGCTCGGCCGACCCAATGCGCCGGCACCACCACCACCACCACTATGCCCACCACCACATGCACAGCAAAGCACACACACACACACACACACCTTCTTTTGCCCTTTTTCCCTTTCCCCCCCGCCAAAATACGGCCTCACTCGCTGAGCTCATCAAAATGTCTAGCGAGTCAGGCCCCGACTAGGCCCTCCACTTTGTTGATTCGCACTCTTTCAGCTCGACCTGCGTGATGCTGCTGCTGCACCTCCGCTCTCTATCTCTCAAAGGATCAGCCCAGCATCCTGGAGCACGAGCATGGGAAGAATTCTACGCGCCCCGTTTGCTTGCTGCCAATAACATCTTGCTTTGACCGCCTCTTTCACAGTCCATGGTTTGAAGATCAGCATTCAACGCGTGCAGTGATGCATGATCCATGGCTCCCGTCAGGGATTTTGGCCACGACGCGTGGCATTATTGCCGTGTATATCGCGCGGCTATTGGTTCGAGACGCTATATTGGATATGATTTTTTCCCTCTTTTTACTCAAGTCCGCATAGTGAGGCGACCCATGTCGCTGGTGCTGTCAAGGAACAAAGTAGGGTATATTTCCAGCTAGTATATACTGTGCAGACTATGTTCAGAATCAAAGGACATCAATGGTCCGAGACGCTTCGCTAAAAGCACAAATTGCTCGCAATATTAAAAGCGCCAACGGGCAATGCAAGAAGGCACTAGGCCTCCGAATCGTCATGCAATGCCAGCCCAACCGTCGTCGCAACGTGGTGGAAAGTACCAGCAAGCGTCAGTCCATGTGATGCATAACGCCGCCAACTCGCTCAGAGTAATATCTCTTCCCAAAATACACAGAGGCCGTTTTATCGCAAGAAAATGGAGGTATCATGTTGCCGAATATGCCAAAACGCCAGACGACGGGGATAGCCGCCTAAAAAGTCCATTTTTTCCAGTACCGCAATATGCGCCAGTAGAAGGATATATCAACGTGTTTGGTAAACGTTGCTGAAAACAGGGATTTGGGTGACCGTGGGGAGAGGGGACGGGGCGATGAGCCTCTCCCCTCGTGATCCAGTGACCCAAGGTGTGATGCTAGCCATGTCTCTTGCTGATTGCACAAATCCGGCAAAACGCATCTTGTCCGGAATGTACGGTATTCATCGAGTAGTCGTATCGAACGTGGCTCACCGGAACATGGTAGACTAACCGACGGGGGCGGCGCGAAAAGGGGCTGCATCGGGCGCTGTGCAAGGCAAACACGGTCAGGGGAAGGGTATTGGTAGACAAGGTCCTACAAGGACAACACGACTTCACCCAATGCACTACTGTTGGGGCCGGCGGGCAGTCCAGATGTGTCTGTAGAGCAAGGGGTCAGTATTGGGGCGGGTAACGTCAATGAATTGGTACAACCGGGCGAGAGGGATGACTTACATATTGTTGTACGCATGAATTTTGCGGTTACATATCTCTCTACGAACTTGCTCAAGCAGTGGTTTGACATGTGCGTTGAGATCCCACTGGTAGACTCTTGTGAGAGGTGCGTAGCTTAGTGCGTCCAGGCCCTCGGTTATGCCCAAGTTGTACCACCTGCCGATGTCCTTTTGGTGCGGGTCATTGGGCCAGGCATTGTAGGGAACGCGAATGACCGTCTCCTGGATATCGATGAAGCCGGCCTGCTGCAGTAGCTGACGGGTGCGGTGCTCGTATGCGATGGGGCGGGAAACTCGATTTGTCGCGTCTGCTAGCCACCGGTACCACTTGGTCAGCATGCTGTCCGGGGACAGCGTGTAGTCGTCGCAGCGCGGCTCCATGTCGATTTCAACGTGCTCTATCCAGCCCGTGCCAGGTTTCAAGTGTCTGTCCCCCCCAGTTAGCTTCGGACAGGGTGGCTTGTGCAGTCAAAGTTGGTTGCTTGCTTGCGAGTTGGGTTTTGCGTACGCGTAGATTTTCTGGTAGAGCTCTGGCCAGCTCGTGACGCTGCCGCAGGCCATTCGCAGGTGGATCATGTCCCAGGACTCTTCGCCTAGTGTCCATGGGCTCTCGTAGTCGCGTGGTACACGGAATCGCAGGTTCGGAGGAATTCTGCACGGGCGCAACGTCAGTTGTCTGGGCCTCGGGGCAGGCAAGGGCAGGGGGCGGCTCACTTTTCTGGCTGAATGTTGACCAAATCCAAGCCTAGGACCTGCAGAGTTCACGTCAGCCAGCTGTAGGAGCAAGCCAATGCGGCACATGGGAGGGAGCGCACCTCGGCGTTGAGGTATTTGCTGCACAGGACACAAGTTGGTTAGCTTGGCGGGTCACGAATGGCAGGCTGCGGAACGCGACTTACTCGGCCATGTCTATGGCCCAGATACCCGTCCCACAACCCACATCGAGGATGCGGGGCTCCCATTGTTGCGGCAGGGGCGCCTGGTGCAGCTGGTCTCTCCGTGCTACGGCAAACAATTTGTGGTAAATGTCCATGCGGTCCTTTTCCGGCTATGTGTCGCGTCAGCGGAGAGCGCGAGGGCGAGTGCGGGCGAGTAGTTTGTGTGCGTGCCTACCTCATCGCAGGGGTACATGTAGAGGCCTCTTCGGTAGCCATGATACAGACGGCCGTTTTCCAGGTAGTTTGTGTTTTGGGCGGGCACGGGCAGTCTGGGTCGCGGGTTAGCCGTCTGTGGAGCCCATTGCACTCTTTTTTTTTTTGCTTTTTGCCGTCGCCATTCGGGGCTGCGAGGAGGCCAAAACGGACAGTGGAAGGTCGCACGGAGCGGGGAGGACTGGTGGGCTACTCACCCATTCGATGCCATCGTAACCATTGGAACCTAGGTGCTCTGCAGAGGGGCCTCTCGCGGGCGGCGGGCACGTCGAGTAATAAATTCGCAGCTCAGCCGGGACGTGGTCATGAGACTTGGACGGCAAGCAGTAGGTTGCTGGGGGGGGCTCGTCGCGGGCGGCAGACTAGTAGGAAGCGTCGCGGGTTGGGGTTGGGCGAGGCGGCGGTTGGCTATATGCGGTGCGTGGGGGGGAGAGAAAGAGAGAGAGAGAGAAAGAAAGAAGGGAGAGAGGTGGGTGGGTGGGTGATTGATTGATTGAGTGAGTGAGTGAGTGAGTGAGTGGTGGAGCCGGGTCGGATTAGTCGAGACGGATTGCTGGGTGGGTTGGTTCGCACGTCAAACTTCTCAACCAAGGCTTTCAGGCAGACGTGTCAGGCATCATCACATCGGGGGTAGACAGGCAGGAGGAGAGCGGCGCGCGCGAGGTATTTAAGAGCGAGCCCCCTGCAGAAGGTCGACGGTAGGGTAGTAGTAGACCAGCCAGAGACAAGACAAGACAACGAGGGCTGACGCTGGCGTGCTTGGGTGGGCGGCCACAAGGCGGCTCGCTCCACCCTCCTCTGGGCCTCTGGGAACCGCCCGCAGAGAGAGAGGCAGGTTAGGGAAACGGGGCTAGGCTAGGCGGAAGGACGAGGGGAGGGGGAGCGAGCATTAACACGGGTGCTATTACTATAACCCACAAGCCTTCAGTCCCCTGCGACTGGGCCCTCAAGCCAAACCAGCCGCTCCACGCTCGGAGCTGGGCCCAAAGCGGCAAGGCGGCTCACCCAGGTCCATTCCACCGGATTCGCCTTTACCCCTCGCTCGGGTGGGCAGGGCGCGTGTTTGGTGGGCAAGACGCCGCGCTGACTGGCTCACCGACCCCCGGGCAGTGCAGAAGAGGCAGGCCGGGAAGTGCCAGCGTGTGTGCCCCCTCGACGTATGCCGTGGACAAGAGAGTGCGTGCAGCCAGTCGACTGTGCTGTGCTGTGCTGTGCTGTGCTGTGCTGTGCTGTGCTGGACAAGGTGGACAAGGTGGAGCGTCGTGCGGGATTCCTCGAACCATGCCGTCGGTCATGTCGTCTGTGCCTCTCCCACTGCCTACTGGCTGATGAACTCCCCCCGCCCTCTGCTGTCCTGATTATGCCCTTCTCACCGCTCAGAGTCCCGTCCCTCGTCATGCGCATCACCCGCACCAATGCCGTCGTCGGCCTGAGCCAAAAAGGCAAGCCAAGTCATTCACCAACCGCGTGGGAACAGCGACACAGCAAGCAAGCCCTGCCACCGTTCCCGCCAATGCGTCGTCGCTCCACATTATTCGCCCAATGTGTCCATACGCAGGGCACTTCCATGCTCGTGGTAGACCAGGCAGTGGCCACACAAACACACACACACTCTCTCTCTGTCTGTCTGTCTGTCTGTCTGTCTGTCTCTCACACACACACTTCTGCACCAGCGCGTCGCCGACCCCTCGCCGCCTTCCCAGTTGGTCTTGGCAACCCCAAACCTACATGGCCCTCCATGTGCGCATATCGCCAGGGACGCACATAGCAGTCGGCACACGGTGCCCTTTTGCGCACAAGACCGAGATGATAGCACCCTAACCTGCATCGGAGAGCCATCATATAGCGATACCTTCCGCCCTCCCTAGCAGCAAATCAATCCTACACTGCTTACGCGAGACGCCCGCTCTAGTGAATATTCCCCCATCATCGCTGGGACGGAGCATTTGCCCGCTCCCAGACGAGCGTTATGAAGCGTTGCATACGCAAGCCGCTTCACCATCACCTGCAGCCAGGTGCCTTTGCCGGGATTGCACGGCGGGCGGGTCGACGTTTGCAGCCTGGTGGAAAGTGACTGCAGAGAAGACGGTGATTCGGCTCTATAACACCGAGTACTTGGGCTTGCTTATCATCATGCTTTCTAGGGTACAGTACTGTACTGCTGCAACATGGAGCTACCATGTCTGTCTGTTGCAGAGCGGGATTGGTCGCCCTTCAGCCTGGAGATGACAGGGTTTTTCGCCTAGAGATGCCAGCTTTTTCAGCCTAGAGATGCCAGGTTTTTGAGGCTTGCAGGTAGAGAGCCAACACGCTACGTCTTCCACGATTGGTCAAACTCAGCCTTTGACTTCTTTCAGACAGCGATGCCTGAGTCGTAGGAATTCCCGACGGAGTGGTTCTCAGCCAGGATCATGCGTGTTACGTACGCCATGACTCCAATTGCCGTATTCCCCAGTTACCGCTGAAAATGTTGCGGTGCCGTGTGGGCCATCAGACGGATTGCGAACAGAACAAATGCTTCCCTACTTGGCTGACTACCGTCCAACCAATTGATATACAGTTGAAGCCGGAATGCCGTGATGGAATGGTGTAAGCCTCTTTCGGCGTCAACTGAAACCTGAGGTGCTGGACGTGGGGTGAGCTCGAAGGCCTTGAAACAGGCGCAGCGTGCATCAGCACTGCTATCGCGATCCGCGGCAGTGTCAAAAGCGCGAATAAGTCAGCTGCATTGCCGCGTCCCGATGATGGAGTTAGCGTGGCAAAGAAAGGCGCCTGTTCCGGCCACGACCCAGCCAGGCAATGGGAAATGCAACGTCGTAAGCATCGAAGATTGCAAAGTAGGATTTCAGGCTGAGATGATGTCGAGGGCGACAAGACGCGTGCGGGGCTGGCGAGACAACAAGGCATTGTCAATTGAGAGAACAGTAGACCTGGCGGCCGCTAGAAGAGTCGCGAGCCAGAGCGCCGGGTGGGCAGGGGCAGCCCTGGCTGTATCAGCATTAGGCATTAGGGCTCTTGCGTGGTCCGTATGAAACACGCTGCTGCGTTGCTGTCCCGACGGCTCGGTGAGCCACTGTGCCTTGAAATGAAAACAATGCAACACAGTGCAGCAGGAAAGGAACCGGGTGTGACTATGCAAGAAATGTGCATTCATCAAGACAGAGTGCCGGGTGCCGCCATGGGCCACGGATCAAGATTCTACCGGCCAACCCTGATCACACTGTTTCTCTTACATTACAGGCATCGCTGGCCCTCACAAGCTCGTCACATCAAACTCGAAAGGTGTCCACACAACCTTGGAATCGACTCTGCTACACAGCCGACTAGCCTCGTACCAGCGCCACAAAGCGCTGTCGTCTTCTAGAACAACCCAACGTCCCAACTACATGGTCGGACCAAATTTTAATTAGAGTTTGAAACCCGAAGGCGCATGCAATGCTACGCCCACTGCCATTTCTCTCTTATCCACCTCAAGACATACACCAGGCCGACGAGGACTGGCACCTCGATCAACGGCCCAACTGTACTTGCCAGCGCCTGTCCGCTTCCCGCACCATACACGGCAACTACAACGGCAATGGCAAGTTCAAAGTTGTTGCTCGCAGCCGTGAAGCTCTGTGTACAGCTGACCTTGTATCCGAAGCCCATCTTCCAGCAAAACCACACTGTGCCCGTGAACATGACGAGGAAATAGACCACTAACGGCGCGCAAACACGTAGCACGTCGGTAATTTGCCTAACCACATGCGCACCCTGGCTTGCAAAAAGCACCATGATAGTGTAGAGTAGCCCAATGAGGGAGAAGGGCGCAATATACCGGATGAAGCGCCGCTGATATCGGTCTTCCCCCAACAATCTCCTCAACACCAGTCGTGTCAGTACTGCCGCGCCGACCGGAATGCCCAGGAACACGCCTACACTCTGTGCCACGCCCTCATACGAGACAGTCGTCTTCCCCCCATGACTGACAATCTGCACGTAGAAGATGGCAAAAGGCGCAAAAAGCACAATCTGCAGAATCGAGTTGAACGCCACGAGCACGGCGCAGTAGTCCCCATCTCCTTGCGCGAGATCCGTCCAGATGAGGACCATGGCAATGCAGCGCGCCACTCCCACAAATATCAGCCCTTCGCGTAGGTCCTGGCGGTCCGGTAGGAAGGCCCAGGCGAGTGCAACCATGAGGAGTGGCGCGATGATCCAGTTCAGGACGAACGAGACGATGACTTGAATCCACAGCTCTTTTGATTGGAGGAGTAGATGTAGCGTTTCGTAGCGGACTTTGCAGAGGATAGGGTACATCATGACAAGCAGGCCAATTGCTGTAGTAGTAGTTGTTTAGTCGTGGTGAAGGATCTTGGGAAGCTAGAGCAGTACGTACCGATCGGGATACTAACACCCACAAACTCGCCTTTTTGCAATGCAGGTCCAACAGAATCGACCGTGTTTCCCAGCGCAATGCCAATGCCCATGGCAAGAATAATCCATACTACCAGGAATCGATCTAGGAACGAGAGGCCTTTCAGCGGCGGAAGTGGAGCATCTGAGGAGAAAGATTAATTTCCATTTCAGGAAGACTATGCGAGACGTTACCTGTGGCGCAACACTCTGCCGCCTCCTCCTGCTTTCCGCCTTCTTTCTCCACGTCATGGTTCGCTCTGCTATGCGCATGCTGTTCACCTGCCACCGCACCACGTTCAATCGTGTTCATCGGATGCTTTTCGAGAAATACAAGACGGATGTTGTACCATTTCTTTTTCCCTTGTGAGGTCAGGCCTTTAAGCCAGAAGCTAAACATGTCGACGTCCAATCAACGTCGAGCAGTGACATTCTTTTGCCAAGGCGCTAGGGTGGCAGAATAGCGACCGCCATCATGAGAGGCAATGATTATCCGTGATATATGTGGGACTACTGAGTGTACTGAGTGAACAGAGATAAGAATGATCGATGGTATATCCCCGAGCTGCCTAGTTCTATCTATATAGCGAGGCGGATGCTCGCGTAAGACACTATCAAGAACTGATTAGACATGCGACGAAAGCTACTGGAAACAACCAGATTCAAGGCATCGAGATTGCCCATGTAAGCACATGGATGTTGCAAATGTATTTGCAGGAACTCACGACTAACTCCCAATCCAGCGAATATCCCGAGTTCCCAGCTGCCCTCTACCTCCAAGCTACCGTGTCTCGGATATGACCGCTCCGATATAATAATGTGCTGAACATTCGGTTAGTGATTCGAGCCGTCTCCTTCCTTTAGTCACAGTCCCCACCTCTGACCGCGAATTGCTCTCCCCGCCACGCGCTGCTTCTTCCGTGGTGCTGGCATCCACTCTCTCCCTTTGCACTCGGGCAGCTAAATCCTCGCAGTATCCCACATTCAATGCTCCGATTATCTCTCGATCGCGATTACTGCTCTTTCTCCTAGGATATCACCCTCTTGACGTTGTTGTCCTACGTATTCCCCGAAAATCTACGTAATTTCCGCACTCAAATGGGGTCTGATAGCTCGCAAAAAGCTTCTTCTCGAAATCTCCCTTAGTCTGTCTAGTGCTCTGAAAACTCTCTCTTGATGACTGATCCCAGCCACTGCATACTCCGCCTCCTTTCCTTCCGCAATGGCTCGGCGTTTGTTTTCCACATGGCAATTGTAGCTTCTCGACACAGAGGTCCGCCATCTTGCTCGTCGGCGTCGTCGATCAGCGCGTAGTCATCATCGATGATCATCCTGTACTGCCGGTCGATCGTAGCCTCGTGGGTGGATGGCGTTTTCCAACGTGGCTCAGAGGATGCGCACTGGAGGTATGTCATAGGCGCGAACACGCGCGAGAAGGTTGCAAGAACGAGGGCGAAGAGCTGGTGGCGGGCGATGAAGGCATTACGGTACTGTTCGTCACGCTCGATGTTGGCATGTCGCGAGTAAGGTAGAGCTAACATGATGCTGCGGCACGTAGCGTCGAATATGCTCGGGAGGATCAAGGACCAGTTATAATAGTGGACTTTGTGTAGACGCGATGTCTCCAAAGGTGATGTGATGGATGGTTAAGTGGGCAGGATATTGGTAGTTTGCTGTAAAAAGTGGATGCTTTGACGGGAACACTAACTATTTAGAAGACTGGCATCCATTTATTTCATTGCAAGTTGCAAGCCCATGCCCAGCCATGCCGAGCCAACCGAGACTTGACGGGGTATTAGCGTGGCGTGACCCTCAGCAGCGAACACTGGGGTAAACTCTCGACACGTTGGACGGAAAGGCATCAGAACACCCAACAATCAACATGAAATAGAACATTATCACCCGACGCATACGAGCACGCGCTACGAGACGAAACGTATACACGTTGCGAGTGGCAATACGAATGGCGTGATTGCACCGCAATCGCCCGGTCGCGCCACCAGAATCTTCACAAAGCACCGAATCCACCCGGACTGTAATTCTCCGACAGGGGTCCAGACAGCGTTCTCGAAGAGGCGGTATACCATGTGTCCAGCTCGAGATTTCTCCTGTGCCTCATGCTAATGCGCACTTGGGCAAACGCGACGCGACTAGCTATGCACAAGTGCACTTTTTCTGCTCGCCACTTTCTCCACTCTCTCCACTAGAAGGAATACGAGCACACACAATCCGTTGACCGCTCCTGCCCCCCGTGGGCTGGGCGCAGGTACATAAACAGTAAATCCATTGCTCTTTCATTCAATTCATCATCATCATCAACTCACACAACTATCAATCAATCAGTCAATCAATTCAAGACAATTCCCACACGCACAGCAATCATTTCAAGATTGCTACCATCTCTCCACCGCAAAAAAACACTTTTCAACCCCACAACACCATGTCCGCTACTGTCAAAAACACGCCTATGACCGCGGCCGAGGAAGCCTTTGAGCTCGAAAAAGCCGCCATTACATCGTACGAGCAGGGCTGGGACCGCTGGGACGGACCCGTATGGCCAGTAGGTTATGTCCAGTGCAGAATGCGTAAGTAGCCCACCGGTTCTTGGTCCTCTTTTTCCTTCCCTAGAGTCTTGAACTGACAGGCATGTGCAGAAGCCGATGGTTATCGTAGCGTGCCTTCGACGCCCATGACCGAGGATGCACCCCAGCTTCTCGAAGACATTATGCCCAAACAAGCTTTGCCATAGAGGAACGGGGACGGGCCCTGGCTTGCTTGCTTACTCGTTTGGCGATACACATTACACTCTTCTCATCATGTCTGCGGAATCTTCTCCGTATATGACTCTGGCATGGTTGGGTAAATGGATACATAATTAATACGGCATCGGAACTTGGTATGTTGGTACATTGGAAACTGGCGTTTTGAAAAACTGGGCAATGGCTACTCAGGATGTAAATACTTGTGGCGGAAATGATAATAACGATTTCAAATGCAACATCGTCCATTCTGAATACTTGTGTTGTTGGTATATCGGAACAGCATCGTTCATACTGAATACTTGTGTTTTTGGGGTATATCAAATTGCACTTATTCTTGTGTCTATGCCGCCTGCTTTCATGCTTATATATGTGGTCGTAACATCGTAGTATGTCGGGGCTTCTTCGAATGTACAAGTTGCCACACCGCTCCAAATCGTATTGGGCAGAAATCCTGACTAAACAAGAACCTTGCATTCATCTATGACAAAAGCCGAGAAGAGTCGCGCACAGGCGAAATAACTCTACAGAAAACGCCATCCAGCGCTGTTGCCTCAGCGCATGCTATACTAGCACCTATCCCATAACGCCTATCATTACACGGCAGTCATGAGCTGCGATGAACCTGTTGAGATGTGGATGTCCCCGAGCAGAGAAGGAAAACCAATGTCGATGATAAGAGCCATAGAAGTGCACTCTGCAACTATCCATATCATTAAACCGGGAACATTATGGCTGTCCAGACTAGCCAGCCCGTATTTTCACTTCTCTGAACGCCATGTAAATGCTCATGCCGGCTGCGGATGCTGCAAGCCGGATGCGACACCAGGTCAAGTGGTGTCCAAGGTGTAGATGCCAGCATCTTGTCGGTGGGTCAAAACGGAGATGCTACTATGTACACTAACTCGCTTGCTTGAGCTTCAGATCCATGACATACTGCATCAAGCTGCAGTCGTCACACTTGACAAGGGCTTGGAGTGCCTTGACCCTCGTTCGCAACAGCTGGTTTTCATCCGCCAGACTCTTCTTCTCCTTCTCCTGCTGCTTGATGTAGGCAGTCGCAGAGGCTAGGATGACAGCCTTGCTAGGCTTCGAAGTGGTTGGTAGATCTTCAATGTCAGCGCCATCGCATGCTCGTGAATTTTGCTGGAGAGACGGAACTACGCGCCGAAGGGAGTCGAGTTGTGTGTTGAGCGATTCGCGGTATTTGCGTTCGACTTGATTATGGGGTAGTCGACGGCGAGACTTGGGCAGCTTCGGGTCTTCGTTGGCTAGAGGTGATTCCTTTGCGGGCGAGTCTTCTGATGTCTCACTCTTCATCCGCTGCCTGCTGTCGGTAGGAGATGTGGCGGTGGTGTTGTTGTTGCTTGGGAATTGGCGGCCTGAGAAGCCATTCGAGGATGCGTCGCTTTCCGATCGCTTCTTGGGTCGTGGTTGGATTTCTACAATGCCATCTTCGGCAATGACTTCTTGCGCCTCAGCGAGCAGGTTGTTGATGGTGGGTGTTGGCAGGGTGTCTTCATTGGCGAATAGAAATGGTGCACATCCGCCGCCGCAAGTCGATGGGTTGGGTGGTGAGCCTTCCTGGTCGTGATTAGGGCACAATGGAGAAGTCCAACAGGCGGAGAGAATGTCGGGCTTATTCCGGTTACGCTTTGCCGTGGTGCTAGTTGATGTTGAAGTCCTGTCCAGGCCCGGCCTCGACGAGCCCTTGGGTCGGTCTGAAAAGGTAAGGTCTTGGACGAAGCCATGGTCCATGGTGTTGGGGAACATGGATTCATAAGCGGGATTGGGGAAAGAGTTGGCACGTTGGAGGGCCTGCCTCTGAGCAGGCGACACTTGGGGCGACTGATTCAATCGACTAGACACGGATGCGGGGGTCTGAGATGCGGACTGGGCACCGAGGGCTGTAGTGGGCTCCGGGGAGGACTCTGTAGTGGAGTCGCCAGCGGCGACGTTGTTGTTGGCAAAAGGCTGGAGGACCTCCATGTCGCTCAGGAAGTAGTCGTTGGACAGGAACAGCGAGTCGTCAAAGTAGGGATCGACCGATGTAGCGTTGAGGAGAGTGTCCAAGGCGGAAAGGTCTTCAGGAGTCGAGCCTGCAGTATGGGTTGATATTGACTTTGGCATCTGAGAGGCGTGATGAGCTGTGTGTGGTGGTGGGATATCGGACCATTGGTCGTGCGGTATGTTCAGACTCTCAGGATTGAGGAATGCGTCCCAATTGAGAGCCATGGTGAGCGGCTGCGGGGTGGGATGTCGCACGAAAGAGCTCACGCGTTGATCAGGAGATGGAAATCCCACGGGGGCCAACTAACGTGCACTGGCCAGGCCCAAACCTGAGGCTAGGCGCTGAATGGAGGAGACGGCACGAGCTTGCGTCGAGGATATAAGCGCGGTAGGTTCCTTTGCTTTGGCTGATGAGTGTGAAGCACGCGGCTGTCTTTGTTCTCTTAGTGTGCAGTATAGTGGTGGTGGTGGTGGTGGTGGTGGTGAGGAGGAGGAGTAGTAGTAGTGAAGATGGAGTCGGTCGCTGGGGCCGGAGACTACGGCAGCTGGCGAGGATGATGAGTAAGGACACAATACAGCACAATGTAACAGAGCAGCTCTCGGCGGTGGTTCCAAGGGTTACAGGGTAGCTTCAAAGGCGATTTATTACACTGGTACTGTCACCGCGACTGGCCTCTTACGCTGGACAAGACTGGTTAGATGTGTGGAAAAGGCAGATTTGGGCGGTGCAGTGCGGTGAACGCCTAAAGGAAAGGGAAAAAAAAAAGTCTCTGTCCAGTCGCTTGAACGGCTATCTCGGTGCAGGGCAGAGGTGAAGCGCCGGCAGTCCCGGTGCCCCTTCACCCTTCACAACAGGCGGGGCGGGTCCAGACGAAGAGGAGGAGGGACATCACACCACCAGCAAACAGCGGTGGCGTGACTTTTTTGGTCTGGAGACCCGCCGTTTCCCTTTTCGAACTAGCCTAGTCCCCGTCCGGCAATGGTCCACTCGCGGCTCCACTCCACCACTACCCGAGGACCTGCCCAGGTGCCCAGGCCTATATGCGAATGGGCATCGTCAAGGGCCGTGTCGAAATCTAGCACTTGATACTGCCGAAATGCTGTTGTTCCGCTACACCTATCTGATGCGTGGCTATATGGCAATGTGCAAAGGCCATCATCACCTGCATCCTCCCGCTGGCGCCTCGCTAATAAGCTACGCTACGCTACCAAGTGTGACGCAAGACAACAAGGAAGAAGTAACAGTGCTCTGAACACACATAGATTGACCTGGCTCCCCACACTCGCCATGTCCCGCCATCAAGGCATTGATTGCTTTCTGGTGTCACAAGACCTGGGACCTTCTCGTGGCCACTGACTGCCTGCACTGCGGCTACTCCCGTACGTGCCAAGAGTCTACCGTCTCAACCCGACGCCCACTGGTGTCAGGATACACATTTCTTGCTTGCTCACACCATCAGGATTACGGGGATCGGAGTGGCTCTTTCACGCCCTCCTCTTCTGGCCCGGCCAGGGATAATCGGTCCATGGCACAACGGACAGTACTCGTTGTATCTCGTAAACCACTCGTCCAAGCAGGCTGCGTGGAAGGCGTGAGAGCACCGCAGTCCTCGAATTTGCGCATCCTCGGCGAATTCGTCGAGACATATCGCACTGTGGCCGTGTAAGCTCGTGTCTAGACTTGCCTCGCAAGACATGAAGATACTCACCACACTGGATCGGTTGTGTGCAACGACCCTGGATTCTTCTCCTTCTGCGCAGCGAGCCAGTCGTCGAAATGCTGCGTCTTGATGCTACTTTCGAGCTCATTTTGGCGCTTCTTCATTCGCTCTTCTCTCACGGCTGCGTCGTTGTGCCCAACTAATCTCGGTATAATGAAGCCTCTACGACGATTCCTGCTCGTTAGCTCAGACGTGCCCAATGACCATGCATCTCTCGTCCAGGCGGGAACTGACATGATGACCAGCGTGAGGAAAACAATGATCAAGACCGAAGGTACTATGACGGCTATGACGATAGTGCTACTTTTCGCGCTCGTCGAAGCTTCCGTTTCCGCATGCGTCGCCATAATGATACACCAAGAATCGTGGCGGTCCCTTTAATGACTACACTTTTCAGGAGACGTGCATGTGTCGGTGGTTCCAGTCGATTCGTATATACTCACCTACCTACGCACTCTTCGGGTTTCGAGCTTGACGAGTTAGGCGTCATGCATAGGGTAGGTATCGCAGTTATCGACCGAGCGCATGCAGTGTCCCGTCAAGTACGCCTTGTGTGGACCGAGAGTGTTTCCCCAAATCAGCCGCCGCAACCTGTCTTCATAGTCGAGCGCGCAAACAATAAGAGGGTGTTAAATGAGGGGAGCGGAGCACAAGATAGCCACGGCTCCTCATAAGGCTCATATACCACAGCTGCATTTCAATACAGCTAGCATAGCTTGGCTGAGTCTGCCTGCCATGGTTCCGTGACCCCTCATCAGAGAGCTCCATCGCAAGCCAAGAAAAAATCTTGCTGAGGTTCATTAGCCTTGTCCTTTCCAGGGTTTGTGCTTGTGACGCGGGGTCGAGCGCTACGGTACGACAACGCGCAGCGAATGGGGCGAACAGCCGGCTGCTTTGTGCCTCCCTGCGTGACCTACTCGACTGCGGAGACTGTCCAAGACTTCCCAGTGAAAATTGCGTGAGTTGGACACATTGGAAGACCGATACACGGCGGGAGCGGAGGGAGTGGAGACAACTAGGCGATCCGCACATTAGCGTTCGTTATGTGGGGTTTGTCATGTAGGCCTAGGGCTTGTCCTGCCTCCAACGACTCTACGGCCTTCACACCCACATTTCATTGAAGTCACATCACCAAGGGCACAGCAAATGAAACTCAAACGCCAGTATAGACAGAATTGAAATTACAAACGTTTCGTCTTGAGGCCTCGTTTCCACTCATGCCTCCCCAGAATCTCCAGTCTCCAGTCTCCAGTTTCCAGTCTCCGACTTCTCTTCAACTAAACTACAGCTTCTCTCCACGCACCAATGCCTTTTCCGCCTCTTCTCCTAGCCCCCTGGGGCCGACATAGCCTCTATTGCGAATCCAAAGATACCAACCACCTAGCAATATCGTGCACCCACCAACCATGGCAGAGCTGTAGTTCATAGTAGTGTAGTTGAACGGCAATGCCGTGGGAAAGCAGTAGATGGGGATCCACACAATCATGTACCCGCACGCAATGCTCGAAACAGTATAAAAGACTGGATCGGGCATGGTGAACGGGCCTTTCATCACGTGGCGCCTGCGGGAGAGGATGTTGGGTAGGATGAAGGCGAGGTAGCTGAAGCTGCTCATGACGATGAAGGATCCGACAAAGGCGGTGAATGCGGTAGCGCTCCCAATGTAAACAAGCCCGAGAATGGTATTGATGATCCCGCACACGAGGGTCGCGTTGAACGGATTTCCCCATTTTCGATCCACCTTTCCCACCCATGCCGAGAACGGCGTCGCATCGTCTCGTCCTAGTGTCCACAACATTCGCCCACTCGTAATGTAGCAGCCAACGTTGGTGCAGAATGTTGGCAGGAAAATGACGAGAAGGAGTCCAAGGGAGCCAGCATATGAATTCGTAGCTTGACGGTATAGCTCAGCCAAGGGGAAAGGCCATGGGTTGGAGAAGAGTGTCTCGAGATCGTTGACCGAGTAGAAGATTGTGATGAGATAGAGGAAGGCGAGTATAAAGCCAACAGTGTATTGGGCGAGAATGGCTTTGGGAATGTTGGTACGGGGGTTGGGGAGCTCTTCTGCAAGGTGGGAAACGCAGTCACTACCAATCGGTTAGCTTTTGCAGTCCAATCTGGTATCTAGAATGACCAGAATTCATGTCATGGGGAAGAGGGAAAGAAGAGCAAGGGGAGAAAGACATACGGAGTTCCCACGCCGAAAGCCCCATTCAACATGCCCGCGCAAAACACAAGCCCATCGCTTGTCCACCCCGCCTTATTCTGCCAATCCTTCCATACAAAACTACTACTCGCATACCCCTTCCCGGTCCTAGATGGCATAATCGCACATACCAAGATCGTCACAAAGCACCCTGCGACAATCAAGAACAGGCCGATGTTATTTACGGTCGGTAGGGCGCGATTAGCGAACAGGACGATGAGACAAGCGAGCCAAGTGATGATCAAGTAGACGATGAAGACGTGCCAGCGCTCGTAGGCGTAGCCTTCGTGGAAGAGGCCGTACATGCTAACGATCTGGTTGGCAAGGATGGAGGATATAGACGCAGTGCCAAAGATCCAGCCTAGAACGTTCCACCTATCGAGCATCAGCCTCATGTTCTCACTAGAAGAGTTTCCCGTCCGACTTATCCTTCCAACAACCGGGTGGAATGATTCTTGACTTTTTTTTGTGTATCGGGAAGAACGAGTAGACGTACCATCCAGCAAAGAAACCGATGACCCTTCCGTACTTCGCGCCGCCCGTCACACTAGCCCAGTGATACACGCCAGCCGCTGAGGGAATGGCAGAAGCCATTTCAGCAATGCAGGCTGCAATCATGAAGTAGAAGCATGATACGGCGATGAACTCATAGATGACTCCTGCCGGTCCGCCATTGTAGAGGGCGATGACCTGCCCTTGTTAGCGTCACCTTGAATGTCGGAGTTCAATCGCTTTTACAGGAGAGAACAAGCGGATGTCGACTTGGTGGTGGCGATCAATGAGGTAGTAAATAGGGAAGAATTGAGCACATACGATCGACCCTCCGAGCGCCGCCCACACATTTCCCGTCGTAATACCAACAGAACAAATAGACAACAGACTGAACTGACGCTCAAGCTCCTGCTGATGTCCCGAGGCGTTCAGCACCTCTCCCACACCCACTGTGTCGTCGGCCACATCCAATCGGGGCTTCTCCAACGAGGATTCCTCCTTACCCATACTGAAGTCGACAGTGTATGTAGCGCGCCAGTTATAAGGCTCTCGGGGGGGCTTTTAAGGTGTTTGGAGAGGACACAACAAATGCAAAATCAATTACACATGTCCTTAATACCCTCATCCTGCAACATGGACTGGCCTATCTCGGACGCATGCACCAACGTAAGGTCGTGTACTAAGCGACTCCAGCGATAGCAGCCGCTCCCACATGGTGCGCAGACTGGTGCAAGACACAGCAGGGTCCGCCCATGGTAGACGAGGAAATCAACCGCGGCGCTTTCCCCGCAAGGGCACCGTCGAGCGGGTGAGACGAGCTCTAGACAAATGATGTTTGGCGGGTCTGATAAGCCAAGTTGTTCGAGATAGCGATCCCAGTTACATGTGCAGGAACAGGCTGTCCTGGGGCCAATGGGCTGTAACGGCGGATGCGGCTAGATACGCGAATGTTCTGGTGGACTGGTGGATGATGCTTGGTTGGGCAAAGAACTGCCGTAAGCCTTAATGACGGAATCCCCCTCACCGTCCAAGTCTTGGTAGTAGAGGAGGAGCATTTAAAGACGTCTCTGCTCGAAGTGCAGTCCAAGAGGGTTAGAGGACTTGTTCGTGCCGTCCTGTCAGTACGGTGGATACCAGGGTCCACAATGCGTCTCTATAAAGTGGACGCGGCTTGCGAGCCGCTTCGCGCTATCCCCCACGTCTTGCCCTTCGAGAGCAAATGGCTGTCATTGGTCAAGCAATCTTTCAGCTTCGAATCTGGCCATACGGCCTGGAATGAGGTAGCGTCTTTCGTTGACGCTTGGTATTAGTATGAAGAGCCTAGGTTGCGCGTCAGATAGATTGTTGCTCTTTTGGTTCGGAGGTAGGCCTTGAATAAGTGTAGTGAAAACGCCATTGTTCGTTCTTATATATACTGTACTCCTTCAATGCTCCGTGCAGACTCCGAGCCCATGTCGCTGTTCCAGATCCCATCCGTTAATTCCCTGTACGAATTATGTCCTCGTCCAGCGTGAGCCAAACCCCATCTAATAACAACAATAACCCGCGCAAAGCCACGCGGTGCAAAGGACAGAATGCGGCGCCTAGGTGCTCCGCATCTCGGTATCATCGCTAGCCTCAACATCGCCAATCTTCCGCTTGGTTGACGATGGAGCGCCAGCCTCGTCGTCGGCGTCACCACCTTCAGTCCATTCCGTGACTTCCCACTCCACGTGTACGCCACTGTCTGAATGCCCACCGCGCTGCTGTTTGAAGCGCCCCAACCGCGTGTTCTGCACAATTTCTTCGAACCAAGGTGCGCCGCGCGCTTGCGGTTCAGAGGATGCAACGCTCCGCTGAGCCTGAGCATGTGCGCGAGAGGCGGGCCCTGTGACATTCACACTGACCTCGTCATCGCTACTCTCGCTACCCGGCAGGAAACCCAGCTCGCCCAGCATGGCCTGATCTTCATCTAGCAAGCTGCCGACAGTTAGGCAAATGTGCTCAGCTTCCTCGCGTGTCCGCTCGTTCCATGACGACAGCTGTGTACCGCAGTATCCGCAGAATTGGCGGCGGTGTATGTTCGCGGCGAAGGGTGAAACGAAACTGCGCTGGATGCTCGATCGAGTTTCGTCGGGGAACTGTGCAAACGTCGCTGAGGTATACCCTGAAGTTGAAAATATCGAGTCAGTACCTATCTCACATGCAGTTTGGGTTTGGATCTTACGCACAGAGTAGTGGCACGCGCAGCCAGAGCGTGAGTGGAGAAGCTGAGTGGTGGCCTGGTGTAGCAGTTAGCATTGCCTTCGTTTGGTGGGTTGCGTGTGTTGCTTCAGTACGAGTACGCAGTCATGACGTGACCTCTGAATGAGGACACACAAGCTTTGCAACCACTATTGGCAAGACTTACGCGAGGCAGCCGTGTTGTCGTATCTCAATTCAGCTTGCTGCGTTTGCTGTGACGGTATTTGGACGACGTAGCGGTTGCGACCGCAGGCGCAAGAGCCGTGAAGCGTCTGGGTCGCCATTGCGTTTGGCGTCGTGGTCGGTCTCTCGTGTCGACTTTCGGGTGTCTGGCGTCTGGTAGATACCTGGGTATTGTGTCGGCCTGACAGTGTTTGCTCCGGGTGATGTGAGGAAGAAAATGAAATTGGGATGCTCAAGTTGCGCCTTCCACCCTTCAATGCTGCCGTCCGTGTCCGTGCGTTGTCCGATTGGTCAACCTTCAGCCCTGTGAAAACTAGCTGAACTTCACCTTCCTATGGCCAAGTCAACGTTGATAGTTGTTCTTGGTTGGGCTGACTAAGTGTTTATCACCATATGTAAGGAATCCTGCCGTTGCTCGCTACTCTTATCCGAGTGAACAGGACAGCCGGGCCTAATGCATGGAGCATTCGACGAGCTTCTAGTCACTGCGGTGGCCTGACCTTACGTCAACCCGACGATAGTTGCTGCTTCCAAACATCCATCTGAAACTAATGCGATTATAGGAGACTTCTTGGTTCATGACCTTACTAAACATATTTCTATTGAGGGTTCAAGGCATATAACCTTGCTATACGCGCTTAGTGCTTTTCGGAATTTCTGCGACGCCTGGGGCACGTTCAAACCGTCTTCTCCTTCGCCCTCCTCCTGTTCGTAGCAAGAACCTCATTGACCCTTTCAATAGCCTCCTTCGCGCCTGTCCACGCTTTCCTCTTCCCCTCGAAGACTCGGTGGATATGTGGGCTCCAGAGACCGCCCATCAACAGGTTACAAAATGGTCTATCCTTAAGCCAAAACATCCAGCCCTTCAGTCCATACCCCAAATACTCGTTCACACCCGTCCCAGCCAAATCATCCATGGCCCTGATCCAAGGTCCCGCTTCAACGGTCCCAGGCGATATATTGTGGCCATCTTGTGCGTGGGACGCGAGCCATTCGTGATGTTTGTCTACCGCTATTTCCATTTGAGCCTTTGAAGGCAGCATCGAGTTCCCAGCCCATATTTGTGCAATGGCTTGTGAAGCCATATCGAAGATCTGGAAGCCGCCGAGCGCGAAATGCACATTCCCTAGGAACGCCAGGCTATCTGGTTTTTCAAGCGAAAAGACATTGTGGTATAATCGAAAGAGCGCTCTGTTGTTCGATCCGCTTGCTGTTGACCAAGATAAAGGCGGAGAACGGGAAGAAGGGTCGTACTGTGGGTCGAGGACGCTGAAGGAGGATTTGTACCCTGTACACCATATTATGGCGTCTACCTCCAACGTCCTCCCGTCTTCCAACTCGACTTGGCTTCCGCCGAGGACATGTTTTACGCCTGCGACAGATGTAATACTTCCATTTTCGAGGCAGGGTACGAGATCGTCAGATACGATGGGGAGCCTGCCTGCCGGCTCAAACCCCCATTCCGGGCGCAGTTTGAAACTCTTATCCTGTAGAGCTTTAACAAACTTGTCGAAGAATTTCTCGCCGAAACGAGGAAAGTACTTGGCAACAAGACACTGAAGAGTGAAGAGGCGCATGCTATGGGTGTGATCTATAGGTGCGCCGTTGAAACCGCGAGGGAGCTACAGTCATGTTACATTAGCCGGCCAATTTTAGTGACTTGAAGAAGATGGGAACGACGTACGATCCGCGCTCCATGCCGATGGGCAAGGTAAACTTTGTCTGCAATGCCAGCCAACTGGGTTGATGTATCTGCTGCGCTGTTGCCGAAACCCACGACCATGACTCTTCTGTTCCTGAATTCTGCCGGCTGTTTGAAGGCTTGAGAATGAATACTCGGTCCTCTAAACTTCTCTATGCCTTCAATTGTTGGAATGTTGGGAACACCAACCATGCCGCCAATAGCGATGACTACTTTATCGAAGTACTGTTTGGATTTCCCTTCTACGTCAAGTACCCATTTTTGATGCTCTTCGTTGAAGGTGATTTGATGAATGGGGGTGTTGAGTCGAATGCGCGGTTCTAGATTGAAGTGTTTAAGAAAGCTGACAAGATACTGATGAACTTGTGCTGCCGTCGGGTACGATGAAATACCTGGTGGAGAGATCAGTCTTGACTGCTATGCCCGGCCAAATCTGGAAGTGTGGGTTTTTACCTTCAGGATAAGGAAAGTCGGTAAAACATCCCTATTGCAAGTTAGTGACCAACCCGCAACGATCATTCGCGAACGAAGAGCATACCCTTTCTTTGGAGATATTCACAATCGTACTGTCCATCACAGACGTTTGGTCTTTGTTGGTATACTGCCAAAGCCCGCCAACATAGCTGTTGCGGTCAAAGGCGATAACATCGAAACCTTCTTCTGTCAGGTTCTTGAGTGCTACGAGGCCGGCAGGTCCTACTTTGATTAGTGTGTTGTTATTGCGAGACCCGATTAGTGACCAGTAGAACTCACCGAGGCCTACTACCGCTACCGTCGTTCGCTCTGTCATCACGCAGACCCTGGGAAACCGACGACGTGAGAGAACTCTATGCGGCAAACCTACTTATGTATGCGCTATTTCTTCGCGAATACGTTTCGTGTCCCTCGGGTCAGAATTGCACATGGCAATCTGATCGAGAGATAGCTTAGCAGCAGTTTAATGAGTGACTAGATGCCTGATGTTAGTTCGAGCCAAAATGCGTTGGTTGGGGGCTGAAGACCCATGACGGAAGTAGCAAGTCAAGCGGGCAGAGAAAAGACGTAATGAGACGACATGGATTAGCGGACAAGGGCACCCAAATGTAAGCTTATGCGATGTTGCTCAGTTGTCACTTAGTGCGTACAACATATACGTATAGAAAGAGTGTCTTTGAGCAATAGCTAAGGCTACCGATGCAAATGGGACACGTGGTTTGTAGGGTTCGTCCGGCTCCCCCACCACCAAGTACAACTGTACGTGCTGCTGCGACACCAAAGCAAAGCGAATACGAAAAATTCCGATTCGAAGTGCACAACTGCAGCTCTACTGTTCAGCTGTTGCTGCGCAAGGAAGACGCGCGGCTCAATCAGCGCTACGGGGCGTTCAGCTAACGGCCGCAAGGCAGCAGCAGGTAACGAGCTGCGCGTGGCAATCTATGTAAGAGTGGGGTAATGATTTAAGCTTTGGAGCCTGCATTTGGTTTTCTCTAGGCCATTATCACTGCAACCTTGACCTCGAATTACTGTCATCTAACCGTCGCAATCAACACTGGCTTTTCCTTCAAGCTATGCCAGGCCTCAACCCCCACCTCCCATCTCCACCTACCTCATCGCACGCCAACGTCCCTTATACCCCTCGCTCGTCATCAATTGCAGACGACTCTGATGTCGAATTCGATCCCACGCCCATCCATAGTCCTGGAGGTCCGCAATACGATGATCTACCACCATCCTATGATGAGGCGCAACACCAAGCCGTGACCGATGCGCGCAATGGCGTTGCAGCTCTAGATCCGAGTCAACTAGAAGCGCATCGTTTGACACTAAACGAAGGACCAAACGAGCCCGAGATATGGGAGTACCGTGTAAGAGGCGAACAAGTAGAGCCTGCGAGTGAACACGAACAGGCACCCGAGTATGAAGGTCACGTGAACAACCTAAACCCGACCGTGCCGATTCAGCATGTTGAAAGAAGCTCAGACATTCCCGTTGGGCGGGTTGGAAGCAGACACGCTTCCTCGACTAGTGTATCTGATTCTACTACAGCCCTACTCAACAGAGCATTGGATTTCATCCGTCATGAGCCGGACGCTGACGTGCAGTACGCGCCTCGCCTGACACGAGTTATTGCAATTCCTCAGAGAGGTCCACCTGTGCGAAGCCGCGGATATGAGAAACGTAGCAAAGACCGCGGGCAAGGGTCGATTATCGAGCAGCAGCCCCCAGGCTACACGGCCGTATCCAACGATGCACAGCATACCAGCAGCGACGACTCGAGTGATACAGTCCAGTTTCTCAGAGCATACGCCAAGGCACTGCACACCCACTCCATTCGACCAGCAGAGTTCACTGAGTTTCTGGACGGCCTCAATACTCTTTGCACAGCAACAAAAACAACCAACGATGACCTGCTTCGCGAGTCTTCACCAATAGAAGGATCCTCAGGACTTGTGTGTGAATACATCAGAGGAGCCAACGAAGCTTTTTTCGCACCGCGTGGTCTGAGGGTTTCACTTCAAACGCTCTCCAATCTTCTCGAGGCTTTGAATGTCCCCACTGAGCGCGGCCAGCGGGCTGGTGCCGTTGCAAGCGTTCTTGATAGATCTAGTACTCCCACTAGGAGAGCCCAGGCACTATATCCCTGGATTGAAGCCCTCGAGACCAACGTTCCTGAGCCAAGTACACATGCATTGGTGTTGCGTGAAAGTGGCGATCGAATAAGAAGTCAGATTCACTCCCAATCTAGCTCATCGAAAACTGCCACCAACAACAGCGCGTCAGACGAAGCACGAGGGCAGACATATCCTGAGCCACATGCAGACCCACCACATTCGATACCAGAGCCTGCGGAACACACAGATCAGCCCTTTTCTTCATGGGGACCCGGTCGTCGTGGTTTCGGAGGAAGAGGCTGTCGTCGCGGAGGGCCCTGGTCCCCATTCGGCGCACCCGGAAATGGTCCTTTTGGTGCTCCCGGTAACGGTCCGTTCGTTCGTTCTAACCGTGCTTCTTTGAGCTCACCAGGGTTCGGACTGGGTAGTCCGCCTCACTATGGGCGCGGCCATACTCACTCCCGCTCGAATGAACCCAGCTCATCCCAATATGCGAATGATTGGGCTGCATGGGGCGGGAACCTTGGAAGATTTGGCGAAGAGTTTGGTAAAAGGATGGGCGACTGGGGTGAGCAGTTTGGAAGGCGAGCCGAGGCATGGGGTCAAGACGTTGGAAGAAGGGCAGAAATTTGGGGCGAGGAAGTGTCCGCCAAAGCGAGCGGAAGTGGTACACAAAGTCAGACTGGTCCCGGACCGGCAGACGATCCGCCTCCCTCTTACCCAGAAGGATCGATGGGACAAGAGACGGGCGTTTTGCGTAGACCCAGCAAGGCCGACACCAGTAATACTGCGTCAATGCAAAACAAAAGCAAGAAGAAAGCCAATGAAATGGGTAACGACAATGACGATGACGCATCTTTGTTCTCATCCGACACTTCAGACTCAGACTCAGATTCAGATTCAGATGATGATGATGAAAACTACCCCGACACTGAAGCGGTGTTTCTCAAACGCATCCACTCCATAAATGAGCAGGCCGATCTCTCTGTCAATAAAGGCAAGAAGACCCCAGAAGAAGTCGCCACTGAGCGTGCCCTTGCTATCGAAAAAGCACAGGATGAGAAAACGAGCATGGATCTTAAGATTGAAGAGAAGCAGACTAAGCGCGCTATAAAACTTTCACTCAGGCGGAAGGGCCGCGAGCTCAAGAAGGCCCATCGCCAAAGGAAGCGCGAGATGAGGAAGAATTATGCAGGTAAGGGTAAGGGCAAAGCGAAGAAGACCAAGGAGTGGAGAGACGCGAAGAGGGAATATAGAGAGAAGAAGAGGGAGTTAAGGAAGGAGAAGTTGGCTGCTAGAAAAGAGTGGCGGGAGGCCAAGTATGACAGGAAGAAGATGACGAGAGAAGGAAGTGTTAGTGAAGACGACCTGAAGGATGCGAGGGACGGCATGGTGTGGGTGATTGTAGAAAACCTGTGAGCCTAAATTGAACGCAACGTTACGCCGCCCCTACAAGCTTCATAGTAGCAATAGATTATACAAAATGAATGTATCATTAAACGACCCAGGCCAGAGCCTCGACTAGTTGATATGAACGATTTTAGAAAGTATTTCCGACCTTTCTCGATAATGTACAACACCAATAGGCCAGATTGACGGTTGCAACAAACTGTACCGAAAGATATGAGCGAGCGTGGACAAAGGTGAGTGACATGATGTCAAGCAGTCATTTGAAGTGCAAGAAGCGATTTGGAAAGCTTAGGCTGTTTTATGGGCCAAAAGGATAAACTTGAATGGGGTTCGTGGATAACAACAGGCGCCTGCAACGACGACAAGAATATATGATTAATCCTAAAAGTATTTCTGTAATATCTCACTCTGTTCCCCATGTCCTGCCAAAACTTTCAATTTGTAAGGGTCCGCCACCTGACACATGACGTCGCCATGACTAGTCTCGCGGTGTGTGCGACACCAACGGACCACGCGCACAAAATAATAGGCCCCTACGTAGCTTCCTATACTCTCCAAACATTCCTACAAAAATCTTTCTTTAGACACTTCCTTGTTGCTTCCTACGCATTGGAAGCGTACCTATGAAACTAATTGACTAACTGCACACCACCTCGCCAACTAACCCGGATCCAGTTAGTACCATGGGTCTAGAAGATGAGTTCGTTCAGGTCGACGAAATGGAAATCGGACTTGATCGCTCGAAGATCAACTCCGAAGGGCAGATCCAGCTTCCAGAGTTGGGTAATAGCCAGCGCCATGATAACGGGCCTCGCCAAAATCCTAGTAAACATGTCGAGCTCGAACAGCCCGAGTCGCGCTCATCCACCCAGCAAATCAAGGTCTCGATCAAGCAGAAGAAACATGATGCCGGCATCAAGATCAGGAAAACTTTGCACTTGAGCAAGGCATCTGACGAGCTTGAGACATCGAGTTCCCCTGTTCTCGCAAATACGGCGGAGGAGACGTCTGATTCGCGCCTCAACAAGATATCGCCCATACCTGAGAAACACACAATGAAGGACCTGATGCACAACCCTGTTGATACAATCAAGTCAAAGGTCTCAAATCAGGGCAACCACGAAGTAGCGGCAAACATCGCGGCGAAAGAGATATCCCACGGACAAGAGGTGGACCTCCTCAATGCCTCTACCGCCGTTGAGCACGCAAGTACCGAGAACGAGAAGCTGCTCGCCACCCAGACCCTCGCTGAGCTCATGAAAGAACGGCAAAGCGCGTATGTTCGTTGGACTCTTGATCGACATGTGACGAAGATTAGGGTTCTGCCTCGTGACACCGTGGTACAGAAGCCCAAAAAAGCGTTTGAGAAGAAGAATATCCGTGGGGGTGTGTTCATGGACTGGCGCGCCTATGGGAAGCATGTAAGTGCTGCACTACACACATTCATTGTACGTTAAAGGTTTTCTACTAACGTGTTGAAGCTACTAGATTACTACGCTCATCGGTATGGAGGTCAGTATATTGGTTACGGCTCTGATCCCCCCACTCCTTCAAAAGAGACCATCATGCCCAACGTCGAGCGTTTGATTGTTGCGTCTTCACCATTCCAAGAACTTGCCATGACTACGCGCCGAATATACCGTTGGGACAACCCCTCAGAAACAATCAAGTATTTATTGATATACTTCACGTTGTGGTTCCTGAACCTTTTACTTCCTGGTATCGTACGTATCCCCAGCACATTCTTAACTTTGTGCGCGAAAACTAACGCAATGCTAGCTTTCTGCTATCATGTATTTTGTCATTGAACGACATGTCCACGGGAACTCACTAGATGACCTGCGCCAAGACATCCAACACAGAGAAGATGTACAGAAGACGGCACTTTCCATCACAGAACTCATCGAGAAAGAGGGTGACGAGGAATGGACAGACAAGCTGCTCGAAGGTGTCGGCCCATGGGCGATGGTTCAGTTGGCTGATGCAGCGAACCTTCTCGAAAGTGTGCGCAAGTACGTATTCCCCCTACTTTGGGCCAAATTCCCAACAACTCTAACGTAATACATAGCTTCTACGAGTGGCGCAAGCCTACTAGGACGAAGGCTGTGCTTGGAGTACTTGGCGTCACTATCGTCGTCACCGCCGTGATTCCCATCTGGTTGCTCGTAAAATCTGCAACCTTAGGCATAGGCATTGCTTTTTTCGGCCTCTTCCCGATCGCCGTAAATTTCCCCGAATACCGACTCCTAGTGTCACCTTCAAAGCGATTCTTATGGAACATCCCAACTCATGCCGAATGGGCCATTCAATATATCCAAGCCGAAGGAACCCGCGTCGAGACGAGCGCCAAACCATCCCCGTCCGCCCTACCCATCAAGACAGATAGCTCATCTGCACAAGCTCAAGACTACGGTTTCTACAAAGGTCACCACGACAAATCTTCGGGCCATCTAGTCATGAGTACTTCCTCCGTTCGATTCGTATCCGGACACCCACACACAGTGCAATTTACCCTTCCTTACGACCAGATCAACAATATCGAGAAGGTAGACCGAATTGTGGCGAAGAATATGCCCGAGAAAATGAGGAGGGATTCAGGGAAGGACTTGAAGCTAGTTGATAAAGCGGGGATGGAGTGGGTACTTAAAGACGTCGATCAAAGAGATGAGGCTTTCTCGCAGATCGTTGGCTTCAGTAAGTCGACCTGGCAGGTTGTTTGGTAGGAAATCTCGTTTCACGATGTCAAAGTATTCGGAACTGGTGCAGATATGACACTTTTACGTTGAGGCTGGCTAAAATAGGTATCCCTAGCAATTTAGTCTCATACCAAGCTTTGCTAGCACAGGTTAACTACTCATATCTGGAGATGATTTGGAAATGGACACAAAGGTGATCTGGTATCTACTGCTCTTATATCATGGATGCTACTATAGCCGGAGCAGTGCGCAACTAACGAGGGAAACCTCGCAAGGAGGCTACTGTATATACCTACTGCCTACGCATCTTAGTTCTATCGAGCGCGAAAAGCTTTCTCAATGATGGCCCACCTCATACTTCTATATGCTCTTCATCATTTCATACTCATTTTGAGTTGTGTCTTCTCAATGGCGACTTCAAAACCGAGCACTTCCTCGGCCAACACCACCAAGACCGTCATACTCGCATCGACGCTTCCCTCAACTTCTCTACATCCCAATGCGGCGCAACATTCCTAATCCACCACAGCACCACCCACCCCCCAACAACCATCTTCAGCCTCTTAGCCAAGTCCTTCTCCATCTCCTCTTCTTCAATCTCTTCCCGCACGCTTCTCTCCATGATATTGACTGGAGTCTTGAAAAAGCTCGTGTTCGCTTTCTCACTGAAGGCTTTTGAGGCCCAAACGCCAGGAGTGTAGGTTGGTGTGCTGCGGTTGAATTCAGGGCGCCGACGATGATGTTCTGCGGAGGTGTGGTCGCCGTGCGGCAGCACGGTAGTCTTTTTGGAGAGCCTGGTGAAAGGAGATGGGTTGCTGTTGCTGAGTGTTTCGGAGGATACCACAGCCAAATCTGTTATGCGAACTCGTTTTTGGGGTGAAGAAGCAGTGGGCGAGGTGCTGGCGTGTCGCTTGAGGATGGGTTTTGGCCGTCCTTCCGACTGTGGGGCTCGATTGGGTGGCGGTACAACCGATTTAGGGAGTGATGCTTGTTGTTGAAAAGACTGCTGTCGTGTTTGTGATGCTTGTTGTGCATCAACTGCCACATCGGCCTTTGATACTGCTACCAGGTCTTCCTTTGACAACTCCCTCTTCAGCACTGCCTTCAACAATTCCATCATCAGCCTAGCAACCTCATGATCTTCCTCTGTCGGCTCCTCCTCTGCGGCTCCTTCGACATATACCACACCGGGCATTCTGCCTAATACTACCTTCTCGTTTCCCCACGTATCTAGCGCATTCTGGATCCCTCCAAGGTCTTCTGGCGGCACTTCTTTCTTCGTGACCATCTCTTCGAAGTCCAGGATCGTATTCGTTAGAGCAATCTTTGCGTCTCGCCATGCTTTTCTGAGCTTCTTATGCCCCTTCCCAATCTCTCTAGATTTGAAAGTGCCGCCACGGTCGGCCAATTGCCGCTGAACATCCTTGATAGTGCGGACATACTCCCTGATGATACAATTGGGACAGACTTGCGGCTTGGGAAGCTTGAGCACGAGGGAGTCAGGTATGGCGTGAGTGCATTGCCCTACTTCGGCGACATGCTGTTGAGGGCCTTGCAGGTGAGACATGTCTGGTGGAGTTGTTTAGTGGAGATGTTTAGGAGAGTCGGAAGTTGAAAAATAGTCCCCGGTGTGAAGAAAACTTTCACAGTCTTCGACTCGCTTGTGGCTTGTGTAATTGCATTTAACCATGGTTTGCTTAGGTTAACGAGCAGAAGTTACGTTTCACGGCTAGGTGAAAGAGGTCTGTTAATGCAGTTCCTGACGTCACCGCGTGTACTTACAACCAATTGTGTTACCAGATGCCCTCGTTCAGGCAAGCATTTCGAGCTCACTCTGACATTACGTCGGTTCGGGAATCGCGGGGGCGTGGTCCGGGGTCGCACTAACCCGGATTGAGTATAAGAGGTGAAGAGGAATCTACAGTTGCTCTAAGCTGTGTCGATAAACAGTACCGTTCATTGTCGCAACATCGCTTCTACAATTTGCATAGAGCTCTTGGCGACCATCTCAGGTGAAGAAGTGGCAGATATCTTTAATTTTTGCATATTGGAGTACAATATAACTCTTTCAGATGGGTTTCACTGAAGCCTGAAACGTACCCAAGATGTAAAAAGCCTTGACAAAGAACGACAGCGCAGTGTACCCGGGTGTTGGTTTGTTGAACGGATTACTGATCTATGTTTGCTTGAACAGGACGAAGTACATTGCTATGCAATGAGGGGATCTTCGGGATTGATCGCTAGATGTTCTTAACTCATAATCGACAATCTAGAAGGTGTGGTGTGTGATGTGCCAAGAGTCAATGCATTTGACGATGGGTTTGTCTAGCTCTCGTCTGATCAGCCTCACAATCCATCTCAAGCATAGCAGTGATTTGAGAGCCATTAATCAATTAACGAAATAACTATGGCGCGCGCTATCCATATCATATAGTAAAACAACAAACACTCGGGTATTACAGGTCATCTCAGTTTCCGCAATTAATCTTGCTTCGTCGTCACCTCCGCTTCTCCAACCTCACGCGAGCTACCTGAGCTAACATGTGAAAGCTTATTTACTCCGGCAATAGCACTCTCGACGGCTGCTGGAACATCGATATGGAAGAAAGGCCTATTCTGTCCATGAATCGTAGTAACCTTGCCAGACGGCAAGCCCTTATGGCCGTCAGTGGTGTGAATCTCATCCTGAGCCTCTGGGTCGTGGAGCTTGTGGGTTGCGGAATCGAGGGGCGCGTAGCTGTAAACAGGGTTCCAGTGCGCACGCGATGCAAAACGCTCACGGTCGATGTAACCGAAGCCAGCGGCCGTCAGAGCACGCTTTGTCCAGCGGCTGTTAATGGATGCAAAGTGCCATTCTACACTCTCAGGTGCAGCGTGGCGGTCCAGTTGCGCACGAACGTCAATAAGACCTTGAATGGACGTGACGTCGACGTTGTTGACAGCGCTGAAGTCTAGTATGATAGCGCGAAGGATGGGCCGGTTATCGTCAGTGTCGATCTGCTGTCCACGGCGAGGCCCGGGATCATTCCATGGACGATCACCGAGTCTGGCATAATGGTCGAGTTTTGTAGGACGAGAAATGGTATGTGCATGATGGACAAGCTCGTCCATGTAGCCCTGCTGATTGAGGTACGTGAAGCCTTCCGTAAAGCGGTATATAAGGATACCAGGATATGGAGACTCAATGTCAACGAGCGGATTTGAGCCGTCTTTGCGGCTGATTGGGATGAATGCTTCGCGAACGGAGGACTCGGAACCGGGAGCGTAGTGGCCATCCTCTTTGTGAGCAATCGTATCGGGCGTTGCGCGGTAGATCTTGACCTTCCCAAGGAGAGCACCATGAGTGAAGAGCTGGCGCCAGAGCAAAAGGGCAAAAGATGCGGCAATGGTAACATAGATGCCGTTCTCGATGTTCGTAAATATCGTCACGAACACACCAGCAAAGAAAATCACAACCTCAAGCGGGCTGGTTTCCCAGAACTGGAAGACAACGTTAGGAGGAGTAATCAGATCTCCGACGGCGTGTATAATGATGGCCGCAAGACTGGCGGAAGGAATGTAGAAGAAGACCGCCGTTAGAGCATATAAGGCCAGGAGGACAATGATCGCGGTAAAAATACCTGCGAGTGGAGTGCGGACACCTGCTTTCGACTTGATAGCAGTACGTGAAAATGATCCAGTAGCAGGGTAGGCACCCAAGAATGGCCCAATAACGTTGGTGAACCCGACCGCGACGAGTTCCTGCGATGGGTTGATGACGTAGTTGTTGATGCGGCCGAACGACTTCGAGATCGCGATGTGCTCGAGAATCAGGACAATAATAGTGACGGGAATATCAGGCGCGATAGCGGATAGAAGCTCGGTGTTCATGGTGGGGGCGCCAGCGTGCTGGAAGCCTCGAGGAACTCTGCCCAAGATCTTGAATTTTGCCTTTTTGAGGTCATTCTTCGCATTATGGAGCCCTTTGACATTCTTGTTCGCGAGCCAACTAATCAAGATGTATAGCAGGATGACGAAAGCCATGCGCAGGGTGCTGATCTAGAACAGAGGGTCAGTCTGTAGTCATCGATTTAGGGCTAGTAACTTACAAAGAACCAAAGCTTCTTCTTAGATGGTTGCTTCTTCGTCATCCAGCTGCAAAAGATGCGAATAGCATAAAGCAAGAATAAAGCAGTCAATCCCATAGCCGCGTCCAGCTTCGCTTTTGGGAGACGCTGGAGGGTGTGAATGATGACCAAGTAAGTTGGTCCGCGAGTGTTGACACCGGAGATGCCCAAAAGAGCCGGAACCTGGCCGGCACCAATGCTGATAGCGGCACCAGTCATGAATGAGGTGATGGCAACAAGGGGAATAAGTTCCACGATCCGGCCAAGTCGCGTAAGACCAATGAACAGTAGAACAGCGCCAGCAATGACGGAAAGGGCTCTGGCGATATCCGTGGCTTGAAGGTGAGGCTTCGTATCCTGGACCTTGATGACGATGTTCCCGACAATGGTACTCATGACAGCCACGGTACCGATTGTGATATCTTTGGATGTAGCAAAAGCCCAGTACAAGATGAATCCGACAAAGCTGGTATAGAGCCCGTACTCAGGCGGTAATTTCGCCAACAGAGCGTATGCCATACCCTGGGGGATTACAACGAAGCCCACGGTTACGCCTGCAACAACGTCGCCGAAAAGCCATGTCAAGTTGTAATGGAAGATCCAGTTCCAGAAAGGGAACAGACTCCTCAGGTAGCGCTGCGCAGCACTCTTGGAAGGTTTGAACTGGGAAAACCATTCCCTTGCGGTCGGCTCACGCTCGACATCTGTACTTGATTAGGCATGTCTAGTGAATTGAGCACGAGTATCTCACATGTCTCGACAGAAGAGATGGAGGCCGCGCCAGAGACTTCAGGTTCCTTGCGGTAGTCAAGGTTGATACCAAGGATCTTGGCCGCACCACGCCCAGCTGCTGCCATGTTGGCGAAGGTGATGTGTTCTTGGACTTTGGTGGTTGGATGCTTGTTTGTGACAAGAAGTCAGGAACAAGAAAGCACGTCGACAAGTGCCACGATGCTTGCCCAGATGATAGGCACACGACAGGACAAATGATATCGATAGTGAACCAACCCGGGGTGCTGTATCTTGAACCTGGGTTGAGACGAGGGTATGTACAACTTATCAAGTCAAATGGGAAAATGGCCCCCGTGGAGATATGGCGACAGATCCTTCAATTGTATGTCAACAGCAGGCGCTGCAGGGTTCCAGATCGAGGTCGGAGAGACAGCCGCATACGCTATGGCTCGGTGCAATCCCAAGAATCCGGCGCTCATCAACACGGCACGCTCTGCTTGGCGTGGGCAAACTGTGCAAGCAAAGGATTCCGTTCAATCACATCACAGAGTCGACATTGCTGAAATGCGCCCGAGCATGGCGTGCTGGTATTGGCATTCGGAAGACAAGAAGTTTGGCAGGCTGGGCTGAGAGAAGCACTGAGCTTGTGGGGCTGGGCTGGGAGGAGCAGAGAGAAATGGCGTTTGGGGGCGCCGGCAGATTACGTGGGAGGTTCGAGGTAGGGCCGGCTCCGTTTGCATTTGTAGCACATTGTGCTTCGTCCTTTCTGATACCGCGCATCAAAGACGGAGCCCTGCCTGGCAAACTGCACTTTTTGTTACTTTGATTTTGAGCAAAATGCGCTGGGGGTTGATACGCGTTGAAATGGCAAAGGGGAGCACGGCACTACCGATACGTATCCACACTGCTCGCTGTCAGCCAGTACAAGAGGGCGAAGTGGAGTCTGGTGCGAAGTTGGTTGCGCAATTGTGCCATGCAATTGCGAAATCAAGCTCGCTCGGTTGGCATCCTTGGCACCCAATGTTGGCATGCTTAGCTCACACCCGCACCTGAGCCTACATGGGCTCTTCCGCCTAGATGCCGTCAATCGCGGTTCTGTTTGGAGGAAACCGCTTACAATTGCCGCCTATTGATACGCATTCTTCAGCTTATTAGTCTCAATTTCCGATCTGGATCGTAACTGCCAGAGTGCAGCTTGACCCTTGCGTGACGACTATCATCTCCGGTACCCCGTATCAGGTTCAAAGCATCCACATCTTGCATGCTCTTATAGTCCGTCCGTGAAGGCCTTCGCCGTTGAGATTGGGCTGATCCCCATATTACGCTGCATTTCTTTTCGCCGGAGAACGAGACAGCGGGTGGCAGTCTCATGCTCGCTTGAGTCTGTTGTCGTATGACCAACGTGTACCCCCAATACAAGGGGTTATCTTGAGGGCTGCAAGAAACCTTCGGGACATCGGCGAGCTTTCGGATCTTCACTATCACCTTGCAGCTCGTCTGTTCCAAAGTAGCGGAAACTTGTCTACCCTAAGCCTCTTAGAGTAGATCGCATCAGAGCGACGCGCCGGCTGCTGCAATATGGTGCGCCTCCGGATAGACTAGACTTAGCAAGCACGGTGCACCCTTGTAGATGGCTCTCTGGAATGGAGGCTATTGGTTCGAAATGACTATTGTCAGTTCTAAATGGCCTTTGTGCATGCAGTCTGGATCGAGCGAGTAAAGGGCCTTCTTGCATGCAGTCTTATTGAGCAAGTCAAGCTGTGCTTCTACCGTCTGGCTAGCCCTACATCTTCCAAAGGAGATATCAACCGGGTAAACAGATCATGTTCTAGACAGATGCATGCTTGGGAGTGCCGGCATTGCGGTACATGGATCCATGGATCTCACAACCAAGGCTTGAGGCTGGGTACCGGTACACCTCGTCACACGATCGGCCCTGGGGCAAAAGAAATTCTTGAGTAAACGCTACGTGTAGATCTGATGTGTGTTGATATCATCATTCTGGAATGACGCTATGAGTGAAGCAGATCAATACGTACTGCATTGGATATTCGATGTTGCAAACGAAGATCGATAACGCGTGATTGCAGGTTTCGATCGAGAGTCAGTGAACAGTCGCAAACAAAGGCGCCTCAACTCGTTAGCGGCTGGAGAACCTCTTGTCCCACCTCAGAGAAGAGGTGACGTCGTAAAAAAAATAGAGATGCTGAAAAAGTGAACAGGTGAGGCAAGCTCCGATTCCCCACAGGCATCACCAGCAAACAACTCACTCGCTTTCATGGCCTGTGTGTCACGTGGCTATTCACTTTACATTGATCCTCAGGGATTCGGTGCCTTGGGGACTAGCAATGAAGCTTCCTCAGAACCGCACAGCACCTAGATTGAATGCTTTATAGTATCAAATCTCTCCAACCTTCGCCTACAATTGCACATCAACTTGGAAGCAATCAGGGAGTGCGAGACTTTCACCTCTGCTTACCTAAAAAGTCACTTGATGACTGTATGCTACTTTTCAAGTGACGACCAGGTCGCAGGGTTTTTCCCTTTTGCGAATTGAGAACATCGCTTCATTTACACCTACCAGCTCTTCGATGATCGCTGAGCCCCCGTCACTTGACACCGGCGTAATCCCCGTCATGAGTGCGATTCGTCCTTGCTCCATCTACTGTCGATCAACAACGCTTGACGACCACCCCTGATTAGGCTTACTATATGCAGTCCTCATCCACTTCTGAAATCTAAAGCTTACGGAAGGAGAGGCTTCTATTCTTTCTCTACGAACATGATCTGAATGGTATTGTACGTAATTTATCACGCCCTACCTATAGTTAGCCTCGCGCATGTATGGCTGCAGGAATTAAACATTATGTGCCATGTCGGAAAAGCTATAATTGTACAACTGCTAGGCGGGGAAGTACAAATCTCGCGGCTTTGTGAAGCTGCCGAGAGCCGGCCTGCGGGGTTGAAGAACAGCGAGATGAGGGGTTAAATATAAAATCTGATCTCAGTACACCTATAAACATCTAGGATTAGCACTAGTTTAAAAGGCCATAGCTTCTTTGTAGCGAACCATATCTTCAAAGCTGAACGACATCCGCAGCAGCGGGGTCTTAACTCATCCAACATCACAATGTCTTCAACGTCCACTCTCCTGCAAGGTGGCATCGCTCTCGTCCACGATACGAACGACCATGTTGTTCCTACAAAGACCAGCATCTTGATTGAAAACGGAAAGATCGCGAAGATTGCGCAAAACATTGCAGCACCTGAAGGAACCGTAATCATCGACTGCACCGACAAGATAATCAGTCCTGGATTTATTGACACGCATCACCATGGTTGGCAAACACAGCTCAAAGGCAGGCATGCGAATGAGCAGTTGTTGGAGTACATGGTCACTGGTTAGCGTTCTAAACAGAATCTCAATATTCAATAGTTGATATCTATAGGAAACTCGCAGCATTATCAGTACTCATCGGAGGACGTCTTCTACGGTCAGCTTGCCGGTATGTTAGAAGGTATCGCTGCTGGCACAACAACAGTGGTCGATCACGCGCACATCACAGTTTCGCCAGATCATGTCAGGCTTGCGATTGCCGCGACAGCATCATCGGGCATTCGATCTGTGTTCTGCTATACGCCCATGATGCGCGTCAAGCAATTTAATCTGTTAGGCTACCACTCGAATATCTTCGAGGACTGGGTAATGCAGACATTTAACGAGATCGCCGATCACGGACCTTTCGGAACCGGCAGGGTCACTCTAGGCTTCGCTTTCGACTCATTCTTCCTACCTGCTGAGATGATCAAAGATATCTTTGCGCAGGTCAAGGCAAAGGGCGTAAAGACAATCACTTGCCACGGGTCAGTAATCCTAGGCAAGAGTGTTGTACAAAACTTGGCAAGCCTGGATCTGCTCGACGAAAGCATCATCATTTCCCATGGTGGCACACTCAAGAAGGCAGATGCAGAGCTCGTCAAGGCTGCTGGTGCATTTATCAGCTCGACGCCTAGTACCGAGCTCCAGATGGCGATGGGACGACCATATTGCTTCGATGCATCATTCCAGGATGGTGGAGTAAGTGGTGATTCGGTCGGTTTCCAGGATAACGGAAGTCTAGGCGTTGACTGTCACTCTTGCACGGCTGGCTCAATCATCTCAGAGGCAAAACTTGGACTTCAAAATGCCAGAAATCATTTCAATGAATTCCATATGAAGCAAGGCAAGATCCCGCGCACGCTGCCCCAGAACCTTCGCGTCGAGTCTGCGTTCAATCTCGCCACGATAAAAGGGGCGGAAGCCGCAAACTTGAGCCACGAGATTGGACGGATTGCCGAGGGGTATGATGCGGATCTGGTTATCTTTGACAGTTTCAGTCCCAGTATGGTCGGTGCAGCGCAACACGACCCGGTCGCAGCAATCATTCTTCATTCAAGCCCGGCAGATATAGACACTGTTATCGTGGGTGGTGTTGTGAGAAAAAGAGATTTCAAGTTGCTTCCTGTTCCCCTAGAAGGTTGTGCGAAGAAGACCGCTGGTCAGGATGTCTTAGGGTGGAATAGTATCGCAAACGAAGTGGTTACGAGCAGAGAGAAGATGCAGAAAGAGATTGATAAGATTGATTTCAAAGAGGCAAAGGGCACCTTAATCAAACTTTTTCACATTGACGAAAGCAAGTTTGTCAATGTGTGATAAGGTTAAAAGTACACAATGTGTGCTTACAAGGTATCTTCAAATGGCACCCTTTTGGTGTATCACGATCTTACGTTACACTGCCTTGGAAATTCCGCGTAATCAGAAACATCTCTGCACTTAAAGTACAACTCTACAGACTGCGATAGCTTCACCAGGGCTTAGGCGCTGATCACATCTTTTGTTTCCACAACGATAAGTTATAGAAACCCACGACGATAAGGTATTGATACCATGGTTGACGACCGGCTCGAATCATCCCAAATGTAATCACAAAGTCTCCGGACCCAAAGTATCTCCACAAAACTGACGATAGCTCAACTAGGACATAGGTGCTTTGGAACTCCTCTTTTGAATCACGGGAGCCCCTGGTGATTTAGAGACAATACCTCAAAGCCCTGGACCACACGCACTGGGGCATCTACCCATGGCCCGTACGAGTCATCGCTCTCGAATCCCAAGGCACTGTGCATGTCTCGGATGAGGTTGTACACATCGTCTCGACGATTCATGTTGACTTGAGCGGCGGTGGCGCGGATCTGCACATCCATGATATTGGGTTGAAGTTGGGCATGGAAGTTCCGGTATGCGAAGAAAAGAGTGTGGAGGTAGTCGGCACCGACGGCGAACCTGTTCCCGGTCATCGTGTTGTACTCTCGTTGACCTTGAGCTGGGTTTCCATCCTCAGCCAGGCGGCGGACGTCGACCGCGGCCCTGGGCGCATACTGTGACACCAGGACATCCTTGCTCCACTTGCTTCGCCAGAAATCTCGCCTCGTTTCGACGTCTCGGAAGAATAGAGGTACCGGCATTGCTGCCTCGATTTGAGCAACGCTTTGCAATGCTCCGCTCTGGATCTCCGGTGTTGGGATTTCAACGAGCTTTCTAGCGAAAAGATCGCGCCTTCTCTGGTTGAGGATCTGCTCGGCGCCCCGGGCGGTGTTAGCTTTTTCGCTTGCAAGGTTGTAAGCTTGCTGGTATGTGACTTTGATCATTTCTTGGAGATCAGCCACTCCGTCGCGGTATGCCTTGCTGTTCGCCTGGCGGGTTAGTGCTTCAGCTGCAGTTTCCTGGTACGCTGGCACCATGTCGCAAATTTGAGCCTTTAGCTCCCACATCGTGACTAATACCCGGCAGTTCTCCGTTGACATGACGCCTTGGATGAATGCTTGGATGTACGAGCCCTGACCCCAGAGCTCGCTGAATATGTCTTTTTGGATTTTAGCGAACTTGGCGCTCCTCAACTTCTTATCTGCCTTCGTGACGACCGGTCCGAAGAGTAGCTCTTGGTACTCGAGACTTGTCGGTAGATGGCCGTAATGGGTCGCGATCGTCCTCGCGATATCCATTCCTCGTGGGTGTTCCGCTTCTGCGGCGCTGGTTGGAGGATGACCAGAGGTGCGAATTGGGCTGGATGGGTCCGAGGCTCGCACTCGGTCAGCTTGTTGTGTGAGTTGATCGAATGTAGTTGGTGCCGGCTCTTCACAATGGATGTTGCCTGGAAGGTGTATGGAAACGGTTGCCATTTTGAAGGTGATGTTTGTATGTTGATTTGACGAAGAGAAGAGTGTTGGTTCGACGAAGGGAATAGTGTTTCTATCTCTATACGTTAGAAGACGTGGTGACTTATGATTGCTTAATCTGTATCCATCTCTCACTCAGAAAAAACTTCAGGTGAAGGCAGGTTGCAGGGTATCAAAGTTGAAGATCAAACGGTGAGTGCACGAAATAAGTAACAGTACTACAAATTATGGGAATATGATGCGACTACAGCGCTCTAGCCCAATGCAGCCTCAAACTCGATGAGAGTGGTTAAACCTCACATTTCAAGTGAGCGCGTCTAAAGGAAGAATCTTCTTTCTAACTGATAAGGCAGTTGACGTTGGTCGAAACTTCCGCCTATATCAGTGCAGTCCAGTTATGCATCCCAACACTATACCCCGAATCGCAATCCATGGCCAGCTGAATCACTAATGGCAGAGAGGCATGAGTATCTAGTGTTCCTGCCCAGTGATGATCCCTACTAAGCGCGCAGACCAGGATGCGACAATAAAAAGTTTAGCCAACACTATGACCGACACTACATTTCTCAGCGAAGTTGACTCCTCTAATCTTTCATGGTCCTCGGATCGCCAGTTCCCTTAGCGCTGTAGGTGGTCAAGGAGCACACACTCGCGAGTTCCATAGTGATTCAATCATGAATGTCATGTAGCAAGGCGAGAAGTGCAGTGTTTTAGGTGCTCTTATACTTGTTCCATTCATCTCCTCTATGTATAAGTAAGGCTAGGTATGAGCTGATTGATAGTATGTAAAACGCCTCGACAAACCGATGCGCAGTGGGTAATTCCAGGTGCGACCTTGATACAAAAGGAATTCGAGCTAAGTTGTGATAGCTTGTTAAAGGAGTGACTGAAGTTGGATACTATCTCATTGCTAACTCTACGGAGGCCTATAAAAGGCCATTCTATACCAAGGAATATAAAGGAAAGTTGGAAAGGGTAAAATAAATGTACAGTCGAATAACGCCATGGCTATGCAAGCTCATGGAGTATGTGCTCCATTGGAAGACCCAGCAAACATCTGCTGCATTACACATCTTTGCCGCCCAAGTATGTAGAAGGCCGAATATTATTCATTGACAAACCGAAACCCATTACTTGTGATAATTGAAGGACCCGACGCAAAACAACTACATTTAGTAGGAGTTACCAGCGTAACCAGTGGCGCTGGGGGTAGGCTTCGCGGAAGGAGTGTTGGCAGGGTAGCCGACGGAAGACGGGCTGGGAGAGGCGACGGAAGCGCTAGGAGTGTGAACTGGGTAGCCACCGGTGGATTGAGTCTTGCTCACGATGGGGTAGGGAGCAGACGAAGCCGAAGGAGCGGGCACGCTGTAGCCGCTGGAAGCAGCAGGCTTGCTAGCGGAAGGCTTGGGGCCCTCGGGGTAACCAGCCTTGGAAGCAGAAGGCTTAGGGGCCTCAGGGTATCCGGGCTGAGTGGGCTTGACCGGGGGGAGAGTGACAGTGTAGGTCTGCGGGTGACCGCTCTCGGTAACTGTGATAGTCTTGACGGGTCCAGTGGGGGCATAGGCGGGGACAGTTACGGTTGCGGTCACGGTCTTAGTGACGGGAGCTGGGCAGTCGCCGCCGGGGTAGACAGGAGGCTGGGGCTTGGGAGTCTCGGCCGGGGAGACAGGCTTGGGGGGCTGAGCCGGGTACTCGGGCTTGTTGTCAGTGGGCTTGGGAGGTTGAGCAGGGTACTCAGGCTTGTTCTCGGTAGGCTTGGGAGGCTGAGCAGGGTATTCTGGCTTGTTCTCGGTAGGCTTGGGAGGTTGAGCTGGGTACTCAGGCTTGTTGGGGGTCTCCGCGGGGTAGACAGGCTTGTTCTCAGTGGGCTTTGTGGGAGGCTGAGCCGGGTACTCGGGCTTGTTGGGGGTCTCAGCAGGGTAGACAGGCTTGTTCTCAGTAGGCTTGGAAGGAGGCTGAGCCGGGTACTCAGGCTTGTTATCCGTAGGCTTAGGAGGCTGAGCAGGATACTCCGGCTTGTTCTCCGTAGGCTTCGTGGGGGGTTGAGCAGGGTACTCGGGCTTGTTGCCTGTAGGCTGGGGTGGCTGAGGAGTGCCGGTAGGCTTGTGGCAAGACTTCGTTCCGCAGTTGTAGATGGTGGAGATCTTGGTCTCGGTCGTGGTGTAGTACGAAGGAGTCAAGTAGGTGGAGTAGTAGGTGGAGCTGCCGCTGGTGGCTACGGGAGTCGAGCAAGGAACCCAAGTGTAGGTGGAAACCGTGATCGTATCCGTGTGGTCCTGAGGAGGATACTCGGTAGGGTAGCTGGGCTTGGATGGCTTAGGAGAGTTGGTGGATGAGTATCCAGTTCCCTGGGGAGGCTTGCTGCTCGCAGGGTAGACTGGGTAAGGTGGCTGCGTAGACGAGGACGAAGCGGGATAACCCTTGGAGCTGGACGAAGCTACCGAAGAAGTGCCAGCTGGGGGAACACCACCATATCCACCATGGGTGGAGCTGGATGGCACCGCGTGGGTAGAGCTGGACGGGACCACGTGGGTAGAGCTAGACGGCACACGGGTGGAAGCAGAGTATCCAGTGGAGCTGGAAGCTACGGAAGAGGTACCTGCTGGGGGGACACCGCCGTACCCACCGTGAGTGGAGCTGGACGGGACAGCGTAGGTAGAGCTCGACGGGACTACGTGGGTGGAGCTTGATGGGACAGCGTGGGTAGAGCTGGACGGGACCACGTGGGTAGAGCTGGATGGAACCCGGGTGGAAGCAGAGTACCCAGTGGAGCTGGAAGAAGCTACAGAGGATGTGCCAGCGGGGGGAACACCGCCGTATCCGCCGTGGGTGGAAGACGAGGCCGATGGAACCGGTGCTGAGGAAGACGGGTAGCCCTTGGAGCTAGACGAAGCCGCAGAAGAGGTGCCAGCCGGGGGAACACCACCGTATCCACCGTGGGTGGAAGAGCTGGATGCAGCCGGGGGTGCGGAGCTCGATGGAACCGGAGCAGAGGAAGATGGGTAGCCCTTGGAGCTGGAGGAAGCCGCAGAGGAGGTGCCAACTGGGGGGTATCCAGTGGAGCTGGAGGCTACCGATGAAGTACCAGCCGGGGGAACACCGCCGTATCCACCGTGGGTGGAAGACGAGGCCGATGGAGCCGGAGCTGAGGAAGACGGGTAGCCCTTGGAGCTAGACGAAGCCGCAGAAGAGGTTCCAACTGGGGGGTATCCAGTGGAGCTGGAGGCTACCGATGAGGGACCTGCTGGGGGAACACCACCATATCCACCGTGAGTGGAAGAGCTGGATGCAGCCGGGGGGGCGGAGCTCGATGGAACCGGGGCGGAGGAAGATGGGTAGCCCTTGGAGCTTGAGGACGCCGAAGATGTGCCTGCTGGGGGAACACCGCCGTATCCACCGTGGGTGGATGAGGCCTCAGGCTTGGAGCTAGAGGGGGCTACCGAAGAGGGAGCCGGAGGATACTCAACGGCGGAAGAAGTCGCTGGCGCAGGTGCCGATGGGTACGGCTGGGGGTTGTAGCCGTACTCGGGTGCCGGGAAGGCAGCAACAGCGCCGATTAGGGCTGCGGCGACGAAAGAGTAACGCATTGTAAATTTTTTTTGATCTGATACTTTGATTGATAGTCGTTCGAATTGATGAGGATCGATTAAGTATTAGGGATTCTGAAGATGCACTCAACAAGCGAATGTAGGTCTGGAGAAAGGCTAAAAGAAAAGCGAATGTGATTATAAAACTATAATGTTTGTTGGTGAGGATAAGTAGATGGGCGAGCTGGAATGAAAGTTATATACTCTACCGCCTTCTCCTGAGTATCCACACGGTTCCATGACTGCTGACGTCGATGTGGTCCACGCTTGGTCAACACGAAGTGGCATCTCGCCATGAGAAGGAATATGCCCGCACTCACGATCCATTCTGGGATACGGTGGATCGATAGCGTGAAGAAGCCAAATCAGCAGCTCCAGCAGCGAAGTAGCAGGGGGGTGTGAGGGAGCAACGGCATTAGCCCTACCGTCTTTTGGCCGGGCGTGACGCGGTTGCAAGAGGCTATTCTTGGTCGGCCGCCCGACTGGGACTAGCGCCTTGTCGCTTGGGCTGCTGACTGTTGCCGGAGCCCGGAGCGACCCACACTTCACTGTACCGTCGCCTTCCATCTCTCCACTCAATATCTCCCAACAGCAGCCGCTCGCAATTTCGGGGCTCGCATCCGCTGTCGTAGCGCTACGCTGTTGGCTCGGGGCTGCGCTGTTCAGAATGGCAAGACGCCAGGTCCTTGATGATCTACAGCGCTACACGACCGATACCATCTCGGCTGCTCCGCTGTACAAAGCGCTTGGAGTCCTTTCATAGACCATGCTATGCTGAATTTGGTGCATAGTAGTGTAGCAACACCTGCAGCGGCTCTTTGCTAGGTTCCATTTTGCTCGATTAGGTCCATGCTGTTTTAGCCCTGTTCCCGTTTGGCGCCACCTATGCTGACCGGCCGTTACGATATCTCAGCTTCACCAATCTAGGAAATATACGCGGCAAACAAGCAATGCGCCACCTCGACATGGCGACGCTGACAGGAACGTTACACTACGGAAACGTTACGCTACGAGGACCAGGGTTTGTCCACCGCTTCATCAGCTGTGGCCTGCGATGACCGAGGTCTCACGATAGGGCCTTTTCCCACGGCCATGTGAACCCTGCGCATCCGATACGAACCTCAACTATCGATTTGATGCGAAGGAACATGCCAGAAGCCCACTCCACCCGCACTCTCGTAATAAGAGACAGCGGCGCGAATAGTGGACATACTCTCGTATTTGGTTGGCCAGCAGCACCTCATCGATCAGTCTAATTCGAATGAACTATACCAGATACCAACTTGGACTGCCCCACCTTCACCTATATCCCTGCCAACTAGTGGCCTTCGTCCAACATGTGCTCCTGGCTTCGCAAAGGAGGCAGGAGCTTGTCTCCTTCAAGCTTCTAATTGATCCTCACCAACAAGTGTGGCGAGAAATAATCCAGCAAAGACTCATCTTCCCTAGTGTCCTGCTGAAACTTTTTTGCAACTTTGCAATCGCTTCTTGCACTTCAACTAAACCTCAGCAAGATGTGCAGGCCAGGAGAGAAACTTGTACGAGACTTTGTCACAATATTGTTCCGCTCGTATAATGCGACCAGAGGTCATACGCGTTTGGTCTAACAATGCCAGCGGAAAGCGAAATGATGAATACACCAGGATAATGGCGGCGTATGAGACGCGGGAACAAAAGACGTCAGCATCTGGTCTCGTACGCGGCCCTCAAAATCCCAGTCACTTCATCGGACAGCCCCGGTAGGCGCCTACAGATTTCCCGTGTCCACTTTGCCCAGAAACCTTCCACACGAACGGCATCTCTATCTAGCCTGGACAGTTTCAGAGCCGTGTAATAAATGTACTATGTAGTTCCCAAGTCCCTTGAATACACACTGCGAGGGAAAGGGAGAGTGAGATATTCATCCCCGCACATGTAAAACAACCCACCTCGCTACAGTGCAGCACCGCAGTATTCGTATATCCATTAATTCTAGACGTAACTCTTCGAGCCGATAACGTCATTACTGCAGCATCACTGGCATCAGTCCAGTATGCGCGTTGATCAAGGACAAAGGCCCATTAGCCCGCTAGAAGCACTAACAACATCCACTCATCACATATCACATCATGGACACACCCTGGATCATCATCAACTGTCGCAACTGCCTGAGGCTCGAATGTCACAATACACCCACAAACCACCGACGAGTGGAGCTGATAGCATGCATGATGGCTGCTAAAAGACTTGTACAGGAGAACATGGTATCACTACTGACGTTGGGCTTGAAAAGTGGACTCGCATTCGTGTTAACAGCTAATTTGTTATTATCATTGTCCGTTCACAGTCACTTCAAAGGTTATTTCCCACCAAACGCGACTCGAGCACCACCTTGAGGCGCCAGCACCTGCATCATGATATTAGCCCATTACCAAAACTCCACCAGATAAATATAACCAAGTAGTATCCGATGCTGCCATCCTCTCAACAGGATGCTCGACGGCGGCTCCCAGACGCTTCGACAAGCCCGATGGGGAGGTTCTGGCAATAGCGCTTAGCGTCCATTGCAATTCATTGCTGGGGACACACTCGAACATGGCACCCAATAGATGTGGACACGCGCATTTGTCGAATCCTAACCCCTCAAACTCTCCACACAACCAAGGGTTTTTGACCTTGAGTTCCCCCGAGCAGGCTATCATCGAGGGGTGGATCCCCCCGGGGTAGAGCCGCTGTTGGAAGCGGGATGCTCGGGATGTAAAGTGTGAAAGCTGGCATGCCATGCCAAATGTCACCACTAAAGAAATCCTCAATGCCTTCAAATAGAACAAGACCTTGGCGAGTCTGAACAGTATTGGAGACATGCAAGCGCCTTCCAAGTCCTCCGGAACGGGCTCAAGCCGAGTCTCCAAACTCAGTTGTGGACGTCGATTTTTAGACTTACCATCATGTAGTGTAATAGACTGAACCGCATCAGGCCAAGTAAGAGCCTGCTGAGACTTGGCAATCCATGGCGAGCGAGCAGATTTGAAGTCGAAGCAGTCTAGCGTGGTCTCGTTTGTCAAACGCGTCTGGGACGTGGCGATGTAGTCGTTTCGGAGTGGTTCTATAATCTCTAGGATGTATGTATCTAGGCCGAATTCCGAAGAATCGTCATCGTTTCGAGGAAGACATGCAAGTATGTCGTGCTCTCCTACGTGTAATAAGACTTGGTTGAGGGCTGTGAAAGCGGCAAACTGTTGGGTGTCAGCATCGAAATAAGTCAGCTCGGAGAGTGGAGATATTGACAAATCGTCACCCTCGTTGTCATACATGTCTAAGACATCTCCGTCGGAATCATTATCCATATGACATGCACGAGAGTTGTCGTCTGTCTGTTGCAAGTTAGCATCGAAGACCGCACCCTGGCTGGATGTCATCGGTATATCCGGATCACCATCTGCCGTATTGGCCTCGATCAGCTTACTAGCGTCAGCATACATGTCGATGTTATAGAGAATATCGGCCTCTGTCGTGTCGATCTCAATCAACATGTCTGCATCTACAAGTTCGTCGATCAGGTCCAACATCGACCGAACTGTCGGGGATCCAAACGACAACTGAAGCGCTTCATGGTTTCCGGGTACGAAGTTCTCACCTGGGAGCACAGCGATACCGATTGTGCTATCTAGGCAGTTGCACTCGCCATCATGATGATCGTCGATGAACGCCTTAGTAGCCCGAATCAAATCTTTCATGTCCTGATCATATTTGAGGAAGGCCGACCGGGCCTCAATCCTAGTCAAGTGCTCGAGTCCTGGAAGAAAAGCTTGGCCGGTGATCTGACGAAGCACTCGGTCGTACTCAACTTCCCAGTCGCAAGGACCTGTATCTGTGGGACTGTCAGCCATGACTAGCTTCAGCTTACCTTCAACTCGCTCTTCTGGAACCACTAAGGTCTCCTCGGTCTTCAACGAGGGCGTGTCCATGGTCGGTTCTCTCCAGGGTGGTGGAGGGCGCATCAAGGATCGACCACTACGTTTCGAGACATGAACTTCAGACTCCGACTCCTGGCTCTTGACATCGTTGACTAGCAACGGACTGAAGTCTGGCATCTGACGGGTAGGGCTCCAGGAGCTCTGAACAGCAAGAGTCGGTTGCAACTTCAAGTCGCTCGTGTCAAGTAGTCGCGGAGTCGGTGAGCGATAGACCTCTATAGGACGATGATAGGCGACCTCGATCTGCTCGGCCGTAATCTCACCTTGATCGATCATGAAATCCTCGTAGTACTTCAAAGACTTGTTCTCAACCCTCTTCGTCGCCTCCACTGTCGTCCAGACCGGAGCTAAAGTAGCAAAAGAAGGAGCTAAAGTAAGGTCAGCGAAGGGAGTTGGGGTTAGGCGCCTACCAGAAGCACCTGAGGAAACCATAGCTCTGTCTCGAGTCGAGCTAGCAATCGTCTTCAAGTTCGATCACCAGAACCGACGGCCACTTTCAGATGAAAGTGACAGTAGCAGATACAGAGGCCGGGCTGTGTGAGGACCGGATTAAGAGAGATGTGTGATGCATGGCGAATTGAAGCGCAATGTCAATTGCTCTTATACTGGACGTGAGACGCACATTGTGGATGTGGAAGACAAGGCATTGTAGGAGGATCGAAGACGTGAACAAAGAAGTCGCAGAGTTCAAGGGTCACGATAATAGAACAATGACTTCCTTTGTAACATGTTAGTGTATAGCCGCCGCCCACAAGACGTAATTCAGCCAAGTAAACTTTGTATGGGTTAACGCGACCGTTGCATAGTGCACTCTGTCTCATTGTAGGTGTACACTGTATCTACAAAACCAAGCAGCAACTGCAGACCACATGTCTCAAGCAGAGGTTTCGCCTGTATAATAGCTACCAGTTTCGGGAGGGTGGGCAATGGCGGGGGCGGGGACAAGAGGCTTCCGGGAAGTAACTGGGTGGCGCGGCAGGGGCGATGCTTGGCATCCAGTCTCCAATCGTACCAAGTGCAGTCTCGTGCTCAACAGAGATGATGGCATTCACGCATCCACATGCATAATGGAGCTCCCATGCAACTCTGTCACCGCTCACTCACCTTTGAACAAATAGCCCGTGATGGTCTCTGGCAAAGGCGCATCCTGTAGTACCTTGGCATGCCGGCCAGTGGCTCTTTGTGCAGCGTCGTGGTCCCGCCCGCACCAGCCCTGGTCGTCCCATGTCGCTGGCCGACGCGACTCGGGTTCGGGTAATCAGCGTCGATTGGCGGCTTGATGCGTTACAACTCACTCATCCTGGACGCACAGCTTGACAGCGAAGCGTGCGAGACGGACAGAGAGAGAGAGAGAGAGAGGGGGGGGGGGGAGCAATTGGCGAACAGGCTGCCCGGGAAAGCTGCTGTCTCGTGGCCCAAAGCAAGTGAAGTGGGAAGAAAAAGGGAGGAGAAGGGGCGTCGTTGGGGCGTCAGTGGCTCTGCAGCTCCCTGAGGGTCTAGGTCCCGGCTCTAGATGTGTGCGTGTGTGCCATCTGCGAGCATATCATCAATAGTGAGCCATGGTCGCAGTTGGCGGTGAGAGTGAGAGAGAGAGAAAGCGAGAGGTGCTTTATTAAACCCGCCAGCTGCCCCTTGCCCTCCTTCCACCACCTGCCCGTAGCATCATCTGACCGCCTTCTCTCTTTCTCTCTCTCGCGCGCTCTCTCTCTCTCTTCCCAAACTGTGCGGCTATCTGTAGCCTGGTCCCCCGTGCCGCTTTCTCGTCACAACGCCTCACACGCTCAGGCTTCCCGACCCAATCTCCCACCAAACCCGCCGCCTCTGCATCTGATCAGCCCTCCCAAAATCTGCACATCCCACTCTCTCCGAAGCACAAGTTGCAGCTTTTCCCCACGCTTCACATTCGGCCCTGCAAAGTTTTTGTACCTGGCATAGGCAGCAAACCTTGGAAGTCACCTGGACGACTTCAAGAGCTCCGACTAGTGAGGCGAGGCGGCGCAGAGGTCAGCACAAGTTGTTGGAGAAGGAACGAGCCAACGCGCCACACCACTTCTGCGGCTTTCTCTAATCCTCACTTCTGACCCTTTGCCATCATCCTTGACACCATCTGCGCCCATCTTGCACAGCGAGAACGAAGTGGCGCAAACACCGAAATCGGCTTGCACAAACCTCCCTACTTCAGCCTGCGACATCGCCATACAACAGCACACAAGTCATGCACCGCAAAAACCCCATCAGCGTCCTCGTCTACAACGCCCTCTTCCCTACGCCCTCGCCTACCGATCCACCATCTTTCAGCGCACATCTCTCCAAAAACCTCGTCGGCGAAGTACGCATCGAAACAGCAAACTTCTACGGCTCGCTCGACACAATCGAAGCGCGCTACCCAGGGCTCAACTATGCCTTTGCCCCCCACCGAAAACGCCTGGGCAGGTTCCCACACCACAGACGGCTGTTTGAGGCATTTGATCGCCTGGGATTGACCGAGGCCGAAATACAAGGCTTCTGTAGGTGGGAAGGAACGCTGTGGGCGCGAGAGAGGTATGAGCGGGATGAAGGCGTCAGCGTGGTCGACACAACGGGTGTAGAGATTGGAGAGTGGGTGGATCGGAGACGGCAGCCCAAGATTGCCCAAGGCATCAATGTGAAGACGGACATTGAAGTCGAGATTGAGGAGGTACCCACGAGCGGAGCCGCAGTGGCGGCTCATTCACGGCACCCGCACGTCGACACAGAAATGCGCGATTCCGACCACGACGAAGACTCTGAAGAAGACGAGGACGAGGAAGAGCTCTCCTCGAGTGTGGGCTTCTCCCTCAACGCACGCCTGCTCCACGCCGCCGCCCTGCGCGAACAGGCAAACGACCTAAGCAGCGCTACCAACATCCCCATGGACCCAGAGTGGGAGCAATATCTCAAAGAAGCACAAGAGCGCGGGGAGCTCAACATTGACGCAACGCGCGAAGCACTACGCAGCATGGCAGGACAGATTGCGCAGCTGCATCAGACGCAGGTCGATGCTGAGGGTAGTGGTAGTGTAGGCGTGGACAGGCAGGCAGCCGCACCGGCTTAGCAGGCTGGCGCTGGTGTGCTAGGCGATGGGGATGTGCAAAGCATGGTCATCTCCATGTTCTTCGACAGCATACTCTTCCGGGCCTGAGGGGTACTTTTCTTATCTTCTTTCTTTCTTTCTCCCACTTTTCGATTTCCAGTTTTGCGATGCACTGCATGGCGTTGTCGAAAATCCGGCGTCTTGGGCAGCGAGATACCCCAGCTTTCACTGGGCTTCACTTTTTTGTTTTTGGCTACGAATGGGCTCTAGACTGGATCGTCTCGCGAGGCTCTGGAATGAGCGCGGGGGCACCACGTTAGCAATGGTATGGTAGGGAAATGGCATAGCACATGGTGATAACCAGGAATGATAGTAGTTGGCTGCATTGCATTCATGGTATCTCTGCACTCAAGTTGCTGTGTCCATCTCCTAACTAAAAAGCAAATGCCGCAAAGACTCCGAAACTCCCAAAACATAGGTATCGATCAGAACATGCCTCTAACCCAGCCGCCTGCCAATGCCACCCAGGCCAAAGCTGCCAGGGCCCCTCTTGCTACCTCTCAGGCCCCTACTGCTTCCCCCCTCATCATCGATATCCATGGCATCATCCCCACCCAAACCCATTAGGCTTCGTTTTCCGGTATTCTTCTCCTCGCCCGTCTGCAGAGCTGCATCGAGCGCACGCTCCCTCTTCCGGCGCACTTTTTCTCTATCTACTGCTTCCTTTTTGACCTTTTCGGCTTGTGCTTCGAGATCTGCGAGGGCCGACTCACAGCGCTGTGACCAGGATTGGAGCGTCATCTGCAGTGCAGGGAGAGAGCCTGGGGTGAGGTCACGAAGGGGTGAGATGGACGTGACAGAGACGAGCGAGTGTGCGGGGTCCAGAGTGGCGGTAATGAGGCCCGAGTAGATGGCAGTCGTTATCAGCTCTTCAAGGGCGCGGGTGGTGGGTAGGTCGAGCGCGGTGAGGAGGTGTTTGTACGTCAGGGTGGCGTGGGAGCGGGAGAGGGGGAGTAGCGAGAGGAGCAGGAGCTTCTGGTGCTGTTGTGCTGAGAGCTTGGGGAGCTGGTCTTGTGCTGCACGAAATCAGTATTGTTCATGATATGTATCGTGGCTGGGGGAAGCCAACATACCCTTGTAGTCCTCCCACGTTCCCCAGGCGAATATCTCCAGCAGCGTAAAATACGAAGCATACTCTGCTGAACTCCGTAGATTTTGGATATTGGGTGTCTGCAGCAGCTCGGCGAAGACGTACGTGTTTGGCGCGCTGGTGGCTTGCACGACCAAGTCCGACGCTGCTCGGGGCGATGTTGCGGATTTGCTCAGGGCAAGGAAAGGCTCAAGCGCGTTTAGAGCTTTGGTCTGCTCCATGGCGAGTCTGTGTATGGTTATGGACGAGAAGGCTTGCTGTGGGCGGCTGGCTGTATAGAAGTTGGCGCGCTTGGAGGTGGAGCAGGCAGCTGTGGCGGTGATTGAAGGTCTTGGCGCATGGTGTCGCTCCTGCCCCGCGATTCCTCAAAGCCACACCCCGCTACGGACCCAGACATTGACCAAACGCCTCATCATTCTTTGTTTGGAACACCACGGGGCCGGACTTTGTCGCTGAATAGACGAGGCGGCATGTGTTTGGATTGACAGGACAGGTACAGGTACAGGTACACGTCTCATCGGAAATAGCCCACTTCATCCCCAAGTAAGACTGGCACCGGACCAAGGCCTGCTTATTATTCATGTGGCGGTCGCTGATGTCGTGTACCATTGGAACGCTGGCGAGAGGCTTATTATTATTATCATTACCAGTGCCCACGCCATCTGGCCTGGCCTTTTTATTTTATTGAAAGGCTTTTGAAAGGGGACTTGAGGCTTCGCTTGTCGCACCTGAGCATCATCCGCGTGTTTCAGGGCCTTCCTGTTTCAGTTGCCAAGCAGAAGCGCTACCCATGGTCGACCGCACCCGCAATACAACCACAACAACCATGGCCTACAATCCTACAAACTATCGCCCCTCCCCTATGTCACCTACAAACACCGACTCGGCCCTACATATTGCAGATTGCATATTGCAATCACTTCTGACACTCGGCTCGTGACGGGCGTTCCAGCAATAGCCAGCCTATCATCAGCTTACGGAGGAGTCTAGTCCCCTGACGGCCCGCACGCGTGGGTGGGTGGGTTTCTTCATTGCCGCAGGCCGGAAACCACTGTGGCTTCTGCACTCTCGTCCCACCGCCATATCAATCACTGCGCGCCATCTGGCAACTACCGGGAGCTGGCCTTCCTTTTTGTTCTGTTCATCTTTTAGCATTGCCGCCCATCTACTCTCGCGACATATATCTGGTGCATGTCGCAATCCACCGTCGCTTCGGCCCCTCGTAGTAATCATATTGCCTGCACGTAGCACTCCTCCGACGCCATGGCACCCCCATCCGCGACCGGCGCAACGGCGCACATGGCGACAACAACGCTCAAGGTCGAGGGCATGACTTGCGGCGCATGTACCTCTGCCATCGAGTCGGGCTTCCAGGGCGTACATGGAGTGGGAAATGTGTCGATAAGCTTGGTCATGGAGCGCGCCGTCGTACAGCATGATCCAGAGATAATATCCGCCGACCAGGTCAAGGAAACCATCGAAGACAGGGGGTTTGACGCCGAGGTGCTGTCAACCGACCTTCCGGCCACACAAACTACCGAAGATCACTTCCTTAGTGATTCCGACGACGACGAGGAAGAGGCTGATACCAATATCTCGACAACTACCCTCTCGGTTGGCGGCATGACATGTGGCGCCTGTACATCGGCAGTAGAAGGCGCTTTCAAGGACGTAGCAGGCATCAAGTCTTTTAGCATATCGCTACTCTCCGAGCGTGCTGTCATCGAGCACGATACTAGAACAATATCCGCGGGCCAATTAGCGGAGACCATAGAGGACGTTGGTTTTGATGCGCAGGTGCTGGACTCTGTGGCTGCAACACCAGCGCCAACGAAGAGCAGAAATCAAAAGAAGCAGAGAACGCTGACTACGACGCTGGCGGTAGAGGGCATGACATGTGGCGCATGTACATCGGCCATCGAGAGCGGGTTCAAGGACGTAGAGGGCGTATACCAGTTCAACATCAGCTTGCTTGCGAACCGTGCGGTCCTCGTCCACGACCCTTCAAAACTCGGCGAGGATCAAATAGTCGAAATCATCGAGGATCGAGGCTTCGACGCCAAAGTCATCTCGTCGGTCGATGGCAGCGCACAGCAATCGGCGGGTAACAACGGGCCTGTACATCTCAAGATCTATGGACTCCCTGATGTAAGCGCTGCCGCAGACCTCCAAGGACTCCTGAAGAAGCGATCCGGCGTCACCTCCGCAACCGTAAACTTTAGCACCTCAAGAGCGACCATCCAGCGTGAACCGCACATCATCGGACTCCGAGCCTTGGTCGAGACGATTGAAGCGGCAGGATACAACGCCCTGGTCGCTGATTCGGATGACAACAACGCACAACTCGAGTCCCTTGCAAAGACCAAAGAGATTCAAGAATGGAGACGTGCCGTCATCTTCTCGGCCTGGTTTGCTGTCCCCGTCTTCCTCACCAGCATGTTCATCCCCATGTTCTTACCGTTCCTCAACTATGGCGGCATCCGTCTTATACCTGGCCTATACCTTGGCGATGTTGTCTGCCTTGTTCTCACCATTCCCGTGCAGTTTGGAATCGGGAAACGGTTCTACGTCTCTGCGTACAAGTCGCTTAGTCACGGCTCGCCCACCATGGACGTTTTGGTTGTACTGGGTACTTCGGCGGCTTTCTTCTTCAGCGTCGCGGGGATGCTGGTCTCGCTTCTTGTTGCTCCGCATACGAAGCCGACAACATTGTTCGACACTAGTACCATGCTCATCACGTTTATTAGCTTGGGCCGGTATCTCGAGAACAGGGCCAAGGGCCAGACTTCAAAAGCATTGTCAAGACTCATGTCGTTGGCACCGTCCATGGCCACAATCTACGCAGATCCGATTGCCGCTGCCAAGGCTGCCGAAGATTGGGACGTCGCGGATGAGAAAGTAGTGCGTACATCCACAGACGGCAACGCGATTGAAGAAAGAGTAATTGCTACGGAGCTTATTGAAGTTGGCGACGTTGTCATTCTTCGTCCTGGTGACAAGATTCCTGCCGATGGTACAGTAACGCGCGGCGAATCCTATCTTGACGAAAGCATGGTCACTGGTGAAGCGATGCCGATTCTCAAAAAGAAAGGCGCGCTCCTCATGGCCGGTACCGTGAATGGAAATGGTCGCCTGGAATTCGTCGTCACTCGGGCAGGCCGCGATACACAGCTCAGTCAGATCGTTCGTCTCGTCCAGGAAGCTCAGACAAGCCGTGCTCCCATTCAGCGTCTCGCAGACACAGTTGCGGGCTATTTCGTACCCATTATCATCACCCTCGGTCTCGCTACTTTTGTCGCCTGGATGGTACTCAGCCATGTGCTTCCGTACCCGCCCAAGGTTTTCCTCGATCATGCCAGTGGAGGTAAGCTCATGGTTTGCGTCAAGCTCTGCATCGCTGTTATTGTATTCGCCTGTCCTTGTGCGCTTGGTCTCGCTACCCCTACCGCAGTCATGGTTGGTACTGGCGTTGGCGCTGAGCAGGGTATCCTCGTCAAGGGCGGTGCTGCTTTGGAAACTGCTACCAAGATTACCCATGTTGTATTTGACAAGACTGGCACCCTCACCGTGGGTAAGATGAGCGTTTCGAAAGCCGATATCCAGGGTGAATGGGCAAGTCCGCAAAAGAAGAATCTCTGGTGGACACTCATTGGTCTGGCTGAAATGGGCTCCGAGCATCCCATTGCGAAGGCCATTGTCCTTTCTGCTAAAGAGTACCTTCGCCTCGGACCTGATGGAACACTCGATGGCTCTGTAGGCGACTTCGAGGCTGTAGTTGGCAAGGGCATCACAGCGACCGTTGAAGCGGCTCTCTCCCCCGAGCGCACACGCTACAAAGTTCTCATTGGGAACGTAGCCTTCCTTACCTCCGAAGGCGTCAACGTCCCCGACTTCCTCGATGAGCCACTTACACCAGCTGCAACTGCCAACCCGCGAGGAGCCTCACCACGCTCTGCTGGTATCACAACGATCCACACCGCTATCGGGCAAACCTACACCGGCACACTCAGCCTTTCTGATACTATCAAGCCCTCTGCACGCGCCGCCGTGCTCGCCCTTACTCGCCTTGGCATAACATCCTCCATCGTCACAGGCGATACGTCTGCCTCGGCCCTTGTCGTGGCAGCAGCAGTCGGTATTGATATTGCCGACGTTCACGCCTCAGCCACTCCCGCCGACAAGAAAGCAATCGTTGCTGATCTACAATCCCGTGGCCAAGTCATCGGAATGGTTGGCGACGGCATCAACGACTCGCCCGCATTAGCGTCTGCAGATATAGGCATCGCCCTCTCGACTGGTACAGATGTCGCTATGGAAGCCGCATCTATTGTGCTTATGAGTAATGCGGACTTGCTTGCTATACCAGCGAGTCTGGTGCTGTCAAGAGCGATTTTTTGGCGTATCAAATTAAACCTTGCATGGGCGTGTATGTACAATTTTGTCGGTCTGCCATTCGCCATGGGCCTTTTCCTTCCCTGGGGTCTCTCGCTGCATCCCATGGCTGCCGGAGCTGCTATGGCGTGCTCTTCAGTATCGGTCGTTGCGAGTAGTCTGCATCTCAAGTTCTGGCATAGACCAAGCTGGATGAAGGTGTCGGTCCTGGATCCGGGGGCGCCGGTCGACGAGAGAGAGGTGGAAATGGAGAAGTTGGGTCAGAAAGGGCTGGTTAGCTCAACGGCGGACTGGGTGAGAGATAGTTGGGCGGCTTGGAGGAGGAACAAGGAGGAGGCTGGTTATGTCCCGCTGAGAGACATGGGTGAGCATTAGTCGCGCTCACGGAAAGCAAAGCATTTGGCGGGACTGTTGACAAGAATCAGGTTGTCTTGTGGTTATTGTTATCAAGTGTTGATGAGCGTTTAGGATACCACATCTGCCCTTATATTCTTAGCTTTTCATTTCCTTGTTCGAGTCGCTGTATATATCGTTTTGACTCTTTTCGTTGTATCGTACAAATACTCTGGCTCATAGTAACTGGGGCTTTTCCCGTGCCTACACGTCAATAATAGGCTCTTGTGAGGCTAAGCTCAAGACTACATTTGTGATCTTGCTTGCCATGAAATCCTCTTGAAACGATAGACTAATTTCCTGCCTGATGAAGCTAGAGGACGTTCGTCGTCGCGTGACGGAGTCGCGGACCGCGGCTCGCTGGCGTCACCAACGATAAGCCAAGACCTAACAACACAACATCGAGGACGATATCGCCGTACATCGCGACCCCTACACCCCGCAAAGTACGCCTTAAATGTCCCCGGGAAATACATGCGATCGTGTCCTGTGCCGAAACCCGCCCTGTAACTGCGCGTAAAAGCAAGAGGCTCAATCAATATGGGGAGGAATCGCGCGGCATCGAATGCCTCCACCAGGAGTGGTGAGCCGCCTATACAAGTAGGTAAGGAAGACCAAGGCGAGCATAGACATGTACTAAGCCAGTGCAGGAGCTGGGAAGCATGTATGACTACCTAGCAAAGATTGTATTGCTAGGGCCTAGTGGTGCGGGCAAGTGAGTCTTCACGTCGACAAGCAGATACTGTGTTAGATACTAATGGTCAAATCAAGGTCTTGTTTACTGCACCGCTTCGTAAAAAGCGAATGTACGTCGCCTTAAATAACTATTCAAGAAAACTAGACTGATTCATGAAGGGCGGGTCTTATCCTCACAAACAATCGGCGTCGAATTCTCCTCGAAAATCGTCCATATCTCCGACCGCAAAACGAATTCATCGTATAGAAAGCGTATAAAACTACAACTTTGGGATACGGCCGGCACAGAGCGCTTTCGCTCCGTCTCGCGATCCTACTACCGCGGAGCCGCCGGCGCGATATTAGTCTACGATGTCAGCAGCTGGAGAAGCTTCGAACAGCTGCAAACGTTCTTGAATGACGCGCGCGCCCTGGCAGGTCCAGATATAACGATAATACTCGCGGGCAACAAGAATGATGTCGTAGATGGACCTCCAGCGGGCTCTGGACAAAGCTCATTTGGAAGTTATAGCAGTACACCGTCTTCAGAAAGCGGTCTTCCGCCACCAACGCCCTCTTCGCAATCCTCGTACGCACCGTCCTTGAACACCAACCTCCACGCATCATACACAGTCGCACCCGAAGGCCGCGAAGTCCCCGCCGAAACAGCATCGCGATGGGCTGGACAGAATGGAATACCAGTCGCCGTCGAAGTATCGGCACTGAACGGCGAGAACGTGGAGGAGCTGTTCAACCGGCTTGCAAGAATGATCTTAACCAAAATCGAGCTAGCCGAGATTGATCCTGATGATCCGGCGAGCGGGATACAATATGGAGACTTGGGGTGGGATGATGGCAGTGGAAGTATCAAGAGCGGATATGGAGACGATGGCATGAGATATCGCAGGCGAGGAAAGAAGACGGGGACATCAAGCGAATGGGGTGACGTCTTCCGGTTAGGAGGCAGTAGGAGAAGAGGAGGCTGTTGTTGACGACTTGTACATCTGTATAGCTTTCGGTCCTAGTTACGCAGCATACCCCGAGGCGTTCTGATTTTTTTTTTGGGTTGATATAATATTGGGTTTGTAGCGAGTGTTGGATATACAGAGCCTTTCCTTTCCTTTGCGGTATCTATGATATTCATTCACTTCGTTGAACAGATATAGTATGGACCGACATCTTGCATGTTCACCTGTACCGCTTTCACATGATTCGGTCGGGATGCTAGAATCCGGCCTTGGCGCAGTTTTGCCCGTCGTCATCGTAGCATGCACCGCGCGGGACGCACGCGAGCACTCCAACAACATATCCACGACTCCTATTCATGTCGCTAGTCCTGGCCATGTGCACGGCATGGCTTCAAATAACGTACACCAATAGTTCAGAGAGATTTCCGGCTTTGTCAGGCTCCTGCAGAACCTTCATGTCGGACAAAACGCGCTCCGGTACCTCGGCAGCTCCAGACTTTTTGGCCACATCATAAATCTCACTGGGCCAAGTTTTCAAATGGTGTCGCGTGTTCCGGGGGTTCCTGACATTAGCGTGCGATAGGATCGGACATTTGCGTCACTGCGATATCTTTCTTCATATACTCTACATGCGCCTCGGTGGCCGTTTCTTGATTCTTACTTACTCTGCAACAGCACGCGCTTCAGACCGTCGCTTCATCTCTATAGCGTTTACCTACTTTCAAAACTGACAATTTACTACTACCACAGCCACACTGTCGTTCACACGAGTCGTTAGATCTCTTACCCGCGCTCTTCCTCCTCGCTTCTCTGTGCCTGGGGCGAATCCCCAAAACGCCGCCAATATGACCTGGCTCCATCGCCTCAATCCCACGCCTACGTTTCCGGCGCACACCGGACCCTACAAAGTTGGATCTATAGACGTAGAAATACCGACAAGTGAACTGAAAAGCCCCACTGTAGACACGCCTCCTGCGGACCTGCCTACAGTCGCTTTCCGAATCTTCTATCCTTGCACCCAAGAGAGCAATCAAAAGGCCGCCAGATGGATCCCAAGCCCGCCCAGGGAGTATGTCAGTGCATATGCAAGATTTCTGGGTGCAAATAGCGCGTTTGCGAGCGTCTTCTCGTAAGTTGGAATTCGGGCGGATGACGTTATGAGTGCGCTGTGCTAAACCTTGCAGATTGTTCCCGCAACTCCTGTACTATATTTCCATGCCCGTCCATCAGAACGCTGATATCCTCGAACCACCTCAGAAGTCGAATAGATGGCCTGTCTTGGTATTCTCGCATGGTCTCGGTGGTTCACGCAACGCATACTCACACATCTGTGGTTCCCTAGCAAGCCACGGAATCGTTGTTGTAGCGCCGGATCACCGTGACGGAAGTTCGCCCTTGTCAATTCACCACACGCCAGAAGACAAAGCCAAGTTCAAGCGCGTTCCATACAGACCGATAGCACACAAACCGAGCACAGAAGTTTACGAGGCGAGAGACGAGCAATTGAGAATACGGTTGTGGGAATTAGGCATGATTCACGATGCGTTATTGAAGATCGACGAGGGTAGTCAGTTCAAGAACGTGACGGGAGAGCACTCCAAGAAGGGCGGAAAGGATACATTGGCCATGTTCTCTAATTTACTGAACGTTCATGAGCCGGGCGCGGTAAGCTTTGCAGGCCATTCTTTTGGCGCGTGTACGATGATTCAGTTTGTCAAATCCGTGTACTACCGCACTTCCTCACCAGCTGGAGGCTACCAACCTCTCTACACACCCTTGGACGACTCGAGTATTAGCCTCCAGGTTACGCCCGCCAGTCCTGTCATTCTGTTGGATCTTTGGACGCTTCCCATCCAAAGTCCAGACACCGCATGGCTCCGCTCAAAGTCTATGCCCTGCTACGATGCCGCGGCTGGCGGATCGAACCTTCTTGCTATCCTTTCTGAAGGCTTCAAAAACTGGACACCCAACTTCAATGAAACGAAGCGCATTGTCGCCAAACCCCTGCAGTCCCAAACGAAGCAACCAGGCCCACATATCTTCTACCCCATTTCCTCTGCACATCTTTCACAGAGTGATTTCGGCGTTTTGTTCCCGTGGCTTACGACAAAAGTTTTTGGTGCGAGGGAGCCGGAGCGTGTGTTGAAACTGAACACAAGGGCTATCCTACAGACCTTGCGTGAAAGTGGGATCAGAGTTGCAAACACCAGTGCGCAGGACCTTGAGATCGACAGCGCAGAAACCAAAGATCAGAGTCTGGCACAAGACACGAGCATCTTAAGCCGCACGGCAGACCGCGTGCGCGGATGGGTCAATCTGAGTGCCGATATAGAGGTTGGCTTGGATCTCAATGGTGTTGAGAAAGTGCAAGGTAAGAGTCTTGTGGGCACGCCAATGGAGAAAATCGTAAGTGGAAGCCCGGGCGAAGCCATGGTTGAGGGCGAAGTATTGGGGCAGGTCGTGGAAGCGAGTAAGAAGTAATATCCTCCTCACATTTTTAATCAGGACTCGCCATGCATTTCAGGGTTGGCGTTTAGCATAGCAAGGGGTCACTCAGGCGTATATTAGTATACCCAGCACTTGAATAGATTAGATTATGACTCAACGAAGACTTTCCTCGTGGTGCTCTTGCTAAGTATCTCATTCATCAATAGTCCTCTTTTATCTTTTATGCGTAGGCATCTGAATCTGAATCTGAATCTGTAGGCACTTTTGCACGCTCTTGTTTAGTATCTTAGATTACGCTTAGGGAACTTCCTCGATTTTTGTTTGTTTCTTTACCAGGTGAGAGTACTCAACACGTTGATAAGGTAAGTAACTTTTTGCGGTGCCTAGACTCAACAGCCAATCAAAGACATGCGCTAGTAACTTAGCGTGGTCACCATGCCAGCGAGAAACCTAGGAACCGCGATCAAACTTATACAACGAGTCGTCTCCTCTCACCTTCGCATCAAGTACCCACTTCCCCACTGCTCTGACTCTGCAGACACATTCATGTACAGTCACGCTACAACATCATCGCCGAACTGTCCTTAGTTCGTACTGTGCAGCTTAGCGACAACAAAGCGAGCAAACATTGACTACAACATCTCTATCTGATCCAGAATCACATCCACATGTTCACTCTCACCGACGATCTATCTCGCTTCGCTTCTTTACCCCTCTTCTTCTCACTACCTCACACCTTTTAGATTGAACAAACACCCATCAACGACGGGAACCAACAACACCCAATATGACCTCTCCAGAGGGTCGAGAGCAGGTGGAATTATTCCAATTTCCAGCCTGGATGGTTCAGAAGGCAGCGGAGTCAATGGCGCGAGTAGACCTAGGTGCTCTTGGTAAAAAGTTACAAGAGGCACGGGATCAAGACGAGTCAAAAACGCTAGAACTTGTGGAGCAAGCGCACACAAAGTATGGCGGGAGCCTAAGCCCCTTCAAGATTGCTGAACGATGCGTTTCGCGGTCAGAGTCTGTGTCAGAGAGTGTTTCGCAGCCAGACAACATTTCGCAGTGTGAGAGTATTTCGCAGCCACAGGCTGTGAGTGAGATCAAAGACGTGCGGAGGGTACTGCAGGTCCAGACGCGAGATAAGAGACGAGCACATAAAAGCAAGGTCAGGACAGATCGCACCGCGTCGTCACCGAATGCTACATCACCACCTGATATTGCAGAATCGTCAACCACTGCTGCCACACGAAGTCTCTTCATCCCTGAGAAGCAGAGAGATAGATACAAAGCGCTGCCAGAACTACCAGAATGGCATCGAGTCATCAACATCAAAGGCCATAGGATCAAAGAAATCAGGAAAAATCGTCCGGCATCGTACCTCGCACTCGACGCGCTCAAAGACTGCATCACCCGATGTGAGGCGGAGAAGGACCCAAGCCGACGAAAGAAACTTTACGACGAGCTACGTCACCACGTGCACAAGGCGCAAACCGTGTTGAAGGTTAACCAGTACATAGTGAGGGACACTAGGATATTGACCCTAGAAAATGGACTGTGTAGGATTTTCAGGGGGGACGCGAAGTTTCCTAGTGATCTGAAGGCTGATGCATTTCAGCTGTACAGCCTTTGGTGTCATGAGGTCTTTGAACAAGATATTCTCCGCGGCATCATTACTGTCAAGGGAAGAGATCGCGGCGCCGACCGGCTCGATCAAGCATACAAAAGCAAGCATCCTGCTAGCCCCAAGTTCTACGGTGAGGGTGATCTCGTGCTTGGTCATTGGTGGCCTTCGCAACTTTGCACTGTCCGCGACGGCGCGCACGGCGCGACACAAGGAGGTAAGCATTGAACCACGCTCTCTTTGCCTGTTTTGGTATTCGCTCTTTCAGGCAGAAGGACGCTCGCTCACTAGCTTGACAGGCATCTTTGGCGAAAAGGATAAAGGCGCCTACAGTATCGTGCTCTCGGGCGGCGGCGGTTATCATGACCATGACGATGGTGATACCATTGAATACAGCGGCACCGAGGGAAAGAATGGCAAAGCGTCTGAGAACACGCAACATCTCATCAAATCTCGCGACCTCCAAAACGAGATCCGCGTTATTCGGTCTTCCCAGCTAGTGAAGACGAATAGATACCGGCCCAAGTGTGGGCTGCGGTACGATGGTTTGTACAAGGTCACGGACTATTGGTTAGTGAATCAAGAGAAGCAGATGTATCGCTTCAAGCTCGAGCGCTGCCCAGGCCAGGACCCGATACGCTGTAAAGGCAGTGGTGCAGAGCGCCCCACCAGTTTCGAAGTAGAAGCATATGAAGACTTGAAGAAGAAGAATTGGTGAATGTGGACTTGGGTTCGGTTGGTTCAGAAGAAACGAGCTCACGATGCACGAGTTGATGTGCATTTCGACTCCGGAAGCTGCTGCCTTGACAGCTAGCAATGCACGCAAGGAAAGGATAATCAAAGGCGTTTTGGATTTTGCACATAACGGGTGTTCGGGAATGGCAGGATACCCATCGATACCCATCGAGGCGTTTATGACGACCACGATTTAGTTGGGCACATTAGTTGTTGGCTGATGCGAACAATGATTGAGCATTATGTATTGGCATTTGAGCAAGGGCACAGAAAAGCGGGAAGCAAGGCGGCCAAAGACGCAGTTCCTGGGACGGCGTCGGCTTGTAGTTGTAATGCTCACACAGCCATGACTGACGACATAATGAAAGTTAATATCTACCTCCAATTACATTCCCATCGTCACTAGATAAAATCTATTTGGAATGACCGTGTAATGATGTTAGATATGTTGACTCTACTCTAACTCTATCTCATGTCTGCAAAGAGGTAATCAGTCTCCGTCTCAGCATCGTACAAACTGCGATGACTCATCTAGACCATCCAATGGATCCAGTCCAACGCCTATTCCTGTTAACAACCGTTCCATGCAATGCCAAATACCCATTGGTAACAACCCGAAACAGGACTTTATCAAACACCAAGTTAAGCAAACTGACCGGTCCTCAACGCCTACCTACAGCCCCGCTGTTGCGCCTAATAATGGAAATTGCCCTCATAGTTGCTCCTTGGTCTTGAGCCGCATGTCCAATTGGCCAACCTCAGGTTCGAAACCGACATGCTCTTCTATAACAACCAAACACAGCGTTTCCCTTCTTTTCTTTTTTCTTTTTCTTTTCCATTCTGGAGGCGCGGATGTTATTCTTCTGCCTCGGTATTCCAGACTTCGACTTCCCTATTCTCATACTGCTTCATTTTCTCCTCGTCAAAAACCGTGTGTTCTGGTAGTCCAGTTTTTCCAAAGTTGACGACGGGTCCAATGGTGCTAATCCACTGCTGCCGCCTCTCCATCAGTGTCCTGATCGGTTCGCCAACGCCCGGACGAGTAATCCCCGCGTTGGCCACTGGATGTGAACCACCGCCTGCACCACCAGGACGCTTATTCTGCTTCTTACCTTTGCCGATGTTGCGGTTCCGTTTGAGGTATGCGGCGTTGAGTTGGGTGTCTAGATCGTCGGCTATGGTGTTGTATTCCTGCTGTGCTATTCTTTCCTCTGTGAGCTCCAATAATCGTTGTTTCCGTGCACCGTTGACGATAGACTGCTTTCTTAACTCTTCTTGCAGAAATCGTAGTCTTTGGGCTACTTCGTCGTCGAAATGCGCGTCGTAGGATTGGGACTCTGCATCTGCTTCGGAGATGAGGCCATAGTGCTTTAACTCCATGAGGACGCGGTCATCAAGGCCGGCATAGTCGGCTCGCCCGTTCTGTTGAGGGGCTTTCCAGCCGGGCTGGAGGAAGTCGGGGAGCTGAGTTGCAGCGGGGATGGAATTCGTGTTGTTGGTGTCGGCTGTTGCTCCTGCGCCTTCGTCAATGTCCATAGCATCGCCGTTGACGCCATTTGTCTCTTGAGAGGTATTCTGGTTCCCGCGCCCTTCCGGCCGTAGTGTAGCCACCAAACGAGAAAGTAGGGGCCCTGCAGACACTTGTTCTGTCTCAAGAATATTGTCCGATATATCCTCGGCCGCCCCTCGCGATACATTCGGCGCTGGACGTTGATCGTTCGAGTCGATGTGCATGGCGCCATCCTCTTCGGCCCAGATTTCCTTGTAGTGTCTTTGCCCACGTCTGGGCAAGACAAAAGGGGCTACCCGATCTCCTCGCTCTTTCAGAAAAGCAACGTCTTCCTCGGTCAATGGCCGTATATAGGGTTCGACATAGTTGGCAAAGACCGAGGCATTGACCTGTGTCGCCGGCTTTGCCATTGAAAAGTCTTTATCCGGGGGTAGGCCGGCGATTTTGTCGCGTAGATCTGTGGGTGGAAACTCTGCCACGCAGTAGATTTGCTTCTTTTCCTCATCCGTCATTCCTGGGGTGACGTCCCGTATGTGGTATATGGTGGGGTCGTCGAACTTGGCTGGGTCGGGCCCAAAAGTCTGGTACTGGGGCACGGCAGGCGCGGGCGCGGGCTGGTGGGAGACATCGGAGGCGCTGGGCGAAGGGGCATCTGGTGGCGCTGTGCCGGAAGCTGAGGGCGGAGCTTGTGATATGGGGGATGATATAGCCGACGAGTTGTCTGTATTTGAATTTTGTAAGCTGCTGAGCCCCCTAAGCCTGACGGTCAAATGTGGTTGGTTCTGGGCCATGATTGAGTGCGGCAAGTAATTTTGTTTACACGCGGTGTGGGTGTAGGCGATAGGATTGTTTGGGATATAGACATTCATTCGAGTGCGAAGCTAGAAGCAGCAGAGAGTCGGCTAGGGAAGACGTACCTTTGGCTGCGTCGCCGCCGCCGCCATCCTGCCTAGCCAGGCCATGGGCGCCTGTGGTGGGTGGGTGCTTGCCATCCTCGTCGTGCTTCTTGCTCACTTTCTTGAGCTTGTGCTTGCGTTCGCGGTCTTCTGGGTCCTTTTCTTTTTCTCGTTCTCTTTCCCGCGGCACCCGGTTCTTTCTCAGACCGTGGAGTTCTCTGAGGGCGGCTTCGGATTGTGTGCAGCGCATCTCCATATTCTTGAGCACCATCTTCTCGATCTGGTCGCGCATACTCAGCAGCTTGCTGCCCGAGGGAATCTGTGAGCTGCTGCCTCCGCTGTCGAGTATCTCTTCGACGGTAACACTGCATTTTCTGAGCCAGGAGCTTAGGGGTTTCCCAAAGTACGAGGCAGTCGACGACGAGGGCTCGACGGAGGTGTGCACGCTGGGCAGAGGCGTCGTGTTGCGGCTGCGTGGAGGGGCCGAGGGCTTGGAGCCGGGCTTTGCCTTGCCCTTGCTACCTAGGCCTGTGGGAGGCATGGTGGGTGAGATGGCACTTTGGAATGTTGGAGTAGGCGGGGAAGACGTGGGCGGGGGCGCGGGGGTGATCGGGGTGGCCTTGGGCTGGAGAGCGACGTTGCGCGCGCGCGCGACGTGAATTGGTAGCGAGAGAGAAAGTGAAGGGAAATGCCAGGCGTCAATGGGGTTATGGCCAGCCTCTGGGGGTTGAGTTGAGTGGGTGGAGGCCGGTGGCGCGTTGCTGCTTGAGAGTGAAGGTGGTTCGCATCGCCTACTCTACAGTACTAGCTTCATGGTTGCCGCCAAGCAGCCGTCCAGCATGTCTATCATGTCTTACAGGACTGAGACGCCCTAGTCTACGAGAGCTGGCTTCAATCAAGGTGCATGAGATATATATATATATACATACACATGTCACATGTTCGCGCGACCGAAACAAGCCCCTAGCTAATAAGCTTTCTTCCTTTCTCCACACTCGGTCGCTCCAACATCCGGCTGCGTCGGATTCCCCAGTCGCCCCTCCAGCCTCCAGCCTCTATTCTCTTAGACTTTAGCCCCCTCTCCCTCCACCCCCCTCCCCATCGCAATCGCAATCGCTCTCGCTCTCGCTCTCTCCTGTTGGCCCCGTTATTCGTTCGCGCTCGCTATCCTGCTCCAGCAATGAGTCATTGTCGCCGTCGCCTCAACTTAGCGGCTCCTGTGTAATCGCCAGTGCCACGCAAAATGAGTACGTCACCTCTCCTCGCCGCTGATAGCGACCAGTCGCATACTCACAGCTCCTTCACCCAGGTGCCCAGCGCATTGGTGTCTTTACCATCGATTTCCCAGATCCAAACGTCATCCAGTACGAGAACAACAAGTTCAATACCCTCAACGACAGCGTCTCGTTCCAGTACCGCATCCCCTCCAACATCCAGACGCTTTCGACAAAGGGCGTCGATGCCGGCACCGATCCCTACGGCATCCTCTACGTACCCAATCTACAAACAGATGCGTGTAGGAGTGAAGAGCAAGACCATGTCCCCGCCAACGTCACCCGGCTGGCCAATCTCCCCGTGGGTAAGAACTACGCCCTTATAGCCGTTGCGCCCTGGTTCAGTCCACAATGCGTCATCGAGTACTTCAGCGCCGCCCGCCAGGCTCCCACAAAAGCCATATTCGTCTACCAGCCAGGGAACAACAATGCAAAGCCACCAGTGCTGAACGACCCTTCCTGGAACCTCCAGGATGGCGGGAGTTGGCAGTCCGCAAACAACTTCCCCACCTATGCCCTCTCGCCTATGACTGGAGGCAACATCATGGACCAGCTCAACAAATACTCGGGCAATCTGACTACCGTCCCCCATGGCGACGCGCTGGCGCAGACCTTTGATCGTTCTGATTACGTCCGATTGTGGGCGACTGTCTCCACTGGTAAGTTTTGTTTCGTCGGCCGCCGTCATCTTTGCTAATCTTGGTAGACTCTGTAGGCCAGCTGCCCAGTCTTTGGGTTTTTCTCGTCATCGTCATGGCCATATTGCTTGTCGCTGTCAGCGTGACCTCCCTCGCCATGCACGTCATCCAGCGCAGGCGCCGAAATGACCTCCGCCAGCGCGTTGTCAACGGAGAAGTGGATCTCGAAGCACTGGGCGTCAAGCGCCTGAATGTCTCGCAACAAGTCCTCGACAAGCTCCCTATATACACGTACACGGCTACCTCTCCAGATGTTCCAGTACAGCCAGCTCCACAGGTTCCTCCGCAGGTCCTAAACCAGCCAACTTCGTCTGTAGACTCGGAAACCGGCCAAAAGATGTCACAGCTGTTCCGTCGGTCGTCTGTGCCTGCCATGTCGACGATTGGCATGTCGACATCCTTTTCCCAGCCAACCTGCCCCATATGCCTCGACGATTTCGAGCCGAACGAAACACAGGTGCGTGAATTACCGTGCCGCCACGTCTTCCATCCTGATTGCATCGATACCTTCCTTCTCCGCAACTCGTCGCTATGTCCTATGTGCAAGCAAAGTGTTTTACCCAAGGGCGATTGCCCGGTTCACATCACGAACGTAATGGTACGGAGAGAGCGGCATATCGCCCGCATGCGTGCAAGGAGCGCTCATACGTCAAACGGGCTGCCAAGCACTGTTCAGTCGCACGCTCTCACAACCTCTCCTGCACCCACAGATCGACAGGCAGGGACATTCGGGTCGCTAGGAAGTCGAGTAGGAGCGGCGTTCACTGGGCGACGTATCTTTAGTGCTCCAGAGCGGACTCAATCGAGACCGCTGGACATTGAGATGACGAATACGAACAACACATCACAGCCGTCGGCTCTACATTCGGGCCTAGTTCAGTCAGTCGGTACACCACCAGTTCCAGCGACTCAAGTAGCTACGCAGAACTGTGAGCCTACACAGAATCGAAGAGAATGGGCGCGACAAAGAGCATTAGCCTTGTTGGGCAACCGTCATGCACCACCTAGCGATGTGGAAGAAGCGGAATCTGGTCCTCGCTGGCGGCGGACGGTCCGTAAAGTCTTTCCTGGATTCCGATAACAATCTTTTATACCCTTTCCTTGTTCTATGATAGCGATGCTGGAGGGTTTGGCATATGGATGGCGCACCTAGTCTTTGGCGATATACTTGGTGGTGTTTAGGAAAACTTGCAAGCGTCTCGCTTATGGAGGCTCAGGATTGAATGTGATGGACGCAGCGTCTTTCCTTCACTGCACATAACTTCTGCCATGCTTAATATATTTTGATTGGCCTAGTCGCTGATATAACTCGCACGTAAATACAACCCAGTGTTGCCGTGAATCAGATGGACCTACAATGAATGAAGCTTCAGGAACGCCATGCCTCTATATGCCGCAACATGCATCCTACCTGCACTCTACCCAATCAAGCGCCTAATCTAGACTCTGGATCTGCACCTTGATGGCTCCGGTCTTGGGATCCGCAGCCGTCTTGAACGCCTCCACAGCATCCTCGAGTTTGAACCTATGCGTAACCAGCTTGCTGAGGTCGATGACACCGCTCTTGACTAACCGGATGGCCTTGGGCCAGGTATTGCAGTACCGGTACTGGAACTGGAGGTCGACTTCGCGTGTGCTAAGGCGCATGAAGGGGATCTTCATCTCGTTCTTGCCCACGCCGATGACGAAGACCTTGCCGCCGAACTTGACGGCCTGGATCGCGCCCGAGATGCTGGACTCTACACCTGTGCACTCCATTGCAATGGCAGGCTCCACGCCTCCCATCTTTTCGATAATGGCGTTGCGGAAATCTTCGGGTGTGTGGCTGAAGTTGACTTTGTGGGTCAAGACGGAGGGGACGAGGGACTTGGCAAAGTCAAGACGCCCTTGGTCAATATCGGTTATCACAATGGGTGTCGCGCCTGCAGCTTGACTGCACAGTAATGTGACGAGACCAATGGGCCCGGCACCACAGACTAGGACCGGATCACCCAATCGCACATTTGCGCGATCCATACCCGCGAGCGCAACGCTGAGCGGCTCGAGCATGGAGCCGTCTTCGTATGTCATGCTATCTGGGATCTTGTGGCACCACATGGCGGGGTGCTTCAAGTATCTGCGCAGGAGACCTGTGACCGGCGGCGTGGACAGGAACTGGACGCGTTCACAGCCATTGTAGCGGCCTGTCAAGCAAGGCTCGCACTCGTGGCAGATGATGTTCGGTTCGATGGCTACGCGGTCGCCTGGTTTCAGTGACGAGACACTGGAGTGGACAGCCATTACGACGCCGGACGACTCATGGCCGAGGATATGCGTGTCTTCTACGATCATGGGGCCTATGCAGCCCTGATCCATGCAAGTCCATAATCAGCATAGGTTCCTGACACCTGTTTTCTTTTCTTGTCGTCTCTAGATGGATGCCATTCAGCGAGGATTGGGGGGAGAGAAACATACCGCATGCCAGAAATGAATATCACTCCCGCAGATGCCCGTGCTCTTCACATTCAGCAATACCTCGCCCGGCTGCAAATCACCGCCCTTCTGCACCGTCTCCAGACTCGGCTCTGCTTCTGCGACCCATAGCTCGTGCGCTGGGTTGGTGTAGACGCCGATGTTGGCCTTGGTCGGCTTGACTTCTGTTGCCGTTGTGCTCATCTTGACTTTGTTTTCCCAATTCGACGAGTTTAAGAGAAGAGAGACAAGAGAGACGGAGAGACGGAGAGAAAAGTGTTATGGAACAAAAGACACAGCAAGAAGCCACCAAAATTCCCTAGAACCCAAGAGAGTAAACACACGAGAGAAAACAAGAGAGATCACCTGCGCTCCCCAAATGATGGTAGCGCGGGGCGGTTGTTATACGTGGAATAGGCCATGGCATGGTGCCCCTCCATGGTCAACCCGACCGAGTCTCGTCTGCCCCACCATTGCGTTTGGGGGGAAATCCCACAAATAGGAGAGCCCGCAACTCCGCACCAGAGTAGCACATGGGGGTGTCGACAAGCGCGAGCCATACTCGTCGGGGTAATTCATCCCACTACTGTTTTCGTACCATCTCGAGCGTGGTATGGTGGTGACTGACTAGCCAGCCCGCGTGCTCGGCGGATGTACTCGGCATTTTCGCCGCGACTCGAAGGCACACCAAGGATGCATTTGCTTGTCTGTCAGATGATGCACAGTGGGGATGAGATGGATTCTGGAACCGCTTGGATTGAAACTAGAAGGATCTGACATGACAATGGTTTGTCCAAGACGACTATGGTAGCTGAATTGCACCACGCAAAGGAAGGTTCGTCTATAACCTCGACGACACATGTCCACTCTCTCCATCCATCTACGTCAGCAGGACTGTTCAGTCTACAGTCTATCGCAAGTGAAGAGCACTCCCTCATGCTTTCCAAGTCTGTCCGACAAACTCTTCAACGTCTTCCCAGAGCTCTTTGGGCCGCTCGAGCGCGGCAAAGTGTCCTCCATGCTCATGTTGCTTGTAGAAGGTCAAGTTGCAGTTCTTCTCGACGCCACTCTTGGTCCCCACCACCAGTTCGTAGGGGAAAAAGGAGAAGCCTGTAGGTTTCGGGAGGTACCCAAACTGATTGCCCGAGGGACCAAAGAGTGCACGGTAGGGGTAGATTGACCGTGGGAAGCCGTCTGTGAACCAGTACAGGCTTATGTTTGTCAGGATTGTATCCAGGGACGGGTCTTCGTCGGTCCATTCGAGGAATTTCTCGCCGATCCTGCAAAGTGTCAGCGTCTTTAACCTTGGAACCGAGAAATGCCATCTACCAAGCCAGGAGCGCCAGTGGGCTTGAAGAGAGAACATGACCGATTGTACTTGGTCTTGTACTGTGCTCCAAAGCGTAGGAAGTTCCGGTTGCGCGCCACGCCACGGATCGGTCAAGTGCCCTCTTTTCGAGAGCACTGAGGGACTTTTCATCAGGCTGGTCCGCGACGCTCATCATATTCACTAAGCGGTGGACTTAGCGCGCGCGCGCGCAATGACATGTCATCCTACTCAATGAGACTTACAATGGACACCCACGCACGTGTCATATCCTTGAGATAGGATCATCGCCTCAAAGCTCCCCACGTCTCCCCCCTGCGCAATGTACTTCTCAAAGCCAAGATTCAGCATGAGTTGGTTGATAATACGAGCGGTATCCTCCATAGTCCAGTTCTTGTCAGCAGGTCCGCTGGAGCTGAGTGTATATCCAGGCAGCGAAGGAACGATGATATGGTAAGGTAGGTCCTTCGCCGAATACTGCTTCCCAATCAATTGCAACATGGGAAGGAACTCAATGAAGCTCCCAGGCCAGCCATGCAAGAAGACAATAGGAATCGCATCCTTTTTCTCGGAAAACAGTGCCACGAAATGAAGGTCAATCTCTTCGATTTGCATCTTGTAGTTCGGAAACGAATTGATGTGCGCTTCCTGTTTACGCCAATCGTATTGGTTCAGCCAATAGTCTTTGGCCTCGGATAGCCATTTGTGGGTTATGCCAAAGCGACGGTCTTCTTGCCGACCTTCGTACGTGTCAGGGCCAAGTTTGGATAACTGGAGCAGTTGACGCCATTCCGAGAGTGCTTGGTCGGATACATGGAGCGCGAAAGGCTGGGCAGAGTTTGGGGGCGAGTAGGACATTTTGAACTGGAGAGGAGCAAGTGATATACTATGCATGCGGGTAATCCAACGTTGATGCTACTTATGGAGTTCAAAGTCTTGGAAGTAACCGACAGATAGCCGAAATTGGAGAGAATCGGTTGCTGTCTGTCAGTTTTTGTACCAAATGCGGCAACCTTGTGGGGAAGCTTTGCTTAAGCCATCCAATGCACGATGAGTTGGTGCATCAACGGCTCCCCCATTAACGTGGGTGGCCCGCGGCCTGAAGTAGTCTACTCGGCCGAGGCGAGCGGTCCTGCAGTGGTCCGTCACTTGATTCGCTAATCAAATGGCGCGAATCACCGTCGTGGGGGGTTGCTGACAAGTCTATACAGATGAATATATGTTATAATACATTGACCAAAACAAAGGATCAGTGACCGACCCTACGGTAATACGTGACATGCTACTGGGTATGAACATGAGCCCACGCTTTGAAGTCCACAGTTGGCGGGGCAGCAAGAACAGCACATTACCAACAGCTATGGAAGTTGAACAAGACCATCTTCTATCGCATACTAGCACAATGCAGACGATGAGTTGAATTAAATCGGCTTGTAGTGAAGGCGATGAGGAGCAGCGTTTGGGGAGGTCTTGTAATCGTCAGCGATAGCGATAGTAGCGGGGCAGATCGGAATGGGCCCCGCGATTTGATAGCTGCTAATCGCGACTTTTTTACATACGACTCACACACTTCCTTCAATCACCCTCTCTAAAAACTGCGCTTGCAACTCGACTGAACAAGATGGCACCAGCGCTGGTTGCTGCAGTTGATCTCAAGGACTATACAAACTCGACCCAAGGCCTTAGCTACCAGACCCTGTCTTTCGTTGGCAATACCTTCGTCCGCGTCACCGATGAATCAATCGACCAAGCCCTCATCCACCTACAGCAGTCTGTAGGCCGGTTTTCCAACTATATCGGCGTCGCCTCGCTCACGTCCATCGACGACATCATCTCCCTCCTTGATGCTGGCGCTGCCAAGGTCTTTGTCACTCGCCACCAACTCGACGAGCTCAAGTCATTGAACATCAATCAGGACAGGATAGTCTTGTGTCTACCGGACAACAAGACAGAAGTGATTGATGCAATCGCAGGCACCCAGGTCGATGTCTACTGGCACCAGGCTCACGACATCGAGCTCGTCGAGGCTTGGTTAAAAGAATATGGGACAGACCGACCTAATGTCTTTGTTTCGTTTCAAACGCCGAACCTCGAAGATGTCCTGAAGATAGCAAAGTCGTCGGCGATACCGATTATACCCGCAGAGAGTCTCACCGTCGATACACAAAAGGAACCGGGGTTATTGAGCGTCGCGAAGCTCCTCATGGCCAATGCGACCAGCGACCGACCGGACGGTCTATTTACAACTCTCGTCACCGATGAGCGAGGAGTCGCCCTGGGACTGGTCTACAGCAGTGGGGAGAGTGTTGCAGAAAGTCTAAGAACGGGTAGAGGTGTATACCAGAGCCGGAAGCGAGGACTGTGGTATAAAGGCGAGAGTAGTGGAGATATCCAGGAGCTTGTTTCCATCTCGCTGGACTGCGACAATGACTGCTTGCAGTTTGTAGTACGTCAAAAGGGAAGAGGCTTCTGTCATCTTGCTACACCAACTTGCTTCGGCCAGTACCACGGTCTGTCGAAACTGCAGCAAACCCTCCAAGACCGCAAGGCCTCGGCCCCTGAAGGCTCATACACCGCACGACTCTTCAACGACTCACAGCTATTGAGAGCGAAGATCCTCGAGGAGGCTGCCGAACTTTGCGATGCCAACACAAAGCGAGACATCGCGTTTGAGGCGGCCGACCTTTTCTACTTCGCCTTGACCAAGTGCATATCCGCTGGAGTATCTCTAGAGGATGTCGAGCGTAACCTCGATGCGAAGAGCATCAAGGTGAAGAGACGGAGAGGCGATGCCAAACCTGCTTTCGCCGCGCAAGCCGCAGTAACCAATGGCGGTACAACCGCTACTATGAAGGAACCAAGCACTAAGGAGGTTATCAAAGAGGCTACTTCAGTACCTAAGAGCAAGGACGACCCAGCTGGAACCAAAAATGGACGCATCGCTATGCGCCGATATGTTACTGCAAATGAAACCCCGGAGACCATCACTGCCGCCCTGCAGCGGCCATCTCAGAGATCGAGTGAAAAGATCATTAGCATCTGCCAACCTATTATCGAAGCCGTGAAGACGCGAGGCGATGCTGCGCTACTAGAATACACCCACAAGTTCGAAAAGGCTACATCATTGACGTCTCCAGTTTTGAGAGCGCCGTTTCCAAAGGAGCTTATGCAATTGGCTCCAGAGACCGCCAAAGCTATCGATATATCATTCGAAAACATCCGCAAGTTTCATGCTGCACAGAAAGAAGACAAGCCTTTAAGGGTAGAGACAATGCCCGGAGTTGTGTGTTCGCGGTTTGCTCGGCCTATCGAGCGAGTTGGTCTCTACGTACCAGGTGGTACCGCTGTACTTCCATCTACCGCGCTCATGCTCGGTGTGCCAGCTATGGTAGCGGGATGCAAGAAAATCATTCTAGCAACACCGCCGCGAGCAAATGGCCAAGTGACTCCAGAGGTTGTCTATGTCGCTCACAAGGTTGGTGCCGAGCAGATCGTGCTCGCTGGTGGCGCTCAAGCAGTTGCTGCGATGGCCTACGGCACTGAGAGTGTGTCCAAAGTCGATAAAATTCTGGGTCCTGGTAACCAATTCGTTACGGCGGCAAAAATGCACGTAGCGAACGACACCAATGCTGGCGTGGGCATCGATATGCCTGCGGGTCCGAGTGAGATTTTGGTGGTTGCAGATGCGTCTTCTAACCCGGTCTTTGTAGCGTCGGATCTGCTCAGCCAAGCCGAGCACGGTGTCGACTCCCAGGTCATTTTGATAGCAGTCGGGCTCAACGAAGTACAATTAAGTGCTATCGAAAACGAGCTAAACCAACAAGCAAATGCTCTTCCTCGGGTAGACATTGTTCGTGGCGCCATAGAGCACTCACTCACGCTCGCTGTGGAGACTATCGAGGAAGCCATGGCCTTGAGTAACCAATATGCACCGGAGCATCTCATCCTTCAGGTTGAGAATGCAGAACGGCTTGTTGACTTGGTCGAAAATGCTGGCAGTGTCTTCATTGGCCAATGGACACCAGAGAGTGTTGGCGACTACTCTGCTGGCGTTAATCACTCCCTCCGTAAGTTCTCGAATTTCCAAAGGCCATCTTGTACCGTGTCATACTAATCATTGCGCAGCAACCTACGGGTATGCAAAACAGTACTCTGGCGTCAATCTAGCCTCTTACGTCAAGCACATCACCAGTTCCCACCTGACTAGAGAAGGATTAGAAAACGTAGGCCCTGCCGTCATGGAGCTTGCGCGGGTAGAAGAGCTCGAAGCCCATCGTCGCGCTGTTAGTTTACGGCTTGGTGTAGCTTGAGCGATTAATCGAATATCATTTCCCCTTAATTTTGTATGTTTACGTATGCTTCCTTCTTATTGCGGATAGAATGATATCTTCAGCTTTGATTCGGGGATAGAACGTAGAGTAGGTTTATCTGAAGCAGTGGACGACGCGGTCACATTTTAACGCCTAATCCGCGAAAATTAATCCTTAGTTCACAGGAGCCAGCGGCGAACCTTAGTTGTTAACAGGCTTGAAGGTTTGGCCAGAAAAGGTATGGGCAGTATTTATCTCTGACTCGATGTAGCTATAAAAGAGCTAGTGCCTTTGCAGCACGGGCCGCGCATGAAGTGTCGACGTAGCTATCGTTTCAAATGGTCTCCATCCATCAACAACACTATGCAAGAATATAGCACGGCACGACTTAGCATGGATACTTATCCTATAATGATTTTTCCTTCTTCTTTATTCCGTGTAATAATGTTTCCAGTTTCGTCGATGTTCTTGCGCCACCGCGCATTGCGGATAAACCCCGAGTGTTTAATGATCTCCAGGATGCGTTTCATGGTCTCCTGAAACAATGCTCTCAGGACTAAGGGCTATCGGCCCATACAACCTCATCTAAACCCATGTATACATAAGAGTTCCTATTCCTCTTTTCCCTAATTTTCGTTAGCCATTCGATTTTTGAGTCTTTCTCTCTTTCCGTCCAAATCTCTACATTCGCTGGAAGCGTGCTTCTTTACATTCTTTTTATACTTTCATTCAATCCAGAAGCTAGCTTCTGACCCATCTCTTTGCTTCAACCAACCCGAATCCGTCCAGCAGTACCAGCCTTAACAATTATAAACTACCCCGTTCAGATTCAGCAAGATGCATATCCGCGGCTCCTCCATCTACCTCGCCGTCACTTTTCTGACATCCACTACCGCCGTTCTTGCAGCCGTCCAACCTTACGGACAATGCGGCGGCGCCAATCATCAGGGCGAGACGACGTGTACTGACGGATGGACGTGCAAGAAGTACAACGATTGGTACAGCCAGTGCAGTGGTGGTCAGAATGGAGGTGGGAATGTTCCTTCACCAACCACTAAGACGACAACCACAGCTACCGAACCTACAGTCGTTCCGAAGCCTACCAGCACCGTGACGAGCGTAGTTGTTAAGCCATCATCCGCACCCAAGCCTTCGGTCGCGCCAGCACCGTCGAGCAAGGAAGCAAAGCCCGTTGTCGTTTCTTCAACGCTCAAGACTATTATCTCCAAACCATCTGCGACGCCTGTCGCGGAACCCCAGCCGGAGACCAACGCCACTACAAGCGCTGTAGGTGCCGCTTCATCAAGCGCAGCAGCGCCGAGCTCCTCTCCCAGCAAGGCACCTAGCACCGGAGGGAGCGGCAAGAATGGCGCCAAATGCTCCCTTGATTCAGCCTTCAAGGCTCACGGCAAGAAGTACATCGGCGTAGCTACAGATCGGGGCCGCCTGGCTGCAGGAGCCAATGCGCAGATCATCAAAGACAACTTCGGTCAAGTCACGCCTGAGAATAGCATGAAATGGGATGCGACGGAGAATGTGCAAGGTAGCTTCACCCTAGATGGAGCCAATGCGTTGGTGGAGTTTGCCACACAGAACAACAAATTAATCCGCGGCCACACCACCGTCTGGCACTCTCAACTTCCTACGTGGGTATCTTCCATTACCGACAAGGCGAAGCTGCAAGAAGTAATGGTCGCTCACATCCAAAAGCTCATGACCACCTACGCAGGCAAGGTATATGCCTGGGACGTAGTGAATGAGGTATTTGGTGAAGATGGCAAGTTCCGCTCCTCGGTATTCTACAACGTACTTGGTGAAGACTTTATACCGCTTGCATTTAATACCGCCCGCGCCGCCGATCCCAAAGCAAAACTCTACATCAACGACTATAACCTCGACTCTGTCAGCTACGCAAAGACAAAGGCCATGGTTGCAAAGGTCAAGGAATGGGTAGCTGCCGGTGTGCCCATCGATGGCATTGGAAGCCAGAGCCATCTCGCGAACAATTGGCCGATTGCTGATTTCCCGGCCGCGCTGAAGAGTTTGTGCGATGTTGTGGACGAGTGCGCCATTACCGAACTCGATATCAAGGGTGCTGCTGCTTCAGACTACCAGACGGCAGTGAAGGCTTGCCTGGATGTTGAGAAGTGCGTCGGTGTCACGGTTTGGGGGGTCTCGGATCCGGACAGCTGGAGGGCTAGCTCGACGCCGTTGCTATTTGATGGAAGCTTTCAGGCGAAGGCGGCTTATAACGGAATTTGTAGTGTCTTGGCGTAGAGGGATACAAAGTGGTTGTGGGATCAGAGAGTGGTCTTGATGACGCCATATATTCTATCGTAGATATTAACATGTTTGAAATAGTAAATACACTAGCGAATCTGTTAGATATTTCAGGGCACGCTGCTTAAACTAAATGGCAAGGGGGGTCACGCAAGATGAGCCCATGATCCAGGTGGCTCTAAAGTTCAATTTCTTTCAGATTGATTAAACATACAGCATCGCTTTCATTTCATTTCAGTTCATTCTAATTCATTTCCCTCCTACTCCACCTACGACTTGTAGACGTGAATGACGTGGGGATTGCAGTAAGCAAGCAGACCAGTCTTGCCCCACTCGCCACCAATACCAGACTCCTTGTGGCCACCAAAGAGGGCTTGAGGTGTCGGCTTCTCCCAGGAATTGACAAAGACGGAGCCAGCTTCAAGTCGTCGCGCAACCTTCGATGCCTTCTCTACATCCTTACCCCACACGCAGGCACCGAGACCAGAGTTTGTGTTGTTGGCACGCGCAATGACCTCCTCGAGGTCTGACCACGGCTGGGTGGGCACGATGGGACCGAAGGGCTCTTCCTGAATGATACGAGAGTCGTTGGGCGGATTGTCGATGATGGTAGGCTGAATGAAGTAGCCTTTTGATGCGGCAACGTCAGGCTCGCCGGCAGCGAACTTATAACCCTGGGCCTTGCTGTCGGCGAAGAAGCCCTTGACACGCTCGTACTGCATCTGGTTCTGGACGGGACCGAGCAGGTTGTCACCATCGTCTGGGTTACCGACCTTGACGGTCTTGGTGAAGTTTACCATCTCTTGAAGAAACTCCTTGTAGATGGACTCGTGGATGTAGATACGCTTGGTAGCTACGCAGACCTGACCAGAATTTTGGAATGCACCCATGACGACCTCGGGTGCTACCTTCTTAACATCGACATCTGGGAGAATGATGGATGCGTCGTTGCCGCCGAGCTCGAGGGTAACGCGTTTCAGGGTCTTTGCGGAAGACTCCATGACCTTTTTGCCGGTGGCGGTAGAGCCAGTGAAGGAGATTTTCGCAACATCAGGGTGCAAACATAGCGACTGGCCGAGCTCGTTGTTGCCACCGACGACCTGGAGGACACCAGGAGGGAAGATCTCTGTAGCGAGCTCAGCGAACTTGAGTGCAGTATAGGGTGTGAATGGCGATGGCTTCACGATGATGCAGTTTCCAGTCAACAGAGCTGGCGCAATTTTTCCAGCGCTCAAAACCAAAGGGAAATTCCAGGGGCAGATAGCTTCAAGGGGCGTTAGCTTGCAGTCCTTTGTCAAGTCTCTGAATTGTACTGACCTCCGCAGACACCGAGCGGGGAATACTCAGTGTAGACAGTCTTCTCGTCATCCTCAAGCTTGTCTACTGGGATCTCTAACGAATTATGCCAGCCGATGATTCCAGGAACGCCTCCCACTTCAATGGCGGCAAACCTTCTCTAAGGAATGATTAGCCTCCAACTCGGATGAGTCTCACGGAACAGGACATACCGGCTTGCCCGACTCTTTGCAGAGGAGGTTAGTGAATTCATCACTGTGTTGCTGGAAAGCCTCGGCGAACTTTCCAAGAAGCTCCTTCCTCTTTTCAATAGGTGTGTCTCTCCATGCGGGGAATGCCTTCTTTGCGGCTGCAACGGCGTCGTTCAGATCCTGTTCGCTAGCAATTGGAACATCCCAAAGCTCTTGTCCAGTTGTGGGGTTGATACCACGGTGAACCTTGTCAGAGCTGCGCTGCTTGCCGTCGACAATGTTATAGAACTTCTCAAAGTCAAGAGTGGAGACCTTCCCGGGAGACATGATGGCGGCTGTGAGGGGTTTTCAAGGTGACGTAGGTAGAGTTTGTGACAATATAGACGGGGAGGCCACTCACTTTTTAAAGCTATCGGGAGCTGCAAGTTGCCACTAACTCGGTCACGACCGGGTTCCAGCATTACCCTCGGTAAGCGTATCTGCCGCCGTGTGGATAGTCATTATGAAATTTCAAGCAATTGTGCCTCCTTGGCTGAGACTATTTACCCCACCTTCGCATGAGGATCGCGGGGTTTGAGTAACAAGCTAGGCTTGCATCATAAGCTACATGCGGTCTATTGGCCTAGAACAGCTACCTTTGACCGCAAGCTTGACCGCAACACTGCCGCCCACATGAACCGATGGTTAGTGTGGGATGGTTAGTGTGTGCCCCGTTAGGTTTGGCGTCGTGCCATCTTTCAACTTTTGCGTCCTAAACCCCTGTCTTGTCTTTCTCTTCAGTCAGAATATCGGGGGTAGCGCATCTTTACTTCGTACATCCTCAGAGGCCCAGACGGATTACGGAACTACCCAATGTTCAGAGATAAGAATCACCCCGCCGGCACTATCTCGGCCATGCTGAAGAGTAGATCCTGTCCATTAGAGGGAGAAGGTCCGCTTGCACGTACGTGGTCGCTAACGAAAGGGTTGACTCGCATGTGGCGAGTAGACTTTTACAACTAGTTGGCGCACTGTCACCCTTGAGCAGACATGACATTTGTGCATGTACCCTGTAGTAGAGGCTCCAGGTGGAGACGGTGTGTTTCAGTAGATGGTTGGACACGGTGTGTTTCAATAGATTGTCGCCCATAGGGGTCTCGACCTGGGATGATGACATCGGCAGAGCGGGTCGATGCGGAGCAGACACAGGAGTGTTACGTGAACAAAGGATACCACGGTACCAAGTTTTACTAGCACAGCACGTGCTCCGGTCATTCCTGTGATGAGCCGCCCTTGCCGTTTCCGGGCGAAAAGAGCCCCACCTAGGCCAACCTTAAGCCGACCACAACATTTTGTGCTCTTTGGCGGCCTCCACATACTGCTGACTATCTGCTTATGCTATCGAGTTGTACATGCAAGCTCCACGGGAAGCGCTAGTTGCACGAATCCGTGTGGGATGCAACCATCTACATGGCTACTGAACTACATCCATCGGTTCGCCTTCTTTGCCCCAGGACAGTCGTTCGATGCCATCTGAGGGCTGGGTACCTATCCAGGTGAGTAGTGTTTGCCTGATAATCATACTTGTCACCTGTTGCTCATTGCCAATCTATGTACCCAGCACCCAGTTCTAACAATAGCCACAAGATTTGTTTTTTTACCACGATCCCTAGTTCGAGACTTGTCCTTGACCTAGAAGCTGCGCAAGCTTGCTTTGTCTCCTTTCAGCCAACAGTGAGATCCAGCACCTGCCGCAGAACGAACAATTTGCACACCACCAATATGACTGTTGATGAATGATACGAACGCTAACAGGATCAATCCGACTCGGGGCGACCGTTTAACTGATGGAGAGTTTAATGATCCCACCCGCTCGCTTAAGCGTTCAAGCTCCCGAAGAGCCCGGCCTTCAATCAACCGCCGCCGGTCTGGTTCGCGACCTCGACCCTGTTCTGCTAATCTATTATATATAACACTCGCCTCTTTGGAACTCGTCGTGTCTTCTTCACGCTACGTATATACTCCTGGATCCTATTTTTGGGTCAATCATTTCTCAATCGCGTTCGTCTACCCCAGGAATACAAGCGTTCTAGAGCCAGCTTGATCTGAGTCTCCTGGGTCCAATAATTGCTGTTCCTGTTCGGTTGGTTCGTGTACATTTCCTCCAGCAATATCGACGGGCTCATCTCATATCGTGGGCATGGCAACCATACTATGTTCGCCATCCTCTCCGAACCAGGGCAAGAAGCGACGAAGTGAAGGTCTCGAGATGGCAGCGAGTGGCTATTTCTTTTGCCACCTGTCACATTCGCTTCACCAATGAGAATGGTTTCATGGGCGGGCCGTAGGACCGGGTCATTTGACTACTCGTAGTCTGAAGACCGAGGTGTGGTGAACAGTTTGCTACTCTATGTCTGCCGTGTCTAGATCTCGTACTCGGATGAATACGCTATCATTTAAGGGGACAGCTGTTCGCAACTTCCAGCGAATATATCAAACTAAAACTCTATCGCTGCGAGACTCATTCAAAATCTAAATTCAACTCTGAGTCTCTTTTCTCTTGCCCACTCATTAGATCATTGGGATCATCATAGCTTCACAATGAAGTACACGTTCACCACCCTCGCTTTTGCGGCTCTGTCTTTCGCCAATCCCGTCCCACAGTCATACTCTGCACCACCTTCATTCAGAATCAAGAATGTCGTCTCGGGAGGCTCCGGCTGTCCCCAAGGCAGCATCGACATCAACTGGACTGATAACAGAGTGTTGCCAATATGTATGCTGCTTCCCACGTATCCAACTCGAAACAACTTGCTAACATTAACAGTCTTTAACAAAGACTTCACCGCGAGAGTGGGTAACAGAGCCGATGCCGTCGACTCGCGAAAGAACTGCCAAATCAACCTCGGCCTCGAGTTTTCACCAGGTTACAGCTTTGCCATTTTCAGCGCCGACTACGCTGGCTGGGGAGATCTCGATCAAGGCGTCACCGGCGTCGTGAAGTCGACCTACTATCTCTCCGGGGGGCAGGATCAGGTGAGCATTTGAATTCCTCCCTACCGGCCATTCTAAAAATGCTAATGATTATGTAGTCATCGACGACCTTCACCATTCCTGGCCCATTCCACGGAACATACTATAAGCAGGATAATGTCGCCCTATCGGTCTGGTCGCCCTGTGGCAGCGACGCATTGTTGAACGTCAACTCGGAGGTTGCTCTCACACCATTCGCAACGCCCCTAACCGGTACACTTGCCGCAACACGTGAAGGCGCCCGGTTTAGCTCGACGCTGAACATCCAGTGGAGGAAGTGCTAGAAGGGTAGCAAAACGGTACGCTCTGGTTTGTCGATATATGAATGGATAGATAACTGTGTTTGTGAGATGTCCATACCCTTCTTTGTACTTCGCAACTGGTAATTTGATCGTCATTGTCCCCATGTTCTTCTTCTCTGTGATAATAGTACCTCTCATAGAGCACTTGTGAATTTCACACTCCTCCATTCATCGCGCTGGATCGGGATGCGACGTACGACGAAAGTTCTCACGCAATTTATTAGCAATATGGAAAAACCTGGCGCACACGATACGCTGCAGGGTCGTGTTGCTATTTTCGCACATCCTGTGCAGATGCATGTCTCCCCACCCCGAACAAATTAAATTACAATGCATGGGCCCCTCTATTGTTTAGTTCGGTCTAGTTTTTTATTTATTATTACTTACGAGGTGTCGGATTTAGTTTCTCTGCTATGTCGTCTGCTGCTGCCTAGATCCATGATACTAGCTAGATGCTGCAATGCTCTCATCTTGTTCGTCCGGCGCGCTCTCCGGTTCCGCTCCATCTTCATCGCTTACACCCTCCTCTTCGATATAAGGTGGCGGCGCCAATTCGTCACCACTGTTTACCCAGACTTTATTCAGTTCATTCTCAATCTCCTGCCTCCTCCTCTTCCACTCCTCGACCTTAGCAAGTCGTTCCCTGAGCTCAGCTAGCTCCTTTTCTACACTTGACTTCTCAGATTCAGTGCCGATGCGCTGAAACTCCCATTCATCGCCGTGGTCGCCGAAGCCGAGTGTGAGTGTGTACGTATGATATCGCTTTAGTGAGGCGCGCGTGGATATGGTTATGAGTGCTGTATATGATTACTACGACAGTACATGCAGGATGACTGGAATGCAACTTACTGATCCCCTTGGCCTTTGCTCGTTCATACAATAACCCCTCCACATCACTACTAACCGCACTAGTCCCCTCATCCACAAACGCATACCGCGGCTCATGATAAAGCAGTCTCGCAATCCCTACTCTCTGTTTTTCGCCTCCACTGAAGACATCTTTCCAGACCTTCTTCGTATCCCAGCCGCCCTCCCGATCCGGTATATAACCTAACTTAGCCTCTTCCAAGATCTGGGAGAGTTCAAAGTCCCGGCGTCCGGAAGCTTTCATGTCGGCGTCAGTATGCGGGTAGATGATCTGGTCGCGTAGGGTGCCAGTACTGAGGTAGGGCCGTTGGGGAAGGAACATGATGCCGTCTGTGCCAACGGAGCGCGGACGGCTGACGAGACCGCGATATGCGGGCCATAGGCCCGCGACAATTCGGCTGACAGCGGATTTACCGCAGCCATTAGGGCCGGTGATGAGGAGGTGTTCGCCCGAGTGTACGATGAAAGAGAGGCTCTCGAGGAGCTCGTCGCCGCCCATGGGGTGCAGAGCTGGCGCAACAATGGGCACATGCTCGAGACGAATGCCGTCGAAACCTTTGTGGACCGTGCCTTGGACATCTGAGACTGAGTAAAGTTCTGGACGCGTGCCAGGGGGTGGGTAATAGGCGTCTGCGTGGACGCGGTGGAGTGTGCTAATCAGGGTGTAGACTCGTGAAGTGTAGCCGGCGAGTTCAGACAGGTCTTTGATGCTGTACATCATGCGGCCGCCAGCATCAGCCAGTGATAACATGAGTCGCTTGTTCGTGATGAAATCTTTCATGCGATTCCGTTCTCGGTGTGTCTTTTCGCCCCCTGAGAGTTCTGGGACACCGCCTAAGCCACCCCATGCGGGGAGGAATACGGGGAGCGAGGTGATGAGGTAGCCGAATGCGGACCAGGAGTATTTTAGTACGAAGTCCTCGAGCATGTTGTAGCGAATCTTTAGGCTGTATATGCCTTCCATCCAGTGTTTGAGGTCCTTGAAACCGCGCTCGAGGAAGTGCTTTTCCATCTGGTCACCGCCATAGAAAGCGACTTCTTCGGCATTGGCGATGAGTCGCGAATGAAGGGCGCGGAATTCGCCTTCTCTTCGTCCTTCAACGGCTTTTAATTTGCCAAAGGGTGGTGATAATCGTCGCAATATCGTCGCAGTTACGAAGTAGTTACTCAGCAACCCCGTCAAAGCTAACGGTCCCAAGGACCGATAAAGCTGATAGTTGAACACACAAAGATCTACAAACGGCTTCCCAAGACTGGAATACAAACTCGCCGCACTCGCGCAAAACAGTGTCAAATCCTGCGTGATATACTGATCCGCGCCGACACCAACACCACCATCTAAATTCGATAACTTGTAGTAATTCAAGTTATCGTTCAGATATAGATCATGAATATATCTCGTCAGCCGAGTGCGGAATGCGATCGACACCTTGCTCTGCAAGAACTTGATCATCGCGTTCGTGTATGACGAGAAGGTGCCAACACCAAGCCACTTGCACATACCCCAGAGGAAGGCCTTCCCGTTCCCTGCGACGAGGTCTCTTACGATCTCTCCATCGAGGCGCGCAACAACGAGGGAGAGGTAGGTCCGTAGCATCAAGAAGACGCTGTGACTGACCAGCAGACCCGTCTCCTTGCTATTCCACCTGGGTATCATAATATTTAACAAGCTCAGGAACTGATGCAGGAACGCGAGGTTCAGTCCAGGCTTCGTCTGCGGTGGCGGCGCTTGTGGGTTATTCGCGTCAGCCATGCGTGCTGCGCGCGGGGGCTGGAGAAACAGTCTACGATGCGCATCGAAAGTCGTTGGCTTCGTAGGATTGATGACAACTTTGGAGGTCGAATCGCGGTATGGAACGTATATTGTCCGGGACCCATCTTTGTTCTTGAGTCCTGAGTTGCGCCGAAGTAATCGTCGCCCCGTCTCTTTCTCCGCGCGACGCCTGTTGTACCATGTCCGTCCTCCATACCCTGCGCCTATGATTGTGAAGAGTAATGTGATTGTAGAGAGGAGCTTTGTGAGCTTCGAGGCGTCGTGGACGCGGGACTTGAGGAATGTGGCATAACGGTCGTAGAGAGCCAAGAGGGGATCATGAGATCTTCGTAAGGTGGATTGAGCAGCCATTGTGTGCCGTGGATATTCTATCCTGGAAGGATTTCATGTCTTGATGGTTCAGGCATGAAGATGGTCTGCGGAGCTCGAAGGTGGTTGTTCCTTGCATGTGAGTGCTCATGAGGCGTGCTGGCTGTGGGTTGAGCCGAGGCATGCAGAGTGCCACGTGCGCTCGGGGTAACATGGGGTTGAGGATCTATCAGATCTACAAATGAGATCTCCAAACAGAACTCTCCAAATGTTGCGTCTAGTACCGTTCGTTGACTGAGCGTTCATCAACTAAGACTTGCGGCTGACGCTTTAAGTGTTTGTCTTTACTAAGGCTATTTACCGGTGTACCATAATAGAGGTCTAACAAGTCGCAACTTTTGGGTATTCACAGATACGAACGAATATAAACTCGCCAAATAAAGAAGAAGAAAAAACTCGGATGCATCATTAATCGGGGACTAGAACTATTGCTATAACCCTTAGAAGCCATACTTATAGCGCGTCGACACCCTCCACTCCTTTTACTGTCTTATACAGATCGCTCTTCAGCCAAGCACCAAGCACATCATACAAGAACTCCGCCTGCTCACTCTGCCCTTCACCCCCCCAATTCGCCAATGCATCAACCAATTGACCACATTTTCTCAACTCACGCAACACAACTTGCCTCCTCAGCCTTTTCTGCTCCAACTCGTCAAACTCGTATAATCCAAAGCGCAATGGCTGGATCTGCATATTGAAGGCTCTCTCACTCTCACACATAGGTGTGGACGATGGTAACGAGAAGCTGAAGGAGGATGGCGATGAGGAGAAAGAGGAACTGCTGGGTGATGGTGACACTGATGCGCTGGAAGAGGCGGTGGCATCCACTCCTGCGACAATTTGATACCACGTGAGGATTTTAGAGGCTATGCTCGAGTATAGCATAGCAAGGTGGGGATCTGAAGAGCAGGGGCAACTGAGTAGCTGTAGGACGCTTTGTACAGCGAGCCTGGTGATAGAGAGGACTGAGTCGAGGGATTTGAGCCCAACGGTCGGGTAGTTTTGTGGGTTATTTGAGCCGATGACTTGCAGGCTTTCGAGGGTCGCGTAGGCGAGCGTGTAGCAGCGGTGCGAGGTAGGCACTGAGATGCTGACGCGCATGGGGTTGTATTTGTCCAAGGAGCTACTCCTGGAGCCTTGAGGTGTTGAGGATGAGGATGAGAGAGTGTGGAAAGCATCTATGGTTGCGTCATCTTGGAATATGTAGTCCATAGGGTTCACGGCGTCGCCACCGATGAAGTCCTTGAGTACTTGCACGGACTGCCTCTTTGCGAAGGGATCTCGGAAGGTAAGCTCAGGGTCGATGGTCTGCACAGGCTCTGGCTCGAGCTGTGTAGTTGGGAGGAGAGTGTCATCCATGAAGGTGAGATCCGATGAGCCTAGGTAGAATGGCTCGGGCGTCATCTCGAATTGAAAATCAGGCGTCCCTGGTAAGCTTGGTGTGGAGGACCAGTTAGAGGACCAATTTGATGTGACCTCGATGTCTGACAGGGGCTCAAGGATGGGTTCATGTCGAATCCTAAATTTGCCAAACTCGCTGCCGTCTGGTGAAGGGCGTTGCTTCGAGGCCTTGATGAAAGGTGTTCCATCTGGGTTTCGCTTCCTTTTTCGTCCGGGCTTGCCATACTTTCTTGAAATGCCGTAGATGCATTGCGAACCGTTGGTCGAGCAGCGAGCACATTGAGGATGACCCTTGCTACACTTGACTTTCGAAGCCGCACATGCGTCGCACGAGGCTCGAAGCTTAGCTTTCCTCTGTTTGCCTGATGGAGAAGACTTTGGTGCTGAAGTTGGTGAGGACATGATGGAAATAGATGTGGGGCCGTCTAATACCCCAGGGCTCTGCCACTGCGAGGTCGATGGTATAGTAGACATTATAGTAAAGAGCTCGAAGAGTCGGTGTCGAGTCGAGGTAAGCTGAGCTCTTGTACCCCCAAACTTTCTTAGACAGCATACCGGCGCTGAGGTCCCACCGCCATTATATATTACTTGTCTTATACACAAATTGAGTCTCGCCGATCTAACCTTTCGTGCAGTCGTCAGATTCGGGTCTACCGCAGTGAGCCGCATACATGCAGCACACAGCACACGCCGTCGACCACGTTAAGCTTCACACCCGCACGTTTTGGCCATGCTAGCCTCCCACGCTATAGCTTGACTTCCGTGAGCCCCCTCGTCAAGCATAGCATCCTGATACTGGTTGATAGGGCACGCACGCCGGTAGCCTCCATGTCATCTAGCGTGTCAGTCATCTTGGTCCCCATCCACAGCTGCCGTCAGTACCTGTCACCGAGCCGTCGTGTGCATTCGGAACCGAAGCCAACCCACCGTTAGCACATGTTCGTGCATGTTCGTGCATTTTGGTGCATTCAAAGCTGAGCTAGGGTATGCAATGTGGATCTCAGTCAGCGAGTTGAGGCTGCCTACTCGCTCACCTCATTGGGCAGACGATCTGCATAGTTACAGTTCCAACGTGTTGCATTTCCTCAGCCCCTCCTGCAAAGCTGCGAGCTAAACGCACAGATTCCTCCCGTACGCGATTAACTACGAAACTCGACTGCAGACAACGTGGAGCAGCGATCTTTGACTTCGAAACTAATGATGTTGAGATGCTATGAGGTTGTGACTAGCGTCAGCGGTTTCTAATACCTGTTCGTCCGAAGCGACGGTGAACAACGCCAGCAACGATGATGCCATCCACTCCCGGCGAAGCACATCTGCAACAAGCACCACGCTACTCTTACGCTAGCATCGCTCACAGCCCCAAGCTTCCAAAATAGTCCCCGCATTAGTACCCGAACCCTTCCCAGCTAACTACGTCCTCACTAATACACGTCGACTTCTACATCTGAAGAGGCCATTGCTGACTCCCGTTGCTAGATCTCTCATGTCCGTTCCCATCTCGGCTGACATATCACCGAGATGCAGAGACTGCTTGGAGCTCGATATCACGGTTGCACACTCAGCCGTGATCATAGCCCCAAGGAGCGCAGCAACTGTAGGTTTGTAAGCGATCAATCTTGCCCATATTTTACACACTATTCTCCCCATTTCGACAAGCTGTGTTCAACTATCGAAATCGTGCATCTTGGCCTCCAAACTACGGTTCCCACCACCAGTATAGAAGCCATCAGCCTCTTACGGCTCACTGACTATACTGTTTTCTATCACAGGTTAAAAGCTAGTTCCTTACCTGGCATTCAACCAAAAAAATCATCCGCCCACCATCGACCATAGAAATGTGTATTTGCGCAGTAATCAATAAATCCCACCACTCGCTTTAGTCGCCGTGCAATCATCATCTGAAGATCTCCCAATCTGTCCACCAGGCTTAGTTTCTACGCGATGATTGTTTGTGGATGCCCTAGAGACTATACAGTCTTTAGAGGATATATTTCGGTAGTCGCGTGTATGCAAGTTTGCAAATGGCTGTGGCGTGTACGCAAGATCTTGCATGCGATTCGACCATATCGACCGAGGATTGCAGTCGTGCAAAATCCATCTCCGGAAGTGAACGTTTTCTAAAACACAGCCTCTTTCAATGTGCAAATGCTCCGCCATGTCCAAGTCCGATGTCTACATTACCCGAGGAAATTGTACCCGGATCCGAGCCTTTTCGGCCATTAGCATCAATATATGCTCCGGCTATACCTAGGTAGCGGATCAACACAGACATCTTCACAGAGAAACATAAAGTCTTCGAACATTTCAGCGCACTGCCCTACCATGAGCATCAACCCTTGCCACTTGCCTATCTCGAAGACAATTTGACGTCCGGAAAGAGACCTGAAAGAGACCCCTAACTTGGCCGAATAGACAAGGCTCTGTGTAGAAAAGGGGGCTGAAATTCCTTAATTCGTTGTTGGTCTTTGGGAACAGGGAACTTCGATAACTTCAGGGCAGTCTACTGCATTACCCGCATCGATGTCGACCGGAACTCTATGCGCATCCTGAACATCCAATACACTACAAAGTACGCACTCTACTCGTCATTTTCACTGTCATCCTCCTCATCCTCCACATCTTCATCACTAAGCCCGTCCATGTCAACATCTTCTTCTTCCTCATCTTCCTCATCTTCAAAGTGGTCCAGGCCCTCGTTTTTATCTGCCTTCTCAGCTTCCTTCCTCTTCTTGTCCTCCGTCTTTCGTGCATCTTCAAGCATCTTCGCTTTCTGATCTCTCGACTTCCTTTGCCCCGCTACAAACGCTCCTAGGGGACTCTTATCCCACTCGGCCTCCTTCAGAAAGCCCTCCACACCCGCACGATCATTTGGCGCAAAATCAACCTTTGCCCTTTTCTCCTCGACCCACCGGGAGTTCGCTTCGAGTTTCTGCACAAGAAGCGCGAGCAAAGATGAGATTTTCGCATTCCTGTTCCCGCTAGACTTCTTAGTCATGGCTTTAACCCAGCGCTTAAGCATAACAATCACCGGTAGAGCGAGTTCAGGGAACGCGATGTTCTTTGTCCAGAGGACGAAGAACTCCGACAGTAGCTCGGTGACTTGCTCGCCAACACCGTCTTGATACACCCTTGTCCGCAGGAATGCTTTCGTTGCTCTGATAGTAGTGTTGAACTCGAGGGCCTTCAGCGTGCTGGGTTTTGGGGGTTTCTTCATCTCGGCAGAGTTGAGCACTTCGACGAGCGCGGGTGCAAGAGGAATATATGTTGCTGTTGCGGAGGATATGCGGAGGAGAGATCGGATGAGCTGGAAACGAAGAGGGAAATACTGCGCGGTCGGAATTAACCGCATCACACCGAGTGTGACTTGGACAACGGGGTAGATGAGCGGTCTAAGCGGTGACGCTTTCCCGGATTCTGCTTCCCGAAGGGACTCGCAGTGTGCTGCGACGACGCGGGACCAGAAGTCTAGTGAGTGGATGTATTGCCAGTTGTACACTGTCTTGTAAGAGTCTTTGGTTTTGTTTGTGATACTTGTTCGTAGGTGAATAGCCAACTGGCGAATGAAACCGAAGCCCGTTGTGTAGCCGACGGTGGGATCGATACCCCAGAGCTCCGAGGCGGTGTTCTTCATCAAGTTGATACCTTGAATGTTGTGAATTGTTGTATTTCTTGCGCCCTTAACGAGGCCCTGATACGCTTGCTTTAGAACGGCTTCGCGAATGGTTGGGTCGGAGATTACGAGTAATCGTCGGAGGACTAGGAAGGCGGATAGTCGCGTCATCTCGTTGTTTGCTGAGTCTGCCCATACAGACGCTACAGACCGTATGACTTCTCGAACGATCTTCTTGAAAGAAAGAATATAGGGAAGTAGGCTCGACAATGACTCCAGGGTCATCCGTAACGTGGAGGCATCGGACAGATTCTCGAGCAGATGATGCATAGAAACCGTATGCGACTTGAGAAGCGGTGTGAGCGTGCGGAACTTCTTCGAATCGGTAGGTACGCGACTATTTACGATCAGAACCAATGCAGATACATCAGTGTAGTGAACTCACATCTTTCCGCCAGCGCTTTCCTTGACAGGCAAGTGGTGTTGTAGCACCTTGGGTACCAGCTGCATAGTAGTTACGAGGACTTCGTGATATACTGGGCAATGTTAGCCTGTGAAAAGTATTCGGGAAGAATGTGGGTACCGTCTGGATCAGATATCGAATACCTGTACTTCTTTCCCTCGTCATCATTCAGATGCGCTGCAGCGCGGAAGGCTAGGACAACCTCCTTCATCGCTCTTAACGAAGACTTGCTCTCCATGGAAGCTTTCCATTTCTGGACGACCTTTCTCGACAGTTCATTGCTGGTCGCTGCCTCACTCTCGTCGTCGGAGGGCTCGTCTGCTTTCTGCTTCTTCCTAGGTGTGGGCTCGTCTTCACTAGCACTGAGAGCGTCAATCTCTGCCAGGTCCGCGTCTTCCGCAAAGTCCAGCAACTCTGCATCATTCTCCTTTAAGTATTTGTAGAAATCGGGGTCCTTTTCTGCCAGTCCAGCGAGTTGTTCCTTGTGCGCATCTTCATCGTCACCAGAGTCACTCTCCAACCCAGACGCCTCGCCGCCTGCTTGCGCCTCTCCCGTGTCTTCATCTACGCCTTCGCCTTCGACAGGTGTACGCTTTCGCTTGCCCGTTTTCGGCTTCGTCGACTTCTTCTTTTTCATTTCTGGTATTTGGAAGCCGCCCTGAAAGAATTGATCCATGGACATGTCTGCAAACCCATCGTCCTTCGTTCCGTTGGTTTTAGGCTTCTTGCTGGCCTCGCCTTCGAGGTCGTCGGCTTTTACATTGTCTCTCGCTTTCCTTTCCTTCTTCTTCACGTCCATCTGCTTCCTCTGCTTAATTTTCGCAACATCTTTGCGCTTCTTGATGACATCGTGGAGCTTGTTCTTCTCGAACTTCTTTGTCGACTTGGACACGGGCATCTTGGCGGTATGAGGCCCTGATCGAGTATATCTTTGTGGTGGTCGAACGAGGCGCAAAGTTGCTAGACAAAAAATTAGCCAGCGTCGAAAAAGTCAATGCCAAGAATTACAGGGTCCTAGCGCTTTCCCCACACGATGCCTAGGCAAGCATGAGCGACACATGCTCAAGCGGAAGCTTGCTGGAGCATCACCAGCACACCGTAAGCGCATATTATTCACCATGTTCGGAGCCCGACAGCTGGCCTATGCGCCCACGCCCTACATACCGCGCTCTGCGCTCTCGGCGACCATAAATCTCGACGAGGTACTGTGTGCCCTGGTCGTGCTTGTTGTCTCACCCACTCGCTGACTCTCCATGTAGGAGGTCAAGCTGTCCACAACGAATGCTGAACGCGACCTAAATGACTCATTGGCCGAGATATATAGCATCATTGTCACTGTTGATGCCATTGAGAAGGCCTATCTGAAAGATTCAATCGCTGAGGCCGACTACACCGAGACATGCAACCGACTATTGAAGCAGTACAAGTCTAATCTTGCAAACGAGGCAGTCGCTCGAGCATTTGGCGATTTGGAACAGTTTACAAAGGAATGGCATGTATGTGATGATGACATAGCACACTTCTTTGCCCCGGGTTAATAAGCTATTAGATGGAATGCCCTCGAGCTACCGAACGACTACGCGTAGGCATACCAGCCACCGTCGAACAAGGGCCCTCAAAGTCAGCCCAGCAAGGCGACTTTGCCGACGCAACCCTCGTGGTCAATGCGACCGAAACCTTTATCACCCTACTAGATGCTATCAAGATCGGCCTCGTGGAAAAGGATACGTTACATCCGCTGCTCGTCGAGATCATACAAGCGGTCAATAAGGTCACAGATAAGGACTTTGAGAGCAAGGGCAAGATTGTGCAGTGGCTCATCACTTTGAATCAGATGCGGGCAGCCGAGAAGTTGAACGATGAGCAGGCGCGAGAGTTTCAGTTCGATATGGAACAAGCATACTACGGCTTCAAGACCACATTGAAGAAGGAGTAAGTATATTTTCCGGTAAATCCGGTGAATCATGCACGACAGGGTTCTCAGTTACAACTCGCTACAATCACTGAACACTGGCCCCGCCATACACCTTACATGCACGGGCCAGCCTGCAACTTTTAGAAGCAGCATTGCTATTGCATCTCAGCAAGTGTACATCCGCCACACTTTGTGGCGCCATGTCCATGATAGATGGTAAGCATGAAATTTCTATTAGTACACTGCATACTAATGCCTATGCGCAGTTCTCGATCTACCCCAACTCTACACGAAGCCCTCTGCGGAAGCACTCCTCAATACACTCGCGCTCCTCACGTCTGCCCCTCCATCTTGGGATCACAACGATATACCAGGAGGAAGGGAAATAGCAGGGCCTCAAGTCAACCCAGAAGGTGTAACACGATACCTGACAAGCATTGTGAGCAGCGGCCTCCGGTGGATAGAAGATGAAGAGGCCAAAGAGGAGATATGGAATCAGGCTAGTTCGCGACTCAGCGAGCGGTCTGGCCGGTCAGCTATGGGCGCCATGTCGCGCAAGTTCCGAATCCCCTCGCCTTCCGGCTCGTTCGAGCTTAGTATCCACGAGCCTGCTCTCACTGGGGACGAATTGGGCTTGAAGACGTGGGCAGCCTCCTATTTACTCGCCAAGCGCCTGCAGACTTTCCGTCTTGTCCCAGCGAACATAGAAGAGAAGCCTCAGGTTCTAGAGCTTGGATCAGGTACTGGATTAGTAGGACTCGCAATGGCAGCCCTGGGGGCCCATGTCGTTCTCACGGATTTGCCCAGCATATGCTCAAATCTTGCGCGCAATGCGCAAGACAACTCTGAAGTCGTAAGTCAAAACGGTGGATCTACACGAACAGCTATCCTCGATTGGACAAATCCCACCTCCTGCGAGCTTTACTCAGACAGCTCCAGCGACGAAGAAGCAATCACAGCAAGGTTTCCCTTGATCCTCGCTGCTGACTCATTATATTCTCCTCACCATCCGCGCATGCTAGTCGATACTATCAAATTGTGGCTCTCCAAAGCCACCAATTCCACGGTCATCGTAGAGTTCCCGTATAGGGATGCATATCTACCTGAGATCAAGGATTTCCGCCAGCGAATGATTGGCATTGGACTACAAGTAATGGACGAAGGTGAAGAGAAGGGCTACGATGACTGGGGCCGGTCTGGAGCGAACAATGACCAAGACGAAAGTACGCTCGTGACTTGTTGGTGGTCTCGTTGGGGTTGGGAAATGTCGCACACCAGCTGAGCCGTTGACGGCTCCATTATATGCCACCTGTAACCCATTGCTCCACTCCACGTGCTTTTTTTTGGCCGGCCGCAGCGGGTATATATACTTGGCAATATCGATTGTACCCTACGAATCGTTGGTGCTACTGCTTGGTTTAGTCACTAGCATAGCGACGGCGTTCACAGCGACATCGGTATTTGCGCCGAGATATTATGAACCAGCTATCCAAAAACCGCTATCAACCCGCCGGATAAATTGCGCGGATGATTATAATGCAGCTAGAATTCCGCCTGCGCTAGAGGGGCCTCGTCCCCACGACAGATCTCACGTGAAGTGACAGCTCCGGGTCCACCATTTCCGTCGTCACCAATATTTTAGTTGCGCGTGAGCTTTCGACAGTTGTCTTTATTATTTGCCTTATTTTCCGTGACCCCTATACCAAACTCCGAAGATATAATCACTGCTTCGATTGCACAGACAAAATGCCATCACAGACAGCTACCCAGAAGGTAGAGCTCCCATGCCCCACCAACAACCCCTCAACGCGCGACCGCGTCTTGATAGCATTACAACAACAACTCGCGAAAGCCTCAATTGTCACTGCAGAGGACTAACAAAGCTACAGAACCCTTCTTTCGTCCTCCAAGCCCCGAATAAAATCGTCTACGAGGACAGACCTATCCCCGAACTCCCCTCGCCATACGATGTCATTGTCAAACCCCGATGGACCGGTATCTGCGGCTCAGATGTGCATTACTGGGTCGAAGGTCGCATCGGCCACTTCGTTGTCGAGTCGCCCATGGTCCTTGGTCACGAATCCGCAGGCATCATACACGCCGTTGGTGACAAAGTGAAGACGCTGAAGGTCGGCGACCGAGTCGCTATGGAACCCGGTGTGCCTTGCCGGCGATGTGTGAGGTGTAAGGATGGGAAATATAATCTATGTCCAGATATGGCTTTCGCTGCGACGCCGCCGTATGATGGCACACTTGCACGGTACTATCCTCTACCAGAAGATTACTGCTACAAGCTTCCCGATAACATGAGCATGGAGGAGGGTGCTTTGATCGAACCCACTGCCGTTGCAGTACATATCACTCGCCAAGCTTCTATCAAGCCTGGAGACTCGGTCGTTGTGTTTGGCGCCGGCCCTGTAGGTCTGCTATGCTGCGCTGTTGCGAAAGCGTACGGGGCAAAGAAGATCGTAACAGTAGATATCAACGATGAGAGATTAGCATTTGCGCTCAAATACGCTGCAAACGCGAGTTTCAAGAGTGCAAGAGTGAGCGCGGAGGAAAACGCGAAGAACATGATCAAAGAATGCGACCTAGGAGCTGGCGCCGATGTCATCATTGATGCTTCAGGCGCAGAGCCGTGCATCCAGACTGCGATACACGCATTGCGAATGGGTGGCACTTACGTACAAGTATGCCCTCTCCTTTCTTATCAGGTCTCAACGGTAGCACTAGTACTAACAAAGGCCAGGGCGGCATGGGCAAACCTGACATCAACTTTCCCATAATGGCCATGTGCACAAAAGAACTCAACGTTAAGGGCTCCTTCCGCTACGGCTCTGGCGACTACCAAACTGCTGTAGATCTCGTTGCTAGTGGACGCATCTCAGTGAAGGAACTCATCACAAAGAAGGTCAAATTCGATGATGCAGAGCAGGCGTTTGCAGATGTGAAGCAAGGCAAGGGCATCAAGATCTTAATTGAGGGCCCCGAGGAGTGATTTTCCACCCCTTTCTTAAAGGTGGCTGTTGGGCAGGTGGACAAATAGCATTTCGCGGTGTTGTGGCGGGGTGCAGTTCACGGTTCTTTATGCTGCTTATAGGTGTCCAATTTGACATTAAACACGTCGATATTATTACCAACCGTGACTCCCTCATTCAGTCGACTTTTGCCTCTTCACGCTGAGCTACCGGTTGTCTTCTTATGTTACATTAACCCCCCATGAAACTTACAACCTAGTTGTCATCATAGTAGACGCAGACGTCAATGTCGTACACCTAAACCTCATTAAATGTCAATGCTGGGGCCCTTGATATGCTAGTCTAAACATGCACAGGGACCCCAGGTTTAGCATAGACTTCCTGAGGCGCAAGATGTGAGAGCGTAGGGGAAAGCGTAGGGGAGAGTGTTATAGTGAGGTATGTATGACGAGGGTTGTTCTAGGGCCTGAAACCATACTTGCCTCAGCTAGCCGTCAGCATAAACCCCAGTTGGGAAGCGAAAACATCGAGGACTTGACGGCGCAAAGAGGAAACTGAGGTTATCATAGTTATCGTGTGTTTGTATTTAGGTGCTATCTCGCAGCGAGAGAGCATTTTTCAATGTAATAACGCATGCAAAACTGGTATGATGCATGCTTTAGAACCGTGCTGCCTGAATAGTCAATCATCGGTTGTTCTTCCACGCTCCTTGAACGCCGGCGCAAACGCATATGACGGTAAAGTCGTAGTTTGACGAGGGAAAATACACGGTCTTCTTGGACATGGTTCATAAATCGCTGGGAAATCATTGAATCAAAGTACAGGTGTTTGGCAGAGCCTAAGCAGCTCCTAGTCTCCGGGCAGTAGCTCCACGCTTCGGTAGTGTCCATGGCTCAGGGCAGACAACCTATGGTCATATTAGCACTATATTCTCGCTTGTCGAATGTGCATTTTGACATACCTCGCCCTCGCTGTATGCCCAGAAGTACGCTCCCATGCCGATGATATAGTATAGTCCTGAATTGGTGCCCTGGTAGATCAGGAGTGCGCAGAGAGCACTCAATGGGTATATGATCAAGCGCGCTTCAATTGATCGATGAAGTCCTGTGCCGGCAAGAAGCGGTAGTGGCCATTCCCATGCTAGGCCGATGATGCCGAGGACTAGGTTGATAATTTGTAGGACCGGAATGGGTTTTACGGCGCCATCGAGGTTCTTGGTAAGGAAATCCCAGAAGATTTTAGGCCAGAAGAATGATTCGACGGCCGCGGCTATTTGGTCTGTCCTCACGTCAACGCTTGAGCGGGTTGAAATGTGATGGTGGGTGTGCATGGAAAATGACTTACAAGCAGCAGCTGTGAGGATGACTAGGCGCGCCCAGTGGTTCTTGATTAACTTGCCCATCACGAAGGAGATTAAAGAAAGGATACGAGCAGTAAACCGAGCCCGCGGCGTATAAGAAAGAGAATCAAAATTGAAAAGAAAGACCAGATGCGTGCCCTTCGACTACCAGTAGCCTCGACGACAGAAGAACATCAACTTCGTAGACTGGGCAGGTCGCGGGGTTTTGTTATAGTAATGCCTTGCGAGCAGCGGCGGTTCCAATCCTCGATGGAAGCGGTATGGCGGGTAGTCAGGCACAAGTCGCGCGAGGCCCGTCCTCTTTCGCAAATATGATGGGCAGCCGAGGCGTAGACGAGTCTCAGGCTTGTTAGGTGTTCAGGCAAGCGTGGTGTTGCCGTTGCGGTGCGAGACGTGAGGTGTATCAGTACATGGCAGAGCGACAGCGGGCAGTGACCGCAATTGTAGAGACAGTCTATGCGCTGGGGCATGCATCCTGTGCATCCTGACCTGGTTCGTGCATTGACTGGGGTTCGAGATGGATTGGTGACTTGTGTGTAGCCGCTGGACCCACCCCGTATCACAGTGTGCTAAGTGGGGTTGATTGGATGGCTGCTGTAGTGATGCATGCGATGTGCCAACGAGACCAGCCTCTCTGCAGCCAGCACCCCCCAGCGTACCGGATGACGCCTCCAGATGCGGCTGGCCTATGAGAGTGGCGTCCGCCCTGCTTGACGAAGGTGCTATCGCGTAGAAATACGAAAAGAAAATAGATCGCTCTCTGAATTCTGGGTCCACACGTGGGTCAGGGCAAAAGGCACATGCTAATACTGAAGGCTTCGGTACTTGACTTTACCGCTTCTCCTCGACAACTATCGAGGCAAAGTACCAGTCATGGCCACTCAAGGCTTTGTGCGTTCCGACCCTCCCAATTGGAATCCTTCAGTGGTGAGGCAAAATCGAAACCGCCTGAGGACCCCCCAAATGGATCTTGTTACCAAGGCAGATGTACTACGAGCGGCACGGTTGCACTCGCAGCCTCACGGATACCTCAGTCCCGGTTTCTCTTTTGTGCCCCAGGCCAGGATGCCGCTAAACCGGCTATCTGATCAACCGTGCATGGAAGATCATATCGAAGGGCTCCTAGCATCTCAGGCGCGCTCATCAAACAACATCGTACGACAAAGTTTACCTCAGAAGCTGTTCCATGGCCGTTCATGTCCCCACCCTGAGCATGTCCAGGCACGGCAGCCGTTGACGTAAACAAAGTGGTACGATACTCGTTCAGTATCAGTTCTTGGTGGGCGTTAAGCTTTCTGCGAGCCTATTGTAGAATGTCTAGGAACGTGCAGGAGGGTCTTGGTGGCTGATCCAAGTGGACGTGTCGTACTGAAGGCTGATTTCAGAAAACAGGCCTGATGTTGTTTGAAGGGTGTAAAGATGGCGATATGTTAAGGCAAGACTGGGCATCAGATACGAGATGGCCATCTCCCCATGTGGAACTTGACGGTAGTTACAATCGACCAGTAGAAGGAGCCATAGTAGTCCGCTTCTATCGATCGCGTTTCTTGGAGTAGAGCGCCGCTACACAATCACGCGGCAGTAGAAGTCCGCCATCTCCCATCACATGACCCAAATCATGCTTCTCGGCCGCGATTGCAATGCACACCGCTCGCAATATCACAGCCCTAGGGCAAGCTAGCGAAATCCGCTGTGATGGCAGGCCAGCCACGAGGTCCATATGCCATTTCGCCATCCGCCAGCAGCCGACCTTTGAAGGGCATCCCAAAATAGCAGCTAGATCTTTGTACACCTGCAGCCAGCACAGCTCAACACCAGGCTCGCACTTTGTGGGGGTTCCATGGGCGCTTCGCGGCTCGCTCAGATTGGCTCTCGACGTGCCGCCGAGGCTACCCACCTGCTTGTGTGCTGCCAACCACATCGTTGAGTGGCTTCAAGAAGATCGAATTCAGGGCCAGTCCTCACGCTTCGGCGGGACCGACGGCAAAGTCATGACAAGCTCGCACCAGCGTCGCTTCTGCGGCCCTGCACGTCTCTGTGCAAGTGCAGTGCTTCTACTACGCAAGGGGCCGTAGTTTAGGAGGAGCCGACCCGCCACTTTGAATGCGCTCAGTTCCCTCACCATCAAAACTGTGATTTTGGCGATCACATCTTAGCTCTTTGCCTGTAACGAAGTTTTTGGAAAAACCGCTGTCGTTGCATTTCTCCCACGTACCCAACGTACGTCTTCGTCGCTCCACGTCACGGCCTCTAACACGTATCGTCTCAGCACATCCAGGCGTATCAGAACACCCCATCAGGAAACTTTGGAGGCACTACTCGACTCCCGATTACCTTTGCCACACAATACTGCGACGGCATAGGCATACCTTCAAAAACTATTTGCACCAAGATCCAGCGATCGCTGAGCGAAGTTCATCCCACAAATTCCCTAAAACCACCCTTGCAAAAGTTGCCCTGCGAATTCATCCTGCGAACCCATACTCGCTTCGCCGCATACCAACATACCAGCGTACCAGCATACCAGCGCATTTGCTGCGACTTGTAGTAGGCGATCTTGAGGTTCCCGAGGTATCCCCTGGCCTGCAAGAATATCATGGTTGTGTGCCTAGCGCTTCAGGTTTGAGACGCTCTTAACACACCCGGCGTTCAACGCATAGCCGCACACCCTTCCACCATTTCGCCAATTTACGGCTCTTGTGCAGGCTCCAAGGATTTGGCGGCGCCTTATTCTCTTCCGAATTCATACCCTTTTTGGTCCTTACAACTGTCATCCGCCTTAATCCAGCTGTTATACAGCAAACCATCGGGGATATCGGTTTGAGCCACACCCGTCCTGCACAGGCCTGTCGGTTTCAGCACAGCGTGCCGCCCTACCCTGTCTTGCACGGCTCTTTCGATATCCATCCGACCTGCACCTGTAGTCCCAGTTTGTTCCAAGACTCAACGCTCTAATACCCTTGGTGCCCTAAAAGCCTTGGGCCCTTCTCATCTCCACTCCCTCTTACCTCACACATCGCCCCGCCCGTCTCTGGACGCCGTCATTCTTTTCTTCAATTCGTATCTGGCTGGCCGGGTCGAACTTCGACTGGATTCCTTCCTACCCGGCTGAAGTTCGCTTTCTCTACACGTACATTCTTTAATATTTGTTCTAATCGCCGTTGAACGGACGCCCTGTGGTGCATTAGTTGATGCCTGGCGCCTGGCTCGTACTATAGAAGGACGCTCATATTGATCAGCACGAAAACACTCCACGATGGGAGCAAGCGGTGGCAGCGTTCTAGCTCGGCAAATCCGACCGCAGAAATTCCTTTTCCACTTCTTCTTTTGGGGTTTCCACTGGGCATTATTCGCGATAGGATGGTAAGAGTTGTTCACCGTCATGACGCACGGCGGAGGCTGACATCGAATAGGTGGAAACAAGCAGGTGACATCCGTTTGGCTCCGCTCAATGCTCTTCAGTACTCAGTATGGATCTCACGAGGTGCTGGTTTGGTTTTGTCAGTCGACACCATGGTCATCGTGATGCCCATGTGCAGAAACATTCTTCGCTGGCTAAGGCCGAAAGCGCGATGGCTACCGCTTGACGAGTCACAATGGTTCCACCGACAAGTAGCATATGCTATGCTTTTCTTTACGGTCGTACACACATCGGCACATTATGTCAAGTAAGCTCTTTGTTTCCCCCAATTTGGTCCAAACTGATGATGGTAGCTTTTACAATGTTGAGCGCACGCAAGTACGACCTCAAATCGCTCTTCAGATCCATTACACCGAAGCTGGCGGCATTACTGGCCACATAATGTTGTTCTGCATGCTTTTGATCTACACCACCGCCCACCATAGGATCCGACAACAGTCGTTCGAGACCTTCTGGTACACTCACCATCTATTCATTCCATTCCTGCTTGGTATGTACACGCACGCAACTAGCTGCTTTGTTCGTGACACAGCTCCCGCCTTCTCTCCATTCGACAAGAATAATTTCTGGACCCATTGCATTGGCTACGAGGGATGGCGATGGGAGCTTGTTGGTGGCGGCTTGTATCTCTTCGATCGTCTATATCGAGAGATTCGCTGTCGGCGGCAAACTGAGATCGTCAAGGTCGTCCGCCACCCCTACGGTAAGCAGCGCTCTTCGCCACTCATAGATTATAAAGCTAACAATGAGTAGATGCTGTTGAGATCCAATTTACCAAGCCTAGCATGAAGTACAAGCCCGGACAATGGCTCTTTCTGAACTGCCCAGAAGTTAGCTACCACCAGTGGCATCCATTTACGATCACCTCATGCCCACATGATCCATACGTCTCCATTCACGTCCGCCAGGTTGGTGACTTCACCCGCGCTCTTGCCGATGCTCTTGGCGCTGGTCAATCGCAATCAAAACTCTATGACGAGCTCGACCCTATGGGCATGTACGAAATCGCTCTACAGCACGGCCAAAAGATGCCGGCTCTGCGAATCGACGGACCTTACGGAGCGCCTGCTGAAGATGTTTTCGAGAACGAAGTCGCAGTCCTCATTGGTACTGGTATTGGTGTCACACCGTGGGCTTCGATCCTAAAGTCGATTTACCACCTCCGCCTTAGCCCGAATCCGCCAAAGCGCCTTCGCCGCGTAGAATTCATCTGGGTCTGTAAGGACACGTCATCTTTCGAATGGTTTCAGACGCTGCTTTCGTCACTCGAAGCACAATCTCTTGGCGGATCGGACGGCGACCAGTTCCTGCGTATCCACACCTATCTTACGCAGAAGATGGACGCCAATACTGCGCAAAACATCGTCCTGAACTCCGTAGGTACGGACAAAGATCCGCTAACTGAGCTGAAATCAAGAACGAACTTTGGCCGTCCAGATTTCCATCGCTTGTTGTGCGGTATGCGCGATGGCATTCTGGATCGGACTTACATGAATGGGCTAGAGAGCACGTTGAGGACGGAGGTTGGTGTGTACTTTTGCGGTCCGAATGTAGCTGCAAGGACTATCAAGAAGGCATGCAAGCAAGCGACATGTCAGGAAGTGAACTTCAAGTTCTGGAAGGAGCATTTCTAGAAGAAAGAAGGGACAAATTTCAAAACGGCAGGGCGGAAGAGACGCAGACGATGATACCAACGCATCGGTGCACGTTAGCAACGTTTTTTCCCAGAGCACATAGTCGAGCTGCGAAATCCCAGCCGGCACCATAACGAGTTTACCTGTTTTCAGATATCTGTCTACAAATGTGAAATTTCTCCACGTCTTACTATTTTCACATGTCTATATGCATGCATGACAACGAAAGACCACTCATATAAGAAAGCAATGTATCATTAGTATCCATATGCTTTCCAATCTTCGTCTTCAAATCTGATTCGTGTAGCATTAATAATTTATTTCCGCACTCGTTGCCGCCAGCTGTTGCCGGCATGCATATCTGCCAAGACAGCAGCATCGAACGGTCCTCGAACCACTCGATCAGTCACGAGGTCACATGCGCCCTCCTTCTAACAGACGTTGACACACAGATCATGCCAGAAGCAACGAATCAACACAAGATGTGGATCAAAGTCATTCACAAACTGTCTAGAGAGAGGTGATTGACTTGAGACTGGTTCTAGTCACCACATCCAGACAGATCTCTTATTTATGCTTTGCAATACTAACAACGTTCCTCAACGTCCCAAAAGGCAATACATCTGCAATCCTCTTCTTACTCGCAAACAACATGACTAGTCTGTCTAACCCACATCCCCAACCCCCGGTAGGTGGCATCCCCCATTCCAACGCCTCAAGATAACTCTCATCGATCGCACCCTCTCCCTCAGGATGTAACTCGAGTTGCTGCATGAATTTCCGTCGTTGCTCGAACGGCGAATTTTCCTCCTCGTAAGCGTTGACGTATTCGCGACTGTGGATGAAGAGCTCAACGCGGAAGGCAACGCGTTGGTTGGTGACGGGGTCGACAAAGGATTTTGAGAGGGGGGAGAGAGCTTCAGGGTGGTGGGTAATGAATGTCGGGTTTGCGCAGAGGGGTTCGATGTATTGTTCGGCGAGGGTGTCGAGCAAGCGTGGGAGGGTAGGATTCGGAGGTATGATGATGTCAAGGTCTTTGAACATCTCAAGGAGCTCCTTAGTCGCGTTTGGTGAGGATAAATCAGGTAGCTTGCGACCACTAGCTTTCTCAATCGTAGGAATGAAAGGCAGTTGCGCAAACGGATGGGAGAAGTCGATGCCTTCTGGTGTTGCCAGTGACGGGAAGTACGTGGATCTCAGCGACTCGATTGCAGTGTGCAGACCGTGTATCAATTGCTCTGTTCTTGCGATAACCGAAGGAAGAGTTGCCCCAACCTCATAAAACTCGCACGTAGAGAATTCCGGATTGTGAGTATTGTCAACACCCTCATTTCTGAAGACACGACCAATCTCGAATATCCTGTCCTGGCCTCCAATTATCAACCGCTTGAGGTTCAACTCGGGTGCTATTCTAAGTCTGATAGGTACACTGGACAGCTCATTCGCGATGGTTTCGAATGGCCGCGCAATAGCACCTCCAGCATTAACATCGAAGATGGGTGTCTCCACCTCCAAGAACCCACTTTGTATGAAGTATGTCCGGACGTAATCATAGATTAACGCGCGGAGTCTGAGAATGTCGCTGGGTTCATCGCTCGTAAGCTGGTGGATGTGAGGTCGTCGAGCAAGCGCCTCAGCGTTATCGATCTTCTCGGGAATGTGGTGTAGGCAGGGTGCAAGAATTTGAGGTACTTCGGCGGCCAAAACTGAGAGCTGGCCTGTAGACGTTCTTGTAGGGGTTCCTTTAATGGCTACTGACATTAGTTACGACTGGATTTTTAGGAATATGCGTCACTCACAAACCCAGTCCCCTATCCTCGCAATCTTCTTGAAGCCCTTGAATTCCTCACTGAGGTCATCTTGTGCTATGAGCTTTTTCAGCTCCACCATGACCTGTAGTCGCTGCGTGTCCCTTTCGATGTCTAGGAACATCAGCTTGGAGCCATGTGAACGCACTGAACGCACCCTTCCTAAACCTGTCAGAACTACTACCATCTCTACGTGTCACACAATCTTACCAAACACAGAGACAATGTCTGACTTGGTCTCCTGGATGCCTTCATACTTCGCATGGAAGTCGCGAAGTGACAAGCTTTCTGCGCCAGTAGGATAAACTAGCTGTGGATGATAATCGCCTAGCGGCTTCACATTCCTCAACTGATCAAGCCTTTTCTGCTTCTCGACATCGTGTGGGCCGGTGAAGTCTTCTGCGGCTACCGTCTGGGCATACCGTCTCTGAACAGAGACGTATGCTCGCGCATACTCAGGTCTGGCGGGTGCGGTAGCTCGATAGAGGTATGGTCGGAGAAAATTCAGAGAGTATCTGCTCATGATGTCTTATTATGTTAGCTTCCATTCACCATGGAGAAGACGAATGTATGGATAAAAGGTGGGAGTATCAGATAGGGTGAAGCTGTGAAGTCATCCGCCCTAGAGCGTCATTCGCAACGGTTCTAAGGTTGTACTGAATCATCATTGCGTTGGGTAGCTGAAAGTGTAGGATGGGTACTTCACGAAGCGTACAGAGCTCGATAGCCAGGGCTCATGGTCGAGCCAGGGTGGCCATAGAGTCATATATGCTTGGAATGTATAACCAACACCAATTGAGAAGGGATGTAGACTTACCTGCCGCAAGATCATTGCTGCCTTTGAACCAGTAGCTTCACCACATGTGCAGTGCATCATAGGTGAGAGAGAGAGAGGAGACTGCAAACTTCTCAAGCTTTGGCTTCAAAAGTTAAGCGATCACGTGGAAGGAGCTTGGGCCGCTCGCTCTCAAAAAATGCCTACTTGGTGAGCAGCAGGTGGATAAACCAGAGTACGGTGGGATAGGCATTAACAAGACTTTTGGGAGAGCAGTGGAGGTTGATTTCAGTAGGGGTTTGGTTAGCAACTGCGACGCCCTGTAAAGCGGGATTGTTAACAATTTTGCACAGACAGTTGGCTCTTGGTCAAGCTGTTCAACAAGCAACAGGATTTCGAAGCGTCTAAGACACTGTACTCTGTCTTCTCACGACCCTGAATACCTTTTAGTGAAGTATGGGCTTGCTCGGGCGTTCGGTCGGCACGACGTGATTCACTCTGACAGGACATGGTTGCCTAGGTAGACTTCAGGTGCTAGCTCCAACGGTCAATTCTCGCCCAACTGCCCCGCCATTACATCAACATGACATTATGCGAAATTCCAAACTTCGATCTACACCACATGGCAATCCGAATCTGCATATTTGTAGCGGACTTAAAGCCGTTCTCAGAGGTCATGACGTCGTCAGGCTAGCCCCTCCAAGCGAGTCTACCAGGGCGAACAATATACGACTGGTCCGCGGTAGTTGAGGGCGAGCTTCGGCATTGAAATATCAGACGTTGTAGCTATGTCATAGGTTTGTCTTTGTCTTTGTTAGCTATTCAAAAGTAGGTCTTTCCTTGCGTCTCCCATTACTTCCTCTTCCAATTGAGTTCAAACCTACTTCTCTCACCGTTTCCAAAATTCTTCGATACCCCACATTGCAGTCATAGCTACGAGCAGTCACTTTCGCCCAAGATGATGTCCCAAGCAGCCCGCCAGGTCGAAAAGGTTATTGGCCACGGCGATAATGCGACAACCGCACAAAACGTTACCAACCCTGGCAACGACGAGTCCACAGCCGATTACTCGGAATCGATGAAGGCGCTGGCCTGGTTTGGTAAGAACGATGTCCGAATCATCGACACCCCGAAGCCAAAGGTTCTCGAGCCCCGCGACGTCATTGTCAAGGTCACTGGAACCACGGTCTGTGGCTCAGACCTTCACTTGCTCCACGGGAGCGTAGTGGAAATGCAGAAAGGCGACATTCTTGGACACGAGTTCTGCGGTGTTGTGGACAATGTCGGCAGCGAGATCACAAAATTCCAGAAGGGGTATGTTAATATCATGTTCTGCAGCCATTGCGTGGCTAATCATCCTATAGCCAGCGCGTCGTTGCATCATTTCAAATTGCTTGCGGTGACTGCTATTACTGCAAGCAGAAGCTCTCGTCACAATGCGAGAAGACAAACTCCAACACGATCGAGAACGCAATGTACGGCGGTCGAACAGCTGGAATGTTCGGCTATTCACATTTTACGGGTGGTTTCGCCGGTGGCCAATCCGAATACACCCGTGTACCCTACGGCGACGTGAACCTCCTCCCTCTTCCAGATGATGTTCCAGATGAGCAAGGCCTTTTCCTCTCCGACGTGCTTTGCACATCGTGGCACGCCGTCGTAGACACGGGTGTAAAGAAGGGAGATGTCGTAGCTATCTGGGGTGGCGGTCCCATCGGACAAATGGCAGCGGAATTCTCTCTTCTCAACGGTGCATCTAAGGTGATCATCATTGACTCGAACTGGCGGTTGGATTTCATTAAGAACACATACCCACATATCGAGACCATCGACTTCTCGAAGCTAAGCAAAGGCGAGTCGGTGACAAGTGTATTGAAGAAAATGTGCAACGATCGCGGCCCAGACGTCAGCATCGAGGCTGCGGCTGGCGAGTACGCAAAGGGATGGGCCCATTACTTCGAGATGATGTTGGGCCTCGAGACAGATACTAGCGAAATCGTCAACGAAATGATCGCCAGCACACGAAACTTCGGCAGCTGCGGTATCACCGGTGTATACGTTGGATTCACCAATCATTTCAACATCGGCTCGCTCATGGAGCGAGGTATCCGCCTCATCGGCAACGGCCAAGCACCTGTGCATCTTTACTGGGAATCACTGCTAAAGATGATCCAAGAGAAAAAGATCAAGCCGGAGAATATGGTTACACACCGCGTACGTCTTGAAGATTTGGACAAGGTGTATTACAAGTTTGAGAACAAGGAGGACGGTATGCAGAAGGTGTTTGCGGAGACGAAGTGGAGTTTCCCAGCTTCCAAGGGTAGCCCGCCCTTGACGAGATATTAGTGAACTAGGAGAGGTGTAGAGCATTTGGTGTTGGCAAATATGTAGTATAGTAGCTTATATAGGTGTTCGATCATCTAGGCCGGTTAGAATGTCAGGTGAACCATGTCACAAATTGCTCCTTTAGGAAGATTTAATTCACCAAGTCCATATCATTCCTACTCCATGTCCTCCCTAGCTCAGCCATACACTTCCTCCCAACTAGCTGCATATCTCCCCCTAAAATTGTCCTCCGCCCACGCATCGCTCGTATGAATATACTTGGGCACACTCCACATGAACCAGCCCAACACCCACACATATCCCACCAATGTCTCTAAAGTATCCACTCGCCTGTCGTCTCCGCTAATGCCCACCCTCTGCCTAAAGTAGTGCCAGACAATCTGGACTACGTCTTCAACAACAATTGGCAGCATTTGCGCAACATACCAGATTGTAATACACCACACATCTCCATCAGGGTCCTGCTGCCACCGCACAAGGCTATGCATGAGCCCACTGACCAAGAACACCAGTCCATTCTCAACAAGTCGCGTCTCGAGTCTCCCTCTTCCGAGGCCCAGCCACCCCCTCGTAACGATCTTGACATGCGCGGAGAATGAGTGGTAAATGTAATTGTGCCAATGCTTGCCCCAGTACCGGCGTACACTCCATGCCTCGGCCACACCACCGCATAATGATAAGGACCATTCGGACGGCATGTCGAGGCGTAGGATACCGACGAACAGCACAGCACACAGGGAGTGGTATGCTTCGTAGAGGACCATGCTGATTATACACCAATCGAATACTGTTTCAAGGCGAAAGTACATTTCGCGTGTGTTGAGAGGCGATGAAGAAGACGCAAGTCGGCGGAAAAAGTAGGCTTGCTCACGCGTAGAGGCGACGCTACGGGTGGTGGAGAGGAATGACTCGTACGCATCCCATGCTGCCATAGCCAAGTACAAGGCACTCGCTTTTACGCAATGGTACGCCACAAACTGCCACCTGGAACCGTAACCGTGCTTTGTAGAAATCGTCTTCGCTAGCTGAGCTCCGCCTCCTTTTCCATCCCTTTCCAAGACTTGCGTGTGGTTCCGGTCAAAGAGCACTTTATACGCTTCTCTCATTCTGGCCGTCCATCCCTCCTTCTCTTTTCCAACGGGGGGCGTAAATTCTAATATGAGCACTTCGTAGCTCATGTGAGCGTACCAGATGTACAGGAAGCGGCCGAAGGTGTCGCATACTGTCCAGTTTGGCGCCAAATCGAGTTGATGGATGAAGGCGTAAGTGACTGGAAGTCCTAAGAGCAGAATGCTGAGTTTCTTATACTGCGGGGGATATGCGAGTAGATAGAGACCGTATGCGAAGGCGAGGAGGGTGGATATGATGGGTACGAGGGCGGATTCGAATGTCCATGATTGGGTTTCGTCCATGGCCGAGAGCAGGACGTGGAGGAGGAGGTGGAGCTGTGACGATGAAGTAGACAAAGTATGTTTGGGGTGTGATAACCTCCGGGAAATCGTAAAGAGCCGCGAAGTGAGAGACAATACGATTTTCGAAATAACCCACTGTTAGCAAGCGTTTGGTTTATATACAAATGCTTCTTGAAAGTCGAAGTATAGTTATCTTGCTACTTCTTGAGCCCCGCTAGGTCGTATTGGTGTTGATTGCGTTCTGTGGTCTGAACTACGTCTGATTATCGTACTGCAATAGCGTGACTTTAGTGGTCGTTGACGATGAGGTCTCTTTTACAATCGCTCACGGTAGTGCCCTGGTCAGTGGTTGATGTTCGGACCCGGTGAGTGAGGTATTGTGGGTGGTGGAAAGTCGAGGATTAGGTCTAAGTTAGCGATTGCCCGAGTTACTTTCCATGGCAGTTGCGTTACGGTTTCTATGCCCGCACGTTTTTTTGTGAGTCACCCTGCACGGATCCTAGCTAGATGAAGCCAACGTTCCATACGGCTTCAACAGTGAAATGGTTTGGAACGTACCTGGAAGTCACTAATGACAATATATATATATATAGTCTCTGTGAACATGCGATACCTAACCTTCAACAAGTAGAACTCGTCGACGCGGCGGCGAGAATAAAACTATGTATGGGAACAGGCGACATCTACATAACAAACACATGTATCAAGCCAAAAAATTACCTGACGAACTTGTTGTTCGGAGCGACAATAATGCACTGGAATACAGAATCCGGGACATGGTATTGAAGATTGTCCGTCTCCCGTGAACCAGTGGCTATGGGGAAGATCAAAGGAGTGAAAAGTAAAAGTAGAAGTTGATTTGACACCATTTCACCATCAGTGCGTGAAGACTTGGCACATGTGGGGATCGTGTTAGTGTAACATCCATAATTCGCAGTGTCCTGATCAGATTTCTAGCCTAGACAATGACGCCTGAAAAGCAGAGCGCCAAGAAAATACGGCCGTATAATCCTCTGCCGCTCCGGATGTAACGGCCTGTCCTCAATTACCCAGTGGATCAGTCTGGCCGGATATATATCCACTGGCCCGACACAAGATGCACGAAGCCGTAGCGCGCTGTTTTGAAACTAGATAAGAAGTGGCGCATGAAGCGACGAGGCGGTGATCATGGCAACCAGCGGTATTACACCACCATGCGAGAAGATCCACCTTGTCTTGGCGTTTGTTGGGCGGCATGAAAGCTCCGACAACTCCTTTGAGGTACCGATCGATCCAGATGGGTGAAAAGTTGGTGATGGACCGAGCAGGGTAGTTGTTATAATCACATGCTGGCGTACTTGTCGTGACTTGATTTGACCTTCATGTCCAGCGCAGTCTCATGGAAATTGCCCTCACGCCGCGCCTTCTTCAGCTTTCTGACCTCGTCATCTTCCAGCCTCCTCCCTATGAGTTCCTCTAGCTCCTTGCGACTAATCTTCTCCTTTGCCCTTTCTTCCTTGTTGGCTTTGAGGCGCGGCTTGAAGCGTGCTTGCATGCGTATACGAAACGCCGTATTGAAGGTTATGCTCTCTGCGTCGCCACGGATCTCAGGTCCACTTGTTGCGGACTCGTCGATGCTGAGGAACTGGTCGCGTGCGGTTTGGAGGGAGAAGGCGGAGGAGTTATCGGGAACAGGAATAACGAGGAAGGATTCTTCTGGGGAGATGGCGGTTGCATTTGCGCTCAGGATGCCGTACTTGTTGCAGCTGAGATATCTATATAGGCCGTTAGAACGTGTCTACTTGGGTGGGAGGGCTCTTCTTGCCTTCCATGGTGCCCCTTCAAGCTCAAGCTCTCTGTACCAGCGACACGATTGGCAACGAAGACCTGGCGCACATCATGCGGCTCAGCTGTTGCTAGATCGCCCTCTGCAATGTTCTCCAACGTGCTCGCAAAGACCTTGCCATTGGCATCACAAGCTAAGCAGGCCGGTGTGTCTGTAGGAAGAACAATCACGATAGGCCCCGAAATGTCGCTCGGCGCATCCGCGCTCACCCAGGAATCATCGTCCCCGCCAGTGTCGGTTGCGGGTGCTGTGGTGCTCAGTTGTTTCGACGGCGCGTCCTCTGCATCGTATGGCCCGGCAGCCTTCTTGCGCTTCTTTACTTTCTTGTCGCCTTTGAAGTGCAGTGCTTTTGGCATGGCGATAACAAGTTGGTGGTGAGGCCAAGCGTCGGATGTGGAAAGAAGAGCATCGGCAGGTCGGAGACGGCCGCGAAAGGACGAATCAGGCAGGTGCGATTGATGGTCAACATCAGACGAAGACAGTTTTTTACGCGCTACATATCACGATAAAGCGGGAGGTTTTGGCTTCGTAGAGGGTACCAGTTGTTGAACCACTGGCTAGTCAGTTCCTCAAGTCTGAATCCATATATTCAAATACGTGCAGCAATACAGACATGGCTGATGCAAATGGCGCCGTCAGCCAAAACGCTGTCGCCGTTGGCCTGGAAGATTTGAAGAACAGTGAGTGCATTGCGAAGTACCCATGCTACTGTGCAGAGGCAAGTGACTGACCGTCTCATAGACAACGTGGACTTTGCCCTTCTTGAGGAGGCATTTGGCCCATCCAGTCTCGGCATCATTGTGGTGAAAGACCTGCCACCAGAGTTCCACGAGCTCCGACACAAGCTCCTGTCCTACTCGTCTGCCCTGGCAAGCCTATCACCCGAAGAACTAGGTAAGTAAGCAGAGAGCCAAAGCCAAGTCGGATCATCGGCATGCACGAGGTTGACAGCTTGACAGGGAAACTCGAATCTCCAGCGTCAAAGTGGCTTGTTGGGTGGTCATGTGGAAAGGAGACTCTTAAGGATGGCCGATATGACACGCTCAAAGGGTCTTACTACGTCAACTGTGCAAGTGGATTTGAAGAGCAACAGCAAGTGGTTGCTGATCGGTACCCCTCGTTCCCAGAATACACTGCACCCAACGTCTGGCCCTCACAGGACATGCTACCGGGCTTCGAGGAGACGTTCCGCGAGCTGTGCACTCTGATTGTCGACATTGCCGCACTCGTCGCCCGAGCGTGCGACAAGTACGCCGAAGCAAACATCCAAGGCTATCAGACGGGCTATCTCGAGCATGTCGTCAAGACGAGTGTGTCCACCAAAGCCAGGCTGCTGCACTACTTTCCAAGCCCAGAGTCTTATAGTAATGGCTCATCAAGCGAGACCAGCCGCGACGAGGACGACTGGTGTGCCACCCATCTCGACCACGGCTGCCTGACGGGCCTGACGTCTGCCATGTTTGTCGACGAGGCCAGCCACGTACCCACCACAGGCTCAGCCTTCGCGCCCCTCAAGGAGCTCGATGGATCGCCTGATCCCAAAGCAGGTCTTTATATTCACTCGCGAACAGGCGCAGTCACCAAGGTCAGTATCCCACGCCACTGCCTGGGATTCCAAACAGGCGAGGCGCTCGAGGTCATCACCCGGGGCAAATTCAGGGCTGTGCCACACTTTGTGAGGGGCGCTGGGCCAGGCATTGGCGGCAAGGTAGCGAGAAACACGTTGGCCGTCTTTACGCAGCCGAACTTGTGGGAGAAGGTGGACGAGCAACGAGACTTTGCAGCTTTTGCCAAGGAGATTGTAGAAAAGAACCACTGAGATTGGCAGGACGTGCTGTAATGAAACTGATACAATGACATCACCTGTCCTTTTCCGATACCTCGAATATGCACGTTATCTGATAAAGTACCCACGCGACACTGCGGAATGACGGATGGCTTTGTCCAAAAACCCTTAGTTTGACAAGAGTTTGCTGTGGCTCGTGACGCTAGCTACATAGTTGGCTGCATCTGCAGCGGAGCCCACATGTGGTTACCTATGCCCTCGTCAACCTTCAAACTGGAGACGAGGTGAGAGTTGCAAAAAGGGATTGCGCCTGACAGTCCTTGCTGCGTGCGTCCCTGGCGTACGCAGAGCCTCATCTCCGCAATCTCCTCCCCTCTCTCCCCCCTCCCCCCTCCTGTTCATCATTCCTCAAAGCCTTCATCACAACGCGTCTCCCGTTACGCAACACCCCAGCACGGGTGTTGGCGCTACACCTAGTAAATGACGCCCCCAGTCCTTGCGCCACCATCTGATTGCCTGTTCCAGCGTGAGCAGCATGCGTCCACCAGGCATGCAAGCCTCTCTTGTTATGCTGCTGCACTACGGGGGCCTTATTACGTGCCCAGTCTCCATTGCCGCTGCTAGCAGGCCAACACCACTGCGCACTCACGGCCAAGGCGTCGTGGTCCCCAATGAAACAGCCGGCGACGCTTCGACATGATCGTCCAGTGCCAAGGGATATTACGCGGCCAAGCGATACAGACTCGGCACCCCGTTTTCCATACCAGGGAACAAGGCCAATTAGACCAAATGCGTGTCTTGCCAGACGGCTCTCTATCATGCCAAGCTGTCTATCCGACTACCCGTCTTCGCATGGGGGAACTTGCTTGCACCCTGGTGGTTTGCACTTACTTAATAAAACCTCCTTCTTCTTAACCAGCCACAAGGGCAGCTCGCTCGCTCTATTGTATAGCTAGCCACAGCCGCTCTTCAATGGTCCTCTGTGTTTCCCAGCACCATCAACGCGGTCATTCATTCTTATAGGGCTCCGTGTTCCCCCCTCGCTACTGCTTGTGTCCGTCTGTATGCACATGTCATTTCTCACAAAGGCACCGTCATCCCTTGCCCGCGCTACCATCACCTGCTTCTCAGCAAAGGACCCCAACTCTAGCACAGACAGGATGGCCTCCAACAACCGCCAAAACGTCACATGGGTAGAGGTACGTACTCTACACACAGTACCAATGTCGCTGGTCTCTTACATTCGCAGGGTGTCAGAGGAGTCGCTTCGTTCTGGGTCGTCGTCACACATCTTTGCCGGGCGTGGGACTACAGCCTATGGTCGCCGCGCGATAACGAGAATGCCGCGCCCCAACTTCTTCAGTTGCCATTTCTACGACTACCATGGCAAGGCCGTATCGGAGTAACAATGTTTGCTTTTCTCACGGGATACGTCTGCGCCATCAAACCACTCCGCCAGGCAAAATCCGGGAATGTACCAGCCGCGCTGGAGACCCTGGGCAAGTCAGCCTTTCGCCGCCCACCACGACTTATCATGCCTGCGACCATTGCTCTGGTCATTGCGTGGGCTTTTGCCCAGATCGGCGCGTTCGAAGTCGCTCACCGAAGCGATTCTCACTGGCTTCGGCGTTCCGTGCCCATCAATATCGGCGGTCTCGACACTGAGTTTCCACGGCTGATCAAGAACTTCCAGAGGGCTTGGTCAGGCGCCAATAACGAATATGATGACCACCAATGGGCCCTTCTTCCCTTGTTGCAGGGTGCCTTCCTCATCTACGTGCTTCTGTTCGCGACAGTCTTCATGAAGTTCCGCATGCGTCTGTTCACATGCCTCGTCCTCTTTTGCTGGTATTGGATGCGAACTAGTCCTGAGAAGGGTATGCATCATCTCCCTCCAAATTCCAACATGTATAACTAACATATCCTGCAGAGACATTCGAGTGCCAATTCCTCTGGGGCGTCATCCTCTGCGACGTTGGATCCGAGAAAAGCTTCCGGGACTTTGTCAATAGCCGTGTTAGGGCTCGGCGGGTAGCGACAGTGCTTCTCATCGTCATTGGCTGGTATGTGGCTTGCTACCCAGGAGAGCACTGGGAATGGGCAACCTGGTCCATCCAGCTCAAGAACCTCGGGGACTGGTTCATCCCCCAGGGTGCGGCAAGCTACCCCAAGCGATTCACAGCCCTAGGGTGGGACCTCATGGTTACCGGTATCTGGCTTTCGCCCAGTCTGCAAAACATGTTCTCAAACAAGATATTCATGTGGGTTGGTCGCAACAGCTTTGCCGTCTACCTCACCCACGGAACAGTCCTTAAGGTCGGCCTCGCGCGCTTGATCTACGGCTGGAGCACCAAACCTTATCACGTCGAACAGCCAGAGAACGGAGAGGGTGATGCAATCGAGCATTACATCCCAAGATCCTCGCACTGGTTCGTCTGGGCCCTCGCTATCCCCACGTTCTTCGCCGTCGAATACCTGATCGCACATCTCTGGACAACATATGTCGACTCGCAATGCGCGAAAGCTACAAAGTGGCTCGAAGACACAATGTTTGAGAAAACCGAAGATGAGAAGCTTGGGGTTGCGGCCATGGCATAAATCTACATGGAATTGGAAAGGAATAGCAGGAGTTACAGATGAGAACCTCCGTGCTCTAGCAGGATGATGGTTCCTGCTAGACTCATGATTGTTGCATTTTCCGGAGTTGTAATGATTTCTTTTGTTGGCTTTTACATCTGCGGATACCAAACATTGACTCGCATTTCAAGGAGTCAGGGGACTATATTGAGCATTTCAGTAAGCTGATCGTCTCAAGCTTGGACAAGCACAATATCATGTACATAGAAGGCTGAAGCTAATACCTAATTCAATTGTACATTGACCCCTCTCGTGCCAAATATCTCTTCACCGTACGCTTCGCACGGCTCACTGGGCATGGTGGCGATCGTCGCTACCAAAACCTCCACATTTCGTACATGACGCGTCCAGACCAACGATCGCAATAACGCGCCCCAAATTTCGCAAACACCCAGCAAATCCAAAAAATACACCCAATTCTCCCCATCTCTCCATCCAGCGCAATAAACACGCCGCCACGACAATGAACATCTAACGTCATACACACCATCGATGACCAAACATGAATCCATGCTCTTTACTGACGTAGACACTCCGAAACACCCCAGTCCCCCATCCCGCGAACGAAGGATTTTTCCTCCCGCGCTTGCAAGGAAAAGCAGATCCCCCTGCCCCATTCTAGCAAGGAAGTAAGTTAACAAGCATGCTGCCAAGCATACGTGCCAAGAGGTAGCCAAGAAGACCAGACCGTTACAGCCGGTGCCGCCTCCCGCCGTGCTTTTATCGAGACATAATCATTCGCTCACTAAACGACGTCCTGGTGATGCATGGGGTTTATGCTGATGTGAGATGAAGGATTGGGGTCGGAAAACGGACGGAGGGAGAGCGCTGCATGGTGCATATTGCATAGCGGTGAGGAATGCTTGGATCATGTTGTACGCAGCCAACATTAAATTCCATTCTAGAAGGAGTTTAGTGCCCAGGTGTTTATCAATAATAACAAGTTTATCAACATTCTCTAATGACATGATCAAATGACATGATCCTGGAAAAATTCACCCCCTCTTGTTACTTCGCTACGAGGGAAGGTAACAAAGGGCTTACACAAAAGTAATGAATAAGTTACGTTAGGCTCTAGAGGGGACATGTGGATAACGTGATTTGTTCGTTACTTTTCTTAAAACCTGCGCAACATGCAATTCGCGTATACTAGCAGAGCGTTTATGCTTCTTACGAGAGCGTACGTGTGGTGCACTCCCATTATATTGTAATAGACTTTGCGGTACTTTGGGTCACTATAGCTACGAGGTTGGACGAGGCTGCTACAGGTATAGATGTAGGTATGCCGTCTTTGTATCTTTCATCTCGGCAGTATTGAAGCAAAGCAGGAAGGCGCGGGTCATGAAAAGAAGGAAGCGGTTAAGAGGGTGTAAGTATTCAGTAAGTACTCATTATGGAGGTAATAGTGGCTAACGCGCCCCTAAGCTGTATATCTCCCACTGATCTCCATGTTCAAACTTCAGTACTTTTCGCCCAGTTGGACACCATCTCTAGCCTGCTCTCCTCTCCAGAGCAGAGTTTCTCGAGGAGAGCTCGTAGTACTTCATAAGAGAAGGGCTACAATGCAGTGCGTTACTTGTCCACATTATTTACCTATCATCTCCTTGTTTTGGTATCTCATTCTACTCCACTGGCCTCATTCATCATCGGCATTCTATTTTTCGCTTTCCCGCTCGCCAATCCCGTTGGTCGTCCCACTGCGAGCGCCTGGCGGCCCATACCGCCAGATCGTCTCCTTATTCCCATTCACAAACACTGGGAGCATTTTCTTAGATGCTAGGGGCTTTCGATCGGGACCCTTGGGCGTCTTTTCGGAAACCAAGGGCTTGATCTTGCGATTGAGGGGCTTCTCCCCTGTAGCCCCGGCTTCCTCCTCGCCATTAGGTGACGTGGTCACTGCCTTTTCATGGTAATCAACCCTATGTATACGTTCATATATGCTCCAAGAAGTCCTGAAGTGGCTGGTGTTCGTCTTCTCATAGCCCTCAGGTGAGGCCCAGGTCGTAGGGTTGTACAACTTTGACCTCCGATTGTATGTCGAATGTTTCTTAGCCTGCTCAGCAAGCGTGTGCTCGTTATGAGGCTGAAGGATGGGGTTTGTGGAGTTATCGCTGGGTATATCTGAGTTTGAAAGCACGGTAACTAGCGGCTTGAATGCAGTGCCACGTTGAGGCTGAACTGTCGCGAGTTGGGATGTAGGTGTGGCGCGCTTTAATGCGGATCGCGGAGTTGAGACTGGAGGCAGGGCGGTACTGCTTTTCCGCACTGCTGGCATCGGAGTCAAAGGAATCTCCTCGAGCAAAGCTTTGCTGGCTTCAGCTCCTAGTTGTAACGCAAGTCCTGCCGATATCACAGTCTTCTTGCCGTGATGGCCAGCCACTCCAAGTCGGTCATTCTTCACGCCGACTTCAGAGAGAACATCGAACTGGTTGCTGGTTGATATCTCCAGCCTGTCATAATGCCGGGAAGGTTCGACGGTGACCGCGCCACGTGGGCCAACATTGCTTGGTGGTGCTATCGCGTTGTGAGGCTGCCTCCGCTTTTGCTTGGGCCCAACGATTTTCCATTCGTCCTCCTCGGCGGCTTCTTTTCGCGATTTTGCTCCTGCATAATGTTAGCACATTGCAACTCTTGACTTCGGCATTGAAACCTCACCCTCGACGCAATGTGCCCCCGTCTTCAGCTCCTTAAACCCTTGCTCTCTCCCTACCTCGTCTTCACTATCCTCGTCTGTGATGTAATTGTATCCAGGTACCTGTGAGCACGCCTCTTCTGCTTGTTCCCATATTGCTAGCGCAGTAACAATTCCCCATTCTACAGCCTGATCCGGATTCTCATCTTTCAGCTTCTTTAAGCGCACTACATCATCATAAACTCTCATCTTCACCTCTCTCCATAGCTTCATCCAACCAGTGTGGCTCATACGCTGCCTGGATCCCCAAGGTGCATTAGCAGACTTGGATCTAGACGCAAATATGCCACCGCGCTGCTCTAGACCAGCCTGCATATTCTTGACCTCTACGATGCGGTACTTGATTAGACATACCGGACAAATCAAGGCCTCGTCGTGGAGAACTTCGACGAATTCTTGCGGAATTTGATGTTCGCAGGAGTTTGGGGCCATCGTAGGTCCTCGGTTAGGCTTTTGGTTGCGATTTAGTCGAAGATCGGGCACTAATATGTGAGCGTGGTTTTGATTGCACCGCGTTCCCACCACATATACGAATGATTATGTGGGAGATTTCGTGGTACTAGAACTGGGCTAAGGGTGGTGCAAGGTAGTGAGAGATCGTCCGAAGAACGAATGCTGACTTGGTGAAGGTACTCGACCACTGGAGCAGGGAGGAGACAAGAAGGAGAAATTGTGGAGGGGAAAAAGCGTGGAGGAGACTTGTCTGAATTTGGAAAGAAAGAGACTAGGAAGGATTGAGCAGAGGTTGGAGAGGCGACCGGAACAAAATTTTGTCGAAGGAGCAGGTTGAGTGAATGGACTTTTGATTACCTCGGTGCGAAAGCAGATATCGGGACCGAGCACTACTTACTTTACCTTTCACTGTGAGATTCCACTTCTCTTTTTGAATTGGCACACATCTCCATCACCTGTGCATCTGAGCTCGTTCTCATGTTGTATACAGTTCCTCTGAAGCCATGAAAAGCGATATCGGTAGCAGTAAGCAGCACAGTGCTCTACCCCAAATACACTAATTCACGTGCCAGTCCTCCAAGATCAACATCGGTGAAAGTAGCTTTCTTAATTTCCAGGCTCTGTGGTACTGTGTCTTCTTGCATGGCAGCAATGGTAATGACATCCATCCACCCAGTAGCCTCGAAGCTCTTCACGATCACATTGCGGATCCAATTAATCGCTCCGATATTGTATGATCTCAATTCGACCCCACCCGCGGGAGGTCCCTTCAGGGCGGACGTCAGCCATTACACTTCTTCCACCTGGGTGTTTGCTACATTCGGACCAATTATGATGTAAGATGGAGAATATTGTCCTAGATATAGACGTGCTGTGCATTCTCAACTAGATGCATGGTTTTAGCTGCGGTTTGACTTTCAACGTTGTGAAAACGGATTGCTGAGCATTCGGAATTGACGTGAATCACCGTTGCTGGGTATAATGCCTGCGTTCCTCACACTGCTTATGACTTGCGGATTGTTTCTCTCAGAAGTCCCAGTTGGGTGATAGCTTGAGCAGACCGTTGATGTGGAAGACGCATATTTTGCGCATGGAAAGTGCTCAGATGTCTCTCGGTGTATGTGGCTAGACATTGCAGTCCACAAGTCGAGTCGTGGTCGGATCGTCCTTCGGCGTTTGGAAAGCGCGATGACGTTTTCTTGGCTGCTAGCTTGCAACGAGTTCCCGAGGTCAGAGCTTTAGCAGCAGGTCGATAACGGAGTTTCTTTCTTCTCCCCATATCAAATCCCATCTACCTCCTTCTACTATACCAATTCGTCTCGCCATGTTTGCTAGACAGGTTCTCCGCCCGGCGAGGACCCTGCACCAGGTATGCGCTCACTTTGTACCGATTCATCGCATTACAAATCGTCTTGTAGAGTTTCGAAAATGGCTAACACCACTACAGCAGGTCCGCCGATACGCGTCCGCAGCGCCCCAGAGCGGTGGCAGCAACGGCATTCTCTATGCGGGTGTTGGCGCGGCTGCTCTTGCCGGTGGTTACCTATACCTAAGGGGAGGAGACTCACCTTCCGGGCAGAAGGGCAATGCGCCGCCATCCGAAGAGGCCAAGAAGATCCCCGCATCCACCGCCAGCCTAGCAAAGAAGGCCTTTACTGGGGGCGAGCAAGGCTTCGTGTCGCTACAGCTCGAGAAGTCCGAGATCATCAACCACAACACCAAAAAGCTCACTTTCAAGCTGCCTGAGGAGGACATGGAGAGCGGTTTAACCGTGGCTTGTACGCCTACTACTTGTCGAGACTTTGGTGGATGCTAATTCGACGCAGCCGCCGTCATCACCAAGTATAAGGGCCCTGAGATGCAAAAGCCCGTGATCCGCCCTTACACGCCTATCAGCGATGTGGACCAAAAAGGCACAGTCGAGTTCATTGTCAAGAAGTATCCCAATGGCCCTATGTCTAGCCACATGAACGACATGGAGCCCGGTCAGCGCCTCGACATCAAGGGCCCAATCCCCAAATACCAATGGTCACCAAATAAACAGTAAGAACTCTCTTTCTCCTGCACGAACAACGTGTGAGACAGTTGCTGACTTCGCACCCAACACATAGTGAGCACATTGCACTCATCGCTGGTGGCACAGGCATCACCCCAATGTGGCAAACCGCGAACGCCATTTTCAAGAACCCCGAGGACAAGACAAAGGTCACGCTGGTGTTTGGTAATTTGACCGAAGAAGACATCCTGTTGAAGAAAGAGTGGGAACACTTGGAGAACACATACCCTCAGCGATTCAGGGCCTTCTACGTCTTGGATAACCCTCCAGAGCAGTGGCAGGGCGGCAAAGGTCACGTCACCAAGGAGCTTTTGAAGACAGTTCTGCCCGAGCCAAAGGAGGGCGAGAAGATTAAGATCTTTGTTTGCGGACCGCCGGGCATGTACAAGGCTATCAGTGGTGGAAAGAATAGCCCCACGGACCAGGGTGAACTCGAGGGCTACCTAAAGGAGCTTGGATACAGCAAGGATCAGGTGTACAAATTTTAGTGGTGTGTATTAACGGGCTCCACATTTTAGCTCTTTGAACTAGATTTCATCAAAGAGCGACTAGACTCTGTTCGAGGTCTACGTGTTCATATTGTTGCATGCCAAAAGGAGAAGCGCTTTATTTTAGTTTCGGCCAGCGCCATTACAAACACCATGCGGGTTTCCAGGCATTGACTCAACCCGATGACTGGCACCGGAACGCGCTGGAAGACGACCGGGAGTGCTACATCGAGAATCATCCTGCGATAGTGGAATTCTTGAATTTCTTTCTTGCAAGTTCAAGCTTGGTATTGAGTAAATAAGTACAACTTTTAGAGCTCGATCTACGGTGCGCTTGCATGTGATTGGTAGTAATCTGCATTTATCTGCATCTCTTTCGTAGTAGTCCTGGGAACTAGTTTTTCACAGGCATGCGTGTTTGCTTTCGTGCACTATTTGATTGAGTTGTTATTTATACGATCATAGTTATACACAGCAATTCCGGTCTACTTTAAGCATCTTCCCGCTCGGTGGTGCTACGCGAAACACCTTTTCATGCATGAATGCCCAGAAACCTGAAGTCAATTGGGCGGCTCAGTGCCCTATTCCACCAGCGACCCAATCCATGAACTCGGGGTCATTTGCATTCGGAAATAACCCCCTATCCTGCTGTGCCTGGCCTTGTTGCTGAACCTGCACTGGTGCCATGGGCACTCCCTGGTTCAATTGTTGCTGCTGCTGTTCCCTCCGCATCCGCTCCTCTTCCTGCCTCCTCTGCCTCTGTGCCCGATAGTACAATAGGAAGGCCAATGCACCTGACAACGCCAGAATTATAAGAGACTCGATGATATCGGAGTCAACTTCACCGCCGTGGTAACCGTCGCCGTAGTAGTCGTCAGTGGCAACGTGCGTGTCTTCGTAGTCATCAGGCTCGTAGTCGTCCCAGCCGGCGAGTTCGGCTTCAAGGAAGGCGGATAGCCACTCGGAGAGGGTCCATTCTTTCTTGATGACTAGATGAATACTATTAGCAAGTGATGATTTGGGAGAGGAAGGAGCGGATGAGGGTAAAGACGACGACGAACCTGGTTCTTTCTGAATGGACTTGACCTTTCCGTTCGTGATGGTGTTCCACCAGCTTCGGAAGCGTAGCTTGTATAGAGCTAGCACCACGGGCAGATACGCTTCGCGGGGATTTGTCTCAAGAGCCAAGTCGTAGTGTCGTTTCGCAAGGTGAAAGTCCTGGTCGATACCAATGCCATTCTCGTGCATCCAGCCCAGATTCCACATAGCCTGTGCGCTTTGCATGGTCTCGGCTGCTGCTTGATAACATGCTGCTGCCTTCTCTCGATCGGGAGAAGTACCGAGTCCGTGGAGATAGTAGTCACCCATCTTGACCATCGAGTCGACATTCTTCTGCTCGGCGGAACGAGTCCAATATATAAGAGCTAAAACGGCATCGCCAGCTAGCGACACCTGCTTTCTCATGAATGGGATCAGTGAGCCTAAGGTAAACCGAGGCTTGGCTTGGTCAAGCAGATATGCAACGTTTGCTTGCCCAACTTCGAATCCTTGCTCAGCTGCCATCATGTAGCTAACGAGCGCTGTTTCAAGATCGCCGTTCACGTATGCCTCATTTGCTTCCGGAAAAGACGTCGACACGAGTTCAGCTTTCTCGGCCACAATCTTGTAATAAGCAGCCGCGACGGGACAAGACTTATCGCGGCCGACGCCATTGTGAGTGAGCTCAGCCAGGTAGTAGTATGCCTCGAGATGTCCGTGCCTAGCCGCCAACTCGAAATACTTGATAGCGACCGGAACATCGCCTTGATCAAGGAAGAGCGCGCCGAGTCTGACCTGAGCGACTGCAAGATCTTGGTCCGCTGCAGCACCAAAGAGTTCTGCAGCCCTGACGGGGTCATGAGGTACACCGAGTCCTCTTAGGTACATAACACCCATCGAATACTGTGACAATGCATCCCCGTACTCAATACCGCGCCTAAACCAGGTCTTCGCAATGTCGAAGCTCTGTGGCATGCCTTCGCCACGGAGAAACATGCGACCAAGGTATCCAGCAGCCTTGGACGCCAGTTTCTCGGTGGTAGGCGAGACGTTTGGTCTAGTCTTCCCATCCTTGGTCCAGTGCATGCGGGCAAGTTCCAAGAACCGCTTCTTCGCCGCCGGGAGGTCTCTTTTCGAAGTCCGGGCGCCGTCGTAATTCAATTTGGCCAGGTTGAAGCTGGCCCTAGCGTCTCCTTTCCTGGCCTGTAGGTCCATGTATTCAACCACGTCATCGAGCGAGGAAAAGGCATCTGAGTGGACGCTACCCAATTTGGCGTTCTGTCCTGAGCTGCTTGCACTTGCACCCTCGCCGTAGACGCCGCCCTCCTCGTCGGCAATTCTGAAAGACTCCCTGGGCATCGAGTGCCCCCCTGGAGGACCAGATCGCATGTATGCAATTGCCTTCTTCGCCGCCTCTTTGTAGAAATACACAGCTTCCTCGCAATTCCGAGGTGTGGATATGCCAGCAGAATGGCGGTACGCGACGGCCATCTCAGACCGCACATCTCCCCCTTCCGCGCCCAACGTGTAGTACAGCATAGCTTTTGCTTGATCATGCTTGACCGCTCCACCAATGCCGGTTGCATACATGAACCCGACCATGTGTTGGGCGGAGGCATTTCCAGTCAACGTCGCGAGCTCGTGGTATCGTCGAAAGGCTTCGGAATAGTTGCGCGGGTGTGTGTAGTTGCCGTAGAAGTTCAGCTCAGCGAGAGTGAAGACAGCGTCGGGGTTCTTTTGCGCCGCCGCTTCTTCCAGCAGTCTGACGGCCTGCAATAGGGGTGGGCCTAGCTTCTTGGGCGACGGGCTTGTCGTCAAGAGCTCTTGCTGTGGCGGTCCATTCATGAAAAGGAGAAAGAAGATCTCCTTGGCGTAGTATGCGCTGGCTCCGAGTACTCCAGACTTCTTGTCGAAATTCCACCATGGCGCCGTTAACGGTTTGATCTTAAGGAGGAGTGCCATAGCCTCGTCGAACGCTAGTATGCCTTGATGTGGATTTGCACCTCCTTCTGCGTTGCCCCATCGTGACCTCCATAGTGGCTCTCCGTCTCGCCCCGTTGCCCCCCATTTGTTGGATGATGTCCCTAGCGGTCGCTGTTGAGTATGGGCTCGATCGCTGCCGTGGAACTGCGCCGCAGAGAGGGATAGAAATAACGAGAGAATGCCTGGCAGTCTATCAGTCAGTCAAGAAGCTCTTTCAGAACTCCTCTAGCCAGCGCGTACCTAAGAAGAGCGACAAGAGCCGCTGTAACCGTGGCCTCATCGTAGGTTTAAGTCGACGTGCAAGGTTGTCAAAGGAAAGAGACTCATCGCGTCATTCACAAGGGAAGAAGCATGGATGCAATCGTTGCTCGACAAGCTTTGTAGTGAGATTGTTTGTAAAGGCCAGCTTTCCGCTATCAAGGTCGGGTGCAGTTGCGTCTTACAGGCGGGCGCGCAGCTCGTGCAGCCAATCAGCGTTGACGTCACATATATCGCATGTCTCACGCTATGCGATGACACAACCTCACATGTTACAGATCCTGGGCTGCTGGAATTTTCACACGTCTTCTTCAACTTGCTATTGCCAGAGTTGACGCGCTGTAAAAAGAATATCTCGTTCTATCCGCGGACGAAAGCCCTCGGAAAGCCGCACTCCAACTCTTGCCGCATTTGTCATCGGTCAGATTCGGGATCCTTGCAAACATCATCTATGGCTTCGGTTCCGTACCCACAAAGTACCTGCCTCCGTCCAGGTGCTTGGCCATCATCTAATTGACCTTTTTCCCTCGTTTCATCATTCTTGAGCCATGACAGTCGAGAACGGCTCCGCAGAGCGAAACCCTCTCCTTCGCCGCTCGACATCCCCAAGCGTATCAGATGGAAGTGGACAGGATGGGGAGCGAGACATATCGACATTGCGTGGAGCATGCATAGTTGGATTTGTTGGATTTCTCATATTTCTGCAAGGTATACTAGTTCTCATTTGAATCATCGTAGCCGTAACTGTGGAGCAGATTGGAGTCGACGTGCATCTCTACTCTGTTCAGACGCCATGTCGAATATCTCAAGTCACTTGGTGCATAGATGGTTATCCAGACGGGAGCTCTGCATCAGCCATTTCAAGAGTAGACCTGATGAATTCTGACCGCACCTAGCTACCAACATATCCATCCTCACAACAACACAATCCGCCATCGCCGCGGATTTGGATGCCTTTGAGAAGGCGAGTTGGTTCACTTCAGCATATCTCATAGCCATGTCCTCCATCGCTCCGTTGATGGGTCGCCTATCCCAGGTCTTTAGCCCACGCCTGTGCATGTCCTTCTCTACGCTTTTCATTACCATTGGGACGGCCATCACCGCGACCGCTATGTCCTTCGAGCACTTCATCGTTGGCCGCGTTGTTACGGGAGCGGGTGGTGGAGGTATTTTCATTGTGGCTAGCATCATGGCGATCCAGATGACCAGTCCCAAGCGTCGTGGGTTATACATGGGCCTTGCTAACACTGGCATGACCGTCGGTGTGTCGCTAGGTGCCGTCATTGCGGGTGCACTAGAACCTAAAGTGGGATGGGTAGGCGCCTCCTTTGCACCGATATATCACTCTCGATTTGATCACGCGTTGATATCCTTTAGAAACCTCTCTTTGGCATCCAGGCCCCGCTGAGTTTGCTTTGTGGCATAGGCCTCCTCTTATCCATTCCATCGAGTCACACCTCCAAGAACGCCAAATACATCGGTCTCTCTATTCGCGATAAGCTGGTACGCATCGACTATTCCGGAGCCTTGTTGTTGACTACTACAATCATACTCTTCTTGCTCGGTCTGTCTGGTCCCAAGATTCTCCCAACTCCGCTCATTCTATCCGCACTCTCACTACCGGTCTTCATCCTGAATGAGATATACGTCGCCAAGGACCCCGTCATCCCCGTCTCTGTGCTGAGATCCCGTAGTACGCTACTGACCTGTCTTGCCTCTGTTGGCTTCATGATGGCAAGATGGGGCATACTTTTTTACACACCTGTGTACGCCCTTGCCGTCCGAGGCTGGGCGCCCGCTGTCGCTGGATCCATACTCCTCCCCACCAACGCTGGCTTTGCTAGTGGCGGTCTTCTGGCTGGTGTCTTCCACATCAAACGAACAGGAAGCTTCTATATGCATAGCCTTATCGCTATGGCGCTCTTTCCGCTCACAATGGTTGTCCTTGCCTTCATCACTACCGCCACAACTCCATGGGGTCTCTATGTTGTCATGGTCTTCCTCAACGGGCTCGTGACAGGCGCAGCTACGAACTACGCTCTAGTTCATCTCCTACATCTCACTCTCCCCGAAGTCCATCCCATTGTCATATCCCTCCTTGCTACGTTCCGCGGCTTTGCAGGCTCCTTTGGTTCCGCAATCGGTGGCGGCTACTTTGTGCGCGTGCTCCAGCAGTCCCTGCGTGATGGTTTTGCAGAAGCAGGACTGAAGCACCGTGGCGACTTGATACGACGACTATTGGGTAGCCCGGCGCTGGTGGGCAAGTTGGAGGGTACTGAGCGAGCTGTTGCGGTTGGTGCGTATGAGGATGCGCTTAAAGCACTGTTCCTGGGCGCGGTTGTATTGTCAACGATTGTAGCAGTTGTGCAAGCGTTTACGGGGTGGAAGGAGCCGGTTGAGAAGGAAGAGCAGAGGCTTGCGAGCGAGGAGGTTGAGGGCGAGGAAGAACTAGTTGCAGGAGCTTAGTGTGCAATGGAGGATCGGTACGTATATAGAACATGTGAATAGTGGGCTGATGGTGGCATAGAATGTCATTGTACATGAAGTCTTCATCCCGCAACGAATCGCTTGGATCCCAGCTAGCGGGACGATGCCAGATTGAAGACCGTACGATCGAAGCTGAATACATCCGTGGTCGAGGTGCCACGGCAGATGGGATTGCCCGGCCTAGCCTATGCTCAGCTCTAGGTGCGGGTACTTACAGTAGCAAGCAAAACCATGCCTGCGGTCCATGACGAGAGGGCCAGGAGGTGCGGTGTCAACGCATCATTGCAGAATCGTGTCTGTTCCATATGTTCATATATCTCAACTGTGTTCTGCTTATCGTCACATGCGGCCGTTTCCCTCTAGCTTCAGCATCAAATGCTGTAATTTGATGCTGTAAGAGCCCGCTCATGCAGGCTCCCGTCTGAGCATCGACTCTGGCGTCGTCTTGATTTGCCCGGTTCGTTTGCTGGTGTTGACGCGGTGTTGCATGGGGACGTGCCTTCCTACAAATAGAGCTCCCGCCTTCCGCCTCGACTTCTCATCCACCTCACCTCATTTCGACGGCATACGTGCCGTGCAAGCTAACCGGTACGAGGGGAAGACATCATCTCTTTGTTGTCTGTCTGTCTGCGGCCCATACCGTGATACCAGAAGGTAAGTGACTCTCACTCCCATCCGCTTTGCAGTTAGCTGCTTCCGTCTCAGGCGGTTTACCTCACACCTTCGCATGAGCCCACGGCCGTCTTGACTGTGCCGCAACGTCTGCGTGCCACGGTGGTCGGCGTCGACGTACACCAGCTGTGTGCTTCACTGCGACGTGCTGTGCTTCACTTCACCGTTTCCTTTCCTCTCGATTAGATAACTGACCGCAAAGTCTTCAGGATTGACCCTTCTTTCTTTCAATACCACAATCATGGCTCGCGGCCCTGCTGCTCTCCAACTCTCGGGTATGGTCTCCAATCCTTACCCTCGCGCCAAGGAGCATGTACCGCAGAAAACTCTCTGCGAGCTTTGCAAACGCACTATCAAGACCCGCGACTGGAGTGCGCACAAGAACTCGAAGAAGCATCGCGAGGCCGAAGCGGCAGAGAGGGGCAGGACGGATAACATGAATGGCAATGCTTCTGGCTTCACTGTTGACACCAACGCCAACAGTGAATTTGGTACTGGTGACACCTTCGGCAGTGGCGCTGCCTCTGGTAACGAAGGCTGGGGCTCGTCGGGCGGATTCGACAACCTCAACATGTCCGGCTACGGCACGAACACCGGCGGCAGCGGTGACGGTGGCAGCAACCGATCCTGCTACGGCTGCGGACAGACTGGCCATACAAAGCGTGACTGTCCCACGGCCGGTGCTGGAGGTGGACAGGCCTGTTATGGTTGCGGACAGACTGGTCACCAGAAGCGTGACTGTCCTGTCGGTTCTGGTGGTCAGACCTGCTACAACTGCGGCGAAGCTGGGTAAGTTAGTCCCATGTCCTGCGTTGACCGTCGGTACTAACTCATGTTCCCCAGTCATCGCAAGTCCGAGTGCACCCAGCCTCGCAAGCCAATGGGTGGCAGTGGTGGCGGCGATCGTGTCTGCTTCAACTGCAACAAACCTGGGTAAGTCGCCTTTCGATACGAAGCTAGGTGCAGTGTGTTTGAAGTCTCAGTCTTGAATCACCACGCCTGTAACCTTGGAACATCTCTTTCGATAATTTGGTCCAATGCTAACTTTTATTACCAGCCATAACAAGTCCGACTGCCCTGAGCCCATCGCCGACCGTCCCGGTGGTGGCGGTGGTGGCCGTTCCTGCCACAACTGTGGACAGGAGGGCCACTTATCTCGAGACTGCCCTGAACCTCGGGTGATGCGCTGCCGCAACTGCGATGAGGAGGGTCACCAGTCCCGCGAGTGCACCAAGCCTACTGACTGGAGCCGAGTCAAGTGCAAGAACTGCAACAACTTCGGTCATGGCGCTAAGCGATGCCCCGAACCTGCCGTTGAAACCCCTGCTGGTGACTGGGGCAATGGTGGCGAATTGGGTGCCGCGGCGGGTGGATGGGCCAACGCTGGAGGTGACTCGGCCGGTACCGGTTCTTGGGGTGATACTCCTCAGGATTCAACTGGCAACTGGGCTGACGATACTACCGCTGCCGCCGAGGGAAACTCCTGGGGTGACGCTGGTACCGCTAGTGGTTGGTAAGCTACTGCCGTAGCTCTCGGTGCTTGTTGGCTCAATGATCAAGGTCATTGTCTAGTATTCGGGACTGCCTCAAGGACTGTCATAGATGTGGGTGGATAGTCAACGATCGACTATGGCTGTGCGAGGAGAGGTATTTCAATGGAGATCGCCTCAGGGTGGTTCTCCTATAATCGATGTGACACTGCGGACTTCAAGTCTGCACTGCCACTAATTTTCGAAGCATCATGTACACCTAGGTACACTCGAGATAGAACAAACGACGTTAGTCGTCTCACTCACCCAATTCGCTCATCCTCTTAGATTGCCTTACTAGAACGCCGTCTCTTGCTTTGGATGCTTTCTATCCCATATCATTAACAGGGGTTTCATTCTCCCAAATTAAACAGTTCGTCTTCGGCAGAGCCTCGATTCTGGCAAATTTGATGAAGGATGGGCAGAAACAAGATGCGAACAATATGGGCGTAGTACCTGGGCACGGGCCATGCATAATGCGTCGTGACTTGCCCCATCCGTCGCCACTAGCTTTTGTGGCACCCTTCACCTCGTTCACGACTTTACATCACCAACGGACTCAGCCTCCCTTATACAAGACTAGAATTTTTTGTGGAAATGCTGTTATCGACCGAACGCTTCTCACACACTCCATGTCAACCTTTAAGGGCATCCTAGCCGAATTCCCCCATATTAGGATCGATTATTTCAGACAGCAATCTGGACACAAAGCGCCTTTGGCGTGCTTCCTTAGTCATGTCCATTCAGATCATCTCGCCGGACTTGAGTCTTTTAGGGCTCCATTTGTGTATTGTTCCGCCGCTACTCGAGAGATCCTTCTACGACTCGAGAAGTACCATTATCGAGTCAACTACGCAAAGGGCCTCTTAGAAAGTCGCCATGTAACGTACGACCGAAGCATGTGCAAATTGGCTAAGCCGCTTCCCATGGATACACCGACGACGATTGAGCTAGCACCGGGGAACAACATACGGGTTACGCTGCTGGACGCTAATCACTGTATCGGCGCTGTCATGTTTTTGATTGAGGGCGACGGCAAAGCCATCCTCTACACAGGGGATATTCGAGCAGAACCGTGGTGGGTGAACTCATTGGTTCAGAACCCTATGTTACTACCTTACACACTTGGTGTCCGCCGACTGGATTGCCTGTATTTAGATACGACGTTTGCAACGAGGAGCGAGCCTTATCGCGAGTTCCCAAGCAAAGCAGAAGGCATTAGAGAGCTTCTAGAAAAGGTTAGTGAATACCCTCAGGACACTATCTTCTACTTTCATTCTTGGACATTTGGGTATGAAAATGTGTGGATCGCACTTTCAGCTTTTTTGAACTCGCAGATACATTTGGACGACTACCGAGCACGCATGTATGGTTCACTCTCTACCTTGGAAAAGAAACAACTTCGAGAGATTGGCCTGCACGTTCCATCCGACAACAAGTCCCTTCGAGAGTCCGGCCTTGAAATTCGTGAAGCCCCTGCGTTATGCGGCTTCAGGAACGGGAATCACATACAGCCCGGTTGCTTGACGTCGAGAGAGAGCGTTCGCATTCACAGTTGTGAACGCGGTATGGGCTGTCGCGTTATAGACTGTGACAAGGATGCAAAAACTGTGCATATCATCCCTATCATCACCCGGGCTAATGGGGCTGAGATCGCCGAACTTGGGGCGGGAGGTGGCAAAGGCGATTTAGATAAGAAGGAAGAGCTGGACACAGGTAGCACTGCTGATGTGGGTAAACTCCTGGAACTTTGCGCAAGATTTATCGAAGATGAGGAAGCGCTCTCGAAGGTATCCGCGCTACTCCAACAGACAGTCAATGAGGGCGGTAACAGGCTCAACTTAGACATGCACCTGCAGCAAGGAAGCCAGGGTAACCAGGACGCATTGTCGCTTCAGACGCTTGTGTCGGTTCTCGGATCTAATGCTTCGAAAGGCGAGGATACCAAGCAGCCACGGAACACAACGATTCGATTTCCATACTCTCGGCACTCATCTTACTCGGAGCTGTGTGGGTTTGTCGAAGCATTCAAACCTATGGATGTTTTCCCCTGCACGGTCGACGAAGATAGCTGGACACCAGTATTCAGTATGCGTACCCTTTTTGGAACATTCTGCTCTCGCAACGTCTTTCGGCATGACGCTGAAATGATGGAATTGTATGACTTGAAGCTAGCGTACAAGAAAGGAAGGAAACAACACCGAGAAGAAACCCAGAGAGATACGCAGATGACGGATGAAGCAGTGACTGCGAGCCCTGTTGAGCCAAAGCATGTCCCATTGGAGGAGACAAAACCGGCACAATCGTTCGAATCACCTGACTTCGTTACACCGCCCACGACAGTGGGTGACACCAAGGAAAATATCACCCCAACAAGACGCGTCCAGATTCCACGCGCATCTCCCACATCAATAGCAACGGATCTAGAATCCTCAGTCGGGGCGCCGACTTTACAGCCACCTGCCGCAATAGCGATAATCGAACCGCATCCTCCATGGCTTGCGTCAAATGCAACGACTTCTTTACCCTCTCTGCCCCCGGCCAAGTTAGATTCCTCCGCTCTTGGGACAATGCTTGCGACGCCGAGTTCTAAAGGAACGAAAAGGAAAAGACAGCAGTTTTCGAATCGAGAAATTGCGTATCACGCTGCTATTGGCACTCACGGCCTTACTTGGAGTGACTATGGTGGACTCATATCGACTAGAAGTAAGGCCGACCAAGAAGAGCAGGAGCTTTGACAGGGAGATTTGTAAACTATTGAGAGCATTGAGCCTTCCGGGCTTGAACGAAATTCTATTTGAGGGCTGAAGGCAAGGGCATGTGGCAAGCATGAAGCTCAACGTGGAATGTTCTGGCGCCGCTGATAAGTCCAGACTGGAATGCCAAAATCACGTCAATCGTTGCACAACTTTCAATCATCTGGGCCCTCAACACTTTCATGCAAATTACTGCCCGGATGGTTGGGGCCTGCCTAGGCTGTTTTGGTGATTTCATTCCTCCCTTGCCCGCGTCACGATGCTCGCCACCCCCCTTGCGCATATCACATATATACCAACACCAGGGCAACGCGCTTCAGGTTATCTCCACCTCACGCCTTTTTCACTCTTTTCTCCCCCACACTCGTTTGAAGGAGCAACCATGGCTCCTACCTGTTCCCGGGCAGGCCTTCGCTTGCTGACGTCGGTCCTGGTAGCTAGCAGTATCGCGAACGCGGCAGCACTTCCACACCAAGTGCTTGATCCGCGAACACCTCTCGCGCAAGATGAGACAGCTCCATCACCACCTGCGGAATCCTCGATCACTCCGGCGGGGGATGATCCGGAGAATGTCTTCGAAGAGCTTGCAGATATCCTAAACTCGCACACTGGGTATCAATTTCTACGGGATCTTATTGAACGTTTGTTTGGCTTGAGAAGTGAAGAGGAAGATCCTGACTCCACGACGACAACGACGGTTTACGTCACCCCTACGCCTGTGGAGGCAACTATTTCTGCAACGGTCGTCGTTTCTGAATCGATAATCACACCGGTTGGGCCGTCACCGAGCACAACAACTGATATAAGCTCCGAGATTACACCTACGACATCAACGGATGATGTGATGTCCATCCTTCCTATGTACCCGTTGACTACTGCGATCAACGTCACGCTCCCTGATCCAGCATTCTCCACAGTGTCACTCGGCGAGCCATCATCATCGATATCGGAAGTCTTGCCGCCGTTTCCTTTCAACTCGACATCTTTTGGACCCACCCCAACCGCCGTTAGTATCACCGACTCGTTTACCGCGATACTTCCTGGAACCGTACTAGACTCATCGAGCAGCAACGCTACAACACCCATCTCAACGACTAGGATACAATTGACGAGTGTTCTCATTGTCACTGCAACAGTGGTCCCATCACCCTTCCCAGGGACTGGTAACCCGGTCTCTGAGGCTGCGACGCCGCTATGGCCGAACGCTACGGTTGTCACACCTTCGCCAGCAGGATCCGGGACTGGTGCTGTGTCGTTGTCCGCGGAGACTGCAATCTCGAACGCTACCGTTACTCAGACGCCGTTATATCCCAACACTACCTTGGTTATTCCAATCGTGGTCACTATTCCCGGCGGCCCAGCTACCGCACTCAATGTGTCGCTCCCTGTCTCGATCTTGCCCACGCCGATCTCTGAGACTGGCAGTTCAGAGTCAGCTGCGGTTGTGTCCGTTAGCGGGACCCCATTGTACTCAAATACTACCTACGTGACGCCGACGACTCTGGCGGGTACTGGTACCACTGCGATTTCTGCGGGAACGATCAGTAACGCACCGATTGTCAATACCGCAACCCCGTTGTTTCCAAATGTAACAACTACTACTTCGACGACCACTACCACCATTGGAGCTTCGATCTTACCGTCGTTAGTGCCCAGTCAAAATCAGACAAGTAGTAATGATACCATTGTGGAATTCCCAGGTTAGTCTTCCTATAGTTAATGAGAGTCAAACGAGTGAGCTTCGGGGTATATGTAATGTTTTGTTTTGGAGGCAGTGCGCGCAATGGTCTTCGTAGGTAGTAATACACACCTTTTGCATGATCATTGCCTGCAGTGCCTCTAGACATGATGTATATGCGCCTCTTCTCGGACCGCATAACATCTAATCTTCATCCCTCCCTTAGCTTAATCAGCCGGCTAATGTTCATTTCAGGTCTACTTGCCCTTCGTCGCCTTTGTCAGGACCCTCAAATCAGAGTCATTTCTCTGCCCCTATTAAACCGCTTCTACGGCCCCAACGCCTACCCTTCACTGTTCCCCTTCCCCGGTTGTCTTCCACCCAACAATCGCCAAGCCATCCAAGCACCTGGACTTCTTAACTGCACGGCCCTCGGCACTGAAGTACAGCGTTGCCAAGCGTCTGGCCGCAAGGTCCTGTTGAGTGTGAAGGCTGATGGTCTGGATGCCGTGGGGGGTAATGCCAACTTCGGCGACCCATTAAGCGCCTCCGACCCATTTGGACCGTACTTTGTCGATGACGCCGTTGAAGACAGTGACGATAGCGAAGGATCGGATAAGAGGAAAAGGCAGATTTCACTGAACGTTACTGTCATCATTCCGCCCTTCCCGCTCTTTAACCTTACGGCACCTGTCTCTGCTGAATCCGCGCTTGTGCCCTCGGGAAGCGTCTCTGCTGAATCCACGCCTGTGCCATCGGCGTATGGTGCCTATCCTGTATTTGTGCCTGCACCTTCAACCACAGCTGTTTCCTCGCCTGTGGACGAGCCAGTACTTCAGCCCTACCCCACCCACAGCAACCCTCTGGAGCCGGTCCCTCCTTTCCCAAATCTCTTTGATGAAGCACATCCACCAAGTGCCTTTGCACTGACCCTCTTCTCCCTCTTTGGCGAAGGCCACACCGAGCGCGCTGACCTGCGCCCTCTCGGCCCCGAGGTCGACTCACCTTCCTCCCCTTCCCCTCTCAACGGTACTGACTGGATTACTCCGCCCACTACTGACGTACCGACGTTGGCCCGTCCATTGGGCGAGGAGGTTGTGGTCGATGGATTTGACATCCAGGTACCGGTTCAGTGGAAGGGCGGTTACCAGGACCAGGCCTTCAGGGCACTTGTTATCAGACTCCGAGAGCTGACCAGGGCGGCTTGGCGTGAGAGTGGAGGAGTCGAGGGAGGCCCGGGGGATCTGGGCGCTGATGGAAGAGGTGTCGTGTATTTTGGCTGGGTTGGGCAGTTGCTGAAGTCTAGGAAGGCGAAGGTATTGAGTGAGGGGTGGGTTGAGTGGGATGGACAGTCTTTGTAATGAAGGTTTTCTTGAACTGTTCAACTATTGACATCGGGGCAGTAGGTCATGGTCAAGAGATATACTTAGAGCGAGTATGCATTATATGAAAGATGGGGTTGTTAGTGGTCAAGGTGAGCTGAAGTGAAAAAGGGTTTACTTTTGTAATGAATCATATGACTTAGTTTCGTTCTTAGCATTAGTAAAGAGTTTCCCCCTTTCGAGTGCGCCTGACTTTTGGTACATGAAGCTTTCGATTGCCAGCTTGCTTGCTCTAAGTATCTTCTCCAAATGAACTGCAAAGTTACTGTCGCATCAAACTATCTATCGCGATACGTGAGTAAATATACCAGGTAGGGGCGTCACGTGATGGTAATGAACCTCCAAACCATCACACTTGCTATCTTTGCTAGCTTCTCGACACGCGTCTCTATTTAAACCTAGTACACGAAGATGAAGTCCTCATTTCCCAAGTCTGTCAGATCTGAAAATCCATTGTCCTGAACCTGTCTCTGCTCTCCACCTCCCTCTTCAAGCTCTACATCCTTCGCTGTGCTTATTTCGTCTTTCTTCAACATACTCTCATCCACCTTCACAGCACTCTTGCCAAGCTCTTCCCGCCTCTTTGCGTGCCTCTTGTTTAACAGCGCCAGATACATCGGGATGAGCAAGGCAATGATGGCAACGAGGATGAACATGGCAAGGTTGCTAATGAGGCCCGGCCGGTACAGCGGTGCGTCATCGAGAGAATAGAGAAGCGGGCCGATGACATTGCCAGTGCACATTCCGATGAAAACCATGGCGGAGGTGCCTAAATGTTGAGGTACGAGGTCAGCATACATCTGACATGCATTTCTAACGTTGCTCACATTTTTTCTTTGTGTCACCCGCTGTGTTTTGCACATGCCATGTGTAGATGATCGGCGTGATGGCCGCGAGGCACGAGACGAGGTAGTACCCGAAGAGCAAGACACCCTTGTGCTTTCGAGGCACGGTCAGCATCATGATTGAGCCGATTATCGGGAGGATTGCGACGAGTGCGATGGCGAGGCCTTTGCGCTTGAATTTTGTTGCACCCCAGCTGGAACCAAGTATTGCTACGACTTGGATGACGCCAAAGGGGATGTTGAAGAGGATGGCTTCAAAGTTCGTGTAGCCGAAGTCTTTGATGATGAGGTTGCCAAAGGTGGAGATGCCGCCGCTTGCGATCCTGTTTCTTGAATCAGCCAATTGTCCGCAGTTTCTTTGGGTACTAGGATGTGAAGTGAACACACTTACGAGATTGCAAGGATGGCAACAAACCAACACCACGTCTTGAAGTCTAGGAGAGTCTCCCACACTTGGTCCCACCGCCAATGGCCAGACTGGATACCCATTTGATTGGCCCGCAGTCGCTCTACGGCGATGATTTTTTCCCGTTCGGTCAGGTACTTTGCCTTCATGGGCGAATCAGGAAAAAGTATCAGAACGACGATGGCGTATACGACGGTCAGGAGACCACAGAAAAGGAAAATGATTTGGTACTTGTGCATCGCATCGCTTTCGATATGTCCTAGACCATAGGTGAACAGGGAGCCGACGATAAATGTTACGCCATTCATTGCATTCCAGTAGGCAGTACGAAGTGTCTGCTCAGAGCGGCGCCACCACATTGTAGTGGTAGCGACACAAGCAGGCGCAATCATAGCCTCGAAGCTGCCCAATACAAAGCGTAGCCCGAGCAAGCTTGGGAAGTTTGTGCAAGCAGACATGATTGCAAGACTACTTCCCCAAAGGAAAATAGCGACGGCAATGACCTTGCCCGTTGGCAACTTGACCAATATAAACGCAGCCAAGGGCTGCATGACAAGTTGTGCAAGGTACAAGATCGACCCGAGCCACGAGTATTGCCGTCCGACGAGATGGGCATCTTTCTGGATGCCGAAGATGGAGACGTATGAGAGAGAGGATTTGTCAAGTTGTTGGAAGAAGTATGCGCCGAGGAGGAGGGGAAGGACGCGATAATCAATGCGCTTCAGGACAGCACGCTCTTCTTCGTAGGAGAAGGATGTATTTTCGACGTGCGCGTTGGCGAGGAATTTAGCGGCTGTGTCGACATTGCGAGGGGTGGTGGTGGGTAAGGGCGTTTGCTCAACTTGTGCGATGGCGTCTTTGGTATCATTCGGGGCTGCCATGTCTACGGATGATGGTGTGGAAGCGATCTGTCCCTGGACATGGGACCGGGTCACCCATTTATCACCTAGAAAGATAGGCTCAGGAAACAGATACCGAGTGCTTGGAAACTCATCCATGGACCGAAGGATTCTAGCTTGGCACATGGTCTTTCATCGTCTGGCTCGGCAAGAATAGGAGGATTTCATATCCACGTATTACCTTCATTAATACTGCATTCGCAGCCTGTCTAACCGCATGGTCGGCCCATTCAGCAAACGTTGTTGGTAATGCCATTTTCCCCGCATGGTAGTATCCACGGTTGTTTCCTTGGTCTGATATCCCCATGGGGGTTGACCTAGTGGGGCATGTCGTATTAAAGTGAGCCTAGCCGGCGGTTAAAGAAGTGATCGACAATGTGCAGGTGTCGGGGTATTGATAGCCGATGCATTTACACCGAAGCCCATGGTGGGACATTTCCTTCTTAACATTCGGCTGAAGCTTGTGATCTTAGGATTGGAACACATATCGAACCGAATACGCCCCTGCAGAAAAGTCAGCAACATGGGAGAAGCAAAGCCAAAGCAGAAGAAGTACGCCCTCATCGGTACCGGTGGTCGCTCTTCGTTCTTTTACTCGGCTATAGCAACAACCTACAAAGATACGTCAGTTGTAGTAGCCCTTTGTGACACGAACCAAACCCGTCTCAACTTTGCGCTCGAGCAGCTCCAAGCCCTAGGTCATGCGTCTATCCCAACCTACAAAGCGACAGACTTCGACCGCATGATCCAAGAAACAAAACCAGATGAAGTAATTGTGACGACCATCGACCGCACGCACAACATCTACATCGTAAGAGCATTGGAGTTGGGATGTAACGTCGTGACCGAAAAGCCAATGACCATCGACGCACCACGATGTCGAGAAATCTTCGATGCCGTCGAGCGAACAGGAAAAAAAGTGCGGGTAACGTTCAACTACCGGTACGCACCACACAATACAAAAGTGTGGGAACTCGTACGCTCCGGCGCAATCGGCACTGTGACTTCCATTCACTTTGAATGGCTGCTCAACACGTCCCACGGCGCAGACTACTTCCGGCGCTGGCACCGCGACAAGCACAACTCTGGCGGCCTGCTCGTGCACAAATCTACACACCACTTCGATCTGATAAACTTTTGGCTGAACAGTAAGCCAGCGACTGTATACGCCCAAGGCGATCTGAAATTCTACGGGAGAGAAAACGCCGAGAAACGCGGCGTGACAAGTTTCTATACGCGGGCCCATGGCAGTGAAGTAGCGAAGCGTGATCCGTTTGCGCTGCATCTGGAGAAGAATGACAAGCTGAAGAAAATGTATCTCGATGCCGAGCATGAGGATGCGTACTACCGCGACCAGAGCGTTTTCGGCGACGGAATCAGCATAGAAGATACCATGAACTTGCTCGTGCGGTACGAGTCCGGCGCCGTGCTAACGTACAGCTTAACCGCATACGCGCCGTGGGAAGGGTTCCGCGTCAGTTTCAACGGCACTGGTGGGCGGCTGGAAATGGAGGTTGTTGAGAACTCGTATGTGAACAGTGGAGGTGATCAGTCGCTGGAAGGCTCGCTCGAATCTCGAACCATCACTTTGCGGAAGCTGTTTGAAAGGCCGGTCGATGTGGAGATCCCAGATAGTGTTGGCGCTCATGGAGGAGGAGATGAAGTCTTGCTTGCGGATCTATTTGGAGAACAAGGGGCAGAGATTAATCAGGATATGCGCGCTGCCACGCATGTTGATGGCGCGCTATCGATATTGACGGGTGTCTGTGCGAATCGATCGATTGCGACGGGGCAGGCTGTGAAGGTCAGCGATGTCTTTGTCGTGTAGACGGAGAAGATGGAACTGAGAGAAGTTAGAACGTCAGCCGAGTTCGATCGGCTATTGACATGTAACCTGATACCATATCAGAGGGTTGGTTTCTTACTCGATTCGAATCGAGATTGATTTCTCCTGTGTTAAACCCCATACATACTCTTCCATTTCAAGAAGCTCGAATCTGGTCCAGTACTGAATTCAAAAGTAGTCTATCCTATTCTGATGGACATGATTTGACAAAGAAAAGGTGGAATCCGATTGTATTTACATGTTGCTGTTTAGATTAACCGCAGATCTACCAGCCCTGACCCGGCTTCCTTGCCTGTAAAAATAATCAGCAATTGAAGCGTACATGGACTATGGGCACTTACGAGTAAAGCACCCTTACCACCCAACTCAGCTTCCAGGCCATCCCCATACGTCTTTGGCGCGCTGACCTTGTCGGGGTAGACCATGCTGACAGCGGTGCAAAGCCCGAAGACGGAGGCAATGAAGGTGCCCATCAGTACGAAGCCCCAGCCTGGCGTGAAATGGTCATAGTCGTGCAGCGAAACGGCACCGAGAATATCGTGGTCTTCGTGGCAGGGCTCGCCGTAGTTGCGACGGTCTTGCTTGTCCCAGTAATCGCCGTACGGGTCGCGCTTCGACCGCAGCTCTGCGGGTGGGTTGATGTAGCCGCCGTTCTGCGCTGGTTAGCTTCGAAGCGCTACCTCTCCTCTTCTCCTCCAGACAGGGGGCCGCACTTGGTTGGGGTCCGCGAGCTCAACCTTCTCAGCATCGGTGAGGGCTGTTCGGATCTGGGTGAAGTGTGGGCGTAGTCGTGCTGCTGCGGGGACGACAGCCCGGGTCAGCGGGCGGACCGCTACAATGCGCCTGGAGAGCATGCTGCCGATGGGTTAGAGTGCTGCTGGAGGGGAATCCGGGGGGGCGATGCATACGTTGCGGCGCGATTGCGGGGGGGAAGGCGTTCGATGGGGGTTGTGAGCTGAGGCTCGCGATGAGCTCAGCCTGGGCGGGCCCCCTGGTCGCAGGTGGCCTTGGCACGAAGAAAATGCGACTAACCGCTTCGGGAGCCCGAACATCGATGTCACACCAAGGCATCTACGCGACGAGTCATTTTCTCACTCCTCTGCAATGGGAAGGGGAAGGAAATTCCGCGCCCAAACCTACACGACACGTCCATACAAGACGATTCCACCATCTGCCCGTCGTGTGCGCGTCAAGGCCTCTTCGCCGTTGCGCCCGTGCCTTTAGCGTGGCCATCGATCCAAACATTATCTTTCAGTTTTGGCCCTCTCACAACACAGACACCGCAAAACGCTCTTCTCAGCCCGCCACCCCCCCAACGCGACCCGTGAAGCCAAATCCGACCCCATCACCGTCATCAGCAAACATCCCGCCATCTCGCGACACGACATTTGCGCCGGTTTATGTCGATTAGGCGGTGCGCCGGGTGGTCTCCAGGCTCCCCAGGCCGCATCCCTCGCCCTTCCTGAATGGATAAAGTCACGCCCGCGGATCGCGACATCAACTCCTCCCCCGCGCACGACGCTGCCCACGCCCACGACGAGCCCGACGCCGCACACGATGCATCCACGCTTCTGGAGGATGGCGCCCCCGTAATCAAGGAGGAACAAGGGCCTGCGCCTGTAAATGGCGACCATGGTGGCGTCATGGAGCGCCCAGCCAAGCGGCGGAGGCTCGACGACACGACACCCAGTCGCTCTGCATCACGGCCCATATCGCCGCCCTGGAAGGCTTTCACCGCCAATGGCCCCACGACCGTCTTCGAGAATGGCGTTAGGAAGTCATCGCGCGTAAACAGGGAGACGGCCCCGCCCACACCCGAGCCTGTCAAGCGGAGCTCGCGCCACACGACCAAGGCAACCCAGACGAACGGCACCCCTAAGAATGGTGTCAAGCGCGAGGTGCGCAATGTCTCAGGGCCCGCGTCGCTTTCCAACGGGAAGGCACCGCCTGCTCGTACCAGGAAGGCGCCTGCCACGCCCCTAGTCACGCCCGCGCGCAAGTCGGAGCGACAGAAGAAGTCTTCCGCTCTCGCAAAACCATCTTCGCCCCCGTCGCCAGCCTTGCTGAATGGCTCGCCTGAGAGTACACGGAAGCGATCTGGGCGGCTTCGACGAGCGACACAGGCTTCCACAGATGGTCACGGTGACGATTCGTTCGAGGCGCCCGCGACCAACGGACACGACCCGTATGCTGGTCTATATGCATCGCCCGACGACTCCAACCCTTCCGGCCCCGCCCCTCGTCTTCGCCTCAAACTACGTAAGCCCGACCCTCCGAACCGTCACCCGCAACATGCCCCGCCCAAGACAGAGTACGCTTCACTGGGGGAGTGGTTGGAGCATGATGATCCGTTGGAGACCGAAGAGACACAGCGAGTCTCCAAAGAGAATGCGGAAGAGGAGGCTCAGCGCCGCTTGCAGATTGTTCATGCAGCTGAGCACGGAGTTTTGAGCCGCGCAAGATGCAGCGTCTTTGCGCCCGAGGCTGCCCCAGAGCCACCACCACAGTACGCCCATTGGGATCATGTCGTCGTGCACGCCCTGCATTTTAACAAGCTGCTGAAGGAGGAGAAGGCGTATCATCGTCGGGTAGCAAAGACTTTAGCACGAGAGGCATACGAGTACTGGAAGAACAAGTTCAAGCGGAAGAGCCAGGATGAGATCAACCAAGAGGAGGCAGAGCGACAAGCCATTCGGTACCGGCAGCTGGTGAAGGATGTCAAGGATGCCTGGGGTCTTGTCAAATTCGAGATCGATAAAGAGCGTGTGGCCAAGTGGGAAGAGGAGCAGCTCCAGCTCGGACACAAGGCAATGGACGATATGTTCAACCACGCCCAAGAGATCCTAGGTCGTAATGTTGGCGATGGGGCGTCTTCCCTGGTTAGCGAAGACCGCGACTTTGATGGCGAAGAGGACGACTCTGAAACTGGAGGCTCGGTTGCATCTAACCGTCAGATCAACAAGGATGATGTCATGTCTTCGGGTTCGGATAGTGAAGAGGAGGGTGTTCAGGACGAGGATGCGAACCTCACCGCTGAACAACTACGCGCCAAGTATGGTCAGCTTCCAGATCTTCCGGATAGCAGCTCAGACGTGGAGGCGGCGTCGGATGTAGATGAAGACGTAGGAGACGATGAAGAAGAGGGTACCCCGGCGCCAACACCTGATTCTGAACTCGAATTGGAGGATGTTGACCAACAACCCGAGAAACCGTTGCTTCATACGAACGGTTTTCACGAAAACGACGAAGGCGGCGACCACGAACAGAAGACCAGTTACATTGATCCCGCGGCAATCGAGCTTGAGCAGGTTGACGAGGCTCTACTGGACTCGGACGACGAAGATGACGCATCAGAATCCGGTAGTGAAGCTTGGTCCAGTGCTGATGAGGATTCTGAGGCAGATGAGGACATGGAAGAGCAGGCAGGCGAATCCGATGCCGCGTCTGATGAAGGTAGTGAGGAGGGCGATGTAGGCATGATGGGCTTCCTGGCCCCAAAGGATATCAAGAAGCTGAAAGAAGCCGCCAAGGCTGTGATCGAGGACGAGCAGTCGCAAGATGCTGCGTCACATGTAGAACAAACGAATGGTCATGCCCCATCACCAATAGATGTCGACACGGAGAAGCCGTACATCAATGGCACCCACTCCGTCGTGGACGACGACAAGCCGCACACCAACGGAGACACTGTGGCACACGAACCAACACCTTTAATCGAGGCCACGGAACGTACACCAAGCAAGGAAGTCAATCAAGAGAAGAGCTTGTCAAGGTCTCGCCATACGTCTTCGCCATTGCGGACAGAGGTCCCGTCGCTCCTGCGTGGTACACTTCGAGAGTATCAACACGATGGACTTGACTGGCTTGCAAATTTATACGAGTCTGAGACCAACGGCATATTGGCCGATGAAATGGGTCTCGGCAAGACCATACAGACCATCTCTCTCCTCGCTTATCTCGCTGTTCGCAGAGAAATCTGGGGACCGCACTTGGTGGTTGTGCCTACCAGTGTTATGCTTAATTGGGAAATGGAGTTCAAGAAATTCTTACCGGGATTCAAGATCTTGACATACTATGGTGACATCAACGAGCGAAAGCGAAAACGTATGGGCTGGCGCAATACTGGCAAGGATATGTACAATGTTGTCATCACCTCATACCAGTTGATACTGCAGGATGCAGCAGCGTTCAAGATGCGCCCTTGGCGCTATCTTGTCCTGGACGAGGCGCACAACATCAAAAATTTCAAGTCGCAACGTTGGCAGACTATGCTAAACTTGCGCACCGAGCGACGACTACTGTTGACTGGAACACCATTGCAGAACAATATTGATGAACTCTGGTCCTTGCTGTACTTCTTAATGCCTGCGGGGTTTGCTGGAGAGGGTCGCATTGCTGGTTTAGAAGAGTTCACCATGGCCTTGAAGAACCCAACATCGCAGATTCTGGACCAAGGCCGCCAACAACTCGACGCAGAAGCACAAAAGATTGTCAAGAAGCTCCACGAAGTACTCCGACCGTACCTGCTTCGAAGGCTAAAGTCGGAGGTGGAGAAGCAAATGCCAGGGAAGTATGAGCACGTCGTATATTGCAAGCTCTCCAAGAGGCAGCGGCAGCTTTACGATGGCTTCATGGGTCGTGCGTCCACCAAGGAGATCCTGTCTTCCGGCAACTACATGTCTATCATCAACTGCCTCATGTCCTTGCGCAAGGTCTGCAATCACCCCGATCTGTTTGAAACCCGTGCGATTGTCACGTCGATGGCTATGCCAAAGTCCGTTGCTGCTCAGTTCGAAATAAAAGATCTTCTTGTTCGAAGGCGAATGCATGAGGGCCTAGAAGACAATGAAGTGAACCTTGACGCACTGAACCTGGTTTTCGCGCGGCGTGAGCAAACTCAACTGGGACATGCTCGACGAGCATACCAAATCCGTGCAACACGACCCTTGGAGGACTTGATCGAGCGGCAGACCCGCCGCCTCAACAAGACTTTTGACGCGAACACATCCTCGCTACAGTCTGCCATGGCAGCGATGGCGAGGAGGGAGCAGATAGCTGTTCGAGATCAGTTGCAAACCTGCCTTGCCTTAACTCGCGCTCGCACCCAGTTCATGCCTATCTATGGGAAGGACATAATCGATGCCGTTACTGTAGACTGGCACGATCATACTTTCGGTGCTATACGGAAAGGAAAAAGAGTTCCGAGGCCCAGACTCCTGCAAGCGCCCTTCTACCAATCGTTACAGCCTGCAAACCCTTATGGCGCAGCTCAACCCTTCGGCGGAGCACACGTGCAACGCAAGCAAGAGGAGGTCGAAGGTCAGTACGACATCATTAGACGGTACCATGGCAACCTCGGCTTCAGATCTCCCCACTCCATCGCCGCATCCCGGGAATGGAACAACCAACAAATCATGCACTTCTTCGGCATGGTTCCTACGCTCCAACAGCGTGCCGAAGTCCTCAAACCACTCATCACCCGCTTCACATGCGTTACGCCCGCCGTCGCTGCCGAGGAACTTGCCCCGCTAACTCTGTCAAAACGCGGCGTCCAACTCATCCGCTCCTCGCCTGTCGCACTACGACAAGAAGATCCTTTTCATGAATCACGAATTAGACAGAGTATTGCCTTCCCCGATAAGCGACTTCTACAGTATGATTGCGGAAAACTACAGAGATTAGCTACACTGCTTAGGGATCTGCAGGCCGGCGGCCACCGCGCCCTAATCTTCACCCAAATGACCAAAGTCCTCGACATCCTTGAGCAATTCCTCAATATCCATGGGCATCGCTACCTTCGCCTCGACGGCTCCACCAAAATCGAACAACGGCAAATCCTTACCGACAGATTCAACACGGACCCGCGCATTCTTTGCTTTATTCTGTCATCGCGTTCTGGTGGACTAGGTATCAACCTCACGGGCGCGGATACTGTGATATTCTACGATCTCGACTGGAATCCCGCCATGGACAAGCAATGTCAAGACCGCGCTCATCGTATTGGACAGACGCGGGATGTGCACATTTACAAATTCGTCAGCGAGTATACCATCGAAGCCAACATCTTGCGCAAGAGTAACCAGAAGAGACTTCTGGATGACGTTATCATTCAGAAGGGCGACTTCACGACCGATACGTTCAACAGAGTCACTTGGAAAGATGGGCTGGAACAGGACATGGCCATCGACACGTCGGACGAAGCCGGTGCAGCGATGGAACGTGTGCTTGGCGAGAGAGCGGGCTTGCTGGGCGATGCACGTGTCATGGGCACGGTTGAAGACACGGAAGATCGCAACGCGGCCTCCCTCGCGCAGAAAGAACTCGTAGATGAGATCCAGGAAGACCATGTCGACTTCAATGAGAGCTCCAACAATGCGACGCGGGCTGCTTCCGAGGCCGCGGCGGCTGGTAACACCGGCGTAGGTAGTGGAGGCTACGGCGATGCAGATGCAGACGATACCAAAGAAAGACGCCATGTCGACGAGTACATGCTTGGTTTGTTCAGGGAGGAGTTTGGCAAAGAACCGTATCGCCCACCGACGGATCGGCAGAAGCGAAATCGTAAGGGCCAGGATCCGTATGTCAGGCATAGGAAGAAGAAGTATTAGGTTTGACTCGTTCTTTGCTCTTCCTGGATCCGGCAAGGTGTAAAAATCGGCGTTCTGGAGACCAAAAAAAAAGTACCTGTATTAGTAGATTGTAATGATGAATGTATGGCGCGAGCATATGCATTAGTTGGCGTTAAATGGGATAGGGTAGGGTGTATTGTGTATAGAGGATGCTATATCTGCATTCAATGAACGTGTTGTAAACTTTCCACTTGAAAGTTCAAAGTTTTTTTTTTGGCAACGAGCAATTACGAATTGACTGACTACTTGGCTTTTCAAATCTTATACACTTCCTCATACTCGAGCCAAGTCAGTTGGAGTAAAGCACTAACGTGTGTGACAACACATCCCTGAAAGAAGAAAGCATTCCCTTTGGAGCAAATTAGCTGTCAAAGCATGACATGGTACGCGTCCTAGTGGGGATTTGATGGCACTGGTAGCAATGATGATTGCAAAGATGATGGGTATGTTGGGACAAAAACTAGGACAGAGTTGCAACGATTCCATGAGGCATTTGATAATAATCTCCACGATAATAGAAAGGTAGATCTGCAGAGTAGAACCTGATGGTTAACTACTGGTAGAATTTATACTTTGCGACATTTAAATCAGCTGGCGATAAGGGGTTGCTTCAAGGGCAGTGTTTAAGTCGATGTTATTCATAGGGTTTTACTACATCTCTACATGTGCTATACCTCCGAATATATTCTAATGTATGGAAATTTTATGCGAAAGCGGTATATGCGAGTGTCAAATTTTAGCGGCGCTTTTGCAACAAGCGTTGTGAGCGTGTAATCGTTCGTCAACCTCAGTCAACCTCAGCCAGTATGAGATGAGCTCAGTGTGCACAAAAATGGGATTCATTGCTGTAACAGCTCCAACACCATGTGCTAGTCTCCTATTTGCCGCCGCATAGGTACCTCCAAACCCACCGAAATTGCCACCAACGTCTCCGCTGTCGCGACCGAAGCTTATATTTCCTTTTATGTGTCGGAAACAGTTGCTTTGCAGCGCTGGATCGGGCCCTCTTGTCAAGCCTACAGTCAAGAGGTGGGTGAAGTAGTTAGCATGGAAGCAGGAGAGGTGGCGGTGCACAGGAGATGTCTTGCTTGACCAAGATTCTTCGACAGTAATCTTGAGCATTTGGTCGTAGACATCGCTGTTGGTATGAGCATGGAGTCAGCTCGAAAAGTGTACTGGAAGTCGAGGTACCGCGGCGGCTCGACGCAGGATACAAAAAAAGGCAGAATCTCGCCGAGAGAGAGCGCATGAAGCTTCAGCTGAAGAATCTGCCGTCATCTTGCGTCCTTTTGACCCGTTGTGGTAACTGTACTGACTCTTTGGCTTCGCTTGCGTTTCTTATGAACGAGTGCTCCGCGCTCAAGGAGTTACGTCGCGGAGCAAGGACGCGAGGTGGTGACAGAACAACGACATCGAGGTTAACGAAGATAGCTGGTTTGAAGCTGGGCAAAAGTGAAGTGAAGGTCAACGTGAAAGGCACTCACAAGCATAGTCTAGCCCACTTACCCTGCGTAAATGATCTGTCATATGATCTAGGTAGCTATCTTTATCCATACCATGCCATACCTTTGTGCCAGGCACGCAGCCCCCAATGTCCACGCTACCACTGTGCAGAACGCCCGACAGTACTATTAGGTGTGGTGATGACAAAACCCCCCAAACGCCATGAGCCCTCGCTAGACTCGTATAGACGATAAACAGTAGTGATGCAGAGGTATCAGACGCATGAAGGACGCAAAAAGGACGTGACGCGCGTGAAGGAACAAACCAATCTACCGTCTTATACCACCTATACCGCCCGTCATTCGGCCACCGCCTGCGTTCAGACTTTGGCGGACAATCATTTCTGCGGCCTGCGCAGCAGCGAGTCGCTCCTGTGACGTGCGTTAGCATGTATTCAGTAAATGCCACCGTCCGGAGTATAAAACCAATCCGGTACATACCTTCTGCCTACTCCGATCCTTTAGGTACCGCTCTGCTTCCGGCCTCATTCTCAAGATCCTGAGTATCATATCATCATTGGGCTCAGCCTGTGCCTCCTTCCGCTTTTCCTCCTTTGCCTTTTTCATCGTCCCCAAGTTCCTTGATAGCATGATAGTCTTATGCTTGCGTGTAGGCATGCCGACTAGCCCCGCCGCACCGCCAAACTGATGGCCCAGGGCGGGTGGTGCAGAGAACCTGTTGAGTCGTGAAGTTTGTTCTTGTTGCCTCCGTGCGCTGGCTGCAGCCATCGACTCTGAGGTACGTATCAGGTCCTCGGTGGCCTCAAAATAGAAGAAGTTCAGGTTCTGAAGCTCGTGGTATTTCGGCGATTTAAGCACGTCCATGGGCACACCGTCGACATTGCCATCTTCGTCTGCCGCGTGGAAGAAGTCGAACAGCATCTTGAGCCATTTGAAGACGATATCCAGTTCACGCTGCGTTAACGGGCGTTGTTGCGAGAGCTTGTCAGAAAGTGGGGGTACGAGCAGCGACTCTATCGTTGCTAACGCCTCTTTCCACAATCGAGTCATAACCATGATCATAGCTGCATCTGTCAAAGTCTGTTTCATGATGGCAAAATTCTCGTCGAAGTAAGTAAAGAGAGGACCGAGCGCTTGTGTGACGTCTTGCGGTGTAGGACCCTGGGCAACAGACTGGGGCCGGGCGGCTCGGAAGTAGTTCATTGCAGAGGCAACCACGGTGCCACGACTGAGTAAAGCCTTGAGTGTCCGACGAGAGAGTGTATGATTGATGAATGACGAGAGCTGGCAATGTCAGCAAATTATGACAATATCAGCATAAGATGCTTACCTTATCCGTGATCTTCCGTGTCATGTCACGTTCAGTCCTCTTAAGTGTTCTGAACGACTTGCCAAAGTAAAATTGAATATCATCTCGTTCGCCTTCCATACTCACACGTAACAATAGGCGGCCTTGTGTGTCAAGATCGAGCCAGTATTCACGAGGCATATAGTCTCTAAAGTGTGACGGATCAAGCTTGAGCGATGTTCGGCCAACACAATCATGGTCGCCAAGTGTGTCCCAATCCCAGATCGTAGCAACAATATTCAAAGGCCCGGTCGTTGTGATGTCGATCGTCTCATCCCATCGAGGATTCAGATTGCCATAGATGACTCGAGTCTTCGCGAGACGCTTCTGGTACTCGTCACCAAGGACGACATAAGGATCGCTAAGGCCGTTCATATCGCAGGCTTTGAGGTCTTCGGCTTCGATGATCTTGATCGTAAACACGAAGTTGTTGTTTCGGATACGTTGCGTTGGTGGTGAGACATGCTTCTGAATAACCTCTGCGCAGGCATCAACGCCGATTTCGCGCTCGAGCCTGTCCAGCTGGAGCATTGCGTATTCAATGTTGTTGAGCTTGACAAGTGACTACGATGATCAGCACTGTAGGTACCGACGAGAAAAATGACATACCTCAGGATAGAACTGAAATGGCTCAATCTTCTCTTTCTGGTTGTAGAAGTCTTTAGCCATCGAAATCCATTTTTCTTGTTTGGTTTGGTGGGCGGCGGCCTCTTGCTCGGGCGTCAAGCGGTCCATTTCCTTACTGAACCTCTGCTCCACGAGTTCACAATACCGCGCAAGAGCAATTCCAATGGACTTGGACACTGCCGTCATAAACTTGGCGTATTGAACATCATCGTCCCAATTGAGCGCCACGATCTGCTCGATACTCTGGTTGAATGATCGGAAGATATCGACGACGGAGACACTATGTCGTTCGTCGTCAGAAGCGACTGCGTTCATCGATTCGATCTGGAATTGGTCTGCTTTGAAGGCGTTATCTACCCAGCCGATTAGATTGGCGTCCGTCATCTCGATCCATCTCCATACGAAGTCTTGCAGCAGCCCTTCAATGTTGAATGCAAACTTCTTCCTTGGCAAAGCGTCGCTATGTATCCGACGAATCTCAACAAGCTCTTTATATAGATCGAAACCATCCTGAACTGGCACATGCTCATTCTTATGGTGAGCTACTTCCATGATGCGAGCAACTAGGTCTCGTGCGTCTGCAGCATAGGCTGGAAACATCTCTTCGACGAGACACATCATGGGGCTGACGCCCATGACCTCTGGATTCTTGCGGTATCGCTTCTGGATCCTTTCGCAAAGCTTGACTACCGCTCGTCCAAGTTCAATGACATGATAAAACTGCCACTCCTCTTTGGTGTCGGGGATATGCTTCGCCAGCAACTCGCGATACACATCACCCGCTTTCTGCTTCAGGGCTTGCCGCAATTGCTCGGTGAACTGATCCATATCCTCCTCTGTACCAGGGAACGTGGGGTCATCATATATGTGGCTTTCCAGAATGTACATGACAGGTCCAAGTGCAGGGGGCTTGGTATCGTAAACGTACATCATGAGCTCGAAGAGTTCGCGTAACAACGCATCGTGCAGTGCTAGCAATATATGTTGATTGAGAGCATAGTCATGAACGGTCCACTTTGATCGATCGAATACGGACGCCTGAACGGGAATATGGCTCATTCTGTTTGACTTCTTGTCTGGTGGTGGTGGCGGTTCTTTTACGTAGTTGAAGGCTGCATCCAGCGTGTCTAGACTGATTTCCTGGTTGATGTACTTCTCTCGGATAACGTCTAGAAATAAGATAAGGCGCGAGAACTGGGGTAGCCTCCATCGTACGGCAATCTCATTCAGAAGCTCCGCAGATTGCTTGGATAGTAGCTTGACAGACGGCGTTTCGTTTGTTGCTTCGCTCGGCTGTAGTTCGGCGTCTGCCAGATCGTACGTCAGCGCCTCCTTCAGTATAGCGCGATAATAAGCGCGGGGATCTGAAGGTATGAAGGTATACGATGTGCCGTTATCTGGATCGTCACGAATGTTGAGTCCAGTCATGTCTACGGGTTGGTCGATGATATACGAGGAGCCGTTCTCGGATAATTGTGACCCCTGTTTGGAAGAATCTGCGTATCCAGGATCTAGTGTTACATTTGGTTTGAATTGCGGTACCGAGCCGCCCGGTGAGCTTTTCGCTAGCTCTGGATTCGACTGGAGAATGGCCAAGATCATCTGTGATAGATCGGGCACCTCCTGATTCTTCCAAGCCTCGTAGGCCTCTTCTAGATCGAAGTCATCGCTGTTCAATGTTTTATTTGTCATGAGGCTGAGGTGGGCCTGATAGGTTTTGAGATCCTGCAGCGCGGCCTGTTCTGTCCATACCGACTTGTATCGATTGATATCTGCCTGAACATCGGAGTATCCAACCGCAAAGATGCGCGACACGACCAAGACAAGCGCCATGTCCTTGACCTCGTAGCTACGTGGGATTTCGACTTCGATTGTTGTGCCACCTTGTCCGCCGTTGCGCTGGTTGTCCACCGTCAGGTCCTGATCATGCACCAACAGCTTCTTCTCCATGGTAGCCAGTCGCAGAGTGAGCTCTGGCCTGTCCTTTGCCCAGTCATGGTCCTTGAGAATGGAGCTGACTAAGCGGAGGAAGAGGGCTACATGTCGGTCGACCATGAGCTTCCAGCTATCGTCGCCCAGCACTTTTCCCTTCTGGAGCTCTTTTGTAGCATTTGAGTAGAAGATCAAGAGGAGGTCCTCGACCCTTCGGTCCTTGTCCATGCTCTTCCTGAAGGTGGGATCCTTGAAGGCATTCAGGAAGACAGCAAACGTCCTCTTGACGGTGGCATCCTTGAACTCGGGCATTCTCTCCGTCCCCATGAGCACTTTTGTTATCCGCTTGTCCAGCTCGCCCATGAAGGCATGGGGAAAGCGCGTGCTCTTGCTATCTCGAATGAGGGAGAAGTCCTTCATGAGGTCGTTGACAGAGGTCGAGGAGCGCTGGACGGGCTTGGGTGCGGCCGGTACATGTTGGACCCGTTTCTGGCGCGGCTGAAGGAGGTATGCGAGGTAGGCTACGCGGAGGGCATGGAGGTAGGCATCTTGGGCAGTGATGGGGCGCTTGTTGCGGGCGGTCGCTGAGCTCTTTCGCCGCAGGCGCTCTCGCGTCTGCACGCTGCTGATCCGGCGATTGCCAACGCTCCCACGGGCGGCGTCCATTGCAGGAACAGAACAGCGCGGAGGTTCAACGGCGTGTCGATGGGAGCGTGGCCGCGGTTGGGCGCATGTCCAGCTGGGCGTGGTGCTGTGCGGTACGACTGTCCAGGGACGCAGCTGCCCAGTGGGGGTGTTTGCTAGTGGAGTCGTTCCTTCTCTCTCTCGCGCGCGCTCCTGCACCACAGCAGACTGCTTCTTTGGGCCTCGGATTTGTTCTTGTTTACTCTTCACAGAGATTTGGCCGTGCGGGACATGCAGAGCGGAAGCCGCGTCGTGGGCAGACGAGGGTCGCTGGTGGCGGCAGCTTGAGCTCCACCGCCGTGCGTCACACGCAGGGTACTGGGGGTCAAACGGGCAAACTTGGACTAGGAAACAATGCTGTATAGTAGGTGCTTAAGCCATCGATGGCCATGTTGCTTGCCTCATGCACAACTTTTGCAGCCCGCTGTTTGGAGCGACAATGTCCAAATATCGGAAATTCCATGTATTACATACACGACCCTGTTTCACATTGCAAAGCCCAACTCTCTAACCCCAGACCCCTCATCTCATAGCCGTTGACGACTAGGCCTTGTCCAGTGCATTACAGTAATCCTGTCTCGATTCTCTAGGCGGGCCTTGTTTCCGCCGAACACGTGCAGGAACGAGAGCTGTCTGGGTTGCATCGTCGCACGTGCGTGGTGAAGAGACATCCCGATGTACGACCGACGTAGAGTCTCATCGCACGCGACATCGTCATCAGTCTGATGACTTGCTCCCCTTTGGCGCGTTTGTAGCCGTCAAGTCCAGTTGCAGAGGCGGCATCGTTGCACTTCGGCGAGCCACTCTTGAGGTACCAGTGACCGCTGACAGCCCGATCTCCGAGCTAACCCACACGCGCTCTTCACATGCCATTCATGGCTGGCAGGAGCTCCACATTCACTTTATCGACCTCAAAAACGCGACACGACCCCCTCGCCCTCCTCCGCATGCCCGAATTCGCGTTTCCCGCGCGTCGTCACAGCTGACCAAACCCTAAGCTGAAGGTCGGCAAAGTCGCAAGAGAACATGTCACTGTCTTGAGTTGGAAGAGCTGGCGGCGACAGCACCCTACCATCTTCTCTCCAACTACCTTGCGCTTTGCTTTGGCAGCTTCACCTGTTGCCCCACTGTCCGAAAAGGGCCTGCGACAACAAAGCCCCAGGCGCGTAAACACCACACGCGCCAGAATCCACGCGAATCAGCTCGAACCAGCCAGAACAGTCTCACGTCAATCGTTGACATCGTCCCATATCCCCACGCGCACGCGCACGCACACATGCCCGCAATGGCAGGCTCACAAAGCCCCACAAACGCCAACGACCGGCCCCGCCTTACCGAAGCGCAAAAGAAGGAAAACCACATACGATCCGAGCAGAAACGACGAGAAGCCATCCGCGACGGGTTCGACAGACTCGCCTCGATAGTGCCTGGCATGGAGGGACAAGGCCGTAGCGAGGCCGTCGTACTAGAAGCAACCATAAAGTATATGAGGGAGAAGATCGTGGAGCGGCAGAAGATTATTGCGGATGCGCAAGCACAAGGCATAGATACGACGGGTTGGGAGCTATCCAAGGAGACGCTGGACGCATGTGAAGCGCAATTGAAGAGACAGCAGCTAGAGGATCAGCAGAATGGGAAATAGAAGTAGGCAAGTCAGTGCGTGATACCCTGTGAAGAGAAGTTGCGAGCTTTGACTCCGGAATTCGGATAGACAGCGCCCGGTGTTGCCAACCATCGCAAAGTATGCATCTTGTAATGAAGTAACCTTTACTATAATAGTTTTGTTTTTCCCAAGTATACATGTCTCGCTGCTGCCTCCCATGATGTCATGCTTTCCCTTTTGTCTAGACCGAGGTACTGTAATCCCATCACATTCACCGGTCCACCGATGTTCTCTTATCGATAAGCACAAACCCAAATTTATTGCATCTTCACGTGCAATCTGTGCCGACGACTAATCCTCAGTTGCGTATCGTACCTTGCATACCCGAGCGCCAGCAATACGACAGATCGCCAGACCAAGATAGCATTATGGCGTTCAGTTTCGGCTTTTCTGGTGAGGACATAGAAGAAGACCCAAACGATGTTGTGCATCAGACACTGGAAACGAATGCGCCTGGGAGCGACGAACCCCCACCGATTACAGCTAGAACACATATATTAGAGGAGCTGGTAAGTATTGCACTTTTAGTGATTTTTCAGTCTCCCCTTTGGCGGTTTCAAGGCAAACTTCTACGCATTTCATATCCTTGAAAACAAACTGACACATGCATAGATGTCCACCCTTCCTGACAAAATTTCATATTCAACAATATCTATAACGTCCCCAAAAGGCCTCACTGCCCGCCTCCCACGACGCGAACTCTTCGATGTGCGACTTCAACTCATGGCCGAAGATGACGGGTCATCCTCAAATCCACTTGCGGGACTAGACGTACGTATCATACACCTCACATTCCATATCGATTCTCTGATCCCCTAAACTCCGTTTCACTTGAAATTTCAAGCTTTCTTGGGGAAATTTGAAGATTGAATGAACATGCTAACATTGAGCTTTAGGATTCCGATCTCCGCCCCAACCTTTACGAAGGTGGCTACAAAACCTGGGAATGCAGCATCGACCTTGTAAAGTATCTCCTAGACCGCGGACCTCGCAAGGATCTCGACGACATAGTTCGCGTAAACCACGTCATTGAAATGGGCTGTGGCACGGCACTCCCCTCTCTGCTACTATTCCAATACGCGCTGCAGAACGCGCTCGGGATATACTTCACCCTGACAGACTACAACGTCGACGTGCTCCGCCTCGTCACCGTTCCAAATCTTCTATTAACATGGTGTTCGACACTTGATGAAGCGCGGAGCAAGGACCTGTTTCCTGAGAGCGGTAACCCACTGCTGAGCGACGAAGAGAATGGCGATGTATATCTCACGCCCGCCCTGCTCACAGCGTTCAAACATTCGCTTCACACTACCGGTCTGACCTTCACCCTTCTCTCGGGCTCCTGGCTCCCGATACAACCGCTACTTTCTCTCATCCCTTCATCGCCCGACTTGAATACTTTCATCATGGGCTCAGAAACAATATATAGTCCTGCGTCGTTGACTGCGTTTACCGAGGCTATTACTGAATTAATGAAGCGTGTTACATGCGGGAAGACTATCGTAGCTGCTAAACGTGTGTACTTTGGCGTTGGCGGCAGTGTAGACGGCTTCAGAGAAGAATGTGCGAGGAGAGGGTGTGTGGCATACGAGATGGAGTTTGAAGGTCTCGAAAGTGATGGTGTGAGGAGGTGTTTGGTGGAGGTGCAGATGTGCTAGGTCTTACCCCTGCAGACCGAGTACTTTAGCTAAAGATCGTTTCTTTTAGAGCTAAAGGAATAGAGTACATATCTTGCGATGAGCTTGTGGCAATTGGACGGGCAATGGGTGAATGACATGTTCTTGAGGCTGCAGCTACGAATCGGGGGTATCTAGGGATGTACCAGAGTGAAGAAAGAAAGATCTCAAAATTTCGTCAAAGCATCATCTCTAGTCGTATCCATCCAAATCATTCGTCTGTGATATCTGCTTCAGGTGCTTGGTATACACACAACGACACCATGCTACGCATTCTCCAGACGCTACCTAAAATCACTGCTTCGCCTTCACAGTAACAGTCGGCACCGGCAACTCCCTCACACCTCCCTCGCCGCTACTCTCGCCTGCTCGCATCATTCTGCGATACGTATCCCCCTCAACCCTCATGCTCTCTCCTCGCGAGACCCTCAGGCGCTCGACACCCTTCTCGATGAGATCAAGATGATACGTCAAAGGCAGCTCATCGCGGTAGCCGAGCACCTCAGGCGCAGCGACACCTTCCCTTAGGTTTTCTAGCTCCGCTTGAATTTCCTGCAGCTTTAGCAGAGTCTCGCTTACATGCAAGACGGCCTTCTTGCGGTATGCCGAGATGTTTTTCAGGAGGTTGAGTTGTTGGTTGTTACTCTTTACGTCCTTTCTGTTTCCACCAAGTTTAGTCCAAAGCGAGGAGAGGAGTTCTTCTTGGTCGCGAGTGATGCTGTGGTCGTCATTTGTGGCTATCTCGTATATCGTGCCAAGTCTCCCGTCCAGGTTATTCAAAACCATTAGGAGGGCCTGCGCGGTTTCAATTAAGCGTGTAATCTCTTCTTTGTTCTTGCCAACGTGTAGAATATATTGGTCAAAAATCTTCTGCTGCAGTGTTGGTGGCGGCGCAACGAAAGCGCCCGTCATTGCATTGACTACTCGTGAAACGGCCCCAATGCTGGCTTCCTTTTCTTCGATACCCTGCAGCACGGCCATAGTCCATGTATTAGTCGCTATGACGCGGTCCATGGCTGCGCCAATACGGGAATTGTAGCGTGAGAGATCCTGGGACGCTTCAGCGGCGGTCTGCACAAAATACTCAAACTCGTTCTCTAGCTCATGTCGGGATGGTAGCTTGGAATATTTAACCAGCGTACGTAGGTCCCGGATAGCGAGTTCGGAATTCTTGATGGTTGATGGCAGTGTTGACGAATCTTTTGAGGCGTCGAGGATATCCTCAAAGCGCGTTTGCACGTTGATGAGTTCTTCGAAGTTGGCCAGCTGGTTGTCATATATAGTCGTAGTGCAGGAGGGGATAATGTAAGAAGATCCTGGAATCAAGCAGACAGGAGCTAACAATGCGTTTGAAAGAGTTGATCGAAGCATGCCGGTAGCCGTCTGGAGGCAGAAGAGCAAGATTGCAATACCCAAGGCAACTCCGAGGATAGGTTTGACGAAGTGCCGCATGGCGTAGGAGAAGATGTCGAAAACATGTGCCAAGAGTGGCAAAGCAACGTTCTCGTAGAAGAGGTTGACATAGTGCCATGGGCTCACCTCTTCCTGCTTTTGTTTTTCTGGTTGACGACAGTCTGTGGAAGCCTCGCGACTAGAGACCCGAGGCGAGGCACCTAGGGCGTCGAGTGACGTGGAGTGACGCATTTTCCTTTGTCGAGCTTGTGAGTCACGCATTGGTGATCCATTCACGTGCGTGTTTGAAGAGTTATTCATAGAAGGCATGATGAAGCTCGGCCCGTACTGCCCTTCTCCGGGAGTCGACTGCATACTCCTCACAGGCCGTGGTGTACTCCTCGACGATCCTAGCGTTTGCGCGTGTCTCATAGTGCTACTTGTTGTTGGAGTCTTGGCTGGCGCATTCTTTGGCTGACTGGAAGGAGTTGAAGAAGCTTGTATTGTCCTGGGTGGAAGTGGAGTTGCCCTGTCCAGCTGCTCGTGTGCGATCTCTTTGTCAAAATCTTCTAGGTCGACTTCGCTCGCTGCATCGCTTGCTGAGTGGATTGATGCACCTTCATCAGAGGAATAGTCGGCGTCTCCCCAACTGCTTCCTAGGCTACCGCGTAGTCGGCGGGAACGTGCGCTCATGGTCGATATCAAGTCAGTTGGGTGTAGCTGCGGCGTAAGGCTGAACCGTTCAAGTGAGGATGGTTGAAGCGAGGATAGTTGACATTATAGGATGTAGGAAGTCCTGAGACGTAGAAATGTAACGCAATAACAAAATATCACCAAGAAGCGCTTACGGTGTAGTGAAACTGAGGGGAGGTTGGGTGAAAGATGGTTGCCACTTCATTGAGGTGTGACGTGTTGCCCACCAATCAGGCTTCGAGCGCATATGTCGTAAAGCTGCAGCCCGGGAGAGCAACACGGTTCTCATGAGGCTATTACAGCCTACATAAAAGGCTCTGAAATCCATGTCACCATTGCAGGATCCTTCAGATATGTTTTCTGACTGATGTGAGCTTTGGGGTCGCGACGTCATCTTCGAAGCCGTGGCTAGTGTGCCGCCAAAAACCTAGCGGGAAAGGGCACCACCGCCTTCGACGTCCAGCGCGCAATGGAAGTTGAAGATCGCCAGAAGTCTCAATGCCACCATTGCGTCAGCTTTCTGTCGCTCTACGCGCGGCCAGACGAACACAATCCGGCTCACTAAGGACGCGTCAATATGGACGTGCATTCACGAGGCATTGCTCATGCTCCGCGCCGCAGCAACTTCAGCATACGGTGATCGTGTCGTCTGAAGCTCCGGCAAATGCACAGCTACACCCCACTACCAGCGAGCCGCCTACGCCTCCAACAGATCACCGAACGCTTGCGCAAACCCATAATCTTTTCATTACCTCCCCATACAGCCCTGGCTCGCCGCTCATCCTTCCCAATGGCACATACGTTTTCCAGAAGCTGCAATCCTTCCTCCGCGCGCAGTATCCGCAATTCGGCTTCCACGAGGTCATCACACCCATAATATACAAGAAGTCATTATGGGAGAAATCAGGGCATTGGGAAAACTATGCTGAAGATATGTTCAGCGTACAAGGCCGAGGCACAACTACACAAATACCAGAGTCAGAGGCGGGAGAGGATGGAGAGTTTGGACTAAAGCCGATGAACTGCCCCGGCCATTGTTTACTCTTCAGGGACGAAATCAAGAGCTATCGAGATCTTCCGATACGATATGCGGACTTCAGTGCCTTGCACAGGAATGAGATCTCGGGAGCGTTGTCAGGTTTAACAAGAGTCAGGCGGTTCCACCAGGATGATGCACACATCTTCTGTCGGCCAGACCAGATCCTAGCTGAGATCGAACAGACGCTGAAGTTTGTCGGCATGGTGTACAACACATTCGGCCTTGGGCCCTACAAACTGCATCTCTCCACGCGGCCAAAGGACAGCTTCATCGGAACAATCGAGGAATGGGACCGAGCAGAGGAGCAGTTGACCACGGCCCTGAACAATATCGGAAGTGAATGGGCGATCAACGAAGGAGATGGAGCCTTCTACGGACCCAAGATCGACATCATCCTAAAGGATTCGCACGGCAAAGAGCACCAAACTGCTACCATCCAACTTGACTTTCAGCTACCGCAACGCTTCGATCTGCAGTACCAAGCCTCGCCAGAGGAAGTAGAGTCAGGCTCACAGACCTCCATGGATGTAGGTCTCGACCCAGTACTTCGTCGGCCCGTCATCGTTCACCGTGCCATTTACGGCTCGATTGAGCGCTTCATGGCTCTTTTAATCGAGCACTATGCTGGCAAATATCCCTTTTGGCTGTCGCCACGCCCAGCAATTATCCTGTCATTGAATTCAGACCCCAAAATTTTGGAACACGTATCGCACATCCAGTCCGTTCTGTCCGGCCTAAAAGCCCAAGATGCGCCAACAACACCTTCTTCGTCGGCGCCGAAACCTCTACCCCTGTCAACCATTCACCTTCCCGTTGAAATAGATACCAGCGATCGCTCACTTGGTAAGAAGATCGCTGAAGCTAGGGTCAAGAGGTACAATCACATCATTGTTGTTGGTGGTAGGGAAGTGGAGAGCGGTGGGATGACTCTGCAGATCGTCAATCAACCAAACGAGGAGGCTACGATCGAAGTGTTGGAGAAAGCATTAGGAACGAAGCTCTCCGAAAAAGATAGGTCAAGAGGGAGTGTTAACGTAGAGCTGAGTGTAGCCAGGAAATATTTTGAAACACTGGCAAACTCGTTTCTATGAAAAGGTCGGTGTATACTCCACTCTTAATGTATGTATAACGTTAGCTGTACAAGTACGATCTTACTACTCTGGTAGATCCGCATAATTTCAATAACTACATGTGCGCACTACTATCATGATCACAGTCAACCCAACTCTCGTCCATCTGTGACGGGACTGAAGTGCTCCGGTTACTACTTAAAAGTCTTCTATCCATACCCAGAGCCAAGCTTGCATTACTCCGGGATGCTTGCGTAGTAGAGATCGAGCGGCGAGGGCACCAGGCATTGGAGTGATCAACGTAGGTGACTTTTTTTCGAACTACATATCTTGTTCAGTCTCGGTCAAAATCCACAATCTCGGTATGTTGGCGGACTTTCGGGTGACAGGAACTTGCATCAGATGAAGATATGAGAAAACTACAATGGTGTCTGTAAGACCAAACGAGCAAGGTAAGTGTTGGATAAATCCTAGTAACAATATGAAAATCTGCTCATCGGCACTATGAACGTGTTCGATACACCCAATATAACCAACTTCCTTTCCAGTCCCGAAAGACCTTTCAAGATATACCCCTTTTCTTCACACCACAGTTAGGCACACCACAATGCGTCATAGTGTGCACATACCTAAGCTTCCCGCCTTCAACCCTAAACTCATGTGTATCCGGCCACTTACTCTTTCCAAAATCTGAAATGATATCCACCGTGCCCACTGTCTCATCAATCACATACCGTCGATTCGTGATCGGGACCCCAGTAGGTATGAAACCAGAGCACGTTCCATTTGGGCCGGCATCACCGTATAAACCACCTTCGAGACGCACACATGGTGTACCCCAGGGAACAGTGACACTAGAATTACTGAAAACGTCGCAGTAGGCGTCGGCGGCAGCTTTGATGGTTGCGCGAGTGTCGCGCCCGGCTTCTGGTATTGTGGACCAGTTTTCTTGTTCGACCCAATATGCATATCCAGTAATGTTGAAAAGCCAGTCGCCGGGCTTGGTGACGATTGTATCAATCTTGTTGATCTTATCATTTGTGAAGCGCAGTTGAGTTCCAATGACATGAGGGTTCGCGGTACTGTTGACAATGACTTCGGTGTACGTTGCGCATGAGGTGGTGTCGTAGATGGTGCGGTTGTGTGTGATGGGCAGAGGAGTATTGAGGATACCGCTGTTGATATCAAGATTTCTGCCATTCTCATAGTATCCGAGCCAGGTAGAGTTATCGAAGCGTTCTTTGAAAGTGGACGTTTGACCGGTCGTCTGTGTGCTGAGGTAAGAATCGACGGCTTCCGCCAGTTGCGGACGCGTACAATGCGCGGCACTCAGAGCTAATAGCACCATGGCGGGAAGGAGCAATTGTAGCATTACGTCGTTGTTCGACAGCGACTGAGATGCTCAACCCGTAGTGTGCCCAGATTTTGGACCCGGTGGCTGACGAACAACATACTCATCACGACTATTCGTGTCTTTTGATCAGTTCTACTATAATTTTCTACCCTTGCAAAAGTGTAAAGCGATCAATATGCGGTAGAAGGTTAAGATGTTTCCGTTGTGCGTCAGCATGCACCATACTAAGTAAGTGGCTAGGGTATAGATTGCTGCCCCACTCAGATCGTAAACGACGCGCTTCATATCTTAGTGCCATACCACATATTTTCAATGTATGTCAAAGGTTTCTAGTCTTAGTTTTGAGGTTGTACACTACTTCGCCCCTTTAGTTCTGTACTCCGGCTGTTTAAGGTGTCATCATCACCGTCTTTGAATGGGTGGCGATGTGACCTCATAAAGTCTCCATTATGCACACAAGCGTACCCAATACTGGTTTCAAGATCATTCGTAAGGTAAAAATTTCCTATATTGAAAACATCAACCACTTCAGTATCCCAAACGTAAGAAGAGCCTGGTAATCATTATCGAATCGTTGTAAGTCCATATAGCGGAAGTCGCAAGAAATAGGGTCTTCCCATTTACCAGTGTGCAAATTTAGAATGCGGATGATTTTCTCATCGTGAAGTGGATCGTATAGTGTATATTTCTCCGTGCTCTGTTTAGAACAACCGCTTGTAATCTCTTCTGTTAGCTCTCTTGACTGTAATTATGATGAATTAGTGTGAGTTAACGTGTTAATCTTGCTGCAACCATAATCTCGCTCGAGCCCCGGCCTTGTGACATAGCGCTTTCTCGATTTTTGAGCGTAAAGGTCATAGGAGAAAGCTCTGGAATGGAACCGGGAGCGACACCCTGATCGATACCTAGAGTTAAACCTGCTGCAAGACTGACGTCCCTTGTTTCTGTCGAGCATCGCCTTTCGTTATGATTGGTCGAACATCTAAATATATATAAGCAATCAACTGTCAATCTCCGGCAGTTCCACTTCGAACCTCTGATGGGTAACGACTATCTTATCGCATTTCCTGATGACTATTAAGAAAAACTCCTTGGTTAACAGCCTGACTTTGAGATACCGACAGTAATGATATCTCGAATGTGAATGATTCAAAAGGACGTTGAGTAAAGCCCCGCGTTGTGTTCCTATATATTAGATTGGAGCGTATTTCAAAGGAACTTGCGAAAAGGTTGGACTTGGTCTAGTATAGCCGAACAGGTTTATATACAGGAATATTACGATATCACGAATTTTCCCATCTAAGGATCGTTGCTCAACTTCTGGTCCGCTGCAACGTCTGTCTCCGTGACCCTAACCTCGTGGCTGCCCTCCAGCTCCGACAAAACAATCCAGGTGGGCAGGACGCAAAGCACGGTGATGCCGAAGTTCAATCCGATGCTAACGAAATGATTTGCACCTCCTTGCGATTGCATACTGCGCGTTGTGTCAGCAAATATTTGATGGAAAGTTGTCATGGAAGGAGACTTACGCCCAAGCAACTGTCTGGCCCAATGCCTCGACACCTCTGAGAATACCAGTGAGATGACTCAAATTCGATATATCCGTGGCATACTGGCCAACAATCCAGTATAGAAACTGCTGGAATGCTTGGCCACCAAATTGCCAGAAGAATACCAGCGCATAGCTCTTCCCAAAGCCACCCTTGAACCAGTCAAAGACAGGTGCTTTGGGCATGTCGTAGAACTCCTTCTGCAGAATCGTAGCCCAGATCCAGGTGCCGACCAGAATGGTGACGATAGTAATGAAAGCGATCTTTCCACGGGTCTTGATGTGAATTTTCTGGTTATCAAGAAGTGCCGCGATTATGAAAGAGCTGAAGATACCAGCAAAGTTTGTGAAGAAACTGGAGAAAGCTCGCGAGCGAACAGTGAAATAAGTAGTCAACCATGTGCTCACGAAGCCGTTATAGAAGTAGCTGATGAAGAAGGCGGGGAGTAGAAGCAAAATTCGACGGCTGACGAAAAGCTTCCCAACCGCCTTAAACTCAGCACCCCAAGTTGCAGCGCGATGGGTAACGATCCTGGTACCGTCTTTGCGCCAAACCTTGCGTGCTGGAGATAGACACAAGGCAATTGGAAGACCAAGGCACATGATGACGATAAAGACAATGTATGTTGCGGAGGTGACTGATCCTGTTGTCTTCCGGTTCGCATTTAAACCGAGATTGATCGCGCCACCTAAGCAAGGACCAGCAGCTTTCGCAGTTTGCCAGATAGCCAAGTAGAATGCGCGGTCGCCAGGGGAAGGATATCCGATGATGATGGCAGCTTCGGCGGCCCAAAAGAATCCAGCTGAGATTCCGCAAAGGGCGCTACCAAACAGCATAAACCAGGTGTTTGCGCTGCGGTTGTTCGTGTACAATCCTGCGCCGTACAAAGGATATCCAATGGCCCCCAAAGCCAACCCGTACTTCAGTCCGATGCGATTGTTAATAGCGCCGGCAGCCACGCAAACGATGGCAAAGAGACCGTACACCAGCGCATTGGCGGCAGAGACAGCGTAAGGCTCAGCTGCTCCACCGGCTCCAAGTCCACCCAGGGCGTCCCACATGCCCGGAGCTGTGAAAGAGACACCGCATGCTACGAGAATCTGGAAAGGTACTGAACGGAAGAAGGATCCGGAGCCCTTGATAGAGCCGGAAGGCTCTGATAAAGTAGTGGCTGACATGACGATGTCGCAGTCGAAAGAGCGGAGTGAGCGAAGAGAGGGTGGGAAGGTGGTAAGCCTTCCCGTAATCCTGGGCACTACATCTTTATAGCGTGGGGGGGATTGTTGACGAGTGTTAGTGGCTCCAGAAAACGTTTTCTCTTTGTGATGGTGTTGAGGCGCCTAGATGCGATGTCGACGTTGAAATTTAACGGGGCGAGCACGACATTGGCGCTAGTGACTCGCGCGAACTATAGAGCGCCCTCAGCTTCGACACTTTTGACATCATTTTACTCGAGTTTTCCCATGGCTTGCGAGTTCAAATTTCGACTACTCTCGGTTCGCGGCGCCGTCTCAATACGATTCCACATGTGCTCAATTATCGTTGGATGGAAACCGCATGAGAAATAATCACGCAGCCTACGCTAAAATCGGCTAACCCCTAACGTCTTAGGCTCAAAACATCTTTCATTGCGAAGTCGCAAGGATCGTGTGTACGGCAGAAACTCAACGATTTTCCAGACGCTATATGCTAAATTTTCACTGAGGTTTTCAGGGGCTGCGCGTAGTAGGTGGGCCCCTAATAGGCAGGTACTGTAAGTACTGAGGCAATATTAACTTTCTTTATATGGCTATGCTAAACAATACAAAGCTATCATTTCGACATGTAGATACATCGCATTGATCGAAAGTATGCTTATAGGCGTGCTTGCTTTACTTCAATGCCTGAGAAGGAGATGGTTCAGAGCTCGCCAGAGCTCTCGATCAAATCGTAGAGGCGGTGTTGCAATCTGAACCACGGAACTGAACACTGGAAGTGATCCACCGGGACTCAACCTCAAGTGCCTGTAGGTTATTCTGTTGCACTTTACTAGTGAGTTCGTACGTGCAATGGACGCTCTAAATACAAGCATAAGCCCAAAAGTACATGTGCTCTCGCGCTTTACTTGCAGAGTCACCCTCTCCACTATATAATCACCCGCAGCTCTAACCTTCCTTCTATCCACTCCCATCGACATCGCACAGGCAATTTGCCTTCGACCCTTGTCCAATCATGCATCTTCAAGTGTATCATCATGGCTAGGCTATCGTCGATACCAACGACTACTTCTCGGCTTGGTGCATGCTTCCTGGTCTAGTTGCCTCCTGAAGTGAGAGACGAAGTCTACGCTTATCTCCTGGGAATTTCCTCACCCATACTACGTACCCGAGTCAGTGAGGCAGCATCTCGTCGCTATTGATCCAAGGCAGGAGTTTAAGCTATCCTTGGATGTTAGAACCTGTCGCCAGTAGTACCACAAAGCTGTCACCATGCTGTATGATAGAAATACATTCATCTTGAGCAAGGCTCCGAATCGGCACGTCAAGTCGCTTGGGCAGATCGAAGATAACCTTGCACCCAGTACGTACCAGGGGCAGGGGTCTCAAGGCAATGCTTTGCAAAGGGATAGTGTCTCCAGAATCGTACACGACGCTGCTGCGAATGATACATCCTTGGACCTGTCGTAATTCCCACCACCTTTCTCACAAGCTTAGTCATAACGGATATCTACCTCGAATTCGGCTGTATGATGCCTTTCTCTCCTCTCCATATTAACTTCATGGACTTGATCCGTACCATCTTTCATATCGATGGCAACACTTGCTTCTGCTACTTCACTGTAACATCTACTGTCGACGGAATGGCCTACACGGAAGGTGACATGGTTTCTTTGCATGTTATGCGCGTCCGAGTATTGCAGTTCCTTGCTTAAGTTGTCCGAGAGCGCGCCCGGCTCTCATCTTCCCGCCACTTCAAAGTCAGCATCAACGGCCATGGCTAGGCTCGACAAATGGTGTGTACATGCCAATAAATATATCGTATATCCCAGCGATGACTTAAAAACCTTGGTTGGATCGCAGCCATCGAAAGAAAGTATGGCTGTCTGGCTGTCTGTCGAGAATCGTCCTCCTCTGCGATCCAATCTTGACAACCCAGCCCCTTAAAAAGGGGCTATGGGTTCTTACCTGAGTTACTTACAGGAAGTGACGAAGAGAACGCCTAAAATGCGCCGCTATGACGATTATTGGTATGCCTGGAAGTGGCTCGTGAATCGTGGTAATTTAACGGTCGGCAGCTGCCGGAGGGCGAGAATGATAGAACATGTAACTAGACATGTTAACACCATGCCTTGTTTGGTATAAGTGGAAAAATGGGAAACAATTCTGAGCTTGTGAACGGGGTGCAACCTTGATTTATCATGTCATTAAGTACTACTGTACAGTCGAACGATAACAAGCGGTCGTTAGGGCTAACAAAGCCACGCACTCTGAATAAGAATACCACGTTTCCCACTGTTTTAAACCCGCGCAGCCACAAATTGAGCAGCAACAGGGGCATCAATTTCGTAGTTTCTGTGCTGAGGAGTGACTATAATACCGTTATCGCAAATGTTGTCGCCCGTGTGGCAGATGATGAGAATTTTCGAGGTAGGGATGGGGCCAAAAGTCTCGTCCCGATCCGCATCGCCGAAGGTGACAACTATCTCATGTTAGAGGCTATTCGGGAACCCAATCAAGGGTAGACATCGGGAAATGAAGTAACTAACCTGCATTCACTCTAGCAGCCGCAGCCGCCGAAAGCCTTTGTGTAGCGGTATGGATCAGCTGTGCTCCCTGGCTATAACCTGAGACAATGATCTTGGTCGACGGGCATCTCGTGATAGCCTAAATAACGAATCAGCATCTCCGCCGTTTATCCGGTTATTCTAGAAGGCCATGGTGCTCACAGTATTGATCAAATCAAACGTCGTCCTAGCTCCCGCAGCATCACCTCCAGCCAGGAATCCAAATATGTTAGCCGGGTAAGTGACGCCCTGTATGGCCAATCGGCTGGTTCCTCCCAGGCGGCTAGCCAGAGCATTAAAGAAGGTTGGACCTTCATCAGTTGGAGCCCCTACATTTCCGTCTTGTGTGGTGCCACGGGCGTATATAAGCGTAATTTCACGGCAAGGTGTGCCGTCAGTCAATTGGTTATATGTGTTACCGCCGTATTGCCGCTTCGTCAGCGCAGGCTCCTCAGTGCTCTGGTCCTCGAGGCGCTGAGCATACTCTTTGATCGTGAGACCGGTGCCGATCAGGTCGGTGATGGGGAAGCTGACCCCGCTTGATGGTGTTGGTGCGGAAAGCGCTGTGCTGAAGAGGACCACGAAGGGGAGGAGGGAGGGAGCGAAACTCTTCATCTTGAGAATTTGTTAATGGAAGTGGTTAGATCGCCGGCTTGATGTTGATATATAAGGGGAGATATATCGATGCTGATCGTGGAAATGCGAATAGGAGCACGCCTTCTGCCTTTTGTACTTCTCCTCATTCGTTGTTGAAAGCAGTACATTGTAATACACTCTGCACCGGGAGACGCATTGGCGTTGCGTGTCACCAGATCTCGTCTACATCTTTGTCCTGCCTTTGCAGTCTCTTGCTCCGCTGTTGAAAGCTTCTCATAGTGTGAAAATGGGATCCTGTCCAATAAACGTCAACAGCAAACTCACGTTGCCAAGTAAATGCCAAATAGCCCCTCATGATTATATTGATCTGCAGCCTGGCGCATCGGCGTGTTTGGGTGCGATCCTCATCTTGGATGTAGCTCCGACTTTACAATAGTTGTAAGTCTTTGACCTTCTTTTTCGCGTTAGCCAAACTGCTAGTTGCCGTGGCACGTGGGTTTTATTGTGTTAGGCTCGGGCTAAATGCGGGGAACAACCACAGTACAGCACCGCGAAACGTGTGATTTCCCTGCCGTCTATTTGGTCAGTTATGCAAGTAATTTTAGCGGCCGTACAAGAAATTTTTGAATTTGGAGGACACGCGTCGCTCGGCTTCAACCCTGCTATACTTGGATACCGAAATGTCACAAGTGAGAGATGACCTGTAAATTAGCCAGAGGGACATGCGCTCATGGTGCAAAAAGGTTGAAGAGACCATATATTTCCCGTCAAAAACGAGCGCGTCATCAAGTATTTTATAGAGTTTTATATAGACAATAAGATAGGGTAACGTATCACACAGGCAAGTTAGTCGCCTAGTTAAGTCAGTCACAATACTAAAACCCTACTAAAATTAGTACTATGCACAATAGTACAGCACTATAAAAAACTATAGCAGTAAATTATAATAAGCTAATTTATTTAAAAACTATTTTTACTTTTTACTTATATATTTATATATTATACTTAGCTTTACTATAATATTTACAGCGCTTTTAAAAAAGCTTACCTGCTTTAGTATACGCCTGCTTTTTTACTTTTTTTTTATTACTATACGCCTTAAACTCTTTTAAAATTATTAATTAAAAACTATTTTTTACTATAAAAGTTTTTTTTTTCTATACTTGCTTTTTTTTATATAATTTTTATTATATAGCAGCTTTATTAGCTACTTAAAACTTAGCAATTTTTTTTTGCATTAATATAAGCTTATATGCAACTATAGCTACATTTTTTAAAATTTTTTTAAAAGCTTTAATTATTAAAATAGAAAAACTATTTAAGTACCTTTAAATTTTTATTTTAACTAGTATTAATTAAAACTTAAATTTTAAAGTATTGCTTAGTATTTTTAACTTTTAAAAACTATTTTTAATAGTAAGTAGTAGTAAAGTATGCAATTAGATATTAAGTTTTAATATTATAGCTTTAAAATTAAAAAAAACTAGACTAGCACTTTTAAAGCTACCTAAAATATTACTTTTTATAATAGCAGCATTAAAAGCCGGTTTAAAGTATAGTAAAAACTTAATTTTAGTAATATAGTTAATGCTATTACGCATTAGCTTTTTAGCTTAGTATTTATATACTTTTTTTAAAAGTGCAAAATAATTTATATTAAATAGCTATAGTAAGTGCAATAAATGCAGGGGCATATAAAAAATAATAATTTTTTATTTTTTATAGTACTACTAGAATTAGACTAATGCGTAGCTTTTATAACTGTTAATAATAAGTAAATAATAAGTATTAATAATTTTTTTTTTAGTATGCTTATTAAAGTACTTTAATTACTTAAAAGTAAGTTTATTTATTATTTAGCTATTTTTAAAAACTATAATAATTTAATTATAAAGCAGGCTATTTTTTTTATACTAGGCTAAAAAATAGTTCTTGCTTGCAAAAATAATAAAAAATAAAATAGTTTATTTTATTGTATTAATGCTTTAGATTACTGTTACTTACTTTTAATTACCCTGCTATACTATTTTTAGCTATTTTTAATAATTAGCACTTAAAATAATAGTTTTATATAATATTTAGCTTATTATAAAGCTTGTTTTATTAAAGTTGTATATATTTTTGTTTTAAATACTATATTTAGCTTTTATATTTTTTATAAGTTAAAACTAGCTTTATATAAGCTTAGGATTTTTATATAAAACTTTTTAGTAATTATACTTTTAAAAAGTTTTAGTACTAAGCTGTAAATATTATTTAATAAATATATTAGCCTAGTTTTTACTAATAAATAATTGCCTATATTTAGCTAGCAAAGTATTAGCTATATTATTTACAGCAGCTAGTTAGGGCGGAAATCTTTAGTTTTTAAAATAAAGTATATACTAAGCAATTACTTCTTTTTTTATTAAAAAAAGCCTTATTTTATTAAGTTTAGTATTATATTATAGAAGCTTTCTTTTTAGTTAATTACTAAATATTATTTAAAAAACGCTGTAGATCTGCATAATTTTTTATTAGAAAAAATTTACATTGCGTTTTAAAGCCTAAATTACAAGCTATATTTAGTTTTTTTTTTAAAAAAATTGCATATTATTGTATTAAAGCATTGCGTTTAATAGTAAAAAACTACTAATTTTAGTAGGGTTTTAGCATTATAACTAACTCGACTAGGCAACTAACTTGCTTGTGTAATATATTATTACAAAATAAACACAAATAGTCTAAACTAGTAAATCTTTTCTACTAGTAAAAGAAAAAATACAAAAAGTGTAATAAAATATAAATATATATAAAAATACTAATTTTATTTATTATAAGTAGTTAATACTTAAACTTAATAAGTATAATAGCCTAGCTAAAAACTTAGCATGCTAATACTACTTTAAAAACTAGCTTTTATTTTTTAATAGTTTAGCTTTATTAAAAGTATTATTAACCCTGCTTTAAGCTAAGCTTAGTAAAAATATAATTATAAATTATTATTATTATTATTATTATTAAGCTTCTTAAAATATTTTTTAAAAAGCTATAATTTTTTAAACAAGTAGTTACTTTATTTAAAAAATATTATTTATATTTTTTATTTATTACTTTTATTTACTACTACTAATATATTATACAGGCAAGCTGCGCGCCTAAGCAAGCTGCGCACTTTACTAAAATTTTACTAAAATTAGTACTATGCACAATAGTATAGTATTATAAAAAACTATAGCAGTAAATTATAATAAATTAATTTATTTGAAAACTAGTTTTATTTTTTATTTATATATTTATATATTATGCCTAGCTTTATTATAGCATTTATAATACTTTTAAAAAAGCTTACTTATTTTAGTATACGCCTATTTTTTTGCTTTTTTTTTATTACTACGCGCTTTAAACTTTTTTAAAATTATTAATTAAAAACTATTTTTTATTATAAAAATTTCTTTTTTCTATACTTGCTTTTTTTTATATAATTTTTATTATATAGTAGTTTTATTAGCTATTTAAAGCTTAGTAATTTTTTTCTGCGCTAATATAAGCTTGTGCGCAACTATAGCTGCATTTTTTAAATTTTTTTTAAAAGCTTTAATTATTAAAATAGAAAAATTATTTAAGTGCTTTTAAATTTTTGTTTTAACTAGCATTAATTAAAACTTAAATTCTAAAATATTGCTTAATATATTACACAGGCAAGTTAGTTGCTTAGTTAAGTTAGTTATAATACTAAAACCCTACTAAAATTAATACTATATATAATAGTATAGTACTGTAGAAAACTATAGTAGTAAATTATAATAAACTAATTTATTTAAAAATTACTTTTATTTTTTGCTTATATATTTGCGCATTATACCTAGTTTTATTATAGTATTTATAGTACTTTTAAAAAAGTTTATTTATTTTAGTATATATTTACTTTTTTACTTTTTTTTTTATTATTATATACTTTAAATTTTTTTAAAATTATTAGTTAAAAACTGTCTTTTACTATAAAAGTTTTTTTTTTTATATTTTTTTTTTTTATATAATTTTTATTATATAGCGGCTTTATTAACTGCTTAAAGCTTAGTAATTTTTTTTATACTAATATAAGCTTATGCGCGACTATAGCTGTACTTTTTAAAAATTTTTTAAAAATTTTAATTATTAAAGTAAAAAAATTATTTAAATACTTTTAAATTCTTATTTTAACTAGTATTAATTAAAACTTAAATTTTAAAATATTACTTAGTATTTTTAACTTTTAAGAATTATTTTTAATAATAAATAGTAGTAAAATACGCAATTAAATATTAAGCTTTAATATTATAATTTTAAAATTAAAAAAAACTAAACTAGTATTTTTAAAGCTACTTAAAATATTACTTTTTATAATAGTAATATTAAAAGCTAATTTAAAATATAGTAAAAACTTAATTTTAATAATATAATTAATCTTATTGCGCATTAGCTTTTTAGCTTAGTATTTATATACTTTTTTTAAAAATACAAAATAATTTATATTAAGTAGCTATAGTAAATGCAATAAATATAAAAGCATATAAAAAATAATAATTTTTTATTTTTTATAGTACTGCTAGAATTAGACTAATACATAGCTTTTAAAACTATTAATAATAAATAAATAATAAATACTAATAATTTTTTTTTTAGTATACTTATTAAAATGCTTTAATTATTTAAAAGTAAGCTTATTTATTATTTAGCTATTTTTAAAAACTATAATAACTTAATTATAAAGCAGGCTATTTTTTTTATACTAGGCTAAAAAGTAGTTTTTGCCTATAAAAATAATAAAAAGTAAAATAATTTATTTTATTATATTAATATTTTAAATTACTATTACTTATTTTTAATTACTCTGCTATACTATTTTTAGCTATTTTTAATAGTTAATACTTAAAATAATAGTTTTATATAATATTTAGCCTATTATAAAGCCTGTTTTATTAAAATTATATATATTTTTATTTTAAATATTATACTTAGCTTTTATATTTTTTATAAGTTAGAACTAGCTTTATATAAGTTTAAAATTTTTATATAAAAATTTTTAGTAATTATATTTTTAAAAATTTTTAGTACTAAGCTGTAAATATTATTTAATAAATATACTAGCTTAATTTTTACTAATAAATAATTACTTAT